GGGGGGGGGCGAAAATCGTGGATTCTGCACGGTTTTATATGTGACGCCACAACAAGTGCCATGTCTACATTTGAGAAGTGAGCTTCTGAAAGAGTAACAAACAATGATACTCGATGTTGCTTTTGACTTACCGATTCCTGTCTTATCCTGCCCAATCACTGCTGCAGCCCCGCTCTCTGACGGATGGAATCTCACGTTCATGATCTGCATAGTTGCTAAACGTGATCGCGCGCTCGTCCACATATGGAAATTCCCACATTATGATCCACGCCCTTGTGCCTCGGTATGGTTCTTAAAGATCCATAATCTGACTCATTGCAGGGAGCCGAGATCCATAATTTGACTCAACCATACCCAATAAGGATCCACACGGTTCTCATCCCGTGCCTCTCTCGGCTAGTGCAATGATCCACAATCACACCATGATTCTCAAAATCCACGTGTTTTGTCAACTTTACTATGGTAGAATCCATCTAAGTTTGGTCTGAGACTACGGCTACGCCTGCACGAGAAAGGCGCGCCAGTCGGCGAGGATCGGCGCGTGCGATGTGGGGAAGTGCGGTGCGGGCGTTTCGACGCGTGGGTGCGGGGGCATGTCGCTGAGGTGTTTGAGCGTCTGCGTGATCGAGCCGTACATCGTCGTCGCTATTGATTAGCAACCAACCCTCAGCGTTGGTACGAATGCAGCCCAGATGCATAGGCACGCACCTCCAATAAGCACACCCCCCTCCTCCCACTCAAAGCTCCGCAAAACCGCCGCAACGCCGTGCGACGTATTCGGGACGAGCACGAGCTCGTCGTGCTCGACGTGCACAAACCCCGCGACGCGCCGCCGCGCGTCCGCGAGCACGCCCGCCGTGTCGAGCTTGATGAACCCGTCCGGGCTCGCCTCGATGCGGTCGGTGAGCGCGTCGCATGCGGCACGGACGGGGCGCGGGAGGGTGCCGTATGCACGGCGCTCGCGAGTGACGGCGCGCGGCCAACTGCGGCGCCCACGTCTGCTGGGCGCCTGATGCGTGCCGGTGGCAACCGACCGCGGATCCTCTGGGCATGGAGACGCGCTGATGACGCGACCGCCGCAGCATCCCAGCTGCCCGTGGCAGGTGCCCTCAGCCCGTGTCGCGCGCCAACCTGCCTATGGGCGAGACTGGTCAAAGCACGCGGGGCGTCATGGGGCCTGCTTCCAGGCGCTGGTGGCGGTTGGTCTCCGAGCCCCGCGCCTGCAGGCCGGTCTTAAGCACGGGGCGGAGGCGTTACGTATGAACTGCGCCGGCTGGCGTCAAGCGAGCGCAGTCGGCCCGGTGCAGAGGCGGGCGAACGGAGGAACGGCAGCGTGCGCCGACGAGTTCGACTCGAGGCGGCACGCGAGCGCAAGGGCCGAGCAGGTTGAGCCAACGCTCGCTTTCGTTCGTCACTAGCGACGCATCGCGTCAGTATACCTTACAAAAAGAGCTAGAAACAACCCGACCCTTTACTTTGCGTGCCGGCAGTGCAGGGCGTCAAAATATTGATGCGCTCATCGGTGCACGTGGTGTTGAAACGTTAGACGCGCGCGCTTCAGACTTGAGCACAACGCGGGGCATCACCGCAGCGGAAGCCCACCACACTCGCACCTGCGCGCACGTCCGCCATGCCGTCCTGCCGGTGCATCTCCCACAAATGCAACGGAAAGGAGCTGCTCAGCTCTCAAGTTGCTGCCCACAAGGGCGACGATCTCCGCCTCAAGTCTGCCGCATCCCTCGCCAGTTACCAAGCCCAAACTCAACTCGAGCCCGGGCCACCTGCAAAAAAAGCAAAGCTCTCCCACAAATCAGCTTCAGCTGAGCCCTCCTCCCCGCTCCATACCCATTTACCCGATGATTCCCCTGTAGTGGATGGCTCCTTCTTGCCCATCGAACAAGACGCGTTGATACCTAGTGTTTTTACCCGCAGTGACCTGGAAGTCAGCGCGGTACGCTCCCCTGGACTTCCTGATCTTGGCTCTCACTACTTCCATAACCCTGACGGCCTCCTTGCTGATGTTGACCATCACGTTTTCTTGAATCAGGCAATGACGCAGACTTCTCACCAGCTAAATAGCCATAGCGCACATCATGCTCCCCTATTCACGCGAGAAGAACGCCGGGCCCAGCGACAGCTAGAAGAAGCCTTTGAAACCTTTAGCCTACAGCCTTTGGAAGAACCGCAGGGGCTAGAAGCACCGGGCAGCATCCCGGTTGTTGCCGACTACGACGGATATGACTATGATGTTGAGGACCCTGCGGAGGGTGAGGAAGAGATGGCGGATGGGGAATTGGGCGAAGAGGATGCGATGGCTGCGTTCCCTGATTTATTACCCGGCGAAGACAGCCCTGACCCATTTATGCAGGAGGTTGATTTCTTCCAGGATGACTCCGAATCGAGGAGCCTCCAGGATCTAGACCCTCAAGTCTTCACCATCTACGCACTTGTGTCATGGCTAAACCTTGCGTTCAAACTCCCCAAAACAGCTTGCAATGTCCTCTTGACCGTCTTTTACTACCTTTTGCTTAGCCTTGGTGTGCCCGAAGCGTCCACGCCCTATCTCACACTAGAAACAACCAACCGCGTGTTGGGCGTTGACCGCCCCATTTCCGTCCTTGCTGTCTGTCCATCTTGTCGAGATGTCTACCCCCCTGCCTCTTCCAGCCACTCAAGCGACCTTTGCACTACCTGTAAGGTGCCCCTGTTCATATCTGACACCACAGGTCGCGGCAACAAAAGGAAGTTCAGTATTCCTATTGTTAAATACCCCTACTTGCCACTTTCTACACAGATTGGCTCAATCCTCAAGACGCCTGGGATTGAGGCCCTACTGGACAAATGGCGAGAAGCAGAGCGCGTTCCTGGCCGCTACGCCGACATCTTTGACGGGCATGTGACTCAAAACATCAAGGGTCCTGATGGCAGGTCGTTTTTCTCAAACCAACGTCATGAGCGCCAAGGGCCCAACGGCGAACTCAGAATCGGCCTTAACCTTGGCGTTGATTGGTGAGCATGTCTCTGCCTCTCGTTTAGCCCACTAACGTCCCTTTTCTAGGTTCAGTTACCTCCGTAGTAACATAGCGCCTTCGCATACATCAGGGCCTATGTCATTTTCAATATGCAACCTCCCACCAGAATACCGTTACCGCACATCAAATCTGCTGTGCACGGGTATCCTCCCTGGACCAAAAGAGCAAACCGGTGACCAGGTTCAGCGTTACCTCCGCCCCGTCATATCTGATCTTCTCCGCCTATGGAGGGATGGGATCATGATTCCGACAGAATCTTGTCCGCAGGGTGAGCTTTTACCCTATCAGATGAGTCAAACAACCTGTCATTGGGCACAGGTCGGCTGGTTCGCGTTGTTCTTGTTGCAGCGGTGTGCGACAAGCCAGCGGCCCACAAAATAGGGGGGTTTGGTGCGCACACGCATGGCAAACCGTGCTCCATGTGCTGGATTACTCAGACCGATATAAAGGAGAACTTGGGTGCCTTTGAAGACCGTGGTGGGTCCCATTCACTGCTACCTATCCTAGTTTACCTAACACCTCTTTCAGCATTTCCATCAAGGACAAATGACAGGCATCGTGAGCTTGGTGAGCAGTATCGCCAGCTCAAAACTAAGGGCGCTCGCCATGCTTTCGTTCAAGCCCACTCTACACGATACACCCAGCTTTCTCGCCTTCCATACTTTGATATAGTTAATCAAGTTGTAATTGACCCCATGCATAACCTCTTCCTCGGTGCGTATCGTGTTAACTGTTAGCATATGACTTCAGACTGATTACCGGAGACATAGGCCTTGTGAAAACCCAATGGTATGACATATGGATCAAGAAGCATATCATACGGCCAAATCATGAGCTTAAGAAGCTGCATGAGATGCTTCCTGACGTACATTTATTCCTTGCCATCGTTCCTTGCTAATCCTCCCCTGTAGTTTGCCATCCCAACGACATGCGGTAGGCTACCAAGGGAGACTGGCATACCTGCTGGCGGCTCTCTAACAGCCGACCAGTGGCTCTTACTTGCCACCGTGTATGGTCCTATCATCGTATGTCCTCCACCATCTTGTTTGCACATTCAGGTCTGCTTATAACTACAAAGATACCGGCCTTGTGGGAGAATTTTCTACCGCCTGATGTTGACTTGGCTCTATTAGATCGACGTCGAGCTGCCATTGCGCAAGAGGAAGATGTTCGCAAGGCAAAAGCAGAGCGCAAGAAACTTCGAAAGCAAGCACTGGAGGAGGCGAAGAAACGGTCCAAAGATGAGCACAGGGAGTTGAAAGCCCAGTACGAGCGTGAAGACCTGGAGGCAAAACAGGCTGAAGAGCAGAAGAAGCTTGCAGGAAGTACACGACAGAAAAAGGTCTGCACGCTGCCAGCATCCTTCCACAGAGCTGATGTTATTTCTCTTAGTCACGCAAACGCAAGGAGGCTGAATCCAGCATTCCCTTAGATATCGATGAGGACGACGCTGCCCAGGATACGGACAATCTTGTGCTATCACTACATCCGGATGACGTCCCTCATTTTCTTAAGCTCTCTATGGCCCTTCAGACTATGCTAAAGCGCACCCTCACTACAGATGACATATCTTCGGCCACTCAGCTCCTTCGCGAGTATCTTAACGGCATCAGAGTCCTGTATGGTTCGGCAGCTCTGAGGCCAAACCATCATTACGCTTCTCATCTTGGACTTTGCATCCAAAACCTGGGCCCGCTCCATGATTTCTGGACGTTTTTGTTCGAACGGCTAAACAAGGTGCTCAAATCTTTTAGGACCAACAACCATGGCCGAGGTGACCTGGAAACAACATTCTTCACTTCCTTTCAGCGGATGTGTGAGGTCAGTCGGCTTGTAAGTCACCATTTTCTACACGTGCACCAGCCACATCATGGATTATACCCAGATTTGTGTATCCGCTGCACGCGGAGACGACTCCCTGCCATCAAAGGTGTCAAAAGTCATGCTCAAGGCCACACAAGAGGAACGTGGGACTGTTGCTGCTCTTGGTATATTAGCAGATGAACTAGACGATTCGTCAGATGATGGTAAGGTTAAGCCGTCTGTCATTCTACTGGGGCGCTAAAAGATAGGGTCTTAGCATCAAAGACATATGCGCTTAGTTCTCGTCACCGAACACGTAACCTATCAAACGACACGTACATGCTCACTGTAGAGGCCGTATGCCTCTTTTACGCTGACTCCCCTGTTCATTGCTCAGGTGCACGCTCTCTAAGTGCTCTGAGTGTCCCTCTTCCCCTAGAGGCTGTGTTTTTTGATTATGTGGTCATCAACGGAAAACGCTTCCATGCGTCGCAAAGCGTTGGCAGTAACAAGACTTCTCTTGCTCATGCCATTATCCCCCGCATTAACGCTGATCCCACTCATGTCTATGGCGAAATACAGGAGATTTTCCAGGTGACACGTGGAGCTGGCAGCAACCAGCGGATCATGTGGTTTGCTCGTGCTCGGTGGTTCCGCCCCTGGAATGGACCGAGAAGCAACCTCTGGAACAACATGTGAGTTATTCAGTAGTTCTCCACCACTTTCGTTTTTCTCAGCCGCCATGCAGTGAGGCGGCGCGTGTCCGTCTATGGGACCTTGGCGAGTATTACAGCACGCAAGACATACGTCGCCCTCCTATCATATGTCTTGACTGGCTTCAGAATCAGCTTGCGCTTACCACGGTATCCATGGGTCCAGATAAGCATAAGGTCTGGGCAACAATCACTTTAGCCAAGGTAAAGCCATTTTACTACTTATATTTGTGAATCTCAATGCGCATGTTTGTCTAGTGATTCAAGAACTGTACGCAAGCGTATGGGGATGTACCAAGAAGCCAAGATAAGATACCCTATCAATCACCACTTTCTCTCATTCGACGTTGGGCAAGGTGCTGGCCACCATCACCTCCCCAGAAACTTCACCGTCACATAGTTCCCAGTTTTCCTTCTTCCATTCCTCCGCCTCCTCAATAAACAACCTGTCCTTCTCCTTCAGCTCGTCCTTCTTATCAGTGTGGAAACTCTGCAGCCACTTGAGCCTTGCGTCCACCATCTTCGGACGCTCCACCTGCCTAGCAAGCCAGTTGGTATCAACCATATCATAGAAAGGTACGCCCTTCCCCGTGCTTGGCGGCTGCATTCTCATGGTGTTAGGGGCTGCATCCCACGCATTGCGGTTGCCCCTGCCAGTTGTTTTGCGTCTCTTTTGCGGGCGTTCACCCCCCTCGTTGTTTCCTGCTGCTGACACCAGGGACAACCAGCGCATGAGGGTGGTGTACTGGCAGCTGGGGTAAGCACCTTGTCTCAACTGCGAAGCCTGCACTTACATTGGGGTTTCTCCAGCCCTTGTTGAAAGCCTGGAATGATCCGGGTGCCAGCCCTGCTGCTGCACGGCGCTCACGCATATGGTCAGTCATATCACCCTCACTGCACGTCTCCTGATCGGTACAGAAGTCGGTGTGGATCGTGCCAACAATGCCTGGGTAGACAGACTCATAGGGCTCAGCAGCAGCGCGACGCGTTCTCGCCAGCTACACCAGGTGCGTCAGCTTCGTTGTTGCAACAAAAGCGACCAGTTTCTTACCGTCTTGGCACGCTGGAACCGGCGGTTATCCCTGTTGGCATCGCGAGCTCGGGCAGCCCTGGCATCATCATCATCTTGCTGTGCGCGCCTGGTGAAGTTGCCGAAGTACGTCTTTACCACCGTGGTGATTATGTCGCGATCAAAACTTTCATTAGGGATCTTGGCGGCCTTGCTCTTGTCTTGGCCTCGGCGGTCCTGCATATACGCATGAGCCAGTGGGCATACGGGTATAGAATTGGTACGTACCTGTTCGTCCTGGTACACACATTCAGCAACCTCTTTAATGAACAGGGCATTAACAGGGTTTCGAAGGCCAGCCCTCCAGTCCGGCTTCCAAACTTTCTTTGTGTCGGTACCTGGGCCTGGAGCGGTTTCAAAGGCCTCCCCATTAGACAAGGGCTGGATAGCACCCAGTGCATCCGAAATGGCGTAGCGGCCCTCAACGTTGATGTCGCATAGGCGGACATACATCTGGTGGACGTGTTTCTAGATCCATATCAGCGGTATGTTCATGCATTCAGGTGGAGCTGTTACTCACCTTGACGTCGGGGTGGCCGTTTGCATGCGCGCGGGCAGACCCTCCTTTTGCTGCAACAGCGCGTGCCTTCTCCTCCTCCATCTCTTTCTCAAGCCTAGCAACAGTATCGGTGAGCGCCTGCAGCACCTGTGATTGCTGCTGCTGGCTCTGATCAAGCTGGTTAATAGAACTCGCTTGCTCTTCAACAGCGAGCCCAAGCCGACGCAGCTCCTCGCCCATCAGATGGCTTGGATCTGGCACCGACAGGCCCATATAACCCTGCCCTGCGCCAGGGTAGGGGCTCCCTCCAAGGCTGGCGTACCCACCGTATCCACGCGTTGGCTGAGAAAGCGCGTAGTCATGCAACGCTGGACTTGCTGACGTGTGTTGGTTGCTGGGCTGTAGGTGAGTGAGCATCTCTTTGGGGCCTGAGCGCATAAGCACTCACACTTTGCTCATGACCCTTCGACAGGTTTGGCGCGGGGGGGTGGAGGCGAGAGGTGTCGACGGCTCCAAGCGGTCTCCTCTGCTGGCTTGGTGCATAGGCGTTGAGCGTCTGCTGGGAGTTCATGACGGTTTTGAGAGGTGCAAGGTGCGGAGTAGAGAGGCGTGTTGCCTCTGTCGCTTGCTTGCAGTCAGCTTTTATGTGCACCAGGTGGGCTGGATGTTTCTGCATAGCGCTAGCCAAGCTCTATGACACCCGTTGAAGTCCACGTAGATCAACGCTACCCTAGGCTACCTATGACTCTTAGAACAGCTATATAGAAGTGATCTTGATGTTAATTCGGATGCTACACAGTACAATTTAAAGCTCTAGAACCAGGAATACAAAGGCGTAGTGATCTTAACCATGATACCTCTTAGACAGCTGATGGACTATGCCTTGTCTATGCCTGCTCGGTTTACAAGCTCTAGGGGCTGTCACATGGAAGCGAATTTAGATGCATAGCCGAGTGCTACACATGAGAACTTAGCGCTCTAAGGGCGGCGATATCACAGCTTAGTCGGCTTAAGCTCGACCCTCTTAGACAGATGATGAACTACGCTGGCTTGGCTTAAGATCCTAAGAATGATGCATAGAGGGTCCGAATAGTCTACATCCGCATCATCTAAACATTTGCGTAGCTGTCTACGTCAGACACGTCTGCAGTCTATTTTAGGTGCATACATAGCGTCTAAACTGGCGCGTGTAGATTCCGACTTCTGCAGTGACTCTTACGTTGAACGTTGAACCCTGTTTACTTAGCATAACATAATCCCACCCTTCCTTCCAGAAAGGTGTTTCCCAACGCTCAATTCGCTCTCTCCACCCCTGAGCGCAGTCGAGACGTCGACATCGGCAATCCACCCGTGATCAGCGAACGCAAGGCGGACGTCTTGGCCTCTCTGTGCTCACGGAGGAGAGCAAATGTCGTCACGAAGCCGACTTCTGCTTCTGCCTAGCAGCCACATGCAACACTTGTCTTCATTTCGCATTTTGCAACGCCACTCCGACGCGTCGCGAAGACGCGTTTTGCGTGTCATCAGACAGGCACATTTGCTTCCGAAGTTCCCTTGCCCGATCCGTTCTCGTGTCCATCAAGTCCGTCAATCACAAGTTGCTCTAAAGCCGGATATGGCAAGTGCAAAATGAAGCCCACTCGGACACATTCCGAGCAGTCGGGACGCGTGAAGGCTCTGACCTCCTCTGACATTAAGGCTCTCAGCGACCACAGATTCTCAACCATGGCGCCATGGATAATTGTCAAAGGTAACCTGACAAGACCACAATATGCTGGTGCATGTCAGCTTGAAACATTTATCCCTCTCTCTACTGAGCATCATGGGGCCATCAACGTCTTCATTAGATAGAGAAGTCGCCTGAAGATCAACCTGAGCACATGTAGAAAATTCGGGAGGAAGTACCCTCAATATACGTTGGCATGGTTATGCAAGTAATGAAGATGAGCAGGTAACGTTGAGACTCAGAGAAAGTAAAACATGTCCCTGGACAAGTGCCTGGAGATATGATGCTGTATTGGGATAGGTGTACGAAGCGCTAGGTAGTATGTACTTCGGTTCGAAAGTCGCAGCGAATATCAAATCGAGAAGACTGCTGTCACTATATACTAAATCCTGAACCAGATCCAATAGATACGGGTTATATCTGGTAACCTTGAGCCACCATCGTTTGACAGCTGGTCTCGAGCGCGTACAGGCGCGTACCAACACCTGGCCGAACCAGACTCAGCTTCGCTCTCTCCGAACAGCACGACGCAGCCAGTTCCATCGTGCGGACGCCATACCTGGTCGAGCATCAAGCTGCGCTACTTGTTCGTGATTCCCGCCCCCGTCCTCTTCTCCCCTCCGCTGACTACGTTGGCTATGGCCGCTCATCTGACCTTCGCTCGTTGTCCGCGGCCGCTCTTGCACAGCGTCATCCACTACATCGGAAAACCCAAGCCCAAGCCCACTGAGTCTTCTCGAAGAATGTCGATGATGTTCTCGCTGTTCTGGGTGGATCAGAGAGAAACCAGGACTAATGGGCGACAGCCCAATCGACAAGCCTCCCCCGAGTGGAGGTGAAAGCAGTGCCGAGTTGTTGGCCGCCTGCGGTGACTGGAGGTATGAAGATCCACCACTCGAAGTGTCCACTGCCATCGTCTGACGTCTTCGACGCCCGGCAAGTGACATGCGCGTAGTACTAATAGGGGAAACCACCTCTGAATCGGCTCGTGTGGATGGTGATGGTGGAGGCGAATCCGCGCTCGAAGGTCGTATCGTCTCCAACGACAGCGAGTTCTCTAGTCTTGTCCCATCTAGAGACCTCGAAGACCGATGGACTGTAGGTGGTCCAGTGCTTGACAACAAACGCGGCTGCAAAGATCGGCGCGAGAATGCAGATGCGGACGACAGTCTCTGAACTGAAGATATTTGCTCCTCGGCATCCCTAGGTGATGGTTCCAAGATATCTTCTTCATCCGCGATCGCTTCCTCGCCGTCGTCGGACGCTCCTTCTTCGCCTACCCGCGTCTCGTTCACACCAGCTTGGGCACTCACAGCCCATACACCGGCGAGCAGTATCAGCATACCCAAAACGACCAGGACGATGTGCCAGCCAGGTAGTTCTCCCAGTTGGTTGAAGTAGACGAGACCGTTGAGGATAGATGAGAAATTGTAAAAGCAGAAAGCAGCTGTGCAAAGGAAGTAAAACTCAGACAACTATGCCTGATTATGCTACTGAAGCACTTACATGGGCACACAAATGCGGGATCTGAAAGGCGTAAGCCGCGATTGAGGTACCACAGCTGGCCAAGGGCAAAGACAACGAGCCCAAGGAGCAACATCCACGTTTCCCACCGGTAGAACTGGTTGTGGCCCTTGAGTGTCAGGACAAGCAGCTCAACCCCTGATTTCGCAAATATGAGGCACAATCCTGACAATATTCCAGAGGCCGCAGCGTATGCCAAGGCTAAAAACAGCGGTGTACGAGAAGAGAAGCCTCTTACAACCGCCTGAGGATTGGCACCATCCGTGCTCGAAGAGGGTGAGGGGGAAGGAGAGCGCTGTTTCAGCATGGTTGTTGGTTGCCTGGAGGAGGATATGGCGGGTTTGGGATCAAGGAGAGGTGTACGCTCTGTAACACTTTCAACAGTTGCGATCTGCTCACTGAGCCCAGTCGTGAGTGCCGATGGCTGCTGATTTGCGGGCGGCGCTGTTATGTCCTGTGGAGATTGTGAGAGCTCCTCTTCGCCGTCGGAATCCAGTAGCAAGTAGGACGCAGCCTGAAGTCGCTTTGCGTAGGCAAACTCGACCATGTGGGTCTGACTTTGAATGAGCTAGGCGTCATATGTAAATTTTGATTTCACATACCACTACCAAGCATACTAGCAGCGCAACGCCTTCGACGCAGAACCACGCGATAAATGCAGGGCGGCGGAAGAGGGCCAGGAGTTCGTCCAAAGTACGGGGCTGCTCCGGGACAATGCCAAAAACGGCAATGAGAACGGCACCACCTGCAATGAGTGCGGTTCCCAAGAGGAGAGGAGGGCGGAGGAGTAGACGGGCAAAGAGTGCGTTCCAAAGGAGGGAGACGGCGCCCAGCGGTGCCAAAATAACGACGGGAAGGGAAGCTATCTGTATGAAGGACCCAAAGATATTGGAACCAAGGAAGATGACTGGGGTGGCAATTTAGTAACTTTTGACCATGTATGAAGTAATGATGGAACGCACCAAAACCAATGATCCATAGTCTACAAGGCATGCGTGCCAAGTTAGCATCCGCAGCTGGATTAGAAGAGAACGACTACGCACGGTCGTCTATGCTCAACCTTGCGCTCCGCCTCTGGGAGTTGACCATTGAGTACGTGACTTCTGCGCTGTATAGCGAGGCCCAGACTTTGGACAAAAGAGGCCAGGAGGCCGATGAATATGCCGAGAGGTATGGATATGCCCGAGCCGTTATCCATGGTGTGGACATCCGAGGAAAGGTAGTCATCTGATTGGGAATTCATGAGGTGGAGGACATGGTGATAGAGCATCGTGCAAGAGATGATGGGCTCGAAGACGAAGGAGCAGGAGTCGGTTTCGACGCTGACTGGGGGGTTGTCATTCAGATGCGTGTGGCTCTGACTTGGAAGCGGGCGCGTGCGATGTATGAGAGAAGAAAGGACAGATCGGAAGTATATGTAGGAAGATCACGAGAGAGAATGAAAGCTACTGGCAAGAGTTCGTCGCGGTATGACTGACTGGACGGTGGTGGGGTGGACAGCTCTGGAGGCGTGGTGGCACTAAACCAGCCAGCCTCCCGCAGGCATGTTTGTCGGCATCCGGATCGGCTGCATGCTTCCTCTATCGGTAGTTCGCTGTGCACACGACCATCACTGCCTTCTCACCTTCTAACATCACCTTCAACGTAATCTTGTCTGCTTTTGAGCTCGAACGGCATGCTGTTAGAAATCAAACTTGGATTACGGTGAGCGGTTTAAATTTGACGTATGATACACTAATGCAACTAATGTACAGAACACATGATTTCCCTGAACTAATGATCAAATGCAAACGAAGCTCTGGTCTGATAGTCCATCATATTACGCCCGACCGCTGTCTCCTTTAGTCCATTTCCTCAATCTCAATCTCGTCATCATCCCAATCAACGTCCATGTCGTCCATCGATTTGCTCTTCTCGTGGTTCGGCACGATCACCAGCTTGTTCCGCGGACCGTCAAACGTTACTCTCACCGTCTCGCCATCCATCACCTGCTCCGAGAGGATCATCACCGACAACGGGTTCAAGAGCTCGCTCTGGATCGCCCGGTTCAATGGTCTGGCACCGTACGTGGGCGAGTAGCCGACCGAACTCAGGAATTGCTTCGCCGTCTCGTCGACAGCCAGCGTAATCTTGCGATCAGCCAGTCTCTCCTGTATTTCTTTCAGGCGGACGTCCACAATCTTCAGGACGTTATTTCTCGACAGTGTGCGCTGTGAACAAAGTCAACTCTCGGTTCTCTTCAATGCGCGGGAAAGAACTTACGAATATCACGATCTCGTCGATACGGTTGATGAACTCTGGCGGGAAGTGTCCTTGAATAGCTCCCATGACTAGCTCCCTCGTCTGGGCGTTGACGGGGCCTTGGCCCATGTCGTTGAGGTATGCTGCACCCAAGTTGGACGTCATGATAATCACCGTATTACGGAAGTCAACCACGCGGCCTTGACCATCAGTCAAACGCCCGTCGTCGAGGACTTGCAAGAACAGCGTGACGAACTCCCTCGACGCCTTCTCGATCTCGTCGATGAGAACGATGCAATAAGGTTTGCGGCGGACGTATTCCGTGAGCTGGCCACCGGCGTCGTGTCCTACATAACCTGGAGGCGCGCCAATGAGCCTCGCAATGGAGTGCTTCTCCGAGTATTCAGATCCATCTACGCGGATCATGGCATCGGGAGAGTCGAATAGGATCGTCGCAAGCTAAGGATAAAATAGGTGAGCAAAGGTCTCAAACCATTTTGAAACTATCACTTACTGTTTTGCTAAGCAAGGTCTTTCCCGTACCCGAAGGACCAGCCATTAAGAAGCTCGCGATAGGTCTCTGCGCGTTCGCCAAACCGCTGCGTGATAGCCTAATTGCGTTGGCTACGGCCCTGACAGCTTCGGGCTGCCCCACGACGCTGTCAGCAAGGACGCGTTCAAGCCGGAGCAGTTTCTCCTTCTCGGTGGACATGAGGCGAGTCACAGGAATAGAAGTCCACCGTCCGACGATCTCTGCAATCTGTTCTGGAGTTACGGTGTCCGCGCTGCTGTTCTCATTTTCAGCGTCTTCTTGAACCCTCCTAGATTCCAGATCTTTAAGACGAGCTTGCAAATCCGGGATGGCGTAGTAGCGCAGGTCCGATGCTGTTGCAAGATCGTATCTAGTAACATTTTAGCGTTCGTTCCAACACGCTCCAATGCGTGGGGCCGTGTCAACTCACCTTCTTTCAGCCTCATCTGCTTTCGCCCTCAACTCGTCGATCTTTCTACGAACTTCGTTGATTTCGTTCCCTCTGGATTTCTCGGCCTCGTACGCTGCCTTGAGAGGCCTCAGTTGGTCTTCCACCTCGGCAATCGCTTTACGAGCGGTGGCCAATCGGTCTTTACTAGCCTGGTCCTTCTCCCTCTCCAAGGCGTGGACCTCAACTTCCAGCTCCAGTTTACGTCGCTGGAGTTTATCAATTTCCTCCGGGTCTGTCTCACGAGTGACACGGACGCTGTTTTCAATGTTAGTTTTGAAGCATCCATCACCTTGCATTGCTACTTACCTAGCACACGCCTCGTCAACCAAATCAATGGCAGAATCTGGCAAGCGCCTGGACGTGAGGTAACGATGGGCCAGAGTTGCAGCCGAAATCAAGGCTCCGTCCAGAATGCGCACACCGTGATGGACCTCGTACTTCTCCCGGATGCCGCGAAGAATGTTGATGGTCTCAGATACTGAAGGCTCGTTCACCAACACCTGGGCGAAGCGACGTTCGAAAGCCGCGTCCTTCTCAATGTACTTCCTGTACTCGGCCAGCGTCGTAGCACCGATACAACGTAGCTTTCCACGGGCCAACAGGGGCTTGAAGAGATTGGCGGCGTCCATACCTCCACCTTCGCTGCCGCTGCCAGCCATGATTAGGTGCAACTCGTCGATGAAGAGGATGACGGTGGTTCCTTCTTCGGATGATTTTTCGACTTCATTCAGGACGCTCTTGATGCGCTCTTCGTATTCGCCCTTGTACTTGGCGCCCGCCATGAGCGCTCCCATGTCGAGTGAGAACAAGCGTCCTATCAGACTAGCCGGGACGTCCCTATTGACGATCCGCTGAGCGAGGCCCTCAGCGATGGACGTCTTGCCGACACCTGGCTCGCCAATCAAGACGGGATTGTTCTTGGTTCTGGAGAAGATATTAGTTATAAACTACAGCTCAATAGGCTTTAACATACCGTCTGCATAGAATGCGAATAACACGCCTGATCTCATTGTCTCTGCCTACGACCGGATCTATCTTCCCTTCTTCTGCGAGAGCTGTTAAGTCAACAGCGTATTTCGAAAGGGCGTCAAAACCAGCCTCGGCACTCTTGCTCTCGATACGGCGATTTCCGCGAGCCTGTTGAATTGCAGTTTTTAAAGCGGCTTCGGTCAGACTGGCCTCTTTGAGAACAGGGGCTATGGACGAGTCGGCGATAAGAGCAAGGAGTATGTGATCCTGGGCAACGTAGGAGTCGTGCATGGTTTTCTGAAGCGACTGGGCTTCTCGGAGAACCTTGGCCGCTCCTGAACTCAGTGATATCTCATCAGGAGCCGGTGATTGCGCGGGTAGGCGAACAAGTAGTCTCTGCAGACCACGTTTGACGGCCGTCTAATAGAAAGGCGAAAGGCGTCAGGGGATCCTTGCAGAATACGATGACAGATGGATTGCTTACCGGGTCGCCACCGGCTTTTGATATTACTGATGAGAAGAGTGAAGAACCGGACGAGCTCTGTAGGCCTCCGGGGACTTCGTTACCAGCCCCTGAGTCGTTTAAAAGCGCAAACGCGATATGCACAGGATGGACTGGGGTGTACGGCATAAACAATATATCCAGAGAAGATGAGAGATCAACATACCTTGTGCATTTGAGTAATCCTTTGCGAGCTGGATGGCAGCTGCAAGCGTCTCTTGTGCTCTGTTTGTGAAGTCGGCGTTCATAGTGGTGGGGATTTGGGAGAGATAATGTGAGGTGTTGCTTGAGTACAAATAGGTAGGGGCAAGGCGAGGGACACTAGGAGAGTATATACGCTACATAATGACGTGAAGATGATGCTGGAACATGTAGTATGATAGACGACGGCGCTCGAACGGACGAGACTTTGCGAGACTCGACGCGGCTATTCCGAGCAAATTCCGGAAACTCGAAGAACTTGGGTGACGTCACATAATTATCAGTGCACACTCTCGGCCCGTTGCCGCCGGTAGTGACTTTAGACATCGTTTCTTGAAACCTTCGGGTCGCGGCTAGTCAACAATGTGCCGTGTCATAGACGTCCTTCCCTGTCTCCACATTTCTATATCTCGTCGCAGGCTTTGTTCACCGTCATTGACATGCTCGAACCAGAATTTCAGGGCTTCATACTTCGGATTGATATCAAAAATTCCATCAATTTGGCGTCTTACCCTTCAACGCTATCGACTGTTGAACAATCATTCTTGGCCACCATTATTTGCGTTGATCTAGCCCAGTGACCGTGCTTCGGGGGATCTATTATTTGAGGGGACTCTCTGATGCTAATCTACAATCAACTCACTCTATATCTCTCTGACTATGGTAAGTCGTAGTTAGCGAACACGACGTAGATGTATGCCTAGTCGGTGAAGATGATCGTCATAGTGCTCATCGACCATGCACTCGAAACCCTCCAAGACAATTGGATCTCCGCGGATACTACCCCACTTACGAGTGGGAGCCATGAGGTAGTGGATAACTTCTTGATCGAGGTTCCTAACATTCTCCCTAGTAAGGTTGAGCATGTTAAGCTCAAACTCGCAATCTGGCACAGGACACCGCCAAAGCCCATCACCACCAGGAGGCTCGGGCCGTTGCAGTAGTGCCTTCGGGATCTTTGCCCTTTGTTCCGGCGTGAGAGCAAACGGTTCATCGGGCCCATCTTCCGAGTCTGTCTCTTCCGAAGATGTATCACCAGAGAAATCAGAGTCATACTTGTTATCCACCTCATCGTCAGAAGACGCCGGCGAGGAGTCGTACCGAGTCGGAGACGCTGGTCTCTGTGGCCTCTGCCGCGCATTCGCAAGCACACGCTCCACCTGCTGTTTGCTTTTGCCTACAACAGCCCTGATAGTCGTCATCGCATCGGCCCTTCCCTCGTGTTCAGGTGGTGTTCCAAATGCCCATCCCCAGGTGATATTCGACCTTCGGAGCGACTCCTTCAGCTTGTTCAGATCCTTCTCCCAGACCTTAGGGTCGAAGAAACTCTTCCTCTTGACAACGTCCTCAGCCAAAAGCCAGTCTCCATGCGTTGCGAATAACACCCGTATAAGACTAGGATCAGTGCGACGACGATGCCGAGGCGTTACAGTTGCACCCGATTCATCGAGGATGCCAGGAGTATCAGGGTCGAAGATGAGTCGTCTACCCTGCTCGACATACGTGAAAGCAAGTTGCTGGATGTATTGATCTACGAACCACCCGAGCGTTCGCTTTGAAGGGGGCATCTTCGGGCTGGTTTTGACAATCTGAGCCATCCCGGCAAGTAGTCGGTAACGCAGGAGATAGTTGCCAGACTGTTTTAATGTGAACTTTTCCATGGAGGAAACGACATATCTGCGAAGCCTTTGATCACAGTCAGAGGTCGATAACCTTAGTGAGAAGCTCACAAACCTATCTTCTGAATTCCAGAGCAGTCTTCTCGGAGCATCGTCAGCTAGGGTACGTTTGAGCACGGCAGATGTGGACAATGTGGATAACATACAAATCATATAGACCGCTGGCATGCCCTTTACGCCTTGGATCCGTACCTTGAGCTTTAGGCCTGCCTCTTGAGCAGCGCGGCGGTTACCGGTCATCCTGGTAGGACCAGTGCCCAAAAACCCAGTCGTTTCGTCGAACAGATCTATGAGTTGTAAATTCCTATAATGACGTTCTCCTTCACGCACGACACGTTGCTGCAAGCGGTATTCAAGCTCTGCCTGCACCCGAGTTATACCAGGTGCAGTCAGCCAGGAAAGTGACTCGATACATAGCACCCCTCGAAAGAGGATCTGGCCTTCATCTCGTTCAGGATCCTCCGAGAAGTCAAGGCTGTGGTACTCTTAACATGATAGCATTACAAGCCACGCTGAATCCACTTGCCCTGTAATCTCGTCGTTGTGGGCTAGCATAAAGTCTTGGAGAGTGAGCATTTTAGACTTTTGATGACTGAAGCAATCCGCAGTGAGAAACCAGCGATCACGGAAAGGGCCCATCGGTTGTCTAAGGATTTCGGATAGAAGAGCCAGCGTAGACATTGCAAAAGACCTGAAGAAAGTGAGATAGGCAGAACGCTAACAACTTCACGTCCGTGCTGTCGTCCGTGCGGACGAGTTGAACAGATTGTGGAGGAACGCGACCAAAGTTCGCACGATCGTCCGAGCGGCCTCGTCCCGAACTTGTCCAGCCTCCGCCAGCGCGAAACACACCATCTTCAACTCGAGAATGCTCGCCTCTCGTGTGGTCACCCGTCTAGCCGCCCGGTCGCTCACCCGCGCCGCCTCGTCCTCATCGTCTTCTTCGACCCCGGTCAAGGTCGCCGCCGAGACGCCAGCGTCCGCACCAGTTACGCAGGCGCCCAACTACCCGACCACATGGTCTACGAACCAGAAACCGCGTCCCCTCGCCGCCTCCGGGCCTCGCTTTGAACAGACCGAAATGGCGCTGCAGCCCAACCCGCTGAGTGCGATGGAGCTCGTTGCCAACGAGCCAATTCGTGTGGTTCAAGGCCGCAAGGCCGTTTGTGACGGCGGTACGTGACTTTCAGACAACACACGGCAAATGTAGATGCATGACCTGCTTTTTAGGAGGAGGACCGCTCGGACACCCCAAAATCTTCATTAACCTTGTACGCTTAGTGATCTCATATGATTGGCTCGTGTGTTTAATTGCATGTTTTGTAGGATCAGCCGGGCCCAAGGCCTTGCGGGTATGTCACTCAACTAGCATCATGGGTAGGGTTCAACGTGCTGACCATACCTTGTCTAATGATAGATACTGGTATGTCTATATTGTGTCCTCGAAACTTGGTGTAGTACTCATGCAAATGGTCATAACAGTGGCTTGCGCTTCGAACAAGCACCTCATCACCACTAAGAGCGGCGGGAACCTACTGTGGCTCAGAGAACTTAGTACATTAGAGACTTCCTCACCAAACCCATTAGAAATGGCCTCTTCGTTGTTATTGTTACATTGTGAAGCGCACCTGGGGGCGCTGAGTCAGATGCATTGATGTGACTATGAAGACAATAGGTAAGGTAAGTAACGCGAGTGACGAATCCAGGAGGGACAATTTGTATCAACGAAGTTAGGCTTGCGCCAAAGATTAATCGCCCTGTATTGAACCTCCTGGGCTCTGGGAGATGAAGCACTCGGGGTGAGATGTAGGTAAAAGGAAAATGAAAGGTAGCAATGAGAGGATGGATTAACCTGTATGTGACGATTGTTCCTATGAGACTGAAGCGAGATAAATATGGTGCAACGAACGTCGATGCTACGAAGACTCGTCATCGGGTGATTGAAATGACATGGGCGACAGTGGCGGATACTCTCCCTCGGCAACAGCCTCAAGCTGCGCGAAGGGAGGCAAGGAATGAGGTGAGCTGAACTGCTCGGTGGGCGAAGAGGGTAGAGGTGGCTGTGCAAAAATCAGTGATCGGCCAAAAGCTAGATCATGGAAAGATGATACTTACCACTTTAAATATTGGATTAATTGTTGCGGAATGGGGCTCAATGCCAGGACTTGGCGGATGTCCGTAGAGCTGACCCTCATACGGCTTCTGAGAGGTGGGAGGATATTGAATAATCGACGGGACCACGTAAGTTGGATTGGCCGAATCTTGGTGATTCTGCGCCTGCATCCAGGAGTGCGGGGATGGTGATAGAGAAAGAAGGTTGATGGGGGGAGGTGAGGAAGTTCCGGAGACTGAGGACGTCGTGTCCACTGATGTCCGTAAGTTCAAGTTGTCGACAAACTGATGCTGTAACGACATGTTCGAAGAACGTGCGGAAATAGGGAAGTCATCGAAAGAAGTGGTTCCTGTACGCAGCGAAGAGGCTGAGGTCATCCTGTTAATGGGATAATTGGCACGCCGCACCCGCGAGGGCCCAGGATCACTGTCGACTGTACCGAAGGAAGCCACAGATGCACGCCCAGTACTGTGCATATCGGACGAAGAGACAGAGTGGTCGTCATCAACAGATATGCGCCATGCTCTGGCCTTCCGCTCATCGCGCCACCTGTCGCCAGGAGAAAGTGTGTTGTCGCCAGGGTTATGATATCGTCCAGCCGCCGCACTCAAAGTCGGCGATGACACCTTGGGCATAGACTGCCCTTGGTTTTGTCGGATGGGACCTGACGATGACTTCTTACCCTTCATACCATCGGCGTTGGATCCGTTACGATTGACAAGACTACCAGTGTGCGCCCATTTCCATTCGAGTTCATTGCCTGCCGCATTGTTCATGAGAAGCTGATTACGCTTCTCCATGACAGCACGAGCCTGCTCTCGTTGAGTCTGTTCAGCGCGGGCGCGCCGTTGCTTCTCGGCTTCGCGCTGCACACGCTCAGCCTCCTTCCGGCGAGCCTTGGGATCTTTGGGAGGCATATCAACGTCGGCTAGAGAGGCACTGTCCGAAGCGGTGGATTGAGTTCGGCGCAACGATGATGTAGAGGTGGAAGTAATTGGAACTTCGTCAACAGGAGGTAAATGTTGCTGCTGCCCTTTATCGTGGTGACCAAATCCGAAACTCCACTTCGATTGTTTCTTGCCAAACGACAACGAGATTTTCGATGACAACTTGTTGCCGTGTGATTGTGCACCGTCCTGAGAAGCCATGGGTTGAGGATCCGAGTCTATGCGTGTGCGCGCAGGGTATTCTTGTGTCATGGGCGAGGGCTGGATATCTGTCATGGGCTGACCGTGCCCAAGGATATCGGGTGGGTGATCGTTCTGAGGCGAAAGCTCCATCTGGTCCGATTCCATCCGTTGATGACTGGCTGGCCAATGAATGGGAGGAGCACCATTTGTGCGAGCCTCTTCCTGGATATCTGAGCCCTGCGCATGATTCCGAGCGCCACCGTTGCCTTTGAATGCTGAAAAGGGGTGACGGGGTGATGATCTTGGGAGAGAGCTATGAGAATGAGAGGGGGGAATGTTACGGGGCGATGTTCCTGGGGTGAGAGGGTGAACGCCGCTAGGTAGGGACGTTCTGGAAAGCGTTGCCGGTCCAACTTGGACCTGCAATGCAGGAGGCATGGGCGGGGTATTCCGGGGCAATGCCTCAGCAAGGTATGGGTGATCCAGACAGTCTTGGCTTGTTAGGCGTCTGTCAGGATCGTACTTGAGAAGGTCAGATATGCATTCGATGAGTCGTCGGGGAACGCTACGCTCGAAATATGAATATATATCTCGAGGGGTTGTCTAACAAGGACTTCATGAGGACAGAGCTTTGAGGCAGTTAAGAAGTGGAGACTTACCTTGGGAAAGACAAAGCCGTACTGCTCTCTGGCAGTCCGAACACCGTGATCCCAACGTCCTCCGCCTATAGCTTTGCCCCGAGAATCAAAACCATAATCTTCCGCAGGATCTCCCAAAACTTCACAAACCCGCGCGATTTGGTCGCCCTGATTAGAGCCGGGGAACAGCGGTCGGAGGTTAACAAGCTCAGCCATGATCGTTCCTAAAGCCCACATATCCACTGGAGTCGAGTAATCACGGTTCATGAGTAGGACCTCAGGAGCACGGTACCAGCGAGTGGAGACATATTCCGTATAGGGGGGCGCGCTCGTGATCTCTCGAGCTAGACCAAAGTCAGCGAGTTTGATGATAGCCACGACGTCCTTCTCAGTGGTGTTGGGAGCTGCTATAGGCGACAGCGAGCGGTATTCAAAGAGACCTGTGGTGGTTACAAGCACATTCTCCGGCTTCATGTCCCGATGAAAATATCCCCAGTTATGAATGTGGCTCAAGCCCTCCACGATTTGCCGAAAGATCAACGCGACGAGGCCACCTGCGAGGGGGCGGCCTTTGCGAGCACGGATGAGATGATAGAGATTTCCTTCCATGGACTCAAAGACGAAGTAGAGTTCCTTGGTATCTGGCAGGATGAAGAAATCATACAGAGGTATGATACAAGGATGAAAAGGGATTGCTCGCAAAGACTGGCGCCAAAGTGTGATGTCAGACAATAGAGTGGGTGAGTGAAGAAGTGCTAACCTGGAGTTCCTTGAGTTTTTTGCACTCGTCCCAACCACCCTCCCATTTCTTCTTCATCCGTTTCACTGCAACCAAGCGCTTTCCTGCCCATTCTGGACGTGCTCCACCTCCACATTGCATGGGTGACAGAGGGGTATTGGGCGGTAGCGTCCCATGCCAATCACAGAGCAGGACAGTGCCAAAGGAACCATCTCCCAAAGTCTTGACGGGCGTATACGACCTGTGCGAGCCTGTATAGCGTTCGGGTGTATGTTAAGAAGGTGGGATGCAGCGTGTGAGGAAAAAATAGGACGAACTGCTTTGGGAGTCACCAACGGCAAGCTTGCCATTCTGGATGGAGACGGCAGGTATGCCGACGACGTGTATGGTCTCCTTGGGTTGTGCTGCCTGGTTCTGGCGATGGGGCTGGGAGGGGGATGGCTGGGGAGGTTGAGCGCCGTTCTGATGGCGCGGGGTTGGGTGACCGTTTGGCTGATGGGTGTTTTGTGGAGAATAATGCTGCTGGGTGCTCTGGTTGGCATGATTCGCGGTTGTGAACATGATACGCAGAGCATTTCCTTCGGGCAGAACGGGAGGGGAAAAGAGTGCGGGGAAGAGTAAGTTGCGAGGAGAATAAGGACTAACAATAAGAGAACATAAGAAGCGGGGCTGGGAGTGAGGGAGAAGGTGGGAGGGGAGGAGGCAGGAGTTTAGTGCCGGGGGAGTGAGAAGGATGGTGGCGAGGAGTGAAGGAGGGAGGAGAGTAAGGAGGAAGAGGAAAGACAGCCGGTGGTGAGCCGAGCGCGAGACGAGACGCTACTACAGTACTCTGGTACGAGACGCCGGTTGGAGGCTAGTACGGAAGACGGCCGATTAATGCGGTGCAGGGTTGGCCATACACGGGGAGAATACTTTTTTCTGATGCGGCCCAGATGCCAGAGATTCAGATATATGTACATATTTCAAGATCAGCCAGCTGCCTACCCCGATTACCGATCGTCGACCTTCCAACCTTCCTTCGAGACGACAGCCGCGGCCTCGAGTTATGCAGACGCTCAGTTATATACCACCCAGTTCATATCAGCTCGAGGATACAATTAAATGTGACCTATAGCCGATCTCATAGCATGCCCTCCCGACGTCGACGGCGCGATCAAGTCCTTGTATGAATTTACTGATTTCTCGCAGTAACAGCGAGTTCGAGCCAGCGTGGGGTACACACGGCTGGAAGGTTTCGTGCCCCGGCTCCGGAACAACTTAAGATGTTGCACGACGTCGGAGTTGTATCATACGGCGATCGTTCAAGCGACGATTTACCCGAATTTGCTACCAGCTACCACTGCAGCTGTCATCGATACCACGAGCTTAATTTATTATTTCACACCAACGCAACCCACGTCGTTCTTCTGTCGTGACATCGCTCTCTCATCCCTTTGCGCTAGCCTGCAAAACTGGTTGTAGCTTGTTGCCCCGTGATTCTTCAAGTCTAGTCTTAACAATGGCAACCTAGTTACTTGTCTTGCCTCGCCATTATTGGCATATAGCAATCTTCCGCAATATCAGACTCCTTCGTCTGTCAGTCTGCTTCTATCTCAACCGTGCGGTTCGCGTCGAGAGTGTGCTTCTCGCCTGGCAGGGTTTCACAGGCGAGCGCCGCCTATCATCCGGTGGTCTCTGCATTTCGGAATATCCATACTTGTACGCTTCGATATGTAAGTCCTGCAAAGTCAGCACCGTCTTCTCTTCCCTCACAAATTCCCCTCGGCCCCATTGCCACTTCCTTCCACTGATCATCAATCCATGCCATCACCCCACCTTTGCATCTGACAGCCACCTGATCACTCGTCAGAAATCCTCTTCCCCCGCCAACCTCGTAGGCATCATGTCTTAACACTGCAAGCTTTAGGATCTAGTTAACAATGTGCGATCCATTCCCAACCAACTCACTAAGCTGATATAACAGTACTAAGGAATACATTGTCCGCTCAGTAGTCTACTCATCTCCGGTAAATTCTAGACTAAACTACATGCTAGTATGGAACTTCGTGGAAGAGTTTAGAAACACTCTCCCCGTAGTGACTTCGGCGAATGACTTCTCCGAGAACAGGCGCAATGTCAAGGGCCTCGATCTTGCTGCACTGCGCCTGATTTTCTTTCTGGGGGAGCGTGTTTGTCACAATCAATTTCTCGAGGGCGCTCTCCTCCACGTTCTTGAGCGCATTCCCGCTCAAAATCCCATGCGTGACGATGGCGAAAACTTTCGACACGCCCGCCTCGGACAGGTGATGGGCAGCAAGGCATAACGTTCCGCACGTGTCTGCCATGTCATCGACGAGGATCGCAACCTTGTCTTTCACATGTCCGACAAGGACCATTCGAGACACTGAATTTGCCTTCTTGCGCTCCTTGTGGAACAGCGCAAAATCAACACCCAACCGATCAGCAATCGCTGTTGCCCTGGTCCAAGCTAAGTCCAGATCATGAAAGGTTGGCTGATAGGGGTCCGCACCTTTTGGCACCGCCCGCATCGGGAGAAACAATGACAACACCGTCCAAGTCAAAATGAGTGCGAATGTATAGGATAGCGGATGGTTCGGCAAAAAGCTACATCCGCCCGCGCACGTGTGAGCAGACGGAAATGAAATCAAGAAGCATGAAACAACGTACGCTATACAAAACACTTGAGCAAACTTGGGCAGTGACGTCCAGGAGTAGCACTCACTTGTCGACTGGCACATCGAAGAAACCCTGTATTTGCGATGCGTGCAAGTCCATAGTCTGCGTCGCGAAGCAATCGGTCTGATCAGTGTGGTGACGAGATGTAGAAAGTCGTACATAGAACTCACAATGACATGGTCGCATCCAGCCTTTTGTATCATGTTGGCTACGAGCTTGGCCGTAATAGGCGCACGGCTTTTATCTTTCTTGTCCTGGCGGGCGTAAGGGAAGAGTGGCAGCACGGCGGTGATCCTCTTTGCACTGGCGATCTTGCATGCATGAATCATGATACAGAGCTCCATTAGTGCCGTGTTGACCTCCCCGCAGCCAGTGTTGATAATATACACGTCGTCCTCCCGGACACTTTCGCCTATACGTACATGGGTTTCGCCGATGCCACTTTTTGTTACTTCAGCCTTTGCGAGAGGAAGACCGAGCCTAGTTTCAGCGTTGAGATGTGCAAGTCGTCACTCTCGGGAGAGCCAACCTACCGTCTAGCGACCAGTTCGGCCAGCTCAGGGTGGCTAGTACCTAAGAGAATGAGCGAAATGTGCGTTCATTATGAAACCAACTCACCCGTGAAAATTTTTACACCACTACCGCTCAGCATTCTATCGTGAAGGAGTGATATCCATGGACTGAAAGATGGGTAGAAATAGGCAAGGTGAAACACCAGAGCACTGGAAAGACTAAAAGCACGTGACATTGCGTCGATTTTTCAGATAAAATCAGATAAGTATTGTAGGATTATCTGAAAAGAAAAGAAAAGAAAAAACTTTCAATGATCCACGGTCAATAATGGGGGTTGGACAATGTACATCCAGGCTCAAGCTTAGTAAAAATACATCGCGAAAGATTCAATAATGATGTGGATGAGGTTCAGGAGTTACACGACATGCTACAGACCATGTGGAAACTAAAGGATATGTGCATAAACAAAAACTTAGCAAATCAAAGGAACTCAAACTGGAACCCCAAGATGGATACAGACACAGAAAACAAAATGAATGGGTGACAATACTCAAAGCACAGATATAGCTGGAGGTATGCGCGTGTGGGACGAGAAGCTGAGATTGCTAGTTGAGAGGTGGTCTGGACATGGGTTGGTTGCTATTAAGAATAGATAGGAGCTGTCCGTGATCAGGAGGGAAACGAGTCGACGGAACGGATGGCATCACAACAGGGTTCAGGATAGTCGGATCAAATTGAGGCCCACCCATAGGTCCAGATGAACGAGGATACGGTATATAATTTTGCGGCTGGGGGCGTGGGCCGGGAACAGAGCCATATGGAGGATTCATGGCGATTGTTCCAGGTTGTGTAGATACGCGGCCGTGCATGAGCTGGAGAGATTGGTTGCCAGGACGCTGAAATTGTACTGGAAGGGGGCGACCTTGCTCTGTTGAACCGGATAGCAAAGACAATAGTTGAGTCTGATGTTGATTCTGCGGCGGTGGCAGAACCGTTGGGTTGTGTTGGCTCACGGTGCGAGGTCGTACTTTGAAGGGATCGTCGTGCGGAGCGTGTTGGCTCAGGGGTTGCAATGAAGGTTGATGATTGCTAATTGGACCGAAGGCAACGTTAGGCTGAGCTTCGTAGTCCATTCGACCAAGCCCGCCTTGTAGGTATGCAATAGTCGGAGGCGGTACTGATACTGAGGGACCAGGGTGTTCATGGATTGGACGGTTTGAGGCGGTGGGTGTGAATGCCGACATGTTATCAGCACGACTAGCTGATCGGAACGATTCATCCGCAACCGTCTCTAACAATGCAAGTTGTTTGAGTCGCTTGCCCGAAGGCGGAGCTGCTGAAGCTGAGGCTAGATACGGTGTGATATCGGCGGTACTCGAGCTACGACGAGACGATCTACGAGGGGATGTCATGATAGAAGCTGCAGACGCCGACTGTACGGAAGTTTGTACGGAGACAGGGGAATGTGGATGGGTAGGAGCGGAACCGGGGAAGGTCGGAGATGACAGTGCATGAAGAGAGTTGGCTTGGACTGTCTCAGTGGAACGGGGTGTCGACGGCTCTTTCGAAGGGAAGTTGAGAGGAGACTGGGGATGATACATGCTGTCAGGAATGGATTGAAGCGGCGGGAACGATGATTGTTTCAAAGCAGTGTCATTAGCCGCCAAGTTAGCCTTTATAGATCGCTTCTGGTCTGCATGGGCAGGCATTGCAGACTCCATTTTGGCGTCCGGTTGAGGCTGCGTAGGCTTGGCGACAGATAAAGATAGGGAACTCAGCAGCCGGGCAAAGTGAGGATCCATTGGGGCTCCTTCTTCAACACCACCGTTTACGACTGGCGTCGCTTCAATGGAAGGAGGAGATGGAGTCAATGGATCTCCATTATCGACTGAGGACGACTGTGAACTCGACTCTGGGGCACTACCACCCTGGTAATCATTAACAAAACGGCGGTCTTGAACATGTGGTTTTGAGACGTCTGTTCGTCCTTTGCGTGGGCGAGAGTGTGGCTTGTGCTCGTTGATGAAGGCTTTCAATGCGCTGCACAACTATCAGTAAAGCTCGATACAACGATGTTCACTACACACCCAATAAACGGTGAGATTAAATAGAATTTGCCAGGCGCCGCTTTGTTACGCTTCCACGTTGGTAGATCAATCAGCTTAAACCATTCGATTTTCTACAGAACGTTTGGAAATCATCGAACTTCAGTGTTGTATAAAGCAACTTACGCTAATTTCCTTGCGTGTCTTCGTTTGAAACGGATAGTCTTCTGGAACACCAGAAACAATATACAAAGAAATCGACTGGTCTTTGATCGACACCTTTATTACATTGTCAGGGTCAATTTGTCCAGCTAGGTTATACCCCGTTTCTTCAAGTACCTGTGTGAGTGTGGATTAGCATTGTCGTCAATCAGTCAACAACACTCCATGCGTACTTCCCGAACGGCACAAGCTTCCGGTGGCTCATCTTGGTTGATCTTGCCTTTGGGAAATCCCCATCCAGAAGATGACTTCCAACCCTTGACCAGGACGCACTTGAACACGACGAGTGAGCAAGATCAGAGCAGTGCTTGCTGACAAGACGCACCTTTTCCCAAGTGCTATTTAACATGATAGCGCCACAGACAGGAACTCGAGTCTTGTAATCCATAAATGTGTTGAATGCGTGTTCATGGTCATGGCTCCATTGTTGGAGCAATGGACAGGAATGAAAGAGCATAGCCGAGAACTTCTTGAGAGGTAGTGAAGGAAACTTGGGGTTCTCCTCTCGTACAAAGTCTTCATAGAACCAATGCCTGAAGCGGTTATGAATGGAGTGGACGAAAGAAGTATGGAGGGTTTGAGAGCGTACGCTTGTTCCACTTGAAAGCATATTCTCTCGACCGACGCAAGCTCTTCGTCTGGAAGGTTCAATATGAAGCGACTATAATGGCCGGTGAGATTTCGCTGCTTGCTGGCTGGCTGACAAGGCACGGTACCTTGAGATATCCTCGAGAACCTCTTCATAGGTGGCGTGTTTGTAGGAAAACCTTTCCGGAGGATCTGCGGGGTGTGCATGCTGATACTCGGGAGACGATGAAGAGGAAGAGGCCATGAGAAAAGATGGTGAATAATGATAGGAAGAGAGAAAGAAGGAGAGGCTGCAACAGCGTCAGCTTGGGCTTAGTCTATGGACAATTGGGGCGGATGATCGACTGTGATAGAGTGCTAGGTGGGTGCAGCTGCCCAGCCACGACCAAAATACGTCAAAGCATCCCAAACCGGCCCTAAGAGCGTCACGTGTGCTCGACTCGAACAAGATCAAAGTCCATAAGTTATACGATATTACTAAGTAGCACTCGCGATCGAGTCTCGTAAGTACTCGAGCTCAAACATACCATAAATATACAGCCATATGCACGAAACTGTAAGCCGGACAGGCACAAACATATACGTGACATCTGCTTAAGGTCACCGGAATCCCATTCGCCGAGCGTACTCTCTCTCCTCTTCGGCGGTAAGTCTATCAGCCCCCGACCAATTCGCGGAACTTGTCCTGGCTCTGAACCGGCTCTGCCGTGTTCGGAACAACTCCTCCATTCGTAGAGGACGTATAGGCCCAAAGATGTCATCAGGATCGACATTTCTTTGGTTGCGCAGAGCCTCCAGAAGCTCGGGTGATTGCGCCCAATCTGGTCTATCATATGTCGGGGCACGGTCCTCATCCTCAGAGTCCGAGTATTCGCTCCTGATCTCAGGAAGTTCGATGCTTTCGCTAGTTACTGTCTCCTTGGTAGTTTGCTGGACAGCTTGCATTTGAGCCTTGGCGCGCGCCGCCATTTGGCCTTGAATGGTTTGAGAGGGCTGTTCTTCTGCGTCGTCTGCCCTCGCCTTGTTTTTACCTTTGCTGCTTGTGGCAGTTGTGTGAGCGGGTTTAGAAGGTTTGCTTTCTGGCTCAGTTGTCCTGGTAGCGGACGTAGATGCGCCAGCCGCGTGACTTTGCGAGGAGTTGTAAGCCGTAGAAGAAACCAACGCAGAGTAAGCGACGGACTTGACAGGCTTAGCAACACCTTTTGTCGAAGCTGCCAAAGCTTTCGACGGTGGAACAAGCACCTTCTTCTCTTTCACGGGCTGCTTCTTCGGCTCCACGAGTTTCTTCTCGGCTTCAAGAGGGCCGATTTTCCGCTTCTTGAATGCATCGTCATCGGGCTTCTTAACGCTGGGTGCCTTGAGCTGACGTTTATCAGTCTGTTCTTCTCGCTCTCTCTTCCGTTTCTCCCCTTCTTCCCTAGCTTTTCTCTCTTCCTCTAGCGCATGGGCTTTTTCTTCTTCGGCCTTCTTCTGCGCAGCAAGGTGACGGCGGTTCTCAACCTCCCTCTGACGCATAGCTTTCTTGTCTAGTTCTTCCTGTTGCTGGATGGGGTTTAGAGTGGTACGACTATTATGTAGATTTCGTACCTTCTTCGCTGCAGCGGCAGCGAGCTGCAAACTCTTGATCTCTGGTTTCGCCTTCTTGTTTCCGCCAAGCACACTATTCATAAGTTTTGATGCCTGGCCGAAGAAGCCTGCTTGGGACTGCGATGAGGAGGAGGAAGCCAACGACAGCTGACTTTGACTACGATGCACAGAGGGTTGTTTCTGGCCCAAGATTAGGGATTGACCTTCAATTTCTAAGGTGTAACTTACCTCAACGAGGCTAACCGTGGGTTTAGTGCTAAAGGCGTACGCGAAGTCCTCTTCGCCAGCCACGTTTCCGGCAGGTTCGTTCTCAGCATCAGAGTAAAGTTCTACCTCCATGGCAGCGTCACTCGCTTCAACGTCGCTGCCATCATCGACTGCTTCAAGCATAGCCTTGACCGCTGAACGCTCATGCAATGTACCATCAGGCTCCATCATATCTACTTCATGAGATCGAGCCGGGCCTGTCTGGCTTCGAGTTGGCACCGAGCTCCACGTCATGCTATCTTCCTTCGCATCAGCACCAAAGTTGAACGGGGTCCACCCCTGTTGCTCAGCAGCAAGTTTCTCGTCCAGTGGCCAGCTATCGTCATCATCCAAAGTCGGTGCCGGACGAGTATGCTCCGTGTACTCTGTTTCCTGCGTAGAAAGCATCCATGAGAGATGCTGGCTTTCCTTGTCGAAGATGGGGTTAGATGCTACGCTTTCCTGTGAGGGCTGCGTAGATTTCTGTGATTCGAGTTCTTGTTTTGGCTGAGTAAACTGTTGAGGCGACGGGGGTCGTGCGACGCCCGCATTTATTGCTACAGGCATAGACGGAGGCGAAGGCTTGGTGAAAGAAAACTCAACAGAAGGCTTGGGAGCTTTACGGCCAGTGGGGGGCACAAAGACTTGTTGGTGAGCGAGCGGCTTATTGAAAACTGGAACGTTCGATTGAGTGACATTGGAAACTTGTTTTGCAGGCGGAGGTGAATTTGGAGGGGTCGTCGAGGTACTTTCATCGCCTGTTTGAGCTGTTTGCGCATCACCAGACAGCTTTGAAAGCGTATGCTCGGGAGTTGACGCTTTACTATCGTTGCGTATGAGGTCGGACACACTGAGACGCCGCTCATCAGAAACGTTTGACTGTGGTCGAGAGGCCGGCGGATCGGGATGAGGTTGAGGTGATGGTGCGTCGACAGGATCTGGTGAGACAGGGCCAGGAATAGCTGCATCGTCACCTTCTGCTTTGTGACGTTCAGCCACCCTAGCCTCCGCAGCAGCGCGGGCTTCGGCGAGAGCAGCAGCAGCTGTGCCACCAAGCGACCTCCCCATACTTTTGCCTGCTCGTGCGCCAAGACCTTCAACAGTACGTTTGAAGCGTCCTATCATGCTTTCATCGCCATCCTCCTTCAAGGGCACAGTAATCTCTGTTTCATCCATGGCGATCCCTAGGTCCGTCACCTGCACTGAGTGCAGCACAGGATCAGCGGGCTCTGCATTGGTCACTGGAGGCTGTGGAAGCTCAGACGGCAGATACTTGGCAACTTTAGACTTGCGTTCCTGCTCAGGTTTCCCGTGGAACAAGTCCTGAACATCCCCACTTTTGCGTTTCGTGCCAGCAAGGGTATTCGATATCTTCGCAGCAAGAGTTGAGCTGGGTCCTTCCAGCGCTTTTACTTCTCGAGCTTTCATAAGCCAAGAACTTCGTTTACCCAGCGTTGATGGAGCCGGTGGTCCAGGAGTTTGTGCACTTGTAGATGGCTCTCGAGTAGGTTGTGCGCGGATGGATTTACGCAACGGAGATGGAGCAGGTAGATTCGGGAAGTGCGGTGCACTGCTCTTGCGTGCAAGGGCTCCAGAAGGAGAAGTACGAAGAGGTACAGTCATTTCAGCCATGGCTGAAGAGGGCTGAAGAGTAGGATTGGGGTCCACATGGTTATCACTCGGCTCTGGGGGCAGATAGGCTTTTGGTGATGGGGCGACATGACCACGTTCAGTGGACGAGGCCGATCCGTCATTTGGCTGAACATCCTCAAGAGGCTCCGTATCCGTAGCTAGTCCAGCGAGGGGGATTTCAGTTTCGCCTTCTGGCTCACGAGTCGTGGTCTCCGTAGAGGAAAGAGACGGCTTAGTAGGTTTGTCCGTGGCAGTCTTATTTACTGAAGCATGCTGTAGCCGTACCGGGGACTGCTCAAATCCACTGCGCTCCTCCTCACATTCCGCTATTACAGACAAGTCACCAGCTGAGTCGATGGATGCCAGAGGAGCATGGCCAGGTGCAGCAGTTACGATAGTTGTAGATTCTTGCGCGACCATTTTGGAAGACGGATGTTCAATCGAGTGGTTCATGTCAGTAGAAGCAGGTATATCTTCAGCCGCTTCTAGTTCTGAATGCCGCCCTGGAGTGTCCGCCAGTGCCTTCTCCTTGGCCTGCAGAAGTGCTTTATGAAAGTTGTTGATGGGTGCACCCGACTTGTCTTTCTGTGCATCCTATAACCTGTGTGAATAACCATCATATCAAACAATTGAAACGCACCTGCTGGCCCATCAACATTGTGTCACTTTGCTTTGTAGTCGCTGGGGCACCAACGCGAACTTTCGGCGGGGCATCTCGTTTGCGGCCTGGAGTCTTTAGCAGGTCTATCATAGGGCTGACTCATGTTGTTAGATGATAATACAATAGAGCCTCAATGGCTATTGACGCACCCCTGCCTGGCATCTTGTAGGATGTTATCGAGGTAGTCGTCGAGGAAAAGGAATCCATGGTTCTGCACTTGATCATCAAATAATTGTCGGCATGGATCGTTGATCATCGAAGAGCGAATGGATGCAACCCATCCCGAGAATCCTGGCTTGCTATTTGCAGCCGCCATTCGCTAGTGGGAGTGCAGTCGACAAATGAAAGAGTGGCTGCGCTTGTCTCGCGCCACGGCTACGAACAGCGACGCGTCCGATCACGTGCCCATCGCTAGTCCGAATCACTGCCAATCAAAATTCGAGCCTCGAGATATAAATAGCTCTGACCTCATACTTTGTCTGCCCAGGCCCGCGCCCTCCCGCGCCGGTACAGCCCCACATGTTGAGGCGCAGTAATATGAGGTTCTATAGGGGGTGTGGACTCACGCAGCGCATCATTGTCCCCCGTCGTTGGACGGTTCAGTTCGCCACTAGCTCTCACAATCAGCATGGCCTTGAACTCAGCATCGAGTCCTCGTCTGTCCGTGTCATCTGGCGACCCGTCACCTTCAACACCGTCCAGACTCAGTCCTCCGCCCATTCATGATGTCCAAGAGGACAACGAGACTTGCTCAAGCAGCGAACTGACAGAACAGCAACTACGGCAGATATATGATGATGAAGAGATAGAGCGATTCCTTCACCTCTTCTCGTCGGTAAGTAGTCAACAACACCTACCTTTGTTAACAGACTCCTGAAATCGTTGATAGTACGTCACAGAAATTCGGCTACCGAGTAGCTCAACGGAATCTCTGAACATTCCCATCGTCACGGGCGAAGAAGCTGCACGCCCACATAAACCCAACCGAGAAGATTCCGATCCTTCCAGGCCTCCGCCGCTACCTCTTCGACAAGGACAAAAACGGTCTCCGTCTGAAACGATTGCTAATGTAAATACTACACCTTATCAAAGGCATATGCTGACATCCTCAACTTACGTGTAGGAATACTTGCGTCCTCTTCTACCTCCTGTGCCTCTCCCGACTCCTCCATTCACCTTCAAACGTTTCCAACTCACCAGTCAGCGATTGTACCTAGCAACTGTACCCAACTATACGGCCTTTGCATTGAATATGGTCCGTTTGGCGCTTTGGAAAGATCACACAAGAAGCACTCGTTTCTGCCTTGTAAGTGCTTCAGAGTCACACGATCTCGGAAACTCAATCTATCCGTCAGCTTTATTGGATTTTGTGGTATTACGACTACTTACTTCCCGCCTTGCTGTGCCGCATTATCTTTGGCCTCTTGCGGCGCAGGATCTTTCCGTATCCCACTGCGAAAGAACTAGAGAGTCGTCGTCAAGACACGGCTCGTGCCGATGAACTGGGGAACGAGATCCAGAGGCGTCTGGCCGACTCTACAGTCGGGGTTGGCGATGTATGGGGTTTGTTCCGTACATACAGACGTATCAAGAAAAAACAAGCCGCATTTATCGCCAAGTCTGCAGCTAATCAGACGATTTCGGACGAATCGCAAGCCGTGTCTGGCTCGCCGTTAGTAGGAGACGAGAACCCGACCGGCCTGGAGGAATCTCAGTCGAGTAAAGAAGACCAAGATTTGAAACGAGACATTCTGCATGCGATGAATGAGATTGCCGATATTCATGAACGCGTCAAAAAGTGAGTCATTCTCTCATGCTAATGCTACGGTAATTTCTAACTGTATGAAGTATATTCCTCTGGCGCAGACCGTCTGCGTCCCGGATATATACCATTGTAAGCTTGATTGTTCAAAATCAATCACTGTGCACGCTCAATTATCAACCAGGCCTTAGTCATTTTGCTGGCAGCTGTCGTTGTCTTACCCGCTCGTTACCTTGCCAAACTGACATATCTCGTCACGGGGATCGCCTTTTGGCACCTGGTACCTGTCATTGCAGCTCTATCACCGTCTGACCGCGCTCGGTAAAGCCAAATTAATCTGTGTCGCGGGATTAAGCTTACTGCTTGTCCAGTCTACCACCAGCATTTGACAATGTTCCCACTGATGCCGACTACGCCATGGACTTGATTTCTCAGCGGGTAGCGAATGGGCTGGATGTGCGCCCGAAGTCTAGGGCTCGACCCCCAAACCCAAGCCCATCACCCACGAATGCAAGCACATCTAACCTGCCTGTCTCTTCACATGTCTTTGAACAAGAGGCTACTCCGCGGTCTAAGGATGGACTGAATTGGCAAAAGATGGGCACCCATGTCGCTCGAGGTAAAGCATGGGTGGAAGATGGTAAACGTCTATTATCGACAGGACACGTGAGTCTCGTCTTTTATCACCTCCTTGTATCTACCTTTCTGAGCGTCAGCAGCTTGCGTTGCCGAGTGAACGCGATGCGTCTTCTCTGCGATCCAGACATCCCCCTACCCAGGTGGCGTCAAACCCTGTGCCAGGGGAGACGGTGACCCATAGTGCGTACTCAGCCATAATCTACATTTAATCCATCTGATACATAACCGAGTAGCGTACCCCGCACAACATACTTCAGGACCGGGTCTAATCACGCTGACAAATATGACATTCTTCTTTACGCCACTTGCTTCATTAAAGGCGAAGCTACAAATACCCCTTGATCAGGTGGCAGGTGTGAAGAAGACTGGACTCGTCAAGGGACTCTCTCTGACCTGGACGACAAACGATGATGGAACGTCAGAAAAGCAAGAGAAGTTTCTGTGGACGGCAGAACGTGACGATCTGTTCGCGAGGCTATTGGGATCGAGCGGAAAAGGTCGCCAGTGGATGCGAATCTAGAGCCAGTGAAGTTGCCTTCTGTGTAGCTGAACTGTTCCACATACACGTGCACTTCCCTAATGACCTTCTATCTTATTTCAATGCCCTATGCCTTGCGATCGGTTGCTTTTGCTTCGAAGATGGCGCGAATCCGTGAAGACATACTTGGCTACACACTTACCCTGCTTGTTTTGCCTTGTTTCCTCTCGTTCTGCGCTGGTTCACTGCTTGTCAAAATCCAGCTGGTCTGCTTCTTCCGTAGCGGAAAGACTGCGCATTTATGTACCGTAAATACTGAGCTCTGCTTCGTTCTGCCTTGGCTTGTTTCCTCTCCCTCCCTGTCCACTCTGCCTTGGTCCTTGTGCCGGTGAGGTTAATCATGTTTTTCTCCGCCGAAGTACTATCAAAGCGCGACAATGGATTCGGATTACTATGGTATTTTCCACACTTTTGCTGTTGCTCATCCCCCTGGTATTTATGCTGGCGCGTAAGGCTTGCTGCGACCCTAGGATCCAAGTCCTCTTTCAAAAAGTTACCCAGACGTTCTGTACTCTCCGCGGACCTGGCCCAACTCTGCGACAATATTGCTACCCCATCAGAACCTTTGGCCCTTCGTCTGTCAAGCAACCTGATGGTGGGAGCAGCTCGGTAGGTTCGACGGTGGACTCGTAAATCACTTTCTCAAGCTTCACATCCCTGTTCAGCGTCTACAAAGGCAAGCTTACCGATCGGTGGTACGATTAATTGATTGTCCACTAAACTCAGCGTACAGTCAAGCAAGAATTTTTGTTAACCGACGTGACCGCATGCTATGGCTCCCTTAAACGCGTTGTCCAGGAATTTCACTCATCAGCACCTTCTGATGCTCAGATCCAGATGGCGCAGGCCAGCGTGCGGTAAGCACTTGAGATTGGCTGCATATTTTCTCCTGCCGCTGACATATTTTAGCCCATCTGCGGTGACGATATCTTTCGATTCGAATACAGTGTTGGCAATGGACTTCACCAATTTGATTGATGTGAGCATACATTCTATGATTGCTTCGTCTTCTTCATGTTTTATGTAGGACTGGAGTGGCTATCTTAACATTGGAGGTTGTACTGCTTTTCGTTCACTACCGCTTGACTCATTTAGGATTAAGAATCGGTAACCTATGAAGAACAAAGTGAATATGGCGAAACTCAAGCTGCCATGAAGTCAAAGGGGCGGCAGACAGTCTTGAAGCCAGCAAACACCTTGTTGGACGAAAGTCACGAGTTCTTGATCAGTTCATCCTTTGACGGTGCTTCAGGTGTCAGAGGCAATGCACCGTACATATCTTCTTCCCAACAGGAGGGGTTTCACGACGATTACTTCGATGTCTTGGACGGTGGGGAGCTTGAAAATGTTTTCGCAGAAGAAATGGCAAAAGAACTAGGCGAAGGATGGGCAGCCCCTCCGTCGGCTCTAATGTCACCTGCGTCAGTGTTTGTTTCGCTGTCATCAAAGCTCCTTTACTCATATGCGGACAGGGAGGCAGTAGAAGCTCGCCGCAATGATCTGCCTGTTGACAGAGCCATTGAAGCGGCACATAGCAATATTATGCTTCGGGATGAGACTGTCCCACTAAATGAGGAATACGGCGAAGGACCAAATGAAATGCAGATGGTAAGTGTCTTACTCAGGAAAATCTACGACGCATACCAAGTTCAATACTTTAACATAGTATGAACCTATGGAAGAACAAGGCGAGCAGTAATAGTCTTCTGGAAGATTAACAGGTCCATTTACACCTTATCAGCCTCCCAGAAAGAAAAAAATCGCGCACCAGAGCTTATTCCAAGCCCCCGTGTTGGTGCATCACCCCTTGAGCCAAGTCCTCCAGCGCCAGACTCGAAGGAAACAAACAAGGCACCAGAAACCGCTCGAGTTGGGCGCAAGCCGCCAAAGGCCTCTAGATTGCAGTTCGACTTTCGCATAGAACTGACAGATGACGAAATGAAGGTGGTGATTTTTGAATCTGGTTATCAGTTTACTCATTTCCCTACGTCTACAAAGGCTTCACGTGCTGATTACGTTGAAGGACAAGATGCCATCAGGCAAGCTGTGATGCTCAAAAGGTTCGAGAGAGACAGTGGCCAAATCGCAGACAACATAGTGTGGGGTGCGCCGGAAAACGGTGAGATTTCTTTCATTTAGTAGTAGAAGACTTCTCACCGCAGAAAGCCCAAGCAAAAGAGCTTGTGGATTTCTGGCTAGAACATTTCAAGCGGCAAATGGGCCTAAAGGTCCCTTTCCCTTCAGCCACTAAACGCCGCCACGATGATGGTTAGTCCTTCGGCTGGCCTTCTGTCATATCCTCAGATTTGCATGCAGAGTTCCTACCGCCCTCAAAACGCAAGCGTGTCTTCTCCAACACCAATGACGCTGAGTCTCCAGATGCTTCTCCACGAAAGCAGCTCCCCGGTATCCTGTCGTTCGATGAAAATTTGCCCAGCTATGATGATATGATGGACACGAGCATGGCACAAGACTTTGAAGTACCTGGTCTGTACCATCATAAACTCACTGGAAGACGTCTGACAGCCTTGGTAGTCAACTTTGAGCCTATGGACGATGTAATTCCTGGTGCACACCTTCGATCCTCCGAAGTGAATATGGTCCCTCATGTTCGTACTAGTCTCCGTGTTGAACCATTTTACTAGGAACCTGGTCAAGCTCGTTGGGCTTCTCGTCAGCCATCCGATCCGGGGGTAGGCCTTCAGATACCGCTGGACTCTTTTGAGTCAAGAAGCGGACTCTTCCCTTGGGATAACGCTAGAAATTCTTCTCCGATATCCAGAGCCGTAACTGTATCGAAACCCCGCAGCAGCGGTAGAATGAGTATAGACCAGGCTGAAATACGCATGCGAGGGAGTTCCCTGAGTCGCAAAGGCAGCCCCATAAGTTTGAGCCAACGAGGCAGCGTTGCCGGAGGCGTCATCAGCTCGCCTGCAATCGGTGGTTTTGAGTTTCGCGACGAGGAGTTCCAGTTCAACGGTAAGAAATCGATCTTATTTGCCGATTATGCTCACATCTCCCTAGTTCCCGAGGAACAAGAGGAGCCCGAGTTTAATGCACGACAATTGGAACTCAATGCGATTGCATTGGAGAAAACCTCACTCGATTTCCTAGAGTTCGTGTTGCCGGAGCTCAAAATATGGCATCTACGATTTTAAACTTATAATGTCCGCGCAGGTATGCTCGTATGCAGTACCAATCACTCGCAGGCTCTTCTGGACACATCTCCTTCGACGATGTAGTCCCCAAAAAGACGTCCACTTCTCATGTAGCTGCAGCTGCACTTCATCACTGCTTAGGTGGGTAAATTCTTCTTTGAATTCCAATGAACGAGTTTGCGAACTGCAGTGCTATTCGCCCAGTGTTGGGTACAAAGGACCACATTCAACTCCAGCAAGACGAGGCTTATGGAGAAATTACTATCGTATTGAAGTAGTCTCGTTTACGCAGACTGGCCATAACTGCAAGCCTCGGAAATGAATCGGACGATCTTCCGTAAGAAACCGAGGAACTGCCTGCGGTAGACTAGCGTTGGCCATAAAATATGAGTTTTCTGCCCTGTAAACACCATCCTGATCTGTATATAAAGTAATCCGTTACAAGAAATCAATAAAGTCGCTGAAGTTAGTGCATTGGATCTATTATTAGGAGGTTTGTGTCTGTTTTGTGGCCAAGTACAACATATCTTCACACTACAACCGTTGTAGTGCAACGTACCAAAGTAGGATGAAACCACTATTCGATGCGGGACTTCTGGTCGCAACAACATAACAGTCATCGTCGGGCTTTCGGGTCCATGACAGCCTATGACAAATAACTGAAGTTGCTGAGTCGAACCACTTCCTCCCCATTTTTCTCTTGAAATATTTATGAGACCTTGACAGCGCTTGTCAACGTTCTGCTTTTGTTATGCGAATTCCATTTCGGTCCTTGAGCTCACTTCGACTCCATCGTTGTTCCAATCCACATTCACTATTATCTTTGGCGCCTTTCCCTTCTGCATCCGTCTTCACTAGTACTCACAGTCGCAGAATGTCCTCGCCCGCGGTTCTTGCTGGTCAGGCAGCTCTTGCTAGCATTGACCTCTCCAACTATGACCCTGAGCAATCCAGATTAATGGATGAGAGATGTATTCTCGTAGACGAACAGGACAACGCGATAGGGGCGATGGATAAAAAGACCTGTGAGCACAGTTATTCTCGTCGACTTAAGAATGTCTTCGCTCACGAAAGTCCGTCATGCACAGGTCACTTGATGGAAAACATCAACAAAGGTCTTCTCCATCGTGCATTCTCAGCCTTTGTATTCAGGCCCTCAGATGGGAAACTACTGCTGCAGCAACGCGCAACAGAGAAGATCACTTTCCCTGACATGTGGACAAATACATGCTGCTCACACCCCCTGGACGATTTTGAGGAGGAGAAAGAGGAAAGGGATCAACTGGGCGTGCGGGTGGCCGCCTCAAGGAAACTCGAGCACGAGCTGGGTATCCCTCGCAGCCAGACGCCGGTGGACCAGTTCCAGTACCTGACGCGGATTCACTATCTCGCGCCCTCCAACGGCATGTGGGGTGAACATGAAGGTATGGGCTATTTCTACTGATCAATGGAGACGGGATCATGTTGCTAATGTATTTTGGCGATGCATCCAGTGGACTACATTCTGTTCATCACGGCGGATGTTACTGTGACGCCCAACGAAAACGAGATCCGAGACCATAAATACGTGAGCAAGGCTGAATTGCAAAGCATGTTCGAGGACCCAGGTACGGCTGTTCATTGAAACTGGAAATGTAGCGGCCTGATGTTGGACTGCAGCGAACTCATTTACGCCTTGGTTCAAACTGATCGCGCGAGACTTTTTGTTCCAGTGGTGGGACGAGCTGATGACACGGAAGAATGCGCAGGGCCTGGTTGAAGCTAAAAGACTTGCAGGGGTTGCGGATGGAAGCCGGGTTATCAAGATGTGAAACAGAATAGTACACGAGGATATGAAATACCCTAGACCTGGACTGCAAACTCGGGCTGGAAAAGCTGCGACAATGACGGTGTGAAGCGACAGGGATGCTTGCTGATGATTCAGAGTGAAGCTTCCACAGCACGTCGTTTGTGCCAATCTCTCGTCATGCGAAGGCTACAATGTGTACTTATATTGCCAAACCGCTGCAGCGCTGGTAGTAAGGTCGTCGTCGCGACCCGAACAGGGCTGACATCAAGATGAGACTCTGGGAGAATCAGAGGGTGATTTCTCAAAGTGATGGTCGTTGTACTCTTGGTCGTAGTCCAAAGACTTGCAGCTTGTTATAAAGTGTAAGTGCTGGCATAATTGGGTCAACGAGTGATTCGAGGAGTTCAGAAGTAAGGACAGAGGAAGCTATGTCCTGTCGTTAGCTGTACAGACACTTGCACATGTACATCAATGGGGTGGGGCACTGTGGAGCATCACGAAAGGGAAGTGACCGAACCGAGGGCTGGATAAGGAAGACCCCGCCGCGGACGGTCACTAATTTTAGCTTACTCTGGAGTAGAAGTCAATTGTTACATTCGTTGGATTGCATGACCTGGCATGACGGGCGCTGGATCTGGATGTAAGCGCCAACGCAGCCTTGCCACCGTGCGTTATAAGCCAACTCGTGTACAGCCCACTTCCTCCCCATCCCCGACTTACTCTCCACTCCTTTTCATGTCACTAGCACTCTAGCATGGTTCTCGGCAAATTTTGGAACCGCCAATCTCGTTACATACCCCTCCTCCCCTCATCACCAAGTACCTACACCAACTCTAGGACACCTTCCCGCCGTCTCTGCCATGTCCTCATCATCGCCGTCCTCGTAATCCTTCTATTCGCTGGCGTTGTCCACACGTTTGGATCCCACCTCCCCATTCCTTTGAACACCTCTGTCGCGTCTCCATCACCGAGCCCTAGCTCCTCGCCAGATTTTGATTATAATACGTCTACAGGCAATGATCATGAGGCAGTTGATGTGCCACAGCAAGGTACATCGTCCAACCCAGAGTACACGCCAGACTTCGACCAAGATGAGGATCTTGAGTTCCTTCGCGAGATGGTTGCCACTACCAAGGGCTACTTTTCGCGCGATTATAGCCTTGGGTTAGGTTGGAACAATGTGAGTATGCACTCCCAAGTTCAGTCACATTGGTATCCAATTTACGCCACCCAAGATGCGTTATATCATCGAAGCAGCAGCTACGCAAGCCCAATTGTTGAATCGCACACTAGTCGTACCCTCCTTCGTCTATGCTCGTTCGTGTGCATACGCACTGTACGCCTCCTGCTTTCTACCCGTGTGCCTTTTTTGACTCTGATGCGGGGTACTTTCACAGGCAAGTTTGCGCGGACCAAGCGCCCATGGTAAACAAGGGCGATGCAATCGGCTGGGATGAGTGGAGGGAGCTGCCTGAGGAGCAGCAAATGGCCTGGCAAATACCAATGGGCGAGATGCTCAACTTGACTCACATGCGTAAAACCCACCCCGTCATCCTCACCTCTGATTATCTTCGCCTCCATAACATGCCAGTATCAACGGAGACCAGCAGTGGCTACTGGGATCGGAACTTATATCACGCACCTTCAAACGGGCCGGGTCCAACTCTCTACGTCGCCGAAAATGCCTGGTACGATCCTGACAACGTTACCCGTGTGGATGTCCTCACCGAAGACATGAAAACACGAGGTGCATGGGTCTCTGGCAGGGATGATGAACCTAATTCAGGGCAATGGCCGGACGCGGAGAAAACCTCTCTTCAGGAGACTCTTGACGTCGTTCTAAATGACAGACATGCTCTCCCCTGGGATGAGGCTAGGTCACTTGTTCAAGTTTCGTCCGACGATGACGCCGCTGTCGAGGATGTTCTAACTAACAACGGATGGGAAGTTGTATACTCTTTCCAGGGCGCGTACGTATTCCAAGTCTTGTACCATGATGTCGTGGCTGACAGAGGTTGTTGAAACAGGGGTGGGATGGACTTTGTCAAGCATGTAGCGTCACCTGTCAAAGAAGCTGTGCCTCGCCATTACCTGCGTGGTTGGGCGGATGATTATGCGATGATCGACACCGAGGTTCTTGTGCTTGCAGGCGAGACACATCTGTATCGTCCGCCGGTGTGTTTGTATATTGGCTTCGGTTATCATTCAGCTCATTGTCCACTCGTAGGGCCAAATGAGGTTTACCACGACGCAATCGCAGGAGAACTTCGCTCGTGCCGTCCTTCATGAAATTGTTGCATTGGACAAAGTATACGACCTTGCTCGTAAGCTGGATTTTAGAATATCTGAGATGAACGATGGACGTGCGTGGGTCGCATCCCATATGCGCCGAGGAGACTGTAAGGGATTTATCGTTGGTGACATCAATACTTGTCTTATGCGTTTTACAACAGTCGTCACCGCGGGGTGGGCATGGGGCGACACACACGTTGCCCAGTTGAAACAAGTCAAGGAGAAGCTTGAAGATGGTGTAACATACATCGAAAGCCACCCTACGGTGGAGCCCTACGATATTCCGGACATGACACCAGATCCAGCTGTTCAACATCGCAAACCACCGCAGCATGGTGACAAGTATGCTTTGTTCTCATCCAATGAGGGTGCTTTGACACTAACGTCTCCTTTCAGGTTTTACGTGGCGACTGATGAACAGAAACCTGACATCCTTGCCTACTTCTCTGACAACGGGGCGATCATGATTTCTGACCTCCTGACTATTGAGGATAGACGAGAATTCGGCTGGCCGATCTTGTTTAACGATATCCTCGGCCTGGTGGAGCAGGCTACGCTTGCGCGAGCGTCCTACTTTTATGGGGCTGCCATGAGTTCCTTCTCCGGTGGCGTTATCAACCGCAGAGCGGTTCTAGGAGCTGATAGAAATACTGGAATATGTGAATAGTCTGGCAGCCCTTCGGCTTAATTTTTGGGACTGCTGTACACGCATTGTCATACCAGTCATTTTAGTACTTGGCATCTGTGGTAGACCATAATTTATACATCTCAATGGGCGGATGAGAAGTCAGTCGTTCACTAGTTTGCCACAGAATACAGAATACAATATAATCCGTTGAAACCCCACCATAAGATTGACAAGAAGATCAGTAAATACTAGCAAAACAAGTCACTATTTCCCTGACCGAGATTCTGGTCGAGACCGTTTGCTACCTCGGAAAACCCAGAGCTCCTTCTTGCCACCAAAACCCCACATGCTTGATCGTGAAAATGAGACCGTAGCTTCGAGTTTGTACCCCATAAAGTTGATCTCCTGCAAAGCGGCGGCGGCAAAAACGTTGGTATCGAGCTCTGGGCCTACCAATGCTGATATAAGCTTAACTAGTTAGGTCCGATTGTAATGAACACTACATACCGCCAAACGAATTTCTTTTCAGCTCTACTGTGTATATGTTTTGCTCGCTTGAACGATCAGCGGCAATTTTGTGCGGCCATGCCGACCTGAGCCGTGCTCCGATTTGTTCACCTATGCGTCGTGGGGGTTTGACAAGGGTCATCCGGCGGCCCGAGCTCGAGAAATTGGCTACGAAGAAATCTGCGTTCTCGTCCGCCTGTGAGTCTTGGAAAATCAGCTGCCCACACTGCCACTGCGATCAGCACGGTTCCGTCAAAGAACGTTATAGACGATACACACTGAGCTGCCTGCGTTTACGGATGTTAGGTACTGGTACCCCTTCAGCGAAGTTAGTTAGGTCAGCCAATGGCGCGATCGACGAAAAAGGGGAACATGCCTGATGTGAGAGTCGTGCAAACAGCTCACACACCATCTGTTGGGCACTGGCACGAGGGATCCATAAGATCGGACGCATGGTGCCGAGAGAAGCGGACGTACATGATGCCCTCTTGGCCGCTGGCACTCCATGGATTCCGAGCAAATGTGACACGCCATGAGTGTGCGGCGAGCGAGTGTGTCGTGACGCCGTGAGGCCACATGGGGATGACATGTTCTCTGAGAACATCGAGTGTGTCTTGGAAGGCGACATTATGAACGCGAAGTTCGTTCGTGCCGGAGAAGGAGACAAACATGTGGTCTACTCGAATGAGACGACTGCAGTGTGCAGCGAGCGGGGCTTACCTGGCATAAATTGTGGATTGGAGTTTGACCCCGTGCGAGTCGTCGGTGTGTAGCGTTGCCGTGATGAGGACGTCGTTCGCGTGCGTTCTAATGGAGCCATCACGGGGGTCGAGGTAACTTCTTCTGAGTGGCGAGTTTTCTTGAGGGCAGATTTGAGGGGTGGGCCATTGGTATGGCCCTGCCGTGGTGTCCCAGTAGTCGCGGCACGCTTGATGTGTGGCTTCGGGGGTGAAGGGATATGGCCAGTGGGATCGTCGGGATTGGGAGGGATGATGGGGCCCGGGAAGGTATGAGTGCCGCCGTTGTGTGCAGAAGTGCGACCGCCGGGAGGAAGCTTATCTGGACCTGGTCCCCAGCCGCCCGGAGGAGCCATGGGAGGGGGACGATTGCCCGTATTTGGCGAAAACGGATTAGGATACCCTGGTGGGACGAAGGCATGATATGGCTGGCCATAGTGAGGGTAGTTGGAGCTGGTCCAGGATGGATTCATGATCGCAGCCACTGTGGCGAGGAGAAATATGGCGAGAAGGTCTGGGTGATGGAGGGGGTAGAGGTGGTGCAGCGTAAGTAGACCGAAATGCTAGCAGGCAGGTCATGCTGCAACACAACGTGTTCTTCCCTGTTGCCTTTCTCAGTCGCAGGATCATCCTGGCGCCCATCTTACCTTGAGGGTCGCAATAACGCGCACGGGCTTGATGCTATGTGAAACCATGAGATGGATTGAGATATCGGTGAGGACAAGGAGACTGCAACGTCTGGCCGCTCGATGGCAAGGGGCAGCAGCCGTTGTAGTCCACTGCTCATCCTAGCACTAGTTCAAACCGGGGTCACTAACAATAAACGATCGTGTGAAAATCTCACTATTCTCGTCGGAATTGGTGATGTTAGGGATTGCCCCTTCACAATATCTCAAACATGTCTGAGTGTGATAAGTCAACTAAGTTTCTTTATGAATCTCCTACCAATCTAGATCGGCCTTGGTTCGTCAAGGTCAAAAAACTCGTATAGCGGCTGAAGAGCTGTTTACTGGGAACCCGGAAAACAAGGTGCCACAACTTGTAGTAACTTCGACCATCCGGGCTCATAGTTGCAAGCTGCTGATATCAAGCTAAACGGGTTACTCAGCGGGGTGCATGTGAGCTAAACCTTGGTCTCATGATGTTCGCACTGTTCCCATGAACATGTTTTTATCTTTGATTTGTGAGAAGAGCTGAGTGCCACAAAATCTTATGCTTCGTTAAAGCGTTTCTCAAGCCTAGCGGGTGAACTTGGAGGACTTAACTCCTAACGTCAGCATGTTTAGCATACCGAGCTCCGGATGCTATAATTAGTGGTGTGTCGGGGTCACGTGGAGCCCCAGTGGAAATTCCGACCTTTCGGTCGCTTCAATCTTGGACTTGTGGACTCTTTGCAACTTTACCTCGCTTTCCCTCATGGCTTCCACTTTCTTCACCTGGCTGCGATCCCCCGCCGCGCGCGAATACTTCTTTAGTACGCCTTAATCTCATATCCTGTTTACTGCCGAGCTCACTGTCCTCCAGGTACACATTTCTGGGGACCGGTCCGTTGGAATCCAGCCGTGTGACTCGATGCGAGACTGACTTCCAGCCTATAGGTCGCAAACTGGGGTCTTCCTCTGGCTGCTCTCGCCGACTTGAGCAAGGATGAAGAGGTTATATCCGGTACTATGACCACCGCTCTTGCCTGCTACTCGTAAGCGAAATTTCCCGTTAGACTTCGTCCCGTGTACTGATGGGTTCTCCAGGATGGTCTTTATGCGTTTCGGTGCGCCTATCTGCATTTTGTCGCTTCCTTCACAACTCAAGTCAATCGTGACGTCCCCTTTTCTGTAGCATGGAGAGTACAACCTCGGAATTATCTTCTGTTCGCTTGTCACGCAACCAACGCTACGGCACAGACCATACAAGACGCTCGCTTTGTGAACTACTGGTATTATGGTGGCCGTGAAAAGAAGTATGGTCTCCAGGGCGCCGATGGAGCTCAGGAAGTCAAGGGCAAAGTTACGGAAGCCATCGAGGCCACCCGGAAAGAGGCGGACAAGATTGCAAAAGCCAAGTAACTACTTTCCTTTACTTGCTTTCTTGCTTTCTCCCTATACACCTTTGGATTTTACACTAGTCAAGAGTAGTCGTTTGATAGTAGTATTTGAATACGACGAGTCTAATTTACCAAAAGTCGTCTCCGTCCCCACCTTTGCCCTTCTTATTGCCTTTGCTTTGTGCCAGCGCTTGACGTTCGTACATCTCTGCCACCTGCGGGACATTTGTGAGTGCAAATTCATGGCATGGTAACAGGGAATTTACCTGTTCTGGGCCTGTAGCGTCATCGGCCGACTTGTCGTCCCTAACCCGAAGAAACCGAGGGAACCGTAGTGAGATTCCTCTTTCCTCCACCTAACGCGCCAATTGAGTCAGTTCTTTAAAAAGCACATCAAACACGTACGAGGCCTTGAGCAGCCGTGTATACGGGACTCAAACTGAGGTCCGCAGTCAAGACTTCCCAAACGATCTTTGGCTCAAACCAGATGTCGGGTTTCGCACCACCCGCCTTCAAGTCTCCGCGTAGTTTTTCCATCTCTAAAGGTCGTAGCGTATCCCAATGTTGCTGCAGCGCCTCTTCGCTGAAGCCTGTGCCGATCTTACATATCGTCTGGTACTCTTCCGCGTCGGCATCGTAACATGCAAGTAGGAAAGCGCCGTATACGTTCGTCCGCTTGCCCTTCCCGTAATAGCCGCCCACGACGACGAGATCGAGGGAGTCTCCGACTCCGGCAAGATAGTCTTTCTTGAGCTATGCAAATAGGGAATAAAATAAAGGGCGAAAAAGTCCGATTGTGATATCATACCTTTAACCAGTTAACGCTGCGCCGACTTGGCTCATAATAGCTTGCATCGGTTTCGAGCATCTTGACCATGAGCCCCTCGCATCCATCCTTCACACTCTCTTCTAGGAATGTCTGGATTTCATCGGTCGTTTCCCCGTCCGAAGATTTTGCGAAATCGAACTCTCCAGGGACAACCTGGAAATGCTCGCGGAGCAGTTCCCGGCGCTCACCAAGGGACTTTTGCATCAAAGGCTGCATATACATGTCGGTTAGAGGTGGGTCTCAGTGAATGCAAAAAGCGTACCTCTCCGTTCAGGTACAGAAGATCGAAGGCAAAGAGGCAGACTCGGACTTGGATGTCTTCAATTTTAACGTCCTTTCGCTTACGCCTGCTGAGCTCCTGGAAGGGCATGAGCTTTCCGGTTGCCTTCTCGATAGCAACAGCTTCTGCATCAAGGACAAAGGTCTTTGTGGTGGGTTTGATACACTGTTGGTGCGCAGTTAGTTGAACCAAAAGCACAGCAATGGGAGGGCAAACATACATGAGGCAGCTGTTCGACTAGATCAGGGTACTTCTTGCTCATGTCCTCCGAGTTCCGACTGAACACCGCGACAGTACCATCCTCAAGTTTGTGAACCTGTGGTATATCTGAGCACCTGAGATAAAGAGTGCATGAATCAGCCTGACCTGAGCGCGCTCGCCATCATATTTGTATTCGCATGTGAAGCGCTTATTCTCGAAGCGGTCCAAGACCTCCCCGATCGCTTTGGTGGGTTTGGCCAACATCGGTTTCAGTGGCACTCCAGGAGTTAGCTTACACTTCTCCTTGAGCTTATCGATACCGTCTTCAAGCAGCGCTGGTATTACAAGATCATATGTAGGCAGTTCGCTGAAGTCGGGGTGAGCAATCGCATTATTTATCTGATACTCGGTTTGAACGAGCTAGCTGACCTGTAAACGCTCTTCATGATATGGGTACCCTCCTCCAGCCGTCCAGTGAGCTTCTCTGAGCTCCACTTCTTGCCGGCTGTGAAGGACTTGTCAAATAAGATGCGACAGACGACATCATGTTGCTCACCTTGCTCCTTCTCAGCCAAAACGGCGGCATGAGCCAGGGCAACAAGAACAGTTCGTTCCGCATTACCAATCCGAAGTTTGCCTTCCAAGCTTCGGATGATGTACTTTGCCTCCACATCTTGACAAGCGGCCAGGAGTTTCGTAATGATAGAGACCTTCTTGCTTTGAGACTATGTGGAAGCGTCAATGCTAAAGAGAGGATACGGGAGAAAGAAGAATACCGAATGTCCTGTTGACAGTGCAATCTCCTTCAGCTTTGAGAACACAAAAGGGAGGGTCAATGGCTTTGGCTTGAATAATGTCTTTTGGCTATTCTTTGAGTTCTGCGATAGAGATTAGTGGTAGTTACGCTGTCAAACGTAACAAACCCACCAATGCCACCAGTCCAAGATCACCTTCCTTCTTTAAGTCTGCTTTGACGGTAGCCAAACTTCGTCCTGTTGACTCACTTATGGCTTTGATAAGCAAACTTTCGCCTATGCCCAGCTCGATGCCAATGTAGTCGGGACTCAGCTAAGAATATGTCAACATGCATCTAGTGGGGACATGTGTTGCACACTCACTCTGTTGATGCACAGATATACAGTCTGCAGAAGGGAGTTCGTGTCTCCTTTTGCGCTCCTCTGAATGACAAGTAAGAAGAATGTGGTCAGGATATGAGTCTTCTCCAGCCGTTTCGTTGTCGCCTCGATCATAGAGAATGCATGCGCCAGTGCAGCATAGGGCACACTGAAAACTAAGCTTATTAACCACATCAACGGCAAGGGAATGTGTCTACTTACGGCTCTCCGACCTTCCAGCTCTTTACGTCGACCTCATTTTTGAGCTTTAGGGCAGCTTCAGCGCTAAGAATGTTTATATTAGCAAGAAACTATTCAAGGACCTGGGACAGCTTACTTCTTCTGCGCAGCATCATCATCCATGTCGGAAAGCTCTTCCTCGCCCTCATCGTTCGCGTCCTCCTCACCTGCACTTGCAGCTGATTCAGGGTCCTCGCTCGTGGCAGGGGGAGGTGATGCGGCCGCCGGGTTGGCTTTCGTTTTCCTCTTCAATTTCGGAGAGGATGTTCGTGAAGCTGTTCGTATTTTTCTGATTCAGATGGTCCTCTTCGAGGATACAGTCAACTCACATGGCTTATGTGACTGGCTTGATCTGGGCTCGTCCTCCTCGGACTCGACAACTCTCCGCCGTTTAGGTTTAGAAGGGCGAGGAGACGCTAGAAATGTGTCTCAGAAGGAACGTTGTTGGGTTTTTCGGTGTGCTACATACAGTTCTTAAGACTGGGTGACGGAGACTTTGACCGCTTCTTGTCTGTGTTCGCTGAGAGTATCGAAGGTCGTGGGTCGAACAGGTCAAATGCAAGTATCGACTTACCGGCGGATTCCGTAGGCTCATCTACCTGCATGTCATCCGGCTTAGGGGAAGCAGGTTCCTTCTCAACAGGTTTTTCCGGCTTGCGTTTCTTGCCCCAGGCCTCGGCGAGGCTGGACTGCTGGGGAGGGGCTGGTTTGGCATTCCGGGGCATAGCAAAGAACTTTCCTACGATGATATCAGCACGCCTATGAAGAGGCGCGAAGTGAAGCGATTAAATACCTAAGGATTGCTGCCTTCGCATAAACCTGAGGTGGAGGGCAAGGCGTGGACACACGCGGACAGGGATCATACAGCAGACGCGCGCGTGGATGGTTCGGACGCGTCGCGTCACTTCCGATGCTTTCCCCAGTCACGCTGTCCAAATATGGGGATCCTGTCAACACCTCCGCATGACTCGCGACCGCGCGACCGGACCGTTGGTCAAAATCACCTTTACAGCAAAAATGACTCAGGCAGGGTATGTATTGTCGGCACAAGAACCATGACCAGTGTGTATACAAGAGTCAGCAGCACATCATGAGTCTGAAGTGTCATGAAGCGAATCAGTCAAGGGAAGGACAAATCATATGTTCTTGGAGATACTCCAGAGCCCAGCATCGCCACTAGCCCAGTAAAAATCACAAGTTAAAATGATTACGCTGAGCGTCAGCAATTGAACCTGATCATGCATAAAGCTTTAAAGATTCAGGTTCATGTGCATATATGCGTATAAAGCTCAAGCTCGTAGTGGGGTCGTAGCAAAGAAGAATCCCGGCATTTGCCGAGCTATTGTACAGTTGCTTCGGGGTGGCTTGCTGTCCACTCCGAGCACGTGCAGATAGGCGGCACGCACAGGGCAACAACTTCAAGGCAATCCACCCCCGACGACAATCTCCCTCAAGACGCACACAGCATGGCGGACCAAGTCAGTGGAGGACAGAGTTTCGCCTTAATAATCCGTGGCTGATGTCTTCGGCTCCAGGTAGAAAAGGCCTTCCAGAAGCAGCACCTCTTCCAAAATGCTAAGGTCCGAGGTACGAACGATTGACTTGGAATTATATCTTGGTTGGCCTGACCTATGTGGAACCGTTCGTGATCAGATGGCAAAAAGATTTCGACCAAGGACAAGCGATGGTACAAGGATGTTGGTCTTGGCTTCAAGACCCCTTCAGAAGCCATCCAAGGCACTTATATCGGTGCGTTTCCCCATCTCGCAATATTCGTTTGGCTGAACTGTCACATGCAGACAAGAAGTGCCCTTTCACTGGTGCTGTTTCAATCCGCGGCCGTATCCTGACCGGCAAGGTCGTTTCTACCAAAATGACGCGGACCATCATCATCCGTCGGGACTACCTGCATTATATCCCTAAATACAGTGCGTGATTGATGCATCGCACGCTGGCGGCGCGACCTGATCTTATACTTCACAGACCGTTACGAGAAGCGCCACAAGAACCTTGCAGCGCACGTCTCGCCTGCTTTCCGTGTGGAGGTTGGCGATGTCGTGACTGTTGGTGAGTGATATCTACGGCTATGCGTGGAACGCCCCCTAACTTGTTGGTCGTGAAGGCCAATGCCGGCCACTGTCTAAAACTGTGCGGTTCAATGTCGTGCGGGTGTCGCGGAGCAAGGCTGCTGCCAAGGCGTTTGCCAAGTTCTGATTGAACGAGGGTTTTTGTTATGTAGTTCTGTCATTGCCATCCATTGTTCTTCATGCACCATGTCCGTATGAACTGCCCATGAACGACGATATACTGTCGTGCCAACTTGGAACAGATGCAAGAACGTATTGGTGTGAAACTGAGTACAGGTTGCAAGACCCATACAGCATGCATGTGAGGCGAAGGTTGCAAGTATAGCATGGAAGTACTTCAGCGCTTGATGATGGACACGAGCCTGCACTGGTACGTGTACTGTATGGGACTCGGCTGGAGCTCCTAGTGTCCGAGTCCCAGGCGGGAGGGTGAAGTGGTGATCGAGCAAACAAGGGGCCAAACAAGGACAGACAGCTTGTTTCCTCCGCCCTCAGGTCACAGGTGAGTTGGACTGCCCCAGACCTGCCGTCCCCGCCGCGGCGATCGAACACGACTTTGCATCCGACTCTGTGCAGAGCTGGACCCCGCAAGCGCCGACACCCCATCCTATCTACAATTCCACCTCTTACATCCTGGCGCCAACACTCCTCTCCGTTCTCACCAAGTTCGCAAAGTCCCGGTCCCATTCCCCTCAGCCAGGCTCCCCCGCCGGCTCCCAGGCTCAACCCATGGGACAGCAGCAGTCAAAGAAGTCGAAGAAGGCCGCAAAGGACAAGGACCCAGATAGCCAACACGACGACGAGTCCCCCTCCGCTACGCCACAGGGCAGTCTCTCCCGCGCGACCAATTCGAACGTCCTCGATGCCGCGTCAGAGAATGGCTCCCCCTCGGCCGGCACCCCAGACCCTTCGTCGGCCAACGCTACCTCTCAGCAATCAGGCTCCCTCCCTGTCCCCGTGATTAACAACCAGTCGTCCTCCTCCTTGCTCGCCCAGGGCTCAAATTCATCTGCAACCGGCACCGCATCCAAGTCCCCACCAGCTCCACTCGACATTCCTTCAAACCAGACGCCCCTCGTCTCCTCCTTTGCACCTGGCTCAGTTTCCACCCAGCCTTCAGCCTCTGCCCAAGGCAGCCTTTCTGCCACTGACGCTGCTGTCAACGGCAAGGACAAGCCGAAGCAGTTTGACATTGACGACATGATACAGCGACTGCTTGATGTCGGTTACACCGGCAAAGTCAGCAAATCGCTTTGTCTTAAGAACAATGAGATAGCTGCCATATGCCAGGCAGCGCGAGAGGTATTCCTCAGCCAGCCGACGCTCATTGAACTCTCCCCACCTGTCAAAATCGTCGGCGACGTCCACGGCCAGTATTCTGACCTTATCCGACTGTTTGAGATGTGCGGGTTTCCTCCAGCGGCCAATTACCTGTTCCTGGGTGACTATGTTGATCGAGGGAAGCAGAGCCTTGAGACCATCCTGTTGCTTCTTTGTTACAAGATCAAATATCCCGAGAACTTCTTCCTGCTCCGCGGTAATCACGAGTGCGCTAATGTCACTCGAGGTCAGTGACGGTTTTCTGTGCCACTGACACTCATATCAACTCCTTCACAGTATATGGCTTCTACGACGAGTGCAAGCGGCGGTGCAACATCAAGACGTGGAAGACATTCATTGATGTCTTCAACTGCTTGCCCATTGCAGCTATAGTAGCTTCGAAGATTTTCTGCGTCCATGGTGGCTTGTCCCCATCCCAACACTCGATGGATGACATAAAACGTATCCAACGACCCACCGATGTACCGGACTATGGATTGCTCAACGATCTTCTCTGGTCGGATCCTTCAGACACGGCACAGGAGTGGGAAGATAACGAACGAGGGGTCAGTTATTGCTTCGGCAAGGCCGTCATCAACGAGTTCTTGGTTCGATATGACATGGACTTGATATGCCGGGCGCACATGGTCGTGGAGGACGGTTACGAGTTCTGGAACGATCGGACGCTCGTCACGGTATTCAGCGCACCGAACTATTGTGGAGGTGAGCACCCCGGATTCATTTGCATACATCATTGCTCAGTCGGCACATATAGAATTCGACAACTACGGGGCATGTATGAGGTAAGTTGCCTGCTGCATTCCACCCTTCTTTGGTAACTTATATTGTCTCATAAGCGTGTCTGAGGATCTCCTCTGCGCATTCGAACTTCTCAAGCCGTTGGATGGACCTGCGCTTCGCAAGGAAATGACGAAAGCCAAACGGAAGAGGCAAGCATCATACTTCCATTTCAGGGACTACCCTAACCCGTATACATAGTTTGATGGCCACGACTACGTAACGTCACCTCATGTTGTCAGCATCACTCGCGTTCCAGGTTGTACATTGCCCGCGTTTACTTGACAAGTGGTCGGTGTCATGTGGGCATGTCGTCTGTTGAACCAATCAAGGACACTCCCACTTGCGGGTGTCAGAGCTGGAACATTAACCCTTTGGGTGGATCGAATAGGAACTACCCTGCTGCCGCCATACCACCTCCACCGTCTGTCCGTCTTTTCAACACGTTGATATCCCTCATTTGGTTTTTGCTAGCAACTTTTTTCCGACTCTACCACTGTAATCACGCATTTTAGTTCTCTTATTACGACTTTTCCCATTCGTTTATCAGTGTCGCCATTCACAGTATTTCCCCCAGGGCTGTTATTTAACGTCTTCGCATATCCTTCCTTCTACCCCGTCTATGCTATGCAACGACTGTGAAGGCTCAACGCGATGAAGGTGACAACGCAGATGTAGAGCTCAAAAGTCTGCGTTCGTGCAGATCTTCAATTAGATGTAACACGGCAATGCTGGATGCTGGGGTATTACGTCAGTGCAATATGTACTGGTCACCGAAATGCCTCGGCCTATCATTATGTTCTCATCTCGTACACTAATACTCCGAATGCTCCTATGATCATTCCTGCCCCGAGCAAACTCCAGACTGTTAGAGCCACAGCATCAAAGACCAAGTCTGAAATAAGTGTTAGGACAATGGTCAAGAGGTTGCCCACAGATGTTATTATGGGGCCCCAGATGCCAAGAAGGATCTAGCAATGACGTTGAGAAAATGGGGCATGCAATCAAGACCAAGCTTCCTACCATGAAACCCGAGTTGAAGATGAGGCCTGATATGCAAATTGCAGCTAAAGTCAAGAACGTCCTCGTGTCGGTAGGCAGCTCGAATGGCTCAACTCCATAGAAGTGTAGGATAGGGAGCGGCAGCCAGAGAGTAACCAAGGTCATCAAGCCAATGGTACTTGTGACCAGATTGGCATGCAAGCCAAAAGGCGGATTTACCATCTCGTCCTCTTTGTCTGATGGGTCGAGTGTTTGTGCTTCTTCTTCCAGACTATCGACTGATCCAGAAACATGGGTATACATAGTCGGTGCCTTCTCGTCTGACGGCAGAGCAACGTTCTTTTTATACAGGACCTGATAAAGCCCGTAGCCGGCCGACGCCACGAGAGTGAGAAGATCTCCGACCATGGGACCGGAAGGCCGGGTGGACTGTGATGATGCGTCGCTTTCCGGAACCTCGGACATGGTGCTCCCTCCGTACACGATGATAAGCACGCCGATGGTCGCGAGACAGACAGCAACGAGACGGAGGGTGCCCCATTTCAGCTTCATGAGCTTGACGGTGAATATGTAGGCAAAGAACGCATTCGTGTTCCAGATGGCAGTGACATCGGTGACCCTGTGGAGCATCAGCACTCGGGAGTTACCGGTTTTGAGTATCCGCTGCAACATACGAAGCAAGGGCCATGGCAGCGAACCAGAGCAGCCCGGGTATGCTGATCCCAGTGGTCATGATAGCACACAAGACCAGGAATCTAACAGTAGGGAACGGGGTGGAAGGTGTAACGGTGGTGTTGTCATTATGCGGGGCCATGTGCCGTGTGATGGCAAAGGAGAGACCATTCCGGAGCGCGCGATAGCTTTTACCAGTGAAGAGAACCAGGTATAGAATATGGAGGAAGAAGGAAGCTGAGAAGGACGAGTGGACGAGGTAGCTAAAAGGTTGAATGTTTAGCGAGGTGAAATGAAGCTTCTGCTTCCTAAAATGACACGTTGACAAGTTCGTCCACTCACAAGATTAGATACGGTTTGCGGTAGTCTAGCTTCGTCTGAACGTACTGAAGGAAGGTGAGTTTATGAGGCGCAATACATGGACCAAAATAAGCCACATACTTGGGTAAGCTGAGACTCTGTAACAAACGCAAGAAGGACGAGGGCGAAGACTCCAGCTGCTGTTTTGCCGCCCAGCTTACGGGGAGGTGCGAGTGCATTATGACGATCGGCCATGATGGAGAAGCCCTCGAGAAGAGAGGGAGGGAGATGTAAGAAGGAGAGTGCGGGGAAGCAGATTAAGGAGAAATACGCCTGTCAATCAATCCCATCCGACAGGAAAGTACAAACGACACGCAGCAGCACGAGCTTAAGCGACGGACGAACAGCCCCGGGTCGCCAGCGCTCCAGCAAGCGCGCGACGGAGAGGCCGCCAATACCTCCGCCCGTTGCTTACCTATTTGGGTAAGTTATTTCTTCGCGGAAGGAAGCTGGTAACCAGCAAGTTCAGACTTAACAGTCGGTCCACCACTGGCCTTGGTCCACAAGCCTTCGTCTTCAGGCATCAAATTCAAAGGCTCAAGCACCGGAGTCAGACAATCTTTCAACCCGCTCCAAGCCTCATCCCGTCGACGTAGCAACATGCTCCGTGCACTCCTCGCGTCGAGTCGGCCTATGATGGCTCGTCTCCGCATGGCCTCTGTACCCCCTTCACGCATCCTGCACCATCACCCCACTGCTCCCATGCAGCCAACCATCTTCTCTTTGACAAGAGGAATGAAGGTCCGCTCTTCCGTCAAGGTCATGTGCGACGGCTGCAGCATCGTCAGGCGCAAAGGACGCGTTTATGTTCTGTGCTCAAAGGACCCCAAGCACAAACAGGCATGTACCTTTATGTTGCCCCGTGTCTTACTTGCTCTAAATCGTTTCACAGCGCCAGGGCTGAGCGCTGAGTTATCCTATAGCCTTGTGTTCAATCCCGGTATTAGAGAATATACGCATGGTGCGAGAATTATGGAGCAGCCCCCATAGAGTATGTTGGTCCTCGCATATCACTAGCTAACATACACACGCGCATATTCCCACCTCGTCAGTCGGTACTGCTTAATCCCAAGAACTAATCATTCCCTGCGGAGCCACATCTCAAACTCGTACTTAACGCCCTTTTCTTCTTGCACTCCCTTCGGCACATCCCCGCCAACCCACGTCTCCAAGTCGCCATGAGAAGCTCTTTGCCACGCGACCGAGGCACATGGGTCGCTACTAAGAAAGTTCGGCATGAACGTATCGCAGTCCTCGAACGCTGGTTCCAGTATGCGCGTCAACAAGACGCGGTCAGCGCGAATGTCTTGCATTGAATGACCCTTTCCGCCCAATGTTTCTGCGTACAGCGAGTTTCCTCCTATTATAAACTTCCTGTGTATTTGGCGATCTTTCGGTGCGAAGTTTAGAGCCGAGAGGAGATTGGGATAAAGATGCGCCTCTTCAGTCTGTTTCGTCTCGGGAAACCTGCTTCCGTGAGCCCGAGAGTATATGGCGTGAAATGAGAGATGTGTTACGTACAGCTCATAGGCACTGTTACGGCTGATGACCACATTAAGACGCTTAGGAAGAGGTCTGAACTGGGCTGGGATGCTCTCCCATGTGTTTCTGCCCATGATCACCATGTTCGAGAAGCCTTCTGGGGCACCGGAAGTGACTCGAGCAAAGTACTTCATTTCTTTTGGGAGACGCCAGGGAAGATTGCCGTTCTTTCCGATCCCATTGGTCTTCGTAGCTGCCACGATGAGCGTAAGATTTGACATCGTGGTCAGAGTGAAACTGGCTGATATTCGCGATGCGTGCCGCGACGCGCCAGACTGCCTGATACACTAGTACTTCCGCGACGACTCGGCCATCAGATTGAACTGGTATGCATACGCCTCCCATGGATATGTGAATCACTCCGGGAGTGCCTGCGTCTTAACCCTTCGCGTCCGCTGTGTGGCCAAGCAATTATATGTCGAAACCTGCTGTATGCTATAGCACTGGTGTAATATAAAAGTCCTAGTGTTACTTGATCTTGCGTATACGCATTATTCGTTCAATGTCCTATGTGACCTCTTTACAGATAGCAAGGTTTGCAGCGTACCGTACATCTTACTCTTGCCATGTTAATATGTCCAGTTGATGTCTTTCTACACCTTGGATTCTTTACCCTGCAACGCCATATTCTCCACCTGTTTAGTCAACAAGAAGCCTGGGTGCGCAATATTAATGGTATAGATGGACAGAGTAATCATTGCACCGTCAAGGACGTCTGAGCACACATGTGAGCAAGAGAACCAGAGCGTGAAGAGAAGTCATACTGAAGTAGACTTGCGTCGAGATGATCGGTCCCGCAAATCCGTTGGCAAGCTCGATCGTACGGTAAACAGACCTGATGAATGTGAACATCAACATTGTGTGGACGAGCGACATATGTCAGTGGCACGAACCTAATGAAAATACAGGTTGTGGCGAAAGTCAATCCGACGATCATGTACTTCATCTTTTGATTGAGTCGTCCACCACGGACCGTAGTCTCGCTGCTCTCAATTCGAACAGGGGAGTCGGAAAAGTATCGCAGAAAGAATTCGCCCGCGCAGGCAACATAGAGAGCAATCGCAACTGGTGGGAGCAGTGAGCATACTTGATAGCGTACAAAAGAGTGAGGACAACGGCGACGTACTCATCTGGGCAACAATCCCGCCGAGCATGACATTTCCACCCTGGTAGGACTTAGACATGTTCTCAGAACTTGCAACTAGGGTGCTTTACCTTCTCAGGATTTCTCCCTTGCCCAACTGCAGCAGCAGCAGATGCGCCTCCGACTGCTTGTATGATCAGGCATATCACGTCCTGAGTTCGTTAAGCGGAGCACAAGGCTAGGAACCCATAGCAACTCACGAATGAGCAGAAGACGATGGCGACTGTAATATTAACGGCCGTACTGGATTAGTGAACGAAAGGGAAATATCATCGGAATACGTACACCAATTCGGAGGAAGTCGGCTATAGCGAGTGCCCAACAGCTTCACAATGTTCCCGAGTATTATGAAGTTCCCGGCCACCAGGGGTGTAGGTGCTAGAATCGTGCCGACCAGCCTGAGCAAAGTTGTGAACATAGTTTAGAACAGAACATCTGCTGTGATTACTCACTGTATCTCGTAAGGCTCCAAAAGTCTAGGACTCTTGCTGGACCACAATCTAGCACTCCAGCCCATGATCTCGATCGCTCCGGCGAGCACGACAGTGGGCAGCAGCCACCACAAGCGGTATTTGACGCTTTGGCCAAGATGCAAGACTAGATAAGCGCTCAACGTTTGGCGTCATACAGACTCAAGATAAGCGTTCTGCTTACCCGTCGAAATGCTGTACAGCACAACAAACTACCGGTGGGGACTATGAGATGATATAAACCCAACGGGAAAAAGGAAAAATCACCAGTATACAGATCCACTCGGTAGGTACGTAGTGATACGGTCCGATTGGAATTTGTAGGACTGGAGCTTCTATAGAGAAGGGGCGTCAGGAATTGTACAGGAAGACTCGCTCAGTGCTTTGAACAGACAGTAGGTCTCGAAAGAACATGCGACACGTACCTTCTAATGCACTCATCTTTCCGCTCGAATAAAAACAGGAAAATGACCCGAATGTGAGGGGACACTAGGGAGAGGCAGGACAGGTACAACCCGGAGGCTTAAGCGAAACGGACGGAGACCACGCGTTTTGAAGCAAGATATGTAATCTTGCGACGCCGCAAGCAGCCTGTGCACCGGCTATTCTTGCTTCGGCCTGCGTTCGGGGTGCCTTGCTATCACGCTCCTAGCTGATCCGTGCGTTTGAGAATCTTGATAAGGTGTTGTTTGACGCGACCCGAGGGAGATGCATACTCAAACATCGTAGATAGGCAAATCGTCACCACAGACAGTGGCACAGAACATTGAGATAGGAGCAACATCCCCAAGAAAGCCAAGGAGCATGAAAGGTGACCGTTCGTTGATATAAGGCTCTCGGGCAAGCTTCGGCGTTTTTTCACCAGTCTATCAACGAGTACAGTCCGGGCCATCGGATCGTCACCCACCGGCCGTATTTTCATGAGCTAAATGCAGGAGTCTGTATAAATCTGACAAACCTGTGTTACGGAATATTGCGAGGAGCAAACGTGTTCCGCGATATGTTTGTGGGCTGTCACGCTAGGAGATAAGTATCTGGCGGCCTTTGACACTGCGAGCGAATGATGGCCAGGTTATTCTGAAAGACCTACGAATGTGTGTCCCTTGCAGTGCAACGCAGCCACAAAATCATTGATGATCTGATTGTAACGAGATGTTCCTGATCATAGATCATTGCTTACCGTACGGAATGTCATCAGGATTGGTGAATGGCTATAGTGGAAGAACCGATAAACGTTACGAGATACCAACAAGATCATACACACAGGACCCCGTCTTTCGTTACAGAAGCTGCTTTGGATCATCTTTCAGTTCCACTTTTTCCACTCACTCCCTTCCGGGGGCTTCACCTCGACGCGTCCCTTTCCGACCTCGTCCCAGTTGGTGCTGAGCGTCGTACCACCACTCTCAGAGAAACTCTTCATCATGGCACGGCGCGTATCTTCATCCGCATCGGCAAAGATCTTCTGGAAGAAGCCGTTCACGGCAGTGTCGCCTCCGACATTTGGGTCCTGCTCGCTGCCCTTGTCCTTTTCGCCATCGAGAATCTGAGTGGTGATGCCTTCCCAGTTCTTCTTTGGCTTAGGGGCGGTCTGCGAGGTCGACGGAGGAGGGGCGAAAGACGTGAGCGCTTATTTGGCAGAACGCCACAAAAAAGTCAGCGGCTGCGATTTGCGAATAGATGATCGGAAGGAGACGTACGATCAGGCGCATCGCCTACTAGGCCTGCCCATCGTCCCTGTGCGGCCTTGACGAGGCGTACCTCGACTTTTACCTTGCCCACAGTGTAGTCGCACTTGGTGGGATCGATTTGTCCTTTCAAAGGCTGGAGGACAAGCGAATTGTCACCATGTTCATAAGAGAACTAGTTCATCGTGTTGGCATCGCGCGTATATGTGCATCGGTAGTAGGGGAGCACGTACTTTGCGGGGCTCAAAGCTGATCTTGACCTGTTCCGGATCAGCCCCTTTATCGAATATTGAGAGTGTCAGCTTCTCGTCGGTCTCATAGAATTCATGTCTGAGTAGAGTACGTTTCAACCAAGGGTCCACGAATGACCATTGTGACTTACCGAATGGTGGCCATTGTGGATAGGAATGAAAGGGGCGTCGGAGATGCTGTGGACCGCAAGTCAAAGCGTGTTTTGGAACTTTCTAGCAAGCTCATTGTGCCGTCACGTGGGCGCGATGTTAGTACCCCACAAAGCCCCTATCTGAACGCAAGAGCATCGTTCTTATCCCCAGAGTCAGATGCAGATATTTTGTCCCGATCCATGGATGATTCAATATTCATAGCATGCACAGCGTTGCTTCGCCCTTACTCTTCTGCTATCAGTCGTCAGCGAATTCTTGCAAAGCTGTTTTTCATGAAGAGGATCCACTCAACCAAATCACACCAAACATGACAGATAACAACGTCATGATCGTGCTGTTAGCCCCGCACCCAGCTCGAGCTCCCTCCATAACTCCACCTCACCCTACAACATTCCCCAGCCATGGTGTCTCAAGCAGGAATACCCAAGGCCGTACTGTACTACGACCCTTCATCCGCAACCTCGTATGCTGGTACGCCGTCGATGGTTTCTCCCAAAGACTAAAATTCTGGCACTAACCCCGATTTAGCACGACTCGCGATGTAAGCCCTCTCATTCCTGAACCTATTCTATCTAACAATATGGGACAAGAGTTGAGAAGGGCTATGGAGACGACGAAATCGACTACAAGATCGTAGACTCCAGTACGCAATTCTATTCTATCCTCGTTTCCTACGCCAACTAAACCCACGTTCCAGCCAAGGGAGAAGAGTTTTATCCTTCTTTCCTGAGGATCAGCCCCAAGGGTAGGTTCCCCGACTAGTGAGATTTTTCTCCATAACAATTAATATGCAGGCAATCTCCCTGCGCTCGTGGTGCCCCTTCAAAAGACACTGTCCCCGGAAGTGGAGAGTCGATATAAAGCCATCACCGACGTCAAGGCATGAGCTTTACCATCATTAGGCGCGACGTAATCTTATCCTGGTGATTTAGGCCATCATCGAGTTTTTGGATAAATCGCGGTCTACCACATCTAGAACTGGCACCACGTCCTCCGCACCAGCACCTTCCTTGTCGCCAGCTACGGTGTCCTTTTCCAGCGTGACAGCAAAGTTGGTCGAAGAGGTTTACACCGAGGGAGTCTCGCCAGAATCGTTGAAACTGTACAATGCACGCGATGATGCATCACTGAAGGCATTGGCATCCAGTCTGCTCCCGACACTCAAGGGACGTCAAGCTGCCCTCGATGCCTGTCTCGAGGACAGCGATGGTATTTCGGAGAAGACGAAGACGTTCTGGAGAGACAACAAGACAGCGACCGAGAAGCTGGAGAAGATACTGTCTGCAGGCAGTTTCAGCGGCAGTGATGCTGAGGAATATTTGGCTTACGCCAAGAAGAGCTGGGAGGTTACGCTGCCGACTGTTTTGATCACTCTGAACAAAGACATGACGGGACCGTTTGCGCTCGGTGAGTGGGCATGTTTTGGACGACGTTAGCCGTGCCTGATATTATACTCAGGCGACCAAATCTCTGTTGCGGATGTGCACATCTTCGCATGGCTTGTGCAATTGGTGAGGTTGTGTGGCGGTAGTCTGAACCTGGATGGCGATGCTGCAATCAAGGAGTTGGAGAAGCACATTGGAGCCGGATTTGTTCTGCCGGAAGACTTTCTCACATCGCCCATGGTGGCCGGTGTTGGGAGTGAGCAGCCACGGCTGCGGAGTCGGCTTGCTGTATTCTGGGATGCAATGAAGGAGAGACCGAGCTCGAAGAGGCTGTATGGATCTGGCAACTGAGGAATATGTACAGAATAATAGAGACCGAGAGATCGAAGCTTGTTTGATCTGACATTTATTACGTATGATTTGGGCGACATAACGGTGGAAAATGAAAATTTCTTGGGCATGTGGTGGAGGAAGTGAAGAAGATTCTTGGCAGTTTGCTTGCTTTAGCCAGTCACTCACGGGCGGTTTGATGAACGTCTCAGCCGACCAGACGACGCCCATTCACAGCCGGCCAATCTTAAACACCCCCAGCACCACACAGCCTTTTACTTGCAACAGTGACCCTTGATAATTATTGACGACGTTTTCCCTCTCCAGAGTTTGCACCGACGGACAGCTGATTGTCCCGCTGGCTCCCCTCACGACTTCGACATGGGCTTTCTAGCCTCCTCCGACCCCCAACACGACGCCTACGACGCTCTTCCCAACGCAGAGTCCTCCGCCGCCCGCTTCCCCTACCACGAGAGCAGCTCCGAGGAACGCTCCTCCATCGAGTCCGCCTCCACTCCCGTCCCCTCGCGCCCCGCGTCTCCCCCTCACCTCACCGCGACCGGAAAGGCATCCCGCGCCCCGTCCGAAGCGGAAGAGCCCACCTCCCCGCTCCTTGGTGGCTCTACCCCGTACTCTCAGAAGGACAAGGCGCGCAAGTGGTGGAATATCGGCAACGGTACAAGCAGCACGGGCTCCCGACGCCGCCGCAGAAAGCGCGACGGATATGCACTCAGGATAGTGCGCAAGGCCACCAGACGGCTGGTCCAGCACCCGCTCTTCCCTCGTCAGCCCGTCACCATTGTAAGTATTCTCTGACTCTCCCGACGCCACACTCGGCACGGCCTCACGTTCCCAAAGGCTTTCGCAGTCCTCCTCTTCTCTCTCTTTGGCCTTTCCCTCGGCCTCTCCCTCAAGTATCTCCTCAATCCGGACAAAGAGCCGCTTCCCTGGCGAGCCTACTGCGCTATACCACCCACCAATACCGTGCCTCCTGCCTTCCGCAGGGCTTCCTCGTTCCCATACCTTGATCCGATACCAAACGTCGTCCCCGAACCGTTCCCTCCTGACGACCTCGACACGCTTCCACCCGCTGGCGTCCTCGTTGGCGTATTCTCCATGGACAGCTCCTTTGAGCGCAGGATGCTCATTCGCTCGACCTGGGCCTCGCACCCCCGCAGCCGTAACGGTGCCGGCCAGGGAGACGATGGCAAGGGCACGTCGCGGACCCTCGTCCGTTTCATCATGGGCCAGCCGCGCAAGAACTTTGAACGGCAAATCGAGACCGAGATGGAAAGTAAGTCAGTGCATCGTACTCTGCCGTCTGTCGTGCTCATGATGCTGCCGTGCGTTCGCAGTGTACAATGACCTCATCATTCTTCCCATGGTCGAAAACATGAACAACGGTAAAACGCACGCGTACTTCACCTGGGCGGCCTCGAATGCCTGGGTGCCACCTGTATACTTTGATACCCCCGTCCCCGCGCCCGACGTCTCGTACGCCAACCAGACGGGCTCTCCCCTCCCCCTCGCACCGCACGACCCCGTCTTGGCCTGGGAGCAGCACGCCTCAGGCCACCCGCAGCCGTGGGTCCGCCCCGACTATGTCGTCAAGGTGGACGACGACGCGTTCGTGATGCTCGCGGAGCTCGAGGCGCGCATGCGCACGGAGCTGCACGCCAAGGGCCAGCGACCCTATGGCGTGGGGAGCTCCGCGATCCCGCCGCCGCCGTACCTCGAGGACAAGTCTGCTGTGCACGCGGACAACGGCTCGGCCACGGCCGCGGCGACGAACGAGAGGCGCGGTGCGGAGGCGGGCGATCCGCTTGTGTATTGGGGATATCTCGTCAAGAACAAGTTTATGGGCGGGGAGCTGTACGGGCTGAGCTGGAGTATTGTGGACTGGGTGGCGAACGATCCGACGGTGAAGGGTATGGTCAAGGGCGCCGAGGACAAGACGACGGCGAGGTGGATGACGATTCATCCGCAGGCGCCGGAGATCCAGTGGGCAAGCGAGCGGTGCTGGATGTACGACCATCCTCGGTCTGGCACGGTGTACGCGTTTTTTTAAATCTTTGAGAGGTATTCTGACGTGTTCGTGCAGATATGCACACGGCTTCCTGTTCCCCTCTGAGCGGACGCGAATTCGCAACTCGGTGTGGGAGTACCTCAGGAGCGCGACGGAGGCCGCCATCGGCGGCAACTCGCTCACGGAGATCTCGTCTGCACTCTCGTCCTCGGCGATCCCGACGCCGACGGAGTGGGCGCACTCGAGCGTGTCGACGTTTGGCGTGCGGTACGTCGATCCCGCCAAGGACCTCTCGCTCTCGCAGAGCGTGGAGGCGCTTGTGGAGGGCAGCGGGCTCTCGCATCTCCGAATGGGTAAGCTCTCCGAGTCCCTGCTTTTGCCGCCTGACTTAGTGCTCGTGTATGGTATCGCTGGTGTAGATGCATCTCCTGGCGTGGAGAACACGTGGAATGGACGCGAAGGGCAGGTGTCGCGGTACGAGCAAAAGCGGGTCGGCGGGACGGTGGTCGTGCACTTTATCAAGAAGAACGCGTGGTTCCTCGAGACCGCGCTCGCGTTGCTCGGGAGCAAAGACTATACGGACGCCGAGCGGGAGTCGCTCGTGGGCGGGGAGCGTCTGCCCATGGGCGTGTCGTCGGTGTGGACGGACGTGTCTGCGTTCAAGAATGCTTCTGCTTCTGCTTGATCAGGGATGCGGGTGGACGTGTGTGTTTTGGACGTATGTGATTACCGGACTAATGATATCGTTAATGGTGGCGTTGTAGATGGAATTATTACTAGAATTGGTTTTGAATTGTACACGAATTGCTTGCTTGCTTGATATCAGAGTGATAGTACATGGTGGGAGAAACTAAGTACAGGATATGGTTGACGCTAACGAAGGAATACATTGCATTGTACGCGGTCAGTATCCGTCTAACATGAGTGTTGGCGGTGCGGGGCGGTCGTCGGTGTGCATCAGCGGTGTCCTGTCCTGGAGGCGGTTCATGACGGCCCTCCTTATCGTGCCTTCCCACTGGCGGAACCACTCGCCCTCCCGAAGGCCGACGATGCGGGATGCGCCCTCGGAAGAACCACCGAACGGCTGCGAGCTCGAGGCGGCAGGTGGCTCTTCGTCCATGTAGTCGTCCTGGAAGGCAGGCAGCGGGGCCTTGGTATCGGGCTCGGGCTCGATGAGCTCCATTCTCTTGAGGGCGTACGCGCCGCCGCACACGGCCCAGCGGCCACCGCCGTGGCTGGCGTAGCGGCGGTAGAGGAGGATGAAGGGGTATATGAGGAGGAGGGAGAGGATGACCTTGACCCAGGTCTTGGAGAGGGCGCGGGAGAGGGGGTTGTCGGAGCGGACGGAGACGTGGGCTGCGGTGGTCTCGAAGTCGACGGAGATGTCGCCGCGGTAGTGGGTGCTGAAGATGGTCGAGCGGACGGCGGCCTTGAGGGCGTCGAAGTTCCAGCCGTAGACGAGCTTTTCGTAGTCGAACTCTTTGAGGTACTTTTGGCTCGTGCAGTAGTCGTCGGCCCACTGACGGAGGGTCCAGGATGACCTGAAGACGGTGTTCGGCTGCGAAGGGTTGGCATGGTCCGAGGTAAAGTCCATGGCTACCCAGGGCGGGAGACCTTTGCCTGTGCGTTCTGCCTGCCAGGCCTTGGCGAGCTTGCGTTCGCTGCGCTTGGCCCTGCGTTTGGTGTCCTCGATGCCTACCTCGAGGAACATGCGGCCACGGGAGGCAGGGGTGGAGTCCTGCATGGTCCAGTGTATGGGCTCGCCGACGATGTTCTGGCCCACGTCGATCGCAAAGTCAAAGTCTGGGACGCGTTCTGTGTAGTGCTCTGAGCGGTGGTGAGTGTGGCCATCGTTGTCGCGGTGTGTGACGAGACGGGTGTGTGTTTCAGAGTGGGAGCCACGACAGCGGAGGACAAAGTCAGGGGGAGTGGCCGCGTGTCCGAGGAGGAAGCGGTAGAGGGCCTCGCCTGTGATATTTGTGATATGAAGGCGATGTATAGGAAAGGAGGGAAGACATACCGTCCTCGTTGAGGTGTGGGTCATGAGATACGACAGAGCCAGAACCAGACACGAAGAAGCTGGCCTGGTATGGGGCGAATGCGGGTGGATCGTCCGCATCTGGGACGGGCTGGGCGAGGTAGTGGGCGTCTTGGGAGGGGACATCGACGACAACGTGGTCTGCGGCACTCTGCTCAAAGGAAGGGGGCGGGTCCTGTATGGGGTCAGCGGGGGGCTGCTTGTTGGCTGGGTACACGACGACCATGGTGGGTATGGAATGGACTAGAACTGTACTAGTAAATAATTATAAGGATTGACATGACAAGGAAAGCGCAGCAGAGGATAGTAGCACAGCCTTGTTCGGTACGGTACCGCGGTGGCTATACAGGTAGCTTTGGGAGGACTGAAGATGTCAGAATTCCATGGAGAGTGGCCAGGCTGTTCCTCCCTTCCTCGTCACCGCTGACGGCCACTTATCGCCTAACTTCTTCCCTCCCGGCCTCTCTTCCCCTTCCCTCACCATGTCCTCAGACAAACCCTCTCTTTGAACCCGATCAGTCGCGTAACTCGTCCTCTCCATCTCATATATACCTCCAGCCGACCAATCCTGTCCTCCCTACACGCGTCCTTCGGCCCTCCCCGGGCACGACCCTCACTCTTCACCTCGTCACTCCCTAGTCTTTCCCGTGTGTCCCTTCTCTTTCTGCTCCTGACATGATCTGACATAATTCACTTTCCCTCTTTCTCTCTGTTTTTCATTCTCATGTCGTCGACGTCTGCTCTTCCTTCGTCCACCGACTCTTCCCCCGCCCCATCTTCTACAACCCCCCAACCTTCTTCCACAACCCCCCAACCTTCCTCCACATCCGCTCCCATGTCCTCCTCAACTCCCTTATCCTCTTCAAATTCACCTTCCTCATCCGATCAACCCACCAGGTACATTCTACATTCTCGGATCGTTCCTCGACCCTTACCATTTATGTTTAAGCTCCATACCTCCCTCATCGACAGCCTCATCGTCGCCAGTGGCTACAACATCGTCCTCGCAGCCCATGTCCTCCACAACCGATTCCTCACAGTCGCAAACTTCCGCCTCATCAAGCACAAGCATGTCTTCTTCCGATCCTCCCACTACCACCAGCGATCCTCCTACAACGACGACCAATCCCCCCACCACCACCTCTTCTCCGACTACCACCACCACCTCTGACCCTCCGACTACTACCACAACTCCTCCGACTACCACCACCACCACTCCTCCCCCTACCACAACCACGTCCACCCCACCAACAACCTCGACCACTCCGACAACAAGCACTCAACCGACCACTTCCACTAATCCGACCACCAGTACAACACCTACAACCTCATCTCCTTCTGCCACCCCAACTAGCACCACTCCGTCCCCAACCTCTTCCTCACCTCCTCCGAACACACCCACCACCCCTCCACCGCTGTCTATGTGAGCCTCCTTCACAGCTTCTATGCACCTAACCACTGTATTCTTACGTTACGACAGATCCACTTTAAGGAGTACAGTTTATGTCACTGCTACCGACAGCGCTGGTCAACAATATACCACTGTTCCCATCATTATTACCCAGACCTATACCTCAACCTACAGTAACGGCTCCGTCACTACCCTCACCGAGACTCTCGCCAATCCTACAACCCAGCCAGATAACGCCACTACAAAGGGCAATGGGTAAGCAAAATTCACGCTTATCTGCCATCTCTCAACGTCCCCTCTAGGTTCTTTCATAGTAAGGGCGCCGTTGCTGGAGTCTTTGCCGTTGTCGGTCTTGCCGTTGTAGCTATCGTGTTTTGGATACTCTTTGCTATCAGGCGCAGACGTCGCAGAAGATGGATGGAGCATGATACCGCCGCCGCTGCCGCCGCTGCCTATAGCCGTCCCCCGCTTGACGACGAGCCCCCGAATCCCACTCCTCGCGACTCTGTCTTCTCGACTGAGATGGGGCAGCGTGGAAGTCTCATGGGTTACGCTAACCCGAACACAACTAGCTCAAACTTGTCGGCGGCCCGCCCAGGGTCAGGGCATGACATCTTTAACCCATACTCGGACTACGTTGAAGACCATCCACCTAACACAGGTGTCGGCCTCTACAACAATGCCGGTCGGCCGACTAGCCCTCCTCCTGGTGCAGCACGCTCACCGTCAAGCGCTGACGATCATGCAGACGCACGAGAGCGTAAGAGCTCCTATGGCCATACGCCAACATATAGTGCTGGAAGTTACGAGCCTCTCCTGGCTTCTTGGGGTGCAGGAAATCACCCGGATGACGAGGCTGGCCACGAGCCTTCTGCGCCACCCCGTCCGCCTCGGAACCCTCAGAGGCTCGCACATTCTCAAGACAACATCGTGTCTACTGTACCTCAGGGTGACCCACCTGATGGTGATAACGACGAACGCTTGGATCCCGAGATGCGAAGGCGCACAAGGACTGATAGCTTAAGCTCAGAAAACCTAAAGGATGAAGAGGACTACAGTCGTCCGGTCTTGACGGTGAGTACAAAAACCCCTTGCACTTAGGCGCAGCTAACATTCATCCTACAGGTTCGGAATGTTGCTGATACTCGGAGCCAGCACTCTGTTTAATGAATTACCCTCTCATACTATCTCATCCAGTTATTCCCTTAGATTGCAAAGGATACGGATACCGCTCTCAAAAGTTTACGCCGAGATCATTCGGACGTTGTCGATAGCTTGTCACCCCGCTCTTCACGTGTTTTTTTCATCATATCCGGCACATTTGCATATCCACGGACTCACCCAACGGACTTTGGCATTGGCCTATACATAATATACTCAATGCACATATCCCAGTCTTGCAATTGCACTCTCCTTATCTATCTATCTCACCTTGTTAGGCCTGCTATGCGCTCTGGGTTTCTGCCTTATTCTCTTATACGTTCTCACTACGTTACTTATAGATCTGCCTCACCTTGTGATACACGGCCAATTGAGGCTCCAAGCGTCCCAGCAACCATATGCTCCCCACTGAGCCATTGCATAAAAGGTACATGTTATAAAAATGGCTCGGGCTATCGCTATCGGGTCGGTCGGATCCCCGCATGTCGTCTGGCTTGCCCGTGTACGACACCCCTATCCTCGGTATGACAGCACGTCCTCGCGTCGAGCGGGCGGTCGAGTACGGCAACGAGGCGTCCTTCTGGGTCGAGTGGCCGTCTGGCCTTGTGGACCTCACGCGGAGCAGGCATCTCGAGACTTCGGGCGGCGAGGACGAGGAGGCGCTCTCGGGTGCGCACTTGGAGATCGAGGTGGACGGGGGGAGGAGGATTCGGGTTGATAAGGCGAGGACTGTGCTTGTCGTGGTTGATATGCAGAAGTGCGTTGTTATCTTTCCAGGCGGGCGTTGATAAATGTTTACATGAACATGGTGGCAGCTTCTTTTTGCATCCTGATCTGCGGGCGCACGAGCCGGGCTTGAAAGCGGTCGATGCGCTGGTACCGATACTGGCCCCCCTTCGCAGGCAGGGCGTCAAGATTCTCTGGGTGTAAGCGCCAACGCCTCCTTCACATGCATTCAAGCCTTGAATGCTCACTGACACGCTTGCTCACGGCGCCGGACACAGAAACTGGGGCCTCACCGAGCACGAGCTGCACACCATCCCGCCCTCGCTCGCGCGCGGCTTCACCAAGGGCGGGCGCGGCGGCTTCGGCGCGCCGCTGCCCGGCGACTTTGGCAGGCTGCTCATGCGCGGGAGCCGCAATGCGGAGCTGTACGGGCCGCTGCAGGACGCGTACCGCGCGGGCGAGGCGGCGGGCGCGGACGTGTGGGTGCACAAGAACCGGTGCGTGCGCTCCTTTTGTTGGGTTTGTTGTTCATTGTGTCCAATGATTGTTGAGGGTAGGATGAGCGGGATATGGGGGTACCAGAGTGCGCTGGATCTGTATCTGAAAGAGAACGGTATCACGACGCTGCTGTTTGGCGGGGTCAACTCTGATCAGGTCCGTGTCTCAATCCTTGAAAAGAAACGATATTGACTCTTGGCGACAGTGTGTTCTCGGCACGCTGGTGGACGCGTACTACCGGGGGTACGACTGCATCCTGGTCAAAGATATCACCGCGACCACCAGTCCAGAAGGCGGGCATGAGAACGTCGTATACAACGCAGGCAACGTCAGCTGCCCTCCATTCAACCCTATTTTCATATTTGACTCACCAGTGCACAGTCTTACGGCTTCGCCACTGACACGGAAAGGATTCTCAAGGTTGCTAGTGCTACAACCTAGGTTACTGCGTGTAATCCGATTGGTTCACCATATCGATTCAGACGTCTAGTTTACACCAAAAATTAAACTGTACACACGAAGAGCGCCCGACACTCGGACGTTCGACTGGTCGGACACTCCCATGATCCAAGGGAGACGTGCAATAAATAGTATGGGGTAGTATGCATGTATCAATTAGCGCAGCTAATTATCAAACCGCGTTCACGGGCCGGATCTATGCAATGTAAACGTCATCAGCACATGCCACTACCTCGGGAAAACGTTGGGCAGGAGAAAACGGGGGAAAACTAACGTCGATTAGCATCCGTTTCGCAGGGACGGCAGCCGCACTCGGCGGAACGTGCACGGCAGCTGCGGCGTCTGAGAACGGGTCGGGGTCCGCGAACGAGCGCTCGGAAATCGATGTCGGCGGGGTCAGCGGGCGGTACTCCTCAGAGAGGCGGGACAGTGTTCGTTTGGGTTCGTCCACGTAGGTGTTGCGGAGCTGCGCGGGGGCCATCGGTGGGCGGAAGACGACGTTGGGGGGAGCGCGCGGGCTCGATGGCGACGCGGGTTCCGTGGCGTCGGAGTCGGCGAAGCTGGCGCGCATAGCCGTGTCGCGTGAGGGCGGACGCATGAGGCGCGGTGGGCGCGGTGGCGGGTTCTCGCGCAGGACAGGAGCCTCGACGGGCGAAGAGGACCTACGCTGTGAAGGCGGGATGTTCTCTTCGCTCTCTGCGGTCTCGACGGGGCCATCGAACTGGGGCAGATCGGCGAGATACATAGACGGGCTCGTGTCCACGGAGGGGTAAGGCGAGGCGGAGCGATCTTCGTCGTAAGCAAGACCATCTTCAGGAGGTGACGTTCGCTGAACCGTGTGGTAGTCGCTGAACGGCCCAGCGTTGTCGTATGTCGTAGCCATGGCACGCTGCGGAGCACTGGCCATGCCCACACCATCAAAGAGAGACTGGCGCATGGACGGATGGCCACCTTCGAAATCCAGTGGACTCATTGGTGACTCGAAGGGGCCATCCTTGCGATCGGGCTCGGGCCAAGAGATGTTCCGGCGCGTTTGCTGCTGAAGCTGCCGGCGGCGACGGCCAACGCTGAGCCAGATGCAGACCAAGATGCTCGCGAAAAGCAAGCCCACGACGACAAAGACTCCAGCAACAGCCCCACGGTTATTGAAGAAGCTGAGAAAACCAGCAGTCAAACACGTGAAGCATGTCAAACTTGTTAAAATACGTACGAGTTGCTCGTGGAAAGTTGCTGAAAGCCGGGGTTAGCAACCTCGGATGTGTAGGTGATAGGGATACCGTTTTCGGTGGTCGTGCCAGTGACTGCGATGACGGATGGTACAGTGATCGTTGTCTGACCCTGTGCGTTCGTGGTGGTATAGGAAACTGCAGTTGGGTAGGTTGACTGGGGCTGGGGCTGTACAGTACCATTGACAGGTGCAGGGCTTGTGCTTGAAGCAGAACCATCATCAGTGCTCCCGGTCGCCGAGGTGGGGGAAGGATCGGTGTTGGTGACCGAGTCAGACCACGAATCCGAGGGCGGAGCTGTGGTAACGGTCGTGAACGTGGAAAAGACGGAAACACTAGGATCCGCAGTCGGAGAAGGTGAGGGATCAGAGGAAGAGGGCGTGTAGCCGTCCGCCGTGGAAGATGGAGTGTAAGCCGAGTCGGTGGAGGTAGGGGAGGACCAGTCGGGGCTGCTACTAGGAGAAGAAGGTGAAGTTGTAGGACCCTGTGCTGCGGTGGTCTGAGAGCCGGTACCTGAAGGGGTTACTCCAGAGGTTATAAAGGTGCTAGAAAGACGGTATGAGGTGGAGGCGTGACAGGTCAAGGGACGGAGACGTACGATAGGGTGGCAGAGGAACTTGAACTTGTAGATGCATTAGGCCCTGTAGTTCCATGGTTCTCTGTCCAGGTATCTGTCTGAGTCTGCGTATATGAGGAACCGGAAGAGACTGTGTCTGAGGTGGGCGAAGTGGCAGAGGCAGGGGCTGCAGCATTGTCTGTGCAAGAGGACGATGAAGCCCAAGAGGGGCTGTCGATGGCCGCCGCTGGACCCCAAGACGAGCTACTAGAGGGTGCCGGTGCCCATGACGAGCTGGAAGGTGCCGGAGCCCAAGCTGAGCTAGACGGCGCTGGAGCGCAAGACGAGCTGCAGGGTGCTAGGAGGAGAAAGTCAGGAAATAGAGGATGAGTAGAAGCAAAGGGAAAAGCTCACCAGGGGAAACAGAGCTCATGCCGCTCACTAGCAGAGCAAAGCACCCATTAACAATCGAGGGAAGAGGGTTGAGTTGTCGGTGAGTAAATGCTTAAGTAGACTCATTCTGATACTGGGATGCCAGATCATAATCATGTTCGCTGGCCGGGGAAACGATAACGACAGACCGGCTAATTCTCGTGGCAGGAGAAAGTGGACGAGCGAGTATATGCAGCCACATGTGCTCATTGCCCATATCTGGTCATCCGCCTGTGGTTACCCCGCGTCAGGAATCGCGTGTGGTTGCGTGTCCGTGTGGTCTGCCAGGGTGCCATCCCACGCTACATCCCCTTGCATCCCTGCCAGCAGTCCACACCCGCTTCGTTGCTATCCTTTTGTGGAGCCTTGCTTCTCATACAGTACTGCTCATCTTAGCTTACAGCACACTCGCCACTTACAAGCCAGATCACTGATACATATTACGTCTACATACATACATCCATATTACAGTGTCCTATCTCTATACGCAAACAACTATTAGATCAAATCCATACCTCAGTCGTGTGCGTCTCTGAACCATTCGACATAGAAAAAGAACGGATGAAAAGGAAGGTGGTATGACGGATGAAGGGTATCCAGTACTTGATAGTCGGTCATGTAGTCGTCGGGTCCGCAGCCCTTCGGTCGTGAAGATCGCTCGCTAACATCCGCCACGAAATAGTGGAGCTTAACTGCGATATCTGCCATCCTCCCTCGTGTTCAGCAACACTTGTTCGCGGGCACCCAGTTCTTCAGCCGTATCTTGTCTGATCGTCGTTTCCGAGAGTGGCTCAGGCTCCCAAAGCTGAGCAGGCTCGAGCTGTTCACCCGTCGTAACGCCCGGTCACCATAACTGACTCCGCTCCCAGCCTTCTCGGGATCTAGTGCCCCGGATTCTATCGAGAGCAAGATCGACCGGGCCGCCAGCAGGAAAGGGGCCTCCACATTGTCGCCTGTGAGAGACGATGCTTCCAGAAAGTGAACGTCTGACAAGATCAACCCTCAGGTCAGCTACCATGCCATCTTGCCGAAGAGAACACCGAGTACCGTTTTCCGCAGCCCATCGGCTTGCTTCTGCCCACTCCACTTCACGCTCATCTTCTCTGTCCGATTTATTCCCGACGAGGACGGCCACCAGGTGTGTACTTGCGAGAGCTCGTGCGTCCGTCAACCAGCGTGACAGATTAAGGAATGAGTCCCGGCTGGAAGCACATCGGCCAATTAGTTGCGTTCTCGGACCGTGCCAAAATGAGAGCACACTCACTTGGTGATATCATAGACCAATATGACACCCGCAGCACCGCGATAATAGCTGCGCGTCACGGACCTGCGCGAAGGGATGAGAAAGACAGATAAAGCTGACTGTCCGATTTGCTGACCGGAATCTCTCCTGTCCAGCTGTATCCCATAGCTAGCCGTGCTTCAGATATAGGCTAGTACATTAACGCAGAGATAAAGCACACCTGAAGCTTTATCCTCTTTTCTCCAAGCTTGATGGTCCGACTTGAAAACTCGACTCCGATAGTATGTTGTGAGTGGTCCTTGACTGGAGATCGAGCATGTTAGCTCTAGTGTGGATGTATTAGGATAAACATGCGTACAGGCGTTGTGGATGAAGTGATGGAGGAGGCAAGATTTGCCTGAGCCTGCTTCTCCTTGTCGAATATGAGAAAGGGGGTGGAAGGGCAAGACAGAATGGCTGACCTATGATGATGTATTTCATCAAGAAATCTAAAAGGCAAATCAGCAAGAAATGAGAACATCGGATGAGAAGTACAAACCATAAGTTTCGAGTAGCTCTGTTGCGTCTGCGTCATAGTCATTGAGCGGCATGGTGTTTGCGTTGACGGAGCTGATGCTTGTCTTATTCTGCATCCTTGCGTCCAGTGCTCGCCTCCCCTTTACAATTCCCACGGCCACCCTTTACATCATCCCAGCATCGCATTACACTGACAGCACGAGCGTGCCCAAACCTCGGAAAACGTTCATCGTGTGCAGTGTCTGCTGACAGACGCTCCGATGTCTTATCCTTGTTCAGACATGTCTCTCCGAATCACAACTTCTACGCGATACGGCACTCGCTTTGTCAGGCGTGCAGCCTTTTCGAGAGCGATCGCCATCGCAGCGATCCCATTTATACGCGTGGTCGGACTCGGCGCTCAGACTAACGCTGGAGCGGGGAGATACACGTGATGGATGCAGTTGCTGTTCGTTTATCGATTACTACCTGTCGAAACACCTGCAGAGCTCGCCTCAAGCTCCATTTGTCAGAACCTCCATTGCAGCATCAACTCTGACAGTCCGGCGACCAGCGCTCCACCTTGATCACACTCACCAAGCGTGAACCTACTTTCATCAGAACCTGTACAACACGGCTGCGTTACAGCATCTACACCTCAGCCATTTCCACCATGGCCAGCCCAGATCAGCCCCGTGCCATTCATCCCGACGTTATCTCTCGTCTCGATCAAGACTACATCGATTTCCACAACGCCAACATCGCACCCACCCCAGGACCGTATGCATTTCCTTGGGACCCACAGTTGAGAAAGACAGACTGGATCCCGGGAGGCTCGGAGGTTCTCGAAGTTGGTTCAGTCAAGGAGTATGATCTGACGAACTGTAAAGTTCGCGTCTTCACCCCTGACGGATCCGCTCCAGAGGCCGGATGGCCAGTATACGTATGGTATCACGGTGGTGAGTGCTCGTTCGCTTTCCCTACCCGGAAGACTCACCGCCTTTCTTGCTGCCCAGGTGGCTGGACGTTAGGAGGTATCGACGCGGAAACCAACGTCTCAACAAGAATATGCAAAGGTTGGGTGCGCCACTTCCACGGTTTGCATGATAGCTAAGGCAACTTGGACATTCCAGGTGCCAGATGCGTGGTGGTCCACCCCGACTATCGACTTGCGCCTGAACATCCTCACCCCGCGGCCGTTGAAGACTCGTTCGAAGCCCTTCAGTGGGTCCACTCCCAGGGACGCGAACTTCTAAACGTTGACGTCTCAACTATGGCTATCGGTGGTTCCTCCGCGTATGAACATTTATCTTGCCATTTTGTTCAGCTGATTTGATCTTCGCCACTCTAGGGGCGCCAACCTCGCTGCCATCGTTTCGCTCAAAGCAGTCGAGATGGATCCACCAATTCGGCTTGAACACGTTCATCTTCTTGTACCAGCACTCGACAACTCCGAAGATGGCATTGAGCCATACGCGTCGCGAACTGAGAATATAAATGCACCGTGGCTGAACGCCGAGCTCATAGGCTGGTTCCGTGATAAGTATCTTCCTGAAGGCACTGACAGAACTCAGTGGGATGTTTCTCCCATCTATGCCCCTGAGGCGCTGCTGGCAAAGCTCCCACCCCATTGGATAGCGGTCACGGAGCTGGACATTCTCAGGGACGAAGGTCTTGCATACGCGGAAAGGCTGAAGAAAGCTGGGGTCGAGGTCACACATAAGATGTATCCAAAGGCAGTTCATCATCTGATGGATATGGACGGTACGTCGTGTACCTCTTTGGACTTACCATAGAGCTAACACCGGTCCTGACACCGGCATCGTATAGGGTAAGCTTTTGCGGATAGTGTGTTGGCTACTGACTGATGTTCTTCAAGGGTTTTGTCTCAGAGTCGAGAGCTCGTTCTTGATACAACCGTTAATATCGGCATGGCATTTGGTACATTGTGAAAATATACTGTATTTATACCACTACCACGAGACCAGGTCAGGTAGCAGCAATTGCCTCAATCTCCACATCGACATCTCCGGGGAGCTTGCCGGCCTGGATGCAAGTTCTCGCGGGTTTGGGGTCCGGGAGAAGCTGCAGCAATTTAGTAGTGTCATTGAGCACAGCTCTTGCGTTCTACGAGAAGAGCACGATATTCACCTTGGTGTAAACCTCGTTCATAGCATCAAAGTCGTCCATGTTCTTGAGATAGATGTTGACTTTGACAACCTTCTCCCACGACGACCCAGCGCCCGTCAGGACCTCAGTCAGCCGGGAGATGCACTGTGCCTGTGAGACGGGCGTAGCGAGAGATGATCTGTCAGCCAGCACGCAAGGAGAGTTAGCATACATTTAAATCTGGGCTCACCGTGTGCTCCTGAACACCCCCGGGAACGACTTTGCCATCCTTGTCGACGGGCGTTTGACCGCTCAGAAAGATCAAGCCAGGAACTTTAACCGCATGTGCTGTGGCGACATATTTGAGCTCCTGGCGCACGATGACATGGGACGGTTGGCCTTACAGTAGATAGGCTTTACGGCCTGCGAGGAAACGTTGATTTTTTCCGGAGTCGACATTGCAGCTTTAGATTGAACGTGGACAACAGCAACAGCAGCACAAACTTTACTAGTCTCGAGAGGGGGGGAGTCTTTCGAGCAAAGATCGATCTTATCTACTCTGATAGCAGATCAACTAGCCATTTGGTGCTATATGGGGCTGGTGGAAGATGTATCGCACGTGCAGTGTGATAGTAGAGAGCATGTGGGCACCTGTCCCCGCCAGGGACTCATCTACATTCTCAAGGTTTGCTCAGTTTCGGCGATTTCGATCAACCCCATGGTCCGATGACCATACGACGAGACACATACAATATAACCTCGGGTTGAGAGCTCTTGAGAATAGCCGAATCCTAACATTTAGATGTCACACCGGGTTTGCACCCACGACTTCGCATTAATGCCATGGTACAAGAAGAGGAAAACTTATGATAATTCCATACACGAGGGAGGGCCAAATGTCAATAAACCTGCCTAGAAATTTTGTAGCCGCGAGTTCATTTGGCAAACGAGACCTGAGCAAGTAATAAGATCAATATACTTTTGGAAGAAAGCTCCTGCGGTGAATTTCAGTCAATGTTGCATTTGAAGTGAGGTCTTAACAACGAAGCACTACTGGTGGGCCTGCATGATGGCATCCGAGATGAAGACCGCGGAGATCTGTCGTCCACCAAACCAGCGCCCGTTGAGTGCTTGAACAGCTTCCTTGGCGGAGTCGATAGTGGCAAACTTCACGTAGATTTCACCCTAAATGCTAGTTAGCGTGCGCTCTAACATCAACGCGGAAGAAATCACCTGTGTCTCTTTTTCAACTTTGATAGCTTCGACCTTGCCGTACTTTTCTTGGCATTCACCTTTGACGTCCTCGGCGAGTTCTTTATCCCAATCACGCTCAGTTTCCCTAGGTTTGGCATCAGCTGACAATGTAGATGAGGCAGCAAAGAACGAAAGGAATAACCACGCACTCTTCGGGATCGAACATATTCTTCATCAGTACAGAGCGCGATTGCATCGCTTGCGGGATACTGGGCCGAGATCTGCAGGAATCATCAGATCTAGCATACGACAGCAAAGCTTGATAGACGTACACTGGTTCAGCTGGAGTTGGGGTTTCAATCCTAGCAAGTTTCTGCATCAGCGCTTGACGAGAGGCGGCATTCAAATTACCGCCTATACGATCAAAAGTAAGCCGAGGAACATGATGAGCCAGAATGCACCCTACCGCCTGTTTCCTCTAGGGAGTCCTGTTGGGTATAACGGGCAGTTCCCTTTTCATGGACGGTATTGACTCGGAGCTGTTGGGACAGCTCAGTAAGATAAAGCAGATGTCAATACCACGACATAGGAACCCACCGTACGACCAGCCAGTTCAAACCCATCCATTTGCTCCAGAGCCATCTTTGCGTCCTCAGGTCTCTTATACCTATGGCAGATGAGTATAAGGTCACATTGCCAAAACGAAAACTCACTGTACAAAAGCGTAACCTTTGCTTCGCCCGGTTGTGGAGTCCCTATGCAAATCAACAAATTCAAGATCGCCAAAAGGTTCAAAGACCTGTTTGATATCGGCTTCCGTGAGATTGAAGTGCAGTGATCCCACATAAAGCCTATGTTAAGAGTCATTTGGTGTTCCAGGACAAACATACGAAGACACTAACTGCATAGCACCATGCGGCGCATGCACTCCTGGAGGAAGGTTGAGATTGCTGCTTTCATGAGTACAAAGTATTTCATGGATTGAGGAATGGAACATACCCGTCACCTGGGTGAAGTCTGTTTCTTTCCGATTCAGTTAATTGAACCATGATGGGCAGTCCCATCACGACAGTCCCACTGAGACCAAGCGCCTTTTCAACCAAGTCAATGGAGCGGAACTCAACATATCCGATACTGCAGGTCTCGATGAGGATGTTATTCTGCCACAAGGAAGGAACGCTTACCCCTTAGACCTTCGGGAGATACGGTCGGTCACAATCCGGGAGTCCAAGACGGTCCCTTCTCCAAGTTTGTCCTCGAAGAAGTAGCCTAGGTCACGAGCTGTGAGTCTTGCAGCTAGCTGAGAGACGAAGACTGAGCGGGCCTCAGAGTCGTCTTCCTTAGGCTCGTCGGGGTTGTAGTCCTCTTGTTGTTGGTCATAAGAAGGTGAAGCGCGCCTGCGAACCATGGGGTTAAGAAGCGAGTGAGATACCAACGGTTGATACATACTTTGCAAGAGGACGCATATCTAGCTCATCGTCCTCAAGTGATGTGTCATCGACAGGTGGACGCTTGTCGTGTTTATCACCGTCTTTGGCCTTCTCCTTGTCTTTTCGGTATCGCGGGGGGTCGTCAAACTCGTCCCGAGGGTCTCGAGCCCTCCGTCGGTCGTCGTACCTATGTTCACGTGAGCGCTCACGCAGGTCAGACCTGCTCCGAGGACTGTCATTGAGGGGAGGTGGAGGGGGTGGCAAACCAGCGGAAGGAGGCGGTGGCGGAAGGCCATCAGCCTCGTCACGCCTCTTCCTCTTGACGCGGTCGTCCTCTGAGCCGTCGTTGTCGTCTCTCTTGCGTCGTCTCTCCCTGTCACGATCATCTCTGTCGCGTTTGTCGCTGCGGTGGCGACGGTCTCTGTCTCTGTCTCTATCACGGTCCCGCTCGCGATCTCGATCCCGTTCTCTATCTCTATGAGACCTGTCCCGGGACCTGTCACGATTACTGCGCTCGCGGCTGCGACTGGGTCTACGCCTGTCGTCGTAGTCACGGTCTCTGCGTCTATCTCTTCTTTCTCTTTCACGAGAGTGAGAGCGGTGAGAGCGCTTAGTCCTGTGGGTGTCGGTCGAGTGATTACGAGAGCTAGAAGGGGTTCAGTAGCTGGAAGAAACAGAATGATAGAACACCACTGACGATTTCCTGTCTGTAGGAGACATGTCTACGTCCACTCCGTTGGTCGACATCTTCCAGCTAAAGCACACCTGCAGGCAAGGGCCACAAATCCCCAACAAACACCCAAAAACTTTGCCATTCTTGGCACGGCACCGCCACAGAAACCTTCCAATCTTCGAGCCAATTTCGAGTCAGGATCGAGATTGCGTGCTTACATTCGGTTTACATAGTCATACACTTGTAATTCTATTGATACAGTCAGAGTTACACCAGACCCGCCAACCTTGCCCGCACACGCTTCTCAGCTTGCACCAAAGGCATCTCCTCCGATTTCCTGTAAAGTTCATTAAGGGGGTTCTCGCTCCCTTCCTTCTCCAAGTCCTCCTCGATCTTGCTAAACGCGGTGCAGAATTTACCGTTCAACACCTGTCCAAGGTTCAGTTCACCTCAATTGTCATCTTCAAGAGCTCGGCGCACCTGATTATGCAAGATGTCTCTGAAATGCTCGCGCATGGCCGTTCCGTCGAGTTTCAGTGCCCCGTTTAGCTGACCGAACTGGGAAACAGTCGAGTGATGCTTGAGCTGAGTGACATTTACTCTGGTTAGTGTCTTTCTTGATGAGATAGCTACAATACAAACCTGTAGCACAAAACCGTCGTCCGCTGCCCTTTCGAAGATTTCGGCGGGTTCCTTCGACATCCACCTTCGCGACGTCGTGAGGCTCTCATTCATAACCAAGATCAAGGCAGCTTACATTTCGTAGCAAAGAGCCTCATCAGAGCAGCCGGCTTCTTGCAAAACGTTAAATGCTTCGCTGTTGAACATCCGCCCATCGTTAATCATAAAGAATATCGCTTGAGACTTCCGACGTACCGGAACATCATTATGATATTGGGCCAGAGGGCTTGCTCAGCCATGAGGTCCATGGCCGTTTCTTCCCTCACGGATGAAGCAATGGCACCTTGCTTCGTGGCGCCGATGGCACGCGAAAGGGCCAAAGCGACGGGCCAGCCATTGCCCGTGCCATCCTGCTCAACTGAGACGAAGCACGGGAAGCCTCTGCCTTTCTCGTACAGCGAACGAACTGAGGAACCAATCATTCTGCAAAAGTCCTCGACGTCAGTACGCCAGGCACATTCAAAGTAAAGGACCGACCTTGGAGCGACCATGACGACGTCTTGGCCAGGTTGGAACTTGAGCAAGTTGAAGAACACGTTGTAACCACTTGCTACGACTATCGTCGCAGTGCTCTTAAGAACAGGGAAGAATTGCTCGTTGAAGACCCGCGGCTGAACCTGATCGGGAATCAAAATGAAGACCACTGGACATAAGAGTCAGACGTCTATCCAGCGGAAAGCATCTTTATGCACACCGTCAGCGACAGAGGCTGCCTTGGAGAAGTCATGTTCAACGTTGAAGCCTTTTGCTTTCGCGCTTTCAGCATACGAGTCCACGCGGTTCGCGACAATGATCTGCTCGTTGGGAATACCAGTGTCCCTCAGGTTCTGTGCTTGTGCAGAGCCTTGATTTCCAAATCTAAACATACAGACTTCAATGTCCAACCTCAGGCGTATATGCGCGATGATGCAGACCCAAGGAAGACGATAGTCTTGCCACTCAGAAGACCGAGGTCAGCGTCAGCATCGTAGTAACTGCAATATAGGTCAGTCCTTGTCAGCCATCATGAAGGAATCATCTTTCACATCTTGGCTTGAACCATGGTGATAGAGAGGATCGTAGAGTAGAGCTTTGTTATTGATTTATCTGCGCAGTCGGCCTTAAAAGAGGAGCACCCATCCGGGAGCCCAGCCCGAAGGTAGTTTTCCTTTAGATCACACTGCAGGGGTTCTTGTGGGTCGTGAGATGAGTGGATTGCGAGAGAGGTCATGGGGGCCGGGGAACGGCCATGTGCATGCGCTCTCGGACCGTTTTACCAGTATCAATTGGCGATACCGGGTTCAGCGGCCCTGGCGCAGTCACGCACCTTACACCTTTGCACTTTTACGATTTCGTCATGAGGATGAACGACTGGCCCCGTATTTATGCAGATGTCGGGGCTCAAAGGTGTCTTCGCACTTACGCATATGGCGCTGCTTGCGGGCAAGATCGTGTGCATCACTGGCTCATCAAGAGGGATCGGGAGGGCGTGCGCACTCGAGTCAGCCAAACATGGCGCTACTGGGCTCCTCCTGCACTATTATGGTGACGAAGAGACGGAGGCGGAGCTCCAAACATTGAAGGCGGAAGTCGAGCGCAGCCATTCTCAGTGTCGGGTAGTATGTGTCTCCGGAGATATCGCTGACCCTGCGACTTCAACCAAGGCGAGTTATCCAATCGCAATCTTCCTTACCAAAGTAGACCATATCCTTACCCATTGCTGCCTTCGTTTTATCAATCAATCGATAGGTCGTCGAGTCCGGCGTCCGTGAATTCGGCCGTATTGACGTCCTTGTCAGCAACGCAGGAATATGTCCCTTCGCCGAGTTCATCACAATGCCTCACGCTTTGTGGGAGCGTACGCGGGCAGTAAACCTTGATGGTACATTCTACATCGTCCAAGGTGAGTGAAGAGAATGTGCTCGCTCGCGACCATGTCCGTTCATAAAAGCAGCTGTGGCAAATCAGATGAAAGCCCAAGTGCCACAAGGAGGGGCCATCGTTGGTGTTGCTTCGATTTCAGCTCTTGTTGGCGGAGAGTTCCAATGGTAGGTCTTTAAGCTCTCAATCACGTTACTAAAAACTCACATGGTAACAGTCATTATACCCCTACCAAGGCCGGCATTTTGTCTTTGATGCAGAGTTGTGCAATCGCTCTTGGGAAGTATAACATTCGCTGCAATGCGGTCCTCCCTGGCACAATTGCCACAGACATAAACAAAGAAGACCTCGCAAACGACGAAAAGCGAGAGTATACGATCAAGCGAACCGTCCTAGGGAGACTCGGCGGTTAGTATCTGACCTTGTATGGACGTAGTCATAGCTCACAGTAACGCACACAGCACCCGATGATATAGCTGGACCTATGGTGTTTTTAGCTAGCGACCTGGCGAAATACGTCACAGGTGCCTCGCTGCTTGTCGATGGAGGTCTCTTCGTGAACCTACAATGAATGGCCGAATGACATAAATTCAGAACAATATGATTCATATTCAGGTTTCTTCGCGATTGTCTCAGTGTGATTCCAAGCCCAAGACAAAACCCAACACCTGGCCATTCACTACGGCCGGCTTCGCGTCAACAAGCACAGTTGCCCATCTTGCCCACTCCTTTCCTGGATTTGTCCAGGCATGCAAAGTGCCTTTTTGGACGACGACATCGCCGGGGTTCTTGAGATGAGTCTTTACACCATCTTCGGTCGTGTGAATGACTTCTCCGGAGACTACGTGACCCACCAGTGCTTGAGCACGCGCTTCATACTTCTGAGATGGATGACGTACCCAGGATATTGTAGTCCAGGGATGGGGAACGATGCTACCATATGACCCTTCCATTAGTATATGGGAGATCGGACGGTGTGGGTCAGACAGACCATGGGTGTGCTGAATCCAGGTGCTAGATCGGTATACTGGAAGTTAGTTGCCCCAGATTGAACAAGGCCGTGATTCTCTAGTGATAATTTGCGAGAACCTCCATCCTCCCTAACCATCAGATCGACGTCGATGAGCGGTCCATAGTCAGCTTGTCGCAATGACGTTGAAGTAGGGTATACTCACTTCGTGTTGTTATCATTAGTAGGAAGGCCATCGATAGTAGCCCAAAATGCTCCAGCACGCATGCCCTCTATGCCAGGGACAATAGGCTAAGAAAACGTCAGCGTCAGGCACAATGACCGGAACTAGCAAAACCTGTGACTGTATTTCAGAAACAGTTGTCGAGGTAGCTTTGCCACCGGCATCATGAGTAGTGACCAAACGGCGGGGTGCAGGCAGGGTCGGGGGGTACTCGGACATCGTTATAGTGCTAATCAGCCAGCGCCAAGGAGGAGAGCGCTTCTGAGATTTATTTGTACCTCTTATTGGAGCCTTAGCTTCATTTGGTTCACGGCACCAGCCAGACGGCACCTGACATTGGCCAAGTGCTTTAAAACCGACATGATTGCACCCTCCCCTGTGCATCGAGTTGTATCCTAACCAGGAATTTATGTTGCAGACTGGACAGCACATATCGTATTGCATAGGGCCAATGATCACCAATAAGTAAAAAAATTATGGAGCAGTGTCTGACAGACGTCGATTAACTCATGTTTAACTTGCAAAGGGCGAACGCACTTACAATAATAATAATCGTCAATCAGAGGTATCCAATCGGAAACAATGGCACTAAAGAGGCCAAAGATAGGAGTTTGAGCGGTCTTGTTTGTAAACTGCTCTAACTTGGGACTGGGGATGGATTCAGTGTTAGTACTGCAGTCGCATCTTATTGAGTAAGACAACACACCGAGTGTAGTTGTCCCATACTGAGCCCCGTAGGAGGTACCATAACATGTCCTTATCTCGGCGGCTGTACTCATTCTGTTCAAGAGTAGCCGAAGGAGCGGGTGTGCGGCGCATATTCCGGGAAGCTAGTTCCAGTGCAAACGCCGACACAAGAGCACGGTTCTTAAACCGTCCAGAAGCCAGTAAACTCGCTAATAGGGATGAGCCAGTACTATGCAAAGAAGCCATTACCGCGCGTACCGTAGATCAATGGCCGTAAAATATAGATTGCTTCAGCTAGCCAATCTTGAGGGGTAGCAAGTTTGTTGACTAGGGAAAGGGGAGGTCTGACTGAGGAAGTTGTGAGCGCCTTGGGGAGGAGGTAATCTTCAACCGAGGAGTCGGAACGCGATGGAGGGGGAGGGGTGACTAGCAATGGACTAGGGCTGAGAGGTAGGGGGACGTGGTTGTTCTTCAAATGTTCGGGCGTAGAGGGCATGGAGCTCGGGAGGCTCTCGGTGACGAGGGTAGGGGAAGATAGGGTAGACTTGGGAGGGAGAGTGGATGGGTCGAAGTCTCGCTCGGGAACGGCAGGCGACAGTAGGGGGCGGCGGGTTATTCTCAAGAGGGCAAAGCGAAGCAATGCTCTGGGTGTAGAAGTTTACAAAAAAAATCACGGGCGGCGGGACTGGTATGAAGCTCACTTGATAGTTTCCAACAGAATGATCCCTCTCCAGCGTGTTTTATCAGAAGTCTTCCTACGAAGGCCCATTTCCACAAGAAGTTGCGTATATTTGAGAAGCTCAAGTGTTCTTGCAATCCACTTATATGCGCTATCCTTGTCGCACCATGCACGGGCGTAGCGAGTGTGCAAGGGAACGGGAAGTATGGGCTTCCACTTTGAATCATTCTGGACTATCCGGGCAAGGAGAGTATCATGATAGAGGCTGGTTACATTGAGTAGGGCAGACACTAGGATAGAGTGAGGGGGTAGAAGTGGGGGAGGGGATATTGGCTTACCAGACTCCGACGCAAGCTCGGCATCCTTGAATCTGCCTGGGAGGAACCAAGTAACAGACCTTAGGGTCGATTCGAGGGTGGAGATAGTGGAGACATTATTGATGAGGAATGACTCGTACTTGGCTAAAGTAGACGACATCCAGAGAGAGGGAGGGGTCAAGGGAGCACCCACGCCCAAGGACGAGTCGAGTGGAGGTAGTCTGTCTTGACGCGGACGCTGGCTTTCAGGAAATCAGGTGGCCCGAGAGCCAGACCGCTAAGTGAACCGGAGAACTGCCGGAGGGCATCGGCACTTCCCGAACTAGACGAGCTTCTTCGAAGGACTTGCTCGAAGTGATGCACTTGCTGTACCTGACAGTACTTAGTATCAGTACAGGGTTACGTTGTGCATTTAAACCGACGAAAACTATTACTTGGACTGCCGTTCGATAGGATCACAAACCAACTAGCTTGTATTCATTGCCAGTCTGTCACCCTTGTATTTATGTACCTAAAACCTGTGCACAGCACGCTTGCTCGTGAGATCGCGCTTATATCGTTTGTATGCGTCTCTGGTGTACAAACAGTATGATGCACTACACACTCAAACAATGTGTTATCGAGCACTTGCTCAGCGCGCCTGAGCAAGGGACTGCGGTCCCCACACCCTCCTCATTGCGGCTGCTCGTCGTCCTTCGTTATGGATGAAACAGCAACGACCATTCCCAAGGAGTATCTACAAGTCAGTCCAGTCAGGGGCCAGTTAGAGCCTCATGACGGCACCTCCAGGTCAGGCTGGCGATACATACAATGCACTGATACCCCCAACGAGCTCAAGGTCAGTCGAAGTATCTGTAACCTCTGATGTATCTTATCGCACAATCAGGTCCTTATTCCACCGCGGACTGCCTCGTTGTATGCACTACTTCTTAAAGCAGAGGCTGCAGAACTCCACAAAGCCGCAGATGCATCCTGGGCTCGCATACTCGATATTCGTAGGCTCAAAGACCGCATGATAAGGAAATGTCAGCGACTTGCTCAGCAATACAACTCCCTCCGGTCTTCAGAAACGTCCCCCTTCGTTACTCTGCATGCACCCCCTGATTTCAGGCTTAAGGAAATGGAGAAGTGGATCCGTCAGGAAGAAGTGATAACTGAGGGGTTCGGGCAACTCAAGATAAATACTGCGGTTGACAGCCTCCAAGTAATTGCCTCTCAATACGTCTATGACAATGGTGACCTAACATCTGCTAGCACCAACAACAGGCTGTTCATCGACGCGTCTCAAGTCATTCAGTCCACTCGCGTCGTTCATCCGAAAGGATGACCCAGAAACAAGCATCTTCCCGTCGTTCATCTCAGTTGAAACAGAGCTCGTCAAGTCACGCCGAGAAGACCTCTGGCTCAGTCAAATATCATCGTGCCACCAACTACGACAGCCGGTTTCATGAGGATATCACTGAGGAAGACTTCCATGCCCGGCATTCAACCGAGCAAATTGGCGAGCAAATTGAGCAGGAGCAACGACTAAATGAATTGTTCATCGGCAGAGAAAACGTAGAAGGCCATATGGAAATGCCAGCACCAGCGTTTCCCGCCACATCTCCAGAGCCTCTTCCACACCCTCTCCATGGATCGAGTTCGATGCTCTTCCAAGCCGTTGTGGAACCACCAGCACCTGAATTTCCCCTTCCGGAAACGCACGAACCACCCGCACCTGAGTTTCCTCTCCCAGAAACACACGAACCACCTGCACCCGAGTTTCCCGTTCCAGAACTACACGAATCTCCAACTTCAAGCTCAGGCGACCTTCCTTTGTTAGAATTTGATGCAGGACGAACTCCTCGTCCTGGGTTAACCCGCCGAAGGAGTAGCCTGAAACGGTCTAACGAGGCTCTCAGGTTTAGCGCTTACTCGGCGAAGTCAGTATCTTGGGCTATGGATCGAGACTGGACTGAACAGGTAACTAAATATGAAGCAGCACAAGCTGAGCTAAAGGAAGCTGGTACGTAAATTACATGCTTCATTGGGGTAGTCGCAGGCCTCATTTTCAGACATTAAGACCGTGATTGGGATGAGATTTGCGCATCGTATCGCGAAGAGCTGGGTTTGCTAAGAAGTCTACGTCGAAATGTTGGTTCCAGTATACAACGGCTTCAAGGTGAGGTAGAGAGACTTCACCAGGAAGAAGGGCTCGTTCGTGCGCAAGAGGAAAAATTACACATGAGCTTCGAGCAACTTCAGATGAGACATCAACAATATCGAACAAGAGGTGCGTAGCATTAATTTTATGCGTGCGGTCTAGTGTGCTCAAGGGCAAACATACACTCAGTCAAGAGCGTCATGGAAGAGACTCAGCAAGTAATCAATTATTGCAATACGAAACGTGACGAACTTCTCCAAGCCCTCTAAATTCGCATATACCAATTATCCTCTATCCCGGAAAATGACAGCAGATACCAATCCAATGTGTAGTGTAGGTTAAACTCGTGGAATCATCAAACTATGGGGTAACTTATACCATCGCTAATCATAAAATGGATATCATGCAAGCGATTAGAGAGCTTGTTGTCTCATGGCGCGATGCCTCTTGGCTTTGATCCACCAAAAGCGGATTATGAAAATGAAAGCGCATTCAGCGACAAAACACGCAGAAATAACGATCCCGAAGACGTAGTAAGGTCCTGGGGGATCGATGCTGTTTGCGAGTATGTGGACATTCATAGAGAATATACCTGAGCGATATGATCAGCGTCTTCGCAAGGCCTTCCAGCACTCGCGTATGCATACCGATTACAGTCTGGGAAAGGACCACCCCCAGACTGATAACAGTCAGAGCAAAAATGGCTTTGTCGGAACCATTCTTCGCTAACGAAACGGCAGTCCGCAACTGGGATAGATGCGCTGGATGGGACTGGCTTAGCATGCGCTCGTAGTGAAACAAAGAGTGCTGAAGAGTTAGGATGTGGTCTACAGACAAATTCAGGCCCCTTCTTTCGTTGGTAAATACGGACTTACCCTGGATGTCACCCATGTAGATCGATATTTCGACATCCTCGTCGTGGTTGGTCACTCTGGCTAGCCCAACCTGCCCGCTTGATAACAACCTTTTGCGGATCTGAGTGAGCACCTCAGACTTAGCCGCCAGTAGGCGACTGAGGGAAGTGACAAGTCGACGGGTCCTAGCCATCCGACGCAAAGCTGTATGGGTTTGGCTCGTTTCGGGACGAGCGTCGTGTGCAGAAAATAACGGTAGCCTGAATGCAGTGATTTTGCGCTTGACACGACGAAGGAACAGGGGCCATGTGAAACGGGGGAGGAAAAAACGTGTCCTTGGTTTTCGCAGAGAAACTGGAAGAGGTTTCTCAAGATGGGAAGAGATTGAACCATCCTCATTCGCCTGCTTCTCTAACATCTCTGCTTGGGTTGAAGGCACTGTGTTTGGATAAGACCGCGTCTGGACAGCGCTTTCGACCCCGTTGGGAGGCGAGAACACTAATGCCTCAACAGCCATCACTTCCTTCTCTACGTCACGCAAGATAGGAAAGAAGGAGTCGACGACCGAGTCGAAGAGTCCGTGTGATATCCAATCTGACATATATGAGGAAACAACAGCTGTGAAGGGTGCTTGACCGTGCTTACCAGCAGACATGTTGAAACTATCCTTGAGCATGGACATCCTGTTGCGGACACGTTCGGTATGATCTAGGCTGATTAATATCTCGGCATACTATGAATAAACGGTAAGCACCTGATATGTCCGTGAAATGAAACTAGAATATGCGGATGGGTCAGGACAGATACACCTGCGTTGCATTCGTTATGACGAACCGTGCATATTCCCTCACGAAACACTACAAGATAGACATTGGATTCTCCTAATGCACCCTCCCTTTCGAAGAAGTCGGTTTCGTGATGGGAATCGTTGCCTAACGGCGGGTGTTGTCGCTGAGAAGTGGTTTCAATAGCACGAAGTACGATAAAGTAGTATCCAAGCCTGTCGAATAGCTCGAGTTTCTCACGAGGTTCTTGCTGGAGGATATCCTCAAGCGTTAGAGGGTGAAGGTGGAGAAGCTGCAATAACTAGTTGAGCCAACAGAAGGCGTAAGGTTGAAGAAAGGTTGACTTTGCCAATAGCACGCATATCGGTCCAAGATGGGCTTGCGACATCTAGCCACCAGGCACGAGACTGTTTGCGCACCTCTGCATCCCAAAGCGATCCTGCCCTTAGTGGTACTTCCTTCTGCTTTCCCTTGCCGTTTCGAAGTGCAGTTAAATCGGTGAAGGACGCTGGTCTACTTGGAGCTCTGATCGATTCGGGCAGCATATAGTCATGATGATTTCGAGAAGGACCTGCTGGGGCTCCCTTCCGCGTGCGAGCCTTGTTTTGTGTCCTTTGAGCCTTCGCCGACCTCCTCAGGGCGGCCTCCAGCTGGGAGGTTACGAGAGGTAGCGAAGTAGTGTGAAGAATGGAATCTTTATCGAAAGAATCTCCGACATCATTCAAGGGTATTGACCCTGGGGCGATGGTAGGGGGAAGGTAAAGGGTGAAGGATCGCGGGGCCAGTCGGGATTCCTGCCTGGCACGGATGCGAGCAGCAATGTCGCGTTCAGAAGCGGCCGAGCGGATGGAGGCCCTCCTTCTCCTCCGAGCTGTACGCGAGCGGGAAAGAGTAATGACAGAAGAGCTGACGGAAGTCGAGGATGTGCTAGAGGAGGAGTCCGAGTCCGATCCATTTTTCTTGGCCCAGCGCGAAATTGCGTTCTCAACTACTGAGGCGAGGGCGCCAATGCCGAAGATGCTGCTGGAGGAGGACGAAGAAGAGACGGTCTCGGCGTGACTTGAGACGGATCGGACGGAGGCTGGTCGAAGCGGGGGAGGACCACCTCCTCTGTAGATGTCATCGTGATCGTCTTGTTCGGAGCAGTTGTCACGCTCGAGGATGTCGGTCATAGCACATACCAGGGGAGTGTAGTCAACAGTGCAGACAGGAAACTTGAGACACCCATCCACTCCGGGTGCGACGCTGTGGCCGTTAACGAGGAATTGACATACGTCCTACGTCGCTCCTCCGCATGTGAACGCCTGCTTCCCAAACCAACTTAATCATTAATTACAAGCTTTATATACTTACGCATTTGATTCTAAGACAACGTTATGTTAACGTGTGTTCGCGATCATGTATTTTACATGACATTGCACATGGGTACAAGCTGAACGTAACAAAGTCACTGGTATTGAAATATAACCAATTGATAATACTAAACACAAGCTTCAGAGTCTCCTCCGGTGGCTTACTTCGACTCGGAATGGCCCTTGGTTAACTCTTTCACAACAGACCCCATGTGGGACTCGTGTGCCACAGACGACAGCCATCCCGGGACAGACGACGACGACGGTCCTCCGTCCTCACCAGACACCTTATATTGAACCTCCTGTAAAACCTCCTGGCCCAGAATACTACCCAAGCTGACCAAATTTTTCGCAGTGCTCCAGATATGTCCTGCTGTAGAGCTAGATGCTGACTGTACTTGTTTCTCGCCTTGCGAATGCTTCTGGTCGTGTTTGTCGGGAACATATGCCCATTTTTGCTTCACCTCGAGCTCCAAAGGCAGGAGTTCACAGAACGGTGCTGTGCCACTTTTTATCATCTCCGCAAGCGATGGGCGGAGGTGTACCTGTTCTTTGACGGAAGGATGGAAGTATTCATGTGTCTTGTTGTCCGTATGCTGGGGTAATTCCCTGTTTATCTCCTCGGAAAAGGCAAAGATTCCGGTTCTGGGGCTAGGGAAGTAACAGAATTCAGCTTTTACAATATTTGGGCGCCAAAGCTACGTACTCGTGCGGGGGCTGCTGGCCCCAAGGTGCTACTGGATCAGGCAGACTCGCAAGATACTTGAAGTTCAAAGCCAAGATGTCTCCGATACTGGCCTGTAAACATAAGTCAGGATTGAAGACAATGGGATACAGAACTAATCTCACCGCCATCCATGTCAAAGTCAGGTCAGAAAGGTCGTGATCTTGCCAGCCTCCGCCAATCTGCAAGAAGGTTAGCTAGGTAACAACTGGACGCGAGCAAACTCAAATCTACATCTGAGTGAGAGCCTAAAGATACGTCAGCAATCGGAATACAGTAAGAGCAACTGTGGCGAGAACGATTTACCAGTAAACCAGACTTGTTTAAGAACCTGCCCTCTGACGCGTCCCGCCTCGCTTTGATTGAACTTGGCGCAGTTCTACCATACCTCTTTGAGTAATACTCAACCCTAACAGCCATGGATTACTTACAAAGTCCTCCCTTGTCTCATTTATGGCTAACGCTTGATATGCACGCTCGATGTGATCTCCAAGCTCTGTGTTGGGAAACCCAAAGATCGATTTTGCGGGAGGAGACTTGCGGGTGATCTCCTCCGGAAGACCAACGGACCCCACGGTATCGAAGACGCCCACACACCTACGATAGTTGAAACAGTGTGAATGGATGACACCGATGCACTCACTTGACAGAGAAGGTGTCGCGATCTGCATCGGCCCGCTTCTTGCCAGAGGACTCTGGAGAGGTCCAACGGGCAAGCTTAGTTTGTAAAGCTGCCTTCTCTACGCAAAAAGTACACAACGGCAAATACATTTGCTGTTTATTCCCTTACCTGCTGGATCTTGCGCTTTCCCTAACTTCTGGTAGTTGACGAAAATCTCAGCGAAGTGATCCATGTCTGTACGGTCCAAAATGCCGATTGCGCCCTTGGCCATTATTAGAGGGCTATATATACAGGGTTACTGAACCACTGACTATAAACATAGCCACCATACGAGCGGTGTAGGCACCCTTCGAGGTAGATGAGTTTCAAGTAATTAATGTATAGATCCAAGACTTACACGTGAGAAGCCGAATAAGAATACCTTCGCGCATTTATATCACTTATATCGAGAACGGACAGTGTCGGTATTGCGAAGGCCACATACCTCATCACCAGGGTGGAAGTTCCTTGTCAGGTTGGTTAGCCCTACCCAATGCTGTATCTAGGATATGAACAATATCTTACTGCGAAATGAAGGCGTACGCCTCTTGCACCTTTTCGGCTAAAGTATATCGTTAGCAGGAGACTCTATTGAAGGTCTGTCGCTTGCATGTTACCTAGGGAGGCACCGGTAGCACCTAAAAGTGTCTATCCTGTCAGGACTTGCCCATTACTAGTCATGGAAGTACTTGCCTATGTAGTACTCAGAGTACAGGTTTTGAGCGCTTCCAACACCACTCTGATAAAAGACAACTTGCGGGATAGGCGGTTGCCTGTGGATAACGTGAGTATGCGGGTTGCTACCATGTAGTTGCCTCACTGACACACGAGGATCGGTATGTTCAATGGCTCTGGATAGTTTCTGACAGAATATAAGGTTAGGTTAACTCATTGCAGACATGTGATTGTCCATACCAAGATGTTGGTGTACATCCAGCGTTCTTTCATAACAATGCCATCTTGCCAAGTACTACAAACAGAAATGTCACAATTACGTAGAGCTTAGGACAACCAAAAGTGGCGCACCCATCACAACACACTACAATCCTCTTCTTGACAGCACTGTGGTCCGCTTGGGCCGAGAAGCTTTGTCTGAGTGGAGGGGAGGTCATCGTGGATGCTTATCGCTACGATGTGAGCTGTGGTAAATTAGTAACGCGCTGGGAGATGATGGGGGGAAAGGCGACGAGAGAGTACGGCGACTGCCAGGGGTCTATTATAGGCACCCGAGGTCGGGATGTGCGAACAGGTTTTGACAGCATCCAGCATCATGGCGCTGCGCTATTCCTCATGCGTGATGACAAGGGAAGTATTATTCCGAGGCGGGCTATTATCTGATCAACAATTTACTTCCGGATTCAGTATGAAAAGGAGCTATACGGGCTGTCCAAATGTCCGATATCATGTAGAGATGGCTATGAACTATTGTGATGCTGTCGGTGCCGCGGGTTCTGAGGATGAGCGAAGATTATGACCGGAGACGAGTTTGCCGCTTCTAGTCTCAGCGGGTCAAAGAGATATCGGCGAGATCAGTTTACCGTCCCAATGTGTTGCCCGGGTCCATCGCAAAAGTCTCCAACGCCATGACAATAGTGTCAGCTGGTTATAATTGGAACAGCATTCCGAGAACCGAGGAGATTGCCTACTTGCCCAGGCGCATTTCTGCACCGGCAAACTCGTCAAGAGCCCGGCAAAAGTCGGTTTCACTGATAATCATGGGTGTACCTGCCGTAGCAAATACTGGATCTGATGATGAAACAGGCAAAGAGCAAAGAGCTTTTGGAAGTGTACAGCTTGCGATATGCTGAGTTAGAACGTGGAGTTATGTAACGAAAGGAAATACCGTACTGCATTTCCGTCAAATTCAATTGCCACGGAGGATAGCCGTGGAGCTCAATGGATCGCTGTGCGTAAGGTGGCGAGCCCAACTGATAGATGACCATGAGGTCTGGACACGGTAGAGGACCTGAGCCGAATTGGCGTTAAAATGAATGCACCGACGAGCTAGACTGCATACCCTCGAGAGCATCACGAAGATACGTGGTTAAATATTGACCAGCAGCATACGCTAATTGACTTCGTGGACTTGCAAGTCCGTCACGAACGAGACATTCGGCAACAGAAGCTACGGCCGGTTTGCCCGAGTCCCGAGAAGCCAAATAGATTGTGAGGTCGTGCAAGCTGGTATCTGTCTCTAAATGAGGAAGAACGTCAGTGGCCTTGGGTAGCATTCATCAACACCGAGGCTTTACTGAGTGAGGACGTTTTGACAGCGACATTCCTCCTTCTACATGGCTGCCGCGGATTCTTCAATGATGTACACTGTATTGAGACTACATTGATTGTAGGGATTGTGGAAGCGAACTCTGAAGTGGGCGAATGGCTTCTGGAGGCAGGTGGCTCGGATATGGGTGGTGTCAATGGATACTCAATTTCAGGTTCTGTGCTTTCGTCCTCTGTGCCATCTTGTGGAACGGTGCTTAGTTGCTCCTGAATGGAGTCAGAGCAGCTGAGGAGAATTCCTATATATATCATCAGCACACAAAATAAGGAGCATGCCCCGCTTGCACAAACCTTGAGAATCATATGCAGTGAGCGACGGAATTCCGGTGACCCTACACCATGCTGCGACGCGCTTGAGACAATCCAAGAATGCGAGTTCGTTCAAGTCACGCGAGTGTCCCTCTTGAGGAACCAAGACGAGGCAAAGATGAGAAGGTAGCTTCTTGCGTTTGGCAGTTAGCGGGCGCGCGAGGCCTTGAGCTTTTTGACGCGTCGAATATGCGAGAAGTGCGGCGTAAATGAGATGGAAGAGACGGAGCAAACACGAGTTCAACATATTCATCCTTAGAGGGCCACACGAACGAAAGACAACCAGAAAAGAATGTGAGCCAAGTCAGGGGGGTTCAGTAGTTCAAGGAGACTTGAGGGTTGCATGTACAGTTGCTAGTCCATATTAAGTTATTAACCCAGCGGGAGGCAGAGTCATGACAGCCACAGGGCGCTATTTGGGGCGCTTGTCTCCATAACCACGTTTCGACAACGTGGCCCCACAGAGTTGTAGCAAGTACACGTACTAGGTACGGTAAACAGTACTCGCCAGCTGCATATATGTTGCAGTGAATAGCTATCATAAAAGCTTGCAACAATTGGTATTATCAAAGTATACATCATACGTACAGCTAGCAGATTCGAAGCGTCAGATTACTTCTAGAACGGAAGCAGAAATGAAAGGTCCTCGTGAATAATCTAGAGAATACCGCCATCAGTCTCCTGGATGCCTCTCTTGACCTTGAGAAGAATTGCTGTCTTCCAGTTGTCCAGTCTCGTCACTTGATCATACTCTACGACAGCTGCAGTAAACGCTTCCTGATTTTCACTTTCCATCGCCTCAATCAGGACATTGATGAATTTACATTCTCTCGTCGAGGTAAAGGTCACATCCTGCGATGAGTATTTGGCGATGTTGCGTTTGGCAGTGACAGTGTCCTATAGAAAGGTGAGCACCACTTAATGGTGAACAACAGGATAACTTACGCGCATAGCAAGTGCGCATAGGCTGGCACGTAACCAGTACTCTCTGACACTGTATTTCGTCAACGGGGATGCAAGGGAGTGGTTGGCAACTTGTTCGTATCGTTGAATAGCTTGAGGGTAGTTCTCAAGGTCCGCGTGGAGATCAGCAGCATCTTTGTAGCATGCATTTGCGGTTCTAGCATGTCGCCATCAGCAACGCATCAAAAGGCATTGACAATAGAAGCTCACGATCCAGCATCTTCTTGTGAGTACCATTCCGCAGCTCGCTCATAACTTTCACAAGCCTTGCCCAGGTCTCCAAGCTCATTCTGATACAGCTGCCCAATCTCTTTCTCCCGATCTGCCGCTTGACGGAAGCGACCAGCGTGAGTGTAGTGGGTGATTGTTTGTGTCAGTGCCTGGATAGCGACTGGTGAACGCCATCACACAAGAGATGTTCATCAGCAAGTCATGAAGTGGGATAGTGTACTCACGATCGGGGTGCCCTTGCTTGTATGCCTTTGCTGCGTTCCACCAGGCATTGGCAGCCTCGTTCGTCTCCTTGCACTTCTCTCTGCACTCGGCCTCGCGAGCGAAGGCATCGCCAGCCTCCCTGAACTGCTTCTCGAGCTTATAAGCGTTGGCTGCTTGCTGGTACAAATCTCCTGCTTCCTCGAATTTGGTTGAGGAAGAGGAAAACCAGCCTGCAGAGGAATTTGCCTTCTTGTCTGCCTTTTCGGCCAGAGTCTGTGCCGGGGACTTTGAGGGCATGATGGAGTGGATGAAACAGGGTTGGGCTGTGGATGTCCTAATTCGTCTTCAGCCACCCGCGATTTATATTGATCACGAGAATGCAACGCCAACTTGTTGTGCGTTTCATCTCAAAGTCAACCTACTAGCACTCAACGCACTCAACCATGGTTGCACTTCCCATCGACGAGATAAAACGCCTGTTGGACCTCCACCCTAAATCGCCATCCATACGCTACCAATATGGTACCGCAGGTTTCAGAACCTTGTGAGTCTCGTCTGGATCGGGCCAAGCCAGTCACTGATCGCCCCCGTTCAGGGGCAAGGTCCTTGATCCTGTTCTCTTCAGAGTCGGTGTTCTTGCCGGCCTAAGGAGCAAAAAACTCGATGGCAAGGTCATTGGTGTTATGGTCACAGCATCCCATAACCCAGAGCCTGTAAGTTTAGGAATTCTGGTTGTACTGCTACGATTGAACATAGCTTTCAGGACAACGGCGTGAAGCTCGTAGACCCTCGTGGAGAGATGCTCGAATCGGCTTGGGAAATTCATGCTACAAACCTGGCAAACGCAGCCACTACTGATGACTTTGTGGCTGCCCTCGAAGATTTCGTCAAGTTGGCTAAGATTGATCTCTCCAAGCCCGCTCGTGTCGTGTTTGCCCGTGACACTCGCCCATCGGGCCCCGCCCTCGTTGCATCGCTCAAGGATGGCTTGCAGGCTATCGGTGCAGAAACTCGGGACGGCGGAATAACCACCACCCCGGTCCTTCATTATCTTGTGCGGACGATGAACACGAAAGGAACCAGTGCATCATACGGCGATGATTCTGAAGAAGGTTATATCACCAAAATTAGTACCGCTTTCAAGAACCTTGTGGTATGTGAACCTTCCTTCATTAGCGGCGCTTCGTTATTCTAACCAACCTTTTAACCAACCAGGCTGGCAAAGCCGCTCTGGCTCCTCTAACTATTGACTGTGCTAATGGTGTTGGTGCCAAGACGGGTCAGCAGTTCCAGGATGCCTTGAAGGACACCCTTCCGATAGTTCTTGAGAATACGAATGGTGTTCTGAACGAAAACTGTGGAGCGGATTATGTGAAGACGTCCCAGAAGCTGCCTCCTTCTTTGGAGACTGTGCTACAAGCCGGTCAACGTGCATGCAGTCTTGACGGAGACGCCGATCGACTCATTTACTACTATCTCGACGAACGCCGTCAGTTCCACATGCTGGATGGCGATAAAATAACCGCCCTCACAGCCAGTTTCATTGTGGATCTCGTCAAAGCTTCCGGCTTGGAGCAGAAAATCAAAGTCGGTGTTGTGCAGACCGCCTATGCCAATGGCAGCTCGACCAAGTACTTGACAGAGGTATGAATATCCCTTATCGAAACTTCAAATGGCTTGACCTGCACTATGTAGCGTCTTCCGGTGAAATGTGTCTCCACCGGAGTGAAACATCTACATCATGCAGCTGAGCACTACGACGTCGGTGTTTACTTCGAAGCAAACGGACATGGGACAGTGTTGTTCTCGCCGCAGGCCGAAGACACTATCAGGAATCACAAACCTTCCACTCCCGCGCAATCTACGACACAAACTCATCTGATCAACACAATAGATGTCATCAATCAGACAGTCGGGGATGCCCTTTCTGACATGCTTCTCGTTGAGATTGTCCTAGCACACAAGTCCTACAGTGGTGCCGAATGGGATTCGCTGTATGCGGATCTCCCCAATCGCCTTGTCAAGGTGGTTGTCGGTGACCGAAACGCGTTCAAGACGGAGGATGCCGAGCGGCGTCTTGTTAGCCCTGTCGGACTGCAGGCCAAGATTGACGAGCTTGTTAGAAAGTACGAAGGCGGACGTTCGTTCGTTCGTCCGAGCGGGACCGAGGATGTAGTTCGTGTCTACGCGGAGGCGGCACTGCGTCCTCAGGCAGATGGTACGTACAACCACAATAGTGAACTAGGTTGTCCCTAATGCAGCTTGCTACCGCAGAACTGGCGTTCCGAGTTGCAGGATTGGTCTATGACGAGGCTGGAGGGGACCCGGTCAACAGGCCGCGAGAGTTCCTCTAAAATATCAAGGGACAGTGATAACATGGGTCTGGTCAAAGTAGTGTATCAATCGTTATGTATGTACTATATGGAATAGGACACGAAAGGTCCGAAGATGCCCCAGGTCTGAGATCTGAGTCACCAAGCTTAGGCTCATAAGTACCTGGCCAGTCGCGTATATAGCGGTAGCAATTGTGACTTGTCTCCGAGCCATACTCTGCACGGGCGAATATGCTTGGGCGGCACGACAGCGCTCGCCTTGGTGTTCAACGTCTCTCAATCTCAAACCAGAGGTTAGTGAAGCCTTATCTGACTACGGACTGGTGTGCTGATGGACGTCGTATGTCCGTCAGGCTGAGACAAGTCCGTTACCAGTCGAGCACGGTCATTCGCATACCAGGATCGAACATATATCGCTTGGGTGACTCGAACTTTGCATCTCCCGTCTTTTCCAACGTCACTTGGACAGCCAAAGACGGCGAGAGCTGGGCTGTAATTGGTGCTGGATCGAATCAGAAGACAGCGCTGCTGAGGGTATTGTGTAAGCTCCCTTTGTCTCCGTATAAGCTTCGCTCACTCCCTTCCCTCTCTCTTCTAGACTTTGCTTGGGCACTTCCGCATCACACCACCACCAGCCCCATCTGAGGGAGGGCTTTTCCCGTTCCTTGCACAGGCCGACCCGCCTCGTGACCCGCACACGAATGTCGCACTCGTTTCCTTTGCACACCGTCCCCGCACCTCGGGCACTGGCTTTTATGACTACACCGCACGTTATGGCGCAGTTCGCGAGGAGGACAGAATCACATTACGTGAAAGCATGTTTGGAGATCATGATTATCTCAACCTCCGGCCAAATAAGCCTGAAGACCAGGTCAGCAAGTCGTCAGAGGAGCTTGCAGTAGAAGAGAGAAAGAAGGCGCTGTTTGAGGAGATGGTGGAAAGACTTGGTTTGAGCCAGCTACTTGACCTTCCACTCGTTGCGTTATCCAACGGGCAGACCAGGCGAGCGCGGATCGTCAAGGCACTGTTGGCCCGGCCGGAGTTGCTCATACTGGACGAGCCGTTGAGTGCGTTCTTTCCTTCCGTTTCTACCTAGTAATGTTCAACGTGCTAACACGGAGGTCTATGTAGCGGGTCTTGACGTGTCTAATCGTCCAAAGTTACTTGATATCCTACATAACTTGCACGTTGCACGCAACCCACGTGTTTTATTGGGGTTACGTCTGCAAGATCCTGTACCTGAGTGGATCACCCACCTCGCTCTTATCAGCGAGAAGGGCGTCATCACCGGTCAAAAGGATATTGTTTTGGAGGCCGAGGCCAAGCGGAGCGTGCGCGAGGAGCGTGATTCACAGTCGCGCTCTTCGAATGCTAGCAGCAGCCTTAGCGGCTCAGGGCGATCGACTGTGGTTGACTTGAAGAACGTTAGCGTGACTTACGGTCCTAGGCAGGTGTGCTTGCTTCGCTTCTTTTGCCTGAAATTGCAGCTCATTCACGCGCATCAAAGGTACTGAAAGAAATTAACTGGACAATTCGCGAAGGCCAGCGGTGGCACCTCAGAGGACCCAATGGTTCGTCACTTCCCTTCTGCAGCTTTCCTCACATCACTGACTTACATGTACTTAAACCACAACATCTAGGGTCCGGAAAGACGACCCTCCTTGCCCTCCTTACGGGTGACCACCCACAATCGTATACTCAACTCGGAACTTCTCGGCACCTCCGTCTCTTCTCCCGCCCCCGTTCGCGCATACCCACTCCTCATCTTCGCTCCCTCATCGGTGTCGTCTCACCAGAACTAGCAAATGCTTACCCCCGTCGCGCCGGCGTATCCGTTTGGGAGGTCGTTGGTACTGGTTTCGATGGTGCATTTGTCCCCGGTGGACTGGATGGCGTTGGCCACGGTATCGACGGGCCACTCAGCGATGAGCAGCGCCGGTGGCGGGTGCAGCGTGTACGTGAGGTTATGTCTGGGCTAGGGCCCTCAAGTTGGGCACCGAAGCAGCTCCATGACCCCACAGCGGACAGTCAGACGGATGTGGACACACACGGTGGTAAACTCAAGGCAAGCGATGTAACGTTTGCAGAAAGAGATTTTGCAGACCTGGCTGCTGGAGAGCAGGCTATTGTGCTACTCATGCGGGCTCTCGTGGGCAGACCACGTCTCGTCCTACTCGATGAAGTATGGAGTGGGATGGACGACTCCATGGTACGTGCTGCGCGAGCATACCTACGCGACGGTGGCGGAGTCGACGATGATCAAGCTGCTGTGGTGATCAGCCACTGGGAGGAGGAGGTACCGTGGAACACCGGAGACGGACTGCGACGAATATCCCTTGAGGACGGGGTGGCTACGTGCTCCTGATTGGTTGCATGTTCATGCATCTCGCCACGTACATACAGTTTGTATACATGTCTAGAAAACAGGGTAATGACCCCAAACGAAGACATCGAAATATTACACGCATTCATACAGATTGGTGCCTTCGCTTTGAGAAACCCAGAAACTGTGCGCCCTTTAAGACCATGGTCCTTCAGACACAGTTCCCCATCCACTCTTCGCGTCATCCCAGCCCGCTGCGCTCGCATCTTCAACTTGATCTGCCCATGAGCCCTTGGACGGCTTCTGTATCTGGTTCTGGTTCTTAAATTGTGTTTTAGCTGTGGTCTGCGGCTGGGACTGCTTTTGATCCTGTGCCTTTTTAGCGTTCTTCCAAGAACCTTTTGCCACCTTGACGCCTGCGGTACCCTTTCCTTTACCCTTGGCTTGAGTCTCCAAGCCAACATCAGGAGCAGGGCTGGTTGACCTCCCGTGAGACTCAGTTGTGGCATTTGATTTATCCACGTCGAGGTCACTGGTATCATCCGGGGTGGAAGTTGTCGGCAATGGATCCCAGTCTGCCGAAGGCACAGCGTTCCACAGGTTGTCCGAATCGTTACCTATGTCGGTCCCTTCGGCACGACTCATAGCACTCTCCTCCTCGAGTGCCGCGTTAAGATCCTTCAACTCGCGTGGCGCACCCTTCCAGTTCGTCTTTACCAGTGCACCCCTCCCTTTGTACATGTCATTGCCCCGCCCGCCTCGGTCTCGGTCTGCAATGCCGGACCCACGCCAACCACGTCCGCTCCCGCGTCCACGTCCTCGACCGGCGGCATCAGCTCGCTGGGCACGTTCTTCGGCCCATTGCTTCTTGCGCTTCTTCTCTGCGTATTCCCTGCATATACCTTTTGTGCAAAGTTTTCCGTGAGCGGGGCACAGGTCGTCGTCGTTGACGCCTGATACAGAGCTGAGCTTTGCCCAACCTTCGTTGCCTCCTGACTCTCCGCTGGCGTTACTCTGCGCGGGCGACGCGCGGCGTGCATAGGCTTCTGCGTCATCACCTGGCTTCAAGCCCCAAACGTGGTCGTCATCGTTGTTATCTTGAGGGACGCCAGAGCCGTCATGTCCAGATGAGACAAGGGAGGGAGAGGAGCCATGAACGACACCTTGAGCTCCCGACATGAGCACACCCATGTCAGCAAGCTCGTCGTCGTCGTCCTCTTCGTCGTAACCATAGCCATCCACACCCCTGGGTTTTCCGTTTTCGTCATTCAGCGTGAGCTGACGGCTGAGTGCATCTGCCATGCCATCTGGCATGGGTACCTGCACCGCGTAAGGGTTTGGCGAATGATCCATCCCATTTGATGATGAATTTGCCAAACGGGCTGAACCTAAGCCTGGAGGCGGACCCCAAACATTCACTGCAGGGCCAGATGTTGAAGGCGGGCCTTTCGACCAAACTGATCTCGGAGGCAAAGGCGCGAGTCCCGGCGGAGGGCCGAGCCCAGGAGGTGTAGATCCAGGGGGAGGTGTAAGTCCAGGAAGCGTGTTGGCCCCCTCGGCGATTGGAGACTTCTTGCCAGAGATTTCGCTAGAGAAACTCATGATCGATTGGTTATCCCAGCTTGAGTTAAACCCCGTCAGAGAGTTTGGAGCTTGCCCTGGGACACCAATACGCTGAGCTATGGGAAACCGGCATGAATTCGTCTGAGAGGGGACACGCACAGACTGTGGACGCTTTCGCAACTGCATGACCACCCCCAGCTGCAGGCTTCTTTCCACCGGGAATGTTCACTTGAGTGATCTTCGCTGCTTGCTGACCCCGAGACTTGGGGATACCTTTCGACCAAACACTCCCTGTAGCCTTGGTTTTTGGGCCGGAAGGTGGTGCGTCCGGGTGGCGCTTCGCTTGGAGCCACTCTGACGAGCCGACAACTGATACCTCGCCGACTCAACCATCGACTACATGAGCAAAACACCTATACTTACCCGGTGGCGGAGCCGCAAGGATCTCGGGAGGCGGGGCCTTGACTGCGGTTGGGAGAGGTCGAAAGAGAGACTGAATAGTCCTATCAATCCCTTGAGGCAGATCGCAAAAGTGAGTGTAGGGATAGGGAAACTTGATGAACCTAGTTTTATTGATATCAGGAAAGAGTTTGGATTTGTGCGACAACGAAACGTGCTTGTTTTTAGGACTCCATGTCCTGAACCAATCATCCTCGAGCGGCACACACTTCCAGCCTGGAAAGCATAGGCCAAGTATGATATTAGAATATCAACAAGTTGATATGTTCTTTAGGCAAAAGGAGGTCCATGCCACACACCGTGCTTCTGAAGTTCTCTGCCGGAGTGGTAGGTACAATAGTAGACGCGAGATACGTCGTTCTTTACGTCCGCTGGCGGGTTGATTAAGAACTCAGACCATCTGTGTTCACCGAGGATGTGGTCGAGGTGAGGATAGTCCCGCTTTACCTCGATAACGACCACATCGCCCGACTAGTGAACATTGGTTGAAGACGTAAAACCCCTATCTACCCGAAGAATCCAGATGGACTCACCGATGGCCTGTAGTAAAATGCGAGGAAAACCTCCTGGTCAATGCAACACGCCACCCAGCGGGCAAAGTCCCGCTGATGTTGCGGGAGTGCCATTGAGCATCTGCCACCATCCTCGGTTGTGCCGAATGGGTGATGGATGGCGAGGTAGCGGGGCTCGTCATCAGGAGGCGGAGGTGTTTTGACGCGTTTCGGCATTGTCGGGGCTGTCAACGGGATTGGAAGTTATTGAAAGGCAGTGATAACAGTGCAAAAATCAAATCTAATGGACTTTTGAAAGACGTAATATGGTGTTGGCCTCGCGTTTCATGGCATACTTATGGCACGATGGCTACCATACTCGACAGCTGCCAGGACCTGCAATTCGCCACGACCTACAAGCACTCTAGCCTAAGCCATCTCTGTGCCACTGCCAGAAGTTGTCTCTCCTCTGACATTGCAGTGACTGCCCAACTTTCCCCACTGCCCAACAACTCGTAATGTGCCGATTCGTAATTTACAAAGGGACTTCGCCCGTTCAGCTGTCTCATGTATGTCTTCCATCGAAATCCATTGATCTCTGACGTTTCTGAGTCGACTTTGCCCGCACAAGCTGTTGACTCGCCCGTGCCATTCGATCATAAACCAGGCATTTGACTCCCGGTTACGCCTTGATCACCGTCGACCAATCAACGGCGATGGCTTCGGCGTGGGTATGCCTTTGTCTCTAGTCAACTCTTACATTCTCATGTCATTCAAAAGGCTGGTATGACGCAGTTCACGATGAAGAGCTTGGGAGTCAACCTTGTGTCTTTACATCGGTCACTCCGGTGAGTCAGTAAAAGGCCAGCAGAGGTTACGGCTCTTATTATCGCTCGCAAGGCCTGGAACAATGCCAATCTCATAAGGCTGGCAGAGAAGATCAAGTCACCTCTAGTCTTGTGAGCAAATATAGCTAGATTGATTTCATACCTTCTCATTTTGTACAGTGGACATGTGCGTGCTACGACGGCTGGCTCCCTTTCATTGGACAATTGTCATCCATTCGTGTTCGGCAAAGTCATGGTGTGTGCATTCCCTTTGCGCAAATGTCTAATATATTCAATGTCCAACTCAAGTTCATGCACAATGGTGGTATCGCTGAGTTCCCAAAGCTAAAGCGACGGCTGCAAGTCGACCTCCCCGACGAGATATTCAACACTGTGCAGGGCAATACTGGTAATGGGTCGTACCTTTTAAGGCTTTCCCGTATTAAGAACCGAGAATCACAGACTCTGAGTGGGCGTTTGCCTTGTATCTCTCAAAGGTATTTCATTCGCCTATTAGGACTCACCTTTTCCGTACTTACGCATTCCGTGAATGACAGCTCCCCGATCCCAACGCCAAAACATTTACCCCAAATGTTCTGAAGCAGGCAATGTTTGATACCATTGCTTCTCTGAATTCATATGCCGAAGCATTTGGCATCACTGAGGCAAGTTGATATCAAAGACATAGAAAAGTTGCTTAACTGACGTCTTCTCAGCCGAGTTTGATGAATTTTTGTGTAACGGATGGTGCATCTGTAGTTGCAACCCGGTACATATCTTCGCGCCAAGAAGAAGCTGCTTCATTGGTGCGTAAATCGGATTAGAGTACCTTTCACTTCCTGAACATCATCGTGTAGTGGTATTCTTCTGGCACAACATTCAGCGAATATGCCAAAGGCGGTCATTACAAGATGTCGAAGGCAGATAAGAGGGAGAATATTATCATGGTCAGTGTTGGCGATTGTCATGGTTCAAACAAGTGATAACAATCTACCAGGTTGCTAGCGAACCATTGACGTTCGAAAAGGCAGACTGGCGCGAAGTTCGGTGAGTCCCCACGTTTTGACTGGAAGAAGTTTAACTCAATGTAGTCAACAGGACCAATAACATGATCGTCATCACTCCGAAGATGAATCTCTTGCAAATTCCCATTCTAGACAAGTTCTACGTGCCGCCAACAGACCCGGCGTCTTTGAACCGTGGAACAGAGTTTGCGGCAGCAAAGGGCCTCCTGAGCCCCCGGAGTGGTCTGAGACCTGTGGAAGGGACACTGGCAGCGCCACCAATCAGTGTCTGAGCTTCTTTGATTGTGTCAATACTCTACATAGTTGATGATATCGTATATTCCTTTTAAAGGTCTAGTTTTGTATTTAATGATAATACACGGATTGAAAGCCCTAATTTGTCTTTAACGATTGCAGTAAGTAGTACTAGAGCCGTGTTTACATATTGAGATGTTTGGTTTAGTTGCTTTGCGCGTTTTCACGTTCACCGGACACGGCGCGTGTGGTGCTGCCACTCCATGCCTGACGCGTTCATTAGCTTGCCGTCGATTGTTCTCTTCCAAAGCTAGCAGCGCAAGCCTCGCGAACCATATTCTTGTTATGAGTCCTTGGATATTATGGAGTGCGCTGTCGGGCACAGCGAGGTGCGTCCGACGTCATATGTCATGTAGACCTGAACCATCGCTGAGCCTACCTCACTCATATACATGTCTTTAGATTGTCGACGGTTCTTCAGATCTTGCTGTATCTTCCCCTTACTCTTGCAACCCTCTCTGTTCCTGCATTTCTCCTGCTCTCCCTGCTTCTCTCAACACATTCGCTTATCCATGGAACCATGATCCTTTTCTGGGGCTCTGAGGCGTTGTCCGTCATGCAAGTTCCGATGCATCCCTTCCTGCTCCTTGTATCCTTCAATGCCTTTTCTGCATCTGTGCACCCTTACCTCACGACTGCCGTCTCTTGGTGGGGGAAGCTGTTAACTTTCTTCGGACCATCGTATGTGGCTTTGGAAGGCCTTTCAAGCCTATTATGTGTCCAACGAGCTGGTCAATTAGGGAGAGAGCTCGCCGATGAAGCAGAAAGCTATCAGCTTTCCATTCTCGTTGCATCCGCGGCTGCATACGTCGTCGCAGCTTGGTGGATAGCTGTGGTACGTTCTGGTAACCTAATCTCAGAGTGGCGTACTGACGTTCTGCCAACGGCCTGTCGCTCTAGGCTTATCCTGCCGCAGCTTCATCTCCTCTGTCCGCAACCTTGCTCGGAGTGGCATTGACTGCTTTTGTCTTTTTGACTTTCATTGGCTTCCGTATGCGCCGGACAAATATTATTGAGTCGTCTGGACTGGCGTTGTTCCTTGCATATAACGTATGGTTATGTGGCGCCAATCAGACAACATTCTCAGATGCGGGGTCACCCTAGTGAGTCGTCCACATGCAAATCTATGCTGACCACTACTCATGTAATGTTCAGTGCGCCCCTTCTCTCCAACATAATGCCCCACCTTCAAACGCTTGTGAATTTCATCACCAACACCCTCCCAAAGCCGGTCCTTGTTGCGCTGTTCTACCGATTGACAGTCTTGCATTTTGCATCTCGGATATTGCCAACCATTGGTGCTGATAGTTGGGAATCCGAGGATGGGGTCGATGGCGGCTGGGATGGGCGTCCGGTATGTTGGCACTTAACCACCAGCTAAAGTGCTCATGTCCCCCAGACATCGATTATGACGAAAGTGCTTTTGACATATCGGCAACTCATTTTTGTCATGGTATATTCTCATTTACTGCGTGAGTTGTTGTATGAATGACGACAGATTTCAACTAATCCCCCTTTAGTGCTGAATCCATCGTCTCAAATCTGGTGGCGATGGGCAAACATCTTCTTTACCCTCCTGTTATGGTCTGTGGAGCTTGGCGTTAGTGCTGATGATGCCGATATGCCTATGAAGTGGAAAGTGGATTGAAACCCCCAGGAAACGCCCATGGCATTCTCCTAGTTAGATCATCCGCTGTTGGCCTTCCATACTGCCTGATCCTTGTCTTCATCTTCATAGAACTCTCTCTTCCATATCTGGGCCCGCTGTTTAACATCCTCGAGGATTTGTTCACAGGCCACGAATGCCTCTTTGCGATGCGGAGATGATACTGCAATCACAATTGATGGCTCTCCGACCGGGACGTTTCCTAAACGGTGATACAGTGCGCATGATATGATTGCTGGAACAGTGGTGGAAGGAGTGTGATGATCTGATCGGCTGACAGTCTCCTGCGCTCTACGGACGATATCACACATTGTCTTGATTGCCAGTTTGCTGTAAGCTTGATATTCCAAGCGAGTCACTACTTTGCCTAGAACATAGGTAGCGTGTTAGTAAGGGGGCAGAATTGTCACATTGTCGAGGACCTTTGAATGAGTTACGAGTTGTCCCGATAAATGCCGCGATTGCCCCTGCGCCATCGTCTCCCACTGACTGAATTATCTTGCTTGAATCCAATGGTTCATATGTCAAGGCGCAAATTCCTGCAGAAATTTCTTCTTTGGCTGCGACGGACGACGAAGGTGCAGAGTCTGGCATGGTCCCAGTCACAGAAAAGAGAGGCTGCCTGGATCTGCCTGCAGTTTGCTGGGAAAAGGCAAAACTAAATAGCTGACGGACGTTTATATCTGCAAAGCTTAATTGTACATGTCTTAATCTATCCATACCGAGTCAGGCATCGAGAACTCTTAAGGAACGCCGGAAGGCTTCCATAACCTCCCAAGAGTCGGATCCCAAGATCTGATTTGAGGTGTGAATGAGCCCACGGACCAGTCTGACATATACATCTTCCACGCTCCCTTGACGCGGGGTGTCTCGAATTTCGTCAACAACCATTACATTCGCCGCCACTAACACGGCAAGTCGCTCATCGGATCACAATACTTGGTCTACTCGTGCATAATAGTTGCCACATCTTCAACTCCCCAACACTGTATCCCTTGCCATTGAATGGCGCAAGAATCTAGCTTCCCCTCGTCCCAGCAGCCTCGCGAACCCTACTTTGTCAACCCTTCTGGCAACAAGTACAACGTATTTGCACAAGTAGAATTGCAAAATCGTCCGAAACTTGTCCGCTCGCTGCGCGTACGTTTACGCGCTTTCATAGTGACCTGATGTCCTTACTAACTACCTTGTGAATGACAGAACCATGGAGCAAACATTACATCCCAAGCAAAGGATGCAGACATAATCCTTGTCGACTCCAACACAGTACCCGGTAAACTGTTCATTCGGGCATGGTCCTCAGTCCCGCATAAGAAGGTCCTCGAGTACGTTTGGGCTCGAAAATGCCAGGAAGCAGGCAGAGCCCTCCTAGAAGCGGATTCGTGGGGTGGATGTGAAACAGTTGATGACGGAGAGCCTATACCGAGCGAGGAAGACGACGCAATGGACGAAGTTGTCTCAAAGTTCGTGCACTTTCCATTTTATACAGAACGAGTCAGTGATGTTTGCATAACTTTTCCAATAAGTCCTCAGCCTACTCCAAGAGAGACTCCTTCAGAGTCCTCATCCACTCTTAATACGAACCCCGGCCAGATTCCACAACCTCAAATGCACAGTCTAAATGGGGGCAGGCCTTACCCAAGCAATGGAACTATGGCACAACCTGCTGCTCAACAGCAACAGCAACAACATCAGCAGCCTTATCCCGCATCCATGTTTCCTACCATGAACTCAATCAATCCTCTACAGTTTGCCGCCCAACAGGGCTTACCACCAGGAGCTCTACCGCAACTCAGTGGCTTTCCTATGATTCCAGACTCTATGCTGATGACATTCCTCGATGTTGTCCGGCTTGCCAACGGTGCTGCGTACTCAAATAATCAAATACCCAACCCCATGGCGTACAACAACCTAGCGCAACCAACTTCAGCTGCTATTTCTCATGGTTATATGGCCCAGCCTGTTATCAAAACTGAGTCTCCTCCTAGTAGTGGTAACCACCACAAGAGTACCAAATCACGCAAACGCAAACTGGAATCTGAGTCAGAGCCCTCATCGCCAGAGATGCTGGCTTCATCCTTTCGAAGAAAGTTGTCTTCTGCGTCCCAACGTGAAGATTCGCATCCAACGGCCTCTGCACGCAAAGGGAAAGTGAAGGCAGGGCCTAGTCGACCTCAAAAGATGAAGAAATCCATTGCACATAATACTGAGTCGGACTCAGAGACATCATCTTCGTCGGCATGTCCTTCCCGAGCCTCCGTTCCCCATAAGAATCCTGGCCATGTTTTCTTGTCTGAATCTGGGTCACCTTTCAGGTTCTTTGTTCAGGTAGATCTTCATATGAGAATCAACATAGTGACAGCCATAAAGGTGAGCCAGCCCCTCTCAAGGCTTTTGTAGTTGACTCATGTTTGCAGAGGAACAATGGTAAAATTGTAAACAACGTCAGCGAGGCTGACTACGTAATTTTGTATCCAAGGTCGAAGACCTTCCAAGGATTGCTAGCCGAAACCTTGGAAACAAACAAGCTTCCGCTATCAGCTTCATTCGTCAATGACTGCGTCAAGGAAAGCGTTCTTCTGGATGAGACAAATTATGTTTTGGAGGGTTTTGAACCTCCATCGCGGAAGCCATCTTCCTCTATCCGCAAATCAACCACACAGAACAAGACTACGGAAAAGCAAGCAGTCAAAGCGACACCTGTGAAGACAGAACCGATTAAGACAGTTGTTGGGAAGGCTTCCGCAGGAAAGCCCGGTGCAACCAAGGCTTCTCCGGTGAAACTGGTCAAATTACCCCCAGTGGTAAAGAAGGCCAATACTGGTGAAAGCAAACTCAAACTAAAGATCAAGCTGTCCAAGCGGATGCAGCCAGCGGCGCCTGCCACTACAAGAACACCGTCCCCAACTCCTCCACCCTCAGAGACTCGAACACTCTGGTCAAATGGCAGATACCTATTTACGGACGTGGAACGCGACTATTTTGTCCGCTATGCCCAAGTTTTGATAGAGAGGGACCCGGATATAACCAACTCAGCTATTGGGGTCAAGATGCATGAGAAGGTAGCTGACTTGCAACACCTATATGTTGAAATTTACTCAGCTAGCTATAATCTACAGATGCCCCACCATCCTCTTTTGTCATGGCATAGTTATATCACCCAACAATTCAGATCTCAGCTGGAAAACATCCGCAAAAAAGCGGCAATTGCTCGGCGAAAACGGGAGTCCTCCTCACTCCAAGGTAGTCGTGATAACACCCAGGCACCTCAGGAGAGCTTGGGGTCAGTTCCATCCAAGAAGGCTCAGCAGGAATTAATAAATGGGGCGTTAGTCCACGAAGATCTGGAGGTCATATGCAAGTTCTTTGCCACTGGAGGAGGAGATGATGATGATGACGAACAAGTGTGGGCAAACTTAGCTAAATTCGTGAGCATTCACTTCGAAGCTTATGCCCTGTATAATGTTTATCATTCGATTCCAGAAACCTTGCAAGTCAGCCCCATCGTGGCCAGAGTTCTATGAACCTCGGTCTAATGAAATCATGACGCGCATTGAGCGAACGATCCAAGAGCAGCAGAAGTAGCACCTGTAGGTGACAGGGTCGATCCGGGACAACCACAGTTCACTCGACCGTACCAAGCTTTATGCACCTTGTCTACTTGTAGTGTATTAGCATTCATTCTAATCAGCATCAGGATGATGATGTAATGAAGGTCCCTGTTGCTGAAGTTGGCCAAGCGGTATCTAGCTGTATGATTACTCCACGGCCGAGGTGGGTTGTGGCACAGGCTTGAAGAACTTGCGTCGCTTTTCCTCCTTCTCCTCTTTTGAGCGTCCAGCGAGTTCCCCTGCGTAGTCGAACGTACCCATGGCCGCTCCGACCACAGCGCATGAGCCGAGTGCAATTGGTAGTGAGCGTGCTACAACGGCCTAAGAAGTTGCCAAGAGAGCATGGAAGGTGATACGCACTGCGTAGACCAGCGAGGAAACCTGCAGCACAACCTCCTGCAAGGCCGTTCACAGCATCCTCCTTCTCGCGTTGATTAGCCACGGTAGCTTCCGTAATGGCAAACGCGGCACCCATTGCAGCTATGTCAGTGAGTTAGTCTCCTGGAACCGTCTGAGCGAATGCCAGGTGCGTACCAAACGTGCCAATAGTGCCTCCGGTTCGGGTGAGGAAACCAGCGGCGCCAGCCGAGTGTTGGCCTAAGGCGTTTTGTACAGCGCTGATAAACGCGCCAATGGCACCTGCTTGAAGGCCAATAGCCATGCCATTCCGAAAGGCAGGCTTTGGCTCAAAAACGTCTGGTACTTGCTGGGGTGGTAGGCCAGCCATGTGATGATGAGCAGGAAGAGGTCAACGGAGGGATGCGCTTAGACTCTACTTTCCTTACTTAGTATACAGCCCGCTTCATTCTTCCGATGCATGTACCGGGTCCAATAACTTCACCTTTCAGTCAAGTACTTCGAGGTACTGGTCTAGTATGTGCGCACAACAAAGCCATGGTACACCAGTGTCCCGACTCACTGCGATTTCTGAATGGACCAATAATCCTCTCCTTTCAAGTCCTTACTACAAACACGATTATTGCTATGATGTATATTTGTTTCCTGTTTCTTCTCCTTCTCCAGTTCTTACTGACCTGTACCTATTGTTATGCATTCAGTTTGGCCCATCGGCTACTTGCCATGCTATGGCCTTGTTTCCGTTTACCGACGAGTCTATAGAGCTCTTTTGGTTTGGTAAGAAAAACGAGCAGAGTAGCCGAGAACGCTGGAAAGCCATGATCAAGCAATGGTCGCTAACATTAGCCATGGCGACAACGAATGGGCTTTACATCTTGTCTTTGACTACGCAAGAGCCGCGCTTTGTCAGGTTGTCAGGAAGTTCTGATCAAGTGAGAGCTTGGACAGGCACTATCATTGTTTGAAAGAGTTCTGAGCTTATCAAAGAGGAGTAAGGATAAAGTTGCCACTTCACGGGCAGTGGCATGGGCCCTGAACCAGAACGAACTTCACCACCCTCTAGTAATCGTGTCCTCGGATGAAAATATCTATGTCTACGACGTAGTTTCTGACAGCGTGGTTAGCAAACTGCGCGGTCATGGTGGCGTACGCCTCTCGCTTAATTGTTGTTCTCCATTGACTCAAGCTAGATTGCAGGATGTCACTGCCATCGCTGTTCACCCAGATTACCCTGACCTCTTTTGCACCACCTCTCGGGATTTTACGTCTCGCCTTTATGAGCTTACATTCTCGCCACGGCAAGTGCCTCACAATGTTCATTGGCCGCCTTCCAAAGTTATGAGTTTGGGTGGCGCACCCCACGGGCTCCAGTCCAGTGAGTCTGAAGGCGAAGGGTTTGGCTGCTGCATGGCAATTTTTGCCGGCGGTCCTTCGGGTGGTCACGAGGCCCCTATACTTGGAGCTGTAAGCAAAAGGATGTGTCCTATAGTCATTCATTTGCAGCTGAACTCCGTGGTATGGTAGGCTTTTCATCCACACTATCCTCTAATTGCTACTTGCGGTGTACGTCCTGTTTCCCGGTCTGTTAATTCAGAACAGAATTTTTTATGCCGTTTTCTAGATCGACCGTACAATCAAAATCTGGAGTATACCAGAGACATGGGAAAACAAGATCGCTCGGGAAGACAAACCATTATTCAGCTCCCCTTGTATCCATGCAGCGGGCGTGTTCTCCGTTCAGTGGTAAGCGCCTTGATGAGCTATGGGAATTTACGGCGGAAAATCTGACGTCCTTGTCAGGCTTGAAGATGACATACTGATATCATGTAGCTCACCAGCTTGGAAACGGTCCGGAAGGCACAAAGATGGTCTTTTCCAAGAGAACGGAGTTGTCGCTGTATGGCAATGGGTGGGATTCAATCGATACTTTCCTCCCGATAAACAACGTGAAATGAGGTCTCAAGTATTCAGAGGATGTGCATCAGTACGTCAAGTTGTTGCATCAAGACTATTGGGTCTAAGAAGTCTTCATTGATCTTTTTCGACAGGATTATCAGGAAAGCTGTGAGCAGCCGTCTTGCATCCGCACTCCTCTACTAATACCAATTAATAGCGTCATACAAACTTCTTACCACATTCCCCGTTTCGCAGACTACGCGAGACATGAGCGTACACAGTACAAAGGGAGGCGACAAGGTCGTCGTGCTCACTTCATCTCACGGTGTTCGACTCATCAATGTGGCCCATATCAAGTCCCGGGTCCCATCTTGTGACACAGACCTAGAAGTTACATCTATTTTGGCGAAACAGTTAACTATAGGAGAAAGCAATGGCTCTGAACGCCGTGCGACTCCCTCCACATCGCTTCCAAGCTGGTACATCATGAACGGAGGTCCAGAGGGCGGCAGAGCTATCAGTACGTCCACGTGTGGCTTGAACGGCGCAGTTCTTGTCACGGGGAGCGAATCAGGCAATGTCGAGGTATGGATGGGGTGAAGGTATGCGCATCATTGCCGTTAATCAGTTGTTATGGACATCGTATCTTCAAGAACACACATCGTCGCCGTTACAAATTATATTTTAGGCTGATCTTACAAAGTGCTCTATTGCTTGCGGCAATGCACCACTTAAGACATTATGATATCTTGGCGTTCGAGAAGTCCATCTCGGGGTGCGCAGCTTGGAACTTCTTCAGAGCCTGGCAAAAATCAACGACAATATTCGACCGGGTTGGGTCTGAGACACACCTCCATCTTTTTGAGTTCATCGGAGGTAGGTTTCCCCATTTGCTGCAAGATCATTGTTCAGCGGTGCCAAGATGACATTATTCCTTCCCCGCTTACTTTCTGTTGATTGTCAAACTGAAACCCATCGTTATCAGTGTCCCCCTTGTGCCAACATATTAACTTACCATCATTTTCTCAACCATACCACTGCAAAGATGAGGCGTAAGATAACGGTCAGAAGGGAATATTTTGCGCTAACCGAGTCTCTCCATCAAGATCGCTAAGCTTGCTGTTCTCCGGTTGGATCTTGCGTGTGTCGATCTTAGGATGATGAGTAAGTACGTTCTCCCACCATTGTTGACTGTTCAGCTTCTCTAGGTGAATATGTACAGTCTCCTGGTCCTCTATATTGCTGTGAATTGGAAGACGCAGTGGGTCCAAATCGACTAACCAAGGGACCAAGTGCTGTCATCGAGTTTGATTTCTTTACATAATTCGCCTTCAAGGATCGGCTCCTGGCCTTTGAGACCAACGCTGAGCTTCTTCTTCTGAATGACAACTGTCAGTTCTTTGCCGCGGGTTCCTTTCGGAACTGGGACTTCGAGGTCGAGTTCTCCGAGTTCTTGCCGCCATTTGTATGGCAAGGCTTTTGCGGGGTGATGTCAGAGTAGATCGCTTGATACCTAAGTCGATGTCTTCATACCAGCTTGCTCTTTCCGCTCGCGCTCGCGATCGGCTTTGTCGCGGGCCTCCCTTTCCTCGGAAGAGAGTTTGTCGTAGTCGTCCTCAGTCATGATGGAAGGTGAAGAAATAGGAGTTGTTTATTCTTGTGTATTTCGCATCGCGTCTTGCAGAGTTGCCTGTTACGCGATTGGCTGCCGCGCAATGCTCATTTAGTTACCGCGGTTTACCTGCCATTCTGCCTACAGCACCCGTTGCTGAAGGCGTTAGTCTTTGAATCTGGTCCTCCGTCTTGCTCAGGGTCTCTCTTGTTCAGCCCCCCCTGTAGTCTCACCTTTCAATGGCCACAAACGATCCTTGGGGCGAATTTGAGGTTAGTGCATGGTCATCCGCTTGCCACTTGTCCCGTAACTCAGGGCACTATCTTCTTTGCTCAGACCTTGCGCCATTGGATTAAGCAAAACACCGTTGACAGACTCAAGGCAATCATTAACGGATTCCAAGACGAATGTTCCTCAAACATTGCCAAGGGTGGTAGAAAACAGGAGCTCATAGACCGCATCACACAGCAGATGGACTTCTGGAGACAGACCAATAATGTTGAAAGGTGGATAAAGGGGCGAGCGGTCTTGCATCAGGTCCGCACTTCTGGAATGTATGTTATGTACTGTCTGCTGTTAAGACGTTGTGCTCACCAAACCCGCAGTTATAATCATAGACACTCTATGCCAGGTCCCAGCGGAAATGTTTACACCGCGAATGTGCAAAATGGCTTTCGTCCTAGCACTTCTACTGTCACACGATTCGATACTTACGCACCTCCCCGTCAAGTTTCTACTTCGTCGTCTGTAGGCGCCTCTGCATCTCAATCATCCAGACCTAGTGAGTTCATGTTTATGGCCATAAGCACCAGCACAGTTGATGGTTTCGTGAATGGTAGCAATGAAATTTCGACCTTCTCCATTTTTTCGAGTAGATCAAGCGATATCTAACATCATCGAGTGTCCTGGTACGTATCTTGTAGTCCTCTTCTGGCTATACCGTAACCATTGGACAGAATCTCTGAATTCCACCGACCGCAAGCAACAGAGCGCAACGTTCACGCTGAACCCCGATCATGTCCAGAAGCTATCTTCCCTGAGGTAAGATTGATACCTTTAGTCTAGGAAATGATGTTTATCGCGAACAACTAGCCCGAAGTACCAGCTCCGCTTGTTCTGTACTTCTTCTACTTTCTACTCTTCGGGACCAGCTTTCCGCGCGCAGAATGAAGCCCTCCCGATAGAATTTCCACCTACTTGCGAAGTTCGCGTCAATAATGTACAGTTGCAGGCGAACCTGAAAGGCTTGAAGAAGAAGCCTGGCACTGCTCCTCCAGCTGACCTTGGAAGGAGCGTGAAGCACACTGGACCCAATCGTGTGGAGATGGTTTACGTAAACAGTCAACAACCTATCCAACCAAAGGTTTGATTTCGAAGCATTCTTATTTGAGTCAGCTCTTGACAAAGGTGCGCAGAGGTACTATCTGATCATAATGCTGGTGGAGGTGGCCAGTGTTGATCAACTCGTTGAGAGATTGATGCAAAATAAGTATCGCACTCAAGAGGAAATCATGGATCAACGTAAGCCTAGGGTCCTTCTAGCTACCTTGTGCCTAATATCACGACTCTGCAGTGTCCAAAGTGGCCTCACAAGATGATGATATTGTTGCTGGACCTCAGAGAATGTCTTTGAAATGTCCCGTAAGTCGTTTACACATTTAGTCTTACTTACTCTGAAGTCGTCCCGCAGCTCAGTTTTATGCGGGTGAATTCACCATGTCGCTCCATATTGTGTGTTCATCCGCAATGCTTTGACGCAACATCATGGTTTTCTATGATGGAACAGACGACGACTTGGCTTTGCCCCGTCTGTGAGAGGGTGCTTAACTATGAAGATTTGATCATTGACGGGTATGTCATTGCGTTGCTATTTCATCACAATATAGGCTCACAATTACCTTGTACTTGATTTAAGATACTTTGATCATATTTTGAGGAGCACCCCAGAGAGCGTCGAGGATGTGATGGTGGAATCGGATGGGCAATGGCATACCAGCGACAACAAGTACGCGTCAGACGCATGGAGAGTTACTCACCCCCTTGCTGTTCAGTCATCACCTGCGCGGGCACCATCTCCGTCTGCTTCTGTCGACGAAGAGCTTGAGGCTAAGAGGAACATCAAACAGCAGCAACAGCAGCAGCAGCAGCAGAGGCAAAATATCGAGGTGATGGTTCTGGATTCGGACGACGAAGACGAAGGACGCGTGAAACGAGAGCTATCAGTATCGCACGGCAGTTCGGCTTCAGCTTCCCGGCCCTATGTCATCAACAGCTCTCCGCAAGCGCCATCAACTAGAGCTTCTGCCCAAAACGATGTCATCGACTTAACCGTCGAGTCCGACGATGAAAGTCCACCCCAGCCTTCTATCGGTACGAAAAGATCTGCTCCAGACCATGCCAACTCCCCAACAGAAGGCATATGGAAAAAGTCACGATTGGGCTCTATCCCGCCAGCAACAGGACCATCACTGCGGCTAGCCGAACCAGGCCAGGCCACAGGACCATCCAACAGTCTAGTAACCTCACCTAATGCCCACCGTCCTCCATTCCAGATCGATGGTATGCAGTATAGGCCTCATGCTGGCCAAGCGGGAAGGGATGCGCCCGCTAGAAGATACGATGGGCCAACTGCCCCTTACCCTCCTTACGCGACTTCATCACCTCATGAAGGAGGGCCGATGTATCCTCCAATACCAACACGACCTTCTTATTCCCACCCGACGTCGCGTTCTGGACTATCATGATGTAATTTTCCCCGTTTTGTCAATTGAGATATTTTACACGCTATGTAGTATGTTGTAGTACGTATCGGTGTATATGGGCCTTTAGGTAGTCGTAGGTAATTGACATAATAAACCGCATTGCAATTAGATCAAGGGCACTGGATGCACAACCCTTGGCGTGTTGCATGCTTGCAGCGTTGTTGGACCACGAGGAGATTGAAGTCGAGGATTGGCGAACCTGGTTGGCTGAGCGGGGGGCTATGCACCAGGCGTGTGCATTACGCGAGACGTGGGTGGGCGGGTTGGAGGTGGTTGGTCTTCCCAGCCCTGCGCCGGGCCGAGTATCACGGGTCGGCTTAGGGCGGAGGATGAATGCTTCCCGGCTCGTTCCGAATCCCTTTTTGACGCGAACTTTTTTCGCAGGTGGTCCTCATCCTTCTTCCTACAACACCTCTCCACTCAGTTCCTCCTCCCTTCCAAAAACTAAAAAAATGTCTGAGACGAAGAGGGTTAAGACTCCCCAGGACTTCTTCAGTTAGTTGGCTGCGTTTCGTCTCCTTCTCGCAGTCGTCTGACCACAAATGCTCTTATCCGACAGTTGACTTCATGATGGGTGGTGTCTCTGCCGTGCGTATTTCCCTTTACACCTCGCATTTCTTCTCCAGCTTACCCAACATGTTGGTTTGCAGGCTGTCGCCAAGACTTCGGCTGCCCCCATCGAGCGTATCAAGCTCCTCGTTCAGAACCAGGATGAGATGGTAGGGATTTCCTTTCCGTACCAATGTGCTCCGCCTGATTTGATTTCTTTGTAGATCAAGCAGGGACGTCTGGCAACTCCCTACAAGGGCATTGGCGATGCCTTCTCCCGTACCTACAAGGACGAGGGTCTGGTTTCCCTCTGGCGAGGCAACACCGCCAACGTCATTCGTTACTTCCCGACTCAGGCTCTGAACTTCGCTTTCAGTGAGTTTTTGAGTGTGGGACGAGTCGATGCAGTGCTGACCCGGACTTGCAGAGGACTACTTCAAGTCCTTGTTCGGCTTTAAGAAGTCCGAAGGTTACTGGAGGTGGTTCGCCGGTAACGTCGCCTCTGGTGGTGCTGCTGGTGCCTCCTCGCTCTTCTTTGTTTACTCTCTCGACTACGCCCGTACGCGTCTTGCCAACGATGCCAAGTCTTCCAAGGGTGGAGGAGCTCGTCAATTCAACGGTCTCGCTGACGTCTACAAGAAGACCCTCGCTTCCGACGGTATCGCCGGTCTCTACCGTGGTTTCGTGCCCTCGGTCGTTGGTATCATTGTCTACCGTGGTCTTTACTTTGGTGTCTATGATTCGCTCAAGCCTGTCGTCCTCGTCGGTGCCCTCGAGGGCTCGTTCCTGGCTTCATTCGGTCTTGGCTGGGGTGTTACCATTGGTGCTGGTCTTGCATCGTACCCTCTCGACACTATTCGGTGAGCCATTTGTTAAAAGTGTTCGGTTCCCGTCTCATAGCCATCTTTTAGTCGTCGCATGATGATGACGTCCGGTGGCGGTGTGCACTACAAGTCGATGTTCGACGCTGGTTCCCAGATCGTTGCCAAGGAGGGTACTAAGTCGCTCTTCAAGGGCGCTGGTGCCAACATCCTCCGTGGTATTGCCGGTGCTGGTGTGCTCTCGCTCTACGACAAGCTCCAACAGGTCATGTTCGGCAAGGTCTACTCTGGTGGTATGTGTTAGTCCTTTAGACCTCGTTACTTTGATCCTGATGTTTGATTTGTAGGCTCTGGCTAAACGGTTTGAGTGGAGGACTATTGTGGGTCGTATGGCTCATGCATTTTTTTTATTTTACCCGTCGATACATCGCTATAGAGTTTATTATTACTTCATGTTCTTGGGTATCTTCCCTTGGGGTATGGACATACCAGCATACTCGTGCGTTAGTAGCCTTCTTGCACGTACTCAATGCACCCACTTCGGTGGTAATACCGAGATTCTCTACGTGTGATGAAGTTTAAGTATACAGACCATGTACGCATCCGTTGAAACCGGAGTCATGGGGAAGGTGTTATGTCATTTATTGACGTTTTCCGGTGGCAGTTGTGCCGACGCAACGGATGCGCCACGGTGGTGGTTGTGTACCACTCCGGTCTTGAAAGGTTGACTAGTGACTCCGGTTGTTGACTTGTGCAAACGTTGACGCGTGGATATGCACCTTTCGGCTTCATGTTCCTACAGTCATGGCTACGCCGTTCCTTCACCCGTAGTTTGTCCACCGCAGCTCGAGCCTCTATAGTCCTACGACCTTACCAAGAGTCTTGCCTGACAGCTTGTCTTGCTGCTTTGGAAGCAGGTTCGACTCGGATTGGAGTCTCCCTACCAACAGGGGCAGGAAAGACCACAGTCTTCGTTTCTCTCCTTTCCCGTTTATCATCCCAAACTAGTGGATCTCGTGCATTGATCATTGTCAACAGCATTGAGCTGGCTCGTCAGGCGGCCTCGCAGGCAAAGAACCTCTTTCCTCACTGGATTGTAGAGATCGAGCAAGGAGCCAAACACCAAGCCTCCGGCCATGCAGATGTGTATGTTCTCTTTCTATACCGGCTGTACGAAGTCCTAAATTCGATAGTACTGTCGCCACTTATCAGACCCTCCTACAGCCAAAACGGCTATCCAAGTTTCAGCCCGAGGGAATGAAAGCAGTAATTGTCGACGAAGCACACCACGCAGCCGCACCTTCGTAGGCATTCTACCACGAGTAAATGCAGGGCTGGGGACGTTGACAGGTGATCTTAGCTACAGACGCATTCTGGCCCATTTCGACAACGAGATCAAGAGCAAGAACACCATCCCACTCAGCACCGTCTCTCATTCTATACCCATCATAGGATTTTCCGCCACTTTCAGCCGTCATGATGGTCTCTCGCTTGGTTCAGTGTTCCAGCAGATCGTATATCATCGGGATTTCATTGATATGATCCAAGAGAAATGGTACGTTATTGCGCTTCAAGCTCAATTCTGGAACTAAGCCGTCCCCAAGGCTCTGCAATATTCGTTTCACTTCGGTTCACGCCAATGTTGACCTGACTAATGTCACAGTCAACTCACGGACAGGAGATTTCAACGCTTCAAGTCTTGCTGATGTTATCAATACTAAAACAGTGAACGAGCTGATCGTCCAAACTTGGATGGATCGTGCGAGTGCGTCTTCTGCCGTACCTTTTCCTCTCAGTACACTGACACTCCGTGTATTTTCTGCAGGCGAGAGGAAGTCAACACTTGTTTTCTGTGTAAACTTGTCACATGTCGCAGAACTCACAAAGACTTTCAAATCATTTGATGTCGATGCACGCTTCCTGCATTCGGGGACTCCATCAACGGAAAGACAAGAAGTCATCAAGGCTTTCAAGGCACAGGAATTTCCCGTCCTCATAAACTGCGGTATGTTCTTGTGCATCATGTCTATTGATTTCTTTAGGCTGACTTATGCTTTTAGCCATCTTGACCGAAGGCGCTGATATACCCAACATCGACTGCGTTGTTATTGCGAGACCGACAAAATCGCGCAATGTCTTTACGCAAATGGTGAATACCTTATCTCCAGCGTACGATGCGAGCTGACTCCGGATAGGTAGGGCGAGGAATGAGACAGTCCCCGAGTACTGGGAAGACTGATTGTCGTATCATCGACTTCGTGGACTCTACTACTCGTGTCGCCGGAGTCATCACGACTCCATCCCTATTTGGGCTCGATCCTGCCGAGGTTTTTGATGGTATGTAGCATATATGCGAGAAGCGCCTATCACTCATGAGTGAAGATGAAACTGTGGACTCGTTGAAGGAGCGCGTCAGCAAGTCACCCTTACCGATGAGCGCGGATAGCGAAGCTAGGCTGGACTCCAACGAATCAATACCGGCGCCAAAGTCAGTCACATACACTGATTTTGAAGATCCTTTGGCTCTGGTGGACCACTGCTCTGGAGCTCCGCACATCAGCCGCCTGAGTAATCATGCTTGGGTAGGTTGTGGAGAGGATGTTTACGTCTTGGAGTGTTTGGGACGGGGAACTATCCGTATCGAAAAAGTCATTGATAAAACAGGTATGTAAGCCCCAGCAATCTTCCCCCAGTCATTTGACTACGTTGCAGAGGATAAGGAGTACTTTCAAGCTAGTTTCGCAGAGGCTGTACTTGACCTTGCCGGGGCGAACGCTAAGAAGACATCTCCCTTTCGACGCAGTCGTCAGATTCTGAAGGCACATACGCTACGTGATGCACTCCGAGGCTGCGACACCTACGCTGGGCAAAGAGTTCTTAAGGGTCACATGCTACTTGGGTGAGTGCTACTCAGACTCTACAACATTTGTGCACCTGACACATGGATGTAGGCTTATGCGAAATGCAAAATGGAGAAAGATGCCTGCTTCTGAGGCTCAGAAAGAATTGGTGATGAAGCGCTGGGCGAAACGGGACATAGATCCTGCAAGCATTCCTGAAAGACTTGAGAAACTAACGAAAGGCGAGGCTGCGAACATCATTACAAGACTGAAACACGGTGCTCAGGTTGGGATACATCGAAATAAAATGTGTGTTTGAACTGATTTCCTTCATTGTTGGTTTTCTGTAGGCACGATATGAGAAGAAGGTCAGGAAAGATCAGGCTACTCAAAAGACACTCTGGGAGGAGAATCGACGCAAGGCACGAGAGGATGTACGGGTTGGCCCGATCGCGCTCTAATATAGATTAACTTGTAGCATACTAGTCTAATCCTCGTTACTTATCAATAACATTGCGATCAGGTTTCGCTGTGGACCCAGATGACAAGAGAGGAGAAACTGCCCAAGGACTTTGCAGGCTGAGTCTCGCAGAATGTTGCGCGAGGCTAATTGTATTTGCCAATGTTCCTGGACCCAAAAATGTAGTGCGGTCGTAGGCTAAAGAGGCGACCAATGATCCAACAAGCGAGTCGCCAGCACCAGTCACGTTGACAATCGAATCCTGAGGTACGCTGAGAGCCGGGAAGTGCTGAAAGACAACCACATCCCCTGACGATGCACGCGCCACAACGAGACGCTGGCGCACGTTGCTGGGCTCGTTAGCCCACTGTGAAGATTGCGCCGAATGGCCATCCAAATGCATCGCGATGATGACGCCACGCTCGCCACACTTGATGACAAGGTTCTGGAAGAAAGGCAACATATTGATGGCCATTTGAGCGACGCCGTCCTTTATGAGGAAAGAAAGAGATCCGAGGTCAGGGTTATCCTCCGATGCGTTCAGCCGCGACAGGTGCTCTAGCTCTGCACGGAACTGATGACCTAGGCCGAGTCTGTCGATGGTCTTCCACCATACGTCGTGTGACATGAGTTCCAGTGGACTTGAGCGGACTTCACGGTACATGTGTCCAAGTTCCAAAAGGTTAGGTGAAGCAAATGTCACCGGGGCACGGTCATGCTTGCCCAGTGTCTTTGCAATAGCAGGGAGTATTGCTGTTGACTTCGCTAAAGACGTTGGTTCGCTGGGGTTGTATGAGCCAAAGGTGAACTAAAAGGAGCGCCTGTGCGACTACTCACAAGAAAACTAGTAAACGGTAAGTATGGTCACAACAAAGTAAGGTACATTGTGACTCACTATTGATATTCTGTTGCACGGAATACTCAACCAGCGCAGTCAGAATGGTAGGAGACATGTTTGCATCCAGTGCAACCAGCCAAGGCTTTTGTTCCCCTAAGTAAGAGAGCAGCTATGTTGTGATGAGTACCGAGTCAGGCATATAGAATCCGTTCTAGCACACCTTGTCACTATTCTGGTTCTGGACGATATCCATATCCGCGATACCAGTCACCAAGTTCCCAGTGGTGTCTAAAATCATGTTACAAACAGCCGACCTCTTGTCTGGCTCCACAAAAAGACCATTGGTGTAAAGACCGGAGGCGCCTGTATCGTTGATGATCTGCCGACCAAATGCGTCATCACCAACAGGAGAGACGAGTAGTATGGGAGATGGCTTTGAGGGCGCCAACGCATTGGAGACCCGATGGGCGGCTTCGGCAATGTTGCGACCCACGCCTCCGAGCGACGTAGAGACTAGCCCGGGGCACGTCGATTTTGCAGAGATTTCGGCATCACTGCCTGGAGCGGGCCGAGATGTGATATCGACCGCACTCGAGCCAAAAACGAGAACGTTCACGTTGTCAGATTTCGCTTCGTTGAGAACGGCATCAGTTGGGCTACTTAGGAACTGAGATGCCTGCGCGCTAGCGGGAGACTGAACTGTGTGATGATAAACCTTACAAGGATTTCATACATATTTGTAATACACCAAGCGGATAGCCTTACTGGTTGCAAGTCGCCTAGATCTTGAGATAGTTTGGCGTACTCAGATGCTATCCGGCCTCCTGATGAACAGTGAGATTGAGTACAAACGCAATAAACACTGGAAGCACTTGCCTATCAATGCAGTGTTCTTTACTAAAGCCACATCTATAACGATGTTAATGCGGGACATGCACTACTCATTCTATACACGCACTGTTGGTCAAGGACTGCGTGCCCGTCAGCTCACCAACGCGTTTCAGTAACCATGGTGTGACTTCTTTCCCGCGGGTGTGCATTCCTAGCTCTTCGCATTCTCGGACGGCAATCTCGACAGCCTTTTGCACTTCTAAGCCTGCTGCTTCGTATTTCTCAGGAATCGGCGCAGCAAAAAGGGCGCCGTTAGACATCCCGAGTTGCCAGTGATTATCTGGACAGCCGAGTCAGAATAATTTGAAGAAGCCCAAAGAGATGCGGAGCGGAGCTAACGAAGGATTTGAGCGGCAGTTTGTGGATCTTCCACATTCCAAGGAGACTGATGGTGCATGAGAAATAGCCAGCAAGCCAAGCAATGGACGACTCTGTACCTGGAAACCACTAGTCCTGGTATAGAATGCAGGGAAATCTTTCGTTGGACCATATGTTAGTACAGGCACACCAAGCGTCTCCTGAACTACAGTCAGACCAATATGCACACGGATAATGTACTTGCACGCACAAGATACTCCAATGTACTATAACGCACGGAGATGTTAAGTGATGGATGAAACTTATGATCGTCTTGATACGTACCGTCCAATGTCGAGAATAGACTTGACTCCCGCAGAGACAAGACCAACGGGGCAGCGCGTGAGCTCGTGCAGATCCGCGGAGACGTCCATAGCTGGACAAATGTGGTCAGACCAAATGGATGACACAGTCAGACATACACACTTGACTCTCCGCGTCGATGTACCCCTCCTAGCCTACAGGGTATGGTTTATACCAGTTGAAGAACAAGCAAGTCATGTTACTCACCCTCCTGTCGCGAATACCTATGCTGATTCTATGTTACGGTGATTGAGGAGGGCCACGAGTAATGACTGACCTTGATGCCAGCGAGGGCTGCAAATATGAGAGTTGAGCTACATGTTGTACCTCCGTCCTTTTTCATTGCAAGGACAGGCGCAACGTCGCGTCTCGAGACCTTTACAGCGGCAGTAGATGCTGATGACTGGTCGGCCAAGCGTTCTAGTTCATGAGTGTGGAGGCCAATTTTGACGCGGCCTTGGATGATGGCAATAGTAGCAGGTACACTGCCTGTTGAACGAACGATGTTCTCGACGGAACGCGCCATTTTGAGGGAGGTGGGGTATGGCATGCCATGGGTGATTATTGTAGACTCGAGCGCAACAACAGGTTTGTGAGTGGCGAGGGCATCCTCGACTTCCGGGTGCACATCAACTGGCGCATTGCGGCGGAGGGCAGTGGCTAGGTCCGGGCGACGAACTTGGCTGCTCAGTCGCCGAACAGACAGTCGAGACATGGCCGAACGCGTTTCGCAGTCGTGACCGCGTGAGCAGTCTACAATGCTGGTAAAGCGGCCCGGACAACCGGCTGGAGAATACGGGATTTCCCAAGGATTTCCCCGCATCTCCAACGCCCGACAACGCACACAACACGACACAATAACAGTTAACCTGCCCATGGATACCTTCAAGTATGTGCTTGCAATCGCGCTTCCCCAGACTCCCCCAACCTAGAAAACAATAACAACAAGGATGCAAAAACAAAAGAGACGTAGACGGCGTACCAGCACTCAGAGACAGCATCTCACCGTGCCAAGCACATGGACATACACTTAAATACTGTCAAGGGCATCGCCCCACCTCCTCGAGTCAACCAGCTCGCACAACCACACCTCATAGCTTCACCTCTGAGCCATACACGTTCAAATGATGAGTCGACTCTCTTTCCCCATGTTCCTTGCTCGGGACACCCCTATCAGCAGTCGACCTCCTCCCATACCTATCTCAAGGTCTCAAATCAGAGACGACTCATTTATGATTGCCAGTACGTAGTTCAACCTTATGTGATTGTATATGAAGATAAGTATAAATTGCGTATGACAGAGAATGAGTACTCCACCCTGGTATTAAGGAAAGTTGATATTGGCAACACTTCACGAACTTATCTCGTCAAGACGTACGTCTCGCACATACGTGCAATTAGACTGAGTAATGAGTTTGAAGCAGGTATCATAACGCCTTGAATCAATCTCTCGAAAGATTTTCGATTGAGGTAGCTGTCCTTGTCGCGTGGGTGCCGACGGAGCTGATTATGTCCCCGCAGCTTGCGTGTCTCCTAAATCCGCGCTCGGAATGTTACCCAGAGCTCATAGCGGTCACTGAGGATGATCATGGCCCACTGTCACTTGTCATGGAGCTTCCGCACCAGCAAGCCTGGAGAACGGCTCGTCCATCTATGTCACCGAAAGAAAAGAACGCCATTATACAATGCTACAAAGACATACATGCTCATGGAATCCTCCATGGGAACGTCAGTTTGAAGAACATCATCGTTGGTACGTCATTCGGCTTCTGTTCTATCCTACCAAATTCATTTGCGATATAGGTGTGGATGGTGCAGTCACACTCGTTGATTTTGACAAGGCCTATTGCTTGGACATTGCCTGTGTCAAGGGCGTCCCGACTTGTACCCTCAAAGCTTTGGAGACTGAAATGAGAGCCGTCATGTACCTTCTCAACTACAAAGGGGCACGCGAGAAGGAGCGCTCACAGCAAAGGGTTGTTCCAAGAGCAAGAAGATCTACCATTCGTCTTGGACAAAATGTGTGCTTGAGCGTTTGTGGCAAGTTCCTCTTACTGACTTTCTGCTGTGTTTCAGGCTGCTCCCATGAAGAAGAAGATCATGGACAAATGGGACGAGGATGCAGAGATGGAAGAGCTTTCCGACTTCTTTAGGATCCCAGGGAGGTGGGAAAACGCTCTTCCAGTCACTGCCTCTCATCCATCTCCACTGGATCCAATGGTGCCCACCCAGGCACCGGAAATTGCAATCGAAGAAAAGCTAGAACGCATCAAAATCCTTCGAATGACGTTGAAACGGATACGCGAAGAAGAGGCCAGTGATCGTTTACAGCTACAAGAGTTCGCCCGCAAACATCCATGGAACACCCATCGTGTTGCTTTCCACCCAGACACCAATGATAACAGCCTTCGGTCTTCCGGCGGACGTCTTCGACGCCGACAGCGTTCAAGTACACCATTTCCCTCCGAGGGTAACGATGACGACCGTGGAAGTTCCTCAGATGTGGACATGGAGGAGGTGTCCGCTACATCCCATCAACCCGAGCTTTCCAGTGCTACGCCGGGGCCTTCTATGACATTGCGCGACGGAGCAGAACCTGAAAATCCATGGATCCTTGACAAACCTACATTCTTTGCCACGCTCCAGTCCATGAATGTGCCGTCTCCAAAGTCAGTCTCTCCGCCCCTGGCATCCTCGCAACACATAAACCCCACCCAACATTCAAAAGGCCCAGAGTTGAACTCGCATAGTTCTCAAAAGATGAATTGCGGAGGATCGAGAGGCGTCGGATGTTCCCTTCTGACAGGAGCAAATGACTGGCGTAAACGCCATGCCCTTAGGAGTAGGGTATCTAGCGCCCTATTGTCTAAAGGCAAATACTGGCTGTGTTCGAGAAGCTGAAGATGCATCCTTGAAGTAGTTAGTGTAATGGTACATCACATCAGTGACTTAGCGGAGGATATCCCAACTTGCATCAATGATACCCATACATCAAGTTGTGCTTCGGTAGCCATATCATAATTTTGATTGCATTGGTACCGGCATGGCATAGAAAAAAGCGTGCAGAACATGGCGCAAGATGATATACAGAATAAGCTTAACGGTAACTGCAGAATCATTGTAAGCAACGATAAATGGTATAGAGAAGGGTTGGACTACGAACCTCTTCTGCCTGCGAGCACGGGCACCAGCACCACCAAACTTCTTCGGCTCCATCCGTCTTGGGTCTGCAATCAAGAGGGAACGGTCGTATGCCACCAGCTTCTTCTTCAGCTCCATGGCGCTGTATGCGTCGATGTACTTGGCGTAGTAAGCAACGATGGCACGCGCAATAGCCTGACGCATAGCGTAGACCTGCGAAGTGTGTCCACCACCCTTCACCCGGACGCGAATGTCGACGGGGGCGAAGGAGTCCTCGCCGGCGACAAGGATGGGCTCGTAGATCTTGTAGCGCAGGATCTCAGGGCGGACGAGGTTGATGGGCGAGCCATTGATGCGGATGAGACCACGGCCCTCCTTGGCGTGTGCTACCGCGGTAGCGGTCTAACAGAGGTCAAAATAAGATGGCGCCGACAGATGGGCAGTCGTTTGGTGACGAACCTTTTTCTTACCAAACGTTTGAACGGCCTTGGCGGATGACATTTTGGCGGATTGGGGTGACTGCCGACTTGGGCTGGCAATACAGGTACCTGCAGGGCAAAACGGGAGGTTTGAGATTGAGCGGTTGGGAGGATCATCCAGAGATGACGCATGGCATCCAGCGACATCCAAGGCGAACGCGACCGGATTTTGGGTCCATAGGATGCATGGACATGCTCTACGACGTCTGGACGATGCTGAGGAGCATAGACTCACCCTGTGGTTGATGTTGAGGCCTGGAGGTCTTGCTGGGTGGTCTTCTGCAGGCGATTGGTGATTCGGGATGAGCGCCTCGCTTATTCAAAGTTCCCACGCTCGCCACCTCCGATCGTTTTGACCTTCTCTTTGTGCGACGCGAGCACGGCACCGCGCCTCCCTTCCGAGCTAGTCTACACGTCCATTATGTTGCCCGTTTTTCGTCGCATAGCGTCCCAGGTAAGGACATGATATTATGCGGATCTCTTCCCGCTCAGCTCAGTCTAATATCTACAGGCCTCGCGCGGTCTGTTCCGCCCCATGAGCACGGTGGTAGACACTCCTGCTGCCCAGTCAAATGCTCTGACAGGTATGCTGCATTTTCATTCTTCGGTACATATCCTGACCGCACTGACTAAACCTCCAGCTGTCGACCCCTCGCCATCCCTCTATCTAACCATGTCCGCGCTCCTTCTCCAGAAGAAGAACCAGCCTGCCCACGAACAAGTCGTCAAGCTAGACCGCTCCGTCTTTGGCCACCCCATTCGCCGAGATATCCTTCACCTCTGTGTCGTCCACCACCTCGACTCCTTGCGCCAGGGCAGTGCAAACACGAAGACTCGCAGCGAAGTCCGCGGCTCGGGCCGGAAGATTCGTCCACAGAAAGGCTCTGGCCGTGCTCGTCTTGGCAACAAGAAGAGCCCTATGCTTCGCGGTGGAAGTGTCGCCTTCGGCCCCAAGCCCCGCGACTTCAGCACGAAGCTCAACCGCAAGGTCATCCAGATGGGCATGCGTGTTGCGCTGAGCGTGAAGGTTCGGGAACAGCGGCTGGGCGTTGTGAAGTCGCTGGAGTGGATTGGCTACCAGACTCGGCCCTTCAACACACGTCTGAAGAGCCTCGGCTGGGACGCAGGCACACTCTTCGTCACCGGCGAGCAGGCAGTCCCAAGAAACCTCGAGTTGGCGAGCCGGAACCTGAGTGGTGTGGAGGCCATAACGGTCCAGGAGCTAAATGTGCATGACCTTGTCAGCTGGCGGCGGGTTATACTGGACGTGCAGGCAGTGGAGGCACTGCAAACGATGTTGACCAAGGGCAAAGCGCCTCTGGCAATTGACGGCCCGGTAACACTTGCTGAGGCTGTTGAAACTTCTCAAGCGGAAGCTTCCACTGTATGATGCAGTTGATACGCCGCATGAACAGGACCAGCAGCAAGCCACCGACACTTGCTAGCAACTCCATAGACTATAAGGTGTAGCTACTTACCTATCCCCGTAATATATGCATCGCTTATCCGCGCTCATGTGACCGTTACGCGTCCCATTAAGAGTTTAAACTCCGCTGCGCGTCAGGTTGCAGCCGCGTGTATTTGTTCCTCGCTACCCTTTTGCTTCTTACCAATCTTCAGCTTCAGCCTGCGATGTCTCAACCCTCCCAACATGAAGAAGGCGAAGATTTCTCCATGGCCGGCCCACTGCTTGTCTCCAAGCTGGAAGAGGCAGGCATCCACGCAAACGACATCAAGAAGCTCGCGGACGCCGGCTTAAACACCGTTGAGTCGGTCGCATTCACGCCGAAGAAGAACCTGCTCGCCATAAAGGGCATATCAGATCAGAAGGCAGACAAGATACTCGCAGAAGGTGAGCACGAACACCCTTTATCGAGCTTTGACTAAAGGCCTTGCAGCCCAGAAGATCATACCCCTCGGCTTCCAGAGCGCAACAGAGGTTCACGCCCGACGATCGGAACTCGTGCATATAACCACTGGATCGAAGCAACTAGATGCCCTCCTTGGAGGTACGCTCACCTTTCCATGCCTACCAAAGTCGTCGAAGCGCTCAGCCTTCTTCAGGTGGTGTTGAAACTGGGGCAATCACAGAAATGTTCGGCGAGTTCAGGACAGGAAAATCACAGCTCTGTCACACGCTCGCCGTCACCTGCCAGCTCCCTGTAAGCATGGGCGGCGGAGAGGGCAAGTGCCTGTACATCGACACCGAGGGCACCTTCCGGCCTGTCCGTCTGTTGGCTGCGGCAGAACGGTATGGCCTGAACGGGGAGGAAGTGCTCGACAACGTCGCATATGCACGTGCATACAACGCGGACCATCAGCAATCCCTGCTGACGAATGCAAGCGCACTCATGTCGGAATCAAGGCGAGAGATCTTGATTCTATTGGTTCAAATATGTTACTGAGCCGATCATTTGTAACTTTCTAGGTTTTGCTTACTCATCGTGGACTCGTGCACGGCGCTGTACCGCACTGACTTCAGCGGGCGTGGAGAACTTTCTGCACGTCAGAACCATCTGGGCAAGTTCTTGCGTACCCTTCAGCGCCTCGCGGATGAGGTGAGCTTCTTGTTCAAAGGTTCGAGCAGAGATGAACCCTGCATCAGTTTGGGATAGCAGTTGTTGTCACCAACCAAGTGATGTCAAATCCCGACGCATCGGCAGGGCCTTATGCGGGCAACGAGAAGAAGCCAATAGGTGGTAACATCATGGCACATGCAACATGTACGCGGTAAGTGAGGTCCTCTGTGAGTTTTGTGATTTACTGAGCGAAGCAGGCTCCAGCTCAAGAAGGGTCGAGGCAACATCCGAACATGCAAGATCTATGATTCACCGTGTCTTCCGGAGATGGAGACACAGTTTGCCATTCTGGCAAGTGGGATCGGTGATCCAGAAGAAGAGACGTGATCGGACTCTTCGGCAACTCATTGTATACCTAGATCCTGCATGCTACACCCTAGTCAAATGTGCGTATTCCCGTCGCGTCCTATTATCGAATACAAGGCTGGTGTTACGATACATTTTTGGAGATGGCAGTCCAGTTGAATGGTGCTCTAAAGTAATGTGTGGTAGGTTACAAAATACAACAGATGAAGGTCGTGGGAAGGAGCGCTTGCGTGCTCATGCCAGAAGACGAGTGAGGATGTTAGCACTGGTGTGGGAGATAGTCTCACGAAGCTTGTTGATGTCCTTGGAGCTGACATCCGCGATATCGGCGAGGAGGTAAGCAATATCTCCTTTGGAGTCCGAGTACTGCTTTTCGACGTTGTAGGGCGAGAGAATCTCGTTGACCTGGCGCAGGACACCGGGTTTGTTGTTGTGGACATGGCAGATACGGATGTGGTCTCCCTGCTCGCTTGTGATGGCGCGGAGATCGACCTCGGGGAAGTTGACGGCACCGATGGTCGTTCCGGAGTTGAGATAGCGGGAAACCGCCGAGGACACTTCGTCGCCGATCATGCTCTGGGCTTCCTCCGTCGAACCACCAATATGAGGTGAGAGGATGACATTTGGCAGCTGACACAGCGTGCTCGCCCAAGAGTTGATCTGATCGTCGAAGGGTGCACCGTTGGCGCTCGGCTCCATCGGGTAGACATCGATGGCGGCTCCAGCGAGGTGCTTGGACTGGACGGCTTCGATGAGTGCAGGGATGTCTACCACGCGGCCCCGGGCATTGTTAATGAGGTAAGAGCCCTTTTTCATCAGATCGAGCTGCTCTTTCGATATCATGTTGATAGTTTCAGGGAGCTCAGGCACGTGAAGTGAGACAAAGTCAGCCTCGCCGAGGAGAGCGGCGAGAGTCTCGACCTGGCGCGCCGACCCGAGAGGCATGATGGGAATAACGTCGTAGAAGATGACGCGCATGGCGAGAGCCTCTGCCAGGACTGAGAGCTGGGCGCCGATGTGACCATAGCCGACAATACCGAGGGTCTTTCCTCGAACCTCCCAGCAGCCCTTGGATTGCTTGTTCCAAAGTCCCGAGCGCATCTCATGGGCACGCTGGAAGAGCTGACGCGAGAGCGCGATGACTTCGGAAATGACGAGCTCTGCGACTGAACGGGAGTTGGAGAAGGGGGAGTTGAAGACAGGAATGCCGGCCTTGGCTGCGGTCAAAAGATCGACCTGGTTTGTGCCGATGCAGAAGCAACCAATGACAAGGAGCTAAGAAAGAGCGATGGTAAGGTTGGGAGAATAAAGGGCGCGGGCGGGCGGGCGACGGTACCTTGTGTGCAGCTTTGATGACGCGCTCTGTGATCTTTGTCTTGCTGCGTATGCCGATGGCGTGATATTGACCAATCTTTTCTACGAGCTCATCCTCGGACATGGCTTTTGCGGAGTGGTCAACATGGAAGCCCTGGGCCTGGAAAGCGCGGACGGCTTCCTGGCTGATGTTTTCGAGGATAAGAAGCTTGAGGTCCTCGTTTTCGACAGGGTGGAGGACTTTTGGCTGGCGGATTGCGCCGACGAAGGAGAGAGAGTCGCGATGGCGAATTCTGTCGTGCAAGGAGCCGCCGAGGGCAGTCGGGGAGACGGAGGGGTGACCGGGGATGTTGATGGGGGAAGCCATGACTGCAGAGGGAGAATAGTAGGGTTGACTCATTATTATATGTATATGAGATGAGGCGGATATTTCTCCGAATTGGGGGCGTGTGTTGTGATGATGACCAGGAGGCTTGCAGGGGCGGACGAACTTGATGCGGCCTCATCTCATCTAGCCGACAGGAAAAAATTGCATTCAGTAATAATTCACTTGTAATCAGATAATCCATGACTCGACAAGACTCGAAAGAGCAGATCGACGCTCGTCCGACGTCCCTCCGATTCTCTGTCAGATCGTCAACTTCCTCGATCTTGACCAGAGCGTAGTAGATCTAGTCTGTCATGTCGCTTTATATCCTCGACTACGGCGCAGGAAATGTGCAGAGTCTTGCCAACTCTCTCACCCGTCTCGGGTACGCGTTCGAGTGGATATCCACCCCAGACGACTTCCACAAGGCATCTGTACGTCACCCCGTATTCCTCATGTTTTCCATGCACCCCCAATTCACCGCCCCTTGTCTATTTCCAGAGCATCGTATTCCCCGGTGTAGGCGCATTTCACACCGCGGTCGAACACCTACGCGCCCGCGCCCTGTGGGATCCTCTCCGTCAGTACATCCAATCTGGCAAACCTTACTTTGGCATATGCGTCGGCCTCCAGGTCCTCTTCCAGTCCTCCGCAGAGTCTCCCGGGAGCATCGGACTTGGGATCATACCCTCCCCCATACAACGCTTTGATGACACCAGCAAGGCAGTCCCCCACATGGGCTGGAATACCGCACAACTTTTCCCCTCCGAGCCCTCCTCGTCATCCTCTTCCATTACTTCACCATCAAATCACTATTATTTTGTCCATTCCTTCCGCGCTCCATACGACCCAGAGAAATACCCAGAGGCTGCATCCTGGGCCCACGCCACAACGCAGTACGGGCAGGAAGTCTTTATCTCTGTCGTCCGCCGTGGCAATGTGTTTGGTACCCAATACCACCCCGAAAAGTCTGGACAAGCTGGCCTTGACGTCCTCCGCGAGTGGCTTGATCAGACAGACGTCCAGCGCACAGCAGCGCCACCGACAAATCCCATACCTCGCCCTCCACAACCCCGCGATGGGCTCACCAAGCGCGTCATAGCGTGTATGGACGTCCGGAGCAACGACGCTGGTGATCTAGTCGTCACAAAGGGCGACCAGTATGACGTCCGCGAAAAACCCAACCAAGGCTGCCCTTCATCCACCGCGCTCACTCAGGAGACCGCCGGTACGGTCCGCAACCTGGGCAAGCCCGTCGTCCTCGCCGAGCGGTATGCCGCCTCTGGCGCAGACGAGCTCGCCTTGCTCAACATCACCTCCTTCCGCCGTTCCCCGCTGCACGACCAGCCTATGATCGCCGTCGTCCGCGCAGCAGCGGCACGCGTCTTTGTTCCCCTCACCATCGGCGGCGGCATCACGGACAGCGTCGACCCGGACGGCACCCACCGACCCGCGCTCGAGGTGGCAGGCGCATACTTCCGCGCGGGCGCCGACAAGGTCAGCATCGGATCCGACGCCGTTCGCGCCGTCGAGCGGCTGCGCGCGAACAGCAACGTCCTGGATGGAACAAGCGCGATCGAGACGATCGCCCGCGCGTACGGGAACCAGGCCGTCGTCGTCTCCATCGACCCCCGACGCGCCTTCGTTGATCCGGGCTACACTGGTCCGCACGCGGGCGAGATTGTGCGCGGCGGACCGGGAGACGGCGAGGACGCAGACAAGGCATGGTGGTACCAGTGCACCGTCTCGGGCGGACGTGAGGCGCGCGACCTATCCGTCGTGGAGCTTGCCCAGGGCGCAGAGAAGCTGGGTGCGGGCGAGCTGCTGGTTAATAGCATCGATCGGGACGGGACCGGGCGCGGGTTCGATCACGCCCTCCTCAGTCTCGTTCGACGCGCCGTCCGCATCCCTGTCGTAGCGAGCAGCGGCGCTGGCTCCGCCGCGCATTTCGTCGACGTGTTCCGCGAGACGGGCGTGGAGGCTGCACTGGCGGCAGGCATCTTCCATCGAGAAGAGGTGCGCATCGAAGACGTGAAGCGTGCTCTAGCCGACGCAGGGATCAGCACACGAGCTAGTTAGACGTCGTTCTTACATCATTATTGAGGTTTGAAAGCATAGATATATACAAGTCGATCCACGATTCCACACGCGTTGACATCGTTGACTTGATAGAACATCAGTCCATCAGATCTTCCCTGGTGGTTTGTCCCCCGTTTCCTTCAGCATTCGGCTATAACATCACAGAATATCACGGATGGCAAAACACTTCGTCTCGATCACAAAATAAATTACATGGAATCGGTACACGTTCAAGCTGCGCGTTTTTGATGCACACTAGGCGAAACACCATCATGACCTGTTCTTTTGTGCCATCGCGAAATCATAAACTGACTGACACCATACGAAGTCACAACGACATCGCAAGCATAATTGTAAGCGAGGGTATCCGCGCACCACCAGATGAGAGGGACCGAGATTTACATTGACATTATACTACGGCACGTCCGCTGCGCACAGACGCGTTATAGTCTACATGTTTACAACCCCGCGCGGGACAAAAGGAGGGTATACGGATGTAGCTAGGGAGACACAAGAGGATGCACGCAGGATCGAGAACAATAGGGCGCGAGCAACTTTAGACACTGGTTTCGATGGAAGCGAGAAGCGAAAGAAGGACGGTGGGGTAGGGAAGAAGGGGAAGCATGGTCGTGCGCCCGTTGCATGGACGCTGTCGTGAGTCCTGGCTAAAAGTAACAAATCGATCAAAAGAAGGGAGGGGACGTTGTTATATAAAGAAGTATAGCAGATGAAGAGGACCGGATCCGACGTTCCACATAAGGAGACAATGAATGCACAGATTTGACAATATTTGAACAATCAATTAAGTGGGGAGAAAAACAATCCGCCAAAGAACTGGAACGGAATACGGATTACTTGGGGCCGCGAACGGCATCCTTGACCTTCTTGAGCAGACTGGTCTTGCGACCGAGACCAGCACCCGGAGATCCCGAAGTCTCGTCAAAGTATCCCCCGCTGTAGTCCCCCGGTGGCGTCTTCATACCATACGGCGTTGCGGGTAGCTGCTTGTCACGGGTAGGACGCTCATCGACATACACATACGCTTCGTCTGATGCAGGCGAAAGGGCACCGTTTCTACGGTCGCCGTTACCGTTGCCATACCGGCCAGCTCCATACGAGTTCTGGGTGCGGTGGGTAGGGCGACCACCCCCTTCCCCAGGCGGTGGCGATGGGGAATCGCCTGATGCATCTTCATAGCCGACGGGAACATTAGGCGTATCACGCATCTTTCGGATGCGTTGCATGAGTGATTTGGTACGCTTGGGGGCACCGGGCATGACAGCCCCTGGAGATCCGGATGCTGGGAGGGACGGGTCGACGAAGTCGGTAGTGTTGCCTTCGGGGACAAGGATGGGTTGAGGCGGCGGGAGGACACCCCGCTTGCCGCGGCGGCCCTCGCCACGTTCACCACGTTCGCGATCGCGAGCTTGGAGACTCTTAGTTTCCTCATCGAGATATTTGCGGTAAACCTCACGGATGTCTCGAGTCTCTTTATCTTTAGAGCGACGGCCAAGGGAATGTTGGGGAGTATTGTTGCGGGAAGAGGCATTCCCACTCCCGTTCCCGTTCCCGTTGGCGCTGGCGTTGTGAACTGGGTGAGAGTGCCCGTGACCTTCCTTTCCAGCGTAGATGGAATTGGCCGGAGTGGGACCGGTACCACCTCCTGCGAAGAATTCTTCGTATGGCTCTGGTTCGTGAATTCCCCACGCCTCAGCGATGGCGTCAACTTTCTTCTTGGGTGCCTCGTACTCGGCCGGGACGTTTGTATACTTGTCTGGGGAAGGATATGATCGGCCATTTGAGGCTGGGTCCTCGGGTTGGCCGCTCCATGCTAGCATGGGGGCTCTGGTCTTGTGGCGATTGCGAGAGGGAGCACAGGCGTCAAAAGGACCATCGTGGTGGAACACTGATAGAAGGGAAAATAAAATGAGATGAAGGACAAAGGATAGAGGAGTAGGGGGACGGACTTGGGCCGACACCTGTGAAGTCAAGGCGATCGATGACGTCTGCGTGGACCGAGGGCTTCTTTCCACGCTGCTTCGGCTTGGACTTTTCGATGGCATTGGCAGCTTGGAGAACAGAGTCCTGGGACTGAGAGCGACGGCCACTGTATGGTGGACGATGTTGTGGGGAGGTATTACTGGGGGGGCAAAAAATGTCGGGGTGTGAGGGAAGGGAGTGGAGTGGAGGGGTAGAAGGGTGCTTACGGGGCCTGTGTCTGGCTGCGACCGACGCGGTTGCGGGGCGGGTGGTCCTGAGGGGGACCCCTGTACTGGACGGTGTCTCTGACGGCGTCGGCGACGTGTCTCTGCTGGGGAGGCATGTTGTGTTTTGTGGGAGGGTCGGGTGGGGGACGGGGAACAGGCTTTGTCTGTGTCTGTGTCTGTGGATCAGAGAAGGGGTCAGACTGGGATCTGTGACGGGGATGGCGGGTTGGCTGGGGGACAAGCTTTGGGGGCTGCTGCATTCTGGCCGTGGGAGTCGTCTCCTGGTCGTGGTTAGTCTCTAGTAGACGTTGTGAGTGCACTCGTCGATCTCTGGCATCCGCCAAGTGTAAGCGCTACGATCCAGATGACCGTGGCGTTTCAATCTCAGGAGACAACCACCCCACTCCCCTCTTCCCACGCCATCCCTCAATCACTAATCCGTTTATTCACTTATTTTATTCATTATTTATTCTCATCAACCATGCATTTCCCCAGGCCATAATCAGACCATACCAAGACTAATACTCGCCTACTCCTCCATAGTCCCTCCATGGGTTCCTCTCGTGTCTGGTCCAGAGAGGAAATCGCCCACCGAATCCTCCAAGGTGACATCCTCGTCGTCTACGATGGCCGTCTCCTTAGAATACCCCAGAAGTGGCTAGACTCCCATCCCGGTGGTGCTCTTTCCATCCTCCACTTTGTCGGACGCGACGCCTCCGACGAGATTCTCGCCTACCATGCACACCACATCCTCAAGCAGTTCGCCCCATACGTCGTTGGCTCGGTTGAGAAGTCTCCTCATGGCTGGCAGCCCTTTGTCCCTCCCGTGATGACAGGCTGGGTAAGGAAGATTGCCCCGGACGGGCATCTCAAGTGGCACAATGAGGCTGCGGTTCTTCCCAACAAATCCATCTCCTCAGAAATTCTGCTTCTCCCCAAAGACAGCTCCATTCTTTCCGCGCATCCTGCACGTCCTTCTCCGGATACTCTCATTCCTCCGCCAACAGCCCTCGATCTCAAGACCCAGGCTGAGCATTCCGCAGCATACAAACAACTGCATACCCGCGTCGTTGAAGCAGGTCTCTTCCAGTGTCGCTACATCACGGGATATGGCCCTGAAGTGGCCCGCTATATTCTCCTCGGGGGCGGATCCGCCTTTGCATATAAGCACAATTGGCTCATGACCTCCGCAGTCTGTCTCGGTCTTCTTTGGCATCAACTTGTTTTCACAGTTCATGACCTCGGCCATATGGGAGTCACCCACAATTGGGCTATCGATCGTTTCATTGGCATCGTCCTCGCTGACTGGATTGGCGGTCTCTCTGTTGGGTGGTGGGTCGACGTGAGTTTTGCCGTTGTTTACCAACTTCTACCGTCTGACATGTGCGCTCATATAGAACCACAACGTCCACCATCGTGCGTGTTTTGATTCTCGTTTCAAAATGCATCTCTCCCTTACCTTCTGTCCTATTCTCCACAGTCGTCACTAACCATCCTTCTCACGACCCCGATATCGAGCACTTACCCTTCCTCGCCATATCGACTGCATTTTTCAACTCCTTGTGGTCGTCGTACTACAAGCGTGTCATGGCCTTTGATCGATTTGCCAAGTTCCTCGTATCACTTCAGCATCGTCTCTTCTACATCGTCCTTTCTTTTGGTCGCTTCAATCTTTACGTCCTTTCCTACGGTCACCTTCTCCGTCAGGCATTCGACAAACCTCGCGCGCGCGGAGGACGATGGGCATGGTGGATGGAAGTCCTCGGCATCGTCTTCTTTTGGTGCTGGTTCGGACCCGTTCTCAAGGGATGTGGAAGTTGGCCAAAGGCACTGGCATACCTTCTTGTTAGCCATTGGGTGACTAGCCCCCTCCACGTGCAGGTCCGTTATCCCTACATTGCCATCCCGCTTCACTGACACTCCCACAGATTGTCCTCTCGCACTTCTCCATGTCCACAGATGATCTCGGTCCCACAGAGTCATTCCCTGCGCGACAGCTACGTACGACGACCGATGTCGTTTGCCCCGACGCGCTTTCCTTTGTGCACGGAGGCTTGCATCTTCAGGTCACGCACCACCTCTTCCCCCGCCTCCCGCGACACAACCTTCGTGCCGCAAGCGTGCTTGTTAAGGAGTTTGCACGCGAACGTGGCCTTACCTACGCTGAGTTCGGCTTCGTCAGGGGCAACGCTGAGGTGCTCGATGTTCTCAAGGGTGTAGCGGATCAGGCTAAGATCATGACCATGGTTGTCGAGAGCGAAGTTAAAGAGGCCATGGGTAAGAAAGACTGAGCCTGACTGGATGACTGGATACCCAAAGGGATAACCACGAATATGAGCATCCTCAATGAACGACTTATCGGGGTTTATATTCATAGGATTAGATTAATGCTCATTATTTAGAGCTCCATATAGAACGCAGTATTGAAGGCGGTTGCGCGGATTTGCATTTTAGAACCGGAATGTGCTCAGGTCCCTTTCTCCTTGTTATGGAGGAGGTTTTTTATCCTCTTGTAGGACGTTGACCCTCGTCCACCCATGGACGCTGCGGCAATCACTTTCATGTTCATAACAAAGTATGCATAAGGCATGTGATGCATGCAATACCCTAGGCCCGACGAGCCGTGCCCAGATTTTGGGAGTATACAGGGGACTGAGTATCCGAGAAGCATGGCGTAGCAGTAGGAAATGCAGAAGAAAAGCCCGAGAAGAAACCACTTTACTTCTTCTTGTTTGCTTCCTCCTCCTCCTTCTGCAAAAGAGATGAGTTACGATAGATGGGTGCAAAGGGCGCGATACATACCTTGGCAGCGCGCACTTTGCGGATGCCTTCGTAGCGTGCATCGGCACGAGCAACACGAAGGGTCTTGTAAGCCTCGAAGTTCCGCTCTTCGTCGGTAATTTTGCGGGGTGCTTCGTGCACGTACGGGTCGGGAAGAGGAAGAGTGGCTCTCGTGGTCGCAGCCGTGAGGTCGTCACCCTGTTATACTGTTGGTCAATTAAGAAACTTGTCACAAGAAAATCTGACGTACAGTTGAGTCGCCCTTCTTGGGCTTGCCGGTCTTCCGGGGGAAGACAACGAGCTTCTCCTTGTATGCCTTCAACCGCTCAACATTGAGCTGCTTGCCCTCCTCACTCAGGTTTCGTCGGCGGTGGTCCACGACAATGCCAACGGTCCGTGCCTGCTTGCGGTTGATGCCCGCCTCCTTAAGCTCACCGAGGGTGAAACCACGACCCTCGCGAATTTTACGGTTGTAGCGGACGGTCTGACCACGGACGGCGGGACGGAGAAGGGTCAGGGGGCGAACGCCAAGGCTGGCAGCCTTCTCCTTGCGAGCAGTGCGTCTGCGGAGCTTGCGACCAGGTTGATCGAACCAAGTGCGGACGCGGCGCTGCCAGTCCTTGCGGAAGTGGTTGGCGTGGAGAACTAAAGTCGATAGGTGGTAAGAGAATAATATGATCAGAAATTCTGCATTTGCTAACCGTTGTTATGCCTGAAACCCATGGCCTATTCTGCGCGCCATATTATCAGCATCTTGAATGTAGAGTAAGATCACGCATGCAGAGGGACCCCATCCAAGACCACCTCCCTCCATCCATCCCAATCGGCCTGCCAACAACCACGAAAATGCTTGGATCTGATTGATATGACACGATATCCGGGTCCCTCGCATCCATACCGCGAACGAGCATACTCACCTTGAGGAAGTTTTGTTTCTTGACGCTACGCACGATGACGAGCCCAGTTACTGTTGACAGGCTTTCCTGACTTCGGCAAAGCCCGAGCATTCGCGCGCCGCCTAAACTGAGGCAAATCAAGGTGCACGTGCTCCAATCGCGACCCTTGGCTCTCATTATGTTATTTATTGCTTACATTCGTACGTGTGGTCTCGGAAGCTCTACATCCCATATAGTTTCGGAGCGCTATGAAGGCCACATATCAAGTGCTCCTGTAGCCACCAGTTTAGCTTCTCCCATGTGCGGGCCGCACTCAAGTAAGCGATGTATACGAGCAGAGTCGCAGATACACAGCGTCAAAAGAGCGCAGCGATACGAGTAAAACGTTTGCCAAAAGGAGACTACAACCTAACCACCGCAGAGACATCCCAGTTGTGACCGAGGTCTTTCGTCAGCCAAATGAAATTTAACGTATCCTTGACTAAGGGTACGTACTCGTACGTAGTTTCTGGTCACGGGCCGGTCACCACTGGGACGCACAGCAAGCTCATGGAATGCAATCGCTTCAAGGATCGAACGTTCAATAGGAGTGGGTGAGGCATGCCCGTAGGCTGGGGAAAGGGTATCTGCGTCGCACAATCGGTTCGTTGCAAGCACTCTGCGCCAGAAGTGAACAGAAAATGAACATGGCATGTTTCCACCAATTTCTCGCGGTTCTCGGAGGATCTTCATCATACAGCAAGCGTTCCCTGACGGTACTACTCCCACTCTAAACTCGAACCAGTCCTCGATTAGCTCGTATAACTACATTGATATTATTATTAATGCGGTGCAATTCATTGAAAACGAAATGCAAATATACCGATGCAATGAGCTTTAGTACTCAAGTACTCAGGGGGTGACTCTTCCGCGACTGTTATGGCTCATCCGCCCAGAGGTCGAACGACCCGGTCAGTGACTAGTGACTAGTGACTACTCGTAGTGCCGAACATGTTTGTTGCTCTGCATATTTGTGCACTTTCGGTATGTGTCAGGCTTGACTTTGCCAAGATCATCGTGGTGAGCGCTCAGCTCCACACCGCGGGAGCCAACTGACCACACAATCGGGGGCAGAGTGCTTGTACAATTGTATCAGCAGTCAAGCACTGGTCAAGCACTGTGATAGTGATTGGCATTGAGAACGAGCTTGCAAATAACCATGTGCAGCATTTGCAAAGCTAGTCGTGTTTTGTAGGGATCCGTTGCCTGAGTGTGGAGTCAATCTCAGCCCCTTGGTGTGGAAGTGATTGCGCGTATATGAGATCTAGAGCTGTGAAAGGAGGCTGTTATATCGAAGCTATTACGTAACAAGATGGTTAGGAACGTACTGTAACAGCGCGGGCAATGATAGCCTCTTTTCTTTCCCCGCTCCTGAACGCTCTTGAACAAAGTGCCGGGAACGTCACCGTTCTGCAACGTGCAACCATGACGCAGCGACCTGCACTATTGGCAGCAGCACTTGCTGCCCTGGTTTCATCCGCGCATACATTTTCTGTTCAAGTTGGCTCGGCCTCGCAATGTGGCGATCTCGACGTCAATTGGTCTGGTACGTCGTTAGGTTTTCAGGTTTGAACCTCCATACGGCTTTTCATCGGTTTCTCACCTGTCTTGTCCTATCATCAGGGGGCACAGGTCCTTTTCAGATTTTGATAACACCAGTACGAGCATCGCGGTTCTCTCTTTAAGCCCCACTGATGGCGACACCTTCATACTTCAGTTGTACAATGTTCCAGTCAACATTTCCGTTCCTTCATCCGCAGACGGCTCTTACACGGTCTCAAATTTGCGAATTGCACAAGGGAAGCAGTTTGTTGTGACTATGTCCGACTCAACAGGCTTCAATTCCGGCGGGACATCTCCTTTGATAACAGTTGGGCCAGGGAATAGCAACTGCAATACGACTGCCACCGGTGACCTTGGGTTTTCATTCCAACTTCCGAACTCTCTGCAGCAGTGCAAGTACGTGACATCAACTCACGAGCCTTCGATATTTTGGTTCGGTTCTGATGTTGTCACAGTCCATACCAGTTTGTGGGTTACTCTGGCGCGGCACAACCCGTAACCATAACGGTGAGCTGAGTTTGCTGGTTGGACCAGCGAGACTAATGCAGATACATTACACAGGGATTGATTCCTGGTGGCGAGGCCGTTATCCTCAAGCCACCTGTTGGCCCTACTATGTATCAATGGCCCAACGTTAATGTCGCTGCTGGTACTTCTGTCATTTTCTCCGTCACAGACGCGAAAGGGGGTTCAGGAGGTTCCTCTGACGCCGTTCAAGTGCAGCAGTCTAACGATCAGTCCTGTCTAAATGGTAACTCCCCAACCTCTACCGCTGTGGGCCAACCCTCGTCCACATCCGGTGGCTCGGGTCAATCTGGTTCCAGTAACTCGTCTGTGGCGGCAATCGCAGGTGCCGTTGTGGGCTGCTTAGTGGGTTTGGCTGCTATTGTTTCCTTGGCGCTGTTCTTCATCAAGAGGCGCAAGGCAACTCGGTCTCCGTATGGCGCTGGGACCCGCACGCATCGAATCGACTCTGTTGACTTGGACCACGATGCGAGCACCTCTGGCCCAGTGCCGGCTATATACCCCTACCCCTACCACAGTGATTCGGCTAGCCACCTTGGGGCTGCTACCGACTATCGCGATCATTCACCTACATCCAACGCTTCGGCAGCTTCCGCAGATCCATTTAATCCACCACCACCATCACCCCAACAATCTTCAGCCCGACGTACCAGTGATGGCTACGGGGCGTATGTGGATGCTACAAGCGCTTCTGGCCGCTCTTCACATGGCCCGCGATCCTCTGCCTCAAGAAAGGCCGCAATGGCTAACTCTGGGGGCTCACGGCAGGCAGCTCGTTATATATTACATACAGATATGGATGATATCGCTGAGCCGGACGAACATGGCGTGGTAGAGCTTCCGCCCCAGTACACTGAACGACGACAGCCATCGGGAAGCACAGGAGCCCAGTCTGAAAGTGCGACTGGGATTCATAGTGAGAGGCCTGGTGACTCAAGCTATCCACCCAACTCTTCAGACAACACCAGTGAACGACAGTCTCAATACCCATGACGAACTTACAGACTTTCATTTAACCTCATTTCATTACATCTGCATGGACTGTTCTTTCGTATTTCTTTTGTTCGATCTTAATATTTGCCTGCACCGTTATTTATAGTGTGCCTCAGTCATCGCTCATTCGTTAACATTGTTCGTTCCATTCAATGCTATTAAATATCATGCTGGCCAGAGAGCTGTTATACCCGGCATGTTTTATGTGTCCCGAAAGCCCACGTCATTTTCAAGTGAACTTAAAAGTCCAAGATTGCGCAGGACAGACGGTCACCGTGTCATTGTCATTAAAGTATACATAATGAAGCCAGAGCACTGAGAGGTTACATGCTTGGCCACGTCGAGAGTTGAGACAAGATGGTCTACATAATGAGATGAGAAGGCCAATGCGCAAATGAGGTGTAAGGACCGACGGGCTATGCAATACAATTGAACGGTGCTGCCGAGTATAGGGATAGCTCTGGTGTCAAGCCAAAATCTTGAAGTAATATGTATGTGTCCTTCGGAGATGCTGAGAAATCGAACCTGAATAATCCGATGGATTCAGATTATGTGGGCGGGCCCTCCAACTCATCTGCGAGGTTATGTTTCGAAAAGGCGTCGATCATTGCGTCTTGGTCTTTACGCCTTCGGTGCCTCTTTCTTCGGTCGTCTTTGATGACACGTTCAATTCGCCGACGGTTCCTTGTATGCGATCGTGGATCGACGAGCGACAGCTTGCATTTGTAACACGCAAGTTCAATGCTAGCCATTAAGCGAAGGGTGTCAGAGTTATTGAGGGCCTTTTCAGAAAATGAGGTATGAGGTTTTCGTGTGAGCAACCTGGAGGTGAAGTACTCTACGTTTAGCGACCACGAAACAACACGGGAGCCTTCAACGGAGCCGACAACCACAAAGTTGCCGCGTTTCTCAGCTTGAAGATCAGAGAACTAGAGACCATGTGTCAGCGTTTCTTCTTCGAGCACATCAAACCGAGGTTACCTCCCCAAAAACGACCAGAACTTTGCCTGTCCCTGCAGAACGGACTACTATCTCGGAAGATAGTGGATTGAGCGAAAGACGGCTCGATTTGCAGATAGGATGAACGGACCAACTCTCGAGGACTGCCCTATCACCTCATGAGATGCAATTCCACGACCCAAGTACACCCAAGAGTCTCTCTCCGGCCGGCGGATGTGCACTTTGACTTGTATATCCCGAAACTCTCTTGGAGGAGTTGGAGTGACAGGTATAGCTATTCGAGTGACACAAGATGCTTAGCTGAAAGTCCCTTATATTATAGTCACGCGCGGCGCTTGAAACCCACATGAAGCAGGAATGATAGGTTCTTGTTGGCCTTGTGGCTCGAGTGAAGGCTGAGGTGGGCCACTGGGGGTATCGGCCATGACCGCATCCTCAGCTGTGTTATCTAGCTAATTTGACGTGTCAATGAGGAAAATTGACATGCCAGTATTTCATTACATACATCCATATTGCAGAAGGTTGACTCGAAGTCGAGGCAGCCTGACACTTGGATGAGAGGTGTTCAACGTTCAAGGGCGTTCAACACTTCCGGAGTGCAAGCCGAGCGTGGGGTGTACGCGTGCACGTGACGCTCACGTACATCGCGACCACATGGCTCTCAATTACGTGCGTGGTGGTTAGTGATCTGTAAAGTTTTTCGAGGATATACAGCGCATGCTAGTCTACTTCAAGTTGAGATTATTGGTTGAATATTAGCCAGAAGATATCCTCCACCAAACTGCACCGCCGGTGGACACCTCTTGATACATAGTGATATAATCGGTTTGGAGCTCCAGTGATATTGCAGAACACTGACATATGATATCTATTTAGGGTCAGAGCCCAGATACACCCCAGCTGCTAGACACAAGTTGCGAGGTGTGAAGTGAACATTCAGGATAGGGGTCCGCTTCGTTGGGAAGGTTGCAACAAGGTCGGTACTTTAAGTGAAAATGAATACACTTTTACATCAAGCATGGCAGAACTTACGTTTCAAAATTCTCATTCTCTTCCCCACGAAATGGGGATACTTCCGAGGAACCGTTCTCCTTTGCTTTATTTTGACCGCCGGAAGATTTGACATCCCAACATCGCACAGTCCAATCAGCGCCTCCACTGACCAATAATGAGGATTCCGCGCTGAATGCAAGTGAGTAGATGGATGCAGTGTGACCAGTCATTTTCTTGATGCGTCGGCCGGAGCCTAGGTCCCACAAGTTGATAGCCAAGTCTTCTCCTGTTGTAGCCAGAACGTGGTAAGTTTAAGGGAGAGTATGGGAAGAAAGAAACAGACCTGCACTTGCAAGGTACTTCCCGTCGGGACTCATCGCGAGAGAAGACAAAGTTCCTTGGTGGCCGATAAACACTCGGATGCAGGTACCGCGCTGTACGTCCCACAGTCGTGCTGTCCAATCACTGGATCCGGTGGCAAGGTAAAGGGAGTTCGGATGAAATCTTACACACTGTCGTGGATGAGCAGACGGGAAATACTATTGCATGTAGGCTGCACTCACGTCAACGTCACTTAAATGCCCTGCGTATATACGCAAGCAAGATACTCGATCTGTTGACCACAATCGTGCCGTTCTGTCCCGGCTCCCAGTCGCAAAATAGACGCCCATAGGACTCCATTGCGCATCCCATACGGGATTTTGATGACCCCTGTAGGCGACGACGTTGGTATAAGTGTTCAAAGACCAAAGACGAACAGTAGCGTCAGCAGAGGCAGAAAGAAGATATTTGGGTGGAGCAGCAGAACCCGAAAGAGGGTCAAATGCTACAGAGTATACGGGACCACTGTGACCTATGAGCTTCCGCGAAGTTGTGCCATCTTTTTCCTGCAGCTTGGACAATGAAGTTGCTGTGGGGTGAGTTAGTTCTTGCAACTAAGGACGAGTTCGGTGACCCACAATCGCGTATGGAGTTCGGTGATAAATCATTCTTGAGGGCTTTAAGCTTTTCACCTTTCAGGCTCCATAAGCGTATATGACTTTCCGCAAACCCAGCTGCCATCAGAGATATGTCTGGGGAAAAGGTACTGCATGGTGAACTGTCGACTTCGTCAGCACCTATAAAGCCGAAGTGCCACAACAAACGCTTACCCCTCGCCAACATCATGTAGAGTATAAGCACATATGCTAGGTAAACCTCTAGCTCTAGCTGCTGTTCCCGCAGCGGAGTTGAGATCCACAGAATTAAGTGACGATGGTTCAAGTCTGATCCGTTTACGATGGTCTCTGACTCTCTCAACTTCTCTCTGAACATCTACAGTCTTGAAAGAGGGGGGAAGAGGGGGCAAGTCTGCGACCGCAGGAGATACAAGGCCTTGTGGAGCGGTAAGGCGAGAATATGTATCATACTGGGCACCCGGATCTCGATCGAGCATTGCATGTTCCCTAAGGACGCGGTCGGTCTCAGCACGGAGTTCTTCGGAGATGGGAGCAGGTCCAAGTTTCAGTTCGCCCTTAGAGGAGTTGAATGTCTGGGGTCTAGGAATGCTTGACGAGCTTAAACTGGAACCCGGTATCAGAGACGACAGTAAACCAGTCGACTCTTCCCATTCGCTTGAGGAAAGTGTAGTCGTGCTCGCCGCGGTGACTGGAAGTGGGAATTGAGTATCTGACACTTGATCTCGGCATCAAGAGGAATACCATCAAAGCGCAGGTGGTTGTTTACCACACGCATCACAGCCGACCTCCCTCTTTTGCCAGTTTCTCCCGAGAAGCCCTCTCCTGACCCAACTGCTTCTCCGCCAACACCTTCCGTAAGCCAGCCCACAAGAAGACCAAAGCCAGACCGACTCATTTTGATAACATACTTCTCATTTCGAAAGCGCTGGGCCAGCTCATCGTTTTGAACATGGGCGGGCAGAAGAAGAGTTGACAGGTGATGGAGGACTGCATTGTGGGCGGGGGCTAAAGTGTTAGAGAATGAAGAAAAGAACTTGAGTGCTATTCCAAGCAATAAGTTTGAGTACACCTTCTAGGCAGAACGTAAGGAGCATACCGGCATCTTTGAATCCACGTTGGACGAGTTCCAAGTAGAAATGGCAAAAAATGGGGAACAAAATTGGTCTGAATTCTGGCTAGTGGTGGACATGAAGAAATCAAGTATGAAAGCTAAGAGTACCCACTCGATACATGTCCAACGAGCCCTCCACCCAAGACTCTAGCTCACGAAATCCCTCCTGCTTGTCGGTGGGGTCTGTAGACAATATCTCCTCAGCGCCTATGGAGCCCAGGCTGGCGAGCAGGTTCTGGATGTTTGAGGGGCTCAAGGAGTTAAGCTCTTGAGCCGCATTTGAACTATCCTTAAGAGAGTTTTCACCGGGCCGTGATGCCTTTTGTGCATAGACCGCGATGCCCTTGAGCAGCTCTTCAGAAGATACTGTTGTCTCAGAAGATTTAGCGGAGGTACTTGGGTCTGTTCCAAGAACATCAGACAGAGCCTTGACTGCATTGGCATGCCCTCTGGATCGAAGGTATTCCAAGACCAGACGATCGGTTGGTGTTGAGCTGCTTGCCTCGGCTTGAGCAGGGGACATTGCACCAGAGGATTGGGGAGTATTCGCTGACATAAGGCTAGGGTAGTGGCAGCAGCGATGTTAGAGATGTGGATCAAGAATGTGACCAAGTGCCGTATGGCGGGTTGTAGTTGTACGAGAGCCTCTCAGGTTTCGAGCCAAGGTCGAACAGAGTCCTGGCTAGCGTTCCGAACGCGTGCGCGCGTGTGACGCGTTTGGAGAACCGAATCTGAGTTGTTTATGTAGACAATATAAATTATTATTGAAATTATTGCGAGCCAACAGAAGCACAACCTCTCCAAGCTTGCACTTCAACTAACCGCTTGTTCTCGGAGACGGGACGCTATCCGTCTCTGTCAATCCTCCTCAGGGCTAACATTTGACGCGTACTTCAGCTAGACTCTCGCTCAGGGTGTCGATCTTCAGCCACGCTTGTCTCCTCTCAATTGCACTATGGGTCTCCACGAGGCGCTGCAGTCTGCAATTATAACAGCGATTGAAGATGACAGCTACGCTTTCTCTCTCCCATCCTTGGATGATTGCGATGCATTGGTGCGCTGCTCTTCTTCTGAGAAACAGCGTCTTGAGTTCCTGGGCGATGCTTTACTTCATGCTTCTGTCGCCCTTTACCTCAATGAAATCTTTCCCGATGCTTCTCCAGGAATGTACACGGTACTTAGTTCGATTCCAATATCCAACCAACATAGCTAACCTCGGCCCCTCAGAGTCTTCGCGCAGCCATCAACGCCAATGCTACGTTCACTCACTTGATGGTAAAAGCTGGCGTCCATCACCTTGACTCAGAATCAAGGACCACCAAGGCTGCAGCAGACACGTTTGAGGTCATTATTGCTGCTTTCTACATGGAACGCGGCTTTACAGATCTTCGCTCTTGGGTTAAAGCTCAATTCTCTCCTCTTGTAACCGCGGCCCATGCTACTTATCATAACATGTGCGAAGTTCAACACTTGTGCATTAGCCACTGACCATCTTGTACCTCAATAAAGGATGGCTAAGAAACGACGCAACGTTGTGTTATCGCGCCGTGCTCAAAGCGCGTGTTATTCCGGGACACCATTCTTAAAGAAGATTCGTCTGGGCCGCTCCGTGGATCGGGTGAAAACCCCGTCGAAAATCAAAACCAGTGAGAACCTGATTTAAATCCTCCGATGATATCCGTTGTTCCTCATCCATTGCAAGTGGCTCGCAATGTCCTTAAGAAGATGGCGCTGCACAGGCCTGGCTCCATACGACTTCCCATTCGAAAGGGAAAGAAAACTCGTATTTCTCCATGCAGAAGCTTTGTCGATCTCACCTGGGATGAGGATCACGAAGTCGTCCTTGTAAAACGCCCCAACGCCCCAAAAGGTCGCGCTAGTTCCAATCCTTCCACTCCACAATCAAAATCACCGCCTATGTCTCGTGCTAACACGGTGGTGGGTACAGATGCTTACTTCGGGGCTACACACACTAACCATCCGTCTTTTCAGAGAAGAGCGTTTGACTCGTCTGAATCGTCGCAAAAGTCATCTTCTCGATCCACTGCTGGGCACCCGCTTAACGGTTACTTCCACCGAGGACCATCTAATGATACATCGACTTATGCTGGGAACGAAGAATTATCCTCTTCGTCCAGACTAAGAACATCTCCGCCGACGTACGAGCTATTTATGAAAGCAGGGCTTTCTCTCGCGACCTCTCCTGACGACGATTCTTTGGGACTTGGCACGTTTGCACAACCTATCATGATCTATGACAGCGATGAAGGACCCAATTGACATGACAATTTATGGACTAATTAACTCGCGTGGAATTACCCTCAATTGCACGACCGTGCTTACATACTGATGAACGCAATTGTTATGGGCATAGATCAGCAATATTTCAGTATATAAAGCAATAATGACCAGGCGGCTTTCCCCATAAATTCTCTTCAGTCTCAAAGCCTCATCGCACTCCTCCCATTCTTCCCGGCAAGAAGCCATTACCAGAATAGCTATGCAGTGAAAGTAGCTTGTTCAGAAATGTTCCTGCGCAAATATAACCTTTAGTACTATGTCAATCTATTGGCAGGAAACGACTACCTTGGCGAACTTGAAAATCACGTTCTTGCTTGTGTGCTGAAGGGTAGCCTCCTTGATTGCATGGGCCATGACACCAGGTCCACAGAAGTATGTCTAAAAGCAACACATCAGATTAACTCTGAAAAATCACGAGGAATGGTACTTACGCCAACTGTAGTCTTGAGTTGGGCATTACTGCCGGGCAGGTACTGACCAATTTCAATAGCTTCGCGGATGCGACGATAGATGCTCTTCCAGTCCGGACGACCGAACATGGTGCGGGTACGGAGAAGTGTCAAGGGGTCAAAATCAGCTCCAGCATCGTTAACAGCGATATTCCACAGCATGTCTTCTCCAATCTTCTGAGTAAGATAGATGTTGATCCTGAGGAAATTGGCTAAAGCAACGTAAGTGAGTATGTCGCTAGGTCAAAGAACGAAATCGAGAGACTGACGATCGAACTGGGCGTCCTCGATTTCTTGCAGGAGGGTTTGGAACCATCCAAACGAGGGAGCATCGCGGCAAACCCAGAAGAACTCCACGCGGCGTAAAGATCCAATATTACCCTTCTTCTGGCGGTACCAGATGTGCTTCAGGATGGAAGCAAATGGAGTGACACCTACATTCGACGTCTAGTAACGGGTTGAGTTGAACAAGGAAAACCCTCACCGATACCGGCACCAACAAGGACAGCGACTTCGTTGTCAAAGACGTCCTCAGCCGGGGCGCCGTAAGGGCCGTCAATGCGAACATCGGGCAAAGGGCGAGAGAGCGTTCCGGAATCAAGTTCGACAAATTCACCACGCGTGCCATATATGTCTTCGTTTTTCTCGACGCCTTTCATCGCAGTCTTTGTCATGGCCGCAACAACGGAAGGACCACAACCAAGGCGTTCACCCAGACTATGAGTCCAATCGCCAACCTGACGGATGTGAACAGACACGTAAGGGTCCTCCGGTGCAGAGGTAATGGTAAACTGCCCGAATTTAGCTGGAGAAGTTCTCACAGACAGCAAACATGCTTACAGGATGCCACTGGAAGCGGGAGAGTTCGGGTACTTGGATGAATAGCCATTGACCAGCAGTATATTTAAAGCTGGGTTTAACGATACGAAGCTCCATGGCGCCACTGGGATGAACGAGAACCTTGGATAATTTCGTAGATCTCCTAGCCCTATACTCTCTGTACATTCTTTCGCCAAAGTAAAGGACAGCGGGCCACATGGTAAACCTCCAGCTTTCGTATCCAAGGCAGTGCTCGGTGGAATAGAACGGGAAGCTCGGAATGTAATCCGGGTTTGTCGAGTCACGCACAAAGCATCCATCGGCATGAGAGTATAAACCAACGTAAAAGAAGAATGCGAGATGGTGAGTGTACCAAAAGGCCTCGAAACACTGGTTGCGAATTTTGCGATGAGCCGTGGTGTAAATCAGGACCATGATCAGGACCATGAAATGGCCTGTGATCCCTCCGGCTTGTGTATAGTGGATCTGCAACGCATATTCCGTCCGAACCTCTGCAAGTCCGACGTTAGTTTCACCTGTGGGGTTAAATAGACCAGACGTACGAGTTCGCTCGACATTGATAAAATTCACGTAGTGAGCAGTGGTATGGACCATAACCCAAAAAGCCATGGAGTAAGCAACTTGACGATGGAACCATATGTTTTCATCAGCAGGGAAAAGCCAAGCCAGCTTGGGGCGAATGACGCGGATGACGTTGCGCAACATTGGAAGAAGGAGTAGGCCAGCTAGGAAAGCAAGAACAAGACCGGCGCCTCGAGAGGTCCATACCGACCAAGTCAGAGCGTTGAGGGCAGCCAGCTTCTCATCGGTTTCCTGGGCGAATTATCAGTTGTCCGTGTCGGTAAACGTGTGCATGATAGGGGCTACTCACCTGTAGATACCAGCCAAGGCCGAACCAGAAGAATTGGAGGCCATAGAACAAGACGTTGAAGATGAGTCGCCGAGGCGTAAGAAATTCCCTATGAAACCACGATTCGCCCATTGTGAATAATATAGATATGGGAATCCCGCCCAGCTGAGATGGTACAGTACGAGTTGTAACTTCTCCGACTCGGCGGTGAAGCTAGAAGGGAGCAAAGGAAAGAGGAGGGAATGAAAAGAAGGAAGGCTCAGCCTGGTGAAGGAAAGAAGGAAAGAGGGAGTTAAGAGCGATAAACGGCTTGGGCGCTCAAATGTTTCGAGACTGAGGTTGGACACGGGGTGTCATGGTGATCATTGTTTCTCACCGAAGGCCCCTAGTCGCAACTCCGCTATGCTGGTCTCCATGATGGACTCGCAACGGTAATGGCAATCGAGGACAATTATTGGTTATGGACACGCTAAGAATATACCCTTGTGAGCGAAAGCTGCATGGCTTTGCCGTTCCGTAGTCGTTCCGTGTTGGCTCGACTCCCACCACCTTCATGAGAGCAAGTCCAGTTCCTTGATGCCTATTTTAGTCGACGGTTGGATAGCATTGTTACTTGCAATTTTTGCTGAGCACAGGCCGCTGTGATGAAGGCTGTTGCCTGGCATTGCCGTCATGATCGAGTGAAGCTAGTATCGCACGTTCTGAAGAATCTGGGTTGCTCAAGCAAGCTATGTGTTTCCAATAATGAGAGGACGCACCAAGCAAGTGTAAGCGGCAATGAGCTTCCGTTTATGGAACAAGTGGCACTATTTGCCTCCAGTCTCCAGGCGCGTCAGGTGAAGTAGTTGAACTGGCCGTCCGCGCGGGTAGAGCCAGGCATCCTCCTCCGTCAACATATGGCCCCGGTCCCTTCTTTCACGCCCCCTCACGCGTTGTACTCGTCACACGCTGCTAGTTCTTTTCGCGAATTGGCTGTTCCACCTCAGGCCAAGCCAGCAACTGTCGATGTACCTTCGCTCCAGAATGCGAGCCGCGTCTTGCATGACCAGTTCGTAAAGGATGCTCAAACAATACCAGAGGTCGGAGACCTCTTGGCTACGCGTGCGTACCTTTCAACTCTTTAATCCAATTGATTAAGTGTCATCCCATTAGCTGGTGGTCAATCCTCGGCTTCCTATAGCGTCTACCCGGACGACTATCGAGTACCTTTCCAGAGGAGAAGGCTTGTGGGTATTCCCGAGGCATTATTTCAATATTACAACAGTGAGCTTTCAGTCAATTGTACCTGAATCCATGCTTATGGGCGTCACCACCTTTAGCAACCAATGTCACCTCTCATATGGGTCTCATTCCTGAAATCGAGCGCGCGTGGGTAGCTATTGACCATAAACTGTTCCTGTGGGATTACATGGAAGGGTTAGCAAAGCTTTCAAAAAAATGTCCACGTCTGACCCAGTCCATCAGGCAAGAAATCAGCTCGTTCGTTGACCAACCCGATGTCATCACGCATGTGGCCGTTGTGAAACCCAAGCAGGGTGTCTTTATTGACGACATAACCTCGGTCATGGTTATTTGCACGCCTGTCTCTATTCTTCTCATCGGACTTTCGATAAACTCTGTTACTGGCCTCAACAGCAGGTCGCACAAAGATATCAAGATGTATGCCACCGACATGTCTGTCTCAAGCGATGTGGAAATGACTTCCGTTGCTGGCACGTCTGATGGTCGAGTATTTATGTGCAGCTCCCAAGATGGGTGCTTGTATGAACTGCATTATCAACAAAATGAATCATGGTTTGGTAAAAGAGTCCAGCTCATCAATCACTCCGTCGGGAGCATGCAGAGTCTTCTCCCTCGGTTTACTTCTCCTCGTCCGGAAGGTACATCATCACCATGCCTCACTAGAAATACTATTCACCTCTTGTTTGTAGATCGAACCACGTCAATCGTTTCAGACCCATCTAGGGGCATCATTTACGCTTTATCTGCAAAGAACGCAATTTCGATATATCGTCCGAGTGGAGACAAGGCTGTTCACCATCTACAGACCATTTCCAACTTACTGAAGCTTGCTCAAGAAAAAGCGCCTGGATCAGGAGCTGTGACCCCTGCAAACTTTCATGTGATCACTTTGCTCCCCATTCCTTCGACGGAATCACGTTCGTCCGTCCAGCTCGTCGCAATCACTTCAGCAGGTGTTCGCTTGTACTTTTCCGCATCTACGTCGTATGGCTACTCCAGTGCAAGTACTTCATTATCCTCCCCACGGCCGTTAACTTTGGTTCACGTCCGCCTCCCGCCTTCGAATTTGCTGCACCCTGATGAGCAATCCAACCCTCACCGCCCGACTGCCATTGTTACGTACGGTGCTCCTCAAAACCCATCGACTTCCAGACCTTATCCTATTAGTGGACTTGAACATTCCTGCTACATGGATGCTCTCACAGTATCTGCTCAACCTGGGGATACGGATGGCACCGACTTCTTGCTTTGCACTTCCCCAGATTTGACCCGAATTGGTTCATTCGGTCAACTTCAACATCAAGCACCCTCACAGCAGGCTCCCTATGGCGGGCCTACTTACGTGACCAACACCAATCAACGCCCCCCTTTGACTGAGAATGCGACACTTCTCTCTATTCCAGGACGCACTTGGGCCATGGCACCCGTACCTCAAATTAGTCAAACATTCGGCTCATCAGCCCCTTCACCAGCTGTAGCCAACGAACTCGCCTTCCAGTTTTCAGAACACCCACGCCAATTTATGATACTGACGAATGTAGGCATTACGTTCCTCGTCAAACGGCGAGCGGTCGATTGTCTCCGGGCGATCCTGGAGGAAGTTCGTACAGATGGCGCTGTCCAACCATTGATTGAATTCCGAGACAGGCACGTCAACATGTATTTTATTACGCTTCATTGCTAACTTGGCCTCATTCTTAGTTATGGAAGAGATCAAACATGTGCAATGCTGCTTGCTCTTGCCTGCGGGAATACATATCTGGACATCAGCGACCAATCTATGGGATTACTCCAAACAGTCAGTTCAGACTTGGCAAGCGTTGCAAAGCAGGCATTCTACGACTTTGGAGAACGTCCAATTTGGACAGAACGAGTGACTTATGGTACAGGTATGCTGGCTGACATCGAGAGCATAATCAAACGCTTACGATACGCAGCTGAAAGCTCTGGCACCGCAATTTTCAGCGGACGAAGAGAGGGGTTGGCTTTGTACTTTGCCAGGCTTGTAAGGCCGTTCTGGAAGGAAAAGTTAACTACTTCAAGGTATTCGACTACCACGTCCTCCTTCAGTGATCCTAATTTTATCAAGGTCTACGGGCTTGCAGCACCTCAATGTTTCCGAATCAGTCCTCGTCACCACCCAAAAGAATATGATTGCCCTGAAGGATTTCCTCGATCAAAACCCACATTTATTCCATTCCTCTCCGGGAGACTTGACGGTTGCTCGGACTCCTGCCGGCAACGAGCAAGAAGCCTGGAAGGTAAGCATATAGAATTGATACTGTAGTAGGATTTGCGAGCTAAGCCATACCCAGGCAGAGCAAACGTCCGTCGCTCAGTTGGTCTTACTCTTGACCCGTTCAATCGAGGCTATCTCCTTTGTTCTTCTTCTCAATGATTACAATCTCGGCGAGTTGATATCTCAGTCAGTCATTTTCATGCTTTCATGGCGCATATCTCACTGTCGAATGTATCTAGGTGCGAGGAAGGGTCCCGCACACGAATCACGTCGATGACGTTCGAAGAACTCGCCACGGCTCAGGACAGCGTCGCTGTATCACGCGCTTTGATTAATGTCATCATTGACCAACAGATAGGGCAACAGCTCAGTGTAAGATTTGACTTCGTTCAGTATACGGGCATTGCTAACCCTTGGATCTAGGTCGACACAGTGAGCGAGGTCTTACAGCAAAGATGTGGCTCTTTCTGCAGCACCGATGATGTAATGCTGTACAAAGTGCGTATCGTAATCGACTAAACAACACACCTCAATGTTGCTGACGCTGAGCGCAGGCACGCGAAAATGTCCGCAAGGCAATTGAAAGTCGCACTCCTACTGAGTGGCAGACCTGGCTAGGGGAATCATTACGGTGAACAATATATCCAAGGAACAGAATGTCTGACTAACTTGATTTTTACCAGACTCTTCACGAAGGGGGCACGCACTTTAGATCTTCCAAAAGTTGAAGAAATCTGCAATGACTATCGACAGCTCGGATACGCTAAAGGTTTGATTAAAGTCCTTTAAACGACCTTCATTAATTTCAAATATGTTAGGTGTCATCGAATTTCCTCTGATCTGTGCGCAGGTGCAGGATGCAGATAACTTAGGATTCGATTACTGGCTTGCTGGCTGCCCTTCAAATGACCCTCGTTCTGAACTCTATCAGCGGCGTGAGCAATGCTACAGGCTCATTCTCCACTCCTTAGAAGTGTTTGAGAAGAGGGCAACGGCGGGTGAGAGTTCTGGAAGTAAGGAGGATCCGGAAACAAGCAAAAACCATGCATATGAGCTTGCGTTCGCGAGCGAGGATGAAATGTTCCACTCTACACTATATGACTGGCTCATTGAACGTGGTTTGGTCGATGAATTATTAACAGTACGCCATCCCCTAGTTTCAGTTGTTAACGACGTATTAATGCAATTTTACAGATGCGACCTCCATTCCTTGAGGCACACCTGAAACGAGAACCTACCACAGTACAGAAGTACCAGCTACTTTGGCAGTTTTATGTCAAGGATGGGCAACCACTTCGAGCTGCTGAAGTTCTGGCAATTCTAGCCGAGTCTCCAAGGTAAGCTTTTCACTTCTCTATTTTATTTCCATTGTCATTGATGTACCTTGGACAGCGACGATCTCACGTTAAGCGCTCGCTTGGAGTACCTTACGCTTGCTGTAGGTAACGCAAAGTCCCACCCCATCACTGTCGGCAACAAACATGAAACCGCCATTGCCTTCCTGACCGATTTGGAGGAGAAACTTGATGTTGCGCAGGTGCAACTCGAGATATATCAGACCTTGCTGCCTCATGCCCATGACCCCGGTGAAGCCGGTGAACAAATACGTCTCCTGGACAAGGGCCTTCTGACCATCACAGAGGTACGTTAACTCAAGCCGTAATGCAGCTGCGGTCTCATCAGAAATGCAGCTATACCAAATGTATGCCGAGACATTTGATCTGCCTGTCATGAAGCTCCTCATCTTACACGTTTCGGAGCACCGAGACGAGCACATCGTTCTCCCTATCTGGAACCGAATTTTTGAGGATGGTGTGTAGAACTATCGTTCCAATCCTTCAAATGAATTGACCTAGGAATAGCTGTCGAGGCCGGGGCCGACGGTCAGACAAATGCAGACCACATTATCACAGGTGTGGTTCCCCTTGGTCAACGGTTCTATCCGTCGGAAAGCGCATTCCCCCTTCGTGAGTTGCTTCAAATATAAATGGAGCTCTGATGGACTGTTCTCTTTGAACCTCGTAGGGCATGTTGCTGCTCTCCTAGTTAAGTTTTCGCTTGCTCAGAAAGGGGCATTACCCCATGGATGGACGCCTCGCGTCCTAGTTCAATGTAGTGTGCCGTACACGGAGATATGGGAAGTATTACATGAGATGTATGAGTCGCATGTAAGTCCCCAATCACTGTCGTACTTTCACTTAGGCTGAGCACTTTGAACAGATCCCACCCTTCAACGAGCAAGCTAGCGTACAGGCGATCTCCTCGGACATAGCGGTCCTTTTCAATGACTGGCTCGAGGAGGCAAGACGGCCACAATCCTCAATTGCACGAAGAGAATTCCCTGTGGGACGCATTGATCTTGCAATTGACCAATACTTGTCGGAACTCGAGCCCAGTCGCACGGAAACCAAGACAGCGTATGAGAACGTCAAGCGCCAGCTCCGACGAAATTGGTGATTAATCATTTAAGCGATACCAAAATGGGGTGCATTGGCATGCCGTAGTGACTTACGCCAGAATTTCGAGCTAATTTACTTCCAATATCACATCTTCTGCAAACACAAGAATTCTTGCGCTAAGTTTGCGCGTGAGTTCGTAAACCTTTACCAAAGCCCTATGGCGTATGTCAGCTTAACCCCAAAGAGAGATCAAATTGGTCACGGAACCTCGTGAGGCCAACGGCGAGTAGGAAGATGATTACGAGCGCTGCGATGTCCGCCGAATTTCCCGACCTACGACGGCTGCCCCTATACCTCGCTATCCATTGAATAGGACCCAGAAATGGCATCGAGAATATCATTTGAATCAGAGAGCCTGCCCCTACTAGAGGTAACCCAGTGATGAAGCGGCCTATGAACCTCTGCACTAAGCCGCTTTTAGCTTGGGGTTTTAACGTGGGATTTAGGGGACGGGCAGTGAAAGGTGAGTCATCCTCCAAGACATCTTGATCCTTCAATATGCGAAAGGCGGCGCGGACAATGTCATGAGCAGCATCATATGGCGCATAGTACCAAGAAGTGTACGAGAAACCATAAGAATAGTCGTCATAGTCATTGTCGAAAACGTGGAAGAAGGAGGTTGTGAGGTAAGATGAAGTCATAACTAGGGCAGTGAATAGGATTGAGGAAAGTAGGCCAAGCACCACTTCATTAGGAAAGAAAGTTAGGTCAGTTGGGGCTAGGTCCCTTACGTGCGTATACAGAGTCTGGCGACTACACACCTGGGTTCGTCGCTAGACCCACAGCACCGGTCCGACTGAGACGATATCGATACTGACACTGTGGACACTGAAAGAAGGCGCTGGCCGATGGGGAAGCTCTGCGCCAAGTTTGCAGGCACTGGACGTGTACGTACTACATCGGATGAATGTTGGAGCCATAGTTTGAACCACCAAGATCGCGGCGAAGATTGTAGCAACTAGACTAGTACTCACACTAATGGAGCCTTTGCAAAGGCAGGGTCGTATGAGCCTTCCCAGTGAGGGATCATCTCCGTCAAGACAAATTCTGCACTGTTTCTCCGAGTTCTGGTCCTCTTCAGCCCTGACATTGTCAGCCATTGAACGGGCGTCTGTACTCATGAGCGGAAGAAGGATGAGGCAAGTAAGTGAACAAGTAAATAGACGCCCGAATGTCCGGCTCGCGTTTCAAATATTCGGAACCTCGGATGCCACGTGCTATGTCGCGTGGGTTTGCCTCCGCATCGCCACCAGCGCCACTGTCAGATCTGTGACGGTTTGTGACCAGGGCCGCGGTAGCGGGGACCAGCCACTCAATGGGACAAGCGTAGACCACTTTTGGCATGATCCCTCGTCCGGACTTCTATCAGGCAACTTAGAAGCCTCAGTCCGCTTTACTCCAAGAAGCTTTGTCCAGGGTTGGGCAGGCCGAAGATTCGAGATTACTCCACTACTTTCTCTGACGGCAGCATGTTGGCAGCATGCAAACTTTGGACGGGAGTCGCATTATCGCATTGAGGGGACAAGATATGACAATTGAGGCAAGTCTCTACTCTATTAAAGCTCAGCTTTACCTGCTGCCAATCTCACCTGCCGCGTGGTCTAGCGCAGTAGACTCTAATGAACTCAACAAGCTTTCAGTGTGAAGTGCGGACTTGTCATCCAGTTGCAATGTTTGTGCCGAGATCGGAAGCTCTTTCTGCGTCCTTCGCGAGCAATGGAAAGTCTAAAGCCTCAGGGTAACTCTATCTCATACAAAACACTACCGTAAGTCCGGAATCTACGCAGATCTAAGCGGCAATGCTTGATGTAGTTCTTTCAATCACCATCGAAGTGTTCACGGCGATATAAGGGTACACTAGTAGTCTGGTACCCCTTTTGGCACACACCATTCGCCGGTCACGTACATGCATCCATCATGGAGGAACTTCAGTCGCCCTCATGACGTTTTTTGATTTCTTGAGACGGCGTACAACTAGAAAGAACGTCGGCCAGATTCGAATGAAGTTCGTGGGATACATGCGATACATCGCGATCACAGAACAAATTGACTTCTTCGCCGACAACCCCGAGGCTACAAATGTCGATTATCAACCGCGGACTGTTAAGGGAGTTTCTCATTGTTTTGCTTGTTTGCATTCAGGTCATCTCGATGCCCAGCTCGTCATTTCTGCCACCATACAGGGTCAGACGCCGAAAGACTCCAGGTTAGACATGACTATCGTTGAAGACAGTACGCCGCGGATTTACCTCAACGACTCTTTGTGAATCCCCGTAAAATCGGACGCACCTGTTGCTAACGCCCAAGCAGTCACCTTATAAATTCGTAAGTAATATCAAAAAATTCTCTGGAAGGCTTAGGTGCATCGGATTTGAGGGGAAGAAGCTGCATCGTTCTAGAACGTGGCTCCGACCCTGGTTCCAGGGGACTGGGAGTTGAAACGCTGATGTACTTGGAGATTGTGCTCCTGCTTTTCCGCCACTATAGGCTTGCAAGATCTTAGCCTTGCGCTCTCCTTATCTATCGTCTATTCTCAGGTTGATCTTCTGTACGGCAACGTCACTGAAAGTTGAAATTGAACGTTGAACCTCTATGGCTCTTTTTATGGCACCGCCGGCGCGATCGCGATGTCCATGCTCAGCTTGCACTTGGTGCGGCCAAGTTCGCGCATGGTAGTACTTGGTCCGACTACTAGTGGCGGATGCAAATATTTTCTCCACCGCTCGCTATCCCTTGGATCAATTAATGTAAACTTCAGCAGCCTCTCAACCAACCTTCCACATCGGTCCTAATATTGGTCATTTTACGTGTACGTGCTTCTCGTTAACGGACTTCGTTCATGGCATACGATCGCGAACCAATACTTAGGAGGTATACCTACCTCTCCCTGCACCTCCTCAAGAGATCTATCTCAAGAGAGAAAAGCATATAAATCCACTACTCGAGCTGCAAGGTAAGAGCATCATCCGTGACCATTTTTACGAGCCTCGATCTCCTCAATGTCACTTCCCAGCCCAGACAGAATTGTTGCGCTCTCTTGTATCAATGTGGGTGCTGGCCCAGGCGGATCTACACCCATGCTTGCGTAGGTATCCTTCTTAGCTTGGTGTAACGCTAGCTAATATGCTCTGATTTTGTAGCAGAGTCTCGCTGGTGAACTTCAGGGGCGAGACACTGTGCGACACATATGTTGCTCCAACCATGCCAGTAACGGACTACCGCACGGCGACCACCGGCATTGATCCTAAGACTCTGACGTCTTGTAAGCCGTCGATGCCTTGGCCATTTTTAACTTTTTTTGAACATTGATTTTGTGAAGCGTCAACTCCCAAATTCCAGCTGGTTCAAGCAGACGTTGCACAGCTCATAAAAGGTAAAATCGTGGTTGGTCATAGCCTTTGGAACGATTTGTCCGGTAGGCATATTCTCACTAATCGTTTGGTTCATTTATCTTAATCTTCTTCAATAGTCCTAGGCATTCCCCATCCCGCAGTTTGCACGCGTGACGTCGCCTTGTACCAGCCCTTCCGCAACGCTCTCCGTTCACCAAACCAGGTCATCGGCCTGCAAACTCTGATGTGGCACCTCATGTGCCGCCGCTGTCAAGACGGACAGTTAGACTCGGTAAGACTGCCCCTTTTGGTGTGCTATTTTCTGAGCGACTATTGACATTCACTCGTAGTTGGAGAACGCTCGAGCGACCTTAGATCTTTACCGTTCTGTAGCTGAGGACTGGGAGAACGCTGTAGCAAACAATAACTGGCCATCAAGTCTCCCGCCCAGTACCTTTTCACGGTGCTACACCTAATCACAGATTGAAGACGATTTTGCAGCAAGCCACAAATAAGATATCCACAGCTTCCCCCGTTTTTGTTACATCCATTGTAATAACTTTCATGTACATAAGCCAGTAATTCTTGCGCACACCGGTACTTTCACAGCCGCGTGTACAACTCAGTATCAGCATAGCACCTGGTTCTTCAATGTATTATCATACGGGTGTATTTCTTGATATTTCTTGTACACAAGCGTTATGTGTGTAATGCAATCCAATGAGCGAAACATGGTTTGTCGTCCTGCAATCACAATGCACGATAAAACTCCAGCCAAGGCCGATCTCGTTTGACGTACCAGCTGCAAAATCGTTGAAGACGCTCTTATCGGCGGTCTTGTCTGACTACTCTATGATTATGTAACACAGCAAAGGGAAGCCTGGGTTTCATGCTTCCTTGTAATAAACATGCGAAGGTATGGATAGCCTATATGGTGTTGTGATCTCCTACTTCGTCTTTGAGAGAATTAGGACTCTCTTTCTGAGTGCCCGCCATCTGTGCGAATCCTTTGACCACCCAGGCCGAATGAAGCGAAATGGCAGTCGTCGTGTTCGGCCTTTAACACGGACACATCCTCCGAGGAGGTGGAGCTGCGATGTCCAGCAAGCCCGGGAAATCGAAGCCAGGCGCTCGCGTTTGATCATCTCTTGTGCGATATCTAAGCGCCCTTCTTTGAGCGCCAAGGAAGCCACCCGCCTTCTGACAGCGCTCGACTCGATTTGTGGCCCCCATCGCCTGCGATAGAGCCGAAGGCACTGATTGGCGAGTGTCCCACATCGTTTCGTCGGACGCAAGCTCCGGAGAAGCAGATGCAATGTCTTAGCTGTAGGCGTAGCAGCTGAACAACTGTCCAAGAGCGTGTGAAGAGTTCGGCGAAGAGCGAAGTGTGCTCTCAGCCCTCGCTTCCGCGCCTCGGAGGCGAGGTGCAGGTGAATAAGATCCATCGTGCGACGACTTGAAATGGCCGATAGCGTTGCAGGCAGGGACTTGAGATATGCTTGTGTAACCTCGAATGCAGTATGGCTTTGTCCAATCCGTATCATCTCTCGTACAATGATACCAACAGTCCGGGGAGACATTTGGGCGCATTCGGTAGGGCCCACGCCAGGAAAATGACGCATGAGGAGGAGATATCGGGACGCATCGTTTCCTTCGACCGTACTGCCAGGTATTCGTCCTGATGTTGCATAGCGATACGTGCGCCGCAGCAAGCTATATTTTGCCGAGCCAAATAGCTCAAGCCAGACAACAATGGGGATACTGAGGCGATCCGAGGTTTCGCGCGACTGAGCTTGTGTTCGCTTTGAAATCTGCGTGACACGCGACCATGCTTCGTCCCAGCGTCCCGTACGAATAAGCAACCTCACACCTAATTTCCAGCTTTCCACGTTTGCCACCAGACCGTCACGTTGCATGTCGCGAAAGAGCCCAGGCACTGAGCCATAAGCGGCGTGTTGTATAGCGAAGGAAATTACAGCGTTATAAGAGCGTGTAGACCGAACGCGGTCCATTGGGTGGGGTGAAGAGTGGAACTCCAAGACCTCCGATAGTGTTGCCTGAGTATGGGAAATACGCTTTAACGTGGATTCGTAGAATGATTCTCGCGAATGCCGTAGGGGACTGGGAGTTGGTGGATGCAAGCAGGTGACATAAGCTTCAGCGAGCCATTGAGGATCACTTTCATAGGCCGGAGACGCGAGAGAAGGGTCTATCCAGTCCACAGTATGGTCTGGGAGCGTGTCGGGATCCAATACCATAACGGTTTGGTGTTCCGTGGTTGAGCGGCTGAAAGCCGACTTCCGGCGAGTCGGTGGAGGGAAGAAGTTACGTTGGAGAGGTCGGCTAGAGGAGGCAAGGTCTCGGCGGGGAATGGCTCTTGTAGTGAGCGTGTGCATGTTATGACGGTGAGTGCATTTCGACCAGGCGCGAGCGGCGGCGGATTGAAGAATACTTGCAAATGGCGCGCCGTGACCGACGGGTAGTAGGGAGGAGTTTATGAGCGAGCGGGGAGCATGATGAAGCATGCATGAGTCTGTAGAGAGGAGGTCAGCACAAAAGACTGAAATGAATGTGTATTCCGTTCGCTGCCTGACCTGGCGTCCGAGTCTCCTCCAGCGCGAGCAACGCGAGTGACGCGAGCGCGTGTGTTCTTGGGCAACGGCAAACTTTTGGCCAGCGCCGAAACCCATTACCAAACTTAGTTCGGCCATCCCGCGCCCGCCGTTCCGCTCTATCCACTACCTTCACCAGAGTACGGTCTTCTGGTCAGGAGGAAAATCAAGGTTGCAGTAGAGCATACGGTATAATGATAAAGTATTACAGTACTAACCCTCCAATGCACGACACGATCAGTTATTAATAATGGGCGGAAACAGGAAGTAATACAGCGAGTGATTCCAAGACTGAGAAGTGCTTGTATGCAATTGCTACTCTGTACATCGACATAAAGGCCATTAGTCGTGATCTGATTAAGTCAACTGTTCAACAGCATATGCGCAACAAAAACGAAAATAAAGGAGCGATTATCAAAGCCCTTCCTCCATCGGCTGATGCATGGTTCGACCCACTAACCATCCAACCTTAAGAACCCAGTGGTCTCGCATTCCACGGAAAATCTCCCATCCATCCGGTCCCTTGGCCTCCGCATACTCGTCAAGCCCCTTCTCCCAGCCTTTGACAGTTTCACTGCCGAACATGCCACCTTCTCTGTTCACATATTCGTCCACTCTGTCCACCCATGCTTTCCACTCTTGCTGAAGACGTGGGAGGAGTAAAGGAGCCAAGGACGCTTGCGTAAGCGGGGGTTGGCAGAGGATGTGAGAAGTGAGCGCTGCAAGGAAAGCATAGGCTTCGGTTGGGGAAGCCTTTTCCTTTCGCTGTATCTGGTTGGCGGAGGCAAGAGACTCATGGGCAGAGGAAGGGACGAGGGAAAAGTAAGGCAGATAAGACGTCGCGATCGAGACAAAATTATGGATGTGTGGTCTTAGTCTTGATTGGACGTATGAGTCCCGCATGCCGGTGGATTGCTGAGCTTGATGTGATTGGAGAATTGAGGGTTGAGGTGACACCAAGCGACCAAAACCAGATGATCCCGTCACGTCCGACCGTGATGCGCTAAATGACGAACCAAATCCAAAAGATGAGGTTGAGGCGACTGTGGGGTTCTGAATGGGTGCAGCAGAATATGGATAAGCATCGCGAAGCTTCTTCATCGATTGCTCCAATGCTTGTAGGGCTGTTTCAAGGGTCGGACGGGGTATAAGAGAGAGGATGGTGGTTTTGAGTGACGGCTGCGCAGTGATGAGTGAGTTAAGGAGTGGTAAAAGGGTGGAAGGAGGGAGGCTGGCTGTTGATTATGAGTAAGAATGACAAAAGTCGTAGACAGTACACGTACCTAAGAGGACGCCGAGGTCTACGTCTGCGGCAGCGCTGGTAGATACTGTTTCTTTGGATGATTTATCATCCTTTCCATCTCCCTGAATTGTTCGAGCACGCTTTGGTGCAGTTCTTTTAGGACGCTCGGGAGTTGGACTCCTATCCATGGCTACATCTCTTGCACTCTGCCTGCTTGACTCAGCATCATCTTCGGCATCGAACCTCCTCTTCTGAATGCGATTCGTGGAAGGTAATTGGAAGGTAGACGCGAGTTGCTGGACAGGTGGGGTAGCTGTGGCCTGGCGACATGCCTGGTCAGAGGAGAGACCGAAGCCGAAGCCTAGAGACGGGTGAGAGTTGACTGGGCGGGGAAAGAAATTGATATGGGGGTGCACGACGTTAGCCATGGTTTGGGTGGCAGAGGTGGTAGAAATGGTGCAGGCAGGGAGAAATGGAGTATCAGGAAGGGGCAAGCAATTGACAAGCAATGCTTTAGCCCAATCGACCAATGCCTATCGCAAGGCCAACCGACAAGTCGCGCGGCTGCCTCCTGTCACATGCGCCGGCCCTCACGCAGCCTACCCTTTTTAGCCCGAAGCCATCGCTCTTTTTTTCGTCGTGCAACCTTCGTTGTTCTCCTTTATCTTGCAACGCCTGCTATCTGCATATCAGGTAAGTTCACCTATTTCCCTTCTTTTCCTTTCACTTTCGCAATGACGAGACAAAATGAATCGCTACGTCGAAACTGCGGTTTATGAATTTTAAACATTATACCCAAATTTCTGAGCTCTTTCCTCCGTACCTGTCAACCGTCATCATGCATATGTGCGACTAACACATCCATTAGGACCTGCCCCTCGGTCCATTTGCAAACGTGAGTATCACTTTTAGACTGCTCCGGAATGATAGATCAAAATAGAAGTCAAGCCCTGATATCGTCTCAAGGACGGTTATTGATGAGCTTCCATGCTAATACTGACCTTCACCTCCCTTTTACCTGCCATGGTAGCTGACAAGTCTGTTCCAGATCATCCTTGTGTAGTCGTCGCCTCGACCTTCGAGTCCTTGAGCTTGTAGACGTCGTTAAAAACTATTTTACATGTATCTCAATCGTTCACGGTGGATTGCCCGTGAAATGACGGTGTTTTGACTTGGATTCACGGATGCACTCTATGTATTAGCATCTAAATGTTAAAGGTAAATGACTGGTATTATGGGTATACCCAAAGCAAATTCAACAACCACATCACAGCCATACAAGTGGCAAGCTTAGTCTTTACTCCAAACTCCCACTTTTGTGCACCTGTCCATAAGCTAGAGCCAGCAGTGAGGCGGGGCGGGCCTTCTGCGAGGCGATCCACCCAGCGAAGGGGCCTCGTTGGTGTATCAGGTTCTCGGGCTTCGGCGGGCTTGTCATGTTCTGTTTGTTGGGATGTGAGAGGAACACTCTCTGCGCCTGACGGATTTGAGCCAGCTCCTCTTCCACTTGAGGCAGTGTTGGACGTTGGTAGCCCTTTATCCTTCCCACCGCCACAAATCCAGCTTGTCACCTCTCCAGATGCTTGTGCCACTTGGTCAGACACATAGACGAAGAGGATCGTTGAGACAACAAAATTAAGATGTCGCCACTTGGTACCTGGCAAGACCAAAAGAACGCCTTTGGTATCGGCAGCGAGCCACAAATGGAATTGGATGATGAAAGTCTCGAGGGAGCATTTGCCTATGAATGTGTACGCCCGAGAAGAACACGACCGCAGGAGAGGGGAAGCATTGCGTAGAATGACAAAAGCGGTGATTGGAATGAATGACACGTAAGGGTGCCAGCCGTTGTAGGTGAACTTGCTTTCTTGATCTAGTTCGAAAACAAAGAACCACAGCATTGCCAGACCGGATAGTCCAACAGAGACTTTAACGGTCAATGGCCACAGAGGATGGTCGGTCAGCCTATAGTCTCGTACTTTGATGACAGCTAGTGCAGCCAACATTCCAAAGTAGACAATGTATTGATCAAGAGTGACCCTGAATGTCCACTCCCGTGCCGACCAACGGATATCAAACACATACTCCAAGAAGCCGAAAAGTAGCTGTAATGGCCACTCAGACTTCATGAAAGCAGTAAACAGACACATAGAGGTGACAATTTTTCCGAGAAGTAGGGGCATCCGGTCGTTGAACTGCGAGCCGATAGCCATCGTCGCATATATGATGAGGTACCACATAGACACCAGCGGCGCGAAATAGTAGGAAAGGTAATCAGTGTTCATCGTATAGGCAAGGATCAGCGTCAGGATATTAAGCCGAACGAGTACCTGAGAAAGATCATGTATCATCGGGAATACAAATGATTACGGGTGTTCTTTACCTGTGTGATGCGTGAAAATCCAAAGTCGGCCTTCTTTGCATAGAATGTTGTGTGTCCATATCCTGTCATGAACAGATATGCGGCAACCAACACACGAATAGGGTTGTATATCCCAGATATCTTGGAAGCTCCCAGATAATGATATATCAGGATGGCAACTGTCTTTCACGTCACGTTTGTTATGACAATGAAAATTGAGAGAACATACTTTGCATCCAGCCTTTCCATTCGTCCGTTTGGTCACGATTCAAAAAGCCAAGGTCCTTGTCTGTCCTTTTGAGGGTTGCCAATCCAACAAGCAGGGCGCACGCGTTCAACGCTGCGAAAGACCACGTGTCATAGTACTTTTGTTCTTTGTTCCAATAACTAGTGCGATCAGCCACGAAGATCATAGCAAATGCACCGCTAAATATGATTGCAGGGAGGACACCCTTCTTCATTTCTTCAAACGTTTCCCCCCGCCGACCTAAGCTCAATTAGATCAGGCCCTAGCCCAGCAGAGCGTTAGTAAGCACTCACGAGCAAGCATATATTTCGCAGGACCCCATGAGAACACGGCACACAGTAGAACAAGATATGTGAAAGATGGCCAAGGATAAGCTCTGCAACACGTCTTGTCAAAGGGAAAAGCAGGAGCCCAGGCATTATTGCAGCGGAGATTCAATAGTACATTCGCCTGCGTCTTCACGACAGAATTTTCGAAGTGAAGCCCGTCCATAGTTTGAGATGCATCTAACATCTGGTTGAAAACGAGAGGAAGGTGGACCGAAGACGTACGGGCAGTGCTGGAGAGGAGGGCCAACGGATCCGACGAAGCCGGGTGAATGCGGTGGTATAGATCCGAGTTCATGGCATCTATGTCAGAAGCATGCATGGTCTCTGAGCGCTCTGGAGATAATTTGTCGGAAACGACTTCTTCAACGGGAAGGAAAACTATCATCTCAGCGGGCGGACTGCGTGACTTCTCTACTGTGTTGAGGATGTTCTCCACATTTGCCTCCCATGCGGGGAGACCGCCTGAAGAATCTGTGTAACGCAGATACCAAAGACCTGATCCTAAAACCAAAAGAGCAGGCACTTCCGCTTCTCCCCCAGCGACGGAGGGTACTGGGTCCTTCAAGAAGTTGGTTACATGCGACGTATTGAGGTATGGGTCCCAATAGAAGTCGACCATTGTTCCGGACCCTGAGATCAAGGAATGGTCGCTATGTTTTCTTCGATCATCGGGAACGGAGGCAGGGAGTTTCGGGTCAATCGAGTGCGCGAACTGGAAATACAGTGTGCGCGTAATGGAGTCCCCAATGAAAACCACGCGCTTAGAAGCTAGGCAAGTAGAAGTCTCGTCAGGCTTGTAAGAATGAAGCATACAGCCTAAGCAACCGCGTTAGAGCATTCAGGAATACCAACAAGAGATGTGAGTCGCGCACCATCAGGTTGCCATTGCTTATTGTCCTCGTCCAACCAGCTACCAGTGTTTAACAAAGAATCGCAGTGTAAAGGGTCATGTCGGTCTTGAGTGTATTCAGTAGATCATCAAGCCACGACATGGCCTCTATGAGCTCACCTATCAGGAAATAACGCGCAAAACCAGCTAGTAATGCAGTGGAAATAGACAAAAGGCCGAGGTAATGGGGCCAAGAAGGGTGTAGGGATGGCAACTTCCTTGAGACTTGAACCATGGGGTTGCGTGAAGCAACGACCTCTTTCAATGTGAAGGGCAGAGAGACAGTATGTAATGATCGAGCAGAGCTAAGTTAAAGCAGGAAGAGAGTAGAATCGTAACTTGCAATTGAAGTTACAACATGGGTAGTGCGGTCAAGGTGATTGTTAGTGGGCACCCAGCCGCGCGCCAAAGGCAGTCGTCTCACTATAGCATCCGTAAACGTGCCATTCAAGTTGATTTGACATATTGATTGCTTATATTCACAAAACTGTCCCATAGTCGTGGCTAAGTGCTCATAGCTAAGCTAAGAGTACGTGTGGCGATAGTTATACAATGTATGTGTATGCATTGAATGAATGTCCGAGAAATTATAGTGTGAAGTTATGTTTAAAGCCGTACTGAAGCTTTTAGTGAGATGTCTTAAATGCTAGATCCTCCGGCCGTGGTATAAGTCAGACCTGAGAAATTGCGTGAGCGGGTTTTGGGATGTTGTACAATCAGACTAACCGGTCCCTTGGCAGTGATTATTGGAAGATGTGGGGATGCACGAGAGGTAGCGACAACCAGAACAAGCTGTAAGCAAGTTAATAAATGTGGATTTACACCAAGAAAGGGCATGAACAAACCTGCGTAGGGATCCGACGTATAAAAGTTACGAATAAGGACGACAAACAAGATGATTGCCAAGGGTATGGTTACGATCCTGAATCCCCACATAATGGATTTATGTTTGCGTGTTGGGCTGATCACAGGGTACAGCGCTGTTCCAACGAGGAGACCCATGCATAACCCTCCCAGGTGAGCTGAAATTGAACGGTGAGCTTATCCTGTTCGCGCATCGTAGAAAAACGAATCACCGAAGTTGTCGACATCTGGAGGAAGCAGCTGGTTAGCGACTTTAAGTCAACCAGGCATGGCGGAGACATACATGGAATGTATCCAAGAGCAATACCAAATACTAGCTCAATGCTCATGAATGCAAGCTGCCACACACGTATTTGAGCATTATTGTAGACATGGGAGGTAAAATACTTTTACCTTGCGTCCAGGGCGGTACTGATAACGCCAATGAGCAAATAGATCTACCCAAGTTACCTTGCCGACAGGTCAGTACTACATAATCCCAGCAGGAAAGAAAGCAGGTTACTCACAGCAACACATCCAAAGATTGCTCCACTGGCACCGACTGAAGGAGCCCCAACGAGTGAGAAGTTACCACCAAGAACATTTCTGTAGACACATGAGAATGTGATCCATCTGATGGTAACATCAATAAGCACACCCGAAGATTCCAGCAGCAAAGTAGGTCAAAAGGAAACCAGCGGAACCCATCTCTCTCTCAATCTGAAAAACGGGATCAGAGATGCGCCTAATTAAAAACAGGTTATGCTGACTTGTGCCGATACTGTCAATTGAGCGATCATGTTAAGGATAATGTGGATGAAGCCTGCGTGTATGAAGATTGGGGTAATGAACCTGACGCATAGGGTTAGAACTTGTCATTCATGCTTTGTCCCATCACCATCACAACTTGCCTGAACCACTGGTTCGGGGTGGTGCCATGGAATCCGCCAAATCCACAAATATCCTCGATCAGGCAATTCAGTGTTGGAGGATTCGCAGTGTCGTTCAGGCCTGATAGAAATGAATCAGTTATGGAATAGGCGAGAACGTAAAAGACCCTACAAGGCATTGTCGTAGTCAATGTGATGTTTTGGACCGCTTTCATGCAAGGCGGGAAACGTGCCCCCACATAGATCAAAGCACTCTCAGATGGACCGAGCATCGGATTCACTACGGGCTTTGTATGCGCTATTAGACTGAGGAAAAAGGCAAGGTTTCAACGATAGCTGTACCTTGAAAGACACGGGAGTGCCTTGTGCCCTAGAATTGACCACAAGCTCGTAGATGAAGACGGCGATCATGACCGCGGTGAGAGCCCACACTGGTGCGATGTCAGCTACAACGGAGTAGACTCTGCTTTTTTCCACAAATAGACCCACCCAGCACAGGATACCGTTGGCGACCAATCCCTCGTTTCTTGTCCTCAATCCGCTGTTCTAAGGGGTACTTTCCACTCCCAGTACCCAGGAATCTATCCAATGGCGACGATTTTTCTGCCACTGCATCGTTTCCGGGTGACGGTTCCGCGTAATCTAGAAGTGTCTAAAGACCAATAACCTAGGACGTAATAGCCTAGCACATACCCATGTCTTGATAATTGCCGGAGTAAGCGTCACGGCCCCGCGCCTTATCTACGAGAGAGGCGGAGGAGTTCATGTACGACTGGGGACGACCAGGATCATAGTGTGGGTCGTCAACATAAGGAGCGGAAGAATAGTTTGAAAGTCGTTTGTCGTAGTCATAAGGGCTAGATTGATCGTTCGCAGCAAGAGTAACAGCAGACTCTCGCTGATTATACTGTGACGCTATCTCCTGTGCTTCTGAGGCAGTATGCTTAGGCGAGGAAGGATCTTGAGAGGGAATGCCACTGGTGCCGGAGACAAATGTTTGAGCATCATCAGAAGGGTGCGTCTGCTCAAGGAAGGATGGCTTATTCTCCTGGGGCTGATCTCCAAAGGCATCGATAGGTCCCGGAGAGGGTAGGCGATCGTGGTGGATGGATTGAGCCATCGCTCCTGGCTACAGGGTTCGTCAGTTGAGAAAGAGTGAGAGTCTGGATGATGATTCCAGCCACAATTCCATTACAAGTTTAAGTATTCCTGGATCCGGAGGTAGACAGGTGTATCGCGAGAATTGTCCTTTACTTAGTCTCCTTTTTGCATCCGTTTTACACGTGTCGCTGCGCTCTTTTGACGCTGTGTAAAACTCCTTTACTACCGGTATGTTACCGTGTATGACCGGACCAACGCTGAAAATAGGGTTCGCTCGCATCGGTCGGGATTTAAACATCTGGTGCTCGCATGCGTTATTCCTATGTGGCCTTTGCATTCGCTCGTCCGCAGTTCTCGTTGTTGCGTTTGCATCATGCCTATTCTTCCTCTGCTTGCCACCGACGTCGTGTCTTCTGGGGATGGCGGATACCATGTCACGAGTGCCTACTTGCGGCAGTATTATGATTTCGGTATCGTCGTCGCGGTATCTGATTACACTCGGTTATGAAACGATCGTTTCTGCATAACGGTTTCCTCGTCCTCGGTAAGGTTGTTGGTCGAGAATTTTCAGTTCATTTCAAAGGATAAATTGCGCTTGCTCTGCCAGCGTCATGGAGTTTCCTATCTCGCCGACGACCGGGCGACTTGGCTGCGCGACTTCTTGCGCCTTCACTCTTGCGTTGATCAATGTTCTAACCTGCTCTATGTTTTCTATCGTTGCAAGACAGAGCAGAGGCGCTTCGGCAATATTATCCTTCCCTCTCCTTTCGTTTCGCTTCAGTGTAGAGAATCTAATGCGGAACATCGACGTCGATGTATACGGGAGCTCCTGACGGCTGAGACGAGTGAAGACGGTGAGCGTTGTAGGTTGAAGAACGCGCAAGCCCATGCCAACGCGAGACAGCGCGCGCCCGACGTTGTGTTTCCACCTGAGCTGGATTCGACGTTAAAAGCTAATACCATAAGAGACTGGCAAACAGGTACGGACACGGACAACATGCTTCGGGAGGTGTGCTGTGTCTGCGCGTAGGACGTTTCAGTGTCTGACATGGGATTAATGCACTTCGACGAAATGCCGTTGCATTTGCTACGCAATCCTTTGCTTCCCGAGGTTTGCTTGCCGCGAACGTATGATTTTCATCTATATGAACACGCCATTTTACATCCTGACGGTTTGCTGCTCCATGGCAGTGTGCCGGTATGAAAATTGCAAGCAATGTCGTTCAGACTTGACCGCCAAGTCGCCTCACATGCCAAAGTTTGCTCTTGCCAACTTCTTATACTACGGGCACGACAGCTTGCCGGACGACGTAGTCCGTGCATTAAGTGTTGCTTCTGCTGTCGATTTGACGTTGATCAGTCGCGCGAGGGCCGGTAGGATAACGCACGTGTACACGGCACACGGCGTCATGCCATCCGACAACGAAGGCAGTCCTAGGTTTATGAAAGGTAACGTCGCTGTCGTCCCTCAGGATTCCACGCAACTGCGGCAATACCTACCACCGGATTTTGACGAGATCAGGAACAGTATGTGCGTGTTATTATCGAACTGGGGGACTCCGATCACAGAGGAGGTCATTCGAAAGTGTCAACCGCTATTGGCGTGCAAGTCGATGGTTCGTACATCGATATTGTTCTTGCTAGAACACAGTCAGTTTTACTTTCCCGGCTTGTCCAGGGTATGAATTAAATCTGAAAAGCATTCATTGCATAATACACATTGTTTGAATGTGAGATAATACAGCAACCATGGGCGCCTTAGATAGGGTATTATAGCACCGGCGGTGAGAGGTCTTTGACCATCCAGGTTGATACACCCCAAGTCTATAGACGGGCGTTCTTCGGCATTTGGCGGATGGCCTGACGAACGCCGAGGTCGGAGAGGACGTCCTCGGCACCTCCAAGTAGCGAGTCGAATGGAACTGTGCGGTAGTACTGCAGTTTCCGGACCACTGTCAGTATCCGAGACGCCTTCATGACGATGATGAGGCGAACTACGTACATGCTCGATGAACTTGCCCATGCCCGACTGGGTGATACCGCGGCCACCAAAGATCTGCACGGCATCGCGGGCAGTGTCCTGTGCGCACTTGGTGCTGTACGTCTTCAAGAAGGCGATTTGTCTAGAAACACATGAGCCTTGCGGAACATACGACAGAGAAGGGGTTGCTTACCCTGCAAGCTTGGTGGATTGCTCCTTGTATGACTATGAAGCATCATCTCAGTGAGAAAAGGAAGCGACGATTTAGTGACGCTACTAACCATATGTGTCATCTGATAAGTGATATTTTCGAGCCAAGCCTGGACACTTTCCGTCCGCGCGATCATGCCAGCGATCTTGGAACGAACGACAGCCTGCGAGTGCAGGGGCTTTCCAAACGCCTTGCGCTGGGATACCCATCTAAACGACACGATGATTACGTGAAAAACGGGCAGAGAAACATGCAACGAACCTCAAGCACTCGTCGATGATCACCCGCTGGCTGCGTGCAGAGCCGCAGCACATGACCCATCGCTCGTGGTTGAAGTTGCTGGGACGATGTTAGGTAAAGTGTCTCGGTATGCTTCGACAGGGAAAACGTACCTGAGAATAACAAAGATACCCATGCCTTCCTCGCCGAGCGTGTTTGCTGAAGGGACACGAACGTTGTCAAAGGTGATGAGGGCCGTGCCTGCTGCGTGGCCGTACGAAGTCTTGATGGGCTTCGTCTCCACGCCCTCAACGCGAGGGATAAGAAGGACAGTAAGACCCGACTATTGGAAAGTAGTGAGTACCCTGATCGGACTGGACAGCAAACGTTGTGTACCTCCGACTTGACTCCTACAGTAAAGCTAGGATCATAAGTCAGCTGGCGACACAACATGAACAGGGAAGGCGGCTTACTAATCTGCGAACCTGGGCATCCGCTTCAGCAAAGGCGTCATGACATACAATAGATAACTACACACATCCCGTTCGTGATCCACTTCTTGCCGCCATTGACAATCCAGTCGAACTCCTCGCCTTCAGGAATCTCCTCTTCCTGCCCATCCTTGGGAATGGGGGCTCCCTTACGCACCTTTATGGCGGTAGTGGTCATACCAATAACATCACTTCCAGCCTGCGGCTCAGAGATGGCGAGACAGATGAATTTCTTGCCCGAGAACACCTCGGGAATGACCTTCGCCTTGAGCTCGGGCTTGCCGAAGTTGAGGACGGGAGGCAGACCAATAACCTTGCCGCCGAGCAATGCTAAGGGATGGGAGTTAGACGACATCAGGATGAAGAACTTGACAATGTACCATCACCGTACACCCGGGAACCGCATCTGACAAGCTCTTGGGTAATGATAAGCTACACACATATTTAGCAGGTCTTCTTCTCGAGAATCGCGCCAGACCAACCTCGTGGAAGTAATCGAACTGAATGACGTCATTAATAAAGCTTGGTCGACAGGGGAAGAGCGCGACTATCACTCACCTCCTCAGGCTTGACAAGACCACCCATGAGGGTACGACCTTCCAGGTGTTTGCCAGGGCCCAGCCGCATAGCGTGAAGATTGAGCTCGCTGATGATGGAATAAGGGGCAAAACATAATGAATTATGGTCAGATAGGCAAATGAACCGCTGCAACGTACGCCATCTTGTCGAACACATGTTGTGAAGGACGCTTGCCGTCGGCGTCGCGAGCTTGAGCATCCTCATAGACGTGCTCGTCGATGAACTGGCGCATAGCCTTCTGGAACTGCCGGTGATTCTACAAAACAACGCGTCAAACCAGGTTCCCTATCGAAGAAGAAGTGAGGACGTACGTCGGTGAAGTAAGGGCTGTGGAAGCCTTGAGTCAACCATGTCGGTTCGCTATAGGGAACATCGGAGATGGCGCCAGGGGGTCGGCTGATGATTTGGGGTTTTTCGCCCTTGATGTTGCCAATCTGAAGGCGCGCATACTGAGGGCGCTCGAGGACTTCGTGCCGATGAAGACCGTAGAAAGCCTCAGTAGCTTCTTTGCCAGCTACAATGCAGGGGTCAGAATGTGATGCATTGCAGGCCAACGTAGTCGACGGTACCAATGTCGGTATTAGTAAGAACCGAAACTCCTCCGGGATGAAGATCCTTGAAGCGCGACAGGTCATACACCTTGCTGTCCACGACAATCCACTGCAAACTGATTAGTATGCTCAGGTCTCACAAGTCTCCCAATAGGACTAACAAGATCGTCAGGTTTGTTGTGCTAAGGAGTCGTCAGTATGACCAGGATGCCACCATGTCCACACTGGAGGTCCTCACCTGTGCCACCTCTTCGAGACTGAGTTCCTTCATGACTTTTGCGCTCATTGTTGGCAGCTGTTGGCAGTGATGGGGGTGAAAGCGAATAAAGAGGAAAGAGGAGGTGTAAAACGGGCTCACTGTGATTTCAGCTCATCCGGCTCTGGGAATTCACATGCAATCCGAGACGGGATCCGGGTCCGGTCTCTTGATCAACGTTCAACTTCCTTATCCCCGCCTCCGATTTAAGCATGTACCGGTGAGAATTTGGAAAGGTCGGCAGGCGAAACAGTGCAGGCTCAGGCAACGTGCACAGCCCCCCACTCATCACTCCAACCCACTTGACTTTTTAGTTCTCGGCTCAATATGCTAAGCACCTTGGGCCTTTTTGGTGCTCCTGTGAAGCTAGCAACTTCAGAATCCCCTGCATCCAGCGTGTTCAGTACGTTCGGTCATGAGTGCGGTATGTGTTACATCTTCGCTCCTATCTGCTGCGACAATGATACAGGCTGTATAGGATTTGAGACATACGTCACATTGTGTTGTCGATATCTCATCCGTCACTCAATAGGCTGCCCCTCGCTTTCATGCCATCGGCCGAGAAGTGTGTTACTTGGCATACCAAACGGATCTATCGCTTTGCGGGCAACCTCCACTCCAGCCACTGGTAGTTTGGTTGGATCAAGTAGCCCGACTTGAACAAGAAGGCTTGCTTGATCCCAGTATCTGCAAAGAGATCTTTCTGTAAGATCGAATGAAGATGTTAACTGAGAGAAACCGACATGTGCCTGACGGGTGAGTCAGTCAATATACACCCGCAATCACAAAGCACGCACTCAAAGAATAGTTTATCGCCACGGAATGCAATCACGCCCACCAGCGCTATCTCAACGTATTTCCCAGTCGGGGGAATTCCAGGAAGGAAACTGTCTCTCGGTATTGACTTCAAGCCACGACGTTTAGATCAATGCACTTACTAGTCGATTTCCTAAAGCGTCGGTAAGTGTCTATGCATCAAAGAAAGCCAGGTCGTCACAGACTGACCTCGGTGTGGTGGAACTTAAACACCATCTCGTCGATGATGCGGTCAGACCCCACTGGTACCCTTTGAGATTGTATTCAACAACATAGACTGGCTCGAACCTGTTCTTGATATCGGGATCATCTCGGCGTCCGCAGGAGTAACCTAACTCATTCAGCTCAGAACAAATTGCAAAGGGCTTTGTGTTCATTTACCTTTGTGAAATGGTACTACTCAGACAAATGAGACGATAGTCCCGAAAACTGAAGGAAGATAATCAAATGACTTTATAGAACCTCGCCAAGTCGTCATAGCCAACCCCCCCGGTCATAGTGGGTATGTGATTGACATAGGGGTTGCCAACCTAGATATCTCTTCTCAGCGCTCAAAGAAACAAGATGATGAACAGCACAGACCATGGTGGCCATTGTTTCTCGAAATTATTATCAATACCAGGTTCCGTCCTTTACTGTAATTGAGTCACTCACTCTGTGCGTTTCTTTCTGAGAATTCCTGTTGACAGATGTCACAATGCTGAAAACCAACGAAGTTCATTACACTCACAAAGTACGTATGTGCCTCCCATAGTTTCTCGAAGTTGAAATGAGGGCCCAAGTATCGTCTCAGAAGTTCAAGAGTCCTAGAATGGGACAGACTGCAAGCAGATCGCAAATACGAGTTAGTCGGTGTGACTGTATCCTTAGCTGTGGCAGTGGGCGCTGATAAGCCAAAAGGGAATGGTGGCGAAGCTGCCATCAAGGGGTATGTGTATGCCTTGACCGGTGGATGCGAATGAGTAGGCAATTCATAATCGAAGCTACTTGGATCTTCGTGAGGTAAGATCAAGGCATGCAGGGACTCTTGAGAAGCTGCCAGATGAAAAGTAACACTACAGCCCATCGATATCCATCGGTCAAAGATCGCGACGGCAGCGGCCCAATGGGAATGCGCACGGAACATATCTTCCATGACTATCTTTCAGTAGAAATCCGCGAGTCGATTCTGCCGATGGGCAGAAATGAACGTTTGCCTTAAGATCGGCAATTGAAAGCCCCATGCGGGAGACTATTGTTTCAGCGTCTTTGTTGTCAAGCCCGTAAGTCACTAGACCCCAGGGCGCTCCAAGCTGGATTATATGAGTTTCAGCGTCCTTCAATGCATCGCGAAAGGAGGTGCCGGCAGGGACCGGGTAATCGATGTGCAGGACGTTGTACCCTTCCTGAGAGAACTGGAAGCGAGCTCAATGTGAGATGGGCATGATGATTGTCTATATTATGAAAGACTTCACCTGCTCGCACCACTGTGACTGGCTAGCAGGGAGCAAGACGAGTAAGGTCGGGGGTTTCACGACGGATACAACCGCGTTGGGGAACGCTACCACTGAGACCATAGTGTGGATTTGAGCGAGCTAGTGCGCTATGCAGGTTGACTCCTTCAGCACAGATGAAGCTTGAAGCCTGAAGTGAGACAGTGTTGAAGCGTAGAATACGTAAATTACCTTCAGCCTGCGACCTTTCCAAACCTGACCATGCCAGAAGCGGTATCAAGCGAGGACATAGTGTTGACCAACTTGAAAAGGTCAAAAAAGATCATGATACATAGCTAGATTTGTAGCTATCTATAGCCTGAGGAGGGCCACTAATGATATGTTGTAGTCCCTAATTACAAGCCATGAAGTCTCCATAAAATGCGAGTGAATGTCCAACATTAAGCGATAGACTGCTCAATAGGCTCCAAAGGCGACAATGGCACTGGGGTCTCTGCCTCTCCCCCCGTACTTGGCCGGCCCCTCCTAGCAGACGGCTTTCTAGTCAGAGGTGTGACTTTAACGACGACGTCGTCGTGCGATCCAAGTTCGGAGTTATCTGAGAGTGAAGGATCCTTGCTGTCATCCTCTACGTCGAGGTCGGCACTCGTTGGAAGAGGCAGTGGACGCGCCGAGGTCCTGGTACCATCTACCCACCGCAATAGGCTTGCTTCAATATCACGTACTCTCCGCGAGTGTAATGACCAAAGCATGAGTCCTTTATCGGTGGTGCTGACAGTACTGACACTTCGTGCATCATTGAATGGTTGGGGGTGGGTTGATCGCCCATGATCAATGATAGCAGTTTTTCTAGAAGATGCAGCGAGCATGCGGGGATCCGATGGTAGGAGGAGTGGGAGCATGAATCGGGAATCTAAGAGTTCGCCTAGGGCTTGTGGTGGTCTTGACGGCTCCCAGTCGGACTTCTCCGCAGATTTGTCAAACATCAAGTCGATGTTACGCTGTGCAACATCGATCTCTATCGAGCTCTCCGGTCTTGAGCTTGAATTTGGTGCCTCATCGTGGGAAACACTGTCTTCATATTCTTCTCGCTCGCGCTCACGATCACCCATCTTGAAACGCATTAGTCGAGAAAAATGAAAGGCGATTGATGAGGCACCCACCTCTTTGCGGAGAGCCTCTACACCAATCTTCACTCTATGTCGCTCCCAGTCCTTCTGAAGCTGCGTTAGATATTGAAAACACTCTTCCGTCATCCTGCCTTCGTTAACTTCGTATTTGTAGTCCCGAACGGCACGTCGCATCTAATTATCTCAGCGCAGTCCATCAATCGAAAGGAGAATTTTCAAACCTGTAGGGGATTGATGTTTTTCATCGTTTGGATTGTGGCCACTAGATTGAGGAAGTCTGTGATCGAAGACAAGCACTACAAATCATTCAATCGAATGCCCCTGAAAAGGTGATAGGGCGTACTTGTAGCCAGCTCAGCAGTTCACGAAGGGGTGCAAAGTGGGAAGCAATGCCTTTATGGAGCCCGACGTCATCAATCCATTCTTCGAGGACGGACAGGTTCATGTTGATTTGAACGGCTCTCGAACTGTCCAAGTCAGCCTCAGGTGTGAGATCATGCTACGCAGGCTTACCGACAGACATATTTTTTCCTTGATAGAATGCGGTTAAATAGCTCGCCTGAATATAAAATCAGCCTTCGTATGATTTGAGAGTATGGAAAAGCAGTCGCTCACAAGATGTCCAGTAAATTACTTGGGACCAGAACTGACCAACTAGTGCAGGATTGATATCTGACAGAACCAAGAACGTGTGAAGGGCTGTGAGGAACGATGTTAACTCTTGAACAGGTGACTGGGCAGTGTCGTTGAACATTGTCTGTATGGAACCACCCGTGGACGTCCTCGCGCGGGCTATGCTACTTCTTAGTGAGGCAAACCCTTTTGAGGGCGGCGAAGCTGCAAGGGAGGAGGACGGTGAAGGTGGTCGACTGGCGGTGAAAGGTGGAGAGGATGGTGTACCATTACGCATTGGAGTGGTATTGGGAGTGCTTGAATTACTATGGGCCTTTTTCTTGCTGCTAAAGGGGCGCAAGAATGACCACTCTGATTCGAACCGCACCGAGTCGAATTCGGAAGATAATGGTGTATGATCCAGAAGGGCTGGATTCATGAATTGGTCAATACGTCTCTCGGCGAAGCGAATGATGAAAACTAAACAAATTATAAGCGTCAATAGACTAGGTTTCATGTTACGATCGCACCAAATATAGGGTTAATAAGTTCTTCTAGCAGCTCCGAAGAACCTATCATTTCACAGGCTTCACTGATAGAGTTATCGCATTTGATGAGATGCAGTAAAATGGTTGTGTTGTATAACCAGTAGACCAAGGCGGTGATGTCTTCAGAGTCGTTCTGAAATATCTTGTTATACGTATGTTGAATTGTGATTTAGGCTGTAAGAACTTACATAGTACCTCTCCTCAATAGCATCGGCTGCGCTTATGAGCAGGTTCTCTACCCAGTCAGGGTCACAAGTGAGGCATGCAAATCGTGCCATCAGGTAAAGCGTGTTCGCTACCTGTGTGCTTCGTAAGGCAGGGCGAAGCTTGTTTATTAACGAGTCGAGGATATTTGGTAGTTCCTGTGGTGACCACGCAAGCATATTCGCAAAGTCCGCAGAAGGGGTCTTCGCAGAAGTTAATCAGAGTGAATATCATCTTTAATGCCGAGGACTCTCACGTACATAAACTTGCTCGCTGACTTCATCCTCAATGTCGGAGCCGGACGAATCGTCGTCGTTGTCGAAGTTTTCGGCATCCCACCAACGAGGTGGTAAAGATAGAATCTGTGTCACTCTATCCTGAACTGCCTTCCGCTTCCCTTTGCGACGGAGACGCTCGTCAAGGGCCCTTCGCTTCTCTTCAACCCGTCCACCTGTCCACCCTTCGGTACGCATGCTTTCCTCTAGCAGCAGGGCGACATCGTTCCGCCCGGGAAGGATGGTGTGTGCCGTGATAATATCCAAAGCAGTCAGCTTTCTCCGGGTTACCGCCAAGGGAGAGCAACCATGGGTCATCAGATGCGATATTAAAGTAGGCGGGGAATAAAGGGCAGCATGATGTAACGGCGTCCAACCAGCTTTCGTGATCAGATGTTAGGGACCTCGGGGAGATCGTTGGAGATGTACACCATACCGTTGTCTACACCAGTTATGTCTGCGCCCTGGGAGATCAGAAGACGAACACACTCCTCTCTCTCAACGTCTTTGTCCGACTCTGAGCCAAAGCCCTGGATGATTAGGCTGACCAGTCCCAACCCATCTTCGTCGCGGGCGCTGAGGTCAATGTAATGCTGAGCGTGAGGATCAGAAAGCAGGTATGATAGCAAGGAGAAGTCGCCAAACACGCAGGAGCGCGTCAGACAATGGGATCCCAGCTCCTGTTTCTGCAACGGTGAGAGGCCTGAGTTTGGGGAGAAGAGTGGTGCGAGGTGAGCCGGAGTGGGATACAGCGGATGCAGGTCTGGCTCGGGAGAGAAGTCCAGGGTTCCAAGAGAGGCTGATGTCATGACTAGCGGGTTGTACTGGCAACGTACTGGCTTATCCAAGAGGCCCAGCGATGCGTCCCTACAACGCTCAATACCGCGTTGAGGTGAGATGCCAACAGACGCGTTTTAATCCAGCTGGGATGCAGCTGAGGTTGTCGATGCCGAATGCCTGCACGACACGGGTGATAGAGTCCGGTGCGGATGGCTGCAATAGCGACACGGAGTGACAAGGACTAGTGAAGGTACGCGATCCACGTCGCTGGCCGTCCGCTACAAGCATAGAAACGTAGATTAGTGCTTACTGAAATCTATAATCAGTCCTAATTCCCCACTGGGCAACTACTGCGAACCGTTGACTAGTCAATTCTCCGACAAGACCAAACCTGCTCTTGATCGTCATGTCGTCTCCGTCCCTCAAACGACCGCGCTTTTCTCGCAGCCCTTTGCACTTGGACGACTCAACTAATGCGGAAGCTCGCTCAGAGAATTCTGAGAGCTCTGATCAAGAGGCTCCTGGCATGAGCGAAGCTAGCTCGCCAGACACGGACGCAGAGATCGCAGATGTAAAATGGTCCAAATCAAAAAAGACTCTCAAACGGAAACGACGAGCCACCGAGCCTTCTCAGTTTGGCGCCACACTTCAGTCATTACTTGACACTGAAGCCCCTTCTGCTCTACCTCTTTCCCTCAAGCCCTCGGTCAACAGGCAAAGAACTAACGCCAAACTTGAGCTAAAAGCAAAAAAGGTCCTTCAGGTCGAAAAGAAGGAGAAGGAAGATAAAGGTCACGTCACAGATGTCATTGGCGGCTGGGGAGGTGAGAGTGAGCGGGCTTTGCGTAAAGTAGCCCAGCGAGGTGGTGAGTGCTTGAACTATTAAGATAACTCTACAAACTAATAGCGTAGTTGTGAAGCTGTTCAACGCTATCCAACAATCTCAAACCGCTGCTGTCAAAGCTGCTGAAACCGACAAGGCCTCGCGCGGGACTGGAAAGCCTTCGCTGCCGGCGCCATCGTTTGATAAGCAGGTCCGAAATAAGGGCAAGGGCAAGAGCAAGGACAATATACTTGGAAGAGGGAAGGAAGGTATGTGTTGAGTTGACTAAGCTCCCTTATGCAACTTAAGTCCATCCCTATGTAGTTGCATTAGGCCAAGAGGACTTCTTCAACATGATCAGAGCTGGAGGGATTGTTTCCAAAACCTGATTAAACCTCAGCTCCTGCTTCACGCTGCGTCCTGCCAGCTCAAAGTTCTGGCCAGTCTGCGGGTGTATGCCACGCGGGTGGCAAATCCAACTGCGGTTTCGATGATCTTTGAGTAACGCCGTTGCAGTGGTAGCGCTATGCTTGACAACTGGCGCAGCGGATTCGTCCACGAATGTGTAGTCAAAACTCGCACATCTGGTGCTGTATATGGGTGCATAAAGAGTATAAATCTTTCCTAGGGATGCCGATGGCGCTGCACATCATATGAGAGCCCCTGAGTTACTGCCAGCCTGATAGTATGACTAGTACTGTACCTTATCGGGAACCAGCACAAGCTACATTGAAGATGCGTTACCTATAAGCTCGTCATAAGCCAATTAGTCAAAACTCGCGCAAGTAACTTACTGTACTTGATCAGATTTTAGACGCAAAGTCATGTGCACGCCGTGCGACTTTTTTGGGCAGCCCAACGCCTACCCTTAAGTCCATTGCGTTTAAAACGCTGTCCGTCTTGGCCCTGTAGTACACATGGTTCGTATCCTTGCTTCTTGCTTTTACCAGTCAGCCTTCTCACTTAACCCTAGCCGCCTAAGACGCTTATAGTCAAGGATGACTGGGAGCGGCGCCTGCACGAAGTGCAAGTCTCGAAAGAGTGCGTACATGATTCATTTTTGCTTCGTAGGATGTGAACATCATTGGGAATCTCTCTGAACTACTGAGTTGAGCACAAATGTTTTGTATTATCTGATTCGCCTTTTTTCGCACTTCTTCCATCTATTGTGCGTTAGTTAACATTGATCTCTAGTGACCTCAACCGGCTGATCATGGATTACCTGGTTATCGAGGGTTACAAGTCTGCGGCGGAAGAGTTCAGCGCCGAGGCTAACGTTCAATCTCCTGTGGATTTTGATAGTATCGAAAGTCGCATGGTCATACGAGAGGCTCTCCAACGCGGCGATGTCGAGGAAGCCATCACACGAGTCAATGACTTGAATCCAGAAGTGAGTAAGCTCCCCTTCCGTATATTATTGTGTACACCGTTTCGCAAGATTAAATTTCTACATGCACCACTCTAAGCCCCTATGCCGGGCGGTGATGATACACAAACACTTCAGTCTTCAATATGATCTCCCCCCTCACTCCCAAGTTACGACCTTCTTCAAACATTGTACTCACAACCCTAACTATAGATATTGGACACGAATCGTGGCTTGTACTTCCATCTTCAGCAGCAAAGGCTCATTGAGCTGATCCGACGTGGACGTACCCGAGAAGCGCTTCAGTTTGCGCAGGAAGAGTTGGCTCCTCGGGGGGAAGAGAGCCCCGAGTTCCTCGGGGAACTGGAGCGGACGATGGCTCTTCTGGCGTTCGATTGCGGTCCAGGTAGTAATACAAATGCTCCAAGCTCTATATCCGAGCTGCTTTCCCCCGCACAGCGAATGAAGACAGCGGGAGAAGTCAATGCGGCGATTTTGGAAAGCTTGAGTCAAGGTAAGGAGGTGAAGCTGGTGCAACTGCTTAAGCTCTTGTCATGGGGGGAGACTATGCTCGGGGAGCGTGCAGACTTTCCAAGGGTACGTTGGTTATGGAACGCCTCCGCATAGGCGGTGTAATCTGATGGATGAGCAGATTAATTTTGAGGAAATTTTGGATGGTCCAAAGGAGAAGGCATTGGAGTAATGGGGATACATACACACGATGACGGATTGAACAGTAGGCAATGTAGTAATGTATGTTGTAATACTCGCGGAGCTGAGTGTAGGATGAAATTGAACTTGATATTCGGTCAGATGAGGAGGGATGTAAGCTCGAGTGCATGTGCGTGTGCCATGCAGTCATGGGCGTTGCGAGGCGTTGCGCAGCTGTAGCGGGTGGTGTGCCTCGCGTCTGCCTTGTTTTCCTAGCTGGTGCATCATGTTCCTTACATAACTGCCCATCACCATATCCGAATTTAACTCTCCTTCCTCCCCTCGCCGTACTCGACAACGGCGGTCTGCTTGCCCCCATCCCCTCCCTCGATCGTGGAAACGAGTCCACACAGAGCAATGCATATCATGGCCACATCAGAGGACACTCGCTCCAGCGCACATCGCAATCGTGGCCGCATCCTCGTCGTCTCCAACCCGGACCCAGATGTCGACGACTCAGACGAAGAGCCGGCTAACACCCCCTACTATCCCCAGCAGTACCAGCCATCACCATCGCCCTATCAGCAAGGCCGTCCCTCTCCTCCCAATCATACCCCCAACCAGCGTCCTGGCAAACCTAACGTTGACACTCATTTCTACCCAAACCACATCCCCCCGCATCCCATATCACCCGGTTCAAGCAATACCTCTTCACAGGCCCCTAGCTCCACTCCTCCCCCCAGTACTCCAGGTCAGCAAGTACCTGACAGGGCGCACGTCGCTGGAGATCATCTCGAGAGGCCCGACAGCTCCGTGTCAAGTCTCCACCGTGTAACTCACCATCATCAGCGTGTACCCTCAGACCGCCATCCCGTTCCTGAATCCTTTCCGAAGGTATGTCTCGGAAAGTCTCTTCAAGGCGCTTACTGATTTACATTGGAGGCGTTACCGACCTATTCATCCCCACCCAATTCACAGGATGAGATCCGCTTTTTCGTGACTTTCGACTCCAAAGAATGGCGTACGCTGGATGTTATGGATCCCCCAAGCGCTGCATATGTTTGGGAACGCATTTTCTCAGCTGTAAGTCGCCCAATGAGTCCACCTCGGGCGTGACATTAATCTGCCCATAGTTTCGTGTCCCCGATGACGATAGAGATGGTCGGTTTGCAATTTATCTAACCGAAGTGGGTCAAATGGCCACTAGCAGTGCGCTCTCGGACGATGAACTATTGCGTGTCATACGGGAACGGGGAGACAGTGCGGGTTCTCTCAAGTTTCTTGTATCACACCCAGAAGCACTTGTGCATCCCCTTTCCCAGTCCTTCTCTCCTATCAGACATGTCCCTCCTCCACCTCTCCTTCCTGTTGTCCCCTGTGTCCCACTTGTCCCTCGTAGGCCTCCAGACGATGGTAGTGTTTCCTCTGAGGATCATGGCGGTGATACAGGCTACGAGCCCTCAGATGATTATGATGAGTCAGACAGCCGAGCGGACAACAGGGCTACTATCCGCCCCTACCCATTGGCAGCCGCTCATCAATCGCCCCGCACTGCTAAATTTGAAGGCCGTCATCCTTCATCTCCTATTTCCATCAAACCTCATCAGTCTAGTCGAGCGCACGATGATACACCGAGCAGCTCGTACGGCAAAGGTATACGACATAAACAATCTCATGGCGAACTGATTGGAGCCCGCCGTCGGGCAAGAGACGGCGTATCCGATGTTGATGATAATGAGGTCGCGCCGGAACCGTCACGCGATGTTCAGCGTGCAGTCGACTCCACCTCGCCTCCTTCCTCTCATACCGTTAGGAAAGAACGTCCGTCGCGGCCCACCGAAGACATATGGGATATATCCGATAAGCCCTCTGGGTCAGCGACCGCGGTGCGTTCACCGTCTACTAGCCGGAAAAAGAAAAAGCCGTCGCATGGTGGTACTCGCGTTCCCGCGAATTTTGTCTCCACATGGATTGCCAACAAAGACTCAAAGCCACCGACTCATTGGCCACCCCATCCTCTCAAAATCGCGAAAAGCATGGAGTTCAAATCACCGGCAAGCCCTCCTCATAACTCACGATCAGCCGCTGGTCGTCCTTCCGGATTCAACTCTGCCACGCCCCCTATGCCCATTCCTTCCCGTCCCTTGCCCCCGACACAAGCCCTTCAGTCACCTCCCACGTACCTAAATCCTGCAAACCAGGACTTGTATCCACAACGCCCCTCCTCAGCGTCGCCTCTTCAACATGGACATCCGCAATCTCTGGATGACCGTCCAAATGCCTCGCCTAGCTTTACTAAGAACAGATTTGGTGAAGTCCCATTGCGGGAAGATAACCATTATGATATTCCCAGCTCGCTCCTGCCAGCTCACCATACACGGCGCATGAGGCAGGATGGGTCGGCGTCTCAAAGCCAAACACCGGTCGACAATCTCGATCATAGTCCGGATGCAACTGTCCGTCCTGAGGACTTGAGCACTTTGCAGGGAGCGATACATGCGGCCATGCAGGAGCACCGGATAAAACCTGAAAGCCCAATCTCTCCTACTGGTAGCGGCTTGTGGATAGTTAAGCCTCAGCCCCTAAGTCCAGGAGGGAACAGACCAAAGTTGGCGGTCTCGACTGCTTCGGACGAGTCTCGTACCCTTGGACCATTGAACAATTACCCTCCCATCCCTACCGTTTTACCGCCTCACTACCCGCCGCAGCCTCGACCACCGCGCAGGCATATTAAGAATGACCATCGGAGCGGGATTTTCGAAGATGAAAATCGACCCAATCCGGAAGAGCTTTACGAGCGACTCGAAGACGCCTTTCCATCCCACGACCTTGATAAACCTGTCATTGAAGCAAACTCTGGAGGAACATCTCCCACAGCTGCCGAGGATCCTATGACTATAGGAAGGGGCATTGATGGGCTTGCAAGAGGAAAGAAATCAATTCGCTACGTTGCGGAGGAGCACAAACGGAGGATTGACCGAACATCTCGGGCGGATGCCGCATCCTTTAACGTTATGAGGAAGCGAAGTACCAAACTGTGGGGAAGCCGAGTTGAGGAGGTTACGACCGATGCACGGCATCATCTAAGCAGAGTTCATCCAGATTCTCCTTCGGGCGGTCCCAGACGTAAGTCACCCTGAGTTTTCTCTCTTTTTTCCTCCCCTCACCATTAATCTCCCATTTTAGCGATTTTCAAATGGGTGCGAGGAGAACTCATTGGCAAGGGAACATACGGTCGTGTTTATCTCGCGCTGAATGTTACTACGGGTGATATGATCGCTGTCAAGCAGGTGGAAATGCCACGGTCTCAGAGCGAGAGGAACGACAGTCGGCAGACCAACCTGGTACAGGCACTTAAAATGGAGAGCGAGACTTTGAAAGATCTTGATCATCCAAATATCGTGACCTACCTTGGTTTTGAAGAAACTCCCGATTTCTTAAGCATGTAAATTTACGCTCATCTTTTCCAAGTTCGTTTTACTAAACCTTCTTCAGCTTTTTGGAGTACGTACCTGGCGGTTCCGTCGGTAGCTGTTTGAGAGAGTACGGGAAGTTCGGTGAGGACGTAACCAAATCGTTCACAGCCCAGATTTTAGCTGGATTGGAATATCTCCACTCCAAGAATATCTTGCACCGGGTTGGAATGTCTTCAGTCTACCTAAAGTTTTTGAACTAACGTGGTTACAGGATCTTAAAGCTGACAATATTCTTGTGGAGAACAATGGGACCTGCAAGATCTCCGATTTTGGCATATCCAAGCGAACCACGGAACTCAATGGTGCCGCTCATACGGCTATGCAAGGGACTGTCTTTTGGATGGCCCCTGAAGTCATCAGCGCACGAGCCGGCCTGCGAGGCTATAATTCCAAAGCTGATATCTGGAGTGTAGGATGTGTCGTATATGAGATGCTGACTGGTAAACGTCCTTGGAGTGATTATGAGGAGGTCGCGGTCATGCTTCGGGTAGGGAAAATTCGGATTTCAGGTTATGAAGGCAACTGACGCTGCGTCCAGCTGTATCAACAACCAGAATCGCCTCCGCTTCCCGCCGACTTCGTACTATCCGACTTGGGCAATGACTTCAAAGAAAGGTGTTTTGCTGTGTAAGTAAAATTGTTTCCTGCGATAGCCTTCTGCTTATGACCGAGGACTCCATAGCGATCCCGATAAACGGGCAACAGCAGCGGAATTGCGAGAACATCGCTATCTAGCACTCCCCGAAGACTGGTTCTTCACGGACTTTTGCAAGTAGACGGACAAGTACTTTTTGGTTGCAGCACATACCCCCACCTGTTGTCTACTGCCCTCAAGCATCATCTAGCACACGCACCAAGCATACATTTAGTGACATTCATTTGTTTGACTAGCAATTTTCTTCTGCTTCCTCTGCATTATCCGGTTGCTGTTGTTTCCATATTGTCACTTATAATAATGTATATGACGCGTACGTAGGCATCTGTACTCTATTGGTTACGCTCGGTTAAATCGTGGATTTGGCTTTCACTGCATTGTACTGGTTCTCGTGACGTCATGGTTGCCTTGGAGTTCGAGAGCCCGAGCTTTGCAAGACCTTGGTTCAGCGCTACCCTTGCCAAGAACTAGCATGCCGTCACCGTCTGCCGCTATGGAACCCGTCAGTGAGATACTCGACGAAATACTAGGATCGAGCAATATAGAGAAGCGAAGGCAAGAAGATGCTGCTATGACCATCCAGCGAGCGTGGAGAAAGAAAGTTGCGGCTCGTTCCAGATCAAAGTTGTTTGACCCAGACACGCGGTGGAAGGACGCTGCTATCCATGCTCAAATGCAGGTGCCGTTCTTCCCTACCCTAGTGGTCCACCAGAACTCTTAATACGTTCTTGCTTTTGTAGGTGGACAGGCAGGGTGCTGATAGAGGCAGAAACGATCCAAAGACGCGCTGGAAACGCGCTGCATTCCTAGCAGCTCGTCTGCAAGATGACAACTCTATGTACGAGAAAGATACCCCAGAACATGGTATACCAGCAGAGGAGAAGATATTGGAAACTCAGCACTGGCTCGAGTTAGTCGACGCGTATGTGGACAAGTTGTTGCTCAATGCCATTCGACTGGATATTTATGAGATTTAAAGTAAACACCGTTATGGATCCAATTGTGAGTGCAGTTAGAGTTTGATTGCACCTTGACCTCGTCTTACGAATGACTTACGCAGTGAAGGTATGCACATACCCTGTTTGGTGCCTTCATTTTATGTCACCGGGAATGAATACGGATGAGATCAGTGGTATCATAGGCGCTGGCAACAAGAGGACACCTCGGAAAATTTCTTCAAATGGTTCGATTTTCACCATCTTCCTCTCAGTATAGTGAAGTTGATGTGCTCCTTACAGGCTGGACAGGGGTGCTGGTAAAGACCTTACACTTAACGAGTGTCCTCGAGATCGACTAGAACAGGAAGTGAGTATGTACAAAGCTTGTGCTGTCGGCGGCTGGTGTCTAATTGAAATGGATCCTCCAGCGCATAATGTAAGATTTATTGTCGAAATATATGCTGTACTCACATCTCTCGCTCTTTCAAGCTATCTTGCCCCTGAAGAAAGTGAGTGCTAGCATATGACCATACGATGTTATGAAGAGTGAGGCGTAAACTTGCAGGGCTAAACTATCTGGTCAACTTCGACAATGAGGGGAAGCTTCGATGGGCTCGGAACGGAGTTCTGGTTGACACCGCCCCAGGTCGCTGGAAAGACCAAGGTCAGGGCCGAGGCGTGATGAAAGTAGACAAGGCAGAGGACCTTCCTCGACGGAGTAGCTTCACGTCATCAGCGTCTTCACTCTCAGTTTCGTCAGGGTCTGTTCAGGAAAATGAAGCAAGCCATTACGTTGGCCAACCCCATGGCCGAGGTCGCTTTATGCACCTGCTAAGAAGCCGAATGACTCCCAAAGGGATGATGGATAGACTTCTGCGGAAGACGGTGCGGAAGAATACATGGATCTATGTTGCGGTGCGTTCTTAGCTTGCCATGATTTTTTTGCCATACTAAAGGCGAATAGGACAAAAGCTGTCAGTATTTCCCAAGTCCGTTCACACTGTCAGACCAATTTAAATAAACTTCATTAAGTCAACGTTTTTATTGGTATCAAAGGTTTGAGAAGTCTTCTCTCAAAGAGCTCATCGAATGACTTCTACCCTAGAAACTGGTACTTTCCAGCATTCATCATTTCTTGGGGGCGGTGTCGTAGTTTCCGCTGGATTAATATCAGTGAAAGATGGAGCTATCTCCAAGCTTTCGCCTTTGTCAGGTCATTATCGGTAAGAATGGCACCTGGTATGCATATGGTTTACTAAGCCCATTGACGCGCAGAACGTCCATTGATGTGAGCCTATCGGACTAGACATAATCTCTATAGCACTGACTACACCCCATAAGCACTTCCGCGGATTTGTGGATGGCCTCAATGCGCGTGGCGTTGACATGAGTCACGCCAAGATTAGTAGCGCTGAAGTTGCCCTATGGGGGTGAGTGTTCATGTCACAGCCCCCTGCACGATATGTTACCGATAAACAACCACAGGATTGAACAGTTCACGAAAGCGAAGAAGAAGCAAGCCAAGATCGTGAAGAAAGGGAAGGATACAGCCAAACGTGCTGCAAGCATCGTTCCTGGCCGTTCAAGCCCGTCTTCAGGTTGGAAGCGAGACGTACTCGAAGGTCGTCGGAAACAGCAGCAGTCTCGAATGAACGGTAACGCGGAGAACGATAATCAAGGAGAAAGTAGGCGTCAAGATCATGAATCCACGGCCTAAGATTGTCTATTCATTCTCATGGATACCCTTGCGTCTCGTGACGAAGGTGTCAGTGTTTGGGCAATATTTGAGAGGAGGAGACTAGCGTTAGGCATGACAGTGGTTGACGGATAGCACATCTTTAAACAATCGGGATCAAGGACGGCAATATCGGGCAAAATCTTGGAATCGTGTTGATACACACCGCATTATGTATATATGGCTATTTTTTTTCGCTAGGCTCTCGTTCTGGTGCTTTCACGGCTTAAGTCTGATTATGCTCTCGACCACTCGCTTTCAATGTTTGAAACGCCAGCAGGAAGTTTTGCCTGGGTGGATGTCAGAACGATGTTTCTTGTGTCAGAAATCTGACGAACCTTCTCATCGTAGTCCATCCATTCCGCCTCCTCCTCGAGTGAAACTTCAAATGGTGTCCCCGATTCTTCTCCTACACATCTCCATGTACCCTATATGAACGATCAGAAAGATGAATTATGCTGGTACTTGATCTCTAAGACCCTACCTGTGGGTCGAAGCCAGTGAATTCTAGACCACGGCACTCTATAACCAGCAAAGGTGCGAATTGGCCATTGGCTGCAGACGAGTATGGTCGGACCGGCGAGGTATCAAACTTTGCAGAACTCTCTCGCTTGCAATTACCACACCTCCAAACAAAGTGCGCGGTATTGTTTTTCCCACCAGACATTTCTCTTTCTTCCTGTGTGTGATAGGGGTATGAGCCATCCAATCTTTCAGTAGTCCCTTGAATGTGAGAGAGAAACATACGAGTCGGTTCATAGAAACAAACTTCGGGTGGATCTCATGACAGCTGTTACATTTGACCTGCGATGATGCAAAGTCAATCGGTGTGAAAGGTGAGCCCCCAACAGAGAATCAAGATGAACCTGGAAGAAGTACTCAAACGAGTCTGAAGCTGGCACAAGATCTGTGACATTCTCTAAATCAGCCTTGATTGACAGCTGAAGACGCTGAAGTAAGGGAGGAACGATAAGTGGGAGTTACAGCAATCTGCAAGTAGCAACGGTTCATTCACTCACGACCATGATGACCAGAGTCCGGGCAGCAGTAGTCGACCTTGGAAGATCTCGGTGGTTCAGTACTACTCTTGCCTATTTGAGGCCGCACTGATGCGGAACGGAAGCAATAAACACTTTGGTGCCGAGGTGCGGTTTTCTTACCATTGACACTTCCCCGACGAGTGGTTTCCAGAGCTCAGCAAAGTGCAAGTATCTTTTGTGTCCACATTTGGTCAGCGGAGACTACTAGCTCCTCGAAACGACTTACACCCGTCAATATGGCTTCATCTTCTGTCTGTCGACGCGCTTCTTCTCTCATTGTTTGTCGACGCGCATTCCACTCCTCTTCCGTCGCCGCGTTCCCTCGACGGTCGGCCCAACACGGTTCTTTGCCAGTTGAGGGAGGCATCGACATCTCCGAGTTTAGAACGTTTCAAGACGATGATCTTCCCGCTGGAGGGCACATAGACCTCCGGCAGAAACGCGACTTCCTCCATTATCTCCAGCTTATAGACCATGACGTTCCGCGTTTGACCGGTGCGTCGTTAGAATCAATGTACGCACTCTCGCGTTTATTGATTTTACCCTCTTTAGCTTTTCGTAAACCATACGCACCACCAACTGCTTCGGTCCCGCTGGCGGTTCGCTCAGTAGATTTTGCCGGTGAAGAGCATCCCATGACCCCAAAGCGAACCGTTGTGGTTCCTGTCGAACATCTTCCTTTGAAGGGAGACGCTGCACTTCATACGGCTAAACTCCTGGCTGGAGCAAGATGGACACCAGAACCGCCTAAGGACTCGGGTTACCAGAACAATGCCACAGTTAAGCACGGATATATCAAGATTTCGTGCGAAGACTTCCCTGAGCCCGCCATGAACTTGAAGTGGATTAGCGACACCCTTGACCGGCTAGTAGCAGAAGCAAATGTGCGTATACCACTTCTGAAGGCTTTATACACGAACTGACCGACGGATAGAACCCCAAAAAGAATGGCTATCAGGCTTTGCCACTAGACGAAAGGCATCTAGAGGCGAAGGCGAGGAAGGCAAAGAAGGGGGACCACCGGAGAGGGCGCGACGGTAATCGGCCATCTCTCAAAGACTTCCCGAAGGAGTGGTTGCCCAAGAGCCCACCGCTCAATGGCGCCAGTGCTTAATATTTCATAGATTTCTCCTTGCGGTTTGGTAGGAAACCTGCATACTAATGTTAATCTTGCAAGTGCTGAATTGTGCATCACCTGCAATCCGATCACATGGCTCAATATGGCATAGCAAACTCGTGTGTTAGAAGCGATCCGACCGTGCCGTGGGTGCTTTCGTTCCGTTACTCAGCTACACTGCTGCGCCCACCCTGCAGCGCTTCAGCTATAGCGATGGCTGGGGTGATACGCGCATCTGTCGTTCAGACATGTACCGCAGCCTACTCGCTGGAAAACACGCTAAGCAAGTTTGAAATTCTGTTGTGCTTAGCCAAGGAACGCGATGGAGCTCAGCTGGCTGTCTTTCCGGAAGCATTGTATGTTTATCACGAAGGTTGGCATCATTACCCGAGGTTCCTAACCGACATATGTAGTATAGGTGGCTACCCAAAGATGTCGCACTTCGGCGCTGTCGTTGGCGAGCGATCAGACAGTGGCAGAGATGAATTTTTACGCTACTATCAGGGAGCGATCGAAATTCCTTCGCCCACAATATCTCGCATCGAGGCAGCGTGCAAGGAGCACAACGTGTTTGTTGTCATGGGTGTCATAGAGAAAGATCTGGGTACTCTGTACTGCACTGCGATTTTTGTCGACCCAGTCGCTGGCCTCGTTGCGAAGCACAGGAAGCTTGTCCCCACAGGTACTGAGCGCATCATCTGGGGCCAAGGCGACGGTTCCACGCTCCCAGTGCTGGAAGCACGATTTGACGCCATCACGAATGATAATCCTGCTGGCAGGGAAGCCACTAGGGCTAAGATATCCGCGGCCATATGTTGGTGCGTAACAGGCCATGGTATGTATTCCTACCTAAGCGCTGTTAATGATTGCCGCTCTTCTACAGGGAAAATTATATGCCCTTATGTAAGTCCATCGAGTACTGCCACTGGTGAGGCAGAGAAAACATTTTCACCTCCAATCCTTTGCTAGTGCGCACGTATTACTATTCTTTAGGAACACAGCTTTACTGCGCTCCCACTGTTGATGCAAGGCCACAGTGGCAAAGCACGATGACACACATTGCTCTAGAAGGTCGCTGTTTTGTCTTGTCTGCCTGTCAGTTCGCGAAGGAAGCAGACTACCCACCCGATCACGCCGTCGCGGACAAAAGCAATCGCAATGCAGACAATATCATGATCAGTGGAGGAAGTGTTATCGTCAGCCCGTTGGGGGAGATTTTGGCTGGTCCATCGCGAGAGCCGGAAACTATCCTGACGGCAGATTTGGACCTGGACCAAATCGCCAGGGGAAAGTTTGACCTTGATGTATGCGGACATTACGCCCGCACTGATAGTAAGTGCAGACCACGTCCAGCGATCTCGATGATTTTGAGTGATGAACGGCGTCCCTGTAGTATTTCAACTTCATACTAGGACACAAAGTAACCTTGAAGGTTACCGAGACGCCAGCAAGTAAATTGTTGTCGAGGTTCCATCAAAACACTTTGACATCAACAAACGTGGCCGACATTTCACGCCTGGACTGATCGACTATGTATGACCAGTTTGGACTACCACTCACTACGAAGAGCGGGACAAAGCATTTTATGATGCAACAAAGCGGCTTAGACGACTGGGGATGTGTAGTAGATATAAAGTGTAGCCGTCACTTCCTCACTTTCATTATCAGATCTTGGTCCTTCCTTTCACGAGCCAGCAATCCCGGATAATGCTCTACACGGGTACTGCAGACGCGCGAGTGGCGCTGCTGGCATATTGCATGAATCATCGATCTCTTGTAGACCCAGAGTCAAGTTTCCCCACCGCCGGATGTCTATCACAAGGCCAAGCCAACGATTGCAATAAGCAGCCAAGAAGACGTACAATGAACTGCTTGGAGAGACGGCAGGCGACAGGCCAGTTCTGCTTCGAAGCAAAGGGACGAACAATTTACACACCTTTGTGTGAATCACGAGCTCAACACCGACACACACCCTGCATGTTGGGTTCAGATATCACCACTCCCCGACGTAGATCTGAAGAGTATGTGGTGGATGCGATAGCCGCAGCTCTCGCACATGTCAAAGATGGCATCTGGATGATCTCTGGAGATGGGACAAAGCATGTTGATCACGCTATGACTTCCGACCAAGAGCCACCGGAACGTTATGAAAGCCAGCATGAAGTTCAGTCCGCGACATCAGCAGCAGCTGCGGGGATAGCATTGACGGATGACGAGCAGTACGAGCATGATTGCGAGGTTGACGAGATAGAGTTCGAGGCATTGTTCAATCGATACATTAGGTGTGACGACAGCATGGAGAACAATTAATTTATGATACCGGAGAGGGAACCAAAGAGGCATATATATGTCTTAGCGCTGAGCTACTTTTGAGTTCGATGGGAGCATGCCACATGTTATGCCAAGTCGAAGGTCAGTTTGAGAGCTCGATGATAAGCACCCAGAGCTGCGTGTCGTGTGCATGGAGGAGATAGATTTAAGGAGAGGTGAAAGAAGAGAAGTGGAGAAGAGCACGACGATGGACCGCCCACGGTCTCTGCGGAAGGTACTATCACGGGTGGGTGATATCAGTACTTCTGACGGTTGACGAGGTAGTCGATTCTGTTGCCGCGACCCCGGATTGGGCAAGGTGCCACTGAGGCCAAACAAACCAAACAAATAGGACGCAAGTCGCCAAGTTCTTTCCTTCCCCCCGTCGCAGTCGCAGTTGGCGAAAAAGTAAACGTCGCGTCCGGTCCACCTTCCCCTTCTCCTTTCTACTGCGCTCATCCCCTCCCGCTCCCAGATGTCCGACTCCTATGCCTCTTCCCGCGCTAGGGATGATCTCTCTCCTTCCCCCAATGGCTACGCGAACGCCTCTAATCCCTCTGTAGCCCAGTCCAACAACGCCGCCCTCTCCTCCGTCATCCGCAAGAAGCTCATGGGCTACGTCGGCTTCGCGAACCTCCCGAACCAGGTACACAGGAAGAGTGTCCGCAAGGGCTTCCAGTTCACCGTCATGGTTGTCGGTACGCACCTTCCTTAAAATTCCGTTTGGTTTAACGTGTCATACGTGGTCATAGGCGAATCGGGCTTGGGCAAGTCCACCCTCGTTAACACCCTTTTCAACACCCCGCTCTATCCTGCCAAGGAGGTCCTCCCCCCCTCTGCCGAAAGGGCTAGCACTGTCGCCATTGAGAGCATTGGCGCAGGTACGAGATTACGCGTGTCATTCCAGTCGAACGCGTTTGACCATATTCTCAGATATTGAGGAGAACGGCGTTCGTCTCCATCTGAATGTCGTCGATACGCCAGGTTTCGGTGACTTTGTCAACAATGATGACAGGTCAGTTTACTCGTCGGCGTCTTATGGAAGAGAGTGACTCTAAAGTCGCGTCTAGCTGGCGACCTATTGTTGAAAATATCGAGTCGCGTTTCGACTCGTACTTGGAGCAGGAGAACCGCGTCAACCGACAGAAGATCATGGACAACCGAGTCCATGCTTGCCTTTACTTCATCCAGCCCACCGGTCACTCGTATGTCTCAATTTCTATCATTGAAAATATCGCTGACGTTTTCATAGGCTGAAGCAACTCGACATCGAGTTCATGCGTCGTCTCCATACCAAAGTCAACTTGATTCCCGTCATTGCCAAGGCTGATACCCTCACTGACGAGGAGATTGCTGACTTCAAAGCCAGGGTATGTTCAGCCTGTCTTTTGTATAGTTGAGGCTAAGAATTCTCTGGCAGATTCTGGCGGATATTGCCCACAACAAGATCCATATCTTCCAAGCTCCCACGTATGAGAATGAGGACGAAGAAGCCATTGCGGAGGCTGAGGAGATTGCCAGCAAGATTCCTTTCGCTGTTGTCGGTTCCGATCAGGTTGTTCGCACCGCTGACGGGCGTGATGTTCGTGGCCGTTCGTACCCCTGGGGTGTTATTGAAGTCGACAACGAAGAACACTGCGACTTTGTGAAGCTCAGGCAAATGCTCATTCGAACCTACATGGAGGAACTGAGAGAGCACACGAACAATGTTTTGTACGAGAATTGGCGTACACAGAAACTCCTGAGCATGGGCGTTGCGCAAGACTCGAGCGTCTTCCGTGAGATCAAGTAAGTTGCAGGTGCTGAACCAACTTGCGCCCATCTAATCTGTTTGCACCCAAGCCCTGCCGCCAGGATGCAGGAAGAGCGTATTCTGCACGAGGCTAAGCTCTCCAAGATGGAGGCCGAGATGAAGATGGTCTTCCAGCAGAAGGTGCAAGAGAAGGAGTCGAAACTCAAGCAGTCCGAGGAGGAGTTATACGCTCGCCACAGAGAGATGAAAGAGGCTCTCGAACGGCAAAAGGCGGATCTCGAGGACAAGAAGCGTCGCATTGAGAGTGGTCGGCCCCTGACGCCAGAGAAAGGAGCTGTGAGTATCTCTCGTCTCTTGCTGGCTGTGATCTCTGATGGTAACTACTACTAGCAACAAACCAAGAAGGGGCGCTTCCTCAACCGGTAGACGCAATTTGCAGAGGGTATACCGTTTGGACGGTCCGTTATCACTTGGGCCACGCGTTTTTTACCTTTCGCTCACCTATCCATTCCTTGTTTCTCTTTATATCGCGTCGTTTTCGATTAGTACTTCTTGCTACTTTAGTTGCCTTACCACGTGAGCCGCGCCTCTCTTTTCGTTTTATCTCCTTGGACTACTGCGCACCCCACACTCGTTTCCATGATATCCGGGCCTTCCTTCCGCCGTCTCTCTTAGTTTATGCGTATCCATGTCGGGTCGTTTCAAGTCTGTGTGGATTGGAGAAAGCTATAATACATATACCATTCTTCTTTGCAAGTCATGGGATATCGCCACTGGGTCAACACTCATAAACAGATGATCGTCTGGCGTGAACAACTGATCTTCTACTGACGTTATACTGTAATCACGCCTGAGCTACTAAGATCGAACGGCAACATGGCAGACATGCAGTCCCTCCTCTCTGCCCTCGACGTCTTCAGTCGCGCACCGGATAAGGCAGCCTTGGAGAACGCAAATGCATGGCTCCAAGATTTCCAACATTCAGTAAATCCTCTCTCGCATGGAACCCTCTACCGACCAGGACATCTCACCCGCCGTCTCTTGTCCTAGCCCGACGCATGGTCAACGTGCAACGTCCTCTTGCTTTCTCCAGACGCTCCCCTTGCAGCAAAGATATTCGCTGCACAGACCTTCAGGGCCAAAGTAAGTTGTTCAGTCCACACCTTCGGCCCCGCGCCCTCTCAGCAAGTAACCATGCACAGGTCACATTCGATCTACATCAAGTAGACGAAACAAACCTCCCAACTCTTCGCGATACCCTGTTGACGGCTCTTGAGAAATACCAAGCAGGCCCCAAGAGCATCATTACTCAGATCTGCCTCGCACTATCAGGTCTTGCTCTCCAGCTTCCAGCATGGTCGAGTCCCGTGCAGGACCTCATCGAGAGGTTCGGTCGAAACCCTGCCACAGTGTCTGCCCTCCTACAATTTCTCACTGTCATGCCTGAAGAGATCTGCACCAACACAAGGATTCCGGTTACAGTGCGATCGCTTCAGTCCTTTGCTGCTTGGACGCTCTAACATACTCTATTCTAGGACGATGAATACCGCGAACGCAGCACTGCCCTACTCTCAGGCAACTCGCCGCAGATTCTGGAGCTCATGACAATGTATCTTCAAGCACCTGGTAAGCGCCCGTGCTTGCATGGCTTAGGGGCGATTGTGCTCACATTGATCAGGTGTAACATCAGAAGTTCAGAGCCAGGTCTTCATTTGTCTCCGCAGCTGGTTGATCGCGGGTGAAGTCGACCTGACAGCATTGGTTAAGACTTCACTGTTCCAATTTGCATTTGATGCACTAGCTTCTGACGTGTTGTTCGACGCCGCAGTCGACGTTATCTGCGAGATCATCCACGAAACCCAGGAAATTGACGACAACATGCCCGTAATTGAACTGCTCGTCCCTCGTGTCATCGCTTTGAGGCCGTTGATTCATAGCCATCATGAGGATCCAGAAAAGATCCGCGGCCTTGCTCGCGTCTTTGCTGAAGCAGGCGAGACGTACCGGGTACTCATCCTCCGCCACACGGAGACATTCTATCCCATTGTCGAGGCTATCGGCCAGTGCTCTGCGTATCCCGACTTGGATATTGTGCCAATCACGTTCCCCTTCTGGATGAGACTCGCTCAGACCATGGGCAAGAGGTCGTCTGTCCCCCCAATGCTCCTGGAAGCCTACCAGGCCCTTATGGGTGTCATCATTCGTCATCTTCACTTTCCACAAGATTCCTCAACTCTGACACCGCAGGAAAATGATAATTTCCGGAACTTTAGGCACGTAATGGGGGATACTTTGAAAGACTGTTGCCTAGTATTGGGCAGCGAGGCCTGCCTGCTTTCTACGTACGGGCTGGTAACTGTTGCCCTTACAAAAAGTCCCCAAGGGACATCCTGGCAAGAGGTCGAAGCGCCACTATTTGCGATGAGGTCGATGGGCGCAGAGGTCAACGTAAAAGACATCAATGCCGTTCCAAAGATCCTGGATCTGTTGCCTTCTCTACCACCACACCCCAGGATTCAGTATGCGGCACTCCTTTTAATTGGCCGATATTCCGAGTGGATTAACTTCCACCCGGACTACCTTGCAAATCAGCTGCAATACATTTCTGCGGGGCTGGAAGCCTCCGACGGCGAGGTCAGCGCAGCCGCTGGTCACGCGCTGAAGTATCTATGCCAAGATTGCAAGCAGGTAATTACCGGTGCCGTTCGTGCTTCTTCCGTCGACTGATGTTACCTCTTTTGAAAGCATTTGGTCCCATATCTGCCGACTTTGCATACATTTCTCACCACGGTTGGGTCCAGGCTTGACCAGGAAGATAGGCGGCAGGTGTACGAAGCAATTGCGTTCGTTATCTCCGCTATGCCGATGGGGAAGGCCGCAGAGTCCCTCCGCACTTTCGCACTGGACATCCTTTCCGGGATTCACAATGTGGCGAATAAAACTACACCTGCTTCAAAGCAGGAACTAAAAGCAGCCGGAGGTAGGTCCCATATGATTTTTATTCTGTGGCCTGCTGATGTTCCACTCAAGAGGCCCTCGAGAACCTTGAGGTTATGCTTCATGTGATTGGTTCTTTTGGCGACGAGTTACCGCCCGCCTGTCAGGGAACCTGTCAGGAGGCATGGTCCATCTTCGACGTGTTCATCACGAAGTATGCGTTTGACTACGAGATTACGGAGAGGGTTACTCGAGTCATTCGACATGCGCTCTCCCTATTTGGTGTGGCAGCCCTGCCCGTAGCTTCCCAAGTTGTTTCAAGGATGGTGACTTCCTTCGAAGCCACCGGGCTATCCGCGTACCTTTGGATCGCGGCGAAGGTCGTCGCACGGTTCGGCCATGAAGAGGATGTGGCTCTAGCCAGCAGCTTCCAAACCCTCTATCAGAGGACAACAAGCAAGGTCGTGTCCATGTTGCAGACACAAGGTCCTCGAGAAATACCGGACGGTGCGGCAGTTATCACACTGAAGTTACACTACGCTGATTTACTGATTCGACTTGGCTGTAGTATTGGAGGACTATATTCAACTCCTCCTTCAGCTGGTCGAGGTCCGTCCGGACGTATTCTTCCAGGCACCTTTTCCGTTGGCCTTCCGTGCCACTATGGCCGCTCTGACGATGCTGCAAAGCGACCTGGTCGTTGCTGCACTGGACCTGTTCCGAGTGTTAGTGAGCCACGACTGTCTGGATCCACCGACACCTGTGCCTCCCAAATTTCCGGGGTATGCAGCCGCGATAAAAGCCGTCGTCGAGAAAGAAGGGCCAGAATTTGTCGGACTGCTACTGTCGGGATTAGTTGGCGACTTCCCGGAGGACGCAGCTTCGCATGTGGTGTCTATATTTAGAGCGGTGGCCTTGCTCTTCCCTGCCCAGCTCCTAACGTGGCTGCCGTCCGTGATGCAGCAGCTTCCTACAAACAGTGTGCCTGCGCAGGCAAGGCAGCAGTTCTTGGACGATACGACCAAGTAAGGCGCTTCCATCTAACCGTGGGTGAGCATGTACTGACGGACGTTTGCAGTGCCATCAATAGCGGGCAAATAGATAAAGTAAAGTATTGTCTCTTGGGACTTCATCGGGCTGCACGTAAGATGCGGGACAGGCGTCGTGTGGCAGCACTGGATGATGAATGAAGGAGTGTAGATTATTTTAGTTATAGCGTCGATAGAAGACTGTTTGACGGAGGTTGGCGGATGTTAGCGGAGGTTAGACGTATGTACGAGAGTAGCTTTGTCTGGCAGATAGGCAAATAGGTGTAAATTCATGCCGGCCGGCGCGTTGGTCACACCGCCCTTTAGCGCCGCTTCCGGGTCAGAAAAGACACAAAACCTGTACCACAAGCAGTGACAGTACTCCCTCTCCACCATGCCCCTTATCCTCCGCCGTGCTGCAAATTCCATCTCCTCCTCGGGTATGCCATCCTTCCTCCGCCCCTGTCTCTCCCCCCTCACACTCACCCCCAGCAGGCCGTCGGGCGTTCTCGCAATCCACCATCCGGCAAAGCTATGCCGACACCATCCACAACCTCCGTATCCACAAGGACACACGGGTTCTCTGCCAGGGCTTCACCGGAAAGACAGTGCGTGTCTTTGCGACATGTCTCTGCACTTCTCATTCTCAAACTCTGACTTTTAGGGTACTTTCCACGTGAAAGAAGCCTTGGCCTACGGCACGAACATGGTCGGAGGCGTCTCTCCGAAGAAGGCTGGCCAGACCCACCTTGGCTTGCCCGTCTTCGGTTCCGTCAGGGAGGTACGCAAATCCATCGCTGCAGGGCACACTTTTTGACCACAAACAGGCCGTCCGGGAAACAAAACCGGACGCGTCAGTCCTCTACGTCCCACCACCTACCGCGGCCGACGCCATCATAGAAGCCATTGAAAACGAGATTGGCCTAATTGTGTGCATCACCGAAGGAATTCCTCAAGCTGACGAGATCCGGGTACAGTGCTTCCTCACCCACGGTAATACACTTCTTGCGGCTAACAATAAACGTAAAGGTCATGAACGCCCTCAAGAGCCAGTCCAAGTCGCGTCTCGTGGGGCCTAACTGCCCCGGTATCATTAACCCCCTGGGCTGCAAGATGGGCATTCAGCCTGGCCACATTCACAGGCCAGGAAAGATCGGTACACGCCTTTCCGGTCTTCTTGTTGCCGCATCCCTGATGGCGTTACAGGCATCGTGTCGCGCTCTGGAACGTTGACGTACGAGGCCGTTGCTCAGACCACGGATGTCGGCTTGGGCCAGTCGCTCTGCGTTGGCATTGGTGGTGACCCATTCCCCGGTACCCAGCACGTCGATGTCATCAAGGTCTTCCTCGATGACCCCAACACCGAAGGTTCGTTGCCAAACAAGAATGTGATTGGAGTGGACCATAACTGAAACTTTTCACGCTTAGGTATCGTCATCATCGGTGAGATTGGTGGTTCGATGGAGGAGGAAGCGGCCGAGTACTTGGAAAGGTACAACAAGACGCGTAGCAACCCCAAGCCCGTTGTAGGTTTCATTGCCGGTCGGACCGCCCCTCCTGGCAGGCGCATGGGCCACGCTGGCGCTATCATTGCAGGTGGAAAAGGTTCGTAGACGACTCACTCTCGCGACTGCTCGGTTTTCATGGTCATGTCTAGGTGCTGCGTCGGACAAGGTCGCTGCTTTGGAGAGGGCTGGTGCGATTGTGACGGACAGCCCAGCAAAGATCGGTGCAGAGATGATGAAGGCAAGTTTGATGACGTTGTGACTAGCTGCACCCGACTAACGAGACGACTGATACTGTAGGCTATGAAGGCTGCTGGACTGGTGTAGATTATAGAGTAATAACTAGAAGCCCCGACTTCCTAAATTATCACGTTGTTCCTCTCTCGTCTGGATAGCCAGTTGCTATAGTCATCTATCAGCCAACAATACCATCATGGATTACTTTCCTTCTCCCGCATTTACCAGCGCAGCATCTTATCTTTCATCCGCATCTTCGCTTCGTAAGGTTGACAATAACACAAAGCTCGAGGTCTAATAACACTCTACCCTTTCGCATGATCCTGACGAGACTTCGACCGAACAGCTCTATGGCTTATACAAATACCTGACTTTCTCCTCCACTCCTTCCGGCTCGAGACCATCGATCTTTGACATGACCGGTCGGGCGAAATGGGATGCATGGCAGCTCGCTGGACAAACGCATCAAGATCGACCCTCTGGCGCTGAGAAGCGCTACCTTGAGATTGCTCATAAGCTTGGCTGGGAAGAGAGTGCTGTCCAGACAAGCGCAGAGTCGGCACTGTCGAACAAAGGCAAGGAAAAGGCGACGGAAGATGATATATGGGATAGTGATTCAGAGCGAGGCTCCAGCGGGGGAGGTGGCGGGATGGTGGTGGTTAGCTCGATGCGCGCCCCGACGCCGGTAGAGGATGAAACCTTCCACGGACTGGCATTGTCTGGGGACGTGGGCAAGCTAGAGACATTCATAGGTTCGCATTCAAACCTAGACCTCAATGCTAGGGACGAATACGTGAGTCGTGCTCGAGCTCGAAAGACATCAATCGCCCAATTTCACTACTCTCGACAGGGGTATACTGCACTTCACCTTGCATGCGACAGAGGCAATACTACAGCTGTCCAGCTACTCGTACGCAAAGGGGCGGACATCACAATCAAGGTGAGCGCGATTCTACTTTTGTTTGCTTCATTTCGCGGACGCAAACTTGATCACACCTATGTAGGACGCGGATGGTTTTACGGCACGGGAGCTCGCAGAAGAAGCGGGGCGCGAGGACATTGTCAAACTTTTCAGTCAATGAATTGTCATTAATGCTAAGTAAATGTGATATGCGTGGTCTATCGAGGATGGTGGGGTCTTGCGTACGATGCAGTCTACAGCAGACTTGGTGGTTGTCCACACCTGCCCTCTCGCTATGAAATGTCGGCGACAGTAACTCCGGGCTGGACGCGCAAATGAACGACTGCGACTGCGTGGTCTTATGAGTGCTTTGGACGCGCCATAGGGTTGTTGACAAGCTCTTCCACGGACAATGAAGGGTCGACTTTCGCAGCCTCCGGAGGGACGGGGGTCGCTGAAGGAGTGTTCTGGGTGGAGAGAGCTTTGGGGTGATACTTCGAGTCTGGGGGAAGGACACCACCCTACGACGCGTCGCGTCAGAAACAAAAACAATGCGTCCATTGCCAGAAGAAAACTCACCCATTCAAGCATGCGCACAGCAGATTTCGAGGGTACTGCCCCGACGCCCAGCCAATACTTGATTCTGTCAACACTCCATTGCACGGTCTTGTGCTTGTCGCCGATGTCGAGGTGGGGGTTATAGACACCGAGGAGCTCGGCGGGCTTCGCGTCGCGGCGCTTCCTCTGGTCGATGGCGACGAGGTGGAAGATGCGCCTGCTGCGGGTGCCATGCATAGCGAGGCGTATACGGATCGCCATAGTCGTCGGGAAAAGAGCCTAGCGTGTAGTTGACGCTTGTTTGCGGCATATACTACTTCTTGTCTGGTCCATAGCCCCTGTCTTTCTCGTGAAGTCCGTACACAGAACGTCCAGTTTTCATGTGGGCAAAGTCCACTCATAAAATTTCCCTTCAACTCTGACTACTTGCAATGTTTCTCAATGCATCTCGCAGTCACTTCAGTATACAAATAGGTCGAAATGCATTCTTGCAGAAAGAATTTGATGGGGTAGCGAGTCAATCGTATCTCTAGAACGCGTCGCTAGGACTTGGTAGTACTTCCTGGTACATAGTTTCATCAAGCTTCGGCCTGGCGCTAAACATCTTAACCTCTGTTTGCATGCTCGCGTTGCGCCTCAAATCTTCCCTTAAAGTGAGTGCAAGATGCCGCTTCCCTTGTCACCGAGAGTTTTGTGTGGTCCTGCCAGGATCATGAGTCGGGGCCTGAGCTGCCTGGGATGAGCTGAGAAGACCAATAAGCAACTGTATCACACGAGCTCAGAGAGGGAACATCACCATGCAGATGTTGTTTCCGTTCAAAAGGGTCTGGGACAGCTTCGTCTGCTTGATGCCCTCAGCCGTTATCTCGCTAAGAAATACAGTGAGTAGATGGGTATGCAGCGTTCTTGGTTAATGTACACACAATTCTGTCACATCTTCAAGGACCATGTCTGTAAAGTACGAGCAAAGTCAATGGCAGATGATGAAAGGCCCGTATGCCAGTATGCCTTACGCACTGACGAAGTCATCGAACCCGAGGAGCGTTCCCGAGAACTCTCGATCGCCTTTCATGACGACCCATATCTTGGAGCCGATGCATCTGTCGATCAGCTCTTGAGGGAGAATTGAAGTTGCCCAACCTCTAAGTGACGCGTTACTCACCGAGAGGAAGGATCTGCGATGCCATTCCTTAACCAAAGAGATGGACGTACGTAGAAAGGAAACGCGTCTCTAGTGCGCCTCGTGAGGCCAGTCCACCCCCTGAGACTTCCCCATTCGCCACGCGCAGATTTGCCCCAAACAAACAAGTTGTATCTCAACGATCTCACAGCTCACAGAAGGCTACGTTGATATCATTCAAACCATGTTGTACCTCAAAGACGTGTACGTAGCTGTATGTAATGCGTCCTTGAGACGCGTCAATACATGAGTGCTCTGTGTGATATAGTAAATGGAGACATGATGGATGTGGCAAGAAGCAGGAAGAAAGCGGCGCGGTGTCAACGAACAAGAAGTACAGTAGAAAAGGGAAATAATATTGATGTCTAGCATATCACTGTTGGCCGAAGCTGAATCCTCCTTGAGGTGCACTGACATCTGAGTGGAACTTGAACAAGAGTCAATACCTCGTTCGAATAACATGACATTATGATAACTTACAGCAAAGGTGCCAGAGGCGTCGACGCTGGGGGCATTGATGGCCCCATCAACCTCTTCCTCGTCTGGGAAGTACTTGTCCATGATGTTGAACGCCTTCTTGTAGATCTCCAAGTTGTCATGTGATTGCAAGTTATGGATCGTGACCATACCGCCAGCCTCTTCAACGTATAGCGCATACTGGTTGACTGCCCCGGGCCCGGCGGCCTGTTTGTCCATTTCTCCTACTTTGAGAATGTTGTCCAAGCCATCGAGAGCGACCTGGATAATTTTGTTGTCCATCATGGTGAGCAAGTCACACAGTGGCTTGATGCATCCCTGGGAAACCAAGTAGCGGATCTGCGCGGGCTCCTGCAGTCCACCAGATGTTGCGTTGGAAATAGCCCAGCACGCTTCTTTGCGCGTCTTGAAATCCGCATTTGACAAGATGTTGATGAGAGGAGGAATAATGTTGGCGTCAATGACGGCTTGGATTTGCGGTGGTGAGCCGGCAGTGATGTTCGAAATAGTCCAGCAAGATTCTTTGCGAATACCCTCCTTCGGAGAAGAAAGGAGAGACAAGAGAGCCGGAAGAGCGCCAGAGGCAATAACAACCTGCGTTTGCAGATCGTCGCCAGTGACGATGTTGCCAATCGAGCGCAGAGCAGGCGTCTGAACGGAAGTTGACTGGTGCATCAGCAAGTCGACGAGCCTCCTGCAAACTGCCGACTCGATGACGGCCTGGATTTTGTCGTTCGACCCGTCTGAAAGATATGAGATAGCCCAGCAAGCATCAATCAAGATCTCGTCGTCCAAAGAGTAAATCAGTTTAGTCAAAACAGTTAGCGCCGGAGAAATCTAACAACAAGTTAACCAAATAAACCCAGAACGTGCCCATAAGTACATACCAACTCCCACTCAGGCTGTGGGTTCTTGCCTCGGCAGAAGTTGCTCAACGTCCAGGTAGCGTTCCTCAGCATGCTGAGCTTATGGTTTTCGCTCAACAGAGTCAATAGCGGCCGGAGAGCGCCCTGTTGGAGGACATAGTCCCTGCACTGTGGGCTATCGCCAGCGATGTTCCCGAGAGCCCACACAGCTTGCTCCCGAACATCTAAGACGGGGGAAGATAACAGGTTGATAAACTCGGGGACGGCACCGGCGCCAATAACAACTTGAGTGTGTTCGGCGGTGCCGGATGCAATGTTGGTAAGCGCCCACGCAGCCTCGAACTGCAGGGGACGTGTGGTTGGCAATGAGATAGGACAAAAACACCAGATCTTACCTGGAGCATCGAAGCGCCAGTTCGAAGGAACTCAACGAACCGCGGAACAACGCCACACTCAATGACCTTCTCAATAGGAGGGTTCCGTTCCTTGGATAACAGTTTTCTGAACTTGGTGGTTGCATCGAGCTGGCGATCGCCGTCGTCGGAGAAGACACCAGAGATCATTTCCTCCGCAAGCTATGGAGAACAACGGCTAAGTCGACCAGGACACGCCGATGGGTGCGCGACTTACAGGAGGCTCCCAGCTGCCCGTGCCACCCTCGTCGTCCGAGTCAGGGCCAGCGGCAGGGAGAAAGTTACGCCTCTTGGCGATGTTCTCCTCGCGCTTTTGCCTTCTGATCTCCACCTGCTGCTCACCGCGCCGACGCCTGAGGTCATCCTGCTTCAGGCCGCCCATGTTCTTGTAATCTACAAGGTGACGCGTCTGAGATAATGATATGAACGGTACTTCAGGGGGTGCTCACTGGCTCTGCGGTGCTCCATCGTACGAGACTCCATTGGTGTAGTGTAGGAGAGAGGGTCGTGTAGATGAGTGGGAGATGGGAAGGGGAGAGCAAGAGATCGACAAGCGGCTCGCTTTCCTGCACGCCTCAATCGCGAATCCGAACCCAACAAACAAACCGCGCCTTTCCACCTCCAGTCACATCCGTAACGTCACGCCAGTAATTTGACTGATAAAATTTGTACCATCTAATCTACAGCCAGTGGGATGCGTTATCATGATATTGAAAATGCATTACTCTGCTAATACTATTACTACCAATCCTAGTCCTTTCGTCATGCGTCGTTATCGAACGGATACTAGTCAAACCACCATCGTTAATACACCTATCAGGTTAATGGGACAATGACTACTCACCTCAAACGGCTCGGGCGGACCAACTTCGGGTGCATCTTCGTCGAGAGCGATATTAGCCCCGCCTACTGGCCTTGCCGGCGTTGTGGTAACAGGCGGTTCAACAACCGGCGCCACGGGTGGAGGGTCAAATGTAATGAATTCGGCCTCTTCTTCCGGTCGTCTATCCTTCAGGATGAGAATTCCACCCCCTCCAGCATACCGTTCTGACGGAACAACGGCTGGTGTCGATGACGACTTGGGCTTTGAAGGCGACCAGTGCGTCGACACAGGTCGGACAGGCTGGTATTTGCCATCGGCGGGGAAAGTGATATATCCCATTTGAGCGGGGGTCACACGAGAGAAGTTCTTCAGCTTTTCAGATGAATGTTCGGACGCCCGCTTCCCCTGCTTTTCCACTGGTGGTGCATCATCGCCAGCCTTCATTTCCACGTCCTTGACCTCTGCTTTGTCATCCTGGCATTATGATCAGATCAAGCCTGCATAAAAAATATAAAACTCACAGTGTCCATGATATCGCTGTCGGCAGCAGCCTTCTTTCTTTCTCTAGCCTTCACTTTGGCCGTGGTGGAAAGAACTGCTGTTGCAACCCGAGCAGTTGTCTCCTTCTTTGGCGGTGAGGCAGGCGAAGGGTACGCGAATAAACTCGGCTTCGCATTCGACGTGAACTCGAATTGGGGAACCTGTAGTTAAATGAGTCAAAGCATGCTTTAAGGCAGGAGATCCCAGCTCACCTTAAGTTCCTCATCCAAACCAATGATGGCAGTAGGCTCAAAAGCCAAGCAAATGGCATGCGCAAGAGGATACCAATACCAGAACTGACAGAAGAGGGAAACACCGATAATGGCGTTGGTGTTTCTGCTCCCAGCACGACTTTGCAGGCTGATAGTAACGTTGCGGCCACCAGCATCAATCAGACCCTGGCCTATTGCAGCACCGAAACGAGCCATAGGATCCTCATGCTTGTCTGAAATAACCCTAGTATACATCGCCCTCGTGGAAGCCATGGATATGGATGAGGCTTCTGATTGCTGCACCAAGATCATTCCCAGTGCAATGAAAGCACCTTGCCTCACAAAATCCACGCTGTCTTTCGTCATGGGCTCGAGGATTTCAACTGCGTCTTGTAAGCCAGTTCCCGCGCAAGCGATGCCCAAGGCCAAAGTCGCGCCGCAACGAACGTGGGGATTGTAGCTTTCACTCAAAAGTTGGACAACCCGAGGCACTTGGGAGGGGTTCTTGAACAAGAGGAAGGCAAGAGACGTGACAGCCGCTCGCCTTACATCATCGGATGTGTCAGAGACAGCGATGTGAAGCAAACGGCGGACGGCATCGTTGTCAGAAGTGCCAGCAAAGGCTAAGGCCAAAGAGTAAACGCCGCCATAGCGGAGGATGGGGTCCTGGATTCAGGTCAATAAAGAAGCACTGCAACATAAGATAGGCAGCATACCTTCTCGGCAAGTAGAAGTTTGATCATGGGCATAGCCTCTTCCTGTCGACCATAGTAGATGAAGGCGATACCCATGGCAAGACCACGGATAATTTTCTCGTGCTGGGTTTCTCGGGCGTAAGTCAGCATCTCTTCGGCGCAGTGTTCGTCCGCTGAACCAAGCATGACCAAGCCCATCGCAAAACCTGCTGCTTCACCAGCAACAGCAGAGTCAGTGAAAAGAGTTTCCTTGAGAACTTCGTAGGTATCCGAGTTCTTTCCGCCCATGCCAGCAATTCCTAGACCAAGGGCAGCGCCATGTTGCACCACTTCTCCTTGAGCATTCTTCAAGTTGTCCATTAGATATACTTCGGCAGAACGATCAGTACCATGGCCGGCATTGATCAGTCCCAACGCGTACAACGCTCCACCCTCAGAGTATGCAGCGCCTTGTACTTGACTCTCGCCTCCGTTCTGCGGGAGATATGGGCCAAGGATATTCATCCCTTCTTGAAAGTAACCCTTGTGAATGACTCCAAGCGCAGCCGTGGCAGAGAACTTGGACCAATTTGATGCCATTCCCAGCCACTCGAGATTCTCCCGAAGAAAAACGTCGGACGTGGTTCCAGCATGCATGAATGCATTTTGCAGGGTAAGGGCCGTGTGGTAAATGGACGAGCGAGGTTCGAGCGCATCCTGCGAAAGAGACTTTGAGCATGCGTACACATCGCACAGAAGTTAGTTTACCTTGGTATTCTTCAAGATGAGCATATCCACTTTGTTATTACGCTTCAAAAATTGTAGATAGAGCTTGACAGACTCTTGACCGCCCAGTATGCTCCGTAAGTGATCATATATTGGCTTAGTAGTCTTGACGAGTGTAGGAAGTAAGTAGTCGTCCCAATTAGTGTGTCAACTGAACTCACGTCATCGCCGTCGGGCAAGCTACCTAGAACGGCTTCAAGATAGTCTGGCGCACCACCCTCCACCAAATCGAACGCAAACTGGTATGCCAGCAGTTTTTCTTGGGAAACGAGAGAGTTTAAGTAGGGTATGGTGAGCGAGGGGTTATTAAGGACTACGAGAAGGCGAGCGAGCGTGTGCAGGTGAGAGGACTGGCCACTGGAAGCAGGGGGAGGGAACAGCGGGAGCAGGAAGTTGAGTACCTGGTCGCGGTAGGAGAGGGAAAACCCTGTATCCAACACAGCGTCCATGGTGTACGACAGTAATGAGATGTCCTCCGTGAGCTCGTACACCTTCGATATCATGTCCAGTCGCCGAGCTTCGAGTGCAATACCAATGGCCTAAACGCGCGTCAGTACCGGGGCACTAGAAGGCAGTTTACAAGCTTCCACACCTGTTTGTGATCATTATCCTCAATGCACCGTTGGAAGATACCCTCTATGATAGACTTCAGCCGAGGATCTACGTTGCTCTGCTTCTCGGAGGGGTCTTCCATCCGTAACTGGATGTAGCGGTCGATCGCCTTCGCTGTTTGAAATTATAAGTTCTGAGACTTGGGGTTGGTCGATTGAGGCTTACAGATCACAGTTTCAGCATATTCTGCCGAGGCGACTGTACGGATCTCAGACTGGAACGCGTTTCCGGCACCAAGGGCGAACGAGAGCGCTTCATCATACTCTCCGAGGTAATAGTAGACCTTGCTAGCCAGTAGCGCAGCAGAGTCACGAGCATCGCGGGGAAGTTCTTCTGATTCGTACAAGCTCTCACTTCAGGCATCGAGAAATAAGATAACGGGACAAGGAGCAAGTGGGAGTGAGGACGCACATGAGAGCAATGTGCTCTGATATCTCTGCCCAGAACTGAGGCACGAGGGGATTTAAGGCCTTTAGAGCGTGCTGCTTGAAGACAGGATCAGGCTCTGAGAGAAGGGCGATGACACCCGCGGCGGAGGATTGAGCGCGAACGACCATGGCTTGCTTTACGCTTGACGAGAGACGCGTCACCCGTGTGCCCCTAGCTTGACTTCCAAGTACATTCGGGCGGAGTTTGAACATCTCGAGCCATACGCCCGAGCCTGTCCGTCACCGGTCCCAAATCATCAAACCTCACCATGTCTTCCGTTCTGCGCACTGCTGCCCGCTCCGCTGTCCGAACCCGCCAGGGCGTCCGTGGATACTCTCAAGCTCACGGTGGCGACTACTTTGCTCAGCGCGAAGCCGTCCGCGCCCACGCTGATAGTCCGTCACGGTTCTGTCTTGCTTCACAAATCACTGACTTGCACCTCTAGGCACCACCCAGCTTTGGAGGCGGATCAGGTTAGTCTTGTTTGCGTGACATATCACATTCTCTTACCAGCATCGCAATCGTAGCTTCTACGTCTGCTTCCCAGTCAGTAAGTAACCCCACATACTTTCCCTTGCAACCAGATTTTGAACTTATATCGCCAGCTGCCGTGGTCATTGCTTGGGTCCGCAACGCCGAGGCCGAACACGCTGAACACCTGGCTCACCTGAAAGAAGAGAACGGCGGTAAACTCCCAGAGGTACCTAACTACGACTACCTCAACAAGCGCGTAAAGCCCTACCCTTGGGGCATGAACAGTCTCTTCTTCAACCCTCACGTGCGAGCATGTTCCCTCCTATCGTCTACGGTTTCTAATTCAGACGTTGTCTGCAGGTCAACAAGGACTTGTCGGCGAGCGAATAGATGTGTTACCTCGTACTCAAGTGCTATTTCACCAAATAGAATCATCCACTCCAATCATCATTTTCTGGGCGTTGGTCATGGTGACTACTTTTCACGCGTTGAAAACGTCTTTGATCCAAACACGACAACCCATTACCGTCCGCGATCTTAAGTATAAGTATCTGATGTGGCATGTTCTAGGTTCTTATCCATTCTCTGGGTAAGGTTGTGCTTGTAGTAAATTTCATGGAAGTTAAATTAACGACGCCCGTGGAGCCATGGGTATGGGCAAGATCTTAAAATACGGTCGTAATGTGATCAGATGAAATGCCGAAAAGATCGCCATTAAGCAGCTGCTCAGAGTAACAGAGCACCCATCGCCGCACCACCGACAATGCTTAGGGCTGCCATGTAGAGCGGGGAGCCCGCGGCGTTAGACATAGAAGTGGCTGCGTTCGAAGTTGGACTGGCAGCGAGCACGGTAACTGTAGCTCCTCCAACGGTCATGAGGGATCCAGGAGAGCCAGAGGCGGCAAGAGTGATTGCTGATCCACCAGCCGAGGTGATAACGGTAGCAAGTTGGCTGCCAACGCCTGCCAAAAGCATCAGTCTACTGTCTGAAGAGACACAAGACTAAAACTGACTTGTGACGGTACCCTGAAGGCTGTGGCTCTTAAGCCAGGTTGACGCTATATGATTCATGAATGCCAGCCGTGGTACAGTAAACAAAGTGAACCTTACCGTCGGATAAGCCAATGGAGTAACCTTCTGACGCATAGCTATTGCCCACGACGGAGCCGACAGATGCTGAAAGATACAGTCATGAATACCAGCAAGTGAAATGACGATACTAGCGCACCCCAGCTACTTCCAATGGAGTTGCCTTCTGACGCATAGCTGTTGCCGATCACGGAGCCGACAGATGCTGAAAGAGTGTCAATGTTTATGGATCTCAACAAGTCAAAGTGATGGTGCTCGTACCCCAGCTACTTCCGACGGACTCGCCCCAAGATCCTACATACTTTTAGTACCTAATGCTAAGCACGAACGGACGCTCTGTGCTTACCCAAGCTTTCGCCGTAAGATTGCCAGTCTAGAGAACTGGTAAGCCAGCAGTTCGTTAAACAGGCTCTACAAGTAGAACTCACCGCGCTTCATCTCCGGTACGGGGGTAGGAGCCACGGCGCGACCTAGAACTGGTTCTACTGCCCAGACTGCCACCAGGGCAACTAGTGCAACGTTGAACGGAACGAGTGACTTGGCGAACATGATAGGTATATTGGGGGGGTCAAGTTTTCCGAAGGCAAGAAGATAGAGGGCAGAGAAAGTCGAAGAAACTGAACGGCTAGCGTCAGAGAGTGGGGTCACGGACAAAGTACGTAGCCTGGTGCATTAGTCTGCGATTTTATGATAGCAGCGACTGCTGCCGAGGCTGAGCGCTGCTGCTACGGTTGATGGTTGCCCGTTACAGTGCCTCCGTGCTCTGCCTGCTGTTGCCCAGTGGATTGATCATCGGGCTTAGTATACTGTGAGCGCTAAGCATACAGGCAGTGTATCTATTTTTATCACCAGCCTGATGTCATCCTTGCAGATCTTGGAAAGGAAGGCGCCGTAGGACGAGCCAAAGTTATCGTAGATCAGGTTCACTCGCAGCTCACTCGAATCTCACGTTCGCCATGCCTCGCGCCATCATTTCCCCCTCGATCCTCGCCTCAGATTTCGGTCAGCTCACCGCAGAATGCAACAGGATGATCAAGGGAGGCGCCGAATGGCTTCACATGGGTACGTTCCGCCCCTGTGTTCCCTGCAAAGATCGCCCATGATCGACGTCATATCGTATCTTCAACAGATGTCATGGACGGGCAAGTACTGGCATACACTCAGCGTAAATCCCGGTTCCTCACCAGGTTCATGTACAATCCAGCCACTTCGTCCCAAACATCACCATGGGTAGACAAATCAAATAAATTATAAACAAACTTCGTCGTTCAATGGCGTTCACAGGTGCCCCCGTCCTCTCCTGTGTTTCCAAAGGTGTGCCAGGCATCTTCATGGACTGCCATATGATGGTGGCGCAGCCCGAAAAGGTTCCTTCCTTCTGTATACTACATTGGGTCACGACATTGAAGTGCATCGACAGTGGGTCAACGACATAGCAGATGCTGGCGGCTCGCTTTACTGTTTCCACATCGAGGCCACATGTGCGCATTGCCCACAACTTCTACTTGATTTACGCTCACACCAACCTCATCACACAGCCGATGCTCTGTCTATCATCAAGTCGATACATGACAGGGGCATGAAGGCTGGCGTCGCTATCTCGCCCGACACCCCGTCGACAGCGATCACAGACGAAATTGGCGCTGCCGCCGACATGCTGCTCGTCATGACTGTATATCCTGGTACGCATAATTGATCAAACTTATCGCACTCGAGATCTCAAAGATGTGTTTCAGGCCGAGGAGGACAGAAATTCATTGAGCGCTGCGTACCCAAGGTCGCCGAGCTCCGGAAACGTTTCCCCGAGAAGGACATCGAGGTCGATGGTGGAGTGGGTCCAAAGACTATTGATGTTTGTGCCGATGCCGGTATGGTTTCATTTACCTTGATTGTGGAATCATGAGCTTTACCTGCCGTTACTTCAGGGAGTAATGTTATCGTTGCCGGCACCGCGATCTTTGGAGCAGTGAGCGCTGAAGAAGTCATCGCCAGTCTCAAAGCTACAGTCAATGCCGCTCAGGCTAAAATTATTGGTAGTTAATCTGCAGTATATGGTCCAAAATAAAGGTTTTGTACAATGTAGAAGGTAGAATATACCAATTCAAGTTATTAGAAGGTTGTATACCGAGATCATATCCCCAAAGGGGCATTCAACAGTTTCGCGTCGTCTTTATGTTGAAGCCACAATATTCACTCAGTCTTTTGCAAAGCACAAGACAGCCATGTTCCGATGTTCTTGTGCAGGATACATTCGTCAGGTATCAGTGCAAGGAATTAGAGGTAGACGTTATGTTATCACCCCCAGTAGCGAGTGCCTACGTTATTAAGTAGTTTTTCAAATAGTTCAACAAGAATCCAGTGCGAAAAGAGACAGACTAGAGGTGAGATACCCAAGCATGTACGGGTACGGAAGCAGAGGGCAAGGTCGTTCAGATCATCATGGTATAGGATGGTGAATAGGTACTGCGGCACCAGGTCTAAAATTGGGACCCCCAAGTTTCTATGTACGCACAGGATGTCGCCTTCGCCACCAGGAGATGGTATCAAGGGTCGGTCAGCTGGCTTATTGGAGAAGGCTCCGTCCAAAAATGAGGTGCGAATGGACAGCATCACCACTCGAGCCACTCGCCGTACATATTGGGACGCTCCCCACGAATGTACGATTCAAACGTGCGCTTGAGAACGGTCGCCCAATCCAAATCACGTTTGTCATCTCCAACCCGGTCCACCCAATCATCAGGGTCAGTGTCTGGGTCGGCGGCGGCCCGTGCAGCTCGTTCGCCGGCGGCAAACTTGGGTCCTAGATCTGGCCAGTTGCGCGAAGGGTCAAACGGTTTCCACCTACGCGCCAGTAGTCAGCACGAGAAATGGACACGATGATGAGAGCGTGTTACCAGAAATTATGGAAGTGATAAGAATAAGCCCCTCTGAAGAATCCTTCAAACCCGAGAGCTTGAGGCTGTGCACTGATTGTTGCCGGCGTGTCGAAGAAGTCCGCAAATCTGAAATACATCATTAGCTAACAACGCTTGCATTGAATTATGACGTTGATGCCCACTCCTGGAAGTAAGGTTGTGGTGGCCGTTCCCGCTGGTAGAGCTCCGTGTTCAGCCATGCCGAATCAAAGAGGGCATCTGGAAGCCGAAGGAGGAGGCCTTCGAGATATGAATCCTTGAGATATCGCGAGACCGTCATAGGATGGAAATCAAGACCGTTCTTGAGAGCAGTATGGAATAGGAACGTGCCCAGAGCCGAGTTCCTGTTCATCCGGAGAACAGCGGTGTTGTATTTCTCTAGACGGGACCATCTGTAGGCGAAAGCTCCCTTCCAACCCCAGAGCTCCTCCCAGTCCCGGAGGAAGATCGTGTCTGCGTCCAGATAAATACCACCAAATCTGTGGCACAAGACAAAGCGAGCCATGTCAGACAGAATAACCGACAGTCTGTCATATGACGATGAAGACTTGGATCCAGTCCGGTTGAGCATGTCATCATCGTCACCTTTCTCCGCAGTAGGTTTGGGAACATCAGCCTCAGTACCATTCGTCCCTTCCACAACTTGAATGGTCTCCGAAACTGTCTGCGACTTCTCGGCGGGTACGTCAATGACATGACCTCCAGAGTTGAATAGCGTTCCCTTGAGTTCTCGCCACTCGTCTTTAAGCTCAGGGATCCCATCAAGTTGATCAGTTGTGTTCCAAAGCTTGAACTTAATGACATCCTTGAAGCGAGGGTGAAGGAAGGGTGCTGCCCAAGGATTAGTCTTCAATCCTTCGTACATGTCGCTCACAGCCGAAGGGTTTGGCACAGCAGCGGCAGGTCCCGGGTTAATCCATAGCCAAAACTCCGGACGGCAGACGTTGTCCGTAGGGGTATCCTTCTGATGCAAACCGACATTCTGGGTGAAGAGGAAAGACAGTAAGGCCAAATAGGGTTTGTCTGTGAACGGGCCAGTCCAAAACATGTGGAAAAGTCGAGGGTGTTCCGGATCGCACGGAGTGGAAAGACTCGAGTGCGGGACGTGCGCTAAAGGGCGACGTAATTCCAGGCTCGACTCCCATTCCAGACCTTTTTTGCGGATAAGACCAGCATTCGGATCCTCGTCAGCAGATGAAGCGGGGCGAGGAGCGATGACATTTGCTAAAGATGGAGCTTGCTGGGGTTCTGTGAAATTGTCGCGTTCTTGTTCCATGTAAATGTAATGCCAGTCATCCATCTTCCCGCGTCGCAGCCTATTGCCATTGTCTAGGCCTCCGCCTACTCTGAGCACCTCGAGACAGTCCCGAACATACTGCAGGATCTCTCTCAGTTGGGTAGTTGATCAGGAAGAGGATTCATGCACACCTTATTCTGAGAGAAGTCGCAGTTATCCATGACGATGTCTAGGTCAGAGACACTACCTGGAACAGGCCGCGGGGGATATGCGACCTCTAACGAGTTTTGTACGTCAAGGTAAACGCGCCGAGGACCATCACCCCGCGTGGTTGTGACAACAGGACCGGGAGGTGGCCTGAAACGAGAAGGGATGGTGGGTGCCCGTCGAGGTGGCAAGGCAGGGTTGAGAGGGGCCGAAGTAAGACCTATTTGCTCAGGGACTGATTCCCAATGAGCATGGTGAGGGAACAGCAGGAGGGACATTACTCACTCTTGATGTTGCTGGGGTAATGGCCGCTGTCAATCTCCCACTTCCATATACGCTGGAGGTCTTCTCGGGAGAAGATGAGAGTAGAGGATTCGCCTGACGCTGAGGCCCAATCGTCACTTTCATTGCTAAAGCGCTTGGCAAAAGAGAAAAAGCCCCAGAGGGTGGCAAGGGCGATAATGAGCAAGAGAAGGGGCGCCTTTCTGCGGCCGAAGCGAGTCGCGGTGAACTGAGAAACGCGTCGGTGGTTGGGAACGTGGAGGCGAAGGTTGCGGGTGCGAACACCTGGAATAGGGACGAGAACGGGCACCGTCCAGGACATGGAGCGGGAGTGGAGGTGCATCTTCTCGTGTACTGCAGAAGAGTATGACGGAAGGGCACTGGTCATGCGAGGCTTGTCCGAGTGCCCGAAGTAATTAGACGATGCCATGCTGCTGTCGCCGTGGCGGGGCGGTGGGAGAGCAGCGCGGGGGCCGCTCGCTGTAGGGAGAGATGTGGGGATGGGTGAGCAGGAAACTGGACTGGCTGATGTTCCTGTTCTCACTTTCGAATTTGGATTCGAGTCCCGCGGGACAGCTCCCGAATCTGCGCAGCAGTTGATGTAATTGCAACATTCATTCCACGTCCTGTTAAGTACTGTGTTAACGCGCTCTCGGCCTATAATAGGCATATCATAGTACCAGTCAACGTTCAAATGTTCAAATTCGAACTCTCATAGATGCATCATGCAAACTAGTACTGTATGATCAGCTATCCGCGTCTTCGTATGTACTGCCTACTTGCAGTTCGTCAGAGGAATCCAAAACCCACGATTACTATGTGTGTATGTGTGCTAGTGTTCAATGAAGTAAAGATCGGACGGGAATCAGAAAAAACCCTAACGGATAACACGAAAAAGCAACTCCTCCCTCCCAACTGCACATATATAAAACCATACCTGCAAAGATGGAGGCACGTCGCAAGCTATTTACCAGCGCAACCACTCTCCATACATATTGGGCCGCTCACCCCGAACGTAAGCCTCAAACGTCCGCTTCAGAACTGCTGACCAGTCAAGATCTTGCTTGTCGTCATAGACTTTATCATTCCAGTCGTCGGGATCATCGTTGGGACGTGCTGCTGCACGTGCCGCTCTTGCGCTCTCGGCAAACCTGGGGCCCAAGTCTGGCCAATTTCGACTTGGATCAAACGGTTTTGACCTACAAAGTCGTTATTAGGGCGAATACCAATGTAAATCTGTTGTGCTGGACAGACCAGAAGTTATGGAAATGGTACGAAAAGGCACCCCGGAAAAATCCGTCGAAGCCCACAACTTGAGGTGCTGCACTGTCCACGGCAGGCGTATCAAAGAAGTCGCTGAACCTGGAGGAACAGTGAGTTAACTCTTTAAGTAATCCGTAGCAAGAGGCATACTCTGTGAAAAATGGCGCTGGAGGCCGATCTAATTGGTAACCCTCCGTGTTTAGCCACGCAGGGTCAAACAGAGCATCTGGGACGCGGAAGAGTAGACTCTGCAAGTGAGCGTCGTCTAGATACTTCGATATTGACATTGGATGGAAGTCCAATCCATTCTTGACAGCAGTGCGGAACAAGAACGAGCCGAGCGCCGAGTTCTTGTTCATGCGAAGAACGGCGGTGTTATAGGCATCGTGGTAGGACCACCGGTATGCAAAAGCCCCTTTCCAGCCCCAAAGCTCCTCCCAGTCTCGGAGGAAAAGAGTGTCGGCGTCAAGATAAATGCCACCAAAGCGATGACACAGTATGAACCGTACCATGTCCGATAAGATGACAGACAACCTATCATAGCTGGTCGGAGACTTGGAACCCGCACGGTTGAACATACTGTTGTCATCTCCTTCGTCATGCGCATTGTGCACTTTGCCAGCGGGCATGTTCACTACGTATCCACCAGACTTGAACAGACTGCCCATGTTACGCCATTCGTGCCGCAACTCAGGAACAGCATCTAATTGCTCGGTGGTGTTCCAAAGTTTGAACTTGATAACATCGTTGAAGCGAGGGTGTAGGAACAGAGTAGACCATGGATTCGACTTCAGCGAAGCATACATGTCATCGACCGCAGTAGGATTCGGCACAGATGCCGCAGGTCCTGGGTTGATCCATAACCAGACTTGGGGTCGACATACAGATGTTGACTCTTCAACGTTGAGGTGAAGATCAAGCCGCTGGGTGAAAAGGAAAGAAAGAAGGGAAGCGTATGGCTTCTCTGTAAACGGACCAGCCCAGAACATGTGGAATATGCGAGGATTCTCGGGGTCACAGGTGTTTGACAAAGACTTCGGAACCTGAGGAGGTGAGAGATCAAGAAGCGGTTCCCATGCAGCACCGCGTTTCTTCACCAGTCCAGCATTCGAGATCGGTTCTCCGGTGGGGAACAGTCGCGATCCTTTGAGAGCAGTGGGCGTGCTGGGCGTTGGAGGAGGAGCGGCCAAGGTGTCGGTCTCGTGAAATACATAGCTCCATTCGTCTGGAATGCCCTTTCTAACTCTACGTCCATTGTCTAAATTCGCACCCAAACGAAGGAACTCCAGGCAATCTCGAACATACTGAACGTAGGAGATAATTAGCAACGTCAAAGATACTCAATTTGTGCAATCACCTTGCCATCATTAGGAGCAAAATTACATTGCTCTAGTATAATGTCTAAATCGGCGGTGCTCCCTGGTAGTGGACGAGGAGGGTATGCGATGTCCATGGGAGTATCTGCCTGGGGTATACGGTAAATCCGTTGAGGGCCATAACCGCGAGCCTGTGTAATGGCCGGATCGGATGGAGGAGTGAAGGGTGAAACGAGGGTGTGTGCCCTTGCGGGGGGTACGGCGGGATTGAAGAGGGTCGACGTGAAGCCTAAGCGTTCTGGGACTGGAGAGGGGTTAGACTGTTAGCCAGGGGAGCACCTGGGGAAGACACACTCTTTGCAATACTAGGATAATGACCACTCTCAATCTCCCACTTCCAGATTCGCTGCAGGTTTTCTCTCCCAAAGATAAGGGTGGAATCGCGGAAAGATGGTGCCCAGTGTGTTTCTTCGGCGCCGAAAAGGGCAACAACAAGGAGGACGGCGAACAACCCTGCAACAAAAGCAATACAGCGGCAGACGAGGCTGCGTCTGCGGCGCAGAGAAGATATGTGGAGTGGGGGCAAGCGGGAGGGGCTGGATGCGCGGCGGAGACGGGGACGACGGGGACGAGAGGGCGGGAAGGAGACGGACACGGGAAGCCAGGAGGGCGACTGGCGCATGTCTCCGCGAGGGGGAGTGGCGGACAGAGGCAGGTGCTGTGATGCGCGACTCGAAGCACGATTGCGCGACCAGGGGACGGCGGATGGAAGGAAGGGGAGCATGCTGGCCGGCATCAGCAAGGTAAGGAAGGAAACACTCGAGGCAGAATCGAGTTCTCGGACGGAAAGGAAGGAAAACGGTGCGTTCAGCCTCAAATGTGCGTTAGAACGCCGTCAGCGGGAAAATGGACTCAACTACTTACTTTAGAACATATGAGAGGTGATTAGAATTTAGCGTTCCTCTTCCACTTCACACCGTCTATGATATTATCCCCATCTCCCACGGTTTACATGTGCTTCACGAGGCTCCACGCGCACTCACACTACGCGTCCAATTTCAGATTGACATGTCATCTTATCTTTCTATAACATTACAGTACCGCAATGCGCTTGTATACATGGAGAACTTCTTTTCCCAGCAAGTAATGTACCTCAGCATCTCAGAAAACGTACAAAGTACAAGTGTCTATGGTCCATCCTCATCATCTAATTCGCACCCAGGGGCTGCAGCTCGAAGTCCGCCGGATCAGTCGGAACGGACAGAATCCGAAGCGTGTTGGTGTGTCCGAGGCCGCCTTTCCACCCTTGCACCGCGATGATCGTACCACCAGTCTTGATGATGTTCAAGGCAAGCGCGTTCTTCAGACCGAATCTAATGCGGTTGTCGACCTATAGATAGGGGGAGTGAGAAAGGACGTTTGTCTGACGGCGTTTGCGCTTACATCTCTCTGCCACTGACTCTCGGGGATGCCTCGAGGCTCAGGATACCAGAAGGGGTAGCATCCGCGGTGGAGATGGATCTGACGGGCGGTCTGCTCGTTGCGAGTAACTAAAAGGTAGACGTATGAGTCACAAACTCGTAAAGTGGCGGACATGCGTACCAGTGAGGATGGGAACACGGGGACGGTATTTAGAAATCAGACGAGCGGTGTTGCCACTGGTAGACAGCACAAGGATCGCACTGGCATTCTGCTCGCTGGCTGCAGCAACTGCCGCAATCGCAATAGTCTCAGTGGTCTCAGTGGGACCAGGCTGGATTGCACGAAGCTCGTCGTATAACGGAGGATAGCAGATCGCCGACTCGGCGAGAAGGCAAGTCTCAGCCATCATCAGGACTTTAAAGAGATTCATGATAAGCTTAGGTTAATCACGTATGGTAAGGAAACATACCAGACTCCACGGGGTAGGATCCCTTTGCAGTCTCGCCGGACAACATGACACAGTCTGCACCGTCAAGAACGGCGTTTGCAACGTCGCTGACTTCGGCGCGGGTAGGGCGAGGGTTGTACTACGAAAGATCAATAATATATCCAAATGTCCTCGAAGGCCACGACTTACGGTCATGGACTAGAAGAATGGCAGGTTATTATAACGAACAGTAACTCCAAGAGTTTGTTCTACGCACCTCAAGCATCTGGGTTGCAACGATAACGGGTTTGCCCGCAATGTTGCACTTGGCAATCATCATCTTTTGTGCAAGGAACACTTGGCTAGCAGGGATCTCAATACCAAGGTCACCACGTGCGACCATGACACCGTCCGTCTCCTTCAAGATCTCATCAAAGTTCTCAACACCTTGCTCATTTTCAATCTTGACAATGATCTTGATGTTGGCGCCGTCAGGCCCAAGAACTTGACGGATATCCGTAACATCTTGACCCCTACGGATGAACGATGCGAAAATCATGTCGACGCCGTTCTTGACACCGAACTGAAGGTCTCGCTTGTCCTTCTCAGACAATGCGGGAAGATCAACATCGGTCTTAGGCAAGTTCACACCCTTGCGAGACGACAAGGTGCCGTTATTCAGGGCACGAACGCGCACAGTGTTGCCATCAATAGACAACACCAAAAGTGACAAGATACCTGCAATCTCGTTGGTTTCTGTGAAAGACCAGCAATTCCTTAATCATACGTACCGTCATCAATGAAAATGAGCTTTCCAGGTGCGGTGACCTTCGGCAGGTTTTGCTGAAAGGTGCGGATATGAGCCGAGTTCGCATGGTTTCACTGAAGCTCACGTACATAGTCCAACCACAGAATCTGGTCATCGCAAATCTCGCTGTATTTGACATCGGTAGAGATTGTGAATTCGTGACCAGCCTTGATAGGGATCTGTGGAAGGTTCAGTAAACATAATGCGGCCTCTGCAAAGTGGCATAGCATACATCTTTGCTGTCCCGCATGACACCAGTCCGGATCTCAGGACCTTTCTATTCCCAGAATCAGCATACAACGATGGTCGGAAAAGGAGCCTATGGAACGCACTGTGTCCAGAGCAATCGCGACTGGACGCCCTTGTGGGTTGGCTGCAAGAGTAATCACGTCAGCATGCTCACAAAATAAGAGCCAAAAAGTAAATACCTGCAACCATTTTTCTTGTGTTGTCGATGACACTTTGGTGGTACTCGTACGATCCATGGGAGAAATTCATGCGGACTAAAGATCGGTGATAAGGGCTAAATTTGTAGGACATACGAGGGCGCTTACCGACGTTAACGCCCGCGCGCCTCAACTCGCCAAGTTTTTCGACATTGTTGGTGTTGGGACCTAAACGATGTCGGATCAGAGATGCGAGACAGGCGAAATGAACCCAGTTACCCACCAATAGTGGCAATGATAGCGGTCTGCGCAAGCAGTGAGCGAGATGATCAGCATGGAGGGAATTGACGCTCACCTTGCGGAGGAACTTAGTGTCAGCAGTGGGCTGGGGCGCACTGGCGACGCTCAGAGTGGAGTTCCACTCAAGTTGAGAGCGGATGTTGTCGTAGGGAAACATGCGTTACTTTGACGGGAGGATGGTGCTAGGATCGGAGTGAAAAACGTCCAAGAGATGAGCGACATAATAAAGGGGGAGCCGGCAGCCGGGAGCAGAAGACAAAATCGGCATCGGATATAGAAAGGGTGAAATATGGGTTATCGATGTTCTTACAGTTTGACAAGCCGGCGAATATACTTACCCAATGAGCGGACGTAGAGGTTGAGAGCAAGGGACGTCTGCCAGCGGATAGGCGGTGTTAACACTGTGTAAACCTTTGTCCTTGTATATAGCCAAATCATTTCAAAGAGGGAAAAGCCCAGATCTTCGAATTCCTTTCTTCAGAACGGTTGCATCGCGGTCACAGCCTATTTACAGCAATCTCTTTGGCCGCCGCACGCGTTCGAGCGCTCACGTTAACTTCTCCCCATTCTCGGCGACTGTCCTTGCCACATGCAATGATGTGAAACCAGCGTCCACTATCTATACCCCTAGCCAACGTACAAGGCAAACTAGATGGACGGTCGTATTGGAGAATCGAAGGAAAACCCATCACAGCGAAAACATTCAGATTACATACAAAACACGAGCCAAGTCGGTTCGCGATCGATAGCACATATCAGCCAAAAATGAAACATATAATATTTACTTTGTTACATCACCCTCAGTGTCCATCCATGCATGTTTCCATCAGCTTGGGCCGCCGCCTGCGCAGCCGCCAGCCAGTTGGTGTCTATCCCTGTCCCAGGGGGTGGAGGGGCTGCCCCGCCAGTCATGCTTGCGAGATCCATAGACTCGAACATGTTCTCACATGTGATCGTCCGGCCAGAGTGGTACCCTACCCCATCGGAAGCTCGGATAAATAGCAATGGCAAGCTGCGACCTGAAATGGGGGGAGGAGGCGTAGGATGAGAGGGAGGGTTTTCGCTAGCCTCAGCCCCTTCTGTTTGACCCCTGGGAGAGGAACGACCGTTTGCTGCTGGCTGCACCTGAATGTCACTGATATCAGGACCATTAGAGGGGCCTACGCCAGGTGGAGGTAAAGCGTCCTCCTGAAGGGCTTTGATCACGTCCGGAATGGGAGGAAGTTCAACCATCACGATAGTATGCAAAGGAGGCGCAACGAATCGAGGAGCAGCAGAAGGCCCTGATGGCGAAGTTGCCCCACCTGCAGAAGTAGAGTCGTCCGACCCAACGGGCAAGGGAGATGGCCCAGTGAGCGGCTGTACGTAAGGGGAGACTGTAGTAAGCGGACCTGGAGGAGCAGCCTGATACACGCGTGAATGTAAAGGGCCGATATTGCCCAAGTAAACGGTCAGGGGCATCTGCGTTCTAGTCTTGGGGTCCTCGTAAAAGAAGTGTGACACGGTCATTTCGATGGTATTCGTCGAGGCACGGTATATTGGGGAGGCGAACAAAGTTGGGAACGGGGTGATCGGCGAAGGGGGGATAGAGTTGTTCTGCCCGAAAGCGTCAAAGAAAGTATACTGGAATTTAGCTGCACAACTCATGTTAGCATGAATCAAGATGGGTCTAGGCATTGCACTTACATATACCGACAATTGTCCAGCATAAATAATCATCGACTTCGTCGACAAAAACCGGAGTGTCATCTTTAGTTTCCTCTCGGATTCGAGGAGACTGGAATATCAGAGGGTGGGTTCCACCCTGTGAAGCTATCCCTTGCGAAGAAGGCGAGACAACATTCGGAGTGCCAGGAATCGGACCCTGAGCCGACAAGTAATGATGGGAACCATCTGGATTGACGCGCTGAAGGGCAATTTTCTGCATCTGACTAACGGGGCCACCATCGTCGTTTGAAACACGCCCTTTGTCAACTTTACGAATGACAAGTGGTCCTGTAGCAATGTTTGACATAGTATCCGACAGCACGACTTGACATCCATAAGTTACAGGCTGAGGACCAGCTGCGGCCATGAATCTGAGTACTTTTGGCAAACTGACGGACAAGGACACGTACAGTGCGGAGGAGCGTCGTCTGGACGATGCACAACGTTGACGTTGAAAGCGGACCACGACGTATTGCTGGCACACAGTTGCCCAGCATCGATGGTCATATATTTCGTGCGAACGGTCTGTGAGTTGATGCGGTTAAAAAGAGACACAGGTCCTCCAGCCAATATGCAAGAAGAGATGTTTCTAGTTTTAGCAGTCTTCTTGGAAGGCTTTGATATGATAGTCACAGGGGCAGAATCAAAAGTAGCCCAAACGCGTCCTGCAGACGTAGTATCACCGCCCTCCGTGGTGGCAGGATCTGCTATGTCAAGGGAGAGCTGGAAACTCTTTGCCTTCGCGGTGCCGGTCACATGGAGGAACTTGAAGCTGCCCGTCATATTGTTGTCCAGCGAAGTCTTTTGGTCGAAAGAACGCTCCCCTTGCTCAGACACGACGGACATGGAAAGCTGCTGCGAGCGCATCTGCCAGACAGGGCCTTGAATGTGGACGACGGGCGGAGGGCAGAGGAAACGTTTCTCTGAGCCATAAGACTTCTGGGCTACTGCAGCGTGAAGGCACATGACGGTGGTCATTGGAACGACGCGCGCGGGGTCTTGGGAGACGTGTTCGCGTACGGTCTTGCGAATCTTCGGGTGAGGGTCATCCTGATCCGGTTCGTCGAGCTTGCGTTTGCTGTTCTTGCTCGAGTTGGGATTAGACGCGCTTGCGGTAGAGGCCGTGTTCGCGTCTGCGCTCGTGTTCGGGTTCGACGCAGCTGTCGGATTGGGGTTCGGCTGGGCAGAGTGAGAGGAGGGTATATGGGAGGGGCAGAAGCGCACCTGAATGGGGAGCGGGGGAGTCTGTTGAGCGTTGGCGGAGGAAGTCATAGGCGACCACGGGTGAATATGATCGTGGTCCTTGGTGGACGCGAGAATGGAGTGCAAGGACGCGCTCGGATCTGGTGAGGGGGCAACCTGCGGGTGCTGGGGCGAAAGGACGTGCTGTGGGTGGGTGTCCGTGTCGGAGAGCATGGCGGAGGAGAAGGGATGGAATGTCCTCATGATGAGGCCCAGGAGGACTTGCTTGTGGGAAATGCAAGGTGGGAAAAACAGTTGGGTGTGAGAGACGTGAGAACAGGCCGTGTGAGCTTTGTATTTATAAGTCACTTGCGCCTGGGACCCCGCTCAACACTCTACGGGGGCCAGCGGCAACCGCCAAAGGTTCGTCCCCAGACACCCCCATGCTCGCCGCCCGCCGTTGTCGCAGCGCGAGAAACAATGACTCCTCGTCTACAGCACTTCCCTCCGCGTAAGGCGACACAAGCAGCTCGTCGTCCGCGCCCTCGTCCATCCTGAATATCTCCCGATCTGCAAAATCAATCATCAATCAGCATCTTTTGATTGGTCGTCCCGCCACAGAACCAACTCAGTCGCAGAATGCCCAGTTTGTCCTCTCCCAAGATAGCTTGCTCCGAGTCTTCCGCTGTTACCTCTCCTTCTGCCTCCGCCTCACTGTATTTCCCTCCCCATCGAAATATACCGGGGAAGAAGCCTCCTAGGCTGAACGCGTCCTGATCTTCCTCGTTCAAGCCTTCCTTCGGCCTCCGTTGCGTCTTGGCCGACGTATGTCCACTCTGCTGGACATCAGCCGTCGACTTGGCCCGAGGCAGGGCTGCCCGCCTCTTTCTCTGCTCCTCGTCCAAGCCATTCGGTACAGTCACTGAGCGGCGCATCTTGGAGGTTCTTAGTGAAACCTTAGGGGACGTCTTCTTTCGCCTTCACTGCAACTCTCCTGCTTTACATACATTCGTACGCTCACACGCCCTATTTCCTATTTGCGGAACGCAACCCCAAACATTCTCTAGCATCCCCAAAGCTTTAAGCTTTAAGCATGGAATGAGGTGGATGGCAATAGTAACTAGATTCGTGGCCTTGCGGCAATGCATTATATAATATTAGGAAGAAGGATTGTATGTACGAGATGTCGTATAACCGCCAATGATACCACCATGCAAGAATTGAAAGGTAATCCAAGTGTTTACGTATCGTTCAGTCCAATGAAGTCCGTTCAAGTCCATCCGTGTACGTAGCGAAAGATCTGAAAGGAGGGAAGGCAATGGTGCCTCAGCCATTCCATAGCTGATCATGCGAGATCGTCTGACCTCGTCGAACCTGTAGACTAACCCTCACCAGGCAAGGGTCAATTACCGGGGCTTCGCGTCCCGGGCCTTGTGGAACGTTCGGCCTGCGCTCCTGTCCCCGTGTCTTGCTGCCGCCGTTGCCAATCCTCTACCCGCAATACGGATTGTCGCTTAGAAGAGGAACCGTTAGCTGCAATAGCAGCAAGCTTATCGGCACTAAGCGAAGTACGATGACCTTTCTCCAGGTCAACCAAGGTCGACCCTCGATTCAATACGTCGCCAGATTGGCGTCTGGTCTTGTCGTCCTTAGCAAGCTGAGCAGCTTTCTCTGCGTGTCGCTTGTTGACTTGCTGCTTCTCGATAGCCCGGGATCGCTCCCACCGACTCTTGGCATCTTCCAATTTCGCATGGTCCTGCTCAAGCTGCGTGACTGGCGCCTGCATGTCTCTCATCTTCTCACGATGACGAGCTTCCATCTCCTCCACAGTGGCAACTCGCTGAGGTTCTGCTTTCCTGGGGACTGGAGCCATGATTCCCGAATCACCCCGCGGCATAATGTATGGAACATTGGTGGGAGGGTCAGGGGACGGAGTGCGCTTTGCATACTTGGGGCGTGGAAGGATCACAGGAACATTAGTGGCCGGATTGTCAAGCGAAATCTGACCCGTAGGAGACGCTGATGGTTGGAGGGCTTGAGGAATATTGCTCAGATGCTTGCTATTCCTCCTTCGACCACTTCCGTGGGCCCCAGAAAGACGGAGACCGCCGATAGGCACGTCATCATCGGATGTATCCTTCGGATTTGAGTCGCTACCACCAATGTCTTTCATTTCGAAGGTACTCTCCCGGCGCTTGCGTTGAGCAACGGCGTCTGCGACTGCTGCAGACATCGGTATACGCGATGAAGGAATGCGGTTCATAGGCGTCGTAGATATGGGGACACTAGTGCCGGCAGGAGGCTGGAGGAGCTTGCGATCATGAGTGTAGGAGTCCCAATCTTCGTCTTTCAGAGGTACACTTGTTGGTCGACCGATGGATGCACCAAGCGGTGGTGCATCAACTTGGGCACCAAGCTCCATAGATTGTATCCGACTGCGGGGTGCCTGCTGTCTGGGCGGCCGAGCATGGGGTCGTGGCGCGGTGACGTTGTCGAGATCATAGCTCAGGGTCCGGCGAGAAGTAAGAGATATGGCGCGCGACCGTGAATCACTGGAAGATTCCACACCAGGAGTCTCCGACCGAAGGAAATCGATTGAACGCCTGAGTGTATCAATTTCTGCTCTTAGTCCGTCTGCTTTTGCTCTGTCTTCCGCAGATAACTCTGGTCCGTCTTTGTCTTTTCCGTCATCTGGTGCAATGAAACTCGAAGGGACATCGTCCTTGATCCCCAGCCCAAGATCCAACGCCGGCAGAACACCTTGAGATTTTGGATACTTGGAAGCAGCCCGTTTGTTCAGTTCATCGTCGTCGGGGGGAGCTGCCATCAAGTCAGAGACACCGGACTGATAACGCGGACGGCGATCGCCAATAAGCGTTCCGTCATTGGAATCTGTGGTGGGGAAGTCCTTCATTAATGGCGTGCCTGACCAGCCGCTTTCGCGACGACCATGCCTGTCAAGGGTTGGATGATCGCGTTCCCATTCTTCCCGCTCTTTGTCCAGCTCAGCCAACCGATCTGAAGCACCCAACTCAGCCTCTTCGTCGCGGCGCTTTTGCTCCTCCGTTATCTCTTTCAGTTTGCGTTGAAGGACACGAAGGATACGCAGCTGAACGGCTCCTCCCATGAGGGCAATTGCACCAATGAGACCCAATTCGATCATCATAGTCTGCGAGACGGGGAAGCGGATGCCATTTTGAGAATACTTGGGGAACATATCGACAAATCCGAGGTTCCATATGTAGAACTGGTGCGTATTGGTTGTCAGGCATGTGTGCATGCAAAATACTCAGATCCGCACCTCTTTCAAGCCTGCTGTTGTGTAACAATCAATACCGAGGATGAATGCTGAGGAACCAACGGCCGCAGTCGAGACAAGTAGCATCTGCCAATGCAGTCTAGGGAATGAGCACAAGACAAACCCCACGACCCCACACCCTAACAAAAGTGTCAGCATCGTAGACCGCTGTACAAGGCAGATCGTGTACCAATATAAAGGATCCACCGAAGGCCAACAGAGGTGATCAAGCCACCATTCCTGAAGCACTGAATCCACAATCCCACTGCAAACCCACCCCAAGCTCCTATAAAATACTTGGTTCCCCTCCAAAAGAAAATGGTGATGCCTCCTCCAACAATGCCAGCAATCGCCGATGCGAGCACGAACATGCCCTGAAGGGTGTTGTTGGGCGGGTTGAGTGCCGGAAGGATACCAAATTTGATGATGAGGACGAAACAGACGAGTGCTAAGGTGTAGAAACCGATGAGAAAGAATGAAGTCCTGTGATTGCGAGGTCAACAGGGGAAGTACTGACAAACATTAAGGAAGGTTTACCATCTATTTTTGTGACCCCAGAAAGCGCTGGGAAGGCCAGTAAGAATAAGGATGGCTCCTAGTACACCAAATGCCGGGGTGATTCGAGTATCAAGAACAATAGGAGTCGGGGTCGTAGACGCGGTGGTAGAGGTGGGAGATGACAGAGTGCTCGTAGCGTTGTACACTGATTGAATAACTGTGGTAGCAACTGGAACTTGAGTGTTCCCCGAATTTGATTCAACGATGCTGGTGTACGAGGTAGTAGCGATAATCGTAATCAGAGAGGCTGTCGAAGATGCGGAGTTGTTGGACTGGGTGGAACTCTGAGCGGATACATATTGAAAGATGCATGAGAGGAGACAAAACAAGAGGGCAGTCCGGCAAAAGACGGCAGCCGGGGATGAGCCCGGCATTGAAGGAGGAAAGGAGAGGGACGGGAAGGAGAGGGAGGGAGAGGGAGAGGAAGGTGAAGCGTAATAATAAGCCGACACGAACTCGACGCATTCGCTGGCTGGCCAACAGTGGTCAACCGGGTCAGCCACTGCTCGGGTAAATTCTGCCCGCGTAAGACCATAGCTATTTATGACGCGCTCCAACATATGTGTGGGCAACCTCGAGGACAACCTTTCCCTCGATTCCTTCCACGCTTGTTCTGTTGCTCTCACCTTGCTCTCCCCTTGATAGGAGTCTGTCTCGGCGCGCAGCAGTACTCACAGGACAGATTTCTCTCTGCTGAACACGTTTATTATATTTCTGCGACATTCCTGCTGGAGTAGCATGCCTATCAATGGCCCGGGGCCGTCGCCAGCGGAGGCATTCTCAAGTCATGCATCACAGCATCATACCACTAGTTGAGACGCAACCAGGCAAACAAACGGACTCCCAGCCGACATTTTCTACCAAGTATTTGAAGCTTGAGCTTGAACGGCAAAGTTAAGGCGCGCTGTCAGCCTGGAAGTTGTTCACATGCATCGGGCTGGGATTCCCCGCCGAGGGAACTCGAGATGATCATTTGCGTGGCAATGTGGCATACGCGCACGCAAGCGTTAGCGTGTAATCAGGCAGTACCCAACATAAGGCCTAAGGCATGCGGCCCGTATATATGGATGGGCTGCAACCTTCTGATCAGCTTGCTCAGATCTAAGATCAGCCTCAGGTAAGGTTAACAAGCCCTGCAATAACCTGCAATTTATCGTACTCAGGTCACCACGGCCCTCCCCTCCTGACTTGCATCCCGCAAAACCTATGTCTGTTGCATCAACAGGGCTTGTAGCGCCAAGTGTACTGGCGTAGTTACACTGCGATACCCGCACCGGTACCTAGTCCGATCGAGATACGTGCACCAGCACTGGGTCTATTTATGTAGCCGACGACAGAAAAGCTGCGTACATTAGTTTCATGTTAGTTATGGTATATCTTCAGTGGTCCTTGGGCTAAGATGTGCCGATGCTTCTTAAGCTAGTCCGGCTCAATCAAAGCGCTCCAGCTTTGCAGGGATTATCTTGATGGACTTCAGCATCCTCTTCATTTTGGCTGCCTCGTCATTCACTGGTGTCTTGTCGTCTATCGGTTCCTCGCCTTGTTCCAAAACAGTGATGACCTTGCCTTTCTGGCCGAAACGCCCCACCCGCCCGCCAAGGTGCAAATATGTGTCGCTTCGAGGTTCCGCAGGCAAGCCCAGTATGAAAACGTGGCTGAGTGAGGGAAAGTCGATCCCGCGGGTAGTTGCCACAGTCGACACCAGCAATGTAGGCTCCGAGTGGAAGCCCTCGCTACCTTCTGCAAGCCTCGACGAGAACTGTTCGTCTTTTAGTAGATCGAGACCGAAGGCATTGACGCCTAGTGCGCGTAAGTCCAGAATTGCACGGTCTACTGAGCCATCGGAGGGCAAGATGAGGAGGGCCCTCTGAGGAACGTCCATCGCGAAAGTTACGGCGATACATTCTAGCAAGTGAGGTTTATATGTTGGTGGTCGATCAATGAGCTCTGCAGTGCCAAGGTCAGAGAGACAAAGAAAGACATTTTTGTGCCGCTCACTTTTGTGTGATGTATCTGAGAACTCCAACTCATGTTCATCCTCATCGAATGGCATGTCGTCAGCGTCTGGATCCACAATTGGTTCATCAAGTACCGAGGAATTGTCCACATCCAAAGTAACAGACCCTGGCACGTTGGTAGCCGTCCCATCTTGTCTTACGAGCAGAACGTGATGTGTAACATCGGGATTGAACCCGTACCCAGGGCGAGGGTTGACCCTCTGGTGATTCTTAGATAGTTTGGTGGTCTTGCCGCGCCTGAACCAGCCAAATGCACCAAAGAATGCAGTTTTGAGCCTGTTGCGCATCGTTGCACTGATGACAACAAGTTGGGGACGTTGTGCGGGCGCAAGTCCTTTTTTAAGAAGACTCTTGCGAATTTCTCGAGGTCCCTCGCGTGGAGTGTACATAGTGTCCAAGAGCACTTTGAGAGGCCCGGGTCTGCGATCTATCTTCTGTAGGAGTTTGCTATATTTGTGCTTATTCTTTTTTGATGGGACCCAATCTAACATGTAATCAACCTCGTCTGCCACAACGGCGGATAGGGTTGATAGCCGCAAGAGAGCAGGCTGTGAGTGCAAGACGTCGACGAGTGCTGTGGCGGTGCCAATAAGAATGTGGGGAGGCGTCTCGGCCAGTTTATTCATGCTTTCGGTTTGAGGAGTTAGAATGCAATCAACCACTTCGGGAGATTGAGCTAGTTCCCCAGCGCTGCGATTGCCTCGAACAAGAACTTGTGCAATGCGATCCAGTGAGGCGGGAGGAGTCGTACGCGATACAAAACGATGAATCCACCGAAGGTATTGAATCGCTAGGTCACGATGTGGTACAATGACCAGCGTCGTGATACACCGTTCAGAGTGTTCTGCTCCATCTTTTCGCTCAACCTTGACTCTCCGTGATTTACTTAGGAGACCAAGCATCAAAGCGAATGACCTACGGAGAGAAATCAGTGAGAAACTGTTGAAAGATAGAGCAGTACTCACTTTCCAGTCCCAGTGAAGTCTTGGTACATAATGTCTTCATTATTTAGCAGAGATGTTATAAACTTTCTTTGCATGTTGCTGGGGAGTCGAATATCTGGGTATGCCGCATGAAGAGCCTTCACCACGGGTATTGGAAGGCCAATAGTTTCGAAGGACGGTTTTTCAAGTGCGATGTCTTGCTGCGGAGAATCTCGCGAAGAAAGGTTCGGTGACGAGTTTTCTGAGGCACTATGGCTCATATATTGACTGAGGGCTCGTTTCGAGCATGTTGGAACGATTGTGCCCAATGTTAAGCGCGTAGAAGTGGTGAGGAGAAACATGGACGTCCCGGCAAAACAGACGCGTCTCGCGACCGCGCGTCGTGACAATCACATATAATATATAAGGAGCTATACAAAGTCCGGTCCGATACCGATCCCGCCGAATGTACGTAAACACATACAAGGGCAGACTCCTAACCAGTCGGTCAGACGGGGTTAAAAGCATTGTAATCGCAAAGATTCAAAGCTCCAGGATTTGTGGCATCGGTTGCGTGCCATTACTACACAAGGATAGGCCGCCAACGCTAGCGAAGAAAATGAGGGGAAGGACAAAGAGACGATGAGCAAACGGCGGGCAAAACCAAGCGTTTGGTTGCTAAGCTTCAACTGCTTAATGTTGAAGATACTTAACGAAAGGGGAAATGGTGTTACAAGATCATCAAGGGCTGTATTGACAATTGGAAGTTAAGATACAAAGAAGTAATGCAATCGGGATAGTGGATGCTCCAAACTACGCTAGTGAGGATGGAAAGCAAGTTATAAACACTGAGAAGAAATCTTATCGTTCGCTCATCCCGCATCGCAAAGGACACAAGCCCCTCATTATCAGGATCGCTCCGCAGTGATATGGGGAGCACATTGTACACGATTATGGTGAGGATGATGTATTATCTTCCTCTGCCATGTGACGTTCACCATCCATCCTCGTGAGTTCCTATTCGTCGGTGTCTTGAATGGGCTGGTAGGAACTCCTGTCGTTGCGATAAAGTAGCCTGCTGACCCAACCACGTTCCGAGGGTGCCTTGACTTTAGGTTGTGGCGTAGAACCAGTTGACTGACGGTCGACAGATCGAGCATTTGACATCAGCGAAGCCCGTTCAGATTCGTAGTCTAATCTCTCCTCTGTGGATAGTCAGAAACAGGTTGAGCAATGTATATTTTGACCCTTACCTTCGCCAAATACAGCGTCCATCTCCTCCAATGGAACCCCTTTGGTTTCGGGATAGACTAGGAAAATGCTTTAGCGGGAACAAGGCAATACAAGCTGTTTACTCACGGAAGTACACTAAGGGCAAACATTATCAGTAAGTGATCATCGATGCCATGAGAATAATTACCCAAGATGAAGCTACAGGTGCAGTAGAAGGCATGCATGGGATACAAACGCCAAGTGATTACTTCCTGAAGGTAAGGCGTGGTTTCACCAACTATAAAGTTGAAAGCCCTAAACACGAAACTCAGCACTTGTCATTGAAAAGGGGGTATCCTTCGCACCAGTTCGTTGCTGTGGAGATTGAGACACCCTTAGCACGGAAGCTCAAAGGCATAATCTGCGATAGGGTGAAAACAGATTCTTCGCCCGTCTAATTGGATTTACCTCAGGGGGATACAGCCATGGGATAGGACCCCAACTGTAACCAAAGCCAGCGTTGAAGATGATGACACAGGCAACAACGGCTTTCGGAGTGGCTGGGACGTCGATGTACATCCACCAACCAGTAAATGCCAGAGACACGCCCATCTACCGGAGTGGTTAGAGTGTACCATGAGCAAAATAAGAGGCTTACGACAACAGCGCCTGATAGCAGGATGAAACGTCTGCCCCATCGGTCTACGAGGTACCATCTATGTCATCCCGTCAGCGCCATGAAATAGAATTCGCTTCGATTAACGTACGGCGGGACTGTGCTCAGAAGATAAACAATCGAATTGATACCTGTCATCAGAATGGCATCTCGGCCAAGCCAACCGGCCTCTGCACATCATATGAGGAAGTGTTTACAAAATTTGGGATTGAAAGTACCTTCAAACACCGACGCTGTTACGGAGATGCATTAGTGGATGGCGCATAAGGGATCCATACACGACTTACGTGCATAGTAAGATATGACTAGCAAAGGCTATCAGCAGACTGCGCTTCAGATTCTTTCAAAAATATGTCGCCTACCATTGATACCATTCTACATGACATTTTAGTGAGAAATCTTATTGTTGGCAATTGTAATAGGCACCCACCAGCTGAGCAAAGGCTTGAGATGACATAGCGAGGAGGACCCTTCTCTTGTATTTCCTCCACATCACGCCATAGCCACGCCCTTCACCGGCTTCACGCTATAATCCAGTTAAAGTAGGATATGTATGCTAAAATATCTTGACACACCTCCAACATGACACCGTCTTTGATTTCCTGAAATTCAGCTTGTGCCAAAAGGTTAGTCGGATCGCCTCCATGCAAGTCAACAATGACTCTCATCCCGGCAGCGTCGTTGTCGGTGTCGACAAGCCACCTAATTCGCATGAAGCAAGCTTAGTTGACAAAGTAAACGAGATAACTTACCTTGGACTCTCCGGCATAACCAAGCTTCCACCCGCCAGGATAGCTCCGATCACACACTGCATTAGCAGGGGTATACGCCACGACAGATCCGACTTGATATAAGAGCAGAAGTAGTCTACCCACTGGCCAACCAGTCAAGTGTTTGCCAACCAAGCGGGGGATTCCTACTTACCACAGAGGAAGCATAGCCCGCAATATTGCCGGTAAATTCCATACATGCTAGCGCGCCTCTCTGCAGGCTGCCGTGAGTATCAAGCAAAACGGAAAGAATATTAACGTACATGATTGGGAGGGGAAATTTCACTCTGGTATATGGGGACGATCGTGCTGAAAGCTCTTTCCAGTAACCATCACTGTGAACACAGGGTAAAGACTTACGAGAGCAACCCGACACCAAGTCCACTGACAATACGACCAACTATCATGACGTAAAATCCGGTAGTGAAAGATTGGATAGCACCCCCAATGGTGAACACCAGAGCACCAGTGAAGAGAGTGCCTTTCCGACCAATGACATCGCCCACCCGTCCGGCAGCGATGGATGTGGCTAGTACTCGTCAGCGTGCTGGCCGTTTAGAGCATTGATATTTTCACCTAAGGCGCCAAGTTCCAGCACGGCGACCATGGTTCCAACCTCTATGGAGCCTGGGTTATTAAAGTAGCTCTTAAAATACGGACCCGTGATGATGCCCGACATAACTCTGCAAGGGATGTCAGTTACCAGAAAGTTATGCCCGAATTTGCAGTACCCTTGGTCATATCCAAACTGGCAGTGAACGAGCGATGAACATCGTCAGTGACAAAAGGCGGTGTGGAGCAAGGATACCCACGAGAAAGACCCCCAGACTGGCGAAGACGGAGATGGCATAAAGCAGGGGCTGACCGACGAGCCTGTACCGAGAGCGGGGAGGGGCGACGTCCATAATGCATTGACCAGAGATGGTGGTCAGGGAGAGGAAGATTGACAAGGACTAGAGCCGAGCAAGAGAGTCGTTGCCGACAGTCAAACGGCGTTCGCTCCACTGTATGGCATTATTATTTCGTTATTATGTGACCGTGACAACGATTTCATATGCTCGTTGCTCAAGTCAAGTTTACTACTAGTACTATAGTACTAAGCGCTCAGCTCAGAACTGAAACTTGCTTCAAGTGTCCAGCTGCCTGGCATAGACGACCGAAGTCCAAGCATCCTCGAGCTTATGCATGACTGTTGCCTTGAACCTGTCCTTTACGGGCAAGCCCAAAGGGCCTCGAGGTCGTTGTTGGTTGGCTCTGGATCTGAACTCTCAAGTGATTACTTACTCCACCGGTCTGAGTGTTTGATCTGTGATGCTGTGACTGATCTGGGGTGCAAGCGACGGCGGCTGTTGCCGTTCCCCTTTGCAGCGCGCCAAGTCTGACAGTCTGATTTCGACAACTTGCCAAGGTACCCCATACTTGTGTTGACCATTTTAAGTGCGGTTTCAGCGCCAGCCATTTACATCAAGCATGCCTAGGTCGCAACATTCCTTGGACACTTCTTCAGAGCTCTCATACGACTCTGACGATGAGGCATACCGCCTCGCCCAGAAAGAGTGGCAAGAAAGCGTGGAGGAGCTCCAACAACTTGCCCTCGTGCTTCTTCTTCCGTGGGTGGGCAGATACTTCGGGCGCAGATGCAGCTACTTTCGTAAGTTGTCATATGACCTCTGGTTTCGGCTTGACTCTTGACGAACATCACTCAGTGTATGACCGCTACATACGGGTTGGCCTCAACAAAACCTTTTTCCTCGGGCGACATGCCTCGGCGTTCTGGCTTTCGCACTGAAGCAGAGCAAAGCTAGTCGAATTCATCACCTAGACCGATGACTGGAAAATGATCTATGGACTCTCCGATCCTTGATACTCTCCACGATACTCAACAACGCACCCCTGGGCATGATGGACTTAGTCAAGTCGTCTACTACCTCATCCGCCGCTATCCAGTCTTCCCTATCTAATAGCCCCTTGAGAAGTACATACCAAGTGTCGTAATTCATGGGTATCTTTCGCGAAACCATCTCTCTGTAGTATCCTAGTGCGTTTTGTAGGCCTCGTGGACTGGGGTTGTCAAACGAAGCTTGCAGCAGAATATGATATGTCACTCGATTTGGCTGGATATTCCGCTCCTTCATGCGCCCCCGGATATAAGCCATGGACTGCTCCGTCAGCTTCATATCGGTGGTGTCACGTCGGAGGAGCCCAGCCAAGATGCTTGTGTATGTAACGTCGTTGGGCTGTGCGTTGGGATTGTTTTCCATCCGCTGCAGGAGATCCAGTGCGGCTTTGAGTCCTTCTTCTGACGGGTCCCGCATTTGCTGGTCGATGATAGAACTAAAGATAGCCACATTCGGTTCCACGTTCTGCTTTTTCATGATGTTCATGACCAAGTCAACAGCATCTGTGCGTCCAACCCTCATCAAAGCCGATAGAATGGTTGAAAACGTGAACACGTCGCCTGAGAGCTTATCCTCTTCCAACAACTTATAGATAGCTAACACCATTCGCATGTCTCCCTTCCTTCCATAATGCCGCAAGAACGTATTGTAGGTGACAATATCCGGTTTGGGCGCATTTGTTCGGAGGCGATTTATGAGCGCATGAGCATCTTCGTTTCGACCATTGGTGAGAAGTCCGTGGAATACACCATTATAGATTGCAAGGATTGGAGAGTGGTCGGTGGCAGGAGTGACAGGGAATTCCCCTTCGAATGCTTTGACAGTGTCCATCGCTGCGTTGGGCTGCCGTGCATTGAACAAGACAGATATTATGGCACGGTATGCTGGTATGCTAGGTTTGATGCCTTGGGCTAGCATGCTCTCCCAAGCTGTCACGGCTGCATTCCGGTCTCCGGAGGCATCGTATCCATCCAGAAGCGCTGTCCATGCAACTATGCCGGGTGACACACTGAACCGGAGCATATCATCCCAAAGGGACTCCGCAAGGTCTTTCCGCCCGCACATGATGAAAGCTTTAAGGAAAGCCGCCCAATGTATATCTTGAACCATGACAGGGCGTATGGAGGATACGTCAGCTTCCTTCGCAGCAAAGCAGGATTGTTCGCCTTCTAAACCATCCAATGTTGACCGGTACAGTTGCTGAAGAAGTTTCAAGTCTTGATTGTCAATTGCAGTCGAAATCTTGGCTGTCATGAGACGAGGCTCAACAAGCATGCGAGCTGTGTTGAGCCGCTTCGCATAATCTCGAACTCGTTTTGCCAGTTCGGCATTGCGCAGAGACGATGTTACCTCGCTAATCCAGAAGTCGGTCAGGTGCGCTGGAGACTGGAGAAATATGCGCAATGCCTCCAGAAACGAGTTCGTTTGTGCATGGGCAGCCGTTACAACCAACAAGATGGATCCCTGATCCGGAGATGAGGTAGAGGATGGAACAAGGTTGAGCACCAAATCTGTACTTTGCTCACGAGTCTCGTTTGAAGGAGTCTTGACGAGCAGAGATGAATCTGCAATTCGCTTGGCCCCCAGGAACCTCCTGTAAAGGTCATGAGCAGCTTGAGGATTCTGTGCCCGAACGTGTGTTAACAGAGATGACTTGAGTGCTTCGAAAGCTCCGTAAGTAGCAGCGTCTATGGCGATTTCTTCTATTATGGCTCGTTCACCTTCATCCCAAGCTTGACCCGGGCGAAGATCGGGGCATAACTTGGCTGCAAGCTTGGAGAAATCGCGAATCTGCCGTCCGAGCAAACGTAGGAGCTTCTTGCAACGAAGCTCCGACCAATACGTCGCAACTTTCCGTATATCCCGTCCACTAGTTAGAGCTACCCTGATCTTGACAACGGACTCGTTGAAGAAATTTATGTCTGCGGTGGGGGTAGAAGTGACGTCGGGCCGGTTCAAGAAAGAAAGTCTCTCCTTAATGGCTTTGGTGACTTGGGCAGGATCGTTGCTGTGTACGGGCAAGGGGAAAGCGGCGAGTCGAGAATCGGGACCGGAGGGCTCGGTGCGCACTAATCGTTTGGAAGAGGCGTATCTTCGTGGAGGACTGAGAACACTAGGGGCCAAGAAATCAAGAATAATGCCTCGGGGAACTTTGTGCCCAGAAACGGAACGGCCAAGCATGACACCAGGATGGATGCTAACTGAACAAGGCTAGGACCTAGTAGCGCTGTAGGTGACGCTGCCTGTACCGTGAAGCTCAATGGGAGTAGCGGACGGATTTGGCTTTACTCGCCTAAGTACAAGCGTTTGGTATTCGTTCTTGGCCCAATTGACTGACTTTTGCAAGGTGGCCGTCGTGCGGATGAAGGCTTTTGATACGTCGCGTCAAACTCGGACTTGAACGCGGCGGGCCGATGTCGGGCTCTGTAAATAAAAACGGATTCTGTATAAACGGCAATATTACCATCACATAGACTCAAGGCCCTAGTGGGCACACCTGGACCCGAAGGACACTATGTCACTTTGGTTGCCACGCAAGGATACTGTACTATACGCGTTTGTCTACACAACAACCTCTAGCATACATCTACTGGTTTTACCAGGGTTTTTACTGGATGTACAAAGGAGAATACATCTACTTAACAATGAGGCCCACTTGGAGGTCGACAGAATGCAAAACATGGCGCTCGATATTAGTCCCAAATAACTGTTATTTTTTACGACAACCTGGTCATGTTTAGAGAAACGTCACACAAGTCTCAACAGTGCTATCCCTGTCGGGGCGTCAACACATCTGGCCAGGTCTGAAGTTCGAACACCGTGCCCACTGCGCACATTCAGACTCGACGAGGAGATGGAGTGATAGTAAGGCTAGCTGAAATACTACAGTAATTCTTTACCCCTATCTATGGGTTAGTGACCCGGTCACTGACCCGGCAAGGTCACTAACGTCAGTGACCTTGGTCAGCGTCCTGGCTGCGGAGACGTTCACTGTACACTAATTCAGAGCAGTAAAGAACACGTGTGAGTGCTGCCGCAGACGCTGAGACATTGCCAAATTTAGACGTAAACCCTAAATATTTAGGCGGTGCGGGCCATCCGCGCTCGCGGGCCGCGAGCCGGCATGATCGGAGGGATACAACATTTCTTTCCTTACACCTGGAGTCTTCGGCTCCAGGAACATATGACGCTACGTCTTACCACCTGAACTTGATAGAACTACCTTCAACCACTATCTCTCAAGCTCTCAGGTTTAGCCTTGGGCTTTGGACACAAACTTTACTATGGGTCACGGTAATTCAGACAAGCTCTACATCACCCACCGGGAGCATGCTGGCGAGTTCGGCCAGCACACAGCTTCTTCTGGGTACAAAGCGTATGTACAAATCCCCATGTATCAATGACGCATTCGCTCACCCACCCCCGCAGCAAGCAAGAAGGATCGTATACAAAGTCGCAAACTCCATTTGACTGCTGTGCACTTTCTTTCCAGCCTTTCAATCACCCTGTCTGTGCCCGTAACTCTGATGGTACAGGATTCGTGTTTGACCTCGTGAACGTAATACCATGGTTGAAGTGAGTCACATCTCTGAATATATTGACCTTGCTGACCATGGTACGAAAGACAACATAACAACACGAACCCCATTACTAAGGAGCCATTGACCCCCAATGACTTGATCACACTACATTATTCTCGTAAAACATCTGGAGAGATTCATGATCCCATTTCCTTTAAACCATTCAGCGAACACTCACACATTGTGGCTATTGCCACTACTGGCAATGTATTCCTTGCAGAAAGCATCAAGGGTGGCAAGGATCTTCTAGAGGACAAGCAATTTGCCAAGTATGTCATTCGATGCCACTTGTCATTCCTCTATTTACAGTCTTCAGGGCGGACGTCATCACTCTTCAAAACCCTCATGGTTTACCACCGACATCTGCTCTCGTTGTAGGCGGTGCTGCTTCAAGAAAGGAAGCAGCGACTTCCAAACCAGCGGCCGTAAAGCCTGTAACCGACGTCAAGAGCAAAGCAGCAGTGCCGTGTGAGTTCATGGCCCCGTCTTCGCGCCTTTTGACTCAACTCCGCCTCTTGGTACAGGGAACGTTTCACCATATTCATCCGGAGCCCAAGGAGCCTCCCTCACTTCAACGTCTGTAGAGCCTCAGGCAGATTCGAGCAAGCTACTTTGGGATGAGGCATGTCGCAGTTTTCGCTCTTGACACCATCGCTGACAGGAGTCGATGTAGGAAGAGCTGATGTTTGAGGATATGATAAACCCTCCTAAAGGCAAGGGCAAAGAGAAAGATGTAGGGAAACGCAGAGCTTACGTTCGTGTGGGTACCAGTCTTGGAGGTTCGCTGAATATCGAGCTTTTCTGTGAAAAGGTTTGCATTGTCTCTCCTCAAGCATTCGCGTCGTTTAAAATTATCATTAGGCACCCAAGACTTGCTACAACTTCTTGATGTTGGCAAAGGCTGGAAAATACGACGATTGCTTGTTCCACCGTCTTGTACCTGGTTTTATGGTTAGGAAGCGTTCTACTGCTTTGGATATTACGTTGACATAGTGCGACAGGTGCAGACAGGTGACCCCACAGGCACCGGCTCTGGAGGCGAATCCCATTGGGGGACACCTTTTAGGGACGAGCACGATCTAAAAGGTGCAGCAAAACACGACAGCAGGGGCGTCGTCGCCATGGCCAACAAGGGCGCAGGCACAAACGGGTTGGTTGATGTTTCAGTTAAACAATCTCCCCCTCTAACGCAAATGGCAGGTCTCAGTTCTATATTACCTTCCGAGCTACCCCGCACCTAGATAACAAACATACTATATTTGGGAAGCTCGTAGGCGGGGAAGATGTACTTGATACGTTGGAGAAGTTACCTAGGAAAGACGGCACGGAAAGGCCAGCCAAACCTGTGAAGATCACGGAAGTCACAATGTACGCAATCTCTTTACACCGACCTGTTCTGAGTTTGACCCTTCCTAAGCTTCCAGGATCCATTCGAGACGTATAAAGCCAAGCTAGCGAAGAAGCTGGCGAGGCGCGCGGAGGCGGAGGAGAAGGCTCGGAACCCGTCCCATCAGACGGAGAAAAAGTTCGGTGATGATATCAACTGGTTTGGTACGAAGGTTGGGGCGGACGATCCATCCTTCACCACGAGCACGTCCGGGGCGTCAGTGGGAAAATACTTGATTGCGAAGAGGCGTCTCGAACAGGATAAACCGACATCTGCAAACGCTCTTGACGGAGACATCAAAAAGAAGCGTAAGGTCGGTTTCGGTAACTTCGAAGGGTGGTAGACGGACTTTTTCCAGCTAGGTAAGCTCTGTATATGTACACGTAACTAAGTGAAGTACTATAGAATGCATCTGCGCATGCTTATTACCCTCATGCGGGAATTCGAACTCGTTCCCTTGGCCGTGATGGAACTTGATGATAGTGGGTTAGCAAGGTCCATGCAAGGGGGGGCAAGCGACGTTTCACCTTTGTCTTCCTCGGGGCCATCCAATGGTGGCATGGTCGGTGGGGATGGTAGCTCGGCGCTTGGTTGAGGTACCTCTCGCTCCCCGAGCTGCGCGGACATCTGAGAAATGGTATCAATCGCTTCGGTTTCGAATCACGCACCGCATTGGCTTGAAGTTCGGCGAGTTCTGCCTGAACAGCGTCTTCCTCATCAAGGGTTAGACGATTAGACAGAATTTCTCCAATTTCCTGAACGAAGTCAGATCCGGACGGCCAAGGCTGCGAAGGTCATTACCTGTTGATATTCCCGAGCTTCTGCGGTTTCCTCCATGAGTTTCTCAACGCTCTCGATGCTCATTTCTTTGTGTATTTGCTTCAACACATCGTTTCCTTGCTTGAGGCCATGCAAGACTGATACCTCTATCATCGAGAATTCGATAGTAGATACCTGCGCGACACTTAGGAAGAAGGCACGGACAAACCCGAAAGACGTACGAGCTGTTCCAGGTTCTCAAGCTGTCCATCAGTCTTGAGTAAAAGTCCTTGCTGATACTTCCTGCGTCTGAGGGCTACTGTGGCACGCTCTTTGTGACCGGCCGCAAGATGGAGCCTGGCAATCTCATATTCTCGGTCAAGGATACCTTGTATCTAACACAATCCCGTTAAAGCAGGGTGAGAGGTGATCGTTATGTCGCATATACATACTTGCTTCTGATACTGTCTGAGCTTATCGCGTTGTAATTTGAGGCTATATGACGGGTTCGCGACTGCTTGATATCACCATGAGGCCAAGGTTCAGAGAGGAGAAACCCACTCTAGAACTGCACGATCTTGTGCTGTGATCTTGGGCACCGACTGGTTTGCCCCCATTGGAAGAGGAGAAAGGGAACGTTGTTGTAGTGAATAAGCGGTGCACAGCTGCTATGTCAAGTCCAAATGATGCTTGTGTAACTGTTACTATATGTGAATAATACTTACGGTGCGAGAAGCTCGCAAAGCCTCCGGCTCGTCCGCGCCTTCGAGTCGTGACGTCGACAAGCACCGAGCGTTCGCGAGGACGCGGCATCGGAATCGGGTCTGGACCCGTACTCTCCTTGATTCCTCTTGATTCCCAACGCCAGCACTGTACCAACCAACACATCCTCACCCGAGCATCCTCCAGCCTAGCGCAGCGAGACAGCGCTCTCGCCCCCATTACTTTGCTGAGCAGCTCAGAGGCGATGCTGGCCGAAATTCCATTGCATGGCCTTCACACGCTCCTGCTCCTACCCCTTCTTCAGGTCACTGCGCTCTCATCTTCAGTCTCGGTCCTATCATGACTACATCCGTTTTGCTACAACAGGCATGTCGCGGCTGTTCTCGTAGCATATCGTCTTTATTTCTGACTTGGATCTAACATAGGTGGCATTGGCCGAGTTCCCCTCAATTCGCCGACAATTATGGGGGTAGCAAACTCGAGGGGTGCTAGAAGGCTTGTTTATTCGGCATTGCACGCAATGATCAAACTCACGAATCAACAGCTACCAGGAAGATTATTATGCCTTTGCATCACTCTCTCTAGACCCAGAAGGGCTTCGCCTTGGCCTCAGAAAGACACTTGGGGTCAGCTGGAATCCAGGTGGCATAACAGAGCTGGTCGCGCGTCAGGCTGTTTTTGTTGGATTATACGATGGGTCTGCTCCTCTTCTCCTCTCTATCACTTCTCTTCGTTGACTTATCCAAGTCATGGAGGCTCTACTGTATCCCAGTACCTTCGTCAAGAATTGCACGGTCTCTTCGAGTCTGTAGACAAAGCTCACATACCCGAATTATATCTATGGATCAAGGATCAAGGTGGCTACTTCAAACGTTTCAAGGGCGGCGCTCTCGCGCCTTGGATGAATGAAACCGAGAACACACCACCTCTTGACCTGGAGGCTCGAGCGACCCAGGCGTTCTTTGAAGTGGGTAGGTAATCACCGCCAAAAAACCAGTATGCACTCCTCACAGCAAATCAGATAGGCTGTTATCCATAGAGAGCGAAGCACGAGAATGTGGCTCGACAGCATCTGTTGCGATCCTCCATTCTCTTGATTACCCACCAAAGCCATTCTTCGCGTCGCGTAGGCTGGCATTGACAGTTGCACATGTTGGGTTTGTTCTCTTATCATCCCTCGCTAATGGAAACCGTTGAATGCGCAGATAGTGACACCCGCATCCTTCTCGCATCTACGAAAGGCGGTAAGGTCTTGCCGATGACCGAGAGACACCACCCAGATGCCCGGATAGAAGCAATTCGACTGAGGCGAATGATGGGCTCAGCACTCATCACAGATTCTTTCGGCGAGTCCAGGTAAATGAGCCTGCTTCTCTCCGTTCCGCCTGATTTTGAGTTACTCTCTTTTAGATGGATGGGTGCTTTGCAGAATACTCGAGCGTGAGTGTACTTTCGCCTGCTTCTCGCAACAACTTCCTAATAAAAGCTTAGGATCGGTGATCTCAAGTGGAAGCCTTCAGGGGTCACACCAGAACCCGAAGTACGGACCGTCCTTCTTGAAGGTGCGGCATTTCGACTTGCAGCACGCGATCAGAAGCTCAGGTGCTAGAATAAATAGACGAAGACTGGGCATACATGGTTTTCGTATCGGACGGGATCTCTTCGGTTGTATCTGACGATGAAGTTGTCGACTTAGCGCATAACGCCCCTGATCCGAAAACCGCCGCCAGACGTATCCTGTCATTCGCAGAGGAGATGGGAAGCGAAGATAATCTCACAGCCATCGTCGTGCCGCTGTCTGGATGGGGGAAAATCGAGGGGCCGGACAAGACTAAAGCTTTGCGAGAGTATCGCAGCCAGCAAGCGGGTAAGAACCATCAATGAATCTCCAGTGTTTAAGCTAATGTATTTGGGGTTCGTGGCTAAAGTGGGCAGTGAACGGCAAAGAAGAATGTAGATCAATCATGCCCACTCCTCAATACAAAGCGAATCGCCAGGCATCTCATGGCGAAGGTGCCTTGGTCATATCTGAGCTGCTGCGTGGCCATCGGCGCGAGGATCGGAGCCAGCACCCCAGACAAATCTGCCGGACTGGTCTACAATCCTCTGGATGATCTGGCCACGGCCCATCATTCCCCTCCCGAAGCCACTGACTACTCGGGCATCATGTCCCATTTCTAGATACAAAATGTCATTGAACTGTCACACTCCTTACTGAACTCTTACCTTTTAACTTAGATACTGTTTCAGAGGATATGCCTTCCTCAAAGTATACCTCGCTATTCACCACGGCAAATACGTCGTCTGTGCCATCGGGGCTGGGAGTGCCCGGAGATATACAGAACCGTGGAGCATCGAGCGCTGCCTGCGCTGTAAACCCGCGAAGCATATTCAACAGGACCTGGACATGTCCTTGAGGCTGCAAGAGTAGTAATTGAGCTTTCCATAGCTTAAAAGAACAGGAAGCAAACACCTTACTTGCATGAACCCGCCCATCACGCCGTAAGAGAGGAATAAATCTTCGCCTCGTGTTGCCATCGCAGGTATAATTGTATGATAAGGCCTTTTCCCTCCCTGGCGAGGTGGGAGAAGTCAGCGCATCAATCTGAATAGGCGATGGCATTGTCGTCAACCTCTAACGCATTAGGGTGACCCTTTTGGAGGACGAAGCCTGCACCCCGGTTCTGCAGAGTAAACCCGCAGCCCTTGGGAATGGCTAACAAACTCTCTCAACGATGAGTTACTCAGTACGTGGTAACGCAGTGGTCCGTACCTCCCGTTCCAAAACCTATTAAGAGTCAACATCAAGAAGCTGAAATAGTGATGAAGGATTTACCAGCATAATTGCTTTGAATATAGCTACAGGCATTGCCCCATTGGTCAGTCACTGTTTTCAAAGGGCTCAGCAAAGGCTTATGAGGATGTCTGAAGTACGACTTAATTACCAGTGAAATAAACCGTGTCCGACGAGTTGACTGGATTTCCCTGCCGGGCCGTTCATTCAAGTTGGGATGCATTGACTCACTATACTCACATGAACAATGTTAGGATTTGCGCGCGCTGGGTCAAAAAGGTCTGCTCGAGAAGAAAGGTACTCCTACGCAACGTTATGCATCAGTGTCAGATTATTTTTTTTCGTGGGGACACTTACCTTGCTCAGCAGTTGCTCGATAGGAACCGGATTGAAAGCAGGGTCATTGACATAATATCGACTATCTTCACTCGCGAAATTGAATTTATGCGCCATGTACAACGTTCAAGCTTACCGGCGAATGCAAGTCTTTGAATTTGAACAGTGGGTCAGGTATACAGCAGGTTGCTGAGAATGCAAATGCCTGACCTCATAGCCTCAACTAAGGTGTGGAGATATTCGGGCGAATTGTGCTCCATCTCCGAGAGAGGCTTCATTTTGCCCTTTTCCTGGATTTGTTCCAAGATCCCAAGGGCGATGAGAGCGGTTAACCCTGATTCGGGTGTCAGTCACTGGAGAATCTTGCCATAGTATCTTGGCAAACCTTGGCCATTTGGTGGACACTAGCCAGAATTTTATGTAAGGTTGGATATTGAGATATCAAACGATAATCTGACCTCGTAGACTGTCACATCCTTGGCGTAGGTGTACTTGATAGGTTCCACAAATGATGTTTCATGGCTTGCCAGGTCTTCTAGCTCCATTACGCCACCCTTGCTCTTTATCAATTCGACGATTGCTTCTGCGACTTGCCCTTTGTAGAATCCGTCTTTTCCTTGCTCTACGACAGCGCGGAATGTCTTAGCAAGGTTTGGAAACTTCATGATTTGACCCGGAAGCGGAGCCTTTCCATTCAACAGCATCTCATCATGGTTTGGTGAGGCATGTCGAATGAGTCCTTCTGAACGTTGCCACTTTTCATTCTAAGCAAGCGGCTCTAACTTGGACCTAAGAGAAAAAGCTTACAGAGTAGCTGTGTATCTCAGAAACAGGCACCCTGCCAAAGATCGGTCAAATGCCTCAGATTGACATTTTGCTCTTACCCTTCCTCGGCCAGCCTGATTGCAGGCTCGAATACGTCGGCAATGTTTACTTTTCCGCTTCCAAATCGTTCAATGGTATCTACCCAAGCTGCCGCGGCACCTGAAAGAAATTGGTTTCAGCCGGACATCTGTGCCCAAAACCAGCTCGGCATTTACCAGGGACAGTGACGGAGTTGAGGTCTGTCAATGGTATGGAGCCTCCTTTGAGGCCTCGCGAACGAAGGTATTCCAAAGTCAATTTCTTGGGAGAATGGCCTGACCCATTAAGCGCTTTGACCTGCTTTGATCTAGCATCATAGAACAGGCAGAACGCATCCCTAAAACAACTTCTGAGCAAAGCAGGCTCATGGCCTATAAACCTAGGAGACGAACCCTCCAATACCGCAGCAACTGGGTTCTGTAACGTTCAGAGCTACCGAAGTTGCCACAGCTGCATCGGCTATATATTGGAAGCATATTAGCGAAGATTGCGTAACTAAAGGAGGGCGGGACACACCTGCATTTCCACCTCTCCTTAGGATCTCTAGCCCAGCTTCTGTGGCCAGTGGTTGAGATGAAGCCACGATGCCCTTGGTTCCATATACCTGCGATCGCCTGCTTGCAAATCGTTGGAGGACGAGGTCAGGTTGGTCAACTTTACTCCAGTCAATTGTCAGGGGTGCCATGACTAGATGCAAGAAAGAAATCAGATGGGCACCGCAATACTTACTTACTAGTAGATTACGACCCAGGCAGATACCAGTAGCTACGGTATTTTGGGATCAGAAGACCACATGCCTGTGCATGGCGCGCCGATGGTTCCGTTGCCCGTCAATCGAGTTTGTCGCAAAGTTTATTTCGATCAGAATTCTGAGTGTTAGCCACAATCGGTTGCAATTACGTTCCAAGGTGATTGCAACTGATTGCAATTGAACGGAATCGCCAGTATCCATTGCGACTGATTGCGACCGCTGAATGAACTTTGCGACAAATTCCATTTGCATCACTGAGCCAACGTTCTTCCGACGCGGGCCATGACATGCATGACAGCGATGCATCCTATGTAGATCGATCTCAAAATTGGCTAGTGGTAAGAAAATACTGATTACCAATCAAGGAGTCAGTCCGAGCTCGATGTGCGAAGCTTCAAATAGATGCAAGTAGATGTTGCAAGTACTAGCTATAGTACTATGCAAATGCGACTCGCGATTAATATTGACACTGCATAGATACAGATATCGATCGCACTGCGCGTCGAGTCAAGCGTCGAGTTAGTCTCCAGTGTGCAGCCGTTTTACACGTGTCGCTACGCTCTTTTTGAGGTTGTAAAACCGTGTGGCATAATCAAGTGCACCGCCGTCCGCGCATTTGGTGTAGATTTCCCCCCTTTATCGATTTATATACTCAAAAGATGATGCATATGATGATATTATATATATATGGGTATACAAATGCGTGCTGATATATTGTGATGATGTATATGGTATCTAATCCTTCAACAACGACTGTTTCATAGCAAACTTGGCATAGAAGGAGCCCTGCACCGGCTTGCCTGTTCCTTCGCAGTTGATGCAACTGAGCTCGCGCATGGCGAGATCCCATGGGATCCGGCTCCAGCCCTTGCCGCTCTTGTGATGATCGTACAAATACAGACACGAGGCCCTGAGCCGCGCTATTTCTTTTGCTGAAAGCACCAGACAGTCTTCAGGCTTGGGAAGAGATGCAAGCTGCTGTGACAGAGAGCGGAGAATATCTTGGCGACGGGTAATGGGTTTCTCGGAGAAAGTCTCATCGACCCGTTCCTTGTGTAACTTGTACGTTTGTTCGACATGGTGTTGAATGATGTCGAGCTCCTCTCGCAGTGGGTTGCTTTGACCTGGGTACTTTTGCTCAAGTTTGTTGGCTCGATGCTGGGCATCTTCCCATGGCGCAGACAGTGTAACATCTCTCTTTCGGCTAAGGAAGCTTTTCATCTTTCTTTCCATCTCAGCGAGCTTCTGATCACGATATTCCTTTCCCTTGCGAAGTAGAACATCCATGACGAAGGTACGGGTATTGAGGGCCCGTTTTGCAGGGTAACTGTTTGATGCGGCGGTTGAGACGCCTCGAGACTTGTTGACTTCTTTCCATGCGAGTGTCCGTAAAACGAACCGGGCTGAGTCCAATGTGAACACTTCAGGACGAACGCGCAGCCCCGTCTTGGCACCATCGAGGACATTACAAAACCTAGTGATCGTGAGTAGGTGTTGGGATCAAGACAGATTTTACATACATATACGCCAAGCGAATAGTCGTTTCATGCGTGTACCCGAGCTCATAAATCGCAATGTCATGAAAATTCGAGTATTTCCCAACGGCAGAACTATCTTCCAGTCCAGCTAGAAGAGCGATTTGCATTCCATGCACCAGGCCAGCGCCCGACGCATCCGTTCCTTCCAGAAACTGTTCAACAGTTATGTTCTCCTTTAAAAAGTGGGACATCAAGTCTTCCGGAGCTTTAGAGAACTTCAGGTCCGCATTCCGGAACGTATTGATGATAGTAGGTTCCCATATTACTATGGCTTTATCGCCGTCGTAATCTCCTATAAACAATGTTTACCATCAGCATAGTATGAGGGTAGAGGAGACACAACTTTACCGCCTGCCAATAAGTCCGCAAATCGCCTGTCACCTTGAATAGAACAGACAATGACATCGGTGTAACCCGCGAGTTCTCCTCTTTGGACTGCCGTAACCTAAACATCGTCAAACAGCCGCAGTTCACTGTTGGGCAGGCAAAGTCTCCAACCTTTTGAACGTCTGTAGGAAGTTTGCAAGGGTGACGGGTGAGCTTTGCGAACATCACCAAAATGGTCATTAGTTGTGTCGTGATAGTAACTTTAGCAAGCCCATACCAGCACTGATCCCAAAACCGTTTGAGCCTTTGAGCCATCCTTTTGCAAGAGATTATCCTGCGAAGATCTGATGTGCACTTCATCCGGAGCAAGGATTCCAAACGGATCTAATCAAAGTCCTCGTAAACAATCTTCAAGTCAATCTCAAATATTTACCGGGCACCATCCATGCAATGCAAGACATCGGAACGTCCAATTTGTATCGGGCGACATGGCGGTCTACAGTGGACTTGACGACAGCGGTGAGTTTATCCCGTAAAACAGGGCATTCTTGGGGCGTAAACCCAGAGTCGAGAAGTGCCATGGCTGTTTCTTCCAAACTGGATGGGCACCCTGAAATCTCGTCAGCCCACCATGCGGCCGATCTCGGTGCATCAGGGTCGACGGGGTCGAGGTCTTCTTCGTTGTCGTCTTCGAGATCCCCGGCCGAGTAGCCCATTACTCGTGCCTCTCCTCCAGCTTCCCGACTTAACCGCGCCGCAAAAACTCGTCCCACTTGTGATATGTTGAACCACAGCTGCTCCATTGCCTTGGGACCCTCCCAGGAGAGAAGTGGATCAACGCTTTCGTCCAGGCTTTTCTTCAAGAGGTCAACAAAAATCTGATGAGGTACTCCATTCTCTCCTAGATTAATGATCGTCTCGGGCGATAGTCTTGAAGGCGTTTTCATATGTGACGTCCGAAGGACATCAATGGTTCGTTGCCCAGAAGCTAATGACTGACCGGATGGATATCGAATCTTAATCTGAGATGTACGGAGCCAAACTTTTGGCTCAGTAGCATCGTTTTCGCGATCGTCGGGATGCATGAGTAGTAAGCCCTGATGAGGGTTGAATGCGTGACTAAATTCGACTCAGGAAGATGGACTCACCTTCGCGCCAGCGATTCGGCATTGGATCGCAGTCGGAACTGACTCGAGCGGAAGTATCTCCCTTAGTTTCCGCATTGCAGCCCGGTTGATATAACCACACCCATCCGTCATGTCCGAAGGCCCTGGGGTATCTGCCGAAGGTCAACATCAGCTGCGTGAGCTTGTATGTCTATGGCGCCAATGCGTACCGGGTAGCTCAAAAATGTTGTACTGTTCGAGCGTCAGGCCCGGAACTGAGTTTGATAAGCCTAATGCGAACCTAGCTGTCCATTTAGCTAGCGTCTACGCTCAAGCATCAGTATTGATCTCATATCGAGCCGATGTACTGACTTGTCCTGCGTTGAAGCGAATGGGATTGTGCCAGCTCAAGAAATCAGCAAGGGATGGGGGAGGAATGCTTCGTGCATGAAGTGGTAAGTGGTGGGAACCATCAGCTGTTTCATCGGTAGCAACCAGAAACACGTTTCCGTCCTTGGCATAGAAAGCGCGATAAATGACGCCACAAAGCAAAAATCTCTGGGAGAAAAAGTGGCGAAGCTCTTCAGAGTGGCTGAGGAACCTCCTCTCGATACGGACGCGGATGAAGTTTTTTGACCCGAACTGCCTAGTAAAGCGCGACGATGGTCCAGTCTCTGGACGCTGCAGTATGATTTTCCAGCGGGCTGTTGGTGACGTCGAGGGGCGTAGCTTTTGGGATTCGTTCTCCTTCAGCGTGCATAAGAAGCGAACCTTACCACCGTACCAGCCATCAGACTGTCGATGAAAGCCTTCAAATATCTCGACCTTGGAAACATAATCCTCTTCCAGGTCTAGCTGTTTCCAAGGAGACTGAGGATGCATGAGTGACAAGTTCAATGTTGCACCAAGGATCGTTTCATACCGTGACCGCCCTCTCTTTCGCGAAGTAACTATCTGTGTTCTGGAGTTCACTCCCTTCGGTAAGCTTACCATAAAGCTGACGGATTGCATCGGGTGCGACGTCGCAATTGGTACCCTTCATCTGATCAAGAAGGGGTATCCTGATGTCACTATATGACTTCCTCCCATTGGTATGGAGCATTGCGATAAGCCACTGCACGCCATAACAGATTGATCGAGCGTCAAATGCCTTCTGGAGGTTTCCGTTGTGTGCCTGTCCAGGTCCAACGCAGGACTAGTAAATATCATGATCGGAACTTGAGAGGGCAGACTCACAATGACATGCACGCCTTCTCGATCGGCTGTATCAGTCCTTGGATACTTTGAAGGCGAAGTGACAAGTCCGAGGCTGTCATCTTCAGTCGCTTTCCGTTTTCCGAGCGATGATTGATTTGTGCGAGGAGATGCAGCACCGGCGGAGGAAGGCGTAGTCTTTGGAGGGCTTGCATGTGTCAATTTGGAGACATCGGAGGAGTTGTTGGACGACGAAAGCTCAGTCAATGCATTGGAAGTGTCGGCACGGGGGTACATATCTGCGCCACCCACAGGTGAGACCTCAAAGATAAAGTGGGTATATGACGCTCACATTCGTCCGGACACGCGACTATGGCCTGCGTAATGTCCTCTAGTCCTGAGTAGATGGAAGATTGCTGGGATATAAGGCATAAGCGTATCTCTGACAATAGCTAATCTTGTTGGTATATACCGTTGATGAAAGTGACTCATAAGAAGCATCCCGACCCAAGAGGTCTGATGTGCATGGATTATTGTCATCTTCATCTAAAAAAGCGCGTCGTGAACATGTTATTCTACTGGAGGACGCGTCGTGGCAGTCAGTGTGAGTGCAGACATACCTGCATGGTTATGCGATACGTTTTGCGCTGTCGCGTCATCCTGTAGCCATGGTGCGTACCTATCACTATTACTGGTTTCAGATTTCAGAGGCTTTCCTTGCATTATTGAGCTTTGATAAGAGAGACGAAAGGATGTGAAGGCATAAACTTTGGCGAATATATGGTTCTTGAAAGCACGATGAGAGGGATGGCTCAGAATAGGCGTCGGTCATTGATCGCCCAGATGGAACAGCAAGCTCTTTGCAAAGTCAATGCAACACGCTATTTTGGTGAAAGGACAACCTTCAGCAAACGATAGCCCACTCCGTAAAGAGTCAGCTTGAACTGCCAAGGCGTATAGATCCGGAAGCGAGGGCAAGGTATTTGGGTGCATGGCAAAGTGTTGCAAAACCTCGGTGCCCTCTGTGTGCAAATTACAAATGCTACCGATGTGCTAGGAGATATCCAATATGCCCATCAGCTTTCCGTTCTTGACCCCCTTTCCATACGGTTTCTTCCTTGAAAGCGTACCAGAGTGGAGAGAGGGTCTAAAGTCAGCGAGCATAAGAGCTCTCCTGAGTGTGAATCCACATCATTTGGGCCAGTAAACGGAATCAAGTCCAAGGATGAATCAAACATAATACTCCTGGAACACGCCGGAATGGGGAATCCAATGAACTCTACCGAACGAGCGTGCCAGATTGTAAAGCGTCGACGTTTAGTGATTAAGTGAGGTAAAATAGTTACAACCAATGCTTGCGATTCTAAAACTTCGTGACCCATTGAGGATGGAGACTCTGGTAAAATATCATAGAATTGGCCGCACCTGAACTCAACTCTAAGAGCTACTTGACGCCATCATCGTTTGGGCGCGATGCGCAAGCTCGCGCTCTCCCTCCGGACTATGCAACACTTTCTCCAACCGAAAACGCTTTCGAGCAGATATAGGAGGGCAATTCCGTATGCTAACAACATCATTCAAACGAAGCTCTGCGAGACGTTGGATCAATGTGTGACAGTCATGCAAGATGTACTGACCATTCTTCTCATCGTGAGACAGAATTTTCGTGCTTCGTTCAATGCGCTTTAAACCTATGAGTTGCACGGTTTATTGGGTGAAGGTAGACCGCACCTTTCCGGTTATTTTATGGATGATCCAGCGAGAGACCGTCACCGTGGCAGTTTTGTTCATGAAACCGACTTTGGTGACGGTTCCCGTAAACGCCATAGGAGGCATGGCAATCTAGAGACGAGAGGGTGTTTGTTTGTGAATGAGGGTTAGAGCTCTAGAGGATGGACGAGGAAAACGCACCATCAGCTAAGCGACTGGCACAGACGCGTCTTTGTACTGCCATGTTTGGCAAGCCCCTATTTGCAACTGCGTGTCAACAAGCGCCCATACTCTTCTTTCAATTATGTGGTGTCGGAATGCCACTCTCAGGCCAACTTCTTTGACATGTTCTTGAGAAATTGATATCTTCTACATCTCGTATTGGCTGGGGTCAAAAATTCGTATTGTTATTATTGTAAAGCTCTGCGAGCTAAGGTTAACCACAGGTTAACCATGCTACGGTACAAGTATGGATATGCATTCGTAACTGATCATAAAACTGGCATCACTCGCCATATGGATATAAGCCAAGCTACTACTTAAGATATGCTAGAGTTGATGTACAAATATCTGGGTCATAAGCGCACTATACGGAGTGTACAATTGTGGGTAAGATATGGATATATGGCCTTCTTGAGTCCTTTTCTAGACGACAGAGGTATTGGAGTCTTTCGGTTCGACTGGTGGGGGTGGTAGATTACTAGGTGCGAACTTAGATTTCTTCCGTAGTGTAGGGCCAAACCTAGACGGTTGGACGTCAGTTGTTGTAGCATTTAAAACGGAAGACACCCTACTTTATAAGGACCAAGGGTATTGGCACCATTGCTAAAGCGATAAATCCGAGGAGCGACGACGCCCATTGCGGGCCAAGTTTCTCGTACATTTGTGTAGCAAACAGCGGGAATCCTGCCCCAAACAGACTGCGAACAACGGTATTTGCCGCGAGTGCGGACGCCGCGGCGAACAAATACGCGTCAATCATATAATTGAAGAGCGCAACCTAACTCATATTCAGCTCCTTGTCCTTGCCTTGTCCGTTAGAAAAAGGGAGAGAAAGCACTCACGAAAATCCAACAAATGCTTAATCCAAGTAACGAGCCGGCCATCATTGGTGCCCACAAAGAAACACTAGGATAGGAAGTCCAGCTATAATACGACGTTGTTGTGAAGGTTTTGCGAACAACATTGATCGACCACTTACGCAAACCAGAAGAAGGCGATAGCAAAGAAGGGCGAAGCAAGAAGTGCAATCTCTAACCGGAATTCCGGGGGCACTGGTGCAGGTGCGCACTCAGCCGCTTTTCGAGCATAGCGGGGATTGACAAATATAATGTACTATTGAAAGCTAAAAACTCAATTTGTCAATACCTTCAACACGGCTCACTTACCAAGGCAGTTGCTACGAATCCTCCAATGGGTATAGGTAGGAATACGAGACCAGATACGCCAGGGTTTAAGTGGTGACCTTCAGTGAATACGATGGGATAGGCTTCGAATAGGAGATAAAGGCACCCGTAAACAAACTAGAAAGTATCGTTAGAGTGGGACAAGGTTAATATAAAACAACCCACTCACACTCATATAAAGAGTGATGGCGATAAGCATTGGCTCCTGGAACAAAATCTTGAAGGGTCGCCCTAATATGTTTTCTACGTTTTCTTTGAAGGACATCCGCTTCGTCTCTGCTGCTGCATGATATTTATCATTTCCAGTAGATTTTCTGAGCGCCTGGGCCTTTTTCTTCAAAATGACTGGTCTGCTAAGCTATCAGAGAAATATCATGGGAGAAAATGGGCACATGAGACGTACGCATATGTCTCGGGTAGGGTGAAAACGATCTGTAGCCAGCATACTCCAGCGAATATGGCCATAACCCAAAACAGCCAGCGCCACGATAAGCCACCGACGACAATGTAGCCAGCTACTACTGGACCAATACCAGGACCAGCAAATGGAGCTAAAGTGAACATAGCCAACGCAGTCCCCCTCCGCTTTGGATCCCACATATCGGAAATCACAGCGCTACTCATTTTAAGTAAACAGAACTTGAATGTGGCTAGCCCACTTACCCAGAATTAGCCAAAGGAGCCGCAGCGAAAGTCCCGCCCAAGAATCTGAATATAATCACAGAAGCTGTATTATTTGCAAGCGCTGAACCGATTTGGAAGCACTGCAATATATGGTTAGGATCGCTAGATTTGCAATGAATCATATGGGAAACGCTAACCATGTAAATGAAAAAGGTTATGATAAACACGGGCCGACGACCATACGTTTCGGATAATGGTCCCCAGAGTAGAGGACCAACGCAGTAACCACAAACAAAAAGGGATATCGTGAGAGTTCCGACTTCTCGTGAGAAGCCAAAGTCCTCTATGAGTTGGGGAATGACGTTGGATGGTGCGGAACTCGAGAATGTGCTGGTTATGACATCAGATGGCGAAGGTATTAGGCTGGGGTGATGACCCACGCGTTGAGGACGAGCAGAGCTGCGGTGCCTGTGAGGTACCATCTCTTAGCTAACGACCAGTTCTGCGAAGATAAATTAGCTTGGGGATGGATTCGGGGAAGAGATAGTAGTATCTACGTACCTTCGGGTTCAGCGGATCATTTTCTTCGAACTCGACCAAGAAAGGATCGACCGTTTTCTCGTCGAAATGTCCTTGAGGAACGACGGGAGCCGATCTCTCGTTGACGGTGGTCGGGATTGAGTGATTTGACGCTGTTTCACCCATTGCGAAGCTAGATCTGGCGCAAATGGGGCGAATCGAGTGACGGTGGCCATACCATGAGTGGAATGCTTATATGTGGTGGAACGAGGAGTCCGACGCCGCGGAATGACACCATTTGTTTGACGCAAGCGACATCTTATGTGGCAGATGGAATAAGGATGTGTAAGCTTTATGGCTGCAGGCTGGGACCTGAGGGTGCCATTGGCGGGGCTTGTAGCATCACTCCAAGCAAGCTCGTCATCGCCGCTGACGCGGACGATGATTACTTCAGATTACTTCGACCAATGCACTATTGACAGTTGCAGCTGCCTACTTTACGACATCGCGTGGATCGGTTGCCTGTCGACTTGTTGACAAGATCGCGAGCATCCGAGTCGCGCGTCGTCAACACAAGCTACCACTTGCTGGTTGGCACCTCGGTTTTCCTGATCTATGGACTTTACAGAACTTTACAAGCATTCTTCTGGCCTCGTATCCGTCAGTCCCGGAGCACATTTTATCCTCAATGCCATCCAGGACAGGCTCATCGTCCGACGAGTCGACTCCTTCCAGATCACCCGCACATGGCTCATTGGCGCCTCCTCGCCTACGGCGACTATGCTGTCCAAGCAGGCTAAGGCTTCTCCTTCGCAGCTCTTAGAAGCGCCTATCTCGCATGTAGGATGGTCCTGCGACTCAGAGTATCTCCTCGCCGCCTCTTCTAAGAGAGGCACAGTAGACGTCTTCAAGCTCAGGGATGAAGATTGGAATGCTCGGATCGAAACAGGTGCTGAGGGACTTGTGAAAGCTGAGTGGGCTCCAGATGGAAGGAATATCTTGTGTTTTTCGGAATGGGGTGTACGTTTCCTATTCTCAAACGTCTGGCTTGAGCATCCTGAATGTCATCCCCCGATGATGTGCCCAGCTACGAGTGACAATCTGGTCGTTGGTTAGTGGGTCCTCAACCCATATACAATTTCCGTTGCATCCGGACCGAGGTAAATATATGCACATCACATTGCAGGGACGATAGCTTATGCGTGTCTGGCATTGAGGCTATACTTTCCGCTCTGACGGTCGCTATTTTGTTCTGGCTGAACGCCACAAGTCAAAGGATACGCTAGGAATTTATGATGTTCAAGATTCGTACAGATTAGCAAGGGTGAACCACACGACCGCTTTACCAGTAGTCCTTGAGTTGAACGGTCATCGTAGCATTTCCCGTTACCGACCAGCAATCTTTCGTCACTTGCGCTCTCGCCCACTGGCAATCACGTAGCGGTTTGGGAGCATGCTCTGAACGTAGGCTCAACCAGAGCTACCATTGAAAAATGCTGATACTGGGGTGCAGTACAAAGTTCACGTGGTGTCCTTGACGGGAGACGTTCAAGGATCTTTTGCCCCTGAGCCTGACCCCGGGTTCGGCGTTCGACATGTAGCTTGGCACCCTTCGGGCATGTTCCTCGCCGTGTCTGGATGGGACAATAAGGTGTGTGTTTACATCGGATGGAAAGCCCAATATTCAATCGACCCAGATCTACATTTTGGATAGTATATCCTGGTCCCCGACATCTATATTGGAACTCTCAAGTCGGATATCAGCCAATGCCGTAGGTCGACAACCCTCACAGGAGAGTACTTGGAAATAACCTGGTCATCAGACTCTTTGGCGGGAGCCGGCGAATTGGCTCGAGTCTACTCACGGGCGAGGCTTCCTATCTTGTAATTCATGAAATTTCCTCGTGCAACGAGACAACTAAGGAACAATCCTGCAGATGAACGGCTGATTGGCCCACAAACCATCACTGTGACCCGCGCGGACAGCTCAAAAGCATACCCCAAGTCGGGAACCATTCAACTTGAATGGAACAAGAATGGGAGTATATTACTCGCACGATTCGGTGAGCTCCATGTATGAACTCAGTACTAGGAAAGATGACCAAGGGCACTGCTAGAAAATGTCAATTCTGCGGTGTACCTTTATGATTTTCCGTCTGCCTCTGAACCATTTGTGCCTAAGCTGCGATGTGTACTAGCGAACTCGCGCCCGATCGTACAGTGCCGATGGAACCCAATCCGCAAAGGTAGCTTGGCACTCTGTTGCGGAGAGGGCAGTGTGTATACATGGAGTAATGAATGGGTCAGCGAAGGAGGTGTTGAGGAAGATATTGCCGAGTGCATCGGGGTTCCTGCTAGTATGTCTGTTGAATCGTTGTCGAGATGTGGAGATTACTGAACATCTGGTTTGTAGAGCAATTTGAGACCCAAGATTTGCAATGGGCGCCCGACGGAAAGGGGCTTGTGCTACTGGACAAAGAGACATTTTGCTGCGCATTCGAAGTGGAAGACGAAAACATAGATGTTTAATTTGGATGAATGAAATGTCGGTGATTAGTCGTTGTATGTTGGTTGTACATATGCTACTTATTGGTAACCCGGAAATAACGAGCCGTTCGGCGCAAGTACTGACGCGTTCAACGGTTCGGGCGCTTCGGCGGCATGAGCCGGGAGAGTCCGCTCCGCTGAATCAGCAGGGAAAGTGCGCCGGCCAGCGTCCGAGAAGCGCAAGTATTCCGTTAGCCAACGACCATGTTCTCTCGTCCCCTCCGCGCCGGCAGACTCATCGACCGTCGGCTAGCGCTGACTGGTCGCTCGAGACTGGTCAGATCCTATGCTACCCCTTCAGACTCTCGTGAGCCCGATTCATCCCGCCAGGACGGTTCTACGAAGGCAGAGAAAGGCAAGGAGAGGGAAAATAAGCCAGAGTCAGCGCAGGACAGCGGACCCGAGATCCCAAAGGGCCTTGAAGGCTTTTTCCAGCGATATCAACAGTCACAGCGGCAGTTTCGAAATGCGAACAACGAGCAGGAGCAGGACGACTCCCGCAAGAACGAGCAGCCTCCTCCAGGTGGGAACCCGAACCCAAATGGCTTTAACCTCAACCAGCTCCTCATCCTCGCCACCTCCGCTGCTGTCTTCTATGGTCTCACTAGCTCAGGCTCGTCCTCTTCTCGCGAGATCACCTGGCAGGAGTTCAGGACAGCCTTCCTCGACAAGGGTCTCGTCGACAAGCTCATTGTCGTTAACCGCCAACGCGTTCGCATTAAGCTTCACTCTAATGCCACAAGTGCCATGTACCCCAATGCATCACCTGGAGGCGAGTACCACTTCTCCATTGGCAGTGTAGAGGCTTTTGAGCGCAAGCTCGACGAGGCCCAAGCCGAACTCGGCATCCCCAGCCACGAGCGCATCCCCGTTGCCTACCATGACGAGATTTCCACCTTCAACACTCTTCTCAATTTTGCTCCCACTCTGTTCTTTGCCGGCTTCCTCCTGTGGATGTCTCGACGAGCCGCTGGCGGATCAGGCGGCGGGGGTCCCGGAGGCATTTTTAGTATAGGGAAAAGCAAGGCGAAGTTGTTCAACAAAGACACGGATGTGAAGGTTAAGTTCAAGGATGTTGCCGGAATGGACGAGGCCAAGGAGGAAATCATGGAATTTGTCAAGTTCTTGAAGGAGCCAGCCAAGTACGAGAGGCTCGGTGCCAAAATCCCTCGTGGTGCCATTCTTTCTGGTCCTCCTGGGACTGGTAAGACGTTGCTCGCCAAAGCCACCGCTGGGGAGGCTTCAGTGCCGTTCCTCTCGGTGTCTGGATCGGAGTTCGTCGAAATGTTTGTTGGTGTTGGCTCCTCTCGAGTCCGTGACCTCTTCGCGTCCGCGAAGAAGCATGCCCCGTGTATTATCTTCGTCGACGAAATAGATGCTATTGGCAAATCAAGAGGGAAGGGGTCAAGTTTTGGTGGAAATGACGAGCGCGAGTCCACCCTCAACCAACTTCTTGTTGAGATGGACGGTTTTGGTACCCAGGAACATGTCGTCGTTCTTGCAGGAACAAACAGGCCAGACGTCCTCGACTCAGCTCTCATGCGGCCAGGTCGTTTTGATCGGCACATTGCCATCGATCGACCTGACGTCTCGGGACGGAAGGGGATCTTCATGGTCCACCTGAAACCCTTGAAGCTCGCCGACGAGCTCGCCAACACGGATGCGCTTGCACAGAAGCTCGCTGTGTTAACTCCAGGTTTCTCTGGTGCAGATATTGCAAATGTGTGCAACGAAGCAGCCCTCCATGCCGCCCGCAAAAGCTCGGAGTCCGTCTCTGAGAAGGACTTCGAGAGCGCTATCGAAAGGGTGATTGCAGGCTTGGAGCGGAAAAGTCGAGTACTTAGCCCAGAAGAGAAGAAGACCGTAGCCTATCACGAAGCTGGTCACGCTGTCTGCGGCTGGTTCTTGGAGCATGCTGACCCCCTGCTGAAAGTCAGCATAATCCCCCGTGGTGTGGGTGCTTTGGGTTATGCCCAGGTGAGTTTGACAGCCACCTCAATGCCCCAGTGTATCTGATGTCAACCCAGTATCTGCCACCCGATCGCTACTTGCTGTCTACGCCACAAATGCTGGACAGGATATGTATGACTCTGGGTGGTCGCGTCTCGGAGGAGGTCTTCTTTGGTGCCGAGAATATCACGACTGGCGCTCAAGATGATCTTCAAAAGATCACGCGGATGGCCTTTGAAGCTTGTGCAAACTACGGCATGAACACCGTCATTGGTCCGGTCAGCTATGGTGGAGCTCAAGGTCAAAAGGACAGCTGGACGAAGCCATTCAGCGAGAAGACTGGAGAGATGCTAGACGCTGAAGTCCGGAAGATGATTACGTAGGACCTGAGCTTCTGTTTTGTGAACTTAGCTCATTATTGTTTAGTGATGCTCACCAACGAACTACAGACCTTCTCACTAAGCATCGAGAGGATGTCGAGAAGGTGGCCAAGCTGCTCTTGGATAAAGAGGTTATTTCACGGTATGTCCAACCTCATGCATGTCACTCAAGTTACTAATTATGAACTCTAGGGAAGACATGATTGATCTCTTAGGGAAGCGCCCGTTCGCTAACAAGTCTGATGAGATGGACAAGTGGCTTGATGAAAACCGAAGCCATGAGCGTAGTGCCCCCCCGCCACTGGAGGATTCCACTCCAGGTCCACCAGATCCTGCTACCCAACCGGTTGCCACCTCCACAAAAATAGAGGACTATAAGTGGTAGTGCATTCGAGCATTATAGACACCTCAGGGTTTAGGGACTACATCTTACTTTTATCATGACCTGCATCATAAATCTATAGTCACACTCTGCTCAACTTTAATTACTGCAATATTAGATTCTGCATCATCACGAGCGGCAGGCAATGGAGCTCCTCTGCCTATAAGGTGTATCTGAAACCACTCCATTGATCCCCCTTGTCTCTCCTTGCCTCGTCTACTGTTCTGTATCGCCCGTTCTCGCGTTCTAGTTTGCTTTCTTTAGCATTGGGCTCGAAACCTGCGTCGCCTATGACCTCGTCGCGATCGCCTCGGGCTCGCCGAACATTCTCCCAACGTAATGCGAACAGGAAGATCACAGAGGATAAGAAGCCGATGGCAATATAAGCCAGGACAATGCCATGGCCAAGACTGTACCATGGAGCATCGTTGGAACGATACTACAAGGGCATCCAGAGAAGAATCAAGGATGATATCTAGTGACGCACCACATTTGAGGAGACTGCCCCATTTAAATTGCCCCTGGATGTCATGAGTGGTGAGATGTAAAAGCTGGAGGCAACAGTCTTGCTTACCAGCCAATCGCCATTGCCAGAGTAACTCCACGCTTATATGATCCCTCAACATTACTTGCGACCCATGCACTTGTGAAATCTCAGTTTCAACATCTTATTTTCCAAAGACTGAAGAATACACCGTACACAGAATTTGCTTATTGAAATTAATCAGTTTAGGCTCTGACTATTTTGTATTGATAGAGGCCACTTACGAACAGTTGGATAGATGGCGCTTCGTGTGAACGTGTTATGACAGCTTGCAGATCTTTTCAAAATGGGTCGCTTACGATGCAGCAAGAAAACAAGCGAAATAAGAAAGTGCTGGGCTTCGGGATGCTATCAGAATGATGTACCCAACAAGACCTATGGAGAATGAGCCAAACGTTTCAAAAATCAGAAGGTGAGCGAAAAGGTTACCGCTTCCAAACAAGACCCTGCGTGTATATTAGTTGCATCAAGTACTCAGTAAAGTGGTCCACAAACAAGTTGATATAGCCTCTAGTTCCTAGGCGATCTCCAAGGAAGCCAACTACAATAGTTACGATGCAAGCCCAACCGTAGACAGGCACAGACAGTAGATTTGCAGCAGTAGCACCAAAACCTAACATGAAAGCGTCAGGACACAGTGTGGACATGAATTCAAGGACTGCTGACCAAGCTGAGATAGAATCTCGTACGTCAGTACTTGTCATATCAATTAACGCTCCTCACCTTCTCAATTATCGTTGGAGTGAAAAGCGAAAAGGCGAAAAGTGGCCCGTCACTGGATGCAGCGATTGAGCAGAGGCAAATCACTCTTTTTTTATAACAGTCCTACAATCCCATGTAAATTCCCACTGCAGCTAGTCAGCGTAGCACCCGCGAACAAGACGGTCTCCATATTTGCAGTCCACGTCTTCCAATCTCTTAGAGATTGCCAGATGTATTTCTTCTGGAATTTCTCTCCGCCTGCACTGAGTTGCATATCCGCTCGCAAGCGACGAATCACAAAAACGCCTGTTCTTCTCTTTCATGGCAGCTACACACAAGAGCGTTTGACACCTACGTTCAGCTTCAGTCAAAAACTTTGACGTTTCTGGGAAATCATCGATAATCCAAAATGAAAGTGTAGCACAGAGAATCGTGAAGAGACCCTCCAAAATGAAGATCCACGTCCATCCAGGTTTACCGCCGACGTCGTCCATTTTGGAGATGCCCGCGGCGAGAAGGCCACCTAATCAAATAAGTATGACGGTTGTCTGAAACCGAAAAGTGTCACACACTGAAAGCGCCAGCAATGGTTGCGGATGTAAAAAACGCGGCCACCCTGGTACCCAGTTCGCAACGGCGATACCAGCTGCAAAGACCTCAATAAGACTTTAAACCTCTTTGACAAACCTTTTGGGACTTTACCAGGAAAGATAAAATACGATGCCAGGGTATAGCCCAGCCTCCGCAAGACCCAGCATGATACGCACCGCTAAGCTCGATTTAGCGACATGGGATCAGAAGCGAAGTGATCAATATACCCAGCAAGCCGCTATAGTTGTGGATAAATCCATGGCACATCTAGGGGAAGCTCAGCTACCAGTAGATACTCGGAGTAGCACTCAAGCCATGGATGCATGACAGCACGTACCATCACAACACCCCATACGAGCATCATAGAGGATAACCACAATGATGGTCGAAACCTTCTCAAAATCACGTTGCTCGCTGGCTAGCATGTCTGATGTGATGAACGAATTCAAGAGATGCTACAAGGGCTGGCCTCACCTCAAAGAGCGCATAGGGAAAGAAAAATACTGTAAGAGCGATCAAATATTGTTTATCATTGACATGGATGTCAGTCTCCATGCCATAAAGCTAGGGGCACTATCTCAGGACATTTGAGTCGTCTCTAGAATGTTTCAATGCTCACCTTCGCATTCCCGATAGCTCCTCTATCAAGGAAGTTGAGCAAATAGAGCAAGGCCAACCAAGGCACAACTCGAATGTCTATCTTCCACATTAGTTTGCGTAGTTCTATCTTCGACACGTCCACCTGAGGCTGATAGATGTCCACGCATTCTAGCTCTGCATCAGGGACTTGCGAGGTAGAGGCCTTAGACTTTTGGCCACCGTCTAGGGCGTTATCGAGGGACATGGTGGTCATAACAAGAGGCGAGGTGTCTTAGTGACGTGCTCCAGTACGTCTTCTCATGCAGAACTTAATGATAACGCGTATGCGCGCCAAATTTGCGGATGCCCCTTGTGATGTAGATTGAAGTGAGTTGTAAACCTCGGCCGAATGATCTCCCTTCCGGCTTCGAAATTGGTTGAATTCCTAGTGCGACATTCCGCGTTCCCTTACGTATATCAATGCTTCATAATCTCGAAACTACCCACCACTTCCATCAGCCCACCAACCCCGCCCTCAGAGACTATGAACTTGCACACACGCTATGTCAGAGTGGCATTGATTCTGGTATATTATATGAACGCTACGTGAAGGCTTTACGATATGCGTCAGTCCCAACAACGTTCTCCAACCCACTCAAGTGATGACGGAGCCAGTCCTTCACATCCTCCGTCTCAGTCCCGGCTACACGAACGACATGACTTCTACCATTATCAACAGCACTGAGCGACCAAAGTAGTCGATCAGGGCCCGCTTTCTGAAATATGGATATCTTCTGGTATTCGGAGGAAAGGTTGGATACGACAGCTTTTGTGAGAGGCCCACAAAGCAGCAGCATGGCATAACACGAGTAGGGTTGAAGCTGATCTTTTAGAGTCCTGCTCGTAGAACCAGCACTGTCTGTTGAGGCGCTCTCCGGAGTTGATTTCCTTTCTGCAGGATCCTCCAGAAGCAGCACATCACGCGCAACGCGACGCCCTTCAACAAACACCTCGTTAACACTGTAGTAGCGCGTAAATGCCCACTCCTCTCCCATCGACTTGCGCCCACAATTGATCCAATCTAGGACAGCAAGGGATCCGTTTGCCGAGAGGTGGAACCTCTGGATCTGGGTGTATGATGCGGACCGAAAACAAGTGACTGAATCGGGTAAAAGAAGGAGCGCGCTGTCATCCGGGATAGAGACAGTCATAGTTTGAGAGGTTGTCTGGGGGTCATGGCCTCCATCCTGAGGTCCTGTCACGGAATTCCGGGTACGCAGCCCGGGTCGTGTCTTGAAAACCTTGGTAGTTCCCTTGTAATATGCAGACCCTGGTTTAATCAAGGTCTTTTCGAGTACTAGAACACTGACCTGTGTGAGAAGAAGAAGTCGGACGCCTGCACCAACATCCACGAATAGCTGCACATCATCCCCACCCACCAATCCTCCCCCGTAGGTCATCACGTAGGTGATTGCCACATTCTCTTCTTCGGATAGACGAGGCGCTAGCAGCTTAAGAGGGTAACTTGCAGAGAGCTCAGAGAAAACGACCCCTGATCCATGCGATTGGCATGCAATACGTCCTATCCCTCCGCTCTGTTGTTGGGACTTAGGAGGGAATGATGGCATGTCGGACTGATCTTAGGCAGCTGTATTCTCACGTCCACGCCTATATTATCATTGTGAATTGTGAATGAAGCCAAGACGCATGTTGCAAATCCCATACACATCGAGCAAAAGGAAAACAAAAGGTCAATTAAAGAACTAGAAAGTTTAAAGGAGTGACTATGTGTAGATGAGAACTACGAAGGAGAGTATATGCGCAGAGGTCCGAAGGAAAGTGACGAAAAGGCACATGTGGGCAACATAGATTAATATTATAAACATGTTAGAGAGGGCTAGTATTTTCGTGTAGCCAGGGCACGGATCTCATAAAGTTCTTGTCGATCAGGCTCGCCAACGGTGTCGACTTGCCTGGAGAGTGCTGACCGCCATCCCTTCATTTCGGAACGATGTCGCTCCTCAGCGGCGCGGCATCTCTCGACGAAGTCATCGTCCACGTCAAAGAAAATAGATGCTCGCGAACCTCGGTCGCTGTCACCTGATTCGGAGATGGTCCGTGTTCGGCTGGAGGCAGGACTGAGAGCATTAAGGGCGGTAGCGACAGACGTCAAGGAGGGTTCACATGGGTTTGTGGTTCCTCCGGTCTGCTGGCTTGCACGAATCGTGCCGCCTTTGGTTTCCCAAACATAATCATCTTCATCGTCGGCGAGGTCAGCGAATACGTCAGGCTCCTCGTCAGCGGGGAGAGTTGATATCCAGCACATTCGCGTTGGATCGAAAATCATATTTCCGACTTTGCGGGCGCCAGCCGCAAAGGATCCCACTGGTGAACCAATGGACGATCCAGTCAGGTGGGTGATAAGGGCAGGTCTGGCTGAAGTGCCGACGGCAGCATCGAAGTCACGGAGCGCCTGGTCATTACCTTCCCACCTGAGAGTGGATGGGTTCCACTTCATTTCTCCGACAACTGCAACGATTATTAGCGGTTATGATAGACGGACAAGTGAATCCCAACCTTTCGGAGCGTTAGTACCTCCCATTTGCCGGATGAGGGTCGGCTTTTTCCGCGCTTGGGGAGAAGGAGCCTCCTTTTTCTTCTTCAAGGATTTTTCCCCTGAAGGGAATTCTATCCGCACAGTCCGGCGGAGTGAGTTGGGGTTGGCTGCGCCGTGCAGATCTGTATGATGTTCAATACATTGTGGTCGGCCGAATTACGCCAACACTTACCTGAGCCAATAGATCCCCTCCTTCCCGTTTTTCGCTCTTGTAGAGGATCCTTCTCTGAAGCCTTTGAATGACCTGAACCGGTGATGCGATTAGCACCCTTTGGCTGCACTCTATACTGGCCCTCCTTGTCCCGGTCGGTCGGCAAATCATCGAAGCCATCCAGTTCCGTGCCATCGCCATATGTTCGTAATCGCTTCGGTTTTCGTAGCAACTTTGGGGCTGTGGCGGAAGGTGCAGTTGATTGAGGACGCGGTTGAGATCCTCGCGTGCGTAGAGATTGTGTAGAAGGCGGCCGTGGTGGGGCAGGAGAAGTGGAACGGTGAGGTGGGAGGGGAGGAACGGCTATGGCGGGGGAGGCAGCGAAGATGGCGGTCAAGGATGGTCTCGATTTTGATCGCATGGCAGTGGGCATTGTGAGGCGAAGGGCGGCAGGATTGGAGGAAGGGGTTGTGGGTCTTGTGGGAGGTACCATGTAGTCAAGTTGATGCATACGGCTGGTCGAGCTGGTATGAGACTTAGCACGCGAAGCAGCTGTCGGCGCTTCATATCGTGCCGTCTTTGTCGTCGACGGTCCTGCTACCGGAGCTTGTCCCGTGTCTAACGCTTGGGATGATGTCTCCATTAGTGAGGACAAAGAAGCCTTGCGAGTCAACTGCTTGCGTTGGGTGGAGGGTGGTGTGGGGGGTTTGAGGCCAGTATGTGACTTCTGGCCACGAAGACTGCCAGGCTTGGTAGACAAAAGGGTGGCGGCATTGGATACGGGTAGGGCGGAAGAGAGTGCTTCCTTATATGACTGAGCACGTGGTGCCACGGTCTGGGGTGGAGGGGATGACGATAGCTTGAGCCTTTGTAGTTGACGCGCAGAGGATATTGGGGGGTTGACTGGGGACTTTGCACGATCCATGCGGGCTCTTGAATGAGGACGCGCGAGATTTGGCCTAGAGGGGGCACTTTTCCTGCGACTAGACAACTTGCTGCTGTGCTGAGCGATGAGTAGCCGACTTGGGTTGAAATCATCATCTTCGATGACAAGACCAGACTCAAAGTCATCATCTGGATGGGGGCTGGCGGCTTTCTCTAGCCGTTCTGATGATTGCGCTGTCTTCTTGAGCTCCAACATCTTCTTGAGATACTTGCCACTCTGGCCTTTATCAAACATTCCCGAAGGAATGATGAGTCCATCCAATTCGCCCTCCGAGACATCCTCGCATCCACTATCTTCGGAGTCTAGTAGAGAAACTGTGGTGACTGAATTAGATGAGGATGAAGCAGCAGCACCGAATCCAAAAGTGGAGTACGCGTCGGAAGAGTGGGAAGATGACGTTTGGTCTTTGTCTCCCCACTCCAGAGAGTTCTTTGAGGACCTATGGCTGAGAGGAAGGGGGGCAAGTGAGAGCTGAGTGAGATCTGAGGGAAGCGCGAAGGCGGATTCGATGTCCTCATCTATAAATGCTGACGGCGCAGTATTAGACAAGGGTTTGTGTTGAGGGAGGGCGGTCATCTTTATTGTCGAGAAACCTTCTTCATCCTCGTCCTCATCCGCATCCTCTCCTTGGCTGGTCAGTGGTGGGCGGATAGTGATCATGCCTGAGGGGAGCCCAGCCGTTCGGGACAGTGAGCTATCAGCGGTTACCTGGGCCTTCACGCCAGTCTTTCCCAGATCCATCTCCTCGTCCCAGTCCCAGTCATCGTCTTCCTTGTCAGAGTCTACATGTAGATTTGGCAGATGGTCTCCCTCCCGGAGATCGAAGTCAGCATCGGGCCATTCTTCGCGTTCAGTTGGGGTGACTGGAGCAGGAATGGTAGGCATGCGAATTAGTGGTGGAAAAGAGGAGAATTATATCCCCGACTAGCGGGGAGAAGTAGGTAGGGGCTCAATCGGAGTAGGGGAGGGCAGACAAGGGGGAGGGGGTGGACGCCGAGATGAGATATGTAGTGAATATCCCACGAGCTCTTGCGTCGAATGCTGGGAGAAAAGAAAGGATTGTTGGGAGCTAAAAGTTGCGACCTGAAGGCGAAGTGACGTCGGGTCAGTCAACATCCAAGTGAGCAGTGGACAGGCGGACAAGAGGCCATGCGTTTACCTGGAGTTGGTCCGCAAATGTCGAGGGGATCGGGCAAGGGAGGGTTGTGACGTGACCGTCACGCCGCGTTCTAAACATCCGTGCCTGGGCAACGAGTAAACACACCATTCTTCTCTGTTTGGCTTCGTTTCCACGCATGAACTTCACCCGACAACAAACACTAGTTACGATGTACAGTAAAGGTCACCTTGACTTCCGTGTTTCAGAATATCGGCTAATGCTCAGCAGCGTAGAGTACATCAGTGAATTCAGTAAGGCATGAGTCGGCGTCGCTCTTTTGCCTCCTGCTCGATCTCATCCCCACTGTCCCCATCGCTACTCTCGCCACTTCCATCCTCTATCATCGAGCGATGCTTCTGTAACTGTAAGAATTCCTCCAAGTCCCCCCTCATTCTTATACCCCTTTCAGCCATCGTGTCGGCAAAGGCACGTAGTTCATGAGACGTAAAACAACTTCGCATGGGTCCAAAAGCGAGAAGATAAAACTCTGGACTTCTCATGAGCTCGTATGCGTCGAGATCATGAAAATTATCATACCTTTCACAAGCGGGCATGCATGTATCGCTTGATACAACAAGCTCTTGGCCCTTTTGAAGTCTTTCATCCTAAGTTCTAGTTCTAAATATATGCGCCATAGGGTGACGCTCCCCTGAGTTCTGTAACATCATCTCTGTGAGTAAATGGCGAAACACAGCGCAATCGGCAATAAACTCCCTGACCTCTCTACTTCGTTCACAGCTGCTGCGAGACCTAACCGCAGTCGCTCGATCTCCGTGGAGAGGTTACCCCTTTCCCACCCTGTGACCCACACCTCCATTACCCTTCGTATAACACCTTTATCCTGGGCTCCATAGGCAACGCTCTCGCCTAGCATACCCCGTATCCGTCCCCACACTCCGTACCCCTTTTCGCATTCTAGGAACATGCCCATGATGATGGTGTTGCTTGGGTACGACTTGATAGCTAGCAACAGTCGGTCGCGAAGGAGTGAAGGAGGCATCGTATTGCGAAGGGTGACCGAATGATGGTAAAGCAAAAGCAGCGATGCGACCATCACTCCTTCTCTTGAACTTTCGGTGCTGTCGCGAGAATTTGCGAGGTACGTGTCGAAGATAGTCAAAGTAGCTTCAGGCGAGGAAGTAATCAGCTCCAGAAGAGCACGTAGCTGGAGCCAGACTTGATGTCTTCTGTCCCTGCCATCCACCCGCTCATCCAGGTGCCGTTTAGCGCGTAGGATGGCAATTCCGGTAGAGCCAGGAACACTGGCGGACTGCATTATCACAGACAGGGCTGCATCTGACCTTCCTTGAAGCCACTCCATTTCTGACCAGTCCCACCAAAGCTGACGCGTGACTGTACTCATTGAGTCCAGCTGCCCAGATGCACTGACCATTTGGTACACTTTCCGCGCTTCTTCAGGACGGCCATGCAAACGTTCAAGCTTAGCGTGGGCTATCCATCGAGGTACGGAATCTCGTGCGTTTGCTAGTAAAGATCGAGATAACTTGATTGCGCTGTATAACCTTAATGAGACGGTCCTGTATCGCATTAAAAATGTACTCACCCCTTAACATTGATACTGGCTTCAAAAGCTAGGGCATATTCGTCCCACTCATAATCTTCGTCGTCGAAGCGGAGCTGCTGAAAAACCCCGCGTACAAATGCGACATCCACATGGTGTGTGTCTAGCGTACTCCACATACGCCACCGCTCTTTGCTAACACAGTCAAGGGGTCGGAGGGTGTTGAACGCCCACTCCTTGATTGGACCAAACGTACTCCCATACATCCTCTCTCGACCTATGATGGCTCCAGCATGTGAATCGGAGGTAACGTTGCGGCTCGCATTCGTTGGAGGGAAGATTGCATCCATGAAGGATGTCGAGAGATGAAGAACAGCCCATGTGTCATCCCAAGACCCAGGCGAAAGCGAATCTAAAAAGCCAGGTATGTGTAAACCAAGCAGAGAAAGCCACACAAGTCGAAAGGTCTTCTTCGACCGGTCTGAGGTTATGCGAATCAACAGAGGTCTGACATCTGAGAAGAGCACCGCTGCGAAGGCATCGTTTTCGCTTCTTGAATCAACTGTGCGAGCCGGATTCCGTAAAGTAGCGTCATCCTTAGCCTCTTCATTATACCACCCGACGAAAGGATCTTGACTTTCTTGTGGCTTACGAGGAAGTGGTCTTTGTGGACTATGAGGTGTAACCCGGCACCCAGACGTTATCCACGAGGCCCAGCCTTTGGCATCTGGCTCCCCCATGCGCGGCATCTCAGAGTCCCAGAACTCTTCGAGTGAATCTAAACAGGTGTTAAATGGTTGATTTAATGAAGCAGGCGGCATTTGAAGGGAGAGCTCCGCCTGAGCCTGGAATAGTGCTGTGGCTCTTTCATAGAATCCTGCAAATCTACTCGGTAAGCTGACAACATTGATTTTGTGAAGAATGCACCATACCTGCTTGCTGAAAAGCCAGAGCCACCCGCCACATGACCCTGAGCTTACTTAGCTCAGCACTTTCGTCATCACCCAACGCTGTTAGAACACGAGTTGCATCCTGAACAATGCCACTGATGCTATCCTTTGCCAGGTGAAGCCGCCACTCGAGCCATGCCATCCACAGATCAATACCTCCGATTTGAAGCGCGGATTCCCATTCAGCTCTGAGTTTACTCTCATGCCACACCTGCTGACCAGCTCGTAAGTAATTCAGACGTAAAACTCGATTGTTGGCATTGGACCGCGAGGCCTGGAGTGCACGCATCAGAATCGAGACTTTAATTTCGGCACGAGTGCGTAAGCCGTTCTTGGTAGTGGTCGGTACAAGTGACAGCGAGTGAGAAACGAGGGAGAGCCAACACGATTCGGAAGACGGGCTGAGCAGTAGTTCATCCTCGAGACACTTGATTGCAAGTTGAGTAGCCGTCAAAAATCGACCTCCAGCATGGTCAGCGGAACCGTCAGAGCTGTCAGAGGGGAAATCGGTGTCTGATTCATCATCTCTCTCGTATACTGAGCGATCCACTGTGTCGTCATGCATGGACTTGTGAACAACGCGCAGAAAGCCGTCAACCTCGGGGTACTTGTAGGTATCGCGAGTGGAAATCAGCCTTCGTTTCGGAGGGGCATTGAGAGCTGCTCTCGAACGCGTGTCTTCCAGGCTAGACAACTACTCGAACGCGTTAACCCATGTTTTGCAGTAATCGCCGCGTTTGACTTGCCTTGAAACGTTTGGTGCCTACCAGCACTTCTATGCTCTTGCCAGTGCGCCTGGATACTGTGTAGCCACTACCAAGTCCTAGAATTCGCCTACCGCCTTGTACATCATTAGGTTGTTCGAACGGCATAAAAATGCAGCTCACGGTCGACAAGATGGTACTTTGGGACATCACCTGCATGTAGCCCGCCATAAGTCATGTTGAGAGGGTCGCCCTTTCTGTCAGAATAGAAGAGGTCCTGGTCTTTCGAGGAGCCTGCGCGTTGAGAGCGCCGATCCTCACGAGACTTCCTAGCCTCATCATCGCTGTACCGATACCCAGTATGCTTTCCCCAAGAATGGCGGGTAGAGGAGCGGCTGGTCTTGCGATCGCGCTGCCGTGGGGACGGATCATCATCACCTGAAGGGGTTTGGCTGGACTTTGGTTGCTGTGGAGCTCTGTCGCCCGCGTCTGTGGGGTCTGGAAAGGAAGAAAAGGAGGGGGGGAATGAGGAGAAAGAGGGTGCAGACATGGTGGTCCAAATTACAGCATCCGTCAATTCCAGATCAGCCTCGCCAGGGCGTCGAGAATCGTCCACCGGCATATCCCGAGCACTCTACGCAAAGGTTAATAACAGCAGCAACATTGCGTCCCCCGTCGTCCACCTCAGAGTCACCCTCCCTGTTGTACCACCCGTCACCAGTCTGTCATGCGTCCCCTCACTGAAGAAGAGAGCAAAGCTGTATTCGAGAAGCTCGCAAACTATATCGTGCGTATTTTTGCGGTCCTTTATTGACATCCATCTCATCTCCCACCAGGGAAAGAACCTCATCCATCTCATCGACCGCAAAGACGAACCCTATTGCTTCAGACTTCAAAAAGACAGGGTTTACTATGTCTCTGAGTCTTCGATGCGCCTTAGCATATCTGTTGGTCGAACAAATCTCATCAGCCTCGGGACATGTTTTGGCAAATTTAGCAAAAGTGGAAAATTCAAACTGCACATTACCGCCCTCGACTACATCGCTCAGTATGCCAAATACAAGGTGCGTTCCCTCTTAACATATGTCTGCATCATCCTTCATCTCACACTACATCGCCCTAGGTCTGGATAAAACCCAACGGCGAGATGCCTTTCCTCTATGGCAACCACGTCGTCAAAGCACACGTTGGACGGTTGACGGAGGACACCCCAGAACATCAGGGTGTTGTGGTTTTCAGTATGAGCGACATACCATTGGTATGTCCATGAGGCTTGCTTATTGTCCGATGTGCTGATCCAGTAAAAGGGTTTTGGTGTGACTGCTCGATCGACAATAGACTCGCGAAAACTAGACCCAACCGCAATAGTGGTGTTCCATCAAGCGTAAGCTGCTACCAACTTTGTATGGAATCAATAGTTCTGAACATCTTCGCTAGTGATGTAGGAGAGTACTTGCGAGACGAGGAGACCCTCTTCTGATACGGCCAAAGTCATCCCTGTTTTTCCATCATCTCCTTCGGCTTCATTGCTCATTTCTCTGGTCACATGGGAGGGAACACGGACCTGCACTAGACAGTCATGTTTGTTTCGCCGCCGAAGTGCTCGGGCCCGCGTTGAACATGCACAACTCACGACACGCATTCTTACGGTAGAAGTAGTAAAAGTATGTATTGTACATTATCATAATGAACGCATTCGTATCGTCCGCGCTCTTGTGTCTCTGAATAAATTTACTTGCTCACACTGTCCAGGGAGCATACGGTCGGTGTGCCATTCTCTGTTGGGGACGCGGGCATGCCCAAATGTACGTCAGGATCAGGTTGCAGGTACGGTACGTGCATGCTTTTGTCATGATGAATTATCGTGCCCTTTGACGGGTCATTGAAAGCAAGCACTTCATGGATGTTACATAGCCATGCAAACGGGTATCGTGTTTTCGCAAGGAACGTCAGCAAAACTAATATCCATGGTTGATACAGAACTATAGATACCCAACCTGATCTTGAACTGTCCGTTCAACTTCAAACAATTCCTGTAGACGCAATATGACGGAAGCTTGGAATCTCCGAACTAAGACAGCGCGACCCAGCCTCGTTGGAGCTCCTCCTCGTTCCAGCACAGGAGATGCCAAGAAGAGTACACAGCACTGGTTGCTTCGAAGAACTCAATCATGACGGACCCAGTACAAGCTCGGGGCTCGGACGCTTACGTCGGAAATATCGACTTCGGGTTTTATGGGCAAGAACACACTGCTCGGCGCTTGTTCTGTTATAAAACTGTAGTCCGTCAACATAATGTATGAACATCTACAGACCACTCTTCCAAGCTACCTTGAACTCTCAGAGCAAGTTCCAACCCTTTGCTTCGACACACTCTCAAAAGCATGGACTCCATTCAAGCTCCCCAGCCACTCTATCTCTCGACCGGAGATTATGGTCATGCACCTGCTAACTCTTTCACGTCGGGCGATACGTACGCCATGCTTTCAACGGCCGACCACGAAGACGACGCTCTCTCATTATCAGAAAGACATACACCGGAATCCAGAAACATCGAGCCCAGTCGCACTCCCAGTCCAACTCCCAGCGAGACTCAGGAGTTGAACGAGCCTTTTGGAGGAGTGAATTGGAAACGGTTCAAACATCCCGGTAAACGAGAGTGGAGTAAGTAAAGAGTGTTCTTCTGTAACGTTGTGAAATACGAAAAGCTCATTCTTGACCATCAGTCGAAATTGTAGTCTTCATTATATCTATTGCCTTGAGCGTCCTAATGATAGTATACAATGGTCCGATCCTTGAGGCCCTGCTTCCTGCTGCACTATGGGTTAAAGAGTGAGTGTTTCGTATCCTGGCACAAACAATCACCTTACATTCCCTAGCGCTACGGCTGGCTGGCTCATTCCAATAGGTATCATGATCCTCCAATCATTCCCACCTGTACGTACTTGTCAACGTTCACCTGCAGAACACAATGTCTTATACCATGCTTGTCAACAGCTGTTTGGACAGGAGATTATCCACACGCTTTGCGGCTTCACGTACGGAGCATGGGTTGGTTTCGGCATCGTCGCTGCCGGGACCATTATAGGAGAGTCGCTGATGTTCTTGTGAGTTTCACGCTGATCCTCAATCGAGGGATGGTTTCGTTAATGCCGCAACCTAGCACCGTCAAGTACCTTTGCAAAAGTTATGGAGAAAAGATTCAGAAGAAGAGCATCACCATAGCGGCATTTTGCAACGTCGTACAGCAGGGCGGCTTCAAAATCATCCTGCTCACCCGCTTTAGTGTCATCCCTCCTCATTGTAAGAGCGCTTTGCTATGCTACTATATGCGCCAGTTTTCACAGCTTTCGCCCAATAGTATCGACGGCTGTCTTTGCCTTTTGCCGAGTATCGTATTTCCAGTTCTTGCTGGCTGCCGTGCTGGCTATGCCCAAGCAGTTTTCTGGTGTGTACCTTGGCTATGCCATGCTTGAGACCGCTGAGCACAAGGGTAAGATCATCTCCCCTTTTCTGCCAATAACCCCAGCTGATGTTTTTCGTCGTTTTATAGACAGCGCCAAGACAGATAGCATCATAACTTATGTTTCCTTGGCTGTAACAATTATCGTGACAATCCCTACAATGCGCTACCTGAGCAAGGCAGTCGGGGCAGAGAAGGAGAAGGTTGTTTATGCACGTCGCAAGGAAAGGTGTGTACTATTCTCCAGAGACGCTATCTAATGTCTTCATCCTACTCACTATGAACCTATCGCGTAATCGTAGACAAGCGATCGCCCTTCCAAAAGATTATTCCAGCGAATACTATAGTGGCTCAAGAGAGAGCATGGAGCGCATTTTGCCGCCAAATGCGAATGCATCCCACATCGTTTAAGACGTCCCACGCATATAGAGGCGGACTGTGGGCAACCTGGTGTCAACTTAGCTAGGCTTTCACTGTTTATACTCTCCTGATGATTGCCTAGCATGTTGTTTGACCTACTAGTATTAGAAAGTGTATCGTCATGATGATGTGATGCTTACTCGACGGTAACTTCACGACCCCTATACCTTCAAGTATCGTATTTAACAGTAAAGTACATTGTATGTCCTTAAACTATTTTTTTATGTCTATGGCACCTGCCTACCGTAACTTTTTGGGCAAGTTTCTGTGTTCACGCGTGGTGGGAATGTGGGGGCTGTGTAAGTCGAAGTTCGGTGTAGAATCTGAAAGCCGGTGGCCCTAGGGAATAGTCCCGAGTGCGCATCCCCACGTCACTTCTGCCCCGACAAGCCATGGACCATTCGGCTGACCCGCATACGCGCTGGACATCTCTCGACGATGCTCACATACAACATAAAGACGTACAGGAAACACTTGGCCTCATCGAAGATGACCTGTGGGTTGCTGCCGCATGTGCTGACCGTCTCGTAGACGACGTCAACTTGCAGCGTTCCCTCCTTGACCTAGGCATACAACGAACCAATAAAGCAGTAGAAAGGAGCAAGCAGGCACAAATTACTGAGGGCACAGCTGGAACTGGCGACGACTCTGGTCACACTTCTGCACAGAATACTTTAAGAACTTACTTCCAAAGGGTACCCACCGATGCAAAACTCTGTTACCTACGTGTACTCCTGCTAGAGCGGTTGGACAGACTGAACACGTTCGTTGAGGTCTGCAAGTCACTCCCTGCCAGAGATGATGGTGACGAAATAGATGCGGAGTGGGAAGATGACCCGTGGGGGGCCGAAGAGGTAGCTTCATCTACTTCCCAGCATCGTCCTATAGATTCCCCCATCCCACTTTCCGAGTTTTTAGTGGATGACCTCTTGGAGATTGCATGTTTCTTTGCAACACAAGAGTACTTCGACGCCCTTCGCACTCTCTTTGACTACCACACTTCAAGCATATGGCCTTCACGCTTTGCTCTTTTAGACCATGTGCCCCTTCACGCCCATCCCGTCGACTTCCGTGACCTTCTTCCCGCATATAACCCTGACGCAGAAGCGGAATCTTCGCGTGAGGACAAGCAATGGAGAGCAGATGCGGAATGGGTTTTCCGACCTGATGTTAGGTCGGTATTGCATATCCTTGACTTCATCGAAGAAACTAGTGTCGACAATCCGAGTACGCCTTCTCATGCACGGATACATTCTCAACCTCTGAGTCTCCTGGAGCTGGTGGACTGGTACAAGGACCGCGTCATGCGCGTAATGACATCCACGGGCCTCGTCGACGTGGCGCTAGCCACCATCCAGCATGGTACGGCACTTGCCGTGACAGGGCTGGATGAACTTGCAGAGGAGCTCAGTCTCTTCTCTCGCCTCATTTATGACACAACCCAGTCTGAGGAATTCGATGATGAGTGGACCTTCTCTCAATGGCAGAGACTGCTACCAGGTGAAATTGTCTCAGCCTATCTCTCGCATACGACGTCTGCCAATGTCGCTCAGGACATACGACATATCGTCATGCCCTACCTTTTCGTTCTGGAATCTCGAGCGGAACGTGCCAGGAAACCTGATTCCGAGCTTCCCACACGACTATTATATCAATATGTCCTCTCATCCCCTCTGCACATACTAGCACCCATAATGGAAGCCTCAAAGCCCACATTGCCCGCTGCTCAACGTCTTATTCGTAACGACGAAGACATGGTCAGACTAGCTCTCGCATCGCTGTACGGGAGCGAAAGCCGAGGTGCCTGGCCCACAATGAGCCAAGTCTTTGAATGTCTTCCTGCGTGGGACGTCACGTCTGAAGGGGATGACAAACATGATGAGGCAGAGGCAATGTTTACCTCGTTCAAGTCCTTCCTCACCCTATCTACTGGGAGTGCGGCATGTTCCTCTGCAGATTTGTATATCTTCTTTAGACCATTGCCTATCTCTTCTCTATCCCGCGCACTTGATGTCCTCGATGTGCATCTGGAAGCAGGAGAGATCCTTGGTCGCTGGGGTGTCTCGCCTCCTTTGCAGTGGTTCCTCCATCATTACAACGATGATGTAGAACAGCGATCATTAGCGAACAAGCTAGTTCGCCGCCAGGGCTCTTCGAGAGCGGATGACAAAGACCAGCATAAGTGGGAGAGCGTGTTAGTAGACATGTTGAAGTTGACGGAGACGAGTGAGTCTGGGATACGTGGCGTTTTTGGGTCATTGTCGCCCAGAGAAGTGTCCTCAATATTCTTTGCTGGGCTTCTCAGTACCGGAAGTAAGTCCACGTTCATACCCCTCCCCGCCGCGCCTCACATAACCATATCAGAATTCGACATTGCTAGACATTTCTTAGTGTATCAGCGAAGTAGACTCGCATTCGAGGACGATGCAGTGGAGGATCTATGCCTTAATGCCTCAAGGGAATTCTATGACAACTCTAGTTCTGGAAATTACAAGTTTGGAGATATGAAGCTGGCATATGACTGGTAGGAAGATGTCGTCGATATTTGGACGGTCACTAACACTCACTCTTCCAGTCTGAGGGTCCCAAATACGTCTGAACGATTGGTTGCCGAGAGAGAATTCATTGAAGCTACATCCCGACTATGTTCCTTCAATATCTTGTCCCGCTCTGGGTTACCCATCACTCCCATCGAAATCAGGCTCACAAAGGATCGACTTTTACTCATTTCTCGTGTACTCTCAAGTAACCCCGACTCCTACCGCCACGTCGACGTTATCCTTGAACTTCTTTGGAAGCTCGGGTTTCGGGGCGATGTCGTTGCCGAGGTCAAGACACTTGCAATGCTCGCGGACACCGCACTTCAAGCGGAAGATTTCGAGCGTGCTCGAGAGCTCAACGAACGCATGGTGCAAACCGTCCTTAACCTTCGTGCGGCAGATCCAAGTGGCGCAGAGGACCCAGTAGTCCAGCAGGCAAGCGAAGTTTGCTGGGTTGCATGCTTCCAGCTTGGCCGTCAGCCCGAGTTTGATGACAGCGATGCTAAGCTAGCTCTCCTCGGCCGCGCTCTTGAACTTTGTCCACCAGATAAGCTGCATGATGTGCTCTTGTCATGGCGTCGGCTGGAAAAGGAAGACGTGGAAACTCGACGGGACCGTTTAGCCAGCCGGACCTCCACTGCGCGGACACGCAAGGCTAGTGCTTTGAACGGCGGGCTTTCCTTGCAGGAACGGCTGCGCAACATCCAAATCCCTTCAACACCGTTGATAAATGCGGAAGACGCCGTCGACCTCGCAAGCAGGACCTTCAGTCGTGTTGCCTCCAATTTCCCGTTCTCCGTCACCGGTGGGCGACATGCCGCGACGCCCAGTTCAAGTTCTTCAGATTATCAGGGCGCCTTTGATCAGGCTCAGGCAAGTCGCATGCTTCAGAAAGGCATGGGATGGTTACTTGGTGCGGATGAGTAAAGCACTGTAGTGCCCAGTTTTAGTCAAAGACCTGATCTTGTATTTATGATGTCACATATGCAGACATTACTGCACTGCACTATATATATTCTTCATGAAGAAACGAAAAAAATGAGCGGACACGGGGACAAGGACCCGATCGTAGGCTGGTAAAAGAATGACCACAGTCACACAGAGAGTATTACATGAACAGCAATAGTGATGATACGAACAAGGCAAGTGCTCCGAGACAAAACTAGATAACGAGTGTAAGATAGTAGAACAACACCAAACAAAAACAATACATAACGAAGGGAGAGGAGATATGGCCAGCAAGGAATATAAAAAGGAATGACAAGAGTGGGATCATGGTTGTGGTGTAGTAGTTAAGGGATCGTCGATCACTGCCGACCCGCAAAGCGGGCAGTGTTACAGTCTCCTGTTATTGCTCGTGGTCGATTGACGACTCCAGCCTTCTTCGAGTATTCTTCAGGCTGCAGACCGCTATTATCCGACCCCCTCCCACAGTGCTCACAGTATCCCTGGTCGAGACTGCGGAGGGCATCGACTTCGGCTTGAAGCTCCCGGACGTGGCTCTCCAGCTCCATTTTCTGCTGCTGCCACGCACGCTTCGCGGACACGATCTGTTCCTGCAAGGCCTTGACCACAGATTTTTCACCAATAGCGGACGTCGTGAACTGATCGTCGCCGCCGCTTGGAGTGACCAGCGACATCGTCGTGCCTGAGCTTTGGGCTGTACTGGGTGTATCGAGGTCGAACTCCTGCTCGGTGGCCTCAGGGCTGCTTACTATGCTAGCGAAGTGAGAGCTGAAAGAAGCGGAGACGGGCCGCAGTCTCAACGACGGAAAGTCTACCGTTCCCGGAGGGGCGCTCTGCGGAGCACTTTGTGAACTTGGCACGGCGAGCATCGAGCTTGAAGGCTGAATAGAGGACGTTTGAGATCGACTGACTGAATCTAGGCCGACGGCAGCAGAAGCCGTGTTGATATACAACGATGGCGTGCTATGCTTGCGGGACGGGCTGTTATTGCGTCGCTCGGACAGTTCGTGGTCATCTAAATCGTCTGAGCGAGACAAATCGGAAGGCAGGGTGGGCGACAAAGGGGGAACAGGTACCCTAGGTAGAACAAGCCGGGTGCTCTTGGGTATGTTGCCCCGCTGGCTCTCTTGCTCGGGGCGAAGGTTTGTTGGATATGGTACCGGAGGTGGAGGAATACCCTTGTCCTTTTCCCGGCCATTGAACAAACGCATGAAACCACTCTTTTTGTGCTTCAATCCCCGAGCATCTCCAGCCTGTGCAATGGCTACTGCAGGCTCGGACTCACGACGTTCCATACTAACAGGCATAGGAGGGCTGGCAGGCGAAAGACGGGGTTTGTTACGCGCCCCTGCACTAGTCGAGCGAGCGCGAGTCCGTGCATCATCTGAGCTGTGAGAGCTTGCGATACCATACGACGTGCCTGCGCCGTCGTCTTCTTCCGATAGATGTGATCGAGAATGAACAATTGTATTGGTGGGGTTGGCACTCCGAGCTCGTTCTCTAGCTTGAGCTTCCTCTAGGGAAATGAGAGTCACCGTCGGTGACATAGGTTGTGACCAGTCCGAGAACCCTTTGGCAGGCGTTGGGTAGATTGACAACTTCGTGCTCCTAGTCTGTGACCCTTTGACAACACTCGGGTCATTGGTGTGAACGACAGAGATTGGCCCAGATATGTTTCTTGCTTGTACGCGAAGGTTGCTCGAGGAGGGTAGTAGCGAGGAAGAAGATGTGTCAGCTGTTGCAGCAGAGAAGACTGCAGAACGGGACGAGCTCGTCGTATCTGTGACAGTAGCAATGGAGTCACTCCTAAACATCGATCCTACGGGCCCTGCAGAGGAGGTTTCGTAGGTTGGATAGTCTGGATGGCGAGAGACTAGGTCGGGATGAGCGTAAGGATGGACAAAAGCTTCCTGCGTTGCGTCGTCTTGAGAGGAGTATTGAGAAGAAGGTGTGGCACTTCGCGCTGCAGGAGATCGGTTCCTGTCAGAGAGAGGCGAAGGAAGGGTATCATCTCCGGTCGTCAGATTCATGTGAATAGGGGCACCGTGGCCAAGGCCGGGGCTAGTAGCAGGTCGCGAAGACTCCTGTGTTCGGCGACGGTTGGGATCAGTTGAGACAGGGGCGTAATGACGGGTGCGGTGCGGAAATTGCGATTGGTACGAGCTTGCAGAAGGAGGAAGCGCGAGAGAGCCCGATGACATGCCACCCTGGGGCATGTTGCTACAAGGAGAGATTATGAGGGTGAGATGAGAAAAGAGTGAGACATGACTGACAAAATGGACCTGTGTGGCGACTGATTTGAGTGGCCCGCCTCCAGGGAGCGTTTGTCAGGATGGGAACGACTTGATTCGTGGCTCGTACGATTGACCACAGCAATGCCGCGACCAAAGGTACGTTTGATAGCGTCAGTCTTGTCGCTTTTCCCCTTGTTGAACTTGCCGAACATTCCCGAGGTGGTAGACTGGTCCGTACCATCCTCGTCCTCGACGATGGAATCTTCACCCGTCTCCCAGGGAGCCTTAGAGTGAAACCTTATCTTGGGACCGTTGAGACTCATCCTGTGGTCTGAAACGTCCTCATCCACAGTTGACGCTTCATCTGTGTCGGTAAGCGCACTGTGCATGGAGTCGGGAGGGGGCGCTGAATCGTCGGGGAAGCCGAGTGAGCTGGCGGCTGGGCCGAAACTGTCGCAATAAGTGGATGGCCTCGAGGCGAAATCTTGGGGAGAAGGACGGCCGTCATAGTAAGACTGGGGTGGGTGCGGAGACGTGTAAGCGTGACTGTAAACCGAAGGAGAGTCCGAGAAGGACTCGGTCGGGGATGGAGAACGAGTGTGGCGGGACCAGTCGCTTAGATCTGTGTTGTGGGGTCGCATGCTGTGGTCAATTGGCCGGTCGAACGGTCCATGAAACGATTCCGCGTCGAGCGGGCTCATCGACGGCGGCGGCGGGGAAGGGGAGGCTTAGGAGAAGGGAGGGAAACTGAACGTTACAGGGCCGAGTGAAGATTGCAGCATGCCATTGGCCATAACGCGTAGTGGATCGCCTTAACCATATTAATGGTTCAATTCAATTCAAATGAAACACTGACTTGTCACATAGGCACGGCTTCCTCTCGCTTACTGCGCCACGTTTTCCTCGCCTCGGTCGCCTACATCGATATCTCCGGTTGTCCCGGCACCGCACAGGCGTCTAACGGCACCTTACACACATCTCTGACCATCCCACCACCCGCCTTGGACATGGACGACGACACAGCAGCCCCAGTTCCCCTCGCCTCATCCAGCAATGGCCGTCTCTCCGGCAAACCATGGAAACAGAGAAAGGCTCCCACAGTGTATGCTTTTCTCACACTTTGATCAACAACCTCGCTCAACTTGGCATCATCACAGTCGGACTCAATCCTCTGAGGGACATAAAACTAAATGGGATGAGCGGATGGAAAAAACGAAAAAAGCTAGTGCTGTCAAAAAACTAGAGACCGAACTCAAGGAAGAGAAGAAAGCCGAAATACAAAGGTATGTACATCGCCGCCGTGCCCCCCGTCCACATCTTCATCTCCATCAAGGAGGCGCGAAATCACGATGGAACGTAAGAAAGCCGCAGAGGAGCGTCGCAGGCTCGAAGAAGACAAGGTTAAGGTGAGCGCTCCATCTACAAATCATTCATCACAACTCCGTTTAACACGTTTTAAGATGGGAGCGAGGAAAGCCGCAAGGCTACGCCGTAAAGCTGGGAGAACCAAAAAGATCAACGGCTAACGCAATCTATCACACTTCAAAATCAAGACGCAACGTCAATATCGAGCGCAGTACTTTAGACACTCCAACTTGTATCCATCTCTCCGGCCTCCACGAAAGGCTTATCTAGCCCAGCAACTACACTCTCACAAAGCGGACAGCTACCGGCGAGAAGATCCTCCAGCTCGTTCTTGAGCTTCTCCGTCTTCTGTTCGGCATCCCTCTCACCGCTTGACTTCTTCCCACCACCAAAACCCATGCCGGGGATCCACCCTGGCGACGAAACAAGAGAGGCCAAGGCGTCGGGTACGATGAGGTCTCGCAGCTTATCTCCGGCGGAAAGTAGGTTCCTCCCTAAAAGATTTGCAGCCCGTGTACCGCTCTGAAGCGGATTGCCAAAATTTGATGAGAGAAGCATTCGTTGGGGGGCGTTTTGTCGTCCATTGAGACCGCTGGCCACGGCGGGTCGCTCAAGGGTCCCGCTCTGGGTAGTCTTGATTAGTTCCGTCTGCAATGCAACAATTCGCCTCAATGCATGCGATGGCAAGTATTCTTTCGCCTGAAAACGTGTTACGTTAGCAGGCTGCTGAAAGGGGGAAAAGGATACGTACCAGCGAGATAAGACAGTCGGCATGGAAGGTGTGTTGGCACGGGAAGACATAAAACTGGCGAGTGAGCAACAGTTTTGAACACGAAGAACATGTTTCAGTCGCGTCAATAGTGACGAAACGATTCTTAAGGTTGGCTATATCCTGTTTGATAGACTCGGCTGTTTGAGTTGTCTCATTCATTTCCTTCTTCAGCTCGTCGATATGCGCCGAGTATCCCTCCAGGGCATGAGCGATTTCCTCCTTGAAATCGTCAATGACCACGAAGTCAGGGAAGAAGGGCAAGATGTCCTCGATCTTTAAGATGTCGGTATTATCCAGGAATTGCATGGCACTGTGTGCAAAGATAAATCAGAATCTCTGAGAGATTACGACCAACATACGCTTTGATGTCTTGTTTGTCCTGTACCACATAACGAGCAATCTTGAGCCATAGCTTCTTCCGAAGCGGAACGTCATCTTCGGGCATGTCCGCGTTAATCTTGGCAAGTTCCAAGTCGCCTTTCTCGAGGGCAAGATCTACGCTGTTCTCCCAAAGACCCATTTTGGAGTAAATGTGCACGCATGCCTGGATCTTTCCCGTCTGTTGACAGAGACGGAGAGCGTAATCGAGGTCATAGTATGGTTTCCTGGATATTGGTTCACAAGGGGCGGAGCTAAGAAACTTGAGCAGGAGAGCATCACCATCGTCAGTAGAGGCAGAGCGTGATGCATAGAAGGTAACGAGTAGATTGTGGATGGTTGGAGAAGTGCTCTGCTGTTCAAACACGACGTGGTTGAGGTACCGAATGGCTTGATTGGGCAGAAGAGGGTCAGCTACTGCTGTACGTTGTTGCAGAAGGGCCGGTACGAGTCGTAGAGGATCAAGCAGAGATTGACGTAGCCATGAATCTACGGTCTCCTTAGGCGCATGCCGCATGAGAACGGGGCCAAAACGATAGTACATTTCGACGTCCGACTAGCACTGACGGTGAGACGGATGGACTACTGAGCAATATTGCACCACAAACCTGCCGATTGATGGCATCTATTGCTTTGGTCCATTCTTCCTCAATGACCCAGTGCTCTATGACGCGCGCATGGTCCCCGACAGTTGTTGCATAAAATAGGTACATGTCGGTACGGCCATGGCCTTGAATGAGTTCGTATATCGTGGTCCTATCGAGATCCGACTAAAATAACGAATGAGGACTAGCAAAGCTGTTGACGTGTGTAGGCTTACCTTGTACGTCTCAAAGAATTGCCGAAGATCTCCTTCAACAATAGTGCGCTCAGTTTGCAGGTTGTCCACGTCGCTCGAGACCGATTCTGACGCTATCAGATCGTCCAGTTCGTTGCATTTGCTGAGGAAGAATTCGACTAGCCATGTGGCCAGCATCATGCGTTGCGTGAAGTCCTAAGTATTTGAACCAGTGTTAGGGTTCAACGCTTTCATGACATGCAGAAGACTTGCCGCTCTCCGAGTCCGCTCCAAGCGTGAGGTGAGGTACGAACGGAGTGCATCGCGTTCACCGGCATCCAAAAACTTGAGAGCCACCTCCTCAAATGAAACAGAGCACTGCGAGTAGCAGTGAGCGGCCTTAAAGTATCGACCCTCGTCAAAGAACGCGTGTGCCTGGGCAGCCAGAACCTTGTCTCGTTGAGTTGCTGTCTGTTATTGCGTGAGCACAGGAGAAAACAATGCATACTAACCAGCTACCTACCTTTGCATACTTCAGAGCAGTTTCGTACTTTCCTTGCTCAAGATAAATGAGCCAGACATCTCTGCTTTCGTTCGACACAATCAATTCGAAGATAGATTGATTTGTGTAGACCCAGTATGTCTTCCGTGTCGGGTCTGCCGCAAGGCCTCGGACAACTTCATTCGATTTCTGGCACAAGGTTAGCTCAGTCGACAACTCTTCACGACCACGACCTACCAAAGGTAGGACATCCTGCCACGTCTGTTTCTCGTTCAGATTGCAGACCGCAACAATCTTGTCAGCATACAATAAGACAAAGTGGAACTCAGTGAATGAGATAGAGAGGGGAGGTTGTGCAAGAGCTGGAGTAACGGGACTGCCAACGGTATTTAACGGATTGGTCGAAGGGTAAGGGAGTAGAGACGCAGAGTCTACGTAGTCATCGGTGGTTGGGTCATAGTTCATAGCACCGTGATATATTCCAGGCCCTACCTGCCCGTTAGTCAAGCTTGATTATAAAATTTACCTCACACACCAGTCATCCACGCCATTCCCTTGGGCACGGACAAAGCTTGATCAGAATTAGGAGTATAGAAATGAAGCTCAGAGTGCGTAAGATTGCTCGGAAGTTCCAAGAATTCTACGAGCGGGTCAGATTTGCAGATGCTGCAGGCGGATCGCGTAGCTTACTGGGAAGGGTGTTTTGATAAGTGGCGAACATCGCTGAAAACACCCGTCCACCTTCTTCAGATCGTCGCTCTGGCGTGCCTTTGAACTGATATATCCGCGATGGTGTTGTGACTATGACTACCGCACTTCTTGGGTCATTGGGAGGAATGAACTCGAACCTGACACCGGTGATTGGATGTTTTTCTGGCAACGTATACAGCTGCTGCAAGTAACGCTCCTGAGATTTGAAGAAGTCCTCTGCAGCGTCCAAGACGGCCTCATATAAAGCGCCGCTTCTGGTACCTATCAGGAACTCTCGAGTAGACATGGAATGCGACGAGGACAGAAGCATGGCCTTGTTCCATGCGATACTTTCTATGACCATTCGGAACTGCCTGCTAAGTTGTTTCGGCTTCTTCCATTGGCGATAAAGGTACCAGTTCTCTCCTTGAGTAGAGGTGGCAATCAAGTGCTTCCCCGACGGATCGAGGAATATCTTGTGCAACGTAAATTCAGCCGGACTGCGGGGAATGGGTATCTTGTAGACTTTCTCCGCATGCGACAGTTCGATGAGCACGAGTAGTACAGTGTCGCTCGAGGACAGCCCCATAGCCAAAACATCAGATGAAACAGCGAGGGATACTAATGGAGCGGGGAGTGTGTATTGAACTCGTCCGAGGTCGAACACTGGTACCTGGGCAGAAAGCCTCGAGACTTGTGCATTATCCTGGAATGGTTAGGAAGATCTGACAACGGGCGGGGTGTGATAACGGGCTCACCTGTGCTGAGAACTGTTCGAGCTGAGCGTCGACATATGCCGCAGGCTCAAACCCCTCGTACTGTAACTGAGTAGCGGACGAGGACGGGTGAATGTTGCCCGTTGGGGCGGCGTGCTCAACGACTAGGACACGACATTTAGAACGGAAAGGATGACGCGAAGGAGCAGTTGAGACCTACACTCGTCAAACATGTCAATACCGGTCAGTAGACCGCGTCAACGTCTTGAGTGTGACGTGAAGCACTTGTACAATGTGCATGTACTCGGCCCAGCGCGCCCCGTCCTGGCATTGCTTCGCGCAAGACTGCACATGTCATTTCTCCTTATGTAATGGTGGTTACCATTTGCGTTGAAGCCCCTGAAGCGGTATCTGATAATAAAGGACCATAGACTCCAACGTGGGTGATCTACTTTGACTCTTGTCCATCTAGCACGATGGCCAGACCTATGCCGCGTTTGTTTCTGATCCGACATGGTAAGAAAATGGAAAATAACTGTGGTATATACTCTTCTCATGTTCTACCAGGGGAGACAGAGTGGTCGCTGAACGGGTTAGTGCCATCCTTGTTGGATTTATCATGATCCCCGATTCGTCATGCTCACCGTTCTATCAATGGCTAGGAGACACGTATGTACAAAACCGCAATTCTGTCTACATATCTAATATGATCTTAGACTGGTCGAAGCGACATCCCCCTCACTGCTCGAGGTGAACAACAGATGAGGGACAAGGCTCCTATCCTGGTTGGAGAAGGAAGTAGGTACCGGTGATAATCATATCCAATCTAAGAACTTATAGCCCATTCTTGTCAGAGGCCATTGATCCCAAGAATCTATGTGTGGTTTTTGTTTCGCCCCGGATTCGAGCACACAAGACTTTTCATTTGTTGTTTGAGCACCTCCCCGGTTCCGACCTGCCCAGCCACATCTTGAACGAGGAAATGCGCGAATGGGATTACGGAGAGTATGAGGGATTGCTGGCACATGAGATTAGAGAGAGGCAGCCAGGATGGAATATATGGCACGATGGGTAAGTTGCCTTTAACTTTAACTTAGACTGCTCAGGGACGAGAGACGTTTGACAGGTGCCCAGGGGGCGAAAGTGTCGATGAGATGCGGAATCGCGTCGACACTGTCATATCAAAGGTGAAATTATAAGATCATCATGAGGCTTGCTATGGATACACGGCGTATATGTAGGTTCGCCAGTACCACAAAGAGTACGTCGAGGGAGGCAAGAACACACGCGACGTCGTGATCGTCGCTCATGGTCACTTCAATCGGGTGTTCATTGCCCGATGGCTTAACTTCGATCTCACATTGGGTGAGTTTGGCATTTATATGATAGTCTGCAGAATCCAGGAAAATGGACTGACTGCGTTGGAAAGGGACTTACTTCAACGTGGAACCTGGAGGAGTACGTCGTCCAACCCGGGCCTTGAACAGGACTACTTGACTTACTAACGTTAAATCCAGGTAACTGTTCTGAGCTATAATCACAACTCCTTAGATGAGCCTGCTCTTAACGCTTTGAACCTCCATGCGGACCTGAGATGAAGATGTATGTAGTTCGAAGTTCGAAGAGTCTATCAGAGCTCGTCAAATAGAAGACACAATGGACCGGGCTGGGTAACCATGACGAAGTACCATAAATGAAATGAACCAATTCGAGCCGGATATGGACAGTGTGAACCGGCTACGAGGGTGGCCATGAAGAAAAGTGGACCGAGCTCGCAACTACTTGTTTGTTACTTTTCCTTTTGGCCCGAATAGTCTAGTTGTTCAGAACGTCTCCCTACATCTCGGTGGTTCTTAATTAGTGTTTGTCGCTCGTTCGTTACTCTCTCTTTTTCCAGCATCAGCCCACTATCGTCTTCACTCACAATGGCCGACGTCGAGGATTCCGTTTCGGTTCAACAGCTCGTCTCGGAGGAAAACCCTGACGTGGCTGAGGCTCATGGGGACCACGAGGCCGACGTGGAAGAACCCGCCTCAGTCCCACCGGCAGAAGACGATAACCTACTGGCCGCCGACCTCCCTCCTGCAGATGCCGGTGCGCATGCTGACGCCTCTTTGGATGATTTGCAGTCGCCCCCGCCGGAGCCAACGATCGAGGCAGCTGAACCCAAGCCTGAGGTGGCCAAAAAGCTCAACGCGACCTCGCCAGGGGGGACTACAAAGCCAGGCCCCATTTCTACCAAAGTAGTACCCGGAAAGCCAGGGCCTACTACGCCAACGGTCAAGAAGGTCAGTTTTCGCGTGTCCTGTGCCCGATCGCCGAAATGAATTACGCCTGCAGATTTTGAAGGCTGGCACGTTTGGAGCAGGTGCTGCTTCTAAGTCCCCAGCTGCCTCAGGTGTTGCCACCAAGTCCCCGGCTAAACCAGCTGCTGCGCCTGCCGCCTTGACCAAATCTCCTTCCACTGGGACCACCAGGCCCACAACTACTGCCACTTCTACGCTCAAGAAATCCATCAGCTCGTCAGCAGCGAACCCGTCTTCCAAGCCAGACATGGCGTCTACCAAGGCCCCATCCACTGGGCCTTCTGCAGCAGGTCCAGCGCGCCGAACGTCTTTACTTCCATCGAGAGGACCCGCGTCCGCCACGTCAGCTGCTAAACCCAGAGTTCCGTCAGCTGGCTCTGCATCTGGCTCTCAGACCAACGGTGCCATCCGTTCCTCCGTTATTTCTCCTTCGGGGTCTGCTGCTTCAGCAAAATCTGGGCCCACGACCGCACCCGCAGCACCTCGTCCACGTGCCTCGATCTCTGAGGCGGTTCGGAGACCAACTACCTCTCGCCAGAGCTCTATTGGGGCAACGTCGGCAGCTGGAAAACCCACTCGGACACCCGGCTCCATCTCATCTATCAGGGAAGTGCGCGAGGACGGCAAGGCTCTCGAGGAACTCCAGAAGAAAGTAAGCCATTTTAGCGCCACCAGCTGCCAAGCGGTTACTAACTTGAGTGCCAGCTGAAAGAGGCTCAAGATGAGGTCTCGGCTAAAAGTGATGCAGTCAGTACGCTGGAGACTAAGGTCGCCGAGTTGCACTCTGCCCTTGATTCCGCCCTCGCAGATGTCGAGACAAAGAAATCATCAATTGCCGGGTTGGAGGACGCAAAGCAAGCAGCTGAGTCAGAGTTGGAGGCAGTCAAGGCGAGCTCCGATACATCCCGCACAGAAGAGGATGCGGCAGCAGCCTCGCTAGAGGCACTTCGTGGAGAGGTGTGTCCCCTCGTTTTTGAGGAAAACCACTTCATTCAGATAAACTCTAGCTCGAAGAAGCGAGGTCTTCGTCGGCGGAACAGACCGCTCTTGTTCAGAGCCTCCAATCGCAAGTTGAGGCACTTACAGCAGAGGTCACTGCCGCACAAGAGACGCTAGAGACTTTGCGGTCTTCTACGTCAGCATCGTCCGCAGAAGCTGCGGCTGCCTCTGAACTGGAACACCATGCTCTTCTTAAGGCTAAGGCTGACTTGGAGGCCATTTCCGAAGAGACAGAGGCTCTCAAGTCCGCGCACGCGGCGACGCTCGAGAGTATGCAAGCACAGCTCGCCGAAGCCAATGACAAACTAGCCCAGCTTGAGTCGTTAACCAACGAGTTGTCCACGCTCAAAGCAGACAAGGAGGAATACGCGAACAAGATATCCGAGTTGGAGGTTGAGATTCTGGAGCTCAAGGAAAGCCAGGAGAACTCCACAGACGAGCACAGGTCGGTCGCGGATCAGCTGAAGAGGGCAGAGGATGAGCTCGCACAAGCGAAAGTCTCCATTCAGAGTGCTATTGATGACGGCGCTGCGAAAGAGACCGAGGGCGCTCGTATGCTGGAAGAGGCAGCGTCAAAGCATGATGTGGAGCTGAGCGGTATTCGGGATGAACTCGTTAACGTCACTGCTCTCCTAGAGGAGGTTCGAAGCGAGCTGGAAAGTGCCAAATCTGCCCATGAACAGGCGAAGGAAGACGCTCAAGTCGCAGCCGACAGCCACAGGCTCGAGCTGGAACAGGCAGAGCAGAGCTACCTCAGTAAACAGTCTGACCTGGCTGAACAAATCAGAAGGATCACTGAGGAGCTTGAGGTGAGCTGTAATGCAAACTGAGATGTGCAGCTTTTCTGATGCGTACTACAGGGTCAAGAGGCACAGTATAATGCTAAGGTTGACGCAGTGAAGGCGGAGCATGACAAGCTGCTTCAAGAGGCATTTGAGCGTGCCAAGGTTAGTTGTCTTTACCCCGTTGCCTTGTATCCATGCTAATAAGCGCTTCAGAACGAAGCAGGCGATGCTCACGCTCAAGACCTTCAGGCGCTTCGTGAAGAGTCCCAAGCCACCATCGAACAGCTCAAGACACTCCATCAGTCCAACGTAGATGGTATGAAGAGCGAGCATGAAGCTCTTCTGGAGTCTCATGTCAGCAACTTGGAAAAGAAGCTGAATAGCCAGGCTCTTGAGCTGAAAGCCACTCAAGAAGACCTCGCCAAGGCCAAGGGGGCTCTGGACGCAGCTGAGACCGAAAAGTCGAATCTGTCATCCCAACTTGAGGCTGCACGCAGTGCATCTATCTCTGCTTCCTCTTCAGGCGATCAGACGGCAGAGGTCGAGCGTTTGATCCAAGAACTCGCTATTCTGCGTGACGATAATGCGATGCTTAACGACGTCCTCGCCGTTACGAAGGTGTCATTGTCGGAGATGTCCACCAACCACATCAAAGAGCTCGAGGAGGCAGCTCGCGTTCGGGCTGAAGAATCCACCAAGCTTCGTGGGGATCACCATCAAGAGCTGGAGGCTCTGGCCACTCACAGGATGGAGCTCACAACGAAGGTTTCGGATCTGGAGGGCGAGATTTCCACTTTGCGGGCTCAGCTGGAGGCAGTTCCTACTGCAGCTCCCAAGACTAACGGTACTGCACCCAACGGTACTACAGTGACACGCGAGGAGCTGCACCGCTTGCATGAGGCTCACAACTCCAAGCTGAACGATGTTCAAGCTGATTATGACCGGATGGTTAGGAACTTGCGGGAGGAAGTTGATTCGCTGCAGAACAGAGTCGACGAACTTCAACAGGAAGTTGCGCGGAAAGCAATGGAGATCCAGTACTTGGAGCAGGAACAAGAAGAGTCGCAAGACAGTATTACTCGGTACGTAAAAGTCTTTGGTCTTCAGAGTGTCTTTGGTGCCGTTCTCGCTATGGGAGTCATCTATGATTTGATTTGACCACTTTTTCATTACATCTCCTTCTTACCTTCTTCACACAATCGCTTCGGACTAATGGGATCTGGATCCCTACAATGATTTTCTTCATTATTTATCTCACACGCATTCTTATCATTATACTTCTCTCATACGCATACACATCTACATCATTGGCATGAATCCTGACTACTTATTTGGAACAGATTGAAGGAGGAACTCGAACAGAAGCAAAGTGCGTGAGGCTCTGGAGCAAGATGACCATGAGCCTCCCTCACCCTGGTCGTCGACATGGAGCCTCATGGAATCGGTGCGGCCGCCACGCTCATACCTCAAGGTCGATCGTCATTTTCCTACCCACCTCCTGCGTTTGGTGTTTCCTTCCTTGCGTTATTCGGATTTATGGAACGTTACCTTCACTAGGTCGTCATGACCTAGTCAATACCCCGAGTAGAAGTTGATTATGCACGCCTCGTCATCCGGAGCTCATTGCGTATTGAAGAACTGATAATGATTATTCTTAATTGCCATGCATGAAGAAATGCCTGACGGATGATCTATCCTGGTGACAAGCTGGTTCGGTATCGAATCTGGTGAAGTGTCAGGGTGAAGGTGGGATAGTAATCGACATGAAAGCGCGACAGCCCACGTGGCACACGATATTGAACGGTAAAGGATGAGAGACACAGAAGGCAGGCACTTTGGACCAGCTTTGTGACGGAAAGTCGGACGAGCGCCTGATCTTCTCGTACGATTATGTTTCGGTTGGGGCGGTAGTATTACGTGAATGTTGCGATACTGGTGCTACGAGTTGGATATCAGCCATGGTGGACACAAGGGCAGCGCATGGCCAGATGGTGATTATCTTCCGTAGTGCCAGCGTGAAGATTGCATGTGAATTTCCGAGGGCGACCTCCAGGTACTGGGCGCTGGCGTATTTACACTACGGCCCGCGTGAACGCAGAGGCCGACGCGAAGTGAGAAGGCTCCGGAGTGCGATGGCTACCAAAAGTGGAAGGGGGCGTGCCGTGTCTGGGGTCCCCGTGCGACGCTCCCCAATATGAGTGACAAGAGTAGAATAAATATTCGGCTGGTTGTGCTCCCTTCCCTCTACCTCCCTCCAAGTTCCTTCGCTCCCTTCTCCCTTTCCATCCCTCCCTTCTCCCTTCTTCCGCCATGGCCATCCAAAAAGAACCCGGTCAGAAAGGCGTCAACTGGTCCAACATCGCAGTCGGTCAGTTCCTCACCATGTTCAAGTTCCCACTCCCTTCTTTACTAACTTCGTTCTTTTGACCACAGGCGCCATTATGAACATGGTAAAGTTCTGCAGCGGCTCGTACAAGAAGTGCAGTTTCACTGACCTCGCCTTTGTCTTTTTGCGCGGTTTTTCGCGTAGTTCGTACGTGATTTCACTTGACGCGACCGATAGTAACTGACAAAGTGCTTTACAGGAGGCAAGTATCATCAAAACCCGCGCTTCTCTTCCGTGCTAAGCATATATGCAGGTCACCACACTCGGCCAGCCTTTGGAGGTCCTCAAGACGCAAATGGCGGCGAACCGCTCGCAAACTATGGCTCAAGCCGCTCGCTCCGTTTGGGCTCGCGGCGGTGCTGTCGGCTTCTACCAGGGCTTGATTCCTTGGGTAAGTCGTGCTTCTGCTTCTCTGCAACGCTGTTCCTCATCAATAGTAGGCATGGATCGAGGCATCCACCAAGGGTGGTGTCCTCCTCTTCACCGCATCGGAGATTGAGACTGCTGGTGTCAACATGGGCATCAGCCCTGCTTCTGCTGGTCTTCTCGGTGGCATGGGTGGTGGTATTGCGCAGGCATACGCCACGATGGGTGAGTACAAAACTTGTATCGACTGTACCGTTCATCGGACGGTCGTACTGCACACAGCGAACGTCGTGCTTACTGCGATCAGGATTCACGACGTGTATGAAGACTGTTGAAATTACTCGCCACAAGGAAGCCGCGGCTGGCGTAGAGCGTTCAACTTTCCAGGTCTTCATGGACATTTACCGCAAGGAAGGCCTTCGGGGAATTAACAAGGGTGTTAATGCAGTCGCAGTGCGACAGTGCACGAACTGGGGATCACGGTAAGTCCTTTCTTCAGAGCATGGTGAGATCGCCTTGCTAAACACCCTTTCCATTTAGCATGGGCTTCGCTCGACTAGCTGAGTCCTCGATACGCAAGGTACGAGGCCAGGGCGAGAACGACAGATTGGGTGCTTTGGACAAGATTTTCGCTTCTTCCGTTGGTGGTGCGCTCGCCACTTGGAATCAGCCTATTGAGGTTATTCGTGTGGAGGTATGTTGCTTTCACATAAGCATGAACTTTCCATAGCTGACCATGTGTATTAGATGCAATCCATGGCGAAAGGCACGGCCAGTGCCAACCGTCCGGCCAAAATGACGATTGGCAACACTTTCATGTTCATCTATCGCGAGAACGGTATCAAGGGCCTGTATCGCGGTGTTACTCCCCGGATAGGTCTTGGAATCTGGCAGACGATCTGCATGGTCTCATTCGCCGACTATGTCAAGGTCTGGTGAGTACATACGCGCCTATTTCATGGAATGATACTGATGGTGATACACAGGGTAAAAGGACGTCAATAGAGTAGAGGATGGTTAGATATAGTTTTTTATTATTCTATAGACTGCATGATACACCTTTCCAGTAATTAGTAGTGTCTGATCTCAGTGGGTTTCACTCGTCGTGAACTGATGTGTTGTCTATGAGTGCCTTGAATTTTAATCGGGTTCTGGGATTGGATGAGCTGCTGTAGAGCTCTCAGAGGCTCTCAGGCACGCTCAAAACACGTACGGTCGCTTTACGCAGGGACCGGTTACGACGTTGAACCGAGTCTGACGCATCTAAGATGGAAAGCGGTGCACACATCATTCCATGGTACCTGCTCGCACCCAATTGTAACAGATTGTTGTAATTGCCCAGCGTACCGCCTACTCATAGCTACACATCATCAGTTTAAGTACTCGAAAGACAGCTTCAACCGCTCCTTCCCCGTATTTGCGCCAAGAGTCTTCCCTCAAAGTCAACAATGAGCGTCCCTGCAGCGAAAGCACCGATGAACCCACTGCTGGCTAAGTACCTTGTGCAACTTGCTACCCATCCCCTCCGTACAAAGGCAGCCACCTCTGGTAAATTTCACCCTCAGTCTCCTTGTCAAAGTGGATTCGTGCTCATGACTTTCCAGCAACTTTCTCCTTCCTGCAGGAAGTCATTGGCTCCAACGCCGCTGGCCTCCCACCATCACCAGTAGCCAAGGATGCGTCTCCAATTACTAAAGCGCTCGCCAGCGTCCACGTCGACGCCAAGGCGATTAAGATGGCACTCTACGGTTTCTTCGTTTCTGCTCCTATGAGCCACTTCCTTGTCGGTGCCTTGCAGAAGGCTTTTGCGGGGAAGGAGGGCGTCAAATATAGAATTGCGCAGCTCCTTGCGAGCAACCTCTTCGTCGCACCCATACAAACGGCCGGTGAGCGTAAACGTCCCTTGCTAGCAGTCACACTAACACCACTACCTCGTAGCCTTCTTGGCCTCCATGGCGGTTATCAATGGCGCCAAGAGCGTCGATGAAGTCATTCGTACCGTGAAAGCCGGGTTTTTCTCCGTTATCCGGGTATGCAAATCCCATTGTTTTCTCAGGACCTGTACTAACCCACCTCCCAGATTACTTGGGTCGTTTCTCCTCTATCCATGACCATTGCTCAACGGTTCATACCGGTGGAGGTACGTCGCGTCATGATTGTCGCCAAGTTGCCAAACATTATCTGACCTCGTGTCAAGCTTTGGGTACCTTTCTTCAACATTGTCCAGTTCACCCTGGGGGTAAGACACTATATGTGTGTATCATCATAAACGAATGACTAATGCTTTTGTCCAGACGCTCTTCAACATCAAGGTCAAGAAGATGCGCCTCGCAGCAGCACGAAAGGAGGCCGCTGAGAGGGAGCGACAAAGGGCCCAGAAGGCCCTCGATAGCGACAAATAACTTGATACCTCTTTGCGTGGCTTCGCCAGCAGATCCCAGAGACCTTATAACTTCTACTTACTATTATTTGCCCAATCTTAGTGTGCTCTAATGAAGATATATGTTATGTAGTGGAAAGATGAGATATTGTGATATACTCCTTCCGCTCGGATATCTCTTGATATCGATAACGAACCATCCACTGGTCTTGGCCAGTCTCTCCAACTTCGGTCTCTAACTGCCATGGCTCGAGGGAATACGTACCAGGCCGAGTACACCAAACCCGTGCCTCAATGACAGTTATCTCACAAGGCTTGAGGGCACCTTTGAAAGTCGTCCGACCAGTGAACCGGCAAGGAACGTCACTACAGATTCAAATGATCAGGTCCATTATACTTGTTTACTCGAAGTAATCCTGACCTGTGATATCCCTGAGATCGCAACTTCAAAGTGAAATGGCAATTGTTCGTCAGGGAAATGTTGCGGACCGAGAAAACAATCGGGGCTTTGCAGGGTCTAAACATAACGGTAGTCAGCTCAGGTCTCAACGGCTCTTGATGACTCGCACCCTTTGACAAAATCGTGTTCTATGACACCTTTGGAAGAAATTGTTACGACGACGGGATTCATCTCCAGGTTCCAATCGCTGTTCTTAATGGCGTCTAGCACTTCCGCTTTTTCGCGTTGCGTCTCGGCATACATTGTCCTCTTTACTTTGCTGTTCTCTGCATCATCTACGATTTCCTTGAGCAAGCCGTGGCCGGCACCAAGTAAACCAACCGAAAGGCTGCAGTGACCACGACGTCCCTCAAGCGGCAGCTCCCAAAACACTATCAACGACAACGAGAGTGGGTGGTATCGAGGAAAGATGGATGAGCGGGAGCGGGGCGGAATATGTGGCTGTGTGGTGGCTAGCGAGCGGAATGCAATACTGTTTTGCTCGTTCAGGACAAAGTGCCGTATGGCGGGATGCTGAAGGGAATGGCCATTGTTGCCCTACGGCAAAAGTCAGGTGTCTCCACAAAACCGCTATCGAAAAAGGATACTGACCCTTATCCGAGAGTGACTGCAATGAAGGTTCAAAGGAGGTGGACTGCTCGCATCAACTCTGTGACCTCTGATAATGTTCCGAAGCTGTTGTGCGATATGCAAACGTGTTTCCTCCGCATCCGCATTGGAGTCAGTAGCTCTCATACTTAAGCATATGCGAGAAGTTTGTTGAGCCAGAATTGTAGGTCTATATCACGCGTCGTTAGGACAATTGCGGCCACAAAAAGGACGGGTTCCGTACATATTCATTTCTTTGCTCTCCTCTTCACAAGTCCATGTTGGACTGATAGCTGCCACTTGAGTGATACGAAGAGCGCTAATCGAATGAACGTTTTCCACATCCAAATCAATCGTATATTGGTATTCCTTGGACCCACTGGGGCGACAAATTGCCGAAAGCTGTAAGCTTGGCACCACTTCAAGGTCTCTGGTTATCCTTTTGCAATGGAATGTCGAACCAGTCCCCTGTCAAGAATGTGAGCTTCCCGTGCAACACAATGAAAGCCCTCCTCACCTCTCTGAACACAAACAACAAGCACAGGGTAGAATACTGTTCCCGCCTCGTCGCACGCAGGTTCAGAACCATCTCCCCGCATGCACCTGGGGGTAGGAAAGATTGACCATCGGACGATAAGGGTACTTTGAGTGGAGTAGCAGGGGTGATAACATTGTCGTTCTGAATGACTTCGGCCTCGGATATTGGCGACGAACCTGAGGAATGGTCTTGAGCTCGATAGAAATTTTTTAAAAGCAGGTGACGTACTCAAAATTTGGAGAGGCGAGTCACTTATCCAGACGGAGTCTTCCAAACCCGGCACAATCCATGCTTCGCCAACGTTTTGTGTACCTTGATTGGTCAGCTGGATCTTCATCTCAACGTACTCGCCGTCAGCAAGAACAAGTGGTGTCTCATCTACGAAAGTGACCCCGAGCTCTTGCCCAGCTTCTTCGACTTCCACAAGCAGTTCAACGTCGGAGGCGTACGTGGCTGTCCACCGCTGTTGTGGCGTATCATGCAATCTTCGTCCCCGCCGCGATAATGATTCATTAGCTGGAAGGAGGCCGAGAAAAGCATATGTTGCATGTGTGATAACCAACGAGTCCGAAACAGACGATGTAACAGCCACGGATACCTGGCGCAGAGCTTATCAAGCTATGAACGGCAAGAAGTATGAGGGTCGTACTGTGCATCCTTCCTTTGGTCCAAGCGTGACTTCATTGACAGGCCTTGTATCTGGGGTTATCATGTTCCCCGATTTTGACTGCGCAAGTACTGAGATATTGGACAACGTTATCTCACAGCAGGTCGGGTTCCGGAGCTGCAGATCGATATAGAATGTTTCTGGAAGTCATCTCAGGCTTGTCTAATAGAACAAAAATATCTGTACTCACCTCCGACAGCGGCTTTACCTGTTCGCTCAAGTCGTTCTTTACCATGATTTCGCCAGAACTCAGCCCATGAATCCATGCGTTCTTCCCATACGTTGACGCTGCCTCCAGCTGAGTCTCGCGGCAACCTTACTCGAGCACGATCTGCGACGATAAACTTCAAAGGAAGCTGCAGCTTCGCTATTTTGCCCTCGTCTCCTTCTACAGACTTGAAGTGCTGTAGGAGATACGATCAGCGCCAGTTACCGGATGTGCATCAACTCACAGAGAAAGCAGCCCTGAAGTCTTCCAAATACATCTTCTCTGTTTCAGCCGCTTCTTGGAAGTCAGCACCGTCAGCGGAAACCATCTTCAAAAGAGGGGACTTGGTGTCTGAAGTCCATCTTAGCAAATCCAGAAAACCCTGCATAGCACCTGAAACGTCCCCGGTAGAGTACAACAATCGGCCTGACATAAACTTAGTACCTAGACAAGTTTTACACAATTGTGCCCTTACCCAAGGGATGCTCCACGCCAGATATGGCAAAGTCAAAGCACTGATGCTCGGACGCATCACGCCCTTCAGATTCCCAGAACAAAGGTGACAAGCTCTTCTCTGGGCGAATAGTAAGCAATCCATGCGCTCGCCTCAGTAAATAGGTAGTGAGCGGTTTCTGTAAATCAAACATGAGGGATGAACTGGCGGCAAGAAGTGTGCCATACAATGCCGCTTTTCTCGAGCCGCCGGGCAGCTACAAAGTACCACAGTGCTGCTCGTCGCTTCGCACCTTTGCGCACGCTCAGCAACGCTGCTTGAGCAAGCAAGAGAGCAGATGGCGGCTCATCAGCCTTAGACATAGTGATTATTTGAAGTTGTCAGTTTTGAATGTAGCCGGCACTGGCAGAATCACGTACGGGGCCTGCAGCCGAAACCATCCATCTATCGCCTTCAAGAGCGCTGCTTATCAAGTCTGTTTCCGAAATTCCGATATCCCAGCGCACAGCATAGGCAAGTGCACGGAGCTGTGCTTGAGGCGGTACCTCGGTGGTTGGCGAAAGAATGGCAGATATTGCTTGCTGAAAATGCGATTGAACTGTTGGCGTCGGGGCGACCAGAAGCGGAAGAATATCCTGAACAGTTTATGCCCATCTTGAGCTTGTGAAACCTCCGACTTGACTATTAAGCAGACTTACAGCTCCATCCTTGCCTTCCTTCCTCAGAACATCCCAGACTTGTATGGCAAGCTTAAAATCGCCAAGTATCGAAGCGAATTCTGCTAATCGTCTATGCTGGGATGGGGGAGGGGCCAGCACATATGATGGGTTCTGGGGCGAGGAGTAGGTTTGAGAGCGTGTGGGTAAAGTTGACAGAGATGGTGAGGATGTATGCGTTGGGCTACCTTGACCAGAAGAAGAGCCAAAGAACCGACGCGTTGTAGAGAATAGTCGTGAGGGAAGGCGACGACTAGAGGTGTACTACCTGATGATTAGAAGATACCAATGGTCAAAAGACGAGACCAACAATCTCACTCCAGTCCATGACCATCTTCTCCATCCATGGGACCAGGGTCATCACAACGAACTCACGAGTGAACTTGGCAGTCTGTTGGATGTCTTGTTCAGCGAAACGTATCGTATTGGGGGATTCAACGTGTATATGACTGGACGCATCATTGGGAGCTGGACCAGGCGCGATCCCTGTGGAGGACGGCTCAATGGGCACCGGAGGTAAACGAGGCATCAGTAATGGGACAGGTACTGGCTCCGGGGGAGGCGAAGGAAGGTTCAAAGGTAACAGGTAGACATTAGAGCCATATTGCTTTGTCACAGCATTCATGAGTGCCCCAGCCCTTCAGCCTTGATGAGCGCTGGCCCATGTAGGACTGAAGGAACTCACTCTTCGTCGCTCAACGGTGAGTTCTTCGGATGGACAATGACAGTAAACAGGAGATGCGTGGCGTCTACCCATGATGGAAATTCAAGAATGCGGGAATGAAGGGCAGTAATTGCCTGCAAAGGATTTGGCGCAGTCGTTGATGTGGCCAAAATAACTGATCTTCATAAGTGTATGCTTATTGATATAATCGCCAAAGTGAGCACGTACTGGACACTGGGTGATTCCAGCCTTCAGTTCTGGAAGGTACATGATCACCCTCTACACAGCGCTTGACCTCATTCCACCATGGCGTACGAAGACTGTCGCGATCGGGCTTGGCTTCCATGTCCTCAACCCATTTGGCACTCCTGTGTGAGACGCGCTCACTGATCCAATCCATGGTACGTGCCGCACGCTGGTTTTCGTCTTCGCGACATGCTTCCTCAATCTCGTGCAGTGGGGAGAAGCGGAGTGCAAAAGATGCGTGCGGCACATTCACCAGTCCAGTGGTACGAGTTGTTACTACAGAAAATGTCAGCGGAGCAGAATAGAAATGTTACGGAAGCTACCATTAGGCAAAGGGGAAAACGACTGGAGGATCTGATACAACGGAGGTAGAGAGGAACTTTCAAGAAGGTCATCGAGGTCTTTGGACTGAGATATACAGATGTGCGGACTGAGCGAGGCTGGCAACACTGGCGCCATGTTCTAAAGGTGAGCACTATAATCTTATACGAGACTTGCTGGAGGTTTGTAGTCAATGGGGGCGGCGTTGTAGATCGCAAATAGTACACGCACCCGAGATAGCTCTCTTCCAAGATAACCAACATATAACCGAGAAGCGCTGGACGAACCCCCGTCTGACGCGCGAATCGCGACTGTCGACCTGCAATCTCTCACGCGCGCAATGAATATGAATCAAGGCGTTGACTCGAAGCTTATTGAAGCAGCAAGTCTAAATCGTCGAAATAGCTTGTATAATATACCAGTTGCACTCATGCTCGATTAATCAGCTTAAAGGGAAGTAAAGCTACATGTCTTCCTTGCTACTATACACTGGCACCAGTTCTGTTGGTAATAACAAGCTCGTCCAAGTTAACCAAGACATTAGATCACCCAGCAATCCGGCAAACCCTCTAATAAACCCGCAAAACTTCAGAAGAGCCCTCCACCGAACCCACCACCGAACCCACCACCACCGAATCCACCATCGAAACCGCCACCGCCAAAGCCTCCATCGAGGACGTCTCCAAGCAACAAGCCTCCAGCAAGTCCTCCAAGGAGAGGAAGTGCCATTCCACCGCCACCGAAGCCGGCACGGCGCGTATATGCGCTCTGCGGATAACCATCGTTTGCCCATGGCGTTCCTCCGGGAGGTCCGTACCTGGAGGGTCCACCTAGCGATCCAGACATGCCGGGATACCCTGCATACGCGCTCCCTCCTATTGGCCGCCCTTGGTGTATCTGCTGCATGGCCGCAGCTCGGGCGCGGAGATTTTGTACACGAGCTTGACGATACTCTTCCTCAGCACGCGCTCTTTCTTCGGCTTGTTGTCTCTTATGTGCCTCTCGTTCCTCCTTTGTCCCGAGAGCCTTGTCCTTCAGTCTACTGAACATGCCGCGTTTCCGCCCTTCAGGATGGTCCTCCGCAGACGGAGTTTTGACGCCTGACAAGACCGTGCTAGATCTTGATACACTGGGCGATCCTCCGTCGAACGAATGACGCCTCGCGTTCTCGTACGGGGGAGGTGCTTCCAAGTCCGAGCTCCCGTATTTTGAGAGTTTGTTACGAATCTCGGGGTGTTCAACAAGAAATTGTTCATCCTCATAAGGATGAACCCATATCGCCCGTGGTGGTTTTGCTTTGGTATCAATCTGGAAACTGGTTTAGTGGTCTTAGAATAGGGGGCATCGTCGGTGCATACCCAGTAAGGATGGTCATGATTGCTGTCGAATTCTTGAACCCAACCCTCGGGAAGGGGTATCTTCTGGTTCGGAGACGTCATCGGTGGCGGGCGGGTGCAAGTACTGTAGGGAGTCTGAATGTAGGTTATGTCGATGGTAAATGGGCGGCTTTATATCCCAGGAGCTTGGCCTGTCTCAAAGTGTTCCTTGAAGCTTCCTCGGGCGTCATAACCACGTGAAGGTACAATAATATCGATGATTATTTATACCCGCACAGGATTATATTACAGGATGCGTTGTATTTCAGCATAGCCTGGTAAAGCGCTCAGCTCCTTGTACGGCGCACCGGTTTGATGTCATGTTCTGAAGGTGATCAATGCTGTAGGTATGCTGTCGTTCGTACCAGTGCTTGGTTTCCTGATCTTTCCCGGTGGATGGATAAAAATGCCCACTGCAATATACCATTATTGTATGCAGTGTATGATACTAAAGTACCTAACCACGCGGAATGGTAAGTTTGTTTTCGTCTCGGAGCCCATGACGAACTTCGGCCATAAACATACGCACTTACTGCGGAGCGATGAAGTCATCAACTCGAAGTCGCTAATATACACCACCGACAAGCATATGGACAGGGGCGCGTTTCCTTTATCGCCAAAAGTACCTGGGGTGAATGCTAAGCGCTCTCGGAGCACTGAGTACTTGAGTGCTGAGCGATGGCTTGCAAGAGTATTCCTAAGGATGAAACGCAAGACTCTCCGAGAATGGTATCCTGCAGTACAGTACAAGAATATCGATATTGCTCCGCAATCCGTCTAATTAGGTATGATCGATCTCATAGTCATCAATACAGAAGTAACTTGTTTACGATGCATGCAAGCGAGAGCAAACGAACCTGGCGGGCATGTAAGCGCAATACCGGTACCATTTAAACCTACGCTGTTGATAATGCTTGAATCATTTCCTGAATCTTTTGCACCTTCTGGTTGGTGGGCATCTGACGATCCTCACTTAGTGCGTTCTGACGGAGAAATCCATTGGTCAACTCACGTCAAAGAACGTATGCATCCTCTCTCGACGCTTTTGGTCTGCGGCCTCATGGCGAGCAACCTTCTCTACAAACGCATGGTCATCTTCTGGACGACGTGGCTGACGAAGACTCCTCTTGATATTCCGGGGAGAAGCTGAGAGACTGCTGTCTCTGCGCGAGAATGAAGATTGCGTTATAGGCCGCTGCACGTCGGAGAACTCGCGCTCCCATGGTGCCGGGGATGGTCCCCACAGAGCTGCTTCATCTACTTCCTCATGAGCAGGTTTTGATGGTTCCAACAGGTCCCACACATCATCCGCCGTGTGCCAGCCGCCATTCGCCTCCATCTTCTCAAGGAAATCCTCAAGCCTCAGTACCTCTCCTCGCTTTGCTGCATCGATTCCGCGCTGCCAGAAAGGTACAAGATCATGTACCTGGTCGACATAAGTGAATCGTTCTTTATGCCGCAGGCCCTCGGAGGTCAGAGGAGCAGGCTCCCAGTCGTGCTTCCAGCTCTCAGCTTCTTTTAGCCGTCGCTTATGCTCTGAGGACTTGCGCTCGTGAGCAATGGCAGCCTTGAGATCGAAGAAATGCAGTGGGCCTTTGCGAGTGGACTTGCATACGGTACAGATGAGTCCCTTGCCGTTAGGATGTTGTGTGAAATCTTGAGAGCACGTGTGAGCGGTGCGTCCTGGAAGTCAGTAATATAACATTGCTTACATTGCTCGTTTGCAAGCCGAAGGCGCGATTGAGATATATTTGACATAATGACACCTGTTGTGTCGCGCTAGTGAGACGAGAGGAAAGGTCGGAGGGGCTCATGAGTCGCTACTAAGTATGTCACCCTGTCCATTCTCATGGAACAGGACTACCCCTTGCAGCCACGTGTGAAGCCAAGGCGTCCATTTTTCTATGGAGGACATCCCGTGAAGCCTCTTAGAGGGCCTTCACTTTTACAAAGTCTAAATCAAACTTGCTGATGTATACCTTCATTCGTAGGATACTGCCTGCCACATGATCTCAAGTGGGCCACCAACGAAGACATCAAACATCTCAATAAAGATGTAATAAAGATGGCATTACAAGACAACACAAGTGTATAATACACGCCCAAGAGTGACAAATACCCATATTTACCAGGTCGCCGGCCTAAACGAGGGACGAGCACACGTTAGCTGGATCAAGGAAGCAAACAAAGAAGACAAAACACATACCCGAACGTGCCGGTCGGGGACACGAGGAGCGGGAGTGCCTGCCCATCGGCAGTGTTGAGGAACACATTGTTCCCCCACCACTTGGCGACGTTGTTTGCGCCAATCGTGCCATTGCGCGGGTACTGCAGGCAGAAGAAGACGAGGATGATCGAGATGGCGACGCCCGAGTCGAGCGCGGCGGAGAGGACGTCTGCGGGTGAGGAGGGGTCAATCAACGTGAATGATGAGAGCAAAAGAGGGAAGAAACGCACAGTTGTACTTGGTCCACCAAGAGAAATGACGACGCCGGATGACGTACTGGAAGATGAAGCCAGTAATGGCCCAGGGGACGTAGTTGAGAGCGCTGGCGGGGGGAATGTATCCAGTACCGCTGAAGATGATGGGCCAGCTGCACGGGGAGACATGTTCGTCAGACTATCGTGAATGGATTACCTACTCAAAACAAATACAACGTACTTGACGTAGCGAATAGGGCTCTTCGGCCACTTGAACAAGACAAGCCACGACACGGCGGGGAGGAGCGCACCGAGGAGGAAGAAATACGTGAGCGAGTGGTACAGCTGCCCGGCGGAGAACTGGCGTTGAGGGCCAATGACACCCCAGATGAAAGACGCCGTGCCGAACACCTCAGTCGACGGGCAAATGAAACCGTCCGGCTGCTTAGGGCTGCACATGTCCGTGATGTTGGTGAACATCCACGCCTGTACGCCAAGCTGCACCGTACCCGCAATGACGGTCGCGAACAACTGGCACCAGAACATTGAGCGTGGCGGAATCTTCATGTAGTGGCCGAGCTTGAAGTCGGCGACGAACTGCAGCGCCTGGTACATGGTGATGTAACCGTACGTCTTGAACATCATCATCGCGATCGGGCGGCCGGGGAGGGCGTAGCCGACAACGAGTTCGGTGATGACACTGAAAAACGGATTGGCGGTTAGGGTCATCGACAGAGACCAACGTCGCGAGGGGACTTACTTCAAACCGATCTGCTGGTTTGTGATGGCCTGGATCATACCGAGGGGGATGATGTAGAAGAAGGAGATGCACAGCGAAAGAACGAAGCCCCAAACTGGGAACTCGGTGTGCCAGACCTCAATGGAGACCACGCCCATGACAAACATAGCCACGAAGATCGTGGCATACCACCACTCAGGAATCTGTTTGTAGCGGGACATGAGACGAGCATGAATATCAGGCTGCTCGTCGAGCGAGCGGCGGGCCTGAGTCCAGATCTGCTTGCGGAAGAAGAAGATAGCATGGGTGATCGTGGCGGTCATGGAAGCGAAGGAGAGACCGTAAGAAAGAGCGAAGGTCGTGCTACGCAAGCGATGTCAAAAGGGAAGCCCATACTCATGCAATATATGCGCCACTTACGAAAGGAACAGGGGACTATATGCTTCGTAGGCCGTTAGATTGAGGGTCGACTGAGGAGTGAGAATCTTGGAGATATCATACTCGGCGCCAGTGTTGTCGAAGGAAGTACGAGACGAAATACTGTCGGAAATGATGTTCAGCCAGGCGCCTCAGGACTCAAGCTAAAATATTGCTTACGGCATATACTTGGAGTACCAGGTGTTCGAGTAATATAAGGCAGGAGTGATGATCCAGAAGAAGAACACGAAGCCACCAAAGACATTGGCCTCGGCCCACCAGGGGGCGGCGAGTGGACTTCCGATGTACGTGATCTGGGACCAGTCAAACGTGATCATGCTCATGCCCAGGCCGCTCTCGTAGCCGAACATCTGGTTGAGCGGGATGTTGTTCGGCGCGATCCAGCAGACCCAGGAGAAGTAGGAGAGTCCCTGGAAGAGGTAGCCAGGGAGGAAGTACCACAGCACGCCGCCAAGCCAGACGTAGAAGAAGAAGCGTTCGCGAGAGAGACCGCCGCGGTTACCGATACCGGCGTATTGCTGCGAGTGCAGGGTATTGAAGAGCGCGCACGTTACCAGGTTGATAGGCCAGACTGCAAAGTATCATGCAATTAGCACGCCAACGGATGAGAAATTAAAAATCAAACATACTCATAGACGGCGGCGAGACGAGGAAGCGGCGGAGGATACCTCCCATGGACAAGCCAATCAGCTGGGTGGACATAACCAGCATCCATTGGTCTGTGTGGTCAATTCGTCACGAGACCAAAAATAGAATGGTAATGTGCGTTCCAAGGAGTAAGAGAAGCAACGCCAACGCAACAGGAGCAAGAGTAAGCTTCTCGAACTACAAGCGATACAAGCATAGCAAGACTTACAGCCGAAATTGTAAATCTGATTATAATACACGCGTTGCACAGCGACAATGTCGGTCTAGTGCCTAGCGTAAGCTGACCTTGTCGCTATCTCTGGTAAACAATGAGACTCACAGCATACGCAGAAGGGCCACCGACGGTAGCCATGATCGTCACCAGGACGTGCTCCTTAATGGTGAAGGGACCGGGGTTGAGCGAATGACCGAAGATCCGCACGTTCGGCATCACCTATTTGCCGAAATGGTTGCATGAGGACAGATACGAGAATAACGGAAGACCAAAAGTCCGGAGAGGTACGCACAGCGGCCCAAAGGCGACCAAGAGGGAAGGAAAGGAGCTGGGCGGCCAAGCTGGAAATGTTGACGGACGGGTATCGGAAGAAGAAGAACTGGTTAAGACCGGGGATGATCATGGCCCATATGACGCCTACGAGATAACGAATTAGGGGTCGTTAGGAGCGGACAGAGGCGCCCACAAGACGGCGGGCATACCCATAATCCAGGCGCGCAGAGTAGAGCAAGGAATCTCGGGGTCATCCGTGTTCGCAACGGCAGAGCGAACCTCAGGGTACGGGGAGTCGTCCTCTGAAAATGACCGCGATGGTGTTAGCGTCCCGGAAGCAGAGTGGAGGAGAGTTGAATAAGCTCACCGAGGATCCCAGCAATGGCCTCGTTGTGGTCGATGTTCGGGTCGTCAAAGTTGGCCTCGAGAGCCTCGACGACCTGGACGGCCTCCTCCTCCTTTGGCTCAACCTTTTCGAGGTCAGCGCTGGGGCTGTAGCGTTCTTCTGCCTCCAAGTTCGCGGCCATTTTCAGCTCAGCCGTTGGGCGCGGTGAGGGGGTGCTAGATAGAGCACGGGCGATATGAAAGCCTGGAAAGGCGCTGTCCGGGGACGCGAAAAGCTTTTAAACGGGAGTGAGACCTGTCAAGGGGGAGATAGGGATGAGTCCACATGCTCGGCGGTGGAATCAATGTTGAGTTAGCGGATTTGCTGCATGGTCGCCGAGGAAAGATGCACGTTGCAAGATCTTGAAATGTATTAGGATCGCGTAAATTCCAAATTGGTGAGATCATTACAACCTGCTCCATCATGGGGAAATAGGCGCAGGACACCTATAATTAGTCCGATCCTGGTTCTGTTGCCGGTCACCCGACAAGTTTAGACGGCGCGTGCTGCTTTCCGGCGCACACCGACGCACGCGGGACGCAGGTACATCCGAGTCGTGTGCTCTCGAAGCTTGAATCACGCGTGCTGGCCAGACAATGAGCACTTAAGCTAGAACCCCGCGCAAGCACGCAGCGCAGCGCATGGTCCGTAGAAATCGAAACGACAGGACGTACAAGCGAATTGATCATGAAGCCTCACGAATCATGCGCACACCGCTCCCGAACCCTAGGCAAGATAAGCTCTGTTTCGATTCTCCTCAGCAACCGTCATAAACTGGCATGTCATATCCGACTTTGATATGATATGTTCCTATGTTCCTGAGAGATCTTCCAACTGCAGACGGACGGATCCACACATTGCTCATGATCATGGCGACTGACGATTAGGATGTTGCTTATCATGCCCTACTGTAGTGCCATGTGGGGATTCACCTTGACTACTTGGCGCTGCAATATCCCTATGTTTAGATTATCAAGTCAAGTCCGCCGTGAAGTGGAGCCGCAAGCACTGAGCAGTGATAGCAGTGCTAGCGGACAGGTGCAAAAGGTTGTCGCCTAAGGTTAAAATTCGGCGACGTTGCGCAACGCACCGTCTGAACGCTACAGATGAGCACGAGTGTGGAGGTTAGTGGGCGCAAGGAAGCATGTGCGTCCGGACATATTTGGAGAGGGCTGGACGAGCGATCCGCAACCCATGCGCAAATGGAGCTGCCGAGGGAGATAAAGCCGCACGCACACACGACAAAATAGCGTGCGCCACATCCAAGTCGAGTAGAATCGAATCAATTGATAGCTTTCCACCTGGTCAGCGCTCACGAATCCGTGTGCCGTATCCGCCAGCCACACACTACGCGTAGCCGTCAGATATGCATGGCTCAATATATGAACTGACGCTGGATGTAATACATATGCAGTTGACCAATAGCCGAGTATAATCATATGGATATCACTTCAAGACGCCCCGGGAAGTGGATCCACCCAAGTTCCATTTGGCCACAGAGTGGCTGGCATGGTGAAATCACCAACAGTATCACTGCTTTGCAACTATCACGGAATAAAGAAGTTAGCACGAGTTGACACCAGTCATGAGCAGCTTATACACGTACAGCAAGCCGGAAGAAATGAGGTAAGCTTGCATTCAGGCCTTGGAGCGAGTAGTTCAGCGCCGTCCCTGAATAGCGTTCGACATCATCGACTAAGAGCGCAAAGGTACTCCAGCCTTCTTGTGAAACAGAATCCGAGATTGAAGCCCAGTTTAGTACTTGACTGCTAAGAGGGATGGTTGCGTTATATGTTGTGGAGTTTGTAACGAATGACGGCAATGCTGATCCTGTTGGACCATCCCGAACCAACTGTCAAAACGGTCAGTATATGCAGAGATACATCTAGATTGAAAACCTACATCAGCTGCGGTCTGCAGTATTGAGTCAAACCCAAAGGCTGCGACTCCATTCAAGAACATGCCAAGCAAGAAACCTTGGTAAATGGCCGAAAGCCTTGTTGGAAAACCAGTTCCCGGTATAAGGACCATAGCAATTACGTAGTGATGCAATCGGAACTCCAGACCAGGCAATAGGGCGAGTACCATCACAACCAAGCCGCCGAGAATATACCAGCCGGCATAGTATGGAAGCCAACCAGTTTTGCGAATGATACGGATCTGGTTGACCACCAGAACAAGTAATATCAGGACAATGATGACCAGAGCAGTGACTCCCCCTGGCTGTTCCTTGATGTCGGCAGGAGTGAGCCGGTCGATGGGTATTTTGTCCATGGTGAGGTTAGTCAACACTCCGGTCCAGAACGGAGCCAAGTACCATATCATGCCCTCGAATGGTGCATTGACAAAGACGGGGAGGGTGAAGCGGAAGGCAAGCCGCCAGAACGCGTAGCCGACGAAAAGGGAGGGAAGAAAAGCGCCGAAAGCAACATCAAGGGGTGGGGGGGTAGCTTGTGGCTGAGAAAATAATGTGACATGCCAGAAACCTATACAGAGAAGGGACCAAAACAGCACGATGGGTTTAGGACGAAGCACAAGGAATAGCAAACAAGTGATGAGAGTGTTGAATGCAAGAGCAGGATTCCGAAGGTCGGTACAATGCTTGAGGGCATTAGGAGCGCTAAAAACTAAGGAAAGGGGAAAGTTCGAAGGAAAGCCGATGGAAGATAGGCCAAACGCCGAGGTGGGTAAGTAATTAGAGAAGTTACCAATCAACTGGACGGATGCACATCCTCCTGTAGAGTCGCTGATCAAGCCGCTGCCGTGTTGTCGTGTCAGAGAACAAATGGATATGTTTTATGACGTAAAGACTCACGCTTGAATGGCGGAGGCACAGATAAAACTATCGCCCCTGTAAGTGCGGTTAGGATCTCCGCCTCCGACAATTAAGGGCTGGAAGTCGACTTCGATATCTCCGACAACGCGGGGGTTCTGAAGGACGGTGGAGCTGCACTGAGCAGGGCACCTGAAATCAAACGGCTCGGCCGTGAAAGGCTCGCATCCTTCACCGTTCAATCCACATCCGGCATTCTCGACCCAGTAAACTGAAGTACAGTCCACGAACGCATCAGCTGGCGTGAGGTACCACTGAGCTCGCGCAAGGAATGCAAACACGACGATGTACGCAGCTCCCAGGACGACCAGCAGCCAAGGAGATCGGAAGGGGCGAGTGAAACGGATAATATAGGGTTCGATGGGGATGGGGAAACGGAATCCTCGAATGCCGTAACTACCTCCCAACAGAGGTATTGGGTCTGGGGAGTTTATTGAGCTGACATATGCAGAGCGAATTCCACTGGCATACCTGCTAAGTCGACTTTGGGTCGAGGGCCATTGACATAGTCACTGACTGCAGAGAGCCTCCTATGTGCATTGGGAAAACGTCTTGCAAAAGCTTTCGACAACTTGTGACCCCGTGAAGAAGTACTATCCGAGAACCGGTCAAGTTCGTTGCCGCGTTCTAGCCGAACGCTATCCTTGCCTCGATCATGGTTTAGGCTGGCGGTGGCAACTTGGGTTTCCCTGGATGAGTTAGAGCTGCTGAGAGGGTTCATGGCGAGAGAGCATGCGAGACGAGGCTCCTCGAGGATCCCACACGACCTCCTCGATACACACAGGTCTTTAGGGAATATTGATGACTGCGCTGCGCTAGGATAAATTTAGAACACAAGGGGTATTAACAGTACCAGTATGGCAGGCGCTACCCAATACTGACAAGATGTCACTACATCCAGACCTTTGATATTCGCCCGATTCAACTCCATACTTACGCAGTCATAAACTCATGCACATGTACGACCCGCTATGTGGGTTCAGATATTTTATTTTATTTTTATTGTCTTGTGCAAGGCTCCGCCCTATGCAGGACTGTATCGATGTGTTCAGGTGTTGTTCTCGATTTCAGTGCAAACCTCACATATAGTCCGAGATAAAACACCATTGTTTCAACATGGCGAGTTGCCATGAGATATCTATACCAGTAGGAGATGCATAGCTCGGTACTCAGTACTCAGTGGCTGCAGGTGACATGTCTTGCGGTAGGCCTGGTGAAGTTCAACCAGCCCTTGGTTAGAACTTGAGAAGTCGCTGACACTCTTTGTAGCAGTCGTCAAAGAATAATATTACATAGTCCTCTACACCCGAGCTTAAAGTGCCGGCAGGTAATTGCGGTTTGTTCTACTCGAGATATCAGTTGTTCGTTCCCTCTGCAATCATTAATATCATCAACAATCATCGGACCACAAAGCAAGCACAACTCACGATAATCATAATACATGTGAACAAGGATTGGACCTTCACTTCTTTCAGAAGAAGTGAACTTGATGTGCCTAGCATATCTCCTAACTCCGTCCTTCTCTTCGAAGCCCCATATCTAGCGCTGTCAGGATAAAGGCAAGGACTACCAGAACGTTAACTTACCTGGTTGGCCCTCCAATCTTTGCCACTAATTGGGGTATCACTCCATGCCAGCGCCTCAATAGCCTGATCATCGACAGTGTCCTGGGTCCAACCAGTCTTGAGGAACTCGTCTTCGATCTCATCGAGACTGACCCGACGTGACTTGCCTACGACGGCGCCGAAGAGGTCGTCGTTCGTGTGGCGGTCTTCCCAATTCATGACACGATTCTCCGTGGTACCTGGAATACCTCCTGAGAGCCGCTGGTCGATGTCAATATGCTCAAAGCCATCATCGCCGGTGGTGTGCTTGACGTAAAGAGTCAAGTTAAAGTTGGCAATGGCCTTGCGCTTGAACCAAGAAACGCCCTGCAATCTAAGGATCTCGTCGGTGCTATCGCTGAGCGTCTTGTTCTGTGTAAAAGGCTCAAAGGTAAGTCGAGTCAAGGAACGAATGGTCACGATGGAGTACTTGCGTGCAGGTAAATGCCAGTGAGATTCTTGGTAGTGATTTCCGGGGGTGTGGCCATGACGGTGGGTACTATTGAGGGCAGGTATAAGAGTTAAGTATAACGTTAAGAGCTGTCAACCTGGGGAGGTTCGGGAGACTAGCAAGGGGACAGACTTATAGATGTCGGAGCGAGTGGGAATGGCGGCAACCATGTGAGGGCGGGGAGGGTGTATTCACATGTCCGCCTCTGTACATGACATCAACAATTCGCATGAGCCAGCTGGCCAATATGGCATATTCGGACCTGATCAAGGCTAGTTATAGAACCGACAAGCGGGCTAATAAGCGCTTAAGCACTAACGCATGCTCTTCAGAAACCTTAAAGTTATAGCCCCCCATGTGATAATATTGGCCTTTCCTCATGTCCCGACATGTGCGATTATGCCTGATTATGCTAGCCCTAAGCTGCCGGCTATGAGAACGTCCTTGAGAATGTCAGTAGAATAAACTGGCAAGGCATGATGCATGGTGATTGTGTATGCGAAAGAGGTGGACACTTATAGTGACCCGTTAACGATCGATTTTGGTGTCATACACCAGCCACGAAGATGAATACCATTGGTTCACTTGGGCGCGAAAATCGTTATCACTCTCCAACCCGCGTCCTTGCCCCGCTCCCAAGCCTGCGGCCCGCGTGCCTCTTGTCCTCCAAATTCGACCATAATGCCATCCTTCGTCCATTCGCACCAAATTCCGATCGAGCCTGATGATGGCCCGGATCCGCCCCCCTTTCGCGCAGGTTCTCCGAGTGAAACGACAAAGTCCTGTCCTATCGTCTCGTGCGTCACAGACATTGACTGAGGTCGATCTTTATCCTCTGGCGTACTTGTTGCCAGAGAGAGGACTATAGGCGACGCGGGAAATGTTGAGAAAGCAACTTCGGCCGTTTTAGACTTGGTCTCTGTAGACTTTGGGGTATTATATATATCCACACTGCTCAGCTCGAGACAATCATCCTTGAGCTGTTCCCTGCGTGTGCCTGTGCTGGGCTTGTACCCTTTGGTAGGAGCGAACATGAGACTAAGTCCGAGGGCATAATAGTTAAAGTACACAGCATCTGAGTACGCTTTGACCTCGGGAGAGTCGATTTGAGGCGGATCAGATGCGTTGGATTGCTGGTTGATATACGAGAGGCATTCGCGAACGATCGGCGATGCTGGAGAATGACCAAGGATATCCTGAATGCTGACACTAGTAGACATGACTCAAGCCTAAGTGGGGTGAAGGGAACGGAGGCAAGTCACGTCACTCCTGGTTTAGCCTTTTCGTGACTGAACGACGTGACTTCATAAACACCTGTCACCAACATACATCATCATCGAGCTGCCGGTTGCACGTTCGACTCAAACCTCGATCGCGACATGGCGTCTCGGCCTGTTGTCAAATCTGAGAATTTGAACGAAGATGGGCTAAGGAATAACTCCAATTCACCTGCTCGCACAGTCAACGACTCGGACTTCCCTCCTTTCTTGAGATTTGTTCTCCCCCTTTTACGACTTGCACAGGATCTTACAGCACGGGCCTTTAGCTTCTTTGCCTCACGTCTCGCTCCTGTTGCCATTTTCATTTCCCTGATTCCAGTTCTCCTGTTGCTTTCTTTGATCGCTGGCCTGTACGTATGGAAAACCATCGCTGTAGGTTGGACCGTTCCACTCTACCTTCAGTACGGGTAAGGGGTACATATGCCTATGGTCTTATTTCAATCTTCATCATTTTTAACTAGCGATGGCACGTCCCCTTACGCTGAGGTGGTCCTCCCTGGCTTATCACCATATCAATCTTACGACTTTTCTCTGCATCTCGCTGTCCCTACCTCGGAAACGAATTATGCTCTAGGCAACTTCATGACGTCACTTACCCTAACCACTCCTTCAAACAGAAGTCTTACATCCGTTCGCAAACCGGTCAGTCCAAATGGCATGTAAATTGAAGTTCTTTCAAACGCATACGCGCATTTAGGCTATCATTCTTCGCCCTACGAAGAGTCACCTCCGTTTCTGGTCGTCAACACCCTTGCTTTTGGATCTGGAGGTCCCGCTTCTTGACTCCTTTGTACCTGGAACGTCGCAGGTGGTTGCGAGGGTGGAAGTCGGGCGACGGGATGAGTGGACGAATCTTGGTCGTGGTGAAGGACGCGAGCTTACTGTCATTACGACCAACTTGCGCGGGACTGTCAGACGCAAGGGCCTCCGGCAAGTCACTGCACCAACTGTGGATACTTTCGTACTCATGACAATCTTTAGCGGCTTGATCGCGAGTTACCCTATTATGTTCTCGCTGGCATCTTCTATGGCATTCATGACAGTATCAACCTTGATACTCATCGCAAGCATGCTTCCGGCGATGCAAAAGAGGCTAGTGGCAGATGGCGCCATCGCCTTACCGGCGGAGACCCAGCAGAAAGAGGAACGTAGCCCCAAGCCAGCTCGTCGCAGAGCACTCTCCAGAGATCAGGCCCGGAGGCGATCTCGAAGCGTTGTATGTTCCGTTCAGTATCCTTTCTGCTTTTTTCTAAGATCGGTTGTAGGACCCCAAGGCGGAGGAGAGCGTTGAGATTCCTCCAGCGTCCGGCACGACAAGTACCACGCTTCGACGCCGCCGCTCTGGTCTTTTGTTCACTGAGTCTTGATGTTGCCATTACATGTCATATTGTAGTCAGAACTACTAGTCCATGAAGGGCTGGCCTGTCCCTGCAGCACATGTGTGTTCTGATCATGTCGCCAAGTTGTATGTATTTTTATCGGCATTGACATTCGCACATAATGAATCGAAGAGCGGGTAAAAAGTTTGGCCCGTGCTACGTGCATTCCGGGCATAATGAAATCAACGGACCCGAAGCCTGGCAACAAAGGACATAATTGCTGGACGGGATGCATTTGTACTAGTGCAAGGGCGCCTTCTGATTTTCAATGCCGTAGCCGGTACCCGAGCCTATGTAGTTGATGAACGTGGATAGCTTGTCTCACTTCCCCAACGTCTTAGGTTACCACCATCGTCGCTCCTCCAGTACTTATCTTCTCGATCAGCCCGTCCGAGTGTAGAATTGAGCATTAATCGGTATGGATTCTCTGCGGGTCGAAAGTCTCTTTGGAGTCAAGGACAAGGCGGTCCTCGTCACTGGTGGGTCCCGCGGCATAGGGAAAATGGCAAGTAGCCTGCGACATTCGGATTGTGACCTCACCGCTCACGGAAACTACGTTTACCCGACTAGATCGCTACTGGATTCGTGAAGAACGGTGCCAAGGTATTTGACCACATATGGCCACGATTGCCCGACGCCTTCCCTCTTCTGTTTAAATCAGCCATCCTGACATGACGCTTGGATAGGTGTACATTTCGTCGCGGTCAGCTCAGGACTGCGCGGAGACGGCGAAGGAGCTATGCGCGTTGGGGCCGGGTGAATGCGTTGCCATCCCCGCAGATATGCAGAAACTCTCGGAAGTTGAGCGGCTTGCTAAGGAGCTGGCGGCGAAAGAAGGCAAACTGCATGTCCTTGTGAACAATGCGGGCGCGACGTGGGCCGACTCGATCGACAACTACCCTGTGGGTCCATCATGCTATGCTGCCTTCAACCCGATCATTTATTAAAACGCTATCAGGACGGTGGTTTCTCGAAAGTAATCAACCTGAACTTGCAGCGCGTCTTCACGCTGACACAGAAGGTTCTCCCTTTGCTCCGGGCGGGCGCGGAGGCAGGTGGGAAGATTAACGACGTCTATGCTGATCCCGCAAGGATCATCAATGTGAGATCGCTGACGCAGTCGTTCCTTTCTCTTTGAGGCCTGACAATCCCTCTAGATCGGCTCCGTGGAAGGCCTTATGGTACCGAATCACGACACTTATGCGTACTCGGCATCAAAGGCGGCACTTCACCACCTCAGTCGTCATATGGCAGGTAGGCTGGGCTCAGAGGGCATACATAGTAATGTCATAGCTTGCGGTGAGTACTACATCTTCCTTCGATAGGTGTCGATGTCTAACTCCTAGCGTCCATGTTGTAAACAGGAGCTTTTCAAAGCAAGAGTAAGCGATCTTTACTTCGATACTGGTGACCATCTATCTGACGGTAAATCCTTAGTGACCGCTGGACTTTTCGAACAAGCAGGCGAGGTTATTATGTCCCACATTCCTTCCAGCCGCTATGGCACACCTGAAGATGTTGTTGGAACGACTCTCTACTTGTCAAGCCGTGCCGCTGCCTATGTTAATGGGGCGACGATTGCCCTCGACGGTGGATGGCTTGTCCACATGCCAATAGCCAGCAAACTGTAGGATTTAACACATCCATTCACATACACTCGTTTTATCAGACTAATGCTTACTTTCGTTACATTCTAAATCAAATGTCCTTTTCGATATTTTAGACAACATCTGATTAATTGCATTTCTTGTACATGGTTCATTCAACGGAGTTAACTATCATTTACTTGTCCGACTGCTCTGGCGCTTTCTCTGAACTCTTCTCCGAAGGTTCCGAAGGTTTAGAGGTTTCAAGCTTTGTGTCCTTACTTGAATCTACCTTCGCCCCTTCTTCACTGACGTTTGTAGCCTCTTCCTTACCTGCAGCTGCCTTCTTTACTTCTAGTCCTTCAGCGGGCTTGTCTCCAACACCTCCTCCAAGGCTCTTTACCATCTCAGCAGCTTCATCGCCACCAAGACCCAGATCCTCCACCAGCTTAATCAGATCGTCGTCGGTGACCCGCACACCTTGCAGACCAAATCCCTCCAGCTCTGTGCTGACGTCGTATTCGCCTTGCCGTTTGTTTACTGGTACCGAGGGTGTAGCAGCGGGAAAGAACTTTGGCTTGTGATGCTCCGGTGTCATTTGGGCGAGGGGGACTGCGCCTGGAACACCAACAGGCTTCACGGCCGGTGCTGGACGATCATCGTCATCGACGTTCCAAGTCTCGTTAAGCCGAAGGAAGGTGTCGACTTCGTTGTATTCTACGGCTTCCTCACTGGCGGCGAGTTTAGACTAGTAGCCTCATCTTGACCGGCTATAGAGATACGTACAACTCATCGAACGTCTGTTTAGCCGTCATCAGTGAGATGTGTAGGCTGAGCAACATTAAAGTCGCACCCCAGGGTACTTTCCGCCGACAAGGATACCAGGAAGCTGCTGTTTATCTACAGTTGCAGTGAGATGACCAGAATGAATGTCACAGATATGGGAGGATCATGCCTAGAGGGGCCTTTCTCTTCCATAACCGCTTTGCGTCCTCATCTGAAGCAAGGTCGTAAGATGTATAGGTAATCTTCTTGGTCTGGAGAATGCGGAGGATATAATCTGGATGAAGGGTGATAAATAGGGGTGACGAGGATCAGTCCGTTGGTCTGGCACCTTGTCGTTTGCGAAGAACGGGCTGGGTGGCAATCGTGGTTAGGAAAACCTGTATGGGTGGATGCGGCATGGTAGGTAAGCACAGGCGAGAAACGAGGAGGGGAATAGAGAGTCGGTTGAAGCTGCAGCACGGGTATGTAATAGAAGCTCAGATCAAGCGATGGTGCTGTCAAGGCAGCGGGTGTGAGTATGCAAGATAAGATTAGATTGAGTATAACGCATCTCACTTGTTCACGCGCACGCTTCATAACCCTCTTGCACTGATGGCCCCCTCAGTGCTCATTGTCTGCCTCGGAAACATATGTCGCTCCCCCATGGGTGAAGCTGTACTTCGCCACATAGCCGATGAGAGAGGGATCGATATCACGGTGGACAGTGCAGGTACCGCTGCCTACCATCAGGGAGAAGACCCAGACCCAAGGTGAGCCTCAGTTCCACTCCGATTTTTCATCATCCCAACTTGCGCAATTAGAACGGTAGATGTATGCAGGAAGGTAACTTCGCAAACGTCAGGCGCATGCTGGCCGATGAACATCCCGCGCTCACGACACGCTCTCAGAACAACGTTCCTATCGACCACAGGGCTCGAAAGGTGATCCAGGCGGATTTCTCCCGGTTCCAGTACATCCTCGCAGCGGATAAATCGAACCTCTCCAACTTGCAGAGCATGAAGCCTCAAGGCAGCAGCGCCGAGGTGCGCCTGTGGGGCTCATATTTGGACGGTATGCCGATAGCAGATCCGTACTACGGAGGAAATGTTGGTCTCGTTGCACGCCCCTCGTATTCGTACACGCATCGATCAGTTGAATCCTTTGCTATAGGACGGCTTCAAGCAAGTCTTTGAGCAATGCGAGAAGCTATCGAACGCGTTTCTCGATCAGGTCATCGGGAAGGAGTGAGATATCCTAGATTCAGTGCATTCTATTCCTGGAGCATCCGTGAGTTATAATTACACATGCATCATGCAAAGTAGGACCCGAAGGTCGAATCGTCCAGATGTTATCTACGATAAGTCAAATTTCCTGGACAAGCCCACGTTAGTTGTGTGTAGGCATGTCGACCGAAGCGCGGTTGCCAATGGCATCATCCGCGCGCCAGAGACTCGTGGTGGTCTACAAGAGGACACGTTAACATAGCGCTGAAGATGATATAATGATCGGACCAACCTTGTTCTGAGTGTAGAAATTGATTCCACTAGGCAACATGGTCAAACAAAGAACGCCGGGCGAGAGAAACCAATTTACCTTGGACCGTAGAAGCCGATGTCACCCAAGACACTAGCCTACAGAAGGGATGAAACACAGTTCATCAATGGTTTTCAAGGAGCTTGCCTACCTTGTTTCCACTCCAGGCAAACATGGGCAAGGGTACCGGAATAGGGACATTGATGCCAACTTGGCCTACGTTGACATAGGTCTCGAATTTGCGAGCGGTAGCACCAGATTGAGTAAAGATGGCAGTCCCGTTGCCGTACTTGTTGAGGTTGACGATGTCAATAGCATCATCCAGAGTATCAGCAGTAAGGACCGTGAGGACGGGCCCGAAGATCTCCTCCCTGACCATAACGATTAGGAGCGAATACCCGAATACATGAACAGGGCGCACTTGTAGCAACGCATCGAGGCAACAGCTTCGACGACGGTGGGGCCAACGAAGTTGCCGTTGGGATAGCCTGGCACATTGACGTTGCGACCATCAAGATGAATCTTGCCACCCTCATCTGCAGCCGATTGGATCAGCCCGGAGACGCGTTTTTTTGCTGCAGGTGAGATCAATGGGCCCCTGAAAGCGCTATGAGAACGGATTTACTGCTGAACTGCAGGGCTTACAGATCAGCGCCCTTTTCAAATCCGCCGTTCACTTGGAGGGTTTTTGCGCGCTCGACAAGTTCCGGAAGCCATGACTGGGCAGTCCCAACCAAAACAACTTCAAGGTGATATCAGACATCCGTTGAAAGGAGAAGGTATGCCTTACCAACTGAAGTGGCCATGCAACGCTGACCAGCGGCTGTTTACCTTAAGTAAGATCACTTGAAAGTAGTGTGTTGCCCCATCCTCACCTCCGAATGCGGCACCCAAGACCGAGTTGATGGTGAGGTTTTTGTTCGCTGCGAATAACGTTCAGCAAGCCACACTGTAAACAGGGTGGTGAGGATCACCATCGGGCATAATCACAGCATGATTCTTAGCGCCTAAGTTCGCCTGTTATGTGGCATGAATTGAGTCATACATTTTTTAGTCTGAAGACTCACTTGCACGCGCTTTCCATTCTTTGTACCCCTAGTGCATGTTATATCATTCGAATCAGTCGGCAAAGGTTTGATCCCCTCAGACGACGAACCTCTCGTAAATGTGTTTTCCAGCACGATCTCCTCCAACGAAGCTGATGGCTTTGATGGCAGGATCATCGCAGATGGCGTTGACCGTTGGGACCGTACCGTGCACAACGTTGAGGACACCAGGAGGAAGGCCTACGATGGACATTGTAAGGCATTCAACCTCAGCCCTAATTACACATACCTGCGCGTTCGCAAAGCTCGGCAATAATCATGGCAGCACCGGGGTCTCGTTCTGATGGCTTGAGAATGAGGGTGTTGCCTGTGACTGCTGCCATTGGAATAGTCCAAAGGGGAATCATGCTAGGCTTGCTTTAGACAAGACAAGAGTCGAGGAATGTCGTCGAGCTTACGCAGGGAAATTGAACGGGGCTACACTGTTATTCCGAGGTGAGACAACTTTGTGGTTCACACAATTGTACCACAAACCTAGCACAAACACCAAGGGGGAGCTTGCGAACCTCGGTGTCCATATCCTTACTAACTGCAAAGAAGAAGATGCCTTGTCCAAAGACCAGAAGGGGGGAGACATACCTTCAATCTTGCTACCAAGTAAAGTGGACGTTATGCCAATAGCCGTCTCCACTACTTGCAAACCGCGTAGGACATCGCCATGTGCATCTACGAAGGACGTACATGAATGAATCCGAGGCCATGAAAGTAAGAGACAAGACCATACCGGCAAGCGTTTTGCCCTGCTCAAGCACAATTATGTTAGCTAATGCGTCTGCATGCTTGCGAATTTGATGTTGCAGCCTTGTGTAGCAAATAGTCAATGGGCTGCAACGGAAAGTAAAAGGATATAGTCATACTCGATCGCGAAACGTTGCCTCCCCAGCACGCTGACTTTGCTCCAGTCTTTGTACGCTTGTGAAGCGGCGTCTACGGCCTGATCAAACTCTGCGGACGTAGTCTCCGGAACACGGGTAATGGGGGTTTGGGTGGCCTGCAGAGGCATGTTTGTTAAGTGGGGCGCTTTCCTTGTCACAATAGGTAAGCTGCGTACAGGATCCAGAACCTGGAGCCAGTTTGAAGCCTTGCTCTCGACAAACTCGCCGCCGATGTAATTCTTGGTGGTCCCCCCTGTTGCGCTGGAACCTTTCCAGTCCGCAGAGATCTGTTCAGCTTTTGCTTTAGCGGCTGAGTTGAGCCCCGCCGCGGTGGCGTAAGAGCGTTTGATAGCAGAATATCGGGTGAGCCGGGCGAGAGACATGGAGGTGAGGGAAGAAAGGGCGTGTATGGGCAGGCGAATGTATGTGTGGGGGTGTGGGCCGAGCTCCGTGTTCCGTACACCCGAGTTCCGTTTAGCCGGTGCGGTGTCACGCAGCCGCGTGATGGGAAGTCCCGTGACACGTAACGTGTGACAGTCGCGCGTTTGAGTGTCTCGGTCGGGCTAAAGTGAGCTTGCACGTCGTCCTCCATCCCCGGCTTGCAAAAGTTTGAACGGCTTGTTACTCGACGTGGACTCTGGCGCGGCGGCGGCAATGAACCACTACTCCAACGGCATCACGCATGGCGCACAACCCCAGCACGAGAGCTTCACCGCTCTCCTTAACCAGCCAGACATCCCCCCTATGCACAACCACAGTAACAACGCTCAGTGGCATCAGCAAAATCCACAAACACATCCAAATCACGTCTTTCCTCAGCAGCAAAACTCTTGGAATCACGCGCAACACCAGCAGCAACAGCCACCTCCCAATCCACATCCACAGATACACATTCCTGCTGAACAAGACGCGTCCACTTTTCCTGCTCTCGCTCAGAATACCCCCTTCCCCGCCCCGAACCCTCAAGCCATCAGCTTTGCCTCGTTTCTCCAGCCAAATGTCGTACAAGACCTAATCAGATTGAGCACTCCCGTCGGCCAATTTCCCAACGACGATCTGCTCCTAACTCAGGCCTTGGCTGATGCCAAACGATCCGGGAAGTCCTACAGGCAAGCCCTGGACAATCTACATGGGGTGAGTGACTCTGCCGCTACCAGTCAAGAGCTTTCACCTCAGATTCTATAGGTAAATAATCACTCTGCCAACCTCTGGAAAGACTATTACTTGGACCACCACGACCGGTTTGAGATCCTAGTGGCGCGGGCAGTAGAACAGCCAGTCAAGACCGTGAAGAAACCCTATGTGTCTTTTGACCCATCCCGTTCTCGCGAGTCATCTCTGAACCCCCAGCAAGGACAGCCTGTTTCTCGCACCGAACGCAAGCGCAAATCTTCACCTCCTCCTAGCCCGCCACCTGCTCACTCGAAAGGCAAAGCACGGTCTTCATCGCAGACCACAACAAGTCAGCGTGGCTCACAGGCTACTGCAAGCGCTTCCCGTCCTCCCAAGCGGTCTAGGCACACGATGAACAGTCTCTCTGCACCTTTGTATACTCATAATAACCCCAAACTCCCGCCGCCACATATGGATATACAGATTCCCGATCCGCCCTCTCGCTCGCCGACGCCCCCTACACTCGTTGTGTCTGGCACACACGGAAATAAGTATACACCAGCTGACCGAGACTACTTTATCAAATTTATCTCATGGCGACTCAAGAACGATCCCTCTCTGAACAAGAAAGAGCTATGCGAACTGCTTGAGAAAAAGGTACGTAAAAAGTACATGTTAACATGACGAATGTCTCAAACGTTCTCGTAGGCCCCGCACCATACTTCTCAGTCTTGGTCATCACATTGGCATGCCAGGCACGATGTTGCCGACAAGATACTCGCAGCGGCGACCGCACGCTTATATAATGAAGTAAAGACTGAAGAGCCTCAAAGTATCCCGTATGACTCCCCAGAAGAGGTTGAAGCGGACGAGGATAGTAGTTCAGAATCAGAATCCATTGATTCTGACTACGGAAGTGTAGAAGGAGACACTGAGGATGATGTCAAAGAGATGGGCCAAGCAGGTTCTTCCTACACGAGAGGCGACTTCCGGGTTGTTGCGAAGCACATAGCGAGGACCCCGAATTGGGAGAATCTTACGGCTGCCGCCCGATGGGATCCACTTGCAGCGAGGGTGAGTTTTCTTGCTCTGGTCACTCACTTTTCTTAATCATTCCGGTTTAGTATCCAGACGGGCGGCATTCTAAGTCATGGAACGAATTTTACAGAAGAAACGACAAAGGTCAGCTGGTTGTCCCTCGCTACACCTCATTTCATGCTGAGATGTTGCCCAGTTTTACTTGGGATGGTACGCAAGATTCGCAGAATGGAGAGCCGGACTGGGAAACAGTCTTCTGTCAAGTCCCAGCGCGGGCGACCGTCGTGGGCTTCCAAGGGCGGGAAGAAAAGCTCTGCTGCGCACGAGAGTGATTCTGAGGAAGATGCAGAATACGATGAAGAAGGTGCCACTGATGATGAGACCGGCCAACGACGGCGACGTCGCTCCGAGGTTTGAACGTGGGGAACGCTGGCACCATGCTTGCCATGCAATCACTACTGTCGGCTAATGTGATTCTGTATATACATATTCTGACCTTTGATACTTACTTATGCGGTTAGTTATTCAACTTTAGCTACTTACGACAGTTCCTCAGCGACTAGGTTTACATAAACGAAGCATAACATGACAGAACAGCGCTGATGGGGTGTGTTTCTTCACGTGACTTGATTCGATCTTGTGGTATAAGTAGACGCTAGGGTAGCGGGTCCGTCGGCCTGCTACCACCTTCTGGTCGCGATCACGATCTACCTGACATCTTTGTGCACCATTCTCTAGCACTGAACCATGGATGAAGAATACGATGTAAGCAACTAGCGCGTCTATCGTTCACTTGGCTGATAACCAGATCAGGTTATTGTCCTAGGCACCGGTTTGACTGAGTGTATCCTGTCTGGCCTCCTCTCCGTTGAGGGGAAGAAGGTGCTCCACATGGATAGGAACGATTACTATGGTGGCGATAGTGCTAGTCTCAACCTTACTCAGGCATGCATCATCCTCTAATCACGTTGTTACGCGCTAACCTGTTGTTGACCCTCAGCTCTATGGGAAGTTCAGACAGCAAGACGCTCCCAGCGATCTTGGTCGCGACCGTGACTACGCTGTCGATCTTATACCTAAGTTTATCATTGCATCTGGAGAGCTCACCAAGATCCTCGTTCACACCGATGTGACGCGTTACCTCGAATTCAAGCAAATCGCGGGGAGCTTCGTCTACCGTGACGGCAAGATCTCTAAAGTTCCTAGCACTGAGATTGAAGCCGTCAAGAGTCCTCTCATGGGTCTTTTTGAGAAGCGTAGAGCCAAGAAATTCTTCGAGTTCCTCCAAAGCTGGAAGGACGAGGATCCTACCACTCATCAAGGTACTGGTCTTGGTGCATGTTTTGAACGATTTCTGACCATAGCTACCCAGGAATCGACTTGGACAAAGATAGCATGAAGACAGTCTATGAGAAGTTTGGACTCGAGCCCGGCACTCAGGACTTTATTGGCCATGCCATGGCTCTCTACCTTGACGATGAGTAAGTGAATAGCCACATCATTGCCTTTTGCTACATGACGGGCGTCCAGTTACATCACGAAACCTGCACGACCCACTTATGAACGTATTGTCCTGTACTCGTCTTCGATGGCGCGGTATGGAAAATCCCCATACATCTACCCTCTTTATGGTCTTGGCGAACTCCCCCAATCGTTTGCTCGTCTCTCGGCTATCTACGGCGGTACTTACATGCTCGACAAGCACATCGACGAGATTATCACCGACTCTGATGGCAAGTTTATCGGTGTTCGATCCGGCGAAGAGACTGTCAAGGCTAAGCAGGTAATTGGTGACCCGAGCTACTTCGGCGCAGGCAAGGAAGCCGATGGCGGAAAGGTCAGAGTCGTGGAGGACGGCAAGGTCGTTCGCGCCATCTGCATTCTCAAGCACACCATCCCCGGTACCGACGAGAGCGATAGTGTACAAATCGTTATTCCTCAGAACCAGGTCAACAGGCGGAATGGTAAACCTGCTCTTTCTTAGCATCTAGCGTAAGCTTACTGTCTCTGGCAGATATCTACATTGCTATGGTCTCGTCCACACACAAGGTTTGCGCGCAGGATGTCTACGTTGCAATCGTCAGCACAATTGTTGAGACCAGCACCCCTGAGCAAGAGTTGGCGCCTGGTTTCCAGCTTTTGGGAACTATCCACGAGAAGTTTGTGTCACCACCTTATACCGGATGAGCACTACTGACGTTGCGACTAGATTCGTCTCTGTCACGCCTTTGTACACACCAGTCGCCTCGGGCAAGGAGGATAACATCTTCATCACTCAATCATACGATGCCACCTCTCATTTTGAGACAGTCGTTGACGATGTCCACGACGTCTGGAAGAGAGTCGTAGGCAAGGATCTAGTGCTTAAGAAGCGTGAGGTGGAAGTTGAGCAGTAAATTCGCATTTGTACATTCACGCATTTCCCTCCGGCGCACCTGGAGGCTGTACTGTCTATACGCATGAAACTTTGACGCCTGCCTGATCTTGTTTTTACGGATATATTTCACGGAAAGAATTCATTCATGTTGAACTCGGGTACCTGAACATCGCGCTTTGCGGACTTCATTAAAGTACCGAGGCTAGCTTTCTTCGTCTGCAGGTCGCCGTTCTCTCCAATCGTTTCAAGACCTTTGGATGGTGGAGTGTCACTGTCGGGCGAAGTAGTAGGCGCGCTTGGAATTTCCATGTCAATCACCATGGAAGAACGGCGACGGTGTAGAGAAAACGAGTCTTTGTCTTTAGCCCTCGTGATAGCGTGTGTGTCTCCATCCGCGTTGAGTCCATTGGCAACAGAGTAAGACGGCTGGGTTGAGATGCTGGGTCTTTCGAACGACCAAGATTGAACAATGTCAAGTGCCAAAGCGTGGCATCCTGCGGGTAAGGATGTAAGCCTATTGCTTGGACCGGCTGCACGAATCTGGGCTCACCCATCCTACGAAAGACGCGGGCCATCTGGAGGACAAAGTTGAACTCGGCTCGGCCTGAGATCTCACTGGTGCCCTTGGCCGCCTGCAGAGTCTTATCTCGCAGCTGCGAAAAGAGCAGCGCGAGACTAGGATCGTCGTAACTTGACTCTTTGACCTCTTCGATGGTTATACTCAGTGATGTAACCAAATCTCGCAGAGGTGTCTGTGAATTTGTTGAGCAAGCGGATTCCAATAGTTGATGCGCATCGCGCCTCACCAAGAGAACTCTGACAGCCATATCTCGCCGATGAAGTAGCCAAAATGCCCAGCTGGCCAGCCACCGATTGCCATTCTGGAATGCAATGGGTAGAACGGTGTTGTTCAACAGGTCACGGAGGATCGGGCGCTCTGGGTCCGCCTCTCTTATGCGAGCCAAAGCGATAGCAAGCTGAAAGTCGTCCAACTGCTTGACGCAGATGTTGACAGCGGCTTTGAGACTGTCGCCGAGCAGGAAGAACGCTGCAGCATACTCTAAGAACGCAGTGAGCTACATGTTCATTCATGTAAAGTGGACTTGTTTACCAAAGCGTTGCTTGGCAAGTAAAGCATAAGCATTCTTCAGCGCGGCAGTACGCCATCGAGGTTGCGTGAAGTCGTTATTGAGGAACTTCAACATCATCGCTTGCTCTTTATGCCAGGAAGCTTGACGCCAGAGGCCGTGCACCAGCTTCACCTTCCCCAACGCAAAGTAGTACAAAGAACATGCGACTGGGTCGCGGTTGTTACCTGCCATATATTCGTTTCGGGCGATAGTTTCCATCGTTGATTTCTGTGACAAAGTCAGAGATCTGCTTCAGATGGGGCGCGCGCTGGGGTTGACACGCACCATGGACTCTACAGAGTTGAGCCAGATGAAGACGCCGAGGGACCTGGCGTCAGACCACAGCATCTTACGATTGCAGGCCGTTGAAGCGCTCTCCAAAAGTAGCTCTTGACTTTCGCTGTGGAAAGCCCATATGATGTCACGGTAGCGCAAACGTTCTCTATACCCTGTTTGCCTTGAGATTGTCTTGCCTGAGCGGGGACTACCGGGATCGGATACGATGCGGCGGTTTAGGATGTAGAATGCCCTCATTGAAGTCACATATCGGAGACCATTCGCATCCAAAGCACGACGTTGTTCATCGACCTTGTTATCACTATAAGACCTTGCCTCCTAAGAGTGGAAAAGGAACATACCTCGAGAGCTGTCTGGATCAGTGTAAGAAGAGAAGCTTGCTCGTTAGGACTCAAGTGTAGTACTGGGTGTTCCTCCAGGTGTTCCAAGAGTTGTGTGACAGTAGGCCGGGAAAATGGTTCTTCATCTCTGCTGGTTGTTTACCATCCGCACCCTTTCATTGAAAAAGACACTTACTGATCAGAGTTATTCAGCCCGTCAAAAAGTTGTTTATACTTTTTGGATGGTAACGACTTGCTCTTAAAGGAAAATGGCGTCAGCATATGGCAATAGGGGCCCAGATGGGCATTCTGTTCCTAACCTGAAATCCATCAGGATTATTCTGCAAATACTGGTCGATAGGTATGGGATCCCAGTGAAACTCGTTGGATGTATCGGCGATATAATCATCCATAGACTTGCCAAGCTTAACAATGACATCCTTGACAAGTTCGAGTTTGCCTGTTGACCTCAATTTCAGCCTCGATCAACACAAAGAAGAAGATGCCACCACACCCCAAAGAAGACATTGGAGCAGCATCTGCGGGTGATAATCGGGCAACACCCCGTTATGACGCGCGACATGTTCAAATAGTCCCTCAGACCCGTCGCTGCTCGCTGTGGCCTGGCTGTAGAGGCACAACACATGCCCAGCTGCCACGAGTAGGGAACCATCGTGTAGCCATATTGAGTCACTTATACGGTAAGGTATTATTCTGCATGGTGATTCGATCAGCAAAAGATAGACACGTTTAGGTCGTCGCGCTCACGATTCTAGGTCGATAGTGTAACACGTGGCCCACCCGGGCTCATCGTCAAAATATGTCTTCCTTTGCTGACATATCAGTTCTATGCGATGGGCAAAGCCTATGGCCAGGACAGATTGTCCATCTGGTGTGGAAGTCCAGTCCAAGTCATTGATGGGGTCTGTGTTACTTGTGCAAGGATGAGCATATCTACTAAAAGTCGCGGTGTCTCGCTCACCTGAACGTCTTCGAGAACTCCAGGCCCGAGGCGAACTCAGACTCTTTCGAGTCCCAAATAGTAAGCTCCTCTTCGCCTTGGCAAGGAACTACAAGAACGGACTTCTTGGCGGAGCTACAACGAGCCATCCGGAGATTCTTCCGTCCTGTGTTGACGCGACCCGTACACACCCAACTTCGGTCTCGATCGACGTCTGGGACCCAAAATGTAAGTTGCCCCTGCTCTGAGACCCCGAGCAAGGCGTCATGACTTTGTAAAGCGATGCTGTCTGTCCATGCCATGGGGTCGACTGGCAGGATGAGCATGGGTGGACTCGGAAGAGGCAAAGTTGTGCGCGAAAACAAGACAAGGGTTGGGTTCGGCTTCGAGGACACGCATATATGAGCGATTGATAGATCATGCCCTAAGCCAAAGATGCAAGCATGATGATCCTGACATGGAAGCACGAAAAGTGATGCAACGTCGGGCAGCTCTATGCTTGACTCGGGATCAGAGTGAAGAGTAAGTAGACTCTTGTCCTGTGCATAGGTAGCCAGGTAATTGCCTTGAACGAGTCAGTCGACTAATAATGGGGGACTCAGTCCTACACTTACCACTTTCGAATACAACTACGTCATCCGCTGTAGTCCATTGCGAACGGAGAGAAAGGTTGGTACTTCCTTCTGTGGATTTCCAGACCTCTCCCCCTTCCTCCCTCACAACTGCGACAGCGTGACCTGTAGGTGTTCTGACCATTCTCAACACCTTGGACTTTGCTTCCGGGGTTGAATCCTCGGCTTTGGCTGACACAACGACACCTTGCCGTTGTCCCTGCAGTAGAGGAACAAGCGAAAGCCGATAAACCGCCAAAGGATTGGATGTCACAAGCATTAAACAGCCAGGATCCTTGTGAGGGGCCAAGTACAAATGTGAAGGGAGAGGCATGAGCGTGCCGGCGGGTAGGTGGGCTAGTGCGAACTGCCGTAGAAGCGTTGGTGGACGTCTGTCGATATTCTAGTTGCAAACTAGTCGGGTACCGTTCGAAGAAGACATTGTGAACTCTTACGGCAACTGCACTTATGATGAGAGATCCATCCTCCAGGACCTGGAGAAAAAGGTCCCAATCCTCGTCAATGATCTCACGTACCCGATTCATCCGCTCATCGTCGTCCTGTGATTGAGCCAGTAATGCAGTCAACGCATCCAGGATAATGGCTTTGTCCAGCCATATATTTTGGGATGAAGGCTCAAGCACGTTTAAGCGTGGGGGAGACAAAGTCACTTGCAAAGACGATATGTCCAGTGCACCATGAAGCTGAAGTCGCTCGGGCTCATCTATCACAGGAAGGAAAATCCGTAAGACTGAATCAGATGTGACCGTCAGGAGTGCTGGATCGTCACTTCCAAAGTGGACGCAGTCAGCAACGCTCTTACGAATGGCCACCGTCGCGTACCTCCGCGATTTCGGGGAATATCGCCATATTAGCTGCTTGACTGGGCGCATGTGGGGGATGGATTGAACCATTTTACCGCTCACGGTCGAATAGATCTTCACGCGTGCACCTTGAAGCTAGTCGAATGATGAGTCGATCAGTATGGAAACAAGGAGCAACGGGCGTACGTGAGATGTCATGGCGATGTGCATGAGGGACGGAGAGAAATGGGCCAACTTGGGTGATGTAATTCTGTGTCATTTCAGTCAAGAGAGGGATCTCGTAGCAAGGGGTGACGGACGGTATTGACCACTTCTTCGACCATGTAGGTAAGTCATTCTCGAGTATGAGCGTGTAGACCGCTAGTGCATGCTGGCTGCCGACGGCCAGGAGGCCTGTGTAAGGTCAGCGAGCGGCATCTTAGCCACCTGAGAGCGGGAATTACCAGATCGGCAGTCTAGGGTGGTGATGTGTTCGTGACCTGGCAAGGTAAGAGAGGAGTGCACGCGCCAAACGTCATGCTGAGTGCCGGAGAGTGACCATGCCGCTATCCGTTCTCCTGATGAGGTTACCACCTGGATTCGTTCAGTCGAGGGCAATGCACACGCGCAATAGCAACGCTCACAAGTTTAAGAGCGGAATCAACGACAAGACACGAGATGTTTTGTTTCGTGTGCTGGTAACCCGGAAATAATTCACCGAAGGCAAGTACGCGGACCAAGCTCAGGGTTATCGCGTTCAGAATGATGACGCCGTCGGCAGAGGGATACAGCTGTTTGACGGATATGGATGAGCCATGGTGACCTCCTGGCAGACATGATCGGGCAACTGTCAGGGGACGTACGATCAAGGTGGCATTGGGCAAGACTAAGTGCTTGAGGGGGCCTTGAGGAGAGCCTGTAAATGTTCTGACGAGGCTCAACATAGCGTCGCAGCAGTGGCGACCCAGAGACGCGGCCGGTAAGCCAGTGTGCGCGTGGCGATGCGAGTCTGCAAGCCTGACTGATATTGAGCTATGGGATCCGAGAGAGGAGAAGGTGTAGCTACTCCTCGGGCGAGGGGCACATCAGTATTACTATTAGTAGTGTAGTATTACACTACAACTGGAAAGCCGCTTGCTATTGGCGGATACAGGGACCGAATCCCCATTTGGGTGCAAGTGGTCGTGCCGTCATTCAGTCTGTATAAGGAGGAGCTGCGAGCTCGCAGTCATACACCTCCAGGCCGTAGCAGCATCGTCACCATACCCACTCTCTCCCCCTCCTCGGTCCAGTCTCTCCACCTTACTCTCTTACACTCGGTACATCCTCTCGTTCGGCTGGAACAGATCATAGACAGCAGCCATGCGCCTTGCGCGCCCACTCTTTCTCGCCAGTGTCGCCCTCTCCTCCCTCGCGACTCCCGCCCAGCATGTGTTCGAATCGAAAGAACCATCAAAACTACCTCATGCCATTATGGACGTCCTGAACAACGATACTGACTACGAACTACTCATCGGTTTGCTCCAACGAGCCAAGTTAATCCCCACCCTTAACAAGCTCAATGGCAGCGCCTTCTTTGCCCCAACCAATGATGCCATCAAGCGCCATTTCTCGTCCAGCGATCTCTGGAGTGAGATTTGGTATGGCGGTGTCGATGACCTCGCCGATAATATCCAGGAGAAGCTTAGACAACAGCTCTTCTATCACCTCGTCAACTACACTATCACCGATGTACCCCAGGATCGCGTCCTAGAGTTGGAGACACTCCATTATCCCAAAGTCGGCGTTGATCCTCCCTCTAGAGATCCCCCGCCGTATCCTCCGTGGATGCCCATAAAGAAGAGCACGCTTGGTGACAAACCACAACGACTGCGTTTCGCGTCGAGAGAGGAGCAATTATGGGTGGGCGCAGATGTGGCTGGTAATGGAGGTATTCAGTTGGTGGCAGATAGGGCTGAGACGGAAGCCGGTGATGTATTCAAGGTAGACGGTATGCTGGATACTCCGCTCGACATCAGTACGTCCCCTTTTTATGAAATGGGCGCGAGTCTTACATTGTCCAGGTCGTGTCATCGCCGACCAGCCTTCGCTCTCGTATTTCAACAAGATCCGAACTTCTCAGATAGGTCAAGCTCTGAACGGCACCTCTGGTATGACACTATTCATGCCCGTGGACTCTGCCTGGCAAAGCTTGCCCGAGCTTGAGCGACTCTATCTCGAAAGCGAGTTTGCTGAAGACGACCTTACGCGCATTCTCAACATGCATGCTGTTGTAAAGGAGGGTGTACACTGGTCTGACTCCTTTGAGAAAGGTCTTAATCGTAAGTCATAACTCCAATTCAACAGACATTTCCTCAACCCCGGCAGTGACTACTGCTCATGGCTCGACGCTCGAGATCACATCGTCTTCAGGTCACGTTCAGGTCTCGAACTCCAGTCTTGTCCAAGGTGACATCTATGCAAGCAACGGGGTTCTGCATCTAGTCGACTCATTACTAGTTCCACCCGGCGCGTTCCAATTGACTCCTGAGAAGTACTTGCTGGCGCTGAACTGCACCTCGTTCATCTCACTTGTCCACGGCAGCAACCTCACGCACCTGATCAATGACACCGCCGCTGAATACACGATATTGGCGCCACGAGACGACGTGATTAAACTCTTCTCGGACGGAGACCTTCCAAAGCCCGGCACAGAAGAACTTAAGAAACTGCTGGAATATCATTTCATTCCGGGAAAGTATACGCCAAAGAAACTTAATGATGGCATGTTGTTAGAAACAGCCCTGAAGGAGAAGGGTTTGGATTATGCGAGTCAAGTCTTGCAAGTGGAGACTGACCCGGATGTTCTCGAGGGTGTTGATCCCCAACACGTCAGATTTGGAGGCGCTTCCACGATAGGAGAACATGGTTCGTGATCATTTTCGACCACCTTGTACAGACGTGCTAAACACACCTGTTTCAGTCGAGTTTGGCAATTCGTTGGTATACTTCATGTCACGTCCACTTGAGCTACCTTCGGATCCTCTTCAAACCGCTTTGCCTTCTCTGGACCTTTCTTCCTTTCTCGCGGCTATCTTCTCGACATCCCTAGCTGATGCGATCAAGACCCAGCCTCGGACGACCTTCTTGATCCCTCACAACAACGCTTTCAAGCGGCTAGGAATGCTTGTCAGTGACCATCTCCTCGCCGCCTCGTCAAAGTCAGATCTGGAAAACGTTATTTTACACCATATCCTGGATAGTGTCCGGTACACTTCGAACCTTTTCGACGGCTCTCAACGGACGTACGCTACACTGCAAGGCTCAGATGTGCAGTTGGACCGACAAGACAATGAGACCATCCTTTTGACTGCAAGCGGAGGCTGGGCTGGCATGCGCAGTGCTCTGCGACCCCGGAATACTTTGACCTCGACTGGTGTCATCCACGAGGTTTCAGATATCATGATTCCGCGATCAGTAAATCTTAATGTGGCCAAGTTGATGAAGGCCGCGAAAGGCACCACGATGGTCAGTATGCTGTCGAAAGCTGGGTTTGACTGGATCTTGAACGGCACTGCTCCTCCTGAAGGCTCAAAGTGGGCTGAAGCGGGGCTAGGTGGAGGAGGGTGGACCGTTCTATGTCCAACGGATGACGCTTTCAAGAAGACGAACATCACGCAATTGTTAGGGGACACCGAAGCATTGGAAAGGATTGTCGGCCAGCATTTGGTCCCCTACACGCCGTCTTCCGGCTCGTCAGACACCTTCGGGCCGTTTGAAGATACGCTCAACAACAACCGACCTTTGCCCATGGAGCAGCTTGGAACGTACTCGACGCTTCTCTCCCCGTCTTCAGCGTATGGAGACGTTGCGTTCCGGGAACTGGATATGAAGTCTCCTACTGGGTATATGGTCGGCATTAAGAATGCGCGTGGCACTGATGGCAAGGCTGATTGGGCTCGCGTGATGTCGTGGGGCCGAGCTACGACTGGTGGAGGGAAGGGCGGAGTCATCCAGATCGATCGTTTGCTCTACCCGTACCAGCCTCCTTGGTGGATTGAATATGGCGCACCATCGATTGTGGGTGCGATCGGTGTCGTCGTGATATGCGGGTTCTTCTACGGCGTTAACATCTTCATGAAGAGAGATACTACGGAGGCCACATTTGAGCCTGCAGGTGGATTTGGTGGGGATGATGACGAGGATTCGTAAGGGTTATTCATTAGTGGAAATTAAAGGAAGAGCAGGCATGTAGTATGTATATCCGTACATTCAGATTCACGACTTAATATTCAGCATTACCACTCAAGCTTGCAACTGTAGAACCACTTTATATATGCTCATACATGGATAGTGACTCAGATCGCAACTCTTTCTGCTCGTCCTACAGCTCCATAGCTACTCCGAGACTCTCCCGCTCCGAGGACCGGACTTGTTAGGTGAGGAACCGGTATATTTAACACACCGGACCTCCTGATCCTGGGCTCGGGAGCTCGGAAGGCCGGGACGAACGTCACTGTTGACTGTTGCTCACACGTCCTGACTTCGCGAGGATGAGCAACTTCAGCCAGACCTCGCTCACCACTCAGTGGCTTTATCCGTGCAGCATCGGTCCTTGGCTATCTGAATGCCGGGGCCGGGTATATGGCTTGCAGAGTATGCAGAGTAGACGACGGAAGGAGATTAATCGGGGGCGATTTCGCTGACAGGCGGCGTGTAGTAATCATATGCGAACCGCTGTTATGAATGGCTCAGGTTGACCCCGCGGGACACCGTTTGAACAATCGAACTCTTCCTCTCTCCCCATCCATACCACTCAGTCCGCGATGGTAAGATCCCACTTCATTCCCGGTGATCCAACCCAGACTCAAGCACGCTTGGTTGCGCGTAGAGCAGCGAAGCGCCGGTCGCTGAAGAGACCAAGATATCCGCCCTTGACAATGTCAAGGCGTTCATCGCAGGAGGCTTTGGAGGGGCCTCGGCTGTTCTCGTGGGTGAGCGCTGCGATCCGCGTGGATGAGAAGAGCCCCAGCCCTAACCTACTTGCTAGGCCACCCCTTTGACTTGACGAAGACCCGTCTGCAGACAGCTGCGCCGGGCACGTACACTGGCGCCGTGGACGTCGTGAAGAAAACCCTCGCTCGGGATGGCGTATCGGGGTGTGTACACTGTCGAGCACATTGTTGCCTGTACCAATCCCTTATATGCGCCTTTCAGATTATACCGTGGCATGGTGCCTCCCCTCCTGGGCGTTACCCCCATCTTCGCCATATCATTCTGGGTATGTCGCATGTCGCTCGAACCCCGCTCACTCGCGACGCGTCTCTGACGGCTCACCAAGGCATATGACGCGTCAAAACAACTGATATTTGCGTTCACGCCAAACCGGAAAACCGAAGCGCTCTCCACCGCCGAGCTCGCTACCGCTGGCTTCCTATCCGCTGTCCCGACGACACTGGTGACTGCGCCGGTGGAGCGGGCCAAGGTCCTCCTTCAGGTGCAGGGACAGGGAGGCTCTGGGCCGCAGTACAAAGGTGTTTTCGACGTCATGAGGCATCTCTACAAGGAGGGGGGCATGCGGAGTATATTCCGGGGGACTGGCGCGACCCTTGCTCGAGACGGCCCTGGTAGTGCTGCGTGAGTCTGCAGCCTTCAACAGAAAGGATCATCTCGCTCATTGTTATTCAGATACTTTGCTGCGTATGAAGTCACCAAGAAGGCGCTGATACCTGCGGGCGCCTCATCCTCTGATCTGAACTTGAGCGCAATCATCCTTGCTGGAGGGACTGCGGGTGTGGCCATGTGGTCACTGGCTATTCCTCCTGATGTGAGCATCCGTATCCAACTAGAGGCCACTCGCTCACGCCATTGTTTCATTCAACAGGTACTGAAATCGCGACTTCAATCCGCACCTTCTGGAACGTACTCTGGCTTGATGGACTGCGCACGGAAGACGATTGCACAGGATGGTGTTACCGCACTATGGAAAGGCTTCGGACCCGCTATGGCCAGGGTAAGCATTATCCCGCTTTCTGGTGTGATCTTGCTGATGACATATCCTGTTCAGGCCTTCCCTGCCAATGCGGCTACATTCGTAAGCATTCGTTTTGGGCTTTGTGTGATACCCCAACTGACGAGATGTGACTAGCTTGGTGTGGAAGCCTCTCGGAAATTCATGGATAAGTTTTTTTGAAGTATAATGTGACTTCACTATACACGATACTGCTGGGCAACTACCTAGAATTGCAATGCTTCTATATTGGAATACAATCGCTGGTGGCTTTAGACATAGCCATCGATATCTGTGCGCAAATCCAAACACCTCGATATACTGTAAATGACCTGTGGTAAAGGATAGCTTGCGACTAGTACATCGAGCGAAAAGGTGCAACCCTATTGTTAATTTCGCACATCGCCAAACCCATTCTGTGCAGGAAATCAGCAAGTACAGTATTGCTATTTTACTCACTGCAACTTACAATTATCCAGTTAGCCTAGTTGACTGAGTCCAGATCTATGAAGTACTACTCGACCGTCAGTCAATAGCTAGTTTTCTTGATCATATCATATGCATAGATTCTCTGTGTCAGACGACCATAAATGGAACACTTTAGGATACAATATTTAGAACGAGACCGTCCTGTCTATGTGATGCATGTGGAGATACAGCAAAGATGCTACAAACGTTGAGAGATCTACTTCCACGCCGACGGAATTTTGGTGACGACATCGGCCCACTGCGTCAGCCGCTCTGCCTCCCAGTCCTCTACATACGATATACCCGCGTTTCCGCGGCGCGCCTGCTCAGTCTTGAGCCGCTTTTCGGCGTCGCACCAGAAGAGGACCCACTGGCCCATGCGGATGTGGCCCGTGCTGCGCTCGAAGTACCACTTGTTGATCGGGTTGTCAGCGCGGCTCCGCCACACCAGGTCGGCGCCCTCGCCCTTGCCCTCCTTGCCGCCGTTGGGGTTGATCGAGAACGGGTGGCCGAGGCCGTACGACTCGTCGTGGAGCGCGACCCAGAGGAAGTCTACGGTGCCGTCGCCCTGGTGGCTCGGCAGGACGGCAAACTTGTCGAGGTAAGATATGGGCGGCGCGCCCGAGGGGCCAGCGGGCTCGTTCGTGACGATGGCGGCGCCGACGTAATCGCCAGCAATGATGACGAAGTCGAGGTCCCGCTCCAAGCGCGCGTAGAAAGCGTCCTCGTTCAGTTCGCGCCTGAAAGAGGTTTCGAGAAGGTACTTGAGCTTCACACGGTCGATGTCGGAGGACTTGCGGAGGACTTGGATCGGAAGACCCCGCCGGATGAGCGTAGGCGAGTCCGGCGTGAGCTTCCTGTTGTTCTGTAGGAGCGCGTGGGGTAGGCTGGAGCTCACAGCAGGTTTATTGGTGATCAGGTTAGCGATGAGGGAGCTAGGGGAACGATGAGAGACCATGACAGCGGAGGAAGTGGAGGGCATGTAAGCGAGACACGTTCGGGCGAGGTTCAAGTTTGCCAGGGCGCTCGGGTGGTCTTTCTTCCACGAGGGGTCGAAGGTGTCGTGGATGAAGTCGTGTTCGGCAGATAGGTTAACGAGTAGATGGGGGTAGCCCGAGCGCGCATAAGAGGGCACACCGCCCTCCTTATTGATAATCATGAGACGTAAAGGAGTGATGTTGATGTCTTCACTGTAATCCTTGCATTGCTGTTGATTTTGCTCGTCCAAGGTGGTAGACGCCTCTGCCATACCCCGTGCTAAGGCGCCAAGGACATCATTCGCGTCGACACGAACAGAACGACAGAAGGAGTCTAGCGCAAACGGTGGCAGCACCGGAATCTCTCCAGCACGTAGGGAGGAGCAGATGGGAACAAGATCGGAGGGGAAAGCGTGAGCCTCGGGAGGGACAAAGTCCTGTTGGGGTACTTCGTCGTCACCCGGCTTGGGTCCCAGACGAACCACAGCTCCGAGAACGGGACGAGCCTTGGCACCCTGAGCCTCAAGGGCAGACACGACACGCATGGTTTCTTCGATGACCACGGATCGTTCCCCTTCCTCGCCTCGCTGGTCGTGTTCGACCACGATGACACTCACGAGACCGAGCTTCTCGAGGTAAACCATGCCGCGAGCGATGCTTTCGAGTTGGACATTAGTGAAGGGGCTTTGTAGCTTAACGAGAGCAGTGCGACGGTAGACGGGATTCAAGATGGAAGTGAGAATAGATGACTGCTTAGCCGTCTCTGCCTCTTGCTGGGGAGTTTTCTGGGGGGCATCTTTTGATATGAGTGGGGCAGGTTGCTGGGCAAGAGGTGGTGTTGAGAAGGGAGGAGGGGACTGAGGGCGGAGACCAAAAGAGGCGAGGTATGATTTGGTGTCACGCAACGATGGGTTGGCGCGGAGTATAGACAAGATGAAGTCCTAAATTTTTGACGATCGGTCAAAGCACGATTTGCGCGACCGCGCAAGAACACTCACATTGTCAGAAGGATCCAAGTCATTCACTTCAGGACTTGTCGGCTGCTGGTGTCGAAGACTGCGAATGGTCTGGAGGGTGTCATAAATATCAAAGCACAATGATCGACGTTGAGCACATACCGCATAGAACGCCTTGAAAGTCTGTGAGCGGCGAAGACTCATGGAAGATGGGGTAAGTTTGCGCGCTGCATTGAGTGGGTTGCAAGGCATCGATGGGGGATGCAGGAGGGCCATATCGACTGCGTTTTGTTTTGCCGTAAGCGAGTTTCCAAGCGGGCTGGTTATATAGGGGGCTGCAGGGGAGACCCTGTACAGTTCCTGTGAGTCATTCAGAAGCAAATACAGCGCGTCCTGGTCGTGCTGTGATTCGTACTGCAAGATCTGCTATTGGTGTCTGAGTTCATGCCCTGATCATGGTCTCTTGGGTCCCTGCTAGCCGTTCTCCTATGCACCGGCGGCTAACGGAAAATGTCCTCAAAGTGACGTTCTACCCGCCCAATCGGAGTCATCACAACTGTAAGCCTTTTTGGCCACAAGCTGATCCATTCACACCGGATGGACATGTGGCGCTGCAAACGTGCTCAGACAGCATCTGATCCACACATCATACTGCAATACCAATTGTCGCATCATGGCTTGTCGGCCGCCCGAAGACTCAACATGAAACGGACGTTCATTGGATTGGCCTCACAGCAGATACAGCAGTACCTAACCTAGTGAACCCTTTCCTAGGGAGAAGCTCCCAACTCGGTGTGTCTATAAAGGACTCCGAAGTCCGGGTCGCGTCTACAACGCTATTGGACATTAAAACGACAGGATGCGGAACTGCCTTCTTGTTGCCTATAGTGTCAGGGGTGCTGCGAATAAGCACTCGGCACAATCGACGCAGACACAAATCGCACGTACATCGACCAAAATCAAGTTGTCTTCACTACACATGAGATCGTGATATGAATCCTCAGGATCATCGCCGTCTTCCAAAGTCGACGATGGCAGTGTGCGTCGGACAATCCGGTACGGGAGTCTAGTCCGTACGTCGCCAACAAAAGCACCGTCGCTCACGATGCTCGTGTCTCCTTTGTGCCATTGGACGTTCCACGTTTTATCTTGCTTGTTATCTTCATCTTCCAAAGAATGCTCGCCTGCAAGATGGCCCTTCCTTATCCCGACGGAGTTGAAATCCCATATTTCTATAACAGAAGGGTGCTCTGGAAGTCCATCCGACTGGAATATGGTGGCAAATTTGGTCCCGTATACAAAGCATACCCAGACTGACGAGTGGGGCAACGATGGAACCAAACGAGTTCCATGAGGACCCCATTCCTCCCAAGAGAACTGCCGGCGTTCTTCGTCATGTCCAAGTTGAGCGATGAGGCGAAGGAATGTGTCGGACAACACAAAAAGATCATACGAGAATATGCGTTCCGGCGTCCTCACAAGAGTGATGATCACATACAGTCTACTCTGGGATGCAATATGGAAAGGCACACTTTTAGCCTGATCGGGTTGCCACGAGGGAGCGGGATCTGCGCGAATAGAGAAGGCAAGTTGACTAGTCCAGTGATCGAACTGGGGGAAAAGAAATTCGCAGGTATAGCTGGTTTCCTCCAGGAGGTGCGTCCCAGAAACCTTATGCAGGTCCAACACATAAAGGCTGCACTGAGACGCACCGGGAGCCCAGCCGCCAACCAGCATGTAGTGCTCTCCGAGGAACGATGCCGTCCGTATCCTGTCACCATGCACACACTGGATGCTTTCTTAGCATCTGCTAAGAGTAGGGGCTAAAGCATCATACCATAACAGATTCTCCGGTTTTCCAGTTCCAGACTTCAAGCTCTGGATTGGACTCAACGTTGCTCATATAATGGATCGCCACATAGTCGGCGTGTATCATTATTGAGAATGACATTCTCGTTATCTCCGGTGTACACGTGGAGTGGATCAAAAGTCCCGTGTCGGGTCCTGCTGGATGACATCCACCTGTGGACAAGGAACGTAACCGAATTCTAGTTCGAATTTCCACACCCACGTCTGGGTTCATGAATCTGTTGCATAGCTTGGTAACATAATTTTGAGCGCGCAACAAGTTACTCACATCCGTTCCGGAGGCTCGAGAAAGACCAACAGATCTTGGGAAGGGTCCATAGCGAAATCTCTGATGATGGTATGCTCAAACGTGATGTTCCATGTCTGTTCTTCGACGCCTCTGAGCTGGGATGGAAGCGTTCTGAAGCTGAGATTACTTGGGTCACGAGATTGAGCAAGCACGCCGCCGTATAGCTCCCAGACTCGCCCGGTATTCATGCTGACTTCCTGGGACGATGTCCACTGAAGCGTGTTCCAAGCACTCTGGTGGCGTTTGAGTAGAGAGAGGCGGTCCGCAGCAGTGAGATTGCTTGGCGGGCCATCTTGCATGTTGGCGCAGGCGAGTTCTATCTTGTACTGGAGAGTGGCATGGTCGTCAACCAAGGAGCAGAATAATGTACAGACCTTGGCCAAGATCAGTCGGCACGAGCGGATAAGCTGGCGGCAGAGGGGCGCACCTCTCTGGCTAACACAAGAGATCTGTAATCGAGATGGATAAATATTTTGAGAATCAACTCAGGTGGGAGAAGATCAAGCTGCATGTTGGACGCCGAGCTGAAATGCGATGTGTGGTGGCCAGGTACGAGCTTGGGGGGTGTTGGATGGTGGGCTACTGATGCGTGTACAGACAATGTACGTCATGATGATAGCGCGCATGCTTGCCGTAGGCTATTCACGCGGCTTTTGTACTGAAAGCATTGACGGCATACAAAAGGTACTTTTTGCGAGAATAACAACAAGATTACTAGTGATTATGTAGTAGCAGGGATTAGGTTAGGAGTAGTCGCGCTAGTCAGCTTGACAGTGACATTAATTTGTCCGATCGCCCGAGCACCGACTCCCGAGGCCACGGTCCCCATCCGTCTTGAACTTCTTTCTTCTGCTCTTCTCAGGCAAACTGCCATCCAGGTCAAACGTCGGCAACTTCATTAAAGCCAATGCCTGCCAGCAAAGGCCCAAGACCCTCCTCCACTAAAGTTGGTCTTATCTGTCTTAACCTCGCGCTCGCGTCTTGCTGATCACCTTTTAGTTCTACCAGGAAGATGTCGTTCGTCTCGTGAACCCTCCTCACACTTATGGTATCGTGCTTGTCAGTCGTCTGCATTCTGACAACTTCTCTTGGATGATCTCTGACGTTTCCTGTAGAGATGTTGGCACGATGCAGAAGACATAGCTCCTGTCAGCCCTTTGGATGATCCTCTCATGCGACCGCTAAACCAGGGTGAAGTTGGTGTATCCTTCTTCCCCACCGGTCTTCGCGAGATCCTCCCAGAGTCTCATTTCACCCTCGTCGACCGCTCCTTTCAACCAGGAGATTATTGCAAGCGCAGCGTCGATGATGTTCGCTCTGGCGTTGTCACAAGTATCGACGTTATGGCTTCCTTGGCCCATGCCATCAGCAACGTTCCTGTTCAGAGCTGGGTCAACATCAAGGACCTCGAGCACGATGTCGACGTAGATGTTGGCCAATATGTCTTATATGATGATTGGGTAGGGCAGGTGACCGAGGTTCGTCCCACTAGTCATCGCAGCCGGTATATAAATAACTCCAGTAGTTGTTTGACGAATGTATCGTGGAAGCCTCCGGCACTCTGGTTCGCGTGCCTGAGATAGGTTCTCGTCTATCTGTGGGGGACAGAGGGCATGTACGTGACAAGTTTGACATGCGAACTTCCACTGACGGCTCGAAACAGGACATATTAACCCACCACCTAACCTACCGTCTGCATATGGGCGGTGGAAATCCCTTCGCTAACACTCCTCAGCCGACCTGCAATGATACTGTTCTCGCAGTGAAGCATACTGTCGTAGCTGTTTGCTGGCTGGCTCTCAATCAAAGTGTCCGTGCTTGCTATCCCGCCACAGCACAATACTTATCCGTTTGATTAGCTCCATTCCGCAGTTGCACAGACGAAGCAACGACCAAACCGGTTCTGGCACGGAGAGCAATTGTCCAAACTGTCCTTCATTCCTCGCCGATCAGATGACATTCGGGTTGGCGACAGAGTGCGAACCAAGGCAGATGTCACCGTCCCGGTTACTACGCATGCCACACAGAACAGCCACGACCCTCCCATCCGGGTCCGGACTTTGTCCGTGAAGGAAACTCAAACAAAGGTTACCGTTCTTTGGCAGGACGGTGAGAAGGAGACGCTCACTTCCATCGATCTCATCCCATACCTCAATCCTGATGAGTATGATTGTTGGTAAGGCTTACCACTAAGTATATTCATGGAGTTGTATCTCATGCCATGCCAGGCCAGGCGACCATGTCATCTGGAAAGGAGAGGATCAAAAGCGAGCTGCCGTTGTCCAGACCGTGAACTCTGCAGACCGAGTTGCCAAAGTTATGTTCACAGATACAGGCGCTGTTGAAGACACTTCTGTCCTTGAACTTGATCCGAATGGCAATGGCGACTGGGCAATCACGAACCATCCGCATGCTTTTGGTGTAGGAGTTCGGCGATGCGATACAGTGTTTATTCATGCTGAAGGCACAACGAACGGCGCCGCGTACCCAACCGTACCTCGAATAGGTGAAATTGAAGCCTGGGTTAAAGAAGACCTCTTGGGCGCCGACGGTGATCTGCTTGGCTGGCGACGTGAGATGGCAGACCTGGGTGTGGGTCTTGTGGCACATCGTGATCCTTCCAGTGGCGAACACAACCTGCGCAAAGTGTCTAAGGACGACAAGTCTCTAACATGGATAGGCGAGGTTGTCGGGGTGAGCTAACCTTTGCTAGATCTCGTAAACGTAAGAAACTTACAACTTCCAAGTTACGGATGGACGGAATGGTGGAAGTGCGACACCCAAACTCCGAAGTGGAAGTTTACCCTCTGCAACGGTTGACGAAGCTTTATGATAGCATTGATCAATTTGAGGAAGAAGATTGGGATGACATGTCGGAAGACCACGAATCCTACGAGGAAGAGGGTCCTGTTTGGACTAGGGACGAAAACGGGGAATGGGCACTTCATGAACATGCTGACGACGAGGATGATTGGGAGGATGACGAGGACGGTGCTATGGATGTTGACGGATCCTTGGAAGGCGATGAACCAATCCCTCCACTGGTGCCAATTGATACGGATTCAGCTAACATGGCCGTGGATACGCCCATGCGGCAAGCTACCCCAAGCTTGTCAGATTCCTCCCCTGTTCCTGCTGGCTCGTCTATGAACGGTTCCCTATTGCCACCAGCTGACAGTCATGCAAACGGAAGCGCAGGTGCCACTGTGAATTTGGACAGTGACGATGAAGCCTGGCAGCGTTTTGCCATTCTGCCCTCCGCCCCTCCCGACCATGCATTCTACGGCACACCTACTGCCCAACCGTCGAAGGCATTCCACCCTCGTCTGAACAAAGAATACCGTGCTCTCACGAGTAGCCTACCTGGTATGCCGCTTTTTTGTCCAATTCGATGCGATCTCATATAATTTTGACGCGTATTGCAGAGTCGATCATAGTTCGGACATACGAGGACCGGAGCGATCTCCTGAGATGTCTCATCATCGGTCCGGAGAACACCCCCTATGAAGACGCACCCTTCGTCATCGATTGGATGCTCGACGCGAATTTCCCTCACAGTCCCCCGATAGCACACTTCCTCAGCTGGACGAACGGAAATGGGCGTGGTACGTACATCAGCCTTGAGTTCGTCGGACATGACTATTCTTACATGCGACATCTGCTTTGATAGTTAACCCGTAAGTCGTCTTCGTTCAAACCTAGGGTAAGACGTTGACCTAATATGATAATGATCATAGTAATCTATATGAAGAGGGCAAAGTGTGCTTGTCTATTCTAGGGACATGGTCGGGCGACCGCAACGAGACGTGGAGCGCCGCGCGGTCTTCGCTTCTCCAGGCGTTCATCTCCATTCAAGGACTGGTCCTCGTCAAAGAACCGTAGGTCTCATGTTTGCCTGCACCAGAAGGCGATCTCACATATATATCTCAGCTGGTTCTGTGAGCCTGCCTACGAGAAGCTGCGAGGTACAGAAGAGGGCATCGTGAACAGGTATGTCGCCCGTGACGTTGCGTAGATCATATCACCGCCTAACGGCATTGCCAGCCGCCTGTACAGCGAGAAGGCCTATGTGCTCTCTCGTGGCTTCGTGCGCCGCGCCCTCGAGGTTCCTCTCGGCGACCTGGAGACGGAGATCAAATGGCTCTACTACACGAACGGCCGGCTGAAGAAAGTCCTCAGCAGCGCACGTGCTCTGATCGAGAAGAGCAAGACGAAAGCCGAAGTCACAGAGGCAGATGCCGATCTTGCGGTCCCTCGGCTGACGGCTGGAGGCGTGATTACACTGGAACGGATATTGACAAAGTTACAGTCTATTGCGGAAGCTCAGCAGTAATTTCAATAGTACTAGATTCCACCCCACTATACACTTTACCATCTTTCACGAGGGCATTTGAGGTAGATATCAGGCTCGAATACTATGTACCAATTTTTTGAACCCACTTGTCTACACGCGCGTTCGACCGCGAGTTTTTCTTGAAACTACTTGTTGCGACTGGGAAGAACAATGCAGAAAACCAGTCTGATTGTGTAACGCTAGTGAATATATACAGCATTGCATCCCTCAATAGATCCATATTCCAACGCCGAAACAGCACTAACCCGAGGGGTAAAGTAACTCCAGGAAACACCTCGCGCAGCATCAACCCGCAGAGTGAACAAATGTTTGTGACCAATGGGAAGAAAAAAGAAAAGAAAACAACAACAACAACAACAACAACAACAACAACAACAACAACAGCAGCAGCAGCAGCAGCAGCAGCAGCAGCAACAACAATAACAACAACGATGATATAAATTAACACTGCCCAAGGAACGAGTTCTTTGGCATAGGTTGCTTGTAGTCCCCGGTCCATGTTGTGAGGTTGGGGTTGTTATAAGCCTCGGGGTATCTGTGGGAGTCACCTTAGCTACACCCCCTCGTGTACAAAAAAGCGGGCACTTACTGTGCAATATAGGCAGCGGTCGGGTAATCTTCAGGGTCACAGCCGACGTTGGTCGCGCCCTTTGGTTGGTACACGCGAACCCAGTCGATGCGCATAGTGGCGGGGAACACGAGGTTGTCGTAGTCGACGGTGACGAAGTTCTCGGACATGGCCAGGTTCGCGATGATGTACTGCTCGTCATTTACAACACAGCCGCTGCGTGGCAACAGGTGGCACTCACCATAGGCTCTCCCATGATAGGTCGGTCGTTAATCTCAGTCAAGGGGTCAGCAGCCATGCCTGCTGCCTCCAGGGTCCATGCAACCTGGCTGTTCGCAATCCAGCTGATGTACTATCGAATTCCGATTTAAAACCAATACATTAAATGGAGAAGATGATGAGTTACTTACCGCGCTGTCGTTGCTGTATCCGGGCTTGTACTCAATGCCATACTCGGCGAAGCAGCCGGTCTCCTGAGTGAAGCAACTCCCGTCTGTTTTCTCATCAGATGTGGACAAACACAAGCATAAGATAGATACACACTGGCTTTGGTAACACCAGAGACAGCCTGCTGAAATACACCACCAGTGTAAGAGTTCTGCTGCGTCAATTTAGGGTTGGGGATCTTCAAGTTCGCCGATGTGTTCTGCCAGATGTATCCGTGGTTCATCGGCTGTGAAAGTCGCGTTCAGCGCCTCTTCCAAAATCGAGCGACGGCGTAACGGATGCTTACCGCCCACTGGGCTGATTGTGAAAGACCGGCAGTATTCGGACCTCCGCTGACTTGAGCCTCAAAGATATCGATCTCAGGGGCGGAGCGACCGACAAAGGTACCATCTTCGTGCACAGGACCCGGGTGGCTCTCCCCAGGGCAGGTGCAGCGAGACAACCTCTGACCAGGAAGGTATGAGATAACGTTCCCGTTGTACGGATCACCGTTTTTCAAAGCAGCAGGGGGGCCACCATTATGTGTCTGGTTGGCGACTGTGCCAACGTCACAGGAATCATAGCTGTATGGCCACTGTGAAAAGTTATCAGCACCTTCAGGGCTTTAATCTAAACGGTACCAACCATTCCGTCCAGAGTGGCACCATAGCCAGTACGACCTGGAATGCATCAAATTGGTGTCTACTTAGGCCACAACCATCGGTGCTACTTACCAAGGTTGCCCATGGCCCAGACAGCAGGCCAGAGACCTGCGTAAAACATATAATCAGTACGTTGATGCCGAGCACCAAACAGGTGAGACCCCGCACCGCTAACAGAGCTGCTTCCCGGAAGACTGACAGACACTAAGACCAGACCTCCAGTGAAACAGAACTTGTTCCACGTCGAGATGGAAGCACTCATGTAATTGAGATTGTTGATCTTCTTCTTACTCATTGTGATTTCGAGAGCACCGTTATTAGTGGTGACTGCTTGGGGACTATACCACTCGAGATCATCTGTCTACAACACCAAGAAATTGTAACATCGCCAAGCGAGATGATCATGGTAAACTCACCTGCCAGTAATGCAAGTCAAGAGCTTCCCAGTACGGGTCATCTCCAGGCCAGAAAGTCCGGCCCTCTTGCTCAAACTCGTCACTGAATACGAGCTCCCATTCAGAGCCGTCGTTAAAAGACTTGAAATTGTGGGCGGATGAGGGAGTGTCGACGTCAATCAACCCGAAGTTGTTCGGAATGGTCGGGATCTGCGTCGAATGAGCTTACGTGAAAAAGCAAAAGTCCTCTGATTAAGCCTGACCTGTCCACTAGCATTAATTCCTCCAAAGTTGAAGCCACCATTGTTGGAAAGCTCCTGTTTGGTAAAGTAGGAGATCAATGGGTAGCCGGCGCTATTCCACGGCAGAAAAAAATAAGTAGTGCGCATAAGATTGAAGGTCAAACACGTACAAAAGGGTGAGAAGGACGACGACAAGGAAGAGAAGACAACCAAGGTTGGTGAGACCCCTGTAAGTGAAGATATTTCCACCACGATCGTTCTTGCGGTCGCGACGAGGATCAGGGTTATGGAGGTAATCGTCGGGCTCGGGCTGGTTGGGAGAGACGTCCGTTCCCCATGATGTAGGATCAACAGCAAGGGAAAACTAAGTTTGAGAGGCGGCCGAGATGACCGAGATGAGTACACCGAGGGCAAGGGCTAAAGATGGTGGAATCGACGGACCTTGTCGGTTACGGACGCACTCTGGTAAGACTGACGGGCAGATGTAACATAAGGAGAATCATTCTGATGTTATACGGTCGAATTAGATGTATGCCGACTACAAAAAGCGGGGAAGGCTGTACCAAAGACGAGTTGCTGGGCATGGACCGCAGGCTTGGGTTAGGACGGGCGGAGGGGGGCAGAAGGCTAGTAGAGGAGAGGGCATTTGGTTGAGCATAGAGGCGGCGCTGGGTATCAGGACCCGATGCCATGGGTGAAGCCATGGAACGAGAGAGACAGAAAGAGCGAGAGGAAGTAAAGAGTGTGTTGGGTCAGTCGTAAGCGTAAGGGCCGAGGAGGGAAACAGAGAGACAATTGCAAGCAGTTGGAGTCGATGGATGCGCCCCACTCAATTGATGCCGCTTCCTTTCCCCCGCTGCCGTCCAATCCAATTGATTCATTCGCTGGCGTCGCTATGAATCCATCAATAACACTTCTCCCTATGGTCAATCCTTATCCAGTCTCGGTCAACTGACGTAAAACAAGATCAAGTGCTTCCTTTTCATATCTTCTTAGAGGTTTCACTTCCTTGTGCCCTGGAGAAGCAAACGCCATGAAACGCTTCAGCTCAGCTTCGAGATTATCCAAACAAGATTCCGAGCACTATCATAGATTGATGTCTTCATCCTTCTTGCATTCATGCTCCCGGCCTTCCTGAATGTTGCTGAAGTATTCGTACATCAAACCTATACTACACTACACATACGCACGCTAGTGGGTTAAATGGCGTGCAAGACAACTTTCCAGCAAACTCGGAGGACCTGTAGCCGCATCGACAATGTGCTCAACTCCTTTCTCAACCACACCTCTAGTCCGCTCATTGGGTCCCCAGCTAGGAACGCGAGGCACCCAGACGACCATGTGTGTGCCAACCACGATCATCACATCCCTCGCGAGTTTCTCAGCATCAACGTCTCCCGCCTTCTGCTTGTACTCCTCGAGGAACGAGCTCAGCACCAGCCCGGCGGACGCTGACGCAGGGCTCTCTGGATGGAAAAGCTGAACGAGGTGCAGCTCCGCGCACATCTGCCCCACGTCCAACGCTCGCAACCCTGTCTTGGCGAGTTCCCAGTCGAGGACGTGGATCTTCTCGACGACAGGCTCGCCCTCGCCTTCTTTCAGGTGTACCACCACGTTGCCCGTCCAAAAGTCTCCGTGCGTCATCACCTCCCTCGCAGAGCTGATATCCTCTATCCTTTTTGCCGCAACCTCTCGGACGATATCCATATCTTCGTCCTTGATGGACAGTGGCGGACCCGCTAGTGCAGGAAGTCCATCGCTCCCAGAGAGCGTCGACTCGAGTCTGCCGTACGTCACAATAGCCGTGGTCGACCTGCCTGTGTCATTGTTGTGGAAAAGCTCGAGATCTAGACCAGGCTTGTTGATCAAGTTGTGCAGGTTGACCAGGAACCGTCCTAGTCCTTTCCCGATCGTTTGCGCGGCTTTCGGCGTTATCTTCTGGTCGATCAAGAGCTGCTTCAAAGTAGCGGAATTTTCTCCACAATCGTCCATGATCAGCACATGCTTGTCCTCATCGTAGAAATGCACAGCTGGAACAGTGACGATCTCATCCTTTGGCAGATTGTCGTGGGCTAGTCTTAAGGCGGCTGCCTCGTAATCCTGTGTGAAGTCATCAGCTAACGTGCTTTCCGTTCTTTGCCTTTCATGGCTTACTTGGCGCTCGGTGGAAAGTATCAGCGTGCCCCCTGCAAGCGGGATATCATGCGATGTGTGCTTCATGACTAGCGTGTTGCAGCCTTCATACGGTTCTTTCAGATGAAGCCGGTATGCAGAGTTGGTGGTTCCTCCAGTCAAAAGGGTGGCCTTGTGAGAGGCAAAGCGTGTCTCTTTGAGGTATTCCAATGCGCCGGCAGGAGTGCAGAGATCCATGATGGATGGTGGTAACAATGAAAGAGTGGTTCTGATGTCTGTAAGGATTGACAAGGCACGTAGCTAGTTTTCTACACGAATCAACTGTCGGCTTGACTCAAGAACGCGGCCCCGAAGTCAAGCGTCTACATGGGTCATAGATTCCTTATCCAGCTACTAAGGGTTGGTGCATGATCTTCGACTATGAGTATGCACTAGAATTATATTGCATATGACGAGCTCATCACGTAGGCAGCCACTGAGACCACATGCTACTAACTCACTCATCTAGACCGCCCATGCCAGCGCCCTCTAGCAGGGAGAGAACGCCACCTGAACGAGTACCGTCCGCCAAAACAACCCCCACCCGCCCCGCCGCCCGTTCAACGCGTCCCAAACCTGTCCTGTCTCCACCTTCCGATCCGACTTCTAGCCCCTTAGCGGCCGCCTCTTCGTCGATCTTGCGCATGCGATCCAGCACAGCGGCGTTCGCGCGCCCCAACGCAGTCTCACCACTGGAGTCCTCCGAAGGGTCAGTAAGAGAACTGAGCAGCATCGCCTTGCGCGACGCGTAAGACTGCCTCGAGAGCTGAGGAGGTGCGACCCCCGATGGCTCGTTGACCATCTTGTCCAGCGTCGCTATCGACTCTTTCGCTTTGCGCAGCATCTCGCGCTTGGACGGCCGGCCGCGTTTCTTGCGCGCCGGCTGCTCGGCGGGGACGACGGCGGTGGGCGGCTCGTCTTGGGTGCTCTCCCGGACGAAGATCTCCCGCGGGAGGGTGCGCGGGTTCAGCGCGTGGAGGTGGCTTGGGGGCGCTATCTCGAAGAGGCGTGCGTCGATTAGGCTCTGGACAACGTGGACAACGTAAGGCTGCAGCGGTGTGAGACCGTCTGTGGCGAAAGCGGCATCTAGCGTCAGGAGGGAAGTGAAGGTGTCTAAACGCGTGTGATCAGCAGCCAGGGAAAGCATGAAGAACTAGAAAGCACCGCTCGGGATAGGTAGTCGATCAACGGCTTTTATGGGCGGGGCGGACGAGCTGGGTTGGGTGGAATAGAACATGTACAGACCGAAGAGGCTCACTGCTTTGTGCAGCGGCGGCTCAGAGCTGGCGGTCTTGTCTGGAAAACAGTCAGGGGAAACGCGTCGCATCAGCACACGGGATGCTCACCGAGGAATAGCCTCATTGTCACCCGAAGGAAAAGATGGCGGGTCCTGTCATCAAAGACTTTGAAGTGCATCCACGGCCAGCCTTGACTGTCCCATACGTCTTTGAAGAGCGAGAACGGTTGTGTGGGTTGTTCGTGTGCATAACGCTGAGCGAATTCGTCGCAGAGAGAATTGATGTCTTGAGTCAGAGGGTCCACATAGAGAGAGGATGTAAAGTAGGAGGGCTGCACGATTGCTTGGCCACGAAAGGCAGACGGTGTGGGGGCGACAGACATGGTCCACGCGCAGAAAAGGAGGTGTGACGCGCCAACCCCTAGGCGCTGGTAACTGAAAGTAGTACTAATATTACAATACTCGGCAAAGTAATAGTTTGAACACTTGCTCCCTTTCCCGCGGGCCGTCACCGCGGTTATGCCTCCACTCTTCCGTCGCAAGAGCCACGTCGTATGTTTCTTCTGCCAAAGCATACCAGCACCCACTCCTGCCAACCCGCGCGCGTTCAAATGCCCCCAATGCGACTGCTGGAACCGCTATGACTCGAATGGAGAGCTCGTCTCGGACGAACCTGCCATGCATGATGAAGCTCTCAACACCAACTCGTTCGCGAGGCGAGGTACACTCCTGCTCTCGCCTGCTAACTTCAAATCGCTGACTTGGGGACATTATAGCCTCTGCAAGCAAGAACCACTTGCCCTCTGTCTACGGCACGACGAGGACGTCGTTCTGCCACACCTGTCAGACCAACCAGATGCTCATCGTCAACCTCCTGTCTAATTATCTTCCCTCTCCACAGGTCTGTCCTCTCCTCTCCTCTCCCTCTCCTGGAGCCACGCCTCTTACCGTGTTCGCAGCATCCAGACTACGCCAGGAGGCTAGAGATGCTCCCCGCGTACAAAGAGTCCCTGCACATACGCTATCCCCCCGTGTGCGAGGACTGCGCGCCCAGCGTCGAAGCCGAGATCCAGCAGAAGGACCACATGGCGCGGACAAGGGCTCTCGGGGGCTGGCTGAGACAGACGAGGGGCAAGGACAAGCAGCGGCAGGTCTCCAGCGCGGCGCGCGAGAAGGACAAGCTGTGGTCGCACCTCCTCGCCTGGAGAATACGAGGTGCTTTGTGGGCGGCTACCCTTGTTGGTGTTCTGATGTGGTATATCGCGGGTGCGTGTTGGCATGTGCACTTCCTGTCCACGCTTGGCTCATCCTTGGGTGACAGTGCTTTGGGGTGTTAGACCACCACAGGTTGCAGCTCGGGTTCTTCCCATACTGCCATCATATTTCTTCTTCTCGTTGCTGTGGACGGTGTGGGATCCGACCTACTATTCATTCCGCAAAGCTCAGTTGCAAGGGAGGGATGTAAGGCTCCGAGGAAAGCGCCAGTATATTGTAAGCCGCTCAAGCAATAACTACTCTTTTCTACCTCTGACAGCTTGCCATAGTGTCTACAGCTATTAGCATGGGGATGGAGAATCCTCACATCCAGCATGCTGTTGCTCTCATCGCGTGATACGACGGAGTCACGCTCACATTACTTTCACCTCACATTCGAGAGTCGTTCATTTTTCATGTTATCTGTAATATTAGAACTATCAGTGAGCCGATCCTACCTCCGTCACACACACACTGACATTATGGATTAGATCATCATCGGATCCCTCGCTTTTCTCCGACTCGACCATCCTCCCCCCATACGCCTCATCCAGACCTCCAACCCCCTCTCACGCGCATCCTCCGTCCTCCTCACCCCCGACGGCAGCTTCGCGACCGCACGCTCGACACCTGCCCCCCTCTCCGCACGCTCGTCACATCGCAGCCTCGAGCCAGACCTCTCCGTGCTCTCCCTCTCTTCCAAACCGACCATGGTCCCACCCTCGCACCCCATCTTCGGGCACGCGTCTCTCGCGCCCGCCGTCGAGTCCGCGATGGACCAGGATCCCACTTACAGTCCTGGTAACGCACGGGAGAGCGACGCGATGGACTGGCAGCCGACGGATCCGCGAGCACAGGGTACGCACGCGCAACGTTCAAATGCCGAAGAAGAACAGGGCTCGTGGCTCCGCCCCCAGCGGTTCTTCGCGCCCGAGCAGCCGACCGGGCTCGAGACACTGTTCGCCAGCACCCGTCTCGACGACTCCCCGGGGCAACAAACCAACGCTCCGCGCTCCATCCTGCGCCGCACGCTCGGCGACAAACGAAGGGTGGCAGGCGCCCTGTCTCTCCTCTTGTCCATCGTCGTCGCGTTCCTGGCCGGACGCTGGCTCAGACGATCCGACGGCTCAACAAGTGGTAGTACTAGTACTTATAGCACTTAGTTGTACGTGTACCGATCGACGAGTGATCTAGTCAATTCCGAGTACTTATAAGTGTATCTGCAACACGGATATACGTACGGGTATATAAGAGAAAGCACACGCGGCACCTGGCACCGAGGAACAAAGTGTGAGGCGGCCTCTAAAGGAACAAACAAAAGTCGACCGACACAAGTGGTATCCACAAAAGAGGGTTTCTCATTGATTGAGACGGCCCAGTCGAACAAAGAAAGGGACAAATCAAGAAATGTCGAAGCAAGAAACTGGTGGAGTCCGTGATCGATATCTGATCACTCAAACAGGCGTTGCGCGGTGACAATCCTTGAACAGGCGAAATAAGAAAGGATAAACTATGGGTAGAACTAAAACTAATAGGTGCGTTTCCGGGAGCGGGTGCCTTCGTATGAACGAGGGAGCGACTAGTACCCGCCGTGGTGCACGGGCATGCCGTATTGATCGTACCCGGGGTGGTAGCTCGGTGCGGGGCTGGCGGTGGGCATGGGCCGCGACATGCTGACCCCGCGGTGGAGGTCGTGCATCTGAGGCTGCGGGCTCGCACCGCGCGCGAGGTCGGCGTATCCACCGATGGGCGCGAGGTGGGCCGCACCAGCGGTGAAGTCGTGGTCGGGAATCGGGTGCTGCGCGGATGCGTACCCGCCGTGGCCGTGCACGCTGTCCTCGTTGGCGTTGCCCGAGTGGAAGGACGACGCGTTCGAGTAGCGGCGGGAGGAGCCGGGCAGACCGGAGTCGCGGTGGCTGTTGTCGTCGGGGGGCAGCCAGTCGATGGGGGCCATCCTGTCGTCGAACTCGCGAGACTTGCGGAACTTCCATTTGCGGAAGATGGTCCAGATGACAGCGACACCTATGATGCCACCAAACACGGCTCCGATGGAGATCCAGGTGGCGTGGGTGATGGTGGCTGCTGCGCCTTGCGAAGAGTCGTTGTTGGTGGTAGGAGACGGAGCAGCGGGGTCACTCGTGATTGTGACGACGTATCCATTCGAGTTGCTCGTTATCTGTACGGGAGTGGCGCTGGTGTGAGGCGCTGAGGTCGGCTGAGGAGTTGAAGACGCGGTGGAAGTCGTACTGGCCGACGTCGAAGAGGCTGTCGTCGAAGCTGAGCTGACTGTAGGAAGCAGGCCATCCACTAAGCTTCCCAAGGGACCTGTTGAGCCAGTGGTGCTAGCCGCCTGAAGAGAATGAGCAAAGCGTCATAACGACGCGAGACCGTGGGGAGACTCACGGATGATGTGCCTGTTAACGACTGAGAGCCAGAGGCACTAGCAACGGAGCTCGATGCAGACGATGAGGCCGCTGAATCCGTCGCCGATGCAGAAGAGGAGGGCGAGGCAGAAGCAGAGTCTGCAGAGGAGGAAGAGGTAGGATTATTATCACCGAGACCAAGCAGGCCGCGAGCGAACTCAGCGGGAGCGCGCATTTTGATCAAACGGTGGTCGCGTCTGTGTGTGTCGAAGGAGTTGGCGTCGACGATGGCGACGCAGGCAAGAATGAGAGAGACATAGAGAAGGAGCGTGGGCTTGAGCTTGGTACGCATTTCTGGCCGCAGGAAGACGGCTATTTGACAGTCACGGGTCAGGAAGTAGCAGAGGATATGAGACTAGAACTGACCAAGGGAGAAAAGAAAGTGAAATGGGAGGGTGAATTCTCGAAGCGGGTATCTATGAATACGAAGGGGAAAGAGAGTGGCTTGTTAGGACATCCAGGTCCCGATCCGCAGTCCTTGTCTCTCAGTGCTTCGATATTGCAAAACAAGCGAGATCGCCCCTCGTCCAAATATACCATCACCTGTCTCCTTGGCACCCCGTAGCCCAGTCTCGGCTTCAATTCACTCACTCGCACTCATCAATTCACATCGTCGCATCGCTCCACTACAGCTCATTAGCTATGCTATCCTAAAACAAGCAACACAACGTCCGCTAATCGTCGAAAACAGAACCGTATAAAAAGAATCCATGTTCCAGTATAGTAGAAAGAAATTCAAGTCGAATAGCAAGAAGTTGGATGAAGTTCAAGGGTGGCTCGTCAACGACCAGCTGTCCAGCGCCACAGAGCTAGGGCTCGCATACGAGCTCGACGACATCCCAGGCCACTGCGGACTCATCAACACCTCCAGCGTGTACGAACCCTCCGGCAGACTAATAGCAAGCACCGTCACTCCGTCGTTCGGCAAGTCCGAGCCGCCAGCCGGGAGAGGCGGGTCTGTGGGCAGACGAACGGCCGCCATCGTGGAGAACGCGGCACCAGAGGGCGCGTTCTGCAGCTCGACGACCATCTGCGCGTCTCCGATTTGCAGAGTCGCAGTTTGGTTGTTGTTCGAGAGGGTGACCGTGGCGTTGGTGTGAGCGCGCCACATCACCGAAGCTTGCGCATTGATCTCGTCCTGCACGAGCACCTGCTTACGTCCGTTGATCATCCGAATACCACGCTTCAAAGATGTCCTACAGTCGACACCAAGTCAGTATGGATGCAACCATGGTCACTCTAACGTATCACGTACGTGTTGAAGTAGGCGCTCGTAAGGTCACCAACAAAGTAAGCAGTCGAATCGCTGGAAATGTCCGCGACAGTGGTAGAGCCCTGCGTGGTGTTGGTGGTGTCAAACGTCACCGTCGGAGCTGCCTCGACATTCTGGTTCCCCGCGTCAATCATAATAGTGTTCTGGCCCTCGGTACGCTTGCGGTAGTACAACCACCGCTGAGCATCCTGAGCGTCACTGGTAAAGTAACCAGGGACCAGGTAGTTCTCGTCTCCAAGCTCTCCGAACCAGCGAGTGCCCAAGGCATCGACCACAAAGTCGCCAACGTCGAGATCGTTGTGAGTTTGGTGACCCTGGAGAGTGCCGGCCTTGATACCAACGTACAGAGCATTCTCGTCGGCCCAGCTGGATCTCATCGAGGCCCACTGATCGATGCTGTTGCTGAAGTAATGATCGAGAGGAAGATCGTCCCAGAATGCGCCTGACACGGTGGGATTGTACCAGAACATATTCCAAGGGTCGGGGGCATCCGTCTGGTCGCGCTGGAACAGCTGATACTCGGGCTTGCCGTACATCAGGCCGTAGTACATGAGCGCGTTCGCCGTGGCCGTGTACCTGTTCACTCCGTTGTCGCCGTAGTGGAACAGCGACCCGGGTCCCGTAACATACATGTGGAACAGGCCGCTCAGGTACAGGTTCGGGTTCGACGAGAGCAGCCCAAGGTCCGAGCCCGTGGCGGAGACAACACCGGCGGCAAGTTCGGCGTGACCGGTGCTACCAAAGTACCAGTAGTCAGGCGTTTCCGACCAGGTACCGTCGCTGGAAGTCGCCTGAACACAGTTGGCCAGGGCGTTGGGAATTGTCTGAGCGAGAAGCTGTTCAGCGACACCAGTAGGGTCGTCGTTGAGGATAGCAAGGGAACCCAGGGTCAAGCCGTCATTGCAGACACAGTTCCAGTTGCCTTGCGTATTGGTGGTCCACCACCCGTAGTACATGGGGTCGTTGTCGGAATAACCAATAGCACCAGCGTTGAGGCCGTAGGTGATCATAGTCCACATGATGGCTGACTTCTGATCATCGGACCAAGAGTCGTAGAGCCAGTCATAGGCAATGGCATATGCATTGGTCAACTCGGCAGTATCAAGGAAATGGACGGGGTTCCATTTAGTTGAGTTGTCGGGGCCCCAACCACCCGTCAGATTACCGGCAGAATTCTGAAAGCAAGGTGAGGCAGCTATCTCAACGTCTATGACGTCATCGGGCATACCTGCAGCTCAACCCAAGTTCTATCAAGCCACTTGGTGTCGTTGGTCACGCGGTAGCAGTACGAGAATGCCTTGATGCGCTGCTTGACTTGACGAGCAGGGTCCAGGATACCATTGCCTCCATCATAGATGTACGGTACTGGGTCAGCGTTGTACCAAATCGTAGCGTTCATGAAGATGGTCTGGTTCCAGAACGTCATGTATGGGTCATTGGCAATAAGATTGGGGAGGGCCGCCCACTTGTAAGCGGGGGCAATCAGACGGGGTCTGTCAGGGCGAACAGCAGTGATGCTCGGATTTGAAGGCTGGAAAGAGTCCTGTGGCCAGGCGAGCGATGAATCCGTTGTGGAGACGAAAGTGGGAGAAGAATAGGCAGCCGAATTCGTCTGAATGAATTCAGCCTTGAGCAAACTGCGAGAAATGTGAGGAAATATCATTCTACTTACAGTGGAAGGGTATAGTGGCAGACCATAAAGACTGTCTGTGCCTGTGGCAAAGATACCAATATCTTTCTTCACGCTAGAAGCGGAGGCGGCAGCCGCAGCATCGCTAGAGGCGCTGCTCTTGTTGCGGGCAGCACGGCTACCAAGGACACCACCTACCACAGCAGCAGCGATGATAATTAGAGCAACTGGTATGCCAAACTTAATCCAGCCGCTGGTCTTTTTCTTGGGTGGATTATGGGGTGTTATATATCCCGAGGACTCATTGTAGTAAGGGTCTCCAGACCCGTAAGGAGAAGTGGGAGGCACGGAGTTGTAGTTGGCAGCCATCGCTGCGAGTGAATGAGGAACGTCTGTTTATAAAAGAGAGGCGAGAGTGGGACTGGCAAGCTAGGACAGAGGGAAAGCTGAGGAAATTGAGGCTATGGGGGCGTCAACGCATCCAGAGTGGGGGAATGGGTAACTAACACCTCAGACAAGGCAGGCCTTCCGTTTTGTAGCCGTCGGACCATTAATTCCTTGATACGGCATCCCGGCCAGCAACACTTCGAGGCCGTCTGTCCTATTTTTATAACAGGTTGACAAAAATAGACTGTTGAGTAGGAGTGAGTAGATCAGAAATAGTTCCATCCCTCCCGTCCACCAATCCCATGCCTCAGTCGCGCACAAAAAGTCCGGCGGCGCCCATGCCCGTGCCGATACACATGGATGTCACCAGCACCTGCACACATTGTTTCAGCCACACGCCCTGGAAGATCCTCGCAAGCATCATGCTTACCTTGGCCCCTCTGCGCTCCATCTCGTGCAGGCCAGTAACAATCTGGCGCACACCGGTGCAGCGTAAACTCGCATCGTCAGTACTGACGTCCGCACGTGGTAAATTTAGACCGGACTTATCTAACGGATGACCAAACGCAATCGCTCCGCCGTTTACGTTCACCTTTTCGGGGCTTAGACCCAGCGCCTTGATGCAATAGACGTACTGTGACGCGAACGCTTCATTGATCTGCCATTTCGGTGCATGTCTTAGCTTCCACCGCAACTCGTAGGGTTGCCTTGTGCTCACCTCGTACATGTCCACGTCGTCCTGGCTGATCCCCGCTTTCTCAAGCAGCATGGGAATCGCGTATGCCGGCCCAATTCCCATCACCCGGGGCACAACACCTGATACCACGCGCCTTAGCATCAAGAGCGGACAAGGATAGCAACCATTCTCGTACCTGTAACGGTAGTGGTAACGAATTTGCCCATGATCGGCAGTCCAAGTTGCTCAGCCTTTCTTCGCGTCATCATCATAACAGCTGCAGCGCCATCCGTGATTTGGCTGGCGTTCCCTCCCGTGGTGCAAGACGGCTGCCACTGAGGAAACGCTGCCCGGATCTTCGACAGCGACTCCTGCGTCGTTCCATATCGAATTCCGTCGTCCTGGTCGACAGTGACGCGCCGCTTCTCACCCGTCTTGGGATCCGTGACGTCAACTGTGAACGGCACGATCTCCTTCTTGAACCGGCCTTCTTTCTGCGCTACCTCGGCACGTTGATATGACATTGCTGAGAACTCGTCCATGATCTCGCGAGAGACAGAGAACTCCTTTGCGACATTCTCACTCGTCCATCCCATTGGCATCAAACAGTCTTTCGATGCAGGATTAGCCGTGACCGCTTCGCACTGGGCGGGTCCGCCATTGTCAGGGCTGCATATACACATTCGTAAGGACAGAATAAGAAGACGGCAATGTACACTCACTTCTGCGACATCGACTCGACACCGATAGCAAGACCGACTTCAATCTGGCCCACTCGAATCTGGTTGGCGATGGTAGTGGCTGCCATCAGCCCACTAGAACAGAACCGGTTCATGACCTGCACAGGGACTGATTCAGGAAAGCCGGCTGCAAGTGAAGCACCGCGAGCGTGATAGCAAGCATCTGGAGTAAGCACGGTTCCGACACATATGTCTCCCACAAGTGCGGGGTCGACCTTGGAGTTGGCAATTGTTTGCTGTCTGATCGTTAGTATACCCTGTGTCAGTGAACAGCTGGGTGTCTGTCTGCACCTTAAACAGTTCTAGCAAGAGACCGTCTACTCTGAAGCAGCTCTGAGCGTCAGAGGAATATGCATATATATATGCGGCACATACCCAGTATCCTTCAAAGCACCCCTCTTGGCCTTCGTGAGCGGCGAGCGGATGGCCATGGTAATAACGACATCTTCGGGGTTGCGAGCTCGCAAAGCCGAAAGTCCTTGAGTGGTACCCGTGAGCTGAGAGGCAAGCTGTCTGATTCTGTCGAGAGCCATGTCGATGTTGAGGGAATACTTACAAATAAGCTCCTGGGAGGCTGAGACGACGCTGGGACGAGGCCGGACCATGCACTTACAATAACCCCAAGTGTGCACCGGCTATTCCGAACTTCCACTCGGGCCGTATGCCGCCCAAGAGCCAAAACCTCCGCGGCACTCACGCTTTCGCGCCGAATTCATGTTCAGCGCTTGGCTTCGTTGCTTCCACCGACCGCCAAGCTCACACGTACTCGCACACTGTGAGTGACATAAATCTTGTTGTAAATTACACAGACCCGATGCCCTCTGCTGGAGGGGTCACCAAGTATTCCACGAGGACTGATATCACATCGGATGCACTCATCACTTCAGCCGGCTCCAGAGTAGTGAAGTTCCGAACGCATGTCAAATCATATGTTATAAGCCATGAAAGCATACAACATCCCATACAGCTACAACAGGACGAAAAGAGGGAAAGCAGCGACTAGCATCGGCGGGCGCCGCACCAGCTCCCAATCGGCTCCACCCACAAAGCCGTTGGTTAAGCGTGCGGGCCATGTTTTGCGTGTACGACGACCCGCGTCCACTAGCCCCATACCTACCACCCTTGCTCTTCTCCGCGATACCCTGGGTAAGGTGAAGCGGGAGAGAATCGCTCAGTAGAGACGGACGGGCTTGCCCATCGTGCTCTTGATGTGCAGCGACTTGACGTTCTGCCAGTTCTTCTTGAGAAGGGAAACGAGGAAGTTGATGCCTATCAAGAAGGTCAGAAGATGAGATCAAGGTAAAGGCGAATGCAGGGGACGGACTAAGCATGACGTTTCCGAGAACCTGGTCGTCTGTCATCTGCACGTGTCCAACGGCGACACCGAGACAAAGGACCTTCTTGAGCTGGAACTTAATCGTCGAGCGGACCTCGGTGAGTTTGTTGGATAGGTCCTCAGCGTGGGACACAGGGGTTGGGAACTTGCCGGCCTTGGCAAGACCAGGGCCGAGCAGACGAGGGATCTGCTTGATGAGAGCCTCGGAGGCCAAGAAGGCATCATACTTTTTGGCGAGCTTCTTAACGAGCTTTTTGTTCTTGTTGAGCCTGGATAGAGCGACGGCCGGGAGTTAGCGATAGGGGTAGGGTGGGTAAGTAGAGGACAACGCACTTCTTCAAGTCATCGACCGACATGTACTCGAGGTCAATCTGCTTGGCACGGTCGATATCGGCAGCGTCAGCGAGAATGCAGATGGACATGCGAGGACGGGGGACGTTGGGCAGCCTATCGAGTATCGTGAGATTAGTCAGTTATCCCATCGCGAGACGCAGAGACGCATATACGCGCGCCAACGAGTAAAAAATGGGAAGAAACGCACTTGACAGTGCCCGAGAAACGCTTGTCACGCTGGGGGTCGTAGTTCTTGAGACCGATCTGGAGCTCGATGGTCTCTACGAAGTTGCGCTTCTTCTCGCCGTTGGCCTCGGCGAGCAGCTCCTTGACGGAGCCCCGCACGCTTGCCACTGATAGTTTTGAGCTATGGACATCAGTTTTGGTTGGTATGGGACAGTTCGTGGACGCTGTAGCTAGTGATGAACGCACCTCATCTTTTGGTGGGTGGAGGTGGGTGGATGATCTTTGGGTAAAACTAAGGTTTGAGTGGCGGAGTGAATATTAGCTAGAGTCTCGGGAGATGCCGCTGTCAGAAGATGTGTCACATGGGCTGACTGTGGGAGATAGCGGAATCAGTCGTGTATGAGCTAATCGAGGACTGGTTCGAGTTTAGAGCGGGAGTGTTGTTGTTCTCCGTCGCCGATGCTGTTCCCGTCCCTTTCTCTTTCTCTCTTCCACTGTCTTTTTATCTGAATCTCTTCTGCGTTGTGCTACTATATCCCTCCGAGCAAGAACCCTCGGAACCAAGCGATACCTCTCGAATAACATACTTACCTTTTGGCGGTAAACAACCACTCAATTCAACGTCACCATGTCGGATGTATGGCCCCTGACAGGCCCGTAAGCCAGCCTTCAACTCTCCTCTCAACATCGACTCATTTGTACTTCAATGCCCCCAGCAATGACTCGCCACCAGAGTCCGACCTCACCTCAGACTCACCCCGCACTGCGCTCCTAACTCCGCCCTTCATCGACGACGCCTCCCTTGACCGGCTAGACGACAACGAGCTCGACCCGGAACTCACTCGCCCACACCGCATACCCCGCGGCCCAGGCAAGCGGTTCCGCACAGAACGCGAGCGTGCCCACTCAGGCACTACCAAGGGCGACCTCCTGCGCTTGCTCATCGCCGAAGAGTACGAGTCCCGCCAAACCCGCAAGGTCCTCTACACCGTTTTCGATAGGCTTGATGCCGAGTCACGACGCGCGAGTGAAGCCGAGAAGCAGACTAGTCAGGTGTTCGACACGATCAGAAGACTCAGGGAGGACTTGAGTAGAACGCAGGCAGACGCGGCCACTGCGAAGGAGGAGCTCAAGCTATATCAGCTGCAGCTGAGGAATGCCCAGGAGGAGATCAACAAGGCACAGGAGGTCGTCAAGACGCTCGAGCGGCAGAGGGACGATGCAGAGGACGCGGCTGCTCGGGGGCGCGCTGCTGTCCGTAGACTGAACGAGGCACGGCTGGTCGAGCAGGCTCGTGAAGAGGGGCACAAGCTCGGGTTTGAGGAGGGATTGAGGCGCGGTCGCCATGTTGGCTACAACGAGGGCGTTGACAATGGTCGCGAAGAGATGCGTGAGCACGCCGAGCAAGCCCTCGACCGCATGGTGCAGGAGCAGGGAGAGGTACAGAGTGGCGAGCGTACCCCACCTATGGAGGAGGAAGAGGAGGAAGACCTGGACGTTGAGGGTAACGCCGACGACCTCGTCAATCGCCCACCCACCGATGGGACACCCGACATCCTGCGCATGTCTTCCTCCATCCCATCCTCTTTGCAAAGCAATGGGCCAACGCCAGGACCAAGCCCCAGGAGCGTGCATCATATCCGTCCACCTCCGTCACCTTCTACCCGAACTCAGTCACTGAGCGAACTGTCCCCCGCATCATCCGAATACCCGCCCATGCGCCCGCCGTCTCAGTCTTCATACGTCCCTCCGCGTCCACCTTCACAACCCCAATATCCAGTCCGTCCACCGTCATCTGGGAGTCACCACCGCCGTTCCCACTCGCATCAACAACAACCCCAGTCATGGCCTGAACCACCAGTTCGTCCGCCGAGCGCCCCTATTTCCGTCCAGAATGTCCCACACAGTGTCCACCATCCTCAAACATACATCCCGCCGGATGGCTATATTCCCACCAAAGACGAATCCGGTATCTCTCTTCCTCCACCACATGAGTTCTATATGGGCGTCCCCTCCGCTCCGTCGTCGGCTACATCTACAGTCCCGCCTGCACCGCCACCCGCCGTCCCGCCCCCTGGTATCCCCTCGGTGCCAAGCGACGGCTCCGACCTCGCACCGCTCCGCGACCCTGCATACGATCCCCCATACCCACCATTTGAGATCCCGAATCCTCGCGGGAGAGCCTCACCAGACCTCGACTCGCAGAGCTCTGCGCACCGCTCGCAGACGTCAAGTATCTCGCAGCTCGACCTTGTCGGCCTACCAGGCGCGACGCCGGTCATGGGCCCCGCGCGCAGGCGGGAGCGAGAACTCCGGGACCGCGATCCAAACCGCATGAGGGGGCTTAGTGTCATTCATGAGGATGCGGGCAGCCAACGCTCGAGCTCGATGGGGAGTGTGCCGATGGTTGCAGGGGAGATACCGGTGACACCGGGCGCATCGGGGTCGAGGCGGACGAGGAAGGAATCGTACGGGAGTAGTGCGAGGGGAAGCCCCAGGAGAGGGGGAGGAGAGGAGGACAGTGACACGATGAGTATATACGAGATGCGTGATCGGCAGGCGAAGCAGAGGCTTGCGGATGAGCTGAGATATTCGGACCCATCGAAGGTGGAAGAGTGGAGGCGCTCAGGCAGTAGTCGGGTGAGTTATGTCATCTCGACATGCATACATGCGCTAATTTCGCTTTGTTTTGTCGTTGAATAGTCGCGTACGCAGAGTGTAGGCTCGTCGGCGCGCCATCGCCCTTCGCACGTTACGGTGCCGACTCCACTTTCTCCCCCTCAGCAAGCACCGGCGCCTCCAACAGAGTACGTGAATCCGCGTCATCGACGTGTTCAATCCCTTGCGGCCACCTCGCAACCTCAACCACCGCCACCACCTCAGCCCCAGCCCCAGTCGCAGACGTCCCCGTCACATTTGCGTCCGCCAAGCCAGTCAGGGCAACAGCGTCCAGATCCAGGTAGGCGCCTATCCAGCGATAGCTCGGTGCCTGGCATCACGATCCAGCCTCCCGTAAGGATTACTTCACCTTCCTCCACGACCATGTTTAACTCAACTCTACGATCGTTAAGTCGAACCCTCCCTCGGACGCTCCCTCTCGCCGTTCCAATCGCCCAGCGCCTCAGCCACAAGCACATTTACTGTCACCAGATCAAGCTCCCACGCCTCTGCCTCCTGACAGTGGCTCGGGCCAAAATCTGACAGAGCGCTATCAGCCGAAACATCCCTCCCCGCTCGTGCCCGCTGCACCGAACTCACCTTCGGCTCCGCCAACTAGGCTCGACGGTCCACCAGTTATCCCCCGACCACCAAGCCAGAACCAGCACTATCAGCCTATAAATCCCTACCAAAGGCCCAGCCAGAGCCAGGAACATGGCCAGGCCCCATTCCAACCCGCGCCTCCCAGCCCATACAACATCTACGGAGCGCCTCCGCTTTCAAACGCTCCCGACTTCAGCCAGTTCCCTTCGGGATTCCAGCCCACTGGTCCCACACAACCAAGCCCTGGCCCTACGGCCGCCCCATCGCTCCCACCCAGCGCACCTGAACCACCGCTGGATCCGCGAACCATACAGGTAGGCTCGAGCTCGATGCGTCCGCCGTCGAGAGGGTTCGTGCCACGTCCACCAAGTACGCCCGCATTGCCCGTCCCGCCGCCGGGCGGAAGCGCGTACGTGCCGTACAGAGGTGGGGGTGGCGAAGGCGGCCCGCCACCTGTGATTCCGGGGCAGCAGATGCGCTCGAAGACGCCAGCCTCTGCTGCGGGTGCGGGTGCGAGTGGTCTGTATGCGGAAGCGCCGCTGCCGCCTGGGGTGGCGTACCCGTCTTCGCCCATCTCGCGTCCGCCGACGTTGGGTTCGCTAGGAGGGGAGTCGGCAGCGGGCGGGCCGTCGTCAGCCAATGCTGGGATGACGCCCGCCGCGTTTGGCCGGCCGCAATCGCTGCGCACCTCTGTCACTGGCGCATCTATACCCGAGACCGTTGTAGCGGATGGAGGACGCGAAGGAAAGAAAGGAAAGAAGAAAAGCAAGAAGAATAAAGCTCGGGTGCAGGAAGAGGAGGCGCCGCAGACAAGGCCAACGAGCTCGTACTCGCACGGTCTCGAGCGGAAGCCATCGTACTCAAAGTTCGATCCGAAGATGTACAACGACCCCGCGTTCTTGTCGAGTAACGAGTCGCTGGTTGATCCACACACGGTCGCGAATACGAGTGTAAATGCGGCTGGACGTGGTGCTGCTGGTGCACCTAAGTCGCCATATAACTTTTATGCGAATTTGCCCGGGGGTCGTTGAGCGGGGAAAGGTGTAAGTCCGAATCTGTTGCACATGCAGCGGTCTATACATGTCGTCGTTACAGATGCTCCTTGTCACATACTTAGTAGTCTAAGTAGTATTTACGTAGGTACATGCCGCTGTCCATTTAGGTAGATGTTTTATGAGTAATGTACTGTATAGGTCATCGTCTATAACCACCCTTAGCCTACGTGACCACTTGTTGTAAACACATTTCACTTCACCAGTCGTAGGTTGGGGTGTCATGCATATCATGTCTGCTTCCCTGTTGGAACAGGTCCAACGCCAGGCTCCTTCAATGGTCCCACGCTTCCCATGTCAGTGTGGGCTACAACCCCTCAAATTTCTCAAACTCTGTTACTTTGAGGTAACGGGCATTAGAAAGCTGAGCAAATCATGAAGCTTTTACTCATGCCAGCTTTTGTTTTAGTCATGATTCTGTCCAGCGGGGCAACACGCCACATGATGGACACTACTACGAATAACATATCTACTCTAGCTAGATCCCAGGTATACCTCCCCCCAATGCGATCCCGTGTCAGGTCCTTCGACGGAACAAATCCCCTGATGGCCCACCCCTTCCCAAAGGCGTTTTCGACGGTCTCGCTACCAGTGTCGGCGTCCATGGGCTCGTCTGCGACCATCGTTGTTGCACGCTAACAGGTTCTTGCCACCCGCTGAATGGGTGTGAGCTCATGCCAACTTTGGGCGAGCTTCCTGAGCTAGGATCTCAAGGCATTCACGTCGTCATAGGTCGTCATGCTCAGGCTCTCTGCGCCAAGGACAATTCGTAAGCCTAGTAGCCGTCTGTTATTCTTGTCCTTATCTTTCTTTCCTGTCTGATAAGCTTATTATAGGCTCTCATTCGTTGATCTGATGGAGCGGACACCCTTAGGCGCTTTCTCGACAGCTTTTTAACCAGGGCCATGCCTCAGATCTCAGCGCTTCGGCTCTATCCCACCGCCTCTCCTCCACGATGTCGAATACGGGAGCGCAAGTCCTTTCAGAAGGTGTGGGCTACGGCGTTGTCCTCGGTATCGGACTCGTGTTCGCCCTCATCATGATGGGTCTCTCGGCTCTTCAGAACCGATACACGTCGTTTAAAATCGGCACCTCGGAGGAATTCAACACGGCATCTCGCTCCGTCAAGCCTGGTCTCATAGCTTCGGGGATCGTGTCGGCGTGGACATGGGCTGCGACACTGCTACAAAGCTCTACCGTCACCTATGAATATGGTCTTTGCGGTGGGTACTACTATGCCGCCGGCGCGACCCTCCAAATCTTCATGATGGCGATCCTCTCCGTTCGCGTGAAGATGATCGCGCCGTATTGTCACACCTACCTGGAGATCGTGCACGCTCGCTATGGGAATACGGCACATTTTGTGTTCGCTACCTTTGGACTAGTCGTGAACCTATTTGTCTCCAGTATGCTCCTTCTGGGCGGCAGTGCTGTGGTAAACGCGTTCACCGGGATGAACGTTTACGCTGCAAACTTCCTTATCCCTCTCGGCGTGTGCATCTACGTCATCTTGGGTGGACTGCGAGCAACTTTCCTCTGTGAGTTTGACTGCCGTCTGCTATTGACTATTGTAAGGATGTTTCTCATCAAGGCTGAACAGGCGATTACTCGCATACGCTAATCCTTATGATTATCATCCTCTACTTCTTTTTCTACACTTATGCCGAGTCGGACTTGATCGGAGGTTATGAAGGCATGTATCGCATGCTTCAGCAAGCCGCCAAGGAGCGTCCTGTCTCTGTCAACGAAGGTGGATCATACCTTACACTAAAATCCAATTGTACGTCGATAGCTGCTTCATAAGAAGATGACTAAGATCTTGCAAACATATAGATGGCTTAACGTTTATGATCATTCAGATCACAGGCGGATTCGGAACCGTCATCTTAGACCAAGTGGGAACCTTCAGTGCATCCGCGCAAGCAAAGTTGTCTAACTATTCTCAGGGATATTGGCAGAGAGCCATCGCGTCGGAAGCTAAGACGGCTGTGGAAGCCTACCTAATGGGAGGCATTGCGTGGTTTGCTGTGCCCCTCACGTTTTCGAGCGTAATGGGATTGGCCGCCGTTGCATTAGCCAACAGTAAGCTTTGCCATAGCAAACCTCCGGTTGTCTTTGACTCGTCTTCCAGGCCCCTCTTTTCCATACCCAGGCGGTCTAAACAGCGCGCAAATCGATGCAGGGCTAGCCGCTCCAGCTGGAGTCGTGGCACTGCTTGGTAGCGGGGGAGCGGTGGCCATGGTAAGATGACAAACCTCCATTGGCAAATTCACCCCACTCACATATTATCTTCGGATTTTTCTAAGCTCATTCTTCTTTTTATGGCCGTGACTTCAGCTTCGTCTTCGGAGATGATAGCCACGTCTTCAATCCTGACGTTCGACATTTACCAGATTCACTTCAAACCTGACGTGAGTCTTCTGATATTAAGTTAGGATTATTGAACCTACACCAATGGTAGGCTTCTCCTGAGATGCTTATCCGCATGTCCCATATCATGGTCGGGATTTGGGCTGTTGTGATGGCATGCATCGCCTCCTTATGGAATGGCATCGGAATCTCGTTGAACTGGCTGTTCCTGTTCATGGGAACACTGTTCACTGGTGCGGTGGGACCGATCATATTCTCAGTTACATGGCGCAAACAGACTGGTACTGCTGCTATCAGCGGAGCACTTGGCGGACTTGCCGTGGGTATTGTGGCTTGGTTGGCGGTTGCTAAAACGTACTATGGTGAAGTCACCATTGAGACGACAGGTACGAGCACCACTGGCATTTTTGGTCCGTCATGGATAAAGTCTGACATACGTGTTAGGAAACATGTATCCAAACCTCGCAGGCAATATGGGCGCATGCTGTTCAGGGGCGATCATCTCCGCAGTTATTACCTTGATCAAACCCGACAACTCTTTTGACTGGTCAGAGACGAAGCGGATCAACCCCAGAGCGCAGAGGCTGGATCAAGCTGGGTCGGCCGAAATCACGTCGCCTCGCCCAAGTTCACCCGAGTCTGACTCAAAGGAGAAGAAAATTAGGACAGAAGTACAAACCGTTCCAGCGACGGATACTCCTCCAACGGGCGGTAAACTCGAAGATTACAATCACTTGAAGAAGTCCTTGAGGGCGGCCACCTGGGCCGCGTTCAGCTTGACATTCATCACCATCTTTGTAAGTCAAGCCATGCATTCGTGAAAATTCGACTGGCTCATTATTGGATGTAGCTAATCCCCATTCCAATGTTTCTGACACACTACGTGTTCTCCCTCACCTTCTTCCGCGCTTGGTTGACGTTATGTGTGATATGGCTTTTCGTCGCTGCATCCATCACATCAATTCTGCCTTTGTGGGAGAGCCGCGCAGCCATGGGGGATATCTATAGAGGCATCGTCAGGGATGCCTTCTTGTCAAGGGTCTCAAAGAGCGAAAAAACCTCACCTGTACCAGCATGAATCTTGTAACCTCACACAAATTCGCTCGCTGTCAGAGGCTCAGGCTGTCTGTGTACTGTAAGTTGACTGTTTGGTATAGGTTTTGAATCAAGCGATTGTATAGGTGTAGCTAGACTCCAGTTGTGTGTATCAATATGTTCTTGCGTAGTCCTTTCTTCTGGTCCTCGTGAATCACTAGCCATGGGCCATTGCAAGTTGCAACGAAAGAAATAACATAAGATGAAATCGTCGGGTTTCGGATCTCCGAACTGCAGGTCATTATCTCCGTCTCCTTCGGATGCCTCCTACAACAATCATGTCCGTCACTAAGGCTTACAGATTCATAGGTTGACAGTTTCTACCCGATCCATTTATCAACGGTGTTGACTTCTACAAACTTCCATCTCTAGATATCGGAGGTTTGGGGGACTTTCACGGGTCCAGCCAAGCTTCTCACCGCAGACTGTACCTTTGCACCCTACAGTGAATCTGACTGATCCTGTCTTCCGGGGCATCTACCACGGGCGAAAGAAGCATGAAGGTTCGGCTTTTTAGAGGTCCAATGGTAAACGACTAAAGCAAGGTTATCCGTAGATGACTTTCTCGCCATTCTGGAAAGATCTCGTGCTGCTGGAGTGAAGTCCATGATCGTTACTGGCGGGAGCCTCTCCGAGTCAACTGAGGCATTGAAGCTTGCAGAGAAGCATGGTGCATAAAAAAGGCACTAGGTTCAAGAGACCCTGACATTGACTTTGCCTCTTACATCGTAGGTTTGTACGCAACAATTGGCTGTCATCCCACTCGGTCCTCCGAGTTCGACAAACACCCAGAGGGTCCTTTGGCATATCTAGATGCGCTGGATAAACTACTAGCTTCCAATGGACAAGGGAAAGGAAGAGGTGTAGCAATCGGAGAGTGTGGTTTAGGTACGGGATCTTTCATGGAGAGATCACTATATGCTAGCGGTCTGCTCATTTATAGCCAGACTATGACAGGACCCACTTTGCGGCTAAGGATGTTCAACAGAAGGCGTTTCGTGAGCTGTCGTTATGACCTTCGAATTTTCATATCTGGCTGATGCGATGGCATGATTGACAGGTTTACAGCTTGGTCTGGCTAAAAAGTACCATATGCCATTATTTCTTCACTCGCGAGCTGCGCACCAAGACTTTGTGCAAATACTCCGAGAAGAAGGATTGGGTGAGAACGGAGGTCAAGCGAACGGTGCAAAGGGAGGAGTTGTCCACAGCTTCACCGGTACTTCGGAAGAGATGGAGGAGCTGGTGAGTTCAAGCTATCCCGCATGTAAGACCAGATATAATATTGACGTATTTTAGATGAACATGGGTTTTCACATCGGGCAAGTCTTACCCCCACAAAACGTTCTAGTCAGCCAATAATTGACATCAACAGCTTTAATGGATGCTCACTAAAAACGGACGACAACCTGCGTGTGGTCAAAGGCGTTCGCCTGGATAAACTTCTTCTTGAGACCGGTAAGCCTTTGCTCTAAGTCTCATTTACACCATTGACAATGCATCCGAACATACGTGCTATAGATGCGCCTTGGTGCTCCATGACGACTACACAGGCCTCAAGGGCCCACATCGACACCCTTCCGGCAGATTTACGCGCTCAATTCTTTCCTTCTACTACCAAGCCTGAATCATTTGTACACGGCAAACCCACTAAAGGAAGAAATGAGCCAACAGCAATCGGAGGTGTAGCTTGGGTTGTTCATAAGTTACATCCTGACATACCATTCGAGAACATCACTGAGATGATATATAAGAATACTGTGGATTTGTTTGGACTAGAAATCAACGCCACAGCATGATAATGTTTATTCACTTTACCACGGTTTTTTGGCCTATCATTTTCTCTTTTTGTTTGTGTAGTTCGAAAGGAAGTGACGTGATATAAGGCAAATTTGAGTTGACGTAGCGCCGTGTTGACAACCAGAAGGCGCGGCGAGCCGACTCTACGCGTGCGCCTGCAGCCTGGCACTTACGAATCGCTTCTGTTGAGTTAGCACAACAAGATTTCAGCCCATGAGTGATGCGACGGGGGCGCTCTCTAGTTCTTTCGATCGCGGTACGGTCTTGCAGGTGCTTGCGGTAGTTGGGGTGGTGTGGTATTTCATTCTCTGGACACTCGGCTTGTTAGGCTGCTACAACGCGTGCGTTCAGAACTGCGCGCTCCTTGTCTCCTTCTGACAACTGCTCCCTAACACCAATAGGCGGAAGAGATACCGTAACCCTCCCCGCTCTTCCCTTACCACCTCGACGACTGCTCCTGGCGTATCGATTCTTCGTCCTCTGAAAGGGCTCGATCCCAATCTTTATGAAAACTTGGAGTCAACATTTACTCAAGAATATCCCAACTTCGAGATCTTACTGTCTGTTGCCGACGAAGATGACCAAGCTCTTTCCGTGGTCAGGGAACTCATCTCAAAGTATCCTCAAGTGAATGCCAAAGTAATCGTCGGTATGTGGTCGTCATCGAGGACACAGTCCCCCAAGCTCAAGATTGTTTCCCAGGATCCGAGAACGTCGGCATCAACCCGAAGGTCAACAACCTCGTGCGGTCGTATAGGGAAGCCACCAATGACATTCTGTGGGTCATCGATTCCAACGTCTCAATGAGCCCCGGCACGCTGGCACATTCAGTCGAGGTTTTTGATCCACCTGCGGAGATGTCGTCTACCCGCAGACGGATAGCCCTTGTCCACCATGTCCCTTATGTATCAGTCAGCGAAGACTCGCTCGCTGCAAGAGTCGAAGCGGCATTCCTCAACACCAACCACGCCAAGATGTACATTGCAATTAACACCGTCGCCATCGACTCTTGCGTGGTTGGGAAGTCCAACCTCTACCGTCGCTCGGATGTGGAAAGAGTGGATGGGTCTCTGAAACGGAAGCACACAGGTGACGAAGATGGGCATGTTTACGGTCTCCCTGCATTTGGTCGTTATCTGGCGGAGGACAACATGATTGCCGGTGCGCTTTGGCATGAGCTGGGGCTAAGGCATGATCTTTCATGCGATGTAGCTCAGACCGCTGTCGGCAAAATGACCTTTGCAGATTATGTCGGCCGCCGAGTTCGGTGGATTCGCGTTCGAAAACATATGGTGCTCGCTGCCACTCTCGTTGAGCCCTTCACAGAGAGCTTCGTAGCGGGTTTGATCTCATCCGTCAGCATGCACCATCTCTGGGACTTCCGCATCTGGCTGTGCTTGCTTATTCATTTTGTCACCTGGATATATGTTGACCTCGACGTGCAACAATCCCTGGCTGGTCGACCCCTTCCACCCAAGGATTTTCCTACATTTTTGGCAGCCTGGCTGATACGCGAAATACTCGCTTTGCCCATCTGGTTCTATGCAGTGATTGGAAATCAAGTTAGCTGGAGAGGAAGGACATATGAGGTTTTGCGCGATGGCGAGGTAAAGCGTGCCAATTCCGGTAGTTTTGTGGGCGCCGTTGCAAATCGTCTCGGGCAGTCGGGCACGCAAGGATATACACCTCTAGCAACTACTAATCATGACTAATCCATCAATTTATGTACGATAATCTACGAGAAAGTAACTATTAGACCGACATAAAGTATACGTGAAACGTTAGCTAGCTATATGCCCAGATGTTAATGAATGATACATGGGTGGTATATATGGATAGTGCTACAATCCTCGGTCAAATTTGAGTCAAGGGGACCCGGTCTCCTGTCGGGTGTGTCGAGCCAAGATTCTGAAGTTATGGATCATGATAACTTCATCAAAAAAGGTGTCAGACCAGTAGCTTGCACTGCAAGCATCAAGAGCTGCCTGACGCAGTCTCAGCTCTCGCCCTTGACATACGATTTTACGCAAGTCCGCATCTACGGAAGGCGCAGTAGGAAGCTTTCTGAACTCGCGAGCATCCTTCTGTCGCTGGTTGGAGAACCAGTTCTTGACCTGCTGGAACTCCCTGGTCGGTGTTATATCATCAAAGATGGAGTTATAGCTGAAACAAGGACCTACCTCCGAATAACGATACTGATCTGTGCCAGCCACGCCTCGTCGGGATAGGGCGTGATCTCATCATAAACCATCTGCATCACGAGTCTCTGCCGGTTAGAAGCAGGTGCCTTTCCAGTGGACGGGATCATCATAGCTCTCTCCTTGAGTTCTTTCACCTTGGCATCCCTTGATGCTCGAGCCGCAGAAGAGACATGGTTATAAGACTGTTTGGAATATGGCTTCTTGACATGTCCATCAGCGGTAGTCCGACGAGTTGATCTGGGGTGAGGAGATGGAGACTCTGGATTATGTGGCTGAGGATGATTGACGCTGCGCTGTCTCGAAGATCTTCTCAGGCCTAATTCCGACGAGAACAGAAGTAAATCAGATGTGTGAATGTGGGACTTGTCGTCAAGGATGTCGTCCGGGTCAGAGAGTTCTCGTGAAAAAGAGGATGAGGCAGGACTGTCAGGGGCGGTCCTTTGGTCGTGAGAGTCGAAGGTGAAGAGGGCGTTGGAAGATAAGGAAGGAGAGACGGAGCTGGCCGATCGAGGGGGGTCCGGGGGTAAAGTGTACATGATATCGTGGGGCAAGTAAAAGGTAGGATATTGACGAGGAAGGAGTAAACGGTCTTGAAACAAATGAGGATAGCGCACTAAGTCCTGGAGGGCAACCACCCAGGAAGGTTGGGAGGCAGGAGGCGACCTGCTTTACTGGGGAGCCAGGGTGGTTTGGAGGAGAGGTGGAAGGAGGATAAAACGAAGGGATAGCTTGCGCAAAGCTGAAGAGGATCAACGGGAGAATCAAAACGATCTATCTGTATTAATGCTGTGAGACGATGCTATGTCTTCCTTTCATGAGACAAGGAGGCTGATATGGAAGGAAGGGCTGGTGTGAGAGATTAGCATGAGTATGCGTCCCTTGTTATACTTGGCCGTAATTGGAAATGGATAAGAGCCTGTAACAAACAGCATCAAATACTTTGTATGTGGTGACAGCCCGACAGACTATGCCATCCTTGGTAGGCTTCGTTAATTGTATGCGTCCCGCTCCAGGTCACGTCCTGGCTGCCATCTCCCCGCGCGTTGCGTCCTGAGTGCACTCTCGGCCCTGCTTCATGTCTGAACACGATAACTCTATCCGGCAGCGTATCATTTCCTCTGTGTTCGACAAACGCAACCTCTCTTCACCTGTAACTGAGTCTTACGTTGCCCATATCAAGATCTGGGAGGACGCAGGAGATGGCACGGGCAAGAAGCCAAGATATATCCTCCTGTCACGTATGTTCTCGCGTCTGTAGCATCGCATAGCTCGTAATGTTACCACAGAGACTAGTGACGGCTCGGGCCTCATTCATAAGTCCAAGCTCAATACGAATGGAACCTTCTCCGTAGGAAAGACATGGAAGCTATCCGACTTAAAGGGTGTTGACTCTGCGACGGTTCGTATCAACTCCAGGACGCACATATCATTGCCTGACTGTTTGGTAATAGCCCTTGACCTTGGGTATAACGCTTGCGCGCATGTACAAGTGGCAGACCGAAAGTCAGCAGGATCAGCGTGCATTTGTGTCATCCCTCGTCTCCATTTACGAGAACGTCTTTGGCTCTAGAGATTCTCTCAAAGTGGTTGGCGACTACGGCGCACCATCTCAATATAAACCTCGTTCGTCTTTTCGACCTTTAGTCTTACTGTACTGAAGCTTTCTATGCAGCGGCTAGTACAGAGTCTCCTCAGGCTTCTTTGAGCTTCAATGGCACCCTACCCTCGAGACCTTCTATGACACGGATACCCGCAGATACGCCTCGCAAGGCATTGGAACCAAGATCATCATCAGAGGCATTCCGGCCAATTACTCCAAACGGTCCGATAGGACCAAATGGACAACCGCCAGCTTCATTGACGCCAGGAGATTCACGGTCAGAAGCACGAGCGGAAACATACTCGCCTTCCAAGGCCTTGAACTTGAACCCTCCGAGTGCGCTCAGACCGAGCGCTCGGCGGCCATCCGCGTCAACTTCGACATCCATGCTATCTACCTCACCATCCCCGTCGTCCAAAGTTACTGACAGTACGATCTCCTCCACGTCGAATCTTCGCATACCTGTAGATTTATCTTCAACCGCGTACTCCAATACGCTGGAAGACTCGGGTCCCCAGGTAGCTAGTCCTTCAGCCATCACACCGAAAACACCAGAATCTGGCTCGACAGAGAGATTGGCTCCACATGCGCCTCGGTCTTACACAACTCCTTCACGTAGCAAAGGACCTACTCCTATGGAGTCTGCACATTCGCGGAGGGAACACAATAATCGTATCTCCTTTTTTGATCCATCCAATCAAGCACTTCTTGATCGCCTTATAACGGGAAACGTCGATTCAGATACGGAGGACGGAGGCGATGAGATTGCACAAGCAACTATGCTTAGCGTCGAGGAGATGCTCGAGGGGTATGATTGGGGTAACGATGGCTTCTTAAACCGACAGGCCCCTGGAGACACTGCTGACATGGTTGAGGCTCGGTTATTCGATGAACTCATGGCTTTAGACAAGGTGACTATACTTCTATTAATCACGTCCCGCGACTGATTGTTTGCGATGCTTTTAGGCCAATATTCACTCGTTCCTTGAATCAGATGATCGAGTTAACCTGGTCGTCAAACTTTTGGACGAAGCCATACTGGAAGTGGATGGGATGGACAGTCTTATCTCATCATACAAAATACACTTAAACGTCAGTCACTACCTTGTGTTTTCAGTGAAAGAGCTGACAAAACATCTCAACTATAGGCCGTCAGCGACGACATCACATTTATTCAGTCTCAACGTCGGGGCTTGCAAGTTCAGACACAAAACCAACGAGCATTGCTGACTGAAGTTGAAAACCTTCTTGTAGGGATCAAGTTGACTTCATTTGATAGCTCACTGACGTGAAATATAGCAAACCGTCGACGTGGACCAGGAATCCCTTATCATTCTTACTCAAGAGTCCCTTGAGAAGCCTGCTGGCATTCAAAGGTTAGAGGATGCGGTCACCGTTCTTTACAAGGCTCTTCAGGCCAGTAAAGATTCAGGTGAGTCTAGCAAATACATCAACAACCTAGTGTCAGAGCTGACGGTATCCCTCAGAGATGGCAGCGACTATGGAGAGATTGGACGAATATCGTACATACAACTCACAGTTCTGCAAACGCATATTCGATTATCTTTCTATCATGTCAGCTGCTCAGGTATGTTTGATTGCACTCAGGGTGTGCATCGCTTAATGCATCGTATACAAGGCCAAGTCCATCACAGATAGAGATAATGGGATGTTGTGGACAAGTGGGAAAAAGCACCCTACGTTGGCTAGTCACGAGGAGATGGAGAAGTATCTCGGTCGGTACGCGGGTCTGCTGCTCTACCTGAAGGAAATGGATGAAGGAACATACTCCAAGACTTGTGCGGTACGTGAAAGCTACTCTTAGTGTTCTCGTTCTGCTCTCACATATAATGCAGGCGTATTTCTCTGCTGCAAGCGATCTGCACAGCAAACAGATGAAGTCTCTCCTATCTGTATACGGCAACCTTGTGAAAAAGACACCAGAAGAAGATGGCGACGCGAGTGAGTTACCCTGCCATGCTGTTTACCGTGTCGTGACATTCTAGTAGATGCCGCTCCATGGGCGACAGGGAATGTCTCGAAAGGCGGAGGAGCCATCCGTCGCGCGGGTACCATTGTGCGTCCGTCAACCGATGGACGGAGAGACAAGGATAGGGAGAAGCGTGGCGACGACGAGCTCAAAGCGTCCGACGTCAGTAATCATTGGCAACGTCCCGAAGTTTGTGTACTCACATTCACTCCTTAAGGCCCTGACTTCTATCCTCGACCAAATAGCCCCACAAATATACCGCGAGAACGACTTCATTGCTGATTTCCTCCAGATCAATGATGCTGGGCTGACGTTTGCTGACTATTCTGGCCTGGACAACTACTTTAGACGACAGGCCAGTCGGAGTGCTGGGCTCAGTCAAGCGACGATCAAACTAGTCCGGGGAGCAATGGACCTAATCTTTGGTTTCCTCCCCAACGAGTTGAAGCAGTGGATAGATAACGCTGTCTCCAAGGACTCCGTGTAAGTTCATATGCGCCTTCAGGTTCGTTATCATGCTAATAATGTACTTTCGTTAGGCAGATGGTTGGCGTCATTGTTTGCTTAGAGCGCTTCCTTGCAGATGCCGATGAAAGAGGGAACCATTTCTTCACACAAATGCTGGAACGGCAACATACTCGCCTCAAGGGCTCTTTCGATCGTCATGTTGTATGTGTTTTCCCTTTGTGACTTTGAACTGCTTGCTGAAGTGGAGTATGAAGAACCAGCAAATGAAGTCTGTTGAGGAAACTAAACTCAACAGCAAGAAGCGAAGAGGCGTAGCACCGTTCATCAAGTACTTCCCGACCTACATCGCCAGAGTAGAGCAGCAGATGATTGGCGCAGACGGCCTTGAGATCAGGGTAACGGTCGATGTTGCTTACGAGAAGATCGTAGGCAGCATGTTCGAGGCCTTGAAACATATGGCTACCATGGATGGTGATGGTGAAGACAAGGGACAGCTCAACTATCATGTCCTTTTGGTTGGTACGTATAAATGTCTACATTGGTCATCAGGGTTGCTTATGCCAGTGCTACAGAGAACATGCATTACTTCGTCGCCGAGATGTCTCAAGTAGAAGGTGGAACTGTCTCGGCGTTTTTGAAGCAGGCGGAAGCACTCTACAATGACAACCTCAATGCCTACGTCAAGATCGTCCTTCGTCGGGGATTTGCAAAGATCATTGTTAGAGAACCATGTGTTTCTACTTCTGTGCTTAAATTAACGCCGACTGTGAACAGGACTTTTTCAGTGGGCTCGATCGGCTCTTGGAAAACACCGCGCCCACGGAAGTCATGAAGTCGTCGAGCTACAGTCGGTCGGCCTTGAAGAAGGTTGTCAGAGACTGCGATGACAAAGATGTCCGCAAGCACATTGACGCTCTCTTTAAGCGCGTGGAGAAGCACTTTACCGAAGCCGAAGAGAAGTCTACGACGGAAGAACGCAGCGGGATCGCGGCCGGCCATGTCATGGTCGGCGTATGGAAGACCTGCGAAGAGGAGCTTCTACGGCTCACAAAGTCATTCCAGAAGAAGATCGACCTGTGCTACAAGGACAGTGGGGTCAGCCTGGAGTACACTATTGCTGACATAGAAGCAGCTTTCAAGCGACATAGTCTCGATGGATGATAGCTCGGGCGATTGAACTGCAGCCGTCTGTAACTCTGTTTTGATAACTTATTTGACATGCATTTGACTGTAGAAGATTACTTAATCATATGTTTAATGAACGAATGCGTCACAGAAGTCCAAGCAGAGTCAGAATCTAATGTCCGGATCTGATGTCCTGGCGAACAACCAAGTCCATCTAGATGTGAGGCCTGGGGCTGGGCGAACGGCGCCTCTGTTGCAAGTTTTCTGTTGAGGCGGTGTTGAGACCGGTCGCGGAGGTAGACGGGGTGCTGTGCTGCTGCGGTCCCCCAGCAGACGGGTACACCCGAGAAAGACCACCGAGGACGGCGGGACCGTAGGCATCCCAGAGGCCTTTGGCAGAATCGGCCAGAGAGGGAGCGTTGCGCCCATTTTGTGGGTTAGCATTCTCGCCGGGCTCGTTAGTGGGAGCGGCGGCGGAAGGCCTGTTCTGGATGCGGTCTACGATACCAGAGAACCGGGTGCGTGCGAACCCGACGAGGTTGCTCTGCACTGACACGATACCGGCGTCCAAGTCGGCCTCGTTTCGTACCAGGAAAGGCTGCAGGTAGGTCTTGTAGACGTAAGTAGAGCCCTGTGAAATAGGTCATTTGGAAAGTAGAAGGGGTGGATAGGGGAAGAACTAGCCTGAGTCTGAGGCAAGGCGAGGTAAAGCAGGAAGAGGGTTCTGACTTCCCAGTAAAATGGAAGCCTGACACATGTTAGGATTGGCATACAGGCAAGGATGTCATTGTGCGCGTACCAAGAAACAAAGGGGCCAAGGGTGGTCTCAAGCGCCATGAACGCGCCGATGACAGCCCAGTACATGGCTAATGTGTCAAGCTCGTCATTGGAGCGAAGATGAACATGGGAAAGAGTCTTGAAAGTAGAGAAGCAGGGGATCAAGAAAACAAACCACGCGCTAGGAGACTGTCAGAGCTGGCTGAGGGGGTATGTTGAGTGAGTACTGACCAGACGACGTGAGATATGAGGGACATAAACATGGCGGCGATAAGGCTAGAAGGCGAGCTGCGAGCTGTTGGAATGTGTCTGGATGCGTCGGGCGTATCAGAGAACCGAAGGAGGTGTCGGTGTCTTGGTGAGTTTGGATGTGGAGTTGCTATTAGCTGCTTAGCGCGGTAAGAGGCCGGTGAAAGGCGAGCCACGGGGGCAGATAGCCGGAAATACCTTATCTCGAAAAGGAAACGATGAAGCGGTTTGACAGGCAACAGCGCTGTCCCGTGTGTTTGGCGCTGTTTATCGGCAACCCATCCCTTTGAGCGCTGCCAGTAACGCCGACCCCCCGGCCTGGTCAGCCTTCCCATACCCGCTCTTCGCTTTCTTCCACCTCCACCATGGATTCAGCCTCTTCGCACCCGCACCAGATCAAACAGCAGGACGATCAGTCCCTTTCAGATCTTAAGGGCGACGACAAACGCTCTTCAAAAACTCCAGCAAAGACTCTCAACCGCGTCCCACGTAAGGCAGCCCCCCCTTCGAGCGCGTGTACTCTCACTTACCCCCCCTCCGTCTATTCCAGGTGCCTGCGTAAGTCGCTCCGAGCATCCCGAGATATCATGCCGCGCTCCTCCTGACCGACGCGACCCTTCAACAGAATGCCTGTCGCAAACAGAAGATGCGCTGTGAAGGTGCTGATAACCCTCCTTGCAGGAGATGCCGCCACGCTGGCCTAGACTGTCTCTTCGAGAAACCTTCGAGGGAGGCAACATTGACGGGCGAAGCGGGCCTTGAGTAAGTCTACGCGATCGTTCCGCGCTAACCATCTCACTCGATTGATCTCCCCTGCCAGACGCATACGAAGTCTGGAGGCCCACGTCGCCGATATCCGCCAAACCCAAACATCCATCCAGTCCACCTTATTAGAAATTGTTTCTCACCTCCGTGGCGGTTCAGTACAACACGCACGCTCTCCCTCTACGTTCTCACCTACACAGTTTCCTGGCCAGTCTCCCTCCATACAATCAACAGAATCGCCGCTTACGTCGGCCGGCCCGAACGGATCGAGCGGCTCGCATGCTGGAGATGGCTCCTTTCATGGTCCCAACCAGCCCAACGTTCAGACTCCCACATCATTCCAGGGCACATCGGGCAACATTCAATCTGTAACGAGTTCACGACCAGCACCACGCAATGCCATGACATCAACCCAATCTCAGGGGGTGAATCCAGAATTCCACCCGCCTCAGCTTCCACCTTCTTACGATAACGCGTCTACCCCCACACAAACATATGGCTTCAACACACACGCATCTGCACAATCATTACCGTCGTTTTCTTCTATCCAAGGCGCTGGTGGCGCCGTGCAGCAAGCTCACACATCTTCACGTTACAGCTCGATGGAGACATCTCACCATCGTTCTGCACACCGGCACGCCCATGCAGCCACAACGACCTCGGGCAACAAACGAGCGATCCCTTCTTCTTCGAATGTTACCAGTGCTGATTCTTCGGATGTCGATGATGATGATAATGGGGAGCTGCCCGCATCAGGACTTGTAGCCCCGTGGGAAGTTCTGAGAGGTCTCGCAGACGTTGCTATTGAACGGGCTGCAAAGGTCAGTGCTACAGCTTCTTTCGCGGCGGAGAGTCGGCTAACCCCCCACAGGAAAATGGGGAGATGAGTAGCGAGCCTCAGAGCAGAACCAGGACGCCATCCCCCGAGAGACAAGGTCGGCCACCAAAGAGGCGCAAGATTCGCCATCGAGTACCTCGAGGCGCCGTCTTCCCTGATGGTCAGTGCCCATGTTTTTTCTCCACCCTTCGTTACTAAATTTAGAAATAGTCGTTACCAAAAACATTATACCTGAGTTTGAAGCTCGCGAACTCTTCCGCATGTATGTCTCAGCTTTGCCGGACCAAAGGTCGCCTGCTAACTTTGGATAGATTCTACCAAGGCTGCTCGACGTTCTTGCCCGTTTTCGATAGCAATGTTGACACTTTTGATGGCCTCCACGAACGGTCACCTTTTGCTGTGGATGCTATCTGCATGGTGGCCTCCCGAGTGAGAGATGGTGGAGGTGAGTGCTTCTGATTCTGATTTCCCATCGTTTCAAGCTCATCAGCACGCGTAGGGCCGGCAAGCGATGTGTATCAACGGTGTCTGGAAGCGGTACAAGCCATTTCGTGTGCTACATTGTTCTCCCCAGTCTCGCGGATTGAGGCTGTTCAGGCAATGGGTAGGTGATCAAGCGGTGATTGCGTGCCTTCCTTCTGATGTCCGTTAGTCCTCGTTTCGGGTTGGTCCGACAACGGTTGGCTGAGTGGCGGCCATGCTGTGCGCATGGCTATGGAACTTTGTAAGCGAATATGTGCATCGCACTAACCAATAGTGCTAAAGAGCTCCTAGCTATGCATAAGGCTTGGCCTAAGCTGCTCAGGCGGATGCAGAACAAATCGAGAACTAGTGATGGGTCAGAAGACCGAGACCTTGTTATTGCCTCCCGTACATGGTTCTGTTTGTACCTGTTCGAGCATCAGTAAGCCGCAAGATTTTATTCGTGTGCAAGTCAACTAAATAACTGTAGGTTATCGTACGGTACAGGTCGTCCGGCTATTCTGAAGGATGATGAGAGCATATGGCAATGCCGCCTTCTGCTTCAACATCCTCTTGCAATTGAGGATGATATGCGCCTGGTGTCCACTGTTGAGCTTATGGCGATCAGAGAAAGAACTACCAATAACTTGGCCCCATCGGACCGCCCAGTGGATGAGGCAATGCTCGAGGTGCTTCGCCAAGGTGATACTGAGTTTTCGAACTGGTACAAGACTTGGGACCACGCGTTCTCTCAGAAATACGAGGATGCTGGTGAGTTTCCCACCGTTTGCCATAGCTGAAAGTTTCTTAAGCGTTTTCAGCATTCTATCGTCAAAGTCTACAGATTCAACAACTACACGCTCAGCTGTTCCATAACGCATCTGCCTTGCGTGGGGTAAACGGCCCCGATGATGCTCAGAGAATGCCAGCCAGTCAACGTGATCTCGCTATGCGATCGATACAAATTGCTCGTCAGGGTCTGGATATCACTGTCAATTCTCCTTCGTACCGTGAAGGAATGAAATATGGTATGCTTCACCCTGCTGCTTGCCTACTTTTTCTTATACCTCGTACCACAGCTGTCCATTACACACATGTTACCGCGACTTTCATGGCATCTTTCATGCTGAGATTGGCACGCCTTTTGTATGTCCCTATTTCTTATTTATCTGTTCTTTCCTCATCCATCCACTCGACAGCCCTGATGACTGTAACATGCACGAAGTGATGGGTCAAGTCGATCGCCTGACAGGCTTGATGTCTCAGAGTATGTAGGGGGTTTGTCTGGTTTTCAAGTGGCTAACGGCCTCCCAGTTCCTGGCAAACGCTATGCTATTACTCTCCAGCTTATGATGAAACGCGCGAAGAAACGTAGAGCTGCATCGAACTCTCGTTCGCCCCACATGTCCAGAGAAGCGTACCGCCAGTCCTCGATGCATGTTGATCAATCTGGCATGAATAACGTCAGGAGCGCGGAAGCATTCTCCCCAACCTACAATGCCTCGTTCACTTCAAGTCCTGAAACCATGCGTCAAGCCCAGGCCGGGACGGTGCCCCCTCATGGAACGGACGTCGACAGCATTTGGCGCGGTTTCGAGATGACTGCCAACGAACAACTCCCTGTTTGGATCTCCGACCAGAGTTTAGGGGGTAGCTCCTTTCCCCAGCAAGGCATGGACGCGTTTTTGTTACCCAACGATTATCTGCCTCACTCGACGCAGATATGGTGATGTTCTATTTATGTTTGATATGCGGAACACTCTCTGGATCTTCCTTTTCTTGTCTCTTCGCTTGCCTCCATGGTGTAACCCTCTTGTCATTTGTGTCTCCTTCTTGTAGCGGTTGCCTATGTATGCCGTACAAAAGCATCCTATATATTTTTAGGGATCTGGTCATGACTCCTATACCCCTCGCACCTTCCGCGGATATACCTGTTAGCCTCCTCATTGCCCAATGATAAATTGAACACATTCTTGAAGGTCAGGCCTCTTTGACTCTGATTACATTTCTGACCGCGCACACCTGCCACACCATTCGCTCTTCAACACGACGTAGGGCGTCTGCCCGCTTGCGTCTCGATTGCCATGGTTATCTCCACTCTTCCCCTTCTTCCGCTTCAGGTCTCATCGTCAAGAACTCGTAGGGCGGTCACATCCTTCAAGGGTCGTTACATTCCGCAATGCGAGAACAATCCGTTTGCACCCAAGGACCCCACTATGGAAGCTATCTTCTCACTCGTTGACAATAACCGACATTCGTTACCTTCGGTGGGACCGTCTGATTCGTTGACACTGCCCGGTGTAGGTGCATATCAGGGAGCCAAACTCTCTCTCAAAAAGGCCGATCCTGTCAAGAAACCATCTTTTACGAGCGTGAAGGCTTGTCAAGGTATGTTTCGTATATTTTGTGGTGGTTGATAAACTTAAGCTGCGACCCTACAGTAATATTCTTCCGCCAGCAATTCGTTCTAATATTGACGAAATGCCTCCTGGCATTCGGCGCTCCCACCCACCGTATCGAGTCCCAATTAGCTTTTGCGTCCAAAGCTCTGGGTGCTAAAGCTATTTTTGTGTATATCCCCGGTTTGGTGATTGTTACTTTCAGTCATTCCACCGCTGGCAAGACGCAGGTCATCAGGTGTGGAGGTCGCATTTCCCTGTCGGCCCTACACAAGGTCCACGTCATCTTTCGCCATGTCCTGAGGGGCTCCATGACGGTCGAAGATGGGTGTGCGCGACTCCGGGATCTTCTGAAGCACCCGCCCATGTACGGTCGAAAGCTCAGGTGCTTTTTCGCCTTTGTTTGCGCGTCCATCATCTGCGTCATCGCTTTCGGCGGATCTGTCCTCGACATGGGCTTCAGCGGGTTGTTTGCTGCCGTTCTGACTTGCATGGATATCCACACTGCTTCAAAGAATGCTTTGTATGGCAACGTCTTCGAGTGGGTTATCAATTCGCTATTGGTATCACGATGCTCATTGAAGCCTGTTCAGGATCTGTATCTCTATACTCGTATCCTTTATCTCGCGAGGGCTTGGAACGGCACCACACCACTTTTTCTGCTTCAGTGCCATATCCTCGGCCGGTATTGTCGCATTGCTCCCCGGGTTTACTATCTGTATGCGCCTTGTTTGTACTCTCTTACTCTCTTGATCCGTTCTAACGATTCTTGCAGTGATCAGCGCACTGGAGCTCACTTCCACGAATATTTTCTGTGGATCGGTAAGACTAGTGTATGCCATTATATACACACTCTTCCTCGTGAGTGTCATCGCATCGTCTCTGGCACCATCGCAGACAAACTCAGGCTTGTCTCAGGGCTTCGGTCTGACCATCGGCTCGGACCTTTATGTGGTGATTGACAAGCATGCAAGGCGTATGCTCGATGCTGCTGGTACCCTACAATACACGATGGTCCATGGTATCTTTGAATCTACGAACGCATCCTTTCCCTTGCATGGCCCTTTTATATTTGGTTTTGCGGATCCCTCAGCGAAGCCCGACGACCTCTCACAACAAGGTGCGTGCACCTCACACTCCCCACCTATTCGTCTGCTCATCACCTGCTCAGGGTGCTTCCGGGACCCAAGCTGGCCTTGGTGGAGGCAGCCGATCCCGTGGTGGACGCTCTTCTTCCTCGTCCCCGCGTACTCGATCTGCTCGTCCCTGGCCAACTTCCAGCACTGGCGCAGCCGCCAATTGCTGGTCATGACCACCTTCTCGTGTCTCGCCTTTCTCGCGAACAACGTCGCGAACAACCTCCTGCCCGACCGCGGCGATATCGTCTCCGGTGCGGGCGCCTTCGCCATCGGCCTCCTGGGCAATTTCTACTCGCGCCTCGCTCGCGGAACTGCCTTCACGTCGATGGTGACTGGTGTGCTACTCCTGGTCCCTGTACGTTTTATTCTTTATTTATATATACCTTCAGAGACTAACCTTGCACCTCCTTGCTCTGTAGTCTGGAGTGGCCCGTGGAGGCGGTCTTCTTTCCAGCCACCCCTCAATGCAGCAGTACACTGCTGGCTTCGATCTTGCTATCCGGATGATGGAGGTTTCAATTGGTATTACTATCGGTCTATTCGCGAGCCAAATGCTGGCTTATTTTGTCTTTCGGGGTAAGGATGTAACGTACTTTGCATTCTAGGTAGTCTACGAAATTTTGGGGCGCATTAGGTGGTGATATCTTCTATGTATTATCTGGCTAATAATAACTCGTTCAACAAAACATCTTATTGTCACAGCTTCTCCTACATTATCGACGCAAGTAATAAAACAGAAGTATAGCATACAATTGCTTATGCCTTAAGCCTGGCTGTCTAAGTACATAATTTATATCCGGGCGTCCTTGCCAATGATGCAACGATGAATCCACAAGAAAAGGAGGGGGGCAAAAAACGATGTATACACATGCATTAGCGAGGAGATTATGTGTGTATGATGATCATGATCCGAAGAGTTGGTTGAGCTCCTCCATACGACGCTGCAGCATGTCCGCCTTGCTGAAGTTCTGACCGAGGGTCATGTTGGCCAGCTCGGTCTTCTTCCGCTGCACCTCGAGGAGGCGGTCCTCGATGGAATTCTCAATGATCAGCTTCACGGTGGTGACAGGTCTAGTCTGGCCCAGCCGGTGAATGCGGTCGACCGCTTGGTTCTCTACCGCGGGGTTCCTAGATGACGGGTGAGATATACCGCTTATGAACGAGTCAGACGGAGGAACGCACCAGTACGGATCCATGAGATAGACGCGTTGTGCTGCTGTGAGGTTAAGGCCGACACCACCAGCGCGTAGACTGACGAGCAGCACCTCGCAGGCAGGATCCTTCTTGAGCGCATCCATGGCTCGCGAGCGCTCTTCGCGCTTCATCGTGCCGTCCAGGCGGTCATAGCGAATTCTGGCAGTCTCTAGGGCATCTTCTACTCTAAGAATTCAGGTCAGTGCCTGGTATCGTAATTAAATCCAGGGAAAAACTCACTTATCCAACATAGTTGTCCACTGGGAGCTACACCCTCGTCAGCTACCCGCATTGCCAGCTCATCAAAGAGAAAAACTCACAAAACCACGGTCTTTACAACCCCATCGTCTAACTTGTTCCCCTGCACGTCTACCATCTGCACCTCGATCCCCTCTGGATCATAGTTCGCCGAATGCGGGTTCGCCCTCGAGAACTGAATGAGGTCCTCCAGCAGCGCCTTGACCTTGGTCGAGGGGTGGAAATCCTCGGGCATAATACCCTTTATCCGCTTCTCGCGCTTGCCCACCGTTTTCTTCTTGGGCAAAAAGTCGAGCGGCGACGCGTCGCGCTTGAACTGCACCGCGTCCAGCGGGCCGAGCGCCGTCTGGCACACCGAACACTGCCGCCGCGTCTCCGGGGGGACGTCGGGCCACCCGGGACAGATGCACGCGCGGAAGCAGGGGGCGCAGAACAGGTGCTGGCAGCGCGTCAGCACAGGCTGCGGCGCGGACGGGCTGTTGGCGCGGGTGGGCCCACGGGAGCTGGGGCCTGAAGAAGCGGTGCCTTTGGCTTTGCGCCCGCGCTTGGCTGCCGGCGGTCGCTCGCAGTCCAGCATGTCGCCGTTGAGCCCGTGCGTGTCCGGGGCGCAGCAGAGCTCCTCGCCGCACTCGACACACTGCGTGGTGGATGCCTCTCGGAGGAGTGCAAAGATAGCGGTGGCGCGAACAAGGTTTATGCCCTCCTTTGCGATGGCTTCCGCAATCTCCTCGTAGCTACCCAGTGCGTGTAGTGGGTCATCGCTGCCATCCTTGCCCTCTACAAGTTCAAAGTGATCGCAAATCTGCCGTAGCCGCAAGATCTTCTGCAGAATGCCGACATAGTTCTTCATGACCTCGTTCTTGTTCGACAGCTCATTGAACTCAGCCTTGGACTCGTTGAAGAACTGATCATAGATCTTCTGCTCCTGTTCATCAAACTTGAGATAGCGCAGCTCATCCCGGCGCGGTGGTATGTTAAGGATCTTTTTGCCGTCTTGATCGCGCGTCTCCTTTGTGCGCCGGAGAGTGATGCGAGCCATGATGGTTTGCAATCGTGCGACACCCAGGGACTGACCGTACTTGACCGGCGTCGCAATATACTCCGTCCAAACGTTCTTATCGTCGAATGGCTGCAGACGGAGGAACTTGATGAGGGCAAAGATGTCGTCCAGCTTGTTCTGCACTGGCGTGCCTGTAAGACACAACCGTCGGTCGGCCATCAGATCGCAGCACGCTCTGCAACCCACGGTGCCCGTCTCTTTGATACAACTTTGTTGCACGCATGAGGTCCTAAGGAAGTCAAAAAGACACAAGAGAGACTCACTGGGCTTCATCCAACACGACTCTGAACCAATTGATCATCTGAAGTGGGCTAGTTGCCTCGCAGACAGCGCCAAAGTTTTGGACAGACTTCTTCCTCTTCATGCCTGCTCGTTTAGGTTTGCCAATGCGAATCGTCTGAGATCCGTGCTCGTCGGCATCAGGCCCATCGCTGCTCCCATCTTCGTCTTCCTCGGCTTCCGCATTGGCGATGCACCGGCTCTGCTTGGAAAACTCAGAGGCAAGGGTTGCATAAGTGGTGATGACCGCGTCGAAATTAGCCAGGAAGGAGACGTCGGGGCAGCGAGCGTTTCCGTGATAGACATAGATGCGCAGAGCCGACTGCTTGGAATCGGTCTCCAAAAGCGGATTTGATGGTCCTGCTTCGACCTTGACGTCCGTCTGAGAAGAGGGAGGTGTCGAGAGTGTGTTCGATGCTGGGCCAGCCACGGCTGCGCAGCTGAGACCGCCACCGCCCACAACCACGACGTCACCCTTCCAGTGTTCTTTGAACTGATCTTCCCAGTTTGCCACAGTAGACAAAGGGCATATGATGAGCGTAGCGCGGCTCCTTGTCTTGATGCGCCTGGCTCTGGCATACTCTGCCTCTGCCTTCTCCTGAGCTTTAAGTGCCTTTGCTTTGCCTTTGTTCGAGGTGGGCTCGGACACGTCGGGCATGCCCCAGACACTGCCGGAAAAGTGCGCGGCATTCAGTGAAGCCTCCAGGACACCCGTCTCGAGTAGCGGCGTTGGATATTCAACAGGCTCCGCACCGAACGCCCATGCTGAGCCCAGAGTCGCAGCAATCAGCGACACACATGTGATCGTCTTTCCAAGACCCATCTATTGGCCGATAACTGAGCTGTGTACCGAACAAGAGACATGATAGATTGGACGTACGTCGTCTGCGAGGATCGCGCCTTTGGACTCCAGCGGCTCTTCAAACACTTCCTTCTGCGTCACGATATGGAACCATGAGGCATGCCCTGAAAGAGGGTGCATCCGAAACTGCCATAACGAACTGTTCGTTCCATCTGGACACCGCGTTTCTCGTTCTCGTTCAAGAAGAAAGCTGAGCGCTTTTTTCTGGTGAGGGTAAAGCGGCGTGCACACGTGCGAAGCTTCCCATGGCCGAGTCTAAATCAATCGTGTCGTCAAAGGTAGCGAAATGAAAGAACTTACGAGGGACTGTTTCAGGCAACTCATCTCCGCTCTTCATACTTTTAAATAGCTCCTCCACTTGGCTTCTCTGGATCTCTAACGTCTTTCCTGATACAGCGGGCGCCCCCCATCGCGATCCTCCTGGGATTCCTGGGGCAGGATTAGGTCGACCGAGGGCCTGAGCCGCGCGATGGCCCCCGGGAGGTGGGCTATGTGGGTTAAAATAGTGATGACTTGGGATGTTCGAGAGACGTTGGAGATCAAATGGATATGAAGGGTGATCCAAGAGTAGTCCACACTGGCGGAGATAGTTGCCAACAACAGTGATATTGCCCTTGGGCGTGTACACGAGCGCTTGCAACGTTGAGAAATGTGTCTGTCCAAACGTGAGGAACGTTAGGTGGCTAAAATCAGACCCGGCAACTCACATCGTTCCTTATGCGTCTGACCTTGGCGTCTAAACGGATGAGCCCTTTGCCGAGCATTGGACCGAGACTGGTAGCGACCTTCTGTTCGACCACTGCGAAATCTTCGCCCTGGAGGACCTCACCGGTCGAAGCCTTGATAGGTGGTGGCCTGATATGAATAGTCTCTGAAGAGCCTGTCTTTTGCGGATTGTGCTCATACTGGAGTCTGACGCTGGCCCAATCCTCAACCGAAGAGTGATCCTGTGGCTTGATATAGGGCACAGGGTAAAGAACGAGAGCTGTGACCTGAAGTTGGCCGATACAGACGGGTGTCTTGGGTGCAAGATCTGCCGGAAGTCCTGCATACGCTGTGTGCGGAAGATTGCGTGATTGAGATGGAGGAGGAGACGGTGATCCTGTGAGGTCTATGACCTGCGACGCCGAAGGTGTGCCCGAAGGTCCAGATGGGGTAAGAGGCGGAAGACTTGCTGGGTGAATAGGGTGATTTACTTGTGGTGGCTTGTGAAAGGGAGAAGGAGGACCTGCGAACGCGGGTCGATAGCTTTGTTCGACTGTACGGGTCGCAAACGGCGAAGGGGATGAGGGATGCAGATAAGGCGAAGGCCCCGAGGGCATTCGCGATATTGGAGGGTGAAAGGGGGAGTGAGGGAGATCGTGATGGGGGGAATTGTGCACCATGGAGGGCATCGGTAGCTGGGTCAAATTAGCGGCGCGGACGGGGTCGAAGAAAGGGCTCTGGCGCGCGGGCGGTGAGGATAGTGGATGGGGGTTGGTGAACTGGGAGGGCCGTGTTGTGTCTGTGTCATCATCATCGAGAGTGAGGTCAATGTGGTTTGGAAGGTAGGAGGAGCTGCTGAGAGATAGGCGGGAGAGTGAAGGTGCATCTGGGGTGGCCATTTGAGCCCTGTATGCGTCTACGCGAGTATGCGTCTGAATGTATGCGATATGAGTACACCGAATCAAGGTATCCTGGGTGTGTACGCTGTGCCAGGAGGCGAGTGAGTACAGCAAGGAGTGGGTAGTTGGTTGTGTGATACCCTGTCGAGGTCGCGGTTGAAGGCGAGAGCTCGAGATGGAGGAGAGATGCGAGGGTCCAATTGCCGAAGCTCGGAGCGGCCGAGGAATCGTGAGGGGATTACTCTTAAGTTCGGCGCTTTACTCATGTGCGCGCGCTCTTGCTCGGCGTTCCCCAACCAAATCGGGTATTGACCTCCCACCGAGTCTACCTTGCTCAGTCAGACTCCGGTCGATCGACTCAACTCCTTCCGATAAATGACAGTTAATGACCAAACAATTCCGTAAGCCCACTTCCCCTTCCCTTCCTCTCACTATCTTTCCCTTCCTCCCACCACGTATCATCGTCCACGCTACTGTCGCGTTCCACTCATCCAAACTTTCATTACTCTCCTACTATTATTGTACCCTGGCACACTACACGTTCCATCCGATTGTCCTTCTTAGTCCCTATCCTACCATCTTTGCCCCTCTTCCCGTCCAACCCGATCGGACCACAGATACCCATAGTCATAGTCAATCAGTATTACGACTACGGGCACCATAGGCCCGATCTCGCCTGCACAGCCACATCTGCCCTCACCCCCATCCATTGGTCTGACAGCTCGCAACTGTCCGTGACGACCAAAATGCCCGAATAACTTCCCCGCAATCTCTCTTTTAGCCATAAATCTTGTCGTTTTGGATCTTTATCCGCCTGTATTCGCGCAAACGCAAAAAAAAAAACACGCAGAAGCAAGGCACCGTAAGAATGACGCACATTGTCGCATCAATGAATTGCGCGAGTCTAAAACTTACGCGGTGCCCATCCCATCGCGTGGTACGCATCTCGCGCAGCCTGTTCCTTCGCCAGCTGCTTGCTCGATCCCTTCCCTTTCCCCTTCTCGATTCCGTTCACTGTGTCGAGTCACATGCATTCACAATTAGCGTTCGTTCGGTTCATCATGGATCGGCCGCCCGATTACGATCACCACGCAAAAAGAGTAATCCATACCTGTGCATGATACAACCCACGTTCCTGCGTGCGCCGGCCCGTCAAACGCCGCGCTGTACTGGACTGTCAGCCCGCGCTGTATTGCCGTCTGGTTGAACAAGGGTAAGAAAGCCAGATTTGGTTGCGCAGGCGCCAGCGGGTTGGGAGGAGGGAGTCTGGGAGGTGAAGGCGGCGGCGGTGGGGGTGGTCCGGGAGGGGGAACAGGCTGGACGCTGTACGGGTTGTAATGCGACATTGGCGTATGCCCGTACGGAGACGACGATGCATAGTATCCCGGGGGTCCGCCTGGAGGTGGAGGTGGTGGCGGGGATGACAATGAGACTGGAGTCTCTTCGACCTTGGGTCGTTTGGCTGGCTGTTGAATTCCCGTCGACCCACTCGTATTCGAAGAGGTGGCTCCGCCTGGTCCTAATTCTGTCACTGGATTGTCATTGAAAACATTCGTCGACAACCGGAGAAGGGCGCCAATCCATTCTTGCACCGTCTTGATCCCGCGTTGGTCAAACACGGCTCCAAGATAGGCATGAAATAGAGCTCGCCCTTGCTATATGCCATAGATTGCGCAATTAGCGTTATTCGCGACGGAAAGACCAATGATGTCAGCGTGAAATACACACATACCTCACGGCTTTCGAGCGTATGCACGAAACTAGGATCGCAGCGTAGTTCATTTCGCAGTCGGTAAAGCTTAGCCCAGATATCGATCGTGTCATCCGTAAGAAGCATCGCCTTGTGCATCTTTCAACGCCACCAGTACATTATGGACCCACGAGCAATGTCACGGTGATGAGTACTTCGGCGTACCACGAAAGCACAAAGCTCTATGGAGGCACGCACCATTATCTGGTCTACCTTGAGCCTCGGGCTGCGGAAGTAGAGTAGCTGGGTAGTGATCATATCTAAAACATCCCGACCTAACATCGTCAGACGTTCGTTATCCCGATACCGAGCGTTACATGCCACGCGCAGGGACTTGTGAGTGAACGTCTCGAGCAGGACGTCGCCCGACAGCCGGGGCAGGTCTGGGACCTCGGACGTAGAGTCATCATGCCGAAAGCCGTTGTCATCGGGAGAGCGATCACGCTTTAGAGGGTTGGAAGATGTCGAGGAGGGCTCTGGCGTGGACATATCCATGTCGCTCGGCGTTGCTTGGCCGGCACTGGCACCGTAATGGCGGAGGCGAGAATTGTTGAGCATCGCGGTCAAGGTTGGCGTGGCTGAGCAAGTACTGTCATAAATTTCACACCGGAGTCGGACCCACAAGTATCGTCGTCCGTCATACTAGGGCATGGCTCACAATCAGTGTCAATGAGCCAACGACAAATGCAAACAGGGGTAAATTCACTACTAGAATTACTATGGTAATTACCTGCGATGCTCTACTACTACTCAGCAACAAGCAACGCTGATCGTCTAGGATACACTAGGTAGATCGTACTATCAAACAATAAATAACAAAGTACACCAATTTAGTGGTGCAAGTCTATCGTAGGCCAAACCTCCATCTCACGGCATACGCATATGCATCCCAGGGTGCTGAGGCATGTTCGAGGGCCCAGGAGGTTCCATTGAACCAATCTCTCTCCTCTTCTGTTGGTGGAGTGACTTCCGGAGGATTTCGACTCTGAATGCTTGCGAAGGATCCTGTTCCAGCCTAGCAATTGCGTGGGCGATACTGCGCGAGCATCAGACACACCCAGCCGTCGAAGAGTTACAAGCAAACTTACCTCGCAGGTCCCGCTGCAACCACAGGGCAGTCTAGGATGAGGTGGTATTTTCCCGAACACACCGGGCATACGTTCGGAATTTCAGACTGCCTTGCCCTCTTGGAGTTGTTGGCGTCCGCCGGAGGAGGCGACATTCGCCGTTTGGAGGGGTAGGCGGATGGGTTGGCAGGTACATGGTGTGGCTGGGGCTGGGGCTGAGGCTGGGGCTGAGGCTGAGGCTGAGGCTGAGGCTGAGGCTGCGGGGCGGCCCGCCACCTGTCTCTTGCAACCTCCTTCCCTTTCTTGCTCGCGGGCGCGGGTTCATACATACGAAAAGCTGAGGTATGCCCTCCGACATGCCCTTTCCTGGGCGCGGCCTCATTTCCTCGTATCTGAGGTTGTGTGGAAGAAGACGCAACTGAGGTCATCTGAGGGTAAGGGTTCTGGGGGTATGGGTTTTGTGGGTACAGGTTTGGTTGGTGGGAGCTCTGTGAGTTCATAGGCAAAGGAACGTTCATCCAGTTGTAAGTCTTGTTGATCTGCGGGGGTGCTGGACCACCTCCTGGCTTCGTTGCCTTGGGGTGAGCGTTCGGAAGTACGCTCTGTTTCAAAGGCTTCTTGACTGGAGGTGCTGTGCTCGTATTTTGCGCAGGTGGATTCTTGGGAGGTGCTGTACTTGTGTTCTGCGCAGGTATGCTCTTGAGAGGTGCCGTGCCTGTGTGCCGGGTAGGTGGATTAATTGGTTGGTTTGGCTTGAGGAGATGCAGCGGTTGCCCAGCAACAAGCCCTTGATCCCCGCGTTCAAGCAAAGTGAAGTCAATCATTTCAATAGCCACTTTCTGCTTAAGCGTTAGAATCCCTTTGCTAGTGAATTTCAAGCACAACGCACCCGCTCATCCCACGATTCATGGTCGGTATTATTGAGCAGCAAGGCTCGGTACTCGGCCAGGTTTTGTGAGCTTTCAGTCATATAGCACCCTTCATCTGGGTGTGTTTGACCACAGAGACCACATACAGACAACTCGCTGTCAGAACGGAAGCCCCGGTGCTTCGTTTTCTTCTTCGACGTCGACTTCGCATTCGGGGGCTGGTCATCCAATACCAGATTCCGTACTTCCTCTAATTCACCCATAGAAGCATCCGAGTCATCACCGCTGTTAGGCGACGATGCCACGCCCCGACCTATATATGCGTCGTCGTCGTCTGAAGAGTCTCCTGATTTGCCCATGTACTTCTTTTTCTTCTTCGTTTTATCTCCCTTCCTTGGAGTGTCTTCTAAGCCTTCGATGCCATCCAACACTTGCACCTGGATACAAGAGGGTTAGCCAACCCAAATGGTATAGCAACTGACAAGCCACACTCACCTTTTGACTAGTCGCAGCTGCCCGGCGGCGCACGCCTCGTCCAGTGGCTTCCTTCTGTATGACATTCTCTGCTGCAGCGATGCGCTCGAGGGCTTGCGCCCAAGAGTCACCCTGCTCGTGATCAGGCGCGTCGTCACCAATGTCCTCCAGCTCGTCGTTGTTGGCTGACCAGACTTTAGCAAAGGCGAACGAGAGGTTATTCTGCGCGGTTGGCTCCTGCTCTCCGCCTTCATGTTCCGTCCTTTCGATCAATTTGTCAAGATCCTGGTCTGAGTCTGAGGGCATGCGTGAGCAATGGACGCTTGGAACCCGGACGATAAACTCAACATGTAATATCACGCATGGATTCCTCCTCGAAGATGGCTTTGGCACCGAATGTCAAGATGGATTGCATGTCGTCGCCGCCATTTTCTTCGTCGTCCATCTTCTGAACAATCAGATGGTCCAAGACGAGTTTCTTCTTCCCATTCTGCATGATGCGCTCTGGTGATGATTAGTTGTCGAAGACGGTCCTGTACCCGGGTAAACTAGGACTACCTTCAGCTGATTGCTTGACCATGAGCTTGAAGACCAGGCACGTCTTTTGTTGACCATAACGATGGGATCTTGCAATGGCCTAAATACAATGTTCAGCCCTTCCGTTGAGTAAAAGAAGAAGCGTGATTTTACTTGAAGGTCCTAGTGATTGATTTAGCAACAGTACTAGTGTTGGTCAATATACTGCTTTACACACCTGATGTGGATTGAAGTCCGGGTCGAAGATAATGACAGTATCAGCAGTAAACAAGTTGATACCTACACCGCCAGCTCTCGTCGAGAGCATGTAGATGAAGATATCAGACCCTGGTTTATTGAACTCGTCCATTCCCTTCTGCCTATCGGCTTGTTTCTGGTTCCCATCCTGCCTCAAGTTGAGTAATGCCTTTCTTGAAAGAGAAACATTCATACCAGCCGGAGGAATTTGTAACCCTCTCCTTGCAAGAAGTCCTCAATGATGTCGAGCGCCATGACGAACTAGGAATGTCATTAGCTCACGTCTTACGTTAACACATTGACTCACCTGACTGAAGAGTAATACTCGGTGACCTCTAGCCTTTAGCTTAGGAAGCAACATCTTCAGCAACCGGAGTTTGGCACTTGCATCGATCAGCTTCTCATGAGCTTCTATTGGCGAGAGGTTGCGAGGTTCCAGATCTTCAGAGACCAAGTAAGGATGCTGGAGACATCTGACAATGTTTGTCAGCACATTATCATGTGGATGGTGTGAACAATAGCCGTCGGCTTACTTGCGAAGCTGCATGAGGATATTGTTCATGTTGGTTTTCGTCCGCGCGTTCGATTTCCCTCCTAAAGAGGCCTGGGATAAGTGCTTGAGGATGGTTAAATTCTGGCCTAATCGGATTTAGTCAGGTAGATATTGATGAGAAATGATAGAACCGTACTCAGAACGGACCGATAGATCTCCTTCTGCAGGGGCGCCATTGAGACAGGAACGATAACCTCATTCTGAGAAATGATGTTAGTATGCAGACCTGAACCGCCAAACGCGAGCAAACCTTGGGTGGCAGTTGCAGCACCTCGCTCTTGATGCGACGCAAGAAGTACGGACGCAACTTGGTGTGAAGCTCTCTCACTCGCTCCTCGTTCAGATCCTCGTACTCTTGTTCAAGCGCTTTGAGATTGTTCCAGTTTTCAGGATCGAGGAAGTTCATCAGGTTGAATAACTCTCGGATGTTGTTGTTCAGTGGCGTCTTTGAGATATCAACAACCTGACAGAACTGACAAACTTACGAACGACTTACCCCAGTCATGATGATCCGATGTATGGTGTTGAGCTCATTCAATTTCTTAAACAACAGGCTTGCATCACTCTTGACTGAGGAGGGTGTGAATGAAGGAGCACAACCATAACTCCTTGGTATTACTTACGACGTTGACCCTCATCGACCACCAGACATTCCCATCTCGGTGTATTTTTGAAGACAGTGGTGAAGTCCCGTGGGTTGGTGAGCGTCTCGTAAGTGGTTACCAGAACATGGTATTTGGCCTTCGTCGCTCCTTTCGGGACGGTATCGTGGAACATCTCATACTTGAGGATGATCTCTCGCGACTTGGCTTCGCCATAAAATGGCACGACCCTCAGGTGAGGCGCCCAACGGCTGAACTCTCGAACCCAATTAGTGATAGTTGAGTTAGGGACAACGACAAGGGCGGGCGACGCGTGCCACTTTCCGATGATAGTCCCAAGGAACGTGACAATCTGAACCGTCTTTCCCTGTAGATTATTGGGTAGTGAGTGATCTGGACTGGTTAAAGACCGTTCCGACATACAAGTCCCATCTCATCGGCCAAAATACATGGTTGCAGTTCCCACCAGTTGTTGCAGAGCCAATTGTACCCTTCGATCTACGAGGTAGCAAAGTAAGCATCGCAGAGGATCTGGCTAGACGCTAAGTCGATTACCTGGAATGGCATCAACTTCAACTGGTTGTTCTGTCCCAAGTCAGGTTGTTCACCCTCCGTCAAAGCATGCTTTCGGCGGAAGCCGTCCTTTGGACGTTTGTCGTAGTCCTTTTCCGCCTTCTTGCTCTTGATAATGACAGACTGAGACGCGACGAAGCCCTTGAAAGCTGCCTCGAAATGCTCATAGCCCGACTCCCCGACTCGGGGAGGAGCGTCCCATGATGCTGCCAATGTAAGCTGAAGGTACCTGAACGTTCGAGTTTGGACTCACCTTCATCGTAGCCTAGGTCGTCCCATTTGACGAAGGCCCAGATGACTTGATCTGCTTGGACTTGGCCTAGTTTTTGTCCAGTTCGTTTCAGGAATTCGTCAAGTTCTTCAAGAACTTCCCCATCAGGCTGTTCCCCATTATTGTAGGCGCTCTCTTTCATTGCAAGGAGTTCAGGATCAAGGTTCGCCTCAGCGTCACTCGCTTCATCTTCGCTTGACGCCACCTTGCGCGATCCCCTTTGCTTTCGCTTCTTCCCGTTGTGAGACGACGGGTGCCCTGGGCTCCAAAAACGGACGTCCAACACGCGATCGACGCGCTTCCAAGCTGGTGGAATCCGCTTCTCTGCGTCAGGCAATGGTCCCAGGAAAGATTCAAGAGATATCTTCTCTGGTGCCTCGTCATCAACTCCCACCTCGAATGTACTTGGTTCATTGACCAGCTCGCTTCCTCGGTCCTCTGACACAGGCTCGGGTAGTAATGGGACCTTGGTCCCATGCTGGAAGAAGATCCTGAGTTTCGAAGCAGCCTTAGCAAGGAGCCACATGTGAGGGACCCATTGGGCCCGCTTGTAACTGCGTTCAGCCCACTTGACGAGGTACTCGCGTGGAAGCATACTCTTGTAACTGGCTGGTTCGTTTGCAGGACGGGAAGATTCGGTGGCAGTGGATGGGTAGGGGCGCCAAGCCAAGATTTTGTCGACTTCGAACTCAAACGATGCGCAGTCGTTACAACACCACCCAGTTGTGGCCTGGTAATAGCGTGCGACCTCAACGACATCCACCGGGTCATCTCCATCAGGCTTGAGGTGGTCGGGAACAGGCAGGTGTCCGTAATGAGCGATGCGTTTGCACAAAAAGCATCTGTAGAGCAACTCGTTGGGATGATGTTCTTTGCTTGTAATGTTGTCATTCAGAGTTTCGGAGATTGCCCCAGTTCCATCAGCCATTGTTACATCTTCGCTGGTTCTCTTCTCCGTAGTAACCACACCCACAGGCTCCTTCGCAGGCAATTCGGGTTTGAGTGCGATTTCATGGCAACCCATACAGGTGCCACCTTTAGAGCATGACCCGCATATGAAGTCAGTTGTCTCTGAGATTTCGAGCTCAAGGCGCAAGGGAGTATCTTCTGGGGGGTTATTGGGATTCTCTTTGACTGCGTTCGCAAATTCTTCTTCGTCTCGTTTGCGGGCCGCTTTCAGAATCTCGTCACGCTGATTCTTTGCGAGACAGCCCCAATGGGCTGCAACAGGGCACTTGAGGCTGATGCACACATGTCAGATTGTGTCTGAAGCGCGACTAGGTACAATGACACATACCATCGAACCCAGCCAGCCAGTCTTTGTATCTTTTCTTCCTCGTCTTCCTCGAAATCGTCTTCCGCGCCGTTCCTAGACTTTCTGGCTTTCTTCTTGCCCTTTTTGCCGCGAAGTGATTGTTGAAGGATATGCGCCGAACGTTCCTCGCACCGTTCACAGACATCACGATGGGCGCGCAACGGAGCAGTGTCTTCATCTGGGTCAAAATCCCAGTCGAGCTCCTCGATTGATCGGAAATGACCATACTGGGGGTGAGCAAGACGTCGAGCTTTCTTCGGCCGAGATGGTTTCCTCCTGCTCTGCGACTCATACATGTCCTCGTCGCTATCCGATGGGATGTAGCTGTCGACGTAGTCGTCAGCCAGGTTATCGCGTACACTGCGCCGAGCTCGTCCAGACTTCCGAGTAGCCGTGCGCTTGTCATCAATGTCATAGCCTGCCAGTTCATCCTCTGAGCTAGACCGTGCGACTGTGCGCAAGCCTGGTCGCCTTTTCCTAGGACTCCACGGCAGTGTAGTCTGGTTCCGTCGGTTCGTGGTCGCCCTTGTACTCTTACGCCGCACATGACTACCCGAGAAGCTAGCGTCGCTATCATCGTCGAAGGCATCACTTTCTGTGAGGGTAGATAGGGGATCCGAATCAGATGTGCTCCCGACATATGTCCTAGTCTTGAATGAGGACTTGGATATCTTGAGGCTGATATGCATTCGAGAGGCTGGATGGACATCGGAACTCGAAGGATCGAATGGCTCGAGTTCTTTACAAGCTTTCCTCTCCTCTTGACAACGTAATGAGATGGACAGCGGCAAGTCTGCAGCAGATAGCACATACCATATTGCCTTACGACATCTGGAAAGTGTCTCTCGAACGCATGCTCAGTGAACTGAGATTAACGCGTCAATGTTGTGGTAGGGTTCATTCTGTGGCGTTCTGACTTACTCTATGTGCCTCCCCGTCGACGAAGCGCGCGTAATAAAAGCGAGTCCCTCTTTCGGTGTACTCGCCCACTATGGAGTCAATCCATTCCCGTTGGACTGGAACTCCTTCATCAATGAGGTGCTTGGGAGCGGGTTTGTATAACGCCTTCAGTTTTTTGGGCAGCGGTTGTATCTCGACGTAGAAAGATCGCGGAGGGGGTACGCGACGCGTCGTATCCTTGTCAGAAGTGGGTTCTGGGGTAGTGGGTGGGTGGTCCACAGACGGTGAAGCGCCACCTCGCGGAGGTGTAGAGAACAGAAGAGCGGGATCTGAGGTTGGGTCCGCCATACTGAGAGCGCCGCCGTCGTCGTCGCTTGGACGAAGTCGCGTTTGTCACGCCGACGCGTTTGTCGTGCTGAACGAGTGTGGGAATTTGTAGTAAGCTATACCGCGGTATATCGTCAGGGGCTTGGAGCACACCGTACAGTGACTGTCACGGTTGGCGTTGTCGCTCTAAGCCCTTTACACGACAAAGTGGGATGGAGAACGTGTCCGACAGGCCTATTGATAGTGTAGTGCCGAAGAGATCACAGATTGACCTGCTTACCACACTGAGACCGTCAACTTCGGTCCCTAGCTATTTACTTATGAGCTCCCTAAATGGGACGCGCATACTACAGCCGACGCGTGCAACCCGTACCGCACCCCGACGTGACATTGGCTCGATCCAGCGCTTCCAGTCTCACCTCTTCACGTCCTTCACTCGGTTTCAGACGAATCAAGTCGCTAGATTTTTGTCTGGTTCCAGCGTTGTACGTTGATGGTACATGTCATTGTCTGACATGGCCTCGGGATTTGAATCTTCGAGGCGAAACCGCGCTCCGTCCGTGTCCAGCAGCAATGGTTCACCCTCAGTCTCTGCCACTAGGCCACTTCAGATTAATCGCCCTCCGTCCCGCCCCACAACTCCCAGCAATGGCTTTTCGTCCTCGCCTAAATCATCCATAAGTACACCGAGAGGTCCCTCTCGTCCCCAGCGATCCGACCTTCGTCCTCGTCAACCCTCCGATTACTCTACCACAGATCATGCTTCCGTCTCATCACCCTTCTACGATCGTCCAATAAGAGACCGAAAAGACAGCAATGCTACAACTTCGTCAGACCTCTCAGTATCACAGCGGCACCGCCGTGATCTCTCAACATCAGACAACAGACAGAGATTGGAGCCCCAGAGACAGGACTCCGGTGTCTCCCCCACAACACCTGTTATGGCCACTGTCATGTCTGCTTTTAGCGCTGCAGGCGCGCGAAAGCGGGCTATGACTAATGGAAGTATTGATATCGAGAGAGAAAAGGAGCGTCAGCAAGAGAAAGACAAGGACCGCGCAACGCGAGAGCGAATACAGGAGCGCATGCCTGGTAGAAGGACTACGGGAAGGACGAGAACAGGAGATATTGATGGTATGCTGCAGAAATACTCAAGGTAGACTTGTAACTCATATTCCCTGTAGCTGTGTTGGATCGAATAGACGCTGAATGGGCGTTCATCAACGATGACGATGTAAGTGGGCACTGCTACAGGCTCCAGTATCATACTAACCCATGCTCTAAGTTCAATAGCATCGACTTGGCCCTCTCATTATTCGATGGTTCGAACGAAGGAAAATCCATGGATTCATTCCGTCGCACGAAAATTATGCTCTCGAAGGCGCTTCAGGGTTCAGTGGACAGTAAGTTATGACGAATTGACCAGTCTTCTTGACCTCATGGCTATTCACAGGACACTATGAGGCATTTGCCGCAGCTCTTCCACATCACTCTTCCCTCCTCAACCATCTCAGTCTTACCCAGACTCAAATAGTTGAACTCAGGACATCATTGCAAGAGTCAAAAGAGTCATTAGGAAGCAAACGCGCTGATCTGGTACAACTGTGGTCGAGGGGACAAACACTAGAAGAAATGATGCGACTGCTTGATGATATGTAAGCGGATTGCAGTGGTACCCCGAGCCTGCTAATGAGACACATCCCAGTGAACACCTAAAATCAATACCGGACCTCTTGGAAACGCTCATGTCAGAAAAGCGACTGCTACAGGCTGCAATGGTCCTAACGCGTAGTCTAAAGCTTGTGAATAAGTCGGACATGCAGGAGATAGGAGCAGTGACGGATCTACGAGGTTATCTAATTGGCCAGGAATCGGTATGAGTCACCTTTGAGTAACCATCATGCTACTCACTACTCTTAGGCGCTCCGCGATATCTTGCTTGATGAGTTGCACAATCACCTTTACTTGAAGACGTACTGGTGCGAGTCTCGGTGGAGCGCTTACGCCCCTGGCCAGCAGAACTGTATGTACCAAGGTGTTAATTGACCACAAGGGAATTCCTGACATATTCACCAGTCCCGAAGGTCGAGTTCGAAGATGAACCGGTTTCTAGCGCATCCCTTAAATCACCTCTGGACTCCCCAACTGTCCCTTTCACCCCAAATGCCCCAACGTCACGTCTCACAAGATTCCTGAATTTACTTCACATGCGCCCAAACGACCCTCCTCAAGGACCCAGCGATAACAACTTTCGCAAGAGTGATTCGTCGGCCGATGGCCTCGGCTCGAAACCCTCATTCTCGTCATCGTGGAGCTTGACGGCAATGAATGGACCACAGGCAAATCAGCAAGTCAACCCAGAGGCAGACTCTTTCTCTTACATGGAGACTCTGCTTGAATCGCTTGCTGTCCTAGGGAAACTAGGGGGTGCTCTCGACATTGTTGTCCAAAGGCTTCAAACTGAGATATTCTCGTTGATTGACGCAACTTTGGATGAGGTTGAAGAGCGAATAGAGGAATCCAAGCGGTCATCGACCGCCCTTATTTCTTCCGTATTGGAGCGACAGGATTCTGCTGGGTATATGATAGCTGTGGGAGAGTCTAATAACCCCCTCAATTCCTCTCTAGGTATACCGAATGGCACCAGCATAGCCTTGCGCGCATGTAGCCTACGGCTGGCAGCCCTGGAGTCCTCTACAACAGCCTTGGATCAAGAGACGCTGAAAGACTTTTTCTGGACTGTGTTCTCGAAACTCGATGCCGTCACTCAGAGTATGCGTGTGATCTACGAAGTGTCGAATCGGATAGGCTCAGTACGAGCGTCAGCTTTAATATTAATGACCTTCTTGCTGATACGCATATACAGCGGAGGGACTTCAAGGACTCATCGGGGGCTCGTCCTGGTTCGTTGTTCCCTCTCGCAGATGTATGGCTTCCCGTACAGGCGCAGGTACATAGGCTCTTCCTTCACACGCATCGCTACTTACAATGTCTTTAGGTACGCACGCTACTAGAAGACTATCTCATCGACGAGGAACAAAGCGTCGTTGGTGGTAGGAGCTCAATAGCATCCATCAGTGATACGCTCCGCGAGGGACGCTACTTGAGGGATAGGTCAAAGGTAAACCAAAATCGGAACATCTGTGCATAAGTTTTTTACTTATTGTATCTAGGCAGTTTTCAAATTCGCCGACACCGACTTGAAGCTTGCAGGCAAAACACTCAAGCAGCACGAAGATGGTTTAGCGAAAGTTTTGAAAGACACCATGCCCGGTCTTGTCCAAAATGCTTCGGAGAACGATATGCAAGCCATGCTGTCAACCCTTGGCGCTGACGAGCGAATGGGAACTGGACAGCACCATCGTTTGCTAGTTCACCCAGACGCTTTCCATGTCGGCGTTCTGTTCCAACCTACTGTGGCTTTCTTCGATCGCGTGGCGGACAACCTGCCTGCCGGTGTTGATAATTCACAGTCTGCCAATGTCATATTGGATGAATTTGTGCAGAAGGTTTACCTACCACAGCTAGAGGATAGAATATCTTCCTTGTTCCATCAAGCTGTGTCAGGTAAGTTGTATCTCTATGAACGCGCGTTTACTAGCTCAAGGGATTGTTGTCCCCAGGCCTTGATGCCTTCCAACCAGACCCCTTCTCAGCTCATATTTGCGCTCGCCCTATCGCTCGAGTAGGTCACATACATCGCTTCCATTATTATGAACCTAACTTGGGAACCGCCCTCAGTCTAGCACCCAGCTTATGGCCATGATAAACTCGTTGTGCGCTATGCTCCGGACAATGCCCATCCATCGAGACAGTTATTCTCGACTTGTAATGGGGGTCATCATCCAATTCTATCAACGCTGTAGCGATCGCTTCCAAGACTTGGTCTCCATTCACAGTGTTACGTTCGCGTCAGCACCACCATTAGCGCTAGCAGCCCAGTGGGCTCAGAAAGCAGAGCTCAACACATGTCTCACTGAGCTACTTTTGGGCGCAGCGGTGGATGAGGTCAAAGCTTGGCAGCTTTGCCGACAAGAAACACATTTGGAGATGACGTTCCTCGACGGGGATACCGTCCGTGCAGAAGACTTGGTTCCGTCAACCCGCAACTTTGCTGCGTTGTGTCACTTGTACTACAGTGTGGTAGGTCTGTTGCTTCACGTTTTATTTGCTGGGCTCACCGAGCTGTAGGCGTGGTTCGCCTCAGAGCTTGATGCATTGAAGTCTTTGCCAGAAGATGGCTTTTCGCCTGCGACTCCGGCGCTTCGCAATGACCCCACCAATGCACTCACTCCTTTCACGGCTTCGTTTTCAGTGCCGCCGCTACCAATCTCGTCGCAGGATGAGGCACTCAGTTTGCCGCTGTCTGGGGAGATGGCCATGTGAGTGATTCTATTTCGCCGAGTATGGCGTGTTGATCCTATCTCCGTTTAGGCGATTCGGGGCGTTACTCAAAACTTACCGACAACTCGCCGAGGTGGTTGTTGAGACTATTAGGATCGACGTGCGATGTAGAGTGGTGCATTACCTTGATGCAGCGTTTAGACATGTGAGTGATGGCCAATCCGCGCAGTAAGGGACCGAGGGCCTCAATTTGTCATAGGGAAACTACGACATTGACCACGAAGCGAGGGAGCCCGATCCGTACATTGTTGATCTGAACACGGAACTAAACAAATGCGATGACTTTGTTTCGTCGGCATTACCGCCGGCTGAACAACGGTAAGCAAAGATAGAATTGATGTTCGACTGTCACTCAAAGAACTATCCTAGGTTTGCATTCCTTGGGCTGGAGGATCTCATGGAACATCTTCTTATCTCCAATGCACGCTTTGTTCGGACAGCGAACTCCTACGGCGTCAAGAAAATCCTGAGGAACATTCTTGCCTTACAACAAAGTGTGAAGATGATTCGTGGCCATTCCGAGGCTGAGTTCGATCGTGCCAAGGGTTATTATCAGTTATTCTTCTTATCTCCTCAGGTAAGGATAATGTGCTTGACCGGCCTTGAATCCACAATTGACCCACATTACAGGATATGTTGGATAGCATTCGCCAGAAGCAGATGCACACATTCGACGAGTACAAGATCATGCTCAACTTGCAATGCGGCGTCGATTCAACTCTGGGCGAGGCCGGATCAGCCCAGGCCAACAACAGGGCGTACAGCATGTACTGCATTGACCTACATGGAATTGAGCTGGAGAGTTCGGCGGATAACCAGGCTTCATAGTTATACCCATATTATTTGTCAGCATTTATAATGTTTGTTCCCTACGTATTGCCTTTCCCTTCACCGTCCCCTGCGAATTCGCATTCGTCTCTTTCATCTCAACGGAACGCGCAAAGTCAATCCACTGACGGTGCACTGCCGGCAGTATGGGTGCGTTGATAGTTTGTAGTCCGGGGTGGCTGGGAGATACTGTCCACCTCGGCGTAGGCGAGTTCTGACCAGGGAGGTACGAGATAACGGGCATACGTTTGAGCAGTTCTTGGTATCGTCTCCGTAACCAGCGAATGGGAAGATGTCCATCGAAAGGCAAGGGCCTTGGGGAATGGTTCGACGAGGCCGAGAATGCTTCTTGGGGCCATGTGGCCAAGGCAATAGCTTCCTGTAGGATACCAGTTCCTTCTAAGCCTGTACCTGTCCTAACAGCACTAGGGTCTTCGCCTTCAACTGCCACTTCCAGTGGTGGATATATCTTCTTGGATTCGCGAGTAAAGTATCGCCAACGCAGGTTCACTTCCCGCCTCTTGCTAAAAGGTCCCAGAAAGAGAGCATCCTCGCTCTGTGGATTTGCGTGTTCCGGTAAAGTAGGTGGTGTCTTGATGTCGTTAGCGGTCAAAGGTCTCGTTTTGCGCGAAACGTTCGAAAGTTGTAAGGCCCGAAGTGCGGGCGAGAAAACAGGTGGTCGAGACTTCTCTTTGCCAGCGATGATCGGCGCTGGAGGGTTGGGATAGTCCTGATCTATCCATGGCTGTATAGTTCAGGATATTAGAGTGTTAAAGGTATTCGGTGGTTGTCAAACACTCACTTGCATCAACTCCCACCGTAGACGCCCTATTCTACCATAAGCCACATCAAGGATACGATTGAATGCGTTATAGTCTCCACCGTTGGCAGCGGTAAGAGTTTTCAAGCCCTGCTCGATTTGAGTAACCAAAATGTAAGCAAGCATGATCCCATACCTTAGAGAGCCGCTTCACTTTTTTGCGCCTTAAAGTAACATCCTTTGTTTGCAGGACCTTGCGGAAATCGTCGGCCGCACGAAGACTGAAGAACTGACTGACAAGAGGTTTAGATTCGCAATATGGCAGCTATCAGGATGGCTCCTTACCGCAAGTAATGATGCGGAAGAGAACGTGTCTGGCGAATATGGGACCTGTAAAGCGCAAAGACCTCCGACGCGTGCATGGAAGTGAGTCGCGAAGTACTCAATAGGGGCGCAGTGATGCGTGATCGCTGTGCCTGTCCCGCCGCGTGACTTTTAGTCGCTTGACCGAGCCTGGCCGAACTCTCCCGCGGTGTGCCTGATAACTACTTAGGCAATTAAACTTGTCAAAGTCGTAGGATCTCTTCTCGAATATGACCGTATGCATGGGCTGCCATCAACACTTCTCCATCACCAATGTTCTGCTCGTTTCTTTACTTCACTACTTGTTCGTGGCAGTTAGGCGATCTGCTCAAGCTCCGTTGCCAATCCTCGGAAATTTATCGCCTTGATATCGCTCTTCTCCTGACGGCCATGGTTGCTGTCTTGCTCGTCAGTGCCAGGCACATCTCTTGCGGTTGACGAGGGCTTGATGTATGGTCTTTGCCTTATAAAAGCCAACGTCGGCGACGCTCAGGGAGACTCAACGCAATCCACCGTCTGATACAACATCTCCGTCGTCATGAACTTCCTTACTCTGCTATCTCTCGCAGTTTCTGCTTCAGTAGCCTCTGCTCTTGGGCCTCTCGGTGGCGTCAACACCGCCGGATACGACTTCACTGTGGTGAGTAAAAGTATGGCCGGTAAATCGCAGCTATGCTGACCTCCATCCAGACTACAGATGGCTCCTTCTCTGGAACCGGTCAGACACCCCCGCCCTCGCAGTATGCACACTTCACCAAGCAGGGCGCAAATCTGTACCGCATCCGTGAGCATCATTTGACAAATAAGTTCGCTTTATCTCTAAGCGACTGCATGTTTTACAGCATTCGGTACGACCCTTGTGATTGATTAATGACGAGGACCTCATAAGCCACAAGCTTGGCAGCTCATGACCCCTCAGGTCGGTGGAGTCATTGACGAAGGTTTCTTCCAGAAGTATGACGCCACAGTCAAAGCCGCCCTGTCGTCGGGATCCAATGTCCACGTTATTGTCGATTTAGTATGATTCTTCCCTTGCCCCGTTCGTTTTGGGACCTGCCTGACAATTGCTCGGTAGCACAACTATGCTCGCTGGAACGGAGGCATCATCGCTCAAGGTGGTCCAAGCAACGATCAATTCGTTGACTTCTGGTCCAAGCTCGCCTCCAAGTACAAAGACAACGACCGCATCATCGTACGTGTTATATATCTTTCTTGGCTATCACCTCCTGATGATTGCAGTTTGGTATCATGAACGAGCCTCACGACCTAGATGTCCCAACCTGGGCCAACGTGAGTTTCCATGTTTCTTGCATAGTGTCATTCATATTGAGGGCCATCAGACCGTCCAACTCGCTATCAATGGGATTCGCAAAGCAGGCGCGAAGTCTCAGTATCTTCTGTTGCCCGGATCCACCTACGCGAGTGCTGGGACTTTCCCCACTGAGGCTGGTCCACTCTTCGTGAAGCTAACTGACCCTGCTGGCGGCAAAGACAAGCTCATTTTCGATGGTGTGTAGCGGCAACACAGTATTATCGGAACATCGGCCGCTGACTTCCTCATAGTTCACGCTTATCTTGACTATGACTACAGTGGCACACACGCAGAATGTACCAGGGTAAGTCAGTTTATCGCCTGATGAATTGTTATCATGCTAAGACACCTCAAAGAATGGAGTCTCTGACTTGCAGACGCTCGTTGATTTCTTGAAGTCCAACGGAAACCGTCAAGCCATCCTCAGTGAGACCGGTGGCGGAAACACGGCTTCTTGCGAGCAATAGTGAGCACGACAAACGTACACTAGAGCATTTAGCTAATCATCCGAAGTCTCAAACAGGAGCTTGCATTTGTAAAGAATAACCCCCAGCAACTCGCTGGCTTTTCTACGTGGGCCGCAGGGGCATTCGACACTAGCTACGTCCTGTCCGAGACGCCCAACGCTGACGGTTCGGACCAGCCCATCTGGACCAACGCCGGTAAGCCATATTCGAGACGCCTACTGATACAATGTCAATTAATCAACTGCTTAGTGAAACCAAACCTCCCCAATTAATTCTGAGCTCGAGCTTGGTTCTGCATGTTGCACATGGGATATATATTTTTATTTATGTTGGGAGGATGTCTCCTCTTGAATATTGGTCATGCTTAGTTTGCTTGTGCATACCCCGTAGGCTGTGGTACACCTGCTGTGGCACAGATACTGTTACTGGTTAACCGAGTTTTCAACTGTTAAGATCTCATGATTGCCTCGCGAATGGATGAGCTTAAGCTGTTCGTGACAGGGGCTAAGACACCATATATAGAAAACGTGCTGTAGCCGATCATCTTATCTAAGCTTGTGGACGATAATTATTCATCTCCTTTTTCCGCGCCAAACCCCTCACTACGTTTACCATGGTGCGTTGAATGAGAGAATGGCTGCTGTGAGACATCACAAATTTGACACACTCTCAGCCCCCCAGGCAGAAGAATCAGAATGCCTCAGGTCTAGGGCGTGCGATCATCAATAAGAAGGTCAAGGATGCTCGTGAACAACAGGAATCGGGGTTGGTGAGCGCGCGAGGCAATCTTCTCAGAAGATGTGGTTTAACACTTGGTGGTGGTTGTAGTATACCACTGATTTAGATCCGACAAGCCGTCTCAAGTCCGTCACCCAAGAAAAAGATTTGGATGAATTCTTAAATACTGCTCAACTTGCAGGAACTGAGTTTACAGCGGGTGAGTTTTGTACCGTAACAAATGTCTGCCATCCTGACATGATAGACAGAACGCCGAAATGTCAAGATCATACAGTCTGCAGCCGCCACTGCCCACAACCCGTATCTACTCTCTGAGCAGGAGGAACAATCGGTACTGCGCAAACACCGCGAGAACAAGCAACGACTTCGTGTCCCTCGGAGACCGCCTTGGACCAAGAAGATGACAGCTGCCCAGCTGGACAGACAGGAGAAGGACGCGTTCTTGGAATGGCGCAGGGGCCTGGCTCAGTATAGTTAGTTCACTATCGCGTGTGATTGACTTTCTGACGACGACAAAGTTTACAGGACGAGGACCAGTTCCTCCTCACTCCATTTGAGCGCAATATCGAAGTGTGGAGACAGCTTTGGCGCGTGTTGGAACGGTCACAGCTCGTCGTCCAGATCGTGGACGCTCGGAATCCACTGCGGTTCCGTTGTGAAGATTTAGAGACGTATGTGAAAGACATCGAAGGACCGGAGGGAGAGGAGGGGACGGGAGCGGGAGCGGGAGCGGGAAAACGGAGGAGCCTTCTGTTGCTGAACAAGGCTGACCTATTGACGGTGGATCAAAGGTGAGAAGAATTTCCTCTTTATCCAAACTCTCCCCTGAAACATCCGTGATTGATTGGTATGGTTAGACGAGGCTGGGCAGATTTCTTCGATCAACAAGGCGTACAGTACGCTTTCTTCTCTGCCGCAAACGCGGCTGCTCTCCAGCGGGCTCGTCAGGAGGCTCTCTTGCGAGAAGAGGAAGAGAGGGTGCAGGTCGAGTCCAATGCCGATGAGGGATCAGACTCCGGTGATGCTGATGTCAGCGATGAGTCGGACAGCGAGTCGGCGAATCGCAAGGGGCCTAACAATGATTACCCAGAGTCCGATGATGAGTCCTCGGACGATGACCACTTCTATCTGTCACTGAAAGATGACAATACTGTTGATCAAGATCCTCGGACAAGAGTTTTATCTGTGCTTGAGCTCGAGGACTTGTTCACTAGCTCTGCACCACCATTAACAGGTAAGGTTTTAATAGGCTTCACCACCGTCCCCATTCCACCCTGTACTTACTTCCTTGATTTGAGATTTTCTCGACCCGTCAGATGAGCGAGCCAGTAAACTCACAATAGGCCTGGTCGGTTATCCCAACGTTGGCAAGTCTAGCACAATCAATGCTCTCCTCGGCGAGAAGAAAGTTAGCGTCTCTTCAACACCAGGAAAAACAAAACATTTCCAGACGATACACCTGTCACCTACGATGGTACTTTGTGACTGTCCTGGTCTCGTGTTTCCCCAGTTTGCGACAACGAAAGCTGCCCTTGTTTGTGATGGTGTCCTGCCGATTGATCAAATGAGAGAATATTCCGGCCCAATTTCTCTTGTCGTGAAGCGATTACCGCAAGAGATTCTAGAGGCTACCTATGGTCTTTCCATTCGAACCAGAGGATTTGAAGAGGGTGGAGATGGGGAAGTTAAAGCAGAAGATTTCATGATAGCCTATGCAAGTGAGTGATACTATCCAACGCGTCTAAACGACTTTCTTATACTCTGGGACGTAGTTTCTCGAGGCTTCATGCGATCTGGGCAAGGAAATCCTGACGAGGCCAGAGCGGCACGCTACATCCTAAAGGATTATGTCAACGGAAAGCTGTTGTTCTGTCATCCTCCACCAGATCAGGACGATAATGTCTTCAATGCCAAGACTCACGAACAGTCCCTTCAACGCGCCCAGGGTAAAAAGCGAGCTCCAGTCACCAGAGTTGGCAAGAATGCCGATACCTATGTTGCCCCCACAATTTCGGCGGTATTGCCTGCACAAGGACACGGGCAAAAGTCACAGGTCATCGACCACGATTTTTTCGCCCCTGATGCTCCGCTATCCTCTCGACCATTCGTGCAGGGCACTGCGCGGCATGGTAGCCAGTTCTCGAGAACGACTGCATATCCCCACCAAAACATTGTTGGCAACGACGGCAAATCATTGAACGCCCGTCAATCGAAAGCCAATGCGCTCCTTGGAAGTGCTGCGACAGGGAAGAAGCATCACAAAAAAGCGACGAGGGTGAAGCAGAGGAGCGGGAAAGGATACGACTAGATTTTGATGTTGTAGGACTGCATTGACATATTGCGAGTGTGCTATCATAAGAGGCTGATGAATGCTTTTCTCAGACTACTGAGAGACTGGTTTCTGCTCCCCTCAGAATGCTTGAACTGGCGTTTGTAGCCACGCCAGTGCGCGTCTCGTTGAATCAAACTGACACGAAGTGAAGGTGCTAGGCTTCTTGTTTCGGCAAAGTCCGAATGCGTGCCCAACCAATATTAATATTGGATCTCAGAGCCGCCAGCGCCTATACTGGCTTCTCCTCGACGATTAACTCTTCCGTCGTGGTTAGTGTCCTTGGCCACAGAAAGATCTTTCCTCAACTATGACCGGATCATTAAAGTCCACACAACCAGTCTCTTCTTTCGCGTCCACTGGTTTTGAGGAGGATGCGGTACCTCCAGATGTATGCGCCAAGTTTGTGACCACTTCCGATGACGGACGCGTGGAAGGCCCGTCGACTTTCATCACCGAGTCGAGCTTTTTCATTGACATACAATCACAGTCCTTCTGCTCAGCGTGGGGAAACCTCTGGTCATAGGACGAAACCCTTCGCTTTGGTCTGGTTTCCATTAGCTGCTCACTCTACTCACTCACGCATCATGCGCGCTTAGCACATACGTGGTCACAGATATTGTTGCATCCAACATTCACTTTAAGCTATACGCGTAACTGAGCCTTTCGCATGCCATTGCACTTTCGACCTGCTGAATGCATTTTTAGCGTACGCACAAGTGTCGGAGGCATCATGATATCCTGTCAGGTATACAACTTTCCTCGGCGCCCTAGATGTATGCGCTAATTTCCGTAGGACTTCTCAACCAACGGGCTTTTGCTAAACGGGCACAAGTTCCGGAAAACGTCTGTGCTCGTTATGAATGGTGACGCGGTCAAGATACCTTCTTCCAAATGTACTGCAGCGTGCCTTGCTTCTTTCAGAGGAGCCCGTATTGATCCTCCTTCTGAGTAGCTTTCCAATGTCTTCTCAAATGGAAGGAAATCCACGAGAGAAGAACACCTCACCCGACTCTCACACCGTCCGTAGATCGTGTGGACAAAGTTGGTACCCTGAATACAGAAGATAGGACGAACACTCACCGATGTTGGCAGGATGTGGGCGGATATCTCATTACCACTCATTGCCTCGGGAGTGGGAGTTACGCATCAGTGTATCTCGCGCTCAACACGTCAGCTCAGAGGCAGGTGGCTTGTAAAGTCATCAAGCGCAAAGAAGGCAGTGACCTCAAGAAAGAAATGAAAGAGGCCACGCTACTCATGAAATTCAGACATGTAAGCTTTCTTTGGGATACTTTATTTATTCGGGTGATTCGAGGCCTCTAGCCCAACATCAACAAGGTGTATGCTGTTGATTCCGATCCAGATTTTCTGTGAGTGTGTTGCGTCTTCTTCGCCATGATGATATACCATGTCTATCAGCTATATCATGCTGCAACTGTCAACCGGAGGCGACTTATTCACATACATCACCACAAGCCCACGAAAAAGGCTCGGTGAAGGAGAGGCCAAATGGGTCATGTATCAAATGCTCAATGCTATCAAGTACCTCCATGACCGACAGATTTCTCACCGTGGTCAGTGTCATTCTGTTGTTCTTGTGGACGACTGATGGTCAACGAATTCTAGACCTAAAGGTAGACATTCTGACTCGCTGCAAATGACTGACATTCCTGACTTTGTGTAGCCTGAGAACATCCTACTTCTCGCCCCGGGGCCTTATCCTCAGATCCAGCTTGCTGACTTTGGACTCGCCCGACCTAAAGCATACCAGGAGACTCTACATGTCTGCGGAACAATCTCGTATCTCCCGCCTGAGGGCATACTCGCGCTACAGCACAAGCATCTGGGCTACGTCGGAATGCCAGCAGACTGCTGGAGCGCTGGTGTTACTCTGTATGCGATGCTCTCGTATGTGGTGCTCTAACTCTGCTTCTGCTCCCGTGATCCATTGTGGACTCTCCTTGGTCTAGTGGAAGCCATCCCTTTGAAGCTGCGGGCTCCACTTCGACGAACTACGCGGCGGATGACTACGAATCGGCCGAGTCACAGAACCCGGACCAGCAAACTAAACAGCGTATACTCGATAGACGCCTTTACTTTGACACCGTCGCGTGGTATGGCCTTGAGGATGGTACGTCTCTGCTTTTGCTCTGAGTGGAACTGTCCGTCAGAACACCGCTTTGCCCCTCGTTTCCAGCGAAGGAACTCGTCCATGATCTCTTAGCCACGGACCATCGGCAACGGGCAACGGTCTATCAGGGACTCAGGGGCCGGTGGATAGCTCATGACTTGGATGAACTTGAAGACGCGTATCAAGAAAGAATTCAGCTCGCACCATAGTGCTACTGTGTCGTCCCGCTTTCTTGACTCTAGTGAATTCTGTGGCCTGCTAATTCCTGTTGCTAATATACAACGATAATACGATGATACATAGGCGTTGACTTCTCTTCCACAGTTCAAAGAAAAGAACGTGATTCAGGCCTTAAGAAAGTTTGCGTGGACTACTTCTGTATTAGCTTATGTTGCTCGAGTGCGCTAGCATACTTACAATGGATGTGATCCGATGCGAACGTCGAGATCTATCAAAAGCTGTCAGCAACCTGTTTGGAGGAACACGCAAGATACACACGAAGTAGTAACTGTGGTCATATCCTTCCTGGCTCCTGACCCGCACTTGAACATCGTCATGGCCAGCTTCGCGGGCGGCCTTGAGGAAGTTATCAGGGTTCAGCTGGAATAAGAAGTTGTCCGCGGTGCCCTGTATCGCTCGCCCTTTAGAAGCTCTGCAGACAGCAATTACCACCATAGGAAACGCACATAGTCGATCAGAATATGCACGTTCTCCTTGACACGCGAGATGAGCTGCGTAGCGTCGTATACGTTGCGCGCCTCCTCAATGCCGCCCTCGAGGTAGCCGCTGAACGCCTTTGTGCCCCACGGCGCGATCGTCGGGTTGCAGATGGGCGAGAAGGCGGACGCGGAGCGGTACTGGCGCTCGTTGGGGCCCGGGCCGGCGGCGGGCGGGAGGAAGGACTGGAGGTAGAGCGTGAGAGCGCCGTGGCCGCCCATCGAGTGGCCGAAGATGGATTGGCGTGACCAGTCCTGTGGGGGACGACCGGAATAGCATCCGTGAGCGTATGAAGGCAAGCGGGAGGCTTTTTGAATAAGGCACGGGGACGCACGATGGGGATGCCGGCGGCCTCGATGACGGCGGGGAGCTCCTGCGCGACGTGGGCGCGCATGTTGTAGTGCTTTGACCAGGCGGGGTGCGTCGCGTTGACGTAGAAGCCGGCGCCGCTGCCAAAGTCCCAGCTGTCGTCCTCGCCGGGGACGTTGGCGCCGCGCGGGGAGGTGTCGGGGAACACGAGCGCGATGCCCTCTTGCGCGGCGTCTTTCATGAAGGAGCCTTTTTGGGCGCTGTGGGGTTGTTGTGTATTGTTGTATGTATTATGGTGGTCGTGCGTTGTTGAGTCGGGGTGGGTGTGCGATGAGATGAGAGATGTTATTAGCCCCTGAGTGCGTCATAGCAGCACAGATACGAAAGACGAAGCAACGCACCCGTTGTCCTCCGTGCAGGTCAGCCCAGCGAGGTAGACGAGCACGGGCACCTTGGCGGACGCAGCGTTAGCGGGGAGAAAAACGTTGAACGCGGCGTCGAGGTCCCCGAGCGCCGAGGACTGTCATGCGCGGCGGTCGATGAGTTATCGCCATCTCGAGCATCTGCACCTGAGAGACGGCTTTTGCAAGGCGTACCTTGAACTTGTACTTGGTCAGCGTGCCCTCGAAATGCTTGTTCGACGAGACCTGTGTCAGAGAGGGAGCCATGGTTGGCGTTCTACTACATCATCATCAACATATCTGAATCATCATCCACATTTCTTGCACCAATCCAACGGCGACATACCTATGCAGATATTGTAGATGCGTGGTGGGAGCCAAAGAGCCTGAAGCACCCGTGCGTAACAATCCTCAAACTATCAGTAGATTGCACAGAGTAGAGAGAAAGGGGCTATAATAAACACGCTAGGGGTGGAGCGTGTGATGCGATAAAGCACTTCCCTAGTTCCCTAGTGGCTTTCCTTCCGAACGATGACGCGACGCATGATGGTTCTCGCTGCCGGACGCCGTCGTTCATCCGCGCTGTCACGAGGCTCACGCGTGATAAGAACGTTCGATGGCAACTTTGAGAGCTTTCCGAGTCGCCTGGTTGTGTAAGTAGTAGTAATTCACTTCGAAATCAGGTTGGATTAAGTCTAGCATTGACGCAAGGGTATAAGTAAGGTATCGCAGTAGGGCGAGCTCGAGTTCGAGCGGGCCGTTATTACTGTAAGATTGATAATGATATAATGTTTGTTGCATACCGGTGACCATGATGCCCGTGGCTTCTGAGAGATAGCTAATAATTGCAGTTGCAGTTGCAGTGTACGATGAATAATGAGGATGGATATAATGTCGTGTCCGTGCGTGCGTGGACTCATTCATGGTTCCTGTGCTTGATCGTGATCGTGATCGTGAAAATGGAAATGACTCCGAAGCAGGACAACAGATCCTTGACAGCTCGTGCCGGCGCGAACGAAGCACGATGCATGACGTCGCATCCGGACGCGCGTCCGGTCTGACATCGATCGATCGGATAGCACCCTGCGGTTTGTAGACGCTGCCAAACGATTTAACCGACGCGCTCGCTCAGGCATGTATCATGAAGACGGCGGCTGAACAGGCGGCGAGAGCGGAGAAGTCCGCACAGGCGGTCGAGCACCCTTGACCGTCTGCGCCGACTCCGGCGTTGGCTCGCGCGACGCCTCCTGCGGTTCCGCCGCCGGCGACGACGAGTGCGGCACACCCTCGAGACTCTCCTCCATGCGCGTCCTTACCGCATCGCTCGTGTCCGAGTCGCTCCGCCCGATCGGATCGCCCGCACCGTCCACCGGGCCTACTACACCATCACCATCGGCGGCATCAGCGTCGGAATTAGCTGGTACAGCGTCGTCGCTGCGCCCCTGGCGCTCGACCTCCCACGCGAGATAGTCGACGATGCCGAGGTAAAACGTCGCGGGCCGGAACTGGATCTCCTTGCCGCGCATCTCGGCCCACTTGTACCGTGCGGCGTTGATCCACCCGACGAGGTCGAGGTGGTTGACGTGTTGCAGTGTGCCGAGGTACGTCCCCTGTGTAAGGAAAGGGCATCAGCGCTGTTCTTGTGTGCAAAAATGGGTGAACGCACCCATTTCGCCGACTCGACGGAGACGAGTCCGTCGTTTGGCCCTTCCTTCTCGAGAATAACGCTATGCGACCATCTACAATCCCCAACATCAGCGCTTCCCCTCGCATGCATGCAGAGTCAGACAGCACCCACTTCCACGTATCGATGAGACCAGGGTCATACACCGCCCCCCAGCTAAAATACCGCACACCCTCGACGTCCGGCGTCTCCTCGTTAAACTTGGCCATCGCAGCCACGGTGAGGCACTTGAACGCGGCGCCGTCGCCGCCGCCGATGCCGTTGGGGAGCCAGTCGATGAGCGCGAGGAAGGACGGGAGACGGTGCATACCGATGGTGGCGAGGAAGTGGTCCGCGAAGGACGAGCCGCGGTGCGGCGTGGCGATCGTCGTGACGGAGAGGACGGAGAAGCTGCGCTGGGTGAGGTGCGTGGTGAGGTATCGGCAGTCGAGCCCACCCTTTACAAGTAGGAGTAGCGGGTGAGTGGGGGCTGGTAAAGATGCGGGGACGAAGCAAACGCACCATGCTATGACCTAGACACGTCGGCGTAGACTGAGCAAGCGCGTCGAGGGCCGTTGGAGTGCGGACTCACCGATGAGATGGACGGCTCGGCCGGGAAAGACCTTTGATACGGCCTTTTCGAGAACTTTGGCGCGTTCGACGGGAGACGACGTCGCAGGGACGCGTGCCATATAGACTTCGACGCCGTTCTCCTCGAGTGCTTCCTTGATGCCGCGCCAGTGGGTGACCTCGATAGGGGCGATGGACGGGCCGATGGTGACGGAGTCGAAGCCCATGAGACCGTGGCAGAACACGACTGGGTTCTTTGGAGCACGGTCTGGAAAATAGGAATGCAAGATCAGTGGACGCGTTGTCAAAGGGCGAAGAGCACGCACATTTCTTGGAAAGGGTGTCCTGGGCTGCCTCTGCACGGTCCTCGTCTGCGAGGAGAGGCGCGACGTTGTCGTTCCACCATGACCAGCTGAACGAGGTTCCGGCGGCGGGACCAGCTGCGGAGTGGAAGCTCGCGGGGCGATCGCGGACGGAGCGGAGGGTGTCGATGGAGGAGCGCGTCGGGGGCTGGGTGTGGACGTGGACGGGGGGCAGGGCGGTGGATCGGGAGGTGGGGCTTGTGTCTGCGCTTGCGTATCCGCGGAGAGAGGATGAGGAGGTGGCGGGGCGGATGGAGGTGGAGTGGGGTGGGGGGGAGAGGGAGGCGGTAGGGAGAGTTGCGCGGGCGAGGTTTGTGAGGAGGTTTGGTGGGCGGGAGAGAGGGCGTGCGGAGTGCATGGTGTTGTCTGAGATTCGTGCCTGGGGCGGGAGAGCGGGGAGGATGGTGTCGGTGAGGGCGTCGTCGAGGAGGTGCTGGTTCGGGGACGGTGGAGCGGATGAGGGCGGTGGGTCGTGGTCGGAGTCGAGGGAGGGGAATTGGGAATGTCGAGGCGAGTTTGTGTTTGAGGAGTTGTTGGAATGGTCGGGGCGGGAGACAGCCCAGCGGACGATCGGATAGTTTGTGCGTCTGCTCATCGAGTCTGCATCAACTCAAGTAAGTATAGCAGAGTAGAAAGAAGCTGGAAGGCTAAAATCACGTGGGAGTGGTCCTACAGGTAACCTCTTTTGTCCCCTCCAGGAACGTTGACGAGGGCCGTCCACCAACGCTCCACCTCGACAGACCTCGACTTGTATCGACCCTTGCCCCTGCACCGCCCACTCTGAAACACGATCGACCCCTGATTTACCTCCGCCTACACAGCCACTAACTTACAACCCTCCATGTCTCTTCCATCTCTTCCATCCGTGCTACCTTCACGCCCTGTACTGCAGGACGGTCCGTCTTTCAAACCCTCTCATTACCCACCTCGCTTACATCACCTCAGCCGAAACAACCCCAGAACAAATCGACGCATCCCGGTCCACCGGTCATGTAACGAACCCATCCGAGTATGCTCCCTTCTCACACCCATTCGCCGCATCTTCTCACTCTCACTCTTACACCATGTAGAACACCCATTTACATATGTGCATTCACAGGTCTACTTCCTATTATCCTGCCTGTCGTACTAGGCCCTCTTAATAACCCACATGCATACACACAGGCTGCAACAGGCTCTTCCCTAACCGAGACAGGCTCATGTTTCACCGCAAGCGTGACCACGAGTCTGAGGATACAAGTGCGATAGTTACTTGGAACGAGTAACCTCATCATACGAGTACCGCCATCCTCGCTGGTGCATCAGCATAGCCAGTGCACCCCCTGTCAACTAGTAGCGGACTTGCCAGAGTAGCATCATCACGCTGCGGGGTAAGTACAGTCGAGTGGCTATACTCGATAATTATGATTTGAGTTTGGGGATGATGCGGAAAAAGGAGTGGCCAAGTTGAGATGCTGGTTGCGAGGCGGCGTTTGATGCATCACGTATGGTCTGGGAGATCATCTCACCCGCTGATATCATACGGCCTGTACAAAAATCATATTTTGATTCAGGGCACACATTGGCCATGTCACTCCGTTTTTCGTGGCAGATGTCGACGACATGAGAGTTCCAAAACTTGAGCAGAGAATAAAAGCGTATTTTAGAGAGCTATAAAGGAGGATGGAAAAGAGGTGGAGGGAATTGTCATATCATGGAGCAAACAGGGCCAAAGGGAGAGAAGCGTAGAGGCGACAGGACAGGACAAGGTGACCAGCCAATTGCAACCAGCGTAGCAGAGCGCCTCCTCCGCCTCCTCCATCCTCCATCCCCTTCTCCTTCTCATCATATCCTTCCTCCTCCTCCCTTTTCCATTCCCATTCCTGCATCCCATCTTTCCACCCTGGCCAGCCCTGCTCTTTTCCTTCCTTTATTGCATATCCACATATCCCCACTGGTTCTCTAGATAATATTAATTCGCCGCTTAAACCACCCGTTAGACGACCACGATACCGTCCTTTCTCGGGAACAGCTCTCGCCCCAGAAGAATGTCCTTCTTCTCCAGGAAGAAGCACCCCTCCGCCAACCAGCTCTCCCAGTCCAATGTCGCAGTAGCACAAACTCCTTCCCAGGCCCTCGCCCAGCTCCAAAACAAGGACAGCAGAGACAATGACCTGTCAGTCCACTTCCCTCCAATCACTCCGCCAAAGAGCTCATAGCTTTCTTTCTCTTATAGCCAACATGCCAATGGCAGCGTCGTGCGCGGGCAGCCTCGCGGTGCGAGTCCCAACGGGCACATGCAACCTCCTCCTACAGGTCCGCCGCCACACTCTCAGCTCCAGCAGCCGCCTATACAGCAGCCCCCGCCCCAGCTGCAGCCTGCAGTATCTCAGCCACCCCCGCAGGTGGTCCAGCAGCAGCAACAGCAACAGCAACAACAGCAAGTCCAACAACAACCTGGCCAGCCTCAGCAACCTCAGCAGCGCCAGCAGCAATATCCCTGGTCCGCCCGCCGCCTCTTGCTTCCGCCGCCTGTCGTCAAGTCGGGCACTGTCCCGCCAAACGCGTCCTCGCCCTCCCCGTTCCCGCGATACGGCCACGCCCTCCCGGCAACCGCAACGGCCACCGGCGACGTCTATCTTTTCGGCGGCCTCGTCCGGGACGCCGCGCGGAACGACCTGTACCTGTTCTCGACGCGGGATCTGTCTGCGACGCTTATCCAGACGGCCGGCGAGATTCCGAGCGCGCGCGTGGGGCATGCGGCGGCGCTGGTGAGCAGCGTGTTGATTATTTGGGGAGGCGATACGAAGACGGATGGGCGGGCGGGGCCCGGGGAGAAGCAGGACGACGGGCTGTATTTGCTCAATCTCGGTGTGTTTTTCTTTCTGGTCTCATTTTAGCGTTTTCGTCGTCGGCGGGATATTGTCTCTGTTGTTTGTTTGTTAGGGAGGGCAGCCTGTGTATTGACACGACGATTGTTGCAGTCACCCGGGAGTGGACAAAGGTCGTCACGGTCGGCCCGTCGCCTGTGGGCCGGTACGGCCACGCGGCGTGCATGGTCGGCACCAAGTTTTACATCTTCGGCGGCCAGGTCGACGGCGAGTTTCTCAACGATATATGGTCGTTCGATCTCAACACTTGTGCGTTCTGCCCCGTGTTGCCCGTGCCCTTGTATTCCTGCTTACACTGAGATTCTTCATTCGGTGATTCCCTTGTCCATCTCGGATGGCCATCTTCTCTCCGCAACTCACGGCGTGCTGCAACTCTGGGTGGTCTCCGCGGGGAATGACGGTGCCTGTCTACCCTGATGCGCGATGTGTACCTGTGGGTTCGGATGTTGGGGTATTTTGGATACTTGATTCGGGTGTTCGGGTGTCGGTCGGGTGTTGCCGTCGACAGTGCGGACGCAGGCGGCCTGGGAGCACAGCGAGGTTGCGCCGAACTCGCCTATGCCGGCGCAGCGGACGGGGCACGTTTGTGTCACCTATGGCGACCGGATTATACTGTGCGTGGACGTTCTTCCCTTCCACAACGCTTTGAATACGCCCTACGTTCGGCTTTTCCGGTGAATGCTGACTGACGGTGCTGCAGGTTCGGAGGCACGGACGGCTCGTATCATTACAATGACACGTGGTCGTTTGACACGATTACAAACACCTGGACCGAGCTTAACTGTATCGGCTTCATTCCGTCGCCCCGGGAAGGGCACGCGGCGTCGATGGTCGACGACGTCATGTATGTCTTTGGAGGGCGCGGCGTGGACGGCAAGGATTTGTCCGATCTGGCAGCGTTCAAGCTCACAAGTGCGTTTCCCCCCTTTTTCCGTGAATGGTTCCATGATGTGTGGCTGATGCGGTGTGGTAGATCAGCGTTGGTACATGTTCCAAAATATGGGGCCTGCACCGTCGGGCCGCTCGGGGCACGCGATGGCGTCCATGGGCACGAGAGTGTTCGTCCTCGGTGGCGAGTCGTTCACGGCTACGACAACGGACGATCCTGGACTCGTGCATGTGTTGGATACCAGTACGATGCTCCCCGCCCCCGTCTCAGCGGTTTACTCCTGCTGATTCTCGCATGTAGAATACATCAAATACCCCGACCCGAACAAGTCGGGCCACGCCGCGCGCAAGCCGTCTGCGCAGGCCGGAGGCCCGATCATCAGTCCGGGCAGCCGCGCGACGTCCCCCGTAGGCCCGCAGGGCCCCGACGCTGATGATCTGCGGCGCGCTATTTCGCCGACGGGGAGCGCGCGCGGGGGCCGCGGCCCGCCGAATGGGATTGTGCAGCAGGTGTTGTCTGGCTCGCCGACGGGCGCGGGTAAGGGGGCGAGGCAGCAGGTCGAGGGGATGCCTCCGAGCGAGAGTCCGACGCCGTATGGGTCGGAGGTGCGTTCGGTGTCACCGCAGTTGCAGTTGCAGCAGCAGGCGCCTTCGCAGCCTGTCGCTGGTGTCGTTAGCGGTCTTCCACAGAGCGGCGAGCGCGCACGGAGCCCGTATGGTACCCGTGGGGTTTCGCCTAACGGGGAGGTCGGCTCTGGTGGTGTGCAAAATATGGCGGCGGCCGTGCTGAGTGTGAGCGGCGGTAGTCTTGCTGCACGCAGCGCTTCGCCGCCTGTGGACCGGAGTAAACAGCCGCCAGATGGGTTTTACCAGATGAACGGCGTCGGCGTCGCGAATGGCCATGCTGCCCCCGGGCACGGGTTCGGGCACGGGAAGATGGCGTCGTCGGGGAACGCGACGGCGGATCTTATCCGGGACTACAAGGCCAAGGAGGCGGAGGTGGAGAGTCTGCGGAAGCGGGAGGCGTGGATGCGCGCTGCGCTGCTCAAGGCGAGTCGCGCGGGGTTCGTGTCTGCGGACGAGGACGTGCCCGAGATGGAGGAGCTGGGGGATGAGGGTGCGGAGGGCGAGCCGGAGGAGCAGGATCGGCAGAGGCGGATGGATATGATTATGCGGTTTAGACATCTTCGGAATCAGTTTGCGGTATGTTACTCTTCGAATTGTTTGTTTGTTGGCTTGGCTCATTGTGATTTTGCTTGCAGGTGACGCTCGCCAAGCAGACGAAAGACGCTCATGAACGCATTTTAGAGTCGGAGCGCTTGCGGGACAGTGCGATGCAGGAGGCGGCGTACTACCGGGCCAAGATGAGCGCTTTCGAGTCCTCGAATATGTCGGATGTCGGCCGCATCGAGCGAGAACGGATCGTCGATCTCGAGCGTCAGCTTTCTAGTATGATCACCGAGGGCAACGACCAACAGCGCAAGATCGACGATCTCAACGATTCGCTAGCGCTGCAGACGACGCTGCTCGAACAGGCCGAGGCGCGTGCCAACGATGCGTCTAGACGCGCGGACTTGCTCGAGGAGTCGCATGAACGCACGATCCAGGACCACGTGGATTTGCAGGGCCAGTACGCCGCCAAGGAGGCTACTCTTCGGGACCACGCGGACCGTTTGTTGTCGCAGAGCTCTATGCGAGAGCAGGCCGAGATCGAGCTCAGCCATCTCCAGAGCCAGGTCCACGACCTCACTCAGAGCCGGGATCAGCATATCCGTGCTCTGGACCAGGCGCGCACGGCTCTGCAGGCGGCCAGCGAGCGCTCCAAGGAGGTCGAGAACGCGCACGAGGTGGCCCGCGACCAGGTCGGTCAGCTCGAGGCGGACCTCGCGGACATCCGGGGCGAGCTCGTCACGCGCAATGCCGAGATCGAGAGCGCGCGCGTGCGGCTCGCCGAGGTGGAGAACGCGTGGGCCAAGTCGCGTGAGGAGGCGGACGCGTTCCGCGCGCTGACCACGGGCCGCCTGGGCGAGCTTCTGGACTCGCACCGCGATCTCAAGGCGGACGAGGACCGGTTCTCGCGCGTGCATCAGGAGAAGGTCGATGCGATGGAGAACGAGGCGGCGGCGCTGCGCAAGATGATCGCGGACTCGTCGCGCCGCATCGAGGTGCTGCAGGGCGAGCTGAACGAGGAGCGGCGCGCGGCGCGCGAGGTCGAGGGCGAGCGGCATTTCCTGCGTTCGCAGGTCGTTGGTCTCAGGACGCAGCTCGCCACTGCCACGTCGGACCACGGCCGTCTGCGCAAGGACTTTTCCGCCAAGGACACGGAGCACCAGGACGCGCTCAGGGAGGCTGCCGACGCGAACATTCGGCTCGCCGCGCTGCGCAGCTATTTCGCCGACAGCGGGCACAGCGCCGACGGCGAGGGGTCCAGGGCGTCGCCGGGTGCGGCTGTCTCGTCTGCACGTGTCTCGGAGCTGGAGCGCCAGCTGGACGAGCGGACGCGTATGCATGAGCGCGCGACGCGCGAGCTTGAGGAGGCCATGCGCCGGCATCGCGATGCGGACGCGCAGATTGGCTCGATGTCTACGCAGCTTGAGCACCTGCGCGCTGCTCGCAGCCCCGATCCCGCACAGTCGCAGGCTCTGGAGCGTGCGGCAGAGGCCGAGCGCAAGCTGGAGGAGACGGAGCAGGGCTACAAGGCCCGCATGCAGCAGATGGAAGAAGATTATCAGCTAGCAGTGCATTATGTAAAGTGAGCCTGACATTTTCCCCGTATTTACGTCTGTGGATCTGTTTGTTGACTATGTACTTTCTTACTTTCTTCTTTTTCTTCTCTTCTTGGGATGTAGGGGCACTGAAAAGATGATGCGGAGGATGAAGGACGAGCTCACGAAGCAGAAGTCGACGAACACGAATCTGCAGCAGGAGCTCGACGCGCTCCGCAGTAAGTCGAGCACTGAGCCTGGCTCGCGCATCCGTGGTGTGAACGGCCGTAATACGCCGTCGGACGACGACGAGCGCCTGCGCACCCAGCTCGTCGACGCCCAGAGGCAGTCACAACGGCTGGGCTCCGAGAACAAAGACCTCCGCCGGCGTATCGACGACCTCGAAAAGGATCTCGAGCACCTCAAAGACAACCTCGTGCTCTCGCAGGGCGAGTCCGACGACCGGCTCGTGCGCATCGAGGAGCTCGAGCACGAAGTCAACAAGCTCAACCAGTCGCTCCAGATCCACCGCGGCGGCTCGCAGGATGCGAACCTGGAGAAGCTCATCGACGAAAACACGAACCTGAAGCGGGAGAACGAGCAGCTTTCGCACAAGATCCATCTGCTCCTCGAGGTCGACCAGCTCAACTACGACCGGCCGCCGAGCCGGTCGAGCTCCGAGAACTTTGCGCATCTCTCCAGTGAGCTGGACGAGTGGCAGAGGCAGCTCGCGAGCTCAATGAGCAACCGCCGTCCGCTGAGCGACCTCGACGCACAGTCACATCCAACCGGCCACGAGCGCGCGCGGTCGCGGTCGTGATTTAGTTGATTAAATTAGATCTCTTGTTTTGCGTCTTTTACGGTTGGTGTACATTCGTCGTTCGCTTGTCTATTGAAAACCCGTTTTTATATCACTTTATACCCTTCTTGACTTCATCATTCTTGCTCTACTGCCAACTGCCTCACACTCGTTATGTCTATGGGCTTGCTGTCCCCCCGTTTCTCTCTTCTTCTTATCAGTACTCTATCAGCTCGTTTTCTTATGTCTTTTTTCTTCTTATACTTCTTCGTTTCAGTGTTGTTGATCCCCATGTCATTAGCAAAGTACCGTATATATTCTCCATATCATCTGCTCTTACTCAGCAGAGTTGCCTAATGCTGCCTGAGTCCACTCGACGGCTTTGCTTTTGACATTGTCTGCGCCCTCCTCATCCCCGAACCGACGCTCGTAGTCTAGCCACTTTTTGAAGAAGTACCTTGTGACGATGCATGCACGCGTTAGTGGACCGTACACGATCAATAAATCAACACTTACTTGGCTTTACGGCTCGTCATTTTGTGCGTTAGAACACGCTCGAAAATATTCCTAGAGTTTCGATGAGAAAATTGCTCGACGAATGGGAAGTACGGACACGTACCGCAGGGACTGGATGTTCTGTTGGCCGGCTTCCATGTCCATGTACACCGACCAGAGATCCCAGCGCTTCGGATGCGAATCTACGATACCCTCATAGATCGTCTTCCCACGCTCAGGATCACCAAGCTTGTACTCTAGCTGAGCAAACTTTGAGATCGTCTTGAGGTCTTTTTGACAGTGAGTCCGGCCGCCAACACGCAGAAATATCTGATGGCTTACGTTTCCGCTTCTCGAGGCTTTGCAGACTACGAGGAAGCAGCTTCCGTGCCTGTTCGACCTCGCCGCGTTTGAGATAGTACTCGCAGAACAAGGACCAGACCTTGGAGCTCTGGCCAAACTTCTTGCATGTCCGTTTGTACTGCTCTTCGGCTTTCTGTGGGGGAAAGATGAATAAAGTATGGCTTTGAAGAACGAAAGACACTAACCTCGTGCTTCTCACTCTGGTCGAAGATCGAGGCCAGCTGCAGATGAACGGTCTTGGAGTCATTTCGTCTTGCAGCATCCTTGAATGCATTCTCCAGGCTTTCATCGGTGCCGTACGTGTTCTCGAGGTTAAGTAAGGCAATGCAGACGTTGAGCTTCTCCTGCTCTTCGCGGAAGCCGATGGTTTCGATGGCGCGACGCGCAATTTCGCGTGCCTTTTCGACCTCAGAGAGCTTGAGCTGGAAGGACATGTACTGTATCCAGAGGTAGGAAGAGTTCGGTGACCCGAGCAGCAATCTCTCAAAGTCAGCATTTGACTCCGGGGCTTTGGTATGCATCTCCGCGGTCAGATCCTGTTGGATGACCTGTTTCTTCTTCCGCTTCTTCTTTCTTTCCTCGCCACCATCCGAGTCGCTGTCTTCCGAGTTGGACGACTCGTCGTCTACCCCGTTGGCGTTTGCACCGTTGAACCAGTTGAATCCATCGAGTTTGAGGGATGCAGAGGGCACTGGCTGAGCATTACGGCCAACGTTCTGCGATATTGAGGGAGGGGCGAGATCAATATCCATCTGGTCACCTTCACTCTCGCTGTCCTCCTCTTCGCCAGCGCCATCCTCTTCATTACCGTCGGAATCTTCTGGACCTGCATCCTCCGGGTCTACCATCTGTTCATCATCATCCTGTTCAACGACACCCAGCGCAGGCGAATCAGCTGCCCCATCGGATGCGCCGGATTCATCATCGACGTCCTCTGCGGAGAAATATGATGGTTTCAGGCCGAACGAGATCTTCCGTTTGGAGACATCGATGGACTTGATCATAGCTTGTACGGTATCGCCTTCCCGGAACGTTCGAAGAGCAACGTCAACGTCTGCGTCTTTGTTGTCTGAGAGCTATACGCGGTGGTCAGCCCACCGCCATTATTCACAAATGAATCACCAACCTCGGACTTGTGGCAAAGACCACTTATCTTCGAGCCTTCAACTTCGATGAAGAGACCGTAGGCTTCAATCCGTTTTATCCGACCCTTGACTTTCTGACCCTCGTGTAAGTCGTTCAGTGTAAGGCCATTGGTAGCATTCCGGTTTAGATCGCCAGACCGGAACGTCATCTCGACTTTCTTGTTCTCCGGGTCCACACTATAGACATCATCACATCAGTCTAACATTTGGTGGACAAAGGACACATTAAATGCCACACCTCAATATGCGTCCCTTGACGAGCTGGTTTGCCTTAAACCGAGGTTTCCAGTCCTTGACATACTGACGAAGACAATGCTACGTGAACAACACTCAGAATGAGTTTTGCGCAATGTACATACCTCATCAAAGAGTTCCTTGATCTGGACACGAGCATCGACATGACGCCCGAGCATAACGAACAGGCCGTGATCTGCGACACTCTTAACAAACCCTCTGAGCGTATCTCCGCGCTTGATATCTTCAAAGCTATTGATTTCACGGTCAACCACCGACGAGACATCTCCCGATAATCTGGAAGGGCGCATGGAAAGATCCAGTTGGTTGTTCTCCTTGTCTACCTCGATAACAGTGGCTTTCAGAACAGAGTCCTTAGGAGGGAACGGGGTACCAGTCTCGTAGTTATCACAGGAATCTGTGGGGTGGAGGAACCCAGAAATCTTAGGGGTAAGCTTGACAATAGCTCCACGGAGACCTTGGCGAAGCACCCGACCACCGACGACTTGTCCCGGTGCAACAGTTTCCATGGATAGAGGACCAATCTTGTGGGATGCTGTCTTGGACTTTGGCTTGCAAGCGGCGATCACAAAGCCCTTCTCCGAATTGCGAGAGACTATGACCAGCTCATGGACCTCGTCCCCAATGGCAACAGTCCCTTTGAGCTGTGCCACGGTCGTATTCCGGGAGCTCGCCAAGTTCTTAAGCGAGACCAATGCGCGTACGTCTATTGGCTTCAATGACACGACGGCGTTGAGCTTGTGAAGCTCAGCGATAGTTCCAGAGACCTCATTGCCGACTTCGACTTGGCTGACATCCCCTGCTGTCGCTTTGAAGCTGGACGCCGCTTGACGAACACTGGCCACGATCCGTGATGTGTCCGTGTCGATGTTAATAATACGAACTTTTACCACCTTGCCAACGGGAAACGCGTCTGTGAGTGTGCCGGTGCCTTCACTATCAAAAATGAGTCTAGTGCTAACGGCACGGTAAAAGCGGCGCACCTTGCTTCTCTGACAGGCACAAACGCTTTCACATTATTGAAAAACTCCAACTGCAGTCCTTTCTCGAACACTTTGAAAACGACAGCGTGTACCACCATACCAACTTTAGCGTCCTCAAAGGAACTGATAATCGGTAACTCGGAGTCCACAAGTGTCTTTTTGGCAGTCAAGACAACTCGCTTTCTTTCAGGGTCTACCGTCAATACCTGGCATAAAATTAGGCTTGAACCGGCGTTCGAAGTTTACTGATAGCTCACACGGCATTTGACCGAACCTCCAGGTTTAAACCTCTTTGAGGGATGCTTGAGCGCGATATCGGCATAGTGGTTTGGCCATATGACACCGTCAGCGTTCCCTGATATCGAAATGAAGAGAGCGGTTTCGGTTAGCTTCTTCACGGAGCCTTTCATAACCTCTCCGACGGCGATGTCGCCTGCCTGAACAAATTTTTGCTCAAGCACTGAGGGTTTCGAGGAAAGTTGCAGAACCCTGTCAAAAATATGGTGCCCGATCACTCTTGCACGATGCAGAGTGCCACATCGCCACGGCCCGGAGGAAGCTGATAGAGACGGGACACGGTCGTCGGCGGTTTGCGAAATCTAAGCCGTTCAGATCAGCAGTTGACCCAAGCGAAAAGCCGAGCATACGAACATGAATAAAGCCCGCCAATCCCGGTTGAACTGCGACTGTTAGGCCCCGCTCACCCTCCACTTTGGCGACTTTGACATCATCCAGGATTGTTCCAATGGGATATGAACTTTGGAGTTGCTCGTTTTCCGCGTCCTGCGAAACCAGCGAGATAATGTGATCCGATAGAGCTAACACCAGTTTCGGCGGAGAAGATGCAGGAATAGCATATAGAACTCGGCACTTGACCTTCTGTCCAACTTTGAACTTAGTCCCTGATGGAAGGTGAGCGTCGTCGACCGTTCCATCGAAGAAGCCCAACACCTGGACGTTGATACCCTCGGGCGAAATCGCGGTAATGAGTGACTGCACCAAAGTTCCAGGCAAAATGGATGAGACGTTGGTGACTTCCGAAAGCTAGGAACATTAATTAGCATCATGTAGGATGAAGACATTAATTCCGGTTCTAGACATACTGATGAAGTGGCGAACAATTGAGCGTCCAATGATACCGTGCAGGTACGCCCGTTGCCTGACTTTTTTAGGACGGCTACATCCAATAAACCACCTATCGGTAGCTTCTTGTCACCAAATCGACCCTTTTGTGCATCTTGGAAAGACATGAAGCCCGATACGTCGGGCACACCAAGATCCAGGAGATATCCGTGATCCTCAACGCTCTTGACGGCTGCTGTCAAAGTCTATACACGACATGAGCGGTGTCTAGACAGAGATGGAGTTGTCACTCACAAATCCTAGCTGAAGATCAGATTTTTGGACGCCCGCGTTTACATCTTCAGGAACAAGACTAAGTTCTACCCTTTTGCTGGCTTTGGCTATGTCGTCCCGCACACGACCAAGGCCTGAGACCTCGGATACACCAGGTGCATATACGTTTGTCACGACAGCGCGGACAAATTGTCCGGGGTAAAACAAATCATGCAGTTCAGGGGTTTCGTTCTTTGCCTCGGCACCCTCCTCCTCTTCTTCATCCTCATCTTCGTTTTCGTCCATTGATTCAAGATGCCGGGTAAACTGGGAAGTGACTTGGGTGATAGGAACATGTGCCATGAGCTGATTGGGTAGGGATACAATCAAGGCCAGAGGCCTCACAGAGTGTATTCGCCCCAGTATTTTCATACCAGGAGTCAAGCGCTAAGATATGCTCAGTAATCTGTCTGGATAAATACAAACCGATCATACCTTGTAGTTTAGATGCTCGACACGAGCAACATCACGTTTCTGTGCAGGGTCTAATTTCTTTTCCTTGTCATTCTTTTTCCTTGGCCTTTTAGATTTTGGAGCCTTTTAGAGTATAAAGATGAAAGTCATAAAATAGGGGGAGATTTGCGCACCGCGAATAGCTCAGCATCTGCTTCCCTGGCGCCCTCTGCACGTATTGACTTGACTTCCAAAGGTGTCAACGTGGTTCCTCCACCTCTAGGGAAGTCGATTTCGTCCATGGTCAGACTTGAGGTAGCTTGTGCTGGCTCGTCGGTATTGACAGATTCCTGCCCAACCTTGGGCTTTTTTGACTTTTGAGAGGACGCGCCATCGTCCAATACGCGTTTCTTTGCGGCCATGTATGAAGATATTGGAATGAATGACGTGCCAGCACGAGCGAAGGAGTGGTATGGATGGCTAATATCCTTGCGGACTGCCCTACCGACGGCTTCACAAATTTTGGAAGGTGATCGGCGACCTTAGATCGTGAGAAAGACCTACCTGTTCTGTCACCGAGTTCACCGGGGCAAGGGACGAAGACGCGGCTTTGTGCTGGGCGCGCTTGACAGCCAGTGCCACAAACTCTCACTTTCTTCCTACGCTCAACATGGATTTCCAGGTGAAACTTCATCTAAATTTCAAGTTCAAATTTTGCTGACTTCTTTCGTCTTTCCCTCTTTGATAGAACCGTGTTGGCTCAAAATTCGGTGGTGGTGGTGTAGCAGGAGCTTCGGAGACAAATGTCGACCGAAGGGAGCGTCTTCGCAAGCTCGCTCTTGAGACTATCGACCTTGCTAAGGTGCGCATACGTACAACTGATCGTCTTTCAGTCAATAAGCTGATCCCCACACCAGGATCCTTATATTCTTCGCAACCACCTGGGATCCCTCGAGTGTCGTCTTTGTCTTACCCTCCACACCAATGAGGGCTCCTACCTCGCCCATACCCAGGGCAAAAAGCACCAGACGAACCTGGCTCGACGTGCGGCTCGCGATGCCAAGGACACGCAGCTCATGATTGCCCCAGCTCAGTCCTCGGTACAGCGTAAAGTCTTCCTCAAGATTGGACGCCCTGGCTATCGCGTCACGAAGGTCAGAGACAAGGACACGGGCAAAGAAGGCATGATGGTTCAGGTCCATCTGCCTCAAATTAAAGCGGACGTTATGCCTCGGCGACGCTTCATGAGTGCTTGGGAGCAAAAGCGCGAGCCACCCAACAAGGCATTCCAGTACCTCATCGTGAGTTTCATGAGTCTTAGAAACACAGTCTATGTGCTAATGTATTTTAGGTGGCCGCTGAGCCTTACGAGACCATTGCATTCCGCATCCCCGCTCGTGAAATAGAGGAAGAAGAGGATGATGCCGGCTACTGGAATTGGTCTCATTGGGACCCTGACACGAAGCAGTATAGTTTCCAGTTCATGTTCCGTTTGAGTTAATGTACTTATATTAGATTCTTTTGCCCGCCAATGCCAATGGTATTCACTATACAATATATACACAACCAAGCAGTTATCTCTTTTAACTGCACTCGACGAAGTCGTCGCCCGAGGCACCGGTGTGGGTGATGCAGGCTGGATGGTGTGTTGAGTGCCATGCATTCTTTCTTCAAAATAAGATACCTTACCACAAAAGTTATCGCTGTCATCATAGATGACGCGGTCGGCGCCAGGCGAACCACCAGTGTAGGTCGATCCACTCTCCAGAGGGTACTCGTAGAACGTGCCCGAGCATGAAGGGAAGGAGAAGCCCTGAAACACAATCAGAGTCCTAAACTTCCATTGACTATAGGAAACCTCTACACACCTCGTAATCGTGGTACTGGTGAGGGTAATCACTAGAACAGCAAACAAGGCAAAGTCAGCACTTCGTACGATCTTCTCGCAAAAGCATTTTTCGCTCACCCTCCGCCGCTGCCCTCAGCCTGGTTGATGGCGTTGGAGATGTCATCTCCCGAGTAGGAGTTGTCTACGCTGTGGTGAGCGTTGGCGCCCTCTGTCAAGGGTTTATCCTACCTCCACATGTGCAGCTGCTAGAGCTTCCTCCGGACTGGCGAGCGACAAGAGCGTGAGTGCCAGTGACAAAGGCCAGAGCGAGAGCAGCGAAGAAAGTGGACCGCATTTTGACAAGAGGCAGGAGACTGGGCAGGAGGGATGGTCCACCAAGGTGTTTTTGAGCACTTTTATACGGTGCTGGCATCAAGCATCCATGCGCAAACGGTGGCCCCCGCGTGCGCGTGCTAGAGACCATGTATCAGCGCGCCGCATTGTACATCGACGCCCAAATTCGAAGAGTATTGACAAGACCCATCAGGTGTACATTCGATAAGGCTTGGTGAGCTGTCACTGTAGGAGGACTGCCAATGGAGAAGCAGTCCGCACTCGGCGCACTCGGCTACCCCGCGCTCCTACTCCACAGAAAGCGCGTGCTCTTCTCAACTTCGTGAAGGAAACCGTCTCACCTCTTCACCGCAAATGGAACTTCGCCACATGGTGGGGATGGCATGCACACTGTCCCGCGCTATCAGTCCCGCGCTAAGGTCGACGGAACTCACCTCAACATGCTCACGAGACAAAGATAAGTCGCAGTAAGGAAACAAGCGGTGGGATGGCTGCACATGCTCGACACGGATCAGTCACACAATTAGCTAGTAAACCCGCTTGGGTATGGCAGGCGTCGACACGGGAATTGGCGCCCAAAAATATGGACTGTAGAATGCTTTGATTCGTCCTCGGTGGTCAATAATTGCCGACGACCAAACGCAGCCAGGACTGTTAGAGCTGAGCAGCCTGAGTATTTCTCTTGCATCGAACGTTGCACTGAACCACAAGGCTACCTCGGCTTATCGCACGTTTCCCGTCGAGCAGCGATTTAAGCGGGCTAGAGCAACAGATGGCAAATGTACGAAGCACTCCAACGTCGGTCTTTTGATGATCTCAGGTATTTAAGGATACACACTGACCAAAATAACTGGACAGCAGCGGCGAACAACAGCATGGCTAGCCGGAGCCAATTACAGCCTATAGCTATTACAGCGCGGTAGAGCGCGGTCCGTCGACGTTGACACTGAACGTGTCTACATACCACAGATCTCAGATCTTGGATCCCAGATCTATCAAAAGAACAGAAACTACCGGCCACGAAGCCGCCGGTCAGTGGTTTAGCAGCCTTGGCTGACTCTTGCTCATGATCTTCAAAGTAAACCACATGCAAGAATGGCTTGATTTGAGCAACGATGCGTATCATGTCGTAAAGATGGCACTAGTAGGACGCGTACAGACTAATGTGGGGTAAGAACTAAGATGGAAGAGATGAATAAGAAGCGTATAAGTCATGGAACAAAAAATCTAGCATAGGATCTGGTATGGTGGCAGATTATGCCTGTCGTTTCCGGAACAAAACTTTTGCTGTCCGATTAGGCGAGCAGTTCATCATCATCCACTGATCTGGTGGGCGTATGCCATCTTCCACCTTCACGTCGTAATGAAGCACTAGATGAGCCATCATGGTTTTCATGATCAGCGAGGCAAAGAAACGGCCTGGGCTATTGAAAGAACGAATGAGATCTGATCAAACATCCACGCGAGATAAGTTCATCAACGTACCATGCTCGCTGACCGTGACCAAAGGCCATATAGCACGAAGACGTAGAAACTAGCTGTTGAGACAAACTGCCCTCGTCTCCTTCCGGCCACGATTTCACGAATCGAAATGGCTGGAATGAATCAGCGTTTTCGTAGTACTGCTCGTCGCGATGTATTGGTATCGTGGCGATCGCGACATGCGTGTGAGTGGGGATCACGATGCCGTTCGATAGTGTCATGGTCTTCATGGTTTTTCGAACTACAGGTACTACATTGCTCATTAGCGAAGCATGAGTGGCGGTCGAGAACGAACTCACATATGCTAGTGCCGCTGACACGCTGAGACTCCTTCAGAAAGCTGTCCAGCCTCCAAAGATTGCTCATGGCAGACTTTGTCCACCCTTCAGCGTCGGTCACTGTCTGTATCTCTTCACGTAGAAGTGTGAGTGTGTTTGGGTCGGCAACGGCAAGATGGTATAAAGCATGTGTGAACGTCTGCATACCGCCTTGAGCGCCATCTGGTACCTTTGCAACAAAAGACTCACCTGCGAGGAAGTGTGGAGAGATGCGAAGTTCAGTATTAGGATACGAAGGCATACGCTACGCGCGTTTCGGTCCTCTTCTTTGGAGACTTCGATCAGCCAGCTGATGACGTCGTCCTGTGTAACTTTTGAGTGAACTAAAAATATACAGTGCCATGGAACGGCCAACTTACAGGCATCTCTGCTGATTCGGGCCCATCACGGGCGAATATGCGTAGTCGTTCTTCCACTACAGACCCAAGGAGGGTCATGCATCGCTGAAGACTACTAGGCGCATTCGTCAACAACCGTCCTATTATGCTAGAGGGAACAGTTGGGATCATCGCACCATCAGTACCAACAAGCGGGCTCACGGATGTAGAATTTTCGGAAAGAAATTCATCAATGTAGCGCGCATAACTACTTGCAGAGCGAAGTTTGCCTGAATATCCGCTAGTTCAGGCTCCCGGCCTGAGAAGACAATTTTGAATAACAGTGACAACAGCAGAGCATCAGAAACGTACAGAGATCCTCGCCGATGAATATTCTATTACTTGCTCTGCAAGTAATTAACATCATGGCCTCGTAAGCAGTCACAGCAACCCATTCTGGTGGCGTTGAATGCATTAGGAGATCTGGCACCGAGGAAGCTGCCTTGGCGTGCACTTACCGTTTTGCTGAGCGGGTATTACATCATTAAATGCCAGAACAATCTCTTCGTGCATAGCTGGGAATATGTCGGCCAGCCGTCGGGTAAGTTGATTTCGAACGACCATGGCGTGGTAGGGATTCAATTGAACCTCGTTGCCAAATGTGTACTCGACTCGGAGAAGCTGTCCGCGCGTCAGGACACGTCGAAAACAAAAGCGATATCTGATAAAACGCACGTCTTTGGTAGCCTGGTCAAACGACAGCTCCTCCTCCGTCTTCTTGCGAAGCTCGTCGATCGAGTCTGGGTCCGTGACAACCACGACCCAGCGGTCTACCATGGGGACCTTGTAGACACCGCCCTTGAACTTTCCCGTCATCTGTCAGCTCTGGGAACGGTTCACATTGGCCGAACGCCGCACCTTTTCGTATCCCTCCTGTATCATCTCCCTGGCATGGCCTATGAACCTGACAGCGCCATAGTAAGACGAGAAGTAGCCGCGTGGACCGACGGTTGGTATGGAGCTAAGCTGTCGCGAGGGTCAGCGGATAGAATGAAAAGCGAGACAGTCGACCGACCTCGGCGTTCCCGAGGCGCTCTACGCAGTAGAGGGTGCAGAGTCCGAGGAAGATGGCTAGGCCATGGGCGGTCAGACCAGCGCTGTCCATGGAACGGTGATAGACGTCGTCGGGAAGGAAGCTGAGGGGCGGGTGGCATTTCGGAGCATGCTCCCAGGGCAGGAGGCGTATTTAAGTACGGCTGACCAAATGAATCGCGTTTTAGAGTTAACAACCCGCACCGGTCAGATTAGATGGGCACGCCCATATGCAGCGTCCCTCCCGACCAGAGGGCAGCTCGATTTTCCGTCGCCTTTCCATCGCCTATAACCTTCTCACCCTCGACGTGCAATCTTCCCTGTGCCTAGGACCGCCTGTGAAGAATGTCTGCGTTTTATGAACGTTCATTTTTTCTCGCGATTCGCCATGTCAACACCACCGATCATCCAACGAACCATCATATTCCTGGCCATTGGACGGTCATCTGCTCAGATCCCGGAATGGTATCTATGTCTTCCCTGATCGATACGATGTGCGTCCCTCGGCAAACTGTGATGGCCATGCCCTTTCAACCTGTGTCTTCCGTCGACGTCTATTGGTTATCAACCTCGCTTCAGCTTGATGGACCCCTCGCGTGCCTTCAACGCGGAGATACACTCGTCTAAAATGAGGGCACTCATTACCTGCATGGACAAACCATGTCTCTTCATAAAGGATATGGATATCGCCGGACCTTTGTGGGGATGCGTCGGACCGTTGATACCCATGAAAGATCGGAATCTACGTTCTATTATTACGTATGTTACGATGCATAATGGTGTCTTAAAGTATGTACGAATTCAGATACATGATTGTCCAAGTCCAATGTATGCGTAATCCTACACGAGAGTTCGTCAACCAAAGAAGATGCGTGAGAGTCTAGAAAACATGAGTTCGAGGTGCGTGAGTGACAAATGCTTGACAGTGCGCGTATGTGTCCAGACATCACGCGATGCAACACCTGGAAAGCGTGAAACGTAGTCGTACAAGTTCGTACACGGCCATGAAGAGATCATCGATGAGATAGAAGACACTGCACCGTAATGACAGTCATTTCCGCTCTATAACACATATGACATCAAATATCGCGGAAACCCGCGAAGTCGCGAAGGCGGTCCGCCTAGGCATCAGTTGCGTCAGTTCCTGCGTTTGCTGAGCTTCCTGCGATGCAATGGTTCCTTGTCTCTGACAGAATTGGCTTTCTCGATATCACTGGCCTTCTTCGACGGCTTCTTCGAAATTAAGGGGGAATCATCTTGATTGGCAGGAGCGTGTTTAGGAAGCGGAACGTTCGACGGGAAAGCTGGTGTCCTCTTTCTCAATAGCTTGCGATCTGAATACATCGCCGCTCTCTCTTTCTCTTCGGAAGGAAGGGGCGATGGTCCGGAATATTCCGATGAGCCATACCCACCCGGGCGGGAAGGCGGAGTACGACTTGGCATGTGCTGTGATTGAAGCGGAATGGGCATAACTAGGCGCTTCGGAATGTGGTTAGGGGGAGGGCCGCCTCTCTGCGCAGAGTAGATAGACCCAGAAGTGGCGGAAGTGAAGGACATCGCCGAACTGTCCAATGAGCGCGAACTCCGGTGGGAGATTGGGTAGCCCTCCCAACCTTGTCCGCGGTCATCGCCACCTGTGAGATTACTGACATTGACATTGGACCGAGACGCGTGCATGTATGGCGGATTTACAGAGTTGACCTGAGGCGGCAAGTTTGCGTTTGGTGGTGCATAAGATTCGCTGGATCTGGAAGAACGAGCAGGGAGAGGGGGATCCCGAGGAGCGTCTTGCCTATGATAGTGGCTAGGAGGCTCAGACGCATTAGTTGCGTTGCGTCCGTGCAAATCGCGTCTAGCAAGTGACGCGCCCCGTGGTGGGGCACTAATGATAGTATGAGAAGTGGACTTGCTTCGCGAATGGTCGCTGGGAGGAAGAATAGCGGGTTCAATTCGAGGATGTTTAGTGTTAGTGCCAGCAGGCGTAATAATATCGCCTCTGCCGACCAGGGGCACAGATGTCTTAGGGTCGTAAGTTGGCATGCGGCGCAAGATTTGTCCCGGTTCTAAGTGGAGGGATAATCCGTCGTTCTGTGCGGGTGATGGACGAGGTCGTTGGCGCTGCTGAATTAAGTAAACATATGTGGGCTTTTAAACGACTGCTGGCAAAACGTTACCTTCTCCTTGCCGAGTGCGTGCGGAATGGGGCCAGCCTTTGAAGAGCGTGCTCTGAGTTACATGAAGGTTTGGAGAGATGCCTATTACTGACCTCGTCGCCGCCGGGAGAGCGAGAGTAGTTACCTCTTAAAACATCGACATCATTATACATGTGCGGAGGCCCTAAATGTGCCAAGTCACTCCCAATCGCTTCGTATGGAGGGCTATGATGATATCCGCCTCCATGTTGCGCCGTCTCATCCATCTCGTCGATACGGTCAAGTGGGTTTGGAGGCGTACTTGTGACTTGGCGCGCCGGCGCTCGCTGCCGGTTACCACCTCGGGTGTTGCCGTCTGAGGATAGAAATGGGGGAGGCGATCGAGAAGTGACAGCAACGTAAGTTTGATCATGTTCGTCGGACTGCAGCGGTTGTTCTGCGTGGTGTGGTGGAGAAATATGCACTGGATTATTCTTTGGTTTGAAATATTGGTTATTGTGCTTAGAATGAGATGGACTAGAGGCAGAAAATTGGGTATCAGAAGGATCCTCAGAGGAACATGAGGATACAGTAGGCGCTTCGAAGGGAGAGAACGCGACGCTCGATCCAGCCTCGCTGGATGGCGTTGAAGCAGGCATTGATGTTGAATCGAAGTAATGTGAGGGATTCGGAGGCGATCTCGAAAGGTTGCGGTGTGCATGTTGGGTCAAGGTGGTGTGAGATCTTGAAATATGTGTATCGAGGGCTGGTGGTGATCTGCTAATAACTCTGGGCGGGGGCTCGGTATGATCATGGTGAGGATTGGCCATAGGATCGGGAGAAAAAGCAGGATCATTGAGCAGATCGGATGGCATTGGTCTTGCGGACTTAGGGAAATGAGATGCTTTGACAGCATGTGGTACATGGGGATTTACATGAGAATGAACGGCCGTCGGGCGTGGTGTAGGAGTACCAAACCCATCGTATGGATTGAAATCTGTTATGAAGCCGAGAGCGCGTTCGTCGTGGACGGTAGCAGGTGATTCATCCCAGCTCGACTGCTTGGGATGGTAGAGGGCCCCCCAGGTCATTGGTGGTGGGACTGAGGCCGGCGGAGGTTTGGAGCGAGTGGAGCGAAGTTTTCGAGGGCGAGACTGGCTTTGTCTGGCGGGTGGTGGAGATGCCAGGGAGGTGAGAGTGGGGTGGGGTGGGCTGAGAGCGAGAGACATCCTTAATTATCACCGCCCCGGCGCCATGACCACCACGGTGGTAAGCAACTCATAAGAGATTCCCAAGCTTATTCTTGTGTGATCTGTGTTTGGCCGTGTTTCAACAGCTCCTCACTCAACGCGTCTCTAGTACGACAACAACGCGTCCGCCGGCATGCTCGATATTGCAACAGTCCGAGCGGAAATAAAAGCTTGGGAACGCGACTTTCGCTCGAGGCATGGCAGAGACCCCAAGGTTCAAGATATTAGAGATCAGCCTTCAATAGGTGCGTCGTCCAAACCAGCTTGCGCGCCTACCTACTGACCATCATCACAGCCGAGAAGTACAAGTTGTACAAGAAACTATCCAAGAACGCGTCTGTAGCTGTAACTACGCGACCTGGTGACCGAGCCTCTTCTTCGACTCAGCCCGTCCAGCCGCCCTCCACACCATCCCGCCCTACACCCCGTCCATCGCACGCGCATATATTCTCTCAGCCACGCGTAGTCGAAACAGCCGCCCCTTTGCCCGGGTTCAACCCCTTCTCACCGACCAAGGGAAAAGGAAAGGGCATCCAACGGGATGATACTAGACGAGTTAGCCCTAGCCACCCTCGAAATCCGTTCGCATCTCCCGTCAAGAATAAACCGGCTTCTCGCGTTTCATCTCGAAGCGCCTCTCCTGATCCCTTCCCACCCATTGTGCCCGTCCAACCATCGTCTGAACTGCTCAATGATCAACCTCACGCTAACAAAGCTATTTCACGCGCTCGCAAGCGACTACGTGGCGAACCAGTCTCGCCGTCACCGAATAAGCAGAAGCGTCAGCGCGTTGCCTCTCAGACCGTGCTGCCGTTCCCCCGACTGGATTTTTCGAAAGCTGCGGAACACGACGTGACGGATGATTCCCCGTCAAAGCAAGCTAGCGACTCGTTTGTGACTGACTCGCCCGTCAAAGTGCCCGCCGGCGGACGGCCGTTCCCTCTGCTATTTGAGGACAACTCGGGTCAAAGATTGCGACAAGCATGCGAGTACCACATTCACTTCATCGAACCCAAATTACCGCTAACTGCAGCTATCAGTGAGAACGCGCTCCAAGGCAAAAAATGTCTTTGGTCATTCGACAGATGAAAGCGACCTTGACGCTGATGATGCAGGTTGGCTCAAAGCTACTAGATAGGTATGGGTTGGCTGAACTCTTTTCTGGCAGGGCGCGATGAACCAAAGTCAGACGCCTCGGCGTCCGACGCTGAGCCTAAGAGAGCTGGGCTTAAACGGGTACTATCCGCAAATGAACTTGACGAAAAGAAGGAGGGGACCGACCACTCGAAACCTCAACAAGCACCGTTATTGCCACCCTCGCCGACCTCCGGCCCATCCCTCGGAGCACTTAAGGGCAAGGCTAAATCTGCAGCCGCTGGTCGTAAGAAACCAAGGATAGCGGAAGAGGATGATGAGGACGAGGACGATTCATCCGAGAATACGGTTGTACGAGTACATAACCGAAAACGTCCACCCCGCACGGATCAAGATGCTGAAGGCGATGATAGCGACCTGGACCCTGCTCTGGCATTTGGCGCCCGGAAGGCTGATGATGTATTGAATCATACGGCGACTCGTGCTGACGACCCTGTGCCCCAAGGAAGTCTCGAAGTCAATCTCCCCGATGAGTTACGCCTCGTGTTGTCCATATCACAACCCAACGAGGCCGATAACGTAAATGAACGCGTTTTCCGCGGCTTGTTGAAGGGGTCCCGTGTCAGTAGCTACGACGCTTCTCGCGGCGGTGAAGTCTGGGATGCTGGGGAAGACGAAGACGAGGACGAAAATCGCGGCGATATATTGGACGACGATTGGGAAGGAGAGCCGGTGCCATGGGAAGTTGGAGAACTCTGAACGTTCCGAGATAGTTGTTCCGACCGTGTCGTGCCCTCATCGTGCTTTCCAGTGTTTCATTTTTAATAATCTCATGTCCACCAGCCGTCCACTTGCACGCGTCCTCAACGCATGTCCCGGGGCGTTACTCCCTTGCGCCGGTGAGCCCAAATGTCCGAACATGGGCCAGGGGCTCCGCTTGGCTGGGCGACCTGCTTGGTTCACGCCTTGAGTTGAACCAGGTATGTGCGTGCATCATAGCGTCGCGCCCTACGTGCGTGCCATGGTGCAGTGCCCAGCCTTAGCCCTCAAGGAAGACAGTCACCTTTCACCTGTGACTAGCCAACGTTGTAAGTAAGGGTGCACGTTGTGATCGCAGCGTGCAGTTAAGTAGCAAGCTCAAGCTAACATTGCTCACTCCATCGAGCTTGTTCTCTTGAACACTCTTGGTTACGACCTTTCATTCACGCTCTATTACTCGACGACCTAGTTGCTGACGAGCCAACTAAGGGCTTGCAGCTATCATCTTCCTTTCCTCTTCTGTCCCCTCGACATGTTGTCAGCTATTATTCAGGACCAGGAGGTCACCAGGAAGCTACTGGAGAGCATCCTCGACTCTCCCGGCGGTCGCAAATCCCTCTCCAGGCTTGCCAGGACCTGCAAAGCCTTCTGCGAGCCTGCCCTCGATATCTTATGGCGAGAGCTGGACTCTCTGTTGCCGCTAGTAGCGCTGTTTCCCAGCAACCTGATGAAGAGATCTCGCAAACCCGCTATGGGATTTGTAAGTACTACTGCTATGATATTCCGCATGTGGACGCTGAAGCTCGAGTAGGCCAAAGCTCCGACCAAGAACGACTGGGTCAAGGTCCTTTCCTACGGTCAACGTGTTCGCCGCGTTGCTTACGCTGAGGCGTCCAAAGTAATGGCGCCTGCTATTATCGACACACTGGCAGAGTACAAGCCCGTAATGTACATTCTGCCGAATCTCCAGGAGTTAGTTTGGCGCGTGGGGACTGTCGCAGGTCTGCAGCGTTGCAAGTCCTTCCTCAACCCTGCCCTCCAAAGCCTCACCCTTGAAGTCGGAGCGAGGCTTCCGTACTTGGCAGCTTTCCTGGCTGATGTGTGCAGCCGCACCCAGCTGGTCTCCTTCTCGCTTACATCTCCCACCAGCCTCCCCGACAACTTTAGCGACCTTCTGCGCTCTCAGCACACCCTTGAGAAGCTAGTTCTCATCGCACCCGGTGCTTTGTCCTCCCAAGTAGGACAGTTTGCGGCGTCTTTGCCCGCTTTGCGTTCCCTCGAGCTCGACCTCACGGGCAGGTATATCACTGCTGTCGAGGGATTTTTCGATGACATCATCTACTCCGGCGCTTCCACCCCCAGCGATGCGTCGTCCGACAGCGGTGTCTTCTCCGCGGACGATTCCGAGTTCAACTTCAAGGAAATACGCAGATCCTCCTTGCAACTTACCGGTGACTTGAAGCACCATGGCGCCTTCTCCAAACTCCGCCAGCTCCAGCTCAAGGGCGAGGCCGGCAACATCGGTGTCTTTTTGAGACACCTTAACAGCCCACTGACACACCTCGAGCTTGCCATCGAAGATCCCCCCGACAGGGCGGACTGGCAGGACCTCGCATGGGAGATATGCGAGCGCTTTGGTGAGACTCTGCTCTCTGTCCGCGTGTTGGCCACAGCCGCGGCTCGTTACAACGAGCTCATGCGCGTCACCTCCCGAGGTGGAGAGGCTGTTTACCGTCACCTTCCCCTCGACCATTTTACCTACCTTCCTTCTCTCGTGCGCTTCGAGATCGACTTGCCCGAGTCTGCGATATTCTACGACAGAGACCTCCTTGCCATCGCCCATGCGGCGCCTCAGATTGAGATCCTCCGACTCTGCTCTACGGCGCGGTTCCCCGCGTCCATGATCCCTCCTTTGACTCTTGAGGGTGTCGGTGCTCTTACCAAGCACTGCCGCAAACTCCATACCCTCGGCGTTGTTGTCGACGCGCGTGTCGGCTCAGACAAAGTATTCCATGACCTGGAGGTGTCGTCCCGGTCTCTGTACCGCTTACACGTCGGGCATTCCATGATCACCGATCCATTCCCCGCTGCTGTCCTCCTCAGCCACATCGCTCCTCACTTGGAGATCTTGAAGTTCTTCCATGATAAGAACCGCCCAGGCTACGTCGAGGCGAACGCTGTCGGCTGGCAGAAAGTCACAGAATGGCTTCCTCACCTCCAGCGCATGCGTCTGCTGGAGCGCCGTAAGGTCGCAGAGTTCCTCGCGAAGCGCCCCGTGAAGGTTCACAGGAGTGTGGACGCCACGGTGAACAAAGTCATGGTCGAGCAGGGGATGCAGGCGCAGCCCTCGATGGTCAGCAAGATGATCGCTGCTAAGCCAGACCTCCTAGACGCGTTCGTTGACGCGACTCCCTCAAAGCGCAGTGTTGAAATTAGCGCCATTCCTTCCATCGTACACCAATCTGTGGGTGTCAGCCCCAAGATGACTTCGGTCGAGATCGACGCTACCCCCGCCGCCGTGTCGAAGGCCATCGACGCCGCCGACAACATGGAGATCATGGAGCTCAACGAACACGATACGGCCGACATGTACGCCCACCCTCTCCAGGGCATCACCGCTATCCCTGCCGTCTTTGTCGGCCTGGTGGCGCTTGCGTGCCGCACCTTCATCTTCTACCCTCTATCCCTCCCAAAACATGTGCTCGATAAGTCGCTCTCCATGATCCACCCTCCAAAACGAGACGAGACGTACGAGATCGAGGAGAGGCGCCAGCACTCCCGGTCCAGCTCGTCAGGCTCTGAGATGCTCGGTCACGATATTACTCCTGTTTGCCTTTAATCGCTTTCATCCGTAGAAGAAATTAGAGGACTAACAGAACTATTCTCGGACTTTCATGCTGTACGCATAGCCGGCTTTTGCGTGCTGCCACCTCTATGCCAACCTATGCACCCTTCCGTCTTACCATGCCGATATGCTGCTCCCCTTTGTACCCCAGTATGCCTTATGCACAACACCTATGTCTTTTCTTTGTCTCTGCATCTTCTTTCGATTTCATTCATTCTTCTTTCTTTGTATTTTAGTATTTTTATTAATCCCATCGTTTCTCTCTTCATCGTTACTTCACTTCGTGAACGACAGCTCAGGGGCTTACCTTGATAAGTAACTGAGGCAAACAACACCAAAGTGCATATGCGACGCGTCACTTCACGTCCGACAATTGCAAGGAACTTGCATCGAGGAACACTTGTAGGGCGCCCATCCACATTCACCATGGCCGATGTCAAGAAACAAGAGAAGGACTTCACGTCCGAGGTCGACTCTCTCCTGAAGGAGGTCGATGGTCTTACCAAAGTTTGCATACCATGTCTGATCATTGCTTGCGCTAACTTCTGAGGCTCTTAGGCTGGCGAGCTATCCGAAGCTTTGGAGAAACTGCTCACGCTCGAGAAGCAGACACGAAATGTACGCGCAAATGCAGAAATTATGATTAGATCTCTCATACTTCTGTAGGCTTCAGATCTTGCGTCGACAACGCGTCTGGCCAAAGCCGCTCTCCAACACTGCTATGACGCGCGAGACTACGTCCAGCTTAACGCGACGCTCAATCTTCTCAGCAAGAAGCACGGGCAGCTGAAAGTTGTCATACAAGAATTGGTAGAGCAAGCAATAGGCTGGCTGCCAGAGATCAAACAGCGAGATGGCATTGAGAAGTGGCTAGAGCTAGTTGAAACGCTTCGCACTATCACTGAGGGCAAGGTGCGCTCTCAAATGCGTACTCCATCCGCACGATGTTTTTAACTCTGCTACCTTACAGATCTTCCTTGAGACCCCTCGCGCACGCGTTACGCTTGAGCTCTCGCACTATCACGAGGGCTTGACTAAAGATCCCAAATCTACTTCGCCAACCTCAAAAGAGTCCCTACAAATTGCCTCAGATCTGTTGAGCGAACTTCAAGTTGAGACGTACTCGTCGATGGAAAGAAGGGAGAAGACCGAATTTATCCTTGAGCAAATGCGGTTACTCATCGCTTTAGCACGCGTCAAGGACGCGGAGGTTGTTGGCAAGGAGAAGGTAGCCATCGGTGGTGGAGAGGGTGAATGGGTGAAGGCTCGTGTCAATAGCCGAAAGGTTAATGAACATTTCTTGAAGGAGAAAGAAAACGAAGTGAGGAATTATCATGGTATTGTCGAACTTCTATCTTACCACCGCTCGTCACAGGACCTCAAACTCAAGTTCTACGAATTAATGATCCAACAATCACTTCATCAAGATGCTTACCTCGAGTGTGCTAAACATTATGAGAAAGTTTATGAAACACCTTCAATCAAGGAGGACGAAACGGGCAAAGGACAGACAGTAAGTGATCATTGTATGCACCGACCTATGCTGACCATGGTTTCAGGCTCTTGAACACATCGTCTACTACCTGGTATTAGCACCCCACACGAACGAACAATCTGACATGCTTCACCATTGGTATCGAAACCCTGCTCTGGCCAAGAGGGAGGGGCACTAGTGAGTATAATGTGCTGAGATCTGTCTACGACACTGATATCGGGATAGCAACCTTGTCAAGAGCTTTGTCACTCGCGAGCTCATGAGGTGGCCGGGCATACAGGGACTCTATGGCCCTTTCCTGAAGGCGACACCTGTTTTCTCTATCGAAAAACATTGGGAAGATCTCCATACGCGCGTGATTGAACATGTAAGGCTGGTTGTCCATGAGATGAGCATGGCTAATTTTGAGATTTAAACAGAACATCCGGGTTGTGTCCGAGTACTATACAAGAATAACATTGACTCGCCTTACAGACCTGCTGGACTTGAGTGCGAAGCAGACGGAAGAGACACTTGCAAGGCTCGTCGTTTCTGGGTCGATATGGGCAAGAATAGATCGCCCCGCTGGGATTATCAACTTCCGGAAGCGACAGGACGCGGAGGATGTCATGAATGAGTGGAGTTCGGACATGCAGCGACTTCTAGGCTTGGTTGAAAAGGCGTGGATGGGAGTCAATGCTGCACAAGCTGCACAATCAAGAGCAAAGGCGTCATAGATGTATTATAGTACCTGACGGGATATAATGTGTATACTTCTAATCGGAAAATTGAGAGAATCATCATTGTGTCGTCCTTCTTACGCCCATAAAGTCGACCTGGTCTACCGGAGGTCGTGAAGATCGCTCTGCCTGGATTTTGAGCCGCTCTTCCTCCTGGAGCATCTCGGAGGTCCCGAGTGCTCCATCCGGCACCTGTGTGAAGCTGGGACGGACGCCTTGCTGCCACAAGCTCATATAGTCCTGGCCGCGACTCCATCCACCCATGCCGGACTGAACATCCAGAATTGCCTTCCACCTCTTCTGGGCAATGAGGGCACCTCTGTCAAGTGCCTTTTGGTCGGCCTCAGAGTAGAGCTGCTTCTCCTCCTTCTCGAATGATCTGTCCGTCTCCGAAGGGAAGATGGTACCATATGCCTCCGCTTCCATCTTGGCTGCAGACGTAGCGGCTTCGTGCTCTGCGCGTAATGAGCGGAATTGGGCTACAGCGCGAGCGTACGCGCTGCTGAGAGACATGTCGTGGTTCTGGTGAAGGTTGACAGCAAAACGGATGGCACTATGTGTGATAGAAATAAGTAAGAGTCAAAGGAATACAATGACAACACGCATACTCTTCAGCAGACGGGTTCCTTCCTCTTTGCCTGAGCCTAGTCCATTCCTTCCCTTGTATTGGATGTTCGCTCTCAACATTAGCGTCTTCGACAAGAGAGATGGCGCGGAAGGATTCGAAGGGGTGGTCGCGGAAGAATTGGCGTCGGACTTCGTCTTCTAGGTAGAATATGGGGAGAGGGCTATTTTTCGGAGGGCGGAGAGTAGTCGAGGGGTTGATGCGGCGACGTTCAAGCTTACGCTCATGGTCTGGGCGAGCTGGAGGGGCCTTGGGTGGCAGGGAGAGTGGAGGGTGGTCGAGGACGGCCTGGAACCAGACGGGCTCCTGCTTGAGGTAACCGACGCGCATGAGGCGCGCAGCCTGTTTGTGCACCTGCGAGGCGATCCTGCGGACCATGTTCACGTGCGCCTGGAGGTGGAGAACGACGTTGAGTTCGCGGTGGTGGTGAACGGCACCAAGTACGGGTAGTAGTCAAAAATTAAAACCACCGGGACGTCACGCGTTCCGAGAGAGACATTGACGCGTCACAGCGCATACATACACAAACCTTTTCCGCAGTCATGGAAGAGGAGGAAGCAGAACTTAGAAACCCTTTCCCTTCTCCTCCGTCTCAGTATACCAACTATACGACACGCAATCTCAATTTACTAGAGGTTCTCAAGGAGCGTGCAGCTGCTGCAAATGTCGACCTTGAGGCTTCTGACCAGCATGTACTCTTGTCTGATCAACCTTCTGTCCCGTCGTGGTCGCTCGTTCAGCTTGAGAAACCTCGCGTAGACTGGATATTGGAAGATGGTCACTACAGTGTGTTTGGAGATCAGTGGTTTGTACGAGGCTGCCCACCTTGGGTCTATTCGATCACTCATGTTACCACTTTCAAGGTCAAGGAGACAATACCCTCCCTCGCCGATCTCGGTGGACACCAGCTCTACCCCGTGGATCCTAGTGTCGGTATGTATAAACTATGGAGAAGGCCTGCCAACTGAGAGGTTATAGATCGTCGCCCATCTTTATTGGCGGTCCTGAAGTCAGCTTTGGTCACATACTACGCGCTGACTGGTTCGATGCTTTCGCCGCCACCGCCTCCGACATCGGCCGAGCCTCCGGAATGGCAACGTCATGTCGAATGGTTAACAATTCTTGCACAAAACCTGATGGCGGCAGCGAATGATCTTCGGCCTGTGCAGGCATGTTCACCTTTGTACTTACCAAAAGCCTTGTCTCACTCCTTTCAAAGGCCAGAGTCAACCTCGAGCTCATGATGAAACGGCAACTTGAGCTTCGACGTGAGGAAACTAAAGAGATTCACTCGTCAGTCCCTCGTACCGTTCATTGTGATGGATCTGAAACTAACTGTCGGCAGTCGATGTGATGTCATCGAGTCGCAGCTATCTGCACTGCGCCTCAATGTCAAGCAATCGACAACCGAGATTCATCGGCCAAAGGCAAGCAAGACTGAGGCTGGGACAGACAAAGTATGTCGGGAATCATTAAGCTTGGAGGAATCTCACAGAATTTTTATAGCTTGTGCAAGTAACCGCTGAAGACCTTTCTCAATGGGCGGACGAAGTGCGATGAACCTTTGTTCGTCCCCAGGTGGTTGAAAGGATCGAAAATCATGCTATTCGATGAAGAACCAATTTGCCCACACCGAGCGGCAGTATAAATTGAAGTTTCTGGAGTTGGGTTGGAGTTGGGACACCAGTAACACGAGTCATTGGTAAGTCCATGAGCTAGCTGATGGCCATCTGAGGCTGATTACCCTCGCAGTTAGGCTCCTAATAGTTTTGAGGCGCGTTTGGGCCCCTGATAATAATACTTCGGCCAGCATCACACGGATCGGAGACATACGATGGTTAGGCTTTTCCGTTGAAACGAATACATTGTCGACTCCGAAGATGCGCATTTGTCGCAGACACCTCGCTGAAAGGAAGCCGGCCAAAAACGCCGACTCGGAGAATTCCCGAGTTTGGCACGCGCCATGGGTGCCTGCCAACATCAGGCCACCCCCGACAGATGTATACTCTTCAGCCAGCACACCTAATACATAGACAGGGTGATATCAAGTGTCAGCGCGGTATCCCCGACATACGAAGATACAAAATTTCGTACAGCGTCATGATTCGTTGATTACTGCCAGGCTGAACATGATATGCTTACAGGCGCCAGCGATGAGAGCTGTATGCGCGGCGCATTCCACTCGTGGGATGTGGACTAGGTACACGTATCACGCGCCGTCGGTGTGCCTTGGAAGCTGTGGTTGCAAGTCTTGGCTTGTTCCCGTTGTCAGCTGTATGTAATTCTGAAGGTTAGCGCAAGCCGAGAACGGCGTTTTGTAACCTCTTGGGCTGCTGGCGTCTTGTTCCCCACACGGATCCTACTTGACCGTCGGCATCTTCGCTTTTGGTGGACGTGCCTCCTCTCTGGTTGTCTTCTTTTTACACAGGCGGGTGCCCTTCTCTTGGCAATGCTGTCTTTCCCGTAAACTGCATCTCTCCTTTCCAACCATCCCTCAGTATATCCCCGTACCTATCTGGCCTCCTCCAAGGCCTTGACCATTCACCCAATGCTTCCCTCTTATAATTCTGGCAAGACGTCGCCACGAACTTCACGGTTGAGATGGCGATGGGGAATAATCGCAGTTGCTGCCGTCCTCGTGGTTTACGTCGTCGCCGCCGGACATCAACATCCCAAAGTTCAAGAGTTCGTCTCGGGGGCTTCGTCATACTTTGACTACTCGCAATCACGTCCTGAGCTCACAGGGACGTCTGGGAAACCGGTGTCGAGCGACCCCCAGCTGTGGGCATCTCGCGCAGACCAAGTGAAGGAGGCATTCAAGCACGCGCTGGACGGATATCTTCGCTACGCTGATCTGCAGGATGAGCTTCAGCCGCTTACTGGTGGGAAGATCAACAAGTGAGGATCCCTGCTTTACGTCTTTGATATGATCCGAGCGCGTGTTGGATAGCTTCAACGGCTGGTCCACTACTTTGTTGGACAGCATGAGCACGATGTGGCTCATGGACCTCAAGGACGATTTTGAAGCGGCGCTGCCCGTTGTGGCGAATCTATCATTTGCCACCACTGTAAGTATCTATTTTTTGGGTTTCAAAGATGGATGCACGCTGATGTTTCATCGCAAAGGACAAATATGTTCCCTTTTTCGAGACTACGATCCGCTGTCTTGGAGGGCTTCTTTCCGCATACGCTCTTTCGGGGGAGCCTATGCTCTTGGCGAGAGCGGATGACTTGGGCCAGGCGCTTCTGCCCGTGTTTGACACGCCGTCCGGGCTGCCGATGTACGGCGTGAACCCATCGAGGTAAGAGGTGCAACTTTGGCAATGCGATTCCAGACGGCCCTAACTCTCGATAGTGGTGCCACGAAGACAGGCTGGGCCTACAATGCCCTCTGGTCGGAACTGACTAGCTGCCAGCTTGAATACAAGTATCTGGCCCACTTGACAGGCCGTACTGACTATTTTGACAAGGTAGGCGGACAGTAATTCAGTTGTAATCAACCACGGCAATGATTGGCGTGCTCCATCTAGTCCAACTATGTCATGGAGCTCATGCGTGACGAAGCCGCCAGCAAGGATGGTCTGTATGCGACGGGGTGGAGTATAGAAAAGGGAACATCATCTAATCGTAAGTGATGGTAGTCATTAAAGCAGTTCCAAATCTTACCCTTACGTCAGAGATATACTCCGTGGGCGCTTTCGCTGATAGTGGTTACGAGTACTTCCTCAAGCAGTACCTTCTGACTGGCAAGTCGGAGGAGAAAATCAAAGACATGTGTAAGTATCCTTGCTCTAATGTTCCTTCTCTTCATTTTCTCACTGTGTTCCTCATCTCTAGACCTCAAGTCGATACGTACCATCATCAATGAGCTTTTCTACCTTTCACCCACTCGGAATCTCCTTTACGTCACCGATGTTTCGCAGAAGGAAAAGCCTTCGTACAAGCTAGAGCACCTCTCGTGCTTCCTCGCCGGCCTTCTTGCTCTCGGCGCGCACACTCTTGACCTTCCCGATTCCGATGCCCAAATGCATAGATGGGCTGCTCAGGGCCTGGCTCACACTTGCTACATTACGTACGCGGACTCGGTTACAGGCCTGGGTCCCGACGAGGTGCAGTTCAACTTGCCCCAGCCGGAGAATGGGAATATCTTGGAGATAACTTCTGGGAGGTGGGTAGAGGCTGTCGATAAGTGGATGAAAGAGGGTAGCCCTGGCGGAGTACCACCCGGGTTGGTGATGGCGAAACCTGTCAAGGATGGTGAAAAGGACTACGCGCCGAGAAGCAGACGATATCATCTCCGTCCCGAGGTAAGCTTCCTGCGAAACTTACGGATAAGGTCTGCATAAACGAGTGGCTGCTAGACGGTTGAAAGTTTTTACATCCTCTGGCGGACGACCGGTGACGAGTCCTGGCGAGAGAAAGGATGGGAACTATTCCAGGCAATCAACAAGCATGCTCGCACCGAGTATGGGTTTGCGAGTGTCAACGATGTCACTGACAAGACGGCACCGAAACTCAATGAGATGCCAAGGTTAGTGGTTTGCTCAAGCCATGAGATTGTCGCTGACTTATCCAATATTTCACAGTTACTTCCTCGCTGAAACGTGAGTTTCTTCGCTTAACAAAGCGGTTCAAAAAACTGATTAGATCCTATGTATAGCTTGAAATACCTTTATCTGCTGTTTACAGACGAAGAGATAATTCCTCTCGATGAGTGGGTGTTTAACACCGAGGCACATCCTCTCCCTGTGTTTAAGTGGCATGGATGGGAGAAGACTGCATACAGTATCCCGTAGAACTGTCTATAGCTACTCGTTCATTCCTTTTGTTCATTCACTGGGATGGTGGACATGTTCTCTTTTTCTTCTTCTTGGGCACATTGGGGCTTGTACTAATGGTTATACGCGTAATGGAATAAAGATTGTCTTGAACCATACTAAGGTCGAGCTGCATTTTGCGAGTGTCAATTGACATTCTGGGTATCTACAAAGGGATCCTCACAAGGCACCGTGACGCGTCTTGGAGCGACGCGCTTCGTGCACAGCTTATAGCCTGTTTGCTTCCTCATAAACCATGTCCACCAGACGAAGAATCGGCGTCAGCATTGCAACGACAGAGGCTGCTCGCCGGCAACTGATGCAACCAGTGGTATGCTGGGAGAAACAATGGTCCTCTCCGGGCGGCATGTCCAACAGTGCGTTGAAGGTACACAAATGGGTTAGAACAGAAAGGAAGCAGGTACGTCTGCGAAAGTGGATATGTAACACCATTTCGCAGCTTAACCACCATGACCCTCATCAGCAATTCAGCGATGACGAAGGAGAAGTTGATGAGCCTCTTGCGCCGCTACCCGACGAACCCGAGGTCGTGGAAGGAGACGAGGACGTCGAGCAAGACGAGGTTGCACCATCCGTAGCCCCTGAAGCTGAGGCAGATCCAGAGACCGCCGAACCTTCGGAAATGCCTTCAGAACCCCAGACCAAACCTCCCTCTCCGACACCACCGACACTCAGCCTTGAGCCTACAGCGGTCGGCGGCGTCACCGAGGAGGAGACGAGCATCCTCGACCCTGCCACGGTCGAGGGTATGGATATGGCTGGGCTCGGTCCAGACGGCACCTCGTTTGAGGGCGTGAATGATCTCACTCAAATGGAAAGCGGAGATGACCTGCTGGGCGTGCCAATCATGGACACTACGGACGATCCTTTCGCGACGTCTATGGAAATGCCGACTGAGGATGAGGTAGGCGCCACAGAACAACTTGAACCCGCAATAGTTCAGTCGACGACATCGCCTTGAGGCGAGTGGTGTTTGTGTTTTGCTTTGAACTCATGCTTATTACTGACTGGTCTTTTCAGATACCACTTTGCATGTACTCGCTATCCTGGTTATCATTTTATGAGTCGCCCTTGTTCAGGGCACTCATCATGCGTGCCGTTGTTTCCTGCCATGCATCATCTACGTCTCGTAAGTTCAGCGAGAAAGATCTACGTGTCGTTTGGGTTGTTATCATGAGTCAGTGGGTGCCCATGACACGCAGTTGATCGCAGTATGTTGCATGGGGTGCATCCTAGTGGAAGACAAAATAAAGCTGCTGCGCGTATACAAACTGATAGGTTCATGAGAGAAAGCGACACACGTGTGCACCACAACGGCGAGCTTCTTCTGTGTTTCTATTGGATATGATACAGCATCTCATCTGGGTATATAATCCCGGCAGCTAAGGCGCTTGAGCTTGATCGTCCGCTCTCTCTTCCTACCACCATGCTTCAAGTTGACATGAGGAGCCTGCTCTTTGATCGCTCCGCCATCATTTACCCAGCTATCGAGTTTTTCCTCGCGAGACTCGCGCTGGGGCCAACTGCATCGTTTGTGCCTCTCATTTTTTTGATAGCTGTCATCAATGTGCAGAGCCAGCACATAGTCCACCGGAGCCCTCTCAGTCAACTTCCTTTATCCTACGCCGCTGTCTGCCTTGGAAGCGCGTGGGCGCATAAGTCTGCCCTTTCCTCTGCAACGGGGACATCAACCGAGTCCTTCGGGGCCGCATTCCTCCTGTACACTGTTTCCACTCTGGGTGCCTTGGCCCCACTGTACCTGCGACTGGTCATTGTCTCCCGCGCCCATTTGTCTCCGTGGGCCGAGTTGACGATCTTCTCCACCTTGTGGGCTACCTCATGGACTATATTCTCTAACATCTGGCCTCTGGGTAGGCTTCTCACCTGGAGTCCTGCCTCGGGAGATCACCCCTATCATTATCTGCTATCCTACTTAGGACCGGCTGGCATTGACTGGTTGGTTGCTGCATGGGCGTCGGTATGCTCGGAGACCTTCACTCGCTGGCTCATGGGCTCTGGGGGAGACGTTGGTGAGATTGAGGTAGATGGTGAGGGCCCCCCTGAAACACGGGACCAGGCGCGCCCTCGGCATCTCTCTATTCTCACAGGTCTGCTTCTGGCTCTGGCGATTCCCTCATTCATCACGTTTCCTCTCGCACTCCGTCCCGAGGCGCGAGACACTACTCCGTTCGGTGTTGGATGCGTCTTGCCACACTCCCCTACACCAAAGGTGTTCACGTTTGATGACTATGTAGCGGCTTCTAAACAGGTCAATGCACATGCAAGAGTTTTGCTTTGGCCAGAGGGTGCAGTCACTTTCACCAGTGCTCAAGACAAAGAAGAGAAGCTCGAGAGGATCAGGAGTGGTGATGGTCTGCAAGGCCCTCTGTATGGCATAGCTTTCGAGGAGTACACAATGGCGGATCCTTCTGATCCCAACAGTGCTCGGCTGAAGCGGAATGGTCTGGCCCTTGTCCACTACAAGATGGAGAAGGGAGAGGAGGTGTTCCAGTATTACAAGCGTAACCTAGTCCCAGGTAAGGAAGCATGCTACCATCTTGTTTGAAAGATGACTTATATGTCCAAAATATTTAGTGGCTGAATCTTTCCAAGCACTGCCATCCGTCGATCCTCCGTCTATTTTCGACTACAATCTGAGCAGCCCGCACAATACCCCCAAGCCTGACTGGTCACCTCACTTCCCCCACACACGGCCGGTCCCGATCACTTCGTCTATCTGCTTTGATTTCGCCTCCCCTTCCGCATTTACATCTCTCGAATCACGCCCGGCGCTCATCCTGGCACCTGCGAAGACATGGGACACCAAGGTCGGCCTGGCGATGTGGGAGCAGGCCAAGACCCGCGCAGACGAGCTCGGGTCAATGGTCCTTTGGTGTGACGGGGGCGTGAACGGGGTAAGCGGCATAGGTGGCGGCGGCATGCAGGAGATCATGCAGGTTGGCGGAGGCTCGTGGACGCGCGAAATCGGCTTGCAGTACCCGTTCGACACCGAGCGCACGGTGTATGCGCGGTATGGACAGGTCGGTGTGACGATCTTCCTTTGGCTGGCCGTTGGAGGTCACTGGGTTGCGAGCCCATTGTATGCGCACGGAAGGGAGGCCGTTATGAGGGCCATCGGAGGTTTCCATCCGGTGTTGCGGGCTCTGCCTTTCGTTAGTCGATTCTTTGGACGTCGGGACGAGCGCGGTGAAAGGCGACCTGAACAAGTTGGAGAAAGGCAGCTCTTGTTGGTATAAGGTGGAGACGAGAATGTTCTATTCTGCTTGTAAATCTGACGTCACCGACAACAATGAACGCCTTCAGTTATCACATCACGTATTTCGCTCAAATTCTGTCTGTCATTGTGCTCTGTCTGATATCTTGCTTTGTCTGGTTACCGTTTTAGTCAGTATATGTACAGTATATTCCAAAGATTGTAGTCATGTCGTGTTCTCGGTGTGGCCATAAATTTGAAACGTGAACGGCCGTACCCTAACTCAACCTTATGACGGTAGCCTGGCAAGTCCCAACGAAACCGCAACGGCTGATACAACACCATCCACGATTCTGACCCTTGAGCCAGCTTCAGGTCCTAGGTCTTGTACACAAGCCTCCCGCACAGCATGTTGAAGGCCTGTCATAGCGGCGCATCCGAGACATACGGCGCCGAGTTTCCCGTTAGACGCGTGGATCAGGCGCGACGTCGCGGCCTTCATGAGCGCTTGGACCTGATCAAAGTCGGTTTCATGTAGTTCAGAGGCAGTTAGACCCGTCGTCTCGACACCTGCAAATCGCGTGGCAACATTGGCACCTATTCTGCCAGCCGAGCTCGGGAGGCCGAGGAACTCGTGGACGCCATCGGTGAGGAGGGTTTCCCAGATCTTGCCTGTGGAGACGATGCCAAAAGTCTCGTTGAGGCCGAGCAAATGAAGACACGTTGTGATGCTAGCCTCAAAGATGCCCACGACAGGTTTGCGGGTGAGAGCCTTGAGCTGGTCGACGAGGGGGTGAACGCTGTAGCAGGCCACGACGAAGGCGTCGTAGAGATCGATCTGGGCTTTTAGGGGCCCGATGCAGCAGGCTGCACTCTCTGCGGCGGTTTCAGCGTCGTTTATACTCGGCGGGCCACGTAGGCCGGTGAAGAAGGAGAAGGAGGCCTGCATGGTCGAGAGGTTGTTGGTCATTGGGTGGACGATGTTTTACGTCGCTGGAGGCGACATACGGAGGGAAAGTGTGATTGGCTGATGACAGTCTCGAGGCCGTCTGTCATGGATTTTGTGGAGTTGGGGTTGATTATTAGGATGGATGTGTGCTCTGGCATGGTGATAACGGCGTCGGGATGAAGTGTTGCGGGAAGATCACCACCGCGGAGGTAGTGTTTATCCGGGCCGCTGACAATAATATGCCCCGGACCTCAAGGTGTCCTGCTCTGGGAGCACGAGGCTCCTGACTGACTTGGTGGTTTCGCTGCAGCTCTTCACAGCGGCGCAGAAAACACGCACTCGGCACGTTCGCCTTCATTCAAGTCTAAAGGTCAGTCTCATGCCGACTTCATCCTCCTCACACACCCCTTCGGGCCAGCAGCCTTTACTGCCGACACAGAGGCCATGGCTTCATCGTCCAATAATCTGCTCCAGTCTAGATTTCCTCGCGCTCTCCGTCGTCGCACTCTGCCCAAGGCGAGGACGACTACATCACCGGAGCGCAGCTCCCAGCAGCAGTCCTCCGCTCAGCTAGATTTCGGCATCTTGCCAACCTCACTGACACCTCCCGCCGCAGGGCCGTCGCTTGTGTCCCGTTTCGAAGAACCCGAGGACGAGTACGACTGCATCGGTGCAGACGACCTGCCTCTCCCATCAGAATTAGGACTCAACTTTTATACCTCCTTTCCGTCTGGACGTGAGGTTTGTGTCGCTTCCTTCTTCGCTATATGCGTATACCTCATCTCCTCCAGAATCTCTTCTCCAAATCCAAGACTGTCATATCGCGAGTGAAGCGATTCTCAAGGGCGTCTCTGCACCTTTCCATCCCCAGACGTCCGACAGATTCGTGTCCATCCCCCGAGGACATCTCCCATCTATACGCTGCTTTCCCGCAGCCGCCCTCGCATATTCTTCCTCCTCTCACTGCGCCTGCGCATTTGTCAAAGAATAGACATAAAGGCTCTTCCGTTCAACGTTCGCAGAAAGAAAGCTCTCCCATACTTTCGGATCGCTTTCAGGTCACCTCGCCCTCGTCGCTTGACCAACCTCAATCGGCACCTCGTGACGCAACTGTTCGATCATCCTCAGAATCCACCACTTCTTGTCCTGTGGTGACAACCTCTCCGAAACCTTTTGCCATCAAGAGGTTCAAGTCGCTGTCTAAACTCGTTCAGACTGCTGTCAGTCAGGATTCGGGCATCTCGCAGGTTCATCCTTTATCCAGAAAGCAGACAGAGTCTTCTGACAAGAGGCCTTCCTCCACTGACAACGGGATCACTGGTCCCTTTGTTGGACTCCCTGAGCTGCAGTTGTCTCCTAGAGGATTATCAGTAACATCAATACTCGACGAGTCCGACGAGTCTCCCCCGTCTCCTCTCACTGTCAGGCCGGTTCCGCGTGTAGTTGTACCTAAGCCTGCGGCTTCTGACGTCAAGCGACTCACCGTTCCAACGATCAAGTACGATCTTGTGAACCCAGCCGACCTCACTGCCTCTCCTTCATCTAGTGGCGCCCCTTCACGTCTCACCTCTGCACGGGCATCTTTAGCTGCACCTTCACCATCGTGGCTGAGCCGCAACACGCTAAGCGTCAACCACAGCACCTCTCAGCACTCTGCCGACCTTCAGGCAGCTCGGATATCCGCTCTCGTCGACTCGGACCACTTGACGTTTCCCGAGTTCAGCACCGCATTCAGATCGGCGCTCTTTGCACCAGAGTCACCTGCACCGTTGCCCGTTCCGCCGCCCTTCCTCCTCGTGCCCGCACCACCCAGCAGCAGCAGCCCCTCGCCTCGTGGTGCTGATTCTAGACTTACCACACCTATCTCACCCACTGATACCACATCCGGGACCCCATCCTACCTCACTGAACGGAGCCAGGCTTCTCCCTCGCCCTCTTCTGCTGCCTTGAGCGACTCTCCAGCTTCCCCTCACTCGAGCGAAACCGTTTACTCGTCTCTAGTCTCTCCCCCGCCCTCTCCGCCTATTATCCGTGTCTGGTCGGCAGATCCCGACGCCTCGTGTTCTCGACGGTCTAGCGCTGAGCGTGTCCAAAGTGGTATCATCCAGAGACAGGCATCGTCTACAGGCTCGGACAGGGAAAGCGAGCCAGTCGCTAGCACATCCTCTACAGTACGTCGAGCTGATGCGCAGTCGTTCGTAACATACTGACAGCAGCGATAGTCTTCCCGGAGATTCTCCGAGGCTTCCACCAAGACCTGCGTCGATTCGAGAGACTCCTCGAGGTGCGTCGTGAGAGTAACCTTTCACCCACGCGTCATGGTGCAGCTTACACTGCACAACAATAGCCCCACCGATCCTCGCGCTGCTATCTTCATACCCTCCCCGCCCGCATCGCAGCCGCTGACCAGGCGCGGGATTCTTACCCCTGAGCAGCTCTGCAACTTTATCGAGGGCACCTGCCACCAGCTCGGGCTCTTTTCTGCGGCGAAGCAACAGGAACAGGCGGCTAGGATGGACTATACGGCTAAGAACGCGGAGACTGTTGATGTCGGCGGCGACTATGATTATTCGGGGTACCAGTGGTTCAAGGACGCGCCAGAGCGCCCGGAGGTGTGTGTTTTGCTCGTCGCGTGTGGTGGCAGGAGCTGAGACGGTTTAGCCTCCGCCACAGGCGGAACCGTATACACCGGGCCCGGGTGTCATTTTGCAGAACGAGTCCTTTGTGTTTGCGCTGAGAGCGGCGCCGAGCGTGCTCTACAGCCGCTTCAAGGCATACGGCCAGGTACGCAGTCCCACTTCATTCATCCCAGCACACCACTTACACACATACACGCGTCCACCAGCTCGGCGTCCTCGCCTGGTGCTCCGAATTCGCAGAGCTGATCGACAACCTCAAAGAGTGCGGCTTCAAGGGAAACATGTTCCTCACGACGCGGCAGCAGGCGCTCGCGACGTGCGCGGACATCCTCCGGCTGCGGCTCGACGTGCGGATGCAGATCGTCGTGCTCTACCTCTCGTCGCAGGTCGCGCGCCTGCGCCGGTTCCTCGACGGCGGCGAGCACCTGTGGGACGACTATCCGACGCCGGACTTTCCGCTCGACTATCGGGACTATCGCGCGCATGTGGTTGCGTAATCGCTTGGTGTTGTAGTTTTGTTGTTGTACTGCTCGTTGTAGTTTTGCTGTTGTTCTGACACTCGCTATCTTTTGCTGTTCGTCCCTTCTGTTCCATTGTGTTTTCGTTTCTTCCACCGTACATATCCCGCACTGTATCACCATCAACCGCATCGCACCGCAATATACTTATCGCACATGCAACGAGAAAGAGCGAACATCCAATTCCAGTTTATCATCCTAAACGAGAGAAATAAGAGGTGGTGGTGGTGGTGGTGGTGGTAATGCCCTCGCTATCACAGGTTCACTACAAAAGCAACGCTCGCAGTAGCAGCTGGGTGAACAAATACAGAGCAACGTCTCGTATCAGAGTCCTGGCGATGGTCGGCGGCGGTAACGGCGGTGGTGAATGAATAACACCGCAGTGGAAATATAACGTCGTAAAACAAACAAACAGAAGAGAAAAAAAGCAGAGTTTTTCGTAACATCCCGAGCCCAAAAAGCAGCACTGATAGCAGCAGCAGCAGAAAAAGAAAACGAAAGACGTAAATGGGAATTTGAAACCGTCGTAAAGTGTGGTCGTGACAAGAGAATGCAGAGTGAGTAGGTAGGGTAGGTAGGTAAGGCTGCTGTGTCTAAGTTAATGTCATAAATTGTAAGTAGCTAGTTGAGTGGGTAGGTAGGGGTAGCGTGGGTGGGGTTTGCGGGGGTATGATGCACAGTACGTCGAGAACAAGAAATACTCAGTGCGTGGTCACGCTAGCGTGCTTGGTCCAGTACTCAGACGCAGATCCGCTGTAGTCCGGTAGCGGCGCGGCCTGGTAGTTCGACTCGCGCGGCGGGGGCGGGAGGGGGTTGCGCGGGGGCGGGGAGCCCGACGTGCCGCCCGAGGTAGTGGTGGGGGACGCGGCGGCGGCAGCGGTGTCCTTGGAGGGAAAAACGAACGAGCTGGGAAGCGACGTGAACTCGGGGCGCGACGCGTGCTGTTGCTGCTGTTGCTGGTAGTGCTGCTGCGGCAGCTGTCCAGGGGGCGACGTCGCGGCATAGATAATCGGGGGCGGGGCAGACGGCATGTTCGCGTAAAACATGTTAGCGGGGATAGCGTGCGCCTGCAGCGGCTGGACAACGTAGGCCGTGTGGTTCGAGCCATGGGCGGTGATGGAGGCGTGGTGGTTGCGGGCGTCGCCGTTGGTCAGTTGGGCGCCGACGACGCTCTGAGGGGAGGCGATCACGGTCGTCTCCGGCTGGCCCTGGTACATGCTGCGGCCCTTCCAGAGGCGGTCCATCTCCCAGTGCTCGCGGGCGCGGAACGCGTTGAGCTCAGAAGCAGGCGGGAGCTCGGACGTGGGCCGGCCCGAGGTGGACATGCGCTCGTGGGTAGACGTCGTGTATACGTTCGACACAGGGCGAGCGGCATGAGCAGAGTCGAGCTGGCTGGAGGCGACGCTGTTCCGAACACCAGATGGGTAGTACGGCTGGAAATCCTCGTCCCGGATCGGGCTGCGCGGCTTCTCCCTGGACGAAGGACCAGCACGCGGCTGAGGCTGGGGCTGGGGAACATCAGCGCCCCGTCCCCTCGAGTACCTGTTGCCATCGTCGGCCGGCGTCTGGTGCGCGCCTTGGCTCGTCACCCGTCGTCGGCTATCCGCAACGTCGTACTGCTCCCGCCTCGACTCCCGCCTACTGTCGCGTTTGCTGTCCCTGTCCCGCTCTCTATACCGCTCCCTGTCTCTGTCCCGCTCCCTTTCCTTCTCCCTCTCCCTCTCCCGCTCCCTCTCCCTGTCTCTGCCTGACTTTGCCCTTTCCCGCTCAGTCCTATCCGACCGTTCCGCCCGCTCACTCCTTTCCCCCCTCTCCCTCTCTGTCCGCTCGCCCCGCTCATAATACCGCTCGCTCCGTTCATAATACCTCTCGCCACGCTCCCGTTCGCGCTCGCGCCTCTCCGACCTCTCAGCCCGCTCAGCCCTATCCGCCCTCTCCTTTTCGCGCTCGCGCTCCCTATCCGCGCGCTCCACCCTCTCATACTTCTCCGCCTTATCCTTCGTCCTCCTCCTCCTCGGCGCATCCGGAGAGTTGCTCACATACGCCTGCGCAGAGACACCATTAGCCACAGGTACCACAGGTGCCGCCGGAGCAGCGGCAGCTCTATCCGACGTCTTGCGCCCCACTCCACGCGACTCCGCCTTCTTCCCCGACGCCGACGCCGACTTTACCAACCGCGCCTCCTCCTGCACGGGTGCCGCCGCCTTCTTCGTCGGCGAGCTCTCCCTGTCCCTGTCCCTGCCCACAACAGACACCCGCTCCCCAGCCCGCTTCGACAGCGTCAAACTCTCCACCTCCCTATCCCTAGGCCCCCCGTTCTCACGCGCGGCCGCCCGCTTACTAGAGGGCGAAATCGCCCTCCCCGGATCGCTCTCACGCGGGGCCACCTTTTCCGCACCCACACCATTGGTAGCGCCAGCACCAGCCCTCGTAGCACTCGTCGCGGCCTTCTCAACAGCCGGCAACTCCACCGTCGGCTCAGTGACACTGTACGGCGTCGGCGGGTTCGCCAAGATCGACGCGCGCGACAGCGGCGAGTCGTCCGCCGTCATCAGCCACGGCGGAGTCGGGCGCGGGTACGCCGATGCAGATCCCGATGGCTGTGCGCTCGAGATCGGCGGAGGATTTACCGCTGGGGGTGGCGATCGGGACGAAGATGGTTGGTTCGGGGGCGATCTTTGTTGCTGTTGGTGCGAAGGCTGTGTCGGCGATGTGGACGACCGAGGTGGGATCTGTACGGGGTGGGTTGGGGGCGGGAAAGCGACAGCGGCGGCAGGGGGCGACTGGACAGCGTTAACGCGCGCGATACCGCGGTGCGGCTGGTCCTGCTGGGGAGGCAGCTTCGGAGGCGGAGGCGGGCCGGGGGTCTGGGCTGTAGACACGCCTTGAGGCGGCGACGCGTCCTCCTGGCCCTCCGAGGCGAGTCGCCTGACTTCTGGAACAGGAACAGGAGAAGGGGCATCGGCGGGCAAAGCCACGTTGTGCTTGACGGGCGTCGGCGCCCCTGAGCTAGGTGCGTCTGGATTGGCGATCCTCAGCTGGCCGATCGGTGAGATCTCGGGCGGGTCAAAGGAGATTAGCGAGTGATGGTCGTCCTTTTCGTCGTCGAGAAAGCGCGATGCTGAGGCTGAAGCCGACGAGGACTCGAGCTCCGCAGCCAGCTCGGGGTCGAGCGCGGGCGGTGGTACGCGTTTTTGTTTCGATGAAACAGCGCTCTTTCTCTTCTCTACCACCTTCTCTGGGTGCTCTGGCGGCGGACGCGGACCGGGCAATATAGAGCGCCGACGGGACCTGCGATCTCCGGCGCGATTGCTGTCGCCGTCGGCGTCGATATTATCTGCGGCTCTTTCGCTGACGACGAAAGCCGGCCCTTGAGTAGGTCGCTGGAAGACACTGAATTTCCTCACCAAACGCCCGAGCACGCTCCCGCGTCGTTCGGCCTTTGTCGTCGTCGACTGGATCGACAGCGCGGCAGAGGACGCGTACGGAGGCACGGTGGGTGCGATGGTGGAGTGGCGCCGGGGCAGGCCGTTCAAGCCGGCATTAGCGGAAGGGGGACCGTCGTCAGCGGGCTGGTTTGATTCCGAGTGAAAGAGGCTTCCGAGCACAGGTTTCCGGCGTTTGCTCAGTTTGCGTGGCACGGTGTGGGCGGTGGGTTCCTGCACCTGGAGATGGAGGGCGGACGTGGACTGGGATAGTGGGGAGGGCGTGACTGTCTTGTGACGGCCTGGAGGGGCGTTTATGCTCGAGAGGCGTGAACGCGAGCCCTGATGATAAAATAAGAGCGAGCATAGTTCAGCGCGGGGTGCGGAGGACGATGAAACACGCGTCGGAGCGCGCGTTCTAAGCGGGAGACATTACCTCTGGGGGGTCTGGGGCGGAGGGGGTGACGGGTGTGCCAGCGTCGTAGGGGGACTGGTGGTGCCATGTGGTGCCCCAGGGATCAGAGACGTCGAGCATGTCGACGTTGTCCTGGGAGGCCTTTCGGCTGCGCGGCTTTGTCGGGTCCGCGATGCGGACCTGAGATGAGCTGGGAGTTGGCAACGGGGTGCTGGATGGAGATCGACTGGGACCGGGTTGATGGCGACCGGGGTCATCTACGCGGTCGCGGTCGTGGACGGAGGCGGCCATGGGGGGGAAGGAGGGGGAGAAGACGGAGGAGGGGCGGTTGTCGGGGTTGCGCTCGGAGGGGGGGATGAGGTGGTGGTTTCTGTACCAGCGAGGGCCTTGGGGGTTGTGGAGGGGGTACTTTATCCTGAAGGAGGACATGTTGGCTGCGGCCATGTCGCTCTCCTTCTTGAACCATGCTGGGAGCTCGCCGAGGGGATCTGGGATGATGGAGCGGGAGGGGAAGGTGAGTACGGGGTCGCGCTGCTGGGGCTCCTGGTCTGTGTCTGGAGGGTCTGCTTGCGAGGACGGGTCTGGGGAGGTGGAATTGCGGCTCTTTCTCCTGGAGCGTCGTGGCCATAATGAGGATGATTGGTTGTCTTCTTTGCTGTTTGATGATGTGCGTGATAATTTGCGCTGGAGGAGAGGCATCTGACGATTTATGGAGACTGGGGGTGTCTCATGAGCGGTGGGAGGAGGGAGGGACTGGCGACGATGGAGGAGGTCTGGCTAGAGAAATGAGGTTATGAGTTGAAGTTAGCCTCGCGTAGACAAGCCACCAACGGGTCAAGCCAACACCCGACCGGATACAATAAACACCCACCTCTCCAACTTTTGCCAGCACACCAATGGCAATCGAATGCCTCAGTCTCGACATCCTCTTTCTCTGTCTGAGATGGGGTTGATAGTGAAGGAGCAGAGGCTGAATTGAACCACCTAATAATACTCTACGCGTGCATCGTCATGTTTCTCATTTCAGCTCCCAATCGGCTCCTTCAAAGTACTGCCTCCGACAAAATCACGCTGATAAGATTATTTACCCCCTGAACAAAAAAAAAATAACATATCGATCATCTCTTTATTTTTCTCCTCTCCCCAGATGACCGCCCGCGTCCTCGTCCTCGGCAGCGGCGGCAGAGAGCACGCCCTCGTCTGGAAGCTCGCACAGTCCCCCGCCGTCGCCCACATTTTTGTCTGCCCGGGCAACGCAGGCACCGCCGCCTCCTCAAAATCATCCAATGTCGACATCTCCCCCTCCGACTTTCCCGCTCTCATCCAGTTCGCCGTGGGCAACAAGGTGGGTGCTGTGAACACCCCCATCCCGCCCTCCTTCCTACGATAAACGTCAGCCCAGATAGATCTCGTCGTCCCAGGCCCGGAGCAGCCCCTCGTCGATGGCGTACACGCCCACTTCAAAAAAGGTGTGTCTCCCACTCATCGCTCATACTCAACACCATGAACTCGTCTCTGCAGTCGGAATCCCCGTCTTCGGGCCGACCGCGCTCGCAGCCCGCATGGAGGGCTCAAAGGCCTTTTCAAAAGACTTTATGCACAGACACAACATCCCCACCGCTCGATACCGCACCTTCCCCGCCTCCCAGTTCGCCGACGCAGAGGCGTACCTCAAAACCGTCGACCACCCCGTCGTCCTCAAAGCGAGCGGGCTCGCAGCCGGCAAAGGCGTCCTCATCCCCGAGACGACCGAGCAGGCCATCGCCGGTCTGCGCGAGATCATGGTCGACAACGTCTTTGGCGACGCCGGTACCTTGCTCCATCCATCCCTATAACCCCCATCCTAACTCCCTTGGCAGGCAACGAAGTCGTCATCGAAGAACACCTCACCGGCCCCGAAATCTCCGTCCTCGCCTTCTCCGACGGCTACACCATCGTCCCCCTCCCCGCCGCCCAGGACCACAAGCGCATCGGCGAGCACGACACCGGCCCCAACACCGGCGGCATGGGCGCCTACGCACCCGCCCCCGTCGCCACCCCCGCGATCATGGACCGCATCATGCGCGAGGCGCTGCGCCCCACGATCGACGGCATGCGGCGGGAGGGCTTTCCGTTTGTGGGGCTGCTGTTTACCGGGTTTATGCTCACGAGCGACGGGCCCAAGGTGCTCGAGTATAATGTCCGCTTCGGCGATCCGGAGACGGAGGCGCTGATGCTGCTGCTCGCGGACAAGGTCGATCTGTATGAGGTGTTGTTGGTAAGATCCATCGTGGCGCGTTGGTGTCTACGATGTGACGTGCTTTGCTAGGCCTGTGCGGAACACCGTCTTGACGCTGTCGACATCGCGATCAAGCCAGGATACGCAGTGTCCGTCGTTCTAGTCTCGGGCGGCTACCCAGGGAGCTATCCCAAAGGCAAAGTCATCACCGTCGGAGACGTGCCCTCTGGTAAGACTCGCTTCCTTTGCTACCCCTCACCTTGCGCTCAGTCATTGACATCCAGACGTGGTCGTCTTCCACGCGGGCACGGCGCTCAAGGGCGCCGACGTCGTCACAGCCGGCGGTCGCGTCATCGCCGTCTCGTCGCACGCGCCCACACTCCAAGACTCCCTCCGCGCGGTCTACGCCGCGATCGAGCAGGTCAACTTTGAAGGCAAAGTCTTCAGACGCGACATCGCCCACCGGTACGCCTCTGCTCGCTGAACTCCGTCAAACTGGCACTCACATACACCACAGCGCGCTCTCAGCCGCAGCCACAAAAGACGCAGCACCAGCCGAGGGGCTCACATACGCCGCCGCAGGCGTCTCCGTCGACGCGGGCAACTCGCTCGTCGACGCGATCAAGCCGTTCGTGCGCTCCACGCGCCGCCCGGGCGCCGACGCCGAGATCGGCGGCTTCGGCGGCGTGTTCGATCTCAAGGCGGCGGGCTACACCGATCCGCTGCTCGTCAGCGGTACGGACGGGGTCGGCACGAAGCTGCGTGTTGCGCTTGAGTCGGGGATACATGATCTCGTCGGTGCGCCTTTGCATACTCTTTCTTGGTATTTTGTTGTGGTGTCTAAGAAATGAACGGCACAGGCATCGACCTCGTCGCGATGTCCGTCAACGATCTGCTCGTGCAGGGCGCGGAGCCGCTCTACTTCCTCGACTACTACGGCTGCAGCAAGCTCGACGTCGCCGTCGCGACCGAGGTCGTACGCGGCATCGCCGAGGGCTGCAGGCGCGCCGGCTGCGCGCTCATCGGGGGCGAGACCGCAGAGATGCCGGGCATGTACCAGGCCGGTGCGTCTCTCCCATCCACCCGACAGCGCGGCGGGGCACTGATCTTCTTTATCTCACTCTCACTCTGCCGTGCGACCTCGAGCAGACGACTACGACCTCGCCGGGTTCGCAGTCGGCGCCGTCGAGCGCCCCCTGCTCCTCCCGCAGCCCGGCATCGCACCAGGCGACGTGCTCCTCGGCATCGCGTCCTCAGGACTCCACTCCAACGGCTTCTCGCTCGTGCGCAAAGTCATCTCGCTCTGCCCCGACCTCTCCTACACCTCCCCGTGCCCCTGGGACCCCCCATCCCCAACCTCAACAACGACAACACTCGGCCGCCACCTCCTCGAGCCCACACGCATCTACATCCCCCAAGTCCTCCCCGCGTGCCGCCTCGGGCTCATCAAAGGCCTCTCGCACATCACCGGCGGCGGCTTCACCGAAAACATCCCGCGCGTTCTGCCCAGCGGCACAGGGTGCACCGTCGACGCAGCCGCGTGGCCCCTGCCCGCTGTGTTCCGCTGGCTCATGCAGCGCGGCAACATCGCGCCCGCGGAGATGGCGCGCACGTTCAACAACGGGATCGGCCTCGTCGCTATCGTCGACAGAGTCAGCGTCGATAGCGTGATACAAGTGCTGCAGCGCGACGAGGGCGCCGCGCGCGTGTACAGGATCGGCGAGGTCACGGCGACGCCGGGTGTCGAGCTCAGGAACTTGGATGCGTGGCGGTGAGCGTCGGCGCGGGCGCGGGCACAGCGAAAGGACACGAAGATGAGCAGAGCAAGCAGGCAGCAATTAGCAGCGGCACCATGTATTAAGTCTTGCGAGACCAATATATGCTATGCAGGAAAACAGTGCGATATTGATGCAAGAGGAATAGACCATAAGAGAGGACGAAAACGAGGACGATGGAGGTGGGATTGAGAGTGAGCGATCATGAATGGGTGAGGGCGTGAGTGCGTGGCACAAATATGCGTGTAAACAGAGAAATAGTGTTGTATGTGTGTGCATGCACTACATCGGGAGAGACCGGGACGACAAGAAAGCAGACATATCATATGGGAGCTCTAAGTATCAGTATCAGTATCAGGCAGGGACAACGTGCGACGGAAACCTGTAATGCGCCAGAGGTGCGAACAACGGAGAAAAAGCCGATGATGAAGCAATCGAAGAGGAAAAAGAAACGAAGAATATATGCAAGCAGAAAAAAGTGGACGACACGTGAAGAGTGAACGGTTTTATAGAAATGTGTAGCGATAAATAAACCTGGAACAGACCGGGATTATACCACGAGACGGCAAAGAGACCGAGAGAAGCGTACATGAGGGCGTGATTAAGACGGGACAGTACGATGATGCCAGTGAGGATAGGTTACCGTGACGGAGCGAGTGAAGGGCCGCCGTTTAGACGGCGACAGAGACTTCTTTTGAGATTTCCGTGCCAGCATTGGCGGCCGCGGCAAAGGAGAGAGGGAGCTTGCTAGTAGGGAGAGCATGAACAGCGGCCGGGAGACCGTTGGACTCAACGTGAACACCGTTGGGCTCGGCAGGTTTCGTTTCGGCGATTTCACTCGGAGGAGTCGTGGCGCGAGTCGACGGCTCACGCGTGCTGGCAGTACTGTCCTTGCCGCGGAAAGCAGTGGCATTTTGCAGAATCTGCGCCGCAGTGGGACCATTGTGACCGTTCACCACCGGCGCGCTACCGTTGACAGAGCTCCTGGAGGGCGGCGTGATCGTGCCCCCAAGAACAGGGAACTCGTCTGCGCTGGGAACCCTTTGCCTCAGCGACTGCCTTTTGTCCACGCGTGCAGCCGGCTTGGGTCCCCTCCTGTTACCGGCGTCAGTCGATTGGGATCGGCTGGACGCAGCGGTTCCGTTCTGGCGCGGTGGACGATTCTGCAATGTTGGTCAGATAGGGTTGGACGTTTGATAAGACAACAAATTTACCTCTTGCGGTTGAACGGCCATTTCAGAGAACTTCTCCTCAATCGTATTCATGCCATTCGGAACCACGTCACGAGGGCGAGGACCTTGCGAAACAGGAGGCGGCGGCCTGTTCATGGGGTTCTCCTGAATAACATGAGGGAACCGACAGTCATCACTGGAGAATCAATCAGCAACATCGTTCAAGTTGAATCAATACTGATTACATACCCATTCCTGCACCTGCCAGACGGGTAGAAGAGACAAGGAGGCTTGCGACCACCGAAAGAACCCCGGCGAGGATGACCACCTCGACGATGGTTCGGGCCCGAACGGAAACCGTGAGCGTGAACAAAACCATCCTGTGGGTGTTGAGATGTTGACTTCAAGGTCGGGTCCGGGTAAGCTGCGCCGCCGGGCGGGGGCGGGTAGGGTGAGACATGGTCCTGACGTATGGGGTAAGGGGGTGCAGTGGTAGGACCGTTGGTATACATCGCCTGAGGAGATTGGGGACCGAGGCCAGCTGACTGGGGGCCGGGGGGAGGAAGGGGTGGCATTTGAAGGGGGTGAGGGGCGTGATACGAGGGAGACGTGGGCGGCATGGGTCCGTATGGGCCTGGCGGTGGCCCACCTGAAGGACTGAACGGAGCTGGCGAGAGAGCGTCCGAGCCTGAGCGTGCGTGACCCATGTGTGGATGTTGTGGTGTTGGTACGTGGGGTGAAGTAGGGGATACAGGGTTCATGTGTGGTGGCACAGAGTGAGGAGGGAAAGAGGGCGGTGGAACAGGGTAATAATTAGGAGCATAGGGCGGTTGGTTCATGGGGTCATAATGTGCGGGATACGGAGCGTGAGGTGGCGGAGGGGGCCCTGAATAATAAGGAGCCTGAGGATGGGCAAACATACAAGAGGAACCATATCTACAGGCAGGGTAGTACCTGCACGGAATCATCCGAGCAATATCCGGAGGAGGCAAGTTGCCAACCGCGTTTTGGTCGGTGGGAGGAAATGGAGGATAGTAAGACGCGCCATCGGGCATGCCTGGAACAGGAGGCATGCCAGGGTAGTAGCCATACTGGAGTGGACCAGGATAATACTGCTTGGACGGGTCTGGGTTGACGTCGTGAGGATAAGCGGGGACGTGACCGTTGAGAGACGCGATTTTGTGCTGAGCATTCGTGAGCAACTCGTGGATGGTAGAATCCATGGTGAGTTGATGAAGGGGTCCATGAGCCGAGGCAACGTTGGGGTCGGCACCTGAAGCGACGCATGTGGGGTTATAAAAGACGCGAAAGGATACAGAAGTTGTATGGCGCACCTCTGTCCAGGAGTGCTCTAACGACTTGGACGTGACCGTTCCTCACGGCCTCCACAAGACAGGTGCTGCCATTCTGATCTGGACGTGGACGTGTGAGACAAACGGATGGAGTTGAAAAATGAAGCGGGGAGGGTGGAATGGACGATGGACGCGATCGGGAGAGGGACGGACCTTTGATCTCTATATCGGCAGGATTAGCAGTTTTGAGGAGGTCAAGGACGGAGTCGAGGTTCCCTTCGGCGCTGGCGGACCAGAGAGCAGACACCATTTCTTCGTGGGTGGGGGAGAGAGGGAGCGTACGGGGCAGTGGGAAAGGAAAGAGAGAGGGTGAGCGGGTGGACAGACGGAGGGGCGACGAGGTCGGGGAAGAGGAGAGAGGAGAAGCAGCTGGGCCGGTCGGACGTGTCTGGCACAAATTCTACTATCGGCATTCGGATGCGCGTTCACCCAACCGCGAAAAAAAACCGTGTGAATGATCTCCCGAGATCCCCTCATGTAAGCATCCTCGCGTGGCCCACCCGGAGTTTACGCTCCCTTTCACCCCGCAACGCCGCTTCTACCCGCTTCCGCCCCTTGTCCAATATTCTCTCTCGAGTCTTTGTCAGTCTGACTCCACCTCTTCTCAACAATTACCCTCATTATCCGAGTGCTCTTACAGTACCGGCCATCTTTGGTTCCTTCAACACATGCACGCTCTCTGCAGTCAATATTACATACAGATCCTGGGTTTATATGAACTCGCGCCGATGGACACGATGGCGCGTGCGAACGCGAGGTACCGACTGACCAAAGGCTGCTGACATTTAATATTTGTCACATTTTCTCTCCGAGCATCTCATTTCCATACCGGGCGCGCCGGTTCATCAAATCTACACAGAATCTAGCAGTAATCTAGCCCAACGGAAGCATCGGCCCATACAGTGACAACACCATGACCTCATAAACACTTCACGTTTGACGCCCCAACTTTGCTAACAGACGACCGGCATGACCGCCGCCAGACGTTTGCGGGAGATCCAGCTCGCGTGAAGGAGGGCGCGCCATCAGCTCGTGCACATTGTCATTGACCGCCTTTCCTGTATGAAACATGAGAATCACACACGTTATCGTGCTATCGAAAGATGAATCAGTACCTTCGTACAGCACTTCGTAGATCTAGCGTAAATCCGGTCAGCATAACCCATACGGCTCTCGAACTCATCGCGGTCATCTCCGCCACTCACCCCGGTCGCAATCGCGGCTTCGACGCCCAGCTCATCGATTATCTTCTTCAGTCCCTTGGCCGTCGTAACACCTTCGGCCACACTCCCGAGCGTCGCGATGATATCCTCCAACTTCTCACCTTTGCCTAGTCGGTATCCTACCGTATAGTTTCGACTCGTCGGCGAACTGCATGTCATGAACAAGTCGCCCACACCCGCAAGACCGAGGAACGTCAACGGGGAGGCACCATAAGCAGTCCCAATCCGCGTCATCTCGGCAAGACCGCGCGTGATTATGGCTGAAACTTGGTCAGCCAACTCCGGCATCCCGCGCTCTGCGACAAACACACACCAGCTCGCGTATTGCTCTCGAAGCCGAGACCATCAGCCATCCCAGCCGCGATGGCATACACGTTTTTCAATGCTCCGGCCAGCTCCAACCCGATAGGGTCTCCGCCGGTATAACTCCATGACAAGTCAAAGCTCAGCTTCATAAACGTGTCGTATGAGAATCGGCTCGTACCACCGGAACCATGGCTGATGGAAGATCTCTGTCGCCCTCTGCGCTTGTGACTCGTCCAGCGATGCGACAGACACGGATGTCGGCTGTCTTCGGACGACTAAAGTAATCTCAGTTGCAATAGGAAAGCAATGGCGCGTGAAAAATACTCGCTCTCTTTTGCAAAGGAAGGGCCGGACTAGAGAAGCAGCGTGTCCATCTCTTTGTACATGTGCCAAGAATAGGAACGTACTATGAAGGTCGCGCGTGTCGCGATCTCAGGACCGCACGTGTCCGCGATGATTTCCAGCGTGAGCGCCTGAGTGTCCGTCTCGATACCTTTGTTAACGAAGATCAGGAGGGGTTGCCGGTCTAGTATGAGGTTAGGTCGGAGCTTGATCAAGTTTTCTCTACAAAGGCAGATATAGTCAGTTGAAGAGGTCTTGCACGGCTCCGTCCAGGCTACTTCAACACACCTAAGTGCTTGAGTGGGTATGGCAAAAAGAATAACATCCATGTCCTTGATAAAGTCGGCATCTGGTATGTCAGGACCAACGGCATGGATGTTGCCCGAAAACTCATGGTCCTTGAGATAGTCGGGGTTGCGGTGGTGAGCATTGAAATAGTCGACAAACTCTTGCTTGCGCGACCAGAGATAGACTTGGTGCTCAGAGTCGCCGAGATGGTCAGCGAGGCAGCTACCAAAGTTCCCACTCCCGAGAACTAGGACTTTGGATTTTGGACAAGGGCTTCTGGGAGGCGAGAGCATAGTGAGGGTTGGGTACTTGACGCGACTGCTTATCGAGCGAGCTGGTAGAAATGGCGTTAATGGAGACGATGGTGGTGGTGCAAAGGAGCGTCGAGGACCAAGGCAGGAGTAGACACGGGCACCCCAGCAACGCGTAACACTGGGGAGGACTTGCAATTGGGCTGGGGGAGACGTAAAGCGGGAGAGCATCCGATAGCGTGTACGCACGTGCAGCCGTTGAAGCAAGCAGGATTCCAATACCGGTTGTCTTGACATGAACATGTTGACAGGTTGAAATCGCCTGGAGCTTTGTAGTGAGAACAGTAATGGTCCTACTTACTTACTGTTAGGAGCCCAGACGCAGAACCCGATAACTACCACCACCAACGGCTTGCTAGAGCTAATAGCTTTATTGTAACGTTCGTTGCAAGGATAGCCGCAAATCCGGCAAGTAGAAGGCTCGACGTAATTGACGTCCAAACAAGGGCAAGGGCATATTGGTCCACCGCCTTCTCGGCAGTTGCCGCACTATCCCTCCACGCACACTCTCTGGAAATCTCACTCTCCTTCCCCTAGACACTGATATTTATTACCACTATATTGCCATAAACCCACCTTTAACAAACCTTAACAACGTCAAAACCATATGGCTATCCAGGATAGGACAAACGAGTTCAGGTCGTGCGTCGAGTCGATCCGCAACAGGTCCGCTGTCCCTCGCAATGCCGAAGCCAAGCAACGGCTCTTGCAGTCCAGCGGTAAACCTAGCTCCAAGAGCGACTTCTCGCGCATGGCATCCTCGATTGCGAAGGATATCAGCAGTACCACTATCAAGCTCGGAAAACTCGCTCAGCGTACGTCCCTCCGACTCGACTCCCCCCGCGTTGCTTGACTTTGTGCAGTGGCTAAGCGCAAGACCCTGTTTGATGACCGACCTGTGGAAATAAGCGTACGCGAAATCATAAAGTCTATGGGGAAGAACGCTGGCTGACCCGCACGACGCTCAGGAACTCACGTTTATCATCAAGCAAGATATTGCTGGTATCAACAAACAGATAGCGGCCCTCCAGTCGTATGTGAAACAGCGGAACGGACAGGGCACAAAGTCTGGAGAGGGAAAACAGGTAGAAGAACACAACCACAACGTCGTCATGATGCTCCAGAGCAAACTCGCAAATACCAGTATGAGTTTCAAGGACGTTTTGGAGGTTCGGACACAGGTGAGTGGCTGCTGCTGCGCAATGCGGGAGGAGCTAAGCTTATTGTTCCTGACCGGTCCGGCGCCAATTAGAATATGAAGGAGTCGAAGGATCGCACGGAGAAATTCATGTCGTCAACTGCCGCTGCGGCGCACCAGACTCCTCCAAGTACGCAGTCTGCTTAGCCTTTCTGTGTCTATGCATCTGACACAGGAGTCAAGATTCATTCCTGCTCGGCAGTCGACAGGACGGAGCGACCGACAGTGCTCTTTCTCGGCCAAGCTCCAAGGGCAAGGGCCGCGCGCCCCAGGATGGGGATGTTCTCGCACTGGACTTGGGTTCGGCGGAGGAAGGCATGTCTGATGGTCACGGCGGCGGCGCCTTCATGCAGATGGAAATGATGGAGCAACAGGTGCGACAGCCGTTCTATGCAAAGCTGCAGCGTAACTGATTGCTAGCGCAGGACTCGTACATTCAATCACGGTCCACCGCCATTGAATCCATCGAGTCGACAATTGGAGAGCTCGGGCAAATCTTCACTCAACTCGCCACCATGGTCGCAGAGCAACGGGAAACCGTCCAACGCATCGATGCCGATACCGTTGACATTGCATCGAATGTCGGGGGAGCTCAACGCGAATTATTGAAATACTATGCAAGCATATCAAGTAACCGCTGGCTGATGCTCAAAGTCTTTGGAGTACTGATAGTCTTTGTAAGCCCCAGCCGTGTTCCGTTTGGCCAACCCCACTCACGGGCTTTTGCAGTTCCTTGTTTTCATTCTTGTATCATGAGCACGGACGCCAACTGTGTTTGGCACCATATATGGACCATTTCTTAGAATATACGGATTTTATAATTCAACCCGCGAGGACACAAGTATTGTGCTGCAGGTGAGGACGCAAGTATTGAACTAGCCAACGGGTATCGCATTCGTGCCTGTACTAAAGTTCTTGGGCCTTGGACGGCGCTTGGCATGCTTTTTGCCTCCACGGTGAGTCTCTGTCTCCTCCACTTCGCCCACAGTCCATGTCCGTTTTTCTGCTGGTGCAGCCATCACGCCGGAGGTCGCGGACTGCCTCTCGGCGCCACGAGACGGTGCAACCTCCTTTTTCTCTCCTGCGTCTGGTTTTGTAGTCCGTTTGCGCTACAGCCGAAGAGACATGAAGACGACGGCTAAACAATCGTAAAGAGACACCACCTACCCTCTGAGTGTCTAGTCCCTTGTTACGCTCCTTCAGCTTGTTCAGCCGCGTCTCGCTCTTCCCTCCTCCCCCAGCGGTAAGCTCAACGTTGACCTTGCGCCCATCTAGCGTGGAGTGATGCAGTTTGATTCCCTGCTGAAGTGCGTTCTGATGCTTGAACTCGAGAAATGCGCATCCTTTTGATTTTGTGGGTCCCGCAGTCGCAGATTTGTGGGGTGCCTTCTTGGGCGTAAGGAGACGTATGGTTGGTGGTGGATCTAGGATGCTTCAATGTCGATCATAATATAGACGGTCATGAGATACACACCACATGCGCTGAAATGAGCCTGGATTGCCTCGAGTGAAGTGGTATATTTAAGGTTCCCTGTAATGGTTATAATGATCAACGGAACCGTGCTAGTGGTAGCAGACGCACCCAAGAAAAGTATATAGCGTCGTGCTGAGCTCGATTTCTTTGCACCATCCTCCTCGCCCTCCAGTGCCTCGCCCGTGTCCCCCTTCCTCCGTTTACTCTTGGGCTTGATTTCTGCATCTCCAGCAGGTTTCACGTCCTCGCCATCGTTCTCTACCTCCGTAGCTGCTTCTCGTTTTCTCTTAGTCCGTCCCGGGGCACCTTCGCCTGCAGCAGCCACCTCTGGCTTCGCCTTTTCCTTCCCCTTTCCTTTACTCTTTGAGCCCTCCTTTACCCCAGCGTCCACTCTTTCCGACTTTTCTTCCACACCATCCTCCTCCCCAGCTACCTCCGCCATGTCCTGATCCTCGGCAATAGGCACATCACGTCCCTCTCCCTCTTCAAAGTCAGCCGACTTTTTCTTGCCGCCAGTCTTGCGGTTGCGAAAGGCAACACCCTTCTTCTGTTTCTTCGTAAGCTTGGATGCCGTAGACATCGTAGTCTACGCAGCGAGATCGAGGACTGCAGGACAGTGGGCGGAGTGGCCACGGTACAAAGGCACGTTTCGGTTTAGGAGCCTTTTCCGATCAAAGATTGAGAATTCCTCCGCGTGCAAAACGACATGATGACCATGTGACCCAGTGTGCAAGTATATCATTATTGCGGGAAATAATATAATATGCCATGAAAGTATGCTAGTACCAGTTATCAAGATGCAAAAATGTAGAAGAACCCAAAGGGAGAGACGAAATGTCAATTGTTCAGTGTGAGACCATTGACACCCTCGCCTGCCCCGTCAACCTCTCGTTCTTCGCCGTCTGGGCGTCTCGTCCTCGGTATGGGTCGCAAGATCGGGCTCGACAGGCCTATGCTAGGCCGTAGGATCGGGCTGGAGGTCACACTCATCGGCCCGAAGCTCATTTGTCTAGTACCAGCCATGCTGAGTGAGTACGAAGATGAGATCGTGGGAGAGGAAGTGCCAGAGCTCATGCTAGACGCTGGCATGGAGAGTGGAATAGGTACCGGTGGTCGATTATTCGGCGTACGGGGGTAAGAGGCGAGGTTTGAGTACGAGTCTCGGAGGTGTGCCACCGAAGGTGAGACAGCGCGACGTTTGGCCGCGGTTGGATATGGGTCGTAGCGTTCATCGACTGGAAGTACGTATCGTTGAGAGATGTACTTTCGCTCAGTAAATAATGCGCTTACATTTTCGCTTATTCGACCGTACAGCGCTTGTTGTCGGTGGAGGTGTATATCGCCAATAACTCATTGACATTGGTGTAGACATCACCGATGGTGAGGCGAGGGGCTGATACGTTTTGCTCAGCACAAGCCCAGCATAATTAACAAACAGACATACAGCATCAATGTCCATTGCTCCTATGATCGGACTGCCAGCTATTGACATGTTCATGTCGTCCCCGTTCACACTCGGAGCCGGAGTGCAAGGTTTCAATATGTTGATAGGCTCGGACGGCCCTTCGTAGGCGAACACGGAGTTTAACCCTTCAACTTCATCATCACTGGGCGTGTCCTCACGCTGTGATTCTTCGTGGCCTGCCTCTTCAGGGTATCTGCCACGATCCGATGGCGCCCGGGGTGTCCGAGGTTGCATGGGAAGTCCAGGATAGGAGGCAATGAGCCGCTGGAACGCGGCTTCCGATTGGACTTCATTGTCTTCTGGGCGTGATTCTGTTTGCAAGCTGAGAAGGCGGGAAGGTTTAGGCTGGATATGGCGCCTGTTAGCGAAGTTCAGAACATGAAGACTTGTTAACTGACCGGAAATGAAACCAACCGAGGTCGAGCAGTACCGGGTGTTTCAAGGTCTGGGTCAAGTAATTTGGACCCCGTCCGTCCGCGATTCGGTGGAGGTGTACTGGGCAACGTCAGATTAATTTGGCTCTGTCGGCCATCGTTCGATTCTTCCTCGTCTACGGGCACGATAGGGGGTGTCGGGTTGCCTGAGCTACTTGACGGTGAACTCTCACTCCACATTCGCTCCTTGTCGCTTTCGGACTCTTCGCCATAAAATTGTGAACCCCGACGAGAAGCTGTGAAGGATATAGCTAACGGACTGTGTATGGGTTTATCCCCGAACGGGGCATTCTTCGTGGTCAAAGCTGGTCGACGGAGACGCAGTAGTAGACGACGCTGGGAATCTTCCGTGCTTTCACTAGAGTTCGAAGAAGGTCCTGGAAGAGCAAAGTCGGAGGCAGACGTTGGGAATGATAGTCTTCGAGACCCTGAGGAAGATGGTTCTTCAGCCATGGTAAGAGGAAACTAAGGGGTAGTCTTGGGGAATGTCTCTGACGTCGATCATGGAAGTTGGCATTGTCCCGGTGCGTGAAATCGGCAAATGCCGCACAACGTTGTACTGGTATTATTAGGGTAAGTGACAACAGCAATAAGCGCTCTATGTAAACCGCTGATATAACAACAGGGACAGCAAGTGTCTTCCAAGAATCTGGTCCTGCTTCTATGTTCATACAACGATATTGAGTACGAAGTTCAAGGACGTTTTTGTTGCACCAAGCAAAAGACCTAGTGAACGTCAAGGCATCGCGGAAGGTTCCCAACAGAAACAGGACGTACCCAATGTGGCTAAACTGCTCACTCGTGCACCACGCACCCTCTGGACAACCATTAGCTTTGAGTTAACCAAATGTTAAGTTTAGTAACCTTCAACGGCTCCTTCATGTACCCAAGCGTATAAAATACCCTCGACAGGGCAAAGATCTCGCACAACATAGCAGCAACGACCGGATGGTCAATGCCCATGATGATCGTGCTAAATGGTATCTCATGTTAGGTCAATGAAGGTTGAGACACAGAAGATACTCGCCTCATGAGGATGACTGGAAGCACTTCCAGTGTATTTTGATGAGCCCCTGTAAGTGCTCAGTCAGAACAGGACATTGTCAATGAACGCGACTAACGATTGGCACAGTTGAAAACATAAGCAGTCTTGGAGTTATCTGCCTCTGCTTTTTCGGCGTACACTACAAAGAAGATGAGGGCGGTTAATAGACCTCACTCGGGTCTTCGCCTTACTTTGAGGATACTGAACGCCGGCCATCTTCCGCTTGTACTCTACCAAGCAAGTCTGCCATGCAAGTACCCAACAAAGAGTCATGAAAGGGATCATGATATATCCAAAGCTATGAGACATGATGCATAGTAAGTTAAGTTGCGTGGTCACAGTAATAGAGTGGGGTCCTACCCTTCCGGGATGGAAACGACGTGAGCCATGAATTAAGTGTGGGTGATACAGGGACTCGAAGTTGGGATAAAGCTTTGAAGGATCAATTAGGCGCGATGCAGTAGGCCTTTTAACGACCAAAAATTTGCATCATTAAAGCAGCATTGCAGATATCCTCGCCTCAGGCTCTGCGCGCGTTAGATAGCATACACCTTACTAGCCGAACGGAGCATGGATCTCCTTCAGAAGTAGGCCGCCAGAGACAAGGCAGAGAGGGCGAACAGTCGATCGTGGGTTATGGGCGAGAAAAATAGTTGATTGGACCAATGGGCAGACCAACGTGCGATACATCGAGGCAGACGCACTCCGATGGACGTCAAGACCAAGCTGAAAGATCAAAGGGCAGGCTCAACTCTCGTCGCGCGTCACACCTCCGGCCCGGAAAGGGATAAGGAAGGTGTCGAAAAAAGTTTGGCGAAGTCAGGGTCCGGCGCGTTTAGATCTGAGTTATTCGCAGCGAGAAACTATTATCTCTGAACACTGCCTTTTAGATCAACACGCCTTAAACCTAGCCATGGCAAAACGCACGGCGGCAGATCTTCAGTCTACATCATCACAAGGTCAGGCGTTCCAGAAGACAACAGCAGCAGGCGCAAAACGCGATGGCATCGACGTCAATGATATGGGCGAGTTTGAGGATGCTTGGGAGGACGAGATCGAGAGCGACGAGGAGGTGGTCGATGCAGAGGCAGAGGACAGGGAGGATGGTGCAGTAAATGATAATCTTTCTGGCTATGCCGTCCTAACCGACAGCTAGGAATGGATGTGGACGAGGTGATGCCGGCCATTGAGGAATCGGACGAGCCACCATCAGCACCACAGGTCTACATTCCTGGCCAGCACACGCTAGGGGAAGATGAAGTTCTCGAGGCAGACGACTCGGTGTATATCATGCGCCACGCGATGAATGTGACCTGGCCATGTCTATCGTTTGACATACTTCGCGACAGTCTGGGGGATGAGCGGCAGCGCTATCCCGCTACTGCCTACGTTGTAGCCGGCTCCCAGGCGGAAACGGCAAGCAAAAACGAACTAACTGTCTACAAAATGTCTTCGCTTCATAAGACGCAAAGAGACGGGGGTAAGCCCACACCATCTTCATAAGCTATGGACTGACAGAATGATTCGCTGTAGATGATGCGGACTCAGAAGACGAAGATGACGACGACAACCTTGACGAGGATGCAATTCTGGAATTCAGATCGGTACCCCACCAGGGCGGCGTGAATCGCGTCCGAGCTCAACCACTGCCTCCCAATCATCCTTTGCCTCCTGTCTCCCAGCCGTATCTTACGGCATCTTGGGCCGATACGGGCAAGGTGCACATCTGGGATGTACGACCTTTGATCGAATCGCTCGATTCACCAGGCTATGCTCTAGATAAATCACGAACGAGCAAACCGCTGTATACCATCAACTCGCATGGCAGAGCGGAGGGCTTTGCGATGGACTGGGCATCGTCAGAAGGCAGCGCTTCGTCGCTGCGCCTGCTTACCGGAGACGTCCACTCCAAGATTTTCCTAACAACTGTCACTCCGTCGGGCTTCAACCCTCTTTCCCAGCCATTCCTCTCGCATACATCTAGCATAGAGGATATCCAATGGAGCCCTTCTGAACCTACCGTTTTCGCTTCGTGTTCTGCCGACCGCACCGTGCAAGTATGGGATGTACGGAGTAGAGGGCGGCAGAGTGTCGCTGGCATAGATCCTGCCCACGAAGCGGACGTGAACGTGATCAGCTGGAACAAAAGAACAGATTACCTCCTGCTTAGTGGAGGCGATGAGGGAGGTATCAGGGTTTGGGACCTGCGGAACGTCAAGAAGAAAGGGTAACTTCTATACCTGCATTGGTTGCGCGATAGTCACTGACATACATGCATGGAACACTAGCACGTCGGCTTCTGCACCGACTCCAGTCGCGTCGTTCTCTTGGCACCAACAGCCTATCACATCAATAGAATGGCACCCGACAGAGGATTCGATATTCGTCGCCTCCAGTGCAGACAACCAGGTGACGCTTTGGGACCTGGGTGTAGAACAAGACGAGGAGACGGAGATGGACGCAAGCGACGGCACGCGCGAAGTCCCGCCTCAGCTTCTTTTCAGCCACCAAGGGCAAAAAGACGTCAAAGAGGCGCACTGGCATCCTCAGATTCCTGGAACCGTCGTCAGCACAGCACTGGATGGATTCAACGTCTTCAAGACTATTTCCGTCTAGAAAAGTATACTATGCGTTATATGGACCGTAATGTAGATCTGGGCACCGAAGATGTGTGCACGGTTTGTTGTCATGACGTGCGGAATGCAAGATGAGTGGAGGTAAACTGCGTTTCACGAGTAAAATGTCAAGACGGAGAATGCGATCAAGCATTAGGCAGTTAGTAAAGACTAGCGCCATTGTTGCCTTTGGGTGCACGAATCTAAACTCATGGTCAAGATGGCTATCTCCGGCCAATCGTGAAGCGAACGGACCTTGGCAATGTTTTTGTGCAGGATGTCGGCCATCACAGCGTAGACGTTGCGAAGGTCCTTTATGTTCTGACGAGCGAAGAACAACTGTTTCTCGTCGTGCTCCCGTAGGCCAAGCTTAGGCCATTATCAGTGAGTTGCTGTCACACGTCAAGCAGTCATCGTACCGCGTAGTCTTCGACATTCGGATATTTGATCAATTTTGAGCATATTTTCGCGCGAGCCAGATGGTCTTGGCGGACAGCATCACGAATATTGTATGCACTTTCTTGAGAGCGCATGAGCTCAGTTAGGACCTCTGCCACAGTGTGTCAGCGTGATCAACGTCTTGAGTATGGACGAAGCTTACCCTCCTGGATTTGAACACCTAAAGAAGGCGGTGATATACAATTCCTGAACGAGTTGTTTTACACGCTTACCAAAGTTATCTCCACTGAAGAATTGTGGGCATGATTAGCGCAGAGGCAATTACACGAACTGATTCTCCTACTCTTCGATCCTGCCAACAAGGTCAGCATAAGTGCGTGCTACATTGACCTAAATAAATCTCACTTGGGCATCGTAATATTGATCCATAGCTTGACTTTATCCTATGACAGCAAGTGAATTCAAGCAGAACGACTTCTGGGCGTCACTTACGCATGAATCGGCCAGTTGTTCGCATTCGTCCTTCAAGTACTGACGCAAACCCGTAATGTGGCGGTTGGCGTGAACAACGCTGGGGTACCGTGCGTTGACGATGTCGTTTAGAGTCGTGCTTGAACCGTCATCCGACTCCGACCTCTTCCGTTTCTTGACCTCAGCGCCGTCTGTGCGAGTTGGAGCGGGGTGGACGGTAGCATCGGTCGAAGTCGAGGCATGGGAGATGTGGAAGGGGGAGTCTGGTGAGCTTGTAGAATCAATCTTCGCACTCAGTTCGCTAAAAAGAGGTCAGATATACTGTAGCGAGGTATAATCGCGTAAAGCGCCGTACATTATCTGACGTACGAGACGATATATTAGCAAAGATTCATCTCCACAGGATGGGCGCTCTCACCTTGCTGGGAAATATGCGGAAGATGATGTCCTCAGCTGCTGTAGCGACAGAACCCCGGAAAGACTACGTCGTGTGAGATTGTGCATGTGTCAAAAGCGAACATAGAATACCTCTAATTTGCGCGATATGTCACGGTCCATTTCTTTCGCCATGGTTGTCAGCGGCGACTTTACGCAAGTGTCCAAGAAAGGGCCCGAGTCCGCGCTAGGTACTTGTGCGGTCACGCCGATTGCCTTTTTAGGGGCTTTCATCCCTTACTTAAGGGCCCCCAGCACGGCGGGCAGGACACGCGCCGAGACGCCCTAGAGTGCGCGCATTCGACAATGGCTCACCAGGCAAGTGATTTTGGACAGCATTGGTCTATTGACTATAATTTATACTATAGGAGGAAAACGATGTTATCTCGACTTTGACAGGTTTCTCTCTGGACAATGTGCTCGCCGGCTTGTCTCTCCCTACAGGCACGGGCCGGCTACCAAGCAGTCTTGGGATCTCAGGTCTTCCATCCTTGGACGCGTCGCAGATATATAGCGAAAGATGGGACGACGACGATGCAGTAGGGGCTGGAGAAGGGGAGGATTACGAGGATGAGGTGGACAGGGAAATGCAAGATGAGGATCCGTACGAGTCAGCGGTCAAGATGGAGGTCCAGTCTCCGATTAGCCTTCGACCAAAGCAGAGGCGTACGCGTCTAGTGAAACGTCTCGTGGAAAGACCGAAAACGGTGTACGAGCGATTCCCTGCGTTCGAAAAGGACAAGGTCCTCAACTTCTCCGAGCTCTTCAAAGGATACACCGTCACCAAGTCTCGGCTTTCGAAGCGAGCCCTCCAGGGTAAGTCTTATGTCCCCTTAACCTGTCAAAGGTTGTCGTGATGATATTCACCTGTACCAGCTGAAAGTGTATACGCGAAGAAACGAGAAGCACCCAAGGGTTTCCTTGACGCAATTGTCGGTGACACCAGGCGACAGGTTGAGAACAAACGGGTGGAGGCAGTGGTATCAGCTGGGAGCATAGATAATGACCTGCTTAAAACACTGCAGGTGAGTCTGTCCATTGTCATGCCAGTGGTAATCTTAACGAACAGGCTCGGGAGAACTCTGACGTTCCTGTCACGCTTCCCCTTCATGACCGCAGCTTCGACCTTGTCCTCTTATCCAATTGGGAAGACCAGATCGTCATTCACCCTGAGAATGCATTCCCTTCTCACAAACTCGAAGACAACAACCTCACGATGCCAGTCAACAAGTCCTTGGAGTCTGGCGCATGGACTCAGAGTATCATATGGAATCCAAACGCACCATTCAGGGATTTCACACAACTTGAGCTCGATCACGAAGAGGACGAGTACCCTGAAGAACGACCTCAAGGTATTGATTTGTGCTCGAGGAAGCCTAACGAGGCGCTGATTCATGTCTAGAAACTGCGCGGCCGCGGAAGCGTTTCCGTGCTGAAGGTGCTCCGTCCAGAGACAAGTTCAATTTGTCCAACGATCACTTCTATGAAGTTTCCAAGGACGGCGCCCGCCACCGGGTTCGGCAGACATTCGGTCAGCTCGTGGTCGAGCACGCCTACCCTGCTCAGAAGTTGCAACTGCCCTTTGTAGGTAGTATCGTAGGCATCTGTGACACTATACTCATCTCTTCCTCCAGTACAAGACACGTGTTTCGAAGCAGGAAGCCCGTGCATTCCACCGTCCTGCCTTACAATTCCCTGTCAACTTTGAAATTCACTTTACGAAGGTTCGTACTGCCAAGAAGAAGAAGGACAAAGCTGGTCGCAAAGTGGGCAAAGGTGGTAATATTGGCGAAGGACTGCGGAAAACAAATGATCTCACCTTAAAAGACACAAGCAACTTTGTCCTTTGGGAGTACTCTGTGAGTTGGGATGCACTTTCCTTTAAACATTGGCTAATCAACAACAGGAAGAGCATCCTCCAATCATACAAAACTTCGGAATGGGCAGTATCCTTGTCAACTATTATCGCAAGAAAGATGAGAAAGACGAGCATATCCCCAAAGTACGCTGGTAGTTTGCATCACCCAGACCTTGGTTCACCTCTTTTGGCAGCTGGACCTCGGCGTTCCATTTGTTCTTGAGCCTCAAGACGAGTCCCCCTTTATGAAGTTTGGTTATGTCTACCCCGGACAGACTTTTCCAGCGGTATACAACAACCTAATCCGAGCGCCATTGTTCCGACACAAGCCTTACCAGACTGATTTCCTTTGCGTGAGGTACGCTCAGTCTGTAACAATGGCGTATGACTTGTGACTGACAGTCTTCCAGGAGTACAATCAGAGGCGAAACTAGATACCACTTGCGAGAGATCAAGAACCTTTTCGTCGTTGGCCAAAGCTACCCAGTCACCGAAGTACCGGGTCCTCATTCACGAAAGATCACGAACACCATCAAACATCGTCTACAAATCATTGCTTTCAAGTTGCTCAAGAAGAGCTATGAGGAGCGCCTCAAAATCTCTCGGTTGATGAAATACTTCCCGGATCAAAATGAGCTACAGATGCGCCAGCGGCTCAAGGAGTTCATGGAGTACCACCGACGGGGTATTCATCAAGGGTTCTGGAGGCTGAAGTCAGGCATTACCATTCCGAGCGACGCCGACATGCTCAAAATGGTCGGGCCAGAACAGGTGGTCCTCATGGAGAGCATGCAAGTTGGACAGCGTCATCTCCAAGATGCTGGGTACACACAAACGGCCGAGCAGGAAAAGGATGCGGACGAGGAGGGTGAATCGAAGCTCTCGGTAGAGCAACAACTCGCGCCCTGGATTACGACGAAGAACTTCTTGTTTGCGACGCAGGCCAAGGCCATGCTTCGTCTGCATGGTGAAGGTGATCCTACGGGTAGAGGAGAGGCATTCAGCTTCATCCGAATATCTATGAAGGATATCTTTGTGAAGGCGGGAGAGGATTATGAGCAGAAACTAGGTGCGTTGGTTCCAAACATCAAAAATTTACATGAGCTGACGCTGCATCATAGCCGAGGCGGAAAATCGGCCAAAGTCTGCTCATAGATACAACGTTGCTGAGCAGCAGCAGATCTACAAGTCCGAAATCGAACGCATTTGGAAAGCGCAGTTTGACTCGCTGAGCCGGACGGATGAACCAGAGCTCAGTGAGGAAGACGAGCCAGTTCCAGATCCCAAGAAGTCAATGCAACGGCAACCTTCACTAAAGTTCGAGGGCATGCCTTATTCGCCAGCAATGTCCCCCGTTACGCCCGGTCCCATGTCCCCTTCGTTCAGTCGAGCTTCCTCTGTTGATCACGACCGAGAGATGAGCATGGGCCCGAACGACAGCCGCAAAGTGCTTCGCATTCGCCGACTGGTGCGGTCCCCCACCTTCGCAAAACACCGGGGTGCACGTTCGTACTGACGTGAACGATGCACAGGTTGATGACGAGTGGCAAATGGAGATCATTCGCGATCCTGCGGTCATACGCGCGTATGTTCGCGCAAGGCAGCTTCTCGAGGAAGAGCAGACGCTCGCAGACAATCTCGCGCCCACGGGCGATGCTTTCAAGGACAAACGTTACAAGAAGATGTGAGTTATCCAATGCATATCTTATCGCTGTTGCTAACGAAGGCGCGAATGGTTAGGCTCGAGGATCAGATAGCGCGCATGAAGAAGAACCAAGAACGCCGTCTTCATCGCAAGAACGCGAAGATTGTCAAGGAAGGAGGGACACCAATGCAACTAGACCGGCCGCTGAAACCGGACACTACGGTATGTAGACCTATGCATTCTCTCTGTCTGGGCCTTTCCTTGCTCGGCTTTCGTTATCACTAACTCTATTCAACAACGATGCGATAACAGAGACGCTGCGGTCACTGTGGCCAAATGGGTCATATGAGTAAGTTATGGTTTCCACTACCAATCTCCCCAAGATCTGTGCGCTCAGTCAATGTCCCAAACGCCCACAGAGACCAACCGGAAGTGTCCGAGATGGGCTGAGTTCAACAGCGGTGCAACCCCTTTACCCGCGACGCCGGCATCTGCCACAAGTCCACCGCCGGGCACACCCATGTCCAACATGGGCGGGTTCAGCCGACAGGGACCGTCATTTGGGTTTGGAGCGGCTGTGCCTTCCCCTCTGGCAACGAGCCCACCCATGACCGCCGTCGGAGAGGACCCGCTGCCTCCAACACCATCTGGATCTGCACCCAAGATCAAACTCACGCTCAAACGCACATGATGAGAGATGAATGCAATTTGCTATGTATGCGCCAGTATAAGCCGATGTATTATGTTACAGTATCCACACACATGCTTAATGTTAATGTTCGCTATAACTTACAGTTGAAATGAATGAATCGAGAGCAAGTCCGAGAATGCCGAAAGAGATAAACGGAAACCAAGCTAAACTACGCCGCAGCCATCTCAACGTCCAGTGACCGTGGAATGGGCGCCGGAGGCGGACGCGATCCATACCGCTGCTTGAAGTCCTGGTTGATCTTGACAAGCAGATCCCGGATGAGCTCGGCGTGCTTGCGCCGCTCAGACGGCGATATCTCCTTTGTTCTGTGTTCGAGTTCTATCTGGCCCACCTTGCGCGCGAGGTCATCGCCCTCTACAGCCATAGCAACCGAGCGAAGGCTGGGGAGGATCATGTCCGCCGAGGAAGGTGATGACCGTGTGGAGCTAGGCGTGGTGCCACGAGAAGAGGCACTCGACCGCGGCGAAGACGAGGGCGACGTAGAACGGTACATCTCGGAAATGGGAGGCAGCCTGATACGGCCGGTTTCGTCTCTCTTGACGCTGAGCGTCGGCAGCTTGAAGTCGCTGTCCTCCAAAGACGGGTAAAGCTTGGTCGAGGACGACTCGAGCGAGAAGCTCTGCAGTGCTGCCGGAGGACCGCGTTCCACGACTTTCCGCAGCTTGGGTTCCACTGGAGCCGGTGGCTTGGTAGACGCACCCATCTGGAGCGGGACCATATTGCTCCGCCGTGCGTCAGCGTAAAAGTCCGGCTTAGATAGCTGTACACTCGGAGGCATCCCACGCGGCTCACGCAGAACATCGAACGTTGCGAAGTTGTCTGAGATCGTGGCATGATGAGGAGGCGTGGCGTTGGAAGGCGTGGAACTTGACGACCCAGGAGAAGTCGGGTCAAGCGGAGGTGTAGGATGATGGTAAGCTGACGCCGATTGGTACTGACGAGCATACATCGCCGCATAGTCATGCGATGCAGGTGCGGAGACACGGCGCTCGGCGTAGGACATAGGCACGTTCGATGGCGCGTTCATACCCGCATACATGGCATCTGCGTTATAACCACCGGGGTTGACCGAAGCATGAGTCGACCTGTGACTCGAGGGAGGGGAAGGATACGCGTTCGTGGCAAAGGCAGGAGCCTGAGCATACCCTGCTTGTTGCGTGAAGTTAGCACCCGACCCGGCAAGTCCTGGCATACCAGCAAGACCAAGCTGGCTGAGGCCGTCTGTGTCGAAGTAAGAAGGGGGAGAGATCCGGTCCGCAGTGGGGTGAGCGTTGCGGTGTTGCGCCGCCGTAGTGACATCACGTCCCAGAGTAACGAGGAATTCGTTTACAGCCGCTAATTCCTGAGGAGTACGGATATTGAGCGAGATTGAGCGGGGATTGAAGCTATCGGGATAAGGGGCGGGAGTATCGTTGAAAGCCAAGTTATTCAAGCGTTCAGCCATGTCTAGATGGATCGCGTGAGGATTAACGTCTGCGGACAATAAACCACTGCGACGGACACTTACGGGTGTCATACGACGGCGTCACCTTGCGTTTCTTCATGTCAAGCAAGAAGTCGTCAACTGCGTAATCAAGAGACCTCTTAGTGCGGGTAGGGGCCATAGGCATACCCTCGTGTTTGACACCTTCCCATGTGGGAACCTGGTTGTGAAGGAAAAGGTCGTATGCAGGGTCTGAGACCTGACCTGGATGTGCATGGCTGTCTATTTCGGGGGAGGGCGTGGGGAGGAAACCGTTAGCAGGGGCTAAACGTTGAACGATCAGCTTAAGCGGCAGGGCCACAGAAGCTGCAAGGTAAAGCTCACCTCCGTGGAAGTTGTCCGAATGGGGACGGGCGAAGGGCGAGTGAACTTTCGATGGAACACCACCTCCGGACGCAGGACCGATCTTGCTGAGAGGCCTGTTGATCTGCCCCTTTTGGTCGAGACCGTCCCCGCGGACACGAGAGACGTACATGGGGTCGACAACGGTGATAGCCTTTGAATGCTTGTGTTGAGCGTGGTGCTCTTCGGTGTGAATTTTTTCGTGTTTCTTGAGATCCTGAGGGCGCTTGAAGGACTTTTTGCAAATCTGTGCGATGTAATTACATCAGTTCGATGTTAAGGTTGAGATGCACATAGGGGCCATACCTCACAGACGTGCGGTTTCAAGGGAGTATGAACTAAAGCCAGAAGAGTGGGCCATCAGATTAGGCGCGCGACATTAAACGGATAAATTACCTCGGAGGTGGCTTGTGATATGATCACGTTTGGCGCATGTGGTGGCACAGTCTTTCCATTTGCAGGTGAGACAGAGGTTGTTGGTGCTCTTCCTGCCAATGTGGTCATTGCAGAGATGGTTGTAGAGCATCTCTGGGTCTGGGAAGGCGGTGGTGCAATCTGCCCATTGGCAGGTATGAGCCTCCTGTTGTTGCGGGGAAGGAGACACGGAGTGGTGGTGGTCCGCTGCCGGTGAGGTGGATGAGTCCTTTGAAGAAGATGGCGGAGAAGGTGGAGAGGCCATGGCTGGGTAGGCGGAGATGGCCTGGAGAGTTTGCTGGAGTACGTCGAGGGGGACGAGGTCTCGAGAAAGAAAGGCGGTTGGATCCATGCCGAGCTATTAGACTTTATATCGACGACACAGCTAATCGTTCCTCAGCGCCAAGACTTTTCCCCCTGGCTTCTCCTCTTTGCCAAGAACGAGTGCCAAGACAAAGCCAAGTCTTGGCATGCCAAGCCCTTTATCCTCCGGCCATCTCCGATCTTTCTCCTCTCCTAGCATCTCACTCCCGTCTCCCTCCGGCGGTTCCCACTCTACTTCCCACTCACACCAAACTCGCACCTTCCGTTCCCTCCGTCCCGATCTGTGGTTAGTCTGTGTTCTCGGCCAATCTCCCAGTTTATACAGCTAGCAGCTTCGATTTCACGTTTTCGTTCTCTCCTTGGCACCTCCTCCTCGGCGCAGATCTTCTCAGCCGTGCTCATGCTGAGACAGCTGTGTCTTCAGCGCCTCTACTCCCGTCGTTTAACTGCGGAGAATTCAATGTCCTCCACTCAACTTGCGCCATCGACGGAATATTCTCTGCAGAAAGCCGCACGGGTTGCTCCCTGTTGTCCACAAGCCGCACTTCATGGCACCTTAATCAGCCTATCATCGATCAGTCAGTTCGGCATCCATAAAGTATGCAGCAACGTTTACTCGCCGGCCGTTTGGCTTGGCGGCGGCCAGGTACATTGCTGCTTACACCTTACCCACTCGTATCCAACTCGACCGAGGCATCTGCATCTCCTTGCATCTCTCGTGTATTCTTAGGCCTCTTTTTTCTCATCGAGAACCAGCGAGGAGTCCCTCAGGGTGATCCCGTCCGAGGCGGGTTCTCAAGCCGGCTTGGACTCGTCTTTTTAGGCTACGCTTCTTGATCTCTATGATGCTGAGACGTGCGCCATCCGAGAGCGCTAAGTGGTTAGCCAAAAGCTTGGTTGCCTGCGGCTTTAGCTGTACCGTGGTACAGGTTACCATCGTGGCGTAATCGAAAACTGAGTTCCGACTTCTATCTCTCTCGATCTCCTCGCAAGCCTACATCGTTCATCTCCCCTCAATGGCCGCTTGTGTCTGTGCTCTGAGGACCTCCTCGCTCACTCGAGGTGCGGAAATGCAAACAATACCTAGGCGCCAAGGCTTATATACTCCACATTAGCCATGTTCCAAGACTTCTCCGAGTTCAGAAGGCACCAAGACAAAGCCACCTGTCCTCGTTTCAGAGGAGCTGACCTGTGCAGTCGTCAATGACTATTAGGAGATACTAATCTAAGTAGATCTGATACTTGTCGCTGCGGACGAAATCTTTTTGTTATCCATGCTTGGTTCATGCTTTACTTCTCGCACGACACTCGGACGAATGCGGGCCTAGTTCTCTTTCTCCGCGGCACACGTTGGTGAGAATTACATGCAGCAAAGTTTCTGAGTAGTAAGTTGATAGGGCGCGATGCAGATGCCTATGATGGCTTCCTCGATCAAGTTCCATGGGATTCTTATTGTCGGGTTCGGTCAATGGTTTTTGGCATGCTATATGCTGGGAAGTTGTCCATGCGAAGAAGGAACTACATACAAAAGATGGATACAGTATGTGACCCTTCGTAGTGCTAATCATATGTATCCCTGTGTGCGCGGGAAGTAGTTTAGACGCGGGACTCCTTGCGGCAGCTCAGGGCATTCAAGGCAAATAAACTTTCCGATCTCTTCCTGTGGCTTGTTAGGCAAAGATGACGAAACCCTAAGGCGGCCGCGGTAACAATCAACCTGAGTTCATGTGTGTCGCGGATGGACTCGGGTCTGTTACACAATCTTATACAATACACCCAATGGTGTGGGTTGATTTTGAGTTGATTGCATCAAAAGCCCCCACACAAGGTACAAGCAAAAGAAGCATTTACCGATAGCTGGTAATAGTGACAAAGGCCCCGGCCGCCCCGTTCAGCTGAAAGCTTACTGAATGAATTGTTGCGATACGGTCTCGCGGTTCGCTCGCGGTACTGCTGTGGTCCCCCAGATGTGTGTGTCCAGCTAAATGACGGTGCCAAGAGAGGCCAAGGTCGTGCGCCAAGCGCCAAGTCAGGCCAAGCTGTGCCGACAGATGCCGTAGGATGCCGTGACAGCGCCAAGGGTGTCTCCCGCCGGATGCCCGATCAGGCAGGCCAAGTCCCAGTTTACCAATCAAGAGCAGATCCGAGTCCCGAGCCCCGAGTGCCGGGCCGGGCTGTGGGGCGGCGGCTAAGACAGCTCGCGGGGCGTCGAGCCTGAGCTTGCTATCGTGAACCAGCTCGTCATGTCGCGCTACCCCGACTACCTCTCGCCGTCCGCTGCACCGGCCAAGCTGTCCAAGGCCCAGAAGTCGCGTGCGCGACGTGAGCCCTCGGGTGTCTTTTCGCTGTTCGAGCCGCAGCAGATCCAGCAGTTCAAGGAGGCGTTTCAGCTCATCGACCACGACAAGGATGGCTGGGTCACTGAGCCAGATCTTCGAGAGCTGTTCACCAGTCTGGGTTTGTAGTCTTTCTCAATCTACCTATGGCTTCAATGGTGACACGAAGATCAGGCATAACGCCTTCCAAGACGATGATCGACGACCTGCTGAGCGCCCGGCCTGGTGGACGGGGTCATAGCAGAATGTCGTCGGCATCGATGGCTGAACCTGCTTCGGGCGAGAAGGGGATCAACTTCACGATGTTCCTCACCATGATGAGCGAGCGTCTGTTCGAGTTTGATCCTGAGAACGAGCTGCAAGAGGCATTTGAGTGCTTTGACGAAGATGACTCTGGGTCGGTCAAGGTGAACGAGATGCGCAAGTGGATGAGCGAGGTCGGGGAAAGGATGGATGAGAAAGAGGCGCGTTGTTAAGCTGTTATTCTCTTCCGCAGAATATCTCATCTTGTGCATACAGATCGACAAGTTCCTGAAGAGCTCATTTGCAGACCGTCAGGGCAACTTCAACTACCGTGAATGGATCAAGGTGCTCCGAGTGAACGATGAGGGCGAAGAGGCAGAGGCATCATGATTGCGCAGTGCATTTCCTGTATTTTACCCATTACGTTGTATATTGTTTTGCTAACGAACACCATGAAGCTCACGAATCTGACACACTCTTCTGATTGTCCGCGAATGCGTTACCCTCAAATCCACTTGCCCTCCAGCGGTTCCGCCGGGAACGTTTGCTTGTCAAAAGCGAGCTCTCTGAAGATGTCTGTAGTGCTCTCTTCGCCTTCCTTCTGACCAGCCTCTCTCATCGCTACAGGAATTTAAGTATCGCAACACAGGACTCATGGCCTACAAAGAGGCTTACCTTCGCCTCGTTCTTCTCCGAGAGCTTGATCGTTGCCCTGGTCTCCGGAGTGGCTCGCGATGAGCAACAGTTCGGCACCCTCGTGATTCAGAAGCTCCGATACATGGGCTGTAGTAAACCTGAGACCGTATGACTGGGTGCCTTTCGTGCCACGCCCAAAGACCTCATTCATGATCCCCTCCGGATACTCCGCCCGTCTTTCTTTTGACAAGCCGATCTGCTGTGGACCAGTTGGCGGTGCAAGTGGATTCTTCACCTGCAAGACAAACGAGCTGGCTTTGTGTATACCAAGCGCCGTTTGAACCTCTCCCACATCTGCGGGGTGAGAGAGATGGTACCCCAGATGCGTCGCGTTCTTGGACGGCGTGCTCCCCTCGCTGTTAACTATCGCATAAACGCCTCTCCCGGCAATGCGCGCCGGCTCCTCGTGCCTCGTGCCTTGACAAAAAAACATGACCATGAATGATGCTAGGACGCTCGAACGAACAATTTCACCGTGGACCTACCGCGTGTCTTGGTTTCGTAAGTGTTCTCGCCGAGGCCTTCCTCCAGCGCTTTGAGGTCGTCCCCAAACGTGACCACCGAGCCCCAAAATACCTCTTTTTTCCCCGCGATTTCGGGATCTGGGAGGCGTTTTTTCCCGACCGTGATCAAGCGGAACCGCTTCTTTGTTCGGTCCTTTAGTTCGGGCGCTGGCACCGCGTCGCCGCCCGCCTGGACGAGGTTCAGTTCCTGTTCATCGGTGTCGCCGTGTGGGAGATTCTCGTTGTCTGTGTGCGCGCTGAACTCGGGTGGACGCGGGACGAGGAGCATGTGGAAATTTTTTACGTCGTCTATGTCGTGTGCCTCCTCATGCTGCACTTTGGGGCGGTAAAAGAAGTAGATGTGGCCGCGCTCGACAGTACCTTGGGATGGCCGCGTGAGTATATGCGCTATTTTTGCGGAGACAATTGATCATAGGCTCACCTGGATGGAAGGCGTAATCGGGTTTTTGCTTTTTAGCAGGCGGTGCTTTGGCCTCTGTGTCCTCATTTGTTTCGGTTGCGTCGACTTCTCTTTTCTCCCCTGTTGTGTGCGTTGTCTCAGGCTCCTTTGCTGAGTTGCCACCGTTGGCTTTGGTTTGAGAACGCGTCGCCTTTGCGGGCGACTGAGAGTCAGACATGATTGATGGTAGAAGAAATCGGCTTGAAAATGATATGTTTGCGGATGAAAAGGAGAGGACTAGTTCAGCGAGCTACAAGTACTTGGATTGACGTCATGGTGTACGTATGTACGCTACCTTACGTATACCAACATTGAGCCTTACAATATGTGTAGCCCACTGCTTACAGCCTTGATCAGCAGTTTGTCACGGCACAATAGTATGTTACGCACCCTAAACCGTCATGAGGGTGTATAAGCTCAGTCAAGATACTCTTTCACCTTTGTTGCATCTCCTTCTCTGTCATATGTTGACAGGGTATACGACCGCAATCGAATCTCCTTTTGGTGCGACTGGATCAAGAGAGGTTGTGAGTTATAATCAGGGGTTAATTAGCCGTGCGGGGAAGTGGGGCGTGTTTCGTTCTATATATGACATCATGGATCACGGGCCGGACTCGGCATGAGCAGGGCTGCCGGAAAGGGATCGCGATAGGACAGAGAAGCGGGGGACTGCCAGGACGTGATTCTGCGTCGTCTCCACCTAATGTCATCCAGCGCAATCAAATTTGCCGTCAACGCTCTCAACCGAGAGAAACCAAGGGTCTGCATCACTCTACTACATCTGAGCTAACGCTGATGTATACTATTCCTAGTCGTCCATCACTGAGTGGATTGAGATCCTCACCTCACCATCCTACGCCGACGAGGCGTACGATGGGTCAGTTTCTCTTGCACCATACACGCACATTCTCTCGTCCTCATGCATGCAAACAGCATACCCGAGATCGTCGAGTCCATAAACCTCCAGCCAACAGGGTCCGTTTCAACCCAGCTACCCCGCTTCCCCGATTAACACACCCTCAGCACTGCCGAGGCCTCCAGAGCGATAAGAAAGAAAATCAAACATGGAAACTCTCATCATCAGTACCGCGCTCTTGTTGTAAGCGAATCGAGTATTCATTGCCCCGTTGCTTCAAGCCAATCCCATTCACAGATCTTGACTGCGCTCGTGGAAAACGGTCCTCGTTCATTCCAGAGTGAGCCGTGTAACTCCACTATCTCTTTCACAAGTCCTTACTCGCCAGACTGAATAGCCAACTTTGCGGACGGGCAGCTATTGGATGCCATCAAGCATCTGGCTTCGGACTCCTCCACCGACGCCAAAGTCAAGAAGAAGGTCTTGTCCGTCCTTGCATCTTGGCACAACCAGTTCAAGGGCGATGCAGGTATGACCACCGTGTCTAACCTCTATAGGCAATGCAAACCCGCCGAGCGAAAGTCCCACCAATCGCCTGTGGATGTCATCATGAGCGGCTCGAGCAACGAGCTAGCCGAGTACGGACGAAGACAAAGAGAGAAGGAAGAGAAGGAAGCTGCCAAGAAGAAGGCCAAGGAGGAGGTGAAGGCGCGGCAGCGGAGAGAGGAAGAGGAGGCGAGGCGGAGGAAGAATAGGCCCAAGAGGGCGCGATTCAATTTCGAAACGGTATAATTGGTCTTGGCCCAGCGACAATAGACATGAGCTGACGTCGTGTTTGATAGGAAAAACCCCAGATTCTGACGGCGATCGCTGGGGCGAGTCAAACGTCCAGCAATCTAGTCAATGCCATGATGCTGGTGAATGCTGAGACGGATAGTGTCATAACCAATGATCGGGTGCAAGACTGTCTTGTCAAAGCCAAGACCTCTCGCAAGGCTATTGTCCGTTACATTCAGGTATCGCCTCTCTGGAATTGCTTGTATCTGCCACGGATCTAACGACGGACGTTAGCTTGTAGAGAACGAAGAGATGATTGGGACGCTTATTGAGACGAACGAACGAATCATCGCTGCATTGCAGATGTACGATGACGTACGTACGACAATCAGTGGAAAGTCCCTTGCTAACTCTTGCCATATTTTTTATAGCTCGCAACGCCAGACACGAAACCCGATCCGACGGTCGACATCACGAAAGCTCTCGAAGGGACCAACATCTCGAGCAGCGAGCTACACAAGCTGCAAGACCGCCAGCGCGCCGCCGTCCAGCGCGTCAGGCAACAGCGCTCCCAGTCCACCCTTGACCTTCAAGGTGCCGGAGACGGAAGCGGACACGTTCACCCTGATCTGCAGGACCTATCATTCGGATCTTTGGGCCTGGATCAGCACGGACTGCCGGCTCCGATGCGGCCTTCGTCGCAGCACGAGCCCCTAGGCGACGCGGAATGGGACCGGGGAAGAGGCAGCCTCTCGGACTTCAGCGATTATGACAGTGATGGAGATGAGCACAGCAGCGGATCGCCGTCCCGCCACGCAGGGCCCAGTACCAGTACGAGCGCGGGCGCAGGGCATGGGAACAAGCTTGTTGACGTCGAAGATCCGTTTGCTGACCCGTTCGCTGATTAGTAGTCCGCTGGTTTTCATGTCTGTCTCCACTTCGTTCATCATGCAAGTGCCAGCGCGCCAGTTTTCCTAACTTTCCAATACCGATCTATTATACGATACAATGCGGTTCAATATTTATATTATTTACGGGAGCCTGTGTGCGACGGCTCCGTGAAGCAATCAAATGAAATCAAGGTAACCAGCCCAACATACATATACAAATATACACAATAACGATACAGTCTGCGTGCGTTCAGTACCAAGCTACAAGTTCAAGAGTACCCAAGAAGCCAGCGCGAAAACGATCGTGGTCAAGGTCCATTGCGAGCGCGTCGCCCGTATCAACCGCTCTCCATCTCGCTATCGCTATCGCCGCCGGGCATATCCTCGGTCCCGGAGCCAGAGTTCGTGGGCATTTGAGTCTGCATCTGCTGCGCGTCTTGATGTTGCTGGCCGTTCCCTTGCAGCTGAACAATATTCTGCTGTCCCGCGCCGCTGTTCGGGTTTGGGCCGTGAACGTTGAGCGCGAGTGCTCCGAGAGGGATACCCGGACCCGTCGACGGGCCCATGGGGCTCTCCAGGTAGAGTCGGAGCAGGATGGCTTCGAGAGCGGCTACGCTGGCAGCGGGGTAGTCGAAAGTCCTGGCATGATCGCGGATAGAGCCGAACACGGTGGTCATCCGCTCCCACTGTGCATCCTGTACATTGGGACCCTGGATTGTAGGAAAAGTTATATTGGAGAAATGCCCGGGCAAGCTGCTTCCGTAGCCGGGGTAAGGATGCGAGGGGTGCGTGAGGTGCGGCACAGGAGGTGGTGCATTGAAGTTTTGCGCCTGTGGTTGCGAGGGAGAAGCGGACTGGTTCGCCGGGGCTGCGATGCCAGATGTATCTGCGCTACCACTGGCTCCAGGAACGTGCGTGTGACGTCTGGCTTTCTCGTCCGCAACGGCTTGTCGGCGACCTCTGCGAGTGTAAGGTAAGTTGGAAATCCCAATAGAATGCGAGTGCTGCGATGTGTCTGCCAGGAACGAGGTCAGGAACATCTGAAGCGCAGTTGGGCGGGTGGTGCTTACAGCATACGCGGACTTCGTCGGTGTCAAAGTAAGTCTTGTAGCTTATGGAAGCGGGACACCCTTGTCCTTCCAACTACGAGCAAAGGGGCACCGAGGGTCAGTGTCAAGTGATATACTGGTATAGGGAGGGCACTCGCCTTGCGGCTGGGAACTTTGCGAATACGTTCTGGATGTTTCTTGACGTACTTCTTGCGCCCGCTCCGGGAGTGGCGCGCGCATACCAGCTTGGTGTGGTCCTTGAAGCGAGGTGGAACTGCCTTGCTTTGATGTGTGTCGCCCTTGACGAACTCGACCATTTGGGTCTCCTCCTCCTGAGCGCGCCACGCTTGGAAGGCGACTATGTTTGGAAAGACGAGTGTGTATCCATCGTCCGAGTCGCCCGAGCCATATGGTGGTCGGTTCTTGTTGGATGACGACGACTGTGCATCGGGCTGCGCGCTGGGATCCTGAGTAGGGGTGGAGTTGTTGTCGGTGAAGGCGTTGGTGTTAGCGATGACGGGGGCGGGTTGTCCCAAGGCGTGGTGGTGGTTCTGCTGGAGATGCGGAGGCAGCGGCTGGGCCATGGCCAGCTGGCCGAGTCTGAAATGCTGGAAACTCATCACTTTTTGTCGAGAAATCGGAACAAAAGGCAAAAAGTTGGGCAAACGTCCGCGCAGAACCCCCAATTCGACGTGATTTCCGTGGGCCGTTTCGCTTATCCGAGACTCCAATTCCTTTGTTGACCCCCATTTGCACCGGTAACGCAGTGACGCTTTCTCTCTGTCACGAGTTAGCGGCCGTGGGTCAGTGTCACACATCTTCTCCTTTCTTGGGCTAGTGATCGCTAGTATGACTTCCTCGCTCAGAAATTCGCTGCACAGACGAAACCACAAGGAACGATCCCAGCTCGCACACCGCTCGCGATATGGCATACTCGAGAAACACAAGGACTATGTCCTCCGTGCCCGCGACTACCACTCGAAGCAGGATCGCATAAACCGTCTCCGCCAGAAGGCAGCAGACCGCAACAAGGATGAATTCTACTTTGGCATGAAAAATCAGCGCACCGAGCGAGGTGTACACGTCAAAGACAGGGGGAGCCAGGCGCTGCCGACTGATTTCATCAAAATCCTCAAGTCTCAGGACGAGGGCTACGTACGGACGATGCGTACCGTCGGGCTCAAAGTGAGTTTCCTCTTCGCAGAGGTGAAATGAACAAACTTGACGGCTCTTAGAAAATAGACAAACTGAAAGCTCAGCTTACTGCTATGGCTGATCTCTTTTCTTCTAATGATGTCGCCGTTGATGATGAGGATGAAGCCTCGCTGAATCCCGAAGAACTATCGACGCTGCAGAATGCCGGCATAATCTCGCCCCCTGCTACTTCGAGGCGCCAAAGGGGAAAGCAAGGGCGCCAGACTAAACACATTGTGTTCGCCGACAATGACGAAGAAGGTCGATCCTTTTCTACAACGGAAGTCCTTAATATTAACGCCTTAGTCTCTGTTGATAGCGCGACAATATGCTACCGACCCTCCTACTCGAAATCTTGGCCAGAAACGCGAGTCTACAATACCAAACATGGACATCGATCTTGGCTGGAAGGTTGCTCAGCAACCGAAGCAGCGCAAGCAGCGACAAGACAAGCCTGACACTGCTGCAAGCAAAGACGTCCAAGAATCTGAAGACGAGGACAAGACGCCACCGGTAACATGCCTAGCTTTCATTAGCTGTATCATCGATTGATCACTTGTTGTGTAGACTCGCAAACGTTTACTCAAAGAACTCGCCGCACGACTTGAAAGGGACACGCAGCTACGATATGCACTTCGGGAGCTTGAAATGCAGCGCATGATGATGGGCAAAGGCGGACGACAAAAACTGCACGGCGCGGAACGCGTGGATAGCGGCGATGAAGACGAGGGCGAGGACGACGGTGACTTCGGGAGCAAACAGTCACGGTCAAAATCCGACCCCAAGGTCTACAAGCCACGGGTGTACAAGTGGAAAGTTGAGCGGAAACGATAGTGCGATCGCATACGACTGGGGTTTTTGTGTAGTCCATGGTATTATTGGTATAACTAGCTGTCCATCAAGCAGTCCAATTGTCCAACAAGTAAGTATGTAAGATAAGTGCTAAGATGTATCGATATTTCCCATCCATCAGCCATCCATCAGATCAGAACACGGAAAGTGCGCCCAGGAAGACACTGGAGATGATAACTAAACCAGTGCTCCACTGCAGCTTGCCAGCACCATTGGAGGATCCGCTGCCAGAGCCGGAAGAACTTGACGAGGAAGTCGAGCTGGGCGATGCTATGGGCGTAGATGGGTTGTATTGGACACCGTTGGCGGTCGCGGCGACCTGGAAGACTGATCCACCGCCGTATTCATAGAACTGAATATCGCGTCAGAAACAGGCTGCTGAGCAAGGTAATGAAGTAACTCACGTCAACAAGCATGAAGTTGGGGTTGCGACTGTATTGGCTTGCACAGAGCTGGACTTGTGCTCCCAAGGAGTTGGTGCCAGACACGGCGTTAGTCTTGTCAGCGTCACCAGGGTCCGGGACAGGGCTGCCCAAGAGGACGGTGTCCAAGAAATGGTTGATGAGGTACATGGAGGTGGAAGTGTCGCCCTTTGAACGATTAACAGCGCAATCAAAGCTCGTCGTGACATCGTAGGCGGTCTCCCAGATGTTGGAGAACTCTGAGAAGCAGCTGTGAGGCATATATTTTCCGAGGCAAGTAAGATATCGCGTACCATCAATGATGTACGGGACCGAGGTAAAGTCCGCGTTGTAGTCCATGAACGTGAGCAAGCGTTTGCTGGAGTCAATAAGCGTGCCGAGTGTTGGCCACTTGTCGGTGGTCAACGACGCAGACGACGGCGCATAGGCCATCGAGTCGAGCCCGACGGCCTTGAACACCGAGTCGTAAGCGGGAGGCAAGAAGTTATCGTTGTTCACGATTAACAGCGACAGAACTGGAGTGTTATAGGTGAGCATACTCCGGGACCGTGCGCGAGGCAAGACCGTGTTCACCATCGTTGGGGTTCGCGTCTAACCACGACTTGACTGCCTTCACGTTAGTATAACACCGCACGAGTGGGATAGCTCGTACCTGTGGTGAGATACGTCTGCAATGTCCCACCATTGTAAAGACCCTACACGAACGAATTCTGTGAAAAAGTGCTGGGGACAGAACGAGCAGCCAGACTTACACAGCTCGTGTGGCACAGCTGAATGGTGCCGCTTTGGTTGTGGGTCTGAATCTGCAGCATTCGGATACCATTGTCCAGCTGCGTTGTAACTAGGTCGAAGTAGCATCTAGTCAGCCTAGACACCTAAATCAGATGTTTCTTCACGTACTGTTCTGGTCCTGGTTCGTCGCGACTGGTTGGACTCAGCATATGCCCCTGAAACAGGGAAAAGAGAGGCTTGCTCACGGTTGTTGAGACCAATGGCGTATGAATCATGTGAGCCAACGAAAGTAACGTTTCCAAAGCTGCGACTGCAGAGGTCAGGACTGCCGTTGCATGTGGAGGCAGCATGGACAGATGTGAGTAAGGAGAGGGATGCTGTAATGACAGCGGCGGCCTTTGCGAGAGGCGAGAGCATGGCGTTCGTCGTTGGACACTCAAACAAGATTAATCTGGCGGTAGACTGGGCAGAGGCAGTAAAGAAAGTGAAAGGAAAGAGCGACGGCACTGCCTGAGTGAAGCTAGGAGGAGTGGGAGAGGTGACAGGAATAACGCGCCCAGCACTGCAGTTCTGGGCCCGATCAAAACCATGAAACCACTTGCCGACTGCTGCGCATTACCCAGTTTATTTACATAGTTGTGACCCCCGCGCCCATGGCAGGTTGAACAATAATATAGGTCAAACACTATTCTAAGCGAATGCCAGACTTGATTGCATACAAGAAGGACCAAAAACTAATGTACATGTGCGCAATACAGTGGGATACCAGGTCAATAAATATCCAAACATATCCAAACTTCATCTCCACGAGCTGTCAAGATCACCCCAGTGTCTCGGTGATACTGAAATGGACATGGTCCCCTTCACCCAACGTCAACTTGACGGGCAACCGGGGATCGATGCGCACAGGAGCACTCGTCCCGACGTAGAAGTCTCCCCGACTGAAGTTGCGCGTGATGGCGGCGGCCTCCTCTTCCGTCAGGTTGCGCGGCCGCTTGCTGGGCCGGAACGTGGACGACGAAGCACCGGTGAACGCGCCGTTGTAATCGTAGTATTGGTGCTGCGTCAACGTCGGTGCGCCGTGAACGTAGCCGAGCGCAGAGGCACCGAAAGTCGCGGGCACGGCTGTGGGATCTACACGAGATGAGAAAGTAGAGGGGTACACGATCCAAATGGGAGCAGACCTGTTTGTGGTGGATGGCTCTGATCCGTTTGCTCAGGGTCAGGATAAGTGCACGTCGCACCAATCCCGCGTTTGAGGCAGCTCTGGTCGACCATGAGTCCAGCTGGTTGAGGTGCGTTGAGTGCAAGATAACAGACCTGGCATGGGAGGACCTCGCTGCAACGCGTCTTGCCGGTGTGGCAAGCGGTGCATGCACGTCTGACAGAGGGTGCTTTCGCTAAAATGCCGCCGGTATATCAGGATGAGATCATGTGTGACAACTTGAAATCTATAAACTAACGCTTTCGGGAGATGTCGCCGCTCACGGACGTGCCATTGACAGACTGTGACTGCTGCGGCTGTTGGGAGGGGCCCTGTGGTTGCTGCTGTTGCTGTTGGGGATGGTGCTGCTGTTGCTGGTGGTGGTCCTGGGCGAGGTGATGGAGCTGCTGGGTGTCGATGGCCGTGGCCGCGTCTTGGGCCGGCGTGGATGCCTCACTGAGGGCCGACATGGAGGTAGCGGGCGGAGATGGACCGATGGTGTCTCGGGTGCGGCCAAGTATATATCATTCCTCCGTATTTAATTCCCTATTTTCGTTCATTTCCGCAGTTCGCTCCTGCTTGTCCCCGAGCCGCTCCGAAAAACGGACATGGCCGAGGGCCGAGACCCAGAGTTCTTCCCCACCGGCAAAGTCGGCTCTCGGCTGATTTCCGGTCGTGTCCCCCCTTTTGCTGCACTACGACTTGACTACGACGACCAGGACGACGACGACGGCAGGCGGCCATTAGCAAGCAAAAATGAACGGGCACGACAACAACAGCAACTCGACACTCCAACCGCCAGTGCCCTTTGCAGACTTTGAATACTCGTTCGATCCTGCTCTCTCCGGTCTCTTCCCCGCTCCTCCACCATTGCCCTCCTCGGCGGATCTCTTCACCCCATCAGAGACAACAGATCTACTTGGTTTCCTCGACGAATTCAACTGGGAGTTTGACCAGGATCCCGCCTTCTCAGACCCATATAACCACCACTCTTTCCAACCTGGTTCTCGTCCTGACCTCTCCCCAGTCAGCCATGCACATCACGACACCTTGCCCGCTCTCCAGTATCCTCAGCCACATACCTTGCCCCGGCCGGAGAATCTCAGTCCAGTGAACATGGAAGATCACGCGCAGATGTCTCAGCCTCCTCCTTCGGTTCCAGATGTTCCCCACGCCGATGCTGCTGCCACCTCGGAATTGAAGCGAAGGGGCTCCTCGTCTACACCTCGTGGCAACACCCGTGGCAAGCCTCTCCTGTCCACCCCGCAGAAAAGGTTGAACCACATCATGTCCGAGCAAAAGAGACGCAATGCCATTCGCGATGGATATGCCCAGCTCATCTCGCTTCTCGCTCCTGCAGGCGCACCTGGTATCAACATGCCCAGTCGAGGCCGGCCCAAGGGCAGCGGCAGCCGAGGCAAAAGCGGCAGCAAGGGAAAGAGTGGCGTCCTATTCCGTGCTGTGGAATATTGTCGCTGGCTCGAGGAGGGCAGAGACGCACTCAGGGAGGAAGTCCTTCGACTGGAAGCTGCGGCCGGCATTCATTCCAGGTCATAGGCAAGTCGTCGAGCAGCCTCCCTGCGTGCTTTTAATCAGCCGTTAGGCAGATCTGCATCGCCCTGCATTTACTTTCGTGAATAACTGTAAAGCTAGTAAGCCGCTTGATAACTTCACGGCTAAAGTATACGTACCGCTCTGTAGCCCTACTGTTTTCCGTCTTATGGTTTTTGTCCGGTTTGCTCCAGTCCCCGATGCTCTACCGCCACGCACGGGCGCCCTTTACTTGATCGCATCAGCTATATATGCCCCAGTGCGCGTGCTCAAAAGTAGTCCTCGATATATTCTGCCGCCTCGTGTCGTGTAACAGAGTTGGCCTCGTTCATGCCTCCTACCGATCCATCTGCTTCATTTACATGGCTTTGCCCCAAGTTCGTCTTGCGCGTGGAAGACCTATCTCACCCTGGCGCATCGCTCTTCTTCAGTGAGATCAAGAAGGTCGAGGCGGCGCTAAAGCATGCCGTCAAGCAATCATTTGACTGGCTGTACACCGTAGACGATGCCCCCACACAGTCAGTATCCAATGATTGTTCTAGCGGGGCCGACAATTAATGATCAGCACTCAAGCGTCCGGCAGATCACCCTCATTCTCCGCCCGTTTGACGGTGTGGCGTACACCTTTGGATCGCACACCGAGAAGGAAATTCATCTCTCCCTGAACCATATCAAGAACTCGGAAGCGCGGGCACGCGATGAGATTCTTGGCGTGCTCATTCATGAAGCAGTGCACTGCTTCCAGTACAACGCGAAGGATACCTGCCCTGGTGGACTCATCGAAGGGATCGCTGGTGAGTAGCGCGTCTAAGCTTGAGCATGAACACAGATGCGATTGACGCCGAAACGTCAATGTGCTCGATCGTGCCTGAAGACTATGTGCGTCTGCGAGCAGGCTACAGTCCACCACATTGGAAGCGCTCTTGCGGCGGTAAATGGGATGCGGGATACCAGACCACAGCCTACTTCCTCGACTGGGTCGAGAAGAGCTGTGGTGAAGGCAGTGTTCGCAGGCTGAACGGACTAATGAAGGATTCTCGGTATTCCGATGACTTGTTCGTAGAAGCAACCGGAGAAGAAGTCGCCGCATTATGGGAGCTATACTGTATCGACCTCTCAAGGTAGCCATGCAACACCGAGATATCAAATCATCACGTACTAGTAGCTAGAAGGTAACGCGTTGACGTAGGATATATACAACAGAGCATGCACATTACACAAGGAGTAGATAGTACTTATGAGAGTTCGAGATTGAAAATACAAAACACACCGCAGCGCTCATCCTAGTTCTTCGTCCCAGTCGCCAAGCTCGCGAGCTAAAAAGTCGTCCTCGGTAACCTCACTACTGCCGTCGTCTTCGTCGACGTCCGCCACAGACAACCGCGAGGGCGTCGCTGCCCGCGAACTCCGATCCTGCTTCTCTGGTAGTTCATCGGCTGAGATAGCCTCTTTCAACCTCGATAGTCCTGAGCGGTCTGCGGCAAGTTTCTTGCGCTTTGATAGTGGTGATCGTAGTTCCGTATCCGCAGAGCCATTCAAACCAGCCTCTGAAGGTGTCAAACTCCGAAGGCGTTTCCGTTTTGATCTTGGTGACGGGGAGACCCTAGGAACGAACGATCAACACCAGACCAGATGGGTATGGCAACAACGCGCGTGAACGTACCCAAGTTCCGATGCAGCGCTCTTCACGCTGCCGCGATCGCTCATATCATCATCGTCATCATCGTCACTTGAATCGTCGCTCTCGTTCATCGCCGCCTCGACCTCATCGTTGATGTCGTTCCAGTCAATTGCATCCAACTGGAGGGAACGCGAACCATCCGCCCCGGGCTCCTCATCCCAGTCATCTGCATCAGGTTCAGGGTCGGACGAGATCTGGTTTGGATCCAAATTTGGACTTGCATGGGCTGCAGCAGGCTCCTCCAAATAATAGTGGGACTCGTCCATGCGTCTCCACAACGCGACAGAGTCAGTGAACCATGCTACCCAGACGACTTTGATTCCTCCTCGTCTTCGCGCAGCATCGACTTTGACGGTACCAAGCTAAGCGGCAGTCAGGATGTGTGTCGAGGAAGACGAATTAGCTAGGCTTACGCGAGCAGCGACAACATGAGTGATGGAGCTGGAAAGTTCGGTATAACATTTAGCACCAAACATGTGTGCGACTTTCCAAATCTCTGTCGTCTCAGGAGGCGTATCTAGTGGGATCACACTCGAAAACAGGATATGCACGCCGTCAAACACTTTCGCCCGTATTTCTGGAATGATGTGCTAACTCCAAAAGTTAGCTTAGCGCCTCTTTAGCTAAGGTGTACGTACTGTCACATCGTGGCTCTTGGAGGATTTTGAGCCATGTCGCCGCTTTTTCGACGACACGTCTGTTGACCTTGAATCGTACAGGCTGAAAAAGCGAGCATGGATATCTTCGAGAAGCTATGACAAAATCAGCTTCCGACTAAGCATACTTCATTGCAAAAGGCCGCACCCCTCCGACACGCTTGAGTTCAGTGTCATCATTCTTCAACAGGGCTTTTCGTGACGTCTTCTCAGGTGACGCAGACTCCGTAGTGCTGGAATCTACCTGCTCTTGCGCGGCGTGCGGGGTCTCGTTCCCCGAGTCAGGTTTCTCTCCATTCGGGTGCGGGGTTGAAGAACCTTGCAGCTCCTCCTGTTTCTTGGCCAGCGGTCTCTCCTCCACTTGAGTCTTGAGGTCTATGGAGTTTTGAGTAAGTATGGCATCCGACGTAGCCTCGCTGCGCTCTTCTTCCTCCGCCGATGGCGGTCGTTCGGGCTGCGGTTGAGATGGAGTCGGCGGTTTCTCTGGCGTCCTTGTCAAGTATTGTCAACCAAATATTGGTATAGAGGCTTACTTGTCGGAGCTGGGGCGGCAGCAGCTAGCGGCTCTACTTTGGGTAGAAAGGCCGAGTTGATGTCGCCAATACCGACGAAGAAGTCGTCTGCGGGGCATGAGTCTCTATAATAATCACAACCGCCGTAGTAGGAGCTCACATGGAATGACTTTGATAAGATTGGGGCTCCATTCCCACACGTCTGCTCGATCATCTATGATCACCACCATGGAAGTATCGCAAGGGAATAGGCGTTGCAGACTCTTCTGAGTTAGACCTATTTGCCATCAAGTTGAGACCACCATGCACTGTTAGGATGCTCACTTCCGCTCTCGTCTCTGCTTAGTATTCGGCCGCCGAAGATCTTGCTATCGGGATCAATGGCTGCACATACTTCCTCTGCATAGGCACGAGTACCCATGGTATAGACATGCATCTCATACTTCTTGGATAGCTCCTGGAAAAACTCCTTCCATCCGGGTCTGTGTTGAATTAGAAACAGATTGCCGGCTCAATAGATGTACAACGCACCGCGGCTTGACGTAATACAAGCAGCCGTCGTTCTCAATCAGCTTCTGCTTGCCTCTCTTCTGAGACTGTGGCATCACGAACGACTCCGGTCCGAGGCGGAAGCTCTTGACGTCCTTGAGCGCATCCCAGTTCGGGTTGCAGTCGTCTTCGTCCGAGGAAGCGGTCCCGTCTGAGTCGCTGCCGTCCTTTCTCTCATCCCTGGCCTTCTGTTTCTGGATGTGTTTCTGCTCCCACTGCTTGCCCTCGTTGATCCACTCTCCGACGGTGGGATCCACGGTAGCGTGAACGATAGTTTGGTCGAGATCGACGATGAGCGATAGCTTCCTTGACTTCAGGAGGTGCTCCGCGGTCTCCCTCTCAATCCTCTGAGCTTCCTCGAGAGATACGGTGGGACCGAAAGCGGAGTGGGTCATCTGAATAGACGCGCGAGATGCGTTCGAGAAGCCCGTATAATCATGGCTGAAACGACCTTCAATATCCGGCGCGCTCAACGGGCAGCAGTGCAAACTCACTCTGTCATATCCTTTCCGCACACTGCACACATTCCACCGACTTGGATGTCGTGCTTGCACGGTTCGTCTATCGTGACAATGACACGCTGCCTGGCCCGTTCGGAGGAGATCACGTCGCCGACCCGCACGCTCCAGCTCGCGAGCGTGCCTTCCACGGTGCAGTCCCATGTGCCAAAGCGTGTCTCGGGCTGCGTCTCCGAGGCTGCGGATACATAGATGAACGAGTACGAAAGCAGGCGAGCGCCGCGCTGGACTGAGTCTCCTGGCTGTGCGTCAATGGAGGCAATCTTGACGGGATATGGGAGGGTCGGTGGGAGATAAAACTCGGATGGATTCGACATGTCGGAGAAAGATGGAAGGGGTTTAGTGTCCAGAGGGTGGTCTAGCGTGCTGACGAGGTGCAAAACAGCTGAGGCTTGTAAGTCATGGGGGTTGGAACTGGATAGGGTGAGGACCGCGAGAGGGATACTGCTGCCGTCCAGCTGACCCGGTATTGTTGATCGACCGCGTTTGGCAGTTACAAGACGCCGCCTGCTTTACTCAGAAACTCATTAGAAACTACTAGTGTAAGTTGACTACTCTCAAGACATTGTCTTACCCTCACGCCTACGCGCCTTTGCCCCAGTGATGCTGATGTCCACGCCTCTCTTCTTCTCAACTATCGAGGTCACCAAGCAGGCCTTCCATCGGACTGCTCTGTCGTATGCCATAGTCAACCTCAAGCCACTCGTGCCCGGGCGTAAGTCAGACTCGATGTTGCCATCGCTCTCATGAGACCATGTCACTCCTGCAAAGCGGCCTGACCACAAGGTTTGCATTTCGCCCTCTCTCAGATGTCCTTGTCATCCCAACGCGGCCCGTCGCCCGCCTCACCGATCTCTCCCCACCTGAACTCACGTCTCTCATGACCTCCGTCCAGAGCGTCGGACGTGTCGTTGAGAAAGCGTACCAAGGCGATGCATTGACCATTGCATGCCAAGTAAGCCTCTAACCCGAGCAAATATCCATTGTTCTCATGGCTTCTCCTGTCAGGACGGACAAGCTGCTGGCCAATCTGTATCCCACATCCACTTTCATGTCATGCCTCGGAAAGCTAAAGGCGACTTCTTCTCCCGCAACGATGACATATACCCCGCCCTAGAGTCCTCTGAGGCTCATCTTCAGGATGACCTTACGACCGTTCAGCAACAGAATTTCCAACCATTGCGCGTAGACGCAGACGAGCTGCGGCCAGCTAGAACCATGGAGGAAATGGAGAAGGAGGCCAATTGGCTGAAGACCTTCTTTTCTTAACGCCAACTTTTAGATCTATATTGGAACTCATACATGTAGATGCTAGAAATCTATATCTTCTAGGGTACTAATCTATTGGTTTCTAACGTCCGAGCAATACGCTCATCTACAGAGCAATCCACTTATTGATAGGCATCGCCCCATGCCGTCTCCACCTCCTTGTGACCACATCGGAGAGCATGCTCGCTTCCTCCTGCGCCTACTCCTGAAAGGCACAAAAGAGGCGTCCTCACCGCAGCAAGCTCTGCTATCGCCCCATCGAAGTATTCAGCATCAGGTATATCCTCCAATCCATCGAAACCCTCCCCAGATATAGTTTCCTCGGTGAACCGCATAACCTTGATCTTGTTCTTCCATGACGTGTGGAGCCGATTGCGTACCGCGAACACCTGCGTGATACCGTCTTCCCAGCCTTCCTCAAACTCGCCACGAGCGACTTCGTACTCCGCGTCCGGTTCGGACGTATTAATGCTCGAAATCTTCGGCGTCGATGGATAAATGCGAACCTTGACCACGTTCGTCCCACCAGGAGGTCTGGCAGGCGGTGGGGCCTGTGCTGAAGAAGACGACGGCTCCCGCAAGGATATAGTAGCCGTGGCCACACCCTTTCGACCTGCCTTGGCCGATCTCCTATACATAGCATTCTGCACTGCGGCTGGCGGCGCTGGGGCGGGACTTAAAGATGGGTTACGCTCAAGCCAGGTTTTGAGTTTCTTCTCTCGGTCTTTCGCCCGTTTGACGGTGCTGAGCGCGCACGCCTTGCCAAGCGCTGACCAGCCCCCTCGAAGGGCGATCACCCGCCCGACGTCGCAGCGGTCCAGGACAAGATGGCGCAGGTCGGGGAAGCTCGATGTGATAACCTCGATATCGTTAAGCGAGATGTTGCATGTCGACAGATCGAGCAGGTCCAGGCGGGGGACGGATTTCGTCACGTTGCAGATGAACCTCACGACCTGGCGGGACGGGACGGATATTCGGAGGGATATGAGGGGTCGGAGGCAAGGCGAATTGATGAGAGTGGTCAGGGGATCGAGCCGGAAGAAAACGAGTGGCTGCGCGAAGCGCTGCTGCTTAGATATCTCTGCGTCCAGCGGGTCTTGTACGATGGACAGTCTCGCCAGCGAGGACGTCGGCCAGGCAGCCAGCACGGTGAGAACGGGATCGTAATATGCTCCCTAGACAACAAGATCATGAAACTAAATGTCTCAACATAACATCAATACTGCTTGCCTTCAGGAACTGGTAATAAGTAGCCCTCTGCACACTACACGCTCTCAATGTATGACCACACAAACTCTATCGTGACGACTCACTAGGGTCGAAAACGAAGCACGAGACATTTGAGGTCAGGAAGTGGCTTTTGAACGAGCTCTTGAACATGCTCAGGACCGAACGTCAAGCCGATGTGTACGCGAAGTGTGATGATCGAAGGAAGGAGCTTGATGAGATTGATGACCACATCCGGATCAAGAGTCCAGCTGTGCAAAGACAGATGATGGACCCACGAACGTTCTTCTGTTGCTCGATGCAAGCGACGATGTAGTTGAACGACCTGTTCAGGACGGGATATCTGAACAGTTCTGAGCAAGAGATGGAGAGGAACAGGCGATCGCGGAATGGCCCGAGACAGGGATAGAAGCGTTGGCGTGAGGTCGTCCGCTGAAAGATGACCAATTATGGTCTCGTAAAGCTCGACTGGCAGGTCTGCCAGAAGAGCAAGGGATCCATCTGGCATATGAACGTATCAACGGCAGCAAGGACAACAAGGACGTATGCATTGCTCCTTAGAAGCCTCTGCATCATTTGTCGCGTGCACTTCGGACGCGGAGTCATTGACTCATCATCATCCTGGGCCCAAGCTCCTTAGGGCTTATCAACTCGGCAGTTTACTTACTAGCTCGGCACTCTAGGTACACCTCTGCAAATACAATAGAGCGCAGAGTGCGCTGTGAGGTATAGAAAATTCTCTCAATGGAGCGAAAGCAGAAAATGTAGTGATGATATTCAGATCATGAGAGTACAACAAACAACAATTCTTCCAACAATGCTTTGACAACAATCGATGCACGAAGAGTAGAGATTGCTTAAAGCTTGTCGTAGTACGTGTCGAGGGGAGGAACATCGGGCTAGAGAAGTCGATTAGATCTCATATTATGCCTCAAGTTGTGTTACTAACCTTGAGACCCTTGCGTGTACGGATACCCCTGACAATCTCCTCGAGCTTGCTGCCCTTGTCCAGGGGAGCTGGATGAACGTCAGTAAGGTGCTCAAGCAACATGCCACTTCGGAGTACGCACTTCCGTTCATGATTTCCCAGTGATCGAAGACACTCTGAGGGAAGGCCTGGCCAGCAGTTTGTGACCGGAGGTCACCGTTGAAGCCGAACGACTCCATGACGGGCAGGTAAGCCTTGACGGTGAACATGGGGGTTCCGGGTCTTTGCTCTTCGCTGAAAACCTGTCCACGACGTCTGTTCAGGACACTGTAGATACCACCAATCGCGTTCTCAGGGCACTGAATCTCGACTGAGACGAGTCAGACCAGAGTTAAAAATTCAGTAAAATGTGCATACCCAAGAAGACGGGCTCCTGGAGACCTGGCTCAGCAAGGAGACACGCAGCATAGGTGACACGACGGCAAGTGGGGATAATTTGTCCACCACCACGGTGAATAGCATCAGTGTGGAGCTAAGGAGGGATGAGCGCTTATGTAACTAATGAAAGTGTGGTGACTTACCGTAACATCAAGAACGTTGATGCGGACACCACGCATGTTCTCCTCGGCACAGACACCCTCCTTGGTGGCCCACTGGAAGGCAGCGATACACGAATCCTTGATTTCGTTCAGGTACTGAACACCCTTGGTGACATCAACGAGCAAGTTGGGACCAGTGGTGTCGGGACCGAAGCACCAAATCTTCCTGGCATCGGTGACATCCCAACCATACTCATCAGCGAGGATACGGGCACGGGCCTTGAAATCGTCGCGGGCATTGACCTTGCCTTCCTCGATCGCCTTGGTGAGCTCCTCATCGAGGGGCTGGGCCTTGGCGTAGAGACGGTTGTGCTTGTTCTGAGACTTCGAGAGGGCGACAATCGAAGACTCGGCCTTGACCGTCTCACGGTAGGCGACGACAGGGTCGGAGATCTTGAGGGGAACACCAGCATGGTCTTCTTGCAAGTCCTTTCGATGGGTTAGTACAGTATATAAACAACTAAATCACAATAGCGTACCTTCAAGCAAATCTCCAAGTGCAACTCACCAGCACCGGCGACAATATGCTCACCAGTCTCATGAATCCAAGCTTGCACGCAAGGATCTGACTTGGTGAGACGCTTGAGACCTTCGACAAGCTTGGGGAGATCAGAAGCGTTTTTCACTTCGACAGCGACCTGGACGACAGGGGAGACGGAGAACTTCATGACCTTCATGTTGTGGGCAGTCTCCGAAGAGGTAAGGGTACCGTTCTTGAGCAAGAACTGGTCAATGCCGACAAGACCAACGATGTTACCAGCGGGACAGTCTTCAATAGGCTCGATGTAACGACCCATCATGAGAACAGTACGCTGGATAGACTTGACGAACAAGTCGTCCTTCTTACCAGGGACGTAGTTGGGACCCTGGATGCGGATCTTGGGGCCAGAACGAACGGTACCGGAGAAGACACGACCGAAGGCGTAGAAGCGTCCCTTGTCGGAAGTGGGCACCATCTTCGAGACGTAGAGGACGAGAGGACCCTTGGGGTCACAGTCTCTGATACCGATGGCGGACTCATCGTCCATGGGACCCTCGTAGAGGGTCTCCACACGGTAGCGCTGGGCGGTGTGGGGAGAAGGAAGGTTGATGACAATCATTTCCAGTAACGAGTCGCCGGCGGGGAGGAACTTGCGCATCATGACCTTGAGGAGAGCTTTACCCTCGAGATCACGCTCTTCCTGGAGGAGCTTGATGTCAAGCTTCTCAGCCATGATGGGGATCTGGTCCTTCTTGTAGTTCATGACGGCATCGAAGATCTTGAAGATAGGGTCGAGGACGAACATGTTGAAGGCACGCTCCAGCTGCTTGCCATCGGCATCCGCCGACTTGGTGGTCCACTTGCGGGTGGCAGGGTTGAAGTAGTTGTCACCCCAGAGCTTGGCCATCATCTTGTCCTTGTCGACACCGAACTTCTTCGCGTAACGACCAGCGAACTGACGGAGGGTGAAGCCCCATCCGTGGAGACCAGAGCCGAAGGCAACGGTACCCTTCTCAGGGTAAACCTGGACGTCACCGAGGGCGGCGTCGTGGTACGTGGAGATGATGACGTTGACAGTCTCGATAGTACGCTGGAACGACTGGTAGAGATCCTCCTTCCGAACCTGGAGCTCAAGAAGGGCGCGGTCGACCTTATTGATGATGATGACGGGCTTGATACGCTCAGTGAGAGCCTGGCGCAGGACGGTCTCGGTCTGGACGCAAACACCCTCAATACAGTCGACGACGACGAGAGCACCATCAGTAACACGGAGAGCAGCCGTGACTTCTGATGAGAAGTCAACGTGTCCGGGAGAGTCGATCAAGTTGATCAAGAACTCATTACCTAGAAACAAGTAAGCCACAGTTCGTGTTTGATAGAAATCAAGCGTACCCTCCGTCTTTTGTCTTGTTGTTACAGCTTCCAAGTCATCCTTTTCGATCTCGAAGTACATCGAAATAGCAGTCGACTTGATCGTGATACCACGCTCTTTTTCGTCCTCTCGTGTGTCCGTAAACCGCATGTCACCGGCCTTGGCGCTGGCAATGATACCAGCCTTCGAGACCAGCGAGTCGGTGAGGGTAGACTTTCCGTGGTCGACTAAGAGAATTTATCAGATTCGAGCTGTCGTGAGAATGGAAGGGCTTACCATGAGCAATGACACTCATGTTACGGATGTTCGTGGGGCGATCCATGAGCCCACGGATCTGGTCTGTGGTTGGACCATGATGAGTACACTACGGGAAAAAGAGGTGGAGTAAAGTCGATGCTTGCCTATGGTAAAGTTACTGTCATCATCAACAGGGGTGATCAGTACGACGGACGAGCAGGGAGAAGGAGAGAAGCTACTGACACCATGGTTGAAGGATTTTACAGGTATGAACAGATAAAAAATACAGAGAAACTGGGTTTTGGTGAGAGGAGAAGGTGAGTCGAGGAGGGCACCGAAACCGCAGAGACTCGGTGAAGAGGGCTAAGTTTTTGTGCGCGGGTCTAATCACCCAGCTTATCGATCTTCTTTAGGGCAGGCCAGATATTCAAGTGGCGCTTCTCAACAACTTGTCCCTCAACTACTCGCATGCATTGCTTATATATGCGCGGTCGCCGCAATGTTCGCTCTCTCAGGAGTGCTTCATGATGCAGGATATCACCGGTACAGCAGTGTAACTGATATAGACTAACTTGTCGGTCGGGTGGCGGCAGCGGGAGCGCTGCGATCTGATTTAAACTTTTACATTTTTATTTCACAATATTTTGGCTGATCTCCTGAAACTGGAGTGTCATTTACCAGCAAATGATTAGCTATAACTTTGATATGTAATCTATGGGGATCGACGTTGCACGATGGCTCAGCGAACGTTGATGAGGTGTTGAGCGTTGGTTAGGATAAGATGCCTCATGAGTCAGCGCGTTTGACCAATTGCAAGTGCGGAACCTGACGGGAATTTGACGGAGACCCGGGAAGTAGGCAGCGACGGAAGGCGGGACCCCTGATAGTGCACTCTGCGCAGGTGACTTTGTGAATTGCCCGAGTCAAGATCTAATCACGCCCAAGGAGGATTTTATTTGGATGAGGCTTCCGATAACTCTTGCCCTCCAGACCAGATCTCCCCTTGTCTCGCGAGCCTATCCCCGTCTCCGCCTCCAACGGTTCGCCTCCAACATGTCTGCACCCTACGACGGCCCGTGGACTGCACGCAACGTCCGCCAGGCTTTCTTTGACTTCTTCACCTCCAAAGACCATACCTTTGTCCCGTCCTCCTCTACCATCCCCTACGATGATCCGACTCTCCTCTTCGCAAACGCTGGCATGAACCAGGTACGTGCTCTCCGATCGCGTCGCGTCTGACCTTCTCTCATATGCCCTCAGTATAAATCCATATTCCTTGGCACTGTCGATCCCAACTCAGAACGAGGCAAGCTTAGACGCGCATTTAACAGCCAAAAATGTATCAGAGCAGGCGGAAAGCACAACGGTACGTCTCCTTCGTCCTGTGCTGCAATCCCTACTAAAACAGACCTCAGACCTCGAGGACGTCGGCAAAGACTCGTACCACCACACTTTCTTTGAGATGCTGGGTAACTGGTCGTTCGGAGACTATTTCAAGGTACGCGTCTTTTCCTTTTATAACTTCGTGGCGATAATCAGAACATACTAGAAAGAAGCTATCACTTACTCCTGGGAAGCTCTGACCAAGGTCTACGGCCTTCCTAAAGAGCGCCTCTATGTAACCTACTATGCCGGTGACCCCAAGGCTGGAATACCGGCAGACGAGGATGCCAAGCGGTATTGGCTTGAGCAAGGCGTTGATCCAAGCCATGTTCTACCCTCGACGGGTAACTTCTGGGGTATGTGTCGCGTGCCTCCGCTAAAAAGGCTTCAAATGACGCCCTGTTAGAGATGGGCGCTACCGGCCCATGCGGGCCTTGCAGCGAAATCCACTTTGACCGTATCGGAGGACGCGACGTCGCCCACCTAGTCGATGGCGACGACCCGACTGTCATCGAAATCTGGAATAACGTGTTCATCCAATTCAACCGCGAAGAAGACGGCTCGCTTCGCTCACTTCCGTCCAAACACATCGACACGGGCATGGGCTTCGAGCGTCTCGTCTCCATCCTGCAAGACAAGAGGTCGAATTACGATACCGACGTGTTCACCCCGCTTTTCGACAAGATCCAGGAGCTCACGGGCGCGCGTCCATATGCTGGCAAGTTCGGCGACGAGGACGCAGACGGCGTTGATACCGCTTACCGCGTCGTTGCTGATCACGTCCGGACACTCGCGTTTGCTCTGAGTGACGGTGGCGTGCCGAACAACGTCGGTCGCGGCTACGTCCTTCGTCGCGTCCTTCGCCGAGGTTCGCGATTCGTCCGCAAAAAGCTGAATGCGCCGATTGGATCTTTCTTCTCATCCCTTCTCCCCGTTGTGGTGGAGACGATGGTAAGTGAGCCTCGACCACAGCCATTGACACGATCTCATGTGTGTGCAGGGTGATGCATTCCCTGAGCTTACGAAGAAGCAAGACGAGATCAAGGAGATTCTTGATGAAGAGGAGGAGTCCTTCTCCCGCACGCTGGACCGTGGCGAGAAGCTCTTCGAACAATACGCCACTAAAGCCAAGGAGCAGGGTCTCAAAGAACTTCATGGTGGTGACATCTGGCGCTTGTACGATACCTACGGCTTCCCGGTGGACTTAACGCGGCTTATGGCGGAGGAGCACGGCTTGTCAATCAACGAGAAGCAGTTTGAGGAGGCGCAGGAGGCATCGAAAGAGGCGAGCAAGGGCTCTTTCAAGAAGGACAAGGGCGCTGCCGTCAAGCTCGATGTCCACGACCTTGCTGCATTGGACGCTAACGACGCCATCCCGAAAACCAACGACTCCTTCAAATTCCGTATGTTCTCGTTCCATCTCCCACCGTCTACTTCGTGAATACTGAAAACAATAAACCCAGAACTTGGTAATATCAATGCTATCGTCAAGGGTATCTACCACGACAAACAGTTCCTCTCTTCTACATCCAACATCCCTGAAGGCGCCACGTTCGGTGTCCTCCTCGATCGAACAAGTTTCTACGCGGAGGCTGGTGGTCAGGAAAACGATACGGGCAACATCGTGATCGACGGTGTCGCCGACTTCGAGGTCACGAATGTGCAGTCGTATAGCGGATACGTACTACACACCGGACACCTGAAGTATGGCCAACTGAATGCCGGAGACGACGTCATCTCCTCGTATGATGAGGTAACTAGAACATCTGCCCACTCAGGCTGCATAGGCTAAACTTCACAACGTTTACAGCTGCGTAGATGGCCACTGAGAAGCAACCACACCGCCACGCACATCCTCAACTACGCCCTCCGGGAAGTGCTCGGCGACCACATCGACCAGAAGGGCTCGCTCGTCGCGCCGACGAAGCTCCGTTTCGATTTCTCGCATAAAGCCCAGATCGGCCTGAAGGAGCTGCAGCAGATCGAGACGATCAGCATCGACTGGATCAAGAAGAACGTCAAGGTGTACACCAAGGACCTCACGCTCGAGGAGGCGTACAAGATCCCTGGCGTCCGCGCTGTCTTTGGGGAGGCGTATCCCGATCCCGTCCGTGTGGTCGTGCTTGGATACGATGTCGACGAGATTGCCAGGAATGTGGAGAACCCGCAGTGGCGGAAGACCAGTATCGAATTCTGTGGTGGGACGTGAGTCGCTCGTATTGTTTAGAATCTCGCTCAGTCGTATTGACAAGAAACTGGTCCATAGCCATGTGGCGAAGACGGGCGACATCAAGGAGTTTGTGATCATTGAGGAGTCGGGCATTGCTAAGGGTATACGGCGTATCATCGCTGTCACTGGTCAGGAGGCGCAGGAAGCTTCGCGCATTGCCAGCTCGCTCAAGACGCGCCTTGATGAGCTTGAGCGGTCGAGTGGAAAGGAGAAGGACGCTGGCCTCAAGGCACTCACTGTGGTATGTCCAGACCCTGTTGCTTCTGTCCAATAACGCTAAGACGAAATAGGAACTTGGTCAAGCAGATATCTCTGTTCTGCTCAAGGCAGAGTTGAAGGACCGCCTCGCTTCCGTGCGGAAAGCTCTTGACAAGCAGATTAAGGAGAAGGAGACCGCTCTGAACAAAGAGGTCCGTTCCCCCTCCTGTTGGCATCTAATCTGCTTTTGACCACCTGTCAACTACCAGGCTCTGAATGCGCTGGCCAAGCACTTCGAAGAGAACCCCAACTCTGAGGGTTACTTCGCTGCTATCGAGGTCGACGGCAATGCAAAGATCCTCCAAAACATTGTCATGCAGGCCAAGAAGCTGAACAAACCCGCCTACGTCTTCAGCGTAGACCCGGAACGCACCAAGGTTGCACATGCCAACTTCGTTCCGGAAGGCGCACGGTCGAAGGGCTTCACTGCGAAGGGGTGGGCATCGAAGATCGGCGAGGTTATCGGTGGAAAGGTAACGTTGATCTCAAATCAATCTAGCCATATGCTTATTATGTTTTCCGTTGCAGGCTGGCGGCAAGGACGAGAGCGCTCAGGGTGTCGGCGCGAACGTTGACAAGGTTGCGGAGGCTGTAGTCCTCGCGAAGGAAGTTTTCATCAGCAGCAGCACATAAAGGGTGGTACGATATGATTGGGTTTAGGAACTACTTAGATATGATAATACGATGTTCTTGCTATCTCGTTTCATGTGTTTTGAAGCAGTGTACGGTATCTAAAAACCGTAGAAGCTGTGCTAGTAGCACTCACCAAGTTTGGAGGTACGAACTTTCAACTACCATGGGAACAACTGACTTGATGAAACTGTTGCTGACTCGACTCCGGGGTATAAAGGCCGTCAGGTACTACAGGCAAGACTCACTGATACCCCAAAGATGCGTCCGTTGCAGATCAACGAAAAGACCGGCGAGCCTTTCCTCCGCCTTCCCGCTCCTCATGACCGAATCATCCTGACGCCGCCCCGCGAAAGCGACAAAGTCAACATTGTGCCCATCCTGAACGATGAACGTGTATGGAGATGGCTGCAGGGCCCGCCTGTGCCTTATCTCCCCGAGCACGCAGACCTATGGATCGATGGTAGCGCGCGAGAGTGCCAGGATGTCCTGGAGGAGCTAGAGGCAGACACGAGCAAGCCCGGAGAGCCAATAAAGCTGGTGGAGATGTGCCCGGCGAGAATGCTGCGCGAGGTGCAGGAGGACGGGAGCGAGGTGTACATTGGGGATATTGGGATCGTGCGGTCGAGGATGGATCATATTCTTGACCCCTTGGAACGGGCGGAGAGGATTAAGGAGAACGAGGAGAAGGAGTTGGGCGATCTGACAATTCTGTGGACGTTTCAGTGTGCGTGATTTTTATCATGACGTACTAGCTATGCAGAGACTGAGAGAGCGAGACAGACTACCTTGCGCCGAGCCACCACGGCCGCGGGATCATTCCTGCTGCTCTGGGTGTGATCCGGGACCAGTGGGCAATCCCGCGGATGGGAGCGAGGCACATTGTCGGGTATACGTTTGCGGAGAATAAGGCGAGCGCTAGAGTGTTTGAGAAGTGCGGATTTGTGTTCAGGGGTCAGTTTGACAATGGGACTGTGGTGAGGGGGGAGAAAAAGGAGCTGAACTGGCTCGAGTGGACGTATGTTGAGTAGTCATGTTTTAAAGTACTGTGCAATGCTGGGCATTGTTATACGAAATTATTGTTTGCAACCAAGAGTAAGAGTATGTGAAGGTGGTCCACTGCGGAGAAGGATGGAGAGAAGCTGTGCTGTATTGCCGTGTTTATGCGCAGCCGGGTACGACGGGCGGCTGTCAAAGTGAAAGCTGTGCAGTGTCAGTAGGGTCTCCTTTAGCTGTGAAGCGCGTAAGGGCCAGGCTTGTTATAAGTCAACTCGATCCACAGCCGGTGCCCAAGACTTCCTCATCTCCTACACCTAGGACATCCTCGTCCACCGATTACCCGATCATGTCCATTCTACGGCCAGCAACACCCGGCTTCATCGTCACACTCATCGCAACTATTCTTCTCGCGGTCGTCTCCTTCGGTGTCCCACTCCTCAAATCCATCTACTTCCTCAAAGCATCTCTCGCCGTCGAGGGCATCAGCGGAAACATCACATTTGGCACTCTCGGATACTGCATAGAATCATCTGCAATCTCGACCTGCTCAAATGCCACAGTTGGTTACGAGCTCGGTACGCACACGGCAACCGTTTCCTCCCAGCTCCACTTCTCACAGTCCATCCTCTCCCAGACATCAACCAACTCGTAGGAAACAATCTCCCCGTCCAGATCCCAGAGGTGCTCGTAAAATGGGTTACTTATGCCCTCGTCCTCCATATCGTCGCTTTCGGCCTCGCAGCCGTCTCTGCCATATTTGGTCTCCTCGCCCACGTCCGTGAGATGTCCATGACCTGCTTCAGCAGCTGTATCTCCGGCTTTGGCGCCGTCGTCGCCCTCCTCGCCTTCATATTCGATCTTGTATTTTTCTTTGTCGCCAAATCTCGTCTCAACAGCGTCCAAGGTGGATCCGCATCCATAGGCAACGCCGTCTGGCTCACTCTCGCAGCCTGGGTCCTCTTGTTCTTCAGTGGCTGCTTTTACACTGTCGGAAGATGCTGCATCCGGAGGCGATCTCGCAACGACTATGGTAACAATGAGGGTCCCAACAATGCCAACAATGGCTACGGCGAGCAGCTGCGCCTTGATGCTGTCAAAGCCGAGGCTGATCGCAAACAACGTCAGCAACAGGCAGAGAAGGGTCTCCCTGCGTTCCAAGAATACGATCCGGCTCAGCCGCTCAAGCGTGCCTCTGCTGAGGATATGTACCTCGAGGAAGAGGACTCCGTTCCGTATCGCGACAACCAAAGCGCAACTACCGCTGGCGCCGCCGGGGTAGGCGCAGCTGGCCGTCGTCAGAGCCAGTCAGGCTATGCCGGAGGTGGATATCTGCAAGCGCCTGCTGGAACTCGCGCTGTCGACGAGTATAACAACACATCGTACCCCCCTCGGCCCTCTCGACAGGCAAGCTCACACACTCAGCACACACAAAGCGCTTCAAGCTACTATGCTACCCCGGCACCTCCCGCAGGCCCGTATGGAGCGCCCGGATCGCGTCCAATCACGGCATATAGTACAACACCCAGCAACTATCCTCAGGTTGACCCGTATGCTGCGCCTTACGGGCATGCTCAGGCAGGCTCCTCAGCATGTAAGACATCCATTCCCTTGCCTTCTTCGTATACTCACTTGGATACAATCTTTGTAGTCAGCGCACCCCCTCCGCAGCCCACATCGTATGCAATATACGATCCTTACGGCACCCGCAGTCCTCCTCCCCAGCAGCAGCACTACCAGGAGCCCTCATTTAACCCAGACACCTACAACACAACCGCCGCGATGGCCTCGCCTCCGCCCCAGCAGCGCAACTCGTATGCAGACCCGTACGGCGTGCAAAACCACCAGCAACAGCCGGATCGCGGCTACACCGTCGGCGGGTCCGGCTACGGCGGCAACACCGTGCCGCCGCTGAACGAGTACGCTCAGCACCCGCAGTCCCCCCAGCAGGACAACTCGTACTTCCCGCAACGCTACGCTTCACCACCGGCACAGGTAGCGTCGCCGCCTGGGCTGCACACGGCGGACCTTGGCGTCGCACCGCCATCTAACTTTAGTCCTACGAAGCCCAGGGGCCCACGGACGAGCATAATCGCATCGTCTTCGTCGCCGTCTCACGATGACGACCTTCCGCCCGATTACGCGTCGGGCCCCGTTCATCCTCCGGGCGAGTGGGCGTCGAAAGGCGGCGGGTTCCATTAAGCCTTTACTAATATCTTGTTATTCACTTAGTTACCACTTACCCGTCGTACTCTGTTTATGCACCGGACAATCTAGCTATTTTACTGATCGGACAGTCGTATAGCACTGCATCTCATGGCGTTGTGTATATATTGATTTGTTTTCTTATACCCTTGTATGGGAAAAGACATAATGGTAGTCGTTTTTGACGCCAAACTCCACCGACGTAGCGATATTTTGGTTTTTGAATGTCCTATAACACAGTGTGTTTGCCTCTGCGATGCTTCGAAGCCCGCGCTTGGGGTGGTTCTTCGAGCACGAGCAAGGCGAGGAAGTCGTCGACGAGCCCGGCGGCTATGATACTGGTCGTGTCGGCTTTGGAGTAAACAACACGTCAGATAATGTCCGTGTCAAGGTATAGCCATACTTACCATTATCGTATGCAGGAGCCACTTCCACAATGTCGGCGCCTCTGCACAATCCGGGTCAACAGGGAAGCTGATGGGCGAGGCAAAGTGGAGGACACAAACACTAGGTTTAAGCCTGTGAGACCTCGGAGAATGCGCTTGGTTTCTCTGCTCGTCCATCCTGCTGGCTCGGGAGTGCCAGCTGTGAGAGTCGGCGCCATAAGCTCGACGCTGAGGGATTTCAGGAGGTGCACTTACTTCCTGGTGCTTGCCCAGGGTCAATGGTATCGATGTCGAAGCTGATCGCGCAGTCTGAGAGGGGGCCCAGTTCGAGGACTGATGTATGGAGCGTACCTCAGGTAGACCGGGCTGTTACCAACGCGTTCCCGGATCTGCTCGACGATGTAGTCCGTCCCAAAGTCGTCGAGATCGTTAGCATGGAGCAGCTCAAATCCTACTTGCTCGTCGTGATCGATGATTTGCGGGCCCTACATATCGTCTCGTAAGCGTGCGATTCGATTTCCGGACAGCATATGACGACCGCGACCCCGGAATGCAAATCAGATGGCTTACCTGCACCTTCGTCCGAATACCCGCGTGAATGCTTGTGTTGGACATCAAGCCCTCCTCGTAAGCCAGGGTGAAGAAGGTGCCATGAGTGACCCTCGACTGTTCTGAGAAACCGCCGTCGAGGTTAGGCCACGTATCGATGTGCGCGTCAAAGTGAATGACAGAGATGGGTCCGTAGACTTTGTGCAAGGATCGAAGGATCGGCCAGACCTTCAACACAACATACAGTAATATAAGTATCAGCATACGTGCGCCGATACCCCCGAACGCACGATTGTGTGGTCCCCGCCTGTGAATCAACGGGGTTCAGTCGCAGACTTCATTAGCCTATTCCCATGTAGGCTACGCACCCAACGCAATGATCCTTGGATGCTCAACGGCGTCCCGAGCTAAATGAGCTGTTCGCGAAACGGAAGAATTGACAGGGCGCGAAATAAGTGTAGTATATGCCGTCTCAATCTGATCGACAGCGAGAGCATTGTCATACGGGCTGAGAGGGATCTTGATAGGAATACAGATTGGTCAGAACACTGTCGAGTGCGTACACCCATAACATATCGGAAACATACGTCACCACAATCTTGCACCTTTAGAGACAGATAGGGGTTCACGCCCCAGCTGAGATCGTGTCCCCACTCAGTGTTTTGACGTCGGGATCCAGTCCTGATTGCCGCAGGACCGAAGCGGGCGCCAGGTCGGTACGAAGTAGCCGTATCGAACGGCATACCCAAGATGGCAATGTCAAACACCTCAGAAGAGTCATCGAGGCAACGGGTGTAGGGCAAGTGCGCGAAGCTGAGAGGTCCTGTATAAGCCAAGTCGATTTGGGAGCCATACTTTGCAGCCCATGGCTCCGGCTCGTCGAGCACGGCGAGAATGTTCTGTGCATGATGATTGAGGTGAGCAGATGCATGGCACGCTAAGAAAAAGAGATATAGCAAGGACAGATCTTTCATGGTGGCACGCAGCATTAAGGTAGGCAGATTGAAGATAATGAAGTTTATGATCCACGTTCCCCAAGTTGTTATATTGTCTACAAATAGATGTGCTCCATGTGATAGATGTCATGTCGATACTCTCAGCGCGGCATATCTGAGAAGAGTTGATGCGAGGATTACAGTTCGTCCTTCACCGGAGATCTCCTGGGGGCCGGCGACTCTTGTGTTAGGAACATAGATAAGAAATCGTGGACGATATCAGCTGCAGCAATCCCTGTGACCTCGGCTAAAAGCGTAGAGTTAGCACGTTGACGCCTTCTCTCCAATTCATAAACTCGAGGAGCTCACCATGGTCATACGCAGGTGCAACTTCCACGATATCGGCGCCCCTTGATAAGCTGTCAGCACGGTGAAGAACAACATGTCGCTCGACGTACACAAAGTTCAAACCAGCTAAACCACGAATGATGCGTTTAACTTCCCTTGTGGTCCAGCCCCCAGCTTCGGGTGTTCCAGCTGAAACAGTCTGAGAACAGAGTCAGATGGCAGACTAAATGACTTACTTGCTGGTGCCAATCCAGGGTCTAGGGCACTCTTAGCAAGAACTTTCTCCAATTCATAGGCAAGGAAACATACCGATCACATCTATATCAAGACTGGGGCGAGTTAGTCATACAGAACAAAACATGAAGATGTTTTCCAAGCTCAATTGCGGAACTTACCTCAAATACACGGGAGAGTTTCCCACTCTTTTCCGGATCGTATCAATGATAGCAGTAACACCTAAGTCGTCTATGTCTTCCCCAGATATTATCTGGAACCCAACAGATTCGTCATTTTGAACGTCCCCCAATCCCTATGAGTCAAAGTAGATAAGCCCGAGACCATGGAAGGGATGAGATATTCAGTACCGCAAGTTTGCATCTGATGCCAGCGTGTACACTAGTATTGGAGATGAGACCCTCTTCGTTAGCAATGTAGAAAAAGGTTCCATGAGTGATACGGGACTGCTCGGTGACCGTTCCAGGATATCCAGCCCACGTATCCAGATGTGCGTCGAAATGAATGACAGAGATGGGGCCGTAGACCTTGTGAAGCGAGCGTAGAATCGGCAAGACAATTGTATGGTCTCCTCCCAGACTAGAAGAACGCGCATAATCAGCACTGAGGTTGTCGATGTCGATGAGTTCTACCTTATGACTCGGGGATGCTCCACGCCGTCCTTAGCCAATGCCGCGCTTGTGTCAGCCCAGGACGTCTCGTTCGATGCAAGAGGACGGTTCAGCAGCGTGGAGTAGGCAACTTCCATCTGATCGAGGGCCAAGGAATTATCAAATGGGATAATGGGTACCTAGAATGCGCCCTATAGTTCACTAAATGTTTAAATCGATCAGCCAAGTGTCCGTACATCACCGCAGTCCAGGATTTTGGAGCCTTGTTCATATGGGTTGTTGCCCCAGGCCAGAGTGTATCCTCGGCTTCCTCTTTGCCTTCTACTACCCGAGCGGATAGCATAAGGACCAAATCTCGCACCAGGCCTATATGAGGTTCCCGTGTCGAAGGGCATCCCGAGGATTGCTACGTCGAACTGGGCCGATTCATCCTCCAAACACCGAGAATACGTAAGGTGAGAGAACGCGAGAGGGCCAGAGAACGGTTGGTCTATCTGTTGCCCGTACTTGGAGAGCCAAGTCTCCCCGATAGATTCAATGGGCTTGAGAGGGATCTGTCCATGACTGCCTGATCCATGGTGTGCAAGTGCAGGGAGCAATGAAGCTAAAACAAACAGCGACGCCAGACGGAGGCGTTCGTGAACCATTTTGAGAAAAGTAGTGGGGGATATCGATCAACAGATGTTGGCTTCAAATGCTGCAGCGCTCGTACTCTCGCTGATGTTCCATTGAATTATAAGTGACGGTCATATGCATAAGCAACCCCGGGTCCGGACATCCACGGACTGAAGGAATGATAAGATGCCACCAACCCTCCACGCGCTTGAGGTTCTCGCTTATCTCGACCACGTTTTATGACACCTGACATGCGAAGACTTGATTACAAGAATGGAAACGCACAGTAATAATGATACAAAATGATACAAAATGATACGAGATATCGATGGCCTGGTTAATGCTACATCAACGTTAGCCAGTACAAGTATGCGAGGTGAAGTACGAAATCAAAGTATGGAGAACGCATCACTGTTCGCGAGATCTTCGAGCAGCATTAACTCTCAGAGGTTGGATCGTCCACTGCCGCCGCTTCTGAGCGTTGGCACCATGCGGTGGTGGGTCCCGAGGATTGACGGTGATAATCCGAACTTTCCTAGCAAGGTCAGGGGAATCATCTGCCTCCCCTTCGATCCCTCGATCCTGCTCAAGCACTTCGTCTTCCTTCAAGTCAATGTCGCCGTCATAGACTTCTTCCGGTCTGGGGTGATGACTGGAAGGTTTTCCCGATATAAGCGAGAACGAGGTGTTGACGGCAGTCGAAAAGAACTCCGAGGCATTGTCAAATACGGAGCGCCGCTTTGTAATTGGAAGGGCTGCTAAGATATGAGCTTTCTGATTTGAAGCAGACGTCGAGTTGGATTGGACTGAATCATAATTCCAAGCACTTGTCACGATAATCTCCTTCGTTTGTCGAGAGTAAGCGAAACGTGGGAGTGGATGGGAATAGGCGTTGGGATAGGGCTGAGAGATAGGCCGTCGGTGACGCAATACCAACCGGTCATCTGTCAAAGGTAAGTTCAACCTGCCTCTCGAATAGGCGGCCAAACATACTTTCAATGTCCAGAGCATGTCCTGAAGACCTCGAACATAAAGCGCCAGATGTATCAATGAAGAAAACCTAGAAAGCGTAGGTATGTTTTGATAACAAATACCAAGACTTGGCCAACTGACCTGGTTATTGGCGTCAGGATTCCTAAGGCCTAAGAATTTCGTTCAGTATGTTCAATGTCCAGTTTGCAGGGTTAATAGAAACGAGGAACGCGAACTCACTTTCAACCAAGGACTTCTCTTTCTCTGGGTAAAGGATGACGTCGCCGCCGTCTTCTACCCAGTCCGCGGCAACATCGAGGAGGCGGCCTGTGGAATCGGATCTTATGACAAAGTATCCAGGGGGAAAGCCAAAGAGCTGAGAATCTGCGCTTGAACTCATGTGCATGAAAGCAAGATGCAAAGTGGCGGTACGCACTGCGTTGAGCTGCGCGGGCTTGACCTGGATTTGACCGCGTCATAAATTATAAGTCGGCTATGAATATTTGAATACCAAGTAAGGTATATTCTCCCCTGTCAATTGACTTAGCGTTTAACCTCAATTGCAAGTCTGTCTGAGAATCGAGTAGAAGTTCCTTCGGGTCCCTAATGACTGCATGGTATAGTGCACTAGGACCTACACATTCCTAACCCGACAGAGAATCTCTCCACTGAGTACAGCAAACCATCCGTCTTCGCTCTCTCCCCATGCTTTCCAAGCCTCTGACATCCTCTTAAGATCCTCATCGCTTGCTAACCCCTTCTCAACAGCATTCGTAGCGAAAGAGGATGCCAAGATGCGCTCCGACCAGAGCCCACTCCACCACGCGCGTTCCTCAGAAGTGCTGTAGCACCAAGTGCTGGCGGTTGAAGTAACGTCCGCCTTAGGAAACAACGCCTTGAGAGCCCACGAGAGGAGCTGCCGTCCTGCCGTCGGATCTCCGTTCAGGGAGCGTGCAATGCGCAGGTGCAAGGCCAGCCAGTCCGTCATGCCCTCGTTTTCAGGAAACCAGGTCATGGACGCGAAGTCCACCGAGCGCACAGCGACGATGCCGCCGTCCTTCGTAACCCTGCGCATTTCCTGAAGAACTTGCACCGGATCGCCGACATGCTGCAGGACTTGATGCGCATGCACGACATCGAACGTCCTGTCTGCGAAAGGCAGCTTGGTCACATCCCCAACATCGAACCCGACGTCCTTCATCCCGCGAGATTCTGCAGCTTCCCGGGCCTTGTCTATGACGTCTTGTGCGTTATCAATGCCAAGAGCACGTCCTTCCGGAACTAGAGAGGCAAAGTCACAGGTGATGGTCCCAGGACCACAACCAACATCCAGTATGTGCATGTTGGGTCGTATGTGTGGGATGAGATACCCCGCTGAGTTGGAAGCTGTCCTCCAGCTATGGGATCGAAGAACAGACTCATGGTGTCCATGTGTGTAGGTGGCGAGTCCTGGTCCTCCAGCTTCCATGATAGCGAACAGTGAGGTGGGCAGATGCTTATCAAAATGGTCATGTCAAAACTGCCAAAGGTTCGGGACCTGTTCTGTTACACGCGATCTGTCAGGAGGATAGACTCATCTCTTTGCTCAACATTGAAACTTGTGCCTGTAGGAGCAATGCGAATGAATGAAAGTCAGCCAACAAAAGTTGGTAGTGGTACATAATGATACAGATAAAACCGAATTTTTACAGCACATGAACATCTACTCCAAGTCCTCGTCAGTCTAATCGTCGTCATCTTCGTCTTCAATGGCAGTGTAACCTCCAGGGATGCGCAGAGCGGCACGCCTAGCTGCTCTTTCCCCTCTTTCCAACTTCTGCCTTTCGACATGATCTTCAAGACTTCCATTCATCTTGGATAGCCCCTTCCATTCATGCCGAGCAACAATGCTTCCATGATCATTGCGCCCTTCCCAGCCAGCGCTCATCAACACGGGTGTCTGAAAAGGATGAGAGCATAGCCCGAGAGCAGCAGTGATGCACGTACCGTAGAGCTCCAGCTTACGTCGCGTACACAAAGACCACCTTGCCTTCCGCCAAGTGGGGGCAATTCAGGACCTGACGGGTCATATGACATCGGCAGAGTTTGTGACCTATCGAGAACTTGGACAACTTGTCCATCCAAGGACCAAATCTAGCACGAACGTCAGTTGATCAAGGGAGGTTAAAGCGTTTATACTCTTGACGAACATGTATCTTGCCATCGGCCGATCCGGAGTATATATACTGCGAACCAGTGGTCTCTGCGGGACTAAAATGACATCGAATGAGTGTTCTCAGGACAGCATGACCTCTGTATGTCATGACACTGCAATCGTGGGGATGTGCGGAGCGCTTTAGCTTCGGGTATGTCCCATAACTATGAAAGATGTGAGCATGATCTTGAGGAATCGATAATGAAGTGCCAATACCGATAATCGAAGCCACCCGACCGGTAGTCCCTGCCAGCTCCTCCACTCTCAAACTCCTCGTTACCACACATTTTGCGTAAATCCCATAGCCGAAGGGCCTGATCTTTACCATTGGATATGATATAGCGTCCATCACCCTTGGCTGATACGTTTGTTATGCCTTCGGTGTGACCGACCAGAATACCGGATGGCTTCGGAGATGCACCAAGTGAACGACGGTCCCTGGTTCTCAGCTTCAATAGCATGCTCACACAATTAGGAGGGCGTCCTACCAGACTTTGAGGAACGTATCGTCAGATGCGCTAATCAGGACATTCCCAGATGCTGTATCTGCCCAACAACAACTGTTCACGTCATCTTCGTGAGCATGGATTTTTACTGTTCTGCGGTCTGCCAGCAGATCATAGACTAGACAAATGAGACTGTCAAAAATCGGATAGGAAAACGTGGCGTAGACTTACCAAGAATTTGACCGCTTCCACCTGCTATGACTTCATTCCCATCTGCAGAGAATTTGCAGCTCCAGATGCCAAAGGAATCCTCATCATAGAACCCCCACATTGTACGAGGTTGTCTCCGTCTAGAATCACCGAAATGGATCGGTGTCTGAGTCGCTGACGAATCAAAGGTGTTCGTCATATACACAGTCGGTGTCTAAACAGAATGAGCACATAGAATAGTCAAACATAGATCGGAATTACCAGAGACGAATATATCATTCTGTAGGTTAAAATGAGAAAGCAGACTCGGGAGAGGGTAGAGACACAGACCTTTCGTTGTCAGGACTAAGGTGCGAATCCGTGATGGTCCATCGTCCAGGAGCACCTCGGATGGTCTTGAGAACCTTTAATGAGGTTTTGTGCCCGTGATCGTCATCATAGGAGCGTAACGAGCCACGATTAAGATGTGGGCGTCGCCCCGGACCCATACCGGAAGGTGGTGCAGTCATGTCATACATGTGAAGGCGGAAGTCTGGGATCCAGAGGGTCAGGAAGATCATGCATACAGGTTCGTTGACATCAATACCTTGACAGCAAGTGTAATAAAACGAGGAATCTGCGGTAACGTGAGTTCGTTATCTGTGATGGCCCGGGAAAGTGAGCTTCCTTACCAGCAGAGAACTGCCCACAGTATGCATTTGCATCATAACTTGCGACTGCGGTGCCATTGGAGTTGGGGATCAAATTCTATCCGACGGTAGGGTGGTTAACTCAGTGAACAACGATGAATGGAGTGAATCGTACATGCGCGATATCTTCCCTCTGGATGGGCGCATGCCGCCGAGAAGATCGATGAAGAAACCGCCTCGCCAGATTTCGTTCGCGTCTCTTGAAGGGAAGTCTATCAGCAACGCGACCATATTCTCCGCTCATCAACATCTCAACACCCTTCTTCTGGGGTTCTCGATGGGGCAACATGAAGCCAGGACGCGCATCGCTCCTACTCTCATAGACATAATTGTCGTCGTCATCATCCTCAAGGTCTTCGTCGCCCTCTTCATCATCGTCATTGGTGTCCGTCGTTGCATGAGCTCCCAGAAGACGACCCAGATCTAGAAGCCCGACATTGGAAACGCGAGCTTGAGTATTAGTGGTTTGCATACCACTATTCCCAACAGAGCCTTGTTGGAGATCAAAAAGAGCTAAGCGGGAGAGATCAGCAAAGCAAGAAAATCTGAGCGTATCCAGCTCACAGCGTAATATTTGGGCTATCGAATTCCCGGGGGCAAGCGCTCCGCCCTCCTGAGCCTGCTCTAGTTCCTCTCTAGCGTCCTCTATGTCGAAATCTAGCTCATCATCGTCAAGAATGGCATCTGGGCCATCGTAGGCCTCATCGTCGCTGTGAATATCGTTGCTGCCGCCGTCCATGTTGTCCGCGGGCTGTATGGAGCTGGAAGTGATGAGAAGGCAGGTCGACGGCTTGCTCAGCTATAGGTGCATGATGACACCGACCTGGTGTGTCATCGTAAGGGGTCTCACGTCCCATAAATAGCAGTCGATGGCCTGCCAGATCGAACTTCCATGGGAGATGTCCGGCCCGTAGAAAACCTCATCGGTCTCACTTGGATGCAGAAAGCTGCACTGCGGGCGTCTAAGTCGGATTTTGCGCTTGTCGATAGATTGTGAAGACACCAAAGAACGGACGCCGTGCGTAGTTGCATGCAATAATAAGATCTATACGATGACTCTAGACACAGTTGAGTCTGATTGCAGCAGTACTTAGAGAACTCACATTTGAGTAAAGATTCTGTGTTACCTCTCGAGGTCAACAAGGGTTGAGAAAAGGTTGCCGAGTGTCTCCGTTTACCCTCCATTGAATTAGAAGAAGCATCCAGTGAAATAACCCAAATGAACACTGTCAGTAAATTTAGTATCAAAACTAAGATTACACGGCACGTGACCTCCTAAGCCCCACGTGCCTGCTATGTCCACTTATAGTTGTTTCCCATTCGTTCCTATACTGACGTTCGAGTCTTCGTGAACGTGGATTCCTGTCGCGTATGCGTGCAACAATGGCCCCACCGATCCTTATAACAGCTGATGAGCTCAACTGTCTGATACACGCTTACTTTGTTGACTCAGGTAGGGTACCATCATTTGCGCCCAATACCTTGTCCTCACTAGATCCACTCAGGGTACCACCATGCTGCATTCTCTCTCAAGTCGGAGGCCCATCTTGACCGCACGCCACACTTCAAAACACACATCCAAAGGGGAGAGTTAGTGGCTCTCCTCAGCAAGTCTCTACTGTATGCGGAAGTAGAAGCACACTGGAAGGCGGGAAAGATGGCCTCCGACTGCAAGATACCGTTCACTCTGCTTGAACCACACGTCTGTTCCTCCGAAGTCTCGAGCGTATCTGAGGGTGCTTCGGCTACGAACGTCGTAGGAAACTCTATAGATGAATTCTCTGCTATATCACAGGAGGCGAAACTGAAACGGAAGGCTAGCACACCTCCTATATTATCACCAGACGCCCGTAACGCTAAGCGTCCAAAGGAAGGAGAGAAGAGAACAAGTTAGCTCATGGATCCGTCATACACTATTCCAACTCATTGTATCCCAACAGTGACCATCGCCGAAAGGCTGGCTAGAGACGCACTTGAATTCACTTCAAGACAAAATGCCGTCTCCGTGAACCCACATGATGTCCCATGCAATTACGGACCACCAATATTAGGTGGACTCATCTCCACAGCGGCAATAAGAACATTGAAGTCCCATAGCTCAGAGGTGAGACCGGAGCTCTGATAACAAATATTGTTGTGGCCTTAACCGTGATCCTTAGGTATTCATCGTGGCTTGGAACCCTGTACGCGTTGGCCATCTGGTATCGGGGTTAGTACATATAAGCTCCTTGTTTTCAGTCCCCTCCGTCACTTATGTAGGAATGAATTAGATCAAGAGATGCGGTAGTGAATTCCTGGGATATACCATTGTTGGACAAAATTGACTCTGGAGCCGCCGCCGAACCCATCCTCCCTACTAAAAAGCTACTCGACCTGACACATGTTGTACAAGCGGACCTCACGTCATTCGATTGGAGTGCAGATGGAAAGATGGTTGCCGTGGGATCGTACGATTCCGTGCTCCGAGTCTTTGGGCCAGAGGGAGACCCGTACATCACGGATGGCTGCCATACAGTGATCATCTCCCATCCTAAGCTCAATATCGCGACACTTACTGTTTATCAGGGTCCTGTCTTTGCTGCCAAATTTTCACCCAACATGGCATGGTTGGTGACTGCTAGCCTGGACTCGACATCTGTAGTATATGATGTGCAGGGTCGAAATCTTCTCAAACGTTATCGGACACACAGTGGTATGTTCATTGCCCTATGACATGGCCGTGGCTGATGACCAACTTCAACAGGATGTTGCCTGGATGTAGAGTGGATAGACAACGTTACATTTGCAAGCTGTGGAGCCGATCACCTTGTGTATATAACGTCCCTCGAGAACCCAACATTCACACATAAATTGATGTACGACCCCCTCTTTGAACCATATACTCTCTAACTTATTCATAGCGGCCATACTCATGAGGTCAATGTTATCAAATGCAACCCGTCGAAGACGAAGTTGGCATCGTGTTCGGACGATGCTACTGCTCGAGTTTGGACGATCAATCCTCTGCAGAAGTCGTCCGTCGAATTGAAAGGTCACCAAGCTTCTTTAACCTCGGTTGAATGGTGTCCTGTGACTACACCAGGAGAAGTAGAGATGCTTGCGACGTAAGTACCCCCAATAGTGCCATGGCAGTTGGCTGACCGCGGTCGTGTTTCTTAGTGCGTGCTTCGATAGCACCGCCTGTCTATGGAATACGGTTACAGGGGAATGCCTGCGGGTGTTCGCCGAACACAGTCAACATGTCTACACGCTCGCATTTAGTCCCGAAGGGACCATGCTTGCCACCGGTGGCGGGGGTGGATTTATGCATGTTTACGATACCAAGGTCAGTTTCGAGGTATGAGCCCTCAGCTGTCGCCACTGATTACGATGCTTTGGAACAAAGACGATGGAAAGGAGATGGTCGTGGTATAACGGCGATAGGTCCGGCGTATTCGAGATTAAATGGAAACGGTGGGATAAGAAGACAACAATGATTGCCATCGCTCTTGAACGCCAAGCGGTCGCGGTCATCGATCCCAGCAAGGTACGGGCTTTGGCCTGGTCAGGATGAGATAACACGATAGGCATATTATTCTTAGCAGTACTAGTAGTATATTACACCTGCAGTGCGGACTTGGGGAGTTTTTACACGGATTTCGCCCTGCAAAATAATTGGCTTTTATGTAATTTATGTAGTTTTCGATGACTTGTAATTCTGGTTACGTGTGCAACTTCCGGGTAATTGATAATTTCCGTTGCCTTCATTCCGGGACGCTGTCAGCCGTGACGCGTCTGACGTATGCTTGCGGCGGGATGATTCCATGACTTTCTGTCGCTTGAGCCGGTGGCCGGACTTCACCTCGACCTCCCCTTTCCCATTCTCCAACCCGTCCCCCAATTCTCTATTGCTTGACCATGATTCTCCTCGGTGGACTACGCCCAGCACTTCGTTGCAATGCCCTTCAGAGCGTTGTTCGCTCCAAGTCCGCCCAGTTCTCCACCTTCCAGCCTCGCGTCGGGCAGTCAGTACTCCGGAATGTTTTGAAGAGCCGCCCATCAGTCTTTGCTTCTTCACTTGCGCGAGCGTCACGACAAATAACGACCGATGCTCAGACCGTCGTGCGTCCTTCTGCACAGGAAGGCTGGAAGCGTCTCGCGATTACTGCGGTCAGGAGTCTCTCATCCTAATGGATCGAGTGTAGTTACTCATGCAAGCTTGCAGGGCGCGGTCGCTGGGACCATCGTGATCGCAGAGGGTTTCTTGAACAGAGACACACGCGATTCTCTCTCAGCGGGAGAACAGTCCTACCTCCATGACAGCTTCATGTACACTGGAGGTGGACTCGCGCTGACGGCAGCCGCTGCTCGTGGTCTCTTCAAGTCAGGCTATGCTGTCAGAATTATGTCGGCTAACCCATGTGAGTGCCACAATCTCTCGGTCGAGTTGCTATCTAACTGCAATGAAAGGGCTGGTTCTTGGGGTCAGCTTAGTGGGAAGCATCGGCTCTATGATGGGTGTCTACTACACGCCTCCAGACAAACCGGTGCAGAAGCACCTTGCTTGGCTCGTAAGCTCGTTTTGCCTGTTTCGATTCTACATGTCATCTCAGTTCACATCATCAGGCCTTCAACGCTTTTCAGGCAGCAACTTTGAGCCCCCTATTTTTCCTCAGTCCTGCAATCCTTTCACGCGCTGCTCTTTACACATGCGGTGTTGTCGGATCTCTATCCTATGTCGGGGCTACGGCGACGTAAGTCGCTTTGAATCTCTCTTGCCTGTTTCTCCTAATCATCTCTTCAGAAATGACAAGTATTTGTACATGGGAGGGCCCCTTCTCGCTGGTGTTACCGTCGTTGCGTTGAGTTCTCTGGCCCCAATGGCGCTGCCTCTGGGAATGCGTGGGCTGGCTGTTTCTGAAGCGATTTCGCTTTACGGTGGACTGGCTGTTTTCGGTGGATTCGTTCTATATGAGTCAGTCACCATCATTATCCTGGTACTTCGTATTGCTCATTATTTTTACAGCACACAAAAGATTCTACATCACGCGCGAATGGCCGAGACTGGTGTTATTCCTCGTGATCCTATGAAGGAATCCATCTCTCTTGAACTGGATATGATCAATATTTTGTATGATTCCTCTACCTAATATGTGTTAACGCAGTACTGACACTCCTTGCTTTATAGCATTCGTCTCGTTCAGATTTTGGCCATGCGCTCGAATAACAAGAAGTAGCGCTCGATGGCGGGTTTTGTAGCCTCTCATAACACTCTCCACTCAGCGTTCGCAGTTTGGTTGTCCATCAAAGAGTAGCTAATAAGAAATCACTATTGTATTGGTACTGACATCGTTGAAACGATCACATATTGTTGGCCTATGAACTTCCTTGCCCGAGCTCTTCGAGAATCTGCAAGAAGCCTTCCGGGTCGACAATCTCTGTCCCACCGTAAGCGACACGCTTCCCAGTCTTGCCTGCCCATTCCTCCAAGTTCCCATACTCAACGTAACCTGCTCCACCCACCATGAAAACCATTGCGTCCGAGAACGCCATGCGTTTGCCCCGGCCTGCTCCTGCTGCCCCGCCAAAGTTACTCGCGCCTCCACCCTGTCGGGGGGCCCGAGGGTCCAAGAATAAGTAATCGTCTGTTTCTTGCAGAGATTGGTTAGATGCGGCAGCAGGGTCCATAAGTGCTTCGGTCAGTCTCGTAACAGGGAGTGACTTGTTAGCGGGGAGGAAGTTCTTGACACCTGAGATTAGGTTGTCCAGACCACCTTCTTTCAGCCTGTCCGTAAGCTGCGATACGAGGCGTGAGCTACAGCGAAAGTCCTCGAGTTACGGAAAACCTACTTTGCTTCCAAAGGCTGAGAAACCTCTGAACAGCTCTCCTTGCCCGCCAACGGGAGTTGACGTGCCACCGACGGTAGCAGCAACGGACATGCGCGAGATTTCCCTCGTACGTCGCACGTACTCAAACGCAGCCACGTTCGCGCCCGCGGTCTTAAGTTCCTTCTCAAGCTCGGCGATGTCATCTTTGGAAATGGCGTTATCCGGAGATGACAAGAAGAACACCAACACGAGACGAAGCTTATCCTCAGCAGTCAGATTCCCATCAGGCCGAGGGGCACGGAGCATCTCGAGAATAGAGGCGGTGGTCTGCAAAGCTCGAGATCAAAGAAGGACGTTCGAGGAAGGATATTATTACCTGTCGTGAGATGGCTTCTTCTGTACTGAACAACTCGTCCAGACCTCGCTTCTTTATCTGTTCAAGCAATGCGGTGGCGATGTTCATGTGAGTGTCGAGTGTTGCTTTCCGTGCCGTCAACTCTGGCAGCTGAGTGATAGCTGTCTTCAAGTGAGCAGCATTCGAGGACATGTCTCTGTTACCAGGTCAGGTAGATCCCGGGCAGTAAGAAACTCTACATACAGCTGCGATATGTCGTTCACGTCGCTGACACCAGTCGAACGCGTAATCTCTGCCGCATCCTGCTTGTACTTGTTCAGCTCCGTGTCAATATCTTCTGCGACCTGTGGGAAGGGATTTGCTGCGTTGCGAGCCCAGAAGAAGTCTTTGGAGTCGAGGTCATAGGAGCGCTTCTGTGGCTGAGTAACAACAACGCGGTTCAGCTTGATTTCCAAGCAGTCAGACACCAGAGCTTGGTATGTCCAACCATGGGACACCATGGATACCAGATCGATATTCCGGTCGAGTACGAGTAGTACTACAGAAATCGACAATTGTGAGTAAGAGCAAGGGATGGGAAGATGGTCAACTTACACGGTCTTTGCAGATTAGAGAGTCCAGACGTGTCTTGGGCAAACAAAGATGGAGTCGCGCCGTGTGATCTCGAAGCCGACAGCAGGGCATCACGTATCTTCACTTCGACCTTCTTGGCCACCATCTCGGCAGCATTGCCTCGAGGGGCCCGTATGATAGGTATGTGACCTACCCAATCCATTGAGAATTGAGACAATTAAACTTGAAGGAGGTTTGTCATACCCATAGTGACTATGGCACTGAATAGACCATTCGCAACGCGATCAATTTCGGCCTCGATGGCAGCCTCTGGTGAGGATGGAGAATTAAGGATATGATACGAGGTAGGAGGCGCAAGCGGTGGACCAGCTTGAGGCGCAAGCGAGGGTTGTGGCAAGGGTGAGCAAAGGGAGAAGAGCGAAGAGGATGGCGAGATAAAGGACAGGTATTGGTCGAGCACCTAGGAGGAGCCACATCAGTGCACAGTGGCTTGTGTACCGTGAGCGACCATACCTGTTCAACCAGTTCTCCAGTACCATCCTTTGCAGACGACGCAGCAAGCTCCTCCAAGAGTGCACGGGACAGGGGTTCGACAAAGTTGAGGTGATAGGACTCATACAGGCCCTTCTCCAAATCCTCCGCTATGCGCCGCACGTTCGCCAAGGTGGGCGCCACGAAATATATTGCGGGCACATCGGTAAGGGGTGGGCGTAATGAGTGAAGCTGCCTTCATATTCAGTTAGAAAACGCGTACAGTGCATGGTGTATGAGCTTACACGTGAAGGGTGACTCCGGCATCTCGTAGATCTTGAACGCGCAGCACAGTCGCAAGCACGTCCTTGGTCTGCTGGTCAAGCACAAGTACCTTCCACACGAGTGGGCCAGATGTGGAATTCTGTGGCTTTGGCGTAGGAGTAGATCTCCCCGAGGACGGTGCTGACATTGACTGGTCTACTGAAGCATTGAGGTTGAGCATAGTGAGAAGCGCAGCAGTCTGCGCTTCCTGCAACGTTGTGGGTGCGATAGCCTACATGCGAGTTAAGGCACGTAACTCATGTTGATGAGCAAGGCATACGTACATGTTTGAGGGCATTGCTCGCCATGAGTGTTATCCGGTCCTTAGGCTCGTCCGTTTCTCGACCCAAGGACAGAAACACGTCGTTAGTCCACTGCGTCCCAATTAGGCAGGTGACCGAACGCCGTACTTAGTGGCGATGCTGTCAGTTTCCACAGCACAGGATTAGATCCACCAGGACCTCGATCTATTTCTCTCGAGAACCACACGCGTTGGTTGTCTTCAGCGACCCCTCTCGTTTTCTTCACCATGATCAAACTAATATCACCAAACACAGCGTCGATCAGCCCACGCATCCTTCTTAACCATTGACAGTCTCATAGGTATTGTCGACCTATCTTTGGAGCTTTGAGAAAGCGCCCACGGACGCACTTGCAGTCCTTGAAACGTAAGTAAGTTACGTTGCTACCATTTCTGACATTTGGTAACGCCGCCGTGAAGCCACGGTTTGCAACCATCAGTCCCGAACCAGGCTCTTCTCCGCGCGATACTTAAGACAAAGAGTGCCCTTGGCCATTTCTCCGCCGTCCTCCTCCTGCACTGGCCACACGCGGTTACAAGCGCCCCCTCATCCGTCACGATAATCCTCTCGCATTCATACTAGTAAGTGCATCTCCTATGTTGTGCAAATTATCAGCGAGTATCTAACGAAGATTCTCTAGGTCATCAGTTATGGGTAACTTTCACAGCAGACGCTGCAATGACGAAGCCGGTTATCGTGGAAAGCGCTGGTTCGGCTCGAAGCCAGCCATCCAACTACCACCCGACGAGCCTTTCGCCCCTCTTATAGAAGATGTGGCACCATGGGTTAATGGCCATAAAGTATTCGTAATGGATGAAGATGGCGAAGGCGCGTTTGTCGAACGTCACAGTCTAAGCTGAGCTAGCCACTGTGTTCATTCGGTTTACTAGGTGAGTGATCTATCAAAAGTACTATTGATCAGGCCCCTCTTGCTCAAGCCGATTCAGCGGTATTTGCCCATGAACAGTTTGACTGTGCTATCGCTAAGTTATGATGGGAGTAGCTTATCGGACACTCCCTTTCACCTTCACTCGTATTTATTATCACGATCGCTCCGAATATTTAAATGGTCCATTGTTTCAGCAGTTGAGCCGAGTCAACCTGCTCAGCGACGTAATCATGGACCAAGTTAGGATGTCCCTTAAAACGTGCTTAGTGTGTTCATTGGAAGAGCACAGAAGGTGCACAAATTAATGCAATACATGTGGCAAGAAGCAGGAAGATCGCAAGTTGGAAGTAAGGTTTGAGAATGTGCATCAAGTTACATCATTGGAGTCTCAAGCTTATCTTGTCCACTTTGAATGTATGACATGCCTCCGTCCCTTCATTTCTTTCGCCGAAGACCACAACCAAACGCCTGTCGCAGACTCATACAAGCCGCACTAGAACCAGACTAGGACTAGGGGGATCTACACCGGAAGCAAAGCGCGTAGCCAACCCCACGCGAGACGCGATCGGACAGGTTCATATAGGCCCCGATTTAGCAAGGTGGTTGAACTCGGTTGGAGGGCAACTCGAGTCTCGATACCAACACCGAGGTCAAGGCTCGGCCTCAAGGCAGCTTGCAGCCTTTACGACCCAACACTTTTTATACGCCATTCTCATTCTTTGTCCCGATACGAACCACGACGCCTTCCATAGGGCTTTCATGAACACTCACGTCTCTTTAAACCAATAACAACGCTGAACTAGGTCATAAGCCATTGGGCGTCAATCCGTTGTGTCCACCTCTCGGTATCAACTCTAAACCGGAGACCGCGCCCGCAGACGCTCAATTCAGAACCGATATACCTTCTTCTCCCGCCTCTGCAGAATACCACGCCAGCCTCAGGTTGCTACCGTCGCTCTCTACTTCACACTTCATGGCTACCACACTGTCGCACTCCGCACACAAATCTCGCTTCAATATATCTACTCATCTTGCTCAATCTCTTGTCGCACCTATCTTTCATCATGAATACTCCTTGAACGTAAGAGATGCCACTCAAGTAAACCCTGTCTGTATTGGAAGTGGACTTGATGCCGGCTCTTATGGTATTATCGCTACCATAGTAGCTCCTGGCATTGTGGGCTTAGCCATATGGGTGAGTCTAATTTTGATATCGAATTGGCGTTATACAGTAACATCTATGTCATAGATAACCTTTGCAATAGTTAGACCCCGATACCGCCAGGTGTATGCCCTGCGAGAGTGGTTTGTTCCACAAGAGTTCGTCCCCACTGCTCTAAGCATCTTTTCAGTCTGCCTTATGTGCCTGATAGCGTTCGTCCCAACCGATTGGAATCTAATGCAGGAGCTTTCCTGACTCCGAATACGCCTATGCGTCCTTCTATCCAAGAGGATGTGTCAAATGCAGGCCAATCTATGGCGGAGGACGCCCAGCTCTTTCCTTCAGACGAAGAACTAAGTCAGCGCACCTTGTGGACCAGCTTTCTCGTCGTCCTTTCTTGGAGTCTTGCCGGCCTTGCCGGAGCAATACCACTTTACACTGTTAACATACCCTGTCTTGCTCAGTCAAATGGTCCGGCTCTCTACACTGGTGTCTTCTCCGTCCTGCAGGACCTTAGTCTTCTCCGGCTGTTACGATCTATAGACAATTTACAGCTTGCTTCTCAATCATATCTTGCGCTAGCTCATCTAAATCCAGCAGAGTCAATGTCTATCCCTCATACCCGTATCATCGTGCTTGCTTGTCTCGCTGTCGTGGCAACTATGCTCCCCGCCCTCTATCTGACGCTGAAAGAGTTCAGGGTCATTGTTGCTCTTCGAAAGCGGTGGCTAGACATTCGTTGTGGAGGGAGAGACATGGGCTGGCTTAGCGCCGACAACGCTCCTGGGCTTGCAGGAATGGGCGAGCAGAGTCTGAAAGAATATCTCGTCAAGTTAGGCCTGCGCTCAGTAGGTAGACCAAATAGGCGAAACGGCAGACATGCGTCAAGTCTCAGTCACTCACACTGGAACAGTTCTCAGAGCTCGAGTTCAGCTGATGGTGTGGTTGAAGTGGATGTGCAGGGCTTGTTTTCAATTTGGTACGAAAGTCACCTTGGGCCTGTGTCAACGGATAGATCATATAATTGACCAACATGTCATTGGCTTCTTCCTCAGCGATACCCAGAATCTAGCGGTCCTCATCGAGCAACGGGATGAAATCCTGGAAAATCTGGAAGTGGCTGAGACAAAGTACATCTCCTCATTTAGGCTGTCTACGCCCGACCCTTCGATTGCCGACCTGGAGGTCCGTATTCCCCCTCCTACAAAATCCAACAAGCCATATATTAGCCACCCTCTTCCCCTTGGTGGTACCAACGTTAGTTTCATTTGTACTTCTCGCTTTTATATAACTGAACATGCACCTTTGCAGCGCACCAGACGTTCGCGCAAGACTAACCCAGCACATGCAACGTCTTCGTTCGCCCCCACTGCCTTCGTGGCCCCCTCGCAGTATTACAAGATACGAGGGATGCGCAGCATCACCTCACTGGGGAATACACCCAATGACAGTGGCCACCTCAGTTTCTCGGATTCGTTCCAGCAACGCATCGTTGGGAGCCGTTTTCAGGAAGTCAACCGCGACTCGGTTGATTATGACAGATTACCTTTAGGAAGTCAACTCATCCTCGAGAAATCCGGAGAGCTAGGTCCAGTGCCTGATCCTCGGTTTTATGGTCCAAACCATCCTACGGAACCATCTGGGTCTGAAACATTAGTCGAAGGTTCTACGCACCGTCCCTACACCGAAACTAGCCAAGGAGGAGGAGCTACTGCTCCACGTATTCCGACCGTCATGGAAGGAGAGGAGGGCTGGACTGACCTGATGCGAGACGTAGACCTTGACGGATTTATGGGAAGAGATACGGTAAGGCTAGTCGAGACTCCAGATCAGCTCCCTCCTGCGCGACCACGTCCACCGAGGATTGTCAACACCCCATCCACTGACCGACGCGAGACTTTCCCACTCCGGAATAAAGCAGAAACCAATGCAGTAGCCGAGGTTGTTCCTCCCCCTCATCTTCGTTTGCAACCTCGCCAACCCTTCGTGCGGCCTGCTTCTGGTCTTGACTACGACGACTTGGGATCGGTGTATGCGGAGATCAACCAGTGGCGCTCCAAGCTTAAATCGATCAACAGCGAAATCGTAGACGCTCAGCACGACTGCTACACCGACATCGCTGAAGGCACGCACGTCAAAGGCTGGATCCTCATAGGTCGTGGGCTGAAGCATATCCATGGAGTGGAACTCATTGAAGGGCGTGCACGCGAAGATATCCGCTGGGATGTTCTTCAGACTGGCACTCATATACTAGACTCAGTCGGACTTGGGATAGTCATCTTCTCAACGACGATGTACCTTCTTCTTGCCAGTAAGTGCGCCTGCATGCTCGTGTTCAGTAAACTGAGTCCTTCTCTGAAGTTACCGCCGTGACGGGATTGTCATTAAGCACGGCCCCCAACTTTGCTCACTACCTTGAATTTTTGCAACCTTTGTCCAACCGCAACGACTTGGCATCAGGAATCGCTACGATGCTTGCGTCAGCGATTGCAGCCACATTGTTTGCTGTGCTGGTCTTTCTTGTCGTCAGACGTAAGTGGCCTTTGCACTTGAAACACAGGGCATTACTCATATGTGTTCAAGGTGTGGCCTTCTGGTCACCTCATGTTTCGATCAGTGCCGTTCAGCTTCTTTCTCTCAAGATCATTTATTACCTATTTTTCTTGGTTGTCGCTGGCGTGATTGTGATAGGCGGCGCTGTTTTGTACAGCATTGAAGCTATTTCCCAGCATCGAGGTGTGACAAAGTCTCTTGCTGATGGATCCATATACATGGCGATGTTCGCGCTTGCATATATCCTTACAGCATCATTCACTATACCCGGGCTTCTATTGCTGCGGCCCGTACGCCTGTGGAAGGTTCTCCGTGCTGAGAAGACCGCTATCACACCGCGTCAACGATTCCGAGGTGCGTGAAATAAACGTGTAGGATGAAGCGTGTTGACTAATTCCACTCTTTCTTAGCGGTATATCCTGGGTCATCTGACACTGCCAACGGCCTTGGAGCCTGCGTTTTGGCCATCATCTTTGCTTCGGCATTCTCACTTATCTTTCCTCTCATTGGGCCTTCTGTTGTTTTATTATTGTTTTTGACCCTTGTGGGTACGTAAAAGTGACTGATTCCTGCATCAGTGGGTTACAACTGATGTACCATCAGCTCACCGCTTTCTTATCGGTTATGTTTATTGTCGAACGCTTCCATCAACTGGAGGCCTCGCGCACATTTGGCTCCTCAAAAGGCTGGCAACGTTGTGCACGTTGCAGCCGCTCTTGCTCGGACTTATCCTTCTTACAAGGCATTTTTGGCTTGAAGGAGGCATCTTGGTGGGCATCGCACTCATTGCGGCGATTCTTGTCGAGACCTATTGTACACGGGCAACATCTCAACCACGTTCATTGAACCCCAATACCTGCGATGCTCTCCAAACCCTTTCACATGCCTCAAAGCAGTGCCCCGATAGCGCCACGGAGGATGAAACAAGCGGGTTGGGAAGTCCCAGCCGCGGCTATAGAGCAAGAGGTTCCATGGCATCCGTGCTGGAGATGATGTCACTTACCCTGGCCGTTGTACCATCGGAATCGCGGCAGCGTGGCATTCTTCCGCTTCGTAGGTCATCCTTCTCAGCGATCAGTTCGCAAGCTGACTATGCATAGAAACGGAGACCTTGGATGACCTGACGGCGACAGAGAGAGCAGCCCGGACACATCCTGATGCGCCGCCTCATCTCCCACCGCTGTCTTTCGCCGTTCATTCTGAAGAGACGGCCGGGGTACTTTACGCGCCCGAGCTCATCGCACCGTGCCCTGTGATCTGGTTACCACATGACTCTGCGGGGGTGGCAAGGTCAGAAGCGGATGATTTAGAGAAGTATCACGACCTTCGCGTGACCCTTGACGTACAAGCAAGCCAGGATGTGCTTCCAAGCCGAAATATTTCAAGGGCTCAGTAGTCATGGGTGACCTATATTGCATCATTTGTTGTGGTCGTGTGTACTTGCAACTTCATAACATGAAATGCTTCCCGAATCCTGGGCCTGATGCTCGGCTTATCGATCATGATCACCCTGTATGGTCCCCATTTTTTGTGGCTTTCATGGCAAACCATGTATGATGGATAGATAAGATATATACTGTGCCGAAGGCGTATGCTCCAATTTGTGGGAAGATAATTGCTCACGTTGGACGTTGTGGGGACCGGGAAGGGAATGTCAACGTCAAGGAAGCAAATAGAGTGTGGGGAGCCAATGAAATTATGGGCGCTTGTTGTTATGCAAGCTGCTATGTGCGTCACGAGACTGTGGAGAAAATCCAATTTACTGGCGTTGCTGCTATAAACTGCCGTATACGTAAGAGGGTCACTAAACTACGTATCCCCAAGAAAGCATCGTTGTTGGTCCAGCGCGATTCGGGCCGGCCACCCATTAGAGGAGTAACAGCCACTGCCGAGCGGCTGGCGCGAGAAGTTACGTCCTTCGTGGCATAAAACAGTTAGTGTCGGAAAGCCGATTCCGAAGGGATGCTCCAAGGTACGCACACACTGCCATATGTGCAGCGGCAGCAGCGCTGGGTGAATGTCCTGTAGTAGTTTGCTTGTTGTAACTGTTTTCACGCTGGGTTGGGCGTAAATAAGCCCGAACGTGATGATCTTGGATATACTGTACCTACACGACCGTAGGTTCAAGGGATTATAGCGTGACATGAAATCAAGATAAGTTCCGACGAGGCTGAAGTTCAAATGTCCGGCGAACGCGTGATTTTGAACTAGGGTCACAGTTTGGTGACATCATCAAGGCGTTACTGTTGAGGACAACGAAGGTGAAGAGGGTGTTTTATTGAAAGGAGAAGCAGGCAATGCGGACACAGCTTGTACAACGACTGTAAATTGCTTGTCCGTTGGGCTTATATACAGGCGTCTCAAGCCCTTGCCAGACCGGTATGACCGACTCACTGAAGCCTGCCAGTGAAGAGCTCGACATCCCATCTCCAGTCGACTGTGGTTGTTCCAGTAAGGTTCTCAAAAATCTGAAACTCAGTGCTACATCAGAATATAATTTAAGAGGCTTAGTATTTGTCGTCACGCGGGGAGGTTCATTATCTTTTGTGATGGGTGACGAACCAGGTCTTAAGTAGTATTATCTCGAGAAATTTACAGAGCCGAGCGTAAATGTTGTAAAAGGATTCCCTCCTCGGCATTTCCCGAGGAACCCGGCCGAATATAGTTCGAAGATGGATAATTCTTGAAGTCCGTCGTGTCAATAGCTGCTCCCGCGAGTATGTCCCCTCCGCGTGTATGGTCTTCAAATCAGTTTAAATATTTACTCTATATACAACTAGCTATCTGTATTATAAAACAGCTTCAGTGCATGAAGTGCGCAGCTGAGTGCACGAAGGTTTGTGACGCGTGCGCTTGGTGTGCGCGTCGCCGCCGCTCGTTAACCGAGCTCCTTTTGGACAAGGCGCGCGCAGCGCTCGAAAAAAAAATTAGCAGACCTTCTTACCTTTTCGAGCCTCGCTTGTACACCCCGAGGCTCGCTTTTACAGCGCCAAGTGTAAATTTCTCGACGATAAGTTACTGATGCACTTATCCCCCGCCAAAAGAGCACTTTACAACTGCTTATTTGAACCCTTGGCGCCTTGGCATTTACAACGGCAGCCTCGGCACTTACACAGTACCTCGCTGGCCCAAGACGTGTCCCGACGCGTGCGAGATGCGCCTCCCGCCCTCCCGGAGTCCCTCCGACCACCCTGCCCCGCTGCCTCCCTCCGCGCCACCCGGGTTCCCCTCCCGGGATTCCCTCGGCGTGGGAAGTCACGTGACATTTGTATTAGCCAAGCTGTAAATTTCTCGAGATAAGTTCATTTTATAGGTCAAGCGTGAGGCGTGACGAACCTACGGTCGTGTAGGTACAGTAATCTTATTATTAAATTCCCGATCGCAATTCGTTGTGACGCCATGTGCCGCCGAGGTGCAACGAGCTCTGACAGAAGCTAATCGTCACAATGCTTTACAGCAATATTTAGCAAGTTTATGAGTTGTTGTGCGAAGCTACGAGGCCCCAGGGATGATTGTGCCCGAAGCAGGCGTCGTGTGGGTGACAGCAGGTGACGGTTGAACCAAGTATATAGAGGTCCGAATGACTGCTCGGTGCCGCGCAGGACAAGGCAGGACATGAGCTGTACAGCAACACGACAGGATCGGCTCCTGTAAGCAGAGTGAACGCTCAGTTGGGAGATGAAGTTTTGGGGTGGAAGCAGGTGGAAGCCCTGTCTTGACAACGTTGTGAGTTTGTGTACGGGTCTTCCTTCCTGAGCCAAATATGGTCGGCCGCAAGAGCAAGCCGCGCTGGTGTGGATAGCGCCGAGCAGCCTCTCCCTGTCGCATTCTTGTAAATCGCCTGTGTGGGTATCGATATGCATGCATACAGTCGGCGAACATGGCCAGCGGGAATGTTAATGAGATTTGGGGATGATTGATGGACATTTGGTATTTTTTTGCGAGCGGCATGCAGTGGTGCCGAAGGGATGTCTTTCGGCGTATCGCCTGTGTGGAGCGTGTTCCACTAATTGGCGGGTCCAGTGATCCGGAGGAGCTTGCCTTGGCCAAAGCCGTCTTCCGTTGGTATATATTCCCCGTTTTTGTTTTCGTCTTCGTCTCGTCTTCCTCCCTGCCACCGAACCTCACCAAACGCTCGAAATACCCTCTCCCTTTTACCGTCTGCCGTCTGCTGGCTGGATAATTACCTCAATTCTCCCCCCTACCTCCCTCCCTCATGCTTCAGTCACCTATCATGTCTAGCCCGGACCCATCATCCAACTCCGTCATCGCCTCCTCCGTTCAATCAGACAAGGACCCATTCGTCCTATACTCGCAAGCACTTCACACCTATACCCTCAGGTTATGGACGGAGTCAAGGAGACTAGCAGAGGAGAAGGCGAGAGAGAAACAACGGAGACGGGAGGAGCAAGCCCGGGCTCAACAAGGCGACGGCAAGCCTTACAACTCACAGTGAACGCACCGCCGCCACACTCCCTGGCGCCGCTCCCGCCGTGCCATCAATTCCCTTTCCGCTGGTCCGTGCCGATATAGGTTGCCTTTCCGAGACATGGTCATGTTCGCTCACACCACATTCACGTAGAGCAGGCTAGCAGCATTAGCAGCATCACCACCTCGTTCATACGATCTACACGAATCTCTCCATCCACCCATACGAAGTTGCAAACCGCCAGCTCGGTTGTATTATCATCGATACCCTTAATCGGCAGCAGGTGATGCACGCAGCATAACATTTCAACCCATACCCACCTTCGTCGATTGTCTGCAAGCTATTCGTAATAGCTATCGTTGTCATTTAGAGCATTATACATACATAACTTATCCGCGCGCAGCCTTGGTTTGCCATCGGTCATCGATCATCAACATAACAACTCCCTTCTGTCACACCCTCCTCACCTGCTATATGTAATGTACATGTTAATCCGTGATATGTGGTCAATGATCCTTGCACTTGTCGTCCTGGAAAATAACTGTTCCTCGTCGATGAGCTGATAAAACCTGGCTGCGAAGGGCACCGCGTATACAGGGCTCAAATTATGTTTGTGTTAATTTTCAAGGATGTCTGGATATGCAAACTCCAGTCATCTAAGATAGCACTGGAAACAGTTCGCCCATCAATACTCAATCCTGGTCAGACCCACGGATACAGGCCGTGTCCCCCTCAAGCACGCGGTTACGGGGTTAGGCGCATCGAGTAGTAGGCCTTGTCACCCATTGTTTCACTCGCCCGTGCGCCGGGCTCAGGCTGCCCAAGCCCCAATGTACCAGACCATAGGACAGAAGGCTGGTAGATGACTTCCACCAGCTTCCACCGGCAACGTGCGATGTATTTTTGCCTTTTGTTCACGCTTTCAGGGTCTGAATTAGCTTTTCATTCACTGTTTACTCAGACCTCCGTGCGATAGCATGATTCCTGTGAACTGAAAGTCCAGTGAGAACCTCGCACGTGCGTCTTCGCGATCTTCTGACCATAAATTGCTGCAATTTAAGAACGGGTATGCATGTTCCTCCCCAAGAACTCTGACGCCCGCGGTGATAGATAAAAGCATGATGTCAATGACTTCCAAGCTTGACTCGTCACCCCGCACTTATCTCACACAATTGCAAAAGCCATGATGTGGCATTTGCTGGGCGTTGCTCTCGTCGCGGCCGGCACATGCTCTGCCTCAGGGGCTGATATCCGCATAGTATCGTCAACGTACACGGCAGCGGGAGCTTTCCCCACATCTGCATATGCATCCTACTACAACTCTCCCACTGGAACATCGGCGCAGGTACAGCCAGTCATCTCCGATCCCGTTACGGTAGGTCGGCATCGGACATTAACGAGTCGGAAGGGGTTCCTTACAGTTGACTGAATCACTCAGCATAAAGTGTTCCCCCTGGTTTTGACTGATCCGGACGACTTTCCAAAGGTTGTGCCTTTAATTCCCTCGGCATTTGCCATGTGCGCTCAAAATGTCATAGAATGACACATGGGATCCCCACACATTTCCTCCGAAGGTTTCTAGCACGACGTTGCTTGAACAAGCAATCGAGCAAATCAAGGCTATAGCAGAGAACCCTGTATTTGGGAATAACACATGCACTCAATGTCAAGCAGGGATGGAGGTGGCCAAGTTTTTGGCGCTTGCTGCTCCGGAGCAGGGGCCAAACCTTGCCGTGACGCTCTGTCAATATTTTGGCTACGACACAGACGCAGATTGCCAACAACAATACGATTGGACTGCTTATGGCCCTATCTTGACGCAAGTAGCTTCATACGGCAACCTTGGAGGCTATGATGGGCAGGTACGTCTACATCGTTCGCAAGTTTTAACCTTTCAAGTAAATGTCAACGCATTATTGTATAGTTACTTTGCTGGTCGTTTCTAAGCCTGTGTCCCATGCCTCCGACATCGCCACTCAATCTGACAGGCTATTTCGCGAAACCAAAGCCAAACCCGCTGCCGACTCCGAAGCAGCCCAGCGGCGAGCTGCTTAAGGTACTCCACGTGTCGGATATTCACCTCGACCCGCGTATGGTGCCTGATCGACACGGTGTTTGGTGTATTTATTAACTCTAGGCCCACAGGTTACGCCACAGGCTCTGAGGCCAATTGTTCAGACTACCTATGCTGTCGCACAAATGTCAATAACAGCGAAAGTCCTCAGACTCCTCTCCTTCCTGCGTCTCGATTTGGAGCATATAAATGGTATTTTCTCAAAGTTTTAGAAGCGTTGGTGTGAGCTAAGTTGGCACGGGTTTAGCGACACCCCATACTCGCTGCTGTTATCAGCCATGGAGGCGATACCACCTCTTACAGGAACAGTAGAGGAAGGCTTCAATTTCACTTTGTTCACAGGAGACATCACTCCTCACGACACTGAAAACCAGTACTCTAGGTAAGACACATACGTTGTCAGTGGTGGGTGTTCATGTCCTTACCGAGTCCATGTAGAGCATTTGTGGAATATGTTGAGGCAAGCACCCTTACTTGTTCACAGACAATCTGGTTAACAACGTGGCTTTTAGGTCGTGATCTACGACATTCTCAAGAAGTACTTTGGTCCAGCACCTATTTACGCCACACTTGGGAATCACGACATATATGATCAGTGTGTACATGTCTTACAGTCCTCGCTCGTTCACTCAAACATCGCACAAGGTTCCAGACGGCTCCTTACTCTATGGGCGGTGATTTAGCTACGCAGTACAACTGGTAATTCTGTGGCGACACACTATATGCTCAGGCGCGCGACTCATTGAATTGTAGGCTTTACGACCATATCTCCAAAATGTGGGAACACGAAGGGTGGCTTTCGGGATTTCCAATCGAGTTCGCTCGCACTCACTATGCGGCATACGCCGTTAAACGCGTAGATGGCCTAAAAATTATCTCACTTAACACGAACTTATGTAAGTGCATCGGTCCTGCTCGCAAACCACATCACCAACTGTGCTCACGATAACAATATCGATTAGGGTACACGTAAGTCGCGTGACAGTGCTCGCATTGGCTAAATAACGCCAGAGCTTAGTGCCAACTACTTTGCGTACATTAACGCTACAAATCCCGACGTATTCGGTCTTCTGCGGTTCTTGGCAGACGAGTTACAAGCGTCGGAAGACGCGCAGGAGAGAGGTATGTTTAGAAGAGTGGCCCAAACTTGAAGCTGATCGGGTAAAGTCTGGATCATTGGACACGTCCTCAGCGGTTGGGATGGAACACAAACTCTCAATAATCCCAGTAACCTATGTAAGTCTACTGTACGTCTATTCATTCAAATATTGACCGATCTATCTGCAGTCTATCAGATGTAAGAGTGAATACACCACTTAATATTATTCCAAGCTGATCTTTTCCAGTGTTGACCGTTACTCGCCACATGTCATCGCGAGTGCGTGACCCGTTGGGTGGAGTGCTCTCTGACTGACCTTTGATCAGACATTTTCTACGGCCATACCCACGAGGACCAATTATCCGTAAGTCATCATCAATAAAACATCCCAAAGCGTTCGAATTTGTGACGTCTCAGATTTTCTACGCAAACAATGGAACGAACATGAGCGCCGAAACGGCGCAAACTGTTTCTTGGGTAGGGATTCGCTGTGTTTAAAATATACACCGGTCTAATGAATTGAATCAGATCGGTCCTTCCCTGACCCCTCTCACCAACCTGAATTCCGGCTTCCGTGTCTATGAAGTCGATTCAGTAGTAAGTTAATGTGTATACTTTTAAAAATATGAAGCCTGACGCCACCTTTAATTTTTTGTAGACATTCGATGTTGTGGATGCTTACACGTGAGCTGTCCTAGTATTAGTACGAATCTCGTCTAGCGTGCCTTCTAACCGATGATACAAGATGGGCGAGTAAGGTCAATGAGTTCCCGAGCCTTGACGACCAGCTTGAATATGGGCCGTCGTACTTCTACGAGTACAGTGCTCGCGATGCATACGGAGGCAACATACCGTGGCCAGAGAACGCTCCTCTGAACGCTACGTGGTGGCACCTTGTGACTGAACGTGAGTTCTTGTCTCCCACGAGCTCAATGGATACTCAGGTAGCATTCATCAGAAATGGAGACAAATTCATCGCTGGTCGAAGTAAGTTGCACATAGGTCGGATATAACGAACCCTTTCTGACCACGATTTTGTAGCTCTTCAACACTTATCAAAGTAAGAGCTCGGCTGCGGCGACTGACTGTACGGAAGAGTGCATCCCGGCTAGAATTTGTTACATGCGGAGCGGGTCTGCCAGTTTGGCATACCAGAACTGTCCGGCAAACTTTGGTTCGACGCAGGGTTAGAAAGTGCACAGCAAGGTGCACAGATGTTCATAGGTCCAGAAAGCAGGATAGATTTGACCTGTTAAATATGATGTACTTTAGATTTACTTGTCATCTTTGATGAAACTGGTTGGAATGCGAGTTGCGTATTGTTACAGATGCATGCTAGACTGATAACCAATACATCTACACTTATTACCGTCGGCGACCTCCACCTCCACTGCCTAGAACTACAAGCCTCGTGTTCTTCTTCTTCCTATTATTATTCCCTCCTCCTGACCCTCGTTGCTCTAGCTCGTGCCACGCGGCGTCGATATCCCACTCGTCAGCCAGTTCTGGAGTCGCCCGGTGGGAAGGGTTTGATCGGCCTGTCGACGCGGAGTGCAGTGTGGAAGCAAAGCTACGGTCGCCCCAGGCACCAGATACTGGGGGCGGCGCAGGCAGCTCCGAGTGATCCTCCGTCTCGACCTCTGTGGTGAAGGTTTCAAGTTGCTGGGGAAATGATATGGCAGGTTGCGACCACGATGAAGACCACGACGACGCATTCATCCGATCTCGTTCCTTCTCCTCAGCCCGGGCTCGCGCTCGATCGTCCCTGCGCCCTTTCTCTTTCCTCCGTGTCTTCCTCAGCTTGAGTGCATTCTCGAAGTTCTTAAGCCCTTCTGCGCCGACTACACCCTCTAGGTCCGCCTCAATGAACGCTACATTAGCACCCTCGGGCATGTGTGCGATGTATTTGCACCGTTTGCGCAGATCATCGTTGACTGTGCTCTCCACCGCCATCTCAACCTTGATGGTTATTTCGTTGGGGAATGATGCGTAGCTATTAAAGTGAGAGAAGAGAATCTTGATGTCTAGGGGATGTAGGAAGAGGGGAAGACCTGACCCAGCTTGATAGTAATAGTATGTTTGCGTGGTCGGGGGAGGAGGATTCACGTTTCTACGCTGTCGTGAGTTCCGTCCGCTTGAAGGGGAAGCAGCGGGAACAACAGATAGAGACGCCTGAGAGGTGGTCGCAGATGTGCCCGAGGATACATTGACTCCTCCACTGCGCTGTGTTGCCAGGAATGCGTCTGGGGCACCGCCAAGGGCCGACTCTTGTTCGGCCATAGCTTGCCGCCTCCGAGTCTCAAGGGTGAATCGGCGCTCAATCTCAGTTTGCTCACGAGTGGCTTTGTCAATAGCTTCCCGTAACGGAGCGGTGTCCAGAGCAGACGCCTTCGCGATCTGTAGCCGTAGCTTTGCGTCGGCAGAATCGACGAACGAGACACTGAGTTCATCACGCATGCTTGCCATCATACGTCGCTCGACAGCAAGGGCATCTAGATCACTGCTGAGATCAGCAACGAGGTAGTCTGGGGTAGCAAGCATGAACTTGGCGAAATGATAAACATCTGGTAGGAAGTGGAAAGGGGCCTGGTGTGGCGGAATCAAGTCCGATGGCCACGTCTGAGACCGCGGGAGAGACAGAGTCGTGATTTGTGGTCGTTGCATGAGGCGCATACGCATAAGAGAGCCAACCTTGGGTACAGCAGGATCGTTGGAGTCGAACGTTGCCGAGGAGGATGTGCCAGCCACAGGTGGTCCTTGGTCCTCCTCATTGATGGAAGGTCCATCGTACCATTTGACAGACTTGAGCTGCCTCTCATTGACAGAATCAAAACAGATCGGACACCGGGCCCACTTGAGATCGTTAGAGAGACTAAGATAGTGAAGGATGCAGGGGAAACAGAAGACCTGTAGTCAAGGTCAGCAGAGGACATAGGACAGAACGAGTTTCGGACATGACCACATTTCGTCATACGGGGGGCAGTAGGTGACGAGAGACAAATCGGGCATGTCGTAATCCCCTCCTCGGAGGCTTGCTCACTGCCGGAAGCAGCCAGGACCGAGGAACGAGGTATCAAGACTTGAAGGATATCGTGCCATTGAAAGTAGCTGGTAAATGCGGTTTAGAGTATGCAAGCGGGTACGCCGATGCACTCACATATCAGGATCTGCAAAGTGGACGGTGTAGTCTCCTATGGGGTTCAGCACGAAGCGATATTGTGCATTAACGAAGCCTGAGGTGAGGTGAGTAAGCGAGGATAAGAAAGTTGGAGGGGTTGGTGCTCACGCTCTTTATTCCAGACTGCATGACTTCCTGTCTTCCTGCTACGTCGAGGTAGGCTAGTAGGAGGTTGTTGCCTTGGCGGAAGCGTGAAGTTGAGCAGGTGGTTCAGAGACTGGGAAGAAACCGTCTTCGCGGGCCTCCTCGGATGAGAATGGTCTGCAGGCGCGTTCGTGTGAGGAGCCATTCACGAATCCGTGTCGCTCAGACGACTCTGCTTTGATGAGGAAATGAAGTGGACTGGGGGTCGATGGCTTACTCCTCCCCTGGCAATGGGAAGGTCGACGACCACCAGACGGTTTCGACATCACGCATGACTCCATTAGTATCGTTACAACTTCCGGAACCGGTAACCGGTAGCCGCGCCCCTCCTCCACACGCACGTTCTTCTCACAACCAAACCACCAATGGCCAAAGGAAAGAGCGCGAATCCAGCAGACGCGTTTAGTAAGCTTTCATGCCCCAGACTCTTGCCTTTATACCCCCTCACACCGGTCCGCACCTGTAGGGAAAGCTCAGAGGAAGAAGGAATTGAAGAAGGCAAGCACGCCCTTTGACGCAGTCAAATCCATATCCCTGACAATGTCCTGAATGCAGTAGAACAAGACAGAGAGAGCAAAAACTCGCGACTTTGCACTGGTTAAGAAGGATACCAAGGGTAATGCCTCTCACACTGTCCATCCCCTGTCGATGGCTAACTCGTCTATAGAACTCGAAGATGACATCTCTAAACTTGAGCAGTCCTCTAATTCGTCTGCCGCCGACAAGGCTCGCTTATCCGAGCTCAAGTCTGAGCTTGATAAAATCATGAAGAAGAAGGAAGAATACGTCAAAGAGCACCCTGAACAGCGGAGACTTGTCTATAAAACTCGCCGGGACGAGAAATCAGAAGCTGACAAGGAGGCCCCCACGCCCCAGAAGGCGGCGAGGAATGTGTTCAACAAACGTGGATTACCTAGGCATCCCGAGCGAAGTATCTACTACGACCCAGTCATGAATCCCTTCGGTGTCCCCCCGCCCGGTATGCCATACGTTGAGAAAGGTGTGTCCTCCTTCATGGGCTCTTATTTGTCCGATCATCTCATCCTTCAAAGACCTTCCTCCAGGTACCTCTAAAAGTGACAATGAGAGCGATGAAGGTGATTCAGTTGCGGTTGCTTCCTTTTGCTCAATCTCATGACTCCGGGACGGGTTCAGATGAAGACATTGTGATGCCTGAAGGCCCTCCTCCTGGCGGCGCTGCGGAAGAGGATAGCGATGATGATATTCCCATGCCTGAAGGACCCCCGCCCGGTGCTGCTAGTGGCGATATCTTGTCTCCTTATCCTGTTCCACTTTATGCTCGCTCAGGAAAAGGATCAGTAGCTCCTCCTCCGCTTCCTCCCCTGCCCATGATCAACGGCGGGGTTCCATTCCCTCCACCTCCCCCACCTCCTGGGTTTGGCGCTCAGCAACCTCCTTTCATTGGTTACCCACCAGGTCCCCCAGGTGCTGCTTTCTATCCTCCACCTTCTACTCTCATGCAGCCACCACTTCCGCCGCCACCGCCAGGTTTCTTCCCTCGGCGAGCCCAAAATATGTCCGCGCATCAGGATCCGTTGTCCTCGGTGCCCCATCAGACTTACCAGTCGCGTCAACAACACCGGACGCTACCCTCTCATCACTCGCTCCCTGCTAATCCCATGGCACCATCTCCTTCTGCCACAGTGGCCGCAGCAACGGTGTCTGCTGAACCAGAGCTCAGGGATTTCAAGAAGGAAGCAACTGCGTTTGTGCCAGCTTCCTTGAAGAGGAAAAAGGTGGGACAAACGGGTCCAAAAGTTAATGCGGCACCGTCCTTGGGTATTACAGATGTGTCCGACGTCACCCCTGCTGCTCCTAGGCCTGACTTAGTGGGGACGCTTCGAACTCAGCTCGGTGCTGTGCCAGCATTGAAGGGCCCAAACAAAGGACAGTCGGGAACAGATCGGGGCAAAGAGGATTACCAGAAGTTTGTCGAAGAAATGGGTGATATCTTGTGATAATTCGTGCAATAACTCGCTCCTGCAACGTACCAGTAGGTAGTGGGCTAGTCTGGGCTAGTATACAACACTATTGGACAATACATAGAGTCTTGTTGACAGTGCGGCAAGGCTGTTTAGGTGCCGCTGAGTTGTCAGATAGTTGTCAGATATTGTTATGCTGCTCCACCGAGCCGATCAGCCCGATTTCCCCCTATTTCCCCGCAGTGTGGGATCCCGGCCGCAATGACCGCATACATACATAAAGTTGCGAGGACGGAGACGGTCGGAACGAACAGTGAACTGGTCTTCACCTACCCCAGAGCTCCCCGCAGACTTGAGTGAACTATCACATTGACCGACTGGTTTTATGACGACGGAAATAGTCTTACTCAATCCAAGACCACTCGCTTGTTCCTCGGGTCGTCTTCTTCTCCTTCCCCTTCTTCCCGAACGCCCTCACTTGAAGCCCTTGCCCTCCGAAGTCTGGTCAAAAATATTCATTGAAGCAATCGAGCTGACCTCAGAACGACCTAATTCTGGGTCCAAGGAACATTTCACCCCGGCTGCTTTGGCGATTAGTCGAGTATGCAAGTCCTTCAAGGCAAGTCTTCGGTTTTCTTGGGCATTCTTCCGTCCTCCGAGTATCTGCAACTGATACAATCCCCTGCACTCCAGGAGATTGCTGTGCCTGTGTTATATTCTCACGTGCGAATAAACAAGCCCCATACGTTGGGCAAGCTCACCACCGTCTTACGCGACGCTGAGCAGAAGTGGGATTCTATCAGGCGCATACCCTACTCTGCTCCCGGACGTTGGGTGCAAACCGTGGATTTGTCTGCCTTGTCCCCTCTGATTCAACCTGCCGACGCGTTTACCATCGACTCGCTGTTGACTACTTTGTTCCCTCTTCTGCCGTTCTTATCGGCTCTCTCACTCTGTCCTCAACTGCCCTTGAGCCGACGTGCTCTTGCCTCTCTGGCGAATAGAGAGGATAACAGTCGTGTAAGGGTGCTAGAAGGAATCTGCTATGATGCTTCGTACAGCTCAGAAATATCCGCAGATCGCGATCCCATTGTGCAGCTATTGTCAACTTGTCCAGGGCTCGAGACTTTAGAGCTCAGCGGGCGGGGGTTCGATCCCATCGAGCTTGACTTGCTCATATACCATTCTGAGGACTTCTCACCTCCAACTCTCTCCGCTCCATTGAATCTTCCTGCTCTCCAGAATCTCACACTGCTATCAATTCCATTTTGCTCCACTCTACTCGCTCTACTGTTGTCGCCTTTGCCATCACTTCGAAGATTAACTATAACCCCGTATGACGATGTTCCTTATCCTGCTTCGCTAGTGACAGCGTTCCTGGAAGCGCATGGTCAAAACCTATCCTCACTATTGCTGTATACCCCAAAAGTATGGCCCACCCGCCTCCACCCCTCCCCAAACACCATATTGCATACCTCTCCAAGATTAAGACACCTCTCTTTGGAATACCCATTACCTACCCTCGACTTACCATCGGGCGATGTGCATACCTCTAAACAACAACTTCCGCTCGAGATTCTTTCTATACCCCGACCTAACGCTGAGTTCTGGAGGCGGTTTGAGAGGCTACTCCCACATTTCCCCGCTCTCAAAGCTGTGAGAGCGAGAGACGTTCGCTGGCTTAGGAGCGGTATGACTTCGCGTGCCCAGGAGGCTGGTGTTCAGGGCGAAATGCGGGAGTGGAGGCGACGTCTAGCGCCCAAGGGTGTCAAGCTACTCGACGGGGATTGGAATGAGATGCACTGAGGATACATGTTCGTAATTCGCATTGATCATGGCTAATATTGTCTTCCATCCCGCTATTTGATTTATTTACCGACATGATCTAAACCACCCTACTCATCTGCAACAATGTGTACTATAGGCCTGCTTTTCCATACCTTTGCATACCAATCATTCGCTTGGCACGAGGTTGGTGTAATTTAAGTACCAGACTGCCATATGCCGTTGTTCTCCAGGTCACGCCGGGCAGCATTGATATCTGCTCGAAGATCATGATCAAACACCCAGCCGAAAAGTTTGCCCAAAGGAGAATGAAATTTCTCTGCTACAGAATCCTCGCGCCAACTATCGTATAATTCACCAGTGGCGGCACTTGATTTGAGGACGTCGTTTGCACGAGGTCGTCTATACCGGTCGTATACTTCGAACACGTCCTAGGATAACGTATGAGGAGAAACTTCACAAAGGGAAGGCAATGACTGACCTGCAAATTCTGGGTATTTGTGCGGAGATCAACCAGCAGCTCGCAAATGAAGTGTGCATCCTCGAACCCCTGGCCAACTCCAGCCCCGAGGTGAGGGGACGATGCGTGCGCAGCATCGCCGACGAGGGCAACATTTTCGCGAGTGTAGTGCGTCAGTGTCGGTCGAAGTTCGTGGATTGCCCATTTCTTGGGGTTGTCATCGAGCAAAGAGATGATTGCCTGAGTATCTGGACCGCAGTCCTCGAACCGTTCGACGACCTCTTGCTTGTCAACGGCTGTGACCCACTTTTCCAAGGGTAGTTCCTTGCTGTCTGCGTGCTCGGAGCGATCACTACAGAAAAGAACGACGTTTACCTTCAGAAACAAATCATCAGCCAAAAGGTGCTTAACTGCAAGAAAAACTCCCTTACCATTTGGCCGTTCTTCAAGGGAAATATGATCATGTGCTGGAGCATATGCGAGGTTAGTATTATGCCAGTCTGTTACAATATTTATCTCAGCACCCTATTTTTTCCCATGAAGTTGGTAGGCTTTGAAAGGAGGTCTGTCTTTAAGTTGGCCCGCTTGATAGAATCGCCCGAGATCAGAGCCCTATATGCGACCGTGTTTGTGAACACGGGTCGACTGCTCGTCCCGTTCACAAATGATCGCACATTGCTCCTGATGCCGTCTGCCCCAAGGACGACATCAGCTTCAAACGTTGTGCCATCTTGGAAGTGTAAGGTCGAAACTGGGTGCTCCGATTTTCTTGACTGTGATATAGAAGCCAAACGCTTATTAAAATGCGTACGTGTCGAATCAAGGAGGCCGACGACAGCACTGAGAAATTCAGCTCTGCAGTACTCTACGCATTAGGTCACCAAAGAAGGGCTGTCTTGCGTTCTAAGGCTCACCGGTGGATCGCCATCCCCATGTCAAGTTTACCTGGACGAGACAAGTACTAAACTCGATATGCATATGTTCCCAGTCACACATAGAAAAGTACGCACGTCGAAGATAAACTCATGACCAGGAAGATCTGAGATAAACTGGAAGGTTCCCATGTCATGGTAGTCCTCAGCCTCAGAATGCAGAGTCTTTGAGATACCGAGGCCCTCCAAAGCACGTAAACCATTTGGGCCTGTGCCGATTGTTATTACGGCTACACGTAGCACATACTATCGCTCACCTATTGCCACCCCTGCTCCTAGTTCTCCGAATTTGGACTTTGTGGTATCATTCAGCACGGGACCCTGGCAGTAATAAAAAGGCAGCGAACGTACCGCAGCCTCGAATAGATTGACATCTAGACCTGCCTTCATGAGCCTCACAGCGCACGCTACGCCTACCATCCCTCCACCGACGATAGCGATACGCAAGTCTTTGCGGGACGACATCGATGGGGTATAGAACAGAGTGGCTGCGAGAAGTTACCACCAGGGGATCGGTCTAACTAAGCTGCCTGAGCATCCGTTTTCGATAGAGTAGATACCGATGCACGGGCTCCGTCTACGAGCCTCTCACGCGAATCGATCATGGCAGGTGGACTAATGCCTCGGGTTACAGTAGATGAATGACGCAAGGCGCTTACTCCTGTTTGATCAGTCACAGGTCGTTCAGCTTGCCTAATTGGCTTGGTAAGAGCCCGGAGGAATGAGCTATCTTTGAACGTTCATGCGCGCCTAAAACAAAGAAAGACTCACCGTGAGTTAAGATAATGTCGCTGAAGCGGTGAAGTCCCCAATCGCGGCGACGCTGATATCAGAAAGAGAATCCAATTCATTGTCGCGTGTCGCAAATGATGAAGTGACAAACATGGTAAACATACTGACGATCCATCACATTCTTGCAGTTACCGGCCAAACCCCTTTGTTTTCGAGACTTTGTTGCGCAGACGCGATATCCTCCCGAAGGTCATGGTACCAAACCCATCCCCACAGGTCATGAAGCCGTGGTTCCAGTTCATGTACAGGGGCACCCTCTCTCCAAATCTCGTACAAATCACCAGCCGCAGCACTGGCCCTTAGAACTTTGTTAGCTCGGGGACGCCTGATCTCGTCGTATGCTTTGAAAACATCCTACATAAAACATATCAATCAGTAGGCATTGTTTTTACGTTGATCAACGAACAAGGTACCAACCGGCACGTTGGAAAGGTTGGTACGAGGGTCAGTCAGAAGTTCACAAATTGCAAGTGCGTCTTCGAAGCCTTGCCCTACACCAGACCCCAAATGTGGACACATGCCATGTGCGGCGTCTCCGACCAGAGCGATATTGTCACGAACGTAAGTCGACAACGTAGGTTCCAGAGCATGGATGGACCATTTCTTGGGATCTTGGACCAACGAGATGATCTTTTGGACGTCAGATCCGCTACCTTGAAAGGCATCGACAATCTCTTGCTTCTCAACAGGGACAACCCATTGCCGAAGCGGGACTTCAATAGATCCAGCAGGCCTCGAACGATCAGTGCAGAAGATGACGACGTTGACCTACAACGGGAGTCAATTGCCTATATGGCCGTGAAGGTGCTAATGTACTTACTATCGTCCCGTTGTCAATTGGAAAGATTATCATGTGCTAGCGTTATTTAGTTAGCCTTGATAGTGGTATGCGTGCGACGTATTGGAATTACCCTATTATCGCCCAGCATATTCGTAGGCTTTCTGGTGAACAGATTAGTCTTGAGATTAGCCTCTCGTATGGCTTCGCTCGGAATAAGCGCGCGATAAGCTACTGTGTTCGTCCAAGCAGGTCGAGTTAAGTGCCCGGCGATTACAGCCCTAGTAGTGCTCCGAATCCCATCGGCCCCAAGGACAGCATCCACTTCGAAAGTTGATCCGTCGAGGAAATGGAGCGTCGATGTTGTATGTCCTAACTTTAGTGACTGAGATATAGACTTCAGTCGCCTATTGAAATGTACTCGTTCCGCATCAAGGAGACTGGTGACTGCTTCAAGAAAGACAGGTCTACGACATTCAGCTGTTTATACAGTACAAGATATGGAATTTCAAACCACTCGCCGAAGAATGGCCATTCCAATATCAATATTGCCCGGGCTGGTTGGTTGCTAGCATTCTCAATAGTATAACATAAGTTGGGGGCATCGAGACAACACTTACGTCGTATATCATCTCGTGGCCTTCCCGTTCTGAAACAAACTGGAAAGGTTCCATGTTGGGTTCCTCTCCAATTCTCGCCAGCATAGCGTCATAAAGGCCCAAGCCCTTGAGGGCACGCAAAGCATTTGGTCCTAGTCCCTCGATGAGCAGCTTGACAGATAAACGCGACAAGACGCAGAGTACTCACCGAAACCCACGCCAGCACCAAGTTCACCGAACCTCGACTGCGAATAGATGAATATCCCAGCCGCACCTGGGCTAAGCATGTAGAGTACACACCGCGGCTTCAAAGAGGTCAACTTTCAGGCCCGCACGTTGCAGCTTCACTGCGCAAGCAACGCCAACCATACCTCCGCCAACAACAGCTATGCGGAGATCCTTCCGGGAAGTCATGAGTGCCGAGTGATTTAAGACGAGCCAAAAAAGTCTAGTCTTTGAGCTTCCCGTCGAATCGTTTAAGAGCGAGCACAGTGTCTATGTACCATCAAATCCGTACAAGTTGGTGAGAACACACTCCCATGCGACGGCGCTTTTGACTGACACTGGGAACTTGACCATATTGCTCGGCTAAGGTGTTCTTCCCGCCGAAGCGCATCAATCAGCCAGATGGTAATCGCCCGTGTGAGAGATATACAGTTAGTATAGATTTGCATCAGCAACATCAGGTGGTTTACAAGGTACAAGGCCACTGTTGCCATAAGAAGCACGATTTTCCTACGAGAGTTCTTCACGTCGGCTATACTAAAGACAGGGACAGTCAATATCACGACATAACGCGCAAAGAACGGAAGGAGAATACTGACAGAAGTCCCTCTAGTCATGGCAAATGACAGAGCAATTGCGCGACGCAAGGACTGAACAAAACTCTTTGAATCGCTTATCCGCTATGATACTTTGCCAGTCGCCGTAGAGAGTCACCGATCGAAGGGAAGGGAAAGAGGATTCAGCGATAAAATGGAGATGTGGGCCTAGCACCTTCCAACCGTCACCGTCAAATATTGCGCACGGATAGGAATGAAGGCCGATCGAGGTGAGGGACTCGTGTTCGGCAGGCCCATTGAGTGGGAGGGTAAAGTAGACAAAGTAGTTGAGATGTTTGAGGCTGGGACAGTCCCGGAGAAGGAGTGTGAGCTGTTCTGTCATGAGAAAGGCCATGTGTCTGCTAAATTCTACGGTATGGACTTGATTTCCAAAAGACTCCCAGAGTAAGGAGAGTGCATCTCCATGAGTGGGCGGCATGTCGACGATGATGCTTTCGAGGGCAGGCAAGTCCCAATCGCATATAAGCCGAAGGAAGATGGGGTTGAGTTTGCGAATCCGAATGGTCTTCAGAGAGGGAATCCTCATGCCACTACGACTGAGCGTACTCAGCCACAGTTCGCCACCGACCGTGAGGTACTGCAGGGAAGGCGCATTGTGCAATACCACTTCCAAGGAGTTGATTCCACCTGACCGGGCTGCAGTGTTATAATGCCACCAGTCAAGACGTTTCAATGAATGGAGGGGTATCATGTCAGCATGAAAGTCGAAGCGGACTATGTCCGGATGGACAGCAAGGAATGGCCTGGCAAGGAACTCTACCCGAGGACATCGATCGAGGATGCCAAGTGTATCTTGAACGCTGCTAGGTCTCTCGGTGCATGTCAACGTGTAGGGAATCTCCAGACGGCGAACCCATCTCCCATAACCAATGTCTTCTCTGTTCTCGCTGTCAACGGGACGTCGTCTGAGTGCGCCCTTCAACCCTTCGATTGCATGTTTGTCCTTTACTTTGATGTCTTCATACAGAAATCCTGTAGCAAGAGCCCTCCACATGCGGCAAACGGACACTATTGTTCGCTTGGTCTGAAGGCCCTCATCCTGGCCCTCGAATGAACTTGAGAAGGGGTGGTAATTCGTTATGTTAAGCCTCTCTGCGTCAGGCAAGGTCGCCCAACGTAAAACACACAGCCAGATTTCAGGGGGAAGGGTTGACAGGGACTGGTGCATCTCGTATTGGTGGTTGGTGAGAACATGCGGATATCGGCTTTTACTAAGACCTGGTATGCGCACACGATACAGCTAACGGCCAGCCCGGTCCACCGGGCCTTCGACAAATGGCTGCATAACCCCAGCATAACTTGTGGCGTTGCATCGGCAAACAAAGATTTAGGAGACAAACCCACATTTAGCGTTTGTTGGCCCATATCAGGCTCTCAAGCACAACCTTGTGTAGTAGCACATAGCATGTGATTGCAGAGGAGATATGACCCAAGTACAGAAGCTCAGGAATGGGATCAAGATGGGTATAGACAAGTTGATAACAACAGACGTAGAAGAAAAGCAGAGTAATGCTGCAGTTTGCAATTGAAGGGGCGGAAAAACCTAAGATATACGCGGAAACCAAGGGAAGTGTCCATCTCAATGCCATCGAATACGGTTTATGTTCGTACACATTTAACAGTAGATTGGGCATTAGAGCGTCAGAAGTCGTACGAGTGATTGATCAAGGATCAAGCAAATGAGGGAAACGTCGATTAGATGATTTGGAGATAGTTGGATGGTGCAACTACAGTGCTGTTAGGGGCGTTGATATAGCTGAAATGTATCTGACTTACTGCCTACGGTGCCATCCGCCTTCTTCGCTTGCCACCACTTGCCTTGCTTGTCAACGATGTCCATTATTTCACCCTTGGTGAACGATATCTCATTGGGATCATCGGGTGATGCGGTATCTGAGAGCAGGATCAAGGATCAAGTAGGCCGTGGGTGTATCATGAATTTACTCACAAGCATAGAGCGCTTTGGCCTTGTGGGAGACGAACTCCGGTTGTTGAGCGGTCTCTGGTGCTGGGGGACTCATGCCTCCTCCTGCACCGAGGCCTGCTGCTCCCGCTCCCATCAAAGGTGATGCTTGACCCATGTTATTCTCGGCGCCCAAAGGTCCAGGCGCAACATTGGGTGTGCTGTGAACACTACCAGGAGCACCAGCAACACCGATGCTACGTGGTGGGCCTCCATCAATGCTTCCACCCCCGTTGAAGCTATTTTGGCTTCGAACACCAGTCCCAACAGCACCAAAGCCAGCAGGCTTCCCTCCCGCGTCATACGGGATGTCATGGGAGCCAATACCTCCACCGGATGAATAGTTACCGGCGTAGCCATTGTTCGGTGGACCGCGGGTGCGGCGACGGCGAGACGGGGGAGTGAGGCCACCAGTACCCATGGCGTTAAAGATATAGAAAGCCAATGAATCTTCTTCGGAGGTGAAGTAAAGAACCCAAGTAATGTCGACAACAGCAAGGATGAGCCAGCCAGCGGCCATGGCATCAAGAGCAGAACGGTTGGCGAATATGGTGTTGTCAACTTGGATCACGGCGAAGACAATGGCGACTGCGCCAAACACAGAAATCTGGAAACGATTCATTGCTATCGAGTCGCTCGCGAGGGTGTAGAGGACGCCGAGAATGAGGAATAGTTCGAGGAAGATGGCGAACCAGCCGGTGCCGACAGCCCTTTCAGAGACTAGAGGTGCATATAAGTTGAGACAGTTGAAACTAGCGTCCAAAGAGTACTCTCAAGTGGCTCAAAGGATGAAGGACACTCACACTGTGCGGTAGCTATACATTGAGAGATGAATGCTATGAACCATGCAAGCTGGGGTGAGTTAGCAAGGATGAAAGCCGGGGGTGAGCGGAGATAGCTTACCACGGCGAGAATGGTCGTAAACAGAAAGAGATAGTGAGTGAGTATAGGTGTGAAGTCGAGGCCTTCGTTTCCTCGAGGAGGCATGGCTGGGAGGAACGGAGAGGGGGGAGGACAAGGGAGAGATCAAGTTGTGCCCGGCTCTTGGACGTCGCAGTTGTGTCGTGTTGGAAAACGCTCCTACCGAAACAATTCACTCGACGACAAACTTCCCACGGCAGGTAACATGAGTGACATGACGCCATCTCCTTTCACCTCGTTGGGCTTTGGACGTTGGGCGATCACTAGCATCGCAGCTGATTATCAAAAATATGCCAGATGTTGGGACGTAACCAACACGCATGTTACATTCTTTCGAGACTGGGTTAGCGTGGCATTCAATCAGCCACAAGATGAGACAGCTCTGCCTTTCTTTTGAGACAGCCCTGGAAGTCATGACCATCCACATACAGCTTCTAAGTCTCTCATAGACAGACAAAAATCCAAGGAACATTCCGTTGATGAGGATATGTTCACCGAAGACATTGGAGGTTTGGGCTCAGTTCGAGTCTGCAGCCGCAAATTAGCTTTGGCCGAAACAGCATGTCGTGGCACAAAGTTTGCTCGGCGGCTAGGAAAATAAGATTTGGCGCGTCCGTCCGAGTCAAGTGTGAGAGTGAGGCAACAAAGTCGTCCTAGATATCACTGACAAGCAAGGTCATGGAACCACATTGCCGTCCTAGCACAATGCCAAAAGATTGACCTTACGCCGGTGACATGCTCTATGCATGGAATCAATGATATATAGCTGATTGACGAGATGCTAGTTGGGTGACACATGACGTAGCAAAAGACATACTCTCATTCACCGCGGGCGTGCTGCCTGGTGTGGACGAAGGGTGGATGATGCCGTAATGGAAGTCATTGTCTGATTAGATTGCCTTCGCGGCTGTTCCCGTAAGGCGTCGGCTTGACCAAATTGGTTCCGTGAGCTGGGTGCCGTAAACCAAGCCAGAGAACTATGGACTCCCAAACGCCTCCCGAGCGTCTCGACGGACTACCATCTCCGCCACCACCTCCCGCACATCCGGCAGAGCCTTTCGTTCTCTCCGATCCCTCCCTTCGGACACCTGCTCCATCTGAGCCAAGTCACCGTCCTGATACCGTCCTTGCATACGAGCGCACCGCCGACTCGGACGCATCTCGCCTAGTTTCGTCCCTGGCACGCGAATTTGCAGAACTCCCATTGCATATGACCTCAAAACCAGCTACTCCTCGGCCACGTGCGAATGAAGAGACTCTAAACATGTCCCAGCGAACATCCGAGGCCGGCAGACCCCTCAATGTTACAGATGCCCTCAGCTATCTTGACGCCGTCAAGATCCAGTTTCAAGACAAGCCTGATGTGTACAACCATTTCCTAGACATTATGAAAGACTTCAAAAGCGAAGTGTGAGTGCTCTTCCAGTGCCCTGCTTCATGTGAAACACGAAAACGAGTATATTGCTCCCTTGAGTGCAGTCATTCATGCATACGGGTTTGCCAATTCTCTCATCCTCTACATTCCACATCATGATAGTCACTGACACGCGTCTTTTTGTAGCATTGATACACCGGGGGTCATTGAAAGAGTTTCTATGCTCTTTCATGGGAACCGAGATCTGATTCAAGGCTTCAACACGTTCCTTCCCCCTGGATATCGAATAGAAACATCCGTAGACCCTCGGGACCCCAATATGATCACTGTCACGACTCCAACAGGAACAACAACTCAAAATACTACTACCTTCGAGCAGTATTTTCGACTCAACCGTGAAGGCGCTGGGAAATCTGGAGTAATGACATATGCTCATGGAATACCGCCCCCGCTCCATCCCTCACCGCGTTCTGCGACGCCGTATACAGCACCGACTGGTCACCCTTCTCATGAAATTCAGTCTGGATATCATGTCGCATCAGCAACTGACGCTGCTTCTTTGCTCGGCAACTTGAACGGCAAGACTGCACAAGAAAACAAATCAGCGGGGGAGTTTAATCACGCTATTCAGTACTTGAACAAAATCAAGGCACACTACTCAGACGATCCGGATACGTATAAACAGTTCTTGGAGATCTTGCAGACTTATCAGAAGGAGCAAAGGCACCTGCAAGATGTACGTGGTATCAACATCTCAGCATGTTTATCAACACTGAAACGCTGGTTTAGTCGCAGGTCTATGTTCAGGTTCAAATGCTATTCAAAGATGCTCCTGAGCTCCTCGCTGAATTCAAAGACTTCCTTCCTGAGGTCACTAACGCCTTCGCTGGACCCGTCGGCGTTGTCGGAATTCTCCCTCATCCAGTCACTGGGCCCGGGATGGCCATCCCATGGGGCCAACCCGAGTCGGGTCCTTCGAATGACAAGCAAGATAGGAGTGCCAAGAGGACTACCGCCGCCGCTAAACGAAAGCGAAGAGGGGTTGCAGAGAAAGAGCTCACCCCCGCACCTCCGGCTAAACCCTCTGCTGGGAATAGAGTGAGTGCTTGCTTTTCTCGAGGCGACGCATGAAACATAAATTTTTACCCTAGAGCAAGAGATCGAAAATTAACCACAAACCTGCCGACCCAGAATCCCCTCCTTATCCAACTTATGGGCTTCCGGCCTCGCCTTCTCCCATGCACCCGACGATGCACCCCCAATCTCATATCGTATCTGCTCCGGCAGCGCAGGCCCAATCTACCTCACTACTTGCTGTGCCAGTTCCTATCGACCCTGCGGAGCAGGCGGGATCTAAAGACAACCTGGTGTTCTTGGAAAGGGCAAAGGCAATGCTAGAACATCAGAAGATCTACGACGAGTTCTTAAAACTCCTGAACCTCTACTCCAAGGACATAATTGATCCGAAGACGTTGATCGAGATGGCACAAGCTTTCCTGGGGGAAGGAGACATGCTCGCCCAGTTCAAAGATGTTGTTGGTCTAGGAGAACAGCTAGATGGTATTGATTATGGTCCGCCAGGAAGCATCCGAACAGGGCCACCAGATCCTGGGCCCGGGTTGCCCGCGTTCAAAGGCGAGGGTCCCAGCTACAGGAGAACCCCCGAAAGTGTAAGCTTCACCTTCTTCAGACATGCGTTTCCTTTAATCCATTTGGTCGACAGGAACTTCGACTAGCCTGTTCTGCTCGAGATGAACTCTGTCATTCGGTCCTTAATGACGAATGGGCATCCCATCCCACTTGGGCATCCGAAGACAACACTTACTTCACAACACACAAGAAGAACTCGTTCGAGGAGGCCATGCATCGAAGCGAAGAAGAGCGCCACGAATACTGGGTCCAGCTGGAAGGGCTCTCACGTCTTCTTTCGCTTCTGGAGCCTCTGAATGCTCGCATAGAAGATTTGACGAACGATGAGAGGGCGAGCTTCAGGTTGCGACCTGATTTTGGCGGGCCCAGTAAGGGTATCTACTATCGAATCCTCAAGAAGGTCTATGGCAACAGCGCAAACGAAGTTATCCATGCTCTTCAGGATTGTCCTAGTATAGCTGTTCCTGTTGTCCTAACTCGTCTTAAGCTGAAAGATGATGAGTGGCGACGGGCTCAGCGGGACTGGGCAAAGGCTTGGAGAGATATCGACTCCAAGAACTTCTACAAGTCCCTTGACTATCAGCTAGGGAATGCCAAAGGCGATCGTAAGACTTCACCGGTAAAACAAGCAGTTGCCGCCATTGAAAGCCTCAAGACAGAGCAAAAGCGAGCTTACGACAAGCAAAGCCGGCCGTCATTTACCTTCGCACCTGATCACCAGCTCAAGCTCGAGTTCCACGATGTTGATCTGGTGCGAGACGCTCTCAGATTGACCTACTCATTCGTCGAGCACTTATCTGCTCAATACTCTCCTCAAGAGAGACGGGCCGTTGAGAGTTTCTTACAAGCGTTCATCGATCTGCTATGCTATACGCCCTCAGCTGAGCAGTCAATATCTAGTCAGCACGTCATGCCTCAGCAGAACGACCATCAAGGCATGAAGAAAGACCATGGTTCGGACGCACTGAAGGATTCTTCGTATTCTTCCCGTGCGGCTACTCCACCTACCACGAAGTCGACATATGGCGGTGCGCCAAGCGTCTTTGGGCCAGGGAACGAAGTGGACGAAGCATGGATTACCGAGTCGTTCAACCACTTGGAAATTGGTTCTCTCGAGGACAACTCTCGGCGCCGTCCCTTCTTTGCCAACACGACCTTTTACGCGCTGCTCTCGTTCTTCCAGGTGAGACATGTGCCCTCCAACCCCACATCAAGTCGCTCTGTTCTAATTAAAGCTTTACTTTGAATTAGTCATTATACTCGAAGCTTCTGGTGTGCAAGGAGGCGGGCGCTACGATAATTGCTCAGAAACTTGCACCCTTGCGCCCTAACCCAATTGCTGTGGAGCTTGGTTTAGATGACCCGAACGGGCCTTTGGCAGTACTCTCCCAATATGCGGGGACTTCTATCGATGAAATCCCTTGCGATAGGAACCTGGTTTATGAGTACCTGCTTGGTGCCATCGAGAAGACATTTGAGAATGAAGCAAGCTTGCCATTGGTGGAGGAGCATATCCGGTGGTTTGTTGGATCCAAGGTAATGGTCAACTTTTGGAAAGTCTTCCGTCATCAGAAGCACTCATTTACGATGTGAACGGAAGGCTTACCTACTCTTCAACCTGGATAAATCAATGGCACTGTTAGTGAAACAGGTGGGTACTGCGGCTTGTAAAATTAGATTCAGACGCCCGACCTACGTTCGCCTGCGTTGGAAGGGGCGTGTCGGGTGCTTTTGAACTCGCGCTGACAAGATGCTCGACAAGGTACAAACTGTCCTCAACGACAACCGATGCCAGGAACTATGGGCTTTGCTCCAAGAGACTCGCAAGGTGGAATCAGTTTCGAATCAGGATACTGTGCGATACCGTCGAGAGGCAGAGAAACATGTAGGAGCCGACGAGCACCTATATCGGATAGACTGGGTGAGTGGGCCAGAAATAGAGCATTGTTAACGTAATGTCCCTAATGCATGACTCTACCAGGATCATGTGGAGAAGGTGATGCTTGTGCATTTAGTTGAACCGCACGAGCCGAGCACAGTGGGGGGTGGATCCGCGACGAGTCGGTGGAGGGAATATGTGGACTCATACGTCCTCCGGCAGCCGACTGAGTGGCTTCCCCGGCGGCAAACCAAGAGACAACCTGGCGGTAGCGCGCTATTTCTAAGACGGTGAGTGGAAATCTGTGGAAATTCCATGTAGAATGCGGCAGTCGTCTGCGGGACGATCCATCCGAATCTGATGGCTTGTCTAAACTTAGGCAGCTCACGGCCGACGAAACACCGGCGATCGAAACTTCGTGGGCTGATCTTGGTGTACGCATTAGCCTCGGAACATACAAGTTGTTCTATGAGGCAGGGTCGGAGGATGTGCTAGTGGCACGGCGGGACGAGGACGAGGAACGGGAGCTTCGGGATCGGGCCCGAGTGCGGGAGGCTGAACGGCGGAAGTGCCGGTGGTTATCAGACTGATATCCAAGGCCAGGCGAGCAGTTTCCATAGGTTTTGGGATAGATCAGGAGCGCGTGGGCTGTCGTGCAGGGTATGTGCATATATTTAGTACTTACAGTACAAAGCCAAATTTAGCCTGTAATCAAGCCGCTGCATCATGCATGTTCTGCATAATCACGTACAGTTAGTTAATAACGTTAAGGCTAGTGCTTGTGCAACCTACGGCACAGAGTCTATTTTTAGCCCGAGCTGTGCTATTGATATCCAGGTTAGGTATTACTTAAGCAAGTCGTCTATGGCGGATTAACCCACGTTTATTGACCCCCTCCCTCCCTCTGCCAGTGCCCGCCCGTTGGGCTACTACTGCCCCTCGCTGCCCTTTATCTACAGCCCCGCGCTGGATTCGTTGCAGGGCGTGCTGACGAGATCCATACGATTCGGGCAACTGTTAGTAATTAGCCCCGCAGGAGACTACCGACGGTATCATCTCTATTCACGAGGCCAAGCATCTGCTTTTTGCTTGGCACTTGAGTGCTTTTCCTTGCGGCATGGCCAAGCCTGGCTCTAGCCAGCCCCTTCGCCGTAAGCGCAGCAAGAGACGCTCTCCACAGCCCTCCCACTCCTCTACGCTCTCCCCCTCGCCGTCCGCCCTATCCGTCCTCGCATCCATCCTCGCCTCCTCCCACGCAGCTCTTGCCAGCCCCCTTCCTCTCGAGTCGCCCCCCGCTTTCCTATGCCCCGTCCTCGCTCGTGACGGTATCACCCCTTCGCCAACCACTTCCCACAAGCCAAAGGCCAAGCCCACCTCCTCCGCTTCCAAGCCCAGATCTACTCCGGCCCCGTCCGCGTCGTCATCGCGGACCTCAGGACAAATAGCTGATAGATACGTTCAGGGGGACGACGCCCTCTGGCGGAAGACCGACCAGTGGACGTTGTACGGCAAGACCGTAAGTTCGCGCTTATCCCGCGTCCAGCATATCGCTTTCTCAGTCAATCTCACGCTGTAGTGCTGTGCCTCCCCCGCATCCCAGAGTCTGGACGACGATGCGCTGTCACCAGAGAGCACGACGGCATCCTCGTCATCCAAGACCTCAGATGTCGCCGTGCTCGACGTTTCCAATCTTCCTGCGGGTTGGACCGACTCCTCAAGTTCGCAGTCCGCCAGCGATACAAAAACTTACCTCATTCTCTCCCTTTCCATCTGTTTAGCGGTTGCAATACTTTCCATGATGATAGGTTGCATGTTCTGGCGGAAAAAGCGACGGCGATGGAGGGAAAGGCAAAGAAAAGAGGACGTCGAACTCGAGAGGATTCGAAGCCGCAGTGCGGATAGTGTTTCCGAGGACGGAGAGCGCACGCGAGAAGCCATGGGACGGATGCGTTCCTGGGCGAAAGCTACCGCACGATGGAAGGCCAGCATCAGACAATCTGCTCGTCGTCGTCGCAATCGTCGTCACTTTAACAAGGCTAACCGTTCATGTTCGCCGTCCCTCCAAGACGTCCGTGATTCACTATCAATGTCACAACATTCCCCATTCTCCTCGCCACGCTCTTCGACTTCTCATCTCAGCCAGGAACCATCCGAAATCTCACATCTGGAAGCGAGCGAATCCAATTCGTCAATATCGAACTTTTCGCAACTATCCATCCTCTCACCTCCTGCTTACAATCCGCCCAGATCCCCTGAAAACAGCCCGGAACCTAGGCGACAAATGTCCCCTCACCTCAACCTCGACCAGGACTATCCACCGGTAAACGATCATATACCCTATGAACCTGGCCTTGTAGGTCATGTGTCGACGGACGATAAAGCTCACCTTGCCCGCCTGGATAATTTAGCCAGTGCTCCGCCGGGTGACAACTCTTGTGGGGACATTGTGCCATCGGGCTCAGCGCCACAATGGCCTGACGACGTCGATGAGCCTGCTGACAACGGCCTATTCCTCGTTGCCGCTCCACCAGCCTTCTCCCCTTTGCCACCTCCGCCTGAGAAGATCAAGTATATGGACCTTGACTATGAGGCTCATGCACAGCTGGAAACACTGGGTCAGTCTAGTGAACCTGCTGCGTATCGCTCTAGTCCGCCGGGCAGTTTCTCGCAAAGCACTACCATGTTTGAGCCTTCTGCCCCATCGTTTGAAGAAGAACTTTCACCCTTCGAAGGGAGGGATGCTTCAGCTCCTGAATGGCCTCCAACAGATCCCTTTGACCCAAATCACCCATATCCCTCCGCCGACGATTTCCAGCGTGAAGCTCGCGTACCCTCACCCTCACATTCTTTGTCGCGCAGTTCACTCTCATCTTTTAATATTGGACATCCTTCAGAAGCTGGGTTATTACCCGTATATCGACCGTAACTATTCGCTCCTTCATGATAGGTAGTTTGTAACAAGACTTGCATTCGCGCGTAGTATCATAGCATACATGTAGTATACCTAATTGATTGCCTTTCGATAGGGTCTTTATCGCGTCGATGCCTGTCGCGTTACCTTCTTCACAACCGTACTATCCTGAGTGCTCTTTGCTGATGACTGGCTGTCTCGAAGACTCGAAGGATAGGTCAACTCGAGATGCAAAATTTGCAGAAACTTGGATCAATGTGACCGTGTGAAGTGAGAACGGTCAGCAGATGATCGAGATTACTATTTACATGGAAGTACTTTATCCGAAAGTTTCTACATCTACGGTCATAAGCTAAGCTAGCGTGCCGATACTCGATATACGATGGGGAAGTCACAGAAGAAACGAGCGATGCGAAGGCACAATCCTATGCGAGTACCAGACTCACATCTCCCAAAAGGGCTAGATTCCGCTGCTGCTTCATCCTCCAAGAAGGAGGTGATCCTGCCAATCATCCAGAAGGTACGCGCCTTCTCTCGGTTTGTCCTCAGACATTCGGTAACTCGGATCCAACGTACTCCAGCTGGAGAGCGTCGATGGTGCAGAACGTCATTGGGCTTGCGTAGCTGTCTCCAACCTCATTCAAAACGACCCATCCACACGGCGTCTGCTTCAGGGCAAAAACGTAGTGGGAGCACTAATAAATAGGCTGACTGACAGCGAGGAGGAAGTATGGATCGAGGCAGCTGGGGCTCTCCGGTAAGCTGGGTGAAGTCTGAGATTTTTGCTTAGCTCATACTGTTTCAGAAACTTATGCATTGACGGTGGTTATGACATCTGTGCAGAGATGTACAACAAGAATATATTGTCTCCACTTCAGGCTTTTATACCCAAAGTGCGTCATGACTATGTCAATATAATCGGCGTTCTTACATTTTGTAGATCTCAGCAGCGCTTTCGCAATTTATAGAATCGCCCAAGACCGCACCAGAGAACGCACGAAAAGTAGTATATGAGTTTGCTAATAATGTCATAACCATTCTTTGGTGTCTTTCGTACGTTTCTTTATTTCAGTGTTGCTGGCTCTCTGATGAGACTAGGGAAACATCCAACAAGGCATTGAACGCTATAAACCAGATTGGCCTCGTACCTTTCCTTATGGCCTTTATGGCTTGCCGGGACAAGCTCCCTTTGTCTACGGTCACCTCTGCAGGTAAGCAAACCGTGAAAAGCAGGAATCAAGCGCCAACGACCGTCCAGCGCAATGCCTTTATGTGCTCAGTGACGATAATCGTCCGGTTATTGAGGGAATAAGGTCGAATGCCGCATATGTGGCCAGTCTTATGGACGTCATATGCACCAATAACGATACGAACGGAAAAGATAAGGTTGTGGATGACAAGGCAGTAACCCTCGCTGTTCTCGTCTGCGGTGAGTGTCCTCCCAGAAGTTTGGATGACTCTCATGAACGGTAGCGCAGGCATATTGGAGAATGTATCGCCTTTCCCTTCTCAGAGTGCCTTATCCACCGTGGATCTTCACAAGGACGTTGTTCTACCAGTCATTCAACCCGTCATTTCCCCCGTCTCCCTGCCCGCCATATCTGACCGTGTTCGCCAACTGTCAATGGAACAGGCGTCGGAACCACCTCAGATAGACAAACTTTCAATCAAACATGCTCCAAAATCTGATCATCGCTCGCCCATCGAGATCGAACTTCTAAAACTTGAAAATCAACTCCGCACTGTCTTACTTTCGCTTGAGGTGCTCACAGGCATATGCGCAATGCTGCCCGAAACGGAAACGGATGAAGCAGACGCCGACGGTGAAACTGGTGAAGATGAAGGTGGGTATCTTTCTTTGCATCGCCTTCGCGTTTCGTTACTTAACAACTAGCTGGCTGGACGAAGACGGAGCTGATCTAGACGACGCTTCGGATGAAGAGATGGTGGTGGAAGATGGGTTTTCAGGTGAAAGACCAGCGCCCTCACAGTCGACCAGAATACTTCCTTCTCTCGTGGAGCCATTGCTAGCTCTCGTCCGGCCGACAGATTTGTCATTCCCTCCTGCTGCCGAACAGTCACCACATCCCCCAACAACTTCAGCGCTCGGTGGAATCCATGTCTGTGCCCTCGAATGCCTCAACAACATATTTCTTTCTCTCAGTGCATCTCCTCACCCAGAGCTCAGCGCGGACACCCAGAGTGGCCAGAAGTTATGGGATGAGATGTGGACATCACTCAATTTAGTGGGAACAAACATAGGCAGGGGTCAAGAACGCAAGAAGGATGTTTGGGAGATAGCAATTGGTGTACTGTGGGGCATTGGAAATATCTGGAAAGGCAGTCTGGTGCGTTATGATCTCTCCCCATATAGCCGACTAATCAATGCTTCCAAGGCCCCGGTCGAAGACCAGGTAAACGTGCTCATCCAGTACTGTAACTCAGCATCAGACCCAATACTACGGGTTAAATGCCTCGGGACATTAGAATGTCTGGCGCAGCACCCGGATTCAATAGATGGGAACAGAGTGAGTGGCAAATTATTAGAGAGGCTTAGACAGCTTATGCGGCGTTGCAGGCAATCGCCAACTATCTTCTCTCTGTGCTTCCAACCACAACCGAACCTTCGTCATGGGGCACGGAACCGCTCATCCAAGCGGTGTCGGCTTTGATAGACATATTCTCTGACGAGGATAAGCCTTACGATGTCAACTTCCGCCAAGGGCATTTCGAGAACCGACTCAGCGAGTGTGTGGAGGGTGTTCGGAAGACGGTTCGCGCTATAGACAGGCGCAAAGAACGAGAGCTGAAGGTCAGAGGAGAGGAAGTGAGAGATAACCTCGTGGCTTTCATCAAGTATCGCAGGAGGCTGAAGCTGAATGCGTGATCGTTGTTCGCTGAGATTACACTGGTCGAGAAGTACTCCTACAAGCATAGTCGTCTATGCTCTTATGTACGTGGAATGTAATGGTCATTCACTCTGCAGTTAGTTGAAGCTATTGCCTTCAATGGGTGACTATCTTTGTTCGACCCGAAGGTTTATCTGCAAGCATCGACTTGAACGTTTAATCTAAGCGCTGAACTGAACGCAGGTCAGTGCCGTCTGCAGGCAAATAGGGGCTTTTATATATCCAATTGAGGAAAGTAATGATTGTGGATACTCACTTCATGCATTCATGGTCCGTGCGCTGACGCGTCGTATATAAGGCAGCGTAGGACGGTCTGAAGTCCTCATACTTACCTTGATGGCGTAGGCCCATTCACGTCCTTGGGTTTATGGGCCGTGGGGATCCTCCATAGCACGGCGACCTTGTCCATACAGAGGGTAGTCGCGGTTTGTATGGGCTTCGGCTCATGCACCGTCTCAATATTTTCCTGTCCTGCCACGGCCACTCTGGCTAGGCAGGCCCCTCTCTTTTTGCCAGTTTATAGCGCTAACCCTAACCCTAATGTCATCAACTATCTAGTTCACACGAATCTGATTACAGTAATTGGCTTCCAACTCTTTGTTTGCGTGTAGTGACTTGACACAAGAGTGTACACACGTACATGGTTAGTATGTGTGAAGTACAGCAAGTACTGGTAGCAGCCACTTCAACGATTGGTCAAGCACGCATATATATGAGCCAATAGTCGGATATCGATAATGTTTTTCCACAGTGCAATATTACAATCGATGGGACATGTACAAGCTTGTTGTTGATACATTAAGGATATAAATGCTCCTCTCTTAGTGGTTCAGTTGTCGGGGATAGGTTTGCCCTATGGAAGATGTCAGCCAAACCCCAGTGGCCAAGTAATCGATCTAGTGAACATTACCTTGCTGCTATCGAAGGGGTCGAGGCCAGCCGCAACTCGACTTCCGGCGATTAGCGCACTCCAATCGATGATGTCCCATTTATTCGTTCCAGCCGCCTTCTGTGCCTCGAAGATGGCACGGGCTGCGATCATGCGTTGATGAGCAACGTCGACTGCTGGCATGGGTGAGTTAAGTTCGGCCGTTAGTCTCCGGATGTGGCTGGTATGTGTCAAAGGTAATTAGTTTTATTTTATCGCCACCGGGCAAAAGTTGCACTGACTTAGCATCTTTGATACCACCGTTAATAGCAAAACCAACAGATCCGTCGAATTTATCGGCCACCATCTTCTCTCCATAAGCTACCATTCTAGCGAAGTACTTGGGGTTAAAATATGATCATTATGTTTGCGGAAGGGTCTCACCCTGGTGCAGGCATAATGTCTGAATAAAATGAAATAAATTTATTGGAGAACGCAAGGCATCCGATACATCACCCACCCTTCACAAGGTTGAGGACAGTCTGCTGACCGATCCCAGCCTTCTCACCGAAAGTAAAGGCTTCGGCAAGTAACTCATTAGCACCCATAATGAGGGAGTTGCCAATCAACTTGAATGTCGGTGCTATCGGCGGGGTCAGAGATTGAACTCTGCAATCAGAGGAGAGGTAAAGACTAACCCTTCTCGATGTTACCACCGAGGTCCATGACTTTTCGGCCGACTGCCGGCACAAGGAGATGTGCGATCTCTTTCTTGAGACGATGGTCACCGGAAAGCGCGATGACGAGCTTAGCACTATCGGCGGCAGGCGGAGGACCGAAAATAGGCGATGTGACGAAGTGGCAATGGGAGAAGGTGGAAAGTAGTCTGTCAATGTCGCCTGGCGAAATGTGAGATCTTGATTTACAGAGCAAGAACTTGCAAACCTGCAAGAGTAGGGTAGACCTTCGGGCAATCCATGAGTATAGCGCGTATAGAAGCGAATGGTGTGCTTACCGTGCTAGTGTCAACAAAGATCTTGGACTTGGTGGGAGGTGCTTGCTGATAGTGACATGAGGGCCCGCGAACAGAAGCGAGACAAAGGGAACTTACTGTGAGTGCTTTGGCGAATTCATTGTAGGTTTGTTCAACAACGGCATCGTTAGCCAGGTTAGTGAACACGATGTCGCACTCTACGGCTAACTGGGCAAGGGATGTAGCAGCCCTGGCGGCGGAAGAGCCGACATCCTGGACGAGCTTATCCGACTTGCTAGCTGTCCTGTTGAACACGAGGAGGGGAGCAGCACCCGAGGGACGGCTCCTTGAGAGGTTGCGGGCCATGTAATAGCCCATCGCGCCCAGGCCGTACCATCCGATCTGGAGGGCTGGGCGAGGAGTGGTAGGACGAGAGAAGGGAATGGCGTCTTGCTGCATGACGTGGCGGAGATGGTCAGCCATTGTGTTACTTTGACGAGCCGTATTTATGCTCAAGGAGAAGGGTCCAAGAATAACAAGCGGGCGTGGAAAGGAACGTCGAGGACGAGGATGTCATACTACACGCACGTAGGATCGCGCTTTATCATATCTAACCAGCTTGCTCCATTCAGGGAAGGCGCGGGTGCGCGACCCTTCCGTCACCACACGTGACTTGATTAGCCGCACGTGCCGTTGCCTGCCAGGTGCACGGCACGACAATTGACATCGTTACAGGAAGTAGTGCTGCTACTTACTTACGTATCAAGACAAGACTTATTTGACTACTTGGCTACAGCCTACAGGCCCAGTCGAGCAGCTGGACTGGACCTGGACGCTGCTCAAATATGCAGCAGCATGCCCAGTACAACGCCACCCAATCCAAGGGTCCTCTTGTGCCTGGTCAAACAATCTCAGTGAACAAGTACACGGTTCAGGTCGAGCGTTATCTCAGCCAAGGTACGTTTTTCCTCCTTCTGACCCACTCCTCTGACCTCAATTAGGTGGCTTCTCCTTCGTATACCTCGTCAGGACTCCAACTCCTGTTTACAACACTACCCACCATGTCCTTAAGCGCATCGCCGTCGCGAACGAGACCATGCTCAATGAGGTGCGGAAAGAGGTAGACATCATGGTGCGTTCTTGCTCTGGTCTTCTGTCACAACCACTCACCATCTCACAGAGAATACTCAAAGGGCATCCCAATATCGTCTATCTGATTGACGCTGCATGGCACAAACTTCAGAATGGAACATTCGAGGTCTTCATCTTGATGGAGTTTTGTCCAGGTGCGCGTCATCGCGTCTTCACCTAACACGTATTCATCCATGCGGTCTCAGGCGGTGGTATCATCGATATGATGAACCGACGGCTTCGTGAACGGCTTACAGAGCAGGAGATCCTTCAGATTTTCGTCGATGTTTGTGAAGGCGTAGCAGCAATGCACAACCTCCGTCCCTCGTTGCTTCATCGAGATCTGAAGGTCGAGAACATCCTACAATCACACAACAGCTTCAAATTGTGCGATTTTGGCTCTGCAACTCCAGTATCGTCGAGGCCGCCTTCCAATACAGCTGAGATCAGGGCGCTCGAAGCCGATCTTAATCGACATACTACACTCCAATACAGGGCACCTGAGATGATCGACCTATTCCTCCGGCGGCCAGTGGATGAGAAGTCGGATGTATGGGCCCTCGGAGTCCTTCTCTACAAGTTGTGCTACTACACTACCCCCTTTGAAGAGCACGGTCCTCTCGCTATCCTGAATGTGCAGTACCGAACGCCTCCTTATCCTGTTTACTCGCCCCAGATGAATGCACTTATTGGTGAGAATCCTTCCGTGTCATTTAACTTGGTTGGTAATCTCAGGAAATCATAGCTTCAATGCTTCGCGAGCATGGTTCCCATCGGCCATCCGTGTTTGAGTTATTGAACCAAGTGCATCAGTTACGAGGGACCAAGTCACGTTTCACTTACAACGCACCGGTGCCTAAACCTATCTCACCTCGCGCCGTCGATCCTAATGCCAACCCTCTTGATAATCTTGTCGCTTACCGACCTTCGCAACCGAAAGCTTCTCCTGGAGCTGCCGGCACAGGTGTCCAAGCTCGGGATAAAGTACTCGAAGCTATTGCTCCAATGAGGCGAGGTCGACCACCAGCAGTTCAAGGTGATAAATCTGCACCATCCTCTCGTGCCCCCAGTCCGTCAAAAGGGAAAGAAAAGATCACCCCCCCTCAAGGCCAAAGAGATTTGCTCTCAGACAACTTTAGTCCAGAAGATGATCGCGCGTGGAGAGATGTAAACCTCAGCGCTGGAATGGCTAACGCGGCGGTCAAAGGTCAGAAGTCCGGTGGAGTTGTTGACAAAGGGAGATCAAGTACTATGGACGAGCCTTGGAGGATCGATTCACAGACACCAGGGGCAAAATCTGGCGATGGCAAGGCGATGCCTTCCAATGCATTTGGCGATAACTTTGGGGAGAAGCTGTGGAACACCTACGATGATGGTCAGCTTGGGGGCGCGAATGGAGGGGTATCAAAGCCGGCTCCGCCAGCTGAAGGCAGCAGAAATACAAAAGTCGTTGTGACTAAAGGGAAGGCGAAGGACGCTTTCGAGGGCCTAGGTCTCTCATCATCGAAAAACGCGCCGGCACCCACGTTGGGAGAGGCACGCAAACTTCGTACCGGACTGGTAACGCCCTCTTCCTCGAGCGGGATGAACCGTGCTACCGTCACACCCTCGCCTTCGCTCGCACCGAAGCCAACTCCAGCGCCAGCAATGCATCCTACACCGTCGCCACGACCGGAAACGAGTCAGCCGCTTTCTTCCTCATGGAAATCTATTCATGCCGTATCCTCAACTGGTCCTAAACCGCCACCGTCACCAAACCCCAAATCTTACGATGTCGGTGCAGAAAATCGGTTCCCATCCCTTGAGGAGCTGGATGCTACGTTCAATGCTACATCACTTAGCCCTGGATCTGCTCCTCCAGTCCATCGTCCACCACAGGCTGACTTGGGTCAAACCCAGAGCTTCAAGTCAGGTTCCTCAGCATTATCAGCCCATCGCCCTAAACCAGCTATACCCGTGAGCGGCGTACGATCACAGCAAGTGACTGGTGTGGCGATGCGCGAAAGTAAGGAGGACGCTGAACGACCTCGTCGTCTGCCAGTAGAAGGGACTGGGAATGGACAGGACATTGGGTCGTCGTCCGCAGCGGGTATATCGTCTATATCTCCACAACCCAAACGTGCTTCGTATCGACCAGTTTCTCGGCCGGCACTTTCTCGCCGTCACAGGAGTAGCATCTCGATTAAGCCTAAACCTCAGCGAACGGGTGACTCTATACCAATTTCCCCTGCCGCCATGCAGCCTTCATCCGTAGGCAATGCACAATCAAGGGCACAGGATTGGCTTACTGGAGACGATGATGGGTTGGGTCCTCCAGTCCAAGATGCGCAGGGCCGCGAGACACCGATTCTTCGTCAATTCACAAACAAACGTTCTTCTTTCATCGAAGAGAGCACAGTGCATATTCAATCACCTCAAGAAGCTGTCACCACCTCGGCGCAGGAGCAGCCAATATCACCGTCGCCTACCAAGAAAACGTCTTCAAGTCGTCGGGCGGACGCCAAAACTATTGCGCCCCTGCAGGTTCGAGAAAGGACAACATCTAGTCGACCTCTCTATCAGCCACCTGCTAGCCAAACCAATGGGCCAGACAAGATGCTCTCCTCGAGTGATGAAGACGATGGTCCTGAAGATGTTGCTCCCTATAACTTTAATGAAAGCCATGAGAAGCGCGGGCATAGGGGAAGGCAGAGTTCGGTCCATGATTTGGTGGATCTTTGGGGCGGAGGCGTGGTTCAGACGAAGGAGCGACCTAGAGAGTCCCTGCATAGTCCCGCTGTTCAAGGATTTGGGGACGTTGGATCGAGCTTGCAGAAGAGTAAATCTATAGTGCCCCCTCAGGTTGCGAAACAACGTACAAGTTCACCTCCACGAGTTCAGCCGCAGGCCTCTGGTGTGCGTCCTGCGATGGACCCTCCCGTTTCTTCCAGTTCTTCTAGACGCCAGCCCACTTCTGGCCATGGACGCAGAGGCTCAGTGGTGCCATCCCCTGCCGAGCCTGTATCCCCATCCTCATCATCACGACATCGACCTCAGTCGATGTATGCCTTTCCCATGAACAAGGCGACCTCGGAAGGCCGCCTGGAGCCTCCATCTAGTCCAGGACTGTCTGTCCCGGAAACCCCACGTAGAATGGCGAGCCGAAGGACCTCTATATCTGACATGGTCCAGCGTTTCGAGGGAAATGTCGCGCCGACCGCGGTTAACCGCACTGGGATTAGCCCTCAACATAGCTCGCCAAAGCCAAGCAGCCTGAGCAAACCTAGTTATCTGACACCCTCGAACACCCATGAGCAACGACACGTCACGTCACCGCCTTACACGCCCAGCTCTCCTTTGGTCTCCAAGTTTGGCTCAAGCAACAGCATTCAGGGCGTTGCCGCCTCAACTACAGGTCAGGGGAGGCATTTCGTATCGTCTACACCCTCCGGCGCACCGAGACCCATTCCCTCAGACGCACCAGGAAGGAAACGGACAATGTCACAAGGACCATCTGCGCTATCGGGTTTGCCCTCTACGTCGCTGACCAAGACCATGCCGTCCTCGCGAGAGCCATCTTCGGGGCTCGATGGTCTGCCTTCATCCTCATCGTTCCCGTCGTACAAGTCCCCCAGCCCGACCGAGGACAGCTCGGGCTCTTCGTCCCCAGAGAGACCTTATCAAGGTGTGGGTAAGCTGATCGACCAATGGCAGCGCAAGACGGTGGATCCAGATCAGTCACGCGGACCCCCACCGCGCCGCGGGGGCTTTGTCGCAAAGCGGGCGGGCCTCGTTTCTGGGGGAGGCGGTCGAGGGGCGTAAGGGAGATACCTGTTAATTCTATCGGCGGATAACACACATATAGTCTAAATTATCGCATGCATAGCAAGGACTGTACATCGACACGAAACCATCTAACGTTGATCACTCGGTACATCACAGTTTAATCCAGGGATGTTCATACCTATATTGAGGGTTCTTCGGAGATCCGAAGAAGTATTAATTCACTCGAGGTTGCTGGTCGCCTCTCCTGCCCAAGGGTACAGCATTGGCAGGCATCGATAAACAGGAGAGCACATAGCGTGACAGATATCATGGCGTTATTGATACGCTGTTTCCGAGGACTTGCCACAAATACTGGCGCCCTCTTATCACTCAAACTCATGTTGTGCTGCAAGAGACAAAAAATTCAAATAGATAACACATGCATTCCGGATCCAGGTAAACTCAAAGCATGATATGACACGGACGATAATATCTTTTGTGCAGCCGTTTTACACGTGTCGCCGCGCGTCGAGGGATTGATAGTCTCCTCCATGTAGGTCTTTCCTAAGGAAGAAAAGTGTTTCTTCTTTCAGAAGAAATCTGCACTGCGACCGTAGAGTATCCACGCTAGAAGTCAATCATATCCACACCACACGGTGGTTTCTTGGCCTTCTCGGCCAACTCCAAAGCCTTGTGCTCTCTCCACTCACACCCGTTGCGATACTCGCAGCTCCTTTCGGGCGAAATATCAGTGGAGTACAAGCAACAAATTCCACATGGTACGTACGAGCAACGACTGGCGTGGGCAATTTCCACGCCCCGGGGCTCCCTTTGTCCGTGCCACCACTGCAGCACGTCGGAGAGATAGGCATCGAGGAGAGCGTCGTCAATATCAAAGTCTCTCGTCCCAAGGAAGGAAGACTGGGTCTCCGGCTCCTGATCGGTGCTATTCCCTTCGTCGTCCTGCTCGATCACACCTGCGAGCGGGTAAACAATTTTTACGTCGAGAGCGAAATAGTACATACAAGTTGGCTCCGATTGCCTCAAGGATGACGTTGGAAAAGCGTCTGGATTAGGGCTACCGATCCTGGGCGTCGCCATACCCTCAGGCTCCTCAGATGGTACTGCGACTATCGGCTCAGGCAAATCACTAGCTACGCCACTACGAACATCCTTCAAGCTCTCCTGAATAGCCCTTGCGAGGTCAAGTTCTTCTTGCTCTTGGGTTGTCAGCCTAGTCGTCTTCGGCGTCCTCTTCTTCCGCCGTTTATAGCTTACACTCCGATAGCTTATTTGTAGATGCGGCGCGACATTGCTTAGCCCAAGGTTCCTAGCTTCATTGACTGTAGCCTGCCAAAGCTCGACCATGCGCACCAGATTCACCTCCGCCGTGCCTTGCTGACTGTACTCCTCGCCGAGAAAAGATCCTTGCTGAATATTCTGCACAAACTTGGTGCTGAAGGGGCGTCCTGGGGAGAGATTCAGCCGCCGCCAAAGCGCAGAAAAATCAAAGCCTTCATGAGATAGAAGGCTTGACAGAAGCCGGTGATAAAGCATGAGCTGGAGCTTAGCTGACAACGAGTCATCATCAGAGGGTAGTGAATAAGAGCGGCGCGTCTTGTAGTCAAGAAGCCTCAGCACAAAGATATTCCGACCAAGGTTGGGTGGGAGAGCGAGGTCAGGTGAGCGAAGGGACGTTGCATCGTCAGCGACATCCTTGTCACTCGTTGGAGGAACAGGCTCTTCACCCTCTTGACATGTATCAGTTTCGGTGGCTATCGCAGCAGCACCGTCGTTTGTTGTAGGGAAGAACTCGGTGAGCTGGCGTTGTGCTGGCGGTGGTAAGTCGCCTTGTCTTTCATTAACAAGAGATGGCGTATGCCCGGATGACGATCGGAGTAATTCCTCTGCTCCAGGTTGAGTCTTCTGCACCTCATCCTGGCGAAGGTTTGTCAAAGGCATGATCAACCTTTGAGATGTCAGGCCTTACTATCACCCCAATGACAATCTCTTCGTGCAGTATGCCAAAGATTGGCAGTTCGCGCTGTACACCGCATAAGCATTCAGATGTGACGAGAGATGGAAGCTCACTGTCAAGCCTGTTAACAACAGCTCGTGAAGGCCAGCGATTAGATTGTGAAGTCTGATACACGAGATTTGTTAGAAGTTGACGCGAGAGCGCCAAGGAAGAAGAAATCGTCACCCACCGCAACGCCCATCTTTCCTCGTCGGAAGTAGTGTCCACAACATAAACATCAGGATGTATTTCTTTCTCGAGCTGCTTGTGAACAGACTATAGGACAAAGGCCAAGTTACATGATTGGTGGATAACAAGGAAAGCCAGTGCGTAATTACACGCACCTTGCCCTTCTTCTGAGCCTTGTCATTTAGGGCTGCTGTGCTGTTCTGTACAGAAATCTGTTTCCCCGAGGCAGCAGTAAAAGAGGATGGCCTCTTCTCGAGAGGTTTATGTCTCTGCTGGCGGAGACCATAGTCGAACTGGACCTCACACCTTGTCAAGTTGGATAAGTCGGGTGAGGAGAGATATGATACCCGATGCTGACGGACCAGGCGGGGGAGACAAGATCGGTAACGGTAAATGTTCTACGCCAAGATCGAAATCTCTGGAAGGGAGACTGCAATTGGAAGCTTCGATTGCGAATGAAGCCGGTGGACGAACGTGCGGAAGCGGAATGTTGTGGATCGGGGGAGGAAGGCGACCGAGTAGATAACGGAGTTGAACCGATGGGTGTAGTATGATGACAGCGGCGATTGTTTGATTGTTCGTCGCATAAAGGTATGGATGACCCCTCGGGAACAGAGGAAAGTGGTGTGACGACGCGGTGGACAACGTCGAGCGGTGGCTGTATGGTGCTGAGCGCGTGTGTTGTATCGGAGAGTTTGCGATGCGCAAGGTCATCCGCAGTCAGGAAGTCGGCGTCAGAAAATTCGGAGAAGTCGTAATCTTCGAACTCGAGGTCGGACATGGTGAAGGCGCGCCGCAATGACTGAAGTGAAGGAGACGTGCGCGTGAAGCGTACACGCGGTGCCCAGAGCATTGGGCGCTAGAAGGCGTACGCGCCCACACAGCGCCTGTTGCGCCGTTAAGGCTGCTGTGACGGAGATGTGTGTCACTGCCAAGCCACGAACGTGGGAGCAGCTCCGTGACTGTGACCGACGCGAGTCGACGAGAAACGACGCGAATCATTCCCACGGCCTTTGTTTCTATCGTCGCACACGTTTTGCTCCACTCGTTCGCGTGCTAGTGCCAGCTCTTGCCAACTGTGGCAGCTTGTGTTATCTCGATTGTCTTCCGCTTGCTGCGCAATCGATCATAATGACACTCCGCGAACAGCGCCTCTCGTCATTGCTTTCGTAAATTTGGCCCGTCTCAATGGCTTCATCCATTCTCTCGGAGCGCCGTCATCGCATCGGCGCACGGGCTGTCCCCTATGTCGCTGCTCTTGGACATGCATTGCAAATAGCCTCCTATAGCTAACAGCCTTATCTCTCAGCGCTCTTGCCCACCGCCGATGTCTTACAGCTCGTGTTGTTGTGGACTCTCTCCAACCTGTTCAAACCAATCCTGTACTTGCCTGGTGGCGCATTGCAGGGTCATATCCGTGTAATTTTCGGATCGGACAAAGAAGATTGATGCTGTGGAGCAGCACCTCGTCTAATTTTTTCATACGAAATACGCTCGGTTATCTTCTCCGACAGGTTGCCATTCGGCTAGTACAGCTCATGATTGTCAGGCGGGCGGAGGAAACAATCGCCTTTTGCGGTTCTGAATCTGCTGATGCATGCTTCTAATTCGTTAGCCAGACCTCTCCTTTCTTCCTTCACTCTCATTCGCTCTCTCGTTTTATCTCTTGATAGTCTGCCTATACGGCAAGCACGTTATATACCCTCCTATCGCTCTATCGCACACTCTCTCCTTTACCCCCTCACTCAACAATGGCAGCGCGGTCTTTGGCAGCTCTTCTCCTAGTCCTCTGCCTCGTGTCGGCGTCACTCGCTTTCCCCAACGAGTTCAGCCAGCGTCGCGCAGCCCCATGGGCCGTCGACGAAGTTGCTGCGAGAGCTCCCAGAGCTGCTCCTTCCAAGCGTTTTGCAGATTTCGCTCGGGCAGCGACTCCCTCCAAGCGCTTCGAAAAGCGTGAAATTTATGGTGCCCCTTCTAAGCGTCATCCCGGCCCCTCCAAGAGGGCGGAGCCCACCGTGTCCAAGCGTTACGTTGCCAGAGACGCTATCCCTACCCCTGACCGCCCCTCTGGCCCCTCCAAGCGCGCCCCCGGCCCCTCCGCGGCCCTTCACGCTCGTGACGTCCCCGCTCCCTCCAAGCGCTATGAAGTTAGAGATGCTGCCCCCACACCCTCCGGTAGCTTTTCCCAGAAGCGTTCCCCTCTGGAGAAGCGCGGCATTGAGGAGCAGGGCGTCATCATCAACGTTGTGTCAGGCCAGTTCGACAACAGCGAGGCCCTCTGCCCCGGCACCTCCTCGGCCTGCCCCCTCCTCGGCAAGTCCGGTACCCTGCCCCTCACCGGCAACCTTCACGAGTTGGATTTCGAGTGTGTTGACTTGAACGCTGATTTACGGTCCTGCGGCGGTTGCTCCAGCGTGTTCCCTGAGCAGTGAGTCTGCTCCATTTCAATTAATTAAATATGATTCTGACGGTGCAACCATGAAGATTTGACTGCACCGAGATGGTAGGCGCTGAAGGTGTAGCCTGTGTTTCTGGCCAATGCCAGGCGTCTACTTGCCAAACTGGTTTCACCCTGCAGGATGACCACACCTGTGCTTAAAGTACTACAGGTGGTAGATGACTTCATACGACCTGAAACTTTGTTTCGTAATTTGGTCCGGCGTTGACTATACCTTCATGACTTTTTTTGCATGCGTCTCGTCTGGAACCCGTACCATGGCCACTTTCAATATTACTATTTATTCCCCCTAGACATTGTCATTTCTTGCGACATTTTTTGACATTGCCCTGATTCACCTTTGCCCTTGTGGTATCATTCGCTTGTATGCTTGCTTGTATACGTTAGACCTGTTTTTAGGATTTTGCGGCACATGTGCCGTTTGATTAAACACGGTATAGATTGACATTTCCCTTGAGATCACGAAATGCCCGACAATCGATGACGCAGAAGAGCCAATCAGGGGTACGTTCATTGTACCTCAACATTCGTCATTCAAATAATCACGTCTCGCTTCCCGAATAACCTTTAGGGTCCAGACGCCCGAAGGCATTGAAAGGGCCGCGGAGGCAAATGCCATATACCGTTTTGGGACTACTAGAGGTAGTAGACGCCCTGTACGAAAAGTGGAACCACTTTGATATCGAGCGTCTACTGCTATGTTATCATGCCATCTTCGATTCCCGCCCAAGGCGGTCGTCATTCCATACCGTTAACATCCCATTTATGCCTTTGACGACTACACGACGACTTCACGATCTCAATACGAACTAACGACTTTCCACTGTGGCTACCACGGGCTTAACCTCCCTCCTGCTTCAGAGGAGGCTTAACCTCCTCCTCGGTTCTCTGACGTAGTGTTTTACTTCGTCAGGAGTATGGCTCTCTCCCTCTCGAACGCGACGTATTTAAGCCAGCAAATTATGTTGTTCGACTCATCAATCACTACCACACACCCTTTACTCATCTCGAAGCTTGCTCCAAGTTGTGCCTCTACAATCAATCAGCTTTCGAGCACGCGCCCCTCCGTACCAACCTCTATCACAGAGTACAGCTTCGATATGAGCTGGAAGAAACACTTTATCACGTTTTGCACGCTTGTTTACGCGGCGTATGGAGTTGTGCTGGTTGGTCCTTCGAAATTTCCTCACTTATACCTGCACTAACAGATTCACAGAGCATTGTAACAGCTTGTGGGGTGTATATCATGCCAAGATTGAAACTCCCTACACCAGAACGTCGTCCTATCAAGAGTCGCCCTCCTTCACAGCCTACTACAGATCATGGACATCATGATAAAAGTAGTCTTGTCCCTACCGAAGGCTGCGATCCAAGTCCACTGGACAAACCTCCTTCGCCAGGAACGTCGCGTCCAAAACCTCTTCGCAGACCATCGATGATACTCAGATCTATGTCTTCCGAGGTTGTCAAGTCCTTCGTGACTATTGGGTTGAAAGCGAAGGAGATTATTGGACAAGACACACCGAATGACTCCGTGAAAAGCCAGCCCGCCGTGACGCGTCCGTCAGTCTTTGCCAATCAACGAAGACGTTGGTCCTTTTCTAAAGTGCCACTTGGGGATGCCAATGAGGGCATCGGAGGACCATCCAATCCAATCCGGCGCCGGTGGTCACTCACCTCGGAAGCTCCTAGCGGCTCGCCTCCGCTCAGACCTATCGTGTTGGCCTTCGCGAAGATACCGTCTTATACCTCGAATCTGTTTAACTCCAAGAAGAACAGCGAGGAAGATTCTCGATGTGCTTCGGAAGACTCTCGACGTGCTTCGGAAGAGACCATGGTGAATGATGATACCGGAACTCTCTCGCCTACGGACAAGTCTTTAGAAGTTACGGACAGCGTTTCAGAGTGTACAGATGTTACTTCGAAACGTCCTCTTCTCGAGAGAGCCGCCTATCAAGCTCGAGGCCTCATTCGCAATGATCTCCTTCGCACGTTCAGGAGGAAGAAAGCAAGGACGACTGACCCTCCGCAAAGTGAGTTTTTCCCTTCACCTCCTGACTTGTGCATCCTGACGAGCATTACCCTAGCAGATGCCGTGGAGTCCATGCAGTCACACAAGGAGCAAGACAAGGAATCAGTAGTTTCCTTCTCCAACCCCTGGGCTTCTTCGAAGACGTCTTTATCTTGTGACCCACCAATTCCACCCCTGAGTAAGTCGCGCCCAACGGCGTGTACAAACGCGCCCGATCCTCGTGCTCATTTACTTGTCTATTAGCTTCCGCTTCCGTCACACCTGAAGCTCGGGCCAGACCGAAGTCATCACGTTTTAAGCCATTCGGCCGCCAGGAGCCCTCAAGTTCGAAGGAGTCTCTGTCCTCCCCTTCCTCTCCCCAGGCCTCACACCTCCGCAAACTTTTCTCCCGCCGGAAGAGCGAGACCGCCTCCCGCATGGCTCGTGACGCTACAATGGACACCATTCCGGAGATGGACGAGTCGCCACGCACCGGTAGACCTCTGCAGCGGACCGATTCTTCTCGTCGCACCAAACGCGACAGGCGTTCTTCGTCTCCTTCTCGAGCATCACGATCCGGCCAGTCAAAACCCAAGGCTGGTTCCGAAGGACAGTATCCCCCCGAGGACTTGTCGGTGCACCTTAACGAAAGGCTCGCTGCTCTCCAGCGCCAGCGGGCGGAAGTTGACTTTCAAATCGAGGAAACATCTACCCTGTTATGCGTCGAAAACCATAGTTAGACACGCTTGAAGAAACGTGGACATGACTGGTGAGTTTTCGATGTCCTCATGCTCTGTGCGTGCCCACGTTAACCAGCGAATTTAGAAACTCATGAACCTAAGCATTGATCTGATCACTACAATCCCCTAATCCCTTAATTATCTGCACGCATATATATCCCTCATCTCCATCCTATAATTCCTGCTCAGCATACAAACGTCATGTATATCACTACCATTGCATTGCCAACCATTGTACAACAGCTGGTGTTTGAAACATCGTTGAATTGTAATTTATGTATATTATAAACTTAGCCCATCTCGTGTCAACAGAGCCAGCATGGCATTAAGGACAATGTTTTCCCCCTCGAAGAGAGAATCTAAGCTTGTGCCTTCCTCAATGCACCGCAACAGTTGGCCATCCAACAGGCGTCTTGAGCAATTTATTAGTGATATGGATATTGTGTGGAGACTACTGTGCATTCACCTGAGCTGATTCGCGAGAATGCCGATTCGAGGCCAAGCACGCAGTTTGATCACAGCATCTGAACTGCCAACCGTGAGGCCGCCACCTACGTGGTTGACGGTGACGAGCCCTCCAAAAAGGAGCAGTGCGTACATAGGGACCTTCCATTCTATCATCAGCGGGGCTTGGAAACTTTCGCATTAAATCCATGCCATCTTACCTCAGTGGCGCCCCGCAAGAACACCTTGGACGTCATCTGCTTCTGAAAATACGCCACAAAGCCAGTCTTCCAGTCCGTGGTGCCGAACAAGACAGAGCCGGGATGCAAAAATACACGCCCTTCCTTGAGATCGTACAGCTTGTAATCTTTGGCTGCGTTCTCCCGTTGCACAGTGCCCGCCTGGATCTTATCGAATTTGATGGCGGAGCTGGGAAGATGGACTCGCGCAACGTTCGGCCAGAGGCCGCCTAATATGATCGCTTTGATGAGGTTAGTATTAGCGCTATTCGTATTCAATGCTTCAGACGTAGGGCCGGCGGAACGAGATACAAGGCCAAGCTCTGAAAGGGCGGAGAAATAGTCTTGACGCATCGAGGCGACTTCTCGGACGGCGACGTGAGAAATGAAATTCTTCAGACGAGGGAGGTTAGCATCGATATCGTAATTGAAACCCCAAAATCTGGGGGCGAACCTCGCCGCAATATGATGTGAATGAGCTTCTTCCCTTCCCTTCAGACTGATAGCGGACACATTCATTGTATGCGTTCACATCCGTCAATAAATCGCTGTTGTCCTTGTCAAACTTTAGTCTCGCTCTATGAAAGCCAGATGAGGGGAACGTGCACGTTAGGGTCGCTAGGAAGAACAGGATTTTTTTTAATTCCCTTACTGTGAGGCTTCTTCTCGTTTATCCATCGGATTTAAGAACACGGGCTTCGAAGATAAGCAAGCAGCCACAGAGAGAATTGGATCGAGACAACGGAAAAGAGTTCCTAAAACAAGCATCTAAACCTAGTTAGCCATGCCAAGAAAATGAGCCCAAGATTAATGACTATTTACTTTTCCCAATCGAAGGTCAACAGGGAGTTGCGACTGAAGATGCGAGTATGAGAAATATGAATTGAAGTGACAGGGATCACGCACAATGTGTCGGCCCAAGGGTGTAAGCTGGCCGGATAGGTCCACCGCACCAAGCTCCTCGAGAATAGACCAAGCTTTTTCAATTGCAGTCACCTCGGGTGGATCAATGGCTCGACTCAGATAGGACTGTAAGAGTTAATAACAGCAGAGTTTCTCCAAAGCCATTGCAGCGTACCTTCACGTCTTCGTGCTCGCGCATGACTTTAACTGTGAGAGATATATTTTCCAAAGGTGTTCGTAAAATCTCGGGAACGGAAAATCCAGCAAGATTCTGCTCATGCCTCTGAGTGTAGAGTTTGTAGCAGGTTCCGGGTTGTGTACGGCCAGCACGACCTCTTCGTTGTTTGATGGCAGCTCTACTGACCCACTTTTCGACCAGTTTCGTGAGGCCATTGTCCGGATCGTAGCTGATTTCCTTAGCTCTACCAGAGTCAATAACATAGACAATATCATCTATAGTAATAGATGTCTATGGCGTATGAACGCATTGTCAGAGGAAGAGTGTTGAATGATAAGTCACGAACTAAATCTCACCTCAGCAACATTAGTGGCAGCAATAATCTTCCATTTTTTAGTCGGCTGAAAGACTTTCTGTTGTTCGTCGCTCGTCAGGTTAGCATGGAGAGGAAATAGTACAGCGTCCGCTGAATCGATGACACGTCTGATGGTCTCTAGGCATTGCCGGATTTCTTGGACGCCTGGTAAGAAGATCAGGATGCCTCCTTTCTTGGCAGTACCACGGATGTGTTGTACCAAGGCTGCAATCAACTGTTTGGCTTTAGCAGAAACTTGCTGTACAATCTATCCACGTACTTCATAGTCGATGCGATTTGCTTTCGTTATACTCGACAATTTATGGATAGTGTCATCATCGAGACCCTTGGCTTTGAGTTCCACAAAGTAAGGGTCGTCCTCCGCAAGTTTACGGGTTTTGACATTGTGGGCTTTGTAAAAGACTGATCCAATGAAATCTTCCATGTACCTATAGAACGCTGACTCCCTTTTCATGAACTAAAGACAACGCGAGGGACTCACAAGTCCGTGACGGGGTGCGTAAAACCGGGAATGGTGAGCATGGGCGCATTGTCATAATAACGCACAAATGTTTCGTGGTTGATGGTGGCTGACATTAGGATCACCTTAAGTGAAGTGTGTGTCTTAAGAAGTTCCTTCAGTTCCAAGAGCAAGAAGTCGCTGTCTACGGAACGTTCATGAACCTAGATAAAATACGTTGAGTCATAAAAGTCCTGCAACTATGTGCAGGGAATACCTCGTCAACGACAACATGGGTAACATCCTGTAATTTATCGCCTGAACCAAGTCGCCGCAGCACAACTCCAGTTGTACAAAACGTGAGCTTGGTCTTACTGGTTCGGCGACTTTCTCCACGTATGGCATATCCGACAGAGCCGTCATCTGCGCGTTCAGCGCCCACACGGGCGGCGATTGATATTGCAGATATCCTGCGAGGCTGGGTGACAATGATAGATGCTGCCTTTCCTCTCTTCGAGAGGATCTCCGAGTCCAGGATGAACTGCGGCACTGCCAGCATATGTCAATATACGCAGCAGACAAGTTGTTGGGGTCACTAACGCTGAGTCGTTTTACCACATCCTGTCCAATGTCAATTGCTGTCCCTGGCAATTCTAATAAGGCACACACTGACCTGTCTCCCCAACAACTACCACCACCCTGTTTTTTTCTAGTGTCGACAGGAATTTGGCCTTGGCAGCAAACGCAGGTAAACGTTCTCGAGCTGGCTGCATATTCAAATACCCTTTACTTTGGCGAAGTGTGTCGAAGTCAGCTTTTACCTGAGCGTCAGATCTTTCATCGCCGTGATGTTGTCGCACTCGACGAGATTGTTTGAGGCTTCGAGACTTCGCCTCTACGGGGGCCGTGGCGGTGATAGCGACTTCCACAGGAGCAAGCAGATGTTTAAGCACCTCGGCGATTTCGGGTCGACCCTGGCTCTCCATTAACTCCCAGTGTTCTTCCAGAATTCTAAGTGCAGCCATCAAGAAACCCTCGCCTTCTTCTATCCAGCCCCCGGTCTTCATGGCTTCCAGGAGACGAGACACTAGATGCAAGCGAACGTACGGCGGAACGGTAGTCGATGAAAGGTATATGGGTGGATAGCCATTGAACGAGTTAGAGCAGTCAGTCGGGAGGAAGATATGCAGTTCGATGGGGGCAGCGAACAGAGGCATGATAATAATCGTCTCATCAGGCTTGTGAGCACCCAAGCCTTCAAGGTTATCATCGCTGAGCTGTAACTCATCGACAGATATGAGTTCAGCCTCCGAGTTAAGGTTTGCCAAATCTTCGTGACTAAGACCTATAAGCTTGGCTCCGAGATGTGCAACGAGGTAATCGAAATTGTCCACAGCGCGAGCATCAAGGGTGACTTCTTTCACAATGTGGGCTGGCCAGCCAGCATCTTTAATAGCTTTGTCCTCGATCCATCGCTTCTTTAAGTCACTATCTTTGCCAGAGTGTCCAGCCGTAACAAAAGGGTTGGAAGAATTGCTATTCGGCAGGAACCGAGGCGGTAAATCGCATTCAGGGACGTGAAGAATAAGGTATTCGATGCAAGCTTCCAGAGGAGTAAGCGTAGCCAAGAAAGCAGATCCAAATGTCTCTTTAGACAACGTAGTGGTCACGTTTCGTATCGGAGCAAGCTGGAAACCAAGCTGGGACAGCTGTTTCGAAACCGCAGGAATGTCGTCCTCGAGAAGAACTGTCAAGGCCGCATCATGTGAGTTGGCGCCATTAATATTTGCCTATTGCGTTTGAGCACGGTTGCATGGTAGGTATGGAGTGTTAGACGTTACCTTCTTGACGGTATCTTCGGTAAGATCTCGCAAAGTACTCGCCATCTTTACTTCAGGCGCATTGGCAAATTCATGGGATGCGGAATTGGAGGCACCTCTGCCCTCCCGTTCTGAAGGTACCTCCTCCCTCTTCTTGGCTGCCTTAGCCTGTCGTTCATCGACCTCTTTGCGAGCAGCAAATGGGTCGGGGCTGTACATCCACTTTTGATGTTCTGGCACGCCCTTGTACTCGGCGGCGAGTTCTTGCCAGTACTCTCGAGGGCCGGGAGGAAGTACTCGATCGAGTTGGATACTATTGCAGAACTAGAACGAGTACAGCTATCAAACTTGTACTTACGTGAAGAGGTGACCAAGATTGCACGAACACGATACAACGCGTAGGTAGCGCCCCATTGACGTGCCTCTAGGGCGGTAGGCCGAATGTAGGGAGGATGTGGCTCAAGACGAACAGTCTCTAGCTGATTTGATGACTTGCTAGTCGTCTTCGCCAGCGTTACTACAAAAGAAAACCCGTTACCTTGTTTACGCTAAGTGCCCAATAAGCAGTAGCTCGACGTAGTAGAATGTGAACAGCGTACCGCATCTACTGTCGGTTTTGACCACCCATTCTTCTGACACCTCTCGTGCAAGAGACTTGAAGGCCATTTGTACCCAGGCGGAAAAAGAGATTTGGCCTTGTCTGAGTCTTCTTGGGGAGCCGGGGTCTGCTTTGAGGATTTGGAGGAGTTTCCAGCGTTTCCAGACTTGAAAATTCCCTTGCGAGGCATCTGGTGGTCTATTCGCGGCGACCTCAATATTATGATAAGCTTCACATTTGTGTACTACTGATTATATAAGTACATACTATCCTTCCCACCAACAGTCACTACGACTCGTGCACTCGGCCCCGTCGTGTCCCGCTCACCAACGTACACTCATAAGCGGGCAATTCCTTGCAGTTTGTTATGGCCAACGATGACCTTTACAATCTTGAATTCCTCTCTCTAGTCAACAAAATCACACAGGAAATCTCAAACCACGTCGGCATAAATGACAAGACCCTCGCTGAGTTCGTCATCTCCCTTCACGATGAGTCGAAGAGCCTCGCCGAATTCAAGCAGAGGCTCCAGGATACAGGCTTGGAAGGCTCTGTCATCGAGAATATGGACCGGCTCATCCTTACCCTCCACCCAAAACACAAGAAGAAGACCAAGTCTGCCGCAGCCCAGCTCTCAAATGGTGACGGAGTAGATGACAAGCAGAGGCGTCTCTTCCCGGGTCTCTCCATTCCCAACCAGGACGTTACGAAGGATGCTTTGATGAAGGAGGTTGACGACATGATGGCCCAGTTCGAGACGGCCTCCAAGAAGCCCAAGGTCGCCGACGTCGACGAACGCCCTGCGAAGAAACCTCGCATGGACCGCTCGAGGTCACGTTCTCCCCCGCGTCGCCGGAGTCCCGACCCGTACAGGAGGAATGGATACGATGATAACTCGAGCAGAGGCCGTGGACGGGGCAGACCCCAGGTTGACGAGCGTCCAGTGCTGTTCAAGATTTACGATGGCCGTGTCAATGGCATCAAGGAGTTCGGCGCCTTTGTTCAGCTTGAGGGAGTGGCCGGTCGTGCTGAAGGTATGTCAATTTTATGTCCCTGTTATGCCAATATTCAACGTTGCTCTCAGGTATGGTTCACGTCTCTAATATCCAGCAGGGCGCGCGCGCAAACGCTGCCTCTGACCTGCTCAGCCGTGGTCAAAGCGTCAAAGTCAAGGTCATGAGCGTAGCAGGGACCAGAATAGGCTTGTCAATGAAGGATGTTGACCAGGTTTCCGGTCGCGACCTCACACCTCACCTTCGAATAAAGTCGGAGGCCGAAGTGGAGGAGGAGAGAAGACAGGCTGCTAGAGCTGCTTCGTCAGGAGCCAACGCGCTCCCATTGAACGCAAAAGACGACAAGCCCGTTCGATCCGCGAAGCGTCTCACTTCGCCCGAACGTTGGGAGATCAAGCAACTGATCTCTTCCGGTGTCATCCCAGCTTCAGAGTATCCAGATATCGACGAGGACTTCAGCAATCCTCTCGCTCGTGCGGAAGTTGAAGAAGAGCTTGATGTTGAAGTCAAGGAGGAGGAAGCACCGTTTCTTGCTGGACAGACGAAGCGATCTTTGGACCTCAGTCCAGTCAAAATCATCAAGGCTCCAGATGGCTCGTTGAACAGGGCTGCATTGTCTGGTGCATCTCTAGCTAAAGAACGTCGTGAGCTCCGCCAACAAGAGGCAAATGAGGAGGTTGACTCTCAGACACGGGACTTCAGCGCTCCGTGGCTCGACCCAATGGCGAAGGAGGCCGACCGTATGTTTGCGCAGGACCTAAGAGGCAACCTGAAGGGCCAGAAAGCAGGCGAGGTTCCCAAGTGGAAGGAGCAAACATTCAACAAGGCTACTACTTATGGCGAGATCACGAGTCTGAGCATACAGGATCAGAGGAAGACCCTGCCTATCTACAAACTCAGGGACCCTCTACTGAAGGCAATTGCTGAGGTGAGTATAGCATTGTGGCCTTCTCTCAAGCCTATGCTCATCGATATTAGCACCAAGTTCTCATCGTTGTCGGTGACACGGGTTCGGGCAAGACGACGCAGATGGTACAGTACCTTGCGGAATCTGGTTTTGCTGACAAGGGGCGGATAGGCTGCACGCAACCTCGACGTGTCGCAGCCATGTCCGTAGCAAAACGTGTTGCAGAGGAGGTTGGATGTCGTCTCGGGCAAGAGGTCGGGTATACCATCCGTTTTGAAGACTGCACGAGCCCGGAGACGAAGATTAAGTACATGACGGATGGTATGCTGCAGCGAGAATGTGTCATCGACCCGCTTTGTAGCTCATATTCGGTCGTCATGCTGGATGAGGCTCACGAACGGACGATTGCGACTGACGTGCTATTTGGTCTTCTCAAGAGTAAGTCTTTGTCACCCTTCTATTGATTTGTGGTTCTCATAGCACCTTTAGAGGCTGTCAAACGACGACCTGACTTAAAGCTGATTGTCACGTCAGCAACCCTCGATGCCGAGAAATTCTCGAAGTACTTCTTTGGATGTCCCATCTTCACCATTCCTGGCCGAGCCTATCCCGTTGAAATCCTGTACACCAAGGAGCCGGAAAGCGACTACCTCGATGCCTCTCTCATCACCGTCATGCAAATCCATTTATCAGAGCCCCCCGGCGATGTCCTTCTCTTCCTTACTGGTCAGGAAGAGATCGACACAGCCTGTGAAATTCTCTATGAACGCATGAAGGCTCTTGGACCGAAGGTTCCCGAACTCATCATCCTCCCTATCTACTCTGCCCTTCCCTCTGAAGTTCAATCCCGTGTCTTCGAGCCCACACCACCAGGTGCTCGTAAAGTCGTCATTGCAACAAACGTTGCTGAGACGAGTCTGACGATTCCTGGTATTTACTATGTCATTGACCCCGGCTTTTCGAAACAGAACGCATACGATCCTCGGCTTGGCATGGACTCGCTTGTGGTTATGCCGATCTCTCAGGCGCAAGCTCGGCAGAGATCTGGTCGTGCTGGACGTACGGGCCCTGGAAAGTGCTATCGTCTGTATACCGAAGCAGCATACCGTAACGAGATGTTGCCAACATCTATCCCCGATATTCAAAGGACAAATCTTGCGCATACCATCCTGCTTCTAAAGGCAATGGGCGTCAATGACCTGCTCAGCTTCGACTTCATGGACCCTCCGCCTGCTCAGACTATGCTGACTGCCCTTGAATCGTTATATGCACTCTCAGCACTCGATGACGAAGGATTGTTGACTCGTTTGGGTCGCAAGATGGCAGACTTCCCCATGGAACCGTCGTCCGCGAAGATGTTGATCGCGTCTGTCGAGCTAGGCTGCTCGGAGGAAATGCTTTCAATCGTCGCCATGCTTTCCGTGCAGACCGTCTTCTACCGACCCAAAGAAAAGCAGGGTCAAGCTGACGCTAAGAAGGCGAAGTTCCATCAGCCGGAAGGTGACCATCTGACGCTTTTGACGGTCTACAATGGTTGGAAGGGTGCCAACTTCTCGAATCCTTGGTGCTACGAAAACTTCATTCAGGCAAGAAGTATGCGGAGAGCACAAGATGTACGCAAGCAGCTTGTGGGTATCATGGATCGGTAAGTGCTCAGGAAATCAACGACTTTGACGTGATCTGACTTGTCGCATAGGTATAAGCATGACATTGTTTCCTCCGGGAAGGACTACAACAAGGTCCGCAAGGCTATTTGCTCTGGATTCTTCCGGAACGCTGCCAAGAAGGATCCTCAAGAAGGCTACAAGACTCTAGTTGAAGGCACACCCGTATACATTCATCCCTCATCCGCACTCTTCAACCGCAACCCAGAATGGCTGGTTTACAACGAACTCATCTTAACAACAAGAGAGTATTGCCACAATGTTATCACGATCGAGCCAAAATGGCTGGTTGAAGTCGCACCTCAGTTCTTCCGTGTCGCAGACACGAACAAGATCAGTAAACGGAAACGGCAGGAGAAGATTGAGCCGCTGTTTAACAAGTACGAGAAGCCTGATGAATGGCGTCTGTCCAAAGTCAAGCGTAGTGCACGCTCGGTAAGCCTCGGCTTGTCCATCTATCTTTTGACAGATATTGACAACCGCCTTACAGAGTCAAACCTTCGGATAAATGGTTCGATGCGGGGTTTCTTTGGGTTGTCATGTATGTTTTGTATACGTAGAACACATAATGCTCTAATTTTACAATAAGCACCACACGGGTAGCTTCTACTGTATTCAACCGGCGTGAGGTGAAAGGCCCTTGGCTACGGGCTGGGAGGCAAAATGGGTAAGCCATTGCCGGAGACTGGGCAGTTTTAGAAGCGAAGAAGAAGTCATTTCGCTGAGTGTATGCATGGTGCTCTTGTCTTGTCTCGTAACGATGAAGTGGACATGACGTGCGCGTACGATAAAGCGTCATCCTACGAAGCGCATGGCGTCCGCATCGATGTAGTACTTGGCGACTTCACCAGCCTTGGCTACGGGTGCTGTGGGGTCGGGCACGAGCATGAATGTTTGGAAGAAGACTCGAGGCTGGTCCTCAATAGACTTGGTGTTGGCCGCGGTGGTGTTAGCCGAAGCTGCTTTGCCGTGTGTCACAGTGCCCGATACTGTCACGAGCAGGGAGGGTGGCTGGGAGCCTGATAGCCGCAGGGAATGAGATGATGGGGGTGGGTAGCTAGCGCGTGGCGCACGCACCGGGGATGGGGTGACAGTCGTAGGATTGAACGTCGTGTTTTGTAGTGGGCATGTCCTGTATGAGCTTGGTGATGCCCTCGACGCCCTGGCTAGGGTTTCCGTTCCATGTGAGCGTGGAGGATGGACGGTAGAGCTTTGGGAGGTCGTCGATGCGCGTCGGGGAGTCGTATGTGGAATAGTAGAGCCGGGTGAACTGGTCCGCTGCGCGCGAGGAGATCTCGATGCTGCCGGGAGAAGTAAGGGTGTATGCTAAGCATGGTCGACACGAGGAGGCGAGGAGGAAAAACGCGTGAGGTCGACTTACTCTTCGCGGGTGAACGTCGTACTCATCGTCGCCGTGGAGCGTGCAGTGGGACCCTGCTGTATTGACGAGATGGCAGTTGGCCCCTGAGACGACAACTCAGAACGCCGCTCCCCACGTTCGCCGTAATTATAACGGAACTGCTTATAGGGCCTCGACGCTGGGACAACACCTCCCACTCTCTCTTCCCAGCTTCCCTACCTTACCTACGGCCATGGCAGAGAGCGAGATCAAGGTAGTCAGCCTCAACTGCTGGTGCGTATACATAATGCCATCTTCCTCGCGCGTTAGCCAATATCTATCTACGCATACTCCAGGGGTCTCAAGTTCGTGTCCAAAGACCGACACGTCCGTGTGGCTGCCATAGCAGACGCGCTCTCCAAATCGACGCATGACATTGTCGCCCTTCAAGAAATATGGGTGCAGGCCGACTTTGAACGCGTCCGCCAGAGCCTCTCCGTCCGACTTCCGTACAACAAGTTGTTCCATAGGTGCGCCCTATGTTACCTGCTCTCTCACTCAAGATTCACAGCACTGTGTCTAACAATAACCGTTGCTGTTTTGCTTTCAGTGGCGCCATTGGTGCTGGCCTTGCCATCTTCAGTCGGTGGCCTATCATTGAGACCAGCACCAACCCTTACTCCCTCCGCGGTGAGCCAATGGACGCGTTCGGAGGGGACTGGTTCGCAGGCAAGGGTGCTTGCAGCGTCGTTATCAAGCATCCTGTCTTGGGGCAGGTACAGATATTTAATACCCATGTGAGAATGGTCATCTTGCTGTTCTATTCATGTCCTGATTCTCCGTTTCCTAGCTATACGCCAAAGGAGGCGAGGATGGCCCCGAGTACAACAGGACCCATCGACTCATCAATGCTTGGGAGTTTGCAAAACTCACCAAGCAAGCAGCCAACCTTGGTCGCTATGTCATCGCGGTAATTCAATATGATCTTCCTCCTGCCTACTAGCATAGCTCAACAACTTCATAGTGTGGCGACTTCAACAGTATCCCTCAAAGTCTAACCATGGCCATCATCCGTGACTATTCAGGTCTTACTGATTCCTGGGTAGCTACACACCCACGTCAATCGCCGCCTTCGGGCATGATCTCGCCTATCGAGGGTGTCGAGCAGTACGGCATCACCGCAGACTCACCGCTAAACTCATACCGCGACTCAGGGCCATCCGGCTCGAGCATTGTGCGCACGTACCAAGGGAAACGACTCGACTACATCCTCTACCGCCAGCCCGCCGGAGGCATCTACCGGCGCTCTTCCCTGCGGCTCGAGTCCACGCACTGCCGTGTCGTCTTCGCAGACCCGATACCCAGCGGCCAATGCTCATACTCGGACCACTTTGGCGTCGAGTCCTATTTAACAATCCAAAGTCCGGACGAGATCGAGAACAACTCCGAAGACTCCAACGACACGAACGGCTCGTCCGTCTGGGTTGACGCTCAGGGCTCAAAGGATGACGTCCCCGTTCAAGGGCACGCCGCCGTCCCCGACCTAGTCTCGTCGCTATCGGCGGACACGATATCGTCCATGCTCCTCGCGCTGACGACCAGCTATCGGATCTCGAAGGACCGCTCGCACCGCGAGCTTTCCGTCTTCGTGCTCTGCATTCTACTCCTCTTTGCCCTCATTGTTAGCTCTTCGTGGGTACCACTTCCATGGGTGAACCCCATATTCGTGTTCTTTACGATCTTCGTCGCCTGGGTCGCTACGACAATGTTATACGAAGGCTGGATCTTTGGCCGCTGGGAACTCAAAGCCCTGTTGACTGTCATCGAGGAACTTGATCTTTACCAAAAGAACTTGGAGACGCACAGCAGAGCTGCGCCATCGGGTAGGGAGAGGTGGTAAGGATGCTTGAGCTACTCTACCGACAATGGGCATTAAAGTTCATATAATATAAGGATTAACTATCTGGACAGTATACGCTTGTACGTTGATGCAGTCAGGATCAGATTACAGGTAGAAGGGGAACTAGGCTACATGACTACAAGCGCTAGCAAGATACAGTATTATCCATCACCTATGGGAATGTTCCGTAGCAGTAAACAGCGTGACACGGATGGTCGAAACCTGGTATATGAATCATTTGTGTGCCTTGCTTGTGGATCTACATCCAGCCGGGGCAAGACTTGACCAAGTCCCGACAAGGGGCGCGAAGCTGGAGGGACCCTTGCCCATATTCATGAGCAGTGCAGGGGATGGTGACCTCCTACTGCCTCTGTCGCCTAGCGCAGTAACCGAGCTCGTCCTCGGTATACTTCCTGGCAAATTTGCCTCGCTCTTCCTAGTCTCTGGGCGAGAAGAGCAATAGGCAGTAGATGTATCCATGACGAGCGAGACCGCACTCATAACTCGGCGAAGTGGGGGGTGATACGGCGTCGGGTTCTCGTCGTCTTGTCCTCCCGGTCTCTCTGCCGGGCGGGCAGAACCACTGCGTATCCAGCTGGGCAAGTCGTCGACAGGAGTAGGCAGCTCAGAAGATTCTTCTCTGAGTAGATATTTTTTATACCCCGACCTGTCGCCCATCCTGGCAGCTTCAAACGCTTCAGGATCCGAGCCAGCGCTAGAGTCAACGGCGCTTATCGCACGAGAAGGTTCAGCGTCCGCGACCTCAGTGCCGTCGCCGCGAAGAACGTGGCTGCTCTTGGTGACGGCCTCTTCCTCGAGATGTTGCTCCGCTGTCGTACGCAGACCCGGGGTCGGAAGGTCGCGAAACACAAAGTCGCGGCACGACGCAAAGGCTTTGCTTGCAGCAGGGAGAAATGGGAATGCCTGGAAGACATGCACCGCATCTTCATACGCCTCGCAGCGCACCTTGACACCTGCCCTCGCCGCCTTGACTGCGAGAGCGATGTTTTCGTCGTGCAAGACCTCCGCATCGCCGGTCTGTATGAGCAGCGGCGGCAGCCCCGAGAAGTTTCCAAAGAGCGGCGATGCGTACGGGTGCAAGACATAGCTAGCGAGACCTTCACCAAGGTACATGACGACAGGGTGTAGGTGCGCATCTGGGCCAGGGAGGGGTATGATGTCGAAAGGTGCATTGGATTCCCAGGATGGAGCGCTCAGCGTGAGGTCTGACGGTAATTGGTGTATCACAACGTTAACATGGATCGAAGATTGCTACTCACCCACCCATGGAGAAAAGAGGATTGCACCACCAGGCAAGGGGTAATTGTTGTCCCTTAAATACAGCAGCAACGCAAGCGCCAACCCACCTCCAGCGCTATCACCCGCCACTATGATGTTTTGGGGTGGCAACTTGAGATCGTCGGTCAACCGAAAATACGTCGCGGCAACATCATACAATGGACCAGGGAATCGCGTCTCAGGAGACAGTCGGTAGTCGATTGCTTGTCACATCAACGAGGTATGAATTTCCATGCGGACAACTATTCAATTTGTCACTCACCGAAAACGCGACAGTTGGTATACTTGGACAGTGGGATGGTGATGATGCGTTGCGAGGCAGCACTTGACGAACAGTATGCACCTGCAAAAATTATTCGCCTGGATATTTCTCAACGTTAATAGACCGCAGCGCACCTCCATGGATATACAGTATGACCCTGTTCGACCTGTCCGGGGCGGATTGGCCCTCCGCAGATCGGCCCTCTGCAGATCGACTGGCTCGACGCGCCCGGTAACGAGCTTGCATCCTCTGCCACATGTGCTTGCCCATGATCCACTCGCCCGAGAGCTCACGCCGACCAGTCTCCTGAGCGTCGAGACGCGCGAGGAATCCCTTGAGACCTCGACGCTTCACCCGGAAGGAAACAGGGGTGGCTAGCGCGTCTGAAGGAAGGGGAACGAGGCCTGTCACGGCCATCGCTCTGCGAAGGGTATTCTGAGCATGTAGAACGAAATGAGATATTTCGAATAATAGAAAGAAACAAGGTACTGACGACGTCGGCCAAAGCAGAGTGTCGGGAAACATCTCGCATGAGGGAGGTCATGATGGTCATCTGTATGCCCCAAGATTTTCGGCGTGGTCCCCATATGTGGTGGGAGAGAATATCGACGGTAAGGTTCGAAGCTAGACAGGAGAGAAGGCGATGAATGATCCGGCAGAGGAACGAGCAATTCAAGAGAAAAAAATACCTCTGGTGAACGCAAACGCGGGGTATTTCCAGCATTCCCAGAAGCCTAAAGAAGATCTATCTTGAGCTATGAGAGTACGATCGATTCGCGACGAGCAAGGAATGACGCCCTGTTTCTCGTATTCACGAACAAGGTCATCAATGGCGTGGTTTGGTAGATAAAAGTCTTGAGATGGTCCTGGGGCAGAGGTAGAGAAGAAGAGAAAACGAGGTGTTAAGGGGTTGCTCGCCATCGTCGAGGGTATTCAACGGCGAACACTACACGTTGAAGGGCGTCAAAGAAAGGGAATCAGAGATCGTTGGAGGCTCGGGCTGAGTATTTGAATAATCTCTTGTCATTCTTGTCATCCGTGTCATCATCCACATTCTTGTCATACCACTGCCAGGTCATACGCATAACTACACAGGGGTCTCGTCGGTGGCTATACCATTTGCCGCTCCGCTTTCCCCACTTCCCCGCGATTCCACTTTCCTCACAAGCCGCATCTCTTGACGACCCCAAATCAAGTTTCCTCAGCATACACAGGCAATTTTCATATTCCGTTGCTCGGATCATCCTGCTGTGCGGTAACCAAATACTATGCGTGCCATGATCTCAGTAATCATCTCCTCGACTCACTACCTCCTTCGCCGTCGGCCGCAGCAGAATAGTGTGCTCCTATGTGAAGATGGTCAGCACTGCCTTGCCAATGAATGGACATCTAGAAACGCACGAATTGGGCTGTCATTGATCCTCGCTGGTCCACAAGCGGTGGGTATTCCTGTACAATACCTTGCTGCACCAAATGATTCAGCTATAAAATCCAATGATTGTTAGCACCGGGCGGTCGATGGTTTGTATAATATGCTATTTACCCCGAGCAAGTACTTGCTTTCACCCTCGTGTTCCAGGTATCGCCGACAGAAAGCAAGAGTATTGAACTTTTGCGTGATCGTGTTAAGCAATGACTTGGCCGATGTTAGTCTGCATGCCCAGTGATCAGCCAGCGACTATCAATAGACCAGAGGTGCTGCACACCTTAATGGGACATGAGGAGCATCGTCCATTTTGGCATAATGTGACACCTCGCCCTGCCAAGTAATTCAGCTTGGGCTTTCATAGTCTCGGGAGGATCGTATCTACGCACGCTTTCGATTACTCGCCCTCGGCCAGTGCTACCGAATGTTTCGATCGCAAAGTATTCTCCCTCTTCCATCTTCGTCTGGTCGTCAGTTGGGATGAGCGGAACTGATTTTCCACCTCCGTGGATTGAGTACCGTCCAATCGAATGGCCGCTGAGATTCGTGATTGATTTTACTGGTGATATCACAAGTGAGCATCTAGAATTTAGATTTACGGAACAGATGCAACAAACCTGGCAAAATCTTGCCGTTCACCTCGACTTCATAGGACTCCATCGTCTCCTGTATTATACCACCGAGTTCACCTAACCGTGCATCGATGCCTGCTTCCTGTGATTGATGAGCAATATCGAAACGGGTAAGATAACGAAACAACTCTACCCGAATCCCAGCATTCGTCGCTGCCTTGACAGCCTCAAGGAGCCTATCGTACGTCGGATCGAAACACAACGTAAATGCCGAGTCCACAATCCGCCCTTTGACCTGTACACCAAAATCGACCTTGAGGACATCTCCATTCTCAAGCTTGGACGTGTCTCCCGGGTTTGGCGTGTAGTGTGCCGCGACGTGGTTTCGACTCAGGCCCGTCGGGAAGCCGATCCCAGCCTCGAGCCCGTCTGCCTCAACGAGCGCGCGGACGCTGTCCTCGATGTAGTCCGCGATCTCGACCATAGACCGCCCAGGCTGGATGAACTTGCGCGCCGCCCGCCGCACCTGTCTGTGCACCTCGCCGCCCCGCCGGATGTACTCGTATGTGAGCTCGGGATTCTCATTCTGGATGCGCTCGAGATGGCGTTTCTCCTCCGAGGTCGTGCGCCAGGTGTTGCTGAAGAAGAGAAAAGAGTCGGCAGCCCGCACGGTCAGCGATTCGTTCTGAGGGGGACGGGGGGATCGCACTCATTCTTGTAGGGCACGGATTCGCCTTCGGGGTAGTGCCCGCCGGGGAAGAGCTTGCTGATGGGGATGCGAGGGGGCTCTGTCTGTTCAGCCTTCTTCTTCTTGGACTTTTTCTTCTTTTTCTTCTTCTTGCCTTCACTCAAAGCAGCCACCGTAACACGAGTTATATACGCGAGTTTGATTGTCGCACACGAGAGGTATCAGAGCAGTGTGGGGTGGCATCAAATAGCGCAAGCAGAATGAATGATAGTCAGGGTCGTTGAAGCAGGAAGTGTGGCCAAAATTGAAGCAATTACGAGATAAGGGGTATCCTTGATCAAACGATGTCTTCAGGAGGAAAGAATGGGCACGAACCTGCACCAGTGCCTTCTTCGGGAGCCCCTTCGTCGTCTATTTCCTCACCCTCAACTTCAGGCTGTCTGTTGTTGAGTTCTTCTACAGGCAAAACAACGGCAGGCGCCATTCTGGCAATACGTGAACGAAGGAATTGAGAGCCTTGAGGAGGCTCCCACTTGCCGTAACATCCGTTCCGCCGTCTAAAAGCGGTAACCGAGGGCGGGGCCGCGCCCTTCTTACAGCGTGCTTACACCGGGCGGGGTAAACACGACGGAGCCGACGGGGATTCCCACATATCATGGCAGGGTATGAGCCCAATTTTGTCATTATACGAGACGAATATAAGAGAGGTGGAACATCCGATAAAACTACACTCGACATATAGATACATAGCGAAACACGATCAGGCACCGAATCCGTACAGCGTACGCCCGGAACGCTTGAGGGCGTACACAACGTCGAGAGCAGTGACGGTCTTTCTGTGAGCAATCAACAGCGTAAGACGATGATCTGGAGACAATAGCAAGGAGGACGAACCGCTTGGCATGCTCAGTGTAAGTAACGGAGTCACGGATGACGTTCTCGAGGAAGATCTTGAGAACGCCACGAGTCTCCTCGTAGATGAGACCAGAGATACGCTTCACACCACCACGACGGGCGAGACGGCGGATAGCCTGGTAAGGGGTGTTTAGCATTGAATGGACATTGAAGGCAAATGGGGAAGACGTACGGGCTTGGTGATACCCTGGATGTTGTCACGCAAAATCTTGCGGTGGCGCTTAGCACCACCCTTTCCGAGACCCTGTGTGTCAAAAATAGAGGTCAGCATCTAGAGACGACTGATAGTGCGCCAGAGCCATAGGGCTACACAAGTGTGCACATGAGACAAGTATGAACGCACCTTGCCACCCTTGCCACGGCCGGACATGTTTAGTTGATAAGTGTTGCGGAGATTAGGTGATGTGGTGAGTAGGTGTGAGCGAGGCTGGTCGCTGGTGGTGGTGGTAGGGAAGAGAGGAAGATGACGGTTCCGCGCCTCTGTCGCGTTGTTTATAATTGGACACGCAGCGTCCGTCACGTGTATTGCCTCAATGGCCGCGTTCAACAAACAAAGTAAACAAAACAAAACGCGTCGTGTTCAGTCGCGTCTCGGCTAACACGACTCCCGCCCCTGAAGCACGCATTCCATTGGCATTCTTCTTGACTGTCATCACCAACGACATCGTGTCATGGCCCGTGCACCCGACATTCTCACTAAAACTCTCTGGCACGCGGACGATCGCGACGGCGATGTCAACGTGCCAGCCAATCGCCCCCGAGTCACACTCACCTTTGCCCAGTCACTCGACGGCAAGATCGCCGGCGCTGGCGGCGCCCAGCTTGCCCTGAGCGGGTCCGAGAGCATGCTCATGACTCACTGGTGGGTCAGTCACCCCTGGTAACATCACACACACCAATGTGATCATGCGTCCAAGGATGCGCACCATGCACCAGGGCATCCTGGTCGGCATTGGCACTGCCCTTAACGATAACCCACAGCTGAACAGTAATTCGCACCAAAATATGTCATGCACCGCTGCTTGACTATGTTCTCGAATTGCAGTACGTCACGTTCCTGCCGATGTCCAACCTCGCCCTCCCGCACCCACCCCAATCATCGTCGACACCACCCTCCGTTTGCCCAATACTTGCAAGTTGCTGCAAAATTATCGCGTTGGAACAGGTCTCCAGCCGTGGATAGTCCATGCTCAGAGACCACATCATGATGCAGATGCCTTCGAAAAACGCAGGGCTGCACTACAGAGTGCTGGCGCCGAACTTGTCCCCATCTCCACCGATTCTTCTGGGCTGCTTTCTATGCAGGATGTTCTTCAAGCACTCCACATCAAGGGAATCAAGACCCTGATGGTTGAGGGAGGTGCTCGCATCATCCGGTCCTTTCTCAATCAACACGCCGACGAGCGTGCTGCGGGCAGGGAAGGCCTGATCGATAACTTAATAATCACTCTCGCGCCAACCCTTGTAGGCGATGAGGGTGTAGGCTACGGTGTTGATGCAGCAGGCCAGGTGTGCTGGACAACTTTGATTAACGCCTTCCCGCTAATTCGTCATATATTAATCACAGCCTCGGCTTGCTCTCTCGTACGTCGAACCATTTGGTGTCGACACGGTTATCGCATATCAACCGCTATGATAATTCCAACCCCCAAACTATGTTGTATGCTCTTACTTTCGAAGGAATGTGGGGGGTGCAGACCGCGAATCCTGCAATACGGATATATAACCAATAAGGGTATGGACTAGACCGTGTGGTCCAGTGGTATATACGTTGAGTGGATGTACAGATCCTCCAAACGAAAATTACGTAGATGTACAACTATATGAAGAATGAAGCGAGTGATGAGATAATTTAGTTGAAAGTGAAGTTGATGAAAGGGCGAATGGACGACGGTAGCCTGTATAAGTGATGCGAATGCAGAATGAGCAGAGTAGAATGTAATGAAGCATGCTGAATGTGTTTCCAGTGTAATCCTTGAATGACATGCTGAATGTAGGCGTTTGCGTTGAGAAAAATGACAGAAGATAGAATACCAGGTCCACTAGCTTCCGCGACGCGCTAGATTTGGTGAATCACCGTATCGAAAAGCTGAGTGACCCTGCGCATGATCGCATTTCTCTGCGATACGCTTGGCGGCTTCGAGTGCCCGTTCTACTAGGGCACGAGACGGTGACAACTGCGGCGTGCTTTCTAGCAGATCTGAAGCAAGTGAGCCCTGGCGTTGTACACAAAATGGAGGCCAAAACTCACCCCGATAAAGTAAAACATATCGCATTACACGCTGAGTCGGTTGAATCGCCAAATCCCTCACACTGGGCCTCCTGACGGGTTGAGATGACGGTGCTTTACTCGATCCCTTCCTCGATCCCAATCGTTCTGTCGATCCATAGCGCTTCTTCACCGATGGCATCTCTTGGGGCTGATCTGACTTACACTCGGCCTCCGATGTGCTAGTGTTGGATGAGCTCCAGCGGTGTTGCATTCCAAGATATTGCTGATTAGAGCCAGCGAAACCATTCATAAACTCTGGTAGAGTAGGCACCGAGGACAATTCACCAACGGGTCGATCATGCTGTTCTTGACTCTTTCGTCCACCAAAGCTCCTCCGGGAGCCACTCAGCCGTGACACTGGAGGTGGCATCGATCGCCTGAGCACTTTCCTCCCTTCGCGTTCCTTTTCCCGTACTTCTGGGTCGTTCTTGCTCCCTGATGGACCACGCGACAGTCGGTGACCTCGACGATCTTCAAAGAACTCGCCTGCAACCGCGCTCCACGCAACCAAGGCATCCTCAACTTCATCTTCTATGCTCATAAATGCTGTGCTTACACCCCATGCAGATGGATCTTCTGTCATGCCGTGGAGCAGGATCTCGCTGGCACGGATGAGTGGCGGGATGTGCGTCAGCATGGACACAGGCGGTGGTGTGAGCGTGTCACCGCGGAGCAATGTACGCAGAGCATCCTGGTATGATCGTTCTGTCCTAACGATTTCCCGCACGCATAGCAAGGCTTTCCGGGCTGAACACCATATCGCTGTGTCTTCAGAGTCGGTGTCCTCTTCATCTTCATCTTCAAGCTTAGCATCATGACCAGCCTCGGAAGCTTCGGGTCCTGAGCCTTTTGGAGAAACATACATCGGAGGTAGCGAGGGTACTGGAGGAGGGAGGGAACAACTGAAAGAACTTGAAGAGCCCTCGCTCGAGTTGGAAGATGCTTGAGAGGTGATTGTATTCGTTCTAATTGGACCTTGTACCAGACGGGACCGAGATGAACGCTTGGAAGCACTGGCTTCTTTTCTGAACTTTTCTAGCCTTTCAACGAGAACATCGTCGGATAAAGATTCATCGTGTACCGGAATGGATATGCCCAAGTCACAGACGAGATGGTTGGAAGAATAGGGGGGTGGAGGAGAAGACGAAGTCGGAGAGAAAGACGGTGGAGTACCTATCCAAGCGAGAGAAGCGAGAACGTCTGTGCTAATGCTCACAGGACGTGCACTAGGACGCGTAACGGGAGGAAAACGCTGGCTGGCGATCCCGATAGGTGAGCTTTGACCATGAGGCTGATACGAAAAGTGGTTCAGCATTAAGATCGCGCGATAGGTTAAATACGCACCAGATTGACTCTGAACGGTGACTGGGCTCTGATGGGTGGCAGAGCCTTCTGCTTCTCATGGTCTCGGTGGGAAGATGCTACACTCGGCCTTCTCTTGACAAGTTTTGTGGTAGTGTGAGGAGGAGGGGGAGATACAGTGACGTCGTTATGAAGAGCGGTTGGACATAGAGAAATACTACGCATGATTTGCTCAGAAGGTACAGGGACAGCGGGACTGTCGGTGACAGGTTGTGTCGTGGGGGTGACAAGCGAAAGGCCACCTTCGTCGCGGATGGAGGATATGATCCGAGAAGAACAAGTTGAATCTCGTTGCCGGTCAGGGGGAAAAAGCGTCAAGTCTATGTCAACCTTGTCCTTAAGTTTGCTAAGGTGATGTGTAATTTGCAAGGGGCCACACGTTTGGGGCAATGAAAGTGAGAGAGGACATGACGGAGAATGACGACATGGGGCAGGTGGCGTAGGCGGTCTCGCCCCTTTGCGCTTCACTATCCGAAATGACGAAGGAGGTGACGAAACTGAAATGGCTGCGGGGAAATCATTCGGACTGTGGGGCCCAACACGGGGATCGTCTTGACTTTCTGTGCACGAAAGTCGCGTGTGTCCATACTCGGAGGCAACCCCGCTGTCTAACCTTCGATCATCGCTCCGCGTACCCACTCCTAGACCTAAAAACAGCAGCACACCAGGAGATCAGCAATTTCAACATGCACATCATCTTTCCACCCCAGAGGAACGTACACATCCCAATATCAGACGTAAAATCCTCCATAGTCGGTGAAGTCTCCGACGAGTTTGTGTTGGTCCGGCGGAAGGGATCTAGGAAACCGCTGCCAAAAGACTTCAAAGCAGAAGATTCCCGGGAGAAGGAAGGGCTTGGAGTCGGTTCATCCTCGAGTTGGCTCGAGGGCTTGAATGTGTGAACAATAATGAAGCTTGAGTCGTCATCACTGAGATATGTACAGGGTACCGGCTTAGTTTTCGTTTTCATGCTTTTCTTGGTTAATGGGAAGGCCCGGGCTTGATCTGGCAATATATTCAGAGCAGCGCCCAACCTTTGTTGGGGCTCGGAGCGAATAAAAAAACGCGACCATCTTTTACGCCTGCCAGGGCCCATGGATTGAGAAGGCATAGTCGTCGTTAGAGGGTCATAGGCATAGAGGGTATAAATAGGGACGAGAAGAGGAGGCGACAACAGGTGTGTTTGTGGCTTTCTTGATGGGTCCCGTCTGGCGTCAATGAACGACTTGGGCACACTCCGTGGCCGGCAGACGAGGGAGCAAGGAGAGGAAGGGACACCAGTTGATATCAGCAAGATGTAAGGGTTAAAAAGAAGAAGAGATGCAACTACCAACGTCGGTCAGTGAGACAGACGCCGACTTACGCGGACGGGGGAAGAGAATAAGCAGGAAGCACGCTACCCACTATCCTGGATATCTCGTTGAACGTCTTCCTTGAGGTCAGGGTCCACTCTAAGCGCCAACTTCAATTGGAACCAGCCAAGTCAAAGTGGCACTGACCTCAAACAACGATGATAAATCTTTCATCTCCAGCATGGTTTACATGCTCACAATATGTGTCGAATTCAAGGACCCACTACCTTCAGGCCATCTTCAGACAGGACACCCGTTCGAAAAGCACGGACAGTCACCGCGCCGACGTCGCGCGCGTGTAAGAACGTAACCGAACGTTGAATGTCATTAGCCCAAGCACGGACGCTATTAATTATTAGATCTGTCCTGATCTCTGTCTATATATGAAATCCGGAGTCAATCCGGCGCCGACGTGAGCCGAGGTGCTTGCTTCTTCGGCGCAGAAGCACCAGGAAGCACCCTTAGGCATCTGCCAAACGTATCTCCCAGTAAGAATGGTCATGATGTAGTAGGTTTTCATCTCATATTTCATTTCTAGTGTGCCCTTAATCCCACTTCACGTCTCGTCTGACCTCCCAATTAACTCCCAGCACGACAGGAACGGGCTGGGTCCTCTGCTCAGCCATAGTCGCGCCTATTGATTACGGTGATGTCGATATTCCAGTCATGAACGTGAACGTCGTGACTTTAAGTAGTAGTACTAGTAAAGAACCATATAGTAGCTACTCATCTGATCCTCATGATTTTTCGGACTTCCACTAAGGGTTCGTTATCCTGCAGATGGGTGCCATGCCCATATGCGCACCTCTCGTATGCTGCTTGCACGCTTCTCAGTCCATGCAGGATATACTAGATGTCTCTGGCATGTGGTGGCCATGTTCTGCTGGTGAGTCGGGCACCTGACTTCAATGTTTCAACTCCCTCGCACGCATCGCGAAGCATGCCAATTTCCTGCCTCATAGCCCTTGATATCCTTCGTTGTGAACTTGTAAGTTACAATATGAATAACGAACACTTTACATCAAACTACCGCCAACTGCAGTTGCAACAAAGTGCACTAATATACACGCAATGAGTGTCGACAATGAAAGCTTGGGCTGTCACATGTCACCAAGTATTACGGTGACGAAGTCAAGTGTCAAAAACTATGCCGAGGATCAAATGGACCTCAGTCATCCTCTGAGCGGCTATCATAAAGGAGCACGTATTCTACGTCCTCTGCGGTTTCATCGTTGCGCAGCTCTACTCTTGGCTGCTGCGCGCCGACGCTTTCCACCTCCTCCACATCGGAGTCCGCCGTGGTAGGCAAACTGATCAGAGAAACAGAGGACCCAACCGATACGGCGTCGTCATCCGTGGGCTTCGATTCGCTGACTGTAGCTGAGACAGATGCGGAAATTTGATCGGCACCGAGCGCAGATTGCAAGGAAGTCGTATGTGAGACTATGTCGGCCCTTCCAGGCATCACGACTGACGAAGACGCGAGTGAAGCATCTTCGCTCGACGTATCACTATCTGCCACGGTCACACTGCAGACGAGATTGAGTCTTCAAACAACATGGAAGGAAGATGGGACACCTACTCAATCCAGACGCTGCTCCCGAAGTATTCATGTCCATCATAAAGTTTCCAGTAGCTAACGTACCGACCAGGAGCATCGGGCACTTTGAGCTCGCTGGTCCAGACGTCTAGCTCTTCGCCGGGATCAACACGCCCCACCTTGGTACGCAATCCTTGATCACGGCCAGTAAGCCCCTGTTGAATAAGGGGCTCGCCAGCAACGAAGACAAGCTCCGTCTCCTCAGGCCAGGCGCGCCCGCCGTCGTTCATCATCCGCCAAGCTTTGACGAATTCTGCACCTGGGGGGAAGACCTGACCATCCGGAACGGTCGTGTCCCAAAGGAAAGCGGAGTTTAGTTGCGCAGCGGAATCACGGTCGACTGGAGTTTCGGATGTTCGTGGGGAAGCAGCGCATTGCGTGTCATCACGGAGCAACTCGAATAGCGTAGGGACAGAATGCGGTGACTCCGACTTGACTCCTTTGGTTTTCACCTGAGGAAGAGAGAAAAGATTGTCGGGTTGCGCATCAACATTCACATCGTCATTCACGAATGATCCTGGAAGGTTGCGAGGAGCAGGTACGGGTATCATTCCCCTTTGCCCATCGTCAGAGGGAGTCGGTGATGGTGTACGGTAGCCGTTAAGTAACGCGGCCAGAGAACGATTCAAGGAGAACGTAGCCCTGCTCTCGCGCTGAAGCATCTCTGGAGGCGGCGCAGCCGGGGTAGCTAGCAGTGACTCGTGAGTAATGGGGGACTCCGCAACGGGAAGGGAGTCGCGACCACTAAAAGACAGCGTAAAGCCACTGGGTCTGGAATCCTCAACCTTCGAGGGATTAGCTCCGTATGATTGCTGACGGCCGGCTTCATTTTCAAAGGAGGACTTTACTTCTTGGTTAACAAGGGGCCAGAGTTCGCGATAGACATCATGAGTGCCGTTCAATGCAAGGGGCGTCAGTGGGAATCCCGCATTGGGAACCGGAGCGGGCGGGGGAAGGCGCCTAGGAACGAACAAAGCTGGCATGTCGGGAGACGAACTTCTCGAGTTGCCATGACTCTGGTTTAGACGAGGATCCCACAGGGTCCAAGAAGAAACTTCTGCAGGTACTTGATGTTCTACGACATCATGTGAACTGACCTGATAGTCACTTCTAGAGTCTTGAGCAGGAAGGGCAGGGACAAACGGTATATCTGGAGATGAAGCAGCACTAGCCTGATAGTACCCGGGAAGGCAGATGTCGTGATTGTCTTCTTCTGTCATTGATTGGTTGGGAGACTCGGGAAGTTGTTGAGGAAATGTCACCACCGCGGGAGGCTCCGTTATGTGTGAATTGAGCTGGACAACAGTTGGCACAGGTGATGCAGGTGCCGACACATAGGTGTCGTCGGTTGTATGAATGAGGTTAGTCTGACCAACCCTGTATACAGTGGGAACAACAGTGTCCGGTGTCTTCATCTTCAGCATTGGGTGGATAGGAGGATGCACCGGAATCGGCAGACACTCGCAGTTATCGCACAGATCGTAGTCTAAACAGTCTGGATGCATGCACTAGGAGGATGGTCGGTCATCGGAACGGGAGAATAAGCCAGAGCCCAGTACCTTGTAACGGATACCACTGATGGAACGATGGCAGGCTATATAAATGCTTAAGTGAATGCCTCCATAGCTTCGCGTTTTCACTCACAATCACAAGTTGCAAGGTGATTAACTTGGCGAGAGGCCAGTCCTTGTCTCATCTAGGCCGATATGTGAGGTTATACGCCGACACCCAACAATTTGACATACCATGAGGTCTTCTGGCTTGTTCACCTTGACGAAACCATGTGTGGGGTGCTGCTCTTGCGTGATGCTAAAGGGGGTCAGCTGATGTTAAACAAACGGAGGTGGAGTCGAACCTAAAGCACGAAGAGCACACGTCGAAGTCTGCATCGTGTTTAGATTGTAATTAGTCCGAAAAGATTCATAACACACATACCTGGACAGATGACGCATTTCTGTAAGATAAAGCTCTGTCAGTATATACGCCAAACTATATATTAATTCCAACTAACATAGCGCTCCCCTTCTATTCTTGAATCGCATAAGTTGCATGTTGCATTGTGCACAGTGCCAGAAACTTGAGATGAGTCGGCATCAGAAGGGCCAGGAGAAGGCCTTGAACCAGCTTGTCGAGCATGTGGCGCCGTTCTTTCACCTCGTCCACTGAATACGGTATGCACAAACACCCGGCCAGGCTCTTCAATGTCGAAGAACTCATGAAAGGGGTTGTGTCTCTCTGCACAACCACAACTGAAGCACGTCGTGCATAGGTCATAGTCTGAAGATACAGTCAAGGGAAAAGTTGACAAGCAATAAATTCGACATACCAGGACAGTCCAGACATTTTCGCCTCACACCCACAATGACCTTGTCACATCCATCACATAACACATTTCTATGCACGGCAGGGTGACATCCAGGTGTCTCAATAGGGAGAAACTGATGGCCACTTTCGTGCCCACTAATTGTTGTCCCAAGACAAGAAGAGCAGAGATCAAAGTCTAGGGCGAGAATGAGCGCAATTGGTTGGCTCGCAGGAGTGACATACCGGGGCATTGTATGCATTTATGTCGGGTTCCTGAAATTGTCTTATCACAAGAATCACACAAGACACCTCGATGCACGACCGACGAGGAGGATGTTAATTGACTGTGGGACGTGGGCAATTCCATGCCCGTAAAACTAGACGGCCGCGGCGAAGGGACAAAACCAGGAGGGAAATGTTGCCGCACGACATGGCTAGGTCCGAAGCTTTGAGTATGGGAAGCACCGGATTTCGTGTAACAGCCAGGGCACTTAACAACATGTCAGTGCAACGACACGATGCAGGTAGAGATCACTCACAACAGCATGCCAAGGACACCTTTCGCAACCATACCATATCCCAGTGAAGTCTGAGCGACATATGAAGCACCAATGGGGGCTTGTGGTAGGCGAAATGGGGTATAAGCTGCGTGACGGCGCAGCTGATGGCGCAGTAGGCGCAGCGTCATGAGCATGCGCATTGCAGTCGCGCGTCTCGTCAAAGACATTGTTCAATGCTTGACTCAGATTTGACAGTAATGTTCGGATTTCTTCCTGTCGTCCTACGGCGGGACATTGTCTCATACGCGAAGGACTGAGCTTGTCGCCGAGAGGGTTCTGGTGAGAAGAGTCAGCCGACCCATGTTCGTCGAATCGCTGCGGGACAGCGGTTGACGCCACCTCCTGTTGGCTGAGAGGTACTGGTGGAGCAGGCGATTCCTCGCCGACACCCACTCCTTGAGCCATTGGGTTGAGCGGTGTTAAGTTGTCAAGAACAATGAACTTGAGGACAGGACTAGTCCAGTTTCCTGGGAGGGAATCCATGGCATCCTTGTAATCATTGGCCGAGCCAATTTCCTTCTTGACAACAACACGATGCAGTTTCTTTGCGTCCGGGGAGAACTGCACCTTGGAAAGACGAAAATCGTTGGTGATTGAGAATATACGAGATAACTGGAGGGATGATAAGTCAGGACCCTATCTATGTATCGTGGGGACTGTATGCGACTTGCCTGGTAGTACAAGTCTTGGTATGCAGGGAACGTTTCATGGTCAGGAAACGTGAACCGCCTAGTCTCGTTCCGGTAAGTGGCCTTGATTGTGAACATGATGGCTGGTGGAAGGAAGGGAAGGCGGAGGCGCAGTCGGCCGGGACGCAGCTTACGCACTTTATAACCAGTACTGGAATAGGTTTACTGCTGTGGGGTGGTCACCGGTGACATGTAACACAGTTACACGGGGTGATGGGATGTGACGGAGAAGTCACCGACTGGCGGCGTTTGGCGCGGTTGGGCTCGCTTTAGATGAATGCTATTAAGATATGACTGTCTCTCTTCTCTGCACCATAAGATACGACCCAAGGCTCAAGGGCATTCAATGGAACAACCTGCCCTCGGGTCCTTGTCCCTATCTTCTACTATCCTACCAAACTGACAGGCTCGTCTCGTCTGCAAGTCGTTTGGGGTGGCACGATTCAATCTTGCAAGCTATCGACGTTGCGCGACTTCATGCAGAATGCGATAACGCTCTTCAACAAGCGCCAATGGCCGATTGGTCAGATGGACAAGCCTTCAAGGTGCGATTCTCTTCCGCAATTGATCTTCTTAGAGCTGACCTCAAGCTTGTCTAGATCCGCTTATCACTTGACGAGTCCGGCCGGTTCACATCCACCGCCCTCCCAGTCATCCCTCTAAGATCGAGAGACCCTACATCTCCCTCTTTCTTCAATCCAAAGACAGACTCTCATTCGCTCTACGGCCCGAGCCTGAGCCTATGCATTGACTCTCAGCCCTCTGTCAGTACAGGTGACATGAAAACAGCTGATCGAGCGCCATACAACCAAGCACGCGAGCGAGCAGGTATCCCGCCCGTCAATGCACCCAAAGACGTACGCGATTGCTATCCTTCAGATCATCCATACGATGTACTTCTTCATACAACTGAAGGACTCGTCTCCGAAACTTCTGTTTGCAACGTCGCGTTACATCGTCGAGGTCGTTGGGTTACCCCTTCGCTGTCCACAGGCTGCGTCGCAGGTGTTCTTCGACGGTGGCTCCTCGAACAGGGCCGCATTCACGAAGCTCAAAGTGAAGAAATCCGCGCCAAGGATCTACAGCCGAATGAATTTGTCCTTTTGTTCAACGGGGTTATTGGTTGTCAGCTGGGTCGTCTCAAAGATGGGCCGAGATGAGTAGGTCATGTCATTATTCAGAGCCATCATAGGTCCGCTTGCTATAATCTACTTTTACAATCTCTATCCGTTCTAAATATCAGTTCTTGACTTCTCTTGCTAGACCAAATCCATTGTATCATCAAAGTCGGGCGCATCGAGCAATCCGTCATCCATCTCGCTTAGGATGTAGTCCACAACAAAGCTCTCCTGAATGAGCCTGTCCATGCGATTCAGGTGGCGTTCCGTGTACGGAATCATACTCTCCACCAAGTCCTTGAGGCTCGTCCCCTCCTTGGACATGGTAGCGTAACTCGGCGCATCGAAGGGTGCTTCGGGGCTCACTGGCTGTGCGCTGTTATCATACGCCCCTAGGATGTCTTCCGCAGAGCGTAGCTTCATGATGGCGTATAGGACGGTTTGGGCCACTCCACTGGTTTTGGCGTTGGTGTTCCAGTCGCGCACGAACCTCAAGAGCACGCCGAGGTCTTGCGAAGAAAGGGTACGGATGACCTGATCGACGCTTGCGTTCCCGGTTACGGAAGGTGGCGGCGTGAATACTGTCTCCTCATTTCCAGCGGCGGAAGCTGCCCGAACTTTCTTGAAAAGGGACAGAAGTCGACCCGGTTGCTGCATAGCCAGAGCCAGTTCTATAGCTCGACGATAATCATGAAGGGCCAGATAATTTTGAAAGTCTTGTTCCCTAACGTAGATCGTTCAGTATACAACAGCTTCTGTGTTAGAAAGAAACCAACTTCTCTATTTCCTCCATGCGTTTGGCTTCTTTTGCCTGGTCTTGCTCTTCTGTACAATCTTCCCAGAAAGTAACAACTGAGTCCGCAGCGGCGGAGAGGATTGTTCGTTCATCAGCGCTGATAGCCAGTGCCCACACCTGGACTAGGTGAGTGTCAGAGTTCTCTGAAATAGTTTAGTGGCCACTTTACCTTATCTTCGTGATTATCCAGCGTAGTAGTGCAGTCTTCCTCTCTGACGCTCCACAACTTGACAAGACCATCGGATGCACTACTGACGAGTTGCATCCCATAGTTCATGAAGTCAACCCGTAATACAGAGTTTGTATGCCCCTCAAATGTTTTGACACATGAAAAGTCCTCCAAGCTCCATAACTTGACAGTTTTGTCGCCACTTCCAGTAGCAAGGACACGCTCTGCACGGCTGAACTTGACACTCCATACTCCTCGCCTGTGTCCTTTACAGGTTCCCAGAAGCTTGATTTCTCCCCGTGAAGGCTTGCCGGAAGAGCCTGGGGCAAAATCAATTTCGTAAATCTTCGCCGTCTTGTCCTGTGAGCCAGACGCAAGTAACTTATCGTTAGGTGATATATCGAGAGAGTTAATATCTTTGTCGTGCGCTTTTTGTGTCGTTAAGCTCTTGCACCGGCTTACTTCTTCGCTCCCAGAAGCGACACTTGAGAGGTCCCACAACTTGATTGTCCGGTCCTGGCTGCCCGTGAGCATGAAAGAGGGAGGAGCCCGTCCGTCATGTTCTGGACCTCTCGACACTGCAATGGCGCCAATGCTCTCAGCATGTCCTTCACAGACCGCTGCGCACTTCCAAGAGTACTCTTGGGTACTAGTATTCGGATGAGGGAGCCATACTCTAGCTGTTCGGTCCTTGCTCCCGCTAGCCAAGAGGTTGCCCGATGAGCTACGGGCCAAAGATAGCACAATCTCTGAATGACCCTCTAACAAGCAAGCATTCAATCCATTTCGCGAGTAGACACGGATGAGAGAAGAGTTCGTCGCCAGAGCTATATGGGAATCAGTGCTGATTTTGCCTGATGTTTCGTCATCCTGGAAAGACGGCGATAGGAAGACAGCGTCCACAATCTCGTCGTTGAAACCTATGAGCTGGCAAGTAAGGGTGCGAGAAGCCAGAGAGTAGAAGAGGAAATTTTGGTCGGCATGGAGGGAGACCACCGTAGACGTTGACGGCAAGAAGCTATCCTCTGACGTCAGCGCGAGTGCTTCCAAGCAAGCAAATACCTACAATGCTTCAACGATCTGCCGCTGTTCTTCTTGACCATCCGCAGACTCAACTTCGTCGCCAAGACTGTATAAAGCAGCCCCTTGCTCACAATCCCATACCTTGATAACGCCCTTTTCGCCTGCAGTGAGGCACTGCAAACCTTTTAGTCCCTCGTTCGCACCCAACTCTTGCCGATCAGGGTTAACGATGAAGAGGCCTTCTATCCGTTCGAGCGCTGGAATTGTCTTCACCAGTACAGGAGAGAGCTTCTGCTCCGTCTGCGTCCGTTTGCTTTTGCTCGTGTTTTTACCTGAGTCACTTTGGGATAAAAGGTCCCAGATCAAGACCACAGAGTCTCGGCCACCACTGAGTAGCCATCTGCCATCGGAAGTGACGTCGAGACCGCGAGGTACGGAGACATGACCTTCAAGTACGGCCGTCGGACGGGAGTCCGCCTGCTTGCCGGTGGCTGAGAGATCGAAGATACGAATCCGGGTGTCTACGCAGCCGGTGATTAACTGCAAAGTACGAGGCCGGTTGAGGGAGGATAGATCCCTTGGGAAGTTGAAGCGTAGCGCGCTAACAACACCTCCGTGTCCCTTGAAAACATGCGTCACGTATCCTCGTACAATATCCCATACTTTGACCACACCGTCCGCAGAGCCAGAGGCTAAATAAGTAGATGTCGGGTCTGCGGCACAAACGTGTACAGGAGCGTCGTGAGCTCGAGCGATCACTCTGATCGGGGAGACGCGCTTTGAGGAAGAGGCTGCTGCGGTTGGTAGTTCGTATATTCGCAAAGAGGGTATAGAGGTGAACAGGACCAAATGGGAACTTGACGGTGTGACGCAGAGCGAAGTGATTGTTTGGGTATCCTGGATGGTTGTTTAGATTCGTTCAGTGAATATGCGGTGGAGACTCACCCCCTCAAAGCGACATATCTCCGTTCCGCTGCGTACATCTGTAAGAAGAGCTTCCTCTCCTACACAAGTTATGATCCTTGCGCCATCCGAAAGAACAGCCGCCGCGCCAGATGTGTGTAAAGGTGCAATGACATGCCTCTTCTGATAGCTACACCAGTCAGTGAGTTTGAACGAACATCAGAGGGTAGCAAACCTTGTTTTGAGCTTTGGACGCGCACTGACGGCGACCATCGCGGTTGTGCTGAGAGCAGAGCCGCTGAGGACAAATTTGTAGTCAACCGCCTCGAGCACAATTAGCCCCTATCTGGACGAACTTGCCGCTTCGATCCGCTCGTTGGGAGGCCAAGTAGCTCTCGCTTAAGCATAGACTTTAATCAATATCCGGCAACAGGTTTGAGAGCGAGATGAGAAGCTAATGAATTATTGTACGATTACTAGTATAGTATCATGAAACGTCCACGTCGTCTGTGAAGTCCAAGTGCATCCATAATGCCTACCTGGATACACTTCAAGTTTCTCTGGCAGTCTGCAGTGTCAGCCCGATGTGTGAATCCTGAGTCTCCCTTCTCAGCCCGTGTACGGGTGCTCAGGTATCGGAGTCAAAGCTAGTACCACGCCGCTGTTGTCTGAGTTCTAACAGGGCCTCTTCGACTTGGCGGCGTAGGCGGCTTTCTTCGTCCACAATTCTCTCTGCTTCCTTCCTCTTCCTTCCTTCATCTTCTAGCATAGCCTCCACTGTTCTGAGATTTGCCTTTACCCTTGTCGCTTCGGCTTGCGCCTCAGCCAGTTGATCAGATATCCTTAACGAGACCGCGATGGCGTCCGAGAGCTGACGCCGTAGCCCCGACATCTCAATCTGCAGTCGTTCTATCGTGGAATCGTCCGGACCGCGAGTGACAGGATATGGGTTCGTTGTCGAGATCCGAGGCAGCGGCGACGCCAAGGGATGCACAACGGGATTTAATCCAAACATCCGAACTCCTGACGTCGATGACAGGTGACTAGGTGGGACAGCCATGTCCTCTTCGCTCTCGTAGTCATCAGAAGTGGTAGGCTCTGGATCGCTGTCAATTGCACTAGCCTTTGGGTCCGTCTCCGATTGCAGCGACAAGACTTCCTGAGCAGCGGATTTGAGTTCTGACGGAGGCTGAGACCCCTCGGGTGGATCAGTCTCCATATCGTTCGAGGTCTCCACTGTTTTTCGCGGTCTCCCTCGTTTCTTTGGAGGTGATGACGTTGCTCCATTCTCCTTGCCCTTATTCGGGCGTCCGCGTTTTCTAGGTCGTTTCGTACCTGGAGGTGCAGAAAGGTTCACGGTCCAGTAAGAGCCAAAACCAGGATCGGTCACCGGTCGAGGCTGACGTTCAAACAGCCTGTTCAAAGAAAGATGGTGTCGCACAGATTGCTTGGGACAGAAGTAAGCATTGACTTACGGTGAATGAGCGCCTTCTATCTAGCACTCACCTTCCACGTGGGACCAGCTGTTCTGAAGTAAAGATACTTTTGCTCCATGGCCGCATATATTTCGCGGATCGTCAGACGTTGTCGAGGGCTACCCAAAATAGCACATCTGAGGATAACAGGTAGTGTGTGTTGAGGACGTCCGTCAGTATCAGGCAGACAATCCAGAGTGTCAGGACAATGGGGATGAGGTTCATGTTCCGAGTCTCTGTAAGGGCCGTCCTGTTCTTTGTTAGTGAAAGCGCGGGAGCTTTCTCCATTTGAACGCGGTGATGCTACACTGGAGCCAGAAGCTGGTGACGAGGGGTCGCTTGAAACCAGCGGCGAGCCCTGCGGTGGCCTTGTGGAAAGAGGTTGAGTCTCAGGGCGTAAATGAAACCAAACACGACCCACCGCCGGAGGGCGCTGCGATGGTGGTCTTCGGGATTGAGGATGCTACGAAGGCTGGACATGGCTGATGTTGGGGAATGGAGAGAACGAAAAGGGGCATCGAACGGTCTACTGATTGTCACCTCGAATCCGGGCGACAATCCTCGATATACAGAGTTAAACAACGTTTTGTGGGTCCACAACAAGTTACATAAGCATAATAAGGGGTACACAAGAACTCTAAATTAGGTCGTATTACATTAAACCACCAAGTGGGAAGCGCCGGAAAGCGCCGGAAAGCGCCCATGCAGCCGCGTTCACACTCAAAAACCTGCCAAAAAGATAGAACAATGCTACATGATAGAGACGCGCAAAACTACACACGGATTTTATAAGACACCCGTGTATGTGTAAGGAAAGTTAGTATCCAAGTTCCAGTTATGAGAACCAGGAGGTTGGAAGCTGGCAATGGAGCCCTGGCTCATTTGATTCATCTGGGCAGGGCCAGGAGAACCAACGAAAGGCTGATTAGATGCTACATCGTTCCTCGGCCACCACTCGTATCCAGGATAGTATGACGTCGAAGGTTCAATCCCAGGAATGTCAAGCCCTAGCATGTGAGCCATCATACGTGTGCTGATGTCTTGGATACCGTTAGGCCCCTCTTGGATGGGGGCTTTCCGTTCCGAATCTCCAAATGCCTCCCGCTGAAGGAAGTCTGAACTTTTCTCGTTGCCGAAGGCGTCAGCTGCAGGCCTTTTGGAGCGTTCGGTACCGGGTGTGAAGTTCGACAGATTTCCATCAAAATGAACCTTTGCGCCGTGGAGTAAGTCCCATGCTCGGGCGGCACTTGGCCAGGTGTTCTAGGAGAACAATGTTAGGACGAGTCAACAATTTGCATTGACACCTTACTTGAAGATGTCGAAGACCGGTCAGTACTTGTTGCAAGCCTATATAGGCCTGGACATTTGAAGGACGTAAAGTCACTATATAGTGGTTAGAAGACGCTAGAGAAGAAGAGAAAAGCGTACAAGTAACGATATGCATAATGCTGAATATATGTAGATACTTCTTAGTATACGTGATACACTTGTGGATTCAGAACGTAACGTACCCTGCAGCTAAGAGATGGGGGGTAAGGAAAGGAGATCCATTCTTGAGATCGAAATTTTCGTGACAAGTGGTGGCTTATACGTCGTTTGAGAGGCACTCATCAAGAAGAAGAACAGAGAATTTACCTATAGTGCTGATATACGTCGCAGCGCGCTGGCATAAGTCGAAGGCTTTTAACGGCCCTGTATCGGATCCAACCGATGGGTTGCGGAAAATGCCGTCGGACCTGTAGAACGAATGAGATGCTGTGTCTATGCGTGACTTTGTACAATACATTTTCCAGTTTGGAAGGCTGGAGAAAGTGGTCAGCGATTGCAAGACAATCAATTTTTCTGAAACGTACAAGGCTCTATGCAATAGCAGTACAGTCCACCAGTAACCTATGTGAAGATACAATACAGGCCAGGCAGGCATGTTCCTTTTGCTTGAGGGGTCGTATCTAAGATTGTCAGCGAGTGACATGTACCAATGGTCGAGGCGACTCTCTAATGACTTCAACACGTGTTGCCGAGGGGTACGCGATGTGAATCGAACCGGATACACGAGGTCAACGACAGCGCCGATGATAACCGCTATAACACAGTATGAAATGAGCGAAGTAGCGCGAGTTGGTAATAAAAACCGAAGGCATACATAGTGATGCTTCTGCCTGAATGCAACTCATGACTACTGATGTCGGAGGTGAACGCCAGCCTACTTCAAGCTGATGTTCATTCTCAATCGAATCATCGCCCTAGAAGTCGACATGACCATACTGTCATGGTGAAGCACTACCAACTTACCTCGTCCACCTCTGGTAAAAGCGTATCGAAATCGTTTTCTCGAATACACACGGGACGGCCTGGGAATGAGAGGTCACTTAAGCTGTTTACTTTCATTCACGACAGACTTACCCATATAGACGGAGCCATATCTGAGGGGATAGTTTATCAACAATAGTCTTTGCACCACAGGATACAGACTTACTTGTCAGCCATGATACATGCCCACCATATTTGTTTACGAGCCTGATTCTCCTCTGGAGTGAAAATATTGATTCCGCTAACCTGCCAGCTATCGGAGGCTCGATTGAGACCTAGATCATGAGCCTGGGAAGCCGGTTGAACAGCTGCCTATAACCATTCGCAGGAAATGGTACACACCATCCTCATGGCCATTCCTACACAATGTAAGTTGACAGTAGAAATATCAGCGCCTGTACTCACCGAGGTACAACCATCCTTGCTCCAGCGACCCTAATATACCATTGGTACTCGTGCGAGACAGAAGATGAACGTATCTACCTGAAGCAAACTCCCGTAATCCAAGGAGCAACAATGATTGACAGGTAGACGTCCTACTGCTGTGAATTAACGTAGCTTGATAATTCTGAGTTTTTCGGTCAGATCTTATTAAGAAGAAGCGACTTACCAACCAAATCTCGTGCCGCAATATGATAGCTTCGATCGGACTCCCACGGCTTCTCGGGCAAATGTGATCCATTGTCATCTGAGTACTGGTCCGCCATGGCAAAGATTGATAGAAGCAAAAGTTTCGTCACTGCCTGGGAGGACTCGCTTCTTAATGAAGAAGGTGACTCCCTGAACGCCTCTGGTGTACAAGGGTGGCTGCTATACAGAAGGATTAAGGGTATTAAACATTATCGATAACATGTTTCACTACCTTTGTTTACTGCCCAGGGGTTAGCAACCATGAGCAAATCGACATGTCATGCACTCACATTCTATTGTACTCCCGTAGGAATTGACGCTTGTGAATCACGGGAAATACAGGATGGACAAAAGCGAAGTACTGTCCAATCAGGCGATCTTGAACTTCAGTGGGAGGCAACTTTATGGAAGACGCAATGTCAGGTGAAGTGGGCTCAGGCCGTGGAGGCCTTGGCTTATTGGAAGGCCAAAACCGCATCATTGGAAGGCGCCTTAGCAGGTTCCAGTGAGCTATAAGGAATCTGTGAAGCGCTGGAAACTAACCATATACCACCATCGTTTCTCCCGTCCATGCGATCGCTTATACTAAGCAGATGCAGGCCACTAGCTTTACCATGAAACCGCACCTGATGAACGGGTCAGCCAAATAATCGACGCTGGGATTTATCACGCTAACTTCTTGATTTTCATCTAAAGATAGTTGTCCAACCATGTCACTCGGATCTGCGCCATCATCTCCTCCAGCATCTAGTCATCCTTTTAGCGAAACGAAATCAAAGATAGCAACGCCTACTCACCGGATAAAGGATCCATGGTGTACATTTCGCCCCAATCCGGCAGCGTCGAGTGATCGGTGGACGATGAATCCTCATAGCGGCGCCTTTGGGTTGCTGGGACTTCTCCGCTGAAGTCCTGGGAGCGGTGCCTACCAGGAAAGACCTGTTGACCCCTTCTATCCGAACCGAGCACGCGAGTGGACAAACTGTCTTGCCATTCAGGGGTTGGCATTGTCGACAACGTGTTGTCTGGATAGATGTTCACTATGGAAGTTTCAGAAAACTTCACAAGCCTACCTCTGGATGAAGAAACCATTTCTCTCGATATACGCGACTGTCGGCGGGAGCGGGCGCTGTCACGAGCAGAAGCTTCATTACTTCGAAAAATAGACGCAAAGAAATCTTCTTTGGTGGCGCCAGCTGGGTTCGCGAGCCTGCCGGTTGGCCCCTAAAGTTCATGAGCAACGACAATCCTCAAGCTCAAAAAGAGGAAGAGTAGATGAGGAACTTACGAATGGACCTGCATCAACCCTATTAAGAATCTCTCTTGCCAAATCATCCTGCCTCAGTTCGCTGAGAATATCCTGCACTCGACCATCTGGACTTGCTAGCACGGCACCCAACAGTGACTCGACTTGATGCCATCTTTGCTCTATGGCTTGGATGTATCCTTTGGGGGGACCGCGTTTGTAGCTTGGTCCTGTAAACCTTTAGTGCTCGTACTGGTCAACAGCTTGGCAACCTACCAAGGAATGTGCAAGCTGTGTGCGTCACTCGTTACGTTGTAATGTAGACCTAACCTCAAGAGCAACGTACCTGTTCCTCCAAGTGCACAGCTCTTACAAAGGCCAGATGAGGACGGGGACGGTTCACACTTGCTCTTCGTCTTCCTGCATTGATCGCAGGCTGGAGATACATTAGCACTAGACCGAAGACAGATAAAGAGGTAAATACCTCTGCTGCTTCGTTTGCGAGCCGTTTGCGAGTCCTGGTTGGCGTCGTCGTCGGAGGGATCAGAGTCATTCCATTGGTTAGTGGCCATGATGGTTGGGGGAGAAGATGTTGATTTACTTGAAGGAAACCGAGGGGACTGCTGATGAAATGTACCCGCTATTCGCACGGCCGCGGCGACGAGAAGCAGCCCCCTATATAACCTGCTTGTCAGCGTGACGATCGCGTTAGCACAAGAGCCTAAATATGGAGCAGGCCGGTAAGTTTAGCGAGAAGAGGTCGGATATGGTCGGAGAGGGCCGTAAAAGTATATCTCGGCCCGCAACTCACTCACTCATGACATGGCCATGACAGCCCATGATGGCATGATGTCTGACCATCCCTGTTTTCAGGTCCCTCTCTTCCAATCTTGCCGCTCGCATGACACAAGGAACGCCATGCCAGTGCCACACCGTCGGTGATAAAAAGTCCTATTGACCATCAAAGTAAATAACGTTTGAGGACTAAGAGTGGACTAAGCAAAGCCTGCAGGTCTAGTTTATGGCCATTCCACATGTTCGGTGCCGGTATACGTATGATATAGTCATACAGCATTGAGATCCGCGGCCGTTCTGGCATGGGTCATACACGTAAATATCCACCCTACTTCAGAGGGCTGTAAGGCAGAGGCAGCATAATGAACGAATCCATCTCCGTGGCAAGTTGTGCGGTCTGTATTTACAGGGCCATCGTCAGTAGTCGTACTGCGGCGGGTTGCAGGCAAACGCACCTTTGACACAGTCTCCGCCCATCCGTCAATCTTCCATGCTGTTTCGCGCATCTCCTTTCTTGCCTCCAGCGACCTGAACCAACTGAGTCATGCATGATTTAATGATGAACGTTAATGCTCACGGATATTGCCACATATGGTGAACCTGATGCAATCTCCCAACCTGAGAGAACCACGCGCCAACCGGTGCGACAAATTTGCGTCTAGCTTCGATGCCTTTCCTCCTGTTATCACAAATGACAGCCATGAGATTTGAGCTGTGCCATGCAGATTGTGACAATACCATGCATTCTCCCACTCCAGCAGAGTACCAGGTTTAAGTTGGTAGCTCCTGAGTTCAAATACGCCGCCCTGAGCATGCGGAGGCGCAGTGGGGAAGAAAGCAAATTCTTGCGTCAATTGCGACGTGCGAGAAGTGACATGAGGTAAGATCGCTTTATACGCTTTTGCATGCTGCCGAGCTAAGGCATTAAAACGGGCAACGAAGGAGCTCGAGGAACATTCATAGCGAAACATACCTCGGAGTTTCGGATGAGATCAGTGGTCTTATCAAAACCAGCGTAGTTCTCATACTCCAAAACATGAACTGATACCGGGTTCTAGGAATAAGAAGATGCACAATGGCAGAATGAGGCTTGAAATGATACCAAAAGTGTCCTGGTCTCCAACGACAGTCTCCCAGCTACCCGTTAGCTTCACGTGCAGTTCGGGATCGTCTTTGAGAGCGGTGTAGTATTTCTCGCTGCGATTCATCATGAGTGGGAATCCTGGAAGCTTGTTGAGTCAGACTCACGCGGCACCTTTGTATTCGTCGATGGCATCGGGCTTAACCTTGTGTACTACAAGAAGCTGAGTCCCGTCCACATACAACATAAGAAATCTCCAGACCTTCGAACCCATGGACGTACTTTCCTCGAGCCACGAGCCTGGAGTGTTGAAGGACTTCTATGTCTCCAGCCTCCTTAGCTTCAGGAGATCCATGAAGAAGAGACTGCCAACAAAGCCTGAATATCATTTCTCCTGCAACTATGTTAGAAAGATACCTGGACGGAGATGCTCCGGCGAGCGCCTTGAGCAGTTATATTCTGGAGGCGCCGTCTTGCGATGGAAGATAGCATTGTTATGAGCACGGAGGAGTAGAGAGGAGAGCAGTCACGACTGAGTGCAAGTCAGTATGGCTGGCCACGGCCACTGTGCGGGGTTGTTCGCGGCGTTCACCGTGTGACATAAGCAGCAGAGCATCAAATTCCGCAAAGGCCGCTGCTCCGAATTGGCCGGATACTTTAGAGCTCGTTAGGATGACCATTGATTGAAACGACGTAGGAAAAATCCAAGAACCAGAGCTCGTTATATGTTCGTAAGGATGTATATAAAGGATATCTCTCCGGAGCACGTATGTAGAAGACACCAGCTAAATTTATGCTGGCTTCACACCGTCACGCAACCACATTTCATGGACGCACCAGGGGAAATCTATGTTTCTACCCAACGTTGTTCGAATGAAGCGTATAGATCGATCCTCCACTGTCAAGACAGCTGAACACTCATTCAGACGATAATTCACTTTCGTAGATTGAAGATCCATGGGTACTTCCTCACATTCGACCATGGAATTTACCGAGACCTACTCGTGGAACTCAGTACTTCAGATGAGAATGACGACGAATGCGTACGCACCCATTCATGCCCGTCCACGGAAACATCAAATATAGAGAACTCGAGGATAGGTTCGCCCGCAGATGGTATGAGCCACACAAGATCCACCACACCCTTTGGCCACGTAGTACTCGATAGCAGATCCAGTTGCATAAAGTCGCCTGCCGTCGCATCTACCATCAATGTAAGCATGTATCAAAGTGGTCCATAATAGACGAATATTACTTTGAGAACCGCAGAATGACGTTTGCGGTCGACCATCAACCGCAAACGACAGCGGGTGATTGTAAAAATGTGAAGTATCTTGCTCAGTCAGATTTCTGAGCGAATATTCTTCCTGCAGAAGCATGTCTTTTGCATGTCTTGCACCTTGGTGCAGCCTAGGCGGTAGCACCTGGATATTTGTCTCCAACAGGCAAGACGACCATAGACATGGTGCCTTGAGCAAGTCCTCAGCTGAAGCCCAAGTAACGGATTCCAAGTCCACCGTGCCCGTGTCGAGTAGGGTATCAAGGTATGCACATGCGCTTGCCTTACGACCAGCTGCGGTTAGATGACCGACCTTATAGCTAGGCGCTCTCAATCACTCACAATGTGTCGTTTGTTGCGTTCGTCGCCTTCCTGACCTGCTGTGAAGGGCTTGCCTCCGCCGAGTTCAATGCCATGATCAAACCACGTCTCGGCGACAACGTTGTTCACAATGGAAAAATAGTTATCCGCCATTTTCATTACTTCGTCGGATGGCTTCAAACTATGCATGGTGGCCAAGAATTTGTTCACTAACGACTTGTGCACCATAACACCATGTCCAAGCCATGCAAAAGACGTGTGCACTTTATCTGCCACAACTGTTTTCAGCCAACTGGACAAATATTCGTGGGGTGGGAGCAGATAGATCGCCGAGTCGTCCTTCGCAAGGGCGCGAGTGCGAAGAGCTTGTATAACCTCTGGCAAAATGATGTAATCATCATCCTAGAAACATCATTGAGAACTTATATCAAGGGTCTTACTCAAGGAGGACTAGACCTGCAAGAAGCATAAAGGAGTGTTTGCTTCTGAGCACGCAAGGAAGCGAGCTTGAAAGAAGACATTTTCAGGAGAGTTATGAACACGTAGCTTGCCAGGAGCGCACTGAGCTTCTTGAAATGTCTATCGTAGAATACTTAGTCATTGCCTTTGATGTGACTTAGTACACCTACAGAATGAGACAAAGGAGCAGGACTATTATTCCATACTACAACCTCAGCTACCGCGTCAGAGAGCCAAGGATCACATAAAAGAGATACAATGAGCTTGACATTCTCTAAGCGAGCCCAGTTCAAGACGATTGCTGTAACATCGGGAGATGTGACATAGCCAGAGGGTAGTCTGAGCTGAGGGCGCAACGTGGTGTTACTCTCGGGCGAAAGATTGTTTCGCGGTTTCGTATATGTTGTTACAAATGATCTGGAAAGGCCGAGTAGATCATTCCAGGAAGGTCCCCCAGGCGCAAATGCGCTACGGTTCCGCGGGAGAGCAGAATTAGCTGCAGGCCGTTCCGTAGCCCAGAAGTAAGCTAACACTAGCAGTGCAAAGGAAACGGCGAAGACGGAAAACCTGTAGATGTTTTTATAGGGAGAACGCGAGGGTTGGCCCGGACCTAAGGCCATCATGGGTCAAGCTCGAAGAACCTGAGGGGTAAGTATTTTGGACATGCTGACGCCGATAGCCGACAATTCACACGAACGAGCAACCTCTTGAAGTCATTAGGTATGCGGTACATGCAACATCGTATAGAAGGTTTGTATAATACAGAGATTGCGAGACTTTAATCCATTCTACCCTTCAGAGTGCGGCTGATGATTTTGTCCTTCGTCCTGATGTCCATTGCATCAGGCAGAGTTGCACGTTAACAGCGAAAAGCACTCACAGGACATGGACGACTGCTCCCCAGCCTGAGTAAGCATCTCTGTCTACGGCATTGAGAAGAGTTTGAGAGATGGTCTCGAAGAGATCTTCAGGCTCGAGGTCTGGTTCCCACAAACCCTCAGCCAAACCAAACAGCTTTGAACTTGCAGTACCCGACACCACGAAGTCTTTGGCAAAGTTGATGCATCCGATCAGATCAGTGGCAGCTATGAATGGCTTGAGGCCCCCTGATGGAGTCTTTGATAGTCCAGCAACGACGGGTTCAATGAAGTATGGGCCAAAGCGGTGTTCATATAGCGTGGAGGAGACAAGGTGAGCAAACGTTTCAGGTTCAATCTCTCTTTCTTCCTTGATCGTGTACATGTTGACCCGATAACGGAAGCGTTCGCGCCTGGTGTGAGAGATCAGGACAAGAGAGACGTGTATATCGAACTGAACTCACAATGTTATCACGTCCGTCCCTAAGCCAGCCAGTCCAACATAGATCCGATCCGTTACTGGAAATACCTACCATAGTGAGTCCGCGATCTTTGTGAGGACTAAATGTAGTTACCTTTTGGAAGTTGGATGAGATGCCCAGGGCCTGGTTTCCTAGCCGCAGGTCCGAAGCAATGGCGACACAGTCCTTCCCCACCATGGCTATGACGGAGCCACCGTTATATTCCATGATAGACTGTGTCAATTATTCAGGGTCTGGATCGCCTTTAGATAATTCGGAGCTATCTTACCATGCTGGGCAGATATGAAGGGAAGGGAGAGTGGTAGGGAGGAAGTCTGAAGAGATGTGATACGCGCTTGCGCGTTCTTCGAGTTATGGATGCCCGGACTGACGCGTCGAACACTGAACAGTTACGGAAACCTAACCTTAGTTCCGGGTCTGTTGTAGCTGAGTAACAGACTCCTTCAATTGAATGTCTGTCATGGCCCAATCGTAGGTCCTGAGATAATGGGTTATAAGTGGTTCAGTACGTTCGGACCTTCAGCCCCTCTTTGATCTTTTGACAGCAGCTAACCATACTCCGAATTAACATGCAGCCCAGTTCCCGCACCTTGTTGCTTACGCCCCGTGGTCCTCTGGTAAACCGACCACATAATATTGTGCAGCGAATCACACACTGCAGAAGAGTTCAAGGAGTATCAGCGGTCAGAGAGAGAGCACGGGTAACTCACCCGCATCGCATGGTTGGGGTCAAGCTGAACGAGGGTCGCATGACAGAACAAAGTCGCTGAGATTGATACTCAACGCCCATTCTCCCCCGCCTTGATCGATACTTTTAACAGGCAGCATGACTATCTTCGTATCTCCCTGACGGAAAAGTGCAACCTTCGCTGTACGTTGGACAGTTAAAGTTTGCGAATATTGTTCAACCTTCTATCAGGCTTCTATTGCATGCCGAGCGAAGGAGTAGACCTTTCCCCTAAAGATCACATCCTAACCGATGACGAAGTTTTGCATCTTGCTACCTTGTTTGTCAAGAGTGGTGTCACGAAGATTCGCTTGACCGGAGGAGAGCCAACAGTTAGGAAAGGGATTGACGTTCTAATTGGTACTTATCATTCAATCTGCGATCTATCTGGTTCACAGTCTTCCCAGAACGACTCAACGCCTTGCGTGGGTTTGGTCTAAAGTCCATTGGCATGACTTCGAATGGGTTGGCATTGCATCGACGGCTACCTAAACTCGTCGATAATGGATTGACACATTTAAACCTAAGGTTGCGAATTCGCATGATAGGATTATTTATCCAAGCTGACTCGCACTATAGCCTAGATACTCTTGATCCATTCAAGTTCGCCCTGATCACACGACGCGATGGGCACGAAGCAGTGTTGAGGTCACTTGAAACGGCGTTGTCATTGCCTGGGCTACAATCAGTCAAACTCAATATGGTTGTCATCAAAGGAAAGAACGACATGGAAGTGCACGACTTCGTTGAGTTGACGAAGGAAAGAAATATGTCGATACGATTTATAGAATTTATGCCTTTTACTGGTGAGTTACCTCTAGCTGATCTTAGCACCACTGACAACACGTCGATAGGTAACAAATGGGACCGAAGCAAAATGCTATCATCATCAAAGATCTTCGATGCCATTCACCATAAGCATCCAAACATCGTCAGGTTGTCGGATGAGCTCAACGACACTGCCAGAACATGGCAGATCCCAGGATACCGAGGTAGTATTGGTTTCATCAGCAGCATGTCGGACCATTTCTGTAGTTCTTGTAATCGACTTCGTCTCACTGCGGACGGGCAAATAAAGGTAAGGGTCTCTCTATACGTGATAGTCAACTAATATACCCCGACATAGGTCTGTTTGTTTGACAACAAAGAGATATCCCTCCGTGACCGCATACGAAACGGAGCTACGGACCAAGAACTACTGTCGCTCATTGACATGGCAGTGAAGGGAAAGAAAGAGAAGCATGCTGGAATGGACGTACTCAGCACTTCAGCTAACCGCCCAATGATATTGATAGGAGGTTGAGTGTTCTTAGTTGGTAGTGGATATCACATCGCATGCGAGTTTTCTCATAGACATCTTCAACAGGTTTTCTGCCTCGAAAGCGTCGTCCAGCCTCGCCACTGTTGACTCCACTTCTTTCCACGCCCCCTGCTCCCTCTATGGCCGTCCAACGCCGATGGAGCAGTTCCAAATCTCAGCATCCACCCCAGTCGCTGACTCATATTGACTCGTCTGGACGGCCGTCTATGGTGAACGTGGGAGCAAAGGAAGTAACGAAACGGGTGGCCGTAGCTTCTGGGCGGATCTATGTGCCCAAGAAAGCCTATGATCTTGTATCGCATGACCCGTCAGTATCTGCACGCGATGATGCTGCCAGCGCCAAAGCTCGTCGTAAAGGGGATGTTCTCAGCGTTGCTCAGCTCGCCGCTATTATGGGTTGCAAACGCACCTCAGATCTGATTCCGCTCGCTCACCCGCTGTCGCTGTCTCATGTTGCTGTAGAGCTGAGGCCGGAAATTCTCCAAGAAGGCCTCAGTTCTCGATCACAATTTTGTATAACTTGCATGGCAACAGTGGAAACAGATGGCAAGACTGGTGTTGAAATGGAGGCATTGACTGCTGTCTCGACGGGACTGCTAACTATATGGGATATGCTAAAGGCAGTTGCAGGCAAGGAAATGGTGATAGGCGATATCATGGTCAACGCCAAAACAGGAGGCAAAAGCGGAGACTTCCAACGAAGCCCATAACAGTGAACTTAAGTACGGGCAGAATTATGCATAGTTAGATTGTACAACAATTAGACTGTACAACAAATAAGTTACGTTATTAATATTAATCACCCGGACAAAAACAAGATGTCTCAGCGCATTAAATCAAAATGGATCCGTGAAATACTAACTGTTTCTTCCATGATGCGAATGACATGCCTTGAGCAAGAGCTTAGTTTGCCACGAATCTTTCGATATTTACTGCTTCTTTGACCTCCGCTTCGATTAGTTGGCTAGTCACCTTGCCCTGGAGGTCCGAGTGATATAAGTGATAAGACGTCTCCGTACACCATAACGCGAACGTTTGATGGCTGAAGAGATGCTTCTCACATTCTGAACTCGGCATATGGTAGGGATAGCGGTAAGGCTCCAAGGCTCATGCCGATAGGGGTTTGTGCTTTCAGGCGCCTTCCATCTTGTGGCACAATTATGTGCATAAGAATCAAAGGAGGGGTAAGATATGACATTCAAGGACATACTGATCTCTTTCGATGTACACGATGTTGGCAGATCCGAGAAGATCGTTCTTCCCAAACACCTGGAGTACCTGGTCTTCAACTGCGACACAATCCTGTCATATTTTTTAAATTGAGATCGGCCATGGTGTCCCGACATGCACTGGGGAAGAGGGCATACTGGACACCACATCCTGCCACTGACAATAGAAGAGTAAAAGATAAGAAAACGTGGCTGATCAATGCCTTCGGTCGCCTTTAGAATATTGGTTGCTTCATCCAGGGAGGCGGATGTGAGGATCGCGGTGTTGGACATATTGTGGGCTGCCGGGGCAGGTTGAAGTCGGCGGGACTCGAAAGAGATGATCGACGCCAGCTCGACGGGAATGGTGCTAGTCAGAACGAGCTTTAATTTTGAAGACACATTAACTTGAACGCGGAAACGTTGGCCCAACTTGAAGGGGGCACTGCATGGTTGGTTACAATAACTTTCAGAATGATCGTCGACACATAGCTGTCGCTCTTATGTTGCCGTGCATATCAATTCCATGTTCATCATGATGTCACCACAATGTTGTGAAAGTCCAACGTTCAACGTCCGAGCTCGTCCGAGTTGGCGCTCTTTAAGCCGGGGTCACTAATACACTCAGAGGTTCACTAGTCACTTGCGGCACACCAAGGGAGGCGTGTGGATCAGCCAAGTATAACATTCATGTTGTCAAGGAGCTGTTAAATACAAAAGCCGACTGGTTTCTGGGTCCTTAAGATTGAAGACATAACATCGCATTGGCCACCAGAAAAAACACGACGAACCAGCGGCACATTCACCGGTAAACAGAAAGAAATGTGACAAAAAAGGGGGTGCCAAGAAATGTCCAATGTCAGGAATTTAAAGAGCTCGCGCCAGTGTTAGGGAGAGTATAAATTTATTGAAAAATCCGAGCCGTCCAACTTCAAATCACAAAATGATGCTTCACCAGCTCGAAGAGCCCCAGCTTCCCGAGTTCCAAGAACCATCGTTTGTGGGTTTGCTTGCTGGCACGGTACTTGCCCAAGAGTTCCAGGTCGGATCAGCGGAGGCAGTCGCCCAAGTGTTCCACGAGTCTGCACTCGACGCATCCCACGTAGCTATCGGCGAGCTCGCCCATGTATTCCAGGTATTGTACGGCGACGAGGAACTGGTTGTGGTAGTTGTATAGGTGTTCCAACTGCCACCACTAGTCAGAGACCAATAGGACTGACACTGGTGAAGATAGTAGTGTGAATTCGCGTGTCATGATCATAATAAGCGTGAACTACTTACCTTCCAGAGGCAGGTCGCTAGACTTGTTTCGAATATGGTTTGGGTGGCAGTGGCGGTCTCAGTCTCCGTCTTGGTGTCAGTCAAGGTCTCGAGATAGGTAACCGTCTGCGTGTAGGTCACGTCCGACGTCACAGTCGAAGTCAAGGTCTGCTCGATGGTTGACGTCTGTCGGAAGTCATTCATTTTTAGGCACGAACATACTGGGAAAGGACATACATCGTCGATGGTCTTAGTCTCAATCCAAGTAGACGTGAATGTTGTCGGCATCACCACCGTAGTAGTATCAGTCTTGGTCACGAAGTCCGTGGCAGTCTCGGTACGGGTTGCGGTCGAGATGTATGTGACATTGTCTATTATAGTCGCGGTTTGAGTGAGGAGATCTGTTATCGTCTGGAAGACATTACGAATTTGATCAGTGTGTCGATAGGTTCCAATATGATGCTCACGTTATCAATCACTCGGGTGCTAACAACAAGACTAGTGTAAGTAGTGGGCTCTAAGATTGTGGTGGCTTCCGTCTTGGTAATGAAATCGGTGGAGGTTTGCTTGATGGTTTCCGTCGCCGTCTCCGTGTCAGTAGCAGTTTCAGTAGCAGTCAAAAGCTGTGTTGCCGTGACAGTGTCGGTGGCCGTAAGCGTGTGCTCCTGTGTGATGGTCTGATCGATGATTTCCGTAGACGTCCAGATTCGCGTAGTGGGCATAAGCACGGTAGATGTGAAGACATCAGTCTTCGTCAACACCTCTGTGTCTGTCGCAGTTGCTGTCTCGGTTTGAGTCTGATATATAGTAGCTGTAGAAGTTTGTGTCTGAAAAACGGTTTAACACATTCAGCAATATAGCAGACTGATTACTCACTTCGGTGTACGTCTGAGTCACCGTCGAAAAAGATGTCTCCGTCTTAGTCTCCGTGACAGTACTAGTAGACCCATAGGTACTGCAATCGGAAGAACCGTAACCGTAACCGCCGCTGTCAAACTCTGAGAAATCCACGCGAAGTTTAATGAAGGCATCGCCTACTTGTGGTTAATAATAATTGTTTCGTAGCAACCTTCCGTGGACCACTTTCCCAAAGGTTAACGTGATGTTGACGTCGGTGTGAAAGCTGGGGACTTACCCAAGAAACAGGCTTACACGAACCGTCAGAAGCCTTCGTATAACCGTACCCACAGGCCATACTGCTGTAGCCACCTGACATGAACGACGAGTAGGGCATCATCGACCAGCTCCCATCAGAGGACGGCGGTTCGGTATACTGCGAAGCCGAGGTTTGGGTTGTTGCAGAGGGAGCTGGAGTTTGAGCAGGCGCGGAGCTACCCCAAGACCCCGCTCCAGGCGATGCTGTTGCCCAGTAGGCCTCTTCGTACGCATGAACGCTGGCTGCCGGAATTAAGGACAACCCGTTGACACTCTGAGCCCCGGCGGCGGCAGCATAAGCAAGAACAATAGCAAAAATCCACTTCATGGCCAGCAGTGAGGCAGAGTGTTCGAAGCGGCGACCTGCGCGAGGTTAACAGAAAATAAATGAGGGGGCTGGCTGGCAGCGCAAAGAAAAGACAGGGAACGAAAAGAATGAGCGAAAACCTAGCTTATTGGTTAGTTGACAGTCGACAGCTGCTGGAAGGAGTTCATTTGCTTACGGGAACCCGAAAGACACCTGAGGAAAAGATTCTGTGTTTTGCCAGTAGACCTCTCCTACTTATTTGAAGGTTTCTGTTCTCTTGATTCTCACCAATGCTTCTTGAAATGACGTAAATAGGTGCTCTCACACCGAGGAGTCGCCCTAGCAATGGTCGCATACACGACCAATCACTAGGTACCTTCGGCTCGCAAAGCAGACGAATCATGAAGCATCAAGTGCAAACTGTATATTGAACTGTTCCTGACATTATCAAGCCGACTTAACAGACAACGATGGGATTGAGACCGGCTGGGGGCGACGCCCGAAGTCACCATGAACATCCAATAGAATCTTGAGGGCGTTGCGAGCCCGAATTCTAGATAAATCATCCTGCTTCGAGGTCGTAAGCGCCGTCTTGACTTCGTGCGACTTCTCTGCCCACGGGTACTGCCACGGAGCAAAATAACGTAAGTGTCAAGTTGCGAAATTTGATGAAATGGAATGCAATACTCACAGGTAACCACTGTGCGGAGAATGGGACGAGAGCAACCAATGAGTACATTCAACGTGCCGTGGACGGTCTACGTACCTTGTGCATGTATTCGTAGGCAAGCAGTGTAAAGCCGAATTGAGGGCTGCTACGAACGATACGTGCCGGTCCGCCCTTGAACAATGCCTTGAAGCCTTCTTCACGGTCTGCACAGACGCCGCCTAAGTATCGTAAGAGCCCAATGGAGACAGAGCTTACAAATCCTGACGAATGCATCGGTCAAACCCTTGTAATTCGTCTGGCCCTGGCGCGCCTCAACTTGGAGTCGGGTCTTGACAACATCTGTGGGGCTTGTTCAGACATTTTGCAAAGCCATGGGTGCGTGAGTATGAACATACCTGCCGGCGTTGTCAGGTAGGCAGCAGGCATACCCCTGTCGTACACCAAGCCCGATAAGCCCGATGGGAAACGAAAGGCTGATATTTTCACTCACGCAATCGCTGCAGATCCCAAAGTCTCCAGGAACGACAACTCCTTCCCACGGTAGCCTTCCTTGAAAATGTCTTTCTTCAGGTGCCAGTACGCGGGGAAGTAGATTGCGGAGAAAGGAATATCGCGCAACAAACACGCGCTCGCTCCTTTGTACAAGCCAAGTATGCCAAGCTGCCGGACAATGTGAACCGCACCCTTAGGCGCCGCGCCCTCAAGTTTGGCTGCTTCTCCTTGAATTTGCAGCCGAATCTTGCTAAGGAAACGTGAACGATTAAACCTCGCACATATGGACGTCGGAGAACTTACACAATTTCCAAGGGATTTGTGAAGACCTGATATCTGTGATTAATGCGTAATCACGAGCGGGGCTGATCATGTACTTACGACTTGACATCCACCGGCCATACCACCAGCAAATAACTCCCAACTCAGCTTGATGCGACCCGTGTCCGGGTCGGTTGCACGACGTCGGACGAGATCGTTGACTGTTAATTTTATGGCTTTCTCAGGAGCAACACCCTGATGCGGATCAGTCAGCGACTTCAGTGATTACGTTAACGGTACAAGGGCTTACGATGAGCTGAGGACCGAGACCACGATAGAATCCTAGGAAACCTTCATTGCGAAGAATTTTCTGGGCGCAATCTATACTGTTCTTATACAACATTTGACCAACAACGGTGCTCCTCTGGTTTTGCATTCTGTACGTTATGAGGTTAAAATGCCTTTCATACAGGAGAAAACAACTTCGTACCTAGTCTACAGAAAACACGGAAACGCTGAATGTGAGCGCGAACAGCCTTACACGTCGCCAGGCGTACCTTAACTGTAGATAGGTCAGGCAAATAATGATGCAAAGAAAGGGCTCTAACATACCCATGTCTATAGGGTATACGATCGTAGCACCGAACGCTCCGGCAAAACCTGATTATTTGACTTCAGATAGGTATCCTATTATTGTTGAGTGGGTTTACTCACCGCCCTGAACAAAGTTGTACGCTGATTCCAGAATTCCCTGGACAATCGATGTAGTCTTGGTTGTCTGTGTTTTGGTGTCATCGACATCATGAGGCGCTCTCCAACGTGGGTCCAATAACTGGGCAAAGTCAGGAAGAGCTAGTCTGGGCAGACCACTACCACGACCAGCGAAGTGGAAAATGATCGACGCCTCCATTGGTGTGAAGAGCGAATAGCGGGAGCTAGCAGCCGAATGGTTCAGGAAATCCGATTGATCTATGCGACCGTCCTTGCTTTTAGCCACCGCCTCCCTGATAATTCTGAAAACAATCTTAGCTTGGTCGTGCATATAGGTGATGACCGTCGTACCGCTCAACCATATCCATTTCTAGAATAGTCACATCCCTGAGTCAGCCTGGATATTTCAAAAGATAGTAACCCACCTCTAATAACATTATGGAATGCTACAACTTCGGAGTAAGATATCCGCCCGCCAGGTGACAAGGTACATAAAGTAGGAAGGCGCTCCATGACTGCGTCAGACAGCTTGTGTCCCGCAATTTCCTAGTTCACAGACAATTTAGCACAAGCGTATTCCCTCGTACGTAGATGTTTACCGTGATGATTTGCTTGAACTGGTCGGGCCTGATGAAACCATCCTGATCGGTGTCCAGGTGCTTGAAGGCCTGACGTAAACGCTCTCCCTGGAGGCCCTTCATCAACTGCGTGAACTCATTGTCTAGTGGTATCTGTCAGGGTCTGCAGCTCCGAAGACAGACGGGGGACGCACATCCAAGGACGTGTGTTCCATTCTTTCGACCCAAATATAACTTAACCCAATCGCTACAAGCAATTTCAGCTCTATTTCGGCAGAACGTAAAGCCAGACGTACCAATCAAAGTCAAAGGGTATCGCAGAAGATCCAACATTAGCCAAGAACACTTGTTTAAACTCATTGAAGTCAATTGTTCCTGAGTTGTCTCTATTTGCATGGTGTCGCGTGAGCAGGGCTGAGGCTTCGGTGAGGACGTACTCACACATCAAAGTACTGGAACGCGATCCAGTAGTCCGCGTCGGGCCGCTTGAGAAGAGTCTCAAAGACGGTGAAATCATCCCAGGAGACCAAGCCACGCCTCGATGCGTCGGCTACTCGGAAAAGGACAGAGAATTGAGCCCTATCTATCTTTGTCAAGTCCCCCTTTGGTGCAATCGCATTGACAAAGTTCTCTACGTCAAGATACCTGAACAATGTCAGTGGCTGTACACAACAGGCTACACGAAGGTTTACTTCTCGCCATCCGCGACAGTCTTGGCGTTGCTGTCAAAAACTCTCCTCCATCGCCTCAGCTCGCTTTCTGGTGCTGATACGGCGTTGCGAACCGTGCTGATAGCAGAGCTGGTGAGAGACGTTGAATTTTGCGGAGAGCCGGAGGTAGACATAGTTTGGGGGTCTGTCTAATGGGAAATTATAAGAGAGAGGTGTATGGGTATGTCTAAGGATGCCCTATGGCAGTTACAGAGACCACCAGGGAAACTGCAGGGAGTTAAGTGCGGCCGACAGTCAAGGAGCGAATCGAAATTTGCAGACGCTGTGGACGGGTGCGGGGATACAGCCCTCTAACAAATGCTATTACGTAAGCGCCCTTTTCTAGTCCAAGGTCGCACCGCTCCTAGCAAATCGGACGCGGCCGGCATAACATTCGTCATTCATCATTCAGCAGTCAAGCCACACTTCACGACGCGATTTATGCCAAAGGGCGAGCAACACAATCAGTTATTAAGAGCTACCTGGCGAGGCAGCCTGAAGCTTATACAGTACATGTCTTTGTTCGGAGCAACGGACCGGACCAGGTGGAGGTCGAAGTCCTCAATCGTGTGTCCTAGCTTCGCAGCCACGCGCTGACGACGTTCATGTCATCCCGAGCACGTTCTCCGATTGGTCACGAGAAGAGACTCACCTGGCTGATATCGGATCGGGCGTTTTCAAGCTCCAGCTCTCGGGTGAAACAGTAACAATGGATCATGGGCATGGCAATTCCGTAGATCTCCTGCAACTTCTGTCCCCACGGCTGGGTCGGAGATAGGACGCCTCGAAACGCGTCCAGGAACTCAATGGCAGTGTCAGGCAAATTCATGACAAATTGTGTGATGCGACTTCGTGCTGGAAGCTCGACAGCGGGCGAAGCTGGAGGCACACGATTGTCCTTGACTTCCTTGTGTCTTCGCCGTTCCTCCGTGCGGGTGAGTCTTGGGCCGGTATACGGAGGGAAAGGTTGCTCTGCTACGGTAGCCATGGCGTTCCGTATGACATCCCTTCCATCTTCGCAGCGGGCTCGCACGACATCGTCTACCTGCGAAGCTTTAGACAAGAACAACACAACGACATCGAAGAACGGACCTTGTTGTTGATAATATTTTGGCGCAGATACTTGGCACTGTTCGGATTCAAGTCATTGGCCAAGACTGCACAGCCTTTCCTTCCAGCAGGCACGGCAAACGGCCCTACTCCAGCAAAAACATCCACGATGACATCTGCGGGGTCGAAAAGGTCCACAAGGCGTTCGTGTTCATGATGCAGCCTTGAGTTCCAGTACACCTCAGTAAAGTCGAAAGTAAATCGACAGTTTGACTCATGCTGTACCACGAATGAAAGGATGTTCGAAAGGACATCGGAAGAAACTTACATGCTCTACCAAATAATCGGGTTCTCCTGCCAAGAGCTCCATCTTAAAGAAACGGAACTGGGTGTCAATAGAGTCGATCTTGTTGACAACAGTTCGGATAGCATTGTTTTTCTACCAAGGCTGTCAGAACGTCATTTCACAAGCCCGAGCCATGTACCAACGTCTAGAACGACAGCGCCAATCAGGTGCTTATAGGGCAGATACTCCTTGTTCAAATTAAGATGAGCTGAATTCAGTTATCAGCAGGCGAAGGACGAGTATTCAAGATGACAAACCAATATGGCCTGTAATTGCAAACCCTGTTGGAGGGGTTTCGCATAAACACTCAGGTAACACGGCTTTGAGGATGTCCTCTATGATAAGGTTAACGCAAAGCTCAACATGGTGCAACGCGTTCTGACCTGCTGTCCAATACGAATAGTCTAGCTGAAGGGTGTGTTTTGTAAGAGAGCCACCCTGCTCCTTTAAAAATCGTGCCTCTGCTGGTTCAAGATCGGCTGCCTTGCGAAAACCTCATGAGCTTAATCCCTGGATGCAAAAGTTGCACATGGCGAACCTTCGTCAGTGACCTTCAAAAGAACAAGCCGGCTGTCGTCAGAGTAAGAGTCATCTTTAACAACTGTACGTATGCGGGGGAGGTCCATTATGCAGCTGTATATTCTTTAGACCTGGTCTTAACTGAAAGATGAAATCGGAGCACACCTTTTCAATTGATGAGACTTGATGAAAACACCGGTCTTGGGAGGAGGTATGCGGATAGCGAGAATGTCGACGCTTTTTCGAAGAGCATGTCTGTCTAGCGTGTCATTCATCCATCGGTTTATGGGGGGCGATATATCCAGCGTACGGGGCTTAGCCATGACTGGGGCTAGAAAGACGGGCCTCAGTGTCTTGAGAGATGCGATCACAAGATTGGTGAGCATGACCGGATAAAGCACGGCTGCAGTTTGTGAATTTTTGATTCTCTGTTCGGCGGCATTTGCGCGACCAATAGGGGCCAATTGAACGGGTATCTCGGGCATTTGGTGCCGTTTTACTCGACTCACTTTGACTAGCTTTGACTCATACCAACAGTTCAAGCATATAATCTTTATCTCGCTTTGATACCACTATGCTAAAGATTTTCCTCCTCGATCCTAGAAGCATAACACAACAAACTGCAAACGGCCAATGTTTTCAAGATGTGCGGCGACAGTACTACTAGCCCAGTTGGACACAACCTTCCCCCTGCTAGTGTTCTGCAACATGTGGTAGATGTTCATTGTCATCCGACAAATCGCCCAATATCTCCAGAACAAATGCACGACCTAGCTATCACTGTGTGCCCTATGGCTACTAGGCCATTTGATCAGCCTCTCGTCCTCGAGCTCGCCAGGAAGTATCCCGATCAAGTCGTCCCAGGTTTTGGTCAGTCAACTGTCACTGTGCAGCCTTCCATGTACGACAGCAGTCTCACAGTTTAATACACAGGATATCATCCGTGGTTCACCCATTGGATCTCTCTCTCAGGCACCCCTACGAAGGAGCAACATTACAGGAAGCTATTCTTACCCGATCCTCCAAGTCAAGATACCGTGGCGATCTTCGAGCGGCTACTGCCTCTGCTGCCCGATCCAATACCACTGGAGGCCATTCTCGCAGACGTCCGCCAGAACCTCCTTGCAGTTCCGAGGGCTATGCTCGGCGAAGTGGGTTTTGACCGACAAGCCCGCATACCCATGCAAGTTCATGTACGTCCCCGCGAGATGACGCCATTCAAGATTCCCTTCGACCACCAGCTCGCTATTCTCCGGGCCCAGCTTGACATCGCTATAGAACTTGGTCGTAATGTTAGTATGCACAGCGTTCAGGCTACCAAAGCGACAGTGGACCTGCTAGACAGCTTGGCCGAGAAGCACGGCGATAAGTGGAGGCGAGTCAGCCTCGACCTGCACAGCTGTACTCTCAGTCCGGAAACATGGAAGAATATTGAGGTGTGTCGTGATTTTCGTGAAATAATCCCGCTAGCCTATTGAACATGTCCTTTAAGAAACGTCATCCAAATGTGTTCTTATCCATATCAACCGGTATCAATGTTCGTTGCCAAAACCTAAGTGCTCTCGTACAGGTGGCCTCTCCCGACCGGCTTCTTGTCGAATCTGATCATAACAACATTGACGGGTGTACTTCGCTCACATGGGACATAGTTCTTCTCTTAGCAGAGATTAAGCAGTGGCCTGTAGAGACTGTATGGAAAGATGATCCTCGTGATGATCAGCGGGGTGTCGTTCACCAACTACAAGCAAATTGGAAACGTTTCCAAGAAGCGAATTTTGGACCAGCCAAGAAGAAGCGCGCCGGTCGAAAGCCGAAACAGCCTAGGGATTAGCTACTACGAGACATTATCTACAATCACAATTAGTGATGTTGCAGACTGCAGCCACCGCTATGATTCGCGCCAAGCCAACAAATTTGAACATAAGCCATGATGAAACATAGCATAAGATGAAGCATGGCGAGATAGGAGCTCAGCTCCGTTGCTCGCTATATCTTTACGAGATGTTCAAGTACCATAGATAATCAAGTTTTCGCAGCGAAGTGGAGACCGTTGTTTCATGTATTGATTGGCGAAGGCCCCAACTCAATGCTGCGCTAACCGTTGGATATAGCAAAGTATCACGCCGCAGTCCGAATGTACGCTTTGACTTGCACAGCTTGTGGGTGAGCTCGGCGAAGCTAAACCAAGAACCTACCTGTTTTAGGATAAAGAATGATATAAAAGCTAGCCTACGGCTAGCTTTCGTCTTCTTCATCAACCGTCATGTCCTCCTCCATTCAAGCTTCTCGAGCGGTCGTCGATGAGCAGCCAGCTATCACTATAGTGAACCTGGATGCCGAAACTTCGCCATCTACGTTCCGTGTTCATCATGCCGATGTCAGCGCACCGTCTACGCTGACGAAACTCGGCCAGTTCTTAGAGTCAGAGGGCGCAGTGATCGTCAACGTGTCCATGTCTCCGCACCATCTGTGCGTCGTAACGACTCTCAAGAACGGCTGGGTCGACAGATTCCAGTCGCAGGTTCAAGCATAATGGGCGTTTGAAGGTAGTGTAGCTTGTTGTACCCACGTCATTGAAATCATTAACGGCTGCAGAGTCACAACTTCGTCGCAACGAAGAGGAGAACCATTGTTGATTACCTTGGGCATACAGCATATGTTCGTCATGTAGAAACACGTGCAACCTGGTGCAACATGACAAGTGCATTGATTAACAGAGCATAAGATAGACCTGTGGTATTGCGGGACGTCCGGCACCCTAGGTGGTCATATAGCTGAATAGTAAGATGAGACACACGGCAATCACGACTCCGATGATAAGAGCGTCTCTTCGTCGTCGGGTCTTGATCATAGAAAGGAGACTGTTGATCCCCGGCATAGTATCTGGAAACAATGGCGTGCCATAAGATGTCTATGACAATCAGGGGGATGGAAGTCTCACTCATGACCTGTCCCATGCGAGCATTGATACCACCCAATGACATTCGTTGCCTCGAGAACTCCGCGCGCGTCTCGTAGGCTTGACTGCGGATTACTCATGAGAATGTAGCCACGTAGGAACGTACGCAAGTGACCACTTACTCTAACAAATCATCGGTCATGCGATGTGAGCTGTCGATGCGACCTCGTTCCGCGAGGAGCGAATCCGCAGCCGAAGATTTGTATGCACTTTCGAAATTAGATTGATTGCGACGAGGTGGAGTCTAAGATGAACGTACTCTATGTCATTTCTGACACCGGTCAAGAGGTTGGCTTGGTCAAGAGCTGTCTGTACGTTGGCCTAGTGACACAGTTTGGCTACTCATTCATATTTGCTAGCTAGAGCATGCAAGAGATTCTCCGAACCTTGGTACGCCGAAACTCCTTCGAGTAGTCTTGAAAGACTTCCCTATGTCTCTGCATCGCTCGCGACATCGTCTGAGATGGAGGAGAATCAGGGTTTTCGGCCAGCCGAGAGAGCTCATCATTGGACTCCTTCAACTAAAGAACCGACGTAAGCAGTGTAGCGTGTTACGGTAGCGGAGACTCACCTTCTCAAGCAGATCCTCCACCTCTCCTTCTAGGTCTTTCCACCGCTCGCGGGAACCTTCAGCCTCCACATCACTTTGATTGCGGGTCATCGTCGAAGCTAGTCGCGAGTAAGCAGTCAGCTTCGAGTCAAAAAGCGATTCAAGAGTTCTGCATTGTCTGTGGAGAGAGTCATAAGTGGCCATGGTGGTTCGTAAAGGGGTTGCCGTCCTGTCCCTGAAGGCAATACCGCCTATCCATTGCCTCCGGGTAAATATCGGGATTTGCCGACTCACTAAGTGTCTCGCCTCGGCCTCAATATTTCAATCTTCCCCTGGTTTACCTTGTCTCGGCTCTTGACTATAGCTTGACTCTCGAGGGGCAGTGCACGGTACTGCAACACTTGGCTGGCAAGAACATCGTACTCCAGTCTCATGCATTATTGATGAAATCAGCGTTGGGCCGTCTCAGCATGATCGGCTTGATTCTCTATTGGACTATCCATGGACCACTGAATGCCACTGCTTTGCGATGGCGCCCCCTTGGCAGCGTGTATTAGCTTCCAGCGATCGCGACTTATGCATATATGACGCACTCCAACTGCCCAATGTCCTATGTAAACGATGCCGTAGCCTGTGTGCCTCGAGCCTCCTATTGGCCTATATAAGACCCCAGGCAAATCAGCCCGCCATACGATGAACCACCGCCTTCAACTCGTCCAGAAGCAGTTGTACTCTAGCACTCCTCATCAATCTCGCAGATATTTTGTCTCGGCGATGTCTAACGAAAACAAGAATGCGTCTGGGTTAACGCCATCTCAGACTAAGGCGCTCAAGGAGAGAGAACCCCAACCCCACGAGGAGCCGATTCTGAAGGGTATCAAGGAACTGTACTCTTGCAATCCTACAGAGGTAATACCATATACCTTCCGTCGTAATTTGGGGCTTCAACATGCATTTTAGAACACATTCTCTTTCTACACGAAGGATGCTGTCTTCCACGATCCAGTCGGTCTCGCGCAAGGGCTTGATGCAATAAAAGCCCAATTCATAGGACTGGCCAAAGTAAGGCGCACTAACATGAACTAATAGATAATGCTGAACACCAGCAGATTTTTGAGAAGGCAGATATACCAAAGTTTCGCGTACTCGAGAACCCCTCCGAAGTGCCGGCTTCTACTATTCTCGTTGACCAAGATGTTGCGTATTACCGTAGTGCGTCTGCTTCTTCGCCTACGAAGGTGTGTGAGCTAGCGGTCTTGCGTTGGTTACCCTAAAGTTAATGTATTCCAGACGTTGAATTCTCTCCTCACCTTGGAGACAAATGGCGAAGGCCAAGTCACGAAACATTCAGAAGAGTGGAACCACCAGAAACAGACGACGTCAGATGATGGGTTCCTCGGAATGCTCAACGAGCAGAGGAAGAAGCTGACAGCTAGTACCGTGGATGCATTCATAGGCAAAAAGTGATCCATGAAGTAACGCGAATCATTATGTAACTACGTATCACGTCCCTCGTATAATCTGATGATCTTTTCCAACGTCACGATTGTGGGAGCCAAATTTGTCAGACTAAAACTGGAACCAGCGCTTAGCGCTTTGCTCTGCGGCAATCCTCTGAGCCTGTCAAATGGAACTTGAGTTTGGACTTTACGGTTTGTCGAAGAATGGCTGACCTGTTCGACCATCTTCTTACTACCTTCTCCCAAGGAGTTCATTTGTTGCTCCAGGTCTCCAAGCATTTGCCTGGGCGGAATCAATATATCATACTGTCTCATAAGTATGTCGCACGTCCACTTACCCTCTCTCAGATAATGCCGAGGTGAGGTGACTGTAGACATCCCCTCGAGTTTGCTCAAGGGTATTCATGGCCCCGGTAATATTGTCTTCACCTACGGAATCCCGAATTTGTTGCATTATGTTCCACGATGCTTCAGGGACTTGTCTATCAGGTCCAGCAACTGGAGACATGCTGAGTATAAAGTATATAGCCAATGGCATAACATACATAGTTTGTCAATCTGGTCGCCTGTAGCTGATCGGTTGAACTGCAGCCATGATCCGAGGGCAGAAACGGGACCAGCTGAGACAGGCTGGGGCTGAGGAGGCATAGGATTACGATGGCCCCGAGTTAAATCTACCACTAGCGGGCCATAACACCGTCTCGAGCTGAAAAGAGAGCTCAACTTGATCTGCATAGCGAGGCCAGACGGTTCCGTGATCAAGCTGACAAAGTCTCCTGAGTTATCAACGGAAACGACTCTGTACAGACGATGTTGGATGTTTATACTGCGATACCCAGTTGACAGACGCACCCTCGACACTCCTTTGGTACCGGAATGGTGAAAATATACTCTAACTGGGGTAATGAATAAACCATAATGTCGTTTTGCGATGTGATTGCAACTAAGACTTGGGAACCTGATAGTTGAGATGAGATAATGGCAGATCCCCTACAATTGACGACGCCAATCACGACTCACTCACCATTTTTACTAACAATTTGTACGTTGGTCACCAAGTGCTTCCGACTGGACCAGTCGACTCTACCGATTCGTTCACCGTCAACATCAAGGACACAACGGGCACCATCAGCATTTATTGCAACCCAGCAGCAATGGTCGGCGGCTTTAGTTTGGGAGTATGTCGCCGCGAATCTTGACCTGTTGGCCTCGATAGAAACGCCACCGCGGATATCTAGAAGGTATGATGCTCCCGGCAAAACGTTGGGTATGGTCTCTAGCGAAACATGTTTCTCAGCTTTCCATGACGATGTCTCAGCTCTGTGTGTAATGCTGTAGTGATCGGTTGAACCAGACGCGTGAACAGCCAGGAGACGAACGCAGAGGTGCTCATCTACGAATACGTTAGCACGCTGAACAAGGAACTCATGTCAACCATTTACCGGTACTCAGCCCCGATATAAACCAATTCAGAGATACAATGCGCTCTGTCGACGCATCATGTCTGTGAAGGTGAAATAATTTTGAGTGGCGTTTGCCTGCGTTTCCTTCAGGTCTCAGGACAGATGGTCCCCGCAAGTTGACAAGAGCAACGCTGCCGTCAGCATAACCCACAGCAAAGAATCCTTCACGTTCATGGTGAGGATAACGAATAAATTCTGACCTCAGAGGGATTCTAGACGCACCAATATTCGAGACCGCAACCGCAGATACGGCGATCGATTTCCCCTTCAGCATCATTAGCGGGCGGAAACCTTGACTTTTGCGAGTTGGGAGGTTATCGAGGAGTACAAGCTCTGGATCGGCTGATGTAGCGTCTGTAGATCGTTCCGGTATGTTTTCGCTCAGTCGATAAAATATGACCTCTCCGCTATCCAGAGCCACAGCGCACTCCAAAGTTTCAGAAGCTAATGACACAGAGATAATTCTAGGATAAGTGCCGTTTGACAGCATTGACACAATGCCTTGGCCACACAGCTCAGAGACGTCAATTGCCAGCGCGTAAAGAGGGCAAGGATAGTGCCTTGAGAGCGGAGCTTCACTGGAGGCGACTAAAAGCTGGGCGCTAGCATCTGAGAAGCGTACCGACAGGTCTTGATGGACGGTCACAAGGATGCGGCGGGGCTGGTACTAGGGTAATTGTGAGTCACTTGTGAGTAGGGTTGAGAAGAAGGCTAAGCATACCTTTCCTTGTTTCGCGTTACTAAGTGCTGACTCCTGAACATACGCTGTGCCGCCTTCTAAAGGGAATGGCGATTCAGAAGCAGTGTATTTAGCCAGAATTTCGTAGGATTCGTTGGGCAAGACTATGAGTTGTGTGGAGGATATTCCGTGATGACCTGTCCATAACCCGGGGGGAACATCGATCGCTTTGGGGTCACCATCAGACATGATGTCAGCAAGTGTATCCGCCAGGTCGTCGACTATGTCCTTGGGGGTCCCTTCGTCAGAATTTGACTCGTCTCCAGGTTGTGAGAACGACGGGGGAGGAAAAGAGAAAATCTCCATAGACTGAGGCGTAGTGCCTTGTGACGAAATCAGTATCATAGCCAGAGGGTCCCAGGTACCCAAAAAGTGAGGGCTACCGCGAGGTACTAATGCGAAGCTAAGAACAGTTCCATTGCCAAAGTATTCGTATGTAGAGGTTGGAATAGAACTGGCTCTCATGGCCTGGCGCATGGCGGGAGAAAGGTTTGCGTCAGAAGTTTCGGAAGGGCTGAATGCAGGCATGCGCTGCACGAGAACATTTCCAAATTGGCCGCTGACTTGACCACCTAGTATAATAAGAGCAGTATCGCCACACCGTGGATCAGATGAGTTGGGAAATCCACACCAAGCCAGTTGGGTGATCGGCTCAGAGTCAGGGTCATGTGGACGATCACTGGGGCTATCTTTCTCGGCTAGATGTTGTTCTAGGACGTCAGCATTGACGACGTTGATATCCATCTCGTCGATCGTTCTGACAAGCAACGGACCACCATCATCTTCAATAGCCCAAAAGGCAATCGATCCATCTTCATAGCCACCGGCAAAAAAGTGGCCAGCCGGGTGAATTGCAATGGCAGTAACAGCCAATGTTCGATGGGTCATGAGATCCTAGTTTGCGTGAGCTAACGGAATAACGCCAATGCATTACAAACCTTTCTTAATCGTCCCTTACTGCCTGGTGCTCCAGCAGGTATGACTAATTGATACGTTCGAATGACGCGTTTTTCCGTCTGCATACTATGTAAAGATGTCATGCAAATAAATGACTTGTACGCACCAGATTCCAAAGTATGATGGCACCTGGTTCTAAACTTGAGCAGCGCAAGCTTGAGGAGACAAATTTATTTCACCTCTATACGTAACAAACAGCAGATTGAGGTCTCTAGGATGGTGAAGCACCTGAACCGGAGAGTCCAGGGAGCTGATGCGATGTTTAGCCCGGCTTCATAGAGTTGAGTTAGTATTGAAGGCACATACAGTTTCCCAACGCATGTAAGGCCATTCATACTTGGATTAAGTTTGGAGTCCATCATAATCCATAGGTTTGGTATGGAATACTGTGACTTGCGAAGGCATAACAGGTCGTAGGTTGCGATGATTCCGGTTGACAGTGCAACCATGACCTAGGGTTGAGCCTTGTCAGCTTTTTAGGACCGAGTCTGGGAATGCGATGAAGCCGTTACATGGGTATGACAAGACGAAAGAGTCAGTGCACTGGCATTGAAGAATCGTCATGTCTGAGCATAATCACATCTTGACGGGGAAACTGGGTGACTTGCCTGATGTTCTCGAACTGCGTTGATTTCTGGGGTTTTGTCAAGTCCTCAGAAGCCAAATCCCAGATATGAAGTTGGTGCCTCGCATCTGATACATGCATACTCAGCAGTTGTCTCATAGTATGTCTGCTCGTACCCCTCACCAGCACACACTAACTTGAATACGTTGGAAGCAAAGAAGAGATGTTTTATGCCTGTGCGCTGGGGAAGTTGAAGGGTTAGTGAGACGCTGGGGCCTCCATACACCACGACTGAGCCAGAGGCAGTGCCTGAAGAGCGCGATATTGAGCGGCATTCATGATGGGGAGGATAGGATGTGACCTATCGCGAGCAACCCTGCTAAAGGCTCGATTGCTACCACTGTTATGTCATGGCTGATGTTTAGTTGGTGAAGGATCCCCACATCCCAGAGCAGCTGCTCTCGAAGATCGTATGATAGGTCTGAGTGGACTTGATGGGACTTAGCGAACATGGCTGGATCATCACCGTAACTTGGAGCAACGTGAGTTAACGCACTAACGCCAAAGGCATATGTACAACCAGAAAACTAAACCCAACTGAGTAGCTACAGTCTGCAACGACCTCCAAATTTATCTAAGTTATCACGTGCGTATGCTAATACAGTGCCGGGTAGTTGCAATAAATTAGTAATGTCATGGTGAGGTTCAGGGTAGATGCAAGTTGCTATAGGCTACTGTACATGGTATCAAAGGGCTGCAAAAAGATATATTGAGGGAACGCTCAAAGTCCATAGAACATGGATAAGAAAAGATATGAGCTATTGCTGACCTTGGGCGGTCATGGTGGGTTTTGCTCGAATACATGGGTGCGAGAACTCGGTGGCAAGCCCCTGCTGTCGGGAATTGGCACAGTACCCCCTCTAATCTTACCCAGCCAACTCCTCTTCTTCCCGAGACCAGCGTCGTTGTCAAGACGGGCTGACTTGGCTCTGGGGCTGTTGGTGACATCAGAGATACCTTGAAGCTGCGGCTTATTCTTCGACGGAGACATGTGACGAAGGCCTGTACGCGGGGCAGAGCTGCGAACCGGCGTGAAGCCAGATTGTGCTGAATAGATAGTCCTGCGTTGCCTTGGGGTAACTCCCGTGTCCCCATCTCCGTATCGCCCTTCCGCTGGGATTGCGTCTCTGTCGTCGTCATCCGGTGCACGTCGTTTTCTGCCAGCTGACATCGAAACCTGTACCTCGTCATGAACTTCGGTTTGGTATGATCTCGACCTCCGACGTTCAGGGGTCTTTTCATATGTCATATTGATGGAGGCTGGCACGGTAGAACGCTCGCGATTGGTAGGGGGCGACTGATGCGAAGTAACTGTGGCTGGGGGAGAAGAAGGGCGACGAGAGGATCCAGAAGAAGCGGCGCGATCTCTGCTTGATTGTGGTGTGCTTGATGGCGCAGTGAACGTCGTTGCAGGAGCCACTTTCGGGGCCGGAGCAGGCTCAGAAGGCAGTGGTGCATTGAAAGTGGGCGCAGCTGCCTTGGCTGACGAGAGTTTAGTCTGCAACGACTGGGTTTTGCGCGTCAAGCTCTCGACTTTTGCAGTCAGCTTCTTGTTAACCTTGAGTTGCCTATGCTCACATGCTTGTTAAGACGGTGACATGTATGTAGCGAAGGACTTACTCTAGCATGCGCTCATCAAAGTCCTCAATCTCTGCACACTTCTGTTTGAGCAGTTCATCTAATTCGCTGTTCTTCGCTTCACATTCTTCCAAAGCAGTACTAAGGTCTGGCTGCGAGCGAAGGGCGTTCAGCTCTTTGCGAAGAGAGGATATCAGCCTTTGATTTTCGACTCCCTGGAGAGAAAGGTTGATCTCGGTAGCTTTGGCTACTTTCTGCGATTCCGCAAGCTCAGCTCGTGTGCTATCAAGACAACCGGTCAAGCCTGCGATACCACTTGCACTATATCTCGATAAACTGAGTCGCCGCTTCAGCCCGAAAGGAACGTACTTACCTATCTTTAGCCCGGATCTCCAAAGATTGTGTCAGCGACAACAAGCGCTGGATTTCAGCCTCGAGCTCCGTCATATTCTCTTGTAGACTCTGTTTCTCTTCCTGCAGGTCGGACGTCTCCCTTTGGGCTGCCTCTAGCTGCTGAACGGTATCATTGAAGTTTCGACGAAGATCTTGTAGCAAACCCTCTGCTTCATCAGCGCGTTGCTGTGCTTGTGCAATCTCTGTTGCATGGTGTTCCTTGGACTGCGAATGAAGAGCGAGTTCTCTCTGAAGTCGGACGATGTCAGCTTCCGTTTCTTCAAGGTGGGACTTGAGTTGAGCTTCTTGTACGTCTAGCGTATCTTTCATTGCGGCAAGGGCATTTTGACGCTCCTCGTGGATAGAATGAATATCATCCTCCATCTTAGAAAGGTCAAGCTTATGTTGCTCCTCGAGCTCTTCTAGGCGTCTCACCGCTTCTTCATGAAGAGCCTCCGAGCGCTCCACATCAGCTCGAGCGTGCTCAAGTTGTTCTAGAGCTGCAGCTAGCTCGTCGCGGGCAGAAGTTAGAGTTTCCGCCTCGTCAGAGTGGGTATTTGCGAGTTCAGCTTCAAGCTCCGAAATCCGTTCCAACCGGTCAGCCGCAGTACCGACATATTCATCTCGTTCGTGGGTGATTGTGCCAAGCTCTTTTTGCAAAGCAGAGATTTGCTCATCATGAAGGGACTGCAGCTCTTGTGGGCGGGGTTCTGTGTCCTCGTTTGAGTGTAGAACCTTATATTCCTGCTGGAGCACGTGGAGCTGATATTGATGCTGCTCGTCCATGGAAGTTACGTCTGCAGCAGCTTTGGCGCGCTCAGTGGCAATCATCGACTCCAAATCAGTGTTTCTTGTCTTCGAAGCGTGAAGGTCGGAAGCCGTCTGACTGAGGTGACCATGCAGAGTTACCAGCTGGGCTTCAAGTGACGAGACATTCTGTTCAGAGATGCTGAGCTGGCTGAGATTCTTCCGGAGAGCCAACTGGCTGATAGATAACGCTATGCACCAATCATGAGAATCACAAAGGGGAGATGAACCTTCACCAAGGGCATCGTGTTGTAATGGCTGAATCCTCATCTGATTGAACATCTGGACCTTGTCTGCGAGATGGACGTTGAGCTCTTCGAGATGAACAATCTGGGCTTTGTGGGCGCAAGATAAGTCAGCCTGTTGACTTATCGTACGCTTTAAAGACAAGAGGCGCGTCCTGAAGGTCGATCGTTGCTTCATAAGCACCTCCACTATGGTTGCGAGTTCGCGTGAGTGATCCTCGCCGCAATCGCTGAGCTTCTTCTCGAGCTTCTCGATCTCCTCTTCAGCAGCCTCCAGTTTGTTGAGCGCATTATCCCGTGTGTCACGAGCCTCTGCGCAGTCGTCGACCATAGCTTCCTTCTCGCAGGAAAGAGTGTCCCTCTCAACAGCTAGCTCTGATACCCGATCTTCTTGAAGCTGTAAATTGGTCTGTAGACGACGGATGTCGTGTTGGAGGATCCCGATCTGTTCGGTGCGACGATCCACACGACCTTCCAGCTCCTCGATTTGGTTTCGCAGAGACTGCGTGGCTTGCGAGGAAGGCATATGACCAAGTCGCTGCGCCTGGAGCGCGGTGTACTTTTGCTCCGTCGCATTGAACTCCGACTGGGCTGTCGAAAGGTCTTCACGGAGGTTAGCAACCTGCAAATTCAAAGCATTGCGCTCCGATTCCAAAGAAGCGTAGTTCTTGGACAGTGCAGAAAGTTCCAGTTGAGTTGTCCTGAGAACGCTGCGAGCTTCGGTGAGCTCCTCCAAAGTGGATTGAAACTGAGTGCTCATTGAGAGCTGTAGAGCGCCTTTCTCTGTAGCGGAGACCGCCAAATCTTGAACGGCACGATCCAAATGCATCTGCAGAGAGTCTTTTTCGCTCTGGCTGCTCTCGAGCTCCGCTTTCACCGCCTCTATTGATGCCCGTTCCGCCAATACCCTATCTTGCATCGCCTCGAGGTCTTTGCAGGAAAAGACATACTGGCGTTGGAAGTGGTCGGTAGTAATGGTAAGAGTTCGAAGCACCAAATCGAGGCGACGAATGGCTTGATAGCATTTGTCATGCGAAACCTCACCCGATGAACTGGTTGCGCGCTTTGCCATTTGAGCGTTCAGGCCTTCTATCGCGATCCTCGACTCCGTTTCAAGGAAACCCACGGTCCTCTTCAGGCCATCTCGCTCATCTCGAAGCCGCGTCACCGCGGTTAAGAGATTCTGCAATTGTTCAGCATACTCGTTCTCTTTGGCTCCTGTTGATGCGTTGGTAACCGTAGAATGTGCTCCGGCACTGTTCGAAATAAATCAATAAATCAACAAGATTATGCAAAGATCACGAGAGGCATACTGTTGCGAAGCAGCGAGTTGCAGAGATGCTCGTTGTCGGGACGTCTGAGCGAGCTCTTGGGAAAGAGCGCCTTTCTCCCTCAGCAAGTCTTCTTTCTGTTCCTGTATCTCAAGGCACTTTGACTCCAGTTTAGCACTCTTCTTCTTCTCGTCCGATAGCTGCGCCTGCAGTTTGCCAAGTTCCTTCTGAGACGTTTGAGGGACCTGAATCTGGCGAAGTTGAAGCTCCAACGCAGCAATCTTCGCTTCATCCTCGTCAATTCTCGCAAGAAGTTCTTCTTCCCTTGCCGCTCCATCATTGTTTCTCAAAGCCTCGAGCTCCCTCTCCTTCTCCTCCAGAGCGGCTTCCAGCTCCCTCAGCTTAGCTTGTGTTGAACGCTCGCCAGCCACCCGTTCGTTTTCCGCGCTAATGAGCTGCGTGCCTAACCGAGAGAGCTTGTCTTCTAATTGCTGAAGCTGTTTGTCTTTGTGGCCAAGCATAAGACGAGCATCATTAATTTCCTTCTCCATAGTGGGATTGTGCAAGTCTGTAACAGAAGACGATCGAGGTCGGTGACCACGTTTGGGAATTTGAGAGGGAGGTGGTTGCGCCGCAAGGTTCTTGAGATTGATTTCCATAGCATGTATACGTTGCTGGAGAGCCTTGTTCTCAGTTTCGAGGGCTTGCCGTTGACTTCGAGCATTATCAGACTCGAGAGTCATGGTGTCGAGGGTGGCCTCCAATGTTCGCGCTTCATTGTGTTCAGATTGAATTTTCTCCTGGGCTAGTCGAAGCGCTGACGCAGCGTTTTGCGAGGCAATCTTCTCATTGCTGAGTTCTTCCGATTTGCGCGTCAGGTCCGCCTCAAATCGAAGCGCGCGGTCTGCCTCAGTCCTAAGCTGTCATTGGCGTCAGACCACGGAATAAGTGCAAACTACTGAGGCACGAATACCTTGTTGATGGTCTCATCCAGGACAGACCTCAGTTCGTTTAAGTCAGCCTCGCGTTTGAGAAGTTGGGAGCGCAAGCCAGCATTCTCAGAATCTGCCAATGGTAAGTACTCATCACACGAGCACTGCAGCTCAAGGGGTGGTAAAACATACCTTTGCTGGCGACTTTATCCAGCAAGTGGTGCGTTTCCTCCGATATGTCATCCTTTCCAAGGTCTTGGAGCGACATGGCTCCTTGAAGCAGGGCGGCGCGTCAATGGTTCTTGTCCGAAACCAACATTAATGCATGGCTCGATCAACCGAGGCGCGACAAACCACGTGACCGTGTAATCAAACCTTGCCGAAAGCATCCGATTGCATTGCATTCCAAACGTAAGTGGAACACAACACTCTTTCCCTCAGGTTCGTACTTACTCGGGATTGACCAAGAACTACAAATACAGCCCTCCAGTAACCAGCATATGTCAACGACGATCTAGTACATCAATTGGGATTCTCCGAGTCTTGCTCGTCTGAGTCGTACAGAAGCAACTCGATAAGTTGGAACGGTCAATTTCCTTACTGCCTAGATTTTCCCGTGGCAGGAAGCCCATTGGAGCCTACACCAAGCCCAACACGCGATCAATATTGGCGTATGTGCTGCTTCAAGAGGGAGATGGCTTCGGCGCATGCTCCCCATGAATTTTGGTAGCCTCCAGGCCTGGTCGAAAGACAAACAAGTTCAGGGCACATTGAACCGGTTTGTGACACGTGGTGAGGCTTACCCAAACCCATAAACGTGCACCGTCAGCAGTTTCTTGGGCGTGTTCTCCGGCAAAGCTGTCCAGGGCAGCAAAGAGTGGGTAGATGTGACTGGGATCCCTATCCACTCCGCTTCGACTCTTGGACCTCCTTGTCTCGCAGGCCGTAGGCCAACGTTGTGAGACAAAACCCTGGTTTCTTTGCTATGCAGTATCGGTGCGAGCTTGCAACAGCTATCGAAGATTCTCTTTGCCGTATTCATGTTCACGGATGTATCCCAGTTACCTACCTGGAATACTCCTCCCAAAATGACCTGATCAGAGGGTGCGCCCCCAGGGCGGGGTATAATGTAAGTGGCATCTTCACCTGCGTCATGATCTAACCATGCTAATCAGCTTACGAGACCTTCCAAGGTAAGGGCAATATTCGTCCGAATTTCTTACCCTCTATCTCGTACTGCAGGAACTGATCAAGGCCGGGACATTGGACCAAAATAGTCTGGCCCCGAATGGCAAAGAGATTTTGATCCTCAACACCAATCAACGACTTGGAGCCTATGCTCGAGCTTCGTTGACCTTGTCTAGCACTCGAATGACAAGTTAACAGGCTTACCCAGCGATGACGCATTGATCAATACACCTTCAGGGCCTGTAAGTGGGAGTAATTCATCTATTGTTCGGACGTGCTGTTTCACAAATGCAACTCCACGAGACACGAGCTCTTGTTTCAGGTATGGCAAATATACAGACGGGTTGACGGAATATGTGGAGAAACCTAGGCCGATGTTGCATGACTTTGGTATCTCATCGGCAGGTATGGAATGAAGCTGTACTCAACCTGGTTAATGAGGTTGGTAAAGTTGGAGATCCACGCACATTCTTTACAAGATCTCTCCACCACAGAGTTCTGGCATAACCATCAGAGTCCGTTTCTGGCCTTCGCGCATACAAAGACGAGGGCAGAAGCTATGAGGGCCCAAAATTTGGTTAAAGCAGTCATAGAAAGGGTGAGGTTATGGACCTTGACAAGCCCAGTGGGTATCATGTCCCAGAATTTGTCACTTCGCAGCACGTATGACGCCTCAGCGCTCCTTCAACATGAACTCCATGCAGTCAAGCGTGGCTCACAACGTCTGCTTCTCCCACCGCGCAATCCGCGCGTCTTCCTCTCCGTATGGCATCGGACTCCAATTTGCGCCCTGGGCACCATATAAAGTCGTTCCACTAGATCAGTTAGGGTATCTATAAGGAAGACTTACCGCCCAAGGGCTTGCCCAGCCTTGAGAGCCCATATCTTCCGGCATGTCCCTCGCTACAACAGTGATCTTGAAGGACGACTCCTCATCTGTTGCCGCCAGATAAGCGGCTGTGAGACCGATCACCCCTGCTCCGAGGACGACTAGTGACCTCTGCTGTTGAGACATGATAGTCAAGAACGTCAAGGCAGACTGCACAATTCGAGCTTGAACTCTCACAGACCGCTCCTAGTATAGTGATCAATCATATACTGGGGCCAAACATTAGGCCAACTCTAAGATAAGGTAAACGCATGAGCTATCCCCCGGCCAACCTGGGATATATCCACCGAATTGCAGCTCAAGAAAGCAAACTTGGCTGCGCATCTTATACACGTTCCGCGACATCTATAAAAATGGTACCGGTACCTCCATAGAGCCCCATAGCCTCGAGCATCGTTACGTTGCAGACATTGCAACATCGAACAATATGACATACACTACTACTTACTACACTAGGAAGATGCAGATATCATAGACAATTTAATACTACATGATACAAGCTGGTTCAATATTCGTTACAAACGCGTGGAATGGTAGGCTACCGGTCTTTGAGGGTATAAATACCTAGGCACACAACCAGAAGTTGGATCAGCTTGAAGTAAAGTAAGAAACAGGCTGAATCGGGCTCATTCATGCACTCATTCATGCATCTAGCATGTCCTGAGCGACTTCTCGCTTCTGCGAGAACCAGTTCTCAGCCCCAAAGCGTAAGCTTCCTCATTTCTATGCGTCCTCCTGAGAGGCGATGGGCTACAAAGAGCGCGCCGAGACGTGTTGCTGCATGGTCCAAGATTTAAGCAAGTTCGAACGATACGACACACACACTTACCCCCTTGAAGCCCTTTCCCAGGGCATGAAGTTGATGTTAGACCTCCCGCTGAGAGAGCAGCCATCATCTGTCCATAACTACCACAGTACAGTGTGCTCTTTCTTGCCTCTGCGGTATCTGAGTTGGAGGCCTGGCGTGTTTCAGGCCCACTGGGAGTGTCCATGCCTGCGACCTTCACAGCCTTAGTTATGGTCTGCCGCAGGCGAAGCAGACGGCTTCTCGGAGATTCTTTCGTCTCATGCCGGTGAGTAAACTGGAGGTATAGTCCGTCCAACTTCTCCTTATCTTCACCCCCATCTTCCGAGGTGTCATCTACGCGAGGCATTGGAGGTAGTGGCTTCGCGTCGCGTTTACTGGGAGAAATTTTTGGTCGCTGAAGAGGTGGAGATTGAGACTGCGCCCGCGACGAGGTGTAAAGATGGGTGTTAGAGCGAGCATGGCGAGTGGATTTACTCTTGAACAAGGAAAACGAGCAAGCGCGAGCCAGGGGAGATCGAGATGATTTGTTCTCTGTTGGCTCATCACCAATCAGCATTTCGTCGGTGAAATATTGTGATATATGGATGAAGGAGGAATTGGATGAGCGATGGGAGTCGTAGACTGAGCAAGCCGGTTTACAGCCGTGGTTCAAAGGCAAAGGATTGACATGGATAGAAATTTCATCGTCGTCTCGGGAGCTGTTTTGTCCCTTCTTCGTGTCTGCTCTGCAACACACATTTCCGAACCCCACGATATACGGAATTCCATAAGGCGTGAACTTGATCTCTTGATGCATGATATCGCGCCCAAGTTGTCAGGTTACGCCGACGGGCAGGCTGTGGACGTAGCACAGATTATCTGCTGAAACTTTGAGTTGCGACACTTTTCGTAAGTGTAGTGGTCGGTAACGGGGAAGAGAAAGGGGACCACAGACGGCGAGCAATTCTACGATTGGTGTTCTCGCCTTGCGAATGACACGTTTCAACAGCACCATCCTTGGATCTCGGTGCAGGTCCCAGTACAACGCGAATGGGACACGTTAACTTTGCATCTACTTGACATTTGCCCGCAATGGAATAACGTGCTATGAGCATGTGGGCACGAATATGTCATTTATGTTCGAGGAACTGCCCATGAACTGCCCTAACTGGCACTGCAAATGCACTCAGCAGTCTATTGGTACCTATGGATAGCCGTTACGCCAATGGGTGTCAGCCGTTGGGAGGGGAACGTGTCCGGGGTGAAGTTTGCAGGAAAATAGGCACAAAAACACGCACAACTTGTAAACGCCGAAGATATCTTTGCCATGAGGCTGAGAAGGCGGGACCGCCACATGTTTTTGAGCATAAAAGAAGTAATTATGTACTAATCGAGTGTCTGAGTCGCGGGCGAGCCTACGAGAATTGGTGAGTGGCAATATAGACATTATCATAGGTCGTTCAAGCACCAGCTGTCAAGTTAGAGCGAGTAAAGTGTGAGATCGACTTAAAGTTAAGTTTCTTACATTTGACGTTCAATCATCTGCCACTGTCATGAACAAGGCAAGTTCAATCTCAACATTGTCACATGGACTCGGTGTTGGCGGTAAGGTGCAAAAGGAGGTGCAGAAGTTTACAGACCTGATCCCATGGTCGTAGTACTTCCAGCAAGTCGACCACGGTGGGGAGGAGCGGATGCACAAGCCAAAGCGCCCAGCAGTGATGAGATATGATAACGCTCGGATGAGCTGGCGTAGCCATTGTTGAAAACAAATGACTTTTTACAGAGAAGGCAACCTATACTGACGTGGTCAGGGATTAGCGCTGGCGATTCAGGGTGCTCCACCTGGAAGATTGCGTTAAGGAAACCCGTGTAAGGATGCTAATAACTCGAAGTTATTCGCAATCGATGATGTCGATGAGAGTACTAGTGCGATTCTAGACCTGCTGGCGGATTTCCGTGCACACGTTCCTCGATGAGGTCGATAACAAAGAGCGTTCGAGGGTCCCGGTCAGGGCGAGCCAGGGCAAGACCGACATGTCACTCCGAGAACGGGAATTGGTCGGCAAAGGGCGGGCACGACGTCATCCCGTTCATGACGTCGTTTGCCTGATTGAGTCCCACTCGTTGAAAACTGCAATCGAGTTGTCGAAGATAAAAAGCGAACCGTGTGCTCAAGAAGTTTATCCTGTCACTATCGGTTCTGTGCCCTTCCTATTCGCCCACCTGGCCAGTCGCCATCGCCGAAACTAGCAGCCTGTAGAGCCGCAACTGAGTCTACAGTCAAATAGAACGCTTATAGATAACATACCGAGGTCTCATCCCCTCCCACCTCCTTTTCCTCCCACAACCATGCATTCTAACCATGACTACTTTCCTCCCACCCCGCAAACAGAGATAGTTCAGCCAACCATGACTGATCAACAGAAAGGCTTTGCTGCTGCACCCGCCGCAACCAGCGCTCCTTCCCGAGTTACCTTGCACCTTGGTCATCTTCCAAGTAAAAAGAATATTAAAGCGCCATGGCCCCGGACTCCTTCTAGGGTAAACCTCGTACAATCTAATGTCTCAGCATCGTTTGACTCCTCTGCTCCTCTTAGGTCGACCCCAATAACCCCCCTTGGCCCGCATTCCGTGGATACCATGAGTATTCTTTCGCCCATGCGACTATGGGCGTCAGACTGCCTACGATCCTTGGAAAGGCAATCGACGATACTTCTCGCACTCTGAACGAGCAATACTCTGAAGACGTCATCATTGACCTCGTAGCATGTCTCGAGCGTATGGATACCCTCATGGCGGATCTCAGCGGCAATCAGAAACTCCGTCCCATTGTCGATGATGGAGAGGCAGACGTCGCATTGTGGAACAAGGAGATTGCAAAGTATTTCCAAGGTACGTCCGATCAAGGTTGCCGCATTTGCCTCGGATTTTTCTAAATCCAATTAGGCAAAGATTTTATGAATGCTCCTTGGCTTTTTGCAGAAGCGTACAAATATCGTCGTCTGCACGAATGCTTTAGTGTGAGCAAGAACTGGAAAGATTATGACGTATTTTATCGTCAGAAGGTACGGGTCCCATTTGACATGTTATTGAGGGAATCTTGCTAAGGGAATGTTGGTAGTGCGATACTTTTTCGCGGTCGGCCGACGCGGTGTTCGAGTTATCCATGCGATTCGCCGAGCCATTCAAACAGGCCGAGAATCTCTCGGATGCCGAGAGGGCCGAGGCGGAACGTCTCATGTTCCTGGAGTTGACACAAGGTAAGTAAGTGACGGTGCAATGAAGGCAGCCTTTTCTGAGGAGGTACAGTTTGTTTGTGGGGTAACTCCACCGACCTGTCGCTTTTGATCAACATGACGGAGGAGCAGATTAAGGCCCTTCAGTCCACTGGAGGTGATCACCTTGCCGCCACAGAAAAGAATATACTTGGCAACCACCTTGGACAACTTTGGGACACTGTTAAGGTGCTCAGAAAGAAGACAGGCGGTCGGATAGATTTCGTCCTTGACAATGCTGGATTTGAGCTCTACTGTGACTGTGTTTATGGTAAGCTAAGCAGTGAAGGTATACATACGCAAGATCTGACCGTTGGCGCAGCCGACTTCCTCGTTCAGAGTGGCCTTGCTAAGCAGGTCCGCTTCCACGGCAAGCGCATCCCTTGGTTCGTCTCGGATGTGACCAAGAAAGATTGGGAGTGGCTGTTGAACTCGATGGTGTATGGGCACCTGTTCCCGAAATCGAACGAGGTAGAACGGGAGTCGCTCCGAAGGCTCGGTGCTCGTTGGAAGGTAGTATTTCTCCAGCATATCGCAAACGCTCGCAGCTGACCGTTTTCTCAGCAATATGAGAAAGACGGTATCTGGATTTACGAGCAGCACCCCTTCTGGTGTACTGGGTACACTTTCTGGGATCTCCACAGCGAAGCGCCGGATCTTTTCTTACACCTCTCCCGTTCGGACCTTGTTTTCTTCAAGGGCGATCTCAACCACCGTAAACTCACGTATGATTGTGCTGCTCCCGCAAGCACGCCATTTGACCAAGCCATTGGTCCCATGGCAAATGCGGCAGGTGCACCCAAAGTTTGCAGCCTGCGTACCATCAAGAGCGATGTGGTCGTTGGCTTCGGCGATGACGGCGATGATCTTGCCGAAAAGTTGGACAAAGAGGAGCCTGGTTGGAAGATCAGTGGAAAATATGTAAGTCAACTTGTTTAACCCCCTAAGGAACTGACTTATCCACCACACTGCTCTTTAGGCCGTTGTTCTCTTGTCGGAAGGCCGCCCGGGAGAAAAGGTCCACTTCGCGTAACGGGGCCATAAGCTCAGAAGTCGCTCGCCTCAGATCCTCACTCCGATCCTTGGGCAACAAATCTCCTGTATGTAGATATCATTATTTAGTACTCCTCTATGACTCTCGTTCGCGTAGGATGTATGCACACAGACGCGCGCATATGAATTTAGGGTCTTTTGTACGACTAGTCATAACCTGTAATACAGTTGAGAGCGAGCACCTACTAGCCAACTTGTAGCTGCGTGGCGCCATATCATCAAACCAACAGCAGTATGCAAGTCCCAGGGGAGCTACATTCTTGCCACCGGAAATTCTTCAACGAGGTTTGTGTAGGCAGGTAGAGGCGCCCAGGTTGGCTTAGTTAGTTCCAAGTTAGTTCTCTGTTCTCAATCTTATGACGCGATAAAGTCGATGCCAAACTTTGCTACTCCCGCAGCTGTTAGCACACGCGCTATTTTTAGAACCCGTAAATAAACCAAGTTGAACATGGTAAATGTGCAAGCGAATCGTGAGCTCCAGTCACACGTCAAGGTCATGGTGGCGTGTGTGATCGACAGGGTTGACAGGAACTCGGAAGCCGGCGTTTTTCTGAGCTTGATGGGAATTTTGCTGCATCTTGCATTGAGTGTCGTCCGTTGAAAGATGGCGTGCTGAGGTGCTTATTCTAAGATGCCTGGGATAGCACGCATAAGACCGCGCGTTCCACAGGGGTCGAATGTTGTGACATAGGCCGCCAGCGTGCCTGTCCCCGAGGTTCAAGCTTCAAGAACGCGTCATTTGGCGAGTAGAGCAAACGCGATAGAAGGGTCCGTGTTGCGAATGTGAAAGTAGTCACAATGCTGATCCAGCTTGATGTTGCGTACTAGTAAGTGCTCATGCACGGTCCAATTTAGCTAGACATGTGCATGCTTAAGCCCATGTCAATGCCATGATAGTGTCGGTGAAGAAAGATGTAAGACGTTCAGCGTCGGCTCCAAGATTGCAAGTTCACACGGTAGCCGATGCCGCTCATTAAAGCTCAACTTACTTCTTGCTTGCCTATATTGCTTATCACTACTTAGCCTGAGTTCTTGTCGAGGGCATTGCTCTACACTCTTGGGAGGCTTCCCCTCTCTTGAATTCTCTGATGGTATAGTTGTCTGGGATCTGACCACTCTTGCGTGCTCTTCTCTGGCTATTGCTTTACCAACCTGACCTGTTCTTCGAAACCCCGATTACTGGCATTCTCAGCTTATTCTTGTTATCGCACCAATAAATCCCAGCTTTCAGAATTCAGACAGATCTTTCTGGAAGACTTTTCTTTCCCGCGAGTATTGTCCCGTGCTAAAAACTGTATCGTTCCAGGAACGCGTGTGCTCGTGATCCTCCTTTGAGACTTTGAGCAGTCTATCATAGCGGACCCAAACTACAGTCTCCTTCCGCCCCGACTCTCAGTCAATCAAGACGTGTATATGATGCAAGATTGATCGGATATGGCCCAACCGGTATTACAGCTAGGGCTACCGGGAGTTTGGTCCTCCTCTATTGTTAGTCCACCTGAGGACGCTATTCCTCGACCAAGGCGTTTCCGGAGAGCGGTCTTTGCGTTTGGGAACGGTTCCAAAATCAGGACCTCCGTCTCAGTGTGCCTTAAAGTACCCATGCGGTAGATTTTTGCGTCCATACGACTCTCAGGTCCTACGAGCTGTCTTTCTGGTATAAAAGCGACAGAAACGCCTTACGGAAAGTCAACGGGCTCCTCACGAACAACAATGTTCCCTGCAACGTCTCTCCTCGCTCTTGCTACCCTCGCGCTCTCGGTCGCGGCATCGCCTGCTGCCCGCGGCTCGCCCATCACACTTCCCATTGCGCGGAGACTCAATGCTAGCAATGGCCCCGTCAATCTGCACCAGCGTGATCAAGCCCGTGCTGCTGCTTTGAAGGCGCGTGGGCAGGCCATCAAGGAGGGCAAGCTCGACCGCCGCGCTGCAAGTGTTCCCGTGACCAACGAAGTCGACACCTACATCGCTGCAGTTGGCGTCGGTAGCCCCGCAACTACGTGTAATGTGAACTCTTATATTTATGAAGCAATGCGCTGACGTTTAAGGCAGACAACCTCATTGTCGATACCGGCAGCTCCAACACCTGGGTCGGTGCCGGGACGGCTTACGAGGAAACTAGCACCAGTAAGGCTACTGGTTACAATGTTGTATGTCCATTCTTCACCCTGAATATTTCCATCACAAACACTCATGGAAACTAGGAAGTGACTTACGGCTCGGGATCGTTCTCTGGTGAGCGTTAGCACTTGCCGAAGGAGCTGCTTAGAATACTTACATTATTCAGGCAAGGAGTACACGGACACCGTTACCTTGGGAACGCTCACTATCACCGGACAGTCTATCGGTGTCGCATCCACATCCGAGGGCTTCGAGGGCGTAGATGGTATCCTGGGGTAAGTGCAACTGTGGGCATTCGCCCAGTAGACGGATCTCTGATGGTGTGGATAGAATTGGACCTACTGACCTCACTGAGGGCACTTTGACCAACGATGAGGATGCTGAGATCCCTACGGTTACCGACAACTTGTATTCTCAGGGAACTATCTCGACTGAAGTCGTCGGCGTCTCCTTCGAGCCCACTACCTCTGAGGAGGTCACCAACGGGGAGCTCACCTTCGGTGGGACCGATTCGTCCAAGTACACTGGCACCATCGCCTATACGTAAGTATCTTCGATGATACTTCAAATGTTCATCATTGACATAATCTCAGCCCCGTGACTACCACCGAGCCCGCATCGTACTACTGGGGCATCAACGAGAGCATCGACTATGGCTCGGAGACGATCCTCTCGGAGACCGCCGGTATCGTCGACACCGGCACTACCCTCGTTCTCCTTGCCACGAGTGAGTTATTGGTGTGATGTGATTATACAGTACTGGAACTCATCGCTTATCATCTCCTAGACGCATACGATAAGTATGTTTCAGCCACCGGTGCCACCTACGACGACACCACCGGTTTGCTCCGTATTTCTTCGAGCGATTACGACAAACTCGACGACCTGAACTTCAACATCGGTAGCGTAAGACTAACCTTTTTTGAATGCCACTGCAAGAAGTTGACCCGGTCTGCCACTCTTTTAGAACACGTACGCTTTGACTGCCAACGCCCAGATCTGGCCTCGGTCGCTCAACACCTACATCGGTGGTTCGAGCGACGACATTTACCTAGTCGTCAACGATCTCGGCTCTCCCAGTGGCGAGGGTCTCGACTTCATCAACGGTTACACTTTCCTTGAGCGTTATTACTCTGTCTTCGACACCACCAACTCGCGTGTCGGGTTTGCAACGACCGAGTACACTGATGCCACCACCAACTAAGTGGTTTGGGCATACACAGGTGCAACCATGAGATCTTGGGGTTTTGAGGGTTATAGATTGATACAAATTTGCTGTAGCTTTGTACTCTGTTCGTCAATATCATGTGCCACATTTACTTCGCGGTTTAAAGTCAGATCACACCTTAAAAATGATGGCCAAAATATCCTAGCTAGTCCGAGCGGTGGTTGATCACTCTTGGACGGAAGTAACTAGAGAAGGTTTTTATTTATGTCCGTGATGATACAATGGCGTTTGGGGGATACCAAGAGGCGAAATGGGAAAATACAGATCTATGCTTGCGCCTGACATATACTAGACAATAATTCCTTTCGTCGTGAAAAAATAGGTTCTATAGGATCCTTCAATCAACCTGGTCATTCCAGCCACCTGGGAAAAGTGGTGTGTTGTGAGTGGCATCCGCACCTCCTTGGCTCGACCTAGGTTCTGGGGGCTGCGATCGTGAAGTAAACGTATTCCGGTTAAGGTTATCGCGACCACTCGCTGCACCACTCGCTGTACCACCGAACAAAGATTGGAAGATACCACCTCCGCTACCTCCAGCGCCTGGCGATCCTGAACTGCGATTGTTGGATCCAGAAGGTGAGTCTCCCGTAGGACTTTGGCCTCCTCCAGGGCGCCCTGACCCAGGAGTAGGTCCAGGTCCATGCGCCTGGGGTTGGGGAACGAGAGCGTAGCTAGATCCTTCCGTTAATCAGTACATTTGGGGGAAATCTTGAGGCACGTACCGACAAACAGGACATGTTCCGCTTGACTTAAGCCATGGTAGAATGCAAGGCTCGTGGAAAGGATGCTTGCAAGGCAGCGTAACGACGACCTGCTCATCAGGGTCCTCGGTTTCGAGTTTGAACTGTTCCTTGCATACAGCACAATCTTTCTCTAGAAACGGGGCTGTTGATAATGAAATGAGAAGAGTAACGATCGATAAGGGAAGTTCTACTGACACCCTTCTTCAAGAACTTCTCGGGGAAGGTTCTCGACGACTTCATCAGTGGCAGGAACAGGCCGACCCGCGTTGGAGTTTTCCATGAGTTGGGAAATTACTTGATCAAGAGCTTTGAACTTCCTCAGCATTTGTTGCTAACTATATTTTGAACCATCGCACCTTCCTGGTTGAAAACGTAATCTCCCCATCTTCCGCCGCGTGCATCCCCGCCATCTCCTCCATTGAGGAGATCGAAAAGTGGATTCTCCGTGCCGCCTGCTCGCCCAGTGGGGCCTCCCAAAAGCGCCATTAGGTACTGTGCCATCATGGGTCCTGTGATGTTAGGCCGGTCGTGACCTGCATCTAGGCTACCCTGTCGGAGAAATCTAGTGATGGTAAGCTGGATGTCAAACGTATATGAAATATAAAGCTCACTCGGACATGGTTGGGTCTTCGCGATCGTTGGTCCACTCATTTGTCCGTCCGCCGTGCGTATTAGGGCCGCCTATGACAAATGACCTGCCCCCGTTTCCGCTACCACCACCAGTGCGAAACTCGAATCTAAACCCGCTTGAGCTCTAAAAACCTTATTACAAACTGGACAGGAATGCAGATGGGATAGGCGCACGGAATTTCCTTCGGGGAACCTTGGGGAACGGGGCGATTCTGGTCGTGGTGAGCGAGCAGTTCTATTCCCTGGCTGGGGGGCCAGAACACCTTGCAGTCCACCTAAGCCGGGTCATTAGGAGAAGAAACGATAACAAGGGAGTAGCACACACGTAAAAAAGCCTCAACGTCCACGTTGCCGGCGACGTCTTCGAAGCCGCCGGCCTGCTGGAATGTACGAGGATCGTCTTCGGGGTTCTCCATCTCAAGACAAAATGAGATAGCTTTTGAGAAGTGTGTGCTGAGGACACCTACTTTTTCTACGAAGGAGCCCCGACATGAGGCGCAGATAGGACCTGGGGCCTAACCACAATTAAATTCGTTCACATAACGGCGAGGGTCATGGCGTACCATGATAGGTCTCATTTCCGCATGACACTGTTGTGTGGTTGTTGAAAGATTAGAAGATCGCAACCGTGAAGATGGAGAATACATGCCTCATGACAATACCACATTGGTTCCCTTGAGGACATCTCAGGTACAGGACTGTAGGTGACCAGATAGAGAGATTAAGGCTTTGCAAGGTGACAAGCTGGGTTGTCTGCTCTAGGGCCAGGAATCCCGCGAGTGTATGCAGTAAGGATGTTGGTGGTCGATGTTGGAGAGGCAGCGGGCTAAATGTTGTCTTGGTGTTTGAGTCTGCTTCCGTCAGATCTTCTGTGGCCCGGGGTTGACAGGATCGGGCGACTTATGACGCCAGACGCCTCAACCTCATATTATGCCGTGTTCGTTACCTAATTCCATCCTTTATAATTATTAATACTATTATATGCCGGCAAAGACCGGCACTAGTACAGTACCTTATTGGCTCAATCATTGATAATCACTCGCCTTCACTTCTCTTCTCACTCCTGCTCTGCTCCTCCTGTCGACCAGACCCTGATCCGCTTTCGCGAATCACTAGGTGGGTGTCTGTGGAAGCTTTCTTTTCAAGATGAGCACTTTGGTTCCCTATTATACGAGTACTTCCCTTGAAGTCTTGAGATCAAACACCGGGTTTTGCTGAATTGAACAGCTTCCTACTTGGTTTAATGTATTTTGACTAACTATTTGCTCAGTCAGACCTGTTTCCTTCCTACGTTAGTGTAGTGAAAGAAATAGTAGACTAAGGTTGTGGTTTCACACAACCTTAGTCTACTAATTGTTTTCATTGCTTCTGGTCAAGATTTTGTCCTCTATCTCACCCCAGTCTGCACTACTCCGGCACATCTCAGAGAACTTTCCATCAGTCACCTTCAGTAAGTCCTTTGGTGTACCAAATTCAACTACTCTCCCTGCATCCAGGACAAGAATTTGATCATACTCGATGATGGTTTTGAGCCGGTGAGCTATAGTGATAACGAGGGATGCTGAGAGTTCTTCGCGAATTGTTTTTTGGATCTGGAAAGTTACATAGATTGATAGGTAGTCCTTGCTGATCCCATATCAATACACATACCTGCTCGTCCAATACCGTATCGATCTGTGATGTCGCCTCGTCCATGATGACAATACTCGTCCGCCGCAGGATGGCCCGTGCGAGTGCCACCAATTGCCTCTCACCAGCGCTTAATGAACCGCCCTGACTGATGGGCATATCAAGCGTGACTTGACCTTTTGTCGACGAATGAGACAATAGAGGCAGAAGATGGCAACGCTTCAAGACATCCCAGCAAGCTTGATCCGTATGTTCGGAGAACGGATCAAGATTGCTCCGAAGGGTACCTGCGAACAGCGATACATCTTGGCTAACAATTGTCTATACATGGTGTAAGCAAGTATAGAATTATCACCAGAGCCGCCACTCACGATCCGGGTCCGTAAGTCTTCTAAACCAATCTTGGCGATGTCGACCCCGTCAATACTACGGCAAGCATTCTAGCAATGTTTATCAAGGATAAGACTTTACTAACATGATATGACCGCCGCTGGGTTCCACCATGCGAAGCAATGCTGAAGCGAATGTTGACTTTCCAGAGCCGGTCCTTCCCACCTGTTTGGAAGTAACATTGTAGATCGAAGGGACTGACCAATGTAAGACTACTCACCACCCCGACTTTTTGTGACGGCTTGATGACGACGGAGATGTTCTTAAGAACTGGTGGCAAGTCAGGTGCATACTTCACCTCTAGGTCCTCGACGATGAGATCTCCACTGGTGGAAGGCCAGGCCGCAGGCGGCGCATTCTTCGGGATCTTGGCAGGTGCCTCTTGTGGCACTTGGAGATACTCTACAACTCGCTCAACAGCATTGAAGTCCAACTCTAGCTGAGCGAGCACTCGAACAAGCACGCGGGATGCTTCAGCGAAGATGCCAGCTTGAACAATCACGACGGCAGCGGACCCATTCGTGACACCTTGCCAGAGTGAAAACACTGTTGCTAGATACACCACGGTAGATCCCAAGCCTGTGGACGTGAACATGAGAAATGAGAACCACTAGCAAAGAAGCAACGCACAGTCATATCGCCAGCGCAACCAGCCATTGACAATCCACTATATTTCCGAAGTCACAAAGGAGGTAATATGTCGATCGTGAAATGCTTACGTAGAAGTGATCGAAAGACTGGAACTTATCCACCTTCTGGAAGAAGCTTTCCAGGTATCGTGTTTCCATTGAAAACGCACGGACGTGTGCAAGACCGCGAAGCAGCTCATCAAAGCCCGCGAATGCTGGAGAAAGCGAGATACTTTCGAGACGACGAAGGTCGCGCTGCACTTGTATGTACTTCGGCGCCAGCCGAATGTATAGCAAGGCAATGATGGCTGCGAAAGGTGCAAATGTAGGTACCATGACGATAATGACGCCAAACGATGCAACGAAATTGAGGACGCCACTTAGGGCTGCCCGAGCGGATGGTTGCAAGGTGCCATCGATGGTGTTGATGTCCGAGGTGAAACGGTTCAAGATACGGCCAATCGGGGTTACATCAAAGAAACGGGCAGGTGCTCTTGTCAATCGAACCAACAGCCTCAAGAAGAGGGTCCGGGACGCTTGGAGACTAGCGTAGTAGCCCAGAACCATGTAGGACAGCACTGAAAAGCCTCCGACAATGGAGATATATAGGTAGATGTGTAGCCAGGGCTTTACGTCCTCGTCGGGTGGAGGGAGGTTATCCCAAGGGTAGTGGATTTCCGGAAGAACTTGTGCCTGTGCCTCGGGGGATACGTCGTACGCCTCACCCCATTTCGCGAGGAAAACCTATCTCGCAAGAATCAATATTGAATCCATCGGAGAGAGAATCAAACCGACCTGGTTGCCGATGTTGACAAACCGAATGACAATCATGAGGGTGATGGTCAGCACCCAGGACAAAATACCAGCAGCGCGAATGTAAGTCCAGTATGTTTTGAAAGGGACGCGGCCTTCTGCACGGAACTCGGCCTCAATGAGCCTTCCCTTGCCATTGTCTCCGCGAGGCTTCCGTGATGTCTGGACACCCAAGTCAGCCTCGTTCTCGGGGGTCAGAGTCTGTGAAATTTCCGTTGATGGGGTCTCGTCTTCTTTCATGTCCGCTTCTCTCAGACCGCTGTATCGCAGCTTTGAGGCAGAATGGTGGTGATGAATCTTTCCGCCAGCGAGCTCGACGAAGTAGGAAGCGATGGGGAGACACAGGCTAACATGGTGTGTAATCAGGATAACAGTCCTGTTACGCATCAAAGGTCCTTGCAGGCATTGTTCTACCAAGTGCTTAGCGGTGTGCATGTCCACGGCAGCCAATCTGACAAGAAATTAGTTCTAAGTCCCTAGTCTATTACCAGATTACGCACGGGTCATCCAGCAAAATAACCTGAAGAGTACTGATAAGCTATGATTTATATATAAAACGCTTTTGGAGACTGACCTCGGCATCAGAGTAGATGGCGCGTGCGAGGGCTACTCGAGCCCTCTGGCCTCCAGAAAGGGTTATACCTTTCTCTCCGATTTCTAGAGAGCCATTTAGCCATAGGACAGGGCTGCCCACACAGCTTAAGCTTACCGGTCATGTCACCGGCTTCAAACATGTCAAGGTCTTTGTTTAAAGCGCATGCTTCAAGCACCGCCTCGTAGCGTTCCTCGTCGAACCCGGAACGAGCTCCAAAGATAACGTTTGCGCGGATGGTAGCATGCTCGAGCCCTACGCATTGTCAGCGTGCTTCATAGCAAGTAGTGAAAGTCACATACATGGGTTTTGAGCACAATAAGCGACTAGATGATTTGTCTTGTCCAAGTAGACAGTGCCTTTGAGGAGGTACATCTCTGACCACAGAGTTAAATATAATTAGACATGATATACAAGATGCCTACCACCAAGCAGTGCCCCTAACAGCGCACTCTTGCCTGAGCCCGTGGGGCCATTGACAAGTGTCAGTTTGCCCACAGGGAACAGCAAGTCCGGTATATCAAGAACAAAGCGAGGCTCATTGCTGGAATTTTCGGTCGCACTCCACTCAAAGATAGCGTCGTGGAATCCAATCTTGGTATTGCGGCCAGAATCGACTATAGGCATTTTCAGCGAGCAAGCCCAGTCAGGAACTTCTGCCTCCTTGAGGAAGCTGTCAATGCGTTGCATCGAGACATACGCTGCAAGACGTCTCAGCCTGTGAGCATATCTAAATGAGTTGTAACGATGACAAACCGTGCAGCAGCGCGAAAAACTGGTCTGGCAATGCAGTCATAGGTTCTTGGATTTGACTAAAAAGAGCAACTGCCGTGAATGCCTTCGACACTGTCAACTGTTCCTTTTCAATAAGGGTATACCAAGCGAAAGTAGACAGTGCCGTGGCGGAGGGAATCCAAGTCCTATAAAGCCCAAAGGTTTAGTTCTCCGATGCAGAAGGGATGCATTTTGGTTTACCAGATGAATGAGATAGCAACTCCAACTATGTTCTCCCTGACGCGCCAGCCAAGCTCGGTTTCCCTTGCTTCACGAGCAGAATCTGACCACTTGTACTCTGATAATGGTGAACGTGAGTTCGTGTCGCAGACAAGTGCCATTGTAGCTCACCCCAGCCGTAATATTTTAAAAACCTGATGTTTTGCAGGAGCTCGTTAACAACGTTCATGCGCTTGTCTTTTGATTTCCACGAAGCTCTCGTGATCTGAATGGACCATGTGGGCATGAGTTATGTATATGGTAAAAAGAAGTACGCACACTGATATTGTACATGGCTAGAGGATAATTGAGTATATAGGCGATTAACACCACAAATACGCCTGAAATTGCGCTCCACCCAAGTACCCTTCATGCTGTCAGACCATGTTGCAGTTGCACTACGAAACGCAAGACTCACCGGTAGAGAAACACGAGAGCTATCGTGAGCCGCAATGGCGACGAGATTAGGGCGGCGAAGTCCCAAAACCGTTGAGCTACAGCATATGCATCGCCTCTTCATGAATAGGTTCAGTATCGCCCTCTAAGTACGACCACCGACTTACTGCATGAGGTTGACTATTTTCCCTAGATCAGCTGAAGTCTCTTCCTCGTCTCCGCTAACTTTTCCAGATACGTCGCGTCTCATGAGCGCCTTTTCGAATAATGATATAAAGATTAGTCCACGGGTCCTTTCGTAGACTCTCCGAGTATGCCAGTTCTTGAACAAATCCACTTGCGCGAATGATAGATGAGCCATGAAGGTAACAAAAGCAAAGAGATACGCTGTTGACATAGATTCTTCGGTTGGATTGTCCAGAGATGCCAGTATCCTTTGGAGCGAATATGCCGGAACGAAGCCTAGATTCAACTCAGCAACACATCGGCTAGGAACATGTAGAAACTTACCAACTACGGTGCCCCACAGCTCCAACCCGAGCACAATTATAAAATCCAGTGAATTAGATGCTATTAGGAATCGTAGCAACGATTGATCAGGGTATCTGCAAAAGCGTCAATAAAATAATTAACAAGCACGAGAAAGTGAATGCACCGATTTCGATATTCTACACGCTTCTTGAACAGGTTCTTGTGTTGGAAGAGCGGAGAAAGGGACCACACATCGGTGTCTTGAAGGGTGCGTTCCCATGCTAGGGTTAAGATGGGCTCAACATAGCTTGCAGATAGCCACGACCACAAATGGGCGTCATCCTCGGGTGAGGTCAGATCGGATGAAGGTATCTGTTTTACAAGCTTAGTAGTTGCTACTCCAGCACGCGCTTTCACAGACCTGATCGGCACGAGCCACTTTGGGAGTGGGCCGAATGGGTTCCAGCGGGAGCTTTCCGGCGGCATAGATGAAGGACCCGTTTAATAAAATCTGTAATGCCAGCATAGCTAGTGGGAGACCATCACGGAGACTGTGGGACGTAATCGAAAGACAGGCGCCGACGAGCTGGAAGAGTCCAAACGCAATAAGAACGTAAGGCGGCGAATGCGGGGGTCTCCGAATAAACTTGAGTGCCACGAAGACCTGTCCACGTGAATTAGTGCCCGAGACCAGCAAACACGACTGCGCATCCCTACCCAGCAGACCATGAGGATTGCCATCTGGAGGCATGCATCCGAGTTCCCAATGACAATGCTGTAGCAGAGGGATGTGAGCCATCCGAACGCAGTAACGGTGCTGATAATTGTCAAAGCTCGGTGGACAGCGACAGCCTTCGGCAGGGTATAGTCCACTCCGTCCAGGTCTTGGGTTGCGATTAGTTGGTGGAAAGGAGAGCTAAGCCGCGTCCAGAAGGCCTTGACTAGTGCAGGTATAGCGCTGGCTGGTACGAGGTCACGGAAGGCTACCAGAGTAACAAGTAATAAAGGACATATTGTATCCACCAACGTTGGCCATATCTGCGGAAGCATCTTGAAGTTGAGCTGTTAGCGCAGGATAATATGTCGGACAACTCGCCTGCATGGTCACAACGGAGGTAGAGAAAGGAGCGGGGCCGGGTAAGCGGCTGGTAGTTGAAAGTGGAAAAGAAGGAGTATAGACGGCTGTCTGGGGAGTCGAGGTGGATGAGAACGATAGTTCTCACGACGAACGCGTGTTGTGGTGAATGACATGGAGACTGCTGTCCTTATGAACGGCCCATTTCGCCTGCAGCCAGCAGGCTTGATGCACGGAAAATAACGAATGAGTCGCCTCAGCCCTGCGCCTCCCCTTCGGAGAACACGGCACACCCTGCCGAAGATATGTCAGTTCCTTGATTTTCTGCGCACGTGATTGTTTTGGTGCACGCGCCTGTCTCCTCAGCTCGTTCAGCTGGCATCTTCATGTCCGCAATGATCATCCGTACCTTTCCTATCCTTCTATCTGTTCTCGCCGCACAATCCACAGCCATCGCACTAACCACGGCATCAGCCCACCGCCATAACCCTCACAGATTACGAAAAAATCTCATTCCTCTTGCCGACCCGGTCTCAGACGCCCTTCCACTGGAAATTGATCCCCTCAATGCCCCAAACCCAGGCATCGCTGGGCCCCTGACTTCGTTACCTGCTCGGTTAACCAGTGTCCCTAGTTCGACCTCTGCACTGTTGTCCTCAGATTCGGCTCCTTCTGTTACCAGTCTCCGTCCGCAGCACGAGCATACAGCCGAGTCTTCAACTTCTTATTTTCCATCACAAACGCCCACACCAGTGCCTTTGCCAAGTGTTTCAGGTGCCCCAGCATCAAAGACGTTGTCGAACGATGGGGATCAAGACGGCCGCACGTGGAAAGTCGCGGGCATCGCCGTCATCGTTGTCTTTCTTGTGTGCACTTTCATCTCTGTCTCCTTGTTTTCAAAGCACTTGGGAAGGCTCGCAAAGGACGTGCTCTGTTGCTGCGGCCGTAAACGGTCTGACGATGTGGAAGAAGTCTTAGTCCCCGACTGGGACCGATGGAGTTGGGACGCCAAATTTCCAGATGACAATTTCGACCAGCATCATACCATGCCGTATCCCGAGAAGGGCACTCCAAGAGATGCTGTCCCGAACATTCAGAGGTCGAACACGGTGACATCCGTAAAGTCTGCTTATTCGATGACATTGACAACACGCGAGCTACCTTGGGATGCGGAAAATCTTCAACAATGTAGTATACATCGTCAACTTTCTCAGGAGAAGCGGGTGATACCGGCGTAACGGGGCTGGCCTCTGTCTCTGTATCTGAGCCTTAGTTTTGTTCTACATTACTTGCATTTGCACCTACATTTTAGAGGGTTCTTTGCATTAGTTCACGAGTTCATGCGGCTAAGTTGGACGAGAACCACTGTTTTCCGGTGTCGCTGGCATGGTTCTCTCCAAATAATCCGAAGCGAACAATCCTATAGCCCCAACAGAGCAGACAGCCATAGAGAAGTAGAGCCGAGACCGAGCTGGTAAAGCTTGAGGTGACGTGCTCAGTTGAATGCTATTCAGTCGGTGATGATTGCCTTACCTTTATATGATTCCCATAGTGACCGGTTTCTGCTCGAGTTTGAGAGAGGTGGATTTGAGGATTTCGCGGCTATAGGTGTCTGCGATGTGTAGTTCTTGCTCATGACGTCCGTGTCTGGAATTGGCGGTACCTAGTGTCGCCGACGGATCTTCGATGATTCTGTGCGGGACAGCTCCGGGTTCCGAACACCGGTCCAACTTTCTTTCTCTTTACTTGCATCAATATGTTTACAGGGCTGGTAGGCACTGCCCTATGTCTGCGTTGCAAAACCAACTCCTAGCTGCAGATTGAACACCTTGGACTCGTCTCCAAGGTAGATCATGACAGTGGTGGTTGTGCCCTCACGATCTCTCAGTCCGCACCAATTCTAGACGACTGCCACATCGGTGATTCGATAGCAGTCAATGGCGCTTGCCTGACCGTTATCGAGTTCAATCAGGATGTAGAAGGCGGTTACTTCAAAGTATGGCTCGCCAATGAGACCTTGAGCCGAACGGATCTAGGCAAGTCATACTGCCGCAAATATTCAACGATCACTTGTTCATCCCATAGACAGGGGAGCGTGTAGTTGGTGACCAGGTCAACCTGGAGCGCGCAATGGGCTCACACGTGCGCTTTGGGGGACATTTCGTGCAGGTAAAGTGGAAATACGTTGAAGGAATAGAAAAAAGGCTAAAGGCATACACAGGCCCATGTCGATACTACAGCTGTGGTTATTGATCAGGCGCCAGATGGCGACTCTTTGCGCCTGCGTTTCCAGCTACCAGAGCCAACATCGGACCGGCCATCGCTGTTACCGTACATCATTCCCAAGGGATATGTCTGCATCGACGGTGCTTCACTGACCGTCACTGAAGTTGATGATGCGCAAAGAACGTTTGGTATCATGCTCATACAACATACACAAGAGAAAATCACTTTGGGGAAGAAGGCAAAGGGATCAAAGATCAATATTGAAGTCGACATGGTGGGCAAATACGTCGAGAAGAGTGTCCTTGCTGCTCTGGAAGGTGGGGGTAACCAGGTATTGCGTACTTTCATAGAGAAGATCGTAGACGAGGCCCTTACACGGAAAGGGCTCTGAAAAGACGGCGGAAGCGCTATATTGTAATTAAGTGTTGGAGAGGGCGTTTGAGGAAATAAAGATGGAACGGATGCGTATTCATACTTTCCATCCGGATATCATTAATTGTCTCTTGATGTCCGGGAGCCAAGCGGAGTAGACCGTTTATGTGAATCTATGGACTGCGACTGCGACGTGACATCAATATTGCGATCCCGTCTGCCTCTCTTCGACCTACTACTCTAATGCACCGTATACATTTCTCTTTCTGACATCTCCCTCTTTCTCATTTCGAGCCTCAATCGTGCGCTCAGACGCCATGGAGGCACCCGCACTTAGGAAGGTCTGTGAAAGCCACTCCATCGTCGCCGTGGAGATGTAACAAACGCATAAGGTTCAGGTAACAGCGAGGATTGACCATAGCAATGTACATCCAGTCTCTCGACCCAACACGTCCCGTTCCAGACCCCCATCTCCTCTCGAGAGCACCCAGGCGTCGCTCTCCCCCCCACCTATCTTCAAACCCAAGGCCAGACTCAGCAATTCGGCCACAGTCCGCAAGCTTTCCAGCACATCCTCCCAAACCAATGGCAACAGGCCTGTCCGTACCGCTTCGCCTGCTCCTTCGAGACCAGTTTCACCCTCAAGGCCTCCTCCAAGCCCCACAGCTCAGTCGCTGGCCATCAAGGCGCGAGTCACTGCTCGTCCTACCTCTAAATCGATCGCTTCTCAATCCACCATATCAGCCCGCTCCTCAGGAGGCGCAAAGGAGCTGTCTCCAACAGCCAGACCGACTCGACCACGCGGGAGTACAGGCAGCTCGACACTCCAGAATACTCTCACAACAGCTTCCCTTCATGTTCCATCGTCACCACAGCCTTCCCCGCTCTCCGAACATTCCTTCACGTCGGAGAGCGAAGCAGGCGTGAATAGACCCCTCAAGATCAAGGCCAAAGTATCCGGAGTGGTTAAATCCATGCCGAGCGCGGTGGAAAACACGTCGCCTCAGCCACCTTGGGCAACGACACGTCCGATAGCCCACCACCGCGCGCGAACGCCCTCCGTGACGTCCGCCTTTTCACAGAGCCATCCTGCACGAAGTCGTACGCCAGATGGCCCCTATTACCCCATCACTATGGGTGCGCCAGCGGCCAATCCTCATCGTTTCGTTTCGCCCCGCCCAATTCCGCATAGTCCTCGCCTTTACCAGCCGTTTATGGCCAGGGACAGTGACTCAGTCTCAGATACCCGTTCTGCCCCTGTGAAGCAAGAACAAAGCAGTATACCCCTGCCTCCGCTTTCTCCTCCAACTTCCGCACTGTCGTTATCTTCCAGGTCTTCGCTCTCCCATTCGTCGATATCATACAAAACAGATGACTCTGAGGGAAGTAAAGCGAGTGCTTCCACCGTTGGGTCACATCCGAACGATGGTCACGCTAGCAGACTTATCTCACCTCCACCTGATTCGTCACCCGAGCAAGATATGACCCTGGTAAACGACCGCAGAGACAGCAGCGACGTTGACTCGGAAGGCTCTGAACATAAAGCTCGGGCCGAGGCTAAGACCAATCGCAAGGTACTGGCAAACGCTCAGTGGACTTCACGACTCCTTTTTCGCTGACCCCCACTGAATAGATCGCGGACCTAGAGATCACCAACCGTTCCTTGCTTGCCATCAATGCGACGCTTGAGTCTACTAAGCACAGACAGGCCAAGGAAATCCGTGATCTGCGCCGTAAACTCCGAGAAGCACGACTCGCGTTGTCGCCAAAGCAATTTAAGGCCACGAAGGCCGAGGATCACGAAGAAGAGGCACATGAAGTAGAAGAAGAGGAGGATGAGTCAAATAGCGAAGAAGAAGACTACGCAGGTGATCAGGACGAGATGTTCCTTCGCGTAAAGTCTATGGTTGAGGGTCTCGTTGCGTCTGGCAAGGCGGCACTAGAGACACGGCCTACCGACTTTGGCGAACGAGGAACGACGAGAGTGCTCCATGCGGACGAAGTGCGTCACTGGAGAGGCTCCAGTGGTAGAAGTGCTGCCTCGGACATCATCAGTCAAGGGGGAACTGACGACCTCGATGACGATGCAACCACTCGAATGTCCTCGTCTTATCTCAATGTGCCGGACACTGATCACGACTTCACGTCTGAGGATGAATCTATTCCACCCCATCAATACGCTCAGCCACCCCCAATAACTGTCACTTCACCCTCATGACGTTACATTCCTTCGATCTCAATGATCCATGCACTCCTTTCACTGCTTTGTAGACATTTGGAACCGTTGTTATATACCACTATTATCGGTAACATCTTAATTCTTAAGGAAATGAACTCTATTGTCCTGTTGCCCGAGGATATAATACAAAACATGAATAGCAATGCCGTCTGCCAACTACTCGCCATCTGCGGCTCTCTGTGCCCTCTTTGCGAGCTGGGAAGCGAGGATGAGCTACAGTCTGGAAATGCATTAAGCTTTTGAGTACTTACAGCTGCAGCAAGATCCATCTGGCCAACAGGAGCACCCGGTCTACCTGCGGTTGGTTTGTTAGCTGGAGCACCCGAAGTGGGACGGGCTGCGGTTGGTACTGGCGGTTTCGCAGGGGGTTTTGGTGCGCCTGGTTTTGCGGCAACAGGTGGTGGTGTTGCCTTCGGCTTCGAACCAACAGGAGGCGGAGCTGGCTTGCCAGCTAGTGAACTTGATGGTCTTGAGCTAGTAGGAGTAATATCGGATGACCCAGCACTCGCTGTGGCCTTCTTCCATGGCGCCGCAGATCCATTTCCAGCTGCCATACCTGGGAAGACCGCCACAGGTTTGGCACTTACGTCTGCCGCGACTGACTTGGCGGATATGGACGAACCATTACTTGGTTTGGGAGCGGCCGGGGGCGTACGGCGAGCTGGTGGTGGAGGTGCGGCAGGCGCCGCTTTGGGCTTGGGCGGGACAAGTTCAAGGTAGTTGTTTGGTGCCCAGCCTTCTTGTCCGTCCTTTTTAACAAGCCACCAGCCGTTGTTATCCTTCTCTACTAACTCTACTATGTCGTCCTTCTTCAAATTCATTTCTCCCTCTTGGGCATCCTCAAATGCAAATTTTGCCTTGTAGAGTTCCGCTTCCGACTCAGTAGCTGCAGCAGGGGGTGGAGGAGGTGGCGGTGGTGGAGGGGGAGCGGGACCTCGAGCGGGGGCAGGTTTTCCCGGTGGGGGCTTCGAAGCAGGGGCTGATTTGGGAGTAGGTGCGGCTGGAGTAGAACCTGCTGCTGCTGCAGGAGCAGGCTTCCCTGGCAGAGGCTGGGCCGCTGGCTTCGGTCGGGCGGTCGACTTGGGTTTCTGCTTTACACTCTAAGTTGTGAAGGCGTGAACATGTTAAAGTTACACTCACGTCAGAGGGACCACCGGCTCTCAAAAGCTTGCCCTGAGTGATGGGTCGGACAACACCTGCCTTTCGCTTCGCCGGAGGTCTTGACAGGCTACTGGGTGGCTCGCCTGAAGGTACATGTACGCTATGACTCTTATACAGGTCATCCTTAGTGACCGTCTCATCCTTGATGAACTTGATCTCAGCCCTCTTGTCTTTCTTCTTGGCATAAGAAATCCTACACAAAGACTGAGTCACTCATCAAGATACAAGCAGTATACGCACGTAGCCGTAATCGTCAACGTAATGCTGGCTTGAGTGAGCTGCATCAAATTGGTGACCAACTCAGTCTTGAAGTAACAGTGGAGGATGGGATCTCCTTCTTCGGAGATGCCGCAGCCCACAACCTATGATCGAGGTCTAGCCAAGCCATGAAAGAACATCTTTGTACTTACAAACCAGTCATCTCTCATGTTGGACATTGAGATAGTCTTGATTGTGACTAGCGGTATCTTCCGATCAAGCACATACTGGGCTGCTCCGTCCTTAGAGGCCGATACAGAGACAATGTGCAGGGCTTTCTCAGTCTGTGGCGGGCCAATAAGAAAAACTTGGATAAGTGACAGAGCCGGATGTACTCACTACAACAAGGAAGCGGGGAGAAGGTTTACTGGAACGTCCGAACTTCGATACCAGGGTTTGTGCTCTTGCACTGAAAGTCGCCTGATCCGCTGCGGCAAAGTCAGTGCAAGCAATGGTTGGCAGCTTTCGAATACAAACATCCAAGACCACAGGCACTTCGCAGTTCGGCGCCGAGCTCAGCTTGTCCATTGACGTCGAGGTAGTCACCCATGAAGCGACGATAGCTGAGAAGACTGAATCTGCGTCGCTCCTTGCGTTGTGCAAGTAGTTGATGACCATAGTCTCGGACCTTTGCGTACTCGAGCGCCTCTTTATTGTTCTTCCAGAAGCGTTGTATCCTCCGAGCGCAATCATTTTTGTATCGCCAGTAATTACGCCAAGCACGCTGAATACGACCCGCCATGTTGTGCCAGTACCTGTCGCGCATTGTCTCAAGGGCAAACAGCTGGTATCATGGCGTTCATAAAATGTAATACTCAAAAAAGCATGAACGCACAGTTTCTGGATTCTTGATAAAAGCCTTCGTCACACCCATCTGCCACTCCTCTTTAGCAATGCCAGTGTCTTTCAAGATCTGTTCGCATCCTGACTTTGAGTTGCCTTGCCAAGTGTACTCCCCCGCATACGAAGTTTCGGGAGACAGAAGATAAAATCTTTCAATCATCTTCTCAAAAGTGTTGCGGTAAGCAAATCCAGCACGCCGAACACGAATGTTCTCTTGTAAGCCGAGATATTTGATTTGGTGCAGGATGGCTTTAGAGTCGTATTCGGTACCACTACGATTCTGGTTGGGCTTGATAGTTCGAATGTAGGAAGGTTGCGCTTTCATCAAATTTTCGACAAGGGCACTAGCAGACGCCTAGAGGAACCGTCAAGGTATATAGAAAGTATATAGCTATGTTGCTTGCCTTGATCCTATCCCCGGCAGTGGGGGGTCTCTTTTTACTAGATGGATCAGGACGATCTGGGAATAATGACTGGAGGAACGGATTTCCACTGCTCCCAATTAGGTCCAAGAGATCCTTGATGAGTGAATCCTTGTTCTTGTCTGTCATGCCAGCAACGTTATACATGACATCGCCGGCGTAATGGCGAACCAAGAATTGAGCGCCCCGAGCCTCAAAGTGAGGGTTTGAGGACAGCATAGACGTGCGCTGAATGAAGCTGTTGTCTGCCGCAGTGGGATCAGCATGCGCAGTGGCACAGGCGTCGTTGAGTGCGGCAAAGATCCCTGGAGGTCTCTTCTCCTCAATTAAATCGCATACAATCTTGTTGTTAAAATAGTTGATCGGAGTCCACTTGATCTGCTCCCTGACGTACTCCTCCTGCTCCGTCTTCAGAGTAAGTTCGATGAAAATCTGTTGGAGTTTCTCGTTGACGTAGTTGATGCACAATTGCTCGAAGGAGTTGTCCTATCAAGGTGGCATCAGCAAACATTGACGCATGTCTATTGATGATACAGATACCTCGAAAATCTCGAAGCCGAAAATATCCTGATCGGAAAATCAATATCAGTGTGATAGATTATTCTCATCACAACGAACCAAAATGCCAATGACTTGAGCGGTCGCGCTTCTCGGCTTCATAGAGACGTTGATACGTGAAACAATCCATTCAAACAGATTGTTATAGATAGCTTTGGCCAGCGCATCTCGCCCAGAAGTGGCTTGGGCAGGGTTAAGAGGAACGTCATAGACCGAACCACGTCTGCCACCACGTTGAGTCTCCATCACCCTGCTAGTCATCACCTTCTGCACCTGAGCACCATCGACGTCCATGAGGTAGGCGATAAAGTCGGTAACTCCAGTATCAGCGACACGTGAATTGCCGTCATCAGCTTCTTCGTACTGCACGTTTCCTAACCACAGGATGATAGCTAGCATCTTGAAAATCTCATTCTGCTCATCGGCAGTGAGACCAATGACGTTCATAGCATTCTAGACAGGAATCAGTGGCATTCAGGTGTCTGACCATGATTTCGTACAATCGTCTCAGAGTAGTCGGCTGTGTCATCAATGCCTTGAACATCCAAGCAGTTGCTGAGGCTCGTGTAAGCGTAAGATTCTGGCCCCTGAAGTCCGAACTGCTCTATACACGCGTTAGACCTTGTCTGTTGACCGAATACACCCTCTTACCTCTCTGCTCATCCGACGCTGCCTTTGTAAACTGATAGAAAATGTGGAAGTTTCTTTCGTTTTCCACTTGCCCCACGACACGCCCCTTCTCGAGTAGATAATTGGTTATTTGTGCGCCAATAGGCTCCCCGTGGTCATTAAACATGATTTCCAAGTATTTACCCTATCAATGGTCTCAGAGGTCCGTTCAGCACAAGAAGTGAAGCCACGTACGTGTCGGCTAGAGTTGTTATTGCGTAGTGTCTTTGCACAGCCGAAACTTTCCAGAAGTGGGTTTGTTGCGAGCACCATGTCCTTTATTTCCTGGATACTGCTGTCTTGGCCACCTGAAACTGCGGCGATGTACTGCATAATGCGTTTCGCAGCCTCTGTCTTGCCAGCACCCGACTCCCCGGAGATGATGACACACTGATTCTCGTGATACGCATTCATGTTATAGTATGCGGACTCGGCGATGCCGAAGACATGTGGAGGTACTTCAAGACGGTTCTTGCCCTTGTAGCGGTGAAGAACCTCATCGGTATATATTCCAAGATCTGGAACAATGTGAAAGGACATCTTGATAGCCACTGAACTGGTACTCACCTCGGAAGGGGTTTACTGAAATGAGCACGCTACCAATGTAGGTATAGATCTCCCCGTTCGTCCAGCGTTTCTGGAGATTCTCGTTGATGCTTTCGTTGCTGATAGTTGTGAGAAGTGTCATGTCAGTAACGCCAACTTGTTTCTTCTTGAATCCTTCTTTCCAGTCTGCCTATGGTTAAACCTTGAGAACGCGATATGTCAACGCATGGGTTGCTCGCGACTACGCACCTTCGCTACCTTGGCCGGCCCGCCGCCACCTTTCTTGGCCGCTGCCTTCTTGCCCACCTTCTTAGTGATTGCCTGCAGCCGAATCAGCTACCTATTTTCAAGTTTGAATCGTCAAACTGACCATGGTTGAGGGCGAGGAGTCGGCTTGAGCGTTGCCCTGCCTCACGGAGTATCGACACGACAATGTTGCCAAGTCCGGGCTTCCGATAGCGCGATTACGCACAGTTGCACGCGACGGCAGATCCCGCTTCACCAAGGCACAAGTTAATCTAGAGTTGATTGACGTACATATTATAATATACTACTTACAGACACGGATCATAAGCTCAACAATAAGTAAGCTACACAAAGTAATCAACGACCAATATTATGGGCTTCGAGACCGTTAGTTGTCGTTCTTGGGTACCTTTTTCTTTACTTCTATAAGGTAATTTAGCGCCTCCATTGCAGGCTTAGCCACAGCCGCATCCACGGATCCAAATTCACCCTTCAACAAGCGTATCAATGTTTGAGTGGTGTCTGCTTCCTCGGCTTCTTTCAACACAGCATCGGGGGGTAAGGATTCTTGTGGGTTAAGGAAGAGGTTGCGGAAGCATACGACACCCCGATGTATCAGTCCAGGATCTGCTAAGCTCGAGTTGTCCTCTGCATCCGTATCAGGGGCAATGAGTTGGCCGAGGATGGAGAACAAGCGATGACGTTCGACCTGAAGGTCGAACAATGACCGACATGCGCTCGGCGAGTCCGATAGTATTGCCAGAGCGCCAGATGCAGCCAGCCTTGTTTGGAGATCCTCTACATCTGCCATGGCGACAACGACCTGGAGCTTGGATCGCCCCGCCTTCAGGTCTTCAGAACCTCCATATCGTTCAAACACCTCATCAGAGCCTGCAATGAGGTTGCATATCAGTTCCATTGATGCTCGCCGAACTAGTGTGTGATCCTCTAACAGAAGTAACTCTACTTTGTTAAGGAGATCTTTGAAGCTTCCAACCCGCATGGCACATTCAGGAGAACAGGATGAGATGTTGGTTAATGCCATGAGGGACTCGAAACGCTGAAGTAAAGTTGCTGAATCGTGCAGAAGCATTTGCGCGAGGGGTCGAATGGCATCAAATACCGTTCCGATGTTAGGGCCATATACTTGAACTGGGGAAGCAGTTATAGATAGCTTAGCCAATGCCTGGACGGCGAAGAGGTCGAGAGGATCCAATGTCTCTGCCTTGGAATCTGCTGAGGGTTTAACAAGGTTCATCAAACTTTTGGATGCGCCGCTTTGCAGCATCCGACCTCGATTCTCAGTGTCCTCTGCGATGTTCAGATAGGTCCGTCCTGTGGTCGCTCTGATACCTTGACTGTTTAGGCGCGATGCAAGTGCTAGGACGTCAAGCACTCCTGTAGCAGCCAAGGTACGTGCTCTAGTCTTTACATGCACGTCGTCGTCAAGAGGATCTGACTCCTCCGCTGCCCCTTTCTTGTTCCCAGCTTTCGCCATTCGACGTAGTTTGTCTATCTGAGCATCTTCTTGACTTAATCGTGGCCGATAAGTGCTTAGGTTATGAGCAATAGTAACGATCCCGAAGATCAAGCTAGACAGTTGGGAAGGTGGTGATTCCTTGCGCTTGGAAACAAGGGAAAAGAGCTTGGTGAGAAAGTTCCGGTCTTTTGAAATGTGCTCTTTAACAGATGAATTGGAACTGAGATATGCCAAGCCCTCCACAGCATCGGAGATAGAGGAGAGATCCTTTTCCTCGCTAATGATGAGTTTTGTGAAGAGGTTGGTGAGATCGCCATCGTTTGATGTAGTGAGATGAGCCTCAGCCTGACCTGTTGCCTCGGTGGAGTCAGAGGACTGGCCGCGAGATAACTTGACAACAGCAATCGCGCTGGAGGCGCGGAGATCGGGGTTAGAAGAACGGCATGAGGTTTCGAGCCATTGTACGAGATCTTCTGTAATGAGTGAACGACAAGTTTTATGACCAGCAGCTTGACTTAAGAGTCTCGAGGTCTCGAGGCACGCGTCTTGAGAGGGAAAGATGTCTATGGCATCTGTGATGTAGTCAATGACTCCATCCTGTTGGAAGATATATGCAGCTGATTGCCAATCGACCTGGAAGAGTGATGATAGAAACGATGCTGTAACAACGTAGCCCTCCTTCGTGGTGTCTGCGAGCTTGGCAGAGAGTAACGGGAGGAAAACTTTGCCCAAGGATTCGGTTGGAGCATTGTCTGAGACTGGCTTCTGACCTCCGCTGAAAGATGAGCGGACGCCTTGGCAGAAGGCAGAGAGAACGAGGATGGCTTTAGATCGAGAGGTATGGGGCTCGGAAGGCTGGAAAGCTGATATTATGTAGGACAGCTCGTCTGGGAGAGCAAGCGGCTTGTCTGCGGACACGGAGAAGGTTTTGGGCAGAGCACCTTCAGGGGCAGCCATGTCGAGATGGCGGCTGTTGGCAAGCGCGGATCGCGTTTTTGAATTCTCGATCAAAACTCGGAGATATACACCACACTGCAAGTTGCAAGGGTCAAATACTACTCTCTGCTTACTTCGCCTACGACAAAACTAGTAATGGACGAAGCAATTAGTAGCGTGCCCATGAACAATCTCATCCAGTCAGGCCACACAGTCCTGTTCCGCCTATTGAACGGAGAGACGCGAGGGTTGAAAGTTGATCACGGCTCGTTTGCGTCATATCCTTTCTTTGGGAGCATGCTAAACAACTGGATTCTTCAGAGCGGTATCCCTGGGTCGGCTTGGATCTTTCCCAGCCAATGCTCTCATTGGTCAGCGCTATGGCCTCACTCATGAGATTCAGGGAAAAGAGTTGAATATTCTTCCACCACGAGTCTTGCAGGAAGTCGGTATGCTTCTCAGCTAATATCATGCATGGTGTATTCATCTTGAAGTTTGTTTCAATAAGAGGATACCGATGCTACAAATGAACTCATCACGGATGGGGAGCTCGTTCAGCCTTTAACCATAACTGAAATCGAGGCCTTGAAGCAATCTGGGGCTCATGCTGCGGTACACATACTTCTCTCACTGACAGGGCAATCATTCACGAATTTGATCAGGACATCATAAAAGCGCAAATCGAACAACATGCCAACTACGAGCTGAAGACAGAGTACAGTAAAGAGAAGTACAAACGGAGAAAGGAAGCAAAGTAAGTTCACCACCTGTGAGTAGTGAGTTTTCTCAGATTTGCCAGATACATGAAGGCGTTCACAACTGTCGAACCTACACTGCACAATGTCTGCGAGTATTGGTTCAAGAAGGACCACAACCGTATACGCGATCTCCGCCCCGATACGCTTTCACAAATGTTGAACCTGGGTAGTATTCGGCCTGGTGGCAGGTACCTAGCGGTGGATGATGCATCAGGCCTAGTCATCTCAGCTGTTCTACATAGACTAGGCGGTAGGGCTTCCACCATCTCCTGGAGATATCCATCTCACTTTAAACCAGGCGAAGGGCGACTCATATCTATTTGCGACGTGGACTCGCCACCCGCTTATCCTGTCATGGCCCAAATGAACTTCGCAAAAGATATAATCGCACCCTTGGGCACGCTCAACTGGGCTACCGCGCAACCTGATTATGCCCCAGCAGCACCCCAAGAAGAGTCTTCATCCGGCGAGCCGAGATCTGATAGGCATCGTCAGCGGCTTGACAGACGCAAACTAGCCAATGATGCCCTCCAGCAGACTCGTAATGAGCTATTTTCCGGTGAATTCGATGGGTAGGCGCATTTTGATCCCAACAGTCTCGTATCAATCTCAGATCTGTTAACGTATGTCTCCTATGCAGCCTTCTCGTTTCAACGGAATACGACGCGTTTGAAGTCGTTCAGACGCTTTCACCCTATCTTGCAGGCTCGGCTTGCATAGTAGTCCAACACCCATATCAACAGGTAGTGAAGTTGTTTTGGAAACGTTTGGCAAACCTGCTAATCTTACCCAAGCCGCTAACAGAACTGCAAATGAAGATGCGGGCAATACCGTCGTACTTGGGACCTTCAATTACAGAGTCCTGGTCACGGCGCTATCAGGTAAGAAATCCGATGAAAAGCTGCCCGAGATATTTCTGAGCTACCTCAAGGTCCTTCCGGGACGAACGCACCCTATGATGAGCACATCAGGTACTGGGGGATTTCTACTGCATGCCATAAAAGTGTAAGCATGCCCAACTTCAACTGTCCAAAAGCCAATTAACTCGGATGCACTTTACCAGGTACGACGACCCCAACGCAACTTCAGTCTTGGTTCATCGCCACAAAAAGAGGGAAGAGGGCAAGCAGGCTACTGCAGCTCTCATAGTCGTGCCATCAGAATTGGGAAGCGTTGACGTTGTCATGGGTTCAACTGAAAATCATTTTGTTTCAGAACAGTCATAGAGGGGTCGTAATTATCATGATCGTGTCTAGATTAACAAGAGGTATCTGATACGAGAACTCAAAAGTCCAGAGCGTAAATCGAAGTGCAGGCTCCATAACATTCCGTCCGCCTGCAGTTGTTACTGAGGTGTTACACTCGCCGGGAACAGTGTAGCTACAAGCTGAAGTTGGGATGAGTTAAGGTAGCCAGGATCAAGACTATTAGGACACGAACCTCATCCAAGATGGTGTACGCGATGTGCTGATTCAGGCGCCTGTTCTGTAGTACAGCGAAGATACGACGTGCACCTCGGCGAGCGTTCGAACGACCGATCATATTGGCAGCAAGATCTACGACACATTGAGGCGATTTTATTGGCTTCGAAGCTCAAGAAACGCACCTGGAATAAGCGCGGATAACTTGCGATTCGCTTCGTCTCGCGTACGCGCCTTCTCTTCATTTGTCCTTAGCGGGATAGGTGGCCGAAGCTTTCCACCTGGCCACAGAGCATTTTTGAAGAGATTGAGCACTGGCATGATCCGGCTTTCATCGTAAAGCGACTTCACGCTCTCCCGGATTTTTCTAAGCAGGTGAATTTAGCATCACCAATGACAGCAACAACCAGGACACTAACCGCTCAACCGTATCACCAAAAACTTGCTGCAAGATTATAACAATTGCTTGCCGTCGCAACCAGTTATTCTTCTTATTAAGTTCAAAAATGGCCAGCATCAGGTCACAAATGGGAGCCGAGAATGTCGATGTACTCGTTTCACCCTCCAGCGGGTGCAATCCACCCGACACCTGCATGAAGCTGTCCTCAGACGTGCTCTTCCCGAAGGCCTTGAGCGCTTGTGCAACAAAGTCCTCGTCGTTGACGGATGTGCCGACAACACCTGCAAATTCGGCGGCTTGACGCGTGAGTCGCTGTATCATGACGTCGAGCATAGACGGCCCAAAGATCATGTCGTCAATGCTTTCGGCAACGGAGCGATAGAAGGTTTGGACAATATTCTTCCCCGAAGAGCTGGCAGCGGCCTTGGTAGGGTTATCCGGAACCTCAGCAGCTATAAACGGGGATTCGCGCGAGAGAAAGGTGCGTAACTCCTGACTTTCACATACGGCAGGTATGGCAATCAAGCTCTACATGGATGGTCAGAAAATCCCGTTTCGCCGACATAAGATGTTGAGTTACCTGTAAGTACCTTTCCAGCGCTACCCTCCGCGTGTCAACGAAGCTCGAGGACAAAGCAGTGACGAGACGTTTCCCCGGGAAATCGAGAGTACGGACCACTCCATATCGTTCTCGCAATTTGTTATGCATGCGGGAGAACTCGTTGTACCGCCGTGCAACGACCCAGCCAGACGCAAACGTTCCATCTTGCGCAAGCTGCTGGATCTCGATAAGATAGCGTACGACAGATTTGCCGTCTTCCTCGCCGACAGTCGAGCTAACAATGGACACTCGTGTGCGGTCGGAGACGAGCCGGTTCGCCGACTCTTGTTGTTCATATTGCGACTTTTGAAATTGAAGCTCTCGGAGCTCTCGGCTCATCGATGACTTGGCCTTGCGGAGGAGACGAAGCTCTTGAGCGTCGCCGGTGAGTTCCGCTTTCCTGATTAGCGCGTCCAGCGTTGAGTCGTGTGCTTCTAGTTTTGTAATCTTATCTCCTAAACGGTTGATCTCATACGAGAGCTGGAGGTCGCCGGGTCCTGCAAGTTGGAAGGAGCTCTGTTCAGCATCTAGCGATTGCTCCTCTTCGTCATCAGGCACAGGTTCCTCCGCCTCAATATCGTCATCAAACATCCCTCGCCCAGAAGCCACACTCAGAAGGCTGGAGCTTAAGCCGTTCGTCCTTTCGCGCTGGTCTTTACGTTGTTCAGCACCCTGGTCTGTCGCAATTATATCAGTCAATGCTGCCTGGATTGCCTCAATGCGCTGAGACTCCTCGACCGTTGGCCTGGGATCATCGGGATCATCAAACAGAGGTGTTCGATGTGTCTCTGAAGCCGTATCAGAGACTGGAGACATCAGCACCTCGATGTTTGTTCTAGAAGCAGGAGGAGTAGGTGGGGTGCGCTGAGGCCGGAAGCCACTCTCAAACGTGGTGTGTAGCGTCGGCGTAGACTCTGACCGCACTACGTTGGGCAATGACTTCGATTTAGGAGGCGGGGGAGAGATAGACCGAGGTTTGAATGAGAGTGGGGATGGCACCTTAGCATTGCCAAGATCAATATCCTCGATGACACGGAACCACAGCTCAGACTTTTGGAACTCCTCAAAGTCTTGCTCCATGTCCTGCTCTACCTGTCTTTGTGCAAACATAACACTCCGACGCACACGGCGCTCATCGGCAGGGGAAGGATCATTCTGAAGAGCGAAAGATCGGATGCTGTTCACATATCTATGGGAAACGGACGAGAGCGATGGATGAGGGGGAGTGACTGCAAAGTACAGGTCATTGATCATGGAAATGTCTTCTTTCAGAGTCTTGGAACTTGCTGGGTCCTGCAGCTGCTCCTCGTCGTCCCCGGATGAACTAGAGTCCACTGACTCAAGAGGATTCTTGAAGCTCTCTACAGTCAGCCAAAATTGAACAAGCAAAGAACGATGGCGGCGATCCATGAATTCCATGAGATACGAGAGAGAACCTGGGTTTCCCAAAACGTCACGTAGGCTGAGTCTGTGCTTTGCCTTTGGGTCCTCCAAAGAAGCTGTCTGAATGGGATAAAGATCGGCAATGCGATAGTTGATTAAGAAGGATTGGCTTACCGGCCTATCTTCTCCTCCAAGGACGACAATGCGCTGTTCAACTGTGCGTTTCGCCGTGTAGAGACGATCAAGAAAAGCCACAACATCTTCTGTCTTCTCGCCATTGATCCAGTCATCATTCTCATGGCTGGACAACAATTGCCTAGTCCTGCGTATTTCACCCATTATGTCGTTCTTGAGCCGACGTGCATCAAGCAAAGAAGAACAACGATTGATACCACGCAGGAAAGATTCAAACTGGCGAACATCGGTTTGTACGGTGATGAGGTCTGATTTGGGCACGCGCAAAGACGTAGGCGCATGGCGGCGGAGAGATTGCGCTTCCAGTACATTTCTGACTTTAGAGACAAGCTTCCTGCAAAATTGTGTTATAATGACAGGGAGTAGACAATACAGAACTTACTGCTGGTGAATAGCTGCTCCAGCCTAGTAAGGGAAAGTTAAAAGAAGCTTTATACCATTGAGAAGGCTAGTACATACAACTTGTTCTATTGTACGATTCCAAAAGTCCGGATCCGACAACATCTCCATGACAGGATAAAGTACTGAACACGCCAAAATCTCTCGAACAACGATCTTCAGGGTAGTGCTTTGAGCCTCAACCTCGGGAAGACAAGCGGAGAGGATCTTATCAGCAATGCTGCGCAGGTGTGCCTCCTCGCTCTGCCTGGTAAACGTCGAAGAGAGGTTGTCCACGGCCGGGTGCAGTTTACCGTTACCTTTCCCAGCGTACCTACTGGCTAAAAGCATATCTAGCTCCTCCGAGTGGGTCAAACGTCGCTCCAAGCCGGCGCCGCGAAGTGCAACCTCAGACTGGCGAAACTGTTCAATGTGAGAGGTGATCTCGGGGAGGATACGTTTGACGACCAGAGAGGGCATGTCGAGGTTAGCGGATTGGCTTAGAAAACGCTCAATAGAGTCGTGAAGAGTTGAGGAAACAGCCATTGGGAACGATGGAGAGTTGGAGATGTCGGTGTACCATACTAACACAAAATCGCGTACAATGTAGATGAGGATGTCAGTGAGAGCTGAGGATACAACAGGAAGGTCGGGAAGAAGGGGGGAAAGTGTCTGAGGGGTCTTGTGAGACCACTGAGAACGCGTTAAGACGGCCTGCCATGCAGCTGGCGTTGAGAAAGCGAGCGGGCGAGCGGCATGTGCGAGATTGGTCCTAGAAGCCGATGCTTTAGAGTCGAGAGTGTAGGAAAGGTAAAAGAGACCCGCGACAGCGAAGAGCGCGGCAAGAATGGTGAGTAGAGGGAGGAAGAGGAGGAAAGCGAGAGACGAGGGACCGACGCGTGTGGCGAGAGGTACTGAGAGAGCGAGGGCGCCGACTACGGCTGTGAGGCGCACGTTGCTGATGGAGAACATGCTAAGACCTCCGTATGATGCAGCCGGTCACCACTGTCGTCGTTGGGCGCGGTGGCGACGGCGGCCTAGGACATATTGCTGGGAGAGAAACGGCACGCTGGTACCCGCGGCTGATGGGGGCCGGCGGCTATCTATAACCGGCATAAAGCATTCGCTCATATTAGATCTTATATTATCGTTCTATAGCTTTTATTGTTGTACTCACACTCACTTCCCATGTACGCTGGTCCCCCTTCCACCATGGACCAGTTCCCGAACGAAATATGGGACGCTATCTTCCGAGAACTGGTCAGCCAAGCAGACCTGGCCCGCGTCATCCGAACCTGCAAGAAGTTCTACGCTATCGGAATTCGCGTTCTCCACCGTCATATCGTTTGGCTGGATCCTGCACGTTTCACTGCCAGCCTTGACTTCATCCAGAGAAACCCTACTCTTCATTCGATCCCGCGCTCCCTGAAGCTCGGGGTCTCCCTCAACTATGACTGCTTCCGTCATAAAACACGTCCATCTCGCGAGCCCTTCCATGCCTTGCATCTTTCCAATGACCTCGATGCTCACGACGATGCATTCTTCGCCGATGCAAACCCGTTCTTTGCTTGGGGCCAGGATCATCATCCTGTGGTCGAGAACCACTCACCTGTACCGGGCCCTTCACATCATGAGCCAGGTCCTTTCAATTATCCGGGTGCGCAAGCGCTTTTCAACGGGTTTGATCCCGCTGCTTTGACGAATGTGCACTCCTGGTCGGATGGGCGTATCCCTATGTTTACAGCCCACAAAGAACAGTATCATCAGCTTCTTCACTGTATCTATAGCTTCACTGCAGTCCAAGATTTACATTTCGAAGACATGGCACTTCCTCCGGAGTACTACACCATCATTTGCCACTTCCCCCATCTTCGTCGCCTCCACATTGAGCACTGCGTAGTTCCCCGTCACCAGTATCTGCAGGCTACTCCACCCAATACAACTCTCCCTCTCAGAGAGCTAACGCTTTTAGATCTAAAAGGGTACCGAGACGACATTGAGAAAGTTTGCTCCCTCTCATTGTCTCCGCAACTAAATTATCTTCGATTCGATTTTACCGCTTATCACGCCTTTAAGATATATGCAACTGATGCTGCAGGCGGCATGGGTTCGCCCCAGAACTTACAAACCGTGGATGCTGCCTTTCCGAATCAAAAAAGCTGGCCGAATAACCAAGTGCAAGCAGAAGCTGAAACAATAATTCCCTTCCAAGCGTTTCTGACTTCTTGCAAGTCGATCACTCGGCTTCACATCAGGAATTATATTCCTTTCCTGATACTCCCTTCGGATGCACTTCCGTTTCTTCAAGTATTAACAGGGCCTCTGGTCGTCGTGCCCACCGTGATCCGCAATGCCTCGAGGCCCCTGCGAACCATTGACGTTCGTGAGCCCACGGTTTCCATTCGCCATCTTTTGATGGGGATTTCCGAGATTGCAAGGAGCCACCCGGATCTGCATGACTTCAGACTATATCTGCATCATTGGGACGACGAAGTCATCTACGCAATAGTCCAACACTTCCCAAAGCTGCGGAATTTATTGATTCGGTTCAGAGAAGGCAGACCACATGAGGTACAGCACCCTTGCCAGAGTCAAGAACTTTCTTACATGCTAAATTCGACATAAAAGGATTTCTTGGTTAGCTTAGGTGCACGGTTCCTATGTCAACTCCAAGACCTGGAAAGCGTGCAAATCCACCAGGCGATCTACCCCCCTCAGAAATCTAGTCACTACCAGGTACCCCTCATTGCTCATTACCTGACAAGCGATACAGAGAGCCACGACGTGGAAATGGATGACGAGAAGTGCACGAACATCTCTCTCCCAAAAGAAGATGAAGCGACTCTACTGGAGATCGTACATGCTTGGAATAGGCCATGTCCACGCCTGCGAGAAGTCGGCTTAGTTCCTGGCTTTGTATGGCGGAGGACCGATGAAAAAGACCCTTGGTGCAAGAGAACGTACCACTTTGTCGATCAACGGAGAGCGCTCGACTAATTCGAACGGGTGCGACAACACAATATGTTTGCCAGCGCCCGGCCAAAACCAATTTAAGGCCGAGATGATGGAAGATGACGAAATTTGGATCCGGTTTCAAGTGTAAAATATTATGTTATACGAGTATCGGTCAAGAACAGTGCATGTAGCATATGCGGAATAACCGTGAATTTTATGTAACCTGTTGAAAGTTGAAGTCCTTGCACACTATGTACACTTACAGCGAGGCATAAACGGACCGAAGGGAGGTTATAGAAGCTATATCGGGGGCAAGCTCGGAGGTGTCAAAGAGTCTTTGACACAGCACGTTTCGTTTGCCGGGCAAAGGATCCGCGGCCGAAAGATCGAGGCTCAAATTGTAGTCTCATAAGCCTGCCGACGCTCACTCTGCTCATCCCAGTGCTCCTTTGTCCATGGCTTCTCCAGCTCCTCGCCGCCCTTTGTCGACACCCGAGAGCTTCCTCTGCGGAGGTCTCGCAGCATGTCTAGCAGTGAGTAACCCACAGACGTCTTACGCGTTATCGTCACATTGACCCCCCTGCATCAGGTCACAGTCTCAAATCCGGCTGAAGTTGCCAAGACGCGTATGCAGCTACAAGGAGAACTCGCAAAGGGTGGTGGCAAGAAGGTCTACAAGAACGCCATAGATGTGCTCACTAAAACGTGGAAGCACGAGGGTGTCCGAGGTATACAGAGAGGTCTCGGTATGGCGGTATGTTCTCGGCCGTGTCTCGACTTTCTTGCACTAACTGTTGCAGTAGTACATGTATCAGGTGAGTAGAAGGCAGGGCTTAAGCAACAAAATGCTCACGTTATTCCTAGATACTGCTCAATGGATCGCGTTTAGGTGAAATATACGCTCCCTCAATCTCTTTGCGTGCTCGCTACTGGTTTTCTCTTTTTCTGACGTATCCTGTCAATCAGGCTTTTACGAACCAGTTCGGCAGACCTTCAACTCCATGATAGGGCGGCCTGTATCTGAACTGATACCATTTACCTCCATTGCTGCTGGTGCTACGAGCGGCGCGGTTGGCGGTACGTTCTATAGCCCACGCGTTTACCGGCGTGCTAATTCCTCGCACTAGCTGCTCTCGGCAATCCGCTGTTCCTCATCAAGGCGCGCATGCAGGTGCGCGTGTCCCCCCAATCATGTGCTAACTGTCAGCTCATACCCGTTCCTTGCAGGCGTATTCTCCGGCGTTCCCGGTCGGTACCCAGCATTATTACCGGAATTCCTTCAATGCGCTCTCGACGGTATGGCGGACCGAAGGGTTCCGAGGCCTCGTTCGCGGGATAGATGCTGCTATCCTGCGGACATCAATGGGATCATCGGTAAGCCACGCTCAATCGTTACCCAAGGTCAAGGCCAACAGCTCGGCTATTTAGGTCCAACTGCCAACATACAACTGGACTAAAAACCAGCTTGTGACTAATGGTGTACTACCCGACAAGAGCATATGGACATACCTGGCTAGTAGCTCTGTGTCAGGTATATGTGTGGTAAGTGAAAGGTAATTGATCTTCTGCTTTCGACGCCTCATTTTACTCTGTACAGTGCATAGTCATGCAGCCAGCTGATACGGTACGTTGAAACCATGTTGGGGCCGTGAGCGAATTTCTGACACCTTTAAAGGCCCTCACACGGATGTATAACCAACCGACCATCAAAGGGCCCGATGGGCGGCTAATCGGAACGCTTTACAAGAACCCGATAGACTGCTTGTGGAAAACCGTGAAGACCGAAGGTGTCTTCGGATGGTACAAAGGATCTACCGCTCATTTCCTGCGGATAGCCCCACACACGTATGTCTGGTTTTTTCTCCATATTTGCACAGCTGACCCGGAGAGTAGAATTATTACCCTGACCGCTAACGATATCATTCTTGGTTTATACAAGTCGCTAAGCCATACTTACTAGATGCTTACTTAGAGTTTTCATGCCTTTCCTTGAACTGGATGACAAACATATTATCTTACTCTAGACTCTAGTGTACAGCGGCAAGTCCTAATAGCATATTTCTTGCACCATACTCCGACACATATCTCCGCTGGATGTCATCGGAACAATCATGAACGATACACTGAAGTGCATGACGAATTTTTACTTATACATACCGGTACAATAGAGTTGGTTACCATAAGTTAGGCCGTTGGCGTGATATGGAATTCTGTTCATATCATTTCCTGCTACTACTGGGAATGTTCCTCCAGCGAGTATTTTTGCGAGTTGTCAGGAAGATCTCGGCACCTGGCTCGCAGCCCATCCATGCCGAGGGCTGCGAGGGGAAAAGGTTTGTGACCTGTGCATAGTCAGTGACCAAAGCCCTGCGTTACCTCAATACACTATGCTCACAAGGAACTTTTGACCCGGGGTAAACGTCCCAGAATTAGAGCCTTCCGAGGTGCTTAGGCTAAGCACGTCCCATACCGTCACTTGAGCCGTCCGATTCGCAGGTCGCCGTTCCGTCCGTGCATCTCGCATGACTACGATTCTAAAGTTGCGAACGTCTCGAGGCGGACATAAACTTCGCAGCTCGCGCTCAATTTCTTCAGGTGCCAGATCGTCCTCGCGTTTGTAGGCATTGCGAAGGTGACGCGCAAGCCAACCAGCTTCGGAGCGACTTGCGCTTGAGAGAACGCCTTTCGCAGCTTGGGCGTCTTCGAGTAAGGAGTCGTACAGCGAGTCTATACTGTCAGGCGGCGAATCTGTTGGCAGTAATGAGCAATGTTCTGATCAGTATTAGGAAACTAGTGACTGACCATCGCCTCTTGGATTGAACTGTGGGCCTGCCTTTTGTTCCAGACGTTCCGCGTAGGTCAAACGTAGATCCTGCTGCCGGCGATGCGCGTCCCATAGTTTCGATGCCTCGCGCTCTCGTTTGGCCTTAGATGGAGGAATGTGAAATCTCTTTCGCTTCTCCATGCATCCTACGCACCTTCCATCGTTCCCGTACAGCGTTCTCCTCTTTCCCATTCATGACGCCAGAACTTCGTTTTCTCCCTTGTTCGTCCTCTAGAGACTCGATATATGCGACCGGATAAGCCTACAAATGCATGCAAATATATAAGACAGCGAGCATGAGCCCTCAGCGCAGATCGTACCTTTACGACCTCCATGGTCATGGCGGCCACCGCACCCCCGTCTGCTGTGAGGCTGTTCAGGGAAAACAGGTGCATGCCTCCACAAAACCCCAGCTTGGCATGCCAAGGTGCTAGATGGGTTGAGTTACCGCTGATGATGAGTGTATTAGAGCTGTAGGCCTCCAAAATCTCGCAAGGCTCTTTTTTCTCCGAGGATAACTGCGGTATATTAGTATCTGCCCTTGGATAAGACCAAGAGCTTACTCTGGCGCCAGAGATGGCAAGCTTACGGCCCACCCTTATCTTCCCTTTACGAACGGCTCGCGCAAGAGGCCCATCCAAGGGCGCTCTTAACCTGTACCATCCATCCGTAAGTTCGAGTTCAGGCTCCCCTTCGGTCAGTAGGCCGCTTTCATCTCGGGTTCGCTCAGGCCAAATGATGGCAGATACACAAAGCACCATAGGCAACGCCGCGGGAGCGTCCTGAGTCGTGATCAGCCGAAGGGCTGGACGTGAAGCACTGTTCAAATCACGCTCATACCTATAACCCAAGGTAAGATCAACAAGGGGGTATTAACAAATGGATAAGCACCCACTTGTACATGAGCTGGCGGATGATCTCCGGCCAACACCAGCGTTTCTTATGCGGGTTCGCCTCTGTCTCTGGGTCTAGCGCCACCATCCCTGCAACCTTCCACAAGATGAGCGACCAGTGATTCTTCACCCACTCTTTTGTCGCCAAAGAGCAGCCGCGGACGTGAAGTTCCCTGAGCGCGGCCTCGTAACCCACTTGCTCCTCCGAGGATAAAGACAGATCCTCTTCAGCCCCGGTAGTAGAGCATTCTGGGTTGTGGAAGGAATAGAACAAGGCAGTTTCAGGAGTGATCTGGCTCAGCCCTGCAATATCGCTGTATATATGGGTCATAGTCAATGGTAGGGTATATGTGGTGGAAGAACACACTCACACTCCCATGTCCTCATAGTCCCCCACCGTATACTTTTGAGGCTGAAGTTGAGACGAGGCTAGGCTCTTCCTGTCGGGTATCGGCGCTGCATTGCTCCGTTCAGATTCAATGCGAGCCAAACGCTAATGCATGACCCACTAAGATCGAAAATCTTCCGCATAGCTTTCACCGGTGTTTTGGGCGCATCCACGTGCTTCACTGGTGTAAACGGTGGCGGCTTGAATCGAGGAGCCTTTAAAGGTGTATGTTGGGAAGATGCAATGCCCATATTTACATTCTTCGCCTCCAAAACTGCCCTTCCTGGCTGTCCTGAATGCAGACCTTGTTTGAACGGCGTCACGAACTTTCGTGCAGGCGTGCCACGGGCGTTGCGTGGTGTCAAGCCCAAGGTTCTATCTGCACTTGTAGATGGTGGTATGTTCTGAACAAGTGCAGCAGAAGCAGGACGGATTGGAGTCGATGGTGGAAGACTGAACGACGATGCTGAGGCAAAGCCACCTTTAAGAGTAGGATTCAAAAGTGAGCTGACATGTCCCGGTCGAGCTACGGCAGCTTTGATCAGTGGTGACCTGAATGGCTTGGGATTCCCAGGTATGCTTGCGCCCATGCTAAGAGACTGAGTGCTTTTCCCGGGGTGAGAGCGTATAGGTGTTGGTGTATCCGGCACGGCAGCCAGGGGGACCATTCTCGCCGAAGAGAACGGTGCTTGAGATGCACGCAGAGGAGTTGCAACGGGGATTTCGGGTGACGGCACGTTTTCGTCAAGATTGTCGCAGTCTTGTTCTTCCTGCCACTGCTTCATCTTCTGTTGAGCTTTACGAAGAGCTTCCTCAGATGGTGCCATAATGCCTTTGCCTTTGGCGCTAGTGAAGCCTGTAGACAGCCCTGCAGGCGTTCCAGTGGCTAATGCTGAAGCCGATGAGAACCCAGACACCGTTGAGTTGGCAGACCGAAATCCTGTGACCGCTGGTAGAGGACCTGAGTCAAACCAAGCGGAGTGATCCATCTCCGGCGGTACTTCCGGTGAGGGAGAACGGCTACCTGTGTCTTTGAATGTGTGTTTGAGTGTAGATGCAGATTGAAACGGGGTGAACTGCAGGCCAGCAGCACTCGGGCCACTGTGCGATGGTGGGTCATGGAAGGGAGAGGTATCTCTGAGAGAAGCAGCAGTCTGAAAGGCAGGAGCGGGAAGCATCGATGATGCTTTGTGGAAGAGCAATTGAGTGGGGGAAGCATCCACTGTCGTCCCATGATCGTTGGCGGAAGCTGCTGACACGAAGCCTATGGGTCCACCTTGTGAGGCGAATGGATTGTCATCTGATCGTTGAGAGAGAAATTGCTCTGCAGATGTATTGATTCTCTTAGTTGTTGAGGAGATAGGCTGTTGTGAGAGGATTGCCTCGAAGGCGTCGATTGCTTGTATGTCGTCCTGACTAAGGTCGCCAATCTGTTCGTCATATGTCGGAGACGAAAGACGCATACGCTTGCGAGCGGGCGAAAGAGACGTATCTAGTTGATTAGAGGTAAGTATACAGTCACTAGGGTAGCATATACTCACCTCTGCTACCCATGTTGTGTATATGCGGTCCCTACACCGTCGACGGTCGTAACTGTAGACGGCGCGCGGGCGTGCGATTCATTCAACGCGTCGCGGCTTAGTCACGTGTAGATTGAGTGTCGAGATCTCGACATTTGGACACTGCGCCAACCTTAGCGCCGTGGCTCGCCTCAAGTTTCTCATTGGCTTCTCACTGCATCTCCCAGTGATCTCAAGGCACAATGTTGTGGCCACTCAAGCTCTTCATGACTTTGAACTTATTACTTATGACCATACTTGACATATATGAAACCTCATCTGTTTGATCCTGTGCGGATCGCCGGTGGCTTTGCAATGTCATAACTTGTTTTGTTAAGGTTTACTACTGCAGCTTGCGATAAGTCTCGCGTGTATGGTGAACAGAGAGTTAGTGATACAATTATCTATGACTACTATGTCCTACAATCCAGCGATGTACTTATTCGGCCAGTATCAGACGACTTTCTTGACGACGTATGCATTATAATCGGAGGCGAGCAATATTGGTATTCTTGCATGCCCGATCGGCCATTACATACACGCACCCATAAACTTAGTGCTCTCCGTCATCGCTGACAGCTCACCTCCAACTACTCCCCGCCAACGCTTTCGACAATTACAGAGCGCAAACCGTGAGCAGTAGGTAAGATTCACCGAGTGCGCCGCTCGCCAGCAGAACTTCTCAGGTTACACACACTACCTCTGTCAGGCTAGTGCCAGTGCCAATTTGTAGCACGCTCCACATACGATCGGCTTCACCAGCCTCGTTTGTCAGACACCACCTGCATCTTGCTCTCGGACTCTACTCCTTGCGTCTGGGTCCCCGTCCTTCAACATGAGCATGATGAATGGCACGAGCTCGGGTCCAACCACGCGTCCTGCTAAACCTCCTCCTACCGGGCCCGCACCACCTGCACCATCTATGGCACCGCCGGCACCGCCGATACATACACAGTCTACACATCCGGCAAGTCGCCTTCCCCAAGCTGGACCGCCGCCTCCTGCCAACGGCAGTCATGTCCACCAGCACAACCATGCCGCCCAGAAGGGCAAGAAGAGAGCAGACGCGCCCGTCGATCCCGCCACTATGTATGAAACGCTCAAGAATCGCATTGCGGCACTGGAGGAGGAGGAGACGATTGAGGAAGAAGAGGAAAGGCGGTTCGGTATGTGCCTACGGAGTGTGTATCAGGCATCACTTACACCATCCCAGCTGAGGAGGCCGTTAAATCCGTCAGAGGGCTTGATGACAGCGCCATGCATTCAAAGTATATCGAGCTGGTGTGTGGTCGTACCGATGTGGTCATACCTCGGTCCACTAAGAGGAAGTACGGTTTTAGTTTGCAGAACTGAAACGAATGGAGCGTGACCATTCCAAAGAGAAGCAGAAACTAGTCAAGGACAAGGACGCAGGTGTGTTGTGCTACGAATTACACATGTTTTGAGTCCTAGATTTTCATTGTGAAGCCAAGGGACAGCTAACTAAGGCCAACCAGACCAAGACCAAGATGGAGAACCTTGCCCGCGAGCTCCAGAAGGTTGCCACCCAGCTTAATAAAAGCGACAGAAATCACTGACACGCTTGCATTCCTTAGGATAATAAGAGGCTACGGGTACGCTGGTATATTATAATGCGGAGATACATATTTCTGAAATCTATTGTGACCAGGAAGATAGCAAGCGGTTATCCCAGTGTGTTGAGGACGCACAAGACGAGGTATGGACATTTCCCGTACCTCCATAATAAAAGCAACGCTGAACCTGTCATCCTTAGATTCTACAGATGAAGAACGACATGGCGAAACGCGCCGACAAAGCCAAATTGCAGGATCTCAAATACCGTGAGATGCCCGACATCGTCGTCAAAGTCGTGTGTCGCTACCGCGCCGAGCTCTTCTTCAAGATCTCGCGCAAGACGAAGTTCGGGCGCCTCTTCGGCGCATGGACGGACCGCATGGAGTTCATCGGGAAGAACCTCCGCGACCTCAAGAACGGCAGTGTCAATGGGATCGTCAGGTCGGACTCGATGCAAATCGCTAACCCGAAAGACCCATCGGCCACGTCCACCATGCAGTTCATTTTCACACACAATGGGCGTTCCTTGGATGGTGACTCAACACCCGAGGAGCAGGGGGTGGAAGACGGGGATGAGATATTAGCTGTTGAGCTCATGGATTTAACCGAGGGCCCAGCGTTGGAGGAATTTGTGAGTCCCATCTTGTGCAAAACGGTGCACAGTTCTAAGCGACCCCCTCATTCTAGCCAGAAGAGCTCCCCGAAATCAAGCGTCATAAGCTTCATAAAGCTTGGATTGATAATCCTATGGAGTGAGCAATGATCGTTATCCTCGATCATTCCACTAAGCCTTATTCTGTAGAGCTAGACGAACATTAGAGGAGATCTTTGACGGGGTGTAAGTGCCATCTACTTCAGCATATCAAGCATCCACAAATACTTACACTCGACAGCGTGCGGGAGCGCCTCAAGGAGGTATTGCGGCAGTATGAACTGCGCGAGCGACATTTTGAGTGTGTGATACGCTCAAAAGAGCTCGAGGTCCTCCTCTCGCGCGCTCGCGCTGCTGAACAAAAGCAGCTCGCAGACGGCGAGAAGAAACGTGCTGAAAAACTTGATGACGAGGTACGGTTAAATCCCTATTGTGTACAGGCCTGCCTTATTTCCTGCCCGTTTGCAGACCCAGCGCATACGAAAAGAGCTTGAAGACTCTCAGAATGGACAAACACTACTCATTGACAAGCTCATAACGTGCTGTAAAGAGGTAAGCATACACGTCTTCTGGTCTACTTCTCCTTAGGTCATTCGCTTTTACCAGCCAAATGCGGAACGCACGCAGCGGCTCTTCGCCTCGCTGCGAGAAGAGCTTGAAAGGCGAGGAGCCAAAATCTCTGAAAGCACCAACGGCGGGTAACATCAGGCCCCTTCCAGCATTATCTCGTAGTTGGTAGGTACACGAAATTCAGACTTTTTTGCCAGAGACTTCTCTTGAATAAACCGTGTCCTAACTAATGGTAGAGTACATGCTACCTAATCAAAGTCCCCGAACATTGTGAATGCAAGCTCGATTGGCCAAAATTAAGTATCCGATAAAGCGTACTAAGGGTATACGTAGATTTGAAGTGGTACCCAAATTGTCCATCACTGTCGTTAACCGTCCAAAGTAAAATAGTCTATTGGAAAATATTTGAGTTAGAGGAGCGCGTCCAGCTCTTCCACGCTGCTTGCAATGCCAGATTTGGTAAAGGTCTTCCCCTTCACATGCTCGAGACCCTCGCCCGCGTAGGAGACGAGCGGCGAGACCTCAATTTCAACGCCATCTTTCACGGTCGCGCCAGCCTCAACTAGGAATCGCTTGTGCTGTGCAAGCAGGTCCCGTCGGCTGGTGTCTGGGTCGTCGGAGCCAGTGCCAGGAGCGTTCTTGAGGGGACTGAACTCCTCTTTACGAGTAACTTCGAGTACGGCAAAGCGCTCAGTGAAGGGGAAAACGTCAAACACAAACATCTCGAACTTCATGCCATTGGGCTTGCTAGGCTTGTTGAGCTCGCCGGTCTGGAGGTCGACATAAGGGATCTTCTTGCGCGCAATGTGGAAAGCGAAGTCGTCTTCAAAGGCCTCAACAGCCTTGAGGAAGTTCAAGGTGTAGAAGTGGTTTACAATGTTGCCGGCGTTGAATGCGAGTTCGCCAGACTCGTTGCGCCTCTCAGCTTGCTCCTTGGATATTTCGGAGTACTCGACGACGCTGAACTTGTCGCCACGGCGAGCAAGAACGCCAACAGACTCGGTGGGCGAGGCTTTGGGTACGACCTTAGCCGCGCAATCGACCTGCTTGTGGATACAGCAGCCAATGAAGACAGGATCGGCGACCTTGACGAGGCAGTTGTCGACACAATAACAGTGGATGTAGCGGATCTTGCGCTGTTCAAGGTCGGAGAGGACGGAACGCGTATCCGAGGGCGATAGAGGCGCGCGTGTGGCTGCATAAAGGCCGCCGTTACCATCGGGCGCGACAGCAACGTGCGAGGGTGAATCGAGCATGATCTTGCCCTCCATGGTCATACAGGGAAGGGTACCTTCAAACACGTGTGGGTCAGCCTCTCAAAAGATGAGAAAACACGCCAATCGCGTACCTTGCTCGAAAAAGACGACATTCTTGGAGGTGAGACCGAAATACTTGTTCTTCGTGAAGAAGGCCTCCGTGTCGGCACGAGTGGGACCGCTAGTCATGACATACCACGGGATGATGACAGACCCAGCGGGGCGTTTGCACTCCTTCTCTGCGACTGTCTGGAGACGCGCAATACGCTCAGCCTGAAGCTGGAAAAGGGTCTTGTGGGAGGGGAGGCCAATATCGTAGCAACCCTTGGGCGCGGAACTGCCCAATCGGGTGCCTTGCCCGCCTGCGAGCAGAAGGACGGCAACTTCTCCCCGAGAAATGGCCTCCAGACCCGTCCGCCGCCATGCTTGTTCGTTGTCTGGGTGATGAACGACGGACTCGCAGGCATCCATTGGGAGAGGCTCAATGGGATCTGCGACGTGCTTGGGATCGTTATCTTCCTTCTCAGTGCCGACTGCCTTCTTGTAGATCCTATTGACGCGATCGACATCGATGCTCTCGAGTTGACGGACGAGAGAGGCGCGATCCTGTTCTGAGAGCTTGTCCCAGAAGGTGAAGAGGTGGTCCTGGCCGGCGGCCTTGTACTTGTTGCGAATGGCGTCGACAGACATGGTTGATATTAGAGTAGGGCGGGTTAGCGTAAGTGGGAGTGGGCTGAAGGTAAAGGGCAAGGATGAATGAGCTCAAGTGAAAGTCAATGACCTGCAGGTTGAGAAACGGCCAACTTATATTTGGGCCATGCGATGTGCCATTCCAAAGCCCGCGACACACCCGAGACGGTTACGTTGTTAGACCCATAGCCTGGCATAGCCACCTGGCAGCGCTCCCCTCTACCGGCGCGCCTTGCCCGTGTCAGTGCGGTCTGGAATGGCCTCAACTTGTCGTGTTCGCCTCAGAAGAACGGCCATGCCAAACATCCGATTCCACCCTGTCTCCTTCTATTCATCCACCTAAGCGCACCTGGCCGCAGGCGAACGCACGCACCGCAGTTCTGGACAGCTGACACCCTTGCAATTCGGCGACCTCCGTCATGTGAAGGTCCATTGATTCGTTCATGCACCCCAGTTTATACGCTTTATTTGTGTCTGTCTATATTGGCGCCTATTCCAACTAAGACGTCAAAGACTCGTCAAAGTCGTTCAGAAGCGAGTATTACCTCCGCATTAGCATAGCATGACATCCCTTCTGTAGATCTCTGGCCACCCCTCCGTTTTCATCCCGGACTTAGACACCCTCGCATACACCCTTGCCATACCGCCTATCAATCGTCACTAAAGGTCAGGTGCAATGTTTCTGCCAAGAAGAGGAAGTAGACCATCTGGACGCCATATGCACTCTACGCACCCTAGTGGACCCCAACCGACACCTTCATGAGCGCCATCCTCATTTCGAAGCGGTAATAACGGCACTAGTGGGCACGTGAAACAGAAATCCCACTCCATCCACCAAAGTGGTAGACCAATCTGGATACCTTTGGTGTCACGCTCCTGTTCGCATCCCAAATCAGCTATATAAATCACCTTCCTGCGAAGCCCCCTTACTCGCTCAAGGACTCTTACCATCCCCGCCTGTCTCTTCTCTCCTCAGAGACATTATGCGCGATCGTCTCCGCTCTCTCCTGCTCGGAGCTCTTGCAGTTCTTCCCCTCTCGACGGCATTCTCCCCGGGCTTCCCTTATGGCTCAGAGAAAGTACGCGGTGTCAACCTTGGCGGTTGGCTCGTTCTCGAGGTTAGTACTACGCGTCTTCGCCTTGCTGTTCACCATTGACGCGTCTTTGTAGCCTTGGATCACCCCCAGCTTATTTGACGATACGGGTAACAACGCCATCGTTGATGAATGGACTTTCGGTCAATACCAGGACTATAACAATGCCCATGGCACACTTGTGAACCACTGGAACACGTGGATCACAGAAGATGACTTTGCTCAGATTGCTGCTGCTGGGTTGGTCTTTCATTATCCCATCAACACCTGCAATTCCTTACTGATTGCGCCTCTTAGCCTGAACCACGTGCGCCTGCCGATCGGTTACTGGGCCTTCGACGTTGGTCCCGGGGAGCCGTACATTACGGGCCAGCTTCCCTACCTTCAGAAGGCAATTCAGTGGGCGGCAAACCACAACTTGAAGCTCATCGTTGACCTTCATGGAGCCCCTGGGAGTCAAAATGGGTGGGTTCAGGTTTATGTACATGACTGTTCCGCTCTGATATCACTTCTAGATACGATAACTCTGGTCATCGGATTAATTATCCGGGGTGGCAGTCCAACCAGACCAATATCGATCGTACCGACGCCATTATCAAGACAATTGTCTCCATGGTTGATGGTCAGACGGGCACCGTGCCTATCATTGCACCTTTGAACGAGTACGTGCTTTTGGTCACCTGCAGAGGTCTTGTGATCTCACGTTCTGTACCAGACCGGCGGGATACGATGGCGATGCGATCCTGTCAGCAGCGAAGCAGTACTGGCTGGATTCGTACGGGAACATCAGGTAGAGCGCGCATGTGATATCAAAGCTGTTACTTGTCATGCTGACCGTATCCTGTCAGATATCCCCCAGGTGTTGCACCAACGAACACCGTGGAGCTCATTCATGACTGCTTCCAGCCGCTTAGCTACTGGAAAGGATGGCAGACCGGTTCCAGCTTCCAGGGAGTGGCGATGGACACCCACATTTACCAAATGTTTAGTGATCAGGTGGGTTATTGTCTTCTCCTTCTGACAGCATGACGTCAACTCTGGCTGTAGAACAACGCGCTTAGCTATCAGGGTCACATCAACCAAGCATGCGGTCAAGCTTCCTCATTGTCAGGATTCGATTTGTGGCTCATTGTTGGCGAGTGGACACCCGCGGCAACGGACTGTGCTAAATACCTGAACGGGCGCGGCGTCGGTTCCCGGTACGACGGCTCATACGCCGGATCTCCGGGAGTGGGTAGTTGCAACGGCCTGACTGGCAGTGGCTCTACGTTCTCTTCGTCATACAAGACGTTCTTGCGTCAGTTCTGGGAAGCGCAGGTGATCAGCTACGAGAAGGGTGGTCAGGGATGGATCCAGTGGACATGGAAAGCTGAGGATGCGGATGAGTGGACATACCAGGCAGGTCTCAAGTACGGATGGATACCCTCGAACCCGACAGCCTACAAGTACCCGAACATCTGCGGTTAATTGATTTTGTGCCTCTTGTTCCAATTTTATCTACTACACACAACATTTTCATGTCCGTTACGAACCCTTCCAACATGACTTTCTGTTCGAAAACGATGTTTTACTATAATTAGTATAGCCTCTTATACCACGTCTTTTTCGGTACTACTAGGTACTACTGATGTCAAGAAGCCGGCGGTAAGGCGATATGTGGAAGCTCGTCTCACGAGATCTCAGAATGGACAAAATGAGACAAATGACACTAGTACTCACTATAAATCCGCCGACTAGTACTTACGGTACTGTGCGCACGCATTGTTATTATTGCGTTGAAAATTCATCTGTGATGTAGTGTTCCGGATATTTGCGCTGTTGACTGCTGTTGTGCTTGAACGTAAACAGGACACATAGAGGTGAGTGTGGCTCTGTGGCTCTGTGACGATCTGCCACTGCCATTTGCTGATTTGCCAATCGAGCAACACAATCTCATGACCGAGATGAGCTGAACGGCAGCCGTTGTCTGTACGTGATTATCACGTTCCATAATCGTCAGCTGTCGGATTTGTCCTCTGTGGTGCCTATCGCCAGAAGGTGGAGACCTGGAGCCTCGATGGTTGTGCCCCGACGGCCAACATCGGCTGGCGAATTTGAACACGAGCTAGCCATCTAACCTGTTTTTGTCAAGATTAACACCTTCGCCACCACGGATCCGTAGATCCTACGTGGTACAGCCGCAGAGCGGTGCGGTCGTCCGGTCTTGTCCGGTGGGTACTTACTGGTCTGTACTGGTCCAGGGGCAGAGCAAGGCCTCCGAATTCGAACAAAACCAAGGACCGGGATGAGCGTTGTACACGTGCAAGGAGGAAATCGTGCTCTGATTGGCGGCTATTCCGAGGACGCGTCTGCGGTTGGAGGAACGACATCACCGCCGTCTTCAATTGCATCTCACATCTTGCAATCTTGCACCGCTGCATCTCGCATCCCGCGTGTCTAGATTTGATTTTAAATTGACGATGGAATAACCACCTGTTGACCACCCTCAGCCAGAGTGAGACGAACAAAACTCCGAACGTATATATACCAACGTTGTCTGTCTCCCGTTCAGACAACATTCTAGTTTCACCTGCTGCTCCCTCTCTTCCGGTTTTGCAGGTGCTGACTTCCTTCATGCACTCATTAGCCAAGCTCGCTCTTTTTGGCCTTGCTGCCGTTCGCCAAGCGTGCGCGATTTCGCCAGGTTTTCCGTACGGAAGCGAGAAAGTGCGCGGTGTCAACCTTGGCGGTTGGCTCGTCCTCGAGGTAAGCACGCCCTGCTATACTAATTCACAGCCGCTAAACAAGCGAAATCTTATGCCCCTCATAGCCCTGGATCACGCCCAGTCTTTTCGATAACACGGGCAATGATGCCATCGTTGACGAGTGGACCTTTGGTGAATACCAGAACTATGACACTGCACTCGGCGTACTCCAGAACCACTGGAACACATGGATCACCGAGTCTGACTTTGCCGCCATTGCTGCTGCAGGGTATGCACATCCCTTTCTTTCCTCATCGTTTCAACGTTCGCCGCCCATGCTATTATTGCGCTGTGCCTCGATTCGAATATTCTAATCACGTTCTATTTTTGCTCGCACCACCTTTAACCCTATCCGCCAATCTGCTTCTCCTCAGGTTGAATCATGTGCGAGTTCCGATCGGCTATTGGGCGTTCGAAGTCGGTCCTGGCGAGCCCTACATTCAAGGCCAGCTTCCGTACCTCCAGAATGCGGTCACCTGGGCCGGCCAAAACGGCCTCAAGGTCATCGTTGACCTTCACGGGGCCCCAGGCAGCCAGAACGGGTCAGTGTTGTCTCTTCACGCGATTGTCCCTGTCGTGTGGCGCATCGGAGAGTGACCGCTCATTTAACTGCGTTTCATGGCTTGTTCTTTGGTGCCGCGGCAATACTGATCCACCGGTACATTATTTACAGGTATGACAACAGCGGTCACCGGATACCCTACCCCGAGTGGCAGTCGAATCAGACGAATGTGCAGCGCACGGACGCGATTATCAAGCAGCTGGAAGGCATGTTCGAAAGTCAGACCAATGTTGTGTCAATTATAGCGCCCCTAAACGAGTAAGTGGCCCCTTTCTGTTCCTGTATCGATAGGGGCTATTGCGAAAGCACGAACCTAATGCTTCATTCTTTCCAGACCTGCGGGTTATGACGGTGATCAGATCCTCAGTGTCGTCCGGCAGTACTGGTACGACTCGTATGGGAACATCAGGTGCGTCCGCGGAGAAAGCCCCATTGCGCAGTGCGCGTTTTTTTCTTAGACGCTCCAACGCAGATATCCATACGGCACCTCGCAGCAGAGCAACACCATTGAGCTCATCCATGACGCGTTCCAGCCGCTGAGCTACTGGACGGGGTTCATGACGCCCCCAAATTACCAGGGCGTTGCCATGGACACTCACATATACCAGGTGTTCTCCGACGCCGTGAGTCCCATCGCGTGAATGCTTGGGGCAAACAAGTTAAACTTTACAACAGGACGTCGCGATGACCTGGCCCCAACATATTAGCGCTGCATGCGCAGAGCAGTCTGCCCTTTCTGGATTCGATCTCTGGCTCATCGTCGGAGAATGGTCGACTTCCCCGACGGATTGCGCGACGTACCTTAATGGGCGGGGCGTCGGGTCGCGGTACGACGGCACGTACTCTGGGTCGACGTATGTCGGGAGCTGCACCGGGCTCACCGGCTCGGCGAGCACGTTCAGCGCGGCGTATAAGACTTTCCTCCGTCAGTTCTGGGAGGCACAGGTGATCTCCTACGAAGCCGCTGCGGACGGGTGGGTTATGTGGGCGTGGAAGACCGAGAGCGCGGACGAGTGGTCATACTCTGCTGGACTGCAGAACGGGTGGATTCCTCAGAACCCGACCGACCTCGAGTATCCCAGCATCTGCGGTTAGCAGGTTTACGCATCCAAGTCGAGGGCCTTGTATATGATTGGACGAACCTTAACGTATCATTTCCTGACCTTCCCTTTGTCGTATTCACGATCTTGACGAATCTTGTCTCTCATTCTATCTAACTTTTGCATATACCTAGCGCAAATTGTATTAGGTCCTATCAGACGTGCAATTACTAAGAACAAGCATGTTCAAAATACATGCGTGATATCATATATAGAGTGCCCAAGACAAGCGAGCTTCTACGCGCATGCGAGGCCATACTTTCGCAATATTGGCTTGTAGTCTTGCAGCTCGGCGCGGCCCATCGTAACGATCGACGCGTTGTTGCTTGTCTGCGGACCGAACAGGCGGTTCGCGACACGCGTGATCATCTCTGGGGTGACTTTGTCAATCTCAGCCGTCATGTCCGTGACGGGGATCTTGCGGCCGTGAACGAGGATCTGGCGCCCGAGGTCTTCCACTTCGACGGAGCGACTTTCGAGTGCCATCATGAGACTCGACTTGAGCTGGTTCTTAGCGCGCGCGAGCTCCGTTGCGGGCACCGGCGAGTACATGAGCAGGCTGAGCTGATGTGCAAGATGGGGGAGGATCTGAGAAGGGGTGTTGCCACGCTGGCCGGGCGCGGAGGGGACGAAGGAGGCGAAGAGGCCGAAGAGGGAGCTGTCGGAGTAGATGTGATGGAAAGAGGCGCAGTGGTCTATTTGCGGGAAATGGTTGAGGATGTGGGTGTATAGTCGCGAGTACATGCCCTTTCCGGGGCCACCTGCAAGGAGCTGTGAGCTTGAAGAGAATATGTTTATTGTAAGACAAAAATACCTGCTGAGAAACTGCCGCCGCCGCCGAGTAGAACTTGCATGGTTGCGAGAGCATAGATGTCGTCATCGTGTATTCCAACACCCTCGTAGGACAAGTATAGGTGATCAAACTCTAGTGACATGTTTGGAACATGTCGGTAGCCACCGACATATGTCGCCTTGTTACCTAGCAAAAGGTCGCTCTCTACTCCTGCTGCGGGCTGGGAGCCTGAAACAAGGTATGACGAAGCAGCGCGAGTGAGGGATTTGTATAGCGAAGGGGAAGATGAGGGGAGTAAATGCGGGGGAACGGATTGTGAGGGAGGAACAGCGGTCCGTGAAGTCTGGGCGGGAATAGAAGTTGGCTTTATCGAGGAGAAGTGTTTGTCCACGAGCTCTACAAGCTCTTCGTGTGCCATACCGGCGCCTGCGATAACCATGCGCTCGGGCCTATACCAGTCAGCGAGACACTGTTTGAGGAGATTCCCGTCAATGGCGTCGACACGGTCCTCGGGGCACAGCAAGGGTGCACCGAGAGTACGGCCGCCGTATGCAACCTCGTGGAGGATTTCTGGAGCAATCATCTCGGGCTTTGCGCTGAGTTCACGAATCTCGTAGAGGCAGGCGTCCCGCTGTGCCTCGATTTCCTCCGGAAGAAAGGATGGGTTGAGAACAGTGTCTGCTATGAGATCGAGAGCGAGAGGAGTGCCTTTGTGGAAATGGGAGGATTGGTACATGATGGACTCGCGTGCGGACGAGCAGAGGATCTGGCCGCCTAGACGGTCCATTGCAGTAGACATATCTTCGCCTGTCCGAGTGCCGGTGGTCTGTGGTATGTTCAAGAAAACGATATAGATACATAGGCTCGCTACGCACTTTGAAAGCCATCCTGTCAAGGAAGTGACTGACACCCGACGTTGTAGCATCTTCATATCGAGAGCCTGCGTCAATGTACAAGCCGACGGACGAAAAATGGCCGGGTGTGCTCTCTGTCGCGACCCGCAGTTTGTTGGGGAGAGTTGTTATCTGGACTGGGGGCTGCAGGGCCTGGGAGTAGTTGCGACGACGAATAGCGTAGAGCAGCTAATAAATAACCCCTATTTACGACCACGCGTGTGTTCTCACGGGTGACCGGCGGACCGCGTCATTTTGGATTTCGGCGACCTGGAACGGGGAGAACACCCGGGAAATGGGAAAGGCGGCATATGCCGCCGTGGCGGCGCGGCGGCGCGGCGGCAGTGGCGGTGCACATACCTTCAACATTTCTTTGGACTCACACACACACTTTCTCCTTCCCGACTTCTCCTATGTAGTGAGCTCCTCAAGGCCCTAAGAAATGTATCACTGCGTCCAAAATCCTCAGAAGTAGGTGCTACTGCAAAAAGGGCGAAAAAGAAAGTCAAGGAGAACACCGTGATCGTATGTACTTTGTATTCGGCCTAGACGCTTCTTCCTTTCATGACAGACTTATAGGATGATGCACGATTGGCGTACTTTTTAACATGCAGGACTCATCTCACCACTCTTGTCGGAGACTGCATCGTACCGCTCGCCACACGAATACGGGCCAGGCCTCTCGCTACTTCTTGCAGGGACGCACCGAACCTTGGTGTTGATGACGGCCTTCAAGAGCATTTCCGGTGGCATGGTACAGAGTTACAATCCTTTGAGACGGAGCCGTATGAAGGGAGGATATTGTACTCACACAATCTTCCAGAGGGCGGGTCTGAATGCACAAAGCATATGAAGCTTTGTCTACTCGACTTTGCATAAGTAGCTTCCGCATACTTAGGTACGTTGTCAGACTACCCCGCTGGAGCCCATGTGAGAGCTGCATGAAAGAGGATGGAAACTGTGGACCTCTCGAAAGGTGTCCCTTCAAATAGCCCCTGAATACGCGTTGCCACAAGCGCGTCCCATCAATCTGTCGCGCCAAAAGGTACATTCCATGCGGAGTTCCTTGCGTCCATACGTTCTTGTCCGAACTCTGATCGTGAGTACCACCAAACTTCTGCTTCAGAACTTACCTCAGGTTGCTACAATGCATGATGGTGATAGACTCAGAGCATATGTTGCTATGCGGGCTCGTCTGGGTCAATGTCGATGATTAATGCCAATGAAGATGCATCCGAAAATGCGGGGCTTAGCACTATACAGGTGGTGTACGATAACGTAACTGAATCTGCGACCGCGATGTGCGCGCCAAACCTTGGTGTTGCCAGTGGTGTCTAGGATCACTTCCATAATCAGCACTCGATGCTGGATCCGTAGTCATAGGAAGTAGTTGTGGATATGTTTCAAGAGCGTGTGGATTTATGGATATGTCGAAACTTAGTGTAGGGATACAACGTTGGCGGATTCAAACACGCTCAGTCTTTGCTCTAGCACGCATAAGCGTGGCGGCGAGGCGACGCGCGGCGGTCACATCGTGGGATTTTTATTTTATACACCGCCACTGACGCCGCGCCGCCCAGCCTGCCGCCGCGACTTGCCGCCTTTCCCAGATCTCGGACTTTCTGGGAACGGGGGGCTTTGCATGGCCGGCGAATTCCAGACATTACTCAGTCCCCTCTGTTCTTTCCCGCCATGAAGAGGTCCGTCGCACTCGCCCAACGCGGCCATTCTAGATCTACTCTACACCTGATGAGTCTACTCTGACTCGCCGACAGTCCATCTCAGGAACTCGATCACCTCCACACCACTATCACCCCCAGAGACGCCGTGTGTTTGAGCCCAGTTGTCCAGCACTTGTCGCACGGTCGCGTCCTCGCCCATCATCGAGAACGGTTGCTCGTACAGCGCCATTCCCCCTTCTACTCCCTCTTCTTTCCTGATCGTTTGGGGTCCCATACCGACAATTTGGCGCGCAAGTGCGCGTTCGAGCTTCTCTCGCTCAGCTTGGGGTGCCGAAAGGAGTGCATTCCTGTACCCAAGGATCGCCAGTCCTCCCACACGTCCCTGCAGTCCACCACCTGCTCCTCCATGCGTGTACGCTCCAAGTCGAAGTCCGACAGCAGCTGTCGAGGGTGGCTGTGGCTGGGCCACTGTGGCGGCGCGTGCAAGCGCGACCTTCTCTCCGACCTTGGCAATCAACTCCTGGATAGCGCTTCCGACCGATGTGTTTGCGCCCGAGTTCGGGTCTGAGGCAGATAACAGTGGCGCATCTTTGAGCATGTCCAGGTTATATGATTGAATCAATGACGCGCTGTCCGATGGCTCAGCGAGGAACGCGGCCGTGTGGGCAATGTCCGCGGCCAGCTGCGTGAAGAGCGCGTTCCTCGCCACAAAGTCGGTCTCGCAGTTGAGCTCTACAAGTGCTGCACGTAACCCGCCAGTACCCGGCCCTCCTCCGTTGCTTTGTGGAGCATGTGCTCCTCCGGAAAGCACGCTGATGGTAACGAAACCTTCGCGCGCATCGCGGTCCGCGACTTTGGCAGCCTTCTTTGCACCTGACGCGGCAAGGTCTTTCTCGAGCCAGTCAAACGCGGCGTCGACGTCGTTGTTGGTCGCAGTGAGTGCCTCACGAGCTTTGGATATTGATACTTCTGTGCGCTTGCGAAGCTGACCGATGAGTTGGACGGAGGGTTTTACGGGAGCTGTCGAGTAGAGTCTAGGGGTGTTCAAAGACGACAGAAGGGCGCGGCGAGGGCAAAGAGTACGCAGCATGATTAACTAGAACGAGGAGTAGTGGTTAGGAACGCGTAGCAGTCGACTAGCGTTACGGTACTGTGTCTTTTAGTGGCGTATGTCGGCGGAGAATGTGGAGACAGGCCTCGGCCAAAATTTGCGGGGAGCACGTGCAAGTACGCCCCTTTCATATTCCGAGACCGCGCCGAAGACTTTTGTCAATCCATCCCCATCCTCTCTGCCTCACTTGCCATGGAGGCAGATTTCAAAGTCCCATCGTCAGTACCGCAGGACCTCCTTCTCATCCAAGAGCTTGTCGCTCTCCCAAAAACACAGACCAAGGAGCGGCCATCTGCCAACTCAAGCGACGATTCTATTGAAAGCTCAGGGAGCGAAGTCGACAGCGAGGATGAAGTCCAAGCAGACCTCTTAAAAGATGACGAGGAGATGCCCGGATCGGACCCGTACGCTCATATATTCACAGCTTTAATTGCCTACTAACAATCAACAGGTCTGATTCCTCAGACTCGGACTCGGATTCGGACGCAGACTCAGACAGCAATACCTCGATAGCTGCAGGCTCTGAGAAGGCTACCCACAAAGAAATTAAACGCGAGGACTCAGAGACCAAGCGTCCCAGAAAGGATGCCGACGACGATGACGAGGAAGCAGGCGATGCAGCACCGGCAGCATATGTGCACACTGTCAACGAGGTTGTCGAGCCAACTATTGTGGCTCCGGTGATCGAGAAAATTGGACCTGACGACCCTCTCGAGCTCCTCGGTCACATCTCACGCATAATAGGCAACGTCGTTATTATAGAGGGGACCACTGGCAAGCCCCTTTCTGCCGCCGCTAACCCTCGCACACTCGACGCTGAGACCCTGCTCGTGCTCGAAGATCGGTCAGTGCTCGGACATGTCAGTCTTTCCCCCTTGCTTCTTTGACATGACTTCATTCCGTTGCTCCCTTCGCCACAGATATATGAGACTTTTGGTCCCACGTCGGCACCGTTATACCAAGTCCGCTTCGGCTCAGCATTCCCGCTCGACCCAGCGCGCGTTTATATCGGGCGCGATGTATTCCACGTTCCTACGTGGAGTAACTTTGTCTTCATGGAGGCACTTCAACGCATGAAGGGCAGTGACGCGAGCAACATGCATGACGAAGAGCCTGCCGAGGACGAACTTGAGTTCTCCGATGATGAGCAGGAGGTCGCGGCACGGCGCGAGAGGAAAAAGTACGTCACACGTATCTGAACTCGCTCGTCTACTGAGTGATTCCTCTCTCAGTAGCAAAAGGGCTCGCTCAGCCTCCCTCTCGCGGCCTCACCGAGACGACAGCAGTGATATTCCAGCCTATAGTGCGAACCCGTATGACGCCCATGGCCCATATGATGACGGGTATGGGGTCGCAGGCCCATCACGGCCTCCCCCTATGCCTTACGACGACCCTTACGCTGAGAGCCCAACCGTTCAGGACGTTCAAACTGAGGACGTGCCCTCTGGCGGTAGCTTCGAGAACCGCGGGCCTTCGTCCTACAACGGTGCCGCCGGGCGACCACCACGCGGACGGGGCCGTGGTCGAGGGCGAGGGCGAGATGGGCCCGATATGCGTGGGCGAGATCGAGGTCGCGGCGGGCGACGACGGGGAAGCGGTCAGTACGGGGACCGAGGCCCAGGATGGGGCGGTGGTGACCGGATGGCAACGGCGCACCCACCGAAACATGAGACTTACGATCGACAGGTGTCGAATTCGTCGAGCTCACCTTCTGGGCTGCCCGCCACGAACGTGGCCATGGGACAGCAGCCCTATGAAAGTTACAATCATGGTTACAGCCAGTATGGCGGCCAGGGCTATCACAACGCGTCCGGTTATGGCCAACAGATGAACTTTGTGGAGCCGCACATCAATCCGCTCTTTGCAGCTGCTGCATTCGGGATGCCTGTTATGCCGGGGGCGAATATGAACGGTGGTGGGGGGTACATGCACCACCCCGGCCAGGCACAGCAGCAGCAGCAGCAGCAGTATAACGGCGGTCAGCAGTATGACAGCCAAGGATACTTCCATCAGACGGAAATGCAGAGACAAGGGCACGGAAGCGGAAATTGGGATCAGCAATGGACTCGCTCTGGAGAGCACGAGGATGCAGGTGGTCAGTAGCGCCTATGCGTCTACGTTGAAGCACACTGCGGCGTCACATCTACACTCACTATATCGGCGTTGCCCCTGTCCATGCGATAAAGATGCGCTTCTGGAAAATTTGGAAGGTCAGCTGGGACTTCCATTGGTCAAGCATATGATGGGCTACATATTTACGAACTTGTAGTACTCTGCGAACGTTGCAACGTTTGTCTGCCAATTTTTCCAGAACGTGCAGCTGATTTTGGCCACATTTGGAGAAAGCCCCTGTGCCCCTGAGCGCATCAGTGTCAACTCGAATCCGGTGGTATTTTATCTTCTGTCTGCACCCGCGTGCTCTGCCGATGTCCAACTCAGGTGGTGGCGACTAGTGGCAACTGGAGCTCTCAAATCGTCCACAATGTCGACCTACATCGGCACGTTTTCCGAGGACTTCTAACTCGAGATAATGCCTGACCGAAGAGTACTCTGATCTGCTCATCCATCGCTTCGCGCTACCGAAAGGACCAGCGGAGGCTAGCAGAGGCTAGCGTCGTCGACTTCGGAATCTTTGCAGTGCTTCTCATAACCGCATTGAACACCCTTACATCAGCATGCATGGGGAGCACCCCCGCGTGCTCCTCGCTAATTGTTGTATCTTGGCATATGCACTTTCTTCACAAATGCGCTGTCCCATCAACCATCTCGACGCACTTCCACATGGCCTCGCTCCAGATAACGGCCCAACGGCTCTCTGGTTCGCCCGAAGAACCCAGCCGCGGAAACGGCTTCTCTTCCATATACCCCCAAATCAGCGTTGCGATATGTCGTCACTCGTATAAAAGCCCGCTCGCAATCTACTGGCCTGTCCCAGCTGCCTGTGTCGCCTCATCTGCTCTAGCTGTCCACGAATCGCCATGTTGTCCTCTGCTATTCTGTTCTCCCTCCTCGCTCCTGCCCTCGCGTCCTCCCTCGACGCCAAATGGCTCTCCAAGCGTATCAGCTCTGGCTGCGCCACTGACGGTGCTGCTTCATGCTCGAACTCGACGACTGACGGCACCTGCTGTTACGAGGCACCTGGTGTAAGTTCTTACCATCTCGCCCTTCTAGCTTCACCATGCTGACATATCTTGTGCGCAGGGTCTCATCCTCCAGACCCAGTTCTGGGACACCGACGTGTCCGGTAGCCCTTCTGACTCGTGGACCATCCACGGTCTCTGGCCCGACAACTGCGACGGCACCTACCAGGAGAACTGCGACTCGTCTCGCGACTACAAGAACATCGGTGACGTACGCTGTCATAGATTTCACTCCTTCATGGCCAACGTATTGACATCTTTCTAGCTCCTGTCTGCCCAGGGCGCCAGTGACACGCTGGACTACATGAACCAGGTACGCTATCACTCCGCTTTTGAGTCCCGAGGGGCACACCACTCATCTCGCTATCGCTAGTACTGGCTCAACGACGATGGCTCCAGCGAGGAGCTCTGGGAGCACGAGTGGGCCACGCACGGCACGTGCTACAGCACCCTCGACCCGTCCTGCCTACCCTCCGGCTCTCCCACGGGCGCTGAGGCCGTCGCTTTCTTCGAGACGACCGTGAAGCTGTTCAAGACGCTCACGACGTACGACTGGCTTTCGCAGGCCAACATCACGCCCGACGACAGCCAGACCTACGAGCTCTCGGACATCATCGACGCGCTCAAGCAGGGCTCCGGTGGCGTACGTGATATTTCAATTTTGCGTAGTTGAATGTACGACAGCTAATCTTCTTTTTAGTACACCCCTGCTGTTGGCTGCAGCAGCGGTGCTCTGAACAGCATCAGCTGGTACTTCAACCTCAAGGGCTCGATCATCGACGGTGACTTTGTCGCCATCGACGCGACCGACGACTCGACGTGCTCCAGCAGTGGTATCAAGTACCCGCCCAAGAACAGCTAAGTGGGCGAACGGTCGCGGGCGCGGGCGTACACGAAAAACATACGAAGTGCACTGGCAATGTGAAGAATCCCGTGGTGCGGATTTGTATGTTGTACGGTCATAGTTACGCAACGTCAATACGAATACTACGAATTTTCATTTAAGAGTGAGAGTCCGGAGAGGTCGGTCAGTGGAAAAAGGGCATCTCTCATTCGGAGCTACGGATGGGTTAGATCAACATTGAGCATCCCGGCCCTTGTCACAAAGACTCAACAGTTCGAGGGGGATAAACCCAAGGAGCAGCTTTGTTCCTGAAGTAATACCCAAGGAAGACCATGCCTCCTCCCATCGATCACGAATGTCTCCACCTCGAGGAGCTTTTACATACGTATGCTATCGAGCAACTCCCACCTGGAGACCAGCTCTCGGTAGAACTTCTGCAGCAGCTGACGGCGCCTCGGGATCCGAAGAATCCAGGATTCGTTTCCATTTCTCAAACGCACGAGGAAATCTCCATCGTCCGGCAGGCGAGCGATGGGGAATGGCGAGGGCTCAAGATCGCTGGGCCAATGGATTTTGGTACTTGCAACAATGCAACTACTGTGTTTGATAATGCGCTGATTGTTGTGTGGTGGGCGATAATAGACCTTATAGGAATTATCTGTAACTTGACGAAGCCGCTCCAAGATGCCGGAGTAGGCGTGTTTGTGACGTCGACGTGGTATGTCGTTCAATGGTTCTTAACACCGAGGGAGGATTATCACTGAAGCATGTATAACTATGACTTTAACAGGAACACAGACTATGTACTTGTGAAGAAACAAAACTGGGCCAAGGCGAGGGAGGCTTTGGTGGCAGATGGCTGGAAATTCACTGAGAAATCCTAAAGAGCGGTCCCCAGTGCAAGTAGCACAGTTATGTAGCATAGTAAGAATAGTATGAGCATGTTTACTAGCTGAGAGGCTGTCTCAGAGTTGCCCGCGCGTCTCCAACCGCCGACTTGTTTCGCAAGCAGCGTCAACCACTCCGGCCTGGAGCCCCGTCTCCCCTTTCTTCCTCGTGGCTCAGACGAATATTCACCCGCACAACTTGTCCAATTTTTTACTTTCCTGAATTTTAGCGTGCATGGCTGAGACTCATGCGAGTAGTAGCAACAGCGCGCCAGCCACTCGCCCGAGGCGCGTCCTCCCCTCTCGCGCCCGTCGTGGCGGCCCTGGCATTGGCAGCTGCGACATCGACGTGATGATCCTTGATGCCCAGAAGCGCCGCTGTGAGTCCCCTCGTCGTCCCGGGCCTCCCGCCGTATTTTTCCCTGCCATTCTGTCGCCGTCGCTGACGCTCCCACGTTCACTCGCCACCGCCGCGGTCGCCTCTCTCCCGCGCGCGTGTCTCAGTCGAGAACGAGCCCCTCATCCCTGCCAACACCTCCTTCATCCTCACCACCAACTCTACTCTCGCCCCAACTGCCTCCTCCTCAAGGGACCCGGATGTCGACGCGAGTTTCAATACGCACGCGAACCAGCGCTATTTTGAGCGCCCAGACGTCATAAAGGCCTACCGCGCTCAGCAAGTCATACAAACTCCAGAGTTCCGCGTGCTCTCCGAGGACGCCAGCGTCGGGAGTCGGTTCAGGCCCCGTGGCTCAGACGATGTACGTGTTTTTCTCAGATTTACTACACTTCACATGTTGACGCCCCTGTCGCATGTTTCTGCGCGTCACCTTTTCAACGCGGCTTCTTGTGATAATTGTAGGACGCGGCGGACCTATCGGATGCAGCGTATGAACGGCGACATCGCAAGTACGAAGCCTTCGAGAAGCGCATACGCCTTCGCGAGAAGGAGAAGCTGAAGCATGAACAGTACAAGCTTCGCGAACGTATAGACCAGCTCCGGTCTTTCGACCCCTCTGCCTTTCTGAATCTTCCCGCTAGCTCTTTCTCGCCCATGCCTGACATGACAGCAAGACATCCGGAGGACGAGGGGGAGCCTTTATCTCAGGAGGACGTAGTCCATGTGAACGGAACAACTTTTCCAAACGGCGAGGGAGAGCGTAGGAGGCAGGAGATGCTCGAAGTTGCGATGGGCCTCGAAGAGCGTTATCGCACTCTCCTCCCTTCAGAGCGCAAGGCCGCCGAACAGCTAAGGAAGGCCGAGCTCGCGGCGCATACACCCTCTCCCTTTGCACAATTTTCCAACCACCCACCAGGGCAGCCCGCCATCGCCACTCTGGAGCGCCGCTCGTCCTCTGGCCAGTCTCAGCATCTTTTTTCGCAGACGCAGGTGGTGTCGCAGCATGCCGCGCAGACACCGGCGGTACAGCCGGTCCCCACCACGCTCATCCTCAAAATTAAGGTCCCCCAGGCGCGCTCCTCGTCCGTCAGCACGACAGGAAAACAGGCACGCAAGTACTCCGTCGCCTCACCATCACCCTCGCGCGATTCTCCACTTGGCTCGGTCCCTCCTCCACAGGAGGAATCATCACCTACACCTGCGTTTACTCCTACTGTCGGCCGTCCTCTAAAGCGCAAGCGCGGTCCAAAGCCCAAGGCGAGACCAGAAGAGCCTGTGATACTTATCCACTCCCCACCGCCTATCGCGGTCGAGGATGACAAATTATTTCTTGAGCCTGCCATACCCGAGGAAGTCGAGGAAGAGGTGGAAGAGTCGGTCATGATGGAAGAGGGAGATGAAACAGATCAAGACGAAGAAGACGAGCTGATGGACGACAGCGACGACGAGAGGGAGGATGGCCGGCGGCGCAAAAAGGAGCCGTCGCTCCTCATGCAGGCGGCCATACGAGCGTCGGCTGCCCCACAGGCGCGGAAAACGCAGAGGAATGTCCTCGCGTTTGGGACGAAGGTGCCGCAGGAGCTCGAGGAGATGCGCGACTTCGAGCTGCCTACGTGGCTGATTGACGAGCGGCACTTGGCTGATGAAGAGATGCCTCCATGAAGGTAGTTTTGGTATTCCGAGTTTTTTCTCTCTAAACATTTGGGGACCATTTCTTCTTCTTTGCTGCCGAATCTTTTCTCTCACTTGCATGAAGCTTACGCATTACGAACCTTACCATCCTCGTAATCTACGTCTGCACTCGTACCTTAGCCACGGCCATGATTATTCGGTCGAGTGACTGTATTGCTAATATTCTATACCCAACCGCCATTAAATCTCTAAAACGGAACGAAACATGGGCAGAAGGCTAATTTATACGCGAACATTGGCAGCCCCGGCTGGGTTTGCGGCAGCAGCATTTATCAGCTCCAACGTCGCCTTCCGTCGCCCCAGGCCAACATCACGGCTGCGTGCGAGGGAAAGACGGGCAAGTGCGAGCGGATCACGCTTCTTGGTGGCGAGAGAAGCAGCGACAACCTTGTCAGGGAGGAAGCGGGAGTATCGACCGCCGAACTGTTCCATAAGCCGGCGCTTGCCCATGTAGGGAAGCCCGTGGGTTTGCGTGATACGGAGCGCAGGAGCAGCAGGGGGGGCCGGTGCAGCTTTAGCAGCAGGTGCTGGCTCGGACGCAGCAAGAGGTCGAGCGGGAGGGCCGGACGGAGCGAAGAGGGCGTCGAGGTTGGTCTCAAGCTGGAGACGCCTGACGGCACCGTCGGCCTGGGTTTCGGGCAGCATATCGAACTTGTTAACGTCCACGACCGAGGCTTGATGCGACTCATTTGTTGGAGCGGCTGTACGCGTCGGTTTGCGATTGTCTCTGGACCGCTGTTTCTTCTGCTTGGGCTGACGAGGCTGTTGGTTCTGGTTCGACCGGCGCACGAGCAGTTCCCTGGGTGGGTGGACTTGACTAGGATCAACGCTGGCACTGGCGGCTTCTAGCTGCTGCTGCCTGGCCTTGCGTGGATTGTCTTTGCGTGTGTTCTTATTGCGGGAGGAAAGGTTGATAATATTGGACAGATCAAGCGAGGGCTGGCCAGAAGCTTCTTCTGTGGGTTGAGAAGCGGGAGCATGTTTAGGCTCAGCAGCTGCCTGCTGTGCAAGTTGCTGACGCCTGGCTGCTGCTTGTCTTTGAGCAAAGCTGGCAGGTTTGGAAGTCTGGGGAACCCAGTCGAGAGAGGGCGTGAACGGGGACGCGGGGGACGGCTTGATACTGAAGCCTGCCACGGAATTCAGGTTCCCGCTCAAAGTAATAAATGAAAGAGAAGGCACATACGAGTGTCAATTTCTGCCCATGTGCCGAGACGAGCCCCGGTGCGTCGCGGTGCAGGTGTCGGAGGAGCGTCTGCTTGCGGGCCCGACTGACCGGGAGCCGAAGACATCCAGCGGGCGTCGGTGCGCCTCGCCGCCGAGCGGAGAAGACATTTGACTGTCGTCGACCGCTGCATGCCGGAAACAAAGATTAGTCTACTCACTGTCCTTGAAGAAACTGTCACTTCCCGTTTCCGGAGACGACAGGTAGCCGTTTATAGTAATAGAGGCCCCTATCCTCAGCGTGCAATGCTGGTGCTCAGTACCATGAGGTCCTCAACAGCCAGTCTAGTTTCGCGTCTCTCGTTATTCAATGTTAGACCACTGTCCCCCATAGCTCGCGCAAGGCTGACAGTCCAGCACATGCCACTCAGAGAACATGCTCATGTACACTACCACCCCGTACCTCGAAATCAGATCTGCTCGTTCTGAGCCCACGTCTTTGGTTTTGGAGAAGAAGCGGCGTAAGCGAAAAGTCTCATAAAAAATCCCAAGATAAACGTCGCCAAATAGGCGGTAATGAATACAAAGAGTGTCAAGATACTAAAGGACAGTCCAGGACAGTAACCTACTCCTTCTCCGGCAGCCGATCCTCGTACTGCTCGTGCTGGCTGCTGCCCTTCTCGACCCTGTCGTCGCCGGTGCGGCCGTACGCGGCGAGGCCGATGCGCTCAGAGATGGCAGCCTGGCGCTCGCGGTCGGCTATAGCGAGTCCCTCGCTGTCCCCGAACACCTGATCCATCTCCTCGAGCGTGAGGCCCTTCGTCTCGGGGACGAAGAACGCGAAGAACAGGGCGCCCATGAAGGAGAAGGCGCCGAAGAAGATAAACGTGCCGTACGTGATCTTGGACATCATGGTGGGCGTCACTTGGCCGACGATGAAGTTGTTCATCTGTTATAACACATGTAAGTACATTCGTTCACTTTGTCTCATGTCATCCCGAATCAGGGATGGGGTAAGGAAGCTAGATCTTACCCAGTTTGACGACGCGGCGATGGAGATGCCCTTGCCGCGCACACTGAGCGGCCAGATCTCGGCGACGACGATCCACGAGCACGGGCCCCACGAGTATCCGAACGCCATGGAGAAGACCCAGACGAGCGCGCACGCGGCCCAGCCTGCGCTCGAGTGCGCGGTCCAGTCGCTCTGGTACAGTGCCGTCAAGATCGCAATGATGATGTGACATCTGAGATCAGGGGAGAAAGTAAGATTAGGTTAGCACTCATCATGAATGCGGGAGAGGCACGAAGAGACGAATCGTCGCCAGGCCTCGTCGAGGCTTCACCGCTCCGTGGGACGGGTACTCACGCGGCCATGATGAGAGCGCCAGAGACCATCACGGGCTTGCGGCCAACCTTATCCACCCAGATGACGGCCGGAATCGTCGCGAGGAACATCCTGTTGAAGATAGGCTTGAGAAATTATGGATGCTAAACCATGATGGTGGAACACGTACACAATTCCGACAACACCAGTGGCAAGGAGGCTGTTTGTGTTTCCGACAAGCCCGAGGGACTTGAAGATCGTTGGTGCATAGTAGAGGATCGCATTCACGCCTGTCCATTGCTGGAAAAACATGGTCAGCGCGCCGATGGAGAGACGCTTGAAGAGGGCTGGGGATACATGTCAGCTCCCTCTACATTGGGGACCGGTATACCACGCACTTTTGGTGGTGATAAGGCTCATATAGTCGTGCAGCCCAAGCTTGAAGTTTGACTTGAACGACCCGTCCTGGAACTGCGGGTACTTGGCCGCGTTCGTCTCCTTCTCGAAGAGATACTGCGCGCGGATCTCCAAGAACTCGATCTGCACAAGATCCGACTCGATGGGCAGACGACGCGCTCGGGAGAGAACGACGATAGCCTCGTCGTCGCGCCCTTGATTCACGAGCCATCTGCCTATGGCGTAAGCTACCTGTCTTGTGAATGAGCAGGTTCAGAGGCTTACCTGGGGGAGAATGGCATAAACATAATACCGGCGCCGAGGACCAGAGCAGGGACGAGCTGCAGCGCAAGCGGAAGCCGCCAAGCTGCTTCGCTCTGGGAGTCACCCGTGCCGCCGATGTAGTTTGTGCCGTAGTCAATCCAGAAAGAGACCATGATGCCGAACGTGATCGCGAGCTGCTGGAGCGCGACGAGACTGCCGCGAACTTCGGGTGGGGCGAGCTCAGCGCTACAAGGCACAACGCGTATCATGTCAGACCTAATTGGTGGAACAGAGTGAAAGAAATGAACGCACTTGTAAAGCGGGACGGACATGCTCATTGAGCCGACGCCCCAACCTGTGATGAAACGCCCGCCAAGAATTGACGAAGGGTGGTAGGCGGTTGTTTGGACGATGACACCGATGCAGAAGATGACCACAGCTGTTGAGAGAGCCTCAGTTTCTGCTCTGCGTACGGATGCGAACGCGAGGGAAGGTTCACTCACCAAATAGAATCGCGTATTTACGAGAGAGCTTGTCGGCGAGGTACCCGGTGCATAGCACACCAAACCATGCGCCAAGCTCAAGAATGGCAACGAGCCATCCCTTCAAGCCCGGATTGTCGACTGCGGAGGCCATTCGGGTGTCGAATGAATTCATGCTAAAGATTCAACGCATGTCAGTCGTCCGCGAGCTCACGAAATCCATGCTACTCACCCGAGCACACCAGAGAAAACGCCCTGATTGTAGCCGTACAGGAGACCACCAAGAGAAGCAAACACCGTGATGGCGAATACTCTACGGTTGTGCACGAGGCCTGCCTGTATACCACTATTAGCTTTATATCCATACGTCGAGTTCAAACTGGCTCAACGTACCCATCCTGAGCGGCCCTGCATAGACTGGCGCAGGTTTGCAGCATAGGGGTTGATACCCGCGTCGGCTCCTCCTCCTACCATATTGTTGAACTTGCACAAAGGAGGAAAAAGGAGGAAGAGTGAGACGCGTAAGAACGGCGAAGCACAACGACCGGTCTTGCAGAGCGGGACATATGCGGGGACTGCGTTCCTTTATATACCCTTCCCCGCAATCAGACGCGCGGAGGCAACCTAGAACAAGCTGGGAGCCAAATTGCAAAGGCGTGCATGATCGTGATGCATCAAAAGAGTCTGCGGGACGGCGGGGAGTCGGCGGGGTCTCACCGGACTTGTTCCGACGCTAAGCAAAGGTGCCGCGAGATGCCTTACTGGCATAGCTAGGCGTTACAAAGCGTTGCAATCGGGGCGCCTCAGGGCATATCGGGAAAGATGAAATGCAAGACGCAATACCAACGGATGCGGGCAGGGGGACCAGACGGAGTGTTTGAACGGTTTACCCGTGGTTGAGTTTGATCGTCACTGCCCGTTCCGCGCGGCCTGTCGCGTCTTGTGTTTTTTGCTGGCGGCACGAAACGGTCCGGGGCTGGAAAAGGGTCTCATGATCTTATGTCTGCAGGACGTTGAGTTGTTGGGCGAGCTCACCTTTGCTCTCGAATGAGGAGCAAGGAATGCGTGTTCGCTTTTTCCGAAACAAGCGAGATCACAAGCACCGTCCGACCGCCATCAGGATCAAGATCAACACTCAAACCAAGCTCTGCAGAAATAGCTTCGTGTGAACTATCTTTGCAAGTTCAGTTGGAACAGGTTGGAACTCTCATCGTCGTCACGATGATATGGGCGTTCTCGATCCGTCGCGGCTTCCGGGACTTTGTGTGCCTGGTGCATTGAAACGCGGGGTGTGCCTGGGGAGGACTCCTATGCGCTGGGTACCGGAGGCACCATCAAGAATGCAGCTTGGGAGAGCTTGAGCCAGCTCGCGAATGAAAGGAGGAGTTATGTTATCTTGAGAAATGCTCGAGCAAGGATGATGAGCAATCGCTGCGGCACTCATGAGATCATCGTGCTGTAGATTCTAGCCACTTTCAGCACGTCTTATAGTAACTGCCCGCAAGCGATTGTCAGAATGAGGATGGAGTTGTCTTCGAAGAACTTGGAGTAAAACATACGCACGACAAAACGTTCCATAATGTTGAACAGGTCACGATGGACTCCTCTTTGGTACGAAAGTTCCGAGGCTTGTCCGATAAAAACTAGCGATAATCTCCGGCAAGCTCTTGAGTGGGCGTGGTTGTAAACGGTAAAGGGGTTATTTGAAAGAATAACGGAAGCATGTGCTTTTTAGCCAAGCAGGTAATGAATCCTCATGAAGTTTGACTTTGAATTGACCGTTGCGCAGACCGAAGACGATGGAAGAGATGATCGGGCATGCATGCATAGGAGAGAACAGGTCCGGAAGCGTCTCTTGATATTGTAGCCCTGCAGAGTGGTAAACAAGAGAGAAGCCACATACGAGTATCAAACACCCAGCGGGCATCGGTGCACGTCACCGCCGAGCGGAGGAGACATTTGACTGTCGTCGACCACTGCATGCCGGAAACAAAGATTAGTCTATTGACTTCAAGCTTGATGTGCTTGTCACCTTCCGTATCCGGCGAGGACAGGTCCGGAAGAGCGCGCCGCCCGCCGCGTCGCCTTTGACAGCAGCCCGCGTCCACACCAGACTCTCGAGGGTCTAGTGTCCCTCCGCCGACAGGATGCACGTCCTCCTCGCGCGCCTCATCATCGCATTTGTCCTTCTACTCATCTTATTCCCTGTCTACTCCATCCAGATATTCGTCATATGGCCCTGGTACGGCAGCGTGCTCTCGGTCGAGCTTCTCTCTCTTCTCCTTCCTTTCAAGTACGTTCAAAGCCCCTAGTCGCTTTCTGTTCTAAACCCAAGCCCTTCGTACAGTTTCCTCTCACTTATGCTTCTGTGGAACTACTCTTCGTGCATTACCACAGATCCAGGCGGAGTGCCAGATTCCTGGGTATGCATTTAATTTACCATGGGCGTACGAGCTCACTCTACGCAGGAGCCTGACATCAAGTCGGGTGACGGGTACGAAGTTAAGAGACTTACAGGCGCGCCGAGACACTGCCGCACGTGTAAGAAGTACAAGCCTCCTCGATCTCACCACTGCCGTCAATGCAATAGGTCCGTCGCACTTTGACCTCTTGCTCTACTATTCCTCACCGGCCCAAGATGCGTGCTGCGAATGGGCAAGCCACTGACTCTCTGCTGTTGGCCAGCTTCTGACATCACGTAGACCACCATTGCCCTTGGGTGAACAACTGCATCGGACACCGCAACTATGGCCATTTCATACGCTTCCTCTTCTTCGTCGATATCACGACCTCCTATCACATGGCCATGCTTACGAGGAGAGTGTATGCAACCATGCAATCCACCTACTGGGTAACTTTACTTATACTGTTTGATATGATGTGAACTAACGCGCCGCAGGACGATCCTAGCGGCCTTGAGCTCGTATTCATCATCCTCAACTACGTCTTTGTCATCCCCGTTTTTCTCGCGGTCGGCGCGTTCAGGTACGCAGAATCTCATCCTATGTCAGGTCGATTCAAGCTGCATTATGGCTAATTATCCGCTAGCATTTATCATATCCACGGTCTAATGTACAACACGACCACTATAGAAGGCTGGGAAAAGGACAAGGCTGCTATGCTTGTACGGCGAGGAAAGATCGAGGAGGTAAGTTTGGGAAACACTTCCGTCCACTTAGAAGATAACAAACGTTTGGCTAGGTCAAGTTCCCATATGTGAGTGTTGCGGATCGTGTCAGGGAGCTACTGGCTGAGCTTCGCTTTAGCACCTAGGCGTGCGACGCAATATCGAATCCGTCCTAGGCGCCAACCCCCTCTTGTGGTGTTGTCCCACCATACCACCCGGTACTGGTCTGAAGTACCAGCTCTCCGTAGCACCAGGTAGATCTCATTCATCCTGCTCCTTTATTCACTGACATGACTTGGCCGTCTCTCAGATTCGCCCACTGCGCCTGTGTGGCCACCACGAGACCCGGCCCTCGTCGATGCCTCCGAGTTCCGCCTGCCAGATTCGCCGTGGACGTACGCCAACGGCGGATACAACCCTTCCCTCGCCCCGTCCAACGCACGTCTACGTTCGAACGGCGCCCAGCGCCGTCAGGCAGGCGCCTCGGCCCTCCCGCCGTATCATCCCGACTACCGAGAAGATGACGACGGGCAAGGAACATACGCGGACGGTCCTGAAATATACTCGGACGACTCAGGCGATGAGGTGGTTGCTGAGAGCACGAATGCCATCAGAGTGAGGAGGGGCTCAGAGGGGTACGAGGTGCGACCGATGGTCGATCGCGAGGAGATGTTGAGGCAGCTTATGGAGGAGCAAGGAGAGTTGGACAGATACCAGCGCTACGTACCTGAGCCACCGAGTGAAGAGGAGGATGAAGAGGAGGACGAAGGAGAAGAGGGCTATGAGGCGTCGAGTGTGGTCGACAACGATAATATACCGCTCGCAGTAGGGCATTGATACTTCATTTTGGACTTGAGCTTGGACATTGTCAATGATATACGCTGGCAACTCTGCAGAAGTTTCTTCAGAATTGTATTATGCAACATGGGCTAACCATTAGTAAACGTCCATAATCTACTAGGTATATACTACAGAGAAGAAAGAGGGTTCAAGGCAAGAGGCGACGAAAATAACCCAGGGCAAGGTAGTTAAACAGGCTACAAACGTTCGAGATATACCTTCCAAGTATGCCCGCCTTTCTCGCCCACTTCAATAACGTTGGACCCTGCTTGCAAGTCCATCATCCAAAGGCCCTGCTGACCAGCTTGATGACCGACTGCCGAGCCATTCAGCAGAACATGCACGCTGTCCGGTGTAGGCATAGGCATCATCGGCGCGGGAACTGGCTTCTCCTTCTCGGAAGGAGCGGGAGCAGGTGCCGCCGCAGGTGCAGGTGCAGGTGCAGGTGCAGCAGCCTTCGCCTTTGCCGCATTCTTCGCTGGCCTCCCCCGCTTCCTCTTCTTCGGTACAGGCTCTTCCTCTTCTTCCTCTTCCTCCTCTTCCTGTGCTTGCGATGTCACCTGCTTCTGCGCGTGATCCTCGCCGACTTCCTCTGTCCCTCCATCTTCGTCGCCTTCCTCTTCAAGAAACGTGACGCCGGCGACGGTCAAGGATTTCTCGCTTTGACCTAGCACCAGAGCCCACGAGCGTACGCCATCGGCGCGGTCAAGCATAATCGCGCGCCCCCTCGGACGGGTAGTCAAGCACACCCACTTCAGCGGGCGTCGGCCATCCAACGAAGGCGGTGGCGTGCGGACAACTGGTTGCTGGGCGGCGGCGATGACTGGAGCTTGGCTCTGTGTAGGCGTGAAAACGGGGGTGGGCGCGTGTATTTGTGAACGCTGATGATAAGCAGCGTTCGGATAGTGAGATGAGAATTGGGGAGCGGTGGAATATGGCAGTACTTTTGGGGGTGCTTGAACAGGAGTGGCGGATTTAGCTGGCTGCTGGTTGGCTGGACGTGCTGGGGGTGGCACTGGTGGGGTTGCAGTCTTCTTCGGTACGGAAACGGGTGTAGGAACGGCAGCAGGAGTGGGAGCGGGAGTAGGCGTAGGCTTATGAATAGATTTAGGGGCTGATTTGGATGAAAGCGCGACGGCTGGAGGTGCGGTAGGTGGTTGTTTAGATTGAGAAAGTTGAGTTGACTGACTTGGTGTTGATGCAGGGACTGCAGGGGTTGGCAGGGCCGTGGTTAAGGGTGACTTGGCAGCTGGGGGCTTGGTGGTTGGTGCTTTGGCAGGCTGCGCTTTCACGGGTGACGGCGGTCTTGCAGGCGCTGCTTTCATCGGTGTCGTCTTCGTTTTCGCGGACGGTCCCTCTGCTTGTGTTGCCTTCGTTGGTGCCATTTTCGCAGGCGGCGCTTCTGTAGGCGCTGGCTTCGTTGATGGTGCCTTAGCCTCGGATTGGGGCCCGGTTTTCGAGGGAGGGGAAGTGGCTGACTTCGGCTCTGAACTCTTTGCATTAGGAGCAGGAACACGAAGAGTGATGGTGGGCACAGCTGGCCTCGAAGAAACGTTGGCCAATGCTGTTGCTGCCGCCGAGGATGCCGGCACTCTGAGCTTCAGCTTTCCGATGGTAGGCTTTGAGTACTGAGGTAATGCGTAAGGAGAAGGAAGATCCGACATAAGCTGATAGAAGTAGTCCTGGATTCCAGCGTTAGAAACAGATCACTACACAATTGCCGAGGAGACTCACCCGGAGAGTAACAGCATCCTCCCATATCCGACTATGCTCTTGATTGAATATCTGGGCATTCGAGAACACCAACTCAACGTCCGCAGCAAAATCATTGGCAGTCGGGTATTCCTTGCGATCAAGGTGCTTCTGGACAATAATCAGAGGATTGGAGATGACGGGCAACAACACCATACGAATATTATATCGAAGGCCTGTGGTTTCTTGATTATCGTATAATAAGTCGGATAGAGCTTCTTGGGTGGGAGCTCCATGAACGCGTTGGACAAAATGCGACCCCTACAGTGGATGTGTGGGCATCGTCAATATGGTTGATAATGGTTACAGCGTACTCGTCGTTCGTCTTCTCTATGAGCTTCTGTAGTCTTGCCTTCAAGAGCCGTTTCATGGTCGAAGGTTTATTCTTCTTCTGTCCATCGTCTTCATCTCCGTCCTGCTCTTCACCATGGCCCTCTTTCTTTTGCTTCTTATCCTTTTTACCTGTGATTTTACCAAGCTCCTTGTGCACTGTTTTCTGTACGTAAAGTAGTGAGTTGCCAGTAGAACTTGAGCAATAAGGTAGCGTTACCTGGAGGAACTTTGCATCCTCCCAGAGTTCACTGCCCTTGAGATTGTACTCCTTAGCATTGTCGAAGCAGAGATCAAAGTCTGCCTTGAGCTCGTCGAATGTGTGATACTTGGCGGTGTCAAGTCGCTTCTTAATGTCATCGAGGCAAACGGGCTGCGAGATTATCGTGTAGTAATCAGGGTAAACACGCTTGGGTGGAAGGCGCATAAATGGAGGAGATGGGATGATATTGCTGTGTAAGAGATGTACATTGTGAGCGTCGCGTGTGAGTTCATGGCTGGCAGGAAAGCGAGAGAGAGAAAGAGGCAGGTGTATGCGGCAGTCGCAGCGGACGATTGAGTCTGAATTGGTCACTCACTTCTTGTTAACCGCCTCTCTAACGGTATGCCACACTTGCAGTCCCAGCTCCTTAACACTCGCGCTCTCCTGCCCATTCGACCCGCTTGCTTCCACCATGTCCACGTCCTCCCCATTCATCCCCGTTACGCGGCTGGATACTCCCGATGCCTCGTTCACTCCCGTTGTGGGCGTCACTGTGTCCTTTCTGCGCTTGGCGCGCGGTCCACCGACATCAACGTCCATGGCTAACGCACCCAGTTCTCGCTTTGACATGACCGCAACTACTGCTTGATGAAAATGGGTGCAATGGCTGTGGGCAGTTCTCTGGGCGACCCAGGGAAATCGGCGGGAACCCTTTACTGTGCGTATCGGCGTACGGGTCGAGGTTTCAAGCGCCCATCCACGTCCCTTCACGTGACCTGGACGCGTCCTCCGGTAAACAACATTGATCCACTTTAGTACGTTACATCACGCGACTTAGCGCGTCTCGCTCTTCGTCTCAAGTTGTTGGTTTGCTCTGCTGTTGGAAAAACGCCAATTTATGTCCATACACTATATTCGAGCATCTCTACATTTTGGATTTCAACGGGCCTACTCCCGAGTTTCTACTGGATGAAACGAGCAATCCTTAGTTCCCGAATGCGCCTCTTTGCTGCTCTCGAATGATTATTAAGTCCGCCTCTGAAGGCCCACGTTGCATCTTTCCAAGTCAGTTCCCCTTCTCGTTTCGCAGCCGACTTCACTGAGTAATTTCGTAAGAGTATGGCACCTCCGGGCTGAAAAAGTTCAGCGAACTCTCATCGATACTGCTTGAAGGTAAGCGACACTTACGTGTTCACCCATGTATGAGCTAGCGTCTACAACAAAGTCGTCGATGATAACAATACAGCTTCCCGGTTTCTTCGTGATATACTCATCGATATCCTTCAGGGACCATGAAGTACCATCCCATCCGTCTTCGCTGTCCGTTTGTCCAAACAATCCATGATGATGGATCTTGTGGTGCATGTAAAGCTTTGCTTCCTTTATATCCTCATGTCGTGCACGACGCAAACCGCGAACCAGGCCAAGCCGATACAAAGAATTGATGATCCATTTGGACGGATCCCAATCTATTGAGGAGGGACCCGACCTATAATCGTGAGGAAAGGCATGCTGTTGTCCCAGGTAAACGCCATTGTTTTCGACTCAAAGGCGACCCTTACGTGCTATGCAAAGTTAGATTTCAAAAAAAGTAAAATAAGAATGATAGCGCACTCACAAAGTTATGATTTCCTTCGCCGCCAGTGAGCAAGGCTAAAATCTGGAGAACACGTGAACAAAACACTCTTTGCCCTTGCATCAAAACCTACAAGGTTCCCTCTTGATGTATTCTCATCGGAATAGGGCTGCAGCCCCTCCCAGTGCGCTAGACTAATCTGGTCAAGTTGAGGACAGTCAGACATATGAAGTAAACGTACGAATTTACGAAGAATGTACAGTGCCAAACTGCATTCGATTTAGAACGTTCATAGGCCGTAGACAGAAGAACTGACCTGCTATCCTTACAACGAGGCCACCCCAGATATAAGCACCCAAAACATCATTCCACAAGTAACCCAATAGAGTTGGACAGATGAGCCCGAAAAAGAGAGCACATGGGACTTCATGGCATTTAGTTAGTTTAGCCCGAATAAATGGTGAAAGAACAACTTACTATAGTACTCGTGCTGCAACCGGACAACTGCATCATACCAAGGATTGAGCAAGAGAACTGCTCGTGGGGCACGTTCGCCACTGACCTGGATCGTTGTCCAAATCTTCTCGATCAACAAGGCTTATCCTCTGGTATTTTGGCTTGTAGAATATCCACCCTACGTGTGAGTAGAGGAGCCCTCTGGTCGCCGCATACCTGGAGCAGCGGACTGGTGAGGGGCGTGAATTGATTGCGGCACGGAAAACATACGGGTCATCCTCCACATCGTCTGTAAAGCGCTAATAAACTGTTGAATATCATGCAGAAAAAGCTGCGCCTAAGGGGGTCCAGAGGCACCTACATGGTGAAGGCGATGTCTAAGGCACCTAAGTCATGTTCTGTTGAGCGCTTTGTCCCCTAGAGACGACCTATTAATACATACCACCACTGAAATACAGAGTGAGCCTAGTCACTAGTCAGGGAAGGTGGTTACTTGAACGGCTCACCTTGATAGAACCTTGAAAGCCGCTCGATCCCAAGATTGCGAGGAGCACCCTTACGCCCAAGCTTGCGCGGAAAGCCCGATGTGAATAAAGGCGATGGTAGCCAATAGTGATCCTGACGCGACGGGCTTAAGACTGACGCGTGTTGGTGAAGACACGGATCACGAACTCACCCAAACACTGCGAGCTGCCACATAACAAATGCTAGGACTAGAGTAGCCCGAGGGACCGCACTAGGGGGCTTGTAGCATGCCCCTACGAGTGCAGCGACATGAACCCCAACGAAAAAGATGGCGTTGGCCCACCAAATTTCTGGTGGACGTTGTTCTTTCGTTGCCGTTATTGTCTTGGGCTGGAATGAGAGAGCACCGAGTTGCGATGTCATGAACCCGAGGCTAAACGCGTTGGCTCAGAGGAAGGAAGACAACAAAGTCCCAGGAGATACAGCGGAGGATGCTGAAACGTTGACGCCGATTTTTTGGGGAGTTCAGAAATAGTCTTACGCTTTACATGATGCACAGCTGAGCTTCGAACTTAGTTCCCGAGATCGGAGTGGGACCGCTCGATGTCGACCCAGAAAGGGACGCGTGTGACTTGGATAGCACAAGGATGACTTCGATGGCGACCTACCGAACAACGAGCCCGAGAGGTCCGATGTATTGCGTCAGAGCGACCTTTGATCAATCAGTTTAGCTTACTATCATCTAGTTAACAAGGGCAAGAGCCTTAAGCTTAAGCTTAAGCTTGGAAGCTGAAGTGGGAACGGTGTCTTAGAAATGTGAAACTGTGGCGCACAGGACTTTCATCAATCGACCTGGGCTTCTGTAAGCTTGTCCGCGATCTCTCGAACAGAGCGCACCGCAGCCTCGTCGGTAATCCAGACACCCCACTCGACCACTCCTCCCATACCCATTCCGACGGGTCGATATGTCACCTTGCTGTCGATCCACTGCCCACCACTCAGATGAATCTCGCCAAGACCATGCGGCAGAAGCGTCTCGATCAATGCCGGCACACTGAAGGCGTTGATTCCAGATCCAGGTAGGATAACTTTCGCTAGTGTGTTCGATTCTTCAGCGCATCTTCGACTTTTTTGGAGGATGTCCTTGAGAAATTCTAGGGACTCGGTGACCTTTGGAGCCATGCCACTATTGAAATTTTAAGCACTCTTCTACTTGCAAAGATACTTGTTTTACCTTGTCAAGACTCTCGTAATCCCTGGGATCGAAAATACGTCTTGCCATGCTGGCGGCCAGATTAGCACGAAAGAAACTGCAGCATATAAATGGTTTTATGCGTACCCGAACTGTCTTTGCTAACCATGTCAATCGCCCTGTGAAAACATACTAAGTGATGCATGTGAGTATTGGGTACTGACCCTGCAGTCGAGAGGGCTTGCCTTGCAGGGGTGATGCCTCTTCGACAAGACTGATAATGCAGTGAGATTTCGTGTGCAGTCCCTGTATGAAGATCTATTCCTATGGTGCTCACGCTCTGGTCCGATCAACGTCAACATTTCCGTCTGCTGTGAGGACGCCAAAAACAACCCCCTGAGCATCGTTTGCCTTGAAGTTTCGTATGTCTTCCATCATAACCTCAAGTTCTGTCGGAGAGTAGAGAAAATCTCCGATGCGGGGACGAATCATCGCCTATTAGCAATCAGCAGTGATCAAGCTCTGCTTATTTGTGGAAACACCAGACCATGAGTGGTGTTTGTGGCAGCGCCTGTTGTATAGCTTTGAAGAGCCCGGTGCTTGGTGTGGTTCCCCCGCCTGCACCCAGATTGCTGCAGACTTCAAGCCGATCTGCACCTCCTCCAACTGCACTAAGAAGAAGTCGTAAGTGATAGACATGAGGTCGCCTTTGAAGCCACAGACGCCAAGGCAGAGTCAACAGAGTCTACACAGACTTCAATGAGCAGTTTAGGCATTTAGAGCACGTCCAGGGGGGATCAATCTGTGAGAATCAAGACACAACAGAGTTTCACGAGGTCCACCATCACAAATGTAGCTGTCAATATGTCAATTGTCACTTGTTCTTTTCGACGTCATCATGGGCCCCGAATCCGTCGGACGTCGGCATGCAAGTGGTATCCGCTGGTATACGACAGTCATCCAGCTTTTAACGTTGGCTAGCTAATGCGTACATACAACTCACGGGTACAAGAGTTCTGTCCGAAGCCTACATATACAGATATCCGAAACTTACAAAAATACAGGGTATACAAGTCCACAAGCTCATTGCTTCAGTCCAAGCGACTCATAATGCGCAATAACCTTCCTCACGTCTGGGCACAGCGCCAGTCTCACGCGTTCACTCTCCGGTACGATGCCAGGGCCTTGACGTTCTATCCACTTACCAAGCGATGATGGACCACCATATGCGAGCGGGACAGCGCTCTCGCGTACGATCTTCGCCATCTTGTCGCGCTGAATCGACCACTTCAGCTGGCGCATGACAGGAAGCAGCGTGCGCGAGATGTACGGCGAGGATGACTCGACGTCGGGATAGACGTGGGATTGGTGCAGCTTCTGCAACGGATTGAGGCCGAACCCACGACCTCGCAAGTGGGCTGCAATGATGTACTTTGTATGCCGGCGCTGCAGGCGAAGGCCGCTCTCATACTGCTTGACGGACTGCATCGTTTGATGAGCTACTGCAGTGGTTCAGGCTGCATATGCGAAAGCAGGGACTCACGTGGGGTGAATAGAAGTACACGCCCATTCGCCACCTCCTCTCAATCTGTAAACCACGCAGGACGTTCCTTTGAACAAGGTCGCCGACAGTTGGTCGGAACGGTACACCAATGGGAGACTTTGCAAAGAGAGAGTGGGCAACCCGAGATGGTGCGACAACACGAATTCTCGTGCGGTGAAGCACAGGATCCGTTGTAAGGCGCGCAAAGAGCACGCAGACTTTGGCCAAAGAAGCAAGGTCAGGTATGTCCAAGAATGATACTGCGGAGGTGTTCAGTCATAATGCATAATGTGAGGACAGGGTAATGAATGCTACTCAACTTACAAATATGCAAGAGGATCTCAAAAGGGAAGCCCTGTAAGCTTGAGGCCAGTGAAGAAGTTCTAACCTCGTACGAGAGCCCCTGGCAGCCTGCGACGTTTTTGTCGATGGGGTTCATGCTTCGGCAAATGTGAATCGGGGAGTCGGGGGTAGGAACGAGGAGCGGCGACAAGCACCTGCGGAAATCGGAGGGAATAGTACGAAGTTGCCGCTTCCAAGGAGCCCAGATCTGGATTCTGCAGGCACGAATATTGCAATATTTGCCAGCACTAGTGAACATTTGAGAATTCGAATGGATGCATGGGGTCCAAGCTTTATAGAGCTGCTACAGTAATATTAATGGCCGTTCGGACAAATACTGCATTTTCCGACCACAAGTAAAAGTACTTATAGGAGTCCACGAGCTAGCGCTTATGATCATCCTCAGGCTTTCTCGAGCTCAAAGCATCGCATTTAAAAAAAAAACTTATTTAGCTCAGCTAAGGACATAGAAAACTGCAAGATTAGGGGCCTGTTAAGGTAGCAGACGTAACTGACAGCCATATGCATCTATGTAGTAGTATACGCGAACCAAGCTCTTTTCATACAAGTACTCTCCCGCGAATGCGCAGGTTGCAGTCCATCAACGAGGAAGTAAACAGAAATGGCGGAGTGGTGCTTCAAAAAAGCTAGAACAAGAAAACAGTACGGGCAGTTGAATGTCAAAGCTTGCAAGCAGCGAAGAGGGTCCTGACGACAAATGGGGATGCGCACGAGACGGTGAGACGACTTGGGTGCATACGATTGAGAACAAACACAAAGATGTACCCCTCCTAAGCACAGTGATCCGGATAACTTCTAGATCGACGAAGTTGTTTTCTCCACATCTACTCGGATTCCGGAGAAAATGGAAACCACCCCTCCGTTAGAGTGAGAGTCTTCACTTTGAGTCTCTAGCCCGGCGTTGAAACCTAGGTCGATAGCATCGTACGCGGGAGCAGGGCTGGCCCCACCGAGAGTACGCGTACTGATGCCAGCGGAATTCAGTCCCGCCTCGAAATGCATATCGTCTAGCTCAACCTCGCCTTCTTCCAGGTCAACAGGGTGGATACTGTCCCCTCCGCGAATGATCATGTTGGACGCCGATGCACTCGAACCGTACTGTGATTGGCGTTTGCTGAAAAGTTCTGGCTTGCTTCGCTTCCCATTAGTGCTGACACCAGAGTTGGCAGTGAATGGGCCGACGCCAGAGCCTTCAGAGTGAGCAACTGTTTCAGCACCTCGTTGGCGTAGGTCAAGAATCTGTGTTATATGATGAATGGTCTTTATAAGCCAGAACCGAGTTTAGCCAAGTACTTACAAGCCGACAAGCCAAAACAGGAGCCAACATAACGCTAAGTGGAATGTTGATGGCTGAGATGACCTGACGAGGTCTTTGGAGAAAGTTTTAGGATACTACCCGTCTAGTATACATAGCATACTTACTGAAGATAAAAGATGCCGTTGATCTGAAAGATAGCATGAAAAAGGCTGGTCAATTTTGAAACAAATGGTGCTCACCAGGTTCGCGATAGAGATCAGGATGTAGTAGAAGACACCTTGAAGAGCGGTGTCAAGGTTCGCTACGTCAAGATGAGGTAAGAGGGAGCACCTTCGCGAAGAAAGGTCTGGATTAGTTTGCTGCTCGGCCCCCCGTTACGGCGTCGCATTCCAATTGATTTCACAAGCGTCATGCCCGTAACCAGGGTGTCGAATCCCAGAGGAGCAATCTAGACCATGATGAGTACTTGTGCAGGAGCTAAGAGTCAAGGCCATACAAAAAATCCTGGGACTGGTTAGCCTTCGCCGTCACAAATGGATTAGGAACATACCGAGCAAGTCTGCAGAGCCTGGCCGGGAAACTGGAAAGCAAGGGCCCTGTGTAAATGTCCTGTCAGAAGTTGTGCCTCTTGGGCATCCGAAAAATGTGGAGGACGAACACTTGGGGATGGTAAGGGGAGAACTTAAGGTCCAGTGTGAGATTAGCGCGAATTAGAGCCAGACTCATGAAATCGCACTCACGCGTCATGCGAGATGTTGCTACGTATAGCTGGAAAGCAATGACACCAGAAAGTGTGAACACAAGGCCGCAAAGGAGGTAGTTGTTCCGGTTGAAAAAGGCGTATGTGCGGATCAGTAGTACAGCTGCACGTCATAAGCATCAACAAGCCAACTCCAATCACGCATTTACGTACACTCTGACCCGACTTGGTTCCACATTGCGAGGATCACTGGGATCTATGCTGGGTTTAAGTGCTTGCTACGCTGATTAATGGGTCCAGCTTACTTTGTAGATCCTTTCGCATTCCTCCTGCGAGTGGTTGGTGACAAAACAGTATAGCAAGTAAGGTACGACTGCAATAACCCAATATCTGACATACGTGTGGTCAACGACGACGCATCACACCGTGACAAGAGTGAACAAATTACCGGCAAAACAAGTACGACGCTTTAACGGGAGTCCAGTGCGACTTCCATATCTGCACAAAGGTTAGCATATATATGTACCATGGCGATTTGCTTGTAAGGCATTCACAAACTGCCATTCCCTCTGCAGACTTATCAACCAGTCCCAGACGACGACTGCATCTACAGGCCATTATTTGTCAGTGGTAGCAAGCTTTTACGTTGAAATGACACTTACACATGCCTGAAAGCCGCATATAAGCACACCCTCAAATGCAAGAAAAGGAAGACTTACAGCAGAAGTAAACCTGCGTGCTATCGAGCCGACAGGGGCCATAGTCAGGTACCAAGTAGTGTTCAGCGGGTATTTGAAGACTCACATGAATAGAATACGCGCTGCGTATGCTTCGGCGTCCATTAATGGGAGAGCGAGAGACTGATATTGGCGAGGTTTGGTTCAAGGAAAAGGCGGGAGGAGAAAAGTCTCTGAGCTAATTTATCGTAAGGCGAATTTATGTATGGAGACCGGGTGGCTGAGATGACCGAGGATTCCAACCCAAAGCATATGCACCGACGTGCGCCAGAGAATCTTGGACGCCATGAGAAGCGGGGAATTGTTGACAATTTCTTGAACGAGGAATCCTTTTACCTCATTGTATACGGATGGCGCCGCTCTGTTGACGCTTCCTCTAGGCACCTTTTTACTGAGCAAGACCGATTTTAGCATGCTTCGAAGGCATATGCATGTTACCACCGCCGCTATCTCACAGGCAACATTGCTTGAATAGAGACAGAGGCTGGTTTCAAGATGAGTAAATTGGGCGTATAGTAGTTGTTCCTGAGGAGCTTGCGAGGATCATACATGTGAAACATTACTGCCAGTACTGCATCGAACACAGGCAAGCCCGAGACTGAGTACTGTGTAGTGCACTAGTGAGCCCTAGCACAAAAGACATTTCGTGTAGTTCTGGAAGACTCGGAGATTCGGGCTGACATCCGATTCGGAAGCATGCAATTTGAGACTCCGATGACTAGCTGGCGCGTCGAAGAAGGGTTAAGAAGAGCGAGAATTCTTCTCCCGGCTCTGAGGTTGCTTCAAGGACTTTCAAGCTCAAGGATACTAGAAAACGACGTATAAATAGTGGGATTTTGCAAGCGCTTATTTTAGTACTTATCGTATATCACGTGATATTACGTATTGTGTCCGGGTCGAACCGCGTCGGTCCCTATCGGTCCTAAGCCTGTCAAAAACTCGAGCGGGGCTTACAAGCCAAGTTACAAGCGACGGCATCGAAAGCGCAAGTGTGACCCTTCAGACGTGTTTACCTCCCCACGACTTGCATAATGTCAACGGGAAACACACAGACCCTCCGGCTGAGGCGTACGGAGGATAAACCGAAGGCCCCTCTGCCTGCTAGGCACACTGGTATCCTCCAGGACCAGCTAAGAAGGCGTGTCGTAATGTTTGCACGTTGACATTTCATATCTAACAGCAAGGTAGGCATACTCGCAGACCATGGAACCCAAGTTTTTCTATGGCCGTTCGATTGCTCCTTCTCATACGTGTCGCTGGTGCGATGTACAACAACATCCAAGACTGCGACGAAGGTAAGTATTTCCGTCATGGTACATCCAACTCAAACATAACACTTTACTTCACAGTGTTCAACTTTTGGGAGCCGCTTCATTACCTCGATCATGGAGAGGGCTTCCAGACTTGGGAGGTCACGCCAACCTACTCTATTCGGAGCTGGGCCTACATTTTGCTACACCTCTTGCCTGCCCGCCTCGCCCTTGTGGTTGGATTTGGGAAGGTAATTTCCATGCATCTCTTGGTCGCAAAATCTTACGTGTTTCTATCAGCGACCTTCTTTCTTTGGCGTTAGAATCTTCCTTGCGGTCATCTCCACTCTTTGCGAAGCGCAACTCTGCCGCGCCGTAGTCTCCAAAATCAACGAGAGAGTCGGTCGCTACCTGTTCGTCATGCTTCTGTTCAGTGCAGGCATGTGGAATGCCTCTTCAGGTAAGGAGAGTTTGCTGAGGATACAATCAATCATTGCTTATTTCAATGCTAGCGTTCTTGCCTTCTTCCTTTGCTATGTACACCACGACTTTGGCCTTCTCCTACGCTGTGGAACCGTCTAGTCTGAAGAACCCAAGGCGCACTATGATGGCAACTCTGCTTTTTGCAACTGGTGCAATTGTGGGCTGGCCATTTGCTCTCGCGTTGTCTCTACCCTTTGTCATAGAAGAGCTCTTTGTACTCGGTGGTGATCGCGCGAGCCCGGGCGCACGCAGTTCCTGGTTGATGGCACGTTGGAAAAGGTTATTTACTGCAGGACTGACTGCCTCTCTTATTTTTGTACGTTCAGGCTCTTGCTATCTAAAGGCATCGTCTTAATTGTCTAATATCTAGGTCCCGGTCATCGCTATTGACAGCGTGGTATACGGGAAATGGAGCGTCGTTCCATGGAACATCATTCGTTACAATGTCTTTGGCGGCTCTGAGCGTGGTCCGGACCTCTATGGAACATCTCCATGGTACTTCTACGTCCAAAACCTCCTCTTGAACTTCAACGTCTTGATCGTACTGGCTTTGGGCTCCCTTCCTGCGCTTGGGGTCACATATCTGATTGATCGCAAGCGTCTTGGATTTACAAGTCCGAGTCCTGACCAAAGTTCTCCGTTCACTCTCCTTGGACTCCGGCTGGCCCCCTTTTACCTCTGGATCGGTATTCTAACGGCTCAAGCTCACAAAGAGGAACGGTTTATGTTCCCAGCATATACTCTCATCTGTTTCAATGCTGCGGTCACTCTTTACTTGGTCCGCGGGTGGATGGAGGTTGCGTTCATTAAAGTCACGAAGTCCCCCTATCAGGCAAATGGTTTTGATTTTACCTTCTCTTAATCAGAGTTAACTGTATCCTTAGGCATCAAAGACATTCATGTTCAGTAACATGACTTTTTCAGTTGTAGCAACTTCGGCTCTGTTGTCACTTTCGCGCGTAATGGCACTTTGGCACTACTACCATGCACCCATCATGGTTGTTTCACAGTTGCAGGTAACCGAGCTTCCCCGTCTTCTCAACGATACCGGTCTTGTTCCGCCCCCGCCCCCTGGTGTGCCGGAAGACGAACTTCCGCGCATCGATCTTTCCCCTGTTAAGGAGTTCAACCTACGCCTTTGCCTGGGCAAGGAATGGCACCGGTTTCCCAGCCATTATCTCGTTCCCGACGGTGTGCGCGTCGAGTTCATCAAGAGCGAATTTGATGGCATGCTCCCCGCCCACTTCGGATTTGGGGCACCTGATCAAGAAAGCTCGACTTCCTGGTGGGATAGAGGAGCAGCTCGGCGCATGCCTATGGGTTTAAATGACCTGAACAAGGAGGCATCTTCATATTACGTGGGTCGCTTTGGTCTCCACATCAGCCATATGCTGATAACAGGTGCTGCTGAAGGTCTCGGTCGATGATTGTGACTACCTCGTCGACCTTGATTTCCCTCATTCCCCTACTCAAAGCCTCCATGAGCCACGTTACGCAATTGGAGAAGGATGGGAACGCGTCGCATGCATGCCTTTCCTCGACTCTGCCCGGTCTCCCCTGCTCACGCGGACACTCTGGATGCCTGGTGAAGCTTGGCAAAGCATGAACCAGTTCGGTGACTATTGCCTGCTCAAGAACAAGGCTTTGGTCGGAGAGAAGGAGCGCCTGGCTAAGGTTGCCAAGAGCGCACATAAGTTGTTCGCCGATGATATTTAATCATATTGTCTACATAGAGAAATGACATGCACCCCAGTATATCAATTTAATCATAAATTCCACTGTCATTGCCAGAAAGAAGCGGATGCCATCCGGCTAAGGTGAGCGACTGGGTTGAATGTCTCTCGACTGCGGTCGTATTGCTCTCAACATAATAAACCGCTTGGAACTTCCGTTACCACAGGTCCCTCTGTTCCCCACCTCGTCACAAGTGCTCATCTGGTCAAGGCAATAATGTCGTTTGCGGAGTGTTCTCGTTATCAATCGGCTTCGGATTTGCACGCTGTGGCTGATTTGCCGTCGTCACCGCATGCTTCCGTTGATCTCTCGCACCTCTTCTGCATCTGCGGAGACGTCCCGATTTTTCTCTCCGAGCCGGCGGGGGAGAAGCACCTGCCGATGGCACCATTTCCTGTCTCAATAACTATGGACTGTATGGACACCAGCATCGCCAGCGTCTCTGCTTTCTTTCTGAGCGAGCTCTGCTCACCTAATCCTCGGCCGGTCTCAGGGCAACTTCATGACGACTCAAAGCCCACCAACAAGTCGGATTCTGTACTTTACCTAAACAAACGAGTCTCGCAGGCATGTGTCGAGGTTTCGTTGCGCAACTCTGGGAGGGCCAAGTCAATGACCGACCTCGCAGATGCTAGTGCTGAGGACGCTAGACCGCAGCAGCTTCGGGAACAAACTGCGACTCAACATCAGGGAGACCGCTCTTTGAGCCTTAGTCCCAGTTGCCGTTGTAGTACACTTGTGGACTCGCTTCCTCCTATCCTCGGCTCGCTGTTCTGGCTCAGGAATCTAGTGGTCGATGTCTGTATGGACCAAGAAGGATTCAGGATGGTACAGTCGACGATGCACCTCACAGGTTATTCTCCAAAAAGTCGTTCTTTACATCCCTTTGGGCACCCTTCGGGACAATCAGAGGACCTGTCGATCGGCGGCGTGGCAGAGTTCATGCCGTTCAAGCGAGAGTTGTTCGCCTTCCACCATAACACGGCGCTCGATGGGGGCCCTCCTATCCTCAGGAGGATCGCTGTTAACGGTAGCGAGACTCGAGACTACACTTCGCGCCTTGCTATCCTGGACGTGAAGACAAATGGCGTGTACACCGTTCTCGGGAACGAGCCTCTCTCCATTGCCTTGTCGGAGATAATACACGATAGCGCTGCCACGAGACCGGTCAAGTTACCTTGGAGGCTCGACTACGTCGTTGGCGATCGCACGGATAAGAGCGGGAAGGTCATCCATGGGGAGAAGACCTTGACTCCGCTCACCTTCTCGTGCTCGCCTCTTTTGCTACACCCTATGCAAGGAAGACACATCAGCCTTATGCATGTCGTCAGGAAGGCTGTCATGGGCAAGCTATCAGCCGAGAAGGTCATGCCGCCGACGTTCATGATGAAAGGAGTCTCCCAGCACACCCCAGCTACGGTAGACGGGTCCATCCGCCCACATAGTATTCATGGGCCACCAGTTACTCAAGATGAGGCCGAGACTCGGCAACACAGGGGGAGGACAAGTTTCATGCAGGTGCGACGAGATGGTGAGGGGAGTAGGGCTCGTTCGGCGAGCGCGATACTAGTAGCCTGAGCGTAGTACTACAGCCTGAGGGAAGGGAGCAGATTTTTCATTCAGGCTACCACTTGCCTAGATCAAGTGACTCGAGTTCTTCAAGGAGGAAGGAGGTAGTCGATTTGTCCTTTAGCTAGTCCATTGAATCCAAGTATGATGATGTAGCAGAGCGACCATAAGCATGAGCCTGAGTTCTTGCGAGACATGGACGTAGAGGTCCATAATACACGTCAAAGCGTGGGGACGGTCCGAACATTCAAGCTGACGGATCTCCGAGTCCAAGCCGGGGAACCGCGACCGTACCGGACCACTACCGGTACCACAGCTTTCTCTCTAGCATCTACCACCACCACCACCACCACATCCTCCGCTTTCACCTCGCAGTGTACAGGGACAATGTCTGTGACACACATCACTTCCACTTCTCAGCTCAATGGAGTCCTGTCCCAATCTTCGAGCAAGCTGACGGTAAGAGGCTGCGTATCCTGAAGTCAAGCGCTTGCAACTTAGGCCTGTCCAGGTCATAGATTTCCACGCATCGTGGTAAGCAGGGCACCTCCCTGAACTCAAGCGCACCCTGTCAACCAGAACAATAGGTGTGGGCCCTGCCATGCTATCGCACCGACGTACGAACAGCTGGCCAAGCAATACACCAACGTCAACTTCTTGAAGTGTGACGTCGACGCCGCCAAGGATGTTGCTCAGAGCTACCAAGTGACCGCAATGTATGGATGTTCCACTGAGGAGTTCTCTTTTATCTGGTTAATGTAATATGCAGGCCAACATTCGTCTTTCTGAAAGGAAATTCCGAATTAGAGCGAGTCCGCGGGGCAAACAGGGCGTGCGTAGCACCAACCTTGCTTTATGCTGACTTCGGGAACAAAACTGACGTGCATTCCTTCCTCCAGCGCACTGGAATCTGCCGTCCAGAGGTACTCGTCTGGATCATCCTCGACTGCGGCTTTTGTGGGCAAAGGCCAAACCTTGGGCAGCACTTCCAAGCCTTCGACCCCTTCATCGTCAAATGCGGGCGATGGAATAGGGGCTATTTGGTCCAACCTGAGTCCTCAGGTGAAGATTCTCGTTGGACTTGTTGCGGCATACATCTTTTTCGGTTTCATGTAGAATGTAATATTGCTATTCAGGATAACTATCATTTGTTGATTCTCGCGAGTTATTCTACATCACAATCTACACAAGCGACTGAGATAGGTGCATGGTGTTGACGGAAAGTGTAAGATCAGTATTCTGTTACAGGGTGGAGTTTGCGTTCTGAGCCAACAGTCCAAATCAGCTGTGTACAGCTGCTATATCCCTACATGCTAGTGCTCAGCGCTCAGCAAGTGTGTGTTGTCGAAACATTTGACGTACCCATAGCAGTAGCTGCCTGCTGTGCTGCCACTTCCTTGGCCAACTTCTGACTGCGGCCTTCGCCAACTCCTCTTTCGGTTCCATTGACTAGTAATCAAACGATCACAACGTCAGCCATCGCAGTTCCAGCCTCGTCCATATCAACACACCTATGCATCGCACAGTCCACCGGGGCATGTGTGGCGGTCCAGTGGATTCTGCTGCCCATTGAACACTATAACCCATCTGCGTCGTGACTTGGTTAAAGTAAGCAAGTCTAGGGACAGACTGTGGTGGGGGTGTCGCCCCCGGCGGAGGTCCCATTGGATAATCAGCTGGAGCAGCAGCCTGCGTGCCTGGTGGTTTAGGTGCTGCCGTGCCGGGAAGCTTGCGAGGCTCTTCATTGGGTTCAATCAGTCGGCTAACCCAAGAGTACACTTCTTGTATCCCTTTCTGATGATAGACTGCACCGATATAGCTGTTAAAAAGAAAGCGGGTCTCCTGATGCTATCGTGAACACATTGTGTGCGGGCCAAGGTGCGAAGACTACCTCGGGATTTTCGAGCTGCCCACGGGCTTCTCTTGTAGCAGAAACTTTTGACCTGAGACGATATAAGGAAACCCAGTTCATGATCGCGTCATCAGAAAGCCATCGTTGTCTCTCTGCCTTATGAAAGCAGTCAGGCAGAAGGACGTGGACTAGAGACTTGTGGCACACCTGCATCTGATTAAGCTCAAGTGGAGGACGTTTTTGAAAGGCGATAGATGTGACAACCATCGTAAAAACAGCTTCACCAAGTGCTGCGACGCGATCGGTGTCCCCGTATTCGGCTTCTGCTTGGTCTCCGATATCTTCAGGAAGAAGATCCCTGACAGAGTGATGCTTGAATACATCGAGCATCAAGTCACCCTCGATGGTGGGAATCGGAGGTAAATTGTTCATTGTATTTCAACAAGAATACGACAAGGGTTGAAGAGGTCAAAAGGCTGGGACTGCACAGCAAGGTCTGGATTTGATAGTGGGATAAATAGATGATACACGAGGAACTGGGTGGGCGCCTAGGAAAAGAAAGCTGGTCGGATGACCCAGTGAAGCGGGTCACTTACAGGTGAAACGGCTGCGTCGAGGTCACAAGGAACGGCTCAAAGTACAGCAAGTGATAGTGAGAGATTTGATTATTTCTGAATGGAGTGTTATGCTACAGCCATCCGAAGACAGGAGACGATCCACGGCGGCGAGGAAAGGAAAGCGACTGACCCTGACTGACCCCCTTTCCACGATGCCCCGAACAAAGCGGATCTCATCGGACCGGTGGACAACCCGTTCGGTAGCGGTCACGTGTGGGTCTCCTTTCGTCACGCGTTTGACGTTCTGCCTTTTGAGCTTTGAGCTTGAGTCTGCGCGTTTGGTGACAGCAGCAGTCCACTCTTCGACTCTCCAGGGAGACATCATGTCGGACAAAAAGCAGCCTCTCATCCCAGAGAGCTTCATCGACGTGCCCACGCAGCGTCTCTACTACCTCAGTCTCGGTCTCCTACTCCAGGTCCGTTCTTCAGCCATGCGCTCTTAGGTACTCATCCCCAACGTCAATTTAGGCTGCCAAGGTGTTTGACTTTCTCCAGAGCCTCGTTTCAGAGTCGACCTCTTACTACAGTCGAAAATGGCTCGCAGTCGACTTCCTGTACATAACAACTCTTTCCGCCCTTCGCATACCGCGCCTTAGATATGCCAAAGCAGTCGTACTACTTCAGATCTTTCTTCTTTGGTTCCTGGACGGTGTCATGTTTGGAGGTATCAGCTTCAACTGGCGGGAAACTATGACCGGAGCATCGCCCACATTCTCAGGTACGTGGTGAACTACTATCATTCGCTTAGTAGACTGACCCTTCTCCAGGTCGACCGGATTTGCCTTCCACTCCCGAACCTTTCAGACTTCTCGAGGTTCTCAACTCGGTTACTCTTGGCCTACTCCCATTCTCGCTAGAAGGCTCTCAGAAAGACAAGCATCTTCTCGGGCAGCACACAGTCCGCATGTCACCTATCAGCACCGCTCAACTCAACCCTGATGCACAAACATTCTGTTTGGCATCTCCTTCTTCCAGTGTTCTCATCCCTGTAGTTGTTAACAACACTGTTCCGACCAACATCAGATATTCTTACGCGCCTCTTACGTACATCGAAGGAAAACCTGGGACTGGGCGCATTGAATACGCGGACCTGAGTGCCAAGGATATCAAGGCGATCGAGCAAGCTAGACAGGAAAGCCTACAGGTCGCACGAACAAACGTAGCAACTCGGGACGTTAATGATGACGACTACGACGAATATGACGACGACGAATACGACGAAGGAGATACGGACCCGCAAAGTCGCCTTCAGAAAACAGAATCCCTGGCTCACATACGCGTTACAAGACCAGGCACGATCCGCCTCGAGCGAGTTCTGGACAGCTCGAATACTGGGGCTCGGCTCTTTTATCCTTCTGAGGTCACGGTAGCTCCTTGTCCAACTGCACAATACCAGAAGCAGCCCGCCGCTGCGTCTGAATACGTCCGCTGTGCCGGTGATACCGCTAAGGACGTCGAGCTTAAAATCGACATTACCGGTGTGCCTCCTTTGAGTCTACGGTGGTCTAAGGACATCAACGGGAAAAAGGAACATTTCCTTGTTGAAGGGATTGAAGATCAGCATGTGCACAAGCCCGATGACTCCGAAAGCGAGCTCCACAGAGCCAATTACGCTCCCCAAAGACTCGAGGTGCCCTTATCGCCCACCTTGCATACGCTTGGACGACACCTTTACGTTCTCGAGTCTATTATCGACGGGCTCGGCAACGTTGTGCATCTGGACTCCTCGGAGTCGTATGGACATCATGACGATGATATCAACACCTCCAAAACCAGTCGCGTTCTATCTGTCTTGCGTCGCCCCAAGGTCTCTTTCAATCAATGCCGCTCTGGCATTCCTATGTCGCTTCTAATAGGAGAGAAAACCGACCTTCATGTGTCAATCAGTGATGCAGACAAGTCGGATGGTCCTTGGAACGTGGCGGTTAAATATGACCCCTCTGCGGAGGCCGGCAAGAAGGCACAGTCTTGGACGAAGTCGCTGCAAACGGGTCATGGTGACAAGAAGTTGACACTGGCTGCCGAGGCGCCGGGCGAATATACAATTCAAAGCATCAAAGGAAAGGTATGTATGATTGCATAAAGTCGTCGCTCAAACTAATTTTTGTCAAGTACTGTGAAGGAGACGTGTTAGAGCCAGAGATATGCAAAGTGGTCGAAAAACCCAGGCCCCGAGCTGAAATCGAATGGACCCGAATCCATGAATGGTGGGTGGCTTGTTCGTGGTTCAACTTCCCCGCTAAAAATAAGTAGCTCTGGGGATACTGGAGTTTTGGCGTCGTTGGTATTCCACGGAACGGCACCTTTCCAGGTCTACTACCGCACGAAGCGCGACGATCAAACTGCACGGGAGATGGTCAAGACCTTTGCTAACTCGCGCGGAGAGTTGACCCTTCAACCTGAGCACAGCGGCCACTATAGATATAATTTCTTCCAGATCAGTGATGCGAACTACAAGAAGGTTGACTTGAGTGGGCCTAGCATCGAACAAGTCGTACATCCTCTTGCCACCGCCGAGTTCTCTGATGTTGGTAGTTCTGGGCCCAGGAAGAAGATCTCTGGGGGCTGCGAAGAGAATAACGTGAACGTGAAAGTCGACCTGAGAGTGAGTGACCTAGCTGTATGTCGTTTACTCTAAGGTTACTCACATGTGATACAGGGAAGCGCCCCTTGGAACCTCGAGCTTCAAGTCATTAGTCCAAGTAGCGCAGACACCATCTCGATAAAGAACATAACTTCATCCCCTGCAACATTCCAAATTCCTGTACCTGACCTAATCAACAAGGAGGGTGGCGTATTTGACATTGACTTAGGTGTGTACATCCCCCCATATGGCTTGTCCATTTGAAGGTGACGTTTTCCTAGTTAATATCGAGGATGCCAATGGCTGCAAAAGGCCGGTGGTTGTCCCTGGTTTATCGGTCAACGTTCGCAGAGTCAAGGTAAATTATAGTGGTCGATACAAGCAGCGTATACCTCTGATTTCCCCTACAGCCCACAGCTAAGTTCTATGGTAAAGAGGGACAGAGACAAGTCACAGTACTGGAGAACGAGCGGGCCGAATTGCCTTTGCGTCTCACAGGTGAAAAGGTAAGTTGATCCCTCATTCTGGATTGGTATAACGCTCACCGTTAGTGGTAGCCGTGGAAAATACGATACCGGCTTCGCGACTCGTCAGGACGTATCGAAACCGCCACACTCACTTCTCCCAATGACCATCTTCCTGTGCTGCAAAAGGGAACATATGAACTTGTCTATGTGAGGATCAGGCCTTCATCTCCTTTGTCCGTTGACTGACTATGACCAGGTACAAGATGCACAATGTCCCGGAGTGGTTGTTGAGGGCCAGGACACTTATGACGTTGACTGGGTGCCCCGACCATCCGCACGTCTTGCACCTGAAACCAAGGCGACATATGAGGCTTTCAATCGTTCACAAATCCTCGATCCGATTTGCCAGGGACGTGACGACCATGTTGACCTTGAGCTGACAGGTGAGTACAATCCGCAAGGTTCATATTGTTATTGCCTAATCCTGGATCAGGTCGTGCCCCCTTCCAGATCATGTACAATATCGCTAGAAACGACGAGCATGGCGGCACCGCGGTTCTGGACCAGCCTACATTCAGTAGCATACAGCCCCGGACTCGCTTCCAGCTCCACACCTCGACGTCTGGACGGAAGTATTATGAAGTCAAGCAGATCGGCGATGCGGTGTACCCCCTTGCTCAACACAAGAATGCAATTGTCCCTCGGTCGGAACGGCTGCTCTTTGAGCAAGAAGTTCTTATGCGACCCACCGCCGCATTCAAAAGCGATACTCGGATGCAATTCTGCCTCAACGAGGCGTTCACGTCACACAATGGTGACGGCTACGTTCAGCTGCAAGGGACGCCGCCTTTCCAGGTCGAGTTTGCTGTAAAGAGTCTGGTATCCAGCCAAGTGCACACGGAAACTGTCGAGGTGCCAGACAGGATTTGGAAACTGGACCTCCCCAGCTACTCGTTCTCTTCCATCGGGCCTCATCGCGTGTCTATCGTTTCGATTCAGGATGCCTCACACTGTGAACAAGCCGAGCTCGACCCTGAACGGCGCGCAATCTGGGTCGACGTCGCTGAAGCACCTTCCATTATCCCCATCGACCAGAGGGCCGACATCTGCGTGGGCGATGTCACTCGTTTCCAGCTCGAGGGTACTCCTCCGTGGTCTGTTGGGTAGGTATGCGTATCTAGTGTACATGCACTCAGCTCACGCAACTTTGCAGATACCGCATCAATGGGAAACCGTATACTCAGGATGCGAAGTCATCTCCTTTCTCGCTACTGCAACAGCAGGCTGGAGAGTTCACCGTCACTTCAGTCGCACATCAACACAAGCTCTGTAAAGCTACAGTTACCGACTTGCACTACAATGTACATGAGCTGCCCTCGGCACAGGTGGGTCATGGAAAACGCGTGTACCAGGACATCCACGAAGGTAGTTTAGCTCTCCTGTATTGTTCCGTATGAAGCTAACGTGACTATGTCTCATTATCCAGGTGATCAAGCCGAAATTTTATTCACGTTGATTGGAGAGCCGCCATTCACGTTCACATACCAAAGGGCTGAAGCAAGCCCGAGAAAAGGTGGCAAACCAGGGAAAGTTCTGGAGACGCACACCGTGTCTGGAGTTACGACTAATGAATACTCAATATTCTCCGCTCTTGAAGGTCAGTCCTTGTTTTCTGCCTTGAAGATGTTGGGCTGACAACTTAATTTCTAGGGACGTGGACTGTCACGTCTATCACGGATCGCCACTGTCGATACCCACCAAATCCTGCCGGGACTGGGGACAAGCAACGCTAACCTCATTTCATTTCACGAAAATGCTCTCAATAGAATCATTCATGTATACTTATCATATTGACTCATAATAAACCACTGCGAAATACTGATATACAAAGGAGTTTGGGTACCATTGTTCGGACTATGCGTGCTCTAGACTTGCACAGAAGAAATGTAGAACCACTTGGAGACTGCGAAACAATTGATCAGCATGTCTAATGGTTTGATGATGGATGTCCTACTGGAAGGGTCAACAGGAGCAGGAGGCTTCCTGGAGTCAGTAGGCAAGCCAGTGTACGACGGGTCGTTGCGGCTGACGTATCCAGGAGAGTTCGGGTTTGTGATATTACGGCTAAAAGAACAGATGAGCAACTGAAAGCTGTCATTAAACGAACACATACATAGAAAGGTCGTAAGAAGCGGTCTTGGCCGGGCTGTCACCGTTGATGAGGCGGCGCCATGCTTCATGGCACTCGTGGATGATCTCGGTGGCGTACTTCTTGTTCTTGGCCTCACCAGAGAATGCGAAGGCGTTCTCGCCCTTGCCGTCGGGGATCTTGTAGATGCTACATACCACTTAGAATTCACATATTTTGTACTCAAGAATTAACGTACCGGAACCACTCGTTGGTCGCCCTGATAAGGCCGGGCAGGTGGCGCTCGACGTCTTCGATGTCGTTCAGCTTGGACGCCAGCGGGTCCTGGACATCAACGACGATGACCTTCCAGTCGGTCTCGCCCTCATCGAGAAGAGCCATGATACCGAGGACCTTGACCTGCTTGATCTGGCCAACATATCCGACCTGTTCGCCGATCTCGCAGACATCGAGCGGGTCGTTGTCGCCCTTGGCCTTGGTCTCGGGGTGCGTCTGGGTGGGGTCCTCCCAAGTCTAATATGCATTAATGAAAGACACATGGCAAAACCAGAAATAAACCACGGCACGGGTTAGCCTGCATACGACCACGGGCGCTAAACGCGCATAAAGTGTGCCAAAGGGCGACGCACCTGGGGGAACGCGCCGTAGTTCCAGATGTAGCCGTGGTGGGGGAAGCAGTTGCGGACGTAGCGCAAGCGGCCCTTCTTGATGTCTTGCTTGATCGGGTTGAAGGCCTCCTCCTTGGAGATCTCCATTTTGGCGTTGGTCCAGCGAGGGACCTCGACGATCATGTTCATGATGCCATTGCTCTGGTCGGCGAAAAGCGGGATGTCATGGAAGGAAGACACAGGCTGGCCATTGTGCTCGATAAACACCCTGTGATCTATCACGATGTCGGGCATCAGCTAGGGGTCATGACGTGCACAAGACCAAGAGAACGCACCGAGAGTGTTGGGAGCGCCAATGAGGCGGGTGGTGTACTCTGTCGGGAGGTAAGCGGGCGGCGAGAAATTTTCAGAACGGTAGTCAACATACGGGACATTGCGACTCTGGAGGACAGATGACGGAGATGCTGGGAGAGTCGACTGGCTGCTGTCTGGGGACCGGTCATATCCGTCGAAATTCGACTTTTATATCGTACGAAAACCTTAACACGGGTGATTATCGAGTTGCAATCGCTTGATACACACCAAATTGCAAAGCTTCACACCATCCTCGTTTGCTACACACCCCTAATTACATGCCACGACCCTGAACTGCTTGTGATTGACCACTTGTTTCGCCAGAACTCAAAACTCGCCAGGCAGTACACCGTTGCCACCCTTAAAACGGCTACCGCCACCTTTGGAAAATGCGCCGTTGAAATCCAAACGCAGCAACAGCCTCTCAACATGCCTCCGCACTTCCCCATCCCCTTCGAGTCCCTTAGCACCCTTTGTCCGTACGTAAGTTCGCTGGAAAGTCGACACGCTGGCCAATGTGCTGTTGGCTAGAATCGATTTTGAAGCATCGGCAGTGGCATTAAATGGTTGGTTTGATGTTGAGATTGAAAGCTGCTCGTAGAAAGAGTTGAGAAGAGTGTGAAAGACCTGCAATTTTCCGTCAAATTAGTGCTTCCTCAAGAAGTAATGGGGATATTGACCTTGTTGATCTCAGTCACTGTTTCGAAACGTTCCCGTACCATTGTTCCAACGTCATCCCCAGATCCTAAGCTTCCTTCGAACAGCAATGCTGGGAGAATATCACCTCCCCAGCGCTCCACTTGCGCAACAAACCGATCGCAGACCTGAAAGATTGGTCTTATGATCGCAGTCAGTGCAGGGTTGGACAATAGGCAGCCAGTAACAAGCCGCTCCAGGTAGGTGGTGTGGATGTTTCGAAGTGTTGTGAAATCAAGGTAAGACGGTGATGTCGTCGCCTTCTCATCAGAATACGGATGTGAAGACCCAGATCGTTGACGATTTCGGATGGATTCACTGCCTGCGTAAGGTTTGCGAAGGAGGTCTTTCAGGCGGCGATGTTCCACATCTACAACATCGATCATCACGTATCCCAGTAGTGTGTCCAAGAACCATCCCATATCTCGAACCACGCTCCATCCGCAACGAAGAAGTTCCTTCCTCCTGTTTAAATCCTCTGCGGTGCCTCCTTCGCCAAGTCCCGTCCATCGTCTTCGTGCTCTCTGGGCGTTCGAGAGCGATGTCCAGCACCCGTGAATGCGAATATGAGTCCTCCTCAGAGAAGAAAGGTAATTGAAAAGGGCCGAGTATATTTGGAGGTCCACAGCATAGAGGAACAGATCCAAAGGCCAAGATATGGCATAGGACAAGATCAAAGGAGTTCCAAGTACAAGATCATCAAAGGTCACCATCTCTGCCTGATTGTTGGTAGTAGATGAAGACAGTGCCTGGGGATCACTGCTCAGCGAAGGAAGGAGAGGCCTTAATGGCCCTGAGGGGAGCTGGAAGTGAAGAAGTAGTAGAGCTGAGTCGTGCTGAGCGGTTGTTCCTAGTGATGCGCGAAGAACGGCAAGGTTGAGGTCTTGCTCTCTGATCAATGAACTACCTGCTGTGCGAGCAGCCAGCCGTGATATTTTAAGGCGTTCTATCTCACGGATGAGGGCCAAGCTGAATTCTCCGTTGCGAAGCAAAAAGTAGTTTGCACTAAAAGAGAGCAGGTCAACGAATTCCAGTAAGTATATATCGGCAAAGAACTCACAGGGATTCGACAGCATCTTCGACGTCTTTCTGTGTGAGGACATGCTGCCATAACCACTCACTTACATTCGTCCTGATTTGTGAGAGGACACTATCAAACTTGTATTGGTCCTCGGGCCATACAGACTCTAGCAGAGAAGCATGCTGCAGAGCAAGATCCCGTGGTAGTTGTTTTTGCCATTTGTTAACCTTGACTGTGGCTATAGCTCTACCAACATAGATGATTGATTCCTTTGATTCTTCCGAGATACAAGTAGGCAATGAACCATCTACAAGGATGTAGTCCTTGGATGCCAATGGATCTGTAGATGACAATGCGCCGTGAATGAGGAGCGAGGCAAGCTGGGACCGCCAGATGCGTTGGACAGCGATAGCTAGACGGCTGATAACATCATGTATACGATAAACGCCAGTCTTGGAGCGTTCTAGCAGCATGTCAATCAGCGGTCCTGGGCGCCACTGATCCTGGGACTCGAGGTGGCGCATCAGAGATTGGAGAGCGATGAGAGGGGCATCCCACTGGGCAAAGGTGGCGCGTATGGCGGAGAGCGGAACAAACGAGCCTTGTCCGACGAGGGAGGGATCGCGTTTCAGGACTTTGGCTTCAGTTTCCACCACGAGAGACTCGTATTCGTCTTTGAGGATCTGACTTAGAGTAGCACAGAGCGCGCATATGTAGCGGGATGAGGAGCGAGACAAGATAGCACAGGAGGCCTTGATCTGTCTATAACGCGACGCGATCTGACCGAGTGCTTCGAGACATTGCTCTTCTCCTGGATGTAGAAGGGATCGGAAAGAGGGATGGAGCCGATGGTCATCAGGAAAGAGGGAGGATTCATGGCCTGCAAGAACCAGAAGTACTTCTGCGATCATAGCGGGAAAACTTGGGGGTCAGTCATTACACGATAGTGAGCGTACTATAAGAGTCTTGAGGGCGAGGCCACCTACACTGAGACGCGACAAGGAAACAGTGCGCGCGCGTCAATCTAAAAATAGCACAGCGACCCGACATTACACGTGTAAATGCGATAGATAATTATTAGGCTAATCAACACCGACACGGTCACACAATTCCGAACGCCTCGTAACTTGTTCATCATGTCTGGCGACGGCCACACAAGTCCAAAGGCAGATGCACTAGCAGGAAATCGGCTCAGCTCGGACATCGACGACGCGTTCGAGGACTGCGGAGACGACGACAGCACTTCGCTCGAGCTCGACTCCGCAGCAATCCGGAAGCAGCTTCAGGAGAACTATGCTCAGGACGGTCAAGAACATGCTGAAACGGAAGCAGGCTCGTCCGTTCATGGCCAGGATACGTCTGTCTCTACCTTCTATCTTGATGGCTCCACCAGTGGCGACCCCAACTCTCGGCCACTTTCATCTCTAGCACACTCCCCCGGAGGGCCTTACACTCCGGACGAGTTTAACATTGATTTCTCCAAAATATCTCTTTCCGAAGACCCTGCCGAGGTTGCACAGGAAGATGACAGTCTAGATGCGAAAGAGGAACCCCTTGAGCACGAACAAACTGTTGGCGACCATGACCCGCGAGCATCCCTCGCTTCTGAATTGACAACCTCGGGCTCCGAAGACCGCGCAGGGAGTCCGATCAGGTTTGCAACCGAGTCAGAGGAAGAAAGATCGATAAGTTCTGACGATGTCACATCTCTACCCCGAGAAGAAGAAAAGAGAGAGCCACCGCCCCAGCACCCTTCGGATTCACAACCAGAGACACCAGGGGCTGCGGATTCTACAAAGCACTCGTATTCTTTATCTCAACCGCCACCCTCAAAAACATCTTCAAGCTCGGTGCCGAGACCAAAGCCAACGAGGTCTGCTGGTCCCAGCGCACTGCAAAAAGTCGTCAGTAGGACTCGTCCACCCTTCTTGCCTCCAAAGGACAAGAGAGAAGATGAGAAGCATCTCCAGGATTGGGAGACCATGATGGCGCTCAGTCGTGTGGCAGGTGAGTTGCAACCATATCTAAGCCGACCCGGCGAATAATCCGCCCGTCAGAGGAGAAGCGGCGCAAGGCGCTTCAAGAACGTAGGGCAGCCCGCGAAGCCAGGATCGAGCAGTCGATACCGATGTGGCAAAAGGAGATCATGCCAGATTGGCGAGTAGTCAACAAGAATCCCTCTCTGAGGAAACTCTGGTGGAATGGTATCCCTGCAAAACTGCGTGCGGATCTCTGGCAGCGTGCTGTAGGGAACCCATTAGCTCTGAGTCAAAGTGCGCGTTCCCCATTCAATTCATCAGCACCTCGCCTCATGATAGTCCATAGGCAATTATGTTACTTGCCTGGCTCGAGCAAAGCGTGCTCTTACGTCCGGGGTCTTCCCTGCAGATACGCTTGCTAGCATGGAAGAGGATATCATCACCACCCTTCCCGCACTTCACATCTTCCATCCAGACACAGGTCCTCTATATCAAGACCTCAAAGACATGTTGTGCGCATGGGTCGTTTCACGTGCAGACGAAGGACTTGGCTATACGCATGGGGCTGCCAAGATCGCTGCGATGTTCCTTCTCAATATGGCGCCACCGCAAGCATTCACCACCATGCGGAATTTGCTTGAGAGGCATTGTATACGCTCATTTTATGGCGGTTCTGCCTCAAACGACGATGTGAGTTAACTAGTTGAAATGAGAGGGAGGGTCTAACTAAAGACAGGTGTACAGGTAGAAGCGTACTATCGGTGAGCGCTTCTACTCTGCGCCAGCCCACTCAGTTCGAACAAATAAGCCAACAGAATTTTTGACACGCTCCTAGCAGATGGAATGCCGAAGAGTTCGTCCAGCCCTCATGTTGTTAGAGTTTACGAACTGATTTTTGACAGTTTATTTCAACTTTAAACAGCATCATATTTCCCCGGCGGTTTATCTGCCTGAATGGATAATACCGCTTTTCTTAGACCATCTCCCGTTCGAGGCCTGTGCTAGGCTCTGGGATGTGCTATTACTGGAAGGTGACGCGTTCTTGTTCCGTGCTGCACTGGCCATCTTGGCCGTGCTGGAGCCACGTCTGTTCTTTCCTGAACGACGCGAATTGTTGGAGCTGCTGAGGTACGTTCGTGGCCGTCATCAATATGCTGACGAAATTAAGTGACAATTGGTAATGCAGAGGCGAGAACAAAGCTGCACTCGAAGTAGCTAAACGCGACGGACGTCCCCTGAACGCCGGCAAATACGAGATTTATGGCGTCGACGAAGAAACACTGTGGGAGCGGATCGAGGGCATGGACGAGTGGTGGCGGGAGAGCACGTGGAAACGACTCACTCAGCGGGAACTACCTGACTTATGAGAAGCATGGAGCAAATGGACTTTATGCCCGCACGTATTTATGTCGTCACCCCGCATTATCCTCGTCATCCTCCGTACAGCTATTGTAGAACGCATACATCTTCCGCCGATTTGCATCTCGCGTTACCTCCTCGCTTGCTACCGCGAATAATCTTTGGAGAATCGAAGTCTTGAGCTCCCCGGTGTCCAGCGGTTGCGTTTCTCCACAACGTGCGCAGGAATTGGACAAGAGTGACGGGTAGGAAGGTGATGATGTTGGTAGCTCTGTCCGTGGACGCTTCTGACCTGACGGCACGTGGGGTTGGATTGGCTCTTTCAGTGCAGCGATCAAAGGCTGGAACACGGTTTTTTCGACATGTTTGTAAGTCAGTTTTGCTTGTGTGCCCGCTGCGAGGCTCAAGAATGGGTTGAGGACGGCACAGAGCGGAGTCGGTGCTGAGATGTCGTTGGCAGTGACAGTCATTGCTTTTTCGAGTTCGTCGAGGTAGATCTCAGATAAATGGAAAGTCAAGCTAGACGGGACCTTGATGTCCGTGGGGCTAGAGGAGATTATTTCGGTATGTATACTCCTTGAATACGATAAGAACGTACCAGAGAGGACCACCGACGCCGGTCAGGATGTCAGTGTAGATTTTGTACGTAGACTCATCCCAGTTTGTCCGGATGAGGAGACGGAAGGATGCGCTGACGAAACGCCGTACTAGCATGTAGTACTTGTCCATCCTGGAACTTTATGAACAATCTGGATACGCAATACTTAAGGCGAGCGGACCTGAGTCGATCAATACCGCTCCATTCACGGACGGTCGTGATCCAGAAGCCTCTGAGAAAGTTGAGGGAGGAAGATGTATCCTTTATTGTGAGCAGCAACTCAGCTAGCTCAGATGCTAGTGCTTGCTGCACGAGGGGTTTATCTGACATCCAGAAGCCTAAGAAAGAATGTGAGCATCGATCTGGAGTGAATTGCATGTTACACACAGTAGAATATGCCCTTCCAGAGCTTTGCCATCTCGACATCTGGCAACGCATCGCCGGAATCATTGGACAGGAAACCGGCGAGATTTTTGACGGCCTTGTCTCGGACCTTCTTGTCTGCTGAGGTCAGCTTTGGTTCATACTCTGCACAACATTATCATGCACCGTTGGAGGCTAGATATTTGGCAAGCGGTGGGGCACCACCCTCGGCGGCGGAAGTGGCCATGGCTCAGAGGACAAGATACGCTGAATTTTCTTGAAACTCCGAAGATAGGGTGTAATTACCGGATCGAGGACCGGCAAGTAGACAGTTCACGCGTTTGCGACGCGCGCTTGATGTCATCTTGATCACCACCAGTTCTAGTTATTAACTTCGCGCGTGCGTGCCACGCACTTCACGTACTTGTACGTGGAAACATTGTTGTTTACACAGAACACATTATTGCACTTCCCCAACGTGAAGATGTCCAGATCGCCCATCACCTGTCACGGTTTGCCCTGTTTACCTCGTTCGCCAACCGTGGCCGTCAGGGGCTTATTGACTTGAGGCTGCAGTGCTTGACACCTCGCAGGGAAAGCCAGCGGCTGGAATTGAAGTAATCTTGCAGAAACACGAAGAGAGACCTGGGGACGCGTCCGTTTTTCGTCCTTTTGCAGCTAGGTGTGTTCCATCCTTTTCCTGTACTCGCTTGTTCAAACTTAACCCGGGCATCTCCAGCGAAACGGACGCGGACGGTCGGTGCAGCACCCTTCTGCCTCCTCGAGGATCTGAAGATGCCAAGGCAAAGAACAAAGAGGTGACTCCAGGCATCTACAAGATTGTGTTCAGGACCAAATCCTACTTCGATAAACTGAATGTCAAATGTTTCTATCCTTATGTCGAGGTTGACCTTCCCAGCCTATATACATGTTCTTCGCTAAACTGATCGGATGTCATTCTAGATCGTTTTCGAGATCGCGAACGAGGATGAGCATTACCATATCCCTCTATTGATCAGCCCATATTCTTACACAACCTACCGCGGTAGTTGATTTATATGAATGAAATTAATACCGAAACGTTCCATCATGTGTAGATGACAAGAAGATATGAGTCACTGCTCTATGCATGTCTAGACAAAGCGTATTACTGCACGATCACCTTGGCATACTGCACTCCCTTAACGTTGCCTCCCTTCATCGAGGCCTTCACGTTATACATGAACTGCTCCCGATTCTTCTTCAGCTCTTCAGCCGCCTCTGCGATGATGGGTCAACGACGACGAAGTGTCCAGTAAAGACTGCACTTGCCTTTGTTTAGCGGGTCATCTGCATTAGGTTCCAGGAACAGATATTGGAGGCCAACCATGACAGAGTTCAGGTTAAGGACGGGCTTCCAGTCTTCTCGAAGAATGTTGAGACAGACGTTTCCCTCAAGATCAACATTTGGATGATAGATCTAATGCGAACGGAAGGTATGGAGTAAAACACCGATGACACCTGACAGTTATGCATACACACCTTTTGTGTGCACTTGACCTTTGGTGGCTCATGAGGGTAGTTGGTGTTGATGTTGAAGGAGAACTGGAACGCGCCGCTCTTGTACATGCCTGATAACTATTAGGTCTGCATTATGCAGCAGTACTCAAAAGCAATGGACCCACCCTCGTCCGGAGTGATGATAAGAGTGAAGTTTAGGATATCATTGGGGTCAGGAAACTCGGTCCGCATCGTCTCCGGCAGGTCAAGCTCTGTGAGATCTGGATATCGCGTTATTCGTTGTTCACAACGCAGTAGTACGGCTACGTACCTTTCTGCACTCGTATTTGAGCAGCGCTCGTCTTCGGCTTCTTCTTTGCCATCGCGTCCTCATTCTTCTTCATGCTCCATATCTAGACCGCGCAGGGAATGAGGGGTGTGAGCATATATTCTCTCTGCAGGTGGGCGATTCGTCTACCTTCAACATGTTGTCGTGTAGTAGTCGTTAAAGTGATCGTGCAGATGGGTGTAGGGTACAAGTGAGAGCAAGGAAGAGAGGTGAGTAATGGGAGGCCAAGTGTGGACGGAAGGTTCCGAGTACTCGTTTCCGCTGAGTGTGCACACCGCGAAGGAACCGCGTGCTGTGCCACTGACTCGTGGTGAGACAATGTTGTATCGTTGACTATTTGTTTGTTATCTCTTGTCACTTTGCTATTACCCCTGACAGCCGATTGCCGAACACTTTGCTGGACATCTCGCGACCATGTCCCTCTCTGAAACTCTCCCGGTCATTGACCTTGACGTCTTTCTTTCTCAGCCCGAGAACTCCGAGGCAGCCCAGCAAGAATGCACTAAAGTGCGCCGTGATAGATGAACCTCATCAAATCATGACAGCGTTGATCTTATCTGTGAATTTGTACAACAGGCTGCAAACGCACTCGTCACGTATGGTGCTCTCCTCGTGCACGACTCACGAGTCTCTGAAGACGATAACAACACTTTCCTCGACCTCCTCGAGGACTATTTTAATCAGCCTATTGATGCGCTCAAGCAGGACGAGCGCCCGGAACTTGGCTACCAGGTCGGCGTCACGCTTGAACATACCGAGAAGCCCAAGTGTGCCGTCGACGAGCCATGTCTGGACATCATCGCCAATCTCGATCCTGCAGAGCGTCCCCTTGATATTACGGGCCACCAACCCGATCCAAAGTGCAGGTTCTTTTGGAAGATGGGCATACCCCCTCCATACGACACCAAATATCCGTCTTTAAACGCGCCCAATATTGTACCTCAAGACGCGGACATCAATGCTCGGTGGGAACCGGTCATGGAGACGTGGGGGAAATCTATGAAGGCAGCGTAAGTTGCATCCAGCATTATCGAAATGCATAAACCTGCTTAAGCGCATTTCTCGACCAGTGTGGAGAATGTCGCAGAAATGACTGCGATAGGTCTCGGCCTACCTAGGAGCTCACTTAAGGACGCCGGAAAATATGGGTGCGCCTTGATCAAGTCGTCAGAGTTCAGCTCGCTTGACTTACATTTTGCAGTCCTCATCTTCTGGCACCTACCGCCTCCGATCTGGTCAAATTCGGCCAGAAAGACACCATCCTTGCCGGTTTTCACACCGATCTAAACTTCCTGACCATTCACGGCCGTTCCCGCTTCCCCGGCTTACACATCTGGGCACGCAACACCGGCAAACGCATTCCAGTCAAGTTCCCTGCAACCGGCCGATACCTGCTTGTCCAAGCGGGAAAGCAAATAGAACATCTTACCGGTGGCCTCATCAAGGCTGGGTTCCATGAAGTGGTCGTCAACGAGAAAACTGTTGAGACCATCGAGAAACGCAAAATCAGCCATCCTGACCGTCCCCTCATTCGCATATCGTCAACGTTCTTCTGGCACCTCTCATCTGATTACGACCTGTTGCCTATCCCGGAGCTTGCCTCGCGAGCCTCTCAGCTTGAAACTGGTTCTCAAGCCATGTATGAGCCCATGAAAGTAGGACAACAAGTGCAGAAGTAAGGCCGACGTTACCATATTCTTCGTAGTTCTAACGGTTTTCCCAGTGAACTCAAGCACATTGCTCTCATGACATGAACCGCTATTGTTCGTTGGGTATTTGTATTTTCATCTTTGTTAACTTGTGTACTTCTGAGAGAACGGAATTGTATGTACGATGTGCCAGACAGCCTTTCCCGTGAAGAGGGGGAGCAACAAATGCTTGAAGTTGAATTCAGTGAGTTATTAATGCTACATGATGGGGAGATCCTAGGTCTATGTGATACAGGTATGTGCGATAAATTAGCTAAGTGATGTCCAACTGTCCACTTAGGACGACCCAAAAATTGGTAAGACGCTCTGTAACTTTACCACCATTTCATCCCATTCAGCGTCGGTATCAGAGAGGGCAGTGATAGCACCTCCCGCTCCTATCACCCATTCTTCGGTGCAAGGAGGTGCTGTTGGAGCACCTTCAGAAGAGACTTCCGTACTTGGTAAGCCCATGTCTTGGTTGTAGCGGTCATCGCGCTTGAAGCAGCTTCGGATCGTGACAGACCAATCGCCTCCACCTCCAACGCACCAGTATCCAAAGACACCAGAGTACAAGCTCCGCTCGTCATCCTCCAAAGTCTGCAAAATTTCAACACTACGCTTCTTGGGTGCACCTGTCATACTCCCTGTCTCAACAGTCAGCCATCACGGGAGGGGCTATCAAAGGAGCGAACACTGACCTGGGGGTAAACTTCTCCTCAACACTTCCCAGCCCAGAGCACCATTAGCGTGTTGGCCATCAGTCTGCTCCGCTCCAGCAGGGGTGGCAGCCTCAATGACGCTGACCAATTGCCACATCGTCTTGTACTCTTCAACCCCGCAAAACTGGGAAACGTTTACGTCCTTGCCAACGACACCGTGAAGGTCATGCCGTATGAGATCGACAATCATGAGGTTCTCAGCGACCTCCTTTCGGCTGCCGGACAGCGCCTGCTCCGCTACGGCGCGAGTTATGCCGGGACCTTTGCGAACAGTGCCTTTGATGGGACGGAGTTGGTACTTAGCATGGGGAGGGCGAGAAAAAGAGAGGAAACGTTCTGGAGATGATGCAACTAGTGTGGTGGGGTGCAGGCGGAGGTATGCAGCATGTGGTGCCGCGTTTCGCTTCCGAAGCTGTTTATACCGTTGCCAGGAGGGAGAATGCACGCGCGAGGGCTGAGGTGCATGAGGATCATTGATAGTCACCCGCGTTCGAGCCGTAAGGCACAGTTCGTAGGAGTCACCCGCAGCCAAATACTCCTTCGCTACGTCGATGCGTGACTTGTAAAGTACTTGATCCGGCAGTGAGATACTGATGGTTTTCTCCTTGACCTTCGTGGAAGTAGTTGAGACCTTGGGTTCCGAGTCAGAGGCTTTCGTTACAGCTCGTTGAATGAGCACCGTAGTCTCGGAAAACCAGACATGATCGCCTTCAACGATAGACTGAAAATAAATATCGCCAGAGCAAGTGTCCAGAACTATACTACGCTCCACAAATATGAGGTTTACGTCGGAATGGCGCGTATCCGCATCGTCAAGTGCGATCGTGCCAGGTGCACACAAGGAGTGTGCGCCAAGCTCATAGCTGAGGTAACCGATCAAACCTCCCCAGAATGGGAGGTCAGGCACCCCACCGACTGCTTTGCGTTTGTTCATGAAAGACGCGATCCAAGACCAGATGTCGTACGAGTCCAGTTCAAAGGGTGTGCTAACACCATCTTGCAGAACACGTACGTGAGAATCTGTGAGAGAATATATGATGCGGGGAGAGCGACCATTCACGCAACCGATGATGGTGTATCTCCCGGGTTGTGCCGCGGAATCGAGAAGGACAAACGGTGACGAGTCGTCTGCTACGTTGAGTAGTTCACAAATGGCCGTAGCTGATAGGTTGGTTTTACGAAGCACGGAGGTGGACACTGTCCGAGGGGGAGACTGAGATGGAGACAGAGGTGGTGTATAGAGGTGTGGCCACGGCAATCCGAACGTGTCTTCCGCATCATGACTCCAGTCACGAATAATGCGGCCGTGTATTGTATTCCAATTGTGCGCCAGGTTCCAGAAGTTTGAGACAACCTCAAAACCTCCTCCATCGGTAAGGACGGACTCCGGATGATATTGAACAGCCCAGAAGGGACGACTGCGGTGCTTGACAGCCATAACTACCATGCCATTCTCTTCCCCATCGTCTGCCCAGGCTAACGCCTCGATGTCACTATGTGGTCGCACGTGGACTTGAAGTGAATGGTATCGAACGGCCCACACATCGTCGACATTCTTGAACAAGTCTTCCGAAGTATGTTCCACACGTGAGACCTGTCCGTGTTTGACGACCCGCAATCTCTCCAGCTGCCCACCGAATTCAAGGACTAGACTCTGGTGTCCAAGACAAACACCAAATATGGGAAGAAGATAGTCTTCGCTGAGCTTCCAGAGGTCTTTGACAATGCCAATGTCTTCTGCGATATGAGGTGACCCTGGTCCAGGGCCGACCACAATAGCAGAGAAGTGGGGGAGGAGGGGAAGAAGTGCAGACAACGAAAGCTGATCATTCTTGATGATGTGGATCTGACAGTCAGGTATCGATTTCTGGCAGAGCGAGGCGAGACTAGTAGGAACAGGATCAGACTCAGAGCAGCCAGTATGCAAGCGCAAGCTCACTTGTAGGTGAACGAGTCGTACGAATCCACCAGAAGTATTCTCGCAGGTGGCTGTTCGATGACCATGCTGGCTGTATGCGCCAATCTGTAACGAGTGACTGGAAAAGAAAACTCTAGAGAGTGGATGTGGACAGGGATAATCAGACCACAGATCGAAAAATTCACGACATAGTGATGACTCGGAAGTAGGATCCGTGCTTGCAAATGCCAATGAAAATGTAATTGTGGCCGGGGCTCTCGGACCAGCCGTGGGAGTCTTGAGAAAGGGGCAAAGGAAAGATCTACTTCATGTTTGGCACTGACTCTTCACTTCATCGGCTGGATGAATGCCGCTCGAGATGCAGAATCGCAAGCCCTCTTCAAGAAGGCGCGTAATACAAAATTCTTCATGAGCCACTGAGCTAACAGCAAGGAATAGCTCAAAGCGGTTTGTGTACCGCTCCTCGAGCACTCAGAACTCAATCCATCCACGATTCCTCGTGTAAATGGCCTCTTGTCTCAACTCCTCGGCATACTTGGTAACCCTGCAGAAACCATAAAATCTGCCGCCACAGCTACTCCTCCATACCTGGATCTTGATCCCTCTCTCATCTCGTATATATTTTTCCCTTTGTCGAGCATCTTACGACGCAATACTTCATCTGCTATTCCGGATCAGATCCTCGAAAAGCTTCTCCTTGTCTTTGCTGCTATATCCGAAAGCTGGTGGTGGACATGTGATCTGACAACATGGAACCAAATCTTCATGCTCTCAGGTTCTATACTAGGCGGGATCGAGGCTAAAGGAAAAGGCAAGGACAGAGATGAACACACGAAAGAAGCGGCAGCTCATTGTTTGTGGGCTTTGCTTCATGAAAGGCCCTCTCTTGCATCCCCTACAGACCAAGCCACTATCCGGCTTTCAGAAATCCAAACCCATACAAAAGCGATGAAATTCATCCCCATACTCGGTCAAACGTTGAATGCGTTGTTAGAAACAGCGTTATCTCCACATTTGTCACTTCAGCGCATGTCTTTACGAGTTCTCTCTGTCATGATCAACGTTTACGCTGCCGATGCATTCGTCCCATCTGTTTTACCTGGTGTCGTCAGCAGCATGTCCAAGATTTGTTTGGACAAAACTCGGCAGAAAGGATGGGTCAACGGAGAGGTTGTCGCAGCCTCCCTCGATGTCTTGCGAATCGTCATTCTGAAGTCAATCTCAGACGAACGTTGCATTGCCGAAGGAGCGGTCCGTAGCATGGTCAACTTGGAGGATTTGCAAGATCTAGCCGGTACTGGAGAAGAAAGGAAGCCACCTGATCCCCCACCTTTCTGTACAGCGCGAACAGCGACGTGGCTTCGTGCATCGTCCGCTCAACTCCACATCGCGTTAAACTCTCTTTCCGTCTTAACGAATCATCCTACTCCTGCAGCCTCTAACGCATTGTCCACTTTCGCCTTCCAGATATTGCAGGAGACTTCACTAACGTTACCTCAGAGCCAACCGTTGTTGCTCTCTTGGCTACTCTCGCTCTCAAATTCCACGTTCTCCGGTGTGTCAGAACTCGCCAGAAACAACTTATTCGATCTTTTTGCTTCGCCATCTCTGACGACGCAAACGCTCCTGGAAACTCTACTACAGATATCTCAGGATAGTCTGGCAGCACTTCCGCGGTCGATAGCCGCTCAATCTGACGCCAGGGTTGAGCATATCGCTGGTCAAATTGAGGCGGTATGTAATTTAGCAACACTGTCTGAGGATAACCCCAAGGCTCCATTGGCTTCAATAAGGCAAGGTGTAAGCATTCTACTTGGTCCGTCGGGAGGGATAGAAAAGTGGGGATGGGCTTTACTATCGGTCCTTGAACTCTCGACTCCTTCGGTGGCAGTGAACCATCCTTCAATAGGTCAACTGTTCCTTGAAGGCAGTGAAGAGGACGCAGACAGTACGACGTTCCCCGACGTTGAACTCAAGAATGTGGCCTCCAGGTCCGCACAAGAACGCCTAGCCCAGATGTTCTGGTCGTTAGGTCGGACCTGTGGCGACAATGGACTATACGCAGTTGATTGGTTCTTCGATGTAGGGAGAAACTTGCACTCCGGTCTTTCCCCACCCGCTCTATGGTGTGCTGCGAGACTCCTTGAGGGTATGGGGAACATCCAACTCTTCTATCAAGCCCATGTTCACCTCGCCACACCCTCTCCTAGTCAGAGGTTCCTTACATACTGCAGAGGTTTGTCTAAGAATATATCTGAGTGGTGGGATGAGGAAGCAGAGAACCGAGAAACCGAGCCTAAAGAGTCTTCGTCCGCGGACGATCACAGTCTTCGCACAGAGGTCAAGAAGGGTCTGAGTTCTATCAGACTCTCCAGTCGACTTCCTGAACCCCTGGTTGACATCGGGACTCGCCCAAGTATACAACCAGCCCTGCGGAAGAGTCTCGCACTCCACCTACTCGCTATAAGCGGAAACATTCTACAAGCGAGGTTCACACCCATGTTCATATACATTCTCTACCCCATCCTTCATTCCATCGTCTCCCCAATCCCGCACCTCTCTCTAACTGGCCTCTCTACTCTGAACTCCATAGCCAATGCAACATCTTATGCTTCCCCCGCAAATCTCTTGCTCTCCAACTTTGATTATGCTCTGGATTCTGTCTCTCGTCGGCTTAGCCGTAGATGGCTAGACATGGATGCACCAAAAGTTCTCGCTGTTCTTGTGAGACTTGTGGGAAGTGAGGTAGTTCAGAAGGCCGGAGACGTTGTCGAAGAATGCTTCGACAGGCTCGATGAATATCATGGATATTCGGTGATTGTTGAAGGCCTCGTGGAAGTCCTGGGCGAGGTCCTCAAGGTTATTGAACTCGATGAACCCCGTTCCACGGATCAGGGTGGACAAGTAAAGAGGGCTGAATCGCACACTTTATCAAGCCTACGACCCTTTCTTCACTGGGTGTCTCACCGTCATGATCCTGTGGAGGATACGACTGATTACGGACCCGCACCCCATCGACCTTGGGGAGAGCCTGCGAAAAAGGAGGATGAAGCGGCCCGCGGTCCTTCAGATATGGAGAAAGAACCTGATTTCACACCTTCACAAGCGTTAACCCAGCAAATGGTGTCTCGTTCAATTTATTTCCTCACTCATCAGTCTCCTGTCATCCGGGCTCGCATACTCAATCTGCTTGCTTCTGCGAGTGCCGTTTTGCCGGAGTCAGCGCTTCTTCCATCCATTCACAAGGCCTGGCCCTTCATCTTGAACCGCTTTGACGACGCGGAACAGTACATCGTGAGCGCGGCTGCGGGCCTGGTGGAGAATCTCGCCATTCATGTCGGTAGTTTCATGACACGTCGCGTTTGGGGTGACATTTGGCCCCGGTTCATGCGGATGCTTGCCAAGCTGGACGAGGCTGATTCTCGGAACGCCTTGGCTCGCCGAGGGTCTGGGGCGGTGGGCACGGCTTCCGCGTATACCCATTCACACCGCCTATATCGTTCTATTTTACGAACGATGGAGGCGGCGGTGAAGGGGGTGGACATCGAAGACTCCACCATATGGCAGGTGACCCTCGCTTGCAGGCGCTTCTTGCACCGTGAGGCACATGAAGAACTTCAGGCGCTTGCACGGCTACTTTATCAAGCGCTCGCGGGCGTTAACGAAGATGCTGTATGGGTGGCCTTGATGTCTACATTGGGTAAACTTGATGGGGAAGGATCTTATTTGAGAGAGTCTAGATGGGATATCGAAAACAATGTGATGGCAATACTTGGTACAAGTTGGTAATTTTCTCATGTTGTAGTGTATATGGGTATCCGTTGTTCAAATCATGCTTCCGGTGGGGGGGCATACTTGACAAGCTCCACGTCGGCTTCCTTGAATAATTCCGCAGATGCTTCATCACTAAATCCACATCAATATACAGGCATCTGTATCAAACACAAAAAATGACCGACACTTTATAACTGAGATTATAGACAACCCTCTTGACACCACACTGGATGATCTTGATCGTGCAGGTCAGACAGGGACAACTGTCCAAAATATAAGCGCCATAGGCCTGAGGATAAGATAAAGGCGCACGTGTTGCAATAGAGAATGGCATTGGAACCGATGCGGTCTCTGCCTGCTTCTAGAAGGGCATTTTCCTCCGCGTGGAGGCACAGACAGGAAAAGCTGTTCTCTCCCGCTGCGCCGCGGTTACACCGTATGCAGCCGCCTGATGCGGACTGAGAATAAGCAGCCTCGTGATCAAGAGCAGAAGTTTACCTTCATTGCAATTGGTAACACCCCTTGGGGTACCGTTGTAGCTAGCATGACACCATTCTGGCGGTCCGTTGAGGGTGGTGATTACAACACGAGAACGTACCCGGTGGCAAGGATTCGGTTGTCTCGGACTAGGACTGCACCCACGCGGCGTTTCATGCAGTTTGACCGGTGTGAGGCTAGGTCTGCAAGGGTCTAACACTAAAAACAGTTCGTCAAGGATAAGTTAGACGCCTCACCATAAAATAGGTGTCCCATCGTGGGCGTAAGCGTTCCAGATTGGTGATTTCTAAAGAAAAAACGTGCTCGTGCAGTTCTTGGATAGTGTCAAACGCATTGATGATGCTAAGCCCGACGAGATTATGGAGGTTCCGTAACGGGGTAAAAGGCTCGCTAGCGTTTGCGTGACCTGCTACGTCCTCGCCGAAAACCAGCTGATCATTTTGCTGAACAAAGTGGTCCAAAGTAGTCTCGGTCAGCCTGCCAAAGGAAGCAGGCATGGGTTTAAATCCATATAACGGGTCCGGGAAAAAAGGTACCGGATAGCTCGACGATAACGCACCATCATTGGTGCATCAACGTGTAACAGTAGGAAAAAAGGTCGGGTAGAGAAAGACTCGAGGAGATCTTTAGTCTTCAAGTCGGTGGTCACAAATTTCAGTCGCCACCGCTCAGTCACATACTCAAGCAGTAGAGCAGCTGAAGAGAAGTGCATCGGCTGAGGTTTTCTAACCGGTGATTCTGAGGGTGTCACGGGAGAGTTCATAGACAAGAAAGAATCACTGCCTGGTCTCCTGTTTTTTGTGAACACAGGACCAGTGGGGGTGGTGGACTCAGCAGCGTGTGCCTATCAACATTTCGGTCGAATATCCAGGAAAGATCACTCACTTCGTCCGCGGTTAGATCCAGGGAGATGGATGTAAATCCACGAGACACCAGATAATCTCTGATAGTAGACTTCCCAGCGTAACGTGTGCCGACGATCGCGACAAACATTCTCCGAATCTGTGAAAGGGTTTAGGTTAGGTTGAAGTCAGGATCAAGCAGCCGACACGAATACGCGTGTATACGCGATAGGTAGGAGCTCCGTCTTGCCCACAGTCAAAGACAGTCAAAGTGAATCAAGCGAGTCTCTCACGGGCCATTCATCGATCTTCGCCGACCTAAAATAGCCTAAAACCGAGGTAGCCTGCAGGCATGGGCGCCTATAGTACCTAAGTAAATTACTATAGGCGCCTACTGATGTCCAAATGGTCAACGTTCACTCCCGAGCGACGAATGGCGATTAACATGCTCAGATGGTACTCATGAACAAGGTACCGGTGTTCAAGTTACCATAAGGTCCGTGGACGTCGAGGATATATCATGACCCAGACGTACAACGTGACTTGGAATATAGCCTTCTTCACGTGCACGTTCGACATCGGTCTACAAACCTAACTAACTAGATTAATAGATACTGATATCGCCCTGGATGATATACATCATCCCTCTATAGCTACCTTCGGACCAAAGACTCTAAGAAGAGGTCTTTTCCAGCCGAAAGCGCACTCATTGAGCAAGGCAGCCCAGACACTGCGATATTAACGGGAATTTGTATGTAGCTACACGTTCCCGATTCTGGACCACTGCGCCTCGTATTAACCGCCATAGGCGGTATCTAACACAACCTTTCGCTTAGCCGAATGCCCTTTTTTCCGGGGGAATGTTCGTCTTGACGTTTTTGCGATGGCTCGACCTTTCGACCGCTGTCCTTTGGCTAGCCTCATGTCCTTTGGCGCGGTAGTCTGGACCTGCTTGATGTGTGTTGGGGTCAACGTGGGATCCAGCCTTGCGGCCAGACCGCGTCGAGTGATCCATGACGCTTGAATTGTAGGCACCGAGTCTAATATTTCAGATAGAGTTGCTAGCTCGGGCGCATCTGACTAGTGAGTTTGAGCTGAGACAAGATTTATCGCGTCCTGCGAGATAAAACGGACGCACATGAAGGGCTAGTGCAGCGACACGCCTCAAAAGTAAGACTGCTGCTATGGAGTGCTCCGCTCCTGCAGGAAGTTGTATTAATTTGCAAGGCTGAACTGTTTTACCAGTAGGCCCCACTTTCACTGCATTACACGCTGCGATTAAGTGAGGAATGTGCTCTATTAGGGTTGGAGGGTTCACATCCTGTTGACAAACAAAAACAGCGGCGATCGTTGTATGTGCTGGTGTTTGATTAGACAGCTCGATTGTATTTGTGGAGAGCACGATAGCTTGTTGCAAAGTGTCCAGCTGACATTCCAAAGCTCTAGTAACAGCATTAATGCCCACGACGATACTTCGCTGCCGCCCATTTACAGATGCGGGGCGTTCTAAAACTGGATGACTGTCTTGAACTGCAACTTGATAGTCAGGCTGAGGCAAAGTGCTTGCTGACGATCCGTTGCGTTCGGCAGGTCGCTCTGGTTTACCGCAGTTCCGGAGGGGAGGTCGCTTCTCTAGGACATCAACTAGACGGGACAAAATCAGATTCTGCAAATTGAGTGGAATGGAAGGCCTGGTGGAATGGTATCATAATATGCGTGATCAGCGAAGATGGTTCCACTAGACGCTCAGAGGACCCCAACCATTTGACTTTGAGTGGATTGTCAAGCACACTTTTTAAAACAGCTTTTTTCTCGAGCACCTCTTTGGCTTTAGCGCGATTCGAGACATGTGTACCATGAACGCGAGCGTTTTGCGTGGCCATGGGGGAAGGGGCTGTAAGCTGGGCTGCGGTCGGGGCCTTGGTCCCGGTCGGTGGTGCAGCTATAGGCTGTATGCCTCGGTGCTAGCGATCCGGCGTTTCGTGTTCCGCGGAATATATATACCTTTTATGGTCTGTGTATAAACCTGTATAAACCTGTGTAAACTGTAAACTGTACATGTGCACGTGGAAGCCAACATCAGCCTCATGTTGGAGTCCTTCGCATCGGAACTAACAAGACTGCGTCGACCTTCGAGACGTTCTATGATCTATCCAACATCTATCATACTCCACCCATTACTTAGGCGGAACGTTGCCGAGCCTTATACTTCAACGTTCAACGTTTAACAATATTGAACCGATGAGTCCGCGCGGCCGGGCGCCTTCCTTGCCTTCTGACATAGGCGCCGATGACATTACTCTTTCCTACGGTAGCTACCGGCTTACATGGGACAATACAACTGTCGTAACTGCAGCACTGGCGATCTCTGAAGATGATATTGGACAATGAAATGCTCATGTATTCTGGTCAGGCTACGTTGGTACGTCTCTAAGCGCTTAAGCGCCCATAGTCATCGGCCAGGTCAGAGATAATCGGGAGTTCTGCCAGTACAGCACAGGTACACTCGCCTCGGATATTTGAATCGCCGATAAGAAAGGCGCCCATCTTGCATAAAGGGTTGCAGTAAGCATTCCCGAATCTTTCTTTTTCTCCTGTGACCATCCGCAACCTCCACCAGAGCAAGTCTCGCCATGATCCTTGCACCGGACAAGATCAAGGCGTACGACTGCAAACAAGCAGAACGCGAGGATAAACTAGTGCCTCACCGCCGCTGGCATCACGATGCTCTCCCCAAGACCCAGGACGTGTCCAAGTTCCCATTATCCCGCTTAACCGAGAAGGAACGATACATCGTCCTTAGTGATGCCACAGAAATAGTGGACCTCATCAAGAGACGGGTTTATACCGCCACTGAGGTTTTGACCGCTTTCGTCGTGGCAGCAGTGGCTGCACAGGATGTCACGAATTGTCTATCGGAAATCTTCATTGACACCGCTTTGGAACGGGCCCAGGAACTCGATCGTCACCAGGAAGAGACGGGCGAGGTCGTGGGCCCCCTACATGGCTTACCTGTATCAATCAAAGACCATATCAAGATAAAAGGAATCGACACTTCGACTGGATACATAGGTAGAATTTATTCTAGCTAATGTTGTTCGATGGAGGTCTCACCACGCGCTCATCTTAGCCTGGGCCTACAAAACAATTGCAGACACCGATGCCGTAGTAGTAGACATTCTACGCAAAGCCGGTGCTATTCTTTACGTTAAGACACAGAACCCTCAAACACTATTGGTTAGTCACCTTTCATATCAGAACGTTGAGGTATTCACGCGTTAGATATAGTCCTTGGAGACAAATAATAACGTGTTTGGCAGGGCGCTTAATCCATTCAACATAATGTTAACCCCTGGAGGAAGTAGTGGCGGGGAAAGTGCTCTAATTGCCTGTCACGGGAGTCCGCTCGGTGTAGGAACGGACATCGGTGGCAGCATTAGGATCCCTGCGGCCCACGGAGGCCTTTATGGCCTCAAAGGGTCCGTCGCCCGTCTGCCTCATGCAGGCCTGATGGGCTCGCACGACGGGATGGACGAAATCGTAGGTTGTGTAGGACCTATAGCGACCTCTGCTAGGGACCTCGAACTTTTTTGCCGGGTCATGCTTGACGCCCAGCCGTGGCTTGTGGAGCCGGCCCTGTTAGAGATGCCGTGGAAGAAAGACGTGGCAGATGGACGAAACCTTCCTTCAAAGCTATCTATTGCAATTTTATTTGACGATGGAGTTGTTACACCCCATCCTCCGATCATGGATGCCCTTCAAAGATACAAGGCCGAGTTAATTGCTGCCGGATACGATGTCATCGAGTGGAATGCACTCGATCATCAGGTCGGATGGGACCTTATTGTAAGCATCCCCAGTCTCGTGAAGCTTGAATTTCATACTCACCCCCAGCTTAGGTTAAACTCTATCTGCTGGACGGTGGCATTGAGTACGAAGAAACCATCCGTTCTGGTGAAGAATCTGAAGTGCCGCAGACGAAATGGATGCTGGACCACGCTCGTGGTCGAGCACCCTACACACCAGCGGAAATTTTCCGTCTGAATGTTGAACGAGAACGACTCAAATCGAAAGCGCTTGCCCATTGGAACGAAACGCACAAGTATACGGCATCTGGGCGCCCGATCGACGCCATCCTCTGCCCCGTGTCGGCCACATTGGCACCACCTCATGATACGACGCGTTGGTGGGGCTATACCTCCCACTGGAACCTCCTCGACCTACCTGCTGTAGTATTCCCCGTTGATCGGTTTGACAGCAGCGCATACTCCGGATGTCGATCCCTGGCGGGTACGCCACGCAGCGACGTAGAGAAACTCGTAATGGATCAGTGGAACCCGCCCACCTACCACAACGCGCCTGTCTGCTTGCAACTCGTAGGCAGGCGTCACAATGAGGAGAAACTCTTGGCTATCCTGAAGAGGATTGAGGCAGACGTCCCGTCAAAGATCAAGAAGTAGAACTCGGACTTAGCTCGTAGTCACTCGGTCGATATGTCCTACAAAATGTCGCAAGCTAGTGATACCAATACGATGGTGTTAACGTTGATGTTTTCTACGGTACTTGAGCGGAAGTAAATTGTATTGATGGGAGTGTGGGACATAACTCGTGACAGCGCTAAAGCGGCAGGGGCAAACCCAAGAACGGGCATATCTTGTGGTCGGCTCTCGGCTGCTATGTTGATTTTGTCAGGCGCGTCGCGTCAATCACTGCATCCTACTCGCTCACTACGACTGCAATGACTCGAGACTTAGACCTATACAGCAAGTGTCGTTCTCGAACCTCATTGCTGTGGAAATACTCAGGCATTGGATCCTTGTCGTGACTCATCTTCACGAGTCCCTGCGCGGCTATACCGTTTCTTTGGACACTAGGAATCCCAGGCTTTGAAACACTGTTGCAAGGATGTCCATATTACTTGTGCATATATGACCGGATACGTCATTAACGTTACCTGTCAGTGTACGTCCTCGTGCGCATCAATCGCTTGGACCCTATACCTCTTGCTCGAAGCTGTTGAAACGGATACACTGGCAACACCGTGACGGAATCTCTATAACGAAACTGACTCACATGCTGTTGTGTACGTTCCTACAAACGCGGTCCTCAGTAAATGGACAAATGGACTCGCTAAGCGGCTGCGCTAGCTGTGCTCAGGACTCCGGACCCGAGTCATTGTTGGTCCTCCTACCCCGTGCTGTAGATTCCCGCAGGGCCATATAAACCGGAAGAGAGCTTCGACAAGTCTCATCAGTTTCCTCACCATCTCTCCCATTTTCCTCCTGACTACTAGCCAAAGCACTCTGAAATGCCTTCACTCGTCGCCACCTCCCGTGTCACAGTCTTCAAGACCGCACGTTCGCTACTAGACGCGTACGGCAAAGACTTGAAGGCATGCGCAGGGCCCGCCAACATAATCTTGCCCATCGCCGAGAAAGCTTGTTATGCAAACGATGGCCGCAACACTTGGCTCATTTACAAGAAGTCTGAAATATCTAGCCCGCTCCTGATCCTATCATGCACCCAGGGTGATATGGGGGCATATCCCATTTTCATCTTTACACCTTTGTCGATCGCAGAGTTGCAGCACGAAGACATCGACGGAGCTGTACGTGAGCTCTGTCAAACCTTGCTTGGCGCGGTCGAGCGGAAGCGAGTTTACTCGGTGTTCGCTGTCAAGCCGGTGGCGGAAACCTTCGCTACGGTTTGGTCAGAGGTCTCTGGCGTAGCGGCTATTCCTGAACCGTACTATGATGCGACATTCTCGTATTGTACCAAGTCCTCAATCACGCGCTCCCATTCATATCGACCCGACCTCGTTTTCGAGCTGCGCCGTGGACAGTATGAGGACATCGAGGGCATTGCGATGCTCTGCCGCGACTTTTCTCGGACATCGGTAAGTTGTATTATGCTCTCACATCAAAGTCCTGGTTTCTCATATGTTATCAGGAACCATTCGTGTTGGACCTGGACGAAGCACACAGAGAGGCTCAGATCCTCGTCGAGAAGCAGCAGGTTTGGGTCCACACGGTCCAACGGGGTGATGCCCCACCAGAGATTGCCTCTCTCGTCGCGGTGACACGTTCGGCTGGCGATTCTGCAGCCATCACAAAAGTGTTCACTAGCAACAAGTGGCGCCAACTCGGCTGCGCTGAGCGCCTCGTCCGCCGCGTTTGCAACCAGTACGTAACTCTTACTCGCTTGTAAGGCTTAGCTAACCGGCGTTCTCGGTTTAGACTCCTCAGGGAGAAAGAGCGCGTCGTACTCTATGTCGGCAACAACAACCCGGCTGCCAAAGTTTATGGCCGCGTTGGCTTCAAGGGTCTTGGTGGTTCCACTCCTGTGGAGGGCGTAGAGCCCTGGTCCGAGATAGGTTTCGACCGGAACCAGGTTGAGCTTGGCCAATGGTAGATTGTACTAACATATATTTCTTGGACATTCATCATGTTTTCGCTTTGTTTCATCTTTTGACATGCTGTATCCTTTCCACACACATTAGCTACTATATAATTAATTGCACAGAGAACAGCCGTATCCATACAACGAATTCCATCACAGCATTATACTTGTCATTACAGTGTAGTTTCTTGAATATCATATATCACATTATGACACTGAGACGATTCGGAAAGTGGGTCCTCTGCTATAAACAGACCAGCAGCCTCTTCGTCCTCAGGATAAGCGGCACGAAGCTCTGGCGACGGGATCAACCGAGTCTTGCCTCTGATTTCAATATCCTCGAAATATCGTTCCGCTTGCGGGGCAACCACAAATATGTCTCGCACAGCCGTACCGGAAAGCCCAATCGGTTGAATGTTCTCTTCAGCGACGTCTGAAAGGTTGGCGTAAGCAGACGGGCTCTTAATTGCCCTAGTCGTGGAGACATACAACGTTGTGAACCATTCTGAGTCAAAACATTATAAAAAGGTTGATGCCTCCCCCGACTCAGCATATCGACACCCATTTGTACTATCCACTGCTCTGTCGCCATGCACTTTGCCTGTAAGTAAAGTCAGAAGCGATATTATCAGAAGAGTGGCTTTGCTTACATCCCATCCAATGACGTAGCCGATGTAGTCGAACCGTTTGTGACGAAAAACGGTGCCAACAAAGAACTGAATTTGAACTTCTCCTCCAGACCGAAGATGCACCTGCGAGTTCTCTTCTTCTTCAGCTTCGAGGGCCTTCTGCGTCATCTCTAGAAGCTGGTTCCGCGCTATCGAATTTAAGACAGGAGCGAGCGACTTGACAAGCACTGCAGGAATATCGAGTGGGAAACGGTCAATGTGCCGCATCATGTTGAACAGAAAGCGACGATCGCTGGTGAACAGGAGATTAACCGTTAGACCAGCATAAAATGCGGTATGTATGTCCGCCTCTGAGAGCATCATATCCGTCTGTAAGACGGAGAAAGAGGCAAGGATATTTCGGGAGGCGCGCACGAGCATAGCATGAGTTCGAGCAGGCGAGATGTACTGTTCCATTGCTGAAGGGAGGACTCCAGACTCCATGAGCAGGCGAGGTATGTCCAATGTAACGGACAGAATAGCCTGAGTTTCGGAACCGAAGACATCCACAAAGATGTCGGTAACCTCTTCATGAGGTGACCTAACATGGGCGAGCACTCTACCAGGGAAATCTACTGCGGAAGCGTGAATCCCTAGCCGCCGCGCTATGCAGACAAACACAAAGACCAGCGATAAGGGGATAGAAGGCTTGTGGGAGCTAAGGAAAAAATGCGGGAAGCGATTGTAAACATCATGGAACCGCCGGACTCAATATCATGCCAATGTTAGATTGCTAGAGCGCGAGAGGAGTATGCGACTTACTGTTGGCGGGCTGAAACCCTTCTTTCCTCATGAAGTCGCATATGGCTATGCAAAGATTCTTCAGGATATCCGACTTGGATTGGAGTGCATTAGCGTCTAAAGAAAGGTTGGTTTCCGACGTTATGAATGCGCGACACCGTTCGCTTATCGAGTCAAGCTCATTTGATATCTGTGCAGTTTAAGCGTGTCTGAACAATGCTGAAAGATTAAAGCTCACCTTTGCTGGAGGATGTCCAAAGAATGATGACAGTGACGCGAAACCAGTCTCAAAGGAGGCCTCATCCTCCTCCGAGGGTTCCGATAGTCTCCCCCACAATCTGACAGCAGCGGTACGTGCTATGAGCCCTAGAGCTGCCTTTGCCCAGTACCGCCGTGTGATGGCATGAGGCATAACCTGTGAATCGTCCACGACTGCGTCTTCATTCTGACGAAAGGCTGCTGGAATGGGACAACGGGCCTCATACTCCATAGCGTCCCATACGTCGTAAGAAAGGTCGACAGCCAGCTTCAAAGCACAGTCATGGCGGCGGCCATCCCTATGGCAAACAATATCGCCCAGGAGACGCATAGCTTGAACATCCAAACGAGAGCGAAAGCCATACATGACACTCCAATCTCCATGGCTTTGCTGAAGGCGGGCAGCCTCCTTATCGGGGTTACAGAGCTTGTAACGAGCTTTGTAATGAGCCTCCCAAAGAAATGATTGAGACGCTGCTTCTCGAAGAAGAGAGTTTGCCTGAAGACATGCTGCCAATGTCCTAGGGCCGTCAGGACTCTCGGAAACTGGGAGATGCCGGAGAACGTGAAGGCATATGTCGAAAGGGAGCTGGATCATACTTGGTAGCGGGTAGTCAGAGGACAAGCCGGTTTGTTCGTGAGACCTAGTCAATGGCAAATGACCAATCCACTGCAGAAGTTGGGCATCGAGGCTTGTGAAGGACACATATATAACGTCATGGGGTACCGGGTCATCTGCATCAGCCGTGGCAACGCGCCTTGAGTGCGCCTTGTTTATCAATATTGCTCACAACCAGCCTTGGAAGCTTGATAGGTTCCGGTTATGATCCAAAGTAATTTCATGGGTCTTGTGCCTATAGTCCAAGCTATGTAGCATACACCGTGTTAAGGTTATTAAACTCAAGAAAATAAGCAGCGTCCTAAAAATCATCGCAGAAATGTCCACGCGCACAAGATCCGTACATATCCGTTAGATAATGAAACACACGGAATCTTCACGCAATCAAGAACTCGTCTGTGACCTTGAGCACATTGTCCCAGAACTTCGACGCCGTCTCGTCAAAGCCATGTTCGTCATACCCGAAGCTGATCCATAGCTTGCCTGCAAAGGTATAGCCGAAGAGCAACATCCCCCCCTGGCGTTGACGCGACCCAGTGGTCAAAGTGTGAAGCCCAACGTCAGCGAACTCGCCATGTTGATAGATACCGTCCAAGTTCCCGAGCAATGAGAGCCCCATGCATGCACCAGAAGGTGGCTTTGCGGGTGGGGATCGAGGGATAGGAGGCGGGCCGACCCGAGTCCCATTCTCCTTTTCGTCGTCTTCCTTCCCCCAAGCTTTCGCCCGTCGGGCTCGTTCTTCTGCCATCAGGCGACTGCGGTATACAACCATCTTACTTTTTACAGCGCGAGAACTTTGCTCCTTGGCACAATGTGCCCGAAGCCAGAAGGTGGCTGCGGGTGACCCCTTCGGAACGAATGTCGGCAGTATGACATTGAAGTAACCAATGGCTAGAAACCAGTAAGAATCATGAAGAGATCTCTTCTCGAGATATGGTCGCAAGTTTAGAGCAGAATACATCATCCTATAGAAAACAGTCAATCGACACTATTTCTTTCCATGAGGCTTAATAAGGCTCACATTGGCAGTTCCGGACTTTTCGGGGAGAGACGCGCCCAAGCCAAGTTACATATTGAGAATAACGCAGCGGAAATGGAAACACTGTTAGCTTTGCAGCGTTTCAGAACCTTCTTCGTTGTTTCGGCATCATATGACTTCGTAGGTACGATGGTGTGTCGAGGACGCTTGGCTGAGGGTCGGGGGAACGATTGCCCACCCTGAGAACGCAATGAAAACCATGCGGCACCTGCAGTCAGAAACACTCACAATGAGCTTGTTTTGATCGTTCCGGAAGTCAATTCTGGCGACTGCATGTTTGAATCTGACATTCGCGGTGATCTGACCAAGCCTGTCCTCCATAGCATTTGCGAATACGGCACCCTATCAGATCAACGGGTCATCAGCAGTTGGAATGAATAACGTTCCGAGTGAATCGCACCTCTACATGAGCTTTTGCCCAACATGCCTGCCATTCTTCGCATAGTAATGTGTCGAGTTGAGGCTGCGTGTGCGAGCCCCCTAATAGTTTGAAGAAGTCATTTGCAAACTGGTGCAAGGCCATACCATCTCCCAGATAGTGCATCGCGCAGAAAAGGATATCATAATGTGACTTCATGGGTCGCGAGTCGTCTTCGGCGCTCTCTGGTAGTGTAGAAGATGGACTCGGGAGGGGGATATGAGGCTGTGAGACGATGAGATACGAGAGCCTCTCATTGGATAGCGTACGGGGTCCATTCAAGTATTCGTCAATGACAGCTGGATGAAACTCAATAAAGTAAGGAGCGTAAATTTAAAGTAAACCAACTCACCGTCTTTGGACACGCCGTGCTTGTATTCGAGGCTAGCACTGGCGCGCTCGAGCGCGTCCTCTGGACACCGAGGCGGAGTAAGCCTATTAATTGACACGTCTAAGTAAACTTGGAAAGTGGTGGTGACTCCAGCTGTGTCACGTACACAAATCTGATATCATCGTACGAGTGCATGTGTACCCGTGATGCGAGCGCTGGATGTCGGAGGCGTAAAATTGCCCACACGGCGCAGACCCGAGAAGGATCCAAGAACCGATCTGGCGCATTAAATCCAATGTGCAAGTACCTATGGTGATAACGTAGGGTAAGGTGTGGGTGAACTGACTTATAATTTTTTTGTTACATGTCATTGACACCATCCGCGCGAGATGGAAGGTAATACGAGAGTTCACTGTTGCCCATTCTGCGCTCGAAGACGCTGGGCTCAACTCTCGAGGTCCATTTGCCGTCCGTTGTTTCGGCCAGGGGTCTCGCAGTGAGCTCACCGAGATCAGATACCTTCTGACCGTAAAGGAAGGGTGGAGTCGGCAAGACAGAGACAGAGGCCATCAGGTCTAGAGGGGTAAGGACTAGTGCTTGAGGGGGGCTTCATACCGACGTACGAGAGGCGTTCGTTATAAATTCAGCCCAAGACTCAATGAAGAGGCTTCGAAAGAGGATCGCGGCTCGGGAGCAAGCCGACTTGGTTCGTCAAACTCGGGTGGCACTGGCAGCCCCTCGATCCTATGCACTTGCCGGGAAGATTTAGCCGTCCCTCTCTGATTGGCTCGTGTGTTCAGCCCGATAGCGGCCAACCTCTGCATTTTCGTCGCCCTGACTTAGCCTGACCTGCTCGGTGGCGTGCAGCCCAGACATGGAAGGAAGAGCACAAGGCAAAGGTACATGTCGGGTGAGATTGAGGGCGTCATCTTGATACCCGCCCCGACCAAACAACAATAATTAGACCACACCTAAGAAAACTGTTCTTCGAAGCCTTGAATCTATGGCTCGGATGTTACGTGACGTTCATCATTGTACAAAAAGGTTTGGTCACCCAGTTTCCGAATTAATGATAGGGCAGCTGACCACTGGCGGCAGAATGGTCTTGACCGTCTTAGAGTGCTCCTAGAGCATCAAATCATGTGTCGCTTATGCGTTCCAGTTGACAGCCTGTAAAGAAATCTGCCACCGCAAAGTACAATGAAGGAGTTAGTCACTGCAAGTCCGTACTTGTAGATAATTAATCAAGTTTTTCACCAAGAAATGTCCAAGAAATAGAGGTCCATGTACGTCGGATATCTGGATACGCAGGTCCACCCAACTTCGTAGTACCGAAACTTAATGCTCGTGAAACTACGCTCGATTCAAGTCCTTGTGAGATGGTGCCCATATTCTACTCTTATCTTGTTCTGCAAGTCGTTCGTTGATATAATTAGTTGTAGACGTTTCTCGTTCGATACGATGGACTCACATCGAGAACGTGTGTCACTGGTCATGTCTTATCTTCTCCCTTCTTTTCCTCTATACTGAAAATAACAGCGGCTTCGTCGTTATCTCCGTCATTTTGCAATATCTGTCGTTCTCTCATGGCTTCGAGATCAATATCCTTACGGGGTGAAGGCGTGGACTCAGCAGATTTCACCCAAGTGTAATACCTAGACAGTCATGAGTCTCGAAACCAGGAGAAGTAAATGAAGGGATTACGAACATAGCTCCAAGAGTAATGATTGATATGGAGCTCATTCGGTTCCTACAGAAACAACTGAGCATGCGTCACGTCGACGAAGACGCTGACTTACACCGTCATGATATCCTCGTATATCACTACGCCCAGTACCGTCTGTAGCACAGATTTGCCAGCCTAAGAGTGACCGTCAGTAAGTGATTGCAGCGTGAGCCAAACTAACTCTGGTGAAGTGGCTTACACTCGAAAACATATGCGTGATGGGGCTTGTAACCTGGATGCTAAGAAGGCCTGCAACACACAGGAGGAAGCCAAAAACGCCGGTCATGAGGCTTCCCCACATGAAAACACGACCGTCCCATGTTGACTCATAGATGAGGCCTTGCAGGTTCGCAAGCTCTCCCGCAAAGACTACAAAGGGTGCGAGAAGGAGTGCAGTCCCAGCATTAGTCCAATATGCAAGCTGGATTGTGGAATTATGACAATGCGGTAGTGACGACTTGATGAGTACAGCATGGAAGGCGATGAAGAGAGACGAGAGAATGCCGTACACCAAGGAGATGATGGATGGAGCCGACGCTTTGGGTAAAGCAGAGGAAGGGGCAACGCCAACAAGGAACCCGAGTGTCACTAAAATGGCAGCGATTATTGTGCGAAGGGAAGGGCTGGTTCGCGTATTGAGGCATGAAACGATAATAGTTAGCGGGAGAACAAGACCACGAGCGATCTAGCATGGAGGGGAATTAATTATTGGGCGCTGTGGATGTATAGGGGTAGGATGTGTACCTGAAAAAATGATGCCTCCACATCTCGCAAACAAAGTGTGTTGAACACCAGACCGATAGCATTGACAGCTACAACGGCGAACAGCTTTTTGGCGGTGGCGAGCTCAAACTTTGGTATCTCGATGCGCGTGCTGACAAAAGCAGAGGCATGCAGCAATAATACGGCAATGAGCATCTGATTCAGAAGGAACAGAAGCGGAAGGCTGGGCGAATTATTCAAGACAGCTTTATTGCTGTAGCAAGGCGGAAACGCGTCATTAGCCTAGATATTATTTAGTAGGAGAACAATCATGGTCTTACACAAACACCATCTAAGGTGTGTTGTGAATTGAGAACACGCAAAGGTCATGATATCGGCACGTACAATGAGTGCAGCAGCCATGTAGAATAGGACCACTGCAGCGACTTTAGGAGTATTGGGATCGTAAAAGCGATTGAGTATCATCTTGCAAGGTAAGGAAGGGAGGAGGAAAGGACGAGCGGGATAGTAGCCAGAACAGACAATGGTTCGAAGCAGCCGCGGGGAACACGGACGAATGATTTATGTATAAGTTTGAGGTGACATCGCGGCTGTCACTGTCGGAGTTATTTGCGAATCCATAGCGGCAACTCGAGGCGAGCTGGACCGAATGACATCAATGTTATCCATTCGTTCAAGAATGGGCAGGTGAGTGAGGAACGGCTGCGAGGGGGAAGCGATCAGTTCGGATCTCGCCTGCCCTGGCATACCCGAGCTTCCGACTCAGGAGTACTCCGGGCACATTAAGTCTCCCCTAGGCAGATCTTCCACATACGGGAGGACACGGGCATGGGTGTCCTTGTCCGCTATTTAACGCATACGCCGAAGTCACCACAGTGGCGCAGCCAGCTAGGCACGAAAGGGCTATCTCTCCAGACCTAAGACCTCTCGAGTGCGATTGCAGCATAGCCGGATATGTTCTCCAAACGACCATTTGATAGTTGGGTAAGGCCCATCGATGACCTTCTGAAATTCCCTGATGACTTCCAGAAAGAGCGAGTGGCATTCATGCACTTGGCCTCTCATAGTTAGTTTATGTGGGCTTCGCCCATGTCCACAGCCCGCATTTACACCAGCACATTTTCCCATGGATGCGTTGATGCCCCACAGTGCTACTACATCAGGGAGTCGAGAACGACGCTGCCGCAATATGACTTTGAGGGGCAGGATCGCTCGACGGCAACCGCAGATTGCGAATGAACTTAACGCCGGAATGTATTTGGAACATGGGGTTAACCCGCCTTGAGGCAGATTGCTCTGTGGAAGTCAGACGCGTGGGGTCACTTGAGTTAAATTTGAAAAGCCTGTTGATCATGAAGCAGAGTTTCCTATGGATTGCTATACATATGCGGCTAAAGCAATGTCTCACAACGTAACGTGGAGTGACGTACTGCACAACGCTGGGACTTGAGCTATTTGCATCTCAATGGGGGGCAGGATTTTTCTGGATACTTCAGGAGCTGTACCAGAAAGCAAATGATAAGCGCCGTCGTAATCTCATAGGCAGGCAAATCCGATTTTGCTGTCGCCAGTGTGTGCTTCTGCCACTTTCAGGTCAATTTGAGCAAGGACGCCTAGTACCGTCCAACTTCCAAAAGCTATCAGTATCGTTCAAATCAGGGTTGCACTGACATATGTCTTCCGCTTCGAAAAACCGCCCATGTATGCCCGCAGCTATGCGAGCTCAGGCTTGCTTCTTCCTCGCAAGTGCCATAACCCTAGAAGCACGGGGGGCATTGTGCAATGAGAACATGGCCAGATCCGTTTAGTGACCACCTGCAGAGTCTGATAGGAATGAAGCCATCCATGCAAAAATATATATTTTACAAACTTACAAGTTAATGTGGTCAGGAAGCTACATGAGCTGATCCAAAGGAATATGCTTTCTAATCTTCACGAGGGAAGTCAACGCGTCGTTCAGAGGCGTTGGTATGCCAAGGTGTTGCCCTCGGTTCGATAAAAACCCATTTATGTAGTCTATCTCGGTGGGCAAATTCCGACGCACGTCGCTTAACATGGACGAAATGTTTGCACCTGTTGTGCGGGATACGCGGATGGTAGACTCCACCAGCGCACTGTGCCTTAGCCTAGGATCTAGAGACGGAGGAGATATATGCCCCGTGGAGACTTCCTGCTGTAAGCTGTCCGACATCCCTTCGTTCGCCTGCTGTCGCTCGGCAAGGAAGACAGCCTCAGCTTCCTTGCACAGGTTGTTAAGCATCTTGATGGACTCTGTATCACGAAAAAGGTTTCCATTCCGGCAGCCCATAAGAGCAGTGAGGGGGTTAATAGCAGCGTTTGCTACCAACTTCCGGCGGAGAATAACCTGTAGTTCTGACATGGGCACCCATTTGGGGCATAGGCTCGACAAAGAAGACAGTGCGGCGACGGTGTTCCGAAGGGTATGATAACGAGCCAAAGAAGGGTCATCAGAACGGGTGATGTCATCGAGAGATAGCAGCGGTTTGTCAAATTGCGGACCGGTATGCGACGATAATGACGCTTCGTAATCCCGGTTCCTTCTATTCGGCATGACGGCGAGCTGAAGGTCGCCGACGCCAGCATGAACAGAATGGAACGAGTTTTTCAGCCATGCACCATGGCTATTGGAGCACAGGATGAAGTGGGGTCGCGAGGTAGGGTTTTTGAAGACTTCTTCGACGAGTTCCTCGTATACACCCATACCGTTTTGCATGAGAACAACTGTGCTGCTGGCAGAGAGACGAGGTAATAGCTTGGCGATGGCTGCTCTGGTACTGTGAGCCTTGGTGGTTACAATGACAGAGTCAATGGGGTCTGAAGGATCGGTTTCTGAGCCAGGCCGCCGCTGTTTGTCTCATCGAGGGAGGGCATTGACACACCTTGGTCACTCTTGGCAGCATCCCCACCCTCAGCGACCTCTTGCGCAAAACCTTGTGCCTCTTTGACAATGCCCTGCGTTTCCACCTTCACCGTAGAAATATGATCGACGCGGGCTCGCTTCGCCTGACTGCGAGTGCGATGGAGCAGAACGACTGGATTTTCACGCGGAACGACGTTGCGGAGATGATGGGCTACCAAAGATCCAATGGCGCCGACTCCGAGGACATGAAAGCGCATCTTCCTTTCCTCTCCTCAGCTCCAACCGGCCGCCCGCTTCCACTTGTCTGAAGAAGCGCGACTGTGACATGAGACTGGGAGTAATGAAGAAGGGGTTGCAATCAAGGACCAACCTTTGAGAGTGTGGTGTAATTGCAATTTGTTTGCCTGTCAGCCCGAAAGAGCTACTGAGCTTCAGCGGTTGAGCGGTTGAGCGTCAATAACAGTGGCAGTCGGAAGTTGGAAGTTGGAAGCGGTGCCAGACGCTTGAACCTCGGGGTGAGCGGAATGCTGATTGCCTCATAAGGAATGTTGTAGTCTAAAATTAGCCGAACCTCTTCCAAACTGAAGATCGGGTGGCCGTCTTGACGGATGAAATGCTCAAGAGCCAACAGACAGAGAGCATCTGGCCATGGCATTCTGTCACGCGAGGCCTACATCGGCCATTTTTATCAGCTTGTCTCCCAGCTAGATCAGTGGACAGTTACCGGCCCGTGTGCCATCCAACCAGGATTGAGGATTTACGATTGATAGAAAAGGCACCCACTGGCCTCTCCTCCATATCTCAGACTCACCCGCTCTCTTAGATACCACTCAGTCCACCAAAAACTAACACATACTCGACATGGCTACCGTCGTACTGAAACGTACCAGTCAGAAGGTCAGTTCCTCAGCTACGTACCCCCTAGCTTTGCTAACATAGTACGATCAGATGCCTCTTGTCGGGTATGTTCCACTACTAGGCGCTTTGCATTCACGTGAGGATCTCACATGCATTTAATTTCAAGCTTCGGTCTCTGGAAGGTCAGTGCATTTTCTATGCAAAGACTGTATCTGGGCCAACTCGATAACCATCAATAGGTCACCAGATCCACCTGCGCCGACGTGAGTCGTCTCCAAGATTGAAGACCGACCCATCCATCTAAGTCGTCGCAGACCGTGTACAATGCTATCAAATCAGGTTATCGTCTCTTCGATGGTGCCGGTGACTATGGCAATGAGAAGGAGGCCGGAGATGGTGTGCGCCGCGCGATCCAGGACGGTCTCGTGAAACGAGAAGAGCTTTGTAAGATTGATCAACTTCAGTGGACTATCTTTTGACCATGATCATTCGTAGTCATCACTTCCAAGGTAATGTCCTACGTTCGCTAGAAGTAAAGGCTGAGCTGCCCCTAACCGCTCTGCAGTTATGGAATACCTTCCATGCGAAGGAGCATGTAAGTCATCGGAGGAGTGGTCTGTGACTTTTCCTGATTTCCTGGCAAATAGGTTGGCGCGTTGGCAAAGTTTCAGCTTGGACTCTGGGGTATTGACTACTTTGACCTGTTCTTGGTCCATTTCCCCATCGCTCTGAAATACGTTGACCCGAGCCATCGCTACCCTCCCGAGTGGTTCGGCGACGACGGCAAGGTCTACCTCCGTAAGCATACAATAAGTCTCAGTTGAGATCGAGGTTGGCTGACATTTGCAAAGAAAACACACCCATGTCCGAAACTTGGGCGGCCATGGAGGGTCTCGTTGATGCCGGCCTCGCCAAGAACATCGGTTTAAGGTACCGGTTTTGATTTCTTTGTTGCCAGTAACGCTCACTAACAATGTTGGTAGTAACTGCCAGGGATCTATCCTTTTGGATGTGCTGCGCTACGCCAAATACGAGCCGCAGGTGTTGCAGGTTGAGCTGCACCCGTATCTGACCCAGGAGGCTCTTATCAAGCTCTGCAAACACTTCGGAATTGCAGTGACGGCATACTCCTCGTTCGGACCTCAAAGTTACGTCGAGCTTGGTATCGACAAAGGGACACCGAGTTTGCTCGAACACAACGTTATAGCCTCAATTTCTGCCACCCACAAGAAGAGTGAGCTCTGATAATACTCAACGGAACTTTCACTCACGACCATCTCTTGATGACAGCTCCGGCGCAGGTGTTGCTACGTTGGGCGACGCAGCAAGGCATCGCCGTCATTCCCAAGAGCAACAACCAAGACCGGCTGGTTGCTAACCTAGACTGTAATAGCTTCGATCTGTCTGACTCAGAGATCAAGAACCTGAGTGCCCTAAACATCAACCTCCGAGTACGCGCGTTTCGTGCCGCTCATTGTTACATGGTACTAACTCATACGTTCCGCAGCTGAATGACCCGGGTGACATTGACGTCCAAATGTCCGTCTTTGCTTGAAATGATCATGTATACTTGTTGCCTTCATTATTATCAGTGTACGACTACTAGCCCGAGTACCAGCCGTGTAAATATGTATGCTGAGGTTGCCAACAACACATCGTTTATCGGTGATGTTAGCTTGCCCAAAGAAGATACCTGGGCCCGCATGTTGCTTTGCGTTCAAATACCTGTGATATGGTACCTGGTAAGATCTAGAAGTATCTCGGCGAGGCCGATGTTGTCCATGTCAACAGTTGTCAGTTGGTGGCAAAAAATGACCGCGGCGCAGATTCGCGCAGTCCGCGCAGTTTAGCGGAGTTTGAAATGTGTAGCGATAATAGGGCCAATGACAGGCCTAAGTAGGATAGGACTCGCATTCCCCCTGACTCTTACCGACGACAACAATGTCTCCATCCACCGCAGTGTTCAAACTCACAAGGCCAGGTAGTCTCACTCGCCGCCTCAACTTCGCTACTCAGCCCTCGTGGTCTGTTCTCTCAGTCAGAATCAGCACTCTCTTCGACATACCCTTTGCCGATGTCGGTGTCTCGTATATTGACCCCGACGGAGATGAAGTCACACTCAGTTCCGAGGAAGAGCTGCAGGAGTTTTATAGTACGTTGAACCAGGGAGACAAGGAGCCCATCAAGTTCTTCGTTCAAGATCTCAGCGCTCTCAGGTCCAATCCCTCACATTCTAGAGCGCCTTCTGTCACCCCACAGCGTAACACCTTTGGCGGCAATGAAACGCTCCCAATGATGTTCGAGGTCGATGACGAATGGCAGCGTCTTCCGGAAACCACTGGCAGCCCTTTCTGGCCTCAGCGCGACCGGAATAGCCCCCATGCTTTTGTTGAGGTGCTAGGCAGTGAAATTGACACGAAATCTCAAGTCGACGACCGTGACCTCCGTGGAGAGCCCTTTGTAGATCACCATTCCAGTACTTCCACTGCGGAGGAGGATTCAAAGGGGAAGCAACGTGCTTCTTTGCGACCGAGTGTTCTAGACGACGTCGAATCTACCAACTCCCTGCTGGAGAGTCGCACTCCTGCCAAGCCACCCATCCATGTTTTTGACATGAGTGACACGGAAGACCTCTATCAGGACGCTCCCACCGGCCAACAGATCACCGTCGAGCTTCCGGAAGCTCTCAATACGACTGACTCTCTCCATTTCGATATCACAGACAAGGCTGAAAGCGTCAACACCTCCCCGGCTCAGGACGCAGACCCCCCTGTTCCTACCATCGACGCATCCCAAACTCCCTCGGCGCCTTCCCTTTTCAGTGACCTTGAGGCATTCCTGACTAGCGCATCTTCCGTTCTATCCTCCCACCCTGAGCTTTCGGAGGGATTCCGAAACATCCTCACAAATGCATCTAACGGGACATACTGGTCGAACCATCGCGAGGCACTTTACCGTGCGGGCGAGCACATTCAAAGAACCGCCGCAGCTGAAACTGGAAGGACCGTCGAAGAACTTCGCAGGGCAACAGAGCAACAAGCAGGAGCCAGGGTAGCGGAGGCTCTTGATAAGATATTTCGCTCGTTTGGCGAACGAACAACCGGAACGCGGGGGCCGCCTGAAGAGGCCACATCGTCAGGTCGTCCCTTGGCGGAAACTCCCGCTCCTGCTCCTGCTGCAGAGGAGTCCATGCATCGGATGAATGCATCCGGCATACCTCCCTCGTACGGGCCCGGAGTCCCACCTCCCTTCGCTGCACCATTCACCGCGCCGCCGCCACCTCCGCCTACATTTATCCCAGGACAGGGTCTGCCGCCTGGTGTACCCCCGATGGGACCTTTCCATTGGAGCAGAGGTGGTCCTCCCCATCCTCCTCCCATCCCTCCGAGTACGTGTTTATCATCTTGTCACCGCATTTCGTCTAAACCTTATTATAGTTCCCCCTTTTGCTCGCCCATTCGAAGACCTTAGTTCTGTACCGGAGGGTTTCCGTCGAAGGGCAGCGAACATTATGAACCGCTACTCATGGGCGGGCCCGATGGAATGGGTTCCGCCGCGTCCTCCCGCCCCTCCGGCACCCGGAGTGGCTACGGCGGGGTCAATAGCTGTTCCTGCTGCTCCTGGTGTACCTTCCGATAGCGAACACGCCCCAGTCATGGATCAGGCAAGAGCCGATGTTGAGGCTGCGAAGGCAGAGTATAAAGCGAAGAAAAATGCGTATCGTCAAATGAAAGCTGAGAAACGGAAGAACCCAGATTCGAAACTTGAGGAGTACCCTCAATCGAGGTAAGCGTTGCATCTTGCCCTTTTAGATAATCAGCTCATCACTTCAGGGAGGAAATTAGTGTCGAAACGAAGGTCGGGAGTGCGAACACAGGTCGTACCACGACACCTCAGGCAATGTCAGCTACAACGCCGACCGTCGTAACTACCCCGGTCGGTCATACGCCTGCCACGCCTTCAAGGAACTTGCCTTCGCCTGCAGTCATGGTCAGTAGCGCGAGGGGCGTTTGGCCCGGATATGAAATGATCAGCGTACCGCGCCGCAACCATACGATAGGACATGCGAGTGCTCGGAGTGCTCGGTCTTTTGAGTCGCCCGAAGCTCGGTCCATGAATAGAATCACCAGAAAGCTCGCCGATGTATGACCTTCCCCATTTTATCTAATTAGCATGTTCTGAACATTACTACAGATGGGTTTCACCGAGAGCGCCCACCCCGACCTGAAGGCTAGGGTGAAGAAGCACATGCCAGCGGAAGGGGCTCCCGCTAAGGATGCCGAGGACGACATCGTCACCAATCTCATCGAAGAACTTCTCGGCGCATCTCCGAACCCGAGAGCAAGCACATCCACGTTGCCACGAGCCAGCACCCTGGGTAACGAATCGCTTCCTGGTGCCTGGAACTAAGAAAAGTGGCTGTTGGGAGAGTGGCTTTGATGATTACGGTTTGTTTCCTGAGTTATGATACTGTATACTTTTGTCTGTACTTCTAAAGAACGCTTTGTTGCTGTTGTATGACAGGTCTTGCTTTGTGCGCGGAGAAATATGACAAACGTCAAAGCCGGTGACCGCTACCAGCAAAATGCGCTACTTTTGCCGGCGCCTTCAATACGTATGATGCGAGACGTTTGTCTACGTGCACCGCCACTTGATCGAACTTGTCAAGAAAGGAAACACCCCTAGACATGTTGAGAGACAAAGCAGAAGCAGCGCGATATGAGTTACAGTGTCCAATATCTGTTTAGCATCAAAGTGGTCCCCTTTGAGAGCGAACCTAGACGTTTATACTGCTATAGGTCTCTCCTGATCCATCCCCACGCACTTCCTACCTCTGCCGCCTAATGATGCGAAGATAATTTGGAGTGTAAGTCTTACCTAGTGACTGGCGTCGCACCAAAATTTGCAGACATCCGACTCGCTCAAGCATTCCTTTGTTTCCGGGTCAGGCGAGGGTACCTCGTCGACTTTGAGGATTTAACCCATAGAGCAGAAAGCAAGCGAAACAAGGCAGATCCAGATGCCTCTCTCCCTGAGACGTGTCCACTTAGAGCGTCCGACGGCGGGGCACTCCCGTCACATCATGCAGCAACGAGTCATCTTTTCCTCCTGGTTCCCTTGTTCTCAACCCACCGACGCTGATCGCCTGTGCTCTCTACGGGACTACGAGGTCAATGCAAGGCTCAAAAGCAGATGATACCTCGCTTTGAGCCGATCGCCTCCTGTTTTCGTATAAGCGTCAAGTACTGGCCGCGTCTGCAGCCTCTTTTAACACTGTCTTTCTCTGGTTGATTTTCTACTCCTTTGAGGATTCTGTGCTGTGTTTATCAGTGTCTGTTATCCGCCGTGGTCAAGGTGCTCAAGCGACTGGTGGCTGCCGTTCTCACACGCCGACAAATAAAGAACTGCAGCGCCCACAAGGACAAACAAGCACGCTTTGGCAGTGGGGTTTCAACCGCCTGTGCAAATATTGATTGTCAATGCTACTGGAAAACAACGTGTTCTATTATACCAGTTAAGCCACCTATCTTCCGTTTTTTTCCAGCCGCTGCCTCATCGGTTTCCGCCCTCTTCCTCCGCCTCCAAACGACGTTGTGCCTTCCACAGTTCCACCGCGAAGTGCTTACGGTCCCGTCGCGCTATTAGTTGCATCAGGTGTGAATGCCACTTGTGCCTGCATCCAACCCTCGCTTCGACTCACCCTTTTGTATCATATTCGCGTTCTTCTAGCATGGACCTTGCCATCTCCTGGCTTATGACACAGCGACCTATCGAAAAAAGCATCCAAGCTACATATCAACCAGCATCGCTGCAATCCTTCTCCGACACTTCCGAGCTTCTTGCCCGTCTCATTGGCGAATCTCCACAGCTCCGCCAGCTCTACTACCAGCGTCTATGCCGAATCAACGAACTCCCCATCGAAATTCTTTCCAACATATTCAAGTTTGCGTTTAGCTCACTTGAACATCCCCACGAAACTGTGGTCAGTCGCCTTGCGCTCACCTGGGTATGCAGGAGGTGGAGACATGTTATGCTCGAGGACATGGCAGTCTGGTCTTCGATATGGATCCGCGACGCACCCCCTCACGAGCGTTCTCTGGCGTGGCTCGACAGAGCCGGTACTGCGCCACTCGATATTCGCATCGATTGGAAAGTAAGAGGGGACGATGAACTTGTTACGCACAGGATAGAGGCTTTATTGGACCAGCTGTTCATCAAGCTTTCGCAAATCCGGACCCTCATCATTATCCTTGACAATTGGCCTTCAGCATTGACTACCCTCCAGAAGCTAGACGTGGCAGGCAAATCGGGTCAAAAGATCACGTTGGAACGATTTGAGCTGCACCGGTCAGGAAATCCGTATGTCTGGATCGATACCCAGAGTCAAGCTTGGACTCCGAACATGCTTCTCGGCGGTCAAACCTCCGCGCTTACTTACTTTTGTATGAATGGGATACCCATCGACTGGAACCGAACGCCAATTTATAATCTCACCACTCTTGATCTCCGCCGGCTTGCCATGGAGTCACTACCTTCTCTCAAGCGATTCAGGCAGATTTTACTGGATTGCCCTCGCCTTTACAAGCTGAGTCTCGATGGTGCAGGACCTGCTCTAGAGGTCAATGCACCTCGCTTCGATCCCATTGTGCTTCCTCACCTTGAAGTCCTGGTACTTGGTAACTTCAGCCTATACTTCGCTTCCTATGTCGTACCACAATTCCTCGCTCCCAACGTTCGCGACCTGACGCTCATGAATCTTTCGGGAGAGAATTACTCACCCCTCTTTGACATGATGGTGTCGAGGTTCCCCAAGACCCGAGTATTGACGTTATATGGAGTTGACATTGGCCGTGGGATATCTCCGCAACGTACCCTAGTTCGCTTCCTGGCTTCTATGCCCCAGGTTGGTTACTTGAGGATTGCCAACTTAGATCCAAACTTTCTCGACATACTGTCCGACGATCCTTCCGAGATCATGAACCCTGCAGAGTTATCTAGCCTTTTCCCTGGAGGAAACTGTATTTTATACCCAAATCTGTGCGTTCTGGAGTTTCAAGTCATGGCGATACCGGATATCATACAGTTCGTGAGGATGAGGCGGGAGATGAAAGTGCCAATCGACAAGATCTACGTGAGCCCTATATGGTGCAGCAATATCACTGCAGAGGAGTGTGCAGTCCTTTCTTCGGAAGCACAGGTATCCGTAGCGCCTCTAGGATCGAGGACTTTGGAAGAGGAGCTTCTAATGGGTGACGATTAACGGAGAGATCTTCATGTTAGCTGGATATACGTGATTTAGCTGTGTACTTATCTCGGATTATTTTTATGATATATTGTCGATAATAATATGGGTTGATGCACATTTACACTTGTGGAACCCAGCTGTAAGGAGCGATGGTGCGCGAGTACAATATTGTGAAGATGGATCAGACAGCCACGAGAATATTAGCACCGCCACCTGGTAAGTCGCGCTTACACGTGACCCATGTTTTGGCGTTGTTTGCGCGTCGCGACGTGTTGGAACTAGTTCCAGAGCTAGCCCAGGATCGGTGCTACACTCGACTTCGACCACTCAGGGCAGACAGCAGATGCTACTGAGCACATAAACGCAATACTCGACGAGGCAGGCTTACGCATAGATTAATTTATTTTTCTAAAGCACCATCTTGTCCACAATATGGCCCTTTCTCTACCCTCGCCTCCCTTCCCTGCACTATCTTCCTCCCCCGACATGCACCAGTCATCCATGGCCGATGCCTACGTACCTTATATCAGGAGACGGGTCTCTCCAGCTCAGCTTAATGCACTGCAGCACCTTTTCGAGATTAAAAGTCATCCAACTCGGCAGGAACGTAACATGCTCGCTAGCGAGATTGGCATGTACGTGACGCGTCCGTTCTTCATTTCCTATTCCTGCTTTATTGATAAATTTTGCTCAGGGATATCAAAGCTGTGACCACCTGGTTTCAGAACAGGCGCTCGGCGGTCAAGAGGCGCTCCCATGCTTGGAAGGAGAACGTCCCATTCACCGATGCACGCTCTCAGAAACATGCCCACCGGTTTGACTCGAAAGCTTCCCGCTCAAGTCGTATACGCTCGTCAGCCTCTCTTGATCAAGTGGCTGCCCTCTCGGAACGTCCCCAGCCCCCTTCCATAGCACCCTCTGGGACGATTGCTTCACCAGTAACACCAAAGAAACGGCGCGTGGGCCCTGCTGCCGATAAGCAGCTCTGGGAATATATGCAGTCGTCTCCGTCTGGCCCACAGTTATCCCCGAGCGTTGAAGAAGCACGCATGTCTATACTATTGTCACGATCAAAGACACGGAGGTCTCTGGAGTGGGCATGTTTCAAAGCGAGAAGGGGCAGCAAGGCAAACAGCGAGGACCCGGACGAAGACGACGAAACTGCCTCGCTCCCTTCGTTAACTCATCATGACACTGACCGGGAAGATGCCGAATCAGACGACGAACTTCTCACTCCCGAGACGAGCATCAACCTTTCTCTTGCCGGGGACTTTCAACCAATGGATTCCGAGCTATCCATGATTCCTAACAAAAAGGCCACCCTTGTCGATCGCCAATCCGAGGACATTGAGGCGGCCATGGTCCTCTTGGGCTTTATAGGTCGCCATTGAACACTAATGAAACAAGGATAATGCTGCATCAACTTCAATAACTCGGCACTTTTATTTTAACTCATGGTAAATATTGCCGTGTCGTTTGTGGATTTAGGATTACACTGGACTCGGCCTTTCCCAAACACACCTCACGACTACTTTTTATTCATCTGTACTGCCATGTTGCTTTTAGCATCCAGGATACTTATACCCATGCTGTAAAAACGCTGTTCTTAACATGCTGCAAAGATTAGATTATGATTATGCATATGAATGCTCAGTTGCTTTCTGGCTCACGTGGGTTAGTCGCGTCGGAATCCATTCCGAGTACCACCTGTGCTTGGGGCAGCAAGTTGGCATTAACATCTCCCTCCACTACGTACATCCTATACTGCGCTCATTTCTAGCACATCTCTATCAACATGGGATCTGAGGCCCGTCGCACACGGTCTAGGCGGAACGCTTTGAAAGGCAAACCAAAGCCCTCTGCATCTGTCCCTCAATGCAACAGGAATTCCAAAGAGAACGACAGCAAAACCTCTACAAGTAGACAATCACGACACAGAATGACTTCGAGGCAGCTTTCTCGTCTGGAAGCGGTCTTTGACGAGGGCAGTCACCCCGCGAAAGAGGAGAAGACACATTTAGCCGACGAGCTTCAGCTGTAGGACATCTAACAGTCATACGATGACATCACATTGAAGCGCGGACAGGTCGTTCAAGACCATTAACATCTGGTTTCAGAATAAGCGACAGACGGCAAAGAAAGGGCTGAAAACAGATGGCTCCCTGCGCATCGAATCTGCGAAAGGACCTCATGAAAGAACGCGAGCGGCTTTGACCACCGACCGAGCAAATATAGCTGCAGAAAAGTCGACCTTGAGTTCGGTATCTTCACCCTCTGCCAATGCTACTCTGGGCAGTACGCATATGCATGGTTTGGAAACAGGAAAGATTGGTCCCGATAACGTCAGCTGCGACAAAGTAGAGACGCCATCTCGCTCCCAGTCGACATCTACCTCACACCAACTAGATAGCTCGATATCCACAGAAAGTCTATCATGCCTCGCACGACTTGTCAGCCACATGTCCTCTTCATCGTCCTCGGTCACAAGCGGCGCTCAGTCTTTGGCCTCAGCTGCAGATTCTGTAGGCAGGGAAAAAAAGACAGACCTTGCGAAGCAAGCACGAACTTTGGAGTGGGCATGCGAGAGACAAAGCAAAAGAAGGAGGACAAGCCAAGAACTTCTCGGGGCAGACAGCATGACTGTCCATCAGGAACCAGAGGATACAACTCGTGGCTGCCCGTGTCGTAGACTGAATCAAGACGTCGGACCAGCGATGGCTCTCTTGGCGCTATCAGCCGGAAGGCAGAGGGATCTGAGCTATTTAGAGGAAGAATGGCGTTCGGCGTCGCTGTTGCTTTGCTTAAAGCATTCTATGCACACAAGGTCCCAGTAGAGAAGTCGTAGGCTCGCCTAACATCCAATGAGAATGGCTCGTTGCAGCATACGTGAGTAAGAGACGGCAATATGCGTTATGCTACAATGCAGCGAACATGATGAATGCAGGGAACAAGTGAGGTGCTAGTGATGCAACAGCGATAGATAATATACCTCATTCCAAGTTACAGCAACAAGAGCAGAGGTTTCCAGTTATCTCCTATTTTCATGCTTTATTCCTGCTCCGCTTTTTGCCAACTTGCGTAGGCACATCAGGGGACTGGAATGTATCGGGCGGGATGACTTGGGACATAGGCGTCGCTCGATTTTGCGATCTAAGCGATCTACTAGCCGGTGGCGTGGACCGTTCAGAGGGCATAGCATTCTTTGCGAGGAGTGGATATCCTGATGAGCCTGAGGGTTGAGTTGTCATTCAGCCAACATTGTGTACCAGCAACAGACCCTACGTACCGGTCATTTTCTCGAAGAAATCGCCGAAAAGCTGTAGTTCCTTCTCAGCCTCGTCAAGTCCCAGAGTATTGTTTGTGACATCTTCTACATCCTGGTCGATATCCATTCCATCTTCGGCAGCAGTCTCTGATACGCCGTCGAGTTGTTGATCTTGATCGTTTGTCCGAAGTCGCAGGAAACCACTGATCAGAGAGTCGTACAAAGTCTCCATTGGTGGCATAAGGAAAGCAGGTGTATCGAGGATACGACTAGTGTCTTGTTGTTTCCATGGTAAAGCAGTATTGACGTTTGATTGAGAAACATTCGAAGGCGATTTGACGTCTACAAAGGCTGAGATGCCGAACATCTCTTCAAACAATGTCCTTTTTTGTTCGGTCAAGTTGCGCGGGAGGGCTTTGGAAACGTCATCTTCATCTTCAGCATTGGTAAGATTGTTGCCTAATAGAACGACGCTGTAGCTTTGAGTGATGCCGACAAGAGAGAACGATGGTTGTCTTGACTTTCTTGGGTTAGTGTGCCACGCTACTGACCGCAGTCCGAAAGGAAAAGTATGGGATATGGTAGGTCGACTGGATTTGACACCGAACAGTTTTAGGTCCGTCGTGAAGCGCACACCAAGCCGACTCGTGTGGAATATGGCAAACAAGTCATGGTGGGGATGTGAAACAACTTTGTAAATGGTGCCATCATTGCGGTAATGCCACCTCACTGCAAGATGTCAAAACAACGTCTTGGTGGAGGCATACATAACTCACTTGACTGTGTTACCATATCCCACAAAATCAGGTCACTCCCACCCTGCACTACCAAATATCGACCACTGGCGCCAACAAAGTGTGCCGAAGTCACATGCTTGCAGTTGGAGCATATGATAGTATACCTGAGAGAGTTTGTGACAGGGTTGTACACGGCCACATACGGGTCCAAAGCAATTGCTAGAAGACTTCCGTCTGGCGACCACGATATGTGCCTTGGTATCTCAGACCGGAAGCCGAATTGCGATCTACCCGTCCACGAAGCTATACGCAGGTGAGCGCAGCTGGCTGACGGAAACCACGACATCACTCACCATTTTGTATTTCTCTGTCAATACGCAACCTCCAGCTTTTGACGCACCCATCTTCACCAGTTGTAACTAACTGAAGTAGATCTACGTTGTCCATCCCTACCGGATTGAAGGACATGGAAGTTATCCTATGTTGTCCGTGCGGTTTGTTGACTCTGGTATTCAATATCCAGAATGCTATCCGCTTATCCCATCGCCAAAATTTAAGGTAACTTTCACCATGAATGTCTTCGTCATCTAATCTACGATCAAGAGTTGCCATCCAATGACCGCAGAAGGATAATGCTATGCGTTCTACGCGTGATGGTTGCAGGGCCTTCTCGTCTCGGCGGGAAACTCGATTCGACGGCGACACCTCGAGTTCGGATGTCACCATAGAGGAGTCGATAGAATATGTTTGGAGAGACGAGGGGTGCGAAGACGGAAGAATTAACGTCGAGGAATTGACATGAACTGCCAGTGGCGTAGGTATGTCCCATCTACTCGGGACGTCTGGATCTGCCATACTATAGTCAGAGTCAGCATCGAACCCGTGAGAACCAACGTACCAATCTTTATTCGAGAGAAAACACGCGCAAGTTTTAGAGTTGTCGAATTGACGAAGGCATAACTTGCGTCCGCCAAACCAAGCAAATATTCTTCCTCTGAGGAAGTATTGCGGGATACGACGATGCTCTTGATGGGCGATCCTACTCGAGGAACAAACTCCTTTTTCTGAGTGTGCAGTTGCCAAATGACCAAGACCGACTCTTCGCCACCACTCAATAGATAAGCACCATTCGATGTGAATGCGATTGATGACACGGCATGTGCGTGCCAGTGAAATGTCGAAGTCTGCGCTCTCTTCTCAACACCAGTAACTTTGGGCATATCCTCATTAAGGCAGTACCATAGTCGGATGACACCTCGCGCGTCACCTGTCGCAAAGTAGTCCTGCGATGGATGCACGGCCAGGCAGGTCAGCGGGTCTGGCGAAACATACTTCGTGAAGCCGGATTTGAGAGCCGAAGTCTTGGCAACGTATGCCTTATGCCCCGCGACAGCAACTAGCCACTGGCCGCTGGCAGAAATCTCAATTCCGGACGTGGGTTTTGTCTTGCCTACAGGAACCACCTGGGAAGACTTGAAGTTCTTCACTCCGGATGACGAGTCTTTCGGCTTTAGTGAAACACGGAGAACCACGCAACTCTCGTCCTGGTTCTGGCTGCCCTCGCCTGGCTTTTTTGGGACTTGTGGCAAATTCAATACGAATGAATCAACCAATAAATGAACAGCTCACCATCATTCCTCGCCTTTTTGGGCTTCGCGGCTGAAACAAATACGTGACCTTTGATAGTGGAGTGAGCGCAGAGGTTGTAAATGGGCTGGTCGAGAGTGAGCGAGTATAGAAGCTTCCCCTCCAAGTAGTCCCAGATCTTAAGAGTGCCATCGAGCGATCCCGTTATGAGCTGAAAAGGGTTCTGTGTGTTGATGATAGCACAAGTGACCACGTCCGTATGGCCGCCGTGGTGTGTACCAGGAAGGGTTGATGCAACTTTGCCCGAAGCAGAGGAGTGGATTTTGACATTGTTACCAGATATCGAGAAAAAGTGGCTGATGGCGACGGGACATATCAGTCTTACAGGTCAGCAGCGGTGATGCGGTGATGACACGCACCTGCCGTCCCTGGTGAACAGAGGTCGATTCGCGTTCGTGCTCGAGTCCGTCAGAGATCTCCAAGTCCACGGCTGCCCACCATCTACTAGAATCTCCTGACTCCGGGAGGTGGGGTTGATCGGGTGAGGTGTAGGCGGTGGCGGTCCGTCTTTCCCTTTGACCTTAGTTTTTGGCTTAGCCTGAGGCTTTTTGTTCTTTCTGGCGTTCCTCGGCTGGGCATAGTCATCGGAGTCAGCGGGGCTGAGTGGAAGTGGAATATCCTTTGGCTGCTTGACGAGGAGAGGAGCGCGATTGAGAGCCTTGAGCGCGGCCATGAGTGTTGGCCTCTCCGGCTTGGTCCAATCAACACCCCGTACTTAAAAAATTGGACGTCAGCTAACGTCGGCAAATGCCGTGCTGTGATTGCGTTAAGCGCCCATCACTTTCTACTCAGTAGACGCCGGATACATGCATCTCGGAACAACTCAAACAGAGCCACGTTTGTTACTCCCCAACCCAATAGTTCTGTGGAAATATGCACATGTGGAACACTCAAAATTGAAGCCCTATATAAAATAATGATACAGAAACCCTAGATGCACTAATCACGAACAAATACTAAGCTACAATGAAAACGGCCCAAGCAGGTATAAGTGGCCACTTTCTCGGTCCACGGGTATATGGCCATCAGCAGGCTTTGAATCCTACAAAGATCCTAACCGAGCGGCAGGGGGTCTGGAAATCTTCCTCTGTCGCCGACTTGCGAGCTTCAATGATCGCCTTGTACAATCTTTCCTCTTCGATGAGTTCTGCCCGTGACAGAGGCTCTCTCGGAGGAACCTCCCAGCCAAGAGCCGTCAAGGAGCACCACAGCGATACTCGCGAATGCATATCTCTGTCAAGTCGAAAATCAGACTTGTGAAGAACGCCGTTGTAGGACACCTACTTTTCATATCTGTCGACCATGATGTCGAACTTATGTCGGTTTTCCTCCGCCGCAGAAAGCTCCGGATCGCCATCCCAGCCGAGTTTCATCAGTTCTGTTGGCCTGTTCTCAATCCGACTGTCCAATTCTTCCCACATGGCCTCTGTGCATGCAAGCACACTCTTATAAGACCAGTAAAGTTGCATGGCGAGGGCACGTTCACTGAGATTGTCGATCTGGTCAAGCCTTATCAAAGAATGTGATGGCGCGACTCCCGTGAGGGTGCTTTCCGCCACGGAGTTGTCCACGATATACAGAGGTTTTCTGGAGTTCGGGGACGCATCGTTCCCAGATGTTACTGTTGAAGATGCCGACGATGAAAACGACCTATCATAACTCGTTCCTGGTTGAGTGAGGGTCATTTCAGACATGACACTGGTACTGAAGAGTGTACTATCTCCCGTAGATGCAGAGTTTGATGTTGCTTCGGAGCTGGTTGAAGAAAACGAGACTGAGAATGGACGCGTCGTTAGTGGAGACTTCGAGCGGGGATTCTCAGAAGGTTCGGAATCGTTGATTAGAACCGCGCTAGGGGGCAGTGGCTGAGGGAGCGGTTGCAACGGAGGAAGCGGAGGCATGCGAAAGTGCAACACAGGAGCTGCAACAACTTGACGGAAGTTCGAAGTGAAGTGTATTGGAACGATGGCTAAAAACACAAGTCAATGATAGGGTGATTGCCATACGGATCAAGTGAAGCATACCTGTTGGTCGTAGATTTATGAATCGACTTTCAAATACTGAATAATATAAGCTTTCCAGCAACGCATGGTCATGTGGTTCTTCTGGCGAAGAAGGACGGGGGGAGGAAGGATGGCTGGGATTCGTTGGATGATGTATTGATTCAGAGCGTTTACTGCGAATCCGTAGTGGACTGGTAAACCATCTGGGTAATGTGGGGAATATTATGTCTGGTAAACATGAACACAAGGACCTCCCAAAACAGAACAAGCACAAACCGTGCTCAAGGACCTCGACGGAACCGCCTGGTCGTAGTACGCGATTAATTTCCTGGTTAAGGTCGTGCAGGTAAGAACAATGACGCATAGAAGAATTTGATGCTTACATCAAATATCATTCCCCACTATGATCAAATCATGAGCGAGACTGAACAGGAAGTACGAGGGACTAAGCACCTTGTTCTCTGGAACCCCTCGGCCAATGCTTTGTAAATGAACGTGGTCAAACTCGTCATCATCAAACGGGAGTTTATTGGTGAGGCTTAATAATGTCGTCTGTCAGTAGCCCCCAGGGTGGCCAGAAGATGTACCAACAAATTTCCATGAACCCATTCTATTCGTTTGGCAATGTCAGAGTCCAAAATACTTGTGGGTAATTGAACGTCAACTAAATCAAATCCCACCTGCAACATATCAGTAATAGTGGTCTTGAAGCAGTGATAGAATAGCACGCACGAAATAACACTCCGGCCACTCCTTCGCAGCTTCTATTACCCATGTTCCGCTCTGTGAAACGGGGTTGCGAATCAGCGCCACGTCAACCTACGAGGATTTTAAGTCGTCAATACCCCGCAGCCAAGATCAAGCGAGCGCTCTGGATATTCTCCTCTTTCTTTGAAATCGACGACTGAAGCGGAGTGCATTGATTGCTGAACGAATATTTGATCCATGCTCTCTCTAATGGTAAGACGTCAGCTACCGCTACGCGATGCAGCCATGTTATCAGGATCAAAGTAGGACTGGCCTCCACTTACAGCTCAAGAACATCCCTATCATAGCTAAGCGGGTACGGCACTTTCTCTGGGTCAAAAGCATGCAAACGGTGACCATTCTTGAAGGCAAAGTTCTTGTTACGAGGGACGCGTTTGCTTGTGGAGGGCTCAAACGTGTTCTGCGTCGACGCGGTACTCGGTCGTGGAGGGGCCATGTAAAAGGGAGCGGACGCTGCCAGGAGGAGATTGCTGCTCATTGCAACAGCTTGGCGAGACGTAACTTATGATGAATAGGCTGGGAAGCGTATATGGGAGGAAGGCTACCACCGTTCGTGCGCACGTGGGAATGCCGAGGTTCTCGCAACACTAGTAGTAGTACTCGTTTCGTATCTTCGTGATAGCCCGGTTATTAACCAGTCCCTACCAGTCCATTGACGTCGAACAGCCTCTTTCCGCTGCCCATAACTATTCTATATGCTGGACATGTCTGCGCAGTGTATCCAAATCAAGCAGTGCTCAACGCTGACGCTGTGTGAGCTTAGCACAACTTATGCCACGAACAAACCCGCAATGCTCCGTTGTCAACAGTCCGACCATCGGCACCGCCGATTGTTCACTCCGGCCAAGATAGGTGCCAGGCCGAAGCAAGTGGCGAAGGCCTTGCCTTCGCGCTCGAGAATTGAAGGGTTGGAAAATCAGACACCGGGGTCCAGGTAGGTGATTAAAGGCAGTATAGTATATTTGAGTATATTCGAGCATTGCAATAACGTTAACCTATACGAGTACATCATGTCCACAAACCCGACGCAACAAATTACCTCTCATGTAGCAACACTCTAATATCAGTTATAGCCGTAGCCTTTACGGAACATGGGTATCATCAGAGTCTTCGACTTCAGCAGCCTAGCAAACCAATCTCCGAGAGTGATGCCACCGAAAAATGAGAAGTAGGCCATCCCTCCGTTCTATAGTTTATGTTGTCAGCGTCTGAACAAGTTTGCCGACATCCAGTCACTTACCCGTCCATTCGTTACGAGTATCAGCTCTGGGCTGCCTTTGTACGATTTCAAGGCAGACGTAGAACCACCCAAAAGGCTCAGCACATTGGCAGCCACGATAGCCGCATGCGAGCCGGTTTTCGCCGCTTGCTTCTGCTCCTTCCATTCAATGATATCGCCAGCGGCAAAAACATTATCGTGGCCAGACAACTGGAGGGTAGGTTTGACTTTGACGTATCCTTGGTTATTCAAGATGTCTCCACCAAGAGATGCGATGAAATCCGTGTTCGGCCTAGGACCGCGAGCAAACAACTGCGCGTGGACTTCAGCTAGCTGTCATAGTGAACCGGGAAGCATACGTACAACAAGGTCGGCATCTGGAAGCTGTCTGCCTCCCCGTGTGGTAATCCCAGCGGCGCCTTCGGCAGGAAGTTCATCGATCGAATCGTTTAGGATAACGTTGACACCCCGCGCAGTGAGACGACTCTCCATTCCGTTTCGGAATTTATCAGAATAGATGTCACGGAAAAGCTTCTCCCCCCTCTGAATTATAGTGACTTTCTTGTCCTGCGAACATCGCATTAGAAAGAACACAAAAGATTTGTGTATAAACTTACCGGGTATGTGTCCTTCAGCTCCCCGGCGATTTCTGGCCAAGGGTGAGTACGTATAAATGAACCCAGTTAAATCAACTCTTACCTATGCCAACAGCGCCTCCTCCAACGAGCACGACGTGCTTTGCCGTGGAATACTTTGCGCGCCAACTCGCCAGGTGGTTAGGCACATCTTCTTCATCTTCAGGAATGCCTAGCGGACCATCCCATAGCGAGCCAGAAGCCAACACCAGTACCTCATAAGGGACACGTTCCCCACTCCGAAGGACAAGAACACCACCGGCTCCTGTCTCCGTTTTCTCTATGGAAGTGACAATGCCAACCTTGATTTCTCCGGGTTGTTTCTGAAATATCCGGTCAAGCTTGACAAAGGCACGGTCCTCAAGCTTTTCGGTGGTGTCGACAGTCAACCTCGCGGTGGCGACAGTGTCGACCGCGTATGAGCGAGCGTTGAGGAGTATGAGGTGATATTGGTTGTTATCGAGTTTTTTGGATAGAGCCTGCGCTATGGCTGTTCCGGCGAAGCCTGCGCCAACGATAACAACGTTTTTGCTGGCCACCATAGGGAATGTTTGGCGCGATCTAGGGGGTAGGGTAGTCGAGTATGAGGCTGATAAGTTGAGATTCGCTACCACCTGTCGGTTTAGATTTTATACTCTATAGCGGGTTGATTGGGACATGGCGCCATGCATCACGACGACAAGACACTTCAATGCTCGCCCTATGCGGACAGATCTTCAGATAGACTCGCTCTACAAGCAAGTGCATGATTGCTCAGCATGTTTGCCGGTTGACAGATGAGAGGGCACTGCTTCCAGAAAGCCGGAGATGCACGCAAACGATTTGACAGTGTTCCTTGGACATTTGCCGACACACCGTGCAAGATGGGGAAAGATGCCAGCGACCCAGCGACGCGATCGGGCAATATCACACAGATCACTCAGCATTGCTGGGAAAGGACCGGCGGATAGCGTCAGCATGACTGCATTTGGCGCCGAGGCACTCCTGAGCTTGAGTCGCACATCACCAAGGCAGATTCCGACGCCGGAGTTCGTCTATCTAGCTATAGATCTGTGCGTACTATCCGATTCCATCTGAAACAAGCTGTCTGGCCATTTGCTGGTCATCGTTCGCAATGCGTCGCTCAGGAAAACAGCGTAAGGCAGAGCTACAGCACAAACGAGCAGTCAAGCGCGGCGATGCACCACCAGATCCAAAGCCAACTGGCAATGCCAAACGACGCAGAAGGCGTCCGCCTCCAATGGCCGGACACACTCAACAAACGCGTGACATCAGCGACCTTGCAGCTCAGTCTGCACGCAAGCTCCAATCAGCCTTTCTCAGGCTGGACCCACAGTTCTTGCAGTTAACCAAACAACTTGCATCTGAAATTCCCCTTGTCAGGCCTCTGCCAGTAACTGCGAGCCAACTTGCTCCAGACGACATACCTCTCACTAACTCAGCCGATGGCCTAGAAGAGCTGACCGTTCCCAAAAGGCCCAAGTGGAGGTATGATATGACAAAGGTAGAAGTTGAGGCAAACGAGGAAGGATTGTTTCGCAGGTGGCTCGCGAAGACGGACTCGGCGGTCCACGCATGGCATGCCGCTCCTGCGTCACACAATGATGCATCCCAAGAGGTGGTGGCACACATGCCTAGAGCTCCATCCCACTTCGAACGTAATCTGGAGGTGTGGAGGCAACTGTGCGTGGTTTTGCATCTCCTGAAAGATCAGCCATGAAACGAAAGCTGACCATGTCAATTGCAGATGGCGTGTCACAGAAATATCTGAGATCATGCTGTGTCTATTGGATTCTCGGTGTCCCCTCGTGCATCTCCCTCCCTCCTTGGCAACATATCTCGCTTCGCAAAACTCAAAATACATCCTTGTCCTCACCAAAGTTGACATTGCCGGGCCTGTGTGTGTGGCTGCCTGGATCTCGTATCTTGAATCGCAGCACCCCGGTGTTCGCATAATCCAAGTCGAGTCCTACACAGAACAAGCGACCGCCCAAGGACATGCAATATCTCGAGCACATATTCCCTTTCCGTTCCGAGAACACCTCATACATGCACTTCGTGAGGCACACAACGAGTTGCTCGAACCGCCAGAGCGTGTACGAGCTGATCCGTCGAAAAAATCAAGATGGAGACCTTCCGTAAAGAGAAGCGTTGATTGGGAAGCTGTTCTGAGAGCGAGTGGTGACAAGGTTGGCTTGACTGTCGGTGGAGCCACCGCTCCCCAGCCAACAGACGGGGAGGGGAACAACGATGGCGGTGAAACTCCGTCCGAACCTGAGTTTCTTACCATTGGCCTCATCGGCAAGTTGCTTCGATCAAGGTCTTCAGAGGGTCCTGACTTTTGTGTAGGTCAGCCCAACGTTGGTAAATCATCTTTACTCAACGCCTTGTTTGGAGCCTCCAAAGTACGAGCCTCTAGAACGCCAGGAAAGGTTTGGAGGGTGCATCTCCAGAGAAATATAGAGCCTCACTCCTTGAGTCGCGTAGACAAAACACTATCAGACCTTGTTCTGGACGCCGGACGTTAGGTTGGTCGATTGCCCTGGACTCGTGCTCCCGGCCTACGTCGAGATGGATATGCAGGTAAGTGCACGCTTTTGCGTTACACTAGCATTAAGCGTTTTCCTCGTACTTACCTCGCACTTCATGAAAGGTTCTCTGCGGGACCTTACCCATTTCAAGGGTTTCAGCTATCCCATATTGTGTTCATCAGATAGCGCAGCGGATGCCTCTTGAGCGCATGTTCAACTTAACACACCCATCCTTTACCGAATCAGACACAGTAGACAAAAGGACATGGCGAGCAGGCATGAAGGCAAGCAACCGTAGACCAAGATCATCTGTTTGGACGGCTACAGATATCATGACTGCGTACGCCTTAGCCAAAGGATGGGTCACTGCGAAGGCAGGACGCCCCGACGTGAACAGGGCTGGTAACGCTAGTGAGTGCTATATCGGTCTGGTTTCTTATACTGGTCGATAGCTGACTGTACAAGTCTTGAGAATTGTCGCGGAGGGTCGAATTCCCTGGGCATTTTGGCCTCCCGATGTCAAGAATCCCAATGAAGAGGATAATGGGGCGGGAATATGGAGATCAAAGCAAAGTCAGGAACATGAGCTAGATATCATGAGCTTCGACGATTCTGGAAGTGACCTAGGCACGAACGAAGGAGAGGGTAGTGAAGAGGACTCGGATTCATCAGCCGAGAACGGCTCACATGGTTCTCGAGCGGAATTGGACGACGAGAGTGACGGTGAAGAGAATCCAGAAGAGAACGCACCCATAATTGGTAGTTCCAGCCGATTTTCAGCGCTCTCAATCGACGAGTAGATTACAAGCAGGAGTCAGAGGCGTAAGACCGACGCGTTTACGACGCGTCGCGTGGGACACTTTGGTTATATCAAAACGTTGAACGCATGACTACAGGCGTCGCTTGTCTTGCGGTGTTGTGGATACCGTAAGCCGCTTTTCAGGATACCCTATGATCTGAGGCTCGACGACATACTACAGAAGCACTTTGGACTCTGCTGTCGCATCGCTCGTGGCCATGGATGCAACATACAATATTGCGAAGTCAGCAGTTCGACCTCTCGTTGGACAAAGGTGTGACATTGCCGGCGTGGACAAGAATGAACCTCTCGCCGATGCCACTCCTTCTCATCCGTCAAAGCCATATACCCCTCATGACGCTCTACTTAGTGGTTTATATCGGCCAACTTCCCCGGGTACGCCTAAAGACGTGCCTCCAGGGCTTGCGCCGGGTGATGGCAATCCCAGCATGGTTGACACATCTCTATACACCGACTCTTTGCTTCCGGGCTGTACCAACAATGCTCATGATCCAGCAATTAACCAACGTCCCGGTCCTGGCGAGTTCGTGCATGCTCAAATGCTCCGTATCTGGTTCTCTGACGTCGTGTTCATGATCGACCTGATAGTGAACTGTGGTCGCAACTGTCTCACATTCTCGAGCTTCAAAGCGAGATCGCTGGCATGCACGTCGACCTCGAAGGTGTAGGTCTGCGTGCAGGACAGAAGAATGGTGCGAGCATGCAGGATCGTAGTACGAATAAACGTCGCGGCACGAAAGAGACTCACCAGCCCAGGCCCATGACTGAGGATGACGATGACGGCGAGGACGAAGACGAAGACAACGCTGCTGTTGATCCTGACGATGATTCCAACGGCAGTGGCGGAAAGAGGGCGCGAGAGGAGGAGTTTGCGAAGCTTTCAGAACGATTTACCGAACGCAAGCACGCAATCGACGCCATCATGGGGAAGGTCGGTCCTCATCTCCTTCATATGAACCAGACGGTGCTGACAAGCCTGCAATGCAGTTGGATGATCTCTCACTGGCTCTCAATAGCTTCCATGCGCTCCCTACGCCTACTATCGGCCTGTCTTCGCGTTCGAATACTGTATCATCCGAAACCTCCGTTCTCCCCTCACCTCCTCTAGCGCGCCGTGAACACAACATCGTTGACCCATTACCGGCCTTATCACTGTCGACAAACCTTGCTCCAGCAGGCAATGTATCACATTTTGTGTCCGAAAGGAGGGAAGGTCTTATAGGCACAGATGTTACTCCGAAATTAGTTGACAGCCCTCTGAGTATGCGTACCGAGCATTAGCGTAATCATGCATGCTCATATTTTAGATTGGAAATGGTTGCGGTTGATATCGATTAGTATTCGTTACGGCTTGTCGTCGGCAAGTAGTGCATAACAGTAAGTAGCGATGTAGTGGCCCATCTCCCCTAATAATGATACATAGAAAATCCCAAATGAAAGAGAAATGGCTACGTCCCTGTGGTGAGTACATGTAATGACAATGCGGGACAAGCAATTCTTACTGCTTCTAACCACCTAAGGCGGCAAGAGCAGCACGCAGTTCTCGTCGAGCCTGTTCAGCATCTTCATAGTCGAGAGACGATATAGCAAAACGACAATGCTTCTGAGCCTTCGCGATGATCGCCGGTGTAAGGGAAAATCCCACCGGAGACTCAACTTCTGGTAATGAGGTCTGAGGCGGACTTGGATGCATATTATCCGGTCGCCGGAGGGACTGACGAGGTGATGGTGGGGAAGGAGCAGATGGAGGTGGCAAAGGCGGGCCTTCTGGCAAACCGCCCCGTACTGAGGGCGACTTCTTGGGAGAGGACGTTGAAGTGGAGGGGGACGCCAAAGGTAGCGGAGGAGCCGTAGGGACCACCACGTCAGGGCGATCGTTCAGGCTGGAGAACGCTGGGACATTCGCGACGTGTCCGTTGGGTGCTATACCAGCAGTAGGGGAATAGCGTCCCTCACGAGGCGACCCGCTGGTTCCCGCGTCTGTACCTTCCATCTCCCAGCTGATACGGGCTTTATGGCTGCTAGGTTTCTGGCGAGTGCCATTGCTTGGCATATCGATCTCGTTTGTCGGTGCTCCCAGCTGCGGAGGCTGAGCACCATCGTATCCAGGCGTGGCGGCAGTGCTCCACCGCCCAGGGCTAATTGCCGCATCGTCTCCCGTGCTGGGGGCCATCGGGTGTAGCGAGGGAGGTATGTGGGGCTGATTGGCCTTGGTGATATCACCTGGAGTCATCTGAGGCGGGGGTGTGATTCGCTTCGGTGAGACTCCGGGAGAAGTGCGGGGAGGGGTACGCGGGGAAGCAGCGGAAGGATCTGTCGGCATGGATGCTACGATCACGTCGACTTCGGGCCACTCAGCAGGTGGAAATGTTACGATAGGGTCGGTTCGAGATCCAGGAGGACCAGGGGCTGGTTTACGACCCTCCCTGAACGCTTTTGCGATGTCTGCAGCCTTCCACTTGGCATACTTGATCTTTCCTTCGACCTAGGCACCTATCAATATGGATGCCCTCACTAGTCAAAGTAGTAGACTTACTGCTTCAGATTGGTCAGCCTTTGGGAACACCTTGAGAAGCTCGAAGAAGTTTGCAGCAGCCAGAAACTTCTTGGCTGTTGATCGCGTTGCCGTGCCATCTCGGTCTTCATCATCAGCCATGCGGAAGACCTTAAGGGCAAAGTTCTCGACGTATGCGATGCTCGCCGCCTCGACGTCAACAGCGTCATTGGGTCCTATATCTGCTTTGAGCTTTTCAAGCGCACCCAGGAGTTCGAAGAGTAAGTTGCGAGACGCGTTGTCTTTCGCCTTCAGTGAGATGCCTATCTGAGCTGCGCAATACGCACCTGTGGGCAGTTGAAGTTTGATTGAACCATAACGAAGATTGGCTGAACCGCTTACACCAGTAGGAGATCACAGGTTCCTTCCGAACAAGTTCATCTGCTCGTTGGAGGAAAGGAGATATCGCCTTGAGTTCAGGAGTAACAGGCGGCAGGCCAAGCGGAGGCATATGGACGATGAGAATCTACGCAAAGATTCAGAATGTAGCGTGGATAGCTGCTTCCAAGTCCGCGGGTAGCACTCCTGTGTAAGTTGCGGTTGTTTATATAAGTAGGGCGCCTGTAGCTAGCGTCCCTGACGATAGCAGGTAGCTGTAATTTGGACACTTTCGGGATATGGTCCGTAACCACAGGTCTTGTGCACCCAGATACCTGCACCTCTGCAGTGCCCCTGTGTATATGTATTGCTGTGAAGCGGAGAGGCCTCATGTTTGCAGTGAGGACGAGCTTGTTCCCTTTGCCGCAAAACAGAGGTGGAACGACGCCAGTGTTTGCTGGCGCTGCGCAACTTATCGTCTTGATACATATGTAGACGAGAAGCAAGCCGAATTGTGGACGACTGACGTTGAAGGTTCCAGTGCGCTCCTCATCACCATCAAACTCTAACGACCACTATCTTCCACCCCAGGTGCCACCATCTTAATATCGTATACTTGTAGCGTCGACGTCGCGTACGCATGGCAGATAATGGCAAACGGGAGGAGCATCAAACGCCGCCTCCACTGGGGCCGTGAGGCTTTCAAGTTTTTCTATTTCAAACCCCACACGCCTCATGGCCTTGTGGAACTCCCGATTGACACTAAGCATTCTGGCCACCCCGGGCGAGTTTGAACTCAGTATCGCAGCGGGGCATAGTGGCCGAAGTACTGCCGAAGTGCCTTACTCATAACCGTTCAAAGCAACCCAGGTGCCATCGAAGTCAGAAGTGGCCTTGGTGAGCACGCCACTTTCTCATCGTCTATGAATGCTGTCAAACCAAACGTTGATTCTAAGTTCTTTCAGTAACGAGTATAGCACACTGGCACCGTAAGTGCTCGTCCCACGAGTTCATGATATCTTGAGTCATATCTCACTGCGCAACATAGCATGCATACATATGGAGAACAGGGCAGAAAACAATCGCGCGATTGACATGTCCACGGACTCATGATCATGTTTTTCTCCTGGCCAATCAGCTGCTACCGTCGTTAGCACTCTGGATAACTACCCTTATACGCACCCCTCTATCTCAGTGCAAACTGGGCTAAAGACCACCGCTGCGTAATGGCAATGTGGTCCGATTCATAATCATGGACTCGGCGATGGGATTGAGCGGGTGGAAACATCTCATTTTATCTCCTGCTCCTGACTTCGACCTTCGGCCTTGGACGCAAGATCGTGGCTCCTACCGCCTATGACACAACACACATCCCAAGGGCTAGGTATCAACATGCCAGTCTCTAATCTACCAGTCCCACATCCAGATTCGCTAAAGCCATCTACCTTGAAAGGCATACTCAAGAATGGTGAAGCGCCCTCGCATCTTAGCGCTCGCTTTGCGGATGAAGTTTCCTATAATGATTCCCTCCCTGCCCTGCGATCTATGACTGGTATGAACGGACTTCTACAAGCTGAAAAGGGCGCATCTATGGTGAAAAAGGATGTCTTCGGAGAACCTGGGACCTCTGGCTTTCAGCTTGGCCAGAGCATAGAGCCCACGTGTGTTTCCCCTGACAGTGAATCTCAGATGCAGATCTGTCCTCGTACAGCGCTCTCTGACACAAGCAGTGACTCTCTTCTGGATTTCCCTCGTAGCCCCAACCAAAGTTCTGCTGGTCTCTGTTCTCTCCTTGGCGGTGCTGGGGCACATCTAAAGCCTGGGTCTGCGATAAATACTGGGTCAGCGCATAACGGCTTTCACTTGACCTCGGCATACAGTGCTCCGATGACTTTGGAAAAGGCAAAGCCACGGCCACGGATCGACTTGGATATCGAGCTTGAAAGCGAAGTCTGCGTCCAAGGCGCCCACCTGAGAGGAACTATCAAGCTGCAAGTTCCCAAGTGCATCAAGAAAGAAGTCCCACTTTTGCTCTCGCAAGCCAGAGTCCATGTCGTTGGATTCGAGTGCACTTCTTCAGTCGATAATATATTCATATTTTACCAGTGCCGGGCACCGCTGTCGGAACTCTCAGGCTCTTTTGATGAATTGTTCGATTCTGCCGCCGGACCTCTGGGATGGAAACAAGCGAGAGAAGGGAAATTCGACATCCCCTTTGCTATACTTTTACCTGAAGATGGTAGTTGTGGCGTACCAAAAGGGAAAATCAGTTTCAACGCTGGGGTGTCTGTACGGTACATCACTATGATGTAAGGCTACTCTTTCCTCTTGCTAAATATTTGACGCGATACCTGTTCCTAGTTCAATCATGACTCAAGATCCTTTGGATGGCAAGCGGTCCATAGCCCACTTTTACCGAGACTGCGAAGTGTGGCCATGCTTCAACATAACCACTATCTTGAGTCCGTCGTCACGCCCTTTGGTCGCAGAGACAAACAAGAATGTCTTCATGGGTGGCCAAGGAAGACTTCGACTCAGCGCTAGGCTGCATCGACTATACTGGGTCTCAGGTCAGCGCTGCACTGTCCATCTCTGCGTATCAAACGGGACCAAGAAAGCCATCAAATCTGCTGCGATTGCCCTCGTACGGACATCAACCATCTTTCGTCCGCACGAGAATCGTACCACCGGTGCGAGGCTGGACCCTGATGAATGCCAGACATCTACTGTTACCAAGTCTTTGACAGAGAGCACCCTCGAGGTGGGACATCAGAGTTCGCGAGGCCACGCGAGCGCTAAAGGATGGTGGATGGGCGTTGACGGTGGTCAAAGTATGGAATTCGCACATTTTATTATCATTCCCGTGAGTAACCCTTCTTAAGGATATGGGACTGACTGAAGCCGTCTTTTTAGCCCGACGAGTTATCGATACGACGTACTCGTCTCTTGGAAGTCGAGTATATGCTTCGCATTAGCGTATCCACCGGTTCTTTGGCCTCAGATGTGCATGTGGTTTTGCCCATTAGAATCGTCAATCTCGTGTCCCTAGATCCACCCCCTATTGATCAACTAGCGTTTGCTCCTTCGCAGCCGGAACCGGTGGTTTGTAGTTCCTTCAAGCGTCAATCCTGGTATCGAAAGTCACAAATACCTCAACCTTCAGTTGGTATCAACGAAACTATTCCTGGGATGAAATATTCCGCTCCAGACATGGAGGCCCAACAAATTGCTGTATCCGACGCAGACTTTGTCCCTCATCCGGATCAATTCAGTCTCGATGTCAGCGCAGATTCGGTGTCGATGTACCTGCCATCAGACAGTAACTCTATGACGGCCCATGAAAAGGATGGCGAGGTTGTACGACATTCTTTGGACCTGAAAGCAGGCTATGCCTCCGCGTCTCAAACTAGTCAACCGTCGACGGATGGACCGACTTCGCTCTCACCTATGCAACTCCGAAACGATGGCCATAATCGAGGAGAACAGCCTCTCTCGGCTTTTGGTCAGAGAGTTAGGGATAAGCTTCAGGCCTCACTTGCGGAACCGGAGGCCGCGTTCCCTCTTGACGATCGCGCTGCGGCACCTTCTCACCAGCTTTTGGAGCAGGATCATATTGGTGCAGATGACTATAAGATGGCCTTCGGTCGCGACGATAAACACTTTCCTTGCACTATCACCATTGCTTCACCGAGAAGCCCGAGACGACTTGCTGGGGGGAAGGCGCGTCAATCAGTAAGGGAGAGGGCTTTAGAATTCGAGAAAAAGATTAATTTCATTAATTAGTAGTATCTCGTAATTGGTTCTAATCGTTTTCAAAGGCGACGTTGACTGCGTATGCTTACTCCGTCCGCTTCGCGGTTGCTTGAAGAGTTGAAGTGATCCGAAAACTTGGCGCTAATCGAGGACCACGTGACAGACGCGACAATTTCGGTGCTGTTTTGGCGCGTTTGCGTTTAGCTTTGTGTCCTCAACTATGACCAGTGTACAACCAAACGTCCGACCGACCACCTCCTACTATCGAACTGGGCAATGGTCTGGACCCAACGTCACGGACGATTACGAACGTGCGTCCACAGGATAATTGAAGTACTCACTGAATCTCATGAACACATTGGCCAGGGTGGTACACGGAGGCCAATGCAAGCAACAGAATGGTTCTTGCACTCCGTTCAACAATTCATCATGAAATCGGATGGGCTCTGGATCGCCTACACAGGCTTTGCGAGAACGAACAGTTCATGCTCAGGAGTATACCTGGGCTTACCGACGCGCTGTTCGAATGGCCAGAGTGGTTTGCCCTGGGTGGCTACAAAGAGGCAGAAGCTGTGAGTTTGTTTTCCTCGCCCCCTCTGGTCGACCGGAAACGGCGTCATGCCCTTGAATCCCTCCTTATCATTCGCAATATGGCCGCAAACGAACCGAATGTCCAAGATCTCGCTTCACACCCTCGAACATTACCATTAATAACCAATGCACTCCAAAATCTCAACCCCGAGAATGAGTCGAACGTGGAATTTCTTCTGAACTCTATGGATCTTCTTCAAGCAGTCTTTCCTTGGATGGTGCTGCCTTCACAAAGTACGAAACCCAGCTTTCTTGCACCACTGCAGGCTATTGCAGCGCACTCGATGAACAGATCACTCATCATTGCCTCTATGGTGTTAATTGGAATGATGTTCTACAATCATCACGTTGTTCCATACTTGGATTCCAGTACTCTCGCTCTGGATGCAGCTGTGCGATACTTGCCTTTGTTCGCAGACAAACCACTGGTTGACGCTTGTGTGAACTATTTGTATGCACATCTATCACAACCATCCTTGGCGAAGGCGTTCTTGCTTCACCCTTCTATGCCTAGCACGCTCAGGATACTTATCAGCATCGTACTTGCCGAGCAATCGGAGGAAACCGTTTCTCTGGACGTTACGGGCCCTGTACGAACAGTTCCTGCGAGTAAAGGTGCAACATCAAATCATGACCTTTCAAAGGAGGAATTTGATCGTCTGTTGACACTTCCTGAACCTAACCGGTGCTACGAATGGTGCGCAATCCGCTTTCATGAACGTGTCTACATGTTGATGCCCCGCGTTAGGATGAAAACAATGTTTATCAGCGATACTACAAGCGAACTTACCCAGGTAGACTTCTGGAACCTCTACCGAGATGCATTTGGACCATCCGCCGAGCGCCACCCAATGCTTGCGGCTTCAGATGTGATAAAGAACGTAAACCTCGTCTTCCCCCAAGCCCAGGCAATGGTACTGCAAGGACCCCCTCAGCGGTTCGTAGTAAGAGGTGTCGCTCGCCGACAAGACACATCAGACGTCCGCGGATACAAATGCTCATGGAACCAATCTCAGTGTGAGGAACAGCCCTTTGAAAACATCGGAGAGCTCTACGAGCACCTCCTTAGCCACATCGCCGATAACGAAGAACCGACTATGTCTTGCTCATGGTCCTCTTGTTCTGCACCGCCTTTATCCAGAGTCCATCTTCGCTCGCATGTCCTCACGCATATCCCAGCCAGCCAGCCAGCCGTCAAAGATGCGTCTCAGGATGATACTGTTACACTCTCTTCCCCAGGCGAGGTATATCCCTTAGCGGAGCCAACGAAACGGCCTCCTCCACCTTTGCGAAAGACATACATCACTTACGCTCGCCCGATTGTTGACCCTCCTTCGACGTCTCTTACTGCTTTACTGTGTGCGCGAGTAATCTATCGGGTATCATTCGTGTCAACCGACGAGGCGCCAAAAGCTGATGCAGACCACTTTGGCTTCCCGGGCATTGTGCCTGAAGACGAGGAGGAGGAGGAGCAAGACTTGTCTATGATCTGTGGGACTGACGGGGACGGGGAAAGAAGGGGAAGAAAGGCGATCATAAATATCAGAGGAATGTTAGAAGGTGTTCGGATACGAAACGAGATCCTCATGGGCTGGATCATCGATATGCTTGAAGCTGGGTCTTTTCACGACGTGCTGTAGTGTTGTTATCGGCAAGTTATTTCCTATACGGCATAAACGCAGGTATCTAGACGCTGGCTATAGTACTACGTGTGGCCTATCATAACTGAAGATCAATCCCACTCTCGTTATCAGAGAGATGGGAATAGCGGCCGCGCTCCGTGCACTCTACTAGTAGTAGTGTGTAATCGCATCGCAATAGGTCGTCCTGTTCCGTAGGCAAGCGCCCGTGCCAACCTGCGTCAAGACGTGGCTTAGACCTGGGCCCGAGTACTTGATTTTCGAGTTACAGAGCGCTGGTGACATCTCCGGCGACTAGCCTCAGAAACTGACAGATCTGATACTCGGTGTACGTACTCGGGAACAAGGTGTAAGCCAAAGGCGCGGGGGGCATCCCTAATTAGGCTAATCACCCCCGGTAAACAGGTCGAAGACGGTGATAAGATAAGATGCTTGAGTGAAAAAACTTTTTTCACCATCGCTCGAAGAGGCGAAGGGATAGTGGTCAGTCATGCCGGACCCTCTTTGCCATGAACCACATTTACTGGCCCATTCAACGCGTTTCGACGCGTTTTATCGTCCAAGACCGTGACAGACTGGTGAACTCAACCAATGCACGACATTTTGACCGCGGGCTTCCGACGGCTTATCAGCAGGATTCTCATGTCCGCTAAGGAGCGGACTCGGTGAACGAAACATGGCTCGGTGAACCACTCACCGCGAATATTTCAGCCAAACCCTGCCTCACCCTCCGCCTTGTTCCGCACCTCTTGTCTGCGTCCAACCACCATGTCTGCCTTTAGGCTGGCACCCACCAGGCTATCAAGGCGAACGCTTGGGGCCTTCCAGTGTCGTCCTGCACAATACAGACGTGCTCTGGCTACCGCCAAGTCTCCACCTTCGCTCTTCCAGTCCCTCGACACATTTACTGATAGACATGTCGGTCCGGACGATAACGAGACGGCCTTGATGTTATCGAAGCTTGGTTTCAACTCTATGGATGCCTTTCTAGCTGCGACTGTCCCCCCGGCCATCCGCATAGACGACGCTACCATTACTGATTCGACTATCTCAAGCCTCAGTGAATCAGAGCTCCTAACTCGAGCTCGGACCCTTGGTCGCCTTAATAAACCGTTCAAGAGCTATATTGGAATGGGCTATCACAATGCCGTTGTTCCACCCGTCATCCTTCGCAATGTAAGAATTTATCTTTTGGGAAGTGCACCATGCTGACCCTTCTCTTAGATAATGGAGAATCCCGCGTGGTATACCCCATACACCCCTTATCAGCCCGAAATTGCCCAAGGTAATCACCACTGATCAACCAGCATTACCCAATCTAATCATCACGGCGTAACATAGGTCGCTTGGAATCCTTGGTCAACTTTCAGACAATGGTCATGTCTCTGACGTCAATGGACATCGCGAACGCTTCTATGCTGGATGAAGCCACTGCAGCCGCAGAGGGCATGGTTATGGCGTTTGTCGCTTCTAATCAGAAGAAGAAAACATTCTTTATCAACAATGGCGTCTTACCTCAGACCATCTCCGTTCTTCAGACTCGCGCAAAAGGCTTCGGTATTAAACTCGTCGTTGGTGATGCGGCTTCGGCTTTCCAAGATAGTTCCTTATCAGGCGACCTGTGTGGCGTTCTGGTCCAGTATCCTGACGTTAACGGCAATATTTCGGACTATACCCATCTGGCCAAGTCAGTCCACGAGTCAGGGGCTTTGGTCGTGTGCGCTACGGATCTTTTAGCCTTGACGATGCTCAAGCCTCCTGGTGAATGGGGGGCTGATATTGTGCTCGGAAATTCTGCACGGTTTGGTGTCCCGGCTGGATACGGTGGCCCTCATGCTGCTTTCTTTGCTGTTACCGACAAGCTAAAGCGAAAGATGCCTGGCCGACTGATCGGACGCAGCAAGGACACTATGGGCAACCCTGCTTACAGACTGGCCTTGCAAAGTGAGTAACCCTTCCTTGATACTTGCCTTTGCCCTCTAAATGTGTATTGCCTTGCAGCGCGTGAACAGCACATCCGCCGCGAGAAGGCTACCAGTAACATCTGCACAAGTCAGGCCCTCCTTGCGAACATGGCTGCCATGTATGCTGTTTATCACGGACCCGTTGGCCTCTTGCGCATTGCTCAGAAAGTGAACCTCTTCACGAAACTGCTTAAGTCTGCCCTCGATGCTGTTGGATTCAAGGTCACGAACACTGCCTTCTTCGACACTCTCACTGTTGACGTATCCTCTGTCGGTGCGGAAGCCATCCATGCCGCAGCTGCGGGGGAGATGATCAACGTCCGCCGCGTTGATGACAAGCATGTTGGAGTTACACTAGATGAGAGCGTGTCGGGTGAAGATCTCATGGCAATTACCAATATCTTCCTCCAGGCGTCGAAACAGTCCGCTTCTGCACTTGCTGAACTTTCGCCACCAACTACGGCGTCTTTCCCTGCGGAGTTATCTCGCACATCTCAGTTCCTTTCTCATCCTGTTTTCAACAAACATCACTCTGAGACTGAAATGATGCGATACATTTTCCACTTGGCCTCAAAGGATCTCGGTCTAGTCCACGCGATGATTCCTCTTGGTAGCTGTACAATGAAACTTAACAGCACAAGTAGCATGATCCCTTTGACGTGGCCCGAGTTCAGCAATGTGCACCCGTTTGCTCCAGTTGATCAATTACAAGGATATAGGGCAATAATCCAGGTGGGCTGCTCAAAAGCTCTTCTGGACTCATTGTTGATTGTTACTCAGGAACTTGAGAATGAATTATGCAAGATCACTGGTTTTTACGCGTGTTCAGCGCAGCCGAACTCGGGAGCTGCAGGCGAATATGCGGGTCTATCAGTCATCAGGGCTTACCACGAGTCGAGAGGGGAATGCCACCGTAACATCTGCTTGATTCCGCTGAGCGCTCACGGCACCAACCCTGCTGTAAGTGGTCGCATCTATATTGAAGCATTGCCACTAAGGTGTCTGCGTCAGTCTGCTGTCATGGCCGGTCTGAAGGTTGTCGCTGTGAAAACTCATGCTGATGGTAACTTGGACCTTGAGGACCTCAAATCGAAGGCCGAGAAACACACGGACAGACTCGCCGCGTCAATGGTAGTGTTGTCAAACCACGGATCTGCACAGGCATCTCAAATCTATGGTTTTATAGATCACTTACCCATCCACATTCGGTGTTTTCGAGGAGGGCGTGTCTGAGGCATGCAAGATTGTCCATCAATATGGAGGTCAAGTCTACCTCGATGGCGCCAACCTCAATGCTCAGGTTGGCTTGACTAACCCAGCTACATGCGGCGGTGATGTATGCCACCTCAATCTTCACAAGACTTTTGCCATGTGAGTCCTGCGACCAATACTCCAAGTCTTTTACCTGAAGCGTGACAATTAGTCCACACGGCGGCGGCGGTCCTGGCATGGGGTAGGCTCTCTTCAGCTCTTGTGAATGCTACTTTACTGAGCTTCTTTTAGTCCTATCTGCGTTGCGGAGCATCTCGCTCCTTTCCTTCCTTCCCACCCGCTGGTTTCCACTGGTGGATCGAAAGGCATTGATGCTGTATCTGCTGCGCCCTTTGGAAGCGCGTCAATTCTTTTGATTTCATGGGCTTACATCCGGATGCTTGGCGGTGCTGGTCTCAAGGAGTCGACCAGTGTGGCTTTGCTGAACGCTAACTACATGGCTCAACGTCTCGCTGGCCACTACACCTTACGTTACAAGAACAACAACGGCCGCGTAGCCCACGAGCTGCTCATCGACCTGGCGGAGTTCGACAAGAGCGCAGGACTGAAGGTTACTGATTTTGCGAAACGCTTACAGGTACGGCATGTCTTGTCTTCTTTTGGGATTGATTACTCATTTATATATCCACACACAGGACTACGGTTTCCATCCACCTACCTGCTCATGGCCAATCTCGACGTGCATGTTGATCGAGCCGACGGAGTCGGAGACTCTTGAAGAAATTGACCGGTGCGTGTTTTGTTTCCTAACAACAACCTCATGTAACTGATTATGCTCTCTAGGTTCTGCGATGCAATGATTCAAATTCGCCAAGAGGCTGAAGATATCATCACGGGCAAGCAACCGAAAGATAACAATGTCCTCAAGAATGCACCTCACCCTATGTCTACTGTCATTGTTCCCGATGCGGACTGGGAGCGGTATGTTCACTTGATCATGTTTGAAGTATGCACTGACCAAGTCGATCAGACCGTATACGCGGGAGACTGCGGCTTACCCTATGCCCTGGCTACGCGAGAAGAAGTTCTGGCCAACTGTTTCTCGTATAGACGATGCATATGGGGACCTTAACTTGATTGTAAGTTTCTTTTGAAGTCTCTTGACTACTGCTAAGTTTTTGTTTAGTGCGATTGTCCTTCCGTAGAGGAACTTGCATCCTAATTTCCGACGTTTCTTCTTGCATATTAATCCCGGTTCTAGTGCTGCCTTTGGTTACATAGTAGATTCTTCTCTCATCGAATATACCTCTTAGAGTTCCAGTGTTGTTCAACCACACGTGCCCACATCGCGCATTACTGTAATTATAAAACTAGACGCATATATACATACAACGCATTACGTATCAAATGACCCCCGCAGTTTGTCCGGAAGAGTTTTCCAAAGATCTGGGAGGTATCGCTGTATGCGTCCCCTGACCTCCTTTTCCTGGTTACACTTCGTGGCAAAAGATAATAGAATCTGCACCGTTTGCAAGTCGGGGGCCACGTCGTCCCGGTCCTTGCCCATCTCCAAACAAGCAGCCTTGACTGCGTCGTTGAGGCGTCCCATCCGACACAAGCACTCTATCCAGGTATTCCAGACACGCTGATTGAACTTGAAGCCGACTCGCGAAAGCTTCGTACATACTTCCGAAGCCGTCTTCCAAGAACGCGCAAACCCGCAAGCATCGAGTATAATGCTAACACTGGCGTCATCGTATATGCCTGTAATATAGAGCGTTTCCCAGATCCTCACGGCGTCACCAAACAAGCCAGCCCGCTGGTACGCGTCCATGAGCTGATTCCAGAGGGCTACATCGGGAGTGATGAAAGCGTCGAGGGTCAGATGGTTGTGAACACGTCTGATGACCGCGCCCAGTTCGTTAAAGGACTCGGGAGGGAGAGATTTGATGCAGTCGGTGAGCTGCCGGAGGAGGATGGTGTACACGACGGGGGTAATTTCGTGGCCGGCAGCACGCATGTCCTTGACGATCGTGAAGTAATGCCGCGGAGAAGGGATGGACATAGCCGAGCCGCACTGACAGAACGCGGACAGAACAGCCTCGTAGCCCTTTGCGTCCAGGTTGCGCCCGACAGCGGTCTCCTTGAACCTTCTGTACAGGCCGAAAGCTTCGTGAGAGGCGGAAGAGCTGCGCAGGAGTATGGTGACCACAGAGACGGTAGCGAATCCCATGTCGACGTCCCCTCTGCGTGCTTTGATATCATCCAGAAGGGAGAACACAACAGGAAAGTACTTCTTGATGTGTACCTTCTTGCTGATGGTTCGCAGCAGGACGGTATAGATGGCATTGTCCGGACCCATGTTGTGCCGACCAAAGTCTGAGGTCCTGCGAAACAAGATGGGGTCCGGAGGTTCTGAAGGGGGCGATGAGGCTGAGTGTGAGTCTGGTAGAGGGTCATGAGATGATGTGGGGTCCTGTGGGGTGATGGATTGTGGAGACGGCAGATAGGAAGTAGGTTCTGACGATTTCGCAAAGTAGGTGGGAGATGTGGAATCTGCAGATAGGCTGGAGTCTGGAGGAGCGGGAGGAGGAGCGGGATCTGGGGGTACGACGGGATCTTGGGCAAGGAGGTCTTGATATATCTCGAGAGCTTTGTCGAGCAGAGGAGCATGTGCATGGCTCTTTATCGAAATTTGGCAGAGGGTATTGATTAATGGATGCACAAGAGGAGCTGTTGGACGGATGTCATGCTGCTTCGAGTCTGAGTATATGCTCAACGCAGCGTCAAGGTCGTCAGCTAAGACGGCATTGTGGATGAGGATGCCCCAGTGCACCGCGGTCGGGTCTGTCTCTAGCTCTTGTGCTGCATACTGAAAGTCGTCGAGTTTGTAAGTGCTCCGCGCAAGAGCTGTTAAAGCACGGCCGGGAGAATCAGAATAGTCGGCACCCTGTCCCTTAAGCCACCGTACAGCAGGCTGTATGCCCTGGGTCCGTGCAATTTGCTCTAGCTCTGCGTACTTGTTCTCCACGTTCATACTCTCCGAAACGCCTAGAGGCGAAAAGCGAGCTCTATACGCAGATGCAAGTGTATGACCGCGTTTCCTCCCGTATCTCGACTTGACTCCATCGAAGATGACCTTGGAAATGGACGTACCGAACGGAAGGCGATGTTTATGCATGGCGTCAAGAATTTCCGTCAGATGGGCTAGTTCAAAGGCAGGGTCTGAGAATTGTGCGGAGAGGACATGCTTGACTGTCTCGGCAGAAGGCTTGCATTTCATCATTGCGAAACCATGGCGAAGGGCCTCGAAGTCAGACGCTTCGCAGCAATGATCGAAGTAAACGTGCCAATGTCGAAGTAGGATTGGAGCTGAAGATGAAGGAGAGTTGTGTGAAGGGTAGAGAAGCCAGCGCTGGAAACTCTTGTGGTTGTTACTCTCGACCAAACCGCGGAGAACAACATCGTGCATTTCAGATGTGACAGGAATCTGGAACAATGACGGCATATCCTGCAGCATTTTGGCCGCCATTGCCAAGTCTGAAGGTCTGCCGGACTTGGCTAGGAAGTGAAGTGCTTGCTCGAAGTCGGACTCTTGGATGGCTTCGTCATTCGGATCGAAGGACAGCTGGAGTTCGCGTAGCTTGGACACAAGGAAGCTGTAGCTTCCGTGGACGTGGGTGATTTGACCCAAGGCAAGGTGCTTAGTGAAGGTTTTGTAGCGCGCAAGTAGCCATGACCGGTCTTTCTTTGATATTTCACTAAAGTCGCGTTGAAGAGGCAAATGGTTATGAACGGGGCCCGGATGGAGTCCACGGGCTATTTGACCAGTGCGGACGCGTCTCAGCGGTAGCCTGCCTAAGCGACATGCCAGCAAGCCCAGGGACATTCATGCGCGCCGCCCAGTCGATGCAGAACGGGGACCTGTCCACACTGACTTCAGCAAAAGTTACACCGTTGAGCCAGCATAGAATAGCAGCCGTACCTCTGTGGTGACAGAAATGGATCGAACACCGTGTGAAAAACGGGAACACGTTTGCATGGCACATTTCTCGGAACGCGACTGAGCTACTTACCACGTTACATCAACCTCCCACTTCCACTACCCTCATCATGTCCGACAAAGTCAAGGAGTTCATCGAGATTCCCCAGGAGTTTGTTCGGGACGGCAACCAGGTCGGCTTTGCATATAATTGTTCTTGGTTCATTAAGCTCACCTACTTTGTAGTTCCTCACTCGTTGCACGAAGCCTTCCCAGAAAGGTACGTGTCCGGCCACGACACTGTTTGTTCCCCACTTATGTTCCCCGTAGAGTTCGTCCAGATTTGCAGGGCAGTTGCAATTGGTTTTGCAGTCATGGGTTTCATTGGGTATATTGTAAAGCTGATCCATATTCCTATGTGAGTAACTTATTAGCTTTCGTTTGCGCAAATTCTTATACGTTTCTTCCTAGAAATAACATTCTTGTGTAAGTTCTTACTTGTCATGATGTCTGAGCTATTGACTGACTGGGTATAGTGGAGGGGCATAGTTTAGACTTGTATGCTGCTGTTCTACCCGACCTCTTATGTATAGAAGGCTTTCGAAAGCCTCGTTCATTCGTTAATACCACTGCAACACCTGGGCGAACTGAATTCTGTGTTCTGGCTCGAGGCATGTATTGCGCACTTTCAAAACCGCGATGTCGCCCAGGGTTCTCGTCGACGCGATTGGCACATATTCAGGTGAGCTACACATGCTGGTATCTGCTAGAGGACGATCCCAAAGCATGTCAAACGACTACTGTTCTACGTTAAGTAATGTGAATCTCGAAGATGGCTTCGCAACAGAGAAGACAGGGTGGAACTGCGTATCCGTCGCAGGTACTCCGTAGGGCAACAGGGCCGCCAGAGACTTGTCGGAAGCCTTGTCAGAGGAGCTATCCTTCAGCACAACAGTAGAAGGGGAAGGCAAAAGTGCCGGAAGGACCATCTGCGTCCGCATTAGAAGGTTGCGAGCTGCAGCCTTCATTTCCCGCTCAGAGAAAATAGAAGATTTGGCCAGAGATGCAAGCTGCATGAACATTCAGCACCAATAAGAAGGTCCATAGTGAAATACGCACCCTCGCGTCTAACGATGAAATGGCCTCATCGAGTCGTTGATCAGCACAGTCTTGCCCCTGCCACGTTAAAAGTATCGTATGAAGCATCGCTAAGTCGAAAATAGCAGGTGCAGAATAGGAGTTCTGCGGTAGTTCGTTGCCTTTCGATATTGACGCGCAGAATGACACCAGAGAGCCCAAAGCCACCACATCCAACCTCATCGGCGACTGAGCTAGCCCCAAGCTGAACAGAGACGTCGAAAGCGTATGGAGACAGTTCATGAGTACTTCCGTCGGAGAGAGGGTCGTCTCCGCGTCTCGAGTCTGAGATAATGGAGACTGTGTGAGGTAGTTGCTCGCTAGAGCACCAATGATTCGCTCTTTCCAGCAGCTTATGACGTGGTTGAAAAGCTCAAGTGTCGATGCTTTGAATGCTACGGTATACCCGAGTCAGTGACCGCGAATGCACCATATTAACATACTTACCCTTCGACATGCTTTCGTCTGGTTCCACGTTGTATATGAACGAGGACGTGGTCGAGAGCTCGAGCAGCAATCTTGAAAGGAGCTTCTGACTCTCTGTGTTGGAGACGGTACCTGATGCTGACATTGAGCCCATACATCAGACCATTGAGAACTACCACATGCATACCGCTTGCATCAACGACTTTCTCTGTTAGGTCTTTCAAAGTAGACAATATTTCAGAGCACAATTCGTCTGCCGCAACTCGATACTGTTGGCGGAGCTGCTTCGCAAGTTTCCTGAAGCCTTCCTGAGGACTAAGTATGTTTCATGACGCTTAACCACTTACTTCTCTTGGTCAGCAAGTTCGATGCGCCGAAGATCTTGCCAGATGGCTTCCGCCGGGGCCTCCAAGCTCTCAAGCACTGAATCCAGAATTTCCGTACGACCGTCCAGCTGATGAGAAAGGGCAGAGCTATACTTATGGAAGGGCCCAATAAACACAGCCGGTCCACTTCCTGGAGGAGGCAGCGAAGGGACAGCTGGCGGATGATACAGCTGAGCGACCAAAGAATGCTGGATTTCTGAGGTGGGAACAACCACCACAAGCTTGTCGGTAAAGGCCTGTCCGGATTTGACGAGGATCGCCTTCCATATGGCCAGAATGCGTCCTGAAACCGCCTCATCTATGGCGTCGCCCAAGACATCTCGATCCTCAGCGGTTAGATGAGACGAATCGCCGAGCCATTTGTGAATGAAAGTCCTGAGGTTCCAAACCTGCGTAACAGTCTCCAGGCCAGATAGCCACTTCTGAAAAGCGGTTTGTAGACTTGCCGTGCTCTGTTGAAACCAGCGGTCTAGTGCCTCAGCGACAGCGGCTGGCGAAACGGTAGAAGACTGAGACTCTAGATCCACGTAAGGTTTGTAGGACTTGATTGATGGCGGGAGAATCTGAAGGTATGACGAAGACGGCAAGGTAGAGAGTAGGGACAGCGTATCCAGAAGAAGCTCGCTTGGAAAATCATCTTCAGTGCTAGGCGATTCAGCTTGAATGTGTTCGAGCGCGCGGACCGCTAGGGGTCGATCACCTTCGGCAGGGCTCGAGAAAATCTCGCGGGCGGTGACAACGGTCCTGGAGATGATCTCCAATGCCCGTTGCAATGACGCTCTGTTTTCCGCCGCACGTTGAGGAGCTAATCCAGATGCAGATCCGCTAACCTCGAGATGGGGGATGTCAGCAGATTTGTTGAGGAAGGTATTGAGCATTCTTGTCCGTTGGGTAAAGTACATGGTGAGCGTCTCTGTAAGAGGTCTTGCATCCAGAATATGCAATGTCAGCATTGTTGCACACGTATCCTACTATGCATTGAGCAAGGACCGGAAAACTGTAAGGGGGGCACCGCCGTACCTCCGTTGACTTCTCGAATGACCGAAGAGAAAGCGTAGCCTTGTGGATGATCTGTGTTCTGAAGTGGGATATTGTCTCCCATTGCCTCTGAACGATCGGGAACTGCTCCTAAAGACCGTATAAGTTAGCCGACCATCATACGGATTGCGCAACACATACCATAACGTCTATACCCCGATTGATCCAACTATCGTCATCCTGGTCGTCATCCTGCACAAGCGCTTGATGGACTACGCGTGCAAGTAGAAATAACCAGGCTGCTTGGAAGAACTTCTCGCGTTCAATGAGTCGCCAGAGATGCTCGGGCGCGTCCAGGAGAAGCTTTACATGGGCTGAAAGCGCCTGAAGGGTATCGAGATGGTTGTCTGAAGTAACATCAGTGACCTGCACACAAAACCACGTATACACGGACGTGCCTCCCTTGCTCGCGTCCGCCGCATGCGTAGGTAGCTTCATGTGCTCATGTGAGGAAATTGCACCCTTGATCTCCTCCAAAGCATCGTGGACGCGCTGCGCTGACTTGGACAATAGAACAATAGAAGTCGATGCCTGTAGGAGATCGCGGTAACGCTCCCTAACCTGCGTGAGCTAACATGCTAATGACATCTTGCAGATGCACTCACCCGACCATGACACGCAGCTCTTCCTGCTTCGCCTCGGCATCAGCTCTGCGCAATGTAAGTGCGCATTCACAAATGCCTCATAAGACATACCTGAGCTGGAGCTGCCTCGTCTTAACCTCGGCTATCGTGTACCTTGTGAACAACTCATCTGGATCTGCAGGGAGGGCGCCAGGTCTGGGAGGTGCTGTAGTCTGTAATGGTGTTGTAGGCACTAATTTGAATACACTAGCTGGGGACAGTAAAGATTGTGAAGGAGCCGTAGACGAAGCTGGAGAGGTTACGGGCGTCTGACGCGCCATGCAGGACAGTCAAGGGGTTTAAACAAGGTAATTTAGCCGCGCGTATCAGGAGGTTTAGCCATTGACGGATATATGGACCGCGCGTTTCCGCACAAGTTAAGAGGTCATGGCAATCTATGAGTTGCATTTTCTATTCACAAAGAATGTCAAAAGGTAGAACAACATTAAAATCGTGCGCTCCGTATGAAAAAAATAAATGACGTGAACAAAGTACACTATCGGGCCTGATCCTTCGAGTCCACACTGTCTGCAACATCGGCTTCTTGGGGAGCAACCTGTTTGGAGGGGCCATCCGGCTGAGAACTGGAGGCGGCAATGCTCTGCGACCCTCGCGGGGGGTTGGTGGCGGAAGGTGGTGAAGAAGTCGAAGAGTTGGCAAGTCGCTGGTCCAATGCCTTGAGGGCCAATGCGCTAAAAATATTAAATTAGTGTATGTTACAACAAGCGTGTGGCAATGAAAGGTCTTACCGTCTTCTTTCTGCCTCAGCGCGTGCACCACCAGGAACCTGGCTGTACCCAGCCTCTAGGTCTGATGGTACAGACGACGGGATGAGGTGGAATCGACTCGCCAGGCGATGGACGGTGTTTCCAAGCATGGACAACGGCGTGCTAAAAATATACATCAATACACTGCACATCACGAGGGTTGAAAAAGATTCACTGGACAAAGGGAGGGAACCAGCTAATCAAGGAGAAAGTCTCGCTGCGATCTCCGTACGTGTCCATGCCACCAACGGTGTCACTAACGTTGCGTTTGTAGAACCGAAGGTATATCCACGACACAAACCATCCAAACTGGATGAGGATGTAGGGGCTTTGGAACCCTAGCAGAGTCATAACTGTTGAAAAGGTGAGGTATGCCATCGGAAGACGCTAGATATTGGTAAGAATGAGGTTTGCACTTGTGATATCGGTGTGTTACCTTGACGCGGGCTTTTATGAACCCAAAGACTTGTACTTGGTGTTCAGGGATGACTTGGGTGAATGCGACGAGGAAGGATATGAAGAGAGTCATTTGACCGTAGTACTGCATGCCGTACCTTGCACAGAGGTTAGGATATGTTACTAAACGTCAAGGATAGCAGGAATCGCGTACAAGAACATGTCCGCGTTTCGGGTGGCGATGAATTCGATCCAGTTGAAGGCAAAGGCGATCAGGTTGGGACCAATGATGCAAACGACGAGAAACTTGATGGTTTCTACGGTCCCCCACAGTCTTTCAAAGTATCTGAGCGATGCTGGTATCATGATTAATGAGACAGCCAACTATGAAGCACATGAGCAATTATGGTTAGAGGTAGATCTAGCAACGAACCTCGATAATGCTCAGCTCTACCAGGCCCGAAGTTAGGAATGTCCATGGAAAAAAGAGACTCGATCCAGGGACAAGAGTGAGCCATGGCAAGAAGAACTGGCCAGTTGTCCAGCGATTCCAGAGGTAGTAGGAAGAGGTGACCACGGTTGCGCCGGTGAAAACGCGTGTGACGAGTGGGACTGAGGAGAGATAATGCAAGGGTGTGGATAGGATTGCCATGATGAGGCCCTGGGACTGTCCTTCGAGCTAAAATACGTTAGTCGAGGGAAAGGGCACAACTTTGAACGTTTGAGGCTTTCCTGTCCAGTTGGGAGGGCGCCTCAGTCGGACGAGATGTGCCGTCAGTTTACCCGTATTTGCCGTCTGTCATTACGTGACGACGTGACCTCGCGTGCCCGGCCTCCTCTTCTTCCTTGCGTCACTGCCGCTGCCAGCCGGAACGGTCCTCAGTTTGCTGGCAGCAATGTCAGACTACAATTTCAAGCCCGGGGGCTCTCTGAAGCTCAAGGGGAGTGTTCAGGATGGTGGCATTGTCAAGAAGTGCGTTTCACAGTTACTTCTGTTATACCGCTCCTCTCATATGTTCTACAGGAAGAAGAAATCCAAGTCCAAGTCGACTTCGGATGATGCCAAACGCCGTGAGCGTGAAAAGGTGAAGGAATTGCTCTTAAAGGACGAGGAAGGCTCCCCTCGAGACTCTCCGTCTGGGAGTGGCAGAAACTCTCCTGCTGTCGGGGGCTCAAATGACAGAAAGACAGATGCTGAGAAGCGCTTTGAAGAGGCACAGCGGCGCCGAGTTAGTCATGCATCTACTGCCTCGAAACGCACCCACTCAACGCATCTTCTTACCAGCTTGCCGAGAGAGTGGCCAAGATGGCGAACAAAACCCACAAGGATCGTGTTAACGAGTTTAATACAAAACTTGAAGCTCTCAGTGAACACCATGACATTCCAAAGGTACGTTTCCGTTCTGACTTGGTCCGTGCATATATTTACGCCGCTCGATCAGGTTGGACCCGGATAAGACATTTCCACGTTCTTACTGTCTGGAAAGGGTCTCTTGGACTTCCCGCAGATTCGAGAAGCTGCACTGTTGATGTTGCTTTGAGACATGCCTGATGTTCTGTTGTGTCTATACATCAGATTCCCTGTATAATACATTTCCAGTGTCTGAAATTACGATCGCGAGGCGCCGCTATTGTAACTTGTTTGTTGTAATGACTTGGATATAAGTAGGCACGGATATGCGGCTCATTAATCCGTGACCCTTCTTAACCCTTTTCCTCCACCTCCACACAACGCATCACCCCACATGTCTACCACATCGCTAGCGAAGAAGAAAGGGCATATATGCCCCCCCTCAGACGCGGCGGACCCCGCAGATCGCTGGGAGACCATGTTTGTCTACGCGTTCATATACAAATTCACCAACCTTCGAGCAAAGACAGAAGGGTTTGAAACTGCCATGGAGTGAGTGCAATCCCTTTTACACGTGTCTTTGAGTCGTCTCATTACAGTGCACGATGGTGCGGGCTGGCAGTCTCGAAACTGCGCTCAAGGCACCTGGCCCAGATCCTGTACTCTGTAAAGTGCTACAGCACTTCATACTGAATATGCGACCACAAACGCGTACTTTGAGGTGAGAATATGTCAGCAGCCATCGATGGGCTATATGAAAGCATTTTCCGTCGCGTTTGCACGCGCCAGTGTCGATCAAATCTCTACGACCGTGGCGGGCGTCCTGGCAGACTATACCAAAACACCTGAAAGAACAGTGTTTTGGGACGAGGACCTCAATGCTAATGTGGACCCTCTTGCTAACGTCGAAGGGGGCATCTTTTCAGCGGACTGGGACCTCAAAGTACGTAACCACGGCCCCTTTTGGCTCAACTCCCTAATTAACGCGTCCCTTTGGCTATATGTAGCTTAGGGTACTCCGCCAACTGGTGGAATCACAGCTGGCACATTCCGCCGCTATCAAAACCAAAATTGATCGTGCTTGGGGCGTGATGCAGCAGAAGACAAAGAAGAAGGACGCTGATGCTGCACCCCCTGAGTCTGATGATGCAAATAGCCTCCAAAGCCTACAAGTGCAGCCCTTGGGCCAAGACTTGGAACGAAAACGTTACTGGGCTGTGGACGGTACGTGTTCTTTCATGTTATCCAAGGTTTCATATTTGCGTATATTTGTGTGGTACCGCCGATACCGCATTTTCTGGCCCCATGTCACCCGGCGTTATCCGTTTGCATGCAGTTTTCGCTGATTCGCCATCTATCTTAGATTCACCCCGGTTATATGTGTCGACGAATCCTTGGAAAATTACTTCTACCCTCCGAACTATTGCTTCCAGCCGGGAAGAGTACATGGCACTCATTGAGCAGTTGAAGGCAGCATCTCTGCAACTAACTGACAAAAAGGCGAAGTCTCGGAAGGGACAACATGATCTGCTTGTTGAGACCCTGGAAAGTCGCGTAGAAGCGATAGATCGGGAATTGGCCGTGAGTCTTTTATTGCCTCCGCATTTGCCCAACAGTGAAGACAGTGGATGCCGTTCACGATCACTCAATGTTATACAGAGGATTGCCAGAGTACGCCGGAAGATTGAACAACGACAAATTGCTCTAGCCCAGGCCGAGGTGCGCTCGACGCGAACTCGTAGGCAGACTCGGCGGCCAGAATATGTTTACAATGACGTTGAGAGTGACGTACGCGCCTTTGTTTGTGGGTTGATGATTTAATGTTAATTTTCACCGTCTAGGATGGTGGAGACGAATATCAGTTTGAAGAGGATAACGACTACGACGATGAGGCTTTTGGAGACGATTTATCTAGCAACCATTCAAACCGGCGCCGAGCGGAAGGAACACGAAGGTCATCCCGCGCAACAAAAGGTAGACGCGTTTCCCGCTCCCCAGACGGTACAGGCGGGATGGAATGGGGAGCAGAGCGACGGTCAACACGTCTCGGTCCCCCGGAACAAGCGACCTCGTCTCGCAAGCGTGCCAGAACAGAAGACAGCGTCACGAGTTCCAGTTCTTACGACGTTAACCCATCAATCCCCACGGAGCGTACGGCGGCTAAAGTAGCCAGAACGAACGGCGCGGCAGCTGTGAGACCGACGGAGGTAGCTGTGGAACAAGTCGCAGGGAAGAAGAAAAGCCGGTATTGGTTTTACGCGGTTGAACCGATACCAGCGCCATCTGGTGAGGCACCGATAGGTGCCAACGGGGATGATAACCCGAATTCTTCAAACGGACACTTGCCCAATAGCAACGGCGTGTCTAATATGAGCACAGCGCATTTGAATGAAGATGCGATGGACGTTGACTCCAACGTTGACGTAGAGACAGAAGGCAGCTTGCCTCCCGCGTCCAGCGTCGAGTGAAGGGCGGTATTTACTTCCGGCCAACTTCCGGAAAGCATTCTGCTCAGCTTCGCAATTCTCTTTCGGGGTATCCTACATGTTCTCTCACAGTCATTCATACCACAGCATTCCTCCGGCGACAAATAACTTAACTTACTGTGTCACCATCCTATTATGCATAGGTTCTTAATATCTGCTCTTGGAACACAGAGCACATACATACATACAGCTCCGTTTGCACACGAAATGGGACCTAGTACTTACGTAGTTGACAATTCTCAGCAAGTAGTTGTGATTTTTATGGGCCTCGAAATAAGGATTTCTGGTATACTGGATTGTTCGTAAGGTCCCGGGAGGTCGCACCTCTAAGACAAAATTTGTTTCGATAAGCATACCTTTGATATGGACGTATCGCAGCGACCGACTATGAGGGAGCGCTGCGAAAAGCGAACGGAGTCAGGGGCATTCTCCTAAAGCCGAAGACCGCGGATGATTGCCTGATTGAGCGAGCTGGCTTATTAGGCGGGGGCTTCGGTCTGAGTTATACGACATATTGCTCTATGCTTGCCAGGTCTGCCAGCCGTGCTCTGCTGCAGCCTGCACGTCGCATCAGCCGACTCCGCCAATGCACTTCACCAAGGATCAAGACTCCCTCACGGCGACTCGCCACTGTCGCGCCAACGATACCTGCGTCTACCGATGACCTAGAACTCGTCGCGCTTTTTGACCAGCCCCAAGGCAGGTCTGCCTTCGCCGGACCCTCCTCGACTGGAATCTTCCAACACTCGCAACTGACGACTCCCGCGTCCTTCACCGCCCTCGCCGACTCCACCCTCGTCCGAGCACAGCTGCTGACAGAACGCATAATACGCGCCCGGGACAACCGACATGAGCTAGGAAAGGTCGTCAAGAACTTGGACAGACTGAGCGATGCACTTTGCGGTGTCATCGACCTCGCTGAGCTCGTCAGAAATGCACACCCGGACGCGGAGTGGGTCGAGAGCGCGAACACGAGTTACGAGAAGCTGTGCGAGTTCATGAATGTTCTTAACACGCATGTTGGTCTTTACGAGGTGCGTAATGTCATTAGATTTTGTGAAACAGGCAATCAACTGCCTGAAAAAAGGTGCTACGTGATGTTCTTTACAATCCAGAGCTCTCCGCAGCGCTCAGCCCAGAAGCTCGCGAGACTGCTCTCATCTTCTGGCGAGACTTTGAGAAGTCTGCCATTGCCCTTTCGCCCGACAAGAAGGAACGCTTCGTGTCTCTCTCGTCCAACATTCTCTCTGTTGGCCGAGACTTTGTCAATGACTCCTCTTCTCCGCGTCCGCCAGCGTCCATTATGGCGTCCGAAATTGCTGATCTCAAGGACAAAGGGATGGGTTCTAGGCTTCGGCGACAAGCTCTCTTCACTCAGAGGGAGCTCCTTGTTTACCCTGGCTCGCACCAAGCGCATATGATAATGCGTTCTGCACCCTCAGAGGAGCCTCGGAAGAAGGTATACATCGCAAGCCACACCAGCACACCGGAACAGGTTGCTCGGCTGGAGACTTTGTTGCGTTTGAGGGCAGAGCTTGCTCAGCTGGTCGGTAGGGATAGCTACTCGGGGATGGCACTGAGCGATAAGATGGCAAAGTCACCGGGTGAGCAGTCGTGTGCGATGGTACGCAAGGTGCAAGTTAATGTTGTATTATTTGGTAGAGAATGTGAAGCAGTTCTTGGACACCTCGCTAGAGCGCACAGGCGTGTCCGCGAGGCGTGCACTGCATGCGCTGAGCGTGCGGAAGCAGGCTCATTTGAACGCTTCAACACTACCTATCATACAGGCTTGGGATAGGGACTTCTACTGCCCACCAGAACCACGATTGCCTCCTGTTGCCCTTCCACCTCTAACACTCGGCCGAACGATCATGGCATTATCACGGCTGTTTAAACACATGTATGGCATATCTCTACGACATGTCAAGGTAGAACCAGGAGAGGTGTGGCATTCTGACGTCCACAAACTCGAAGTTGTCGACGAAGATCACGGTGTCATTGGATGGATCTACGCCGACCTCTTCGCCCGACCAGGTAAAGCGCCAGGTGCTGCACATTACACCGTTCGCTGCTCCCGGCGGACAGATGATGACGATGAAAGTGGGGACCTTACCTTTGATGGTGCTGACAACTTTCTTCGCTTGTCTCGAGACTTTGAGGCTGCCAAGAGGCATCGAATCCGTGGCCGGGAAGGAGAATATCAGCTCCCGCTCGTCGTGCTTTTGTGTGACTTCTCGCCTCCAACAGCGGCTCGCGGTGCCACCACTATCGACTGGCCAGACATCATGACATTCTACCACGAAATGGGTCATGCCATGCACTGTGAGTTCATCCCTTGAAAAGCACGATCAGGAGCTCAACTGCCTCCAGCCATGATCGGCAGAACGGAATACCACAACGTCGCCGGGACGCGCTGTGCCACCGACTTCGTCGAGCTGCCTTCCATCCTTATGGAACACTTCCTTACCTCGCCCCGCGTACTATCCCTCTTCGAAACCGACGGGTCCTCGATCGCCAACCAGACTGCCAACCACCACGAAGACCCGTGCCACCACATCGACGACCACACCAACGTCCTCCTTTCCATCCTTGACCAGAACTACCACTCCACCGCCGTTCTCGACCCGAAGTTCGACTCGACCTCTGTCCTCGCCAACTTGCAGAATTCGCGTGGGTTGATACCGCACGTTGCCGGAACCTCGTTCCAGACGCAATTTGGACACCTCTTCGGGTATGGCGCGACATACTACTCGTACCTTTTCGACCGGACGATCGCATCTCAGGTCTGGCGGAGAGTTTTCGTACAGGATCCTCTGAACCGCGAGACAGGGGAGAAGTATAAACGTGATGTACTCAGCTTCGGTGGAGGGAAGGATCCTTGGTTGATGCTCAGCACTTTGTTGAATGCACCGGAGTTGGAGACGGGCGATGCTGCTGCCATGCGCGAAGTGGGAGAGTGGCGATTGGCGAGCGACGACGTGATGCCTGAACGTCATTAATCGATTTCTTCTTGCTTGATGTTCCCTGTTCCTAGATAGAGAGCCCAGCAGATTAGATGCTATAATATTATAAGATCCAGATAACAAAGTGATAGCGATACAAAATAATGAGACAACAGTATGACCAATAAAAAAACAATCCGGGTGAATCATGCAGGTATGTGTAATGATGCAAAACATGCGGTGGAATGGATGCGAGATAAGGTATGTGTACAGAGATGGGGTATGGATGCAGTGTCAAGTGAGATAGGGATAAATACAATAATAATAATGATACTAGTGATATAGGAGAATGTGATGAACAGTGGAGAGGTGGATTACGTCAGTTGATTGAAACAGGGGCGGCAGTGATTTGACTCCTGCTAGCCACGAGAATGCGTGCAGAAGGGTTGATCAAGCTAAACCAAGTTCTAGTCGAAGCCGGTCCATCTCGACAGTATGTTCGTAGAGGCGACGAAGTTTTGCTTCTTTCTCCGCGTCGTAAACTTCGTACAGACCGGAGAACCCAATTTCCGAAACCATTTGGGAAAATGTCCCCTGAGATCCAAGGACATTTAAAGAGAGGGAGGACCCAGGATTGGGGGGGCCTTTATAACCTGAAGACTCTAAGGCGGATAATTGAGTTTCTGCCTGAAGGAGTATCCGACCAGAGCTCGAAGTTGCGGTTGGCTCGTTAGCAGATGAACAACCTTCAGAAGCGTTGGGAAAATAATCGAGGAAGTCCTGGGGAACGGGGAATGCTTGCGAGCCGTAAGGGCTTTGAACATCCGATGATATGGCAGTCAAGTCCAGATTGGTGACACATCCGTCAGTGAATGATAATGAGGCTGCAAGTGAAATTAGGCGATCCTCACAACAGATCTAACCCGTGTGACTCACATTCGAAAATATCAAAGGAACTAGGGTCGACTGCAGATACTGTGGTATAATCGAATAATCGGACATCGACTGGCCCTGAGACATCCTGAAGATCCGTGGTGCAAACCGCCGTAGGTGTGCTAAACCAGTCATAGTTCGCGTCCAAAGCGGTCGACAAGGGAGGGGATTTTAAGGTAACCTGTGGGCGAGAAACGATGTCATTAGGCCGTACACGCTTCGAGGGCTTCTCTTCGGTGTCTGCATCAGAAAACAGCTGTTTGCTCTGGGAATGTCGAAATCGATGTGTAACAGGACATTCGTCGGCACGAGCACTAGAGGTCTGCCGAGTATGATATACATCAGATAGGCATCTTTTCCGCGAGGGGGGCTGAGAAGGTTGCATTGAAGGACTCCTGCTGATAACGGAGCATTCTGAAGACGCAGGAGACATAGCTATGTGCTCGAGCACTTTGCTCTGTACCCGAGGTGTAACCTCGCCATCATCCAGCCTATGAGGGTGTTAGCTTGAGCTGGTAGATAATCTCCAAATACCTTACCTGCGCTTCTTTGCACGAAGACTATTGAGCGGAGAAGTGGGCTCTGAGTAATCTGACGATATCGACACGTGGCGGCTGACGATAGTTTGGCCGGGGGAAGGTAGCGAGTCAACTTCTTCATCGTCCGTATCTGTCAGGAGATGCTCCAATGCCGGTACCGGAGAAGAACTCGTAGAAGAATAGGGTGTCGGGTAACGCTTTGAAGCTGGCCACCTCCTTTTCCTTGGCTCCGACTCTCGTTCAGCTTTCCGTTTCCGTTTTCCGCTAGTTTCACCGCCCCAGTTTCCCCGACCCCTCAAACCCTCTACTACATTGTCGAGCTGGCCGGCAAGCCCGCTGTTAGGATTCTTTGTTTCGTAGAGGCTTTCAGCGGCGACCTTCATTTGTACAAAGTCAAAAGCAATATTCGGGGGCACTGGTGCGTTAGAGGAAGTGTCACCATCATCATCGACCAAAACGCGGTGGGCCGCGACGAGAGCATCACGCTTATAGCCCTTAAAGTGATTCTGGAGGATCGCCGTCCAACCTATGCGCTTGCGAACGTTTTTAAACCAGTCATTGACGGAGTCCAGCGGGGAGCTAGATGTATATGCGATGGTCCTCCTGGTCTCAGGAGAGGGGTAAGGGTTATGGAGGTTACAGAGAAGCCAGTCCAGGGCCGGTGCAATAAATGGAAATGTACTTTCATGCTCCAAGGCAGATGGACGTGACGGACCGGTTAATTGAGACGAGGCAATGGATGGCGGCTCCGGAGAAGAGATGGAGAGGTGACAGAAATCTTCCATAATGCTCTCCTGGTCACATCGGATTCGCTGCACTGTGTCCTCTTCGGAATGCTGGAGTTCCTGGATGTAGATGCTCAGATCAAATATGTGCGAGGCGACGGTGTGGGCAAGATGAAGGACATCAGAATCAACTGCATTCGAGGCGATAGCAGACGCGAGATCGTTTCCCAGCGAAGACCATACTTGCTCGTACGAGGCCAAGTTGTGATGGTCAGCACTAAGCGCGGACAGGAGCTGTTCTTCTGCACTTAGGAGGCGCCGTCGAATATCTTCCTCCATAGTATCCTGAAAGACGATGAAGACGGCCAGTGGCACGCGCAGGACTGGTAGCTGTTACGGTAGTACTGGAGTTACTAGGGATATACTGGAGTGTTTGTAATGTCAACAATGCGGCGATTGAAATGGCGGGGTTTCAATTGGCAACCGCAAGGGCGCAAGCACTGGATGCAAGCAGTGGGAACCAGCTTCATCCATGCATCCCTAACCTAGTCACCAGTCACTCTTCAAGCTTCAAGCGTCAGACGCCTCAACTGACATGGGTACCCGTACAGAGGTTTCTCTCTCTGAGCGTCGGGACGCTCAGAGCGTCATGAAGCGCGTGCTTCGCTCCGTTCACTCTATCATGGATCTCACCGCAAACGTTGTCAAAGAGTCATCTCATGAAGTGCTGAATCCACCTCCAATGCCCATCAAGCTTCCCGACCCTCCACCTCTAAGGCCTCATTTAGTTCAAGCTGGAGCTCCAGATCAGCTAGCCTCAAAGATGGACCATGCCTACTTCAAACGCGCTCTTGAGCTTCGCAGCCGTCTCCAAGTTAACCTGGAGACCGTTTGGAAGCTATACAGTCGAACTTCTTCATCCCAAGCAGCTGAGCATATTTTGTCATATTTTGCTCAAACCTACCTCAAGTGGCTTGCTTCAATTCGCAAAGAAGGGCTAAGGGCTTACCATAAATACGCCGAAAGGATAGCAGCTTTCAACTCTCGTTCGATGCCAGGGCAGCGGGGAAAGGTACATCCGTTTAACCACGTAAGTACTCTGACTTGTTAGATAAACCGAAACTTACATACTCACTAGGAATATATACCACTGCTTGAGCATTACTTCGAACGAAATCCCTTTCCATCCTCCGCTGACAGAGCCATGCTAGCTAAGAAATCAGGGATGACGCACCGTCAAATTACTGTATGGGTGAGTGATCAACAACGCTTTTCAATCTCAAGTTCATGTGTCGCCAGTTTCAAAACCACCGGAACCGTGCCAAGAAGGAAGGGAGACTCATCGAGCGCAAATCTGGTGACGTGCCCGCTGTGCCTTTGGATACACTGGTAGCTCGTATGCCGCATCTCATAAAACCTGATCATCTACGCCCGCAATCACCTAATTCCGGCACTGCTGATGGAGAAAAACTTATTCAGGTAGGTAGTTAGTTCGCTCATTTTGCAAGTGCCAATTGCGATTCAACAGGATCTCTACTATTCTACTGTCACGGGCGGCCCTCATGTTTTTGATGTCCCTGCTCCATCCCACGCATTTCCTTCAAGCTATCCACCACAGTGCTCATATAACCCCTTTCCTAGCAAAGATGGGTCTGCCTTGTTCACTTCACCACAGTGGTTTCGTCATACTTCCCAGGTCTTGAGTAATCGCAATTCTCGCGTAGTATCTATCGATGAGCTTACCGAGAGGTTCTTACAAATGTCAGTCATGGATGTGTCGGGGGAACCACGCCGAAGATCACAGCAGCCAGATGGGTCTGCTGCAGTTGCCGCAATCACTGTCATTCCTCCTCGTGCGCCACATCCTGCACTGATATGCAACTCGACGCGTTCCACACACCGTCAGCGTTTCCTTTCACTACCAACCGTACCGGCACCTGCTCAAGGTCAGCGCGTATTTGAGACTCCGAGCCCTCAGTCGCGGCCAGTCACACTCGTACCTCAAGGCGAGTGCCCTGGTTCTCCAAGTGTGTTGCGTAGAAAAATAGCTCCGCCGCCAAAGCGTACCCCTAGAAACGCTTCCCTTTCTCGCACTACTACACCTGTTGGTTCTCCATATCCACGTCGATCTCGGACCCCCTCGTGCAGTTCTGGGTCCTCCCGACTTGTTTCTGAAGGAAGTTTTGGTTCCGAGATCTCGAACGAAGATATACCCCTTCCGACGACGCCGACCCATCCCGCCCACACTTTTTCACCGTTGCTTCCACAGCTTGAGATGCCACTTCATATGGATAATTTCTTTGACATCCCCTCGCTTCTCGACGGCTCCTCCGTCAACACCGAGCTGCAGAAGGAGTTCGATGCGATACTTGCGAAAGCTAATTTTAACCACGATTCATTCTTTGATTTCCCATTCGGCATGCCCGAGCCCCTTCTCACTGGTCCGATCTAACGACTGGGTTACGTCAAGTCGTTTGCAAAATATAGGCTTGGCCCACGAGCCTTCCATAGGGCTCTGCTATTGCATGTCGCCTATCCAAGTATATGCACGCGCCGAACCGGTTTGTTTGGCGTTTGCTCCTTCTCAATGACGCTGGTTTACGCATGCTCGGCTCGAGGTCAACATGCCTGTTCAGCGCGGTTCTGTGTCGCGACACGGCTTGACCCAGCGCACCCGTTTGGCACTGACTTGTTCGCCTCTGCACAGTCGAGGCTGGCACATGCGTCCATTCGGCTGTAGTCGTCATGTCCCTTTGGGCTCCGACATCTCCGTAGATTCATTGCCTCAGGCTTAGGGTGTACCACTTATCGGCACTTCGTGGGGCAATTGTCTCCTGCTTAGATCGCGCGTCTCAAGAATACAGCAACCTGCTGTGAATCTTGTTTGCCCTCTCTAGATGTTCCCCATCCACCGCCCTCGGTCTTTATTTGACCAATGCGCTTGGCTCTCCGTTTATCATCTACTCCTTGTGCTCATCGCTGCTGTCTTATTGTTTTATTATCTGTCGACGTGGGCTTTTTATGTTGTCTTTATTCTTGTGGACTAACTGTACTTCCTCACTAATTCGTTTCTTCTCCGTGTTGTTTCTGCACCCTTTTGCATATTATACCCTGTTACCCTCATTGCATTGACTGTATCTCTAGCATCGCATCCGCATCCGCCCTCACGTTCGTATTTATGTTAACACCAGCATCTGCATCTACATTCACATCCACATTCGCATCCACCCTCACGTTTGCATTCGCATCAATTGATCTCTTGGGCACTTTGCCCGCTCTCGGACCACGTTGGGCCGACTCTCACTGAAATTTTAGACTGTTCCGAAGTTTCGACTTTCCTCAAGCTTCGCTCCGTGAATATGCCATCTGCCCATAACGCAAGAACACGACAACACGACCCACTATGACCTCACAGGGCGGACCCAGCAGAAGAAGTTTTCGAACCTCAGTATCCAGGAAGAAATTAGGTAAGATCACATTTAAATCTGACTAATAGATGACCATATCCTTGTGGGAATGAAATCAATACTACGAGAGACCGTTTGGACTTCAGCTGTCGGACCCAACCATGCCTTACAAGAACTTGGAGGCCTGGATGGAACACGCAGTACGTGAGCTTCACAGGATCACATGGTATGATAACGGCTTACGAGGCTCATCATGGAACCCATCCCACCGAGGCCTCCGCTGTTGCCGCCGCCTATCATGCTACTCATTTTAGACTGGACGAGAAGTTTCATGACGGTCATGGCGGCGCCGTTGACTGCGTCCTGCTTGTTTCCGGAACTAGCTCCGCCCGAGGAGTCGAAGAGCTGGCTGGCCTCTTGCATAGCGAAGCTAATGAGCTCCTGCTGAGATCCTCCGCCTCCTCCGCCGCCGCCGGTGAACTGCTTCAGAGCCTGCGCAGATAAGATGGTTAAATTTGGGTGTGGGATTTTTGGTGTCTTGACTACGGACCTGGAGAGCAGCGGCACCTCCCATAGATGAGGCGTTCATGCCACCAGCGCTTCCGCCGCTATAGGCCTGCTGGTGGGCACGCTGAACTTGCTCCTCGTCAATGGGTTCTTGGTGTTGTTGCTGATCGCGTAGTTCAGTAGATACTCATTGAGAAAACAATAAAGGTTTCACAGGGTTCGACCGGATGTGGTTCATGGCCTGAGAAAAGAGGCCACTGTCCTGACCGGAATTGTTGGAGGCATGAGAGACAACCTCATCATCGTTGACTGGTGGTGATTAAGCGTTCAATATGACAAGAGTAAACGGCATAGTATGTACTCTGAGGAGCGTGCTCGGAAGAGTATTGCTGAGGAGGGCGGTTGTCGGGAGAGTTGAACTGTTGTCCGCCGGTCTGGTGAGCGTTCCCTTGAGCTTATGGACAGATGAGGGCAAGCAAGATTAGATGATCTGACAGAAGCTTACAGGATGTGTAGGCTTTAAAGCCCTGCTCTGCGAGATTTACGAAGGTATCCTGGGCAAGAGGAAGAATCAATATCAGAGCGCTTGGAAGCAGGTGAAAGACGGACTGACCATGGTGATGGTTGCGATTAAGGATGGGGTGGTCCAGGAACTGACCTCTGAATCTTAAAGAGCTTCCAGAGAGCACTCTAGAGCACTGGATTTGTGGATCTATTCATCTCCGACGTCATGATTAGCTTTTTAAGGAAAGTGCACATGTGCGGTGCTTTCCCCGATTTGAATTGGGGTAAGAACGCGCTTCCGTCTTCTTCATGTCGGTTCCTGCAACTGCCCGGCCGGTTCATCATCGAGTGTTGAGGCTCTCTACGACTATCAGGACGCGTTTTCACGCGTCACAGGGCGCTAGACGCTCTCGAATGTCAACAATCACGGCAGATGCACCGTTTTTCCCGTCCTATCCCTCCAAGTCGTCTTTCCAACCAATACAAGGTTCCGACACAGACTGTTACTCGGCCCACCCTATACTCTCCATCCTTGATCGAGTCCACTCACCAGCATGTACTAGCCTCCTATAGTCTCTTCAGCTGATCGATGAGTCTGTCTATCTGCATTGGTTTCATATTTGTACGCTAGCAACAACAGTGCGGCGGCATCCCCGACGAGTTCTTTTGGCTCTCCACCTTGCCTTTGCTCCACTGGTCCTCTCAATATTATCGGCTACAAGTATGACGCCTTAGTAGGACCACTGTTGACGTTGAAGATGCCTCGTCGCCTGATATGCTGGGTCCTCGCGTTCTACGCTGATCCAGCTCCTTCGCTTTCTTCCACTCTGACTCATTGGCCTGTGAAGATGACAAAGGGCCAACAGTGACCAATTACGAGGACTCATACTTGAACCCTCCATGTATATTGCAAAGGATATAGTCTGGAAGTCGCTGGTAGAACACGTGTTTCGAACCCTCGTACCCGTAATGACACTGAGAGCGCCAAGCTCTTGATCTTCTAGGAAAGCTATGTTATTACTGACGATGGTTGGTGCTGCAAGAGCTGGTAGACGGCAAGGAATGGGCGTACCAGGGGCAAATATAGGGTAAAATCTATCTGATACTCAACCATACACCACGGAAAATGAAGAACTAACTATATATTTCGTCCGTCTAAGTACATTATTCGCAACATTATACAAACAGTGAGGATTGGTCAATATAGCGAATACTCCGCAATCGTCTGTCCGTTTGGTTCTGTCCTTTTATGCTACAGTGGTAGGAGGCTTTGCTCTCGGATCAACACCCTCGACGGTCGTTGTCATTGGGACCGCGTCGCCAGGCGTGGTGCCCTCAAGCGGCTGGCTTGTGGTGGGTCGGCCCTCAGGCTCGGCGCCTCCAGCGCCACCCATGCCGAGGTAGCCCTGAGCGGTCTCCTTTGCGCGGTCGAGGTATGGTTGAGCGGTTGCCTGCGCGGTCGCGACATGTGGTGCGATCGTCTGGCGCGCGGTCTCGACGTGCGGCTGGACGACGGCCTGTGCGGAGGCGAGGTATTGCTGGGTCGTGCCGAGCGCGGAGGCGGCGGTGGCCTGCAGAGCGGCGAAGGTGTCGCTGCCACCTGACGAAGAGGTGGCACCGGTGTTAGTGCCTTTAGGCTGTCCGCTTTGAACGAAGTTCTGTGGCATACATATTGCGTGAAATTCGATGACATGACGTAGTGAAGAAACACACCTGAGCAGAGTTGTAGACACCACCAGCTGCCGCCTTGGCCTGGTCGACATAAGTAGCACCAGCAGCCCTGGCGTGCTCAACGTCCTTCTGGCCTTGCTGAGCGGCGACGTCTGTCTTCTGCGACATATCATTGGCGAGCGAGTTTAAGGGACCGCGCCCACTGCCACCGGTGAAGTCAGGGCCCATGCCTTGTGCAGCCTGCGCGGCCTGCTCAGCTACGCCATGAGTCTGCTCCGCGTTGGCATCAATTTGACGTGCAGCCTTGGGGCTAGTCGCGTCTATGCGTGCCTCAGCGACGGTGGTCTGGTGAGCAACTTGCCTGTAAGTAGTATAATACGTCAGTAACCCTGAACTGGATCAACGACGTGGTCAGGAGGACATACTCAACGCCGGTAGGCTCCTCGACGTTAAAGACGCTTCCTTGCTTAATGTTGTTGGACATGTTCAGAGTGTTGTAGGGGGTGGAATGAGATAGTGCTACCAAGAGCGGCTTGGCCGTAATTTATACTCCTCCGAGCATAGCGCAGCCCACCGACGTCATGGTTTTCGTGGAGACACCAAGGAACAGGAAAGGGAAAAGCGCGGAAACGCGTAATAGGGGCTGATCCGTACGAGCTATGACGACACATTTGCCTTTCTTAGAATTAGGTGTCGGATACAATTGTACAGCAGCTCCGAATGGCTGTAAATGTAGGGAGAAACACTGGCGCGTTTGACAAGTCTAATACGTAGTCCGAGTACCAGGGAGGAATATAGTAGGAAATACAACAGAAAACTGAAAAGAAAGGTAGATAAAGTCTATGATTATGCATGGGTATCACATATAGATGATCGATAAGAAGACGAGCATGGTGGAGGTGGATCAGAGTAAGGAAACGTCATGCAAACAAGAAAAGAATACTTTGTTGTAATCACTGCCCATGCTGATGAGATTGCTCGCCCCATGAGCCCATCTTCAGAAACCTCGCCAACACCTCTTCTGATCCGCGCTTGAACACGTCCACGCCTCGAGCGGGGTCGAACACTCGGCTCGGCTTCCTCTGCCGCGTAGGCGAAGGCGTCGTCGTCTCCGTCTGGGAGCTAATGCCTCCAACATCGAGCAGCGATGAATTGGGCGATGTTCCTGAGGTTTCGCTAACACTAGATGGATGCCCAGCAGTGTTGACCTGGAGTCGAGGCGGAGCCGACAACGTAGCTGACGCCTGAGACGTCGCGATGACCCCGGATGCTGGGCCTGCCTGACCAGATGGCGTCCGACTTCCAGGTGGGGAGTCGTACACCGTAGGAGTGTGTATACCAGTTGGACTCTCCGACGGAGGAAACACCACGGTCTGAAGCCGAGTCGAAGGAAACATCCCTGGTGAAACAAGTCCAGATCCTTCAGGAGATGCATACGCTTCCTCAGCTTTGATAGCAGGAAGCCCAGCAGGCTGGCTTGCGGCAGGTGGCATCCATTGTCGCCGCGAATTTAAGCTCGGCCTTCTCGTTTTCTTCTTCGAGTGCTTCGAGTCCGTCTTTCCAAATGCCGCCGGCTCCTTCGCCTGCACGCCCGTGCTTACATGCTTTGTTCTGTCAGTCTGAATCCCAATTGAGCGATACTGTTTGCGTTCCATCGAGCTTGAAGTGCGTGAATGCTGCCTCACCGTCTTGCCCTCCTCTTCGGAGTCGCCTTCGTCTTCAACGTCGCCGTCGCGGCTGCTTGCTTCGGAGTGTTCCTCCCATTCTCGATGATCGCCCTGAGATGGATCCACAGCAGGTGCAAGGGGTGATGGTCGGGCAAGCCGCGATGCATACTTCTGAATGCTTGCGACACTGTCCCATGCATTACCGTACTGTGTCGTTACCTGGAAACCGACTAGAGGCGAGGGTGGCTCTTCTGATCTGTTGGACTTCTCGGGGGTGACAGCGGTTGCTCCTAGAGGTGGACGCACGAAACCAGAACCCGAGGGTGGCCCTTCCTCACCAGGGAAAACTCGAGTAGGCATGTATCGAGGGCGCTCTTCCCAAGGAAAGACACGCTTGATCTTTGTCGGGTCAGGACCGTTAGCAGTAGTAACAGAATCATGTACAGAACCGACAAGGTTCTTGTAGTGTCCTTGACGCAGGAGCAGTTCCGGGATTTCCGACGGAGGAGGTGGGTTAAACAACTCATGCGGTTTCAGTGGGGCGGCGGTAGGCTTGTTCTTTTGCGAACGTGAAGCGCGAGAACCTTGCTGCTGACCCTCGTTGGTCGGGGAATCATCCCAGGCATTCGGGAAGTAGGTCTCCGCAGGAAACGCCGATGGAAGCGGAGAGCTTTTAGGAGGAGATTCCACTGCAGGGTTCCACGCTAGAAGAGGAGGCGAGTTTGGTCGAAGGTGTTTTCCAAAAAGCGACTTCTGTGGTCCACCGGGAATGTCTTTGGCAGAACTCGGAGTCATGACACCAAATGGAGACGAAGGGAGGGACAACGACTGAGGTTGAGGTGCCGAAGGCACGTCGCGGGGGTCAGGAGTGGGAAGCGTCTCTGTTCGGAAAGGCGAGTTGTAAAGCCCGCCAGTCTTCGACGGAGGGGTGTGCGGGCCAGCCTTCGGAGTGATACCCAAGTCATCATTCGAATCCCATTCATGAGCAGAGAATGGCACTGGTCTCATCAGATCTATCCGTCCTTCGAGAGGAAGAGTAATGTATTCGCCTTCGCCCCCGCCGCGGTAGTTGACGTGAACATTCGCCGAGCCCATACCATGGATAGCCATGCGTCGCAGCTCTTCCAAGCTAAGCCCCCCACTGACAGGTATGTTGACCGAAGAGAGAAACTCTGCTCCGGCACCGCTCTGTTCATCCCAGGCAGACACGTACCTACGAACATCCACCTCGGTGTCTGGAACATGGCTTTGCGAGCGATAATGTTTATCATACACAGCGTACCACCTGTCAACCAGAGAGCCATAATCATATGCTTGCAGGCTCGGGGGTGGCGCAGTCTCTCCTGAGCTCCCTTGGATAGCAGCTGACCCAGGAGCGCGATAAGGGATAGAGTTCCACGGCTTATTTGGCCCAATAAAGTGAATGGCAGATATCTGTTTTCCAAAGCGGGCATATGCAGGAGCATACCTGTTCAGTGGGAATTCAGCAGGCCACACATGGACGAAATAGGGGAAACAACTGACGTGTACGCAGCCGTGGGGGTAGTGTTGTAGGTGAAACTGAGTCTGTGCCAGTCGTCGCCCCTCCACTCGTTCAGCAGCCCCTGGTCAGCACCGTCCCAGCTTCCGGTGGTTTTAAGAAGCTGGCGCAGCTGATCAAACTTGTCCTCGCCTGGAGTGAGGACCATGACACCCGAGTTAAATATGTCAGGCCAGCCGACGTCAGGGACGGCAGAAAATTCATGTTCAAGGTGGAAAAGGTGGGAGAGGGGTCGAACAGGAAGGACGTCCGCATCGAGGAAGATAATCTTGGAGTACTGGGTAAGGCGGAAAACATGTAGCTTTGTGAGAACAGAGTCGAGATCTGGGCGACCTGAAGTCGACAGGATTAGTCTCCAGCACAGAGAGCAGGAGGTAGCTTAATGAAGCTAACGGAGTAGGAAAGCAATGACCAAACGCGTCTTAAGCTTGTTCAAATAACGCGATGGAAACGCTTGCTAAGAATGGCCGGCCGAAACATGGGAGTCATCATTCAATCAAAGAGAATGCTCACCTAGCAAGTTGAGCGCCCCGTCATCCCTCTGCTGGCTGATAACCTCGACCCCTACTGCAATGTCGAACGTCTTCCTGAGGAGCTTAATGGTCGACACATCTAGTGTCTCCGGAGTGACGAGGCAGATAATGTGGAAATCTATGGGGCCGTTATCGGCGTGTACATCCTTGAGGGCACCAGCAAGGGCGAGTGCGCCTGGGAGATAGGAATCGGAGGAGAGGAGAGTGACAAAAGCGAAAGGAGTAGTTGACATGAGAATGCCGACGACGGGCCGACGACAAGACTTTGACACGCACGCCCAGGCGATGTGTGTTCACGATCTCTGGGAGTTAAGTTAGGCAAATAGACAAGAAGAGAGAGATCTAGAGAGAGAAAGCGAAGAAAAAGAAGAGAATTTAGATAGAGCGAAAAGTAAGACTAGGCCCGATGCCTATAAGGAGGCGGGAGCTGTCCAGGGAGCACGTCGGACAAAAAACATTAGACATGCACAAAAACTTAGTTACCAGCTAATAGCAGCTAATTAACCCTCTCTAGTTCGCCCGCGTCATTGATCAAATAGATCTTTGAATTTCAACCTCCCATCTCCAGCGCTCAAGCGCTCAAAACTTAACATTATCCTACTGACTCCGCCCTGTCCTCAAGGGGATGCGGCAGCCAACGCAATACACAGTGTCGCAAGCGTCATCAAATCCACAGCAGTCCGCCATTAATCTGTAATACAACACTCATCTTCGTGTCCGTTCTACCTCCTGCTCGTTGTGCTTCTCCCACAGCAGCCTTTACATGAGATGAGCCTGAGGTCGGCGCTCCCAAGCTTCCAAGAGAAGACAGGGGCTTTATACCAAAAGTAGTAAGGTCGGATTTCATTTAAAGCTTGTCAGGGGAAAGTCTCCTACCGTGGGCCGTGGCAGTCTTTGTCCAGATTTCCTCGTGTTTTCAGCAATTGAGATATTCAAACCTTGCCTGTAAGACTGGCAACCCATTCATCCACTTCTCTCTTCCTCACCCTGGTAAAAGTCTAACATCTCCGCACCCTAGACTCCGGTAGATCCGAGTCTATATCTGCAATCTGCAAGTGGACCTAGAAGTGGACTCCGACAGGTCAGATCGTCAGACACCGGGACGTGGCACCTGCCAGCCTCCAGGCCCTCATCGACTTCCTCGCGCCGATTAAATACTTCAAGTTACAAGTACGACATGCCCCATGAATCGACAGCGTATCAGATTGGTTGTCGCTGGCCTGGATTCGACAAGATCAAGCACATCGTAATCTTGTGCGTTTTATTCTCGCTTTGTTTCTCCGCTCCTATCATATCGACCCTTTGTTCAAACGTTCCACCTTACAGCGGTGCATCATATTGTGAAGTTGGTTACAGTCCCCGCTCTCCCCATCCGACCCCGGAAAATCCACTTGGTGTACCGTTTCCAGGGCTCACATCCAACGAACCCGAGGAGCCCAACTGGGTCGGCTATCTTACAAAGATCTATGAGTCTCGAGGCCCAAAGCTTATTTACGATTATGCCCTGGGCGGCGATCGCGTGTTTGGCGTCAGGCGCCAGGTGCAACAGTGGTTCCTCCCCGATGTCGGCGCTCATCCAGACTGGGCGCCATGGACAAGCGAGGATACACTCTTCAGTGAGTGCAGCCCTATATTTCATCCAGGGTTTTGTTTTCTCCCTTTCTGGAACTAATGGTTCTTGCTCCCTTTCTTCATTCAAAATGTATGACGATCAGTAACTTGGATTGGGATCAACGACTGTGCGTAAGTATCCTCCTCTCCCAATGCCACGGAGATCACACCTCAATGTTATCTCCTTTCCTCCCTACTACTAGCTGGGGCGGCGACTACGAGGAGCCAATGACGCGACTGTTTGAGTACCAAGAAGACTTGTATGCCGCCGGTGCGCGCAACTTCCTCTTCATCGACGTCCCTCCCATGCATCGCGCCCCAGCCAGTACGTCTCTTCTCATCATCCCAGATCTATCTCCGCCCTCGCGGCGTTTCTGCGCTGACGGGATCCCTCCGCCGCCAGCGACGTCCCGCTCGGAGTCCCGCGCATCCAACTATGAGCGCTGGAACGATGTTCTCGAGGATCATGTCATGGGCCTCGCGGGCGACCGCGCCGATATCAGCGCCATGATCTTTTCTTCGTGGGACACGTTTACCCGTGTTCTAGACGACCCGCCGGCGCACGGCTTCGACCGTGAAGATGAGTCCCGCGTCGGTTCGATATGGTTTGATCGCATACATCCCACAAGCAAGATGCACGACATTATCGCGCGAGAATTGTCCGAGTTTCTGGACTCGCTCGAGCCATACCAGGACGATATTCCAGAGAATATCAACGACAAGGTGAACGTCCACGGGGGCGAGAGGTGGCGGTGAATGGAGGGAGCGACCTTCAAGGATGGGTGCGCTAGTTTCGCGGATTTCTTGTCGCCTTTCATCCCATACTATACTATCATTATCTGGTTTGAGAGCTTTGGATCTGTACATGAATTTATTGCGTTTTGTAATTTCTTAGCTCGCTGGCAGTAGCTCCTTGATTACTCGTTTAGTACTCATTTATCACACTCAATGTAAACTGCAGCTCTCCAACAGCGAGGTTTGCAATCACACATGGCGATAGCGCCACTCTACCTGAAGACAAGTTTTCCGTATGTCCCGTCATAATTGTACTCTACGTAGGAAATTAAGAGAACGATAAAGGATACTCAATACAAACGAAGCTGAAAAGTCCCAAAACAGTGACCGAAACTCACTCGTCTCGCATGAGCCCTGCACGTTCGTCTTCATGGCCTTCCTCATCGTCACCTCTCCCGCTACGGCGCTTCTTGTTAGATGTTGCCAGATCATCATCTTCCTCATCACCAATCTCAAATACGACGTTATCATCGGCGACTTCTGGCTCCCTTCTATTATTGACGAGAGTGATTTCGTCATCATCGCGTCCACGATGGCTCAGTGACTCTAAGTCATAGTCTTCCGCATCTTCGTCTTCTTGTGCAAGTTCCTCAGACATAGCAAGCGTATATATCATACGGAATATTGAGTTCTGGGTTCAACCTAAGAAGAAGTGAAACTTATCTGCGGTTGGTTTCCGTTGGCCTCCAGAGGTAAGCAATTGCCCAGAAGGCTACAAAGTAGAGGATTGCAAGGTAGCCATCCAAAAGCCACCACCTGGTGCGCCAGGACTTAGCCGCGTAGTCTGCCGACCAGATATTCATTAGCAAGATTTGCAGGTAGGGCACGACAACATACCTTCAGCGTAGCGATCGGAGAATGACAAGGTAGATATGACGAAGAAGACGGCAATGATTATGACAGTTGCTAGCAAGATATGATAGAGGCGCTTGAACATTGTCAGCTTATAGCGCTGTTTGCGAGCTGCGAGGTTGGTCATTGTTCCTGGGAGCACGATTAGTTAGGATATGAAGGTTAGGAGAGGAACTATGCTCACCATTCAGGGCGTATAATATCCACATGAAAAACCCGCTCAGTGTAAAGGCCAATGGAATAATGAACATAAGCAGAATCAAGGCTGATGTTGACTCCAGCTCCAGCTCCACGATTCCTACTCCGTACAGCACTGGGAATGACACATGACTGTTAGCATTAAATGAAGCGTACACAACGAAGTAGTGCACCTCCGAAGATAAAATGAGCGCCAGCCAAAATCTGGCATCGCAGCATCGTACGCCCCAAATCTTCTCTGACAACACTCAATCCCAGAGCTACGACAAGAAGCATGAAGAATGAAAGTGCATTACGTCCCGCATCGAGTATGGATACTGGGTATATATGAGTCTCCATTCACATGAAACAAGCCATGAAGTTCTCACCTACAAAGAGGAACACAGTCGCAGCCGTGTTTCGACCATGTGCGTTGAGATATCGATAGTAAACTTCGTGGGGTTTAGTTAATGTCGATCAGACGCTCAAAGATTCAAACCTACCCCAGCTCGCAATCATCTCGACAACAAGGAATCCCACCAGACCAGACAAGTAATGCTAGATGTGTATACTTCTCCAGCCCATGCCTTTCGATCAGGTAACTGTGTACTCACCTGAATTGGGAGCAGTTCCGTGACATGCTTGTAACACTGCCAGGCCCACAACGAGCCGAACGCAACGTATGCCAGAAACATGACGAAGTAGAACTGGAAAGCAGCTCTAGCAGCAGCAAAGGCAAGAACATAGTACTCACATTAACTTTGGGGTAATCTGCAGCGGCAAGTTCGCCACTGAAAGTATTCTGGAAAAGGATGACACCATTATACGTTGGATGGTAAGGAACGTCGGTCGATGCTTGGCGGGCACCATTCAAGACTGTGACAGGAACGATGGCTAGGAGGCAGTCAGGCAAGGACAGCCTCAGGGGAGAATAGTAACTTACCAACGCAATAATAGCCTGTGTACCTGACCTCGTATTGGATGGGATCTTTGTAGGAAAGTGCACCGCTTTGTGATTGACGAGGGTGGACTACAACCGGGGCGACGCTGCGTGACCGCCAGGGAGAGGTATAGTCTTCAGGAGGAACTATGGGGTTTCCCTCTGGATTATCCCAGAGCCCACCTGTGCTTTCTAAACTCTCACTTGAATCACTCTCTCCGACTTGAGTTAGAGATAACCGTGCCAACCAGAAGCTGGTCTCGTTGGCGGGCTTATCGGGAGGAAGGTCAAGAATGAAGGTGCCGAGTTGGGATACATCGCAGAAACCGGCTTTGAGCGCATCCGTTGTGCACACGTACGTCCTCTGCTGCGCATAAACACAGAGGAGGGGACACTTAGAATTAGCTCCTGTCTGAGCGCGCAAGACTCACGGGAAGGGAGTCATCGGTCTCGGAGGTGACTTTCCCAAGATAATCAACATCTTTCCACTCGTATATAACCATAGAAACCTGTCCTTGGGACGAGGCGCTATCGAAGGTGACTTGGACGGCGAGTGAACACCTTCCATGAGTTCTGACAGGTCAAGTAACGCGTACCATTTATGAAGGCAGAATCGCCTCCCCACATTCCCGAGCATGCCTGACGCGAGTAGTCTGAGTCTGTGAATGGTACTTTGTAGGCGGCTGCAAGGTGGATGGCCCAGCTCAGCCAGCCCAGCAGGAGGACTGCGCGTCCAGCTCCGAAATATTGCATCCAGGCGAAGACGTTTGTTTAGCTTTGTTGTCCGACACCTTCGTCAGATACCTCCGTCACGATCGCTGCGCATCACAAATCACAAGTCACCCTCCGTCACAGATATGACAGCCGCGTATGGTGTCACGCTAATTACGGACCTGACATAGTGCTCGGCTTTCACTCTGTCCGCTCCTCGACTACGAACACTCGTCCATCCTCCCTTCTCCGTCAAGGACCCACTCACCGGTTGCCCATCGCCAAACTATGTTCGGCGAAGACGAAGATGTCTTTGATAGCGTCACCTGGGATTCACCCTCCGCCCCTCACGAGGCTGACCGTCATAACGCAGCCCCTACAGGCCCCGGCTTCAGACAGAGCATGGATGAGGGACAAGATCCACATCAGCCCAAGTGGGAAGGATATCTCATAACCTCCGTTAGAGATCCAGTCAAGGAATTGCCAGAGACCAAGGATGCCTATGTCTCCTACCTTGTATCTGCCAAGGTGCGTTCTGTACGAACATCCAACTGCTTTGCCATCGCTGACGGAGCCACAAAGACCAATCTCTCGATGTTCTCTACTTCAACCACGTCATCTCGAAGGCGATTTCAAGACTTTGTTTTTCTGAGAGAACATCTGGTAAAGGATTTCCCGGCATGCGTTGTCCCAGCACTTCCAGACAAGCACAGACTCGGTACATGATCTGTATTGTTGAAGTGGTTTGGTTTCTGATCTACCTACCAGAGTATTTAACTGGAGATAGGTTCAGTCCCGAGTTTATGGAACGCCGTAGATTAGAGTAAGCACATCTAATGTGCCCTATTACATTAAACTTCCTGACCTCCTTTCAGCCTCCACCGATTCCTGCAGCGGATATCTAGGCATCCTACACTCCAGAGGAGTACCCTGCTACGAGCATTCTTTGAGTCGACGGAATGGGTGAGTGCGCGCCATTGTCCACCGTTGGTGATCTCGCTGACCATTCGCAGCATGTGTTCATGCATCAACATCTTGCTCATCCTCCTGGACCAGAACCTACCCCTGGATTGATTGACAACCTATCAGACACGCTTTTGAACGCGTTTGCACGCGTACGGAAACCTGACGAGCGCTTCCTTGACATGCGCGAAGGCGTTGACAAGTTTGAAGACAGCCTTGTCCTGTGCGAGCGACTGTGGAATAGGATACGCAATCATAACAATGGTAAGCTCTCTGTCTCTCCCCATAGCATAGTCTCCTCAGGCTGATCGAGATGGGAATCCGGAATCTGGAGAAGACTTGACTGCGGATTACCATGATCTCGCAGTTGCTGTACAAGGACTTGGCTTCTTGGAGTCAGGTATCACCGACCCACTTAATCACTTCTCAAATACCCTACTGGAGTTTTCGGCACTTTTACGTCATAAGGTCAGGCAACTTTTCTCGAAGGATCTTGAACCAAGGCCTAACAACCTCGTTTCAGACGCACACGATAAACGACCCATTCTTGGTTCATCTTCACTCTTTGCTTACCTACTCCCATGCAAATCGAGCAGTCCTCAAGCTGCGGGATCAGAAGCAACTTGATTTCGAGGAACTGTCGGACTACCTATCCGGAGTGACGGTTGAACGTGATCGTCTGTCTGCAGTTATCAGCGGGCACGCGGGTAGCTCAGGACTGGGACTCAGTGCATACCTCAAGGACAAGGTCGATGCTATACGCGGGGCCGATGATGATCGGAGTCGCGTTGAGAAGATGCGAAAACTTGATGTCAGGATCAAGGAGGTATTGTGTGCACTCAAGGCTTATATGCATTATCACTGACTTGCTTTGAAGCTGCAAGAAGCGGTGACGACTGCTCACGAAACCTCCGATGCATTCAGCGACGAAACACTCCGGGAGCAAACCGTTTTCCAGTTTGCTAAGGAGGCAGAGATGAAGGAGATGTTATCGAACCTTGCTGACGGAGAAATCGAGTTCTACCAATCGGTAGGCCTTGGAAGTCCTTCAGACTGTTCAATTTGGCTTATGACCGTCATAGGCAATGGAAGAATGGGACCGCATCATACCCATAATCCAACGGATACGCGTGGACGTTTGAAAGCGCACATCGACTTGCACATTGGGACAATCTTTCACTTCTGTATTTACGGTTTACGCGGTTTATGCTGTATTCTTGTTCTTGTTCGACGTTTTACGCTCATTCCGTAGTCATGTCATGCGACTAATAATTATCATGTAACAACCGTGGTGATTGTATTATACTGCCTTTTGCTTGCCCTTCTTTTTGAGGTCAACCTTCTCTTTTGTCTTCAACTTCTCTGTCGATTCTTGTACGGCAAGGGAAAGCTATAAAACATAAACGACATTGTCTGCAAAGATGTAAATATTTGTCCTCACATTGATTATACCAGTATCAACCGCTCGCAGCATATGGACCTCCGCATCATCACTTGCACCAGCGGTCGTATGCGACTTATCAGTTGGTAGCCACGGAGGAGGGTTCTATACGGGGTCATTGTCACCGTTGGGCATCTAGTGACTAAGATATTCACTCACGCTGCCTTGCTTTGCCGTAGGAGCTTTGTTGTCCTTAAGCTCAAGCACTATTGCAAATGTGGCATCATCTGTCCAGCGCCGTGAATGAGAACGTGTAAATGACACAGTGGTGTAACGTTACCCTGTAACTTTAGCAAGCCTAGTTGGGACTCAAGCATGGCTAGCTTGATGAGGAACGAACGAAAGTACTGGCCAAGCGTCTGGGCAGACATTGCATCTTCGACGCTGTAAATGAGATGACACCAATTAGCCTTTAGCTCGTGTGTAGCACATGGTTAAGAAGATACCTTGTGTTCTTATTATACGACTCGACTTCAATCATCGTCCGTATGGAGAATATGAACCGTTCAAGAGGAATATCGCCTGCGTCTTTCACAACCATGACGACTTTGTCCACAGATCCCTAAAACAAAGGTCAGTTTCTGTTCTGCGCACGGGGGGACCCCGATGCATACCAGTACGAGCTCATCCTTCACTGCCTTGATGGCCCCTGAGATGTACTCATTCAACGCTGGGTGCCGAGATTGGTAGACGGGAGTGTCATACTTCTTCCGTCGCACAAAGAGGTCTGCGGGGTAGACTTGACGGACGTAAAGGATGGTATGTATGGCAACCTCAACTAGAGCGAAGAGATTACACGTCTGAAGCATGTGGCAAGAGAAGAAAACACTTGCTGAATTCTGTTATGCCGTTAACCGTCTCTGCCGTAAGGGGGTAAGTTAGGGGCTTTAGTCAAACTAAACTCAAAACTTACGGTTGAAAGTCAAAGCAGAACCTTCGGGAGCTATTGACATATTATAGACCGCAAAGTCGAAACCACAGAAATCTTGTCTCGGGTACAGAACGGCAATCAACACAGGGAACAATTGTGAGGCGAAGTTGAACGTTGAACGGTAACGTCGGTGAACGTCGAATGCATACCGCTGTCATCAATCCGTGTCTCAGCATGTCGGAAGCTCGGTCCCGCTTTGGTAGCCGCTTTGGGGAAAGCAAGTAATGCAATTAATAATGATAGTGTACATGCCGTTGTTGTAAGTAGATCTACGTTAATGAAAGGATGGAAGGACACTACGACGAATCCCTAACACGCCCAGTGGAAACGGTGTACAGTCGAGCAGCAATGTTCATAGATTGCAGTTCCTAGAGACGAGTCAGCCTTATATATCAGGTCACAAGTAATTGTCCCTTACCTGGAACAGCAATTTTGCTGCATAAGGAATATACAACTGAGAACATGCTGTCTTGTTTTTGCAAGCACGACACTGAAAATAAAGTTAGGGAAGGAGAGGAGTAAATAGTGACTTGCGTCGTACCTCAAACGTTTGCTTTTTCTGCAAAGCCATGGTCAGCAAGAGTTCGAATCGGGAAAGCCCTAAGACTTACCAAGTTGGCGATTGCTGTCAAACCACAGCTGCAGAGAGTGAGCTATGGCCGAGGCAAGGGTTAGAACGCCACTCACATATCACATACATGCAGACGATAAGCGTCGCTGGCCTCGAAGAGACGCTCCTTCAAGAACGCAGCGACACCATGCGAGATCATACAATCACGCTCCATCTCTCCGAAACGCAGACCACCGTCACGACTCCTACCCTCGACAGGTTGCCTGGTGAGGATCTGCACGGGACCTCTCGCACGGGAGTGTATCTTATCGTCCACCATGTGCTTCAAGCGCTGATAGTACGTGGGACCGAGGTAGACCTGCGCCTGGAGCTTCCGGCCAGTGTGGCCGTGGTACATCACTTCCAGGCCACGAGACTGGTAGCCCTTCTGGCGGAGGAACGTTGATACCGACTCGACAGTCAAATCGGTGAAAGGAGTGGCATCACCCTCGTTACCAATCAACGTCGCCACCTTGGAGAGCAAACACTCAACCAAGTGACCGATTGTCATACGAGAGGGGATAGCGTGCGGATTGATGATGATGTCAGGAACAATACCCTCGGCCGTGAAAGGCATGTCCTCTTGACGGTAGGTAATACCGATAGTACCTTTTTGTCCGTGCCGAGATGCAAACTTGTCGCCAATCTGAGGAATACGTGTCGACCGCACGCGGACCTTCACAAACTTCTGACCCTCCGAGTTCGTAGTAATAAGGACCTGATCGACGATACCGTTTTCAGTGCTCTTCAAAGGTGTCGAGACGTCTCGGCGAGTGTGAGTGCGTGTCCGTTGCCCCAGTTCCTCGCTGTCTGGCGGTATGGGGGCGGTCTTTCCAATGATGATATCTTCTCCTGACACGCCAGTTCCAGGCGCAATCAGACCGTCATCTTCGATCTTGTCGTATGTGCCATGCTTCATCCGCAGTGTGGTGTCACGAGTAGGTTTTTCAAACTCCTCAAGCTGTTGAATACCGCTCTTCTTTTCCAGATCCATGTAACTACGGTAGTAGATACTACGGAACAGACCACGGTCGATGGAGCTTTGGTTCATGATGACTGAATCTTCTTGGTTGTAGCCACTGTAACACAGGATGGCAACGATCGCGTTCTGTCCGGCAGGGAGCTCTCGGAACTTGAGGTATTCCATAGAACGCGTCGTGGCCAGAGGTTTCTGAGGATAGTACAAGATGTTGGCCATGGTGTCCATACGGACAAGGAAGTTGGTGAGGTAGATGCCCATAGCTTGCTTGCCCATAGCAGATTGATATGTGTTACGAGGAGACTGGTTGTGATCGGGGAACGGGATGATGCTGGCACAAATACCTAAGATCATACTTGGATGAATTTCGCAATGCGTCCAGGTATGTGCATTGATACCAGATTTGAGGCGAGCTGCGGGGTCATAGTCTTCATCGCTTTGGCGAGTGTCGATGCCAGCGGACTGCAATCTAGAGTTCTCCAAGTCTTCTGGTGTCATTGCGATCATCACAGTCTCTTCCTCCTCTGCATCTAGAAGTTCAATCACACCGCCTTTCACTAACTGATCCCACTTGAACTCCTCCGTCGGATCATCGTCCCGGTACCCCTGGTTGAGCCATTTGATGTGCTTCTTCTGCAGCAGGAGTTGCTGATCCTCAACAATGAATAGTGGTCGGCAAACACGACCGGCATCTGTGTACAGGCGCAGTTCGCGTTCCCGGATATCCCGAACGACGGAGACTTCCGGGCTGATATCATCCTTTCGCCTGAGCTTCTTAATGGTCTTGACCAAGTTCGCAGGGTCACGATGGACCCCCATCCATACACCGTTGACGAAGACCTTTGTACAGGCCGCCGATGAGTGAGCGTTCTCTTCCAAAGATTCGAGACCCCACTCTTCCAGGAATTCAATGACGGGTGCTGAGAACGAACCAACGGAAATACACGACATGAGTGCAAGGTTCTTGACGAGACCACAAGCTTGTCCTTCTGGTGTTTCGGCGGGACATACCATGCCCCAGTGCGTATTGTGAAGTTGACGAGGCTTAGCAATCTTGCCTTCACGTCCAAGCGGCGTGTTACACCGGCGTAAGTGCGATAGTGTCGAGGCATATGTATATCTGTTCAAGACCTGAGATACACCAGCCTTTGAGGCCATTGACTTCTTCTGGTCGCCCCAGTTGCCGGTAGCAAGGGAATACTTGAGGCCATTCGTGATAGTCTGGTGTTTGACTGCGAGCGAAATGTTGAATTCCTTGTGAGTTTCCACACACTAGGCAACAAAATATTAGAGATGGCATATGCTGCAAGAATTACGCGCATACCTTCTGAAGATAACGATACACATCCCTGGTGAGTTTCTTGAACAACATGCGGAACAGGTTGGCAAGCAGAGGACCAGCGAGATCGAGACGTTTCTTGCCGAAGTGGTCACGATCGTCCAGCTCTCTACGTTCCATAGCAGCCAGTAGAAGTCGATGTATCATATAGCCGAAGAAGTAGGCCTTCTTCGACTCTGAGCCTTCCGACATGGAGACATGTGGCAGCATCTCCTTCTGCAAAATTTCCTGCGCATATCGTATACGGCGTTCTCTGGAAAGACCAGTGGTTGTCCCACGATTGCCAATGAAATCCAAGGCAACCTCGCGGTCCTGAATGACAAAGCCGTCATCGATACACGGTTTCAGCATTTCTAGCATTTGGGAGTCTTGCATGTCGTAACAGATATGCTCAAGAATATCGCGGTCAGAGATGACGCCCAAAGCGCGGAATACAACCCAGATAGGAATGTCGACCTTGATATAGGGTATTGTTGCTTTCATGACATTCCCAAGCTATTTGCTTTCAGTCTTGCAGCGATGCTACAGATCCATGCTACTCACCGAACGCTCCTGACTCCGATGGAACATCTTCACCTGGAACTGCGATATAGTTTTACCACCCTTCTCAACCGCACTACGGATCTCCGCGAGGAAGCTGATGGGGGAGGGCTGGGCCTTCGCGAAGACATAGACGTGGTTGGTAGCCATACGTTCTTGTGCAATGAGAACCTTTTCGGAGCCGTTGATGATGAAATATCCTCCCGAGTCATACGGACATTCGTTCAAGTCGTAAAGGTCCTGATCCTGCAATTCACGAAGGATACAGAAGGTTGACCGTAGCATGATGGGTACCTAGGCAGAGCGTTAGATGCTCCGGAGGCGAAAGGCAGCTTACGTACCTTGCCGATCCAAACTTTTGTTCCCTCTTGGTTCTCAGAGTCGGGGTCTTCAGGAATCCAAGTAACCTCTCCAGGCATATCAGGGTCCTCGCGACCCGTGAGTACTCTCTTCTTCATGTCAATGTAAAGTGGGGCCGAGTAGGTCAGGTTGCGCAAGCGAGCTTCTTGAGGGAAAACAGGGACCACCGAACCGTCTGCTTCCGTGACGGTGGGTCGCGAAAGATAGATTTGACCGAAATGAATCTCATAGCGACGCGTCATGTCTGTTTCGTGGCCGGTGTGCTGATCTGCTTGGTCGAGAATGAGGTCTGCGTTCTCGTCGACGAGTTCCTGCATTGTGTTTTGAACGAATTCATCGAAGGAGTCAAGCTGCTGCCGAACGAGACCCTTTTGATCGAAGAAACTGGATATGACGGTCCAGCAATCCTCCTGCGTGATTTCCTCATAGTCCTCCTCATCCTCCTCTATCCCGTACCCGTTCTCATCGTAGGTGGGTTGCGACGTCTCAAAATCTTCGTCAAGCAATTGAGATAGGACAAACTGAAGAACGGGGGTTGTATATACCTTGGCTCATCCTGACCTCTTAGGAAGCTTAGCCTAGCAGAGCGCAAGATACCAGCAGGGAGTGGAACGTCGTGAAACCGTCGTTCACGTCGACGAACAAGCCGCGTTTCGTGAGTAGTGTTGTTGCTTATTGACGTCCATATGCCGGTCTTCTTTTCAAACTCAGCCTTGCGGCTTAGTGTCCTCAATTTCGGCATTCAGTCCGAATCGACTTTGTTGCTGGACACTATGGTCTACATCCGTCCTTATTCTCCTTGTACATTCAACGCTCCATGATCAACAGAAACCCTAAGGACATTCTCTCAGCAGTCTATCCATCTTCCTGCTGGGACTGCTAGCGTAACCTCCCTGTTTGAATGAATTAATCTCTTTCGCAGCAAGACCTAAGTAGACCCACCCCAAACAGCACAGTGTGATTCAAATAATGGTAGAGTTCATACAAGTCGGAGCGTAGCTCATACTGACCCGCAGGCTCGGTCTTGGGTAGCTTTTCATGGTATGTCGTAAAGAATGATCCGGGAAAGCCCCCAAATATCCTAGCAATGGCCAAGCTGACGAACCAAGGATCAGTGTTTGTAAATGAACTAAACATTCCCAATCACTAACTCGGCCTCGTTGTGTCCATAGAAGGATGAAGGATCAAATATTACAGGTTCTCCTGATGATGCATCCGCCTTAGCATTGCCACTCTATATGACAATCAGATCACGAGTACGCTCTGCTTGATGCAACAATACTGACCCATAGATCACCATGCATCAAGACTGGGTATATTTTGAGGGGGTGCAATAGGTGAGGAATGACTCTATCTTCTTTGAGAAACCGCTTCATAAGTTTGCAGCTTTCCTACCTTGTCTTTACCTGCTCGCCTTTCTTGCATAGGTCCGAATATCCCCCCTGGCTTCGCAACTTGCTCAGGAGGTTTTCAATCATTGCAGCATAGCAGTCTTCCCACGTTTTATACCAACCGTTAGGTTGTTTTGTATCCCCACAATACGTTGGGACATGAAAGCCGAAACCTTTGTCACTTTGGTATCTGTGAAGCTCAGTAGCCAATCTCTCCCCAAGTTTTTGTCCAGCAGCTGGCGAGACATACTTGAGGTCCTTGTACTCTGACAGGAAGAATGGTCGACCTGGCTCATCAAGACCAGTAGGCTGATCGTTGCCGTCCACCACACCGTGTGCAAAGAGCTTTGGTGCGAGACCAGGAGCCGCATTGTAGATGGCAATGAGGGACTCCGCCTCCCCTATGTACTGCTCCTTCTCCCTAGGAGCGCCGACCTTGGCGAAGTACTGTTTGCCAGATGATGACTTGACCACGGAAGATCCCTTGAAAGAGAATGTCGCATTTGACTCTAGTTTTTGGAGGTGAGGAAGGAGAATCTGTTCAATGGATGGCATGTTAGAAGACAGGTCTAGCAAAGCGTCCTTCGGCGAGTGTGTCGATGTCATCACTCAGCCAACCAGTTGATGATGTCAGCCGGCGGTACTTTATTGCCCCAGGCGCCACAGCCGACTGAGTCTGGACAGCTGGAACAGCGGCTTCCCGTTTAGCTGACTGAGAGTACCTTCCCAATCATAAATCCGACACTCGTGTATGTATACGAAATTCCCCAGTCAGCTGCTTTTCCGTACATGTACTCCATCACTATAAAGGTATATTTGCGCGATATGATCAAATCGTAGCGTTGCCCTAGTCCTTGTCATGCTTATCAAGCATCGTTCAGGCGTGTACCAACTCAGTCGTGCAAATCTCAGGGTGGTTCAGTCAGCCCCTAACGTCCGAAGCCTGTCCGAGGTACCTTAAACCCAGTCGGGTTTCGTGCAAAATCTCCCAACACCTGATCCTACTCCTCCCCAGCGAACGACGCCCACCTTACCATATCGCAACATGTCCAACATCAACAAGCCCGTACAACACGTCGAAGGGTTCTTCCCTTTGAACCAACCTGAAATTGGTTCGCCATATTTGAATCTTGTTAGTTAGCCTCCTTGTCGCTCCTATCCACCAGTAATTGACACTTCTTAAACCAGGATGTCTTTCCTCAGAACAAAGGGCTTCCTGCTCTCTTCAAGCCTTTGACAATCAAGGGCACGACATTCAAGAACAGAATCTTTGTTGTACGTCCTCTTTGCCCATAGAGGTTTACCATTCCTTCATGATCTACGCAGGCCCCTATGTGTCAGTACAGCTCTGACAATGGCCATGCAACTGATTGGCACTTAGTCCACATCGGGGTAAGCTTGCAAAAAGTGGTCCACTCAGTATGACCGTGCTAACGCGAAGATCAGGGCTTTGCCAGCCGCGGTGTTGCAGGGATCGTGATTGAGGCAACTGCAGTTCTGCCCGAAGGACGGATATCGCCCGAGGATGCTGTAAGTAAATACGACTGCTGAAGTCGTCTTATATCTGAATTACGTAGGGCCTTTGGACAGACTCTCAAATTGAGCCGCTAAAACGTCAGGTCAACTTTGCTCATTCGCAAGGGGCAAAGATCGGCATTCAGCTAGCTCACGCAGGACGCAAATCCTCTACGCTTGCTCCTTGGGTGATATCGAGCGCTGACGGAACGCACAAGGCGAACACTCAAGTGGCCTACAAGGAGGAGAACGGCTGGCCTGACGAAGGTATGTCCGATACATGGAAAACCCCAGAGCTTTCCTGATCTTTGGTTTAGTATTCGGCCCGAGCGACATCCCTTATTCAGAAAGGACACCAAACCCGAAAGCTATGACAGAAGCAGATATTAAGTCTGTGGAAGACGCTTTCGTGGCTGCTGTCGAACGGTGCAAGAAGATCGGCTGTGAGTTTCAGGCCAAACTCCTCCAGACTCTCTCGCTAAATCACCTTCAGTTGACTTTATTGAGATCCACTCTGCCCACGGATATCTTTTCCATAACTTCTTGTCACCCCTATCCAACGATCGGACTGACCAATATGGCGGACCTCTGGAGAACCGCATGCGCTTCCCGCTTCAGACTCTGAAGAGGGTTAGCGAGGCTTGGGGAAATAAGCCTCTATTCGTACGCATCAGTGCCTCGGACTGGGCTGAAGGTCCGGAACAAGCCGAGGATGGTACCTGGAAGCAATGGGGCATTGAGCAAAGCAAAGTATATGTGGGCGAGCTACATAAGCTTGGTGTAGACCTTGTCGACGCTAGTAGCGGCGGAAACTGGTCGAAACAGAAGATCGACATCAAGCATGGTTACCAGGTATGCCGGATATAATTTGCACAAAGTCCTAGGTTTGAAATTTACTGTCTGATTTCAGGTCCACTTCTCTGAAGCTTTGAAGAAGGCCCACCCGAAAGTGACAATCGGTGCAGTTGGTCTGCTGACCGACCCGATCCAGACCAACTCGTACGTTCAGGATGGGAAGACAGACGTGGTCTTCCTCGCAAGAGAGTTGATGCGCAATCCGCATTGGCCAATCATTGCTGCGAAGGCTCTTGGAGCAGCAGTCAAGCCTGCAAATCAGTACGAGAGAGCGTTCCCAGAAATGCTGGCTCCTCCTAGGCACTGATCGCGAGACATGCCCACATGTGGAACTTGAACATCGATAATAATTTTGGTAACTATGAGCCGATGAATGCGACAAATAGACAGACGTTTGATTGCCTAGCAGATCATCACCGAGTCAGAATGTCCTTTGCATCTTGGTACTTTCGCTGCGTTTCCTTGATGACCTCAGGGTCGATAGACCACCCATCGCCGTTTGGTCCGCTCTCGAGCCCCTTCTTGTAGCCTATGCTCTTGAGATAGTCACGGACGAACTGTTTATCGAAGCTGGGTTGTGGCCCTCCTACTTTGTAGCGATCAGCTGGCCAGTACCTCGAAGAGTCTGGTGTCAAGACTTCATCGACAAGAATGAGTTTCTCGGGGTTTGACGGATCGGTGGACGGGACGAGACCAAACTCGAACTTCGTATCTGCAAGTAGCAAGCCTCGTTCTGCTGCATAGTCCGCAGCGGTCTGGTATAGCTTAAGAGCCACTGATTCGACCTGGTTATATCGATCTTGACCAAGGAGTTTGGCAGCTAAACATGATTGTTACGGCGCAATCAAAACGAGTACACATGCACTTGAGCAAGAAAATACCTTGCTCAGGACTGATGTTCTCGTCGTGTTCGCCCTGCTCCGCCTTTGTTGAAGGAGTAAAGATAGGTTCACCAAACTTCTGAGACTCCACCATCCCTGGGGGCAGAGATATCCCATGCACAGTACCGGTCTTCTGATACTCGACCCATGCAGAACCTGATCATCCATATCAATATGCCGAATACAGGTAAATACGTTAGGCTTACCAGTGAGATATCCCCTTACTATCGCCTCGATCGGTAAAACCTTTGCTTTCCTTACGAGCATGGTGCGACCCTCGAGCTGGTCGCGATATGCATGTACTTCCTTTGGCATAAGGTCAATGTCGGCCGTGACAAGGTGACCTGGGATGATGTCCTCCAGGAGTTTGAACCAGAAGATCGAGATACCGGTCAGCAGCTTCCCTTTCTCAGGAATGGCCTGTCCATGGCGAGAGATCCGGTTGAGAGACGGTGTCAGAAGATAGTGGAGAGATGGCTGACATCGCGGAGAATGACATCGAACACTGAGATTCTGTCGGTTGCGACGAACAGGAGGTGATCCGGAGACGACGTCGCGTAAATATCGCGGACTTTGCCTCTTGAAACTAGCGTTAGAGTCGGCAGATCGGTGGTGAGCAAGCCGGCCGCCATGATGATCGAGAGCGTAGTGCAGGCTACCCAACGCGTGAAATTGTGATAGGAGTCCGGAATCCGGAATCGGAGTCTTTGCCCAACTAATGGGCTATAGTCCAGTGCTACAGATTATTACTAGTTGCGTGTCTATTTACATGCTATAACGTATTCTATCTATGAAATGTCTGCCTCTAGGGTACACAGTGCCAATCTAGGATCTAGACAATGATGCAATGTCAAACGCTGGGGACGAGCCTATAATTGAATTTAGTTCTAAGCCCGTGAACGCATGAGAGGCACTGACTGGTCGTATTTGACAAGGTTATCCACGTTGATGAACGCTGAGGAAGCAAGCTGGCGAGCCTCTAGCCATACCCAAACCTGCGCTGATCATGAGAACTATTTCAATCTGGTTAAAGGGGATAAACTGACCTTCAGCAATGATGCAAGGTTACCCTGAGGTAGCTGTGTCATTGACTCTTGAGCAGTCATTTGACGCCCGAGCTGACGCAAAATGGGTAGAGCGCTCTTGAACAAGTCCAAAGTAGGGTCCAATCGTCGGCCAATGCCCTCCAGTAGCAAGATGGAGATGACTGTGTTGATGAAGTCACCTTCCATCTTCACGTGGTGCTGCCTCACGGCCACGAGAACATCCGTGAGGATGTCAGAGATCTTGATTTGTCCCAAGGAGAACGTTTTTCGTTTGACACTGAGCACAATGTGCTGCATTTTTAACGCAAAAGTCTCTGTCTCAATCGCTAATTCAGGAGTCCGACACCGTTCAACCATGAGTTGCCCTGTTCGGTAGCCATCAAACTCGGCCACAGCCCGGAAAAGGTCCAGGAAATTCTTGCGGTTCGTGGAATTAAGAGTCGTGATCAAGCCAGTGTCAATAAAGACGATTTCCGGAATATAACCTGCACATGATAGCTCCGTTAGCTCAGCTTGCCACTCAGGTGGAGAATGCCTGAGTTCGCGAAGGCGCCCCACGATGGTGTCGGATTCAAGGGGCTCCTGTATCAAATGGTGGGCACTCTTTTTGAACAAGGAACTATACATGTTGCGAAGGAAATCCACGGTGGTGGGCGGCTTTGTGAACTTGATCATGATATTGCCGGCGTGCAAGTCTGAATGTACAAAGTTATCAAGTAGAAGCATGTTCTGTAACATTCACGTTGAGAAGTAACCACTTAATGAATATTGTGTACTTACCAAAAATGCGTCTAGACCCAACGTAGCCACCTGTTCGTCGTAGGGCCCTCCCCCATTCCTCAAGAACAGTTCGAGAGGAAGAGCGTTTTCATACTCCTCGACAAGAATCTCCCGACTGGAAAACTCTTTCAGCGGGCGAGGGAATGTGACGGGTACATTCCTTGGTGCAAAATTCTTTTCAAAGATGACAAGATTCTCCGCTTCGTGCCGGAGATCCAGCTGCTGACGCATCATATCGCCAAAGACGTAGACTTCCTCCGGAAGAGAGATCCATTGCACGCCCGGTATCAACGTGATGATGTTGGCGAAGAAAGACATGATCGCAAGGTCTCGCGCAATGGTCTTTTGGATACGAGGATGAAGGATCTTGATTGCAACAGAGGCTGTAGGGACTGACGGGGGTGGATCTTGCATAATAACAGGAGCAATGACGGAGCCCGGCAACTTGGCTTGTCGTTTTGGGCCAAGATAAGATATAGGAATTAAGTCCTGTTTCAAAGTACCCTTGTAGACCTGTAATGCACGCCTAAGCGCCCTGTGACCGAGGTGTCGATGTTCAGTAACGCACCTGTGCGATAGCGCCTGTCCCAATGGGGCTTTCGTCAAACTCCTCGAACACTTCGTGGAAAGGCCGTTGGAAAACGCGTTCGATGATGCGCTTTGTGTGTTCAAATGAATGTTTTTTGGCGTGTGACTGCAACGCGCCCATCTTTTCGCAAAGCAGGAAAGGGAATAAATCCGCTCTTGAGGCGGCCCACTGAGCTAACTGTAGTGTCGTGTAAGTTGTATGCGATAACGCAGAGTTTGATGACGACTATTACCTTGATGAATGTCGGACCTGCCGCTTCCATACGAGAAACGAGGAGATTGTACCACCAGACAGCGCCCCATCTATCACCAGATAGCCTCCTCTCTGCTTTACCCACCAGCAGCATGGGCGTAGAAATGATAACTGGGACGAAGAGATAGAAAAGATAAATGAATCGGCGAGCTGTAAGGATGGGCTCCCAAACATGGTCTCTTAGAAGGTCGAATATGCGGAAAGCAATGGATCGGTGAGGTTCATGTGGTGATCCTATGAACTCTTCTTCGGGGAATCGGGGGCTGCACTCATTGCAGGGGATGAGGGTCGGGGAAGAGAATATAGAGGGCAAGTGCAGAGGCTGTCCCGGAGAATAGCACAAGACAACACCACCTACGACCGGGGCCACCCACCATAATCTACGCCATGCTGGAGGTCGGATGCACGCTTTTGTGAAAAAAGGGACATAAGAGGGATTGGTGCGGTGAAAGTGACGTATGGGCGGTACAAGCCTGAGAGTCGTGCTCGTGCGGGAAGATGCATGTTGACCGAAAGACGTGATTGATACTCTGAGTCCTATTGGAAGGCTAGCAAACCGGTGGGAGAACATCTGCAAGAGATCACGTATATGGTAGCTTGTAGGCTCCTTACGACTTCGCCGTCAGAGTTGTCCTCAGCGGGAAGAGCGTTGCTAGAAGGATGCGAAACCCTTGAGCGCAAAGAGAGAGAGAGGGCGAGTGGCGTTCGCCCACCCTTGGTGTTGATGTCGGTTTCAAGAGTGAAGACGTCAAAGGCACCCGAGCCGATGAAGTTTCAAGGGCGCATATCAAGGCGCATTCGATCGGCACCAGCCTGCGAGGCAGAACGGCTTCGGCCGGCGGCTGATTTTAGAATCACATGATTAGCGCGCCTATTAAATTATATGCGACGCGTCCTGTCCTTTTCGTCCGTCCGTGTTCACATGGACTAGTTTTCCTCCTGACTGCTGTTTCTATTCAAGAGAAACATCGGACTTACCTAAAAGCACCCTGGCTCTCTTGTGTCGGAATACTTCGGTTACTCTCGGGTAGTACGCACCAAGCCAGTGCGTCTCAACTTCCCAAGCCCGGCCGAGGTACGCGTGAAGGCTACAGTAGCAGATTTCTGTGATTATAGCCTTTAACAAGATTGAGACAGCAACATGCAGTGGTATGTTGAACTTAGGAGGGCTGGTAGGTTGCTGAAGCTATGCAGGCGCTCGAAGCGGCACCGAACTTTGAACTGGTTAAGCGCCCGTGGAAATCCGTCCCACTGCAGGCCGTAAAGCGTGTCGTTTGAGAAGATCAATATCTATACTTTATTGTAACTCTGCTTGGAGATAGATATGAACTTCATTAACTTCGAAGATGGCCTTCGACTGCTTCGACTTCCCCCTGGTAGATCAAGATAGCGAAACTTTACGTGACGTCACACGCGCTCCCCCAAGTCACGTCGGGGAGCTCGGAGTGACTCTCGTTGGCGCCTGTCTTGTTCCGCGGAGGGTTTACACCGAGCACGTTGAGCTCAGTATATTTCCATCCCCATTCACACCTTTAGCATCGCTTGCAAGCTATCCCTTGAACCCGCATTAAGAAGCCACTATAACACTCTCTACTCTCTAGCCTGACGATCTGCTCAAGGTGTGTAGTGTATATTCACTCGTGATCCTAATCGGTGACTGCCTCATGTCCACAAGTAATCTCCCTCTATAGAATGCCCAAGGCTCCGAAAGTGCGAAAGCAACGAAAACGACCTTCAGTGACCCACAAGGATCTTCTTCTTCGCCTCCTTCGGGAAGCAACAGCGGCAGAACTTGACAGCTTCAACCTCTCTCCCAGCACGACCTCCTCTTCCAAGCACGGCAGTACCAGTCCCTCACCACAGTCCCCCAGCCTCGGCCTCGACACACTTAACTACTCCAACATCCTACTACTTGAAGAACTCGGAGATGCACTGGATAATCGTACAGCTGTCATTAAGCGCCTCGAGCATCTCATGCGCGACTCAGGCAAGAAGACGCCTACAGACCGAGCTACGCTCAAGGAGTGCCTCCGCCTTGAACTCGTCTCGCAGCAGAAGTTTAGAAGCACAATCGAGGTCCTCAAGCACTCCGAGTTCATCAGCGCCCTAGCACCTCCTGAGGACTGGATCGACATCCGGGATGGTATACGAGAAATGACAGCACAGTTTGAGAAAGGCACGAAGAACCTTTGCAAACTGGGAGATCGAATCGCTAGCACCGTTGTCTCAGGGTAAGCATTCGTGATATTTTTGCTGTGCAATACTGAAAGCATTGTATTACAGTGGATCATAGTATGTTGTACCGTGTTAGCGTCAAGTCACATTCCGTGTAACTACTAATTTGTATTATCGTGTGTAATATCTATCGAGACCATCAATCTAATGGTTGTTTACTCCCGTGCGTATCTTTTTGCGCGGTATCTTGGGCCGATGTGAATTGCAAGGTAAGTCATGGGCACAGTGAGGAGGCAAATGAAACCGTATATCGTGTAAGTCCAGCCAGGCCTGATGGCTTTGAGCATGATGTCTATGACAGAGACGGAAATCGCCCCTAGAGAACATCTAACTATGTTATTCTATAATGACATAATCAGCCAGTGTTTATGTAGTCAGTGTATGCGCCCCACTTACGCATGCAGTAACGGAGGAGCTCTGTGTAGGGACTAAGTCCACCAACAGCGTTTGTTGGGCGCTCATGATGGCAACTGCCACGAAGCCCTCTTCAGGAAAACTTGTCAAAAGCTCCGTAGGCGCGAGTGAACAGAAGATAACTCACGAAGCATGCTTAATAGAAGCGGACCAGCGAGATTAACTTCTTTCTGAAGGCACCATCCGTAGCCGAAACACGCAGCGGCATTGAGAAGGACGAGAATCGGAACAATCCGTAGTCTAGCTTTCTCCACAGGAAAGTTTACGTCTGCCGAGCCACCCTCGTGTACTGCAGCCTTCTCTCGGTCTGTTCCAGACCCCTGTTTGAGCAGATTCTTGAAGCGTTTGTAGTCCCTGTCCAGCAGCCTGCCAATGAGAACGGAGCCTAGCATCATGCCACCGCCCGGAGCAAGGTAACACAGCCCGATCTCGGTTTCCGTAAGCCAAGGGTACACTTCCTCAAAGAGAGTGGATATGGTCGCAATGATGGCGTAGAATGCGGCATACAGAAACCCGTTGAGGACCAAAAGATTCAGGACGTCGGGGTAAGTGAAGAGCCATAGAGGGTTTCGAAATGGGCGAGGAGGTGGCCTTTCCTTGGACAGAGAAATACGTCCTCGACCCACCAGAGGGATCAAAGGGCGATAGATCTTCGACGGCATAACGCTGCCATCGTCGACTAAGCGCCGGAGCGTCTCCGGTAGAAAGCTGGGAGGATGTTAGTGATGGTAGGCTGCTACCGACTTGTAAACACTTACAGCAGCATAAAAACAAGGCATGCAGAGGACAGTATGCACAAGAACCAGAAGATCCACCTACGCGGGTATCGTGAGCAAAGCAGTAACGTCAAAAGCTAACAGCGTACCTCCACCCAAGTTCCTGAGCAAGGATACCGCCTAGAACGGGTCCAATACAGGGGCCAACCTATCAGCGATGGATCAGCGAGCTTGACTCTTGCCTTGGTGGAAAGACTCATACCATAGGTCCGATATTGAACAAGCCGTAAAACCCTCCACGCTCAGAAGGCGTAGCAATGTCTCCAATCACACCAGCACCTGGTACCTATCAGCATGGATCTTGCCGGGTAATTCAAATGTCATACCAAGAGCGATGGTACTAGCAGATCCGGCCGCCTGCACACAACGAAGGAGCATCAAAAGCCAATACGCATTGGTGGGCGTAAGTGCCAGTCCGACACAAGCTAGCGCAAGGACGAGGATGCACGCCAAAAATATTGGTCTTCGTCCAAGCCGATCGGCCATGGTACCCCAAAACATAGGTGCTGAGGGAGATGGTTAGATAGAGTTGACATGTATGTATGGCATCATTACTTACTGACACCTTGAAGTACCATGTAGACGGTGACCGTTAAGTTGATTAACTCCGTTGACTTGTTGAAAGCCACGGCAATAGTTGGGATAGCGGGAAAATAAATGTTGGCAGTAAATGGGCTATCGAAAGGGTTCAGACATGTTGTTGATGCGTTGCAGGACTTGCTGCAGGACTTGATCAGGGGTTCTCACCTGAAGATACCAGCCACTGAGGCTACCGAGACGATAAACCACTTCTCCCTATATGAGTATATGCTGTACGGTTTGTCCTCGACATCCTTCGAATTAACAGGGGCAGTTTGCTTCTCACGTTCAGGTCGTCTGCCAGTAGTCTCGACTGCTGCAGGCGGTAGCGGTATGGTCGTTTGAGAGTCGTTACGTTCGTCAGCGGTCATGAAGTGAGTAACACGCTGAGGGCGGTCGTCGTTCAGGTAAGCTCCTGAAAGTTGACCTTAAGTACGTCAATCAATATGTATAGCCCGATAAGAACCGCAATAAGGTCATTGAAGGTGACTGCAATGGATACTAACTCCCATCGGGGAAGCCCAGTCGGAACATAAATCCGATACTCCTGGTGGACCAACGTGAGACCAAAGGTAAATAGATTGGAGGCAAGCTCCGTCATTGGTTGCCTCTTTCTCGACCGATGTTGCGGATCGGCGCGGAAGGTTTCGTTCGCATCAGTGGGATCAACTAACGCCGACACGGGCAAACAGCTCGGTTGTTGTCACATGATTATTAATACTGGCGGTTGACGTTGAGCCGTCAATACTAAACTAGTTGTCCGATAGGTATGTAGGAAGGATGGAGTGAACGGAAGTTAACGGACACGAGGCATGCTTCTGTAAGATATCCTCAAAAGACATATGTTCCGAAAGTGGATTGGGATTGACGATATTATCGATTTTCAGCTGCTCTACCTGAAACATATCTTCAATTGAGATGCTAAAAACCAAGCATTAGCGGGAATGGCATACTTGGTCTTGCGTTAGCGTAAAAAGGTTTTCGGGAAGCTTTTCAAGGACGGCTGCTTGTAGCTTCCCAACGCCAAAAGGCAACGATAAAATCGGACGCCTTCGACCTGTGTAATGTAGCACAAGACGCATGATTTCCTCATACGTGAATACTTGATGATCCGATGAATCAAGCACCACTATTGATTCACAAACGCTTAGCTTACCTTCTGGTCCACCAGCCTCGATTATTTTTCCAGAAACGTCCTTCTCCACCTCTGGATCGTTTCTTGATAAGAGCTCAACAGCTCGGCCGATGTCCCCGACATATACGGGCTGGAAGCGAGTCTTACCTCCGCCAAACACGGGCATGAAGGGTAAGAACCGCGACATCTGAGCAAACCTCTACGGCAAACAAGACAAAAGAATTAGCATGAGTGCCGTCTTGAGGATGATGAAACAAATTACGTTGAAGAAAGCATCTCCAGGACCAAAGACGATACTGGGCCTTATGATAGTGGCGGTTGGAGAGGCGGCCAGCACAGCCTTCTCGCCCAATGCTTTCGTTCGCGAATAAGCTACTTTGCTGGTCTCGTCGGCACCAATGGCGCTGAAATGGATGAGCTTCGCGTTTGCATTTTCGGCAGCCTTGGCAACGTTTTCAGCGCCATGCCACTGCAGCTTCTCGGCGACGTCGGGCTTGCTGCTCATCGTTCCGACTAGAGAGACGACGACGTCGGCATCCTCGAAGGCTTTCGCGAGAGAAGAAGGGTCCGTTACGTCCGCCTTGCACGGCGGAAGAAGACGATGGCTGTCTTCAATATTTCGTGCTAAAGACGAGTGCACCTTGTCTGGGGCCCGAGAGGAGATCTGTATGTGGGGTGTCTTGTTACGGCTTAGGCCTGTCGATGCGCTCAGCAGAACTTTTGCAATGTGAGAGCCTGATGTCAACCAAGCTCATCAGTCACGAGGTTTGGCCGTGCAAGATTGTCCTCACCAACGAATCCTGCACCACATATTACTATTCGCTGAGACATTTGCGGAGTTCAACGGCGGCCTTCACAATGATGTTCGACTTTGGAAGATGCTCCACGAAGTTAACCGTCCGGCGGGAAGGCATGTTTGGTGTAACTGAGGGATAGGAGGCATAAATCGGGTCAGCGTAAAAAGAGACGTCATTAATCATTGGAGGCCATAGCCGTCGCTTCCCTCTCAGAAGCGCGGGTTTCTCCGAGCCGCTTAGCCGAGCTTCGGGGTTCTCGGGGCAATGACAGCCGGAGACAGGATCGGCGCGCGTTTATGATCCGCTGTTAATCTTGCTCAGGCTCATTCATGACAGCAAAAGGATGGCATGCAAGGGGCGCGTTGATATGACATGCGTGGTGTCAAGAACACAACATCCAAGCAAGCGACAAAAGGCGGTATTTGAGCTTGCAGCAACAATCAGGCCTCCTGACCATGCGTCATAATGTAATGGTGAGGACCACGAATGGAATCTCAGGGAGGATATACGATCGGCCGAGCTCCAATGCTTGAGACCAGCCGGTTTATAAACACGCCCGCCTCGGTTGATGGTGACCTTTCTTGCACCCGAGCATATACCCAGCAGACCTCTGTCCACCACCCCTTACCCCATCGCTGCGCATACACCAACACTGGCTTCGACGGCCATGTTCTCAAGTCACGTCCATTTTCCTCCGGAGCTCCCAGCGCCTCATGGGGACCACACCTGTCAGGTAGAGTCCTCGACCCAAGTCTCCATGGGACGTCCAGACTCATATGAGGCTGTTGCAAAGGTGGGCCAGTACCCGAAGATGGCCCAGTGCAAGGGAGCGCACGACCGAGAGACATATGACTTATGCTGGAAGTGGGCCAGTCTCTCTGCAATGCCGTGCAACGGGTCCGGGGAAAGCATCATCTTGACTGAGACCTTGGACTCGTCTCAGTTCAGCCCCTCCACAGTGAGTGTTGGATTAAAAGCGTGCAGACCATCGGTGCTGACGACGCCTAGAATCTGGTTCTGCAACGCTCAACAGCATCCGATCGCCTCCTACTTTTTAACATTTCTAAGGACAAGAAGTCCTTGGTTTTCGACTTCACGGGAGGTCTGGGCGGAGGCAGCGTTCGTCCGCAGAACCTCGCTCGTTCATCATCGGCTCTCACCCTTCCGACGAAACGGTCACAAAAACATACGTCGTCGCTGAAACGTTCCCTCTCCGTCACCAATCGAGCCTTCGCACGAAGTGGCAGTCAAGACTCCTCATCTTCGGATTCGTCCACGGAGGGAGGTGATGATCTTGAGAATGGCCTCGCAGCCTGATCGTCGACTGGTAGTTTGGCCATGTTGGAGGTTTCCTGGCACAGTAGAATAGATTAACATGACTTAGTATACATACATACATCATCGACGCCAGTCGCATTTGTGAAAGTTACCCAGTAATAACGAACTTAATCAGCATCAATGACCATACCACCGCGTCCCCGACGTATGCGATCTTCGAGACCACCCTCGCCACCAAAGACTCGTTTCTGTTCGTGACTGAGGAATCCGCCCATACCCTTGGACTTGGCCCGCAACCTTTCTTCTTCCGCAAGCTCGGCTTTCTCCTTCTCTAGCAGAGAGATGAGCCGTTTCTGACGGTCCTGCTCGTGCGTTGAGGCATTTGACTGCATGGCAGCCAAACGAGCAGCGCGGTCTGTAGTGCCGTTGGCGGAATTCTGAGATGGTTTGGATGGCCTTGAACTGGGTGGAGCTGATGGAGACCGACGGGTGCGTTTAGAAGTAGGACTACGCGAGCGTTGGCGCCGATCCTCCACAGGGGCCATGCGGCCATCGTAACGGCGTCGGTCGTTACTGCCGTCGGACTCATCAGACCGTGGCCAAGTATCAACACGGCCAGGTTCGCGACTTGGAGGATCGCCGCGAGGATGAGATCGAGCATCAGGAGTGGGACTGCGTTTACGTTTGCTGGCATAGCGATCCTCGTCTCTCCGGCTATCGCAACTTGGGCGAATAGGCGAGCGAGAGCGCCGCGAGCGGTCATACCGATCATGTGAAGGCGAACGACGGGATCGACCGTTTCGGTCGTATGAAGGCGAGCGACGAGATCGGTTATACCGGTCATACGAAGGCGAATGGCGACGGGGACTCTGACTTCGTGAGTAAGAGCGGCTCCTACCATGCTCTTCCAACCGCGCTCGTTCTTTCTTCTCCTTCTTCTCCTTCTTCTTCTCCTTCTTGTCTTTTTTAGGTTTGACACCGTTGCGTTGTTGCATTTCTCGGAGGCGGAGAGGGTTAGACATCAAAGCTTGGTAAGCGGCTTGCTCCTGCTGCTTAATGGCAAGTAGAGGGTCTTCGCGAATCTTGGAAGCAATGTCACGAGCAGTGTTAGCATTTTGAACCGCGATGAATTCCTTGTGCGAGGCACCAAGCTAGAATGAAGGGCGTCAGTCTGCATAATGCTTGTGCACCATCGTCCGCAGAACGCACTTTAGCATTGTCGTCAGCGGTCAAAATCTTGTCGACTCGCTTCTTGCCCAGAAGATAGTCCTCAAGGTCATTGGCATTCTGACTACTGCCAGTGGCAGGTGTTGAGTACATCCATTCCAACTTCTCGGTTCGTTTCTTGCCCGTTTGCTCTTCTTGCAGTCGCTGAAGTTCCTGCAGCTGTCGCTCTTCCTCTTTCTCTTTGCGTAGCTGGTCTAATTTCTTCTTCTCTTCGAGCTAGATATGACTGAATGAGCAACCGTTGAAACTAAGCTAGCAAAAGCCTTACCGCTTTCTTCTCCTCCAGCCAGACCCGCTCCTGATTCTTCAACAGGAGCGGGTGCCACGACTTCTTCATGTTCAAATCTCCACCACCCATCTTGAATAAACTTGTGTCTGTTGTAAAAAAAGGATGAGGTTTTAGGAAGAAGGAGGCGCAGTGCCCAATGGAAGATGAGTGTTGAGGACACAAGGGGTTGAGTCCAAGATGAGGCTGTGGGAAGTTTGACCATGTTTGGCACCTGCCCTATAGGTTTCCTTCGCACCTAACTAGTAACGAAGCTATGCTCATCTAGTACGCTAACACTGCACACACTGTTCTCTCATTCCCCCCCTTCGCAATTTGCACTTGGCTTAAATCATGGCAGGCTCGGGTGATGATTACGGCCAATTGGAGAGCGAAGAGGCCAGCCACCAGCCTGTGTCAGTCTTCAGTTACGCTCGCGGTGTCCTCGCTTGTCTCACCAGGTTACGCGTCATGGCAGGCCCACAACCTCGATCTATGCACTTACACGAAGCGAGATGACCAAGGGCATCGCAAACCGCTTCGTACATTCTCAAGCTTACATATTCCTTTACCTGGGCATGGCAGCACTCTCTGTGACAACTGTGGTTCTCAGTCTCTCAGACGGATGTCCAGGATTCGCTTTCTACGTCCTGGAAGTAATCGTTAACATGTCTATGATCCTTGAGGTCGCTGTGCGATTTGTTGCATTTGGTCGGGTGAGTACTACGACACATCGGACATTAGCGAGTAGTATCCTTAGGTCACCATGCTCTTGCGCAGCAATTTTGGCGCTCACCATTCAACGTGCTTGACCTCATTCTTACCTTGTTCTGCGCCATCACGCTGCTCGTCTTAGCATTTGCGGGTTGCGGCGCCACGAGCAAAGAAGAAGAAGTTCTTGATACCCTTCTGCTGATTGCACGGAATGTACTGCAATTTGGGCGTCTAGCCGCGGTGATGAGACAGTAAGTGCTTGAACTATATTTTAGCATATTTCGTCCATTCAAGTGTCTGCTCAGGTCAGGTCAATCAATTTTCTCTCGCCCAAAACCGATCGATATTTCGGCGGTTCGACGGGCGGGGTATTCGAGCCTGGATCTAGACCTTGAGGATGAGGAAGAAGAAGATGTCGAGAGCGGGCGGCCTCTAGTCGATAACCCGGTGCTCTTTGACACTCGGGATCACGATCCCTGGGCAGAATGATGGTTTCTGTTCCCACTTTCCTGTAGCTTGCCGTTCGCGTCGGGTTTGTTCCCGCGAAGCTGAAGATTCAATTCGAGTTTATGGACCTTAACTTATATTAACTGCTTTCTTTCCTGGATTAGGTAGATTTCCGTTTAATCGAATGCTACGTAAGTTACGGCTCTGGCCCCCAGACTTTACACAGGTGTGACTTCTTGTCTTCCGTGCAAAGTGCATAATGCGATCGCTTCATTGGGGCAGGGAAGTAAATGTCGGCATGAACAGACTTTATTGAGAGCGAGGACGCAGCCGGCGCATACGAAGGAAGGTTCAGGGGTACTAACCGGAGCAACGGGACGGCTCCGCGGGCCAGGCACGGCGTGCCCACTTCACGATCGGAATCAGGGCTCATGATAAGCTACCATGACGAGTCCGGAAATGTTTTGAGGCGCGTTGGGTCCGTGGCGGAAGGAGAGATTAATTTGGCGAGACACAATGAATGCAGTATGTGTTGATATCATTGTGTACATTAGCGAGGCTATTGACTTGTTGCAAGGTTACAGCTCGTTTTGCATTGAGTTTCGTGGCAGGATATGGCGCAGCGCTGTCCATCTTTTTGATCGATGCCGAGGCTGCGAAGGTTGCATGTGCCTACGACGGGTGGATTGAAAAGCTGGGGAGGTGAAGGAGATGGTTGTGGGTAAATATCATATTCTGCTGCGGTTCTCTGGCGTGATCACAAGGAAGTGGAATCAGTTGTAATTTTTTTTTTGGAGGCCGGCGCCGGAAGCACTTTGTAGAAGCGTGAGTGGGTGTGAGAGAGGGAAAGTGAGCTAAGGCCGAATGCCGTGTTGGCGGATCGCGCGGTTGTACATGTCGGATTGCCCACTTAGCGCTTGTCCAAATACACCGCGCGTTGTTGCTACGGTAATCTTCCGTCCGTGTCCCTGGCCGTCTCGATTTTCTCTTGCAACGAGCATGCATCAGCCTGTTCTTTGCTGATTTCCACTCCTTACTCCCGTGTCCTACCTGTACACCGCACAGGCCCACGACCGTCCCTGTACACTAACACTATTACACCCACTGTCCTTCCTTCCATCACCTCCGCACGGCTGCTGTTGTCTGGGATAACTCCTACCCTCATCCCAAGTCATGTCATGGTTCGCAAAACGCCACCAGTCTGCTTCCCAAAAGTTACCCAAGGATGTTGACTGCTCCGTTTCCACCGAGAAGGTCCCCATGCGCTCCTCCGATACGCCCGGGAAGCAGCCACCCGCGCTCAAGTTTAATACTCTCGCTGCAGCAGTCATTGGCAAAAAGCCAAAGCGACAACACCCAACCCTAGGTATCACTATCCAGGAGCCCCCATCATCTCAGCCTTCTCCCACAGAACCTCACAGACAGCAGTATGCAAATCGTCCCCCGTCCAAGTCTGTCTCAACAGTCAGGTCTGGCGACGACTCTATCGTCCTTCGCACCCCTTCCGACGCGCCCAGAAACCGTTCCTCGTGCTCCTCATTCCCTCGCTCTGTGCTTACCCTATCAGACCCCGACCCTTTTGCTGCCAATGCAATAGCTGTTCCTTCAAGTGCTGTCCAGGCTAGCCGGGTCTCCGTCCTTTCCAAGGTCTCTAACGAACTCTACGTCAAGTCTAATGATACGCTCTCCCCTATTAACCGCACTTCATTCGCGTCTTCTTCCTCCAAATCTCAAGATGCTTCCTTTGAGATGACTCGCTCCATGTTCTCCAGCCCTCCTTCCTCTGTAGTCACGTAGGTTTACTTCATGCACTCTTAGCATCTGTTTCTTATCTCCTTCCCCAGTACCGATCCGGGCTCGACCCGCCCCATGTCAGCCGAGAGCTCTTGGGAATATACCGCGAAGCCCGCCCTTGTCAAATCCACTTCCGTAGCCACCTTGACGGAGAAAACCCGCAAACCGAATCCGCAAATCCTGCGTCCCCGTCTGCCAAGTCGCCCAACGGATCCTGGCTTCACTCGCAGTAATTCTAGCATAGCACAGTTAGCCCGGAAGAACGTTTCTGAGTCATCCATGTCTCCGATACCTCCCATGAGCAATACCCGCCCTCTCAACCGACACCCATCAATCTCACGTGTTGCGGTCCACCCTCCAAATGCGCCACCTCTTTCCCAACTGCCTCCTATCCCAATCGCAACGCCTCTTTCCCCGATATATACCAGCATTCAAGATAGCGAGGATCATTTATGTCCTACTCCTTCGGGCTCCGATTCATCATCAAGCATATCGTTCGCTTCCTCCAACTCGTCGTCTAGAGACCTTGGTCTGGAAGAACACTATAGCGCACGGTACAAAGCCACGAGAGATCGGAATTGGGGCTTGGATAGGGATTTTGGTACGGCACACAAGACAAAGGAGCATGATTACACTGCTCTCGCAGACTTCGCGCTGGGACCAGGGCCTGTAGGTGGTGATCATCCACAGACCTCACCTCAGACTCTGAAGAAGGCGATGTCGGTTTCGACGCTGCATATGTTCAAGGACAGCTTGTCCATGCCTTCTAGAGAGGACAAGTCCATAGAACCAGAACTCAAGAAGCAGCGCTCGTTTCATCAGTCTCGCTGCCCTCCTCCCCTCGCGCCGCTGCCACTTAGGCATTCCAATTCATATGTTCCACCCAGAACGTCATCTCTGCAACCAACTAGCCCTGTTGAGTCACGAAAGGGTGCCTGTGCCGTTGCATCACCTGTCATTCGGAAACGACTGTTCTCTGGTCCCTCACGGAGGCCTGTGACAGCGGCAAGCGAAGACGATGATCGCTCCCTGTTCAGTATACCTACAGATAGTGGCCACCAGTCTGCGGGACATTCGACTAAGATCAGAGAATCTATGCTTTCTGACACGTTCTCAGTCACATCAAGCTCGACGACTGGCACGGATTACGCGCCACAGCGGATCATGTCACCTGCGGATATGTTCAAAGTCGAGGAATCGTTGCAGGACGAGCTCGACGCGAAATATAGCGACATGCAGCACAACCGTGCACGGGGTGTTTCTTTCACATCCGCCTCGGCATCGTTCCTCGCGGACCACCCCTCTATTTCTGAGTTGTCGCAACGTGATGCGCCGGTTTCGTCCACGAAGTATCATCCCCCGGCGCGGAGCTCATCGACGGTCGCTAAGCCTGCTAGCTCCTCTCTTCGGTTGAATGTTTCCTCGCGGCCTGGTACTGCTCAGCCTGGCCCGACGGCAATGCATGCGGAGTCCCCCGTGGAGAACCCCTCTGCATTGCTTAGCATAGGCCTTCCATTGCCACGCGGATTGCGGTCTCGCCCGACAACGGCAGACACGACCTCTAGTGTGTCTTCATCGGGAAGTAGGCGCCTCAATGCTGCGCCTATCAACCCGCTGTCTCCACGACCTCCTCCCTCCCGGAGGCGGGTTACGCCGCAGCACGGAACCGTGGACAAAGTTCCGCACCCTATCTTGCGCAAACCCTCATTCTTGGAGATCGCAGACGAAAGCCCTTCCCCTTCATACCCAGTCTCTCATCCCTCCACGGCGGCACGTGGCTCTTTCGCGCGTAGCTCAGTGACACCGGCGCCGCTTGAAGAGGACAGTTTCCTTGATATGGGGAAGGATTCGCTTGACATACCTAGAGATAGTCTAGACGAGTTCGGCAGTTAAGATTCTTAGCTCAGCCCACTTTCATTTATGCTTGTCACTCCTTTGCACTTATTCCTGCTTATAACACTCACCCGTGCGTATTCTACCATATCTCACTGGCCTTTTCGGCACATAGTCCTTACTTCGGTATTGTCTGTTTTATTAGGTTACATAAATGCTTGCACTCGGCTTCGTTTCCTTACATTGAAGTGCAGTTACCATTACCACTTATATTTTGAGCGAGAACAAATGCAAGTTTGGATCCATCCGTCATTTATTTCCTGATTGAGTCATCGACAATCGAGTGATAAGAGCAGTAGTTTTAGGATTAAGCAAATATACAAGGAACGAAAAAGTGAGTCCCGACGTTCAGTTCGTTTCGTCTGTGTGATACCCTGCGCGACGCATGGCTCCAAGCCTGTGGCGTGCAGCACCGAGGTCCTTCTCTAGCTTCAAGATCTCCACTTGTTGCTCCATTTCGCGCCTCTTGAACTCCATGCCCGCCATGTTCTGGTAGTCAACGTCTTCCTCTGCAAGCTGCTTCGCAGAGATGGACTTGACTTGGCGAACGAGGGCCTTGCAGGCGTCGGTGACTGCCTTGGCGGCGAGCTCCAGCCGCTGCTGTGTCTGGGACATTAGGTTCGCCTTGACACGCGAAGCGGCCACGAGCTGGGCGGTTGCGGCGGACACCTCGTTCGACGCGACGATCAGCTGCTCGATAGAGTGCGTGCCGGACAAGACGCCGTCTGCGCTCTCGATGAGCAGATTTGTCGCGAACGCGACGGCCTTGGCGGCGGAGATGAGACCTTCCGTCCAGCGGTTGTTCTTCTTGTAGAACTGCTGCACCGAGCTGGACCCGCGGCCCTGCGCGACGATCTCCTGCTGCGACTCCGTAGCCGCCTGGATGAGGCGCGCGATCGCGTTTGTAATAGCCATCGCGGCGGACAGGATGGAGTCGTGGACCTGGATGTCGACAGCGCTGAAGCGGCTCGTGTCGCGCGGACGCGCCATGAGTTCCTGCAGGCGCCGGGTGGCAGCTTCGATCGCCTGGGCAGCTCCAAGCATCTCCTGCTCGACGAGATCGCCGATGTCGCCATTGGCTTTGGCGAGCGCTCCGCCCTTGCCCTTGGGGATGAGTGCATCGACGACCTCGGACAACCTTGCAAGACCACCGCGAACTTCGCTGTTGTTACGCATCGAGACTTCTTTTCTCTGAGCCGGCTGGAGAAGGTCCAGTTTGTACGATTGCAGGTTCAGGAAGAAGCGCAAGCCAACATCTCCTGCAGCCTTGCCGACGGAGATGAGCTTGTCCGAAGCATCATCATCGTTAGTGAGGCGTGTGATACCCTTGGTGTTGATGAGGACATCCGACAGCACTTGTGCGAATTCGTTTGCGCTCTTGATGACGTCGACGTGATCCCCGCCCACATCACCTCCCAGGTAAAGGTTGAAGATTGTTGCAAAGTCGGTCGCATTGTTGTTCGCCTTCTCAATCATGGAGAGCGTGTACTCAGGCGTTGAATTGATGTTACCAGCTTGACTGGGAGATTCAAGTTCGTAGATAGCATCATCGACTTTCTGCACACAAGCTTGTAGGATCGAGTCTGATGTCGAGGATGAGCATCGAACTGTCCCACAAGTAACATAATCCGTTCGAAGAGCACTTACCAATGATCTTGTTCAGCTTCTTACGATTGTCCAAGATGAGAGTATCGATCTGGGCGTTGGTGGCCTCCTCGCTCAAACCCTGGGTCTATATAGACGGTGTAAGACGATGTTCCCTTGAGTATAATTGGCAACGTACCTGTTGCGTTTCCGAAAGTTGCTGGATTGTGCTGTCCATACCCTCTTGAAGAATCGCAATTTCTTGGTCCTTCTCTTCTCTCAGCCGCTCAAGATCAGCGCTAGAGCCGTCAAGCTTAGATAACAAGTCGTCGATTTGCATTTGCTTGGCCTGAAAACACAGTTGGCATTTTGTACGGAGAGGACACGGGATGACACTTACACGCAGTGAATCTTCCAGCTCGGTGAGCTGACGGTTGTACTTGCCGAGAACATCTGAGACCTCTGAATTTTTCGACCTGGCAGCATCGTCTGCACGCTCGTTAGCAAATCTAAGATCCCGACGGAGGCGTTCCATGTCTTCTTTTTGAGAGGCCTTGATCCTGTCAACGTCGAAGCGAGCACGATCACGCTCGCGAATCATGTCGGCCAGCTCCAGGTTTTTGGCCTTTAGATCACGCTCCATGCGCTCCATACGATCCACGGCTTCCTGTGCAGAGTTGGCTTTCAGCTGCATCTGCTTGAACTTGGAGAGCATGTCCAAATGTTCGGTACGCAGTTGACTGTAGAGCTTGGCCAGCGCCTCGTACTTGTTCTTCCACAGCGTGACCTGATCTTGCAGCTGCCTGATTAGCTCATCCTTGGAAAGCATTTGAGCATTAATGTTGGCAGTGACGCCACTAAGCTCGCCCTCCAAAGCTTTAACTCGCTATAAAATAGTGAATTCATTGCATGGGACGCATAGAGTGCTTCACGTACTCGGTCATACTGTTCAAGAAGTAGCTGATCACGCTCAAACTGCCCACGCATGTTCAGCAGTTCGCGTTCATAGTTGGCTACTTGCTGAGCGGCCTGGTTGTTATACTGCTGCATCTGTTGCTGCATCAGCTGCTCTTGGGCGAGGCGTTCACGCTCAGCCTGTTCTCGCTGTCGTTGTTCGAACTCATTCTGCTGCAACGATTCAAGCTCGAGTCGCCGCCGTTCCTCCTCTGCGCGCTGAGCCTGAAGAGCTGCCTGTTGATCCTCGTATTGCTTCAGCATACGGGCCTGCTCATTGACGGCAGCGGCATCGGGGGATGGGGCGGCTGGAGGGGGCGAAGGAGACTGAGCGGCTGTCTTCGGTCGCGCGGGGAGGTCAGGAGCATTTCCGGTATCCGTGAGATTTGGTGGTTCCTTGAGAGTAGCTATTGAGTCACTCTCTCTTTACTAGTGCTCACAAGTACTAACCTGGCCCAGCTTAGGAACATTGATGAGACCAGTAAGATATTTGAGATTAGAACATTCGTAGTAGAATTTCCTTAAGCTATAGTGTTGTGAATTGAAGCGCTGGCGGAGGGGCTCCAGAGCTTCGATATCGTTCGTTCCTTTGTAGCGCTTATGAGCAGTTGGCGCATTTCAAAGTCATACCACGTACTTCGGTGCATCGCTCTCAGCATGCTAGTGATGAAACGGTAAATTCCCCAACTCTCCTTCACCAAAGGCACAAGCGACGATATGCGACATTCATTGTTGGCAGAATGCCGGAAGTGAGCAAAGACCATTCGTTGGAAGGACTCGATTTGGTCTTGTAAGCCCATGAGGTCCGAAATAGTCTCGTATCTGCTCCAGTCAGGTTGATATTCGCGAGGCAGCGAAGTAACGAGTGAACACACACCCTTCGTTGGGATCATCGATACCCTTCAGAGAAATGTACTCTTCATACTCAAAGAGACCGTTGAATTCCGGTCGGAAGCGATGGAACCGAAGCTTGGCCAAGATGAACTGAACATAGGTCCTGATCAGTGGGCCATAACCTGACAAGACTAATATTAGCTTCCGTGATCCAGTGGTATAAGAGTCACACCTCTCTGGCTTTCTGCTCCAACTGTCCTTGCACAAGTCTCAAGCCAGCCCGTTTGACCATGCGCTTCTTTGATCGTCTGGACACCAATAATTGATACGCGAATGTATGATGATGATGCAAATGACGCACAATAGGATGGCCTTCTTGCAGAACTTTATGGACTGTAATGAGCGCCTTGAACGTTTGTACCTCGTCAGCGAGAATGGGCTGTACGCGCAGGCCACTCCAGAATGAGATGGAACTATGATAGTCCCAAGTATACACGATGCATTCTACGATGGAGGGTGAGCAACGAGGACTGATGGCGAAAGTTCAGACTAACTTCGGACATGTTTCTGTTTGGGCGCACTTTCGTCCGGACTTGTAGCCTTCTTGATGTTGACGGCCAACTCTGTCTCGGCCTTGTCCTTGTCTACAGGACGTGTGGGATAGTGCACGTCGTCATCGCCAAAGCCTCTGCGACCGAAAGACCTGAGAAGTCATCAGACGAAGTTGCAACAGCAATTTTGACCGCGTTTACTGACATTGCGCCTTGCGAGAGCCCGAGATATAGCTGTTAGTGGGAGATGGAAAGTGGGTGAGCTTGGTTGCAATCTGTCCACTTGACTGCCCGCGCAGGCGCAGCTCTACTGGTGGCTGGGGGAGCGGGAACAATTCGCGTCACAGGTGTTCTCGGCCCCGTGCGAACTCGACACCATGTTGTCTGCCTTGCGCTCATTCACGTCAAGACACAGGCCAGTCGCGTCTGCTTTCAAGCGAGTATCCCGGCCGCGGCTACCCACCGCAAGGGCTTTCGCGACTGAGGCAGCAGAAGCGGGAGGGCAAAATCTCTATAAGCCTAAGAAGGATTCTTTACTCAGTCCGACAATATGGCTGCTAGGCTTTCTTCCTGTCTTCGCTTTTGGTCTGGGTACATGGCAGGTCCAGCGACTGCAATGGAAAATCAACCTCATAGACGAGCTTGAGGAAAAGCTGCATCGAGAACCCATCCTCCTTCCCAGACATGTAAAGTGCGTCAGCGAGTTGTTCTGCCTGCTGGGTGTATACTGACAGTGACATAGTCTATCTGCCGTGCCAGACTTCATCTACCGCAGAGTTCTATTGAAGGGCAAATGGGACCACAAACACTCCTTGCTTCTGGGTCCACGGGTGAGAGAAGGTGCACACGGCCATCATGTTGTCACTCCTCTCGTCCGGTCGGATGGTTCGACCATCCTTGTCGACCGAGGTTTCATCACGAACGAGCATGCAGACGACTACGTCAGAGGCGAAGACGCAGAGGTGGAGGTCGTGGGGATGCTTCGGACGTCTCATGTCCGCAATCGCTTCACGCCAGACAACGACCCTCAAGGAGGTCACTGGTATTGGGCCGATGTTGACGCCATGGCGAATTACGCTGGTGGAGAAGGTGCCAACGTGCAGCCAGTTTACGTCGAGCAGATTGCAGGTATGTGTTCACCTTGGCGTTCATGGTATACCCTCTGAACTGAAATTACTTTTCCATCGTCTTTGCAAAGATTACAACGATGGCGAAGCACTGTCCCGTATCAGCAGAGGCGTTCCCGTTGGCCGTTCTGCTACGGTAGATGTCCGTAATGCGCACCTTTCTTATGTGATCACATGGTAAGTACTGATTGACTTCCACTCGTGCACTCATTCAACGCCGTCTAAACCGCAGGTATTCATTATCGGCTTTCACAGCAGTGATGTTAGCCAGGTTAGTCACCAAACGTCGTGCACAACATAGAATCAGGCCCCTCCCACGTTAGGTACCCCGTCGTTGGTGTGTTCATTCTACTGTAGTTGGCATATTCCCTCCACTTTCTATCCTGCCTTGTGATTTGCGTCAGTTGCTATTCAACTGTTCAACATTCAGCGTTGAGATCAGGCTTTGGAGGTTTGTAATCTTGTCCGTGAATCTGAAAGCCCGACCGCAGCTCAACATTAACTTTGAGTTTTGGGGTCGGTCGGCTCAAATACCTTGCCCGGCATTCGTTTATACGCGCCAACTCAGTGACACTCTTGGGGTTGCGCTTGTCAGAACACCGTCGCAACCACAACGTTTTGAACTTTGTAAGACGCAGTAGTAACGTCACGCAACTAACTTGTTTCTTGGGTTCATTGACAGTGGAACAAAAAGGGTTTACAATTCTTTATGCCATCAATAATAAATGATTATCTACCGATGCATGTTTTCGCAGAGCATTGACAGGGTAACAGGGTATCGGCCCGAGAACCGCAAGCATCTGGAAGAGAAACGAACACTCCGTGTTTAAGTGGGAAGTGTCTTCGAAGTGTCTAGGCAATGAACTAACATGTTCGATGTTTCAACGAGGCCGTAGGGTATTGACTTTACTCATGAGCATTGCATCACCGGTTACCGCTCGTGAGCGCGGGGATGCCGCATGCTCTCTTACTAGTGAGCCTTCCTCGGGTTGACCATAGTGGGCGTTGTGCGCTAAGTCGGCGCTCTGCGGAAGTAGTAGTGTAAATGAAATCACATGTGACTGTGGGACTAGCGTAGCAAGTGAGGATCAATTATGACACCAAGAGCTAAAGTACTTACGGAGTTATAGTCGGCATTGCATGCAACCTGTTCTGTGTTCAAGCACTTCACCCCCTTCCGCTCACTGCCTGCCCTGTCTTGCTAGAGTCTCCTTCTCCAGTGCTCTCGACTAACGTGAGCTTGCTGATGGCAAACTCGGACTCGGCGGGCTCTCTCAGCATCAACTCGCTCGGGCGCACGTCGAGCTCAAACCATCCCAGTAGAAACACCCGGATACGTTTTCCCGACCAATATGCTGGACCTTCAAACTCTAGCAAACGGGCGTCCTCGAAGCACTCTTACACTACTGCTCCGAATAGCCCCGCGATGAGCAGTGTTGACTCTAGCCCTAACGCTCGATTATACCCCCCCAAGGATCCCACTCGCTTAAATCCCGAATCCTCCCCAACCAAGCACGCCTCTTCTCGCCGCAAGTCTAGGCGCTCTATGGGTCAGAATAGTGGTCATTCTCCGCTCAAGATTACCGACATCATCTCCGAGTATGATTCACGAGCATTTTCTGACGAGTTTGATCTTTGTGAGTCACGTCAGGGACTGATTGTACTTCAACCTCTGACCTTAGCCGTTGTGAATAACTCTTACTAGCACACGAGAGTAGGTAAACTGCCTGAATTTTCCGCGACCGCTTTCATATACTATTCGACAGATCCTCAGCTTTTGCAGGATGTACAGCGGGCAATGCATTTCCAGAACCGACGACGTGATCGAAAGTCTCTTGTACCCTCAGAGCCGATGGTTGCTGAAGCCACTGTACCTCGACCAGCGGCTACCATGACCACGTTTCCCTCGACCTCTCCAGTACTACCAACGGCGTCTCCACCACCTTCTTCCCCTGTTGCTTTGAACGCTATGCTTTCATCGGATGTAGACTTCAGCCCTGTTACCCATGCCATTCCCATGCATCCCGTTCCTATCTCTTCCAATGGTGGCGCGACTTTGGATTGGACAGGTTCCTTGTCTGATGGCGAGAGAAGTGATCGTCGTTGGACCCTTTCCATCAGTAAGCGCAAAGGGAAAGACAGGGCATTATTGTCTCCTCGGTCTATGCTGGAGAAACAGGAGGCCCTTTTTGCAGGTACCAGTATTCCTGGGCTATTGGCTATCAAATCACTCATCCTGGTTTTAGATAGGATTGCCAGGATCAAGGCTGAAGCTCAACCACATACCTTGCGAAAAGCGGCAATCATCAGCGAACAGCTTGAACGTCGATATACAACACTGGGTGGACCTTCTGCCACCGGCAAAGCTGTGAACTTGTTGAGTGCAGCTCGTTGGTATGCTTCTTTGGATGAGCACGTTCAAAAGTCTCTAGACGAGGCTGAGCCTCTAACCTGGCTTAAGCACTTGCTGGATAAGCCTGGTCGAACGCGATCGCAGTGGCATCTGTCTTCTCTAATAGTCGAAGAATACGCGAGGAATGAAGGTCACCCATCAGCGACGACTGACCACAAATCCTCCGAAGCTTCAGCACTTCCCCCTGATAGTGGTAGCACGACATTGAGCCCACCGACTAGCCCATATCATTTCGTGCAGTCGGCTCCTGCATCAAAGCAATCTTTCAATGACTCGCTAACTAGGGTCCGCTCTCATGACGACTATCTATCCTTCGAGCCGCGAGTAACCCCAGCCCGCTCATCCGAAGACATTGAACGCAGGGACTGGAAAGATCCGCGACGGACCCACCGACATTCACTACCCGGAATGTTTGAGTCTCCTCATGCCTTTGCTTCGGCCTTTGCTGCAGCCTCCTCCCCTCAGCAGACTTCTTCCTCGGCAAAGCAGGGAGAATTTTCTCCGGCAAGCAGTCGTCTGCATGTGCACGACCTCCTCCAGCGCAGACATCGCAAGACCTATGAAAGCGATGAGGGGTCGTCATCTCTCCATTCACAATCGGAAGGCAACAGTCGACGAGAGAGCACTAGAAGTGGTCGCAAGAAACCGAAACGGTCACGCCCCTCTGCCTCCGCTTTACAGTCTCCTCAGGAATCTGCCACCGAGATGATGGAGGATAACGAGAGTACGAGTTTGTTGCGGCGATCAGCACTACCGAAGGCCTCTCAATCGGACGAAGCCGTTCCTTCGACCCTAGATAATACGGGGTACGTTGAGGGCAAGGACGTTGTTCCTGAAAAGGCGTCACCCGATAAGCCTGCCGCCCTCTTTGCGCGAAGAAAGCGTGTGCGACGGTTGTCTTTGGTCATGACCGAGAGGTCTTCAACAGAAGAGAGCCGCCCACAGTGGGATCAGGAAGAAGAGGAACTTCTCCAGCATGCTTACGAGGAGAAGTCACAGTACGTCCACGTTCTGTTTGAGTTTACGGCTTCCAACCGTTACATAGAATGCTCGCCGATATCAAGGCCCAAAATCAACGAATGAGGCAGAGGCTCATGCGTATCGCCTCCGACATCCGAGAGTTTGATAACCTCCGCACCGAGTTGTGGAAAACTTTTGGTTTTGTTCACCGCTCCTTGTCGTCCACTCTTTTTGATACCTTCGGTCATGACCCATCGTCAGTCACTGGGCACACTCGTAGGAATAGGGGGTGGCGTGCCGTGGAAGATACACACACCAGAATACAACGACAGCGAAAGACCCTCGACGTCTTTCTCAGCATCTCACGGGAAGATGGTACACCCAACATCGAGAGCGTCTTGGATGAACCGATATCTTCCCTCATGAATATACTTCAAACTCTCGAGAAAGACCAAACAGAAATCCGGGAGAAATCATTGGAGGTTACCCCTATGCTTGAACAAGTGAAGAGCGTCCACGCTGCCGTCAAGTCTCAATATAACTCTACATTATCCCATGTTTCCGCGCTTTATCCAGAAGTAAGAGTCGCATTTGGTCATTACATGCACCTGCATACTAACGCGAAATTAGCTTTCGCACATCATTGCCTTGGAGGAAAGTTACAAGGATCAGTATCAACAAGTTTGGGAGCTCGGTATGGATGCTTTGACCTTCCTATTGGATACAGTAGCACCCTTCTGGAGAAATTATGGCAAAGTTATCGGTGTCGACATCCAGGATTTTCTCATTATACCTCTATATCGCAACGAGTTCACCGGCGAGGCGAAGCGATACAAGATCAAGTCACTTCCCAAGCGCTCGACTCGTCACTGGTTCGCGCTCATATTTCTTTTCAGTCTCACAGTATTTGTCACACTCCTTCAAGGCCGTGCGGCCGTTTTCTCCGCGCATCATTACGATTTGACATGGATTGAAAATGCGGGCCTGCGGTGGGCCATTATACCTTTCTTTTGGATTGCTATACCCATTCAGTGGATCGCTGTGATTATCGAATTTTTCGTCGTCCTCACGCAATTGGGCGTGATTGCATGGTGGATGCTATGGACCGTCAACGTCGTCAACTAGATATTCGGGACTAACTTTACATGGCTTATGTATTGCTAATTATCTTTATGTATATGTATGTATAAGGTACTCTACCATCCTGTCGTTAATTCGTAGCATTTGGAGCGTTAACTGGCGTTGCCAGAACTGGTTGGATAATATGGCTGTGGCTGCATGTTATCTATTACCATTGTGCGCGTATGTGGTGTGCTACTGGGAGCAGCAGATGATGATGGCTGCTGGGCTGGGACAGGGGCAGGAAGCCGATATGTGAAACGCGCGCCACCAACTTGAGGAATGTCTGCAATGCCCTTTCCTCCCTCCACGCAAGGACGGCAGTAGCCTATTGATACAAGTGAGCGTGCTGAATAGATTCGAAGTGGTAAGGCCAATGCTCACGTCCGCCCATGATTAACGGCACGTCTGTCTGCCCGCATGCAAAACAGGCGATCGTTATGGCGGGCACAGAAGGCTTGGGTTGCGAGGCACGCTTGCGTTTTGCGGGAGTGGCTTGAGTACCCCCGTCTGGTGGTGCCTTGCGTACTGCGGTCCGTCGTCTAGGTTTGTTGAAATCTGAGGTAGTCTTCATCGGTTTCATTGGATACTGGGGAGATGCGGCCTGTGAAAACGGATCAACCAGATACACCTAGCTGTGTTATTGCACCGACATACGTTGCGGATTTGAGTCAAATTGAAGCCATCCGGTAGCTTGTGTGCCAAATATATACGTTTTCGAAGTTTCTGATAAGATGCAATCAGAACAGTAATTACACATATGCATGAGAAGGATGTAGGTACAGTGTCCTCAATGATCTTTCGGTTTTCTTCTGCTCTGTCGGGAGGTCCTATATATCGCATCATGGACTCACAGATCATCGGGGAAGCCCTCATTAGCCGAAAGTTGACGATCTCTTTGTTTACGACAGGTCTGGGTGATTCTCGATCCACCTCGTCCGTATCTTCCTGAGGAACGATGTTCGAAGAGAACGGGACGCGCGTCGTGAGAATGATGTCGCTAAAAGAGCCGGAACTGCCGGGGACTGGATTGTACTGGCATATAGCAGGTTCACGAGGAAGAATCCACCGATCCGATGGATTCTCGCGGAATTCTAATACTATATCAAACTCTTTAGCAGACGCTTGACTATGAGCATGAGAAGAACCAGAAGCAGCAAAAGCAGATGTAGGAGCCCTGAGTTGTCCGGTCGACTGCGCTGGGGCAGAGAATGAGTCAAGGCTCGGTGACGATGCCAGTGACTGGATCAAGACTTCCAGTGTCTTGAGTTGGTCCGCAGTCGCTCTACCGGAAGCAGCTAGCTGCAGGAGATTCAAGAGTGTAGGATTTGAAGTCGCCGCAGAGTTCACCTGAGAAATTAGGGCCGGGGGTATGTCCATCGAAGCACGTAGCGACTTCAACAAGGGAGTGTGCGCTGAGTCATTGAGCAACGAGTCCGGTTCTTTAGTGGATAGGCCGTCTGTATGGGCATTTGTAGGGTTTACAGTGGTGATCGAGGTGGAGTGAGCTGGATGGGCGACAGCTTGATAGTGCACCTCAAATATGGTCGTTTCAGTGAACGTATGGGGCCCAATTTCGAGGGTACATATTCCCCGGTTATAAATGGTGTGCGGCGGGGGGACAACATCGGCAGGTTTTCCCCCACGTGCCCGAGACGAAAACTTAGGAAACATGGAATGAAGCCATTTTTCCCGAGCTTTAAAGGCAAGGGTTAAGTAGACGCATGCAATGGTCTGGTTCACGCACATTGTCTGAGGCTCTGTAGTATTACCAGGCTACTCTTATCAGCAAGGTTACACCGGGATAAAAGATACACACGCACCTATCGGACATGTCTTTAAGCTCGTTGCCATTTTCATCTTGTATTCGCTTCTCCCAGCTTGGATCGCTGACCACAGGCAGACTCAGATGCTGGACGCGGTTCATGAAGTATTTTGTTTGTTCTTGTTGCCCGAAGGCCTCTGCAAACAATCTGGCCGAGATCCGCGGTATCGGAACCTTTGTTGACTGGTCATACTCTATCATACTACTCTTGTGCGCACCAAATTTGCAGCATGAGCAGCCGCGTTCGTGAGTATTGTCATCTTTTCTTATTAAATTTAAGTGACATTTGTGTCAGAAAAGGGTGGTACAGTGTTTAGACCAGTCGTGAAAGCGCGTACTCGACCTCCTGAAGGGGCCACCACAGCACAAAGAACGTCAACCGCACCAGACAGGCGGTCATCTGTAGTCTCTACGCAGGATGCGCGCGCCCCATCCGCCACCCCAAGCTCTTCCGTACCAGCAGCACCTGACCCACCGTATTCTACTTCCGACTTTGCCTCCCGTTCAATGGGTCCTCCGATGATAATACCGTTTAACTCACAGCCCACACAACCTGGAAGTTCTTTCCCGTTGAACCAGGTTGATCCTCACTCTTTAGTAACCACAGCCCCGTATCCTCCATCAAGTGCCACTTTGGTGCCGTCTGCCCCAAGCCAAATTTTCACGATTCCTCAACCAACCCTAATATCCGGGGCGGATAATACTTCATTTGCTGTTCCACAGAAGCGGAGGAAGCATTCTCGTGAATCAGATGCTCCTCGGAAAGGACGCAAGCCCGGGGGCTCATCCAAACCTACCTTCGATCCTATAGCTGAAGCAGGCGAAGAAATTGATCCCAGCGTTGTGACAATGGCGACATTGTGCGACGATACTGGCCAAGGCCGCATCAGCACGAAGGCCGCGCAGGTTCTCAGCAGTTATGGTACCTGGAAAAAATCCAATCGCGATAAACGTGCTCGCATGAGGGTTACCATGGAAGCTAAGAAATATGGGAGACAAGATGATGAAAACGCCAACGGCAGCGCTTCGCAACCCTCTAATCCTTCTTCGGTTGTTTTGAGCGCAAATGGTGATGGCGTAGACTCGACGCCTGATCCCTCCACACAATCTAGCTCGGCCGATCCATCATCAAATGAGGGCGAGGAGGCACCAAGAGATAAGAATGGAAATAGTTTTGATTACTCACAGAACCTGTCTACCAGCCAGTATAACGTCCAGATCCGCATTGGACCCAATGGAGAGACAATTATAGACGAGGAATCTCTTTTTGTTGATCGTAATGCCGAAGATGACAGCGCTGATTATACTCATGTCGAGGAGTCTGACTTGTCGAAATTCGTGAACTCGGGAACATATGGCAAGCGGTATCGCGGTTCACGATGGAGTGCCGAAGAGACTGAGCTGTTCTACGACGTGAGTAAGCGCCCCCACCTTCGTCCATACTTCGCACTCATTTTCCCTCACAGGCGCTTTCTCAGTTTGGTGAAAATTATGAGTTGATATCTTACGTCCTTCCGGGTCGTGACCGAAAAGCTTGCAAAAACAAGTTCAGGGCTGAGGACAAGAGAAACCCTTTACGGATCAACCATTGTCTCAACAATCGTGTGCCTTATGGTGAGTGATGGCGCCTAGGTGGTCAACCACATCTAACATCAACTCTCCAGATATGCAAACTTTGTCGCGGATGACGGGAAAGGACTTTAGCGGACCCACGCCTGAAATACGCGCACCTGTACTCCAGACCTTATCTGATCCCCCACCAGAAGAACGACTGGAGACTACACCAGCGGAGGCGTCCCGTTCGAGTCGAGTTCGAAAGAAAAGCAAAACCCCGAATAATGCCGCTGAAGTTGAGGTCCTTGGCGACGTTGCCAGCTTTGATGACAATGAATCTTGACGTTCAGGCATTGCTTCGAGTTCATTTGCTTCTTCTTCAGCAGGACGAGTATCTTGGACCGCTGACGAGGCTCTATGAGAAGCTCAATTCAATGCAATTTGCAACGGAACCCTGGATACACTGGACTGCGTTCGTTCTTCGTCGATCGAATCCAGCTTTGTCGCAGCTCCTCAAGACTCATCACGTAGAGACAATTATTCAAACCATAGGTTTATATCGCATGGCTTATGGCGACGCTTGATTATGAATTTGAGGGAGAACATCTGACGACTGGCGATCTTTCTTGGTGGCCGACTCTGTTTTTTGAAGGGCTAGGATGTGACATCCTTCGTGTCTCTGTCTGCCACCAACTAATCGCCCCTCTTTACGCCTCGCTTGTCGCTGCTCTAGACCTTGTGTTCTCGCTACATTGGAAGCTATTGTTATGTAATTTGTCATACTTCATCGGCGGTTGTGCTTCTATTTTGCTGCCGATCGACAGCAGATCTCTCTTAAGTAGACGTGCGTCTATATAATGAAACTGCACCTCTGTACACTTCTCAGTCAACCCTCCTCTTGACTCCATTGCTATTGTTGCTTCAACCTCTTATCCTTGACTCACATGCCCACTCGGCGAGCTACTGAGAGTTCGATGCCCCCAAGTCGGCAACCAAGTGTATCGGGCGAGGAATTAGAAGAGGTTTTCCTCAGCCTCCTTCCCTTATTTATGCTCGCTGACAGATCAAAAGACGCCGTTCTTCGACAGCGTCGACGAACTCCAACAGCATGTTAGTCTTAGCGCTGTATGCTTCGCTTATACCAACACTTTTCAGGGTATAAACATGCAAGACATACTCAAGCTAAAGGTCGGGCCCTCTAGTGGAGTTGATATCATTGGCTCATGCCCCCTAGAGCGCTGCCATACACACTGTATCTGGAGTAGTAATGACGACCCGCCGTCAAATGTTAAAGATAAAGGTAAGTCTGGTTGATAGCCCACGCGGCCTTTTTAACCCCACAACAGGGCATGTCCGAGGCCAAGGTCGAAAAAGTCAAGGTGATATTTCAGTAAACCATTATTCGTGCATATAGGCGCTGAAAATTTGAACCAGGAAGCTGCCCAAAAAATAACTGTAGATCATTCGAGCTCGAACAACTGTAGAGCAAAGCTGACTCTGACAGGGTTCCTCCTTTGCCACTGGGGTTGAAGTCCAAGACCGGCGGCGACGAGTTCTTGCTATCAGTACTGGGAGCAAATCTGTCGATGGCATCTTAGGGGGTTAGTCTCTTACGAAGCGCATGCATCCCGAGTGGCTCACATAATAATTTCCAGGTGGACTGATGTCTCAATCTATCACTGAAGGTAAAGTCTTCACGTTGTGGTCAGAGCAACACTAGAAAGTTTTCAGTTTACGGCGAGTTCCGCACGGGCAAGACGCAGCTCGCGCATACAATGTGCGTTGTATCTCAGCTCCCTGCTGACATGGGAGGCGCCTCTGGCAAGGTACGTTCATATGTCACTGAAAATCATTTAATATGTACACAGTGGACATAGGTTGCCTATATCGACACAGAAGGTATGCATATTAGTTTTACTCAGCATAACTTTCGATACACACCCGGCAATAGGCACGTTCAGGCCAGATCGCATACGTTCAATCGCAGAACGCTTTGGAGTGGATGGTAACATGGCTCTAGAAAATATTCTTTATGGTGCGCACCGTTCACTTGATCGGGTATTCTGACCACTGTAATTCTCGTACACTACACATAGCGCGGGCTTTCAACAGTGAGCATCAGGTATGTCGAGTAGCTTGGGCATCTTACCTTCGATTTCTGACTATTTATCAGATGGAGCTCATCAACGAATGCTCTATGCGATTTGCCGAAGACAAAGAATATCGCCTTCTAGTGAGCACCTCTTGCCAACAATTGACGTTAGACTCTGAACCATTTCTCAAGATAGTTGACAGTATCATGGCACTCTTTCGTGTAGACTTCTCTGGACGTGGAGAACTAAGCGAACGTCAGCAAAAGGTAAAATACACACTCTCTTCCGCAGACAACACCTGAGCTAACACTCAACAGCTCGCGCAGGTTGGCTAGCCATGCTTTGTGTGATATTTCGCTGTGACACTGACTGCTTCACATTACTTAGATGCTGTCAAAGCTGGTGAAGCTCGCAGAGGAATACAACGTTTGTTCCGCTTCAATATCATGCCTTATGTAGTGATGACAGTTCCGATTCAGATGGCAGTTCTTCTTACCAATCAAGTCCAATGTGAGGAAAGTGACTTGAGTTGGCAAGCGCTATGAACTCACAAGGCATACAGCTGACCCGGGAGCTACGATGACCTTCGTTGCAGGAGGAGCGCTCAAACCAATTGGAGGCCACATTCTATCGCATGCGTCTGCGACACGAATGTTCTTGCGTAAAGGTATGTTGGGCAGGAGAAGGACACATCGACGTGTCTAGCCTTGAAGCCGCATGATTCACTTCATCCAATGGCCAGGTCGCGCAGAGGAACGTGTCGCGAAACTTGTCGATAGTCCCGATAGGCCTGAAAGTGAAGCATCCTACAAACTGGACGAAGGAGGGTGGACGGACGTATGATCCGAGCGACAGTAATGTCTTAGCTGCTGCTTCGTGGCGATGACTTGTCCATGGCGTCAAATTTCATCAAAGAGAAAGAACTTGAAGCAAAGCGATCGATTTATCTTGAACGTAATACTTGTTGGCACATTCGCTGCCTTGTGAATACCTATCCAACGTACAAAAATGTGAATGGGAGCCTTTTAGTACGAAAATAGTGATAACAAATGGGTAAGATGAAAAAGGTACAGGAGAGACTCGGTAGTCGCACCTCTGCCGCCAGCCGAAGCTGTTATGGGAGATGCGGCGGCGGATGCGGCGGATTCTCACCCGCTCAGTAACAGCAAGATGCATGCCACCTGCACAATAATAGAAAAGCTCGTGAGATGCAGAGCCTTTGATGATGCGCGGCGTATATAGGACGTGAAGGGCGCGTGATGCTCTCTCCTAGTACCCTTCACTCGATCAGGTCGATATGCCTCGTAAAATTCTGGTTACAGGAGCAACCGGAAAGCAGGGGAGCGCGCTAGTCAGGGCGCTACGTCCAACCTCCGGTGACTCTCAGACCTCAGAGGATATTCCTTTCCAGATTATTGCAATTACACGGGATGCACGTAGCCCAGGCGCCCAAGAGCTTGAGAAGGAAAAGCATGTCCGAGTGGTCGAGGGCAATCTCGACTCAGCAGACTCGTTACGCAGGATTTTTGAGGAAGCAAAAGAAGAAGGAGGCATATGGGGCGTCTTCTGCGTACTAGCGTTTCCTGGTCTCGGAGCATCTGGCGAAAGTGAGGAAAAACAGGGAAAGGTGTAGTCATAGCTTTATTTCCGTCTCTTGCAACAGTTGGGTTGATCATGCGAAGACCGCAGCTGACATAGCATTGGAATATGGCGTGTCAGTGTATGTGTATTCATCGGCGGAGCGTGGCGGGGAGGCCAACGATCGCCTGCAGAGTGGATCTGGGCTTGCAAAGGTAATGATTGAGCGCCACGTAAAGAGTTTGGGCGAAAAGGGACTGCCATGGACGTAAGTCATAGACATGATGAGTTTGTCTGCGTGCCTCATGTGTCTTTCAGGATAATGCGCCCAGGATTCTTCCTTGAAAACTATGAGGGTTTCATTGGTTCAATTACGGTGGCCGTGATGAAGAACGGCCTGAAGAAAGATACCTCCTTGGCCGTCATTGTAAGTCGTTACTGTAAACACAGGCTTTGAGCTAAGGAGGGCTGGGTTCTCTTTTGAAAGACATCTGAAGATATTGGGAAAGTTGCAGCAGGAATATTTAACGTGCGGCACTATGATCATCCATTCTAGAAGGCGCCGCTAACTCTCTGGCAGAACCACGAAGCTTTTGTCCACAAGGAGCTAGCGGTGGTCGGAGAGACAGCGACGATGCCTCAGCAGGAAGAAGCTTATCAACGTGCAACGGGTCGATCAATGCCCTCCATACCCAATCCACTGGCGAAGATGCTGATCTCCGTGAATAAGGCCACGAAAGGGTTGTGAGTACTACTGGGAACTAACTATTCATCGGAAGTTCATTGTGGTTACGACATCTGTTCGGCAGGATTGACCATATGGAAAGCGTCAATGATGCTCGCGTCTCTGGGAAACATGTCGAGTGGGAGTCACAGCTTCAGCTAACCCGACAGGCAAATCCTGATATGCAAGGGGTCTACGAATGGGCTCTGTCGCAGAAAGCGTCGAGCCCCCAACCGACGAAGAGTGGTTGGAATCAAGTGTCGCTGTGGAAGCTGATAACCGGAAAGATGTAACATCCTTGCTACAGCTTCCGTCAGTGGCTCGTCTTGCCGGGCCTTGCTAGCCACTTGCTTCCACATGGGCACTGACAACCTCAAGCTGTGAAGATAACTTTGTCCCAAGCTTGATTGACGTGCCTGTAACTTTGAACTTCTGGACTACAATCCGAGAGTATCATCAATATTCTTGGACCATACTCGTGTAGACGTACATGTACATGTTGAAGCACATAATCTAATTTAAACTGCCTCCTGTAAGTTCGAGTTCAAGTGATGGGAACTCATTTTGAAGACCGGGGGTTAACGTAACATTCAGGACCACCCGGATCCGCCACCATGATGCACTCACGTTCAAAAAACTGGCAGTCCAAAGGCCGCCTCCATTACATGTAATATAGCAGGAATGAGCTCAGCGCTTATTTTAAGCCGGCATCCACGTAAAGGCGTGCAAATGTATTTTTCTCTTCAGGTACCGGTGCATCCCATCAGACGTATTCGTTAAAATAACGCTGACCTCGGTGTTTTCGTCAACGCACCACATGGTTCTACCTGTCAATTCCCAACCGCCGATAACACGTCCGTTAGCGGTCGGGCCATGCACGATTATAAGGTCCAGTGGGTTGAAGTGCAGGTAACTTGATCCTTGCGAAGTTCACCGGCCACCCATGCTCTCCCTCGGTCTCGTCGTCCTCAGTGCTGCTCTCGCTACTCATGCGAGCTGGTCTCAGCTTGCTCTTCCTCGTACTTACCCTAACATCTCGCAATGTGTTGACCTTCCCGTCCAGTACTCGTGCGAGAACACGACGGCATTTGCTAGCTCTTGCTGCAACGTTGTACAAGGTGGTTTAGTTTTGCAGACGCAATTCTGGAGCACATACACTGGCCTTGAGAGGGAGGGTCAACTTCTTCCTGCCGGAAGCTGGACCATTCATGGACTTTGGCCAGACAACTGTGATGGGTGCGTCAAAGAAAGGGTGTTACTATAGCACGGCTTACAATCTTCACTGTTTAGATCGTACGACCAGTACTGTGACCTCTCGAGACAGTATGACCCAAGCCCGGACCCTAGCAAGCTCCCTGATGGTACTCCTGTACCTCCCTACAAAGGCCCTGGCGTACAGACCTTCATTGAAGAATTCGGTCGCGTGGATCTTCTCGGGTATAGTAAGTTCGCGAATAGAACTGGTGCACGCCTTGCAAGTACTTATGTTTATTTAGTGAACACGTTCTGGATCAACCAGGGAGCACCGAATGAAGATTTCTGGGCTCACGAAGTACGCTTTTACCGTGATGCATTCGTTGAACTTGTAACATACCTTATAAATTTACCCAGTTCTCAAAGCATGCTACCTGCACGTCCACCTTCGACACTGCTTGCTACGGATCAGATTATAAGGAGCACATGGAGGTTGTCAACTTCTATGAGACGGTGACCAAGGTCTTCCAGATGTATCCAACATACAATATGTTCGCTGCGTAAGTGCCGTAGCGCCAAGTATTAGAGGTAATGATTGGATATTCGACATAGATCAGGAGTTCTGCCGTCCAATAAGACGACCTATAGTCTTACTCAGCTGCAGAGCGCCCTCCGTTCCCAAACAGGGGCCACTCCTTACGTTGGGTGCTCTGGGAATGGAACTGTCCTCGATGAGGTCTGGTACTTCCACCACGTTCTTGGCACGGTGAGTTGTCTTCTTTTGTGTGCAGTGCGTATCTTGGTATCTGTCCTGACGCCCATCTCCTGCAGGAACAATACGGCCACTTCAAGACTCTACACAGCACGACGAACTCGACTTGCAACGAGAGCGGCATCTGGTACTACGAGCGTACTCCTACGTCCGAACGCCCGGTTTCCTATTAAAGGTCACTAGGGCGTGATGAGTGCTGCAGCATCAGCTATCTTTACCAAAAGCTAGTATGCCCTTTATACCACATACATAATGCACAGACTGGGGCCAGTACCAGTGGTCGATCTGCGTGGGGCTGAATAAAGACTCGATAATCTCAGCTTCAAAGCTAGATCAGCACAATGACACATAAGCATGAAACTCATGTCCCGTCGTTGGTCAGGCAGGAGGAAGACGCGTATTAATTAATAGGGACGCGTATGTCACATCCACGTGATGGTGATGGACGCGTTGGCGGAGAAACAAATATAGGACAACAGTTCGGAGGCAATAATGTTGAAGTTTGGAACGGCGGGGCGCGTACTTACATGGCCCCGGGCGGCGAACCCTCCTACCTTCCTCCTATCCTCCCACCATGACAGTCACCCTCGATCTGAACCAGCCCATTGCGGAGTCATCTAAGCAGGCTCGCCGCATTCTAGATGACATTTCCCTGGCCGTCGCCAAATCCAAGCGTATCGTCGTTGTCACTGGTGCTGGGATATCATGTTCATGTGGCATACCTGCAAGTACTCGTCAGTAAACTAACCAGACAACCTGGATAACATGCCCTTACAGGACTTTCGCTCTTCCGACGGTTTATATGCCCTTGTGAAGCAGCAATACCCTGATGTGGTACTCAAGGGGCGTGACCTCTTCGACGCCTCATTGTTTCGCGATTCAACATCAACATCCGTGTTTTACACGTTTATTTCGCAACTGAAACGCTCTATCGATGCTGCCCATCCAGCAGAAACGCACAGATTCATTGAAATGCTAGATAAGAAGCAGAAGCTCTTGCGCTCTTACACCCAGAACATTGACGGCTTTGAAGAGAGACTTGGTCTCTGCGGGAGCTCTTCTGAAGGCGTCAAGACCAGCACAAAGGGCAAGAGCAAGCTTCGACTCAAGGATGTGCGGAACGTCCAGCTACACGGTGACATTCACCGAGTGCGGTGTACCCTCTGCAGTGCAAATCTCCCTTTTACGGAAGAGTACCTGGACATTTTTCAGGATGGGTCGGCTCCCCACTGCCCCGAATGTATCTCTCGATGTAAGTTCGTGGCTATATATTTATGAACTATAATCTGTTTACACTCCTTTTACGCCAGCGAACGCACGTGTTGCACGATCTGCGCGCCCAATCAAGGTTGGCACACTTCGTCCTGCCATCGTCCTTTACGACGAAGCACACCCTCTTGGCGATGAGATAGGCACCATCCAAACAAAAGACATGACACGGAAACCCGATTTGCTTGTTGTTATGGGTACTTCTCTCAAAGTTCACGGCCTCAAGAGACTGGTCAAGGACTTTGCGAAGGTTGTGCATGATAATGCGCCTTCGTCACAGTCGACGTCAAAGGCACCATCAAATCCCTTGGCCGGCAAAGTGATTTTCGTCAACAAGACACCTCCCGCAGGCGAATGGGCGGACGTGATCGACTATCATGTTGCTGGGGATACGGATGGATGGGTGAAGAAGGTTTGCGACGATTGGCGGAAGATGATACCCAAAGACTGGGAAATTCAAACAACGTTAGAGGACACTGCCAGCTGGTCTGTCACCAAGAACTCAATAGGCAAGGTTGAGACGTCCAAAGGTATGACTCTCGCCAGTGAGGTGTAGATTTGTCACTAATGGTAGTTTACAGGGAAGTCAAAGCGGAGTCACGATGCTGAGAATAACCCTACAAGGGGTCGTAAGAATCAGCCTACCGCTCCGACATCACCATCGAAGCGTCGAACGACAGCCAACCATTACTCAGCCCAAGAATCCAGTCCCAGCAAACGCCAGGCAGCAGAAGTTCCGTCCACACTCATGGATACGACTGCAGCTAAGCGGTTGTTCTCGGACACGACAAACTCGCCAACAAAAGAACGAGAGTTGGACTTGGAGTCTTGTGAAGTCAACCTTCCGAAACCGAAAGCACGCCGGAGGAACCAGAGCATCACTAAAAAGTCTGGCACAGAGTTCTCGGCTATGCTGGCGAGGAAACCGTCCCTTGACTGCGTGATGATTTCCACGACCCCACGACGGAGGAAAGGTGTCGTATAGATCTAGTTAGCGTTGTCCATACAGTGTAGTGATCTGTCCAATATTACGCGCCAGGCCGAGATCTGGCCTCTCAATGGGCTCGAAGTCTGAAGTGGGATAAAAGCACATGCTGAAGGCAACCCGAGTTGACGGTGGAAAAAGCTATATTGCACTAACAGCAGATGGAAACGTAAGACAGGATTGATGACCCGGTGACGCATAACACAAAACCACCCGAAATTGAGCCAGGCCACTAGTCACTAATGAGCTCGGAAACACTCCAATCTTCGAAGCTGCCGTCTGGCAAGTACCGTCGGATGATAAGTGGTATTTTTCGTTGAGAAAGTTCTTTTATTGCTATTTGTAAAGCATCCGTCTCACCATCGAGCGGGACGAGTACCGGAGCGTTCATGCTATAATTTAGAAGCACTAAGCATAAACATACCAGTAACGAGAGCGAACTCACCTGATTTGCAAGGCTCTGGTACCCAATATTCGTGCACGCTCGTACTTGGTCAAGTAAGGTGTCGTGATGCGCTCTTTGTTGGCCTGCCGTTCGCCGCTCGTAGGTACGGCCGATTGTTCTGGCTGAGCAGCCTCTCCATTGGCCATCTCCTGGTCATGGTCCATGCCGTTTACGCCATTCATTAGAACTTCTTCGTTTCCCTCCTCAGCGCCTTCTTCATTCCCCCCGTTAGCGCCTTCTGCCAGAAGGTCGTAGCTGTTGTCCTGAGCTTGACATGAGTATGGCCAATGTGATTAAGGTGCATGGGACGTACGAAGCCACCATCATCATAGCTGAATTATAACAGTCAGATAGAAATATCCCTCCCAAAAGGATTGTATACCTCGGTGCACCGTAGTCGTAGTCGTCTCCGCCACCGCCCCCGCCATCGTATCCGTCGTCGGACATTTTGTGAGGTGAAGGTCAAGGAGGTGGATCGGAGTCTAAATAAAACCATAATCGGCCATGAGCTATCCCGCTTACTTACCTTACCCGATGATCGCTCGTCTTTCGCTTCAGTCAAGCTGTACACTCGGGAAGCGCTGTCTTTCCCTCACAATCGCTACTAAAATGGAACCTGGCTCTATACCGAAAGATCTCTTGCTCAGACTGCCCGACATATAGAACTATCTATAGTGTTGATCTGGTGACCTCCGAGATGTACAGTAGTCCACCAACTACTGGTTGGTGGCCATGGCAAGGGGCACAGCAAGTCTTCTCGGACTAGGGAATGCCCGCTGCTCATTTTTTCGGTCACTACGAATACGTATTTTCTCCAGCTCGAATCCGGATTGGCTTTCTCAGAGAACTTCTGGCGTTTCAAGAGCAGATCGTCAGTACCTTTAACTGGGACGCTAAGCTGTGTGAAATCGAAGGAGACCGAGCTTCTCTGTTTGCTCATCTGAGATCAGCTTATCCCGGCATGTCTACACGTTCGACCATGTGCATGAGCTAGCGCTGTCTATCGAACATGTACAGGCTTGTCTCCATCTATTCTTTTACAGTAATCGATGATCTGCAAGAAAGTGCAGTACTTCTGGGGACGGAGCCCTAATGATTGTGAATATTGCGCCACCCGTGGTACTTGGAGGGGCGACAGAATCTCAAGGCCTTATACTTGTGTGCGGTTTCACCGGCTTCCTACAAGCAGGGCGCCTTCGAATTCCTTGTCTCTGACTTCTATCAAATTTGGAATGCGTCACGTACAGAAGGAACTCCAGGTATAGTCTTCGTCAAGGCAAAAGCAGATTGATGGGTGGGTCGAGATGCTCCTCGGAACTTCTGAATATTCTCATCAGTCGTCGGTGCCATACGATGCTTTGACCCGGAGTCACAGCACATAATCTCATCTCCCTTGATCAGGGGGCTGGATTGGTCCAGATGGGTGGGCAGCTGAGGAGCCTTGGAAGAAGATCGTGACAGATGGAAAACTAACCAGGTTGTTTTATCGCGCCAGCGACTCTCCTGCTTCTCCCGGGTGGATGTACCATTTCTTCCCTTGGAATTCAAGCACATTCTCGAATTTTGGTAGGTTTATTCTCGCTGCCACAAAATCTGTTCGGCATCTTCCTGGATGTACTGTCCCTCTCTTGCTTTACGACCTACTCCCTCGTGCACATTCCTACATCTCTTCCCCGAGTAGTTGTCGATGCCGCAGCCATCACAGCAGCGTGCGTGGGGCACACGGTTCGACACCCTTCCATCCTCCCCACCAATATCTCCGAGGAAGGACATGCACCCTCCTCAGAACTCCCAGTCTATGGGCGACATATCTTTTACCACTTGCTCCGTCGTTTCAGAGGATTACCCCAACAACCGGGTCGTACATGATGCTAGCATCTTTGTTGGAAGGTGGAGCTACCCGTTGATTGCACATCTCCTGCTTATTCGCATTGCACAGTTTGCCGTCTAATGTCGACCATATTGAGCTCAGCCACCTGCTTTCGAAGCATTTATCATCTTACCCAGAGGAAAAGTCTATCAAAGCTGTTCGTGACTCCAAAGGGGGTACTTGCGCTTTCATTCAATGCGAGGTAAGCATTTGGCATGATTTATATCACAGCAAGGTTCACCGTGTCCAAGAGTCCACATGCAGCCGCCCGCCTACTCGAAGCTTTTGATAAACATCCGGTCCCTATATTCTTAGGCAGGAACTTGCGGTTCGAGCCTGCCAAGGCATATAGAACCCTTCTGGTTTCTTACAAGTACGTTAATATGCCATTGATAGCATACATGTGTTGTTCATCAGATGTGGGCACTACCTCAGGACTCCTATCTCGCGTGGCCCCATCGATGGCAAGCCGGACAAAAATCATCGTGGAGTTGAACAAGAGCTTCCACGAGCCATGAAGTTAACCAGGAGTGTTGAATCCAAGTACGTCAACATAAATCATGCATTACCAATGGACCCTCAGCCTTTGCGCTCCAGATTTCCGATAGTCCGGTACAATTCGGAAGCGATAACAGCAACTGAAACAGAAGGACATACTGCTGACGACCATGTCGTTTTGTCTCGGAACATCTCCGACCTTTATCTTTGTCCGGTCCATTTTGATGCAGAGGTTCGAGCCAGAACTTTGGATGATCTTCTCAATGACGTGTAACACCTCTTCTAGACTCTACGCAAGATAGCCGAGTTCTTTGGGACCCTTGAACACTTCGCGAAGCTTAATATTCCTAGAAGTGAAGAGTACCACGCGGATGCTGGTAATTTACCCTTGGGTCTTGTGTCGCACATGTCTCATACTTAACCTGGTATTAGTAGACCAATCAGAGCGTCACTACTACAAGTTACCCTCTCCCCACAACTCACTCCGTTCGGCCGGAATGGACAAAGGCTGCTGGGAAATCAAGTGGAAGAATCGCAACGACAGCATCAGTGCTCATTCGGTGAGAAACTTACTTTGCGTATAGATTTGCTTCCCTTGTTGACGGTCCTCTTGTGTAGACCTTACGACGGGTTCCGCACTTGAGCGTCTCTTGGGCACATCATTCTGATTTACCATCGTTCCAAGACGCGCCATCTTTATCTCACCAAGTTCACACTCCTTTGACTTGTCAAAAGTCAGCATCGAGCTTTAGTCATGACCTTAGAACACAGGCACAACCACACACTCAGCGACCCACGTCTTCAATGCACGGTCCCTCTCACGTCAAGGAGCGAGAATATGTCTCTGAGCAGCCCGCGTTACAAGACATATCTAATTCTCAGACATCTCATGACTCTCAGGGAGAGAAAGGGACTTCCGCTCAAAAGGCTGCGTATTACCATCGCCCTCGCGCTCTTTCTTTGAACAATGTTATTTCTCCTGGTTCGAAGCAAGAGCTGGGATCTGACCATTTTCCATCCCTCGGTTCCTTTATCAGTGATAGCTTGGAAGGACGTCTTTCTTGGGCTGATGACGCAGGGAGCACTTGTCACGAAAGGTATACTATGCCTGACTGTATGCATGCCAGAATACTCTGACAGGTTAATGTAGCCTTTCAGTCATCGAGTCGACATCATCAGTTCATGAAGCATGCGAGGGAGACTCTAGCGGCCCATTGGATGGTCAAGACAATGTGGCCTGTGTTAGCTCGCCCGACTTTGGGTCATCTTCCCTCACACCCGCGACCGCTGTGTCCACCATCCTCCGAACACCAACTACTGGTAGCTACCTCGAAGATTTCCAGGATACAGGTGCCGAGTATAGGAAAGAACGTCTAATTGACCGTACGACAGTCTTTGTTGGCGGTTTGGAGCCCTTGGGTACCAGATGGGATGAAAAGAAGGTCGCTCAAGTTTTTTCAAAGTACGGTACCGTTGAGGGCGTGAAGTTCGTACGCCCAGGTAAGGTCTCTTGCTGAAGACAGTAACTTTTCTGATATACCTTATGAAGCAAACAAACGGTCTGCATTCGCCTTCGTAAAATATGACAACGTGGATTCTCCTGGGCAAGCTATCAAAGGAGAGGTATGGGTGTTGATTACTTGTTTTCGCCTGATTAATGACCGCTACGCTACTTTCTGCCAGCACAACCGGATTATCGACGGTCGCCCTATCCGAGTTCAGTTGCGTACCTGGAATCCTCACGGACGCATGCCGTGGAAGAATGCTCCGGACAGGCTCAACAATACTCTCACGGATCTATCCATCCCGCATTTGAGTCTGGGGTCCATGCATAACACAGGCCCGGAGCCTTTCTCAAACGCACTGGTGGACCGTCGGGTCGAACCAGTGAACGCAGCTTGCCAGGGAGCGCACTATCATGACAATCAAACCGCCATTTCGGACACGAATCGATACGAAGATGCCAGGGCAAGGAGGCAATTTCAACGCCTTTACAGTACATCGGTAAATGGCGACCAGCGCCCCCCGTCGCCACATGCACACCAAGATGCTGCAGCCACGTCCTCACCCTTGCAAACTACAACTCGCTCGCCGCCCTCCGTCGTGCCAGATAATGGGACGGCTTTAGCATCGAGTGGCAGATACCCGCAGGTTCCGGAATGGCCGGCAGTACCTCAACACAACGTACAACAAGTTCCGCTGTATGGAGGATACCCTCTTTACTCTTATCCCCCTCCAGCTATGTATCCCCGAGTCAATGGATCTAACAGTCCTCAGCCTGGGTTTCAAGCATCCATGGCGCCTCCCGGGACTAACGGACTGTACTTTGTAAGCTACTACTCCGATTTCATAACGTTCCACTGAACTGCTTTCCAGCCTATCGCTCCGTATCCCGGACACGCTACGGCCATTGCCCAGGGGCAAACAACCTTGCCTTTAGGTGTCCAATCTCAAGCGCCAATCATGCCCACTGGGTTTATTCAAGGGGACCAGGGCATTCTCGTTCCTGTCTATCCTCCTGAAGCGCTTAATCAATATATGTCCAACCAGGACCTTCCACAAGTGCAGAGGAACACTGAGGGGTCGACATCTCCTTCCCCGAAGGTTATACCGGGCACGCCTGCCCCTCTTTGGCGACCATATGCGCATCCTACCCATACATACACGTCCCCTCTTTACGGGTCCACTTGTCAGCCTCCCCACGTACTACCACATTCGGCTGCATGGACAAATACTGCAGTTCAAGGTCACCGCTGGCACAATGCAGGGCCTCATCCGCAAAATGTACCTCCGTCCATGGGTTATCCAGCTCCTAACTTCCCCAAGCAACCTGAAATCCATGGTTCATCTCCGCGACGCCAATACCGAAAGGATCCCAATTACTCATACAAACACGGAGGGAACCGAACATCGGGCTTCAATCGCTTTTACAAAGCTCCAACGGGGTCTCACCCCACCTTTGGATCTCATAGCTACTCTGATTACCCGCGCGGACCGCTTACAAGGGATGGATGGCCTCGCTGAGCTCCGTCGCGTGGCTGCGATTATGTCCTTTGCGCTCCTAGACTGCAGTCACTTCCAATATCTCCACCTTCGACTCTACCTTTGCTCTAAACCATGATTTGTCAAAATATTTCATAGTCCACCGGCTTTAATCTTCCACTCATTTGTTTCTGCCTTTCTCCGTACTGCACATTTGCTTCAGAGTCGGACGTTAATTTCCACACACAAACTTCATGTGTTTGCGGCCGTTCTTCCAGCCTGTCACAATCATTCATAACTAATTATTACATTCATACATAGTACACCAAAGGTTCGTCTAATAGAATAAATATCAGCAAGTAAAAATCTTGCTGTTAAAACCCTCTAGTTAACGTCGTCTTCCTCTCGTGTATGATCAATGTCCTGCAGCCAGTTGCCAACGTCCTTCCAGAAAGCTATCTGCATGGCTGAGCCTCGCCAAATTGGAGCGATAGAAAGATGGTTGGCATTCTCGAGGTACTTCACAGACCATATACCGGACTTCTGTCTTGCAGGGCAAATACTGTGGGTGCATGGTGCAGCCCCGCATTCGAAAGGATGATCTTGCGAGAACACAGGAACTACGCCGTCATTCTCTATAAGTGTCTTGCTAGGTATCCCGAGGAATGGACCATGTATTGGTAACAACGGTGAGTTCGGAATTCCTGGTGGCGATTCACCGTTCCCTCGTAAAAAGTGAGGAATGGGGTATATCGATTGAAACTTGAAAGATTTCATGGCTGTCGAAGAAAGAGTCATGACGTAACCTGTTAAGCTCGGTATTGAAAATCTTTGTGGGGGCGCATCCATCTACAAGGCTGAAGTTAGACATGGACACCCTTACAAAGAGGGCTGATGAGAAAACTTACGAGTCGAGCAACATAACTTCGGTAATAGGTGCTCGGATTGGGTTCGCCTTCGCCGTTTGCTTCCCTCTCGTCAGCGGCCTGGAACGTGACATCAAAAGGCGTCGCATCTCGGCTTTCTGCCCAGTCGCTCTTCCATAGCTGCTTCCAGAATGCTGTGATAGACACATCACGGAACGAGAGATGTCGAGACTCGGAGTGAAGGTCGAGTGCGGGCGGGAGGATGGGTGAGAGATACGATAACACGTGCACGACGCGGGTGAGTGCGCCTCCGATGGAGAAGGTTCGTACCGCTGGAGCGGCGTCGGCGCGCTCGCCGAGGGCATACACGAGCTGGGTTCCTCTGAAGGGGGCGGACACTGAGACGATGTACAGATCAGACCGTTGGATGAATGAATGGTGAGGACAAGCCAAACGTACCACTGGTCAGGGATAGGATCATGTCGGGGGTCGCAGCGCTGCCAAAGAGACCAGTCTTGAGCAGGTGTTGAAGCTTGACAATTGTCGGTCCTCCCTACGAATAAGGTTTATGAGCACTACGAGGATAGTAATGGTGGAGGTCTGCTTACCATAGAGTGACCAAGGAAATGGAGTGGCTTATTCGCTGACCATCCGGGATAAAGAGCAGTAGGGTATGTGCGTCCAAAGCGCTGGTGTCCATATAGCTTAGCATGTTCCTCGCCATAATCAACTGAGGAATTGCGAATTAGAACGATGGCTTACGCAGACTACTCAAGATGGTTATGTACTCACCAGTTCCTCCAGTAAGCTCATAGTAGAGTTCGCAAGCCCGATCATGCAATGAGCTCACTGGCCCAACGCTAGCCCCTATATCAGATTGGGCGCACCACCGTGAACAAAGAGAGTCGACGCACTTTGCAAATATGATCCTTCGGCGGCATATATTCCCGTCTGCGTCTGGAGCAACGTTGTGATTGAGGTAGTCCTCGAATGCGCCCCATAGGAATGAGCCTCCTGCGCCAAGAAAGCCCTGTACGATGACGAGCGGTATTGGGGAGTCAACTGCGCTGGGGTATCCGACTTCGACCATTATCATTGGGGTAATAGAAGTGCAAGGGAAAAGTGAGCAAAGAGGAAAAGCGCCGGGTACCTTATTAACCAGTACATGGGGACTCCTATGGGAATACGTTGGTTGATGTCAGGAGAATATGCAGCAACTTGTCTGCCAGTGAATGCTCCGCGCCGGGAGCCTTACTCCCGATCACAAAGTCCCGATCGGGCGTTGACGTCGTCGATCCTGGCGGTGTTTATTTCCGCGGGAGCTTTTACTCACTCCTGACACCTCCTGACAGCTGCACAAACAATGAACGTATATTACTACTAAACGCACATGCACATAGCAACGGATGCAAGTGTTTAACGATGCAAAAATCAATGCGGGGTATCAGGTGAATGGGGGGATGCGAGTGTTCATAAAGGAGTCGTCCTGCAACGTTTGTGTTAGCACAGAAGACAACAGTAACACGAAAAATATACGCACAGCATAAGTCATGAGGGTATTGCCAGGGTGATACAAAAGATTGACATATGTACATGCGAGATTAGAATCCAAATGAAGGATGCTGAAGGATAACGGATTAATCAGATCTAAAGTGGGTTTGTATACTGCGAAGGCGCCTCAGCATCATTCTGGAGCAGACGAAACAAATACTCACAAGTTGGTGAAAGTTACTTCACGGTCGCTTGTTTCCTGTATACCAGGACAAATGGACGCTGCCTACTCCTGGTATGAAGACTTTCGCACGGACACGGCAGACCTGCAGAAGCATTATTGAGCGAGCAGCAGTCAGCACAGGCTCATCCCACTCACAGTATCTGCAACTTCCGCTCGATGGAAGTTGACATGCAAATCCCCATTAGGCATCCTGACGATCTCATCCACCTCGCCAAATGACTAAAACTCGATGATGAGTATTCTCACTCATACACATAATCCAGCTCGTTTTCCACATACCTGGCACCATCGTTGCACCGCCTCCAACCGCCTCGTGTCTTTCATACCAATACCACTGACCACTAGTTTCTTTTTCTTCGTACGTGATGGAGGTCCAATCGAAGAAAGAGAAATACGACCACCGGACCTCCCCGCGTACACGGTCCTCGGCTGCGGGGAGCCGATTTCTTCAAAGATCGTGCCTGCATACCCTGTTTGGGGTGGCTTGGCCTTTGACGTGAACGGCAGTCGGATCGTGCTGGCCTTGCGTACCAGCCGCGATGGCGATTGAGGCCCATCCGGTTCTTGTTGCGGCGATGATGACCCAAGCCACAGGGAGGGCGAAGCGCTCGAATTACGGTCGGCCTTAGAAGGTTTCTCTGAGTGGCGCCTCCTGAGAGAGCCAAGGAGGGTGATTGACTTCTGCGGCGTTTGAGAAGGGGGGTTTTCCTCATACATGGTAGATGATGTGGGAATGGTGAGAGAGGATGTGTTCGTGGAGGATATGCTCGGGCGCGAAGGATTCATGCTCGGGTCGTGAGGTAGACGTGAATCTGATTGTGACGGAGAAAAGTGACCAAGGACGCTAGGCCGCCATCGCTTTGACGTAGTAGAGGGAACCTCGAGATGGGAGCTCACAGCACTTGATGATCGAATGTGACTGAGATCATCGTTGGAAGGACCTGATGTAACACGTGTAGGTCTACTGAGCATCGATAAGCGGGATTGGTGGGGAGGCGTCGATGTCATGGACGTGGAAGGGGGCCGGGCTGCGAGATACAGGTTCCTGAGCGAGGCAGGGGCTTTCAGCTTTCGGACGCCTGAGCGAGGCGTCATATACTCTGAAGACGCTGTTAATACGTCGTGGGATATCTATAGCAGCAACATGAGGCTCGAGAAACATGCGTAGAAAACACGACGCACGGGTTCATCGGAATGTTCTATAGCAGGATAATCTTCTATATCGGCATCTTCGATTAACACATAGTCATACGTGCCGTCAGAGTCCTCGTCGAAGGTTGGGAGAGCGGTCCTGTGACTGAGATGCGGGTATGCGAGGTAAGGGCCGCATGTGCGGCGAGCCGGCTTAGGGGTTATTTCTCCATCCCCTTGCTGAGGTGACGAGGCCTGTGTCTGGAGCTGTTCGAGCCAATGAGAGAGGCGACTTGATCGACGCTTGAGGGTATGCTTTGGGACGTATTGTGGGGAAAAGGGGTCATCTTCGGGCGGCATCAAGTTGATAGGCTCTGGAGTTGTAGCGTGCTCGGGCATGATGGTGATGGTCGGGACGGGCAGTGGAGAGACTAGCCAAGGCAATGTTATATGAGTATGGACGAGTCCAATAAAACGAACATGCATGAACGCGGACGACATACCGATGGTGTCGGACAGGGTTTTCGTTGGAGGTTCGTGATGTATAGACTGTCTGGGCGTGCGGCAGGGGTCTGGGGTGGTGGTCAGATAAATGGACTGACTTTCGGCAGCCATTGTCTGACCCAGAGAGAATATGGGGATGGTCGCGCACGGCAACGCGAGGTTGAGACGAAGGAGCCGATGTCGTAAAATTGAGGGACTCGGGTGTTGAGAAAGGGCCCGTCAGCGCTTCAGCTTCAGCAGACAAGAGACGGAAGCTGCTGGGGGACAGAAGCGCAGTGGCAGGCGGTGGATGGCCGCTGCTGCATGGGCAAAAGTGGGAGATGAACTAATAGAATATGAACTGCAGCTGACTGGACTCTTGTTGAACATCATTGCTCTTCCCTTTGACCGCATTCGGTTGGCGACCCTGCAGCATGCTCTTCCAACTTACGGCACAGATCCAAATCGGGCCACAACTTCCTCAGCAGACATGTCGACATCTCTTCGCGCCGATTCTTCCGCTGACACTGTCCACTCATGTCACGCGCCACGTTGGAACCACTCAGCACTTCGGAAATGGTCGACCAGGCGTCCAATCTACCGCGTGCTGCTGTGTGCTAACCACCCTTCCGTCAGCCAAAGTAAGCATCGAGTAAGCATGGGCGCTCTCTCACTCTGCAGACGTCAGCCGGTCATCAATCCGGCTTTCTCGTCCGGCCTCGAGGCTCTAACTTCGCACTAGTGCTACACAGCCCCAGATGCATCGGTCTACTGATATCATGATGTTTGTCTCATTTGCCCATAAAGCTGTTTCAGCTCTTTTAGCGACCCACTCAGATCGCACACCAATATCACTTCAACATCACTGGCAGTGGCAAGTACTCCAGATTCTGTTCCTGCCAGTCAATCAGCATCGCATTATCTTCGTCCGATCCCCGCGAGCCGAACATCATAGGAAGCAAGATATCAGGAAGTCTTTTGACCTTCTACGTACATAGTGAATTTGGTCGCCCGGGATCTTCCTCCAAGTCCCTTATACAACTTCCGCTGCTCATCCCGACTCGGGTGGTTCTCCCCCACTCTCCTTTGCCATGCCCGCCGCCACCGCCCTCGTTACCTCGGCAGTGATGGTTGAAAACAGTTTGGCAGAAGACGTCGCTTGATACCGCTGCAACAGTTCAAACGAGCGCGCCTCGGCCTCCGCCGACGCGGCGTTATCATCGTCGCCGCCGTTTTTTCTGTCCGATTCGGCGGCATCCAGCAGTGTGACCAGCTCAGTGTCGACTGGCATGCTTCCTAGGAACGTCAGCTTCTCCCGCCGCGCCATCTCCTCGCCCCCGCCTGTGGAGAAGACATTGCTGACTTCTCCGCAGCACGGGCAGACATAACCGCTCATATTCTCCACCAGGCCCAGAACGGGCAGCGACACGGCTCTCGTAAATGACAGGCACTTCATCGCGTCCAGGAGTGCGACGGCTTGCGGCGTAGTGACAATGACAGCCGAAAGTTTTGATTGTACGGGCGCGAGATGTTCCATTAATGACAGATGCTCGTCCGAGGTGCCTTGGTGTTTCCCCAACGTCAGTGTGTACAGAACGAATACGTACATAGAATGCCTGGTGCATACCTGGGGGCGTATCGATCACGAGATAATCCAGCTCGCCCCACCTCACGTCGCTCAGAAACTGTCTGATCATCGCGTTCTTCTTCGGCCCTCTCCACACCACGGAGTCACCCCTGTTCTTCAGCAGAAACCCGACGCTCATGCATGCCAATCTGGGTTCGCCGCCGCTCTTTGCGTCCGCGTAAACCGGCACCCAGCCGTCGCTGCTTTGGTGCACTCCATGGCCATCTAGGCCGAGCATCCGCGGGATAGATGGGCCCGTGAGGTCGACGTCCAAGATGCCCACTCTAACATTTGGCGAAGAAGCGTGAAGGCTCAGAGCGAGCTGTGCAGAAACCGACGACTTGCCAACGCCGCCTTTCCCTGACAAGACGATGACAACGTGTTTGACTGTTTTCAGCCGCCGCGCGACTGGTGTTTCCTGGATCGCCATAGGAGAGGGTGGTATAAGGATGGATTTGGCATTATCAGTCAGCAGAGCAAGGAACAACGGATTACCACGTCGGACTGCCGCCGGTAACCTTTCTAAGAGTTTCCCCTATTTTATGGCTCTTCGGTATTCTCGGGGATAAGAACGGAAGACTAGGACGAAAATACATTACGGGATGAACTATATTATACAGATCAAAGCTTGAATAACTCCGGCTTCATGTGCTAAGCCGTATGTTAGACAACCGTTACCTTCGAAACGAGGAACCGCTCACCAATTTACATAGCCTAGCAACAAGTCCAGCCAGTTGCATAAGGGTACCAACACCCTCCAGAACTCTCATATGTGTGAAGCCAATCTCCTGTGAACATAGATGAGACAAGCCCACACATCACGCTTCTTACTTGCTCACCTTGATATACTCTAACTTGGTGTACTCGGGCAATCTAACAGGGTCAGGTCCTTTCAGCACTGTTCCCAAAAGAAAGGTTCGCCGAAACTCACTCGTCAAAAGTCTTAGCAACTCTGAAGAGGGTGACGACAATGTCCACGGCACTGTATCCTTGATCCCACAGCTCGTGGAGCTTCTCCAGTGCCGAATCAACCTCGCACTTATGACATGCACGGATGATGGCCTGCACGATCACAGGGTGTGGCTGATCGCAAACTTTGAACACGTTTTCGCCAGATACGAAGCCAAAGCCGGAATGCGTGGACTGCAGGTTGTTGATAGCTTGCCGCATGTCTCCTTCGCATGTGAATATGAGCGCTGTTAGACCATCATCGTTGTATTGCACCTATCCATGAAGCGTTGATCAGCGAGATGGAAGATGTGGGGAGACAACTTACGTTTTCTTCCTTACATATCTCGAGAAGACGGGCGAGAACTTCTGTATCTCTGAGCTTGGCATAGCGCAGGATAGCACACCGACTCTGGATAGGCTCAATGATTTTGTTCGACATGTTGCATGCAAGGCAAAACCGCGTAGTATTCGAATATATCTCCATGGTTCGCCTGAGAGCTTGCTGAGCGCCTCCTGTCATGCTAAGAAGGATCAGAAAAGCGCGCATAGGTCATGTCAGGGGCAACGTACGAGTCTGCTTCATCGAGTATAACGATCTTATGACGTCCCGGGGGAAGGGTGACTTTCTTCTGAGCGAAGCTCTTGATTTTGTTCCGAACCACGTCTATGCCTCTGTTGAAATTTGAGCACACATCACAAGGAGCGCGCAAAGCGTTACTCTTACCTCTCGTCCGAAGCATTCAGCTCTAGCACTCCTTCCTTGTAGGCATCCCCAAGCAGCTGGTGGGCAAGACAGTGTATGCTTGTGGTCTTTCCGATACCAGGCAACCCCTGTTAGAGATATTGTGAGCCATCAACTGTTGAGATTGCAACAAATGAGGGTATACCGAAATGATGATATGTGGACAATTACCGTCCTTTGCAATGACTTTGAGGCGCTCGATGGTCTCGACATTCCCGACCACATCGTCTAGCAGAGTTGGCCGATATTTCTCTACCCTGAATTCGAAGTAAGCAACATACGAGTGAGTATCAGAGAGCATGTACCAAGGAAGCTCGTAAGCAGCAGTTGCTGCTGAAGACGGGGCCATTGCAATGAAGCGGGAGGGACGCGTCGCGTGACTGCACTAACCGCGAAGACCGCGAGACGCGCCGTGACTGACCGTGACGGGACGCGCCCTTGATTTCCCGCAATAGCACACGCACTTGCATGTCTTGGTGCAGGAATCGCTTCGTCGCGCTCGCTTGGCGGAAGTGTGAGCACACTGTCTCTCGTGGTGAGCTCTACTGCTATGGGTAGTAGTCTTTTCTAACCCTCCGACTAGGCCCATGTCCGCGCTACGCATCCCACAATGCGCCTACGTCTGATCTGCCCAAGCCACGGTTGGACTACCGCGCCATAACAGAGGCTGCCACATACAAGTCACATAATGCGTTTAATAGGAAGGCCCCGGTCCCTGTCGGCGCCATCAAATCTATCACGCGACACTACGAGGAGCGGAAAGCCATCTCGGGGGAGCTTGACTTCAAGCGTCATGCGCGCAACTCCATAGGACAACGCATCCGCAATACCAAGACCCCTGAGGAGAAGAAATCCGTGACCGAGGAAGCGAAGGCGCTCAAGGCGGACATCCATTTGCTAGAAATGAGGCTTAGTGAGCTTGATGACAAGCTCCTTGAGCTTGCACTAGTCGTACCCAACGACACCCATCCTTCGACGCCACTCGGTCCTGAGGAAGCTGCTGTCGTGTTGTCCACCCATGGGCCAGAGCCACTCCCCTGCAATCCCAAGCGAGATCATGTGTCTGTCGGGCAGGCTCTTGGACTGTTTGGCTTCGAAGCTGGCGCGCTAGTCACAGGCTCTTCATGGTACTACCTACAAGCCGAGGCTGCACTTCTGGAGATGGCTCTGACGAATTATGCTATGTCGATAGCGGTAAAGCACGGCTACCAGCCCGTCATGACTCCGGACGTCATTCGAGCCGACATCGCCACCCGCTGTGGCTTCCAGCCCCGAGACGAACGAGACGTGCTAGATTCACAGATGTACCATATTGCTCAGAATAGCTCATCGTCGCACCCAGATCTTGTCCTGTCTGGTACCGCCGAGATTCCGCTAGCAGGGCTGCATGCCAATCGAGTTCTTGAGGAATCCTCGCTGCCTCTCAGGATGGTTGGCCTTGGGCGTTCTTTCCGAGCAGAAGCGGGCGCTCGCGGCGCTGATACCCGCGGCCTCTACCGCGTCCACCAATTCTCTAAGCTGGAACTCTTCGTCCTATCCACGGAAAATGCCAGCGAAGCTGCGATGGAAGACATACGTCGGGTGCAAGTGGAGATCTTCGAAGGATTGGGGATTCCATTCAGGTTGGTTCACGTCGCAGCTTCTATGCGCAGTGTATGCAGTTCAACTCAACTCAACTTTCTTGGCTTTTCTTAGAGTACTCGATATGCCAACGGAAGAACTTGGGGCTAGCGCCTTCCGCAAGTACGACATGGAAGCTTGGATGCCCGGCCGCGGATCGTGGGGCGAGATATCGTCCACATCCAATTGCACAGACTACCAAGCCCGCCGCTTGCACATCCGGTATCGGCGTTCCACGTCCTTGGAGGATGCAGCACAACCTTCGGTAGCCTCGTTGCCATTTGTACACACGCTCAACGGCACCGCTGCAGCGATCCCTCGACTCATAGTAGCTTTGGTAGAGAACGGTGCAATATTCAACGGGGAGGGCAAAGCGGTTGGTCTCAATCTTCCACATGCCCTCAAACCGTACTGGATGGGATCGGGTACCGTCACTAACCGAGTTCGCTGGGTGTAAATCATTTCTATTCACTTTCATAGTCAATGGCATTCCTTTGCAGGACTCTCCCTTCCCAAACCTCCGCTATCGTGCTTCCCAAGTACTCCAGCGAACCTGTCCCGTGATGCCGGAGATGCACCCACCCGAGGGCCTTTGAGTTAGCTTGACTTGTGCCTTGCTTCTCGACGGACATGTTGAGCAAGGTTTCATATGCTGCGGACGAACCATCCGCACACCCCAACTGCATTCTGGTCATTCCTTTAATTTATGCCTTTCCTAATTCGAAGTTTGAGATACTGATCCTGGGATAGCGGCGGGTCTTATCAGGTCGATAGAAGAGACGAAGTGAATCCCGAATCCACTGATATGAGCCTTGCGGCCTTCTTTGGAGCGGCTCTTTGTTCCACCGGCCCTGAACGAGGCAGATATATCATGCCGAGTACAAGGCAGGACGGTTCTTTGGGAAACTAACAAAGTGACCCCCCTGGTGGCGTGATGCGAGTATTCGGTGCGTACTACTCCTCCCCTCCCCTCGGGTACAACGAGTTCAGCTGTTCATTCTTCAGTAGCTCGGCACCTTGTAGTAAGGGAGGTGTGCGGACGCCCGGCTCACCGACGAGCTTGACGGTACCACACCCACAGACGTTGGTGAGGTTAAGTCAGACCGCTCGATGCCTTCCGCTCGTTTATGGCGATTCATATAGGCGTGTGATGGCCTTCATCTGTAGTGAGTAGCATTGTATTATCTTGTCAACATGTGCTGACCGGCATTAGACGTACCGCTGCAACAGCATTGGCGGGTTTTGTCAAATGAATTAACCCAGGTCGCAAGTCTCAATTTTGAGCCTACAGTAGCATAGTCACGAAGCTTGTAGCATTTCTTTCGTTTCTCTTTTCAAATTCATCTGGTTGTTAAGCAAACTGGGCGACACACCCGAGTCCATGTTATGTGAAGTATGTCTGATGAAGTAAAGTTCACTACTCCGACTTCACGAGGCATACTTGGAAGTTCAAATCACAATTACACCAACACAATTTTTTGCTCAACATTCCACCTATCAAACACAAAGCGATAACTACGCAAGTAGGTAGGAAAGGGGAAGAATATCTGATAGTCATCAAAGTAGTCAATGAAGTTTTCTGCACATCAACCTTCTGTATGGTACCAACACAAACACTAAAATTGCAATCACGGTCACTGTAACCACCACCTGCACAAACCGCCCCCGACCTGACCTCCGTGGCGCCCTCTTCAATCCTGCTCGCATCCGGCTGACGTTAGTGGCCGAAAGGGAGGACAGAAGGACAACAAATGCAGATAGGTAAAAGAAGAAAGAGAAAGGGATGTAAAGAGTGTATCCGATGAGGGGATGGGCGACAGAGTTATAAACACAGACGAGGGTGAGGGATCGATGGGGGATGGGACAATGAAGACACTGATGAAGCTAGTAGACGAGAATATGGGCGCTATGAAGGAGGATCACAAGCGAGGAGATAGTGGCAGTCGACGTGTTGGGCAACACAATCCGTAGATCGTCGACGTGGAAAGGAAAAGCGTCCGTAATAAATTATAAAGCAACGGCGATGGGTTGAATATAAGAAGATGGTTGTGATGTTCGTCCTGCCGCCGGAGCCAAGAAGAAGCCGCGATGTCGTTGATCTTGTCGGGCCATAGCCGAGGGACGGTTGTACCAAGCGAATAACAAAGTGCCGGACCTGCTCAGTATCCCTCTTGTTCTTCTGACATGCTGGCGCGTAGCAATCAACACTGGATGTGCCGGGACCACAAACCCATCTAGACACCATGGAAAATCCGCAGCGACCGAGTCACTCCCTTCTCCTACCCTCCGCCCCCATCTCGGTCGCACCATGGCGTGCTACATACAAACGTAAAACGGGTCGAACCGAAACCATTTACCAGAGATCGCCCTCCCGGCCGCGAGTGGTTCCACGTTGCTGGCCAACAGCACCAGGGGCACCCGCTTGCTGGGCCTGACGGGTGTGGGACCGGAGCCTACACAAGCCATGTCAGTGAATTCAAACAGTAAGCGGTGGAATGGGTTCAAACCTACATCCTGTCGCTCGCACGGTGTTCATCTTCCTCCTGAACGACCTTCCTCCTGCCAGTAGTGGCCTTCTGGCTGGTACCAGCGCTGCCATCATCGGCAGCACCGCGCTGGACGCTCCAATCGAAGACATAATCGTACTGGAAGCCCTCACGGACAAAGAGGTCACGGAAGAGCTTGCGTAGGTAGGAGTAGTCGGGCTTGTCGTCGAAACGAAGGGCCCGAGTGTAGTTTAAGAAGATACCAAATTCATTAGGGAAACCACGGCAAAGAAGGTCGGTGGGAGTCGTCATCTTCTTCTCCATGATGCGGTCGTACTTCTGTTTCTTGGTCGCCGCCTTAAGACCCTGCCAGGGGAGGGCGCCGCGGAGGAAGTACATCAGAACGTAAGCAAGGGATTCGAGATCGTCGCGGCGAGATTGCTCGACGCCCAAGTGGGTGTTGATCGAGGTATAACGGGCGGTACCGGTGAGGTTCTTGTTCTCCCTGTACGGGATGTGCAGGTGGGTCTTGGGGTCGCGGAACTTCTTGGCAAGACCAAAGTCAATAACATTGACCTGGTTGCCTCGCTTGCCGATGCCCATCAGGAAGTTGTCGGGCTTGATGTCACGGTGAATGAAGTTGCGGGAATGGATGTATTCAATACGAGAGATCTGATTTTATGGGTAAACGGACTGCCATCAACAACCGGGAAGAAGGGACATACAAGCTGATCTGCGAGCAGCAGGACGGTTTTCAGGCTGAACTTGCGGTTGCAGAAGTTGAAAAGATCTTCGAGAGAAGGGCCAAGGAGATCGAGGACCATTGCGTTGTAGTCGCATTCAGTACCAAACCACCTCACGAACGGTACACCGACGCCCCCAGCAAGAGTCTTGTAGACCTTTGACTCATACTCCAGCTGGGGGTGCTTGGCTTTGACAGACTCGAGCTTGATGGCGACTTCCTCGCCGGAGATGATGTTGATCCCGAGGTAAATGTCACCTGAAGAAAACATGAGAGCAAGCAACAGCTGACGACCTCTGGGACGCACCGAAGGATCCTGAACCGATCTTCTTTCCCAGTCTATACTTGCCACCAACCCGGAGGTCAAGTCGGTGAGATGAGCTATCGGCCATGGGAATGAGATGGAAAGCTAGAGCAACGAGTTAGTAGGAGAAAGAAAGAATGGATGAAGGGAGGAGGAAGGGAGGAAGGAGTGGTTAAAAAGGACTGAGGGCATGTACATCAGACTCCGCCCAGGAGAGCGGTGGCTGACGAACCGCCGCAGAGCAGCACCACGTAACACCAGTCAGTAATCCCAGAAGCGGGAACATCTGTCCGGTTTGTTGCGAGAGGAAAGGATCCATAAGGCGTGGATTTCGCTCTCGCCCGCCCACGTCTGCATGAACGTGGTGGCCGCGAGGCCACAGGAACGATTTGACGCTCGTCGGAGTCGTCTCAAACGAAATAAAGCGGATGGATCAAAGCTCACCAGGTGTAGAAGTTGAAACTGGAAGATTGGGGTGAAATAACCAGCGAAGGGGGTAGTAAGAGGGAGGAGTGGAGTGGTGGGTTGGGGAGAGGAGTGCTTGGAGAGGAACAACAGTGAGGGTGCGTGAGAAAGAGGTGAACGGCAGGCAAAGGGCGCATGCGGAGTTTGAATCGTTTGATAATCGCCTGTTACTTATGCTACAAGTTAACGTCGCACTGCCGTCGCATTCCAAGCTCAGTCCGCTTCTCGTGTTCCCGCCTTCTCTCTTCTGCGCCACTTTTCATCTGCTTCGTGTCACCAGGCTTTCCTAGGGACACTTCCTCACCCCAGCTCCCCTCGGCTCAATGTCCGAGGACCCGTCTTATGAATCACTGTCTTGCAATTCACTTGTGTCCCCCGCTTGCTGTACAACTGTCCCTCGCCGTCTCATGGCTCCGTCCTTCCTTAACGTGAATCAGGATTAGGCGCGAGGCCCCGATCTGCTGCTCTTCCGCTCCATTTTAGCCTAAACACCTCGATGTTCTCTCTTACTCGCGTGTGACTCGCTTTATAACTCGATGGTTCGGTTCAGGCTCATATTAACCTGTCTCTGGATTGCTCTCAGTCACTGTACCCGAAGAACTTGACCGCGTACGTTTTTGGTGTCATAATCTAGGTCACTTGTTCCGCAGACGGTCACTACAGCTTGACTATAATCATCCTTGGTGACCTCGGAACTTGACGAATGCTCTGTGGCAACCACCTATCAACAAAGGACGTTGTCCTACCGGCTATAAAAAGTCTTCCATCTATCTTGACGGGACATCTACGTGTCTTCTAAGCGTGGATATCTTCCCCTCGCATGAGCACACACTCGCGCTCATAGTAACAAAGCCCTCCCGACATACTCAACCTCGAATGGTTTGTTAAGCAGTCTTCCTATATTATCGAGTATAATCAATCCATTCACAATTAGGGAACGTGTATTTCAGGCTGGAACGCATATTTGCTTTTGCAGTTTGGCTGTATCATAGGAGAGCTGTTTTACACACCATCTCCTCCAGTTCCCATCACCAGGCACCGTCAGGGCCCATGATGAAGATGGAATATTTAAAGACGTTGACTTAGTTGGATTAGTATCCAAGAAGCCCTGCAGGCATTGAAGCCATGGCAATGTATCCCACTGTGAAACATGGGCGTTATTCGCTTTGGCGCAAGCAGAGTTCATGCAGGGTCGACGAAGCGTAGAGCTCGTTATCTTGCGCGAACAGAGTGTACAAAGATAGCATCACGTCGGCGGACGGACTGGCCCCGTTGAGAAACGATTGGGCGCCAGCGGCAGGAGTTGGCCGCCGCGGAAAGCTGGCCGAGTGGATGCCGACGACCGTGGTTACCTGGTTTAGAACGTTGATCGCTGGTTATAGTTCTGCTTCCGAAACGGGTCCCAAGGCCGAAATTCCTTCCCCGCTTTCTTGTCTCGCCGTTGTCAGCTACCACCATCTTCTCACTCTCTGAGAGCTTCCTAGTCACTCTTTCTACCCGCCCTTCCTTCTCTACAACAACCTCGCTCATTCTGCTGGAAAAAAATCTCGTCTGGATACCCTCGGATCACCACCGACGATGGCGTACAACCAGCACAACGATCCTTACAACCAACATCACAATGCTCAATACTCGCATTTGAACGTCGCTCCCGAGTATCCTCCTGGTACAGCTTACGCGACTCCGCAAGAGTATGACCAACAATGGGACTCCAAGTCGGCCAAGTCTATAGGCAGCAGCCAATATCATGGCTCTCAAGCCCATCTCAACCCTCAGTACGAAATGAGCCAGGTCTCTCTTCACGGCGGCGCGCCTCCTGTTCCCACCATGAACTACGGCGCTTATCAGCCGGACTATCCTCCTCAGCCTCGACCTGGCATGCTCCAAGACATGGGTTCCGGTTACTCGATGGCCAGAGAAAAATTGATGAAGCGCAGGTCGGTTCGTCAAGTCGAGCTGCGGGACGGAAACCTGGTCCTCGACTTTCAAGCCCCTTCCCATATCGTTCCGAAGGGGATGACTGACGTGGAGGAAATGACAAAGATGCGATACACTGCTGCTACTTGCGACCCTGATGACTTTATGCGCCGGAAATATACTCTTCGCCCTTATCTGTATGGTCGCCGCACCGAATTGTTCATTGTCATGACTATGTATAACGAGGACGAAGTCCTCTTCGTGAAAACCATGAACGCGTGAGTATTCTGCTTATCATGACCAGTTAATCATACCCATAGTCCACAGCGTTATCAAGAATATAGCTCACCTCTGTGGTCGCACGAGGTCTAAGATGTGGGGACCCGAAGGATGGAAGAAGATTGTTGTGTGTGTCGTTTCCGATGGCCGAAACAAAGTCAACAAGCGGACTCTCCAAGTCCTTACATTGGTACATTCCAACCTCCTTTTGTTGTTATAATCTCTCAAGGAAGCATTTATAGATGGGCTGTTTCCAAGAAGGTGTCATGAAGGATGAAGTCGGCGGCAAGGACGTTACCGCTCATATATTCGAGTAAAAATTCTGGTTTTGTATTCCATCGTCGCAATTTAACCACGTCTAATAGGTTTACCACCAATGTCATTGTCACGGATACCGGTGAAGTGTCTCCAGGCTCTTGTCCAGTCCAGGTTCTCTTTTGTCTGAAGGAGCAAAACAAGAAGAAGCTGAACAGTCACCGTTGGTTCTTTAATGCCTTCGGGCCTCTGATCAAACCGAATGGTGAGAAGTGCATTTTGATCATCTCCTTGATTTCCTCCCTAAACTCTTACAGTCTGTGTGCTGCTTGATGTTGGCACCAAACCTACTGGTACTTCCATCTACGAGCTCTGGAAATGTCGGTCTCTCCTTAGTGTCCACTCTCTGCCGTGTTTTCTGACTATTTCCTAGGCTTCGATAAGCACAAAGGGGTCGGTGGCGCATGTGGAGAGTAAGTAAACACATCTTTCACGCCACAAGTACTGACACAGCTGGTAGGATTTGCGTCGACACTGGGAGAGGTTGTTCACTACTTCTCACAAGTCCTCTTGCGGCCTCTCAGAACTTTGAGGTAATAAGGATTGTTCGCTCTAGCTGTAGTACTCGATGCTCAGTATGTTTCCTTGGCACAGTACAAAATGTCCAATATCCTCGACAAGCCCTTAGAGGTAAAGCAATCACCACTTACTATGCAATCTTGCTTATCGCTGTTCAGAGTGTCTTCGGGTACATCAGTGTCTTGCCCGGTGCCTTCAGTGCATACAGATACAAGGCTTTACAAAATGGGCCTGATGGGAAAGGCCCTTTGGCCTCGTACTTCAAGGGTGAAACTATGCATGGAGGTGGCGCTGACGGTGCTGGATTGTTCGGTTCGTTGTGACTATCAATAACGCCACCGAAGACTAACTGAAACAACAGAACGAAACATGTATCTTGCGGAGGATCGGATTCTATGCTTTGAGATCGTCACCAAGAAGCGGGAGGGCTGGACGTAAGAATGGTCACTCCTTTGGTCCGCCGATACTAAATAGTACTGCAGGCTTAAGTATGTCAAGAGCGCCAAAGCCTCCACGGATGTCCCTACCTCCGTACGTGTCATCCGGTTTGTGTATCGTGTGGCCACTCACGCATTGGTATCAGATCCCGGAGTTTATCTCTCAGCGCCGTCGGTGGCTAAACGGTTCGCTGTTCGCCTCCTTCCACTCCACTATATTCTTTTGGAGGATTTGGACTTCTGGCCAGAACCCTATCCGGATGTTTATCCTCCAGATCGAATTCATCTACAACGCCGTGCAGCTCTTTTTCACTTGGACCTCTCTCGCAAACTTCTACTTGGCCTTCTTCTTCGTACGTTTGTCGCTCTATAATCCTTCATCGCACTCATTATGATGTAGCTGGTTTCGTCGGCCACAAATGCCAGCGGCAAGAACAACGCGTTCAACTTCCTTAGTGCGAGCGCTGGGAAAGATGTGTTCGAGATTTTCCTAAATGTTCGACGAAGTTATTGTCTTCTAGGTGCATTACTAACGTTCTTTGCAGTTGTACATCGCTCTCATCTTCGTTACCACGGTTTGTTCGCTCGGCAACCGTCCTCAAGTACGTCCAAAGGAATACACACATTCTCCCTATTCATTGACGACAATCTCTTGTAGGGTTCAAAGTGGATTTACGCACTCTCCATGATCTTGTTTGGACTTTGCAACGCTATCACGTTGTGGTGTGCTGGATACACTGTATACCTAAACGTGCCGCACACCGTGAACGGCTGGGAAGACTTCCCTCAGTAAGTGTTGCCACTACCCGAGTATGGGCCGCTATTAATTGCCTCTTAGTTTGGTGGCAACGAACAAAGCTTTGCAAGAAATTGTCATCTCACTTGCTGCTACCTACGGTCTCTACTTCGTTGCCTCATTCATGCACTTTGAGCCATGGCACATGTTCACTTCGTTCATCCAGTACATGTTCCTCCTTCCTAGCTGTAAGTGGTGCACCATTCGTTGGCTATTCCATGGTTAATCCCGGTTCCTTTAGATGTCAATATTCTCAGTCAGTGTAGCTCATCGCATCACCAGAACGATTCCCTCATAACAATTTTCTAACCCAGTGATGTACGCAATGTGTAACTTGCACGATGTCACCTGGTAAGTAGCCGAGACCATTCCTGACCCGTACGTGGACTTTGTCTCACATCTTTGTAGGGGTACGAAAGGTGACAATGGTGCTGCCAAAGACCTGGGTGGCGCTAAGAAGATCAAGGGTGATGACGGTAAAGAGGTCATGGAGGTCGAGGTTCCGACTGCTCGCGAGGACGTCGACCGCTTGTGGGCAGCATCCCGCAGCTCTCTCAAGATCAAGCCTCCTGAAGAAAAGGAGCATCGTGACGCTGCCACCAAACAAGCTGACCACGACAGAAACAGCCGGACGAATGTCGTTCTTGCTTGGATCGGAACCAACATGTATGTTCCAACATAGGTCTGATTAATAGCATGAACTTATACAATGGCTATCACAGGATCATGATCATTGTATTCACTTCGACTGCGTTTTTGAACTGGGTAAACAAGCATGTAGAGACTACCCAAGGGTCAGACTTCAACCCCTACCTCAGCTTCCTCTTCATCGCACTGTACGTTCCAATCTCCTTTTTTTACAGTTGCTGGTACTCACCACCTCGATGACAGTGCTGGCCTCTCCGCTATTCGCTTTGTGTGCTCCGCCCTATACCTAGTATTCCGACTTTTTGGTTTCTGATTTGACACAACCTGGAGTTGCAAACAGTCATCATCGGGAGAGTCGATCTCTCAAGTGGATGTTTGAATATGTACGAAGGGATAATTTACTGGTTAAAGATGTACTTTTACATACTTTCGTTCTGTGTCTGCAATTAAATTTACGTTTGTTTTTGTTCCTTCCAATTGCAACCCTTGGACATGATGCAACTTTTTAGTTCGCGTTACGTTGTGTTGCAATTGCAATGATCATGATGCGCGCTTTCTTGGCTTCAATATTATTACACTGCTTGCTATTCTGGGATGCTTCCGCATACGGCGTGTACCCTGAGCGCGCAGCGCACGACATAGTATTGACGCAGCGAACCTGAATATTGAACACCGACCACAATCTCATACAGGGGAACTATTGCCTCTTCTCAACTCTGGAACTACTGTGGGCGACTGAGATAGTCCGTGCCTCCGCGCGGGCTTACTGAATGTCATCATCAACTGCTCAAGCCCAGCAGGCCGACGGAAGGTCAAATGCCGGACCAAGAGATAGTTCCCTGCGAGCCAACGAAAGAGGTGAGTACGTGGTCAGATACAGCATCGTAGATAAAGCGACAGATTCTGGTGATCAGCTCAGCAGCTGATTAATTCAGACCCCAAATACAAGAAGTACACCCAACAAGTGGAGAAATGCCTGAACGCGTTCGACAATGTTCACGAATGGGCGGATTGCATCTCTTTTCTAAAGCAACTACTGAAGGTGAAACCCCTTTCATGACGTGTTACCAGGCACTTATCGAGAGGTTATAGACGTTTCAATCGTACATGCAGTTCAAGGAGATCCCACACAAGCTAATAGTGGCAAAGCGGTTATCCCAATGTCTTAATCCTGCCCTTCCTGCCGGTGTCCACCAGAGAGCTCTCGATGTCTACATTCACATAATGTCGGTGCAAGGGGTGAGCCGCAGAGGGTCTCCTACTTGAATTCTGACCTCTAACGGCCCGGCAGACTGAAGGGCTGAAGTATGATCTCGCACTATGGTCTTCAGGATTGTTCCCCTTCTTCGAATACGCGTCGACATCAGTGAAGGTGAGTCATGGTAAAGCCTACGTTTGAGCGCTGCCGATACTCGTTTGAAGCCCACTCTACTGAACATCTATGATACGCACTACCTGCCGCTCCAAGCAAACTTACGACCAGTCATGAAATCTTTCATCCTTGCCTTGCTTCCAGGGCTAGAGGAAGAAACGGGAGAATTCTTTGACAAAGTGAGGGCGCCCCTAACATCATTGAGAATGTCCGCTTATTTATGCAGGTAATGAGTTTGCTCGATCGACTGTCAGGCACTGTCAACCCGGTTTTCTTCATCCAGAATATATGGCTAATCATGTTGACAATGCCATCCGCTCGAGGTACATCCCTAAACTTCCTATCTCGTCGTCTGCCCCGACTCCAATCAAACGAAGGTAGGTTCAATCCGTCAATGCTGTTGCCCTTACCTGACACGTATCAGATATCACACAAATTGTTGGACGAGATGTTGGTTTGATGTTTCGTGCGTTCGCTGCGGCGCTCGAGGATGACAACCTGCTGGTGCGGAGAAGTGGTCTTGACCTCTTGCTTCAATGTATGCGCCTCGACAGTGCCGCTCTTAAACGGGTATCGCAGGACGACCGTGTCATCCTTATGAGAGCTGCTACGGGTGTTGTGTTACGGCGGGATCTATCCCTGAACAGGCGACTTTATGCGTGGCTTCTTGGAGCTGACGAGAAGAGCGACGCGCAGATTGCATATTTACGAGGGAATGGTTTGGATCTTCTCAAAGACACCCTTCTGGTACGCTATTTAAGCAAGTATTTTGAGAGGCAATTTTTCATTCACGCTTTTCAGACCGAGATGTTGTTGCCTTCTACAGAATACTCTGAATCGCGTCCTTTCAAGGTGTTTATCTCACTACTGGACAAATGGGAGATTGGCTCTCCGCTCACGGAGGTCCTCGTGTATGATTCCCTCAAAGCGCTGAAATCGCATATGGAAAGCAGCAATGACAACAAGGGCGATGTGCGGCCTTCACTCATGTATCAGTGGGAACCTAACTTGATGTTCGATTTGTTCAGATTGTCATGACTGCAAATTCACTGTATGAGGCTATTGACCCCAGTATTCTTTGGAAACACCTTCTAGCATCGATTGTCAATAACGTCATCGGTGAGGAAGTCAGTTTTGAGGTATCGTGAAGTTCAAATAAGTCGTTAAATGTGAATGCTGATGGCGTGCAGGCAATTGATATGACCATCTTCGTTCTGAGGACCTTCTCTGACCACGAGGATGATCTGAGGAGAATTCACCTTCCTGTGATTTTTGCTGCTATTGTAGATGCCATAAGAGTAAGAGTGCTTGTCCCGCCTGAGATTGACGGCGCTAACCTAATCTGAACCATATAGTTTGATATTCTCCAAGATCAGACTAGGATTGCACGCACTGCTATTGCTAAAGCTTTCATGCTGCTAGAGGAACTTCTTCACCACCTGAACCCTGATGGACTCCTCAGCAGGCCTAATTTGACTGAATCGCAGCAAGACCTCGTCACGACCCTGAGCTCTCTTTCCTATGCGTACGCATTCTATGGTATTGAGGCGCCGGTTCAAACGTCCCGCAACGATGAGACGACATTACCCCTGGCGACTGTCCTATGCTACACCCTATCATTAAGCCACTTGTGTGCTCAAGGTCTCCTGAGTCAGAGTGGCGACTCGAGATATTTCAGAGATGTCATCAATCGCGTCTTACCCTTTCTTGCGGAGCTCGTTCGTCTAGTCAGCAAAGCGAAGGTCACCGCTGTTAAGCTATCATGGGATTCGTCTGAATGGCTGAGCAGTATCCTCGGTGTACTCCATACGGCGGTTAGTCACTGGGCTTTGAGATAAGAGCATACTTCTGAACCACACATAGGATTCAGACTTTGTGACCGTAGATAATATCGTCTCAGTGGTCATTCTCCTTCACCAGACTCAGCAAATACAACCCAAGCTGAATATAGATGAAAGAGCCACAATGTCTGGCATGGTAAAGACGGTGAGGCTCTGGAGTCTTGATATTCTTGGTGTTGTTCGCTAAAATCTGCTGCAGCTCTTCAGATTCCTACGTCAGGACTACTCGATCTACCATGTCCGTGCTGTCAATCTTGTATGGGCTCTTGAGGCGGCGACCAAGCAGCCTCACGTTGAGTCTATCATCTCCCGAAGCATGACTAGTCTCGAGTCTAGAAATGTTCAAGATGCGTACGAGGCTTTCGGAGTCCTTTGGCGACTGACAGGTGGGTGCACTTGATTAGTTATGCAGCATGTACTTAGCCCTCAGCAGAAGACGACGTTTTACCAGGCGTTAGACTGAAGGTCCCAATGATGATTGTGCTGGAAACTCTCAAAAATGACAGTCCATCGCTGCGCCGAGTCGGCGAGACTTGGATGCGCTGTAGTCTCAAGTCGTATTCCAGGTGAGGAGCTACGCATAGTACTTGGAACTCGTAGTCTAAATTAAATCTAGGGTTCTAGATCCTCTCCTACATGACTTGCTCGATCCTTCTATACGGCGCTCTCCTCACACTTTCATAGTCAACGACCGCAAGATTCAAGGATACGTATACGACAGGTCGTTTGATCAGCGTTATGTCAATCACCTCCTGGAAGTACTATATGCCATTCTTCAGTTTGGTGGTCAAGGGTTCAGCAAGGCAACCAGGTCAACACCTATCAAACGAACATATTACGAAGGGTTGGCCTCAAGGCTGACTGCTGGTTTGTCTTTCTTATTCCGATACCTCAGTTGATCCTGATGAGCTGCATCAGGCAGATTTGATATGGAGGGCACTTACATGGATGTGATCGTGGACATGCTTTCCCGGTAAGCAAGATCTCTGTATGTTCGCAATTATGTCTACTAAATATTTTCGAAATAGTTTTTTGCAGTCAGAACCAAAGATGCCCCATGGTCAGACCATGCAACTTCTGAATGTGTCAACGCACACATCATCAGTCGACATACTCCAGGCTATCGTCTCACGAGGTGATATTGATGTTTTGGCTGTCGAGACGATTCAGCCTGCTGTCATTGGAAAGCTGTATGCATGCGTACATATGAAACACTTCGACATGCAAAACAAACTTCTTCACTTCCTTCACTCTTTGATCTCCATCTCCGTTTCGCGAACAGTCGACGAAGGTCATGATAGCAACGGAGCTTCACAAGGCTCGACAAGCAACTACGCCGTTAACCCTCTCCTCATCCATACCATCACCGATGGTATCTCTATCCAAAGCAACCGTTCTCTCCTGCAACATTGGCTTGACTTTGTCATGATGACCGTTCCCCAGTTCCAACCGGCTCTCCGAGTTCTGGTCTCTCCAGTTATCGAATGCCTCACTCGGCAACTGCGTGTGGAGTTGGTCAACATCAAAGCACAAGGATCTAGCGCCACCACACGCGTTGCCAATGACGCGGAATTTACTATGCTTTTGAACGCACTAGAACGACTTGTGGTATTGCATATGGGTGCAAAGGATGATATGCGTTCTGACGAAGATGCTGTTGTTCAAGAGAAACCCGTCCATGAAAGTGGTGGGCTCTTCGGTTATGTCACGACTGTATTTGCGGCGGAAAACCCCAGCTCATCGGAGGACCAAGTGGGTGTAAGTGAGACTTCATACAAATATGTACAGGACGTTCTTGCTCATGGCTTTGTAGAACCGATCTCCTGGATTTAAGTACCTTTATGATGGTGTCCGTGTTCTCTTAGCCCTATGGAGGAATCTTGTATGGAACGATTCACAGGAGTGGAGCCCAGAAAAGGACTCCTTAGCCCTGGTCTATCATCGGACACGGACTCGCTGTCGAAGAGCCTTTGAGCATTTCTTCCACGTGCAACCGGTTGAACTATTGGAATGTGTCATCGACTGGTGGGACAGAGAACCTCTAGACCCCGCAAATCCCTTGGAGGATGACACTGTCTTTGAACTTGTTGATGTTCTGATAGCCAACGCTCAGACAGCTGTTCACATGCTTTGTGAATGTATCTTGTCTCGCACGCCGAGCTCGTCGGAACGAGGAAAGAGAAATGTTGCGAACCCCAATCTGTGAGTATCATCATAGACTTCTCCGCGAGTAACCTTCTGAACCTTGATGATGTCAAGCTCGGATGTCATTCTCTTCAGGTTTTTGGAACAATACTTGGGCCGATTGGAAGGCCCTATTGCCCTCCAAGTGTGGGGAAGGTTCTTATCACTGACCAAGGAAGTAGCGAGCAGTACTCGAGAGTTTAAGATGCAATTCTTCCTGTTGTTGAAGTAAGTGCTATTATTTACTCGCAGAGGACTTGCGCTCAGAAAAACAGGTGTTTCTCGGTCTTGGCACGAAAAGTAATGCTGACGACGGCATCAGAGGATAAGAGACTGAAGAAAGACCTTCAAGTAAGTCTACATACTATCTTGCCAGCCCCGTCTTGATTGTCTATCAGGAGACGTACAGTCGATTATTAGACTCATGTGTAACATTCGTCGGAAGAACATCCGACCAAACATCATGGGTCAGGCGTCCGTTGAAAGATGCACTCAACAATGGTCGTGAATCCCCTCTGCCCCGAATCGGTGCGTGACTGTTTTGTTGTTCAAAGCGAGGCTCGACGGGTTGATCCTATCCATCATAGCGTCTGATTCGAGATTGAATGAGAAGGACAATGTGAATGCCAGCTCCACTTCACTCACCGAGACAAAATACATAGGGTGGAATTCCGACCTGACATCGCAGGTAAAGGTTGCCTGTGCGGCTGTATCGGTGTCGTTGATTTTGTCCATTTTAGATCTGCTCGTTCATAGCAGAAGTTGGTCTCCCGAACATTCGGACCTTCCTGGTTGATAATGACAAGATCACGAACACTTGTAATAATATTGTCTACTATATCGTCACCCCGGCTGTCAAGGCAAAAGCAAAGTACGTAAGGATGTGCCTTACTCAGATAGATGATTAACATCCACTCGTAGGCCGCTGGATGTAGATCCCATGCTCATCGATATCCTTCGGGAAATGACTAAGATCCCGGCGGCACTCAAAGTCTGGCGTAGCTCCGTCGCAGACATGCTGTACGACAGCCGGTTGTTCACGTCGAGCCACGTTTTGGCAAAGAAATGGAGGCCTATCGTCAAGGTATTGTTTGACACTGACAAGACAGCCTTTTCGGAGCTTATGGGTAGGGCTTTATCCGCGTTTTCGAGTGCATGTGAACTGAAATTTTTACATAGGCAAAATTGTCGCAACTCCATCGAGCAATATTTTCACGAATCGTGATCAGGAAATGCTTCTGCGTGCGATGAACCTGCGTCGGCTTGCTTTCGTCCTCTTCGCTGGCGAGAAAAATCATTACCTGACACAACTTCCAACTGTGCAAGAGAAGTTGGTCGATGTCCTGCGCAATGTTACTTCGCCGCTCGTACAAAGCGAGGTATTCTTGTGTATTCGGGTGCTGCTATGCCGGCTGTCCCCGCATAATTTGACAAGCTTCTGGCCGGTAGTTCTGACTGAGTTGGTGAGCGAGCTCATCCCTCCGGCTACCTTCTTCACCCATCTCTCCTGTTTAGTATCGAGTGTTTGACCAAGCGCTGGTCAACGTTCCTGCCGACGGCTCAGAGGACCTCCAGCTTCTCCTCGCCGTTTCGAAATGTTTGGATATTCTTTTGACGCTTCAAACAGAGGAATTCCAAGTGTAAGCACCATTATTTTTGTTACCCAAACCGCGACCCATTGACATATCTTTAGGCATCAATGGATTTTCATCACGGATACTGTCGACGCTGTTTATCGTCAAGACGACTGGGTTCCTCAAGGAATGCTTGACCAACTGTCCGAAGCTGTTGGCGCCCTGCCCCTTCCTGAAGCCAAGGTAACAACCAACTTGTACACTTTCCGCATTGCTAACCCACATCGCAGCAGGCACGACCGACCTCACAACTACCCGACGAGGAAGAGCCACAGGCAGCAATCTATCCAACGTATGGTGACTCGAGAACGGCGAGACAACCCATGCTCGTAAAGATGCGGCAGATTGACAGCGCGCGGGATTTACTTCCATTCTTTTCACATGTAAGCATCGCGTCGTACGAGGGAGTCTATGCATGCGGTAGCAATGTGGACTGGAGTGTAGTAGAGGAAGGGATCTTGCGAGACATGTTTGATAGTCGGTGACAATCCGACAGCTGGATACTGCCAACGTAGACGATATATACGCTCATAATTCTCATTCGGACATTTGTGCAACTTTGGATTTCTTGGACTTCATGATCGTCGATGCATATGTCTGGATTTCTATAGTAACATGCACGAGTTTGTGCTCCATATATTAACAAAGGACGACGACAACGAAGCAGAGGGTATGTACGTGTAGATAATGGGCACATCGACAATAATACCAATAACGAATGGACGTATACAGATGACTTAGAAATCGCCCCAGTTTCGGCGGAATTTGTACTGCAAAAATGTGTGAGCTTCCGAGAGTCAACATCACAGTAAAGTCATGTCTTACCTTGTAAGGAACGTTCTTCCTGCATCACCAGAAGGAAACATCAGAAACCATGACATAGCCGAACAAGCTGGTACGTACCGCAGTTTCTCTTGTGGCGATTTGGGTTGCTTGTAGCCCTGAGACCCAGAACCCCACTCAGCCTGACCTTCAAGTTCCTTGTGGAGATCACGGAAGCGAACGCTTGGGTCCTGCTTTTCGGGAGGCTGCTCCCGCTGGAACTTGGGCTTATCGCTCTCCGCCTGCTCAGCTTCCTGTTGAGCCTTTCGCTCTTGGACAAAGGGCTGCTGGCCTGCAACCTTGACAACAGCCTCGGGGTTCTGTACCTTTGAACCATAGTACATTGTGCCGGCGGCCTGAGCGGCTGCCTCAGCCTCCTCGTGTGCGCGGAGGGCCTCCTCCACGGTGACACCCTGGAATTTGGCCTCGCGCTCGGCTTCTTTAAGTTCGATGCCCTCATGCGCGGCGAAGTGCTCGAGATCCTCTGCGTGGACATAGGATTCGTCGGTCTGAGTGTCAGGGGTGCCGTGAAATTGTTCTGTGGAGCGTTAGTATCAGTTGACTGCACCAAAGTATGCGAGAGGGGTGCAAGCTACCTTCGTGGTGGAGGAAGAACTCTGCCAAAGCGAGGGTCAGGCACGCAGCACGACGAGAGAAGAAAGGGTCATACCGCTCTCGACATCGTAGTGGTGACCCTCAGCGCCAATATCATCAAAGTTGGGAAGACCTTTGAGACCTGCGGCGGAGAACTCCTCGGGGGTGATCACACCGTCCTTGTTCGAGTCGACCAGCTTCAGCACAGTGTCAACGACGAGGTCAGCCTTCTTTTGGTGCTCGATTTCGTCCTGTGGTAGGATGAGAAAAGGTCGGACGGGAGGGCTGGATGGCTGTCATTCGTACCTTGGATGTCTTCTGCGAGTAGACATGATGAACCCCATAGATTGCCTCTATCTCTTCACGGTCCCAACTTCCATCTCTGATTGTGACTGTGAATTAGGTGTCCGGAGAGCGTGTGCCGGCCAACACACCTGTTTAGGTCATGAAGCTGGAAAAAGCTCTCCAAATCGAACTGGTCGCTATCACGGAGTGTTAGAAGGGCACATTGCGTCTTACATGTGTCTTACATGTGGTGCTCAGAGGCCATCTAATGGGGTAGAGTTTTTGTCAGACAGGAAAGTCATGAAAAGGCGTGGTGCGATCTCGTACGTGTCTAATGGCATACGCCGCGCCCTCGAGATTGGGGTTGTCATTAGCGTGTTCGTGTCCGCCATGAGCGTGTACTGCGGTGCTGGCCAGCAGCAACGAAAGGGCAGCGAAAGACTTCATTTGTACAAGCGAGAGTGCAAGTGCAAGGACTGCGAACGGCTAAGTGTACTCCGTGACAGACTGAGCTTGGGACTTGAAACCTCTGGCCAGCCAGTTACCCTGAGTATTGTTCCCGGCGGAAGCTCATCATCATGTGACCGTAGAAAAGACAAAAGCTGCTGACTAAGCATTTAAGTGCCGTCGGTCCGAATAAAAATGCCATGATCAAAACGTTGCTCGGGGCACTCTCGGGGCCTTGAAGAAGATTGAGTCAAAAGCGACAAGAGTGCTATTCCGACAACGTTTCATCGCGACATAGAGCCATACGAAACGCTGTTCATCGGTCTTCTGCCTTGTTATCCTCCATTTTCACACTGAGTAAGGGATGATACTGTCATCGGCCCGTGGGCCCAGTCATAAGGAGTGTTTACCGATGCGGGTCCCCTCTGAAGCTCGATTTGCCGATGGCCGAGGTTTTGGTGCAGTGTTCGCTGGCCAATCAAATCTCCAGAAGGAAGGTTGTGTTACCCCGAGCGCCCGGGAATCTTCTATCAAACTCCGAGTGGATAGGCCCTCGTTTGGTCCCCCCTTGAACGTCTCATACCATATTCTCCTTTGGACGGGTCAGAAAATAAATGGAAATAAATGTAAGACTGATTGGCTGCCTTCATTGAGCTCGGGCGGTCTGATTCATCAGAGTGCATAGTCATCGCGGGCCCGCAGAACCGTAAACGGGCTCCGATTAACGCAGGAATGCGTCCAGACTCGTTTGCAAATTGTGATTGTCTCCGCTGAGTAAACGATGGCATGACACCCTACGGCATGAGAATTTCGTCATGAACCATGATTTTCCTTTATTATATATACCCTCCGGGTAGGGAGGTCTTATTCTCCGTACCCCTCGCCTTCACCTTGCCCATCCCGTCATGGATCCGGAGAAGGCTGTCAAGGAGCAGGGGCCTACAGACCCTTATGTCTCCCCGGGCATCGACGTCGAAGAGGCAAAGAATACTTTTAATGAGCTCGCTCGTCAACTCTCCAGACAATCTCAGTCTAGACCTGCTTCGTCAACCTCTACCGCAAATGCCAACCTCGATCCAGAGAAAGGCGGAAGCGATGTGGACGAAACTTTCGATCTTCGCGAGTACCTCACCTCGTCCAACGACGCGAACCAGCAAGCTGGCATCAAGCATAAGCACGTTGGTGTCACATGGGAGGATATGGAGGTCAAGGTGGTCGGAGGTGCAGATGCCAAGGTGAGATGCGTTTCGTGGGCACAACATCATCGGTACTGATGGTAGTCTCTTTTAGTTCTATATCCCTACATTCGGAGGTTTGTCATCATATGATGTTCACCAGGTTCCCATCGCTAACGCCATTTCAGACGCCGTAATCAATTTCTTCTTGTCTCCGATATGGTGGATTATGGGTTTCATTACTGTCTATATGTTTCCGAACAAAACAGTTCCGACTCGGCCTATTTTACACAAGTGCGATTTTGTTTCTAGCTTCTTGATCGTTCTTGCTGACATGCGCACAGATCGTCTGGCGTTCTTAAGCCTGGGGAAATGTGCTTGGTTCTTGGCTGCCCTGGGTCTGGTTGCACAACGTTCCTGAAGGCTATCGCAAACCAACGCGAGGACTACGCCGCTGTCGAGGGTGACGTTCGTTACGCCGGTATTGATGCGAAGGAGATGGCCAAACTTTACAAGGGCGAAGTTGTCTACAATCAAGAGGGTTAGTTTGATTGCTGATATTCATGTCCAATCATGACCTGACATTCGGCTCCTAGATGACATTCATATTGCAACCTTGACTGTGGCTCAGACCCTCGGTTTTGCACTCTCGACGAAAACCCCTGGTCCCAAAGGCCGTCTACCGGGTGTCTCAAGAAAGGAATTTGATTCTCAGGTCCAGGAGGCTCTTTTAAAGATGCTGAACATTTCCCATACTCATCAAACCTTGGTTGGCGACGAGTTCGTCCGCGGTGTTTCTGGCGGTGAGCGTAAGCGTGTCAGCATTGCTGAGATGATGGCTACCCGCGCTCGTGTACAATGCTGGGATAATTCGACTCGCGGTCTAGATGCTTCCACCGCGCTCGATTTCGCGAAGAGTTTGCGTGTTATGACTGACGTACTTGGCCAGACCGTCTTCGTGACTTTGTAAGTTTATACTGTATCTACCTTATGCGTCACAGGGGCTGACGGTTATTCTAGATACCAGGCTGGCGAAGGTATCTACGACCAGTTCGATAAGGTTCTCGTGCTCGACGAGGGACGACAGGTCTTCTTTGGTCCGCCGTCTGAGGCTCGCAAGTACTTTGAAGATTTGGGCTACAAGGCCCTTCCCCGCCAGAGCACACCCGATTATCTGACCGGCTGCACGGACTCGAATGAACGCCAGTTCGCTCCTGGTCGCTCCGAGCGCGATACACCATCGACGCCCGAAGCTCTCGAGAGCGCGTTCACAACCTCTCGCTTGCACGATGGTATGATGGACACGCTGCAGAAATATAAGGGCAAGATGGAGACCGAGAAGAGGGACCAGGAGATTTTCCGTGCCGCTGTGCTGGACGATAAGAAGCGCGGTGTGTCGAAGAAGAGTCCATATACCATCGGCTTTTCGGGACAGGTTAAGTCTCTGACGATTCGGCAGTTCCGTGTGCGTCTCCAGGATCGATTCCAGCTGTATACTAGCTTCGGCATGTCGACTATTCTTGCTTTGATCATCGGTGGCGGCTTCTTCGATCTACCCACCACTGCAGCTGGAGGTTTCACTCGTGGTGGTGTCATCTTTTCGGGCATGTTGACGATCTGCTTGGATGCCTTCGGTGAAATGCCCACGCAAATGGTCGGGCGCCCGGTGGTTAAGAAGCAGACAGAATACGGGCTATTCCGTCCCTCTGCCGTTGTAATGGGGAACATTTTCGCTGATCTTCCGTTCTCCGCAAGTCGGGTGTTCATCTTCAACGTTATCATCTACTTTATGTCTGGTCTCTCCCGTACCGCGGGCGGGTTCTGGACGTTCCACCTGTTCGTCTACATGGCATATCTCATCATGCAGGGCTTCTTCCGTACCTTCGGTCTCCTCTGTGCCAACTTCGACAGTGCCTTCCGTCTCGCGACGTTCTTCGTTCCGAACATCATTGTATATGCCGGCTATATGATTCCGACATTCAACATGAAACGATGGTTGTTCTGGATCTACTACATCAACCCGGTGTCTTATGCTTTCGGTGGCGCAATGGAAAATGAATTCATGAGGATCGATGTAAGATTTTGTTCATTCACATTTTATATCACGGATTGATGAATTTGCAGATGACATGCGATGGCAGCTACGTCGTGCCCCGCAATGGCCCAGGCGTCACCAAGTATCCGTAAGTGTCTGCTTCGTGTAAACGGCATGCAATTTCTAATCGATATATGAATAGCGATACTGTCGGTCCTAACCAGGCCTGCACTCTCTACGGTTCAACCCCTGGAAGCAACATCGTCAACGGCGCCTCGTATCTTGAAGCTGGTTATGCTCTGAATGTTGCCGACCTGTGGCGCCGCAACTTTGTCGTACTCTTCGCTTTCTTGATCTTCTTCCAGCTCACGCAGATTGTTGCAATCGAGTACCTCCAACCGAAGTTACCGAGCAGTTCTGCCAACATTTATGCGAAGGAGAACAGTGATACGAAAAGGCGCAACGAGATCCTACGCGAGCACAAGGCCGAGCGCGTTCGCCACAGGCATGAGAAGAAGGAAGAAGACGATGTACTCCGCGAAGAGTAAGGAATACCTTACGAGACATTCATGCTGTCCTGACATCCTGTTTTTAGTAGGCAATCGTTCGAAGATCGTAAGACCTTCACCTGGGAGAACCTCAACTATCACGTTCCTGTCCCAGGCGGTCAGCGTAGGCTGCTGCACGACGTCTGTGGATATGTCAAACCTGGTACACTAACTGCTCTCATGGGTGCATCGGGTGCCGGCAAGACAACTTGCTTGGATGTGTTAGCTCAGCGTAAGAACATCGGTATTATTACTGGCGATGTCTTGGTTGAAGGGCGCCCCTTGGGTTCTGATTTTGCTCGCGGAACTGCTTATGGTAAGTAGACACTCGCTAGAATCCTCGCCGCGGCTGATGTGCTCCAAACAGCTGAGCAGATGGATGTTCATGAGGGCACCGCGACGGTTCGTGAAGCCATGCGCTTCTCTGCTTACCTGCGTCAGCCCGCCGAAATCCCCATCGAGGAGAAGGACCAGTATGTCGAAGAGATGATCGAGCTGCTTGAGCTCCAGGACCTATCCGAGGCTCTCGTTTTCTCTCTCAATGTTGAAGCCCGCAAACGCCTGACGATCGGTGTCGAGCTTGCCTCCAAACCCGCCTTGTTGTTGTTCTTGGACGAGCCTACTTCCGGTTTGGATGCTCAGTCTGCCTGGAACTTGGTGCGCTTCCTCCGCAAGCTCGCTGAGCAGGGCCAGGCCATCCTTTGCACGATCCATCAGCCGTCCAGTCTTCTTTTCGAGAGCTTCGACCGCCTCCTCCTGCTCGAGTCGGGCGGTGAGACCGTCTACTTTGGTGATATTGGCAAGGACGCGCAGACTATTCGGGAGTACTTCGCACGCAACGGCGCTCAGTGCCCTTCCAACGTTAACATGGCCGAGTACATGCTGGATGCTATCGGTGCCGGACTAGCACCCCGTGTTGGACCTCGCGATTGGAAGGACATCTGGCTCGATTCGCCTGAGTATGCAGAGACCAAGGCTGAGCTCAAGCGCATACAAGAGCATGCTTTGGCCAAGCCGCCTCCTCAGCAAGGGAAGAAGGCGACATACGCCACTTCGTTCTTGTACCAGCTCAAGGTCGTTGCGCAGCGCAACAATGTCGCTCTCTGGCGTTCTCCCGACTATGTGTTCAGTCGCCTCTTCGTCCATGCGTTCATCTCGCTCTTTGTCTCGCTGTCATTCCTTCAGCTTGGAAACAGTGTTCGTGACCTGCAGTACCGTGTCTTTGGAATGTGAGTACAACCCATCACTAGCCGGTATGCCTGTTTAATTGATGAGATTTGCAGCTTCTGGCTTGTCGTCTTGCCCGCTATCGTCATGACTCAGCTCGAGCCTCTGTTCATTTTCAACAGACGTGAGTATTCTTAAGTCTTGTTTAAGAGCTAATACTGAACGCGAACCAGGGGTCTTCATTCGCGAGGCGTCGAGTCGTATCTACTCGCCTTATGTCTTCGCCATTGCCCAGCTCGCTGGCGAGATCCCGTACTCCATACTCTGCGCTGTCGTGTACTGGGTTCTCATGGTGTACCCCATGGGCTTTGGCAAGGGCTCTGCGGGTCTCAATGGTACTGGCTTCCAGCTTCTCGTTGTCATCTTCATGGAGCTCTTTGGCGTGACCATTGGTCAGCTCATCGGTGCCCTCTCGCCCAGTGTCCAGATCGCTGTGTTGTTCAACCCCTTCGTCGGCGTGGTGTTCTCCATGTTCTGCGGTGTTACCATTCCCTACCCCACCTTGATTCCTTTCTGGAAGGACTGGTTATACGAGCTTGTGCCATATACGCGCACCGTGGCTGCAATGATTGCTACCGAGCTTCAGTGAGACCATTATTACTCCTATTAAGCGAGGACAAACTGACCATTCTGCCCAGTGGTCTCGTCATTCGCTGCAATCCCGACGAATATGCCATCTTTAGTCCTCCAAGCGGCCAGACGTGCTATGCTTGGGCTGACGACTTCGTAAATGCGTTTGGCGGGTATCTCAACAACCCCAATGCTACCGATGCATGCCAGTATTGCCAGTACTCTGTAAGCTCTCTCAATAGCCGCGAGAAAAATGTGTTCTGACCGCTTTCAAAGGTTGGAGACCAGTTCTTCTTACCCCTGAACATCTCGTTTGACAATCGTTGGCGAGATGTATGGATAATATTTGCCTACTTCATCTTCAACTTCATAGTCACAACACGTACGTCCGCTCTCTTGTTCACTTATGGAACGCATACTGACATACCTTTCGTAGTTGCATCACGCTTCCTTCGCTATGCTAAGCGGTGATCAAAGCTTTTATGGCGCTTGGATGCTTCTTTTGTCTGTTCTCACACATTCAGCTACACTAATCACGACATCGACGGATACTTAGACAACACGGATACCACGACGCAGGTTGTAGTTACGGCTCACAACTTTCACGCTGGCATAAATGGGAAGCAATCTGTTAATATCTAGATGCACACATTAGTTTATAATTTTTAGACGACACCAATGGTATTAGATGTCTTCACGTTCATTCACAGTTCGATCATTTGGCCTGCAAGTGCTCCAAGCTAAATACCCCCTCAACGACCATGAGGTTCATTGACAATGACTACATATTCCTACGAAAATCTTCTGATGGAAGTGTACAATATTTGGGATAGAAAATTGGCCTAGCACATCTCCCGACAGCATTTGCGTCCACCGATGCCACTCCCACACGTACGCTGTCTGATGAATGGTTTGGTACGGGAGGCGCATGAATATGTCACCCAAGGACCCCCCAAAACGCCAAGCTCTTTTGGCTCGGCTTACTTTAACCGAAATCAACCAATGCATCGATATAATCCATTGTCCAAGTTCGTTGATAGTCTAGCCGGCTCTCCGCTGTCGACAGACTTCGAAGAGTATTGGTACGACGTTGGCTATATAAGCTCAACGCTCAGTTTTGTGATGAGTGTTGGAACTGGCAGAGGTCAATCGGACAGTATTAAATCATGACAGGGAAGTGCTCACGATATCCCGTAGTTGTGCTTGAGCATCGTTGAATTGCTTCTCGAGAAACTTGCCCTGCGGCAAATGTAAGATAATTTCGTGCTTCATACGCACATGGGCATACCTTCTTCTTCAAGTTGTTAATATCATCGGTGAGCTCTTTCTCCTGATTGTTGAGGTCTTGTTCCATGGTCTGCCGAGGGACCATCATAAACCTGATACAGTAAAGTTATGTTCATGGGGAATAGCAAGATAGCTCACATTTTACCGACACCCTGATACATGTTAACGTCGCCCTCGATCCCTTGTATTTCATTGATAGTCAACTGAAGAATGCGCCGTTCGCGTTCCTTGGCCGCAGATTGCTGACGTGAAAGGTTCAGCGCGCGCTGAGAAGATATAGCAGTCTGTTGTATCTGAACCAGGATCTATCACAGTACTCATGAGCTTGATCACCACAGGATGCAGCAAGTTTGTGTACTTTTCTGAGCGTGTCATCGGATAGCGAGGCCATCTTGGTCAACGTCAATTGCAAAGACGTCTTGGGCCCAGATGATTGCCTTCAGGAAAGGGGCGCGCGACCGGAGTTTGAATTTATTCTCTTCGGAACGCGCGCGTGCATTACCCACTCACTCTACAAACCGGTTACGACTTGTGTACCTTCTTACCATGGCTTCCCTCGAGGACTACGATGAGTTCGGAAACTACATCGGTGCGGACCTGGGCTCCGATGATGACGAGGAGGAGATGCTGCAGTCGGAGTACCAGCAGCCGGTACAGGAGCAAACTACTCTCGAAGGATACGACGATGAGCCTGCCCCGGCACAGGATGGCGCGTTAATGGAAGTTGACGGTGCGCTTTACTTGTAATACAGTTGGAGCTGAACGTAATGGTGTCGCAGAACCTATCTCTAATGCTATTGTTTTGCATGAGGACAAGCAATACTATCCTTCAGCAGAGGATGTTTATGGCCCAGGTGTAGAGACGCTCGTCCAGGAGGAAGACGCGCAGCCTCTAAGCGAGCCTATTGTTGCACCCATCAAAGTGCGAAAATGGACGATAGAGGAGAAGGACATGCCGCAAACGCGATTCGACAAGGGGTGAGTGGCCACTTGTGCGTGCAAAAACTAACGCTGAAGTAGCTTGTAGGTTCCTGCTGAACATGATGTCCTTCCCTGAAATGATTCGCAACGTTGCCGTCGTCGGCCACCTGCACCATGGCAAAACGGCTTTGATGGATATGCTTGTGTTTGAAACCCACAAGCTAATTTGGGATGCGGACAAGCCGGTTCGATATGGTTTTTTTTCAACCCAAAGCTAACTACTGACCAGAAATCTGGCAGACACGCTACACGGATACCCATGTATTATCGCGCCAACGCGAAATCTCGATTAAGTCGTCGGCCATGTCATTCATTCTTTCCACTACGGCCGGGAAGTCACACTTGGTCCATATGATAGACACGCCTGGTCATGTCAACTTTGTGGATGAAGTCGCGTCGTCAATGCGGCTAGTTGATGGTGTCGTGCTTGTTGTCGACGTCGTCGAAGGAGTAAGTGTTTCGATTTAGTGTCCGTAAGATTGACTTATGAATCGCAACAGATGATGGTGAACACCGAGGCCATCATCCGACACGCTCTACAAGAGAACATCAAAATAACCCTCGTAGTGAACAAAATTGACCGACTCATCCTTGAACTTCGCATACCACCTGCTGATGCGTTCTACAAAATTAAACACACCATAGAAGAGATCAATACCTTCATCAGGTAGAGTGCCTTCTATTCAACATAAATCTGAATTCACTTAACGTTTGACTTGCAGCAATATCAACCCTGACCCGGATTTACGACTTAGCCCAGAAAGTGGGAATGTTGCGTTTGCAAGTACAGACATGGGCTGGTGCTTTACCCTGCGCTCTTTTGCCCAGATGTACGCGGATACATACGGTGCGTTGGCTCTTCCTGCGCCGTTGGCAAAGCTACTTGAAACTCAATAGATAACCAGGGTCTCTTGACGTGCTCCAGTTTGCCAATCGTCTATGGGGAGACATCTACTTCAACACGGAGACACGCAAGTTCACCCGCAAGCCTGTGGACGCTGACCAGCCTCGTACCTTCGTTCATTTCGTCCTGAGCCCTCTTTACAAGCTATACAGCCATGTTCTGAGTGAGGAAACAGATGATCTCAAAGAGACGTTGGCAGAGCTGAACATCACTCTGAAGCCGGTGATGTATAAGATGGATGTCCGCCCCCTTCTCAAGGCCGTTTTGGATCAGTTCTTCGGTCCTGCAACCGGTCTGGCCGACATGATTGTAGAGCACATTCCCTCGCCAGTGGATGGTGCACCTGCCAAGGTCAGGCGCTTCATTTTATGACGAATGGTATGCTAAATGGTTGTTCCAGGTTGAAGGAACGTACACCGGTCCTCTGACTTCGGACGTCGTTGCGCCAATGAAGACATGCGATCCCCAAGGACCTGTCATGGTGCAGATCACTAAACTTTATCACACAACCGATGCTCAATCCTTCAGAGCCTTTGGTCGTGTGATGAGTGGTACGCTGAGGAAGGACTCAGTTGTCAAGGTTCTTGGAGAGGGTTACTCGCCTGAAGATGAGGAGGATATGTTGAAAACAACCGTCGAGGAGATGTGGATCAGCGAAGCCCGGTCAGTTCCCGTATCATCCATTTATATGGCTGTCTAACCAGTTTTGCCGTAGTTACTTCATACCCACTGATGAAGTCCCTGCGGGAAACCTTGTCCTCATCGGTGGTGTTGACGCGTCCATCACTAAGACTGCCACTATTGCTTCTGCAGACATCGACGAGGACCTTTATATTTTCCGCCCGATCAAGCATATGACTGAGTCTGTGCTCAAGATTGCCATCGAGCCCATCGCCCCCTCCGAACTTCCTAAGATGCTTTCTGGTCTGCGTAGTATCAACAAGTCGTATCCGCTCGCAGCTACAAAAGTAGAGGAGAGCGGCGAACATGTTTTAATTGGGCCCGGCGAACTTTACCTTGACTGTGTCATGCACGATTTGCGAAAGCTCTTTTCGGAGATTGAGATCAAAGTCTCGGATCCTGTCACCAAGTTCTGTGAGACGGTGCTGGAGACTAGTGCGCTCAAGTGCTATGCGGATACACCAAATAAAAAGTACGTGGAAGTACGGTGACGCTCATTTGTCCACTCTTATTGTTTCTTAGGAACCGACTTACCATGATTGCTGAACCACTGGAGCGGGGTATTGCCGAGGATCTGGAGCGGGGACGAGTTACGATGCAGATGACGCCGAAGGAGAGAGGGACATTCTTCCAAGAGAAGTACCAGTGGGATCTCCTGGCTTCACGTTCAATATGGGCGTTCGGTCCTGATGAAGGTGGCCCAAATATTCTCCTGGACGATACCCTGCCGTCACAGGTAGACAAAAAGGTGCTTGGTACCGTTAAGCAGCACATCACTCAGGGCTTCCAGTGGGGTGCTCGCGAAGGTCCGCTGTGCGATGAACGTGAGCAACCCTCATTTCACAGCTACAAAAATTCTGCGCTGAACCGATTACAGCTATGCGTAATGTCAAGTTCCGGATACTCGACGCTAGCCTTGCACAAGAGCCAATTTTCCGTGGCGGAGGTCAGATAGTGCCCACTGCTAGACGAGTCTGTTACTCGTCGTTCCTCATGGTGAGTCTTGACCCTGGACTATTCTCGTCAAACGGGCATTGACGGCAATCAACGGTCACTAGGCTACGCCGAGATTGATGGAGCCCATTTACTACGTGGAGGTGCAGGCACCAGCGGATTGTATATCCGCTGTCTACACTGTCCTCGCAAGACGACGTGGACATGTTACACAGGACATACCGAAAGCGGGTTCCCCACTTTACACAGTCAAGGCATTGATCCCGGTTATTGACGCGAATGGGTTCGAGACGGACTTGCGGACCGCCACGCAAGGACAAGCTTTCTGCTTACAGACATTTGATCATTGGTCGGTTGTGCCTGGTGCGTTCCCTCGGCATCAGTATTTTCCGCTTTCCTCACCTGTATGGATTACACAACAAATAGGTGACCCTACTGACACGAGCATCAAGCTGCGGCCACTGGAGCCCGCGTCTGGTCAGGCTCTTGCTCGTGACCTTGTCTTAAAGACGCGTCGGCGCAAGGGCCTGGGCGACCAAATTGCGGTGTCGAAATATCTGGACGATGAGTTTGTGGTAAGTCGCGTCCCCAATGGCTCGCACGCGTCGCGCGCTTGACTGATGTTTGAACAGCTCGCACTGTCTGCGTCGGGGCACGCTGATTTGCTAGGGTAGATAGGTAGTGTAGTGTGTAAGTCTTTGAGAATGTCTGCTTATAGATAATATAATAATTTCGATCGCATTCCGTGGCCATTCGATGCACGAAATCTGGGAGTGTGTGAGCGTGGGAGAACATACGTGGCAGGGAAATGCCGGGGTGCATTTAGAGCACGGGGGAGCGGGGGTCAGCTCGTCACTTCTACTTTTTACCTGCCTCCGCTCCTTTACCTTTCCTCTCCGTCTAATCGTCTCTTGGTCCTTCGTGTCTCATAATGCGAAGCGTTGCGTTCCCCGTTCTCATTGTCGTTGCCGCCTCTGGTGCGCTCGCAGCAGACGAGGCCAAGCCTGTTTTCACGGCATGTCCATCTCACGCGTCCGGGCATACGTGTCATAACTTATACCTCCTCTTTCTCTAGCCAACTGAAATTAAAGCGCCTTTCATTGAGCAGTTCACGGACGACTGGGCTGAACGGTGGACTCCTTCCGAGGCCACCAAGAAGACCCCTGTCGGTGGCGAGACCTTCAGCTATGTTGGCAAGTGGGAGGTTGAGGCTCCCGAGAGCGGTCTCGTCGAGGGCGCTCAGGGCCTTGTCGCTAAGACCAAGGCTGCTCACCACGCCATCTCGGCCCCCTTCTCTACCCCGGTTGACTTCACCAAGGAGCCGCTCGTCGTCCAGTACGAGGTCAAGTACCAGAAGGGCGGCAACTGCGGTGGCGGCTACCTCAAGCTCCTTGAGGATGGTTTCCAGACCAGCGGCAAGGAGTTCTCGGACAACACACCATGGGTAGTCATGTTCGGTCCCGACCTGACGTGTCCTGGCTCGAAGGTAGTCTATTGCTTGCTTTTGCGGGGCTTGGCGTTGTTAACAAGGCCTCGTTCTAGATTCACTTCATCTTCCGCCACAAGAACCCCGTCACTGGGGAGGTTGAGGAGAAGCACCTCAAAGCACCCCCCAAGCCTTCCCTTAACAAGGATACTAACCTCTACACCCTCGTTGTTCAGTATGTATCTCGACTTTTCGGCGTCTCATATTTTCTGAGCTCTATATAGCCCCAACAATCAGACCTTCGAGGTGCAATTCAACCATGACGTCCAGCTTTCTGGTAGCCTTCTCGAGGACTTCACTCCCCCCGTTAACCCCCCGAAGGAGATCGACGACCCCGAGGATACCAAACCCGCTGACTGGGTTGACACCAAGCGCATCCCTGACCCTGATGCCGTCAAGGTGGGCGCATACAACCAGTGCTCTCAACATTGTGCTAATTATAATCCATAGCCCTCTGACTGGGACGAAGAGGAGCCCTATGAGATCCCCGACGAGGACGCTGAGAAGCCCGAGGGCTGGCTCGACGATGAGCCCGAGGAAATCCCTGACCCTGGTATGCATGCATTTGCCACAGTTACAGTATTTGTCCTCATACGATTCTTTGTAGATGCTGAGAAGCCTGAGGAATGGGATGACGAGGAGGACGGTGACTGGATTGCGCCCACCGTCGCCAACCCGAAATGTCTCGAGGCTCCTGGCTGCGGCGAGTGGAAGCGGTAAGATAAATTTTTTAACTTCCATGAACACGAACTGATGGAAATTTTGCAGCCCCACGAAGGCTAACCCCGCTTACAAGGGCAAGTGGTACGCTCCCATGATCGACAATCCCGCCTACATTGGCGAGTGGGCTCCTCGTAAGATTCCCAACCCGGGCTACTTCGAGGATCTCGAGCCTGTCCAAAGCCTGTCTAAGATTGTATGTAATGCTTTTCTAAGATTACACACATGTCGTTTAACAATTTTGGCAGGGTGGTATTGGCATTGAACTCTGGACCATGACCGAGGATATCCTCTTCTCCAATGTTTACGTCGGTCACTCCGTCGAGGATGCGCTTGCGCTTGCGGCCGAGACCTACGACATCACTCATACCGCTGAGGCTGCTGCTTCAGCCAAGGCTCTGGATGTCGACGATGATGTTGTTTCCTTCTCTGAGGACCCCGTCACATTCGTTCGCGGCCGTGTCTTGAACTTCGTTGAGATTGCCAAGGTTGACCCCGTCGCTGCCTTCAAGGCTATGCCTGAGACTGGCATCGCTCTTGCTGGTGCCATCTTTACCCTCTTCGGCATGATTGGTGTTCTCTTTGGCCTCGTTGGCGCCCAGCAGAAGCCCGTCACGAAGGTATGAATCGTGTTTCACTTGCGCCCAGTATGGGATTATTGATGTTTGTCCTCAGTCTTCAAAGAAGACCGATGCTCCTACTTCCGACGACAAGAAGAAGGCCGACAGTACCCCTGTCGCTCCCGCCGGTGGTGACAAGAAGGACGAGAGTGGTGGCGCCCGCAAGCGCAAGTAGACAACACGCCATAGTGATTGATATATTTACCGTCACCAAAAGCTGTGGATGGGTTTTAGGGCTCCGCGGGCGGGCGGAAGGACACCTCGTATCACACGCATTTAATAACGCACTGTTGTGATTCTGGTATCTGGTATCTGGTAGGCTTATTTTCAGTTTCCAGGCGTTTCTACTATGCTATTCGCTATTAGCTACAATCTCATTTTCGAACCTTGCGTGGCACTAGGTGCATAACATTCATGGTTGATGCGCATGCGTGCAGAATCATTTCCCGCGCCAAACTACTTCCTGCACTAATCCCGATAGTGTTTCCTGTTGTTCTTTAAACATTACCGTTGCATCACCATCAAGCACAAGCTTTGGGAGCACCACACCCAGATCCGCACGAGCTGTAAGGGCGCGCTGTAAAAGTGAGATGACCTTTGTCCCTGACGGCAGGTTCCGGCTGTTGTAATGGCGCACATGAAGTTCGAGATGAAGTTCGGACAGATCTGGGAGTGGACAGTCATCAGGTAGGTCCGGTCCTTCTGGGTCCAAGTCTCGTATGACATCGTAGACACTCATGACTCCGATGGCACTCAAAATAAGCCTCCGAACACGGCTCGTACTTTTGAAAATGTCACGCCATGGAGAAGGGCCGTCGATGGTCTTGGGAATCCAAAGTTTGAGCGTATGGACGTCTCGTAGACTTATCATTCTGAATGTGTTGGCGAGCAGACTGAAACCGGCCAGATTGAGATTGAAATGTGCTTCTGTGCGTAGCCCTTCATGGTCTGGGTGCGCATAGGTACTGTACCGCGAGGAGCTCTTGAAACAAGCGGCTTGACAGTCTGCATGTTCGCAACAAAGTTGGATACACCACCTGGACGCTCCCCAGTACTCGCCCTCAATTTTAAGCGTATGTGAAGGAGATATACTTCCGACTTGTGGAGAGGCTGCGAGTATGCTCTCGGGAAGAAGGGCGGCTTTCCTGGGATACTCAAACGTTTCGTCGGATGCATCTTCCATGTGGAGTTTAACTCGGGCCGTCGGTGGAATGTCGAGGTAGGGCATAAAGTGACCATATGCGGTCAAGATATCTGTGATAACTAGCTTCTTTAAACGTGGCAAGCTCACGACGTCCTGACCCCTTTTGGTGAACCATGATGATGCCGAGGTAACGCGAGGAAGGGCTTCTACGAGCTTAAGAATATGAAGAGCTGGCATATTGCGTAGAAGAGATAGGAGCTCCTGAGTAGTGTTCATGAGGCCCTCTGGGACATATGCCAGATTGAGAGTTTCAACGTTGGACCATATGGGAGAATTAAGGTGAATCATGCAATGTTCTAGTGACAATGCACGCAGAAGCGGTGTCGTTTCAGCTAGAAAGGCATCAGAAATAAAATCTTCGTTGCCTCCAGATTGCTCCCTGCCTTTGCGGCAAACATGAAGCGCCTCGAGTTTCGGAGCGGGACCTGTGAGGTGCTGAAGTAGGAAAGGCATGACGGAGTGAAGACAAGTTATCCGCAGATTGCGAATGTGGGGTAATTGGCGAAGTGCTTTCACCAAAGTTTCTTCCACTGAGACCTGAACGGACTCCCTCCGCACAACCTTGTCAAGAGCCTCTTCTACGTGAACTTCGAGATCGAGAGGTGAGTGTTTTGACCGCTCAAGTTTTAAGTCTGTCCACGGTGAGAGTGGACTTGGGCCATGATGGAAAACAACAGTCGACCAGAGGCACGGCGCAGAGAGTGCGACCTCCCTCCAGTGTTTGCAAACATGCATGATCACGTTGCAACGGCAATGAGAGAAGATTTCTGCCAGGACTTCTTGAGGTATAGAGCAGGTTCTCGTGAAGCTGTTTCGCTGAGTATGCAACTTTCGGATTTGATCGTGTAAGAGCGCAACGTCCGCGTCAATCATAGATATTTGAATATCTGGGTTGAAGATGTTGGCCATGATAATCTCTAGTGCGATAAATTAGGGAATGGAAGCAAGTGGTAAAACAAGGGCCATGCTACAGTGACTTACCGGTACCTTCGACCAGCTGAATTCAGAAACCCCTGAGAGTCAGAGTAGCACGAAGTCAGCAAAAGGCAAGTTCGAGTTTTGCCGACAAGGACTTTTCTCGGCCTTATTAATCCATCACTCACTTGAACTCACTTGTACAGTAACAACTGTCTCCTTCCTCGGCGGCAAAGACGTCTCTTGAGACTCAAGGTGACTGCGATAGTGGAATTTAGCTCTTTATCTTCTTGAAGTCTTCTTCAACATCTCCTCCAAACATGACTCGCCCCAAAAACTCCAGCAACCTGTCTGAACTGCTCGTTGTTGAAGCTATGAAGACATGCTTTGGATCAGCGGCAATCGCTATAATGGTCCCAACACCGCCCTGGAGCTCGCGCTCATCCGCTGTCGCTCTACGCAGATACTGAAGCATGACAACAAATCCACTACTCTCCGTGATTCTCTGCGTTTCTCGGTTTTCCCAACGATCACTCAGAGCTCTGTGTAGAGCCCATTCTAATGGGCTGGAAATTTACTCTCGACCCCCAAGGAGAGCCCGCTAATTTTCGGGGGATCGTTTGGCGACTTGCATCAACTATTTAATCAACCTTCTTAATTTAATCCCTTTATGCCGTTGTTTTTCATGCATCGCTACGCCCTTTTGACGGCTTAAACAGTTCGAAGTGAGGCTTGGTGCACAATGTAACAGTCTGTGAAGTCCCATGTCTAATCGTTGGTGTTTGCAATGATATTAGCCAATATTAGCAGCTCATGCTTGAAGGCACTACTACAATGTACAGACCGTATATATGCAACATTTGACAGTGTCTCCGCAATGTCTGTACATAACCCATGTCATCATCCACGCGGCTTAATATCTCGTGGCCTGTAGGATTGTTTTACTGAAGGTACCGTGTCTTCGACTCCGAAGTTCCTTTCTTGGTCTCCTACTTAGGGGTTTAGAACTCTCTTGAATCTCCACGTCCTACAAAATAGCCTAATATCCTTGTCTGCCGACTTAACTTATGCTAAACCTCGCCACCCTTCATACCTATCTTTCTCAGCTCATCGCTCCGCCCTCAGTCCACACTGCTTTGCTGATCTCTCCTGAGGGTGCGCTTGTCTCGTACGCGACGGACCCTGCGCACCCCCGGCCCAAGGACGAAGTATGGGCTGTTGCAGCGCTCGCAGCAGAGACATGGGCCGAAACACGGGCACAAACGCCGAGCGTAAATGGTGAGGAAGGCGGTGAGGAAGGACGACGAGAGGAGACGGATGCGGGGATGGTTGAGAGCGAGGTGAGTCATCTGGCTGTAGGCTCGGTTGCCCGTTCACCAAGCACTGGCACCCACAGCTTGGTCGCGTTGTTGTAGTACCTGTGGAACCGGGATCAAGCTCTCATTCAAAGAGCACATCTCCGGACGGGGAGACTCCATCTGCAGAACCAATACTTCTGGTCGCAGTGAATGGTTTGTCGGATGCGGATTGGGAAGGGATGGTGATCAAGGTATAGGCTTTTATAATCTACTTTGTTCACGACCGCTCACTCCGGCGAATGATCACGTACAGTCCAGGTCACTTGCACGATACCTAGCTCCTTCGGTGAATAAACATCGGGAGACAGCGGGCATTATGGGAGGCACTGCACTTAGTACGAGCGTCAGCATAAAACCGTTGCCGCGGACACGCTCAGCAGCATCCCCACATCATCTATATGGCGCAAATCGATGAACACAGCGTATGGGGGTCATTTGTGTTATTTGGGTTTGCTTTGACTGTATGCGTTGAGGCGGTAGCGTATGACTGGCCAATGGGACGCGCACGATGATGCTTGAAACACATCGTCATTACTGCGGGACTTGAAAAATCGTAATAAATTTGTTATTACCTGTCGTTGTTACCGGCAAATATCGAACCGAGGACCTCGCTTCATCGTTCGCCGCTTTTCCTCTCGAGCAAATTCCAGCCATGCGTCGGTGGGCTGCGTCTGCTCTCACCTCCTCTTCACGCTCCCTGCCATCGCGCACGACGCGTCGGGCACAGAGTGCACTTGCCGCCGCTGCCCGACCTGTTCCGAAAGACTTTCCTCCGGCGAAGTCCACCGCGTCCACTCCAGGACCGTCAATAACAATCAAGGACTCCCGACCTGACCCATTTCATATTGTTGCACCCCAGCTTGCCCAGCTGCGCACTACACTCTTCAACCTTCTTGGCTCCTCCCATCCTGAACTTCAAACGGTAGCACAGTACTACTTCTCTCACCCGTCAAAGCAGCTTCGACCACTGCTTGTCCTTCTCTTCGCCCAAGCAACAAACGGTCTCGGACGCGCATATCCCCAAGTCGCGTCGTCCGTGCTTAATGCCGGTGTTCCCAATGCGTCTGCAGGCAAGACTGGCATGGAACCGCTCGACGCGCCGCTTACGCGACACGACGTATTGAACGACTATAACCCCCGTATGCCAGACGATACCGCTTCTTTCTCCACCACCTTTGCTCTGCGCAAACCTTCGGGGCCCACCGGGGCGCGTTTCACACCAACCCCCGCGCTCTCCGAGTATAGACCCGCGGTTGCGAACACCCTTCTCCCTACCCAGCAGCGCCTCGCCCAGATCGTGGAAATGATTCACGTCGCATCTCTGCTGCATGACGACGTCATCGATATGTCACCCCTCCGCCGAGGCGCTCCTTCGGCACCCAACGCGTTCTCGCCAAAACTCGCCGTGCTCGGTGGCGACTTCCTACTAGGCCGTGCATCCGCCGCACTTGCGCGCCTTGGATCGAACGAAACCGTCGAGCTCATTGCGAGTGTCATCGCGAACCTCGTCGAGGGCGAAGTTCTCCAGATCCGTCCGCCTGATGCACGTGTAGAGGCCGAACTCAACACGACGGTCAAGGTGGCAGAAACGCAAGGGGATGCTGTACACAGTGCAAGCTGGCAGATCTACTTGCAGAAGACGTACATGAAGACGGCGAGTCTTATGGCCAAGGGTGCTCGCGCGGCGGTGGTGCTCGGTGGATGCGAGGATGGGGATATCGCGAAGGAGGCCGCATATGCGTATGGCCGGAACCTTGGCATTGCATTCCAGGTCTGTCATCGCTTAGAGTTCTTCAATGTATCCGTACTTATTGACCTTTATGGGCTAACAGCTTCAAGATGATGTTCTCGATTATGCGGCATCTGAGGCGCAGTTGGGCAAGCCTGGTAACGCCGACTTGAAGCTTGGATTGGCAACGGGCCCTGCGTTGTATGCATGGGAGGAGCATCCTGAGATGGGTGCGCTGATCAAGCGGAGGTTCGAGCAGGAGGGTGATGTTGAACTCGTGAGTAGTCCTTTATACATCTGATCTCTTATCTTCCTCGTGTGGTCTATTTTGTTGTTGCACGGACTAGCGATCCCTTGAACGTGTCCAGGATCTGATCACGTCCACTCTTACCTTTTTGAGTCCTCTCCTGCCATCCTCCGCCGCGGAATATTTGGTCGTCATCAATGTCCTGGGATGATGTAACTAATTCGACCCTTTCCTTCTCAGGCTCTTAACCTGGTTCGTCGCTCATCCGGTGTTGAGCGAACGAGTCAGCTGGCACAAGCGCACGCCGACAAGGCCCGTGAAGTGTTAGCCTTCCTACCGCCAAGCGATGCCAGAACAGCGCTCGAGGCGCTGACCGAGCGCGTCGTCATACGCACTTGGTAAATGCTATGAACCAACTCCTAGAGCTTTACATCAGGCTAGAGACGCTTCTTGATATCCTCATTGTCGTGTCGGTTAATGACATGATGTCTCGCCTCAATCCCATCTCAGCAAAATAGACAGACACATATCTCGAGCTAATACCTCTACAAACTTCAGTCGCCTTTGTCGTAGTCGGGTACACCAGAGGAGTGCTAGACCGTGGACATGCAGCTTACGCACGTACGCACACACACACATAATCATAATTCATGCATCCTTCCTTCATCCTGGCTAATCCGACTAGGGAGCCTGGCACCCTGCACGAACAAAATATGCGTCTCATACATCATCCTTCAAGTCTGAATAATTCTGGTCACACTTACCAAGGGTTTCAGTCATTAGCATCGTGGTGCATCTGGCTGTCAAGCAAAAGTTCCGAATCCAATGTCGTCAGAGGCTGCCAGAGGTCGTCAGAAACCGGTAGCTTTTAGCCTCAAAGGTTGACGGATCAATCATCACGACAACCTCGCGCTGCAGCCGCTCTTGCAGCAATTCTCGGGTTTTTGTCGTCAGGTCAGCAGGTGAGTTTATCCGACGTCCTTGACGACGTGACTACGTTGTGCGTCCACACCGCAGACACACTCATGATCTCTCATGATTCGTTGGAGCTCTCACAATATTCACTCTATGGCAGTTTTGGCCACAATGCTTATGATCAACATCAATTTCTTCCGCCTTCTGTATTGATTCGCACAGCAGCGGAATTTCAGTGGAGCTTTGGTCTGCGTCGTCGGCATAGAGCTGTATAGAGGATGCAAAAGAATCGGGTCTTGCGCGCACGTGGCCCTCTCACCCATCAAGACCTCGCCAAACGACTGTATGTGCCGCCAACTATTGTACTCACGGGTATACTTCTTGAAAAAGTTCGGTCTCTGCTTCATGTCACAAGGGAGGTAAATCGTTGCTGCGCGAAATTCGTCTTGCACAATGACCATGACTTAGCTCAGTCCGAATCTGTGCTAATAGCAGTTCTCACATAGGATACACAACCCTGTCTATGCGGGCATTTGTCTTCACGCCAAAACCCGGCTCGAGTGAGTTCGAATGTCGATCACGTTTCGGGGATAACTTAGTTCTGATAGCCGCGGATGATTCTCGCGTGTTTCTCCCCACCTTGTCAACGAACAGTCTGTCATCAGCTATGAGCTTGCGTCGTCGGTGCTTGTGTGTACGTCAATCGCCAAGTGAGATATTCCAGGATATTCCTTGAGCGGGGTCATGTCAAATGCATAAAAGCGCGCCGCTCTCCAGAATTTGCTCCTCACCAACACCGCTACCCAGTCACATACACCTCTTCTCAACACCATGTTCCTCTCTCTTGCTTTCGTCACCGGACTTGTTGCCCTTGCTAAGGGTCAGACCTTGACTGGTCAGTACGACTGTGCAACCCAAGGCAACTACCAACTCTGCAACAACCAGTGGGGCACCTGTGCGTGATACTTTTTACGACGCGTCCCGAGTATTAACGCTAAACCTGATGTGCTCCTTATGGTAGCTGCCGGCACTGGAAGCCAGACCGCTACGCTCAACGGCGTGAACGGTAACTCGGTCAGCTGGTCTACCCAGTGGAACTGGTCCGGCGGCGACAACAGCGTGAAGACGTACTCCAACATCTCCCCTACGACTGGCATGGGCTCTGCGCTCAGCGCCATCACCACCGCTCCGACCACCTGGCAGTGGGCGTACAGCGACACTTCGAACGTCCGTGCTGATGTCTCGTATGACATCTGGATTGGCACCACGCCTGACGGCGCGCAGGCCTCTGCTCAGTCGTCTTACGAGATGTGAGCGCTCTTCAGCAAGTCGCAACCACAAACCGAGACTAATATGTATTATTTAGCATGATCTGGCTCTCCGGCCAGGGCGGCATCCAGCCCATCGGCTCCAAGACCGCGTCTGCCAACATTGGTGGCCACCAGTGGGACGTCTGGACCGGCCCCAACTCCAACTGGCAGGTCATCTCGTTCCTCACCACCGAGGGTGACATCACCAACTTTTCGGCGGACCTCAACGACTTCTTCAAGTACATCATTGCCAGCAACGGCGTCAACTCGGGCCTGGTGCGTTTCAACTCATTTTCACGACAATCTGTTGGATAAAACTAACGGCTTCTGCATACGCAGTTCCTCCAAACCATCGAGTCTGGTACCGAGCCCTTCACTGGCTCTGCCACCCTCACCACCACCGGCTACAGCGTCTCAGTCAGCTCATAAACGCAAAACTGCAAATTTAGGGCCGTTATGTATCATTCTTTATTCCGAGGGTGTACTTTTCTGCGACTGTATTCTTAATACTACTTATATACATGGTGCTTTGCGACAAAGGCGGTCACTTGGTGTTCTTGAAGTCTGAGGCGTACTGGTCGGCTTTTGCCGATTGCTCGCAGCGGCCTGCTTGACCAACTCGGACGGCTTGGATTCGCCGCCATGTTGCCGCCATGCTCGGCCACTGACGACCATGGCATATGCACCATGTTATAAGTATACAGCACTGTAGTCCTGTGCTACACCGCTCTCATCTCAGTCCTCGCCGTTGCGTAACGCAAAGGTGAGCTAGGCTTGCTGTCGCACTGCTTCACCATTGGACATTTAATTCGGCGTTTACCTCGACCTGGATCGAGTAGGATCAGACAACATGGGACATGACGTTCAGCCCACAGCAAGCGTTGATGCTTGGTGTCGGGATACCCTTGTAGCAGAAGCTCGAATTCGTATCGACCGCGACATCGTCTCCGCATATGAATCAATCAGCAAGTCACTTACACGTATCCTCACTAGGAGACACGACAAAATCAATACCACTTACGAGTCCATCCGAACGCTACGAACTACGCGCAACTCCTTGTCAAAGATATGTGCCCTACCTCCCGAGATCCTTGTGACGATATTCAGCCATTGCTCCGCCGATTGGGTTCCGTTCTCCCATGTCTGCGAGCACTGGCGAGACACGCTTATCTATACACCCCGATTCTGGTCAAGCTTTTCGATTAACACCTCATCACTATCTCCATGGTCGAGGGTCAAACTTGAAAGGTCAGGCGTGTCACCACTGGACCTCAAGGTCGCCATCAGGGACGGCGCCAGTTTGGAGTCTCAACCAACCCGAGAGCTCTTGCAGGATACCTTCAGGCAAAGTCCACGGATACGCACGCTTCAGCTGACCTTCGTAGCAGACGCCATACCACTCCTTGTCGAGAATCTCACCGCGCCTGCCCTAATCCTAGAGTCGCTAATGCTTGCCCGTTGTGATAACGCCGACGAATCAGATTACTTACCCGGCCTATTTTCCGATCAAACACCAGCTTTACGAAGACTGCTCCTGGAAAAATGCTCACCACCCATGGACTCACCCGTATTTACTCAACTTCATTGGCTTGAGTTCAAATTTGTTCCACCCAGTCTCATACCAGACGCCGAGCGCTTGCTCGCGGCGCTACGGCATACTCCAGCGCTGCGCGAGCTGAGAATCGTAGAATCACTTCCGCTCGAGACTGCAATCACATCCCTTTACTTCTCCGACCAGCCCCGAAGCGATGTTGTCTCTCTTCCAAATCTCCGGCGCATCCGTATGCTGGGATCTCTCGATGCGTACGCAGGTCTCTTAACCCTTCTAGATTTCCCAATGACAACACGCCTCCGACTTGATCTTGGACTTCGGTCCCCTCTTGATCCCGCGCTCTGGAACGGCGTGCCTTTTCTGCCCCAGAAAGTCTTTCAGGACCGCCGGTCCTCGTTTGACTCAGCACAGACGTTGGAGTTCACTATCAGTTCCCATCATTGCGTATACAAGCTGTATGACACGCAAGACGAGCTGGACTCTCGAGCTGCGCCTCGTACGATCGCCAACGCCCGTCACAAGCCCACCCACCACCTAGACATACGCTTCATCAGCGACAGCATCCGACTCATCCCCCGCTCTTGCATGTTCCTTCCGTTCATTCCCGCCAGCAGACTCGTCGTGCGAATGGACCAGCGCGCTGCAGTCGGGCTCCTTCCGTTCCGCGACCTCTTCCGCGGCTGCCAACAGGTGCGGAGCTTCTTGCTCGAAGGATACGGCGACTTCGCCACCGCCATTGGCGCATTGAACCCACGCAATACAGCTGGCGTGGTCATGCCGCAGCTCGAGGAACTGCATATACGCTGGTACGATGGCAAGGCGGGATATGCCCAGTCCACGCCTGAAGATCTGATGGCCGCCCTCACTGAGCGTGGAAATGCTACTGGTGCACCACTAAGGAAGCTCGTGCTTGAGGGCCATTATGTCCTGTTCACGATGTTTAAACCGATGGTCGAGATACTCAAGGGTGTCGTGTCAGAGGCGTACATATTGTCGGGCGGGGAAGTTGTGAAGGAGGACGAGTGGTATCACATTGAAGATCCCGACTCGAGTTCTGATCTGGACTAGACGTGTTTTACATTTGGACGGTAATTTTGATCTACGGACTGGTGTCTCGGCCCAACATTGGATATTTATAGTACTATATTTTGCAAGGTACAGCAAGGACTTTCGAGTTCAACCTGATATTGACTAGTTATTTATATGGCCATACCTGTACTGTAGCACTGGCCGTTGGACTGCAGAGCGGTTGGACAACTTCATTCATCATATGTATCGTCTCCTAGGATTCTGAGGTAATTACGCTTCAAGAAGCTTCAAGTAACATACAGGCCAAGTACAAACCCTTACTCTAAGGATACTGGTACATGACGCCTTCAAACAACTTGATTTCAGGGTGTGAGAGGTCCTGAATATAATGCACTAGCATTGTTGGTCTTAAAAAACCTTCGGTCGAAAAGCATTTGTAGAAACAAACCATCAAAATGAGGAGCGAGCAAGGCCAGCTCATCATTCGCGCTCAGTAGGTCGAGCGCTACGACGGCTTTTCTTTCTCGGCGCGTTCTTATTTCTTGTAGTGTTTGCTGGCCTCCCTGACCACAATCCAATGGTTAAAGCAGAAACATCGATCAGAGAGCGTTGCCTTACCACTGCCCTGTGCTCCATGCGGGTCCGAGGTGCTCGTTCCTTCGGCACTTGGGTTATTCGGATCAGCAAATCCGTGCGAGCACATTCTGAATCTGGGAGCGCTGTAAGCCGTGGACGACAGTAATTCATGGGCCATGGTTTCTGCGAGTGCATCCTGGTATGCGTCGGTGAGGGGGAGGTCGCTCATGCTGTTTCTAGTTGAGTAAGAAAGAGAGTTATCGTAGACGCTGCCGCGGTTGGGCTGATAGGGTAAGCTGGGTAGGGGCGGGATGTCGTCATAGTCAATGTCGCTGGATCGGGGGAGGCTTGCAGAATCTGCGATATAATCAGGCTGAGAGAAGAGGTCATCGTCGTAGTCGATATCGCTAGCTCGGTAGGTGGCAGCGGGTGGAGGTGGAGGAACGTAGCGAGGGGCAGCATGAGATGCTGCGTCTCTTCTGATTGTCCCTGTACTCGGCTTCTGCAGTGGGTCTGGGGGGGCAGACAAGAGGGCTTTCATCTGATCAATCCCAAGTGTGACGACCGTTACAGAAGCTTCAAAGCCTACGAGGCTCGCGAAGCCAACGCCGACGCCGAATGCAGCATACAGGGCGTGGCTTGCGAGAGAGAGGACTTGCGATACCGTCCCAGGCAGAGCCTTGAGCGTCAAGGCAGATTGCTGCCAGGTTGTACGAAGGGCAAATCGTCCAAGGGGCAACAGGACGGGTGATAGAGCCCCAAAGACGGCAGAGGCAATGCAGATGCGGGTGATTGCACGGGTGTAAGACGTCTGTTTAAAAGGCTGTTGGTTACGTGACGCCGGTTGAGAACGAGCTGCGCTGCGAGAGCAAGAAGGGCACGGACATAGGTCAGGAATGGAAGGCATCGTAGCTGAGTGGGTTTGCCAAGACGACGTCGGAGGTGTTGCAGGAGGAGCGGGGTGATTAAGCACTATACGCAACTTATCGCTTAAGATTTGGCGGAGTTGTTGTTTTTCTGTCATTTAAGAGTCCTGGAGATCTCGTAAGATGGTATGCAAGTCGGAGACCTGGCTTGCTGTAAGCTCCTCAGCTCCTCTGGGAAGCATAGGCGCCCAAGTAGGCGCTCAACAATCATAGTGTATGCCCCCATGGCCATCAACTCCTAAACGCTTGCCTAAACGTATCTTACAAACTACACAACTATATGGGCAAGCTCGAGTTAGGCATGAAAGCATGAAGTCGTGCATATGTGCTATCCACATCGTAGGATGGTGTTTGATTGGTTCACTACCAGACGGCAGTGCAATATCAAAGTATTCTGCAGCACTATTACACCCAAGTCCGGGAACAGATATTTCACCACATATCAAGACATAATTTCAGAACAAGCAACAGCTAGAGTGATCAGCGTCGGCGGTTTTTCTTTTTGTCCTTCGACTTGTACGACTTGTTCGTGGAGTGTGTGTGCTGAACTGATATGATACACGTTTGATTAATTGAGAGAGGTATGCGGTAAAGCAAACATACTTGTGCTTGCTTCACCCAGTTCGAAGGAGCCCTCCTGCTCAATATTGACGTTTTCCGGGATTGCATAACCGTGAGGACAGACCCTGTGTCCGGGTGCACCCCTTCTCGGTCGAAGACCCAAGGCCATCATGAACATCTCGATGTATGCGCGCCCAAGAGCCTTGGAATATGCTTCTGCAAAGCCTGGTGGGCAGGGAAGGTCATCATTGCCGGCAGATTGGGAAGGGAGATTGATAAAATTTGTGGTGTAGTAGACAACATGTTCCTCGTGCATGGGTTGATAAACGTAGCCCTGTGAGCCCCCTGGTTGGCTAGAGAAGTCAACATAGCCGTTGTTGGGACGGGGGTAGGAATAACCACTAGAGGAGCTAGCTTGGCGAGGAAGACGCTCGATGGCACTGGACTGGTATTGATAGTCGACACTACCAAAAGACCGATCAAGGACCCAGAGTACTACGGCTCCGACGAGGAGGGTGAGTCGGTAGCTCAGAACGCGTGCCACGAGAGAAAGGATTTGATCCACACACGCACGTAGCGCATTATGAAGTAGCTGAGAAAACCTGCTGGCAAGATACAGGGAAGGCAAAACAGCCCGGAGACAGTATGGTGGGTGAAAGGTATGTCAAGACAACAACAGAGACGCAGGCGCGAGCCGCGATGTGAAGGAAAGACGTTGAGGCGCGAGATATTATGCAAGAGCGACCAAAGCCCAAGAGCAGGGAGCGCATAGTGGTCGAGTGGGATAGAGCTGAGATCGAGGGACGATAATCTTATAAAGTTGAAGTCAGTGGCCCGTCCAAGCAAGTAGGTGAACGGTATGGCTGTCAGTGAAAACTCGTCGCCAGTGCTACCTAATTAGGAGGAACCTTATCGCAAGACCTGACATATTCGGGGTAAGGACCTTTGTTAGTTTACCAGACGCAAAGTTTAGCGCTGCTTCTGCTGAAGCAACAATCCAATCAGAGGCTCGAGCTCGTGGTATCAATCGATTCGCGATGTGATTCGCGCCCGCTGATTTCATGAGTTCTTGCCTCCTCGAAGATTCCGAGAGATCTTCGTAAGAGAACATCTACGATGGCCATGCGGCGCACAGTAGTATTCTAAGTACCGTTCGCATAGCCGAGTAGGACTTCAAGCTTCAAGTTTCAAGCTTCAAGGTTGTGGAGGAAAGACGAGCGACAACTAGTTGAGTCGCAACTTAGGAAGCAGTTCTCACGTTCGTGGATTGTATTCAAATTGTACTAGCACGTGATCGGACTTCGCGAGGTGGAATTTACTTCCGCTTCTTTTGGCGTGAACCACGACGAACTCCGAAGGAGACTTGCAACGAAGCCAAGCACCGAGTACTGAGATCGTAGATGCACTCAGAGTAATGCTGTCTTCTTAGTTCCTGACGAAGTACCGATTGCTGACGATCTCACAGGAAGGTTACAGGTATCTCTAGGCGCCGTCCTCACGATTTATGTATTATCCAACTTGAATGCCGTAAACCTTCCCTTTCCTCCGTGACTTGTCAAAATAATGCCGTGCAGTGTACCCAGGGAGCCTGAGATTATATGGGTTTCAGACTGTGTTCCGGCCGATTTATTCGGCTCGAATAACCGCAACGTGCTTCACGCCGTGCCCCCTCGACACGGAGGCATTCAATTTAGAAGGAACCTAACTTGTTCAGGAAGACTATTGCCAGAGAAGCGGTCGAAAACAGCCCAAAATACGCTCATACAGGCTCGAAGCTTGGGCGGCTCCCTGATTAATGCGGCTTCTTGCTCTACGATTCGTCGGGCGGAAACGAATAATGAACGTTAATGAACGCGATCTCGAGCCCTGCCACTGGAGCTTGCTGGTGAAGGTGTGAAGGAGGAAACGAAGGAGCAAGCCTTCTCAACTTCACGACTCTTCACTGTGCATCTGTGCCCCGCTGGTCGCATCCATGGACGGTAATCGAAGCACGAGCGAGCAGCCGGAGACGCGACAGGTTGGGTCGTGCCTCACTTTCGGCTCTCTGGTCGTTCAAGCTCAACGCTCCGGCGCTGCTCACAATGACGGCCAGGAGAGCCCCACCAATCCCGTCGCTGACTCGAAGCTATCAGCCTCCCCTCTTTCACTCCCCAATGCTCTCTCCGAGTCAACACCCCTCCTAGGCAGCATGCGTGCTACGACGACAAAGTATGCCGCCTATATGCGCACCTTCTCCGAGATTCGCAAGGACCCCAAGGGTTTCCTCACCGAGCGGGCCCGGGGTGTATTTGAGCAGCGTATCCGTCCGGCGTTGGAGCATGCTGGCATTCGTGTGCCTACCCTCGATGTCGAGGCTTGGGATGCGGAGCACGGGGCGAGCCAACCTTGGCCTGTACAAGCTGTTGTTGAAGTCATCATTCTAGCGCAGAAAGGCTTCGGTGTATTTGCGTATGTACCTCATTTTAATCTCTAGAAGAACCAAGTGTTCACATATGACAGGACAAATATCCAAGCTCATTCTATTCTAATTGCACCGACGATCGCTCTCGGACATTTATCTACGAAAGATCTCGCTGCCTCGACCATTTCAACGGCGCTTGCGAGTATCACCGGATATTCGCTTCTTAACGGCGTACTCGCGTGAGTCGAAATGTACATGAAGCATTGATTTGCGCCGCGTTGATATAGCCTCCTCTAGATCGCTCGATGCACGTCTTTCAGGGTGTGATCATCGCACTGCACAGCGCTGGTGCCTACGGGCAGCACTCATTTGTGGTTTAGGCCTCTTTGTATGTAGATATTTTCTACCAGCCTACCTTAGCCGTACTAAATACATGATAGCCTATCCTCTCACTCTGGGCATCGTCCGGCACGTTGCTTAAGAAAGTCAGCGCTGCGACAAGCACCTATGCGAATGAAGTTGACGGGCTGCTGGAGACTGCAGCCTTGGGAATGCCTGCATGGGTGGTCGGAGAAGTTTCAAAGTCAGTGTACTCATTTTACTTTGTTCACCAGGATGGCTGAATGGCCACGGTACTTTTGTAGACGATACCTTGGCTCGCAAGGGAAATCAACCATCACGACACGGGTGCTCACCCTCGCTGCACCCATGAACGCCGGCTTGAGCTATCTTCTCGGTACGTATGAACGCGACCCAGAATATATGCATCTGCACGCTGACCCAAATAAACGTTGAACAGTGAACGGTCCCATTCCCGCTCTTCAACGTGGCCCAACTGGTGCTCCACTCGCAGCTGTCTTCTCCCACATGTTCGTCGCGTTCATGCTAGGCGCATGCGTCATTGCCCTCATCATCCGTGCCGCTCTGCATGAAGCAGCGCGGCTCGCCGGCGTTGATGGCCGCCTGGAGGCTGCCGAGGGCTGGGTCGAAGCGCGTGCCGTGGAGATAGACGCGCGCGTCGAGACGGCCCAAGAGCGCGCGGAAGGCTTACAGAGCATGGCGAAAGGAGCGGTGGAGAATGCAGACAGACTTCAGGCGCAGGTTAAAAGCCCAAGGTCCGAAGCTCCCGCTGGACATGTTAGTTATCCAACAGATGGCGACACTGCCGAAGAGCACATCGAAAGTTGCTCTGGCGAGGAAGCCCCCCTTCTTGGCGAAGCATCTGCTCAGCCCGAAATAAACAACGATGACGGACGGACACACCTGCAGGAACTAGCTCTCGAAGCTGCCAAGGGTATCGATGGGGATCATGTTCATGTTGAAGCAACCAAGGTTGATGTGCGCGCAAAGCTTGCAGAAGAGAACCCTGAAGACAGGGGATTCATTCGAGGAACGCTGGAATTGTTAAGAGGCGGTGTATCTGGAGTCGGTACGCATCTTGTAGCCATCATCTGCCCAATACTATGTTAATGCTTTGTAGGTAAAAGCGCGGCTGAGACGTGGTCAAAGGACTTCAGTGGATGTATGTCTGCCGCTATATTTATCCCGAGTACGTCTACTGACTTGAATATGCAGTATCTGCGTGCATGTACGTTGTCTCCTCATCAAATAAACAAAAGAAAATCTCGCTAAATGCGCTTGTTAGGCTGGGTCCCGTCGCGCTCGCATCACAAGCAGTCCTTCTCGCAACGAGCACGACCATCTTTCAGGTTCCTCGCTCGGTAAGTGAGGTTATGACCATGAGGTACGTTCTACATTCGCATACATCTGCGGATGGATTAAGAACTAGGCCTTCAGGACACAGAAGCTATTGGAACGGGGAGACATTGCACGAGCGAAAGTCGCGGTTTCAGTCGCGCTCCTGGGGATAGTCATAACGGCCGTGATCATCAGGTGTGCTCTCCTTCAATCATTATCAATCTTGAATAAATTTGATTTCTTCCTTCCTAAAAGTAACGTGCTCATAGCGACCGACAACAAGTTCGGCGAGATGTTCAATCCTGATCCTTGTACGTTGCCCTTGGCCATCCATATTAACATGCGCGTCTCATTTGTACCCCCAGCGGTTATCAAGTCGGTCTGTGAGGTCTTACCTGTTATTGCCGTTTATCAAGCTTTAAATGCTCTCGGCGGTTGGGTGAATGGCGTCCTGGATGTACTTGGTAAACAGGTAATCAGGATCTTCCCAATAACATGTGGATAATTCATGTTGATGAATGGGTCCCTAGGCCGTTTTCCCGGCACTGAATGCAAGGTAAGATCGTGATATATATATAAATTGTGGAGGACAAAGCTGATTTCCCCTCTTGATGCCGTACTCAGCGCAGACTATCTCATTGGTGAGTAATCTACGCTCCACCGGGGTGTTTGCTAACGAGTGTCTTGTAGGGATTCCTCTTGGCCTATACCTCACCTTCGTGAAGCAATGGGGTCTATCAGGCCTCTGGGTTGGCCTTGTCATGAGCCACTTGTACGCACTGGTCGGCGCGCTCGGTGTATTGTGGAAGGTAGACTGGGCAGCAGCGGCTGGAAAAGCTACCAAAAATACTCAGGACCCTCCGAGTGAAGTACGCGTGCAAGACGTCGAGATTGTTATTGATAGGGCTTAAGCGGAAAATCTCTGCCGTGCATTTGGTCACATCTGCCACTCACTGTTTGGATATAGCCAGCGAAACAAATTTGTACGTTCTGTTTTGTACTATAAGTGTATATCATGGCTCCAATGGATATGTATCATACTCCGTATATTATATGATCTTACACTCTGCAGAGAATTTCGCCGTGAAGTAGCACAAACCAACCATCCTCAGCTGAGCTCCATTCCTTCCATGCCTTGGCCAGCTCCTCCACCTTCTCCTGGGTAGCATGGCCTTTAGATATCGCCGTCGTCCTGAACTCCGACTGCAGCAAACGTTCCTGCCAGATCCCGCTCCACCAGCTTCGCGTGTCGTCGGTGCTGTAGCACCAAGTGCTCGTAGTGGCCGTGATGCTCTCGCGCGGGAACCCAGCCGCGAGCGCCCACGACAGCACCCTCCTTCCCGCGTCCGGCTCCCCGCCATTGCCCCTCCCAACCTTGTGGTACAAGTCCCGCCACTCGTCCAAGCCCTCGATCGTGGGGTACCAAGCGAAGCCCGAATAATCTGCCTCTCGCACGGCGACGATTCCCCCTGGCTTCGCGACGCGCTTGAGCTCCCTGAGTGCGCGCATGGGGTCCTCGAGGTACTGCAGCACCTGGTGCGCGTGCACGACGTCGAACGACGCGTCCGGGTACGCGAGGTTGTAGATGTCCGCCTGCGCAAACTCGACGTTGGACACGCCACGCTCGGCCGCATGCGCGCGGGCCTTGTCGAGCACGCCCGAGGCCTGGTCGACGCCGACGACGCGGCCCTGCGGGACACGGGAGGCGAAGTCGGCGGTGATGGTGCCGGGGCCGCATCCGACATCGAGAATGTGCATGTCTGGGCGGAGGGAGCTGGCGAGATAGGCAGCCGAGTCCTCGATGGTGCGTGAACCATGAGCGCGAAGGATGGAGGCACCATGGCCGTGAGGGTAATTGGTAGTCGCGGACATGATGGTGCTGGCGAGCAAGTCTTTGAGTGTGAAGCAGGGATGTAGCGCAGTAGATAGTGCTGAAGATTGAACGTAACTTACACACCCTTCTTATATGTCGAAGTCTGGAGAGTTGCTGGTGGGGATAGGAGCTATTTTCGGACCTGTGACCGACATGAGCTGCCCGAAAGGTCCGATGCGACACATAACCATCATGCATCATGTTGGCATCATGATATGGCGTCGGATTTGCGTCGGGTGAAAAATCCGACACGTAGAGCATGGCAGGCATGAGATAAGGTCAAAATATATACAAGCAAGGGCATTTACGGCAAACGTAGCAATAAGATAGACATGCGACGCTTGTAGGAGTATCGCTAGAAAGACAGAGAGCAGAGGAGCAGAATGAGTAGATGGGTTTAACAGTAAAAGGAAGTCCGAAGGTGTACCCCATTCATTGTTCGTATACGTGAATAGATACAACAATAATTACGACCGCTTTGGAGGCTGACGAGACAGATATCGGTTTATGAGGCTAGGTTATGGAGCAGAAAAGCTCACCATGTATCCCATGTAGCTTTGATACCCACCGCTTGTAGGGGGTGAACCTCCAGGAGGCATGCTGGACATCGGAGGAGGAGACATCATAGGGGGAGGCATGCCATAATGGCCTGGAGGAGGCGCAGCTTGGGGTGGTCCTGAAGCTGGTGCACCTTGGGTCTGTTGTTGCAACAATGCCAGAATATTCGGCGGAAGACTTGAGGGTAGTGTCGCTGAACTCGGCGGCGGCGGCAACGAGCCGTACGCAGGGGCGCTTCCGGGACCAGGAGGCACTGCGCCATAAGGAGGCTGCGAAGCCATGCTTGGGGGTGGGGGGGCATAGTAACCGGCACCATTTTGTGAAGGGGGCAATGGGGGCATGCCTAATGTTGTAGGTGGGAGAGAGGCAGGTTGAGTGTTCATGGGAGGCGTGTTGCTACTGATAGGCTGCTTCAGAGCGGCGAGTAATTGCTGAACTTGACGGGCTTGCTCCAACCGATCACCGGCAGGACCCTGCGTAAAACGTGTTAGTAGTATTCCTCTCCATAGTCAAAAACTTAGATATTTACAGCTTGAGGTTGAGGAACCGCGGGTGCATTGGGAGGAGGTGCACTATAACCACTTGGCCCACTTGGAGGCTCACCATAGCCAGGCGGAGGCCCATAACCTCCAGGACCGCCTGGTCCCGAAGGCAAACCATTCGAGCCATTACGGCTGTCAAATCTGTCACCTCCGTATCCTCCACTGCCTCCTCCACCACCTCCACCGCCGCCTCCCCCTCTCCCACCACGTCCGCCACGAAAGTCGTCCTCAAAGCGACGGCGATCCCCACTACCCCAGTCATCTCTGCGGTCCCACCCATCATTCTGCCCACCGCCTCCGCTGTTTGAGCCTCCACGCCCCTTGCCTCTTCCGCGGCCGCCACGGTGACCTCGTCGTCCATGAGTACCGCCGCCACGATGGCCATCATCCCAATCACGGCCTCCGCCACCGTCAAACTTTGGCTGGCGTTGGGTGGCGGGACCCGTTACTTCTTGCTCTTCCCATGCAAATGTAACCTCCATCATTCCATCTTGCAAAGGTTGGTGATTCAAACGGTCGAACGCTATATCGCAAGCCTAAGTCGATGTCAGCAAGTTGAGGACGTTCAATCACAGGCTCAAAACAGCGTACCCTAATATCGTAGAACTCAACGTATCGTTGGCTGTGCAAGCTTCGTATCAAATGCAGTCAATGTAAATGCACTGTTCGACGTACGCAGGATGGTCACCAGGCATCACAGATTTCACATCCCCTATTTGCTGGAACCTTCTTCGAACCTCATTGTCGTCGATTCCTTGCCCTGATGAAGAGTTGCGCATCGTAACGATAAGAGTTCCCTGATACTGTTGGGGCATTTTCTTCCATTAGTATACTGAAGGATCATTCGTTCAATTTATATTCCCACCTGGTTTTTGTCTCCACCTTTCCCGCCATCGTCTCGAGGCAGTGAGTAGTGGACATCAATCTGAAGCAATGGCAAAGCTGGCAATGAGCGCCTATATCCTCGATTTTGGCGGGCCAATTACTCACGGGTCGGCCACTTATTTCAGATCCTTGAAGACGGTCTCTCGCTCTCTCAGCTGCTCGCAAATCGAACTGCAGATCCTCAGGATTCGTTGTCCAATCAAGCAGCTTATATTACTCACGTAAGTAACGAAAACCATTCCGCGGGTTGATATGAGGTCAAAGAATGTTTTGATATCGCCGTGCTCTTCAAAGGATCGACGTACGTCGTCACTATTGGTCTCGTACTGAATATTACAGCAGTCAGTCTCGACGTCCTTGATATGAAAGCAAATGCGTCGTGCATGAAGAACCCGACTCATCGCTGAGATGAAACTCGCCTTGATATTACGAATAAATAAGGTACGGCACGGTCTTTCACGCTGGATGCGTTCTTCAATGATGGAATCGTGGACTTTGTCATCGCGCTCTCGCCGCACGTTGCGTTTCCCTTGCTGAGGTCGCGTACCATAGCCTCCTCTATCGTCATAGTTTCCATCTGGACCGTCTGAGAAAACATCGATATAACGTGAGACTTGGTTCTTTCCAATGTTCAAAGGATCAAAAGGCTAAATGATGAAGTGGATGTGCGACGCCGCAGACCAGAATACAAGTGGCACACCCAGGAGAAACCTTAGGGGACGCCACCATGTATGCGCGTCTTTGATGAACAAGACGACATTCTCATCGCGCACGAAATTCATCCAACTTTGATTGAAAGTGCCAACGGGGTTGTCACCGTCAGTGCCGTTGTCGTTGACTTGCTCAAGCAAGCTCTGAGAGTCTCATGGGCTCTCAAGTGCCCCAAGCCGAACCCACGCGGTTCACATGCGTCTTAAGCCGAGCCACTTGTATTCCTGCCTGGAAATCCACACAAAATCTTTCAGTCTCAAGCTCGAGCGCACCTTCAAAGCTGCCGGTGTATCCCTGACCATAACCATCTTGGGCGCCGCCGCCATACTGATCGGGCGGGCCAGCATTGTATCCGCCTCCATTCAGATAATAGGGATCTTGGACGTTACTATAATTATTGTATGGACCTGAGTCGCCCTGCGGAGGAGGGCCCTGGTCATACGGGCTGGGACTCGAATCGTAGGTGTTGTTGAATGAACCTCCGCCGCGGTTGCGGCCGACGTTTCTACCGCCGCCACGATGGCCACCGCGGTGATGACTTCTGTCAGGGCCAAATGCTCCGGAAGAGTTGCCGCCTCTGCGAGAATTTTCGAAGCTTTGGTTGTATGGGTGGTGGCGATTCATGATGAGCCGGCTGGGATTTTCAGAAACTCTGACTTGGTGCTAGGTGCTAACTGGACGACTCGAGAGCAAGTGCGAGGAGCAGTGGGCGAGAGAGCAACAGAATAGGCTCAGAGACGACTCCTGCGTCACAGAGTGAATAAACTTAGAGGGGCTGAGCGAGACGCAAGACGGGGACAGGTGGGACAGACGTTCGGTGGTGGTGGTGCGAAACAGAGCCGGGCCACTCTCAAGCCACAATCCACGCAAATTTCCATCGCCCCCGTCACCCATCCGTGGGATTTTAGGAGCTGGGTGGGCTCACGCTGGGGAAATTATTCCCTAAATAAATAAATATGGAGTACCTCTAAGTGACCGAACGAGCTGCGCGTTGCGTTCCTGTTCTAGTGCTCTTCAACTCCACTGCCATCCACTCTCTCCTCCTCCTCCCTCCCGCATCATGTCAAAACAGCTTCAGTTCAAACTCGTACTTCTTGGTGAGTAACCCAGCATAGCATACATACATATTCATTCTCTAAACAACTCCATAGGAGAGTCCGCTGTCGGGAAGTCAAGGTGACGAGCAACTGGTGCCTTGCTGTTAAACAACGTCACTGAGTAACATGCAGTCTTGTGCTACGATTTGTCAAGGATCAATTTGACGACTACCGGGAAAGCACCATCGGAGGTGAGCCCTCTACCTCAGTCCTGGTTTCCTTTGACTCATACCCTGTGTACAGCTGCCTTCCTGACGCAAACAGTAACACTGGATGATCAAACGACTGTTAAATTCGAGATTTGGTACGTCTCAAACAAATCACCGGCAACATACTCCTCAATATTTGACAGGGATACTGCTGGCCAGGAGCGATACAAGGTAAAGTGTTGCCTATCTTGATAACAACGTCTGACGTACTAACCTTCCTCGCAGTCTTTGGTAGGTGTTATGGTGCAACGCCTTGCACACGACTTTTAATCATTCGCAGGCCCCCATGTACTACCGTAATGCCAACTGCGCCGTCGTTGTCTACGATATCACCCAGTCCGCATCGCTCGAGAAGGCCCGCACATGGATTCGCGAGCTTCAGCGCCAAGCCGACCCATCCATCGTCATCGCCCTCTGCGGCAACAAGACCGACTTGTCTGCGCGCCGCCAGGTCACCCAGGAGGAGGCACAGAAGTATGCCGAGGAGGAGGGCCTCATGTGGGGCGAGACGTCCGCCAAGTCGGGCGAGGGCGTGTCCGAGATTTTCACAGCAATAGGTCTGTCCCCTTTCCGCCTTCACTCTGACCCCAACATCGCCTGCGCAATCTTGGCATCTGACGTTTTCTCCCAGCCAAGAAGCTTCCCACTACTGCTCCTCCGCCAGCACGATCAGGTGCTACACGGGGCACCGCTGGTGCACGAAGCGGTGTTGACCTCAACAAGCAGGCCAACAACCAGCCTGGATCCAGTGATTGCAACTGCTAGATTGTTATCTCTCGGCTACTCACATACATAACGACATATTTTGCCTTGATTTTTCCCTCCCATTATGACTCTTTCACCCTCACATGTAATCTTACATTACAACACGTTGTGCCGACCACTAGGGTATACACCACTATGAACATTGTCGTGCTACACCGTTTTTGCAAACTGCGTCCACGCTTGCAGATTACCGGGTAAGAGATCAAAGTCGATAGCATTGCATTGGTGGGTAAGCGATAGTGGGTAACTGATGAGTACTGAGTGGGTAGTGAGTAACGAATGGTAGATAGTACATGATGAGTGAGTACAGGTGTTTTAAGTGTGTCCGTGAGATCATCCATCAGGTATACGCCAGTATACAGAATAATTACTAAGCGACCGGAATACACTGGGTTGCATTAGAGAAATAGAAATATCAAAACCACGGAGGAACGAAAATCACAGAATGCCGGCGGCGTCCAGGCGTCCTTTGACATCGAGGCGCGCAGCCTCGGAAGTCTGCAGCTTCTCGCTGCGAGTCCAGAACCAACTGGATTCCTTTGCGACAGCGGTGTTCATCTGGGACACCATAAAACTCCGCGTAGCCTCGACGATGGTATACGGGTACGGGTTCTGCTGGTGTCGAAGCAGGGTGCCAACGACGTTGGCGAACTTTTGGCGTTTGGCGAAGTTGATGCACTGGATGGGCCCTACGGAGGTGGGAACCTCGACGGTGTCTTTCATGGCCTTGTCAACGGATACCAGCTCGGTGAGGAACATGCGGAGGATGGGCGTGCACGGGCCCTCTGTGCGCTTCATGACGCATAAAAAAGTCGAGAAGTCACTCGCGGAGTCGCAGAGCTTGCTGTGCGAGTCGAACTGCGCTCTTCGCGTGCTTTGCTTCCAGGTGTAGCGCAGCTTTGTGACGACCTGACTGGAGAGACCGGTAATAATGGCGGACAGAGAATGATAGTTCTGGGCGTTGCGACATTTCTAATGGAGGAGTAAGTCATGGTCCAAGACGGGGATTCAAGGCATAAGCTTACATCGGCAACCTGTATCCAAAAGTCGACCGTCGCCGCGCGTTTGCTGAGCGATTCTTGAGATAGAATGCTCATCTTGACCCATGAAGAGACCTTCTTGTATGCGTTCATGAACGCTGTAATGTTGCTAACCTCCCGCCCCTGCTGCATTCGTGTCCAGCAGAAACACTCCTCCGGACGAATCGCTGCGTAAAGTCTCTGCTCGATCACACATAGATGCTCCGCAATTTCATCTGGGTTCCATCGACAAAGGTCATTGGGATTGTTTTTGGGACGCTTGAACAGTGACGGGGTGGCGGGGGTCAAAGGCGTTGCGGGAGTCAAAGGCGAAGCTACGGGTGATTCATAGGGCTCTGCTTTAGACTGCAAGGAACCGGAATGAGTATTTAATACGCTGGAAAACAACACGCTTACCTCTGAAATTGATTTCAGCAGAGCTCTTGCGGGTCGTGACATCTGCGGTGGAATCGAAGTGCTACTCAGAAAATTCGATAATCTTCGCCCAAGCATCGGTTCCTCCTGCATGAGGTGATAGGACTCAACCCAGAGGGTGAGGATTGTCATGACCCGGTTCTGGACTGGCCGAAGCTCCCGTTCCCTCCACAGCTCCAGTGCTCTCGCCGAAATGTTCGGAGGAGGCGCCATGTCGAACCGAGCAACCAACAAGTCGAAGAACTCGTCCGGTGTGGTAAACGTCCTGAAAGTGAGGAGAAAATCTTCGCGGAACGTTACATCCTGAGGGCCTACAAAGACTTCTATAACCCACTGTAGTAAATGGAGACTAATTACTTACCACTGGACTCCGCAGTCAGCTTCTGCAATAGCGCCCTCAGTGTCCCAGCCCTCACAACCCCCCTTTCTGTCTGCAACTCATAACTCGGGATCTGCTGTTCAGGCGGGTGTGGGGGAGGTGTAGGCAACTGCTTCCTGGGAGTCTGGGCTCCTGAAGGAGGATCTGGCAGACGTTTTGAACGGAAAGAAGTGCTTCGACTCCGCGAATGTGAATGCAAGGATTCATTGATGTTAGGATTCGAAAGAAGTTCGTATCCCATAGGTGATGCATAAGAACCCATGAGTGCGGAGAGTCGGGTCACTGTGTCGCCGTTGTCCACAATAACAGGAAGAGGTCGCACTTGTCGACCATATTGCGTCTTGATGGGAGCGGTATGACTGTATTGAACGGACGTGGTCGAATGGGCGCGGCGATGCTGATGAGTGGCAGGAGTGGACGGCGTCATGGGCGTCAAAGGAGTCCATGGGTCGTGAGGCGGTTTCGGTACCGCCGACAAGGGTGAAGGCGGAGGCCGGAACTGAGTAGGAGAATCCAAGTCGTCTACGATATCGAAGAATGACGTCGGACTCATTGAGCCCGCAGACAGCCCGCCTCGGGAAAATAAATCGGTGGAAGTGCCAAGCTGGAGGCAGGGAACCTGGGGAAGATGGGTCAGCGGTCTCGTAAGGTCGAGAAACATGGACGTTACCCTTTGGTTATTTTTAAGTTGAACCCATCCTTCGTTTTGACTCTCGAAGGATACGGATGTCGGATAACTATTCTGCCTTTCCAACTCACTAGCCGATTCTGTGTTCGTGGCGGGTCCGTCTTCGATGATGGGCTCCACGAAACTGCTTGGTATCCATCCTATGCGGTCTCCAGGCGGGCGTATGGCGGCCCACCACCCCGTCTCTTCTTGCTTTGCAATAGTCAGGATCTCGTTCTTGTGAAAAGGAAGGTGATCCGGGTCGTCCGATTCAAAGTCATAGAGACACTGTACGCGGCAGATGAACCAACTATCCATCTCACCCGTGCTTGGCGACGTTCCCGAGGTTGTTGCACCGGGTGTCGAGAGTGCCGAAAATGGAGAGGAACTGTCGCGCAGACTCGTCGGTAAGTCAATCGACAAGCGCGGTGGGCTTCGAGGAATCGGTCGGGGCTGCACCGTCATGGCAGGGCGGTTGTGTAAGGAGTGGTAAGAGGGTTGAAGTCAGAGCAGTGTCAGACCAATAAATTCATGGGGCTGTAGATGCTTGATGCTTACACGCGAACTTACTGACTTGTCCGGCGAGATGGCGTATTAGAGGTTCCGTGATGATCTTCGTCTGAGGTGACAGGAAAAGGGACACATCAGCTAGGTACAGTGCATTTGCAGTCCAATACTGTCCAATATTGACCACACCTGTCTTGCCGGATCAATCGAAAATAACAAAGTCTCACCAGACTTGACTTGATCGCCCGGAGTAAGGTGGTGGGAATTGGATAATAATAATGAGGACGCGAGATCAAGTTGTTCAGAGAGGAGAAGAGTCGAACCCGGGGCACGCGAAGTCCCTCCACATATCCTATTAAATTAATTGACAGGAGCTGTGGTGCTCGGAGTCGATGAAGCAAATGTGTACCAAGACATGAGCCACTATTGGCGTGGGGCAAGCGAGTACACTGGCCGGGAACTAAACGTAGACATCTTCACTTGTAGACGACGGCTTGTTAGCTCCCCTTGAACCGGGCGAGTTGTGTACACGGTTGTCAAGACCACTCACCGCATCAATTGAAAACGTGGGGTCTCGTCTCCCCTCGCCTAGGCAACCATACTTACTCGTCGAGCTGATGTCACTACTTCCAGCTTTCAGCTTCAAGCATGATGCAGGATGTCCCACTGCTCATGATCATGACGAGCAGCATATTAGAGTTTTATTGCGTTCCTGCATGCTTTCACTTGCGCAGCTTGGTCGCAATTTCTCAAAGATGCTGATGGCGCACTAGTACAGCGTAGGCCAGCTAAGGCAGGGGCCGATTGATTGACATGTATCTCGATCTCATATGGTGCCTTCCGTAAGCTTGTGTCCACAGATGCTGCGAGGCATGGTCAACCTTGCACATGATGCTAATGCCCAATATGCTGCACGTTTGTTCGTCGAGCGAAAGGGACTGTTCGACGTGAGAGAAGAGGGGGAGAGAAGCAAAGAGGAAAGTAGAGATAAGCGATCGTTGAATAGCTTAAGTGCATGTGGTTGTACTAGTTGTTTTGTGCTATGCTATCTTCGGATCGGTTGCCCGGAGTCGCGGGGGATCCATTGACTGCACAGCCAGATTGAGCACCACTTACTTGTCTGTCATGCCTCCGTGGAACGCTGCAAAGGCCAAGGTCGGTGCCTTCTCTGTTATCATCAAGCTTGCTGCACCTACCCCATCGTTACCACCATCTTGCTCACGAAACACAAAACGCGAATAGGTCCAGCTCCGGTAAACCTCCATCGTCGTCTCGATCGCAGACGCAATCAATGTTCACTCCTGTTCACGTTCTTCTCCAGGCTATCCGTCCAGCGCCTGCGCATCAGTCAGCAGAAGAAAGAAGCTCAGGCCAAGGCTTCACGTCGCGAGATTGCTGTTCTTCTTGAACGCGGCAAAGTAGAAAGTGCTAGGATCAAGGTCGAAGCTAGTACGCTCTCCGTTGCGTCAATGACGTCGGGGTCACAGCCCGAGCCAACTCCACCTCAATCCTTCTAGTTATCAACGAAGATATACACGTAGAGCTCTTGGAACTTCTGGAGCTTTACTGTGAACTCCTGATTGCAAGATTCGGCTTGCTTGAGTTGAAGTGCGTATGTCTTGTTGTTCAGCTGATTCGTAGCTAACTCCTTAGGTATAGCTCCAAAGAACCTGACCCCGGCATCAGTGAAGGCGTTTGTAGCATTGTTCATGCCGCTCAAAGGACGGAGGTAAAAGGTATGTGCTGATTTCATGTCCCTGTGTTCAACGCCACTAAGCCGTCCTTGTGGCTGGTGAATATTGTCAGAGCTGCATGTACTGCGAGAGATCTTGATGCACAAGTATGGACGCGACTTTTCTTTAGCAGCGATAGAAAATCAGAACGGCTGTGTCAGTGAACGGGTACGCAGTTGAGCTTCTGCGCCCACGAATCTATCGTTACTAACCATCACTCCCGCGGTGGGCGGATGGTACATAGGTCACACGCAAGCTCATTATAGAGACACCGTCAACAGAACTGGTAGATGCCTACCTTGGCGAGATTGCTAAAGCCTATGCCGTCAACTGGAGAGCGTCGAGCGGCGGAGGTAGCTCAGGCGAAGACGGTGGCGTTAAGGTCAGTCGCTTTTCTTACCGCGGGCTTATAATTGACGCGCTGTACATACAGGAAGCAAAAGGTGATACAACGGCAGAAAGCCAATCAAAGTCCCCGGAGCCGGACAAAGACGCCAAAGACGGGGATGAGCCAGCACCCCGGACTCGCACGCCTAAACTGCCCGATCTTCCTCCAACAGAAGACGAAGCGGAAGGCGGCAAGCCTAACGCTTCTGGTTCTTCATCAGTGGCTAAGAAGCCAGACCCGCCGCCTTACGAGGAAGATGACTTTGCAGCCCTCGCTCGTCGGTTCGAGGCTCTCAAGAAGCGGTGATGGTCGACTCTGCTCCGCTACCCTTGGGCGAACGTCGATACACCAGCAAAACTGTGGTTGAAATTTCAACAGAGTCGACGCATGCCTTCAACATCATACTGGAAATGAGTGGCGATACCCTCGCGCTCGATGATTACCAGTTGTACATTTATTTGGCTGTCGTTCATAGGATCTCTCAAACGTGAAGTTTGGAAGCTAAAGATTTGAAGATTGCGAACGTGGGTGAATTTATGTGCCCAATGAATGGACTCGCTGTGTTAAGTTATGTGGCTGGCGAGACCATGTCCGCCGACGGGCCAAATTACTCCTAGCAGTCGGTTTCTGAGCTGCCGGTTACATATTGTGTGCGCGGTTTCACGCATGCATTGCCATCTAAATCAGCGCCGTAATCAAGATGGTTGCATTGGTGGCAATGGGCTGTAAAAATATTGGGTATCTGTCTGGTTCTGGATTCGATGGCCATGGCCACTCATCTGATATTTCCATTGTCTCAAGGACAACCATGAGGCAAGGAGACGAGGCAAGCTAGACAAATATGAAAACCTGCTATCGTCGGCGCAGGGGCCTCGTTCCGTTGAATACTGCCATGCATATATCCTGCCACCGTGTGACAGGGTAGCTCTTTATTAACTTCATTCCGGGCTCAGCGCACTACAATGCGCCCCGTTTAATAAGGCAAGGCTGAGGCGATCAAATCCTAGGCCAGGATGGTGCTGCAGCGCCGTGGCCGCTTAGAAAGGTATGTCTACACAAAGTTCTAGCTTGTCCAGCACCTGATGCACCCGCAGCATGAGCGTGGGAAGCCGAGTTACCCCTGCGTCAAGGCTGTCAAAGGATCGACCTAAGCGTTTATTCGTCATCGAGGGGCGCTTGTGTGCGGGACTAAATTCGAAGGAATCATGGTCTCGCGCCGCGGCGGACATGCGATCAGCAGCGATGCGGGTATTACATAAAGGAAAAAAAGAGATTTGCAGAGAAGCACTAAGAGAAGACAGAGAAGGGAGTTTAATGAAGAGAAGAGAAGAGTTGCTCGGATCGGGGTGTAAACTTGTGAATGGTCCCTAGTGGTTTGTACTGAGCAAAGAAAGGCGGAAAAGGAAGGCAAGTCCGGGGAGATGATGATGGTCCTGGCCACGTGCACGTGAGCCATTCACGCGGTCGCAACGGTGGACGGATGCGACCAACGTCGTCCGGAGTGGCGGAAATTTGACGCCATGTCCGCCGAACGTCTCACATCGTCTATATCAACCTAGCTCGCTTTATGGCCATCGTCCGTTTGCTCTCCCTAGTTCATGTCGACTGCCATGTCCTACAACCACCAACACGTCCACAATGATGATACCTCCAGCGACACTGACTCATCCGACAGATACACTGAGATGTCTTGGGACTTCCCTAGTGTCGCGAGCTCAAGGACGTCATACGATGTTTCTATGCGGTCCGCCTCCCCCACACCCTCTGTCGTATCCGTAACGAGCTCCTTTCGCGCTCAGGCTTTTCGTACAGAGTACGGCAGAGGTTTGAACAACTATTCGGAGGTGTACACGCTTCCCGCAGACGACGAAGAGATCGATCGCCTGAGTACGCGTCTCTGCAGCGCGTATTCGTATTTCATCTCTGATACTGATGTTCATCGCAGACAACCAATACCTCATGTTCAATGAGGTGATTGGCAAGTACCCCCCGCCACTCCCGGAGGTTTTGGCCGAAGATAATCTCGGCGGTGTGCCGGGCGAAATCAAGGCCGTACTCGACTTGGGCTGTGGGAGCGGCTGCTGGTGAGAACTATTAGCGCTCAATTGCGCCGCCGTGCTCACGTTCGTGTAGGATAATGGATATTGCGCGTCAGTTTCCTCACTGCAGCGCTGTCGCGGTGGATCTTGTTCCCATGCAGTCTCCGTATGTCATTCTTTTTGATCGGCCGCGTGAAAAGGGCATGCTAACCATCTATCCAGGGACATGCCTCCAAACTGCAGGTAAGGAGTACCGGCCCGACTCGCCAATCATAAACGTGACTCAGACTACACGCTTCTCAGGAGCGAAGTCGATGACATCAATCTCGGCCTTGAGCACTTTTACGGAGACTTCGACGTGGTCCATGTCCAACTTGTCTCTTCAGGCGTAAGGGATCATTGATGTATGGCACGAGCATTTGATTCACAATGTGCTCTCTCAGATACGGGATTATCAAGGTCTCATCGACCATATCAGTCACGTCCTCCGCCCGGGTGGCTTAATGGAACTCATCGAATTTCCATTTGCATTCACTGGCGCCGACCACGTCAACATCGTAAGAGGTCCAGGCGAATATGGCCCTCCATGGGCTGCCCAATGGATGGCGACCGCCCGGCAAGCCGTTATGCAACGCGGTGGAGAGGCTGATGCCTCGGGTCACCTGCGTCAATGGGTCGAAGACCATCCGGCGTTCGAGAACGTGGTCTATCGCGAGTACTGGTTCCCATGTTCCCCGTGGCTCCGAGGGAACGACCCCCAGAGTGCTAAATGGAATCGCATCGGCGCAACGATGCGAGACGACATTGTGGTAAGTTTTCGCGCCCCCATGCCGGTTCGTCAGCTCGATTGTGGATTGACATGCCTCTTATAGGCGTTCATGAAGGGTGGCAGGCCTCTTCTCCTACGAAGCGGTCTCTCGGAGGCATTCGTCGATGACCTCCAGACGAAAGCTGTGAACGAGCTCATGGAAGGGAAAGAGCCCGTGTTTGTATGCATACAGAACATCTACGCCCGGAAGAAAACGACTTAATCACATACACCTTATTTCCCTCTCTTTACGGACGCTAATGTCAGCTCATAGGATACTGTACTTTTCTTACTGGCACTATAATCTCCTGCATACCGCACTATATCTCGTTTCTTGCATACACCTCATATAATGTGGCAGTTTCACCATGCTTTTTACGCCTTATTGTTATTGGGAGATAAAACGGGCTGCAGCTGGGCTAGCTGAACGTTTTCACTAGGCTACACTTTGATCCTCGTTGCACCTTAGGCTTATGTAGTAATTTGGATCCAGGTAGCTGGTGCGCACTGGCACCCGTCGACGCAATCTTGTAGTGATTGTGAACCGGATCTCGATTGACAGGAAAAACCACAACAACAGAGTGGGCTGTAGGCCGAGGAGCTCTACGACATGATATAGCAGAGAGCAGACGTAATCCTTGCCAAAGAACCGCAAATCTCGGGAGGCTTCTTGATCTCGATGGGGTATCAGGACCCCGTAAAGGCCAGAACTCTCCGACCTGCGCCACTCCGATGTTCTTCGCCTCGCGGAGAAGCATGGCGCTTCTGCAGCTGGGGAGCGTTTCGATGCAAATTTAAAGCTTCAAAAACTACCATGTTTTAGAATAGGACGGAACCCAGCCGACAGTCGGCGTTTTCACAGAGTCTTAATTGAAAGTCGCTCAATGAGTAGTGTTAAAAATCCGACCCGGGACTAACCGAAAGAAATTGTGTTCATGGAAGCTCGCGGCTCGGAGAATCGTTCTTGCCTACTAAGAATCGTTAAACATGTCAAATTCGCTGGGACTGCAGGACTTTGCGCATCGTGCATCCCATGTCTCTTGGTGGCCCATAGTAGCCCCATGGCACAATATTAATGGCTGTCCAGATCGCATCTATCTTTTCTCATGAGTGTACCTGATGAGCGAATCAAGAAGTAACTTGAATATTCCGAATACATGATTCCAGATGATTCCGAGGAGCTAAGGGCCTGATGCGACGTAACGAAGAGGACGTTAATCATGGTCAGTGCCAGAGTAGCCAACTGAGAAACTTTATATCTTTTTCGCTTGCTGGCTTGAGATCCAGATATTGGAGTGAGTGAATGTTGCCACGGGGAAATACTGTCGTTTACTAGTAGAAGGATGAACAACACTGCGATCCAGCCTGCTTCGACTTCGCTCGCCGGCTAGACTGATCAAACCACATTAGATTTAGTCGCACCCTTTGCATAATGGCTCAAAGTCGCTTGGTTGCATAGTAGGAAGCGCTTTAGGTGGCCCAGGCAAAAATCATCAGACCGTCGCGTTTGTGCGCGCTTTCTTCGATTTATTTCTGTAAACTTCTGATGAATCATTAATCAGCAACGGTGTATTGCACAACCAGCTGGCACCGATCTTTCGAACCTTTGGTTCCTCGGCCTTCTGACTGTAACCGCGGTGCAGAGCTGGCGCTTCCTTGTAAGCATGACCATCTCCTTTCCAGATTATCATATCATCGTACGAACAAACGTAGGAATTGGAATCAAGATTTCTCGCCACAGTGTGAACATGATCCTCCGGCTGTACTTCGCTTCTGCTGGAATCTGATGGCCAGAAGTCGGATACATACACCGCTGGGAACGAGATCTGGAGACAAAGGGAGAACATACATCATTAGGCAGTACGATCAAGCTATGTCGGCGGAATGTAATTTCTTGACCGCTCGGGAAGATAAGGTTGGCAAACTCGAAACTGCAACGGCTTAGTACTGTTAGTTATCGTTTCATATGCAATGTGTGAAACCATGTGGTGTGGTCGGCGCACAGAGATCATGATGAAATGGCGCTAAATGGCGGCGCATTTGATCCTAGCAGGTTCGTATATCTGTCCGTTTCTGCAGCTGCTGCAACATGAGATTGCTCCAAGTCACTGACATGACTGAACAACCGGGCGGGCCGGCTAGATCCGACGAGAACGAGGACGCGTCAAATGGTGCACAGCCACCGATCACTTTCGCTCCTAAACCTATTGGCGAATAGCAAGCACCCTACGTCCCTTCAATTGCTCTTGCTAGGCCCGTGCTAGCGCTCATCATGGGGCTCAGAGAGGACCTAATAGAACAGATCGTCCATCCAGACCCGCAAAACTCAGATAAGCTACTTCATGATCTTAATCTCGCTGGGCTACCGTCGCGCGAGCAAGTGCTCAAGGACATTGAAGAGAAGCTACTCTTGCCACCAACCAAGCTTCCGGACCACTGGCTGTCTACCTACCAGATGTACGCCCCGCTACATTCGCGTTGTAATGAGATGGCAGGTTGACCTGGGCAGACATTGGCAGCATGAGACATCTATACCATCGCTCTTGAGCTTCCAGCCCTCTCCTCCGCCTACAAGTCTCGCGTTCGTCCGTTCCGGGATCCAGGGACGCGTAACTGGATACACAGAGGTAAATTGATACTTTTAGACTTGAACTAGATACCGAGAATAGCGCGCATAGATCCCCAATCCTCGTACCAACCTCACCGCTATCACGTCCACATCCTTGGATCGAGCGCCGGGACCATCATCGAGCTTTGTCAGGGGCAAGTCAGGGCACGTACCCTTCTGGCCTGGTGGACTGGACGACGTTCTGCTGACGGCAGAGCCTGGTCAGGCGCAAGACCCAACAAAAGGCTTACGGACGGTTGCACCTGGTCTATCTAGAGGGCTTCGTCTGCCAGGAGAGGAGGTCGATGACGATCTGTTCGTTGAGCTAGATGAAATCGCTGCGGAGAAGAAGCCCTCGGAAACTGTGGTGTGTGCCGTGTTTCTGATTTACTGTTGTATTGACACGTGTGGACAGGCTGAGGATCTCGTTCCAGAAAACGAGGAACTGAATGGAGCAATCCCGTCTACCAGGGAAGCCACCGACATAGATGAGTTGCTCCCAACGACAGTGGGTCGTTCCTGCTTTCCTAGTAGCGGTCTAAACGACTTACACAATCGCCACAGCGATCTCATTTACGGCCGGCTAAGAGAAACCAGCGCGCGAAGAAAACCACGGCAGTCAAACGTGATTGGGCACATGTCGTGGACATCAATAAGCCCATGACGAACTTCCACGAGCTTGTACCGGAGATGGCCCATAAGGTCCGCAAAGCTTGTTGAATGGGTGCTTCGTATCTAACTCGGCTTTCTCAGTACCCGTTTGAACTGGATACATTCCAGAAGGAGGCGGTGTACCACCTTGAGATGGGAGACTCTGTCTTCGTCGCTGCTCACACTTCCGCCGGCAAAACGGTCGTGGCAGAATACGCAATCGCCTTAGCAGAAAAGCATATGACTCGGTCAGTTCATCTGTATTGAAAGCTTGTGGCAACACGTTCGCTAAGGCGTTGTGAAGGGCGATCTATACGTCACCGATTAAGGCATTGTCCAATCAGAAATTCCGCGACTTCAAGCAAACCTTCTCGTCCTCCTCTGTTGGTATCCTGACTGGAGATGTACAAATCAACCCCGAGGCCAGCTGCCTCGTCATGACGACAGAAATCTTGCGGAGTATGCTGTATAAGGGCGCAGACCTTATCCGCGACGTTGAGTTTGTTATCTTCGACGAGGTCCATTACGTCAACGACGCTGAGGTACGTCCAATTATTAGCCCCTTTTGCTTGTACATTAAGTTCACCGTTCATTCACCACCTGCAGCGAGGCGTGGTATGGGAGGAAGTTATAATTATGCTTCCGGACCATGTAAACATCATCCTTCTGTCCGCTACGGTCCCTAACACTAAGGAATTTGCTGACTGGGTTGGGTAAGTGAGAAGCCTGTGGCACGCGACCTTCTCACATCTGATGACACGCATGCAGTCGGACCAAGAAGAAGGACATATATGTGATTTCGACTGCTCAGCGGCCCGTCCCATTGGAGCATTATTTGTACGCCGGCAGAGATACGTTCAAGATCGTCGATGCATCTCGTAAGTTCCTATCTCAAGGGTGAGTGTACCCCAGTTTTTCCGTGGGCGGTGACTTGCAATTTTGAGTTCCTACCTTCTTACCGCCCTTAGGTACAAAGAAGCTGGGGAAGCTCTTCGGCGGAAGCAGGATAAAGAACGAGAGGCCGCGGGTCTCGCTCCTGTCCAGCGTGTTGGCGCGCGAGGTGCTGCGGCCCGTGGTGGCCAGCGGGGCGGCGGGCCCAACCGCGGCGGCGGAGGCGGCAGAGGTGCTCCGGGCAACTCTGCAGCCCCCCGTGGACGCGGAGGGGGACCGCCGCGGACCATTAACACCGGGATGGACAAGAACCTTTACGTTCACCTCCTTAGTCATCTCCAGAAGAAAGCGCTTCTGCCGGTTGTGGTGTTCACGTTGTCGAAGAAGCGCTGTGAGGAGAATGCATCGACGTTGACAAACGCCAATCTTTGCAACGCAGTGGAGAGGAGTGAGGTCCATGTTGCGATCGAGAAGGCAATCTCTCGGTTAAAAGGTATATCTGCTTTTTTCTGTCACGTTCAGCTACTTACCTGGATCATTAGGCACTGACAAAAAATTGCCACAAATTGCAAGGATGCGCGATCTCCTTTCACGCGGCATAGGCGTTCATCATGGTGGTTTACTACCTATTGTCAAAGAGGTACGGTCCATGTCTTTTCTACCGCTTCTATGGGTTCAAGCCAAACACGGCCACTAGGTTGTAGAGATCTTATTCGCACGTGGCCTGGTCAAAATCTTATTTGCCACGGAAACCTTCGCTATGGTATGACCCCTTACCGTCAGGCATATGGTATTTTCTAACCATGACAGGGAGTGAACATGCCGGCTAAATGTGTTGTATTCTCTGGCATCCGGAAGCACGATGGAAAGAGCTTCCGTGATATTTTACCAGGAGAGTATACCCAGATGGCTGGCCGTGCTGGTCGGCGTGGGCTCGACCCTACCGGCACGGTCATTATTGTCACCCAGAATGAACTTCCTGAGGTAAACCGTACGCGTCGATGGAACGCTCCGAACACGACTCACGTCCTTTTGCGTAGCAAACGGCACTTCAACATATGATGCTCGGCGTCCCCGCCAAGCTTTCGTCACAATTTAGGTTGACATATAATATGATACTGAACTTGCTTCGCGTGGAGGCACTGCGAGTGGAAGAAATGATCAAGCGCAGTTTCTCGGAGAATGCGTCGCAGCGCCTTTTACCAGACCAGCAGAAGAAGGTTGTTGAGGTAAGCGCATACTTGGGCTCTCGGGGGTGACTTGTCACGCCTGAATTATGCTTAGCACGAGAAAACTCTGTCTGCCATGCCCACACTGGACTGTGATATCTGCCTAACGGATATTGAAGAGTTCTACGACACATCGGAGGCGGTCATCAGCTACAATCAGGCCATGCTCTTGTTTGCGGCGAGTAGTCCCACCAATGCAAATCTGTTTGCTTCTGGTAGGGTCATCATCCTGCGGGACTCCGTAAGATATCAGTCATTGACCACCGGAAGACGACTCATTTCTCGTAGAAGTATAGGACGAATAATGCGGCACTGCTTCTTAAACCTGATTTGACTCAACCTACTAGTTCAGGCAGGATGTTCTTCGCCTTGGTTCTTGTAAATGGTTCGCATACTGGGCCCACAAAAGGTCAGTAGCTTGTTTTTTCGCCATTAACGTTCTCACCCCCCACTTTTAGTTAAAGATGAGCTACCGGTGCCGCCACTGTGGCCACCAACTCCAAACTCTGTCGCTGTGGAGAATGCAACGTATGAATTGACAAGTGTGTCGATCACGAGTATCGCTCTGCTCACACAGCGCATAATCAAGGCAAATGGAGTACACCCATTTTCGAAAAGACATCTGTTCAACTCAGCTTTCAAATATAGGTCGAACCATTGGAAATTATTGACAGGCATCGCATCTCTCACATGAAGGAAGCTATTAATCAACTACGAGAGTTAGTGGACGGCTGGATACGCGCAGGCTCTATACCCGAAGTGGATTGGAATCGCCTGCGTGCGCTGGATTTCCAGGAGAGCATGCGGACAAGGAATGACCTGGCAAGTCGGTGCAAGGACACGGAGTGCACGTGCAAAGGGTGTCCACAATTCGCCGAGCATGTAGGTTCCGTTATGTTTCAATCAGATGTTCATCATCTAATTTACGGTGACAGTACCACATTCTCCATGCACAAAAGGTACTCAAAGCGAACATCGCGATGCTGAAGATGGCTATTTCGGATCAAAATCTGGAGCTCATCCCAGACTATGAGCAGCGCATCGAAGTACTCAAGGAGTTGCAGTTCATCGATGAAAACTCCACGGTTCTACTGAAGGGCCGTGTCGCATGTGAAGTGAGTGGCGCATAACTATCATGAGGCGATTCACGGCGACCGACTCATTTTATACAGATTAATTCCGTGAACGAGCTCGTTCTCACAGAGCTGATCCTTGAGAACACGCTCGCTGCCTACGAACCGGAGGAAGTAGTGGCGCTACTTTCCTGTTTTGTTTTCCAAGAGAAGACGGACAGCGAGCCTGTGATCCCGCCGAAACTCGCAGAAGGACGGGATGCGATCATTGCCATAAGCGACAGGGTTGGACGGGTGCAAGATCGAAATAAAGTTGCCGCCGAGGAATTCCGTTCGAATCTCAAGTTTGGCCTGATGGAGGTGGTGTATGAGTGGGCCAAGGGAATGGTAGGTTGACACATTGCTTCCTGATAGAAATGCGGCGGCGGCTGACTGACGGGGCGCCAAACTTGATAGCCGTTCGAGCAAATCACATCCCTCACTGACGTGGCTGAAGGGACGATTGTACGGGTGATCACTCGGCTAGATGAGACGTGTCGGGAAGTCAGAGATGCGGCTCGGGTAATCGGTGACGCTGATCTGTTCAAGAAGATGGAGGAGGCGCAGCTCAAGATCAAGAGAGACAGTGAGTTTCCATCCAAATTTTGGTGTTTGAATATGTCTGGACTAATGAACTGCCTTGTGCGTGATAGTCGTGTTTGCTGCTAGTTTGTACTTCTAATACAGTAATATAAAGCGGCGCTGTACCTTGTTCTTGATTCTTGCAATTGCAGTGTGGCAAACAAAGATGCAACGTGCAGGGTGATAGCCACAGTTTTAGGCTCCGCGGAGGGATGGATGACCCGATTTGGACACTGATTATGCTCCGGTAAATTGCTGATCGCCTCCGCTTGCACCCGTTCAGCAACTCACCGCTGCCTGCTGGCTCTGTTATGGTCCTGAAACTGTTGCACAATGGAAAACACACACACTATCAACGCCTTCGGTCAGCCCACAACCCCATATGAACCTCCGACAGGGCATCACCAGCATGCTGCCTCCGAGACACCCTCTGCGCCTGCCAAAATCGAGTCTAGTGCGGCAGAACAGGCCCCTCTACTGCCAACGTCAGCTGTCAATCCTTTACTACTGCCTCAGAGGCGTCGTGTCAATCCCGAAAGCCTCGCGCTTCGCTTGGGCCCGGACCTCGTGCGAGACCTCGATGCTCTGATCCTGCCCGGCAACATAGAGATGCCGTCATTTGCTGTCCGAAAGGAGCTGCAAGAACGCTACAACATTGACCGCAGACACATCTACGACTACTTTCATAGCAAGGGGCTCCGCGTCGTCAAAGAAGATAAGAATGGCAACCCCATCCCACCAAGGGAGATTCTGCCCCCTGAGCTGGTGCTGGATCCAATAGACTTTCGTGTGTGCGATTCAATACTGATGCATGTCTGCTATTCCATTCAGCCGAACCTTCGCCCTTTGCGACAGGCCCCGCCCAGAAACTCCCATTATCAATCTGCTACGTGTTCTAATTCTAATCCGCGCGATACCGGATGGAAGCACCGAAACGCCCGTGGAATCACCAAGAAGAAGCTCAGACGCCCCAGAAACTGTCCCAGCGACGCTAGCGGACCTGCGGCTTGTGATCTTGCCAATGTAATTACTAGTCTACACACCCAAGTTCATCAAGGAAGCCCATCCATCGGCAGCAACCCTGCTCGGAGTTCTCCTTGTGGACTAGATCACTTTGACAAACACGAACACGGCTTCGCAGGCGACGGAACTCTTGCGGATGCCATCTTCCATCTCAAACGTGCAGATGCAGAACCAACGATAGATGACTCGGCGACATGCGACACGACATTGGTTGTAGATGATACTATGGGCGACATCCAAGATCTGGGGACTCTGATAGACTGCGATCCACCGCATGAGGAACTCGGCGTGGTCGCACCTCTGCCTTATGACTCTCTGGCTCCGCTTTTTGACAAGGAACGAAACTGTCTGTACAAGTATCTTTCTGATTGCCTCGGGCCGGCCAGTGGTATTCAGGAATCCGTCGGCAGCTATAGGCAGCACATGCAGGAACAAACGAGAATCTATTATGAACCCCTCACACGCAACTCCTGCATTGCTCAGGAAACCCAATCACCGTCGACACCCGCACAGGATCAGCAAGGGGACAGAACCGTCAACGAATTCCGATCCTGGCTCACCACCGGAAACTTTTACGACGGATATGGGAACGGCATACCAGCCAGGAATCCGGTCAGCTCATTTTTTGAGGCTCCGAAGAGGGTGAGAGAGCAATCGAACGGTTTCAGTTTCTGTCTGCTTGGTGACCACGCGCCGACGACTTCCCTGGACGAGCTTTTCCCGACCGGCGCGAAAACCGATCTTCCTGGACGTGACGTCAATGCCTCACCCATCCTCCGCTCCCGGCCTGCTGGTTCTCGAATAAGCGATGATGACGGTCCAGCTGGAGATCCGAATTCTCATCCGGTCAATTTCGCTTTGCGATGCCTGTCGGGACACATAGACGAGCCGCATCAATCCGCAACTCTTTTCCGTGGACTTTATGGACTTGAGAGGAAAAACGTCATGGAGACGGCGGCGGCGGGACCGACGCGCCGTGCGGCGCTTGCTGATTCGATGGAACATTCTCCTTTTTCGAACGCTGCTGGCTCGGGCTCTCAAATTTGCTTCGCGAGCACAAGCTCAGCGAGTGACCGTCCCACCGCTAATAGGCGGACTTCTCGGGGAGGCGCTGATCATCATCACCACCACAGTCGCACTCGCTTCGCCCCGTACAGCCCTGTTCATGTGAAAAAGGAGGTCCACGAGCGTAACAGGAATAGGACCGGCGAGAGACCGTTCACACCCGCGACCCGCGGCCGAAGTCGAGGGCACAGGACCCGGACTGTGTCCGCTGGGGGAGGAATCTGATCGAGCGGGCTTCCTGGGCACCAATAATCACTAAGGCAAGACGAGTCACCGGCTTGAGGTTTGAATGGCTGTAGCTCGAGGGAATAGATTCAGAAGGGCCGCCGGACTGCTTTATCAGTCAACTTTGCCACCGACACCGCACCGCGTGCCTTTTCTCGACTTCCATTTTCCATTTGTTTTTTGGGTTGGGCGTTGTTGGGCCATAGCGTTTTTAGAGAGGCGTTGGTCTGTCTGTTTTTCTTCTCGCATTTTGAGAGGCGTGCGGGTAGGCTGCAGCGCGTTTAGATGGATAATTAAAATTGGCATCCCATCGGGGCGGTTGTGTCCATACGTTCTCCTGTGTACTGTGCTCTACTGTATTAGCGTTTGTTACGGTGTGGACCGCTTAAAAATAAGATCGACACCGTTCCCGAGCACGGGTGACGTCCTGCCACTGTTAGATGTCGCGCGTAAAAAGTCACACCCCAAAATGCCGCAGGCAGTTGTTCTATGTAACAGGATCAAGTTCGTATTCGTATCGGATCGTTTCGTTATATTGAGTGCGGTGTGCTGCTGCTATATGGGTATTAGGATGCTATGTGTACAACTAGACAATGTATGATTGCGTGATTGTCCGGCTAAAACTATTACTGTACTGTAATGGCGCTGCATAGGGCCGTCGGCCTCTCAGGGACGGATGGATTGTAATGGGGGATGATCATCATGAGGGAGGCGTGGCGGAGCGTATACGTATGGACATGGACTCGGTGCGATTGGTGCAGATGCGGATGAATAGATGGGCCAGCCGCGGCCAGACGAGGTGAGCCGAGCGACTAGGTGCTAATGCCATCCGGCGCTAGCGTCACCGCACCCACAGGCACACACGTCGTCGTATGGGTGTCTGTCATCGGCTGGCTGGTGCGACGACGCGTGCTGCTGCTGTTGCTGCTCAGCCTCCACGTTCAGCTGGTTCAAAACCGCGTTCGACAGCGGCTGGCACAGCAAGGACAACGGCGAGAGGCCCTGCGAGGGCCGACGCGTCGCCGGCTGGGGTTCCTGCTGCTGCCGCTGTTGGTGCTGCTGCGCGTCGCAGAACGGTCGCTCCGCGGACGCGGCGATAGCGTGTATCGGGATAGGGGGGATCGGGCGGACGGGCTGCGGCTGGAGGATCTGGCGCTTGGGCGGGGGCTCTGCGACTGCGCCGGCGAGCGAGGACGAGGAGGCGGACATGGGTGGATTATAAGGGTAATGCGGCGCGGGTGGTTGGTGTGCGTGCGCAGACGAGTATGGAGGCGAATAGTGCGCATTAGGACTAGGATGGGAGTTGTAGGTATGCTGCTGATGATGATAATGCTGGGGTGAATAGGAAGCTGGCGATTTGCTAGAATTTTGGGGTGGCGCGGAGTAGTAGGACGCGTCTGACGCGTGCGCGTGACCTGGGGCGGACGCGGACATTCTGCGATCCGAGACAGGTTGCGAAAAGTGGCGGTCGCGCTCTGCGCTGGCTGGCCGTGGGTAGCTGCCCAATGCGCCTGCAAGTGACGACTCGGTGTTTATGACGTGAGGGGGACTGTGAGGAGAATATTCTACGTCAAAGTCGTCTGCGTAGTCCGAGTCGTACTCTTCGTCGTCATCGTACTCGAGGTCCTCCATCTCGACGTTGTCGTGGTAGACGTCATGACCGAGTGGTGATGCGGGGGTGAAGAGAGAATATGAAGAGGTCGACGAGGGTGTGTCGAGGTCTGCAGACAGTGGTGGTTGGGAGACAATCGTGACTCTGGGCGCCAGAGGGCCATTAGGGGTGTCATATACCGGGTACCGCCAATAGCCGGTATGCTGCTGGTGCTGCTTGGACGAGCATGGGTCCATTGGTGGGTGGACTTGTATGGCATCGGGATAGGGCGGCGAGTGTGATGGGTAGTCCATGGCAAAGTTGGTGAGCGAGGAGAACGGCTGGGAGTGGTGATATATAGGCGCGTGCATTTTGTAGCGAACCGACAGAGACAGGGGACTTTGTGAGTGGGGAGACGGGCAAGGGAGGTAGTTGTATAAAAAGGATTAGAGGACGTCGGCCGGAGATTATGATATTGGGAATAGGGAAGCGCGACGGGGCAGGGACATACAGAAAGGGGCCGATGGAGAGATTCGTTGGGAGATCAGCGGGGTGACGGCACATCAATCTTTGTGGACAGAGAGCGTTCTATTCATTTCTATTTGCTATTTTGCATTAGCCGTGCAGCAAGGAACGAGTTGACGGCGACGGACGACTGAATGATCTCGCCTCTGTCAAAGCTTAACCTGCTCCCGTCATCCGTACCGTAATCGCCACCGCACATCCCTAGCCGCCTGCTGAGATGCTACCAAGATACGTTATTGCCATGTCCACCCCTCGGGTCGAGAGGGGCCGATGCTGCTTCCTCTCCATTCCGACACTCCGGACACGTTCCACCTTCTATTCATCATCCTGTCTCACCATCCAAATACAGACACACGCCACCACTCCCCATCAACCCCCCTCGGCACTCCCCCAAATTATTCTCATATCAGGTAAATCGGCGGTGTTGTGCACCGACAGACACCGCGACTTGTGATTGCAGCGCATATTATAGTCCCTTCTGTCACCGTGTGGGGCCCAAACCTTGCGTGGCATATGCCCGCGTCCGCCTCTGGGAACAGGGCCACACATCTCCGCCAAATTCCATGCGTTTCACTTGTCTTTTTCCGGCTAATTCTTTATATTTTTATACTCGACTTTTACCATTTCACCCCTTCCTTTTACCCCCATCCGGAGTCGCATCTCTGCTGCCTGAATCCATGATGCGACAATAATATTTGCAAGTTGCACGCGGATCTTGGCCTGGCACAAACTTTGTCTGCGTTTAGATCTCCCCTCTTGTTTATTGGATTCGAGACTGGTTTCGGAGGTCTGGATCGGTGGGCGCATATGCGAGAGATCCATCTGGCTGGCACTTCCCGACCGCCACGCCAGAATAGGCCCACCCGAATCTGATGCAGATGCGAGATGCAAATGTCCCCTGTCCACCCGTCCACAGAAAAGCTGTCCACATCCCCTTCCCGCTACCCTGAGTACTTGACTGATCACCCGCACCCAGCCCCGGTTCCATCGAACTCTCTCTTCAATGAGTCGCGAGCCGACCACCCGGTACGCGGATATCACCCCTCTGCCTTATCCGGCGTTCATGTCCACGATCGCACACAAATCGCACAAATTGTCTGGACGCTTTTGACGCTTACACGTCACCTACACCAACTTAAGCTCGCTTTGGTTGCGCAAGCACGTTTGCCCGCTCCTCTAACGCAACCGGCCCTTGATTCCATTTCCGTCCTTCAATGCGGCTCACTGTTTCCGGACGTCTGTGGTTCCTGCGACAAACGCCCGCCCTGTTGCTCATCACAACCAGAAGACGTTTTACTCTTACGTGACAGTCTAGCAATGCATGACATACTCGCGCTTCAAATTTCACGCGGTCAAGCGTTATGCTCATTTATTTCCTTCTTCCTCGCATCAGCGTCGCGTATGCATATGTATGTATGTAGTTGCCTGCAGGCAAATTGGCGTATTATGTATATAAAAAAGAGGGACGACATCATGCGACATGAGGACGATGGGGCTAAAAGCACATAGACGACGAACCGGTGGAAGAAAGCGCCTCGAATCAAACACGCTCGGAAAACATCAAGGTCACGGTGGACCCCTCGCATCAAAAAAAAAACTTCGGAAATAAACCTCTTCCACAGGAAAGAAAAAACACACGTTTGGCCCATCCCCAAACTCCGCTTACTCAGCAACGGTCAGTCCACCCATAGCACGGTGCAGATCGTTCTGGCTCCCAGGGCTACCGCCATGTACCGCGCGCGGACCCAGGCCCGGGTGTCTGACACCCAACGCCGCTCCCAGCATGCGTTTCCCCGGGTCACCGATCTTCGGAGGTCCCTCCGCATGAACGATTGCAGGGTCATCCGATGAGACCACAGAGTTGATGAGGTCGTTCAGCGAGGGGTGCGAAGGCAAGGTGGGCAGCGTAGGCGAATGCTCGCGCCCATTGTTCCCATTCCCGTTCATGCGCGGCGAGTGCTCCGAGATGGTGCCGTTCAGTGGTCCGCTCTGCGCTCCGTTCCGAAAGGAACTGCCGTTCTGGCTGTTGTTGCTGCTACGGCTGGGAAAAACCGAAATGGAGGCTGCGCGTATGTTGTGTCCGCGGGAAGGGTTGCTCGCGTGCTGGCCACGGGTATTGACTGTTTGAATGACCACCTGAGCATCAGGACCATCATACGGCTTGATGGTAGCACCGGGCGTGTCGGTGAGAATGGAAGGAGGAAAAGCCAGTGCATTGAGATAGGCTCTCTTGGCTGTCGAAAGGGGGAGATAAATAATAGCCCTAGTCAGAAACGCGGTGTCTCAACAAGGGGACTTGAGAATGAGCCACTCACCAGCAGAAGCATCCTGGAAAACGATCAAAAGACTGGTGTCATCCCTCCATTTGATCTTGTAGCCTCCGTTAACATTCTCCCATTCCGAGAAGGCGGTGTGGAAATCTTTGGTCTTGAGGTCCTTGGAGAATCCAGTCAGCGCGAGGATGCGCGTAACTGACGCGGAAAGACCCGAAGTAGATGCAGCAGCCATCTTTGTTCAAACGTTCAGGGGTGATAACGGTCGATAGAGGAGACAAGAAGGTAAAGCAAGGCGGTGTACTGCAAGAACTGGTCCTAATTAAATGGGGGGAGGAGGCGAGGTGTGTGGATGGACAGGTTATGGAGTGCGTTTGCCGAGCGAAACGTGTACTTAGGAGCTAGAGAGCACGAGCCGGGGGCAACGACGGGGGTGGAGGAGTCGGTATTAGGCGGAAAAGCAAAAGTGAAGTATAAGAAAAGCGAGTGGTTGTTTCGTTGATGTTACAGAAGAGCAGAGCGAGACGAGGGCGACAAGAGAAATGGTGGGGATGAAGGAGGAAAAACGACAGAGCCTGTCCTTACCGACATGAGCGCGATGTTCTCACGCTGTGGCCTTGCGCCCGAATTAGCGCATACAAGCACTGTTACTCCTCCTCCTAGGCCTTTCCTCGTCGTCGCCAGTGTTCACTAGCGTTGAGGATGAAGGTTATACTACTGCTAGCTAGACCACCAAGGAAAAATAATAGGCCACCGGTGTGACCGCTGAGCAAAACATAAGCCCCCCACATGTCGGAATTGCCCGTTTTAGCAGTCGCATGTCAACGCCCCCAAGCCCACTAGTTTGCCACTGGCAGAACGCCGAGGTGCATGTACACCATGGTCAACTACATGCCCCAGCATCCCCAGGCCCAGCACCACCAAGATGCGCTGGACAATGACCTCCTCCGCGTCATGATGCTCGTCGATGAGCTCAGTGCCCAGCTCGCCGCCAACCAGAAGGTCGCGAGCACGCTCAAGACCCAGGCCTCCAGCTTGAATGTGCGTGTTCATCCCCCTGAGCCCATAGCAAAATCTCTTATTGCAGGCGCTAGAAGCAGGCGTCCGACAATGGATCTGGGTTCTCTCTAAGGCGGGTTAACACGGATATTTCGCAAGGTGCGTGCATAATCCATTTCTTAGTGTTTACACGTCTCATATGGCGAATTGGCAGAAACGTTCGAGTCCGACCTGGAGCGCACGAACGCTAAAATAATTATCGAGAACCAGACGCTGCTTCATGAGAACAAGCAGCTCGATCTGCTCGTCAAGGAGTACGAGCACACGATGGAGACTGTCATGTCCAAGTTTCGGAGCCACACTGTATGTCCAGCTACTTTCTTACGGTCTTTACACTCACGCTATCTCCCTGTTCCATATCTTTCTTCCTGTAATATCTAGCTTGCAGCTCAGCAGCATGAGCTCACGTTAACGCGTCACTACGCCGGCCTTCTGCAGGCGTGCGACTCTCAGAAGTCGCATCCCGAGCTCATGATGGACGCACACACGGCCATGGGCCTCCAGCGGCTCGCCCACTCTCTCCGCGCCCTCGCGCGCTCCATGACATCCAACGAACCACACTCCCCTTACTCCTCCTCTTACAGCCAACAGCCCTCAGACCCCGACATCCCCGCACTCATCGAAGCCCTCTCCTCCGACCCTCCCCCACCCACCGCCGCCGACGCTGATACCGACGCTGAAGTTGACGCCGCCGCCGACGCGCCCGCACCCGCGCCCACACTGCCGCTGTTAGACTGGGCCTCCGAGCGCGAAGCCGAAATCGCGCGGCTCGAGGCCGAAAACGCGCAGCTCCGCAAGCAGCTCGAGATCGACGACGCCACGATGTCGTCGCACGGCGTCGCCCCCGCGCTCGCCCGCGACGAGTCCGTCCGCCTCTCCGCCCTGCTCAACCCCGTCGCCGCCCGGCGTGCGCGCGCTGAGAGCGCAGCCGCGAAGCCGCCCGGGTGGGGCTCGGACGAGCCGGGCCCGTGGGGAGGCTGGGAGGGGCACCCTGGGGGCGGGATGAACGGGCCCGGTGGGGGCGGAGGCATGGGAGGAGGTATGGGAGGAGGAGGCGGCGGCGGGGGCATGGGCGGAGGGCAGCACCAGCAGTGGGGCCCACCGGGCAACGGTCCACCGCTGCAGCGCGCGATGGACCTGCAGTCGGGCATCCGCCCGCCCGCGCGCAGACCGCCGATGTTCGTGCGCGGCAGCGGCGGCGGCCCCGCGCCGCCCGTGACGATCAACCCGTCCGCTCAGCAGAACCACAATCAAAACCAGAACCAGAATCAGAATCAGAATCAGAACCAGAACCAGGGCCGCGGGAGCATGCTCGGGCAGTGGTCGCAGCAGCCCCTGGGCACGATGAATCAGGGAGGGATGAACGACCGCTGGTGGGGCGGGCCGGGAAGCAACTCCGCGCTCGATATGGGCCGTTAGCTGGCGTCGGTTGTCGCCTGGTCTGGCTCGTTCAGTGGAGGCGAGAGCCGCAGAGGTTTGCTTGGATGTCTGTCGTCTTGTTTTCTGTATATGCATGTGCAATTTTGATACCATAATCCGCAATATCAATGGTAGTAATACCCAGCCTCGGACCCCAAGCGTGACGACTTTGCAGGTCCCATAAAACCGATTATCGATGGACTTCAGGGCCTCACACAAAACACTGGGGATGCATGCAAGGAATGATATTAGGATCGAATCCAATCTAACATCAGACACGAGGAAAGTAGAGTACTAAAGCGTCAAAATTGCGTTGTCGGGTGCGTAAGAGTCGTTCGTAGGGAGGCAAGATGAACAAGGTATGTATGTACGAGGCAGGGGGGTATCAATGTGCAAGGATGGAAGGTGTTATAGATACACGTAGTCATCATCTCTCAGGCAGAAACGGGAACAACAAACAACAGAAAGGGGAAAACCAAAACCAAAGCCAGGAACAACAATTACTACTACCACTCCCAGCCAGGAAAAGAAGAACAAAAAAGGGACAAGAATCCCTTTCTCTCCCCTTTCGAACCCAAAAATGCAGAAGCCACGTCGTATCGTGATCGTACAAGCAAGCGCATAGATAAAAGCATAAAGCCCATAAAGTTAGGATTAGGGAGTTGCATAGGGAGGCCCATTATAAGCGGTTGAGAGTAGTTGCATATGCCCAAGTGCCGAATGATTGATGCAGGGATCTGGGGGAAAAAAAGAGGAAGGGGGGAGGAGACTACGCCACGATGAGCTGGACCTCGCAGCCCAGCTGGCTGCGGCCACGGCCTTCGAACGCCATGCTGTAGAGGCGGTCTCGGCCACAGCTCATGCCGCCGTCACGACCGCGACCCTCCCACGGGAGGCCATGCGAGCACATGATGTTCTGCAGCGCCTTCAGGCGGAGCAGAGCGGGGTTCGCGATCGGCCTCATGCGGAACACGAGTTCGGGAGGGGGCGTGCGGGAGCGAAGTGGTGAGAGGATGATGGGCGAATGCGGCGAGCAGCGCTGGGACGGTGGCGGATTCCATGCGGGGGCCGGGGGAGGGAAAGGAGAAACAAGTGCGATGGAGTCGAATGTCTCCTCGACGACTTCGGTGATAGGGGCAGGAGCGGTGAACGTCTTCACGTCGCATGCGAGAGCACGATATCCTTCCACACGCGGCTTCATTGCAGGCACCACCTGAGAGTCATCGTTGTCCTCAGCGAAAGGATCTGAAGATGCTCCGATCGAGATAGCAGCTATGTATGCAGTCTGAAGGCCACAAGCGGCATTTACAAAGCTGAGGACAGAGTCGCTGAAACGTCGAGCAAACGTCTTGCCTCGGACCGATGCCGACACCGCGAAGTCCGGGTGCAGCGACTCGGCACCCAAAGCTGAACAATGAGAGGTGGCGTCGGCGATCTGCCGTTTCGGTTCCTCGGGCGCTAGAGGACTATCCTGAAGAGGGACCGCCACGAGTGCCTTTCCGACGTAGTGGCGGCATGGCATGATCTCGGGTATGGAGACTAGCGGCGCAGGCGCGGTCAACTGTGATGCCATCTTCGAAAAGGATGGCCTCATAGAGGGGGTAGGGGACGTCGCGGGGGTTGTAGCGGCAGTAGAAATAGAGGTCCGCGAGCGAGGTGAGCCGAACGAAAACCACGAGCTTTCAGACCGTGTCGTGGCAGAGCTGCTCGTGCCGGACTCCGAGAAAGAGGAGGCGCATATAGAGCAGACAGGCGTCGAGTTGGTGCGTGTCACCTTTCCGGGAATCGGACGGTTTCCCCCGTCCTTTCCCTTGCCCTTCATTCTTCTTCTCTCACCATCCTCCCACTCGACGACCTTGAGCAGGGTATCCAAGAGCTCTGTGCAGACTACGCTCTTGCGACCTTGACGCGTGGCACTGGTGACGGTGCTTGCACCCGAGAGTCGCCTGTTCTGCTCTATCCGCTCGGCAGGGTCCAACGGAAACAGGCTGCCCTCCATGCTGTGGACAACATCCTGGAAGGACACTCGACGGCTCGTGTTGACGGAAGACTGGAACAACTTGGTGGCCTTCTCGACACGTTCGGCAGCCGAATTGCTTCTGATATGACCACGAGCACTGGACGGAGTTGGAGCCATGAATGAATACTGAAAAGGCTCTGTTTCGCGTTTGACACACTGCAACAGGAACTATGAGCGGTGTTCAGGGATGAACGCAGACCTCATCTTACCTGCTGGTAACGACGCCGCGAGGCCTGTTCTGCCTGTCGCTGACGCATGGCCATCTCTGCTCGTCGTCTTTCCTCTGCTACTGCTCGTGCCTCTTCACGTCTCTGAATAGCCCGGAGCCGATCGTTGTGGAAACGGAAGGTCTCACTCTCCCATTTCCGACCGCACGTCATGAGCCTCTGCATTCTCTGATGCTCTTCCCAGTCCCGCTGCTGCTGCCTCTGGTTCTCCTCCATGCGACGCTGGTCTTCCTCGTCCAGCTTGAGTGGTCCAGAAGGGGCGAAGCAGATGTCAAAGTCCTCGTCACGGACCTCATCGATGCGTGGGTCGGTGTCAGAGGTGACCTCGATGCCCTTGAGCTTGAGAAGGAGGATCTTGGCGAGACGAATGTCGTCAAGGGCGTATGCTACCTGAATTTGGTCTTCAAGCAAGCACGGCGGAGAAGGTGGAGAGTACTCGTAAAGGTCGGTGGACATGGAGGATGACGATGAGGTGGATGGTTCTGGGGAAGGGGCTGCAACGGGCGAAGGAGACCTGGAGGGGATTTGTGGGGCAGTAAGACTGCCTTGCGTGTCAAGGGGTGCCTGTTGTTGCGTTGGGGTATGACATGGGTGATCCCCGGTGGGTAACGTGGAGGATTGGGTATGTTCCTCCCATATGCAGTGCTTCTCGCTGAGGAGTGTGGCCCTGCGCTCCTCTGAGGCCTGGCGAGCGAGTGCAGCGGCGGATACTTGTCTTGAGCGTCCTCGACGTTGCATTGAATATTGTGGACGAGTGTACCAGCCACCGCTGGGAGGACGCATAGAAGCAGTAAGCATGGGAGCCAAACGACGGGACCAGAACGGGCTTACCGACGTTAATAAGAAGGAATCTAGAGAGCCAATGGACGATTGCGGAAATTGCCTCGAGGCGAACTATGGGCGTCTCCCTGTGCGATGAGACCGCGTCCTTTTCCTGTGTTGCTTGTTGCAGTCCTGCAGATCTCCTCGCTCGCCACCGTGAGATCCAGTGAGCCCCACTTTTTGATGCCCCCGTCCTCGTCGTCGGCGTCGAAGTGCACGTTATAGTGCTCGTGCAAGACGAAAAAATGCTCGGGAAACCAGGTGCATCCATCGGGTCGGCAGTCGCTAAAAGGCAGTTGCTGCCCTCGGGAATGTCCGCGTGGCACCTATCCTCCAATCAACGCTCCGGGGATCCTCCGCGACGTGGCGGTGTGTCCGCATGCAACAGCGGACGAATACAATATCATAGCACCATCAGCAAACACTGTCCCTTCGTACTAGCTCATGATAATCTGCTTTTCTCAATCTTATCACAGCACAGCTGCCTCATGTCGCTGCTACTGCTCTCTGAACATACTAAGTTCGTCCTCAGCTTCGCCCACGAGTCAACCTACGCAACGAGGCTCAGCCACACAACGCCTGCCTGCCGCAAATCGATCCCTTGGGCCCACTCGCTCTCGGACAACTAGCCCCGCTTACCCCGCTTCCGTTGTCTGTTCCTGATATCTTACCTTTGACAGCAATAACTCGCTCAAATCACGATCATCGATGACCTTGCGGAGCCTTGCGGCTGCCCAAGAACCATCACATGTCCCTTTTTTTCTTCTATTCACTACCAACGTGAACCACAAGTTCCATCTCAGAACATCTCATCCCGGCGTATACCTGCCAATTTCCTCAATCTGGTGCGGAGCCCCTGAACCATCGCGCAGATCTCTTCTTCTCGCTCCAGCCTTTAGGCCTGCGAAAAGTGTCTAATATGGACCCATGTTTGCTTCCGCCTTTCACCTCCCATTATGTTCATTGCAGCAAAGTCTCTTCAACTCGATAGAACCCTAGCTCGCCAGCCGTGCACCCGCTGTCTAGTCCGCAAAAGCGCACCAAAGATGACCCGCCTTTCGGAGCTGTCGTTCGCATCTGGTTTCCCCCCGATTTCCCCGTATATGCGCTAGCGCACTTTCAGTTGTCCTCCTCGGCCTCGGAGGTTACTGCGTCGCTAAGTTAGCACTATTCATAAAATTGATGCTTTCGTATATTGCATCTCGGGTGCCTTCGCCGGAACGCCCTCAGCTGCACACGACACGTCGTCTGTCCACCTGAGACGCAAACTTACAGTCTCATCAATGCCGTCGATAACTACAATCGATGTAGCTATTCGTTCACCCCAAAACTTCGATAACGTGTGGCTAGCGCTTGTTCGTTTTACCGCTTAATGGCATGGCCCTTCGTCTTCTTCCGATCTAATCATAGCGCGTTTGCGAAACCCGACCAGTCCAAGCTTATTCATTTGCCCCTGATACATCGACGCTGATTGACCACATTTCACAAGGGTATCGCCGAGAATCACAGTCCAGTTTGATTTTTCTCATGAACGAGAGGCGACGCCGAAACGATCATCATCCTGGGATGTGCCTCTTCGTTCCTGCGAAGTGTGCTGTATGTGCAAATACGAGGTCTTGTTGCTCAGAGGATCTACTGCCACTGATGAACGCGACACAAGCGTCTAGATAGCCTCCGCAGCGGGCAACGCAACTATCATCGAACCACGGTCTAACGTGACTACCCGGTGCCTGCTCTGTCCCACCTCCTGTATCCACGGACCTGTCATGGCCCCGACCGGCGATGGCGACTTTCTCCAAAAGTGGCTGGCTCAGGCGTAGTACGGTGCCTCGAGGCGCCCCCGCGTTGCCTCGTGTTCAGCAGAATCCAATGGATTCTGCCGGCTTCCGTTTCACCGTTCACGCACCTTGGACGTTCTTGGACTCATATCAGTCAAGCCCCGCTAAGTATCTATTTCGACGAAGTGGCGCCTCGGTTCGTTTGTTCTTAGTTAGACCTAATACATCTAATGTTCTCGTTTTCGTCTGCTGGGCTATGCAGGTTCATCTTTCATCGACATCTTTCGCCCGCCGATGTTCCATGTACATCTATCATATGTTTCCACAGCCTGTTGGGAACCATCCATCTGTGGATGTTCCCGTGAACAACAGCGATATCTCAGTACCGCAAATGAAACATTGCCTTTCCTAGGGTGTCGCTATGTCATAGGAGTGGCGTTCGGGAACTTTGTTGTCGTCGTCGTCCTGACACAGACGCTGATCTCACGACGCTGCTTTCCTACTTAGTGGCGCAGAACCCATGCTACAGTGTCTGTCTTCTTTCCCAGTCTGTCGACTATGGGCGACATCGCTCCCACAATCTAGGCGCTCGCTTCCGAATTAATGCTCCTCCGGACGTGTTGGACGTTGGACCAGCTGTTCCTTTGACACTGTGGAGCGCTGAGAACGTTTGTGCCGGGCGTTGGCGCCTTCGGTTTCGAACCTTCTTGTGGCTCAGGATGACGCCGAAGCCGTTTGCTCGAAGTCTCTGTCGTGGTGTTCTCTGTCATCGCTACGCAAACATGACGTTCTCTTTACGCTCGCAGGCCTCGCTGCGTAACTCTGACGTGCTCGTGGCGGAGCGTCGCCTTCCATTTCTCTCAGCATCAAGCACACTACTATGGCAGCGCGGCTCATAAAATCTTTGGCAGTGCGCAATGCTCTTGCCACATCATGCGTATGATAACATCTTCGTAGCGGCGTAGCCGTGTAGCCTGCTTTTATGCGAGTGATGCCCAAGGAACTGAGCGTCTTGCCAAATACCTGGGCCCACATAACGCCGCACCGCCGCGGCGAAGCCAACTTGTCCCTCTTTCTTCAAGCTTCAGGCCGAATCAATGGCCGCTTCGCGATTCGCAGTGACCGTTCGTCCGCTGAACGGAACACCATAAGTACCAAGTATACATGGTAGGGCTCCACTTCCCATCATCATTCCCCGTTCTTCCCCATACCGTAACGCATCATCAATCCCATGCAACTCCGAGCGCTCTTCCCGTACTTCGCGGCGAGACCAAATATAATTCGCGAGCAAGCAAGCAAAGCTCATCTCGGATCCACTGGAAGCCTGGCACGCACTGATTGCGATGCGCCCGTATGCTAGGAACTTGAGCATGAAACTATCACTATCATGACAGTGCTGTAATAACCGCGGCGCTGCTACCTGTCAGTGCCTGCGGTTGCTTGTTCTGTACGGCATTCTAATGGCAACTCCGATGACTCACAAAGCGAATGCTAAAACGAAACTTTCTGTCGGCGGGAGCGTGATTCTCGCCTCTTGTTTTGTTCCCTCCTGTTGCTCCCCGTTGGCCGCTGAGTTCTATTTCATACCGACCGAGATCGAGGCGCTCTTCCTGGATTTTGGCTCAGTGGCTCTAGCTTCGCGCCGGTAGCTCGGTCATAGCTAGGCTAGGCCAGTGCTTACCGGATATATGGGTAGTAATCAGCCATTCTGTGAAAGCCCTTTACTACTGTCCTTATCAAAGCAAGACCCAATTTGGGCCGCTCAGGCGACACGCCGTGTTTGAGGTTTGTACTTCTTTGGATATGACTTGTTGCTAGTGGGCAATACTAATACAAGGTCGCCTTCAGCTAAGGTATATATCATATATATCGTGACAGTGCTGTGGGCACCCGCGCTATGAGATGGGCGCGATGCTCAGTAGGGTTCGCCATCATCTTCGCAGGCCCAAGTTAATGTGCTGCACTGGTTTTACGTGTATGTTCAGAGTTCAAAGTCCTCGTTCGAGGTTTGCCCTTCTGAGGCAGTCTGGTTGCGCGTTCGTTCGCACATGATGGTGCGATGCGTGCTTCGTCCTTCCCACCTTCCTTCTCTGAGGGTTTGATAGTGCGCGCTGCCCCGGGCTCCATACAGTCTACAGCACACGGTAATGCATGACGCGTGTTTATGGACCTGCGTAATCATTGGGTTTTGATAGCAGTTTGTGGACCGGAACATCTGATAACCGTTGTACATACTCATCAACACAATAGTAGCAGCGCTGAGATTGAATCTCAAAGTCGGCATCGAAGGAGGAAGATATCTTGCTTCTCCATGGTGCCACACCATCTGCGCGTTTCATTCAAAACCGTATGTGTCCACCGTCCAGGCAGTGAGCCGCTGGGAGTCTTTCTTTCGATCCACCAGTATCTTGATCAACTGAATGCATGTCATCCTTTGCCACCGGCCTCTATGATCAAAACAGTTACCCCTGATCTGCACAGATCTGCATATCCTGACATACGTACGTAAATCATCGGGTGGGTCAGAGAGCTATGACATCGTGTCACTTTTTGCCACTTGCGCGGCTGTGCCTTGTTTTTTTTTTTTGCTCGACGCCTCTAATCGGATGAAACGATGTTCTGATTTTAATGTCTTCAGTTTTATCGTGACTCGGAGTATTTCATGCTGGAGTCACGAGAACAACGTCTCGGACCGATGATCTGTATCCATATTCATTCCAGCTCACACCTGACTCACACAGGATTTCCTTTATTAATGAAGAATACATGAAAGCCATCGAGACGAATAGGCCTCACTAGTCTACTCCGCAAAAGTTGAACCCCGCCATCGGATGTCGTCCCTCTGTTTGGTTCGACCGTGTCCATCGGCCAACGAGACAGACTCCAGCATTCAGTAACTCGATGAATACGTTCCATGGCCGTTCAATCGCGTTCCATGGCCGGGAGCTGGGCTCGGACCGATGAGTGCGAACTACTCCACTGAACTTGACTATATGCCACCGCTGGTGTGCGCTGTCGCATGCTCCGATCTCGCTGGGGTAGGCTAGCCGGGTGAGCTCAATCCGATTGCTTCCAAGATCCAGCGATGCATACAGATCATCGGCCACGTCGACATAGGTTGACATTAGTCTCCTTTGTGCAGCCGCTTTACACAACTTAAAAAGAGCGCTGCTGTAAAACGATCGACATGCAACTGCGACTCGTCTCGTCGCACTGACATGAAGGCGGGTTACCGGGCTTACTAGTACTTGGCTTGTGTCGGCTCTGTGCGCCCTACTGTACCACCAGACCATACGGCAACAGGACGAGCCGGATAGATGGAGATGTCAGTAGTGACGGTAAGTAACCATCTTGAACCTCGAGGGTGCGATCCCACTGCGCTGGGCTCATCAGTAAAATCGACGCGACCAAGTACACCGATTTCTATTTCCTCAGTTTAATTCGCCACATCAACCTCTATCAACCTTCGAGCGCATAGCATGGCAACGAGCACATGCTATGGCTATAAGCACTCTATAAGCTACGAATTGTCGATACATACAGTGAATAGATCACGAACACGTAGCGCGGTCGGTCCGAACTTCTGATCATAGTATAGTGCTCTCCCGTCAAACTCGTCTTGTTCCCGGCCCGTGGTAAGACTCGATCCAGACATGTCTACAGATCGTTCATCCATATTTCTCGAGACATCATCGGCACCGCATCTTTTGATGATCGCTCCGGTAGTAGCTCGACATGACCTGTCATACTACATGTAAGCTCAGCGGACCCGGTGGCTGCTCTATTGGCTGGCTTTGATCGTCCACCGCACGACTTTACGGCCACGGGAGCTACCACGAGCCGCCACGATCATCGTGACGCAGTGGCATAAATTACCCGTCGCCCTGGCTGCCAACGTGTACTGTCCAGCGTCACCGAGCTCGGCCCCTACCTAATTTTTGATCCGGCAGAGCGATCAACCCGAGGACGATCATCGACGACGTATTGCTGAAGCGCATCGCACAGAACTGGCGCACAACACTACTCGAAACCTAGTAATAGTCATTACGCGTACAGAGGACTTGCACATGTACGTATACATACATACATAGTTTCGAGAACGCTTATAAAGGAGAAGAACAATATTACAAACTCGGCAGCATCTACAAGGGCGCTGAACTAGCTATAGCGAGCGTAAGATGTGATAATGACCAACAGACCTAGTAAATACATACGATCGGGAGAGTCTAGCAGAAACATAAAACAAGAGCTCGAGTGTCAGGTATTAATGAACAACAGCGGGTAACGGCTAGCAAGGTAAAGTACAGCCGAGAAGTCTAGCAGGAAAGAAAGGAGAAGTTTAGCGAGGTTGCGCACGATGCGCAGGATATTACGCAGTGCACAAGCAATGAGGCTCAATAACATATTGCAGTCTGAATCTAGCAAGAGAATAATAAAAAAGCAAGCGCAAAGCCATGTTAGCGCGCAAGCAAAGAGGCGTCCACGTCGTGTTTTCCTGGGTTTCGGAACCCCGTTCACATCACCCTTTCCTGGTCCGTGACCGCGCGGAGCCACATTTCACCAGGGACACTGCACAACAAAAACTCACCCATCAGCACGAAAACAAAGGCAACGCCAAAAAAACATGCACCTCCTCTCCCTCACAACCCTCCACACCCTCCTGCCCGTCCTCGCCTTCTCAGACGGAAACGCGCGGCCCTGAAGATCAGCGAGACCCTCGTTCGTGCCCTCCGCCTCGAGCACGACAGAGCCGTACCACGACGGGTCGATCACGAAGCCCTCCACGCCCGGGATCGGCACGCGGTACTCGCGCGCGTTCTTGCCCGAAGAAGCGGCGCCGCCCCGCGGGGGCAGAATCGTGAACCGCGAGCGGTGCACCCAGCGCACGAGGCTGTGCAGTGTGCCGTCGGGCCTGCATGCATAACAAGGTTCCTCGTCAGTCAATACATGTGAAGCGTGCCTCGATGCAGGCGGCCTGACTTACATCTCGGTCTGCACGCGGTCCTGGAAGAGCTGCATGTTCGTGGAAATCTCGGGGCCCCAGGGGCTCACGTCGACGTACACGATCGGATTTCCGCCGCCGGTGCCCGTCGACGGGCCCTGGCGGATGACGCGGTGGAAGTACGAGGGCGAGAAGGCGAGACTGTGGAAGTACGGCGAGAGCTCGCCCATGCGGGAGAACTTGTAGTCCAGATCCTGCACACGCAATAACAGTTAGCAAGTGACTCTCGGGTTGACGCGCTGGAACTCAGACTGACTACGAGGTAACTCCCGTCCCACACGAGCCGGCCGACGTTGCCCTCGTCGCCCACCGCGGCGTCCCAAACGACATCGCCCGCTCTGAGCAGCTTCGCCACGCCGGCCCGGTGCAGCTCCGCCTCGCACGCCTCGACGCTCTTGTCCGAGAGCCACACGCCCTCGGGAGACGGCACGAACACGCGGAGCAGCGGCGCGCGGCGCACACGGTACAGCGGGCTGTGAAACGAGCCATCGGCGAGCGACCCAGAACCAGAACCGGAACCGGAGCCGAGCGCGCGCGACGAGTTCGAGCTGCGCGTCTGCGCGTCGCTGCCCCGGTGGCGACGCGAGACTGGAGACGGCGACGCGGCGCGGCTGGTCGTCCGCGAGGGGCTGCCGCTGACACTGTTGCTGCTGTCTGTGCTACTGCTGCCGCTCCGCTCGATGCGCGCCTGTTGGCGCATGCTCGCCTCGCACTGGGCGCGTATGCGGAGCACGAGGCGCGTGTACGCGCGCGCGTCGACTGCCAAGGCGCGGAGATCGTCGCGCGTCAGCGATGTGTCTTCCTTGTGCATGTACGCGTACGCGTGCCGGCTGTAGAGGTGCGTGGGCATCGCGACGCCGCGCATGTAATGGTGCAGGTCCTGCATGATCATAGAGTCATAGGGGTAGTGCACGTGGAGCGTTGGAGAAGATAATACGTCAGATGGAGGAGCTGGGCGAGGATAGGGCGGAGATGAGACGCACCTTGAGCGAAATGACGATGGGCTCCGCCCACTCGAACAGCCAGCGACAATATCCAACGGTCTCGAGGTATCGCTCGAGGACGGCCTCACGCGCATCGTCGCTGTCAAACGCGGCGCGGAACGACTTGGTGATGCTATATAGCCTGGTCCAGTCGGGAAAGTCGAGATGGCGGAGCAAACACGAGATGAGGTTGCAGTGCTCGACGAAGCGGAGGATGGGGAAGAATGTCTCGCGTTTCTTGGGGAACTCGAGTGGCCAGGCTGGGGTTGCGTCTGCCTGTTTAGCACGCTGCTGCCTGGCGACGAGCTTTGCAACGGCCTGGGGAGGAGATTTGTCGAGTGTTTTTCCGCGACGCAAATCTCGGGCTGTGGTGTAGTCCGCGGAGGGTGGAACGATGACGGGCATGGTGATTCTTGGGGAGAGACGGAGGGGAATTGGAGTGGCAGGTAATAGAGCTGTGTGCATCACATATACCCAAGACAGGGGATCCGTCTATAGAGAGTCTAAGAAGAAGGATAAGTAACTCCGGATGCAACTAGCTTCTTCGCTTGCCCGAGGTGCTCGATCGCGCTGGCTGTCGTCGGAATTACGTCTCTGATCCCAGAGAATCTCAGAGAGAGAAACAAGGGAAAAGTTTTCAGGAAGTCGAGAGTTGGTCGAGAGCTCATTTTGAGAAAACAGGGCACCAGAAATGGCACGAGGAATGCGGCAGTAACGGGCGACGGCGACCTCGACACCCTGATCGGGTGGCGGTGCGATAAAAGTGCCTCATGTCCCTTTCTTGCTCACTTTCCATCTCCGCGACTTCTCCCTTCGGTCTCTTCCGAGAAGACAACACACTCAATGACATACAACATGACACTACTCCGAGGACAATCCACTCTCAAACCTAAAATACAGACCAGCTGAACAATACACTCCGCCGGCGGAACCTCTCAAGCTTTCTGAGGCTCGTGCTCGTTGTCATCGGCACAGTCGACATATGGACCAAAACACGCTCAGCCAGCTTTACTTAGCATCGATGTGAGAACCATCCAGCTGTTGCGGGCAACGTTATTTCACTGCCCTTGTCTACAATTAAGCCCCGAGGTCCGAGCGTGGTCTAGATTGACGAACGACCCGCCAGGATTAAATTGGCCTCGCACGGACAGGCCCTTACAACCATCGAATCAACGACGATGGAGGAACAAATAGATCGTGTTCCTGTCTCACTTTCCACCAGAACACGCTACTAGTGCGGGGTTCGACTTTGACACAGAATCATTTGTTTCGGAATGTTGCAACATTCTTGCAGACAATTGCATAATGTCTTTGGTGGATCCATTTATCTTGAAGAGGCTGCCCCCGTTGCTTCCCTGCCAAAACATGCCATTCTCGACTCCCGATCAATCCTCCCTAAAGTCGACTAGTTAAATCAAACCCCGTTGTCCTGCGCGATGCATATGCGACTCCAATATGGAGCACTCTGCGTTGCAGGGGGTTTCCCAGACTCCGCTGTGAATCAAGTCATGTGTAGTATCACAGAGTCTACATTTCGAGGCAAAAAGTGAGTCAGGGATCCATTGAATTTGACGGCTTCTGTTGAACGTAAAGGTTGGATCTGGCAACTGTGTAGCCATAGAAAAACAAAAGAGAAAGGTCTCTTTACTTCGAACGTTAACGTTGATTTTCCCGGCCTTTTCTGCCAGTCCCATTGGCTCTGAATCTCGGCCAATCACAGTCGTCGAGTTAAATAACACGGGAGTCCGTCGGCTCGGGTAGTGAAATAGCCGAGAGGAAGATCCTTCCAGAACTAGGCTCTGTCCCCTCAGCATGACCGGCAAGAATGTTCCCGTGTCACTTCACTTGTCTAACCCCGTCTTTCCTCTTTTCCATGTGAGCCCTGGCCCCGCAAACATAGCCAACGTGGGACCCTTTTCTCTTTCCATCTGCACCACTCCTACGACGACCGACAAAACATACTAGGCGCACTCCAGGCTGGCTAACGGACGATCTCGATGCTGGCGAGTCTTAGGGTATCTCGTCGGCGCGACCGCTGGCTAGAACTACGGCTCGATTCTGCACTCAGTCTTTCGGAAGATGGCGACCTGGTGTGTTCACAGCAAGGTTTCATTCACCTATGAAATCTCACCCCCGTCTCGCAGACGGTCGACGTCAACGCGCTCAAGGCGCTCATATGCCCCCCTGACTTCTCGTGGTCATACATGACCTCCGCGTGCTGCCGCACCATTTCCCCGGTGTACAGTGGGCTCTGGAACTCCGTGCAGGAGGACTTTGAGAACGTTGCGCGCGTGCTCTCGGAGCTTGAGGTTGAGCCACCATCAGAAGAGGGGGAAGAGAAGGATGTGCGTTCTTCATCTCCGTCTTTATGGGCGCCGAGCTAAGTTGCTTCGCAGGACGATGCGTTGACGAGTGAGGTCAGCGGGGACGAGCCTCTGCCCCCAGTCGACGTGCCCCCCAGACGGAAGAGGCGGAGATCCTCACTCACGGTAAGTGTGGCGTTCAAGTATTGAATGGAGGGGGTGCTAAGAATATCTGCCTTCTGCCTTCTGCTTGTTCGTCGCGCAGACGCAGCCGTTCACCGTCCACAGTGCGGGTCCCTCGACTCCGGCTATCGTCGTGACGCCCTCGCCGCCGCAGGAGCGCGAGACGTCGTGCTGGGTGCCCGTTCAGGATGCGTCATTTGGCAGCCGGCTGACAGTGCCGACACATGTTGCGTTCAATGACGTCTTTCCGCCGCTTGCTGTGCCTTTGGCTTCGTCCCGGTCTGGGCCCTGTTTGCTGCCTGTGCAGCGGTGGGAGTATGTGGGCGGGCACTGGGTCGCGGTGCTGCATGCGCTGGAGGAGCAGACGCGGAGGGGGATGTATTCGAAAAGCATGGCTTGCCGTCGACGGCCCAGAGCCGGCCGGTCAAAATCTGCAGAGCGCAGAAGTGTATTTTCAGCATGAGATTTATAGACGTGATTTATAGTTATGATAGTGGTCATTTTATTGATATCTGCATGTATACCTAGCCAGCTACGCATTTGCATGTTTCGTTACCCAATCTATGATGGATTTGTCGAGCTCTGGCGGTGTTGTTGGCCACGTTCGTGCGGTGTGGTGATATGTGGAGTGTGGGAAAGTGGTACCTACCCCGACGTAAGAGTGAACAACGTCTATGAGCCTTAGGAACGCCTTTGAGCCTCCACGTCGACCTTTCCCTTTCCACATCTCACCGCACCTGGCCAGCATCGTCTCCTCTGTCGAGCCCTTGCTTACTTGCGGGTAGCCATGTCGCTCAGGGCGATAGTCTACGCCTACGTCCTCGGAGGACTCACCTTTGTTCCCCTCCTCATCTTCGCATGCATATTCTACACCGTCTACACCTCTGTCCCCGTCGGCGATACCAATCCCGACAAACCGCTCAAGGCCAGGCTCGCGCGGGAGAACCAGCAGCAGCAAGAGCAGGATGATATGGAGAAGGACGCCGCAGCGTTGAGCGCGGACGGGAGTAACACCGAGAGCAGCGAGGACGCCGCGTCCTCTGCTGCGGACACCGCCAACGCCAACGCCAACGCCAACGGTTCCCCCACCGCCTCTGCGTCTGCGTCTGCGTCTGCGTCTGCCGCCGGCGAGGTGAACGACCTCCCGAAGCCGCGGCGCGGCTGGCTGACGGTGCGCCGCACGTTCGAGGAGCTGCCCCTGGACGGCTCGTACGTCGCGATGGTGCGCTCGTTCCTCGACGCGCGCTCCAAGGACCCGAAGCGCTCGCGCCCGCGCGACGCGTGGTATGTCGTGCTCAAGCGCACTGTGCTGTATCTCTACGAGGACGAGAGCATGACGGAGTGCGGGGCGGCGATCGAGCTGGGGAGCCATGATGTGGGGGTGTTCCCCGGTGGGCTGGGGGACGGGGAGCTGTTTACGAAGAGGAGTGCGATTGTGTTGAGGCCGAGGGTGAGGGAGGGTGAGGGGAGGGATAAGGATAAGGACAGAGAGGAGGGTGCCAGTGTGGCGGCGATGCCGAGTGTGACGCGGGAGATGGCGCTGCCCTTGGACGAGCGCAGTGCAGAGCAGAAGGCCGAGGACGCAGCGGGCGCGGGGACGAAGAAGGCGGGCAAGGTCGCGGAGGAGGAGCGCGCGCAGGAAGCAGCGCGCGCGGAGGCGCTCGGCGCGCAGACGCCGTGGTTCATCTTCGTGCGGTCGTGTTGCGAGATGGAGGACTGGTACCTCGCGCTCGTGCACGCGTCGTCGGCGCCCGCGAACACGCCGACGCTGCGCCCGCTGCACGGCGTGTTCCGCCCGGCGGAGATGGACACGCTGGTGGCGACGATCGACGAGCAGCCGGACGTGATTCCGATGCGGTGGCTCAATGCGCTGCTCGGCCGGATATTCTACAGTTTCTACAGGACGCAGCTGCTCGAGTCGTACATCATCGGGCGGCTCATGCGCAAGCTCGCCAAGGTCAAGCGGCCCTCGTTTCTCTCGGACATCGTCGTCACCGAGTTCTCTGTCGGGAACCACGCGCCGCTGCTGAGCAAGCCGATGCTCAAGGAGCTCACCAAGGAGGGCGACGCGGCGCTCGAGGTGCACGTCGCGTACAAGGGCGAGATCCGCGCGACGGTGCAGGCGACGGCGATCATCAACCTCGGGTCGCGGTTCAAGTCGTACACGGTCAAGCTCGTGCTCGCCGTCGTCCTGCGCGAGCTCGAGGGGAACCTGCTCGTCAAGGTGAAGCGCCCGCCGAGCAGCCGGATCTGGTACGCGTTCACGCAGACGCCGCGGATGGTGCTCAACGTCGAGCCCATCGTGAGCGACCGCCAGATCACGTGGAGCATGATTCTCAATCAGATCGAGGCGCGGCTCATTGAAGTTGTGCGTTTTTTTCCTTCTTCTTGCGTGCGCGTGGAGGATGCGACGCTTGTTCTGACGTTTGGGTGTAGATTCAGGAGTCGATTGTTATGCCCAATATGGACGATATTTCGTTCTTTGATAGCTCGCAGTTCATGCACCGCGGTGGTATATGGTCGGACGCACGCAGAACCAAGGTTAATATTAATCCTGCGGACTACGCTGGGGATGAAGACCAACAGTCCAAAAATAATGCTGAGGACCCATCAAAACCAACTGAGCTCAAGCACTCGCATTCTGCGGAAGAGATGGGGACAGATGGTATTCCTGTGGAGAATGAGACAATTGCTCGTTCTGCCACCGTCGGTGAAGCCGCGCCTGCAACTGCTTCGGCTCGACGACGGTCCTGGTTTGGGAAGGAGAACACTGAAGATACGATTCTATCGACGACGGAGGAGGATTCCGAGGGAGATGAACGGGGAAGAAATACTACGCCAAAGATGGCCTCTGATGAGGACGTCACCCAAGAAGTCCAGGTGAACGAGCCGGACACACATGACGTGGAAGACGAGCCCATGTCCCCTCCACCGCCACCCCGGTCCCCCTCCGTGCATTCCGTCGGCGCCCACTCGAGATCGTCGAGAGCGCACTCGATTTCGTCTTCGGTCGGCGGAGACGAGTCGGCGAGCTATCTGTCCGACTCTAGCGGTCCTGGGCCGTCGTCTGCGTCTGCGTCTGCTCGCAGCAACAGCAATCGGAATTCCTCGTCCATTGGACCGACCACGTCGTCCTTCCTCAACGCGCTCAAGTCGAAAGCGGGCGATAAGCAGGCGCTGAGCAATTCGGCCAAGGAGGCGATGCGCAAGTGGGGTGTGAATGTGAACTGGGGCGGGCTGAAGAACAAGGATACGCCAACCACGACGGTCGAGGACACGTCGGACGGTGGTGGCGAGTCGGCGGGCGACGCGCCGGTGCCACGGACGGGTGACAGCCGGCGGTCGTTCCCGAGCTTTGCTGAGATTAAGGCGGCGGTGGCTGATCGTAATGCGGAGTATCAGCACCAGCATCAGGGCCAGACAAATGGCGACTCAATACCGACCCCTTCTTCAAATAATGGCAAGGCTCGTACCGTCAGCACGTCGAGCACGCGCTCGACGGGTTCCCATGCTGGTTCTTCAACTTTGGCTTCGGGCGGCGAAAGCAGTAGCGGTTCGGCGCGCACTATCGCGAGCGCGACGCCGCTCTCGCGCTCTGCCAACGAGTCGTTCCAGGACCGGGACCGGGACGTGGAGGGCGCTGCAGAGGCGCACCGCCCGCCGCCGATCTTCACGCAGCAGCCGACGCAGGCCAAGGGCATGATGATCCCTGGTATCCACGCCAAGCACCGCGGCGAGGTGATGTCGTTGGGCAACGTTGCGCCTGCGTCGCCGGCGCCAGAGGAGAAGGCGAAGGTGGCAGCAGCGACGACGACGACGGCATCCCCTGCGATACAGAGCGTGTATAGGCTGTGGAAGAGCCCGACGATGGGCGCGACGGGGGCGGGCGGTAGCAGCAGCACTGGCAACGGCAATGCACAGCAGGACACGACGCCCAGGCCCGACGCAGGCGAACGCAACAAGGACGTTGCGCCGCTCACGCTGTCGCCGTCGCCGTCGCCCGAGTTTGTGGCGCATGCACCTGCGTCTGCGCCTATACTGTCGCCGCCGGCACCGGCAGCTACAGCATCATCCCCGCGCGTGCCGCCGCCATTACCGCCGCGCTCGGTGTCCTCGACCGTGACGCGCACGGCGACGCCCGCGAGTACGCCGGCCATTCTCACGCAGCAGCCCGCGTCTGCGTCGGACGCGCTCAAGTCCATCGCGTCGAAGGACGAGGGGGCGCGTCATTCCAGGGAGGGGGCGGCGTCGCCCACGTCGCCGGCGTCTGTTGGAAGCGGAGAGGCGCCGTCGGTGGACGGTGGTATTAATGGCGCTGCCAGTGCTGCTGCAAGACCGGTGTCGCCGCCTGCGAGTGCGTCTCTCCCTCCGCGCCCTGATAATAGACCGCCGTTGCCGCCTCGGAAGGTGCCTACTATTGCATGATTTTAGTGGGTTGCGTTTTTGTGTGTATGTTTACCGAAGTCATCACCTGCTATCACCGTCTTTTTGGTTCCCTTTTTTTGCTGTTCTTCTCCATATCGTCGCATCCGCCTCCTCACACGGGGCACACGGGGCCCAACTCAACCCATACATCACGATTTACTTATGACTTGTTCTCGTCCATTCTTGCATCACGGCAGAATTTTTCTTTGCAAGCAAGTCTCGCTCTCCGCACGCATACATGTATTCCTCTGGCTACGTCCGCTCCATCCGTCCGTCCACCCATCCGTCCGTCCATCCATCCATTTATCCATTCGTCAGGCCGTTTTCGACGGTTTCGTCAGTCAGTTAGCTGCTCGTCCTCATCTCACCAGGAACTTCTGAACTTGAACCATGTCTGCATACATAGTCGTATAACTTAATGCCTGAATCTGTACACCCCGCTTCGTCCGCCTTTTGGTCCTCTGACTCGGAGTCCTGGGTTGCTGTTCTGGAGTCGGTGAGTCGGAGTAGATCCGACGACGAGTCTTTGAACGTATTTCGGGTTCCTGAATAGTTCTATACGCAGTCGAAATCAGTAATCTTGCCGTCGAGGATCACAGTGGGTGCTCTGAGGCACTGCCTTTTCTCCCCCTCATATTTCCGGATTAGCAATTTGGCGCCTTACGGTGCACCATCAGATCTCTCTGGGCACTGTTACGATCAGCGATATGCCACTTGAATGCCACTAGTACTGTGGAGGTTAATTAAGGCGCAGTGGTGCAAAGTTGTATCGTCACTGCGCACCATCTGTCATGAACATTGTAACATTCTAGTACCTCAGGCTCAGCTGAGCACCAATATATGTACATAAGTCGATATGAGGTTAAATTTGAAGTGGCGTTGAAAGTGCGCAGGGGTATCATTAATTGAGTGTTATAGTAACACGTTCAAGGGACACTAAAAAGAACATATTCGACCTATAGATCCTACCTGTGACTGTCTTTCCCCCAATGACATCTTGGAGTCAGAGTTACTTACATACGGGCTCTGTGTCTGCCCAGGTCCGCCCCGACGTCGCGCGTCACGTCCCAGAGGCAGGGGCACAATGAATTTGAAGAATTCTTGCGAGCCCAGGTTAACAAACCTTGACGCTAACATTGACATTGACAGCTAATTGACAGTCTGCCTCGTCGCCGCCCGACGTCGGCTATCGAAGGTGAATCGAGTGACACCTCGACGTTGCGCTCCGAGCGATACCGGATTTCCATTCTATAAAATTATCACCAGGGAGATTTCATTGAATGTTCGTGGGAGATACTTCGTCCGTCCGTCTCGGGCTCAAGGACTCTTCGAAGGTCGATGATTTCCGGTTGCCATGTCGGAGCTGCGTTAGCTGTGCATGTTTTTGCGACGCACCCTCAGTTTATGCACACCAGTGTCACTCTGCCCAGGGGTTTAGATCGATCCACATGATATGTCTGTGGAAACCCCATCAACCTTCCGAGCCAGTCAAGCAAAAGCAAGAAATGTTGCTCCCAGCCCTTGGAGTGCACGTCGGATATGTGATATTGAGCTTGGTAGCATGATACCATCTGTTCACTTCATCTTCATCTTCATTTTCACAAGTTCTGAATTTCATTATGCGCATGCCGTAAAACGGAGGTGCTTCTGATGTAGCGACGCGAATTGGTTGCAATTGAGCAACACGACGCGTGGAGAAGAAAACATATATATGCAGTGTACTGAAGCGCTGGTCAGTACGTAAAGCGGAGAGCAGGGGCTGATTTGAGCTTTGTTTGCGCATCAATCAGTGCGGAGTGTTAAGTAGTGAGTACGGGGATCTGTGAGTTGCGATCAGTACTTGGCCTGAGCGTTCAATATGTTTCCTTGGTGCATCCTGGCATTACTTGGGAGTCACACCGTCTACACGAGAGCTCCACGTTCTGCGCGAGCACGCAACGAGCACGAGTGGCCATTTCCCCAGATTTCCCTTCGCGTATCGTGTAGTCGTGCAGCGTGGCTGATGGTGGGTACCCAAGTACTCTGGGTCTGTTAGAGTAATAGATTCGTTTACTCACTTACCTACACTTACTCACCCGGTGACCCCATCGCGTTAAAACGGGACCGGATTCTGCGGATTGTTCTGAGGATTGTTCTTGCGGAGATATCAAAGCATGTGCAGCCGACTATACGGGGCTCGTCTGCTGAGCTTCGACAACGCCAACATGCCTTCGAGAACGTCCTCGACTCCTTTTGCGCGTCGGCGTTAGAACATTACAGTAAGTACACACCTACACGCGACGCGGGGCCGCAGACAAGTGGGCTGAGACGACCGTGGCCAAGCACACACACGCTTGTCCGAGTCAGCGCACATGCCATACGACTCCCGCGTGTGTTCTCTCGCCGCCGCATACATATGAAGTGCACAGCCTTGAGAACGTGTTCAGTACCCGGCGGGTGACACTTCGGATTCAAGTAAGTATGCGACAGGGGCGACGGAGATATCTCGATGAGCCACAGTTGTGACACGACTCCGAGCGGGGTTTGTGCATCCCTGGAGGTCTGGGTCCAGGTCACGGATCATAAGTAAGTCTACGAGCCTGAGCTAGCCTGAGTGACAGTGGGGGTCTAGGTCTGCAAGATGCGGGTGTAAGAGGCTGTAAGCCATTGGAAGGAGTTGGAACAGAGGTGATTGTACGCTCCCGGGGTAGTCCACCAGCGCGTTGCCTCGGATCATCGAATATTGATCACCTCCTGAGGAAGGAAGAACGAGGATTGCCTGCAGGCAGCGACGATCTCGAGTGTGCATCTTCGAGGTGCAAGCGAATAGCGGCGGTGATAGGCTTGGGGGTCCAGGATCTGCGCTTAGCGCGATTCAGAGGCGGCCCTGAGCATGGCGGCGACTGCCACCCGCGGCCACCGTATCGAGGGTCTGCGAAACGCCGAAGGAACGGTGCGGGCGTGCCGGGACGCGTTACCTCACCGTCAGATATTGGATAATTGAATTACACACCCGCCCGCCCGCATCCGCGCGTTCGAGGGTGCATTATTGCGTAACGTTTCCTGTCGCATCTGCATTTGCATTTCTAGCTTCTTCTTTCTTCCTTCTTGCAACGTTTAACAATACCTTTGCTTCCATCTTCCATCTTCCGTCTTTTCATTCTTCTTCATTCTTCGTTCTTTGTTCATCTTTCGCGTCGTTGCCGTTGCCGTTGGCGACGTCGACGAGTCTGAGACCCTCGAGGCTTTGCTTTGCTTCTGCGATATTGCTCTGAAACCGCTGAACAAGACGCTAGCTGCGGTTACGGGTTTACCATATCATTACATGCTTTTCCAGTCGGCTTAATCTGAACGTCGTTCGTTCCTCTGAGACAACTTACTCCCTTTCTTTCCTGTGGATTTTCTCTTTCCAAGCATACCAGACGCGCCTTGCAAGTACCAAAGGATCACATTAATCAACACAACACACAAACGCAACCCACCTCACACACGATAATATAGACGAAGACGATGAGCCACAGCAGCCTCGCGCGACGCGCCGAATCGCCCGCGCCCTCGCGGACGATGAGCCACTCGCCAGCGGTGTCGCTGCAGATCTCGCCGAACCTAGAAGCGCTCCTGCAGCACGACGAGATGATCCGCGCCTTGTACAACTCGAGCCCGAGTCCACCGGACACGAAACCGCAGCCCCCGCCCGCGTCGTCCGGGTTCGCGATCGGACTGCCGCTGCCGCCTCCGCGGCACGCGCTGGGCGGAGCAGGAGGACACGGAGCAGGAGCGGGAGCAGGAGGAGAAAAAGGAGGAGGGGGAGGAGGGGGGAAGCGACCGCGGTCGGTGCTAGGCCCGAGAGAGCACTGTCTGCGGCGGAACATGAGCGCTAGCCACTTCAACGGATCATGGACGGATTTGCTGGCGGGGAATGGGGTGCCCGGGATCGTCGGCAGCAACAGCGAGGGTTCGCGTTTTCACTTTGGGCAGTCGTACTCGAGCCCGTCGAGCCCCTGTTCGTCGCGGTCCGCGACGCCGACACCGACGCGGACGTCGACGCCAACGCCGTCGTTACTGGGACCTATTCCGAGGAGTAATCCATATATCAATCCGATTCCGGCGCTGGAAGATGAGAGCGACGGGTCGAGTGGGAGCGGGAGTCAGCTATCGCATTCTGAGGAGGTCGCAGGTAAGTTGTCTGTTGTAAAGCATGTGTGATGTTTGGTGGCAGAGTCGCTCAAAGTGAGATTAACGCGTTTAATTAACAGATGTGGGCGCGGTGACGCGGAAGAAAGAAGGGCGTCCCACGAGTTTTGGTGGTGGATCTGGACGGTCGAGGCTTCGGCTGGGCAAGGTGGAGAAGATGCTGAACAAGGGAATGGGATCACTTAGGCTGACAGGGAAGGGAGACAGAGACAGAGAGGGTGGGCGTCTTTTTTCCGATTTTCGAGGGAGAGGATCTGATGGATCTGGACGGATAGGGAAGGGCATGCATGTGGACGAGTTTGGGGTGTCTATTTCCAAATCAGGAGAAGGTGTAGAGGTGGAATGTGACACTGCCACCATTGCAACCGCACCCGGGCTGATGGCGGCCAATTGCAACGCGCCATCGCGACAGTCGTCACCCACAAGTGCAGGTGGATCTGGGAGTCGGTCAGCAACAACAGGTCAACAGCAGACAGCTCAATGTCCGACTCACTCTCCCTCGTCTCGTTCACGTTCTCTTGACTCGTCTGACCCAGCGAACAAGACCCCGACTGGCCACCAGCTGCTCGTGCGCAACAAGTCGTCGCCTTCTCTCGCGTGCTCGCCTTCTCCTTCTCCCGTAAGAATCACCATCAGCGCAGGATCAACGGTAGCGCCCAGTTGGGATCATTATAGTATGGCGGCGTCCTCCCGGAAGACAAAGGAGCACGAGTCGTTTATGGACCTTCTCTCGCCCCACTCGCCGGACAGGGAAGATGCCCAGCCACGTCCTCCCACGAACAAGCATGAGAGAATCCTCGGGATAGAGACTAGCGCAGTCCAGAATAAGCACAGGCGCACATCACTGCTTGCTCCTCCCCGTCCCCCAATGCCTCGCTGCATCACTGCCTCCAACCTCGAGGAGCAGATGACATTTGCCCCAAACAGCAGCGACTCTGTCCCCCCATCCCCCCTCAACTTTGACGACCCCACCCCCGACAACGTCTCTGTACGCTCAAATGTGTCCAGCATCCAGTTCGCGCGCCGCACACCTTCCCCTGTCGCCTCGGACTCGGACTCCCCGCGGCGATCTCATTTCAACCCCTCCTCCACCTCCTTGGCGTCACTAGCACCCATCGAGTTCGCAGAGCCACCCAGCCCGGTCTACGTCAGGAAGCCGTCTCTCCCCAGAGAATCCAAGCCCCAGTTTGACCGCGACAAGAAGCCGCCATACCTCAGCAAGCGATCGGCTAGCGCGTCTCCCCACCTCCACTCCATTGCACTACCCCCAGAAGAGTCCAACAAGCTATGCGCCAGCGACCGCGAGGCCCTCATCCGCCGCAACCGCAAGATCGCCCAGGTCTTTGGTCAGACTCCCGGCACAATGACCATGGCGACCGACAGCTACTTCAAGGACGCATCACCCGTCATCCTCCAGCCAGAGGAGGACGCGTCCCGCTTCTTGAAGCTGCTGCCCCAGTCTGCTCTCTCCGCCCTCCTCGGCTCTGCCCGCCAGAAGGATAAGAGCCACCGCCACGCCATGTCCGTCAGCGTCGCCATGCGCAGCGCAACCGGCCCACCCTCCGCCAAGGCCCTCAAAGACGGTCCCGGTCCCCTGTCGCCATGGCAGGTCGTCGAGTCGCCCTGGGCCATCGAGGGTCGTCGCCATTCCTCTCCTTTATCCCCGGAGAAGGCTGCCTTCCTCGACCCTGCTGCCGACCTGCTCGGGGATCATCGTCATCATCAGCACCACTACCAGCAGCTCCATCACCATCATCAGACGGGAACCACCCACGCAGCCTCAGCCACTGATACGGCCCGGGATAGGGATTCACCTGACCAGCTGCAGCAGGAGTGGAACGCCCGCTTGCGTGCGTACAAGTTGCTGCAGGATCAGGGCCAGCAGCAGCCATCTCCCCTCCGCACCAACAAACCGCGGAACCTCTCCCCGTCTTCCTCCTTCATCGACCTCTCGGACGAAGAAGGCCCACCCACAGCCCTCCCCTCGTCCCCCTCGCACGCACGCACACGCGGACGCTCCTCCCCTCCCCCTCCCCCATCCTCGTCTTCCCCGGGCACAGCCTCCGCCTGGGACAAGAGCAGCATCAGCAGCGGCGGCACGGTCCACCGCGTGAGTCGCAGCGCGAGCATCGCCGACAGCGCGTCCGTGCTTTCGCTCGGCTCGCTCGCGTCGCGCACGTCGCAGGAGATGGCGGAGATCGAGCGCCGCCAGAAGCGCGACAGGCTCGCGAAGCTGCATCGGTTTTTGGGGTCGCGGGTGCCTGCGGACCTTGTTATTGGGCCTGGGGCGATGCCGGGTGATACGTCGGGGTTGCCGCCGTTGGCGTATGGGAGTCCGGATGGGCGGTCGTGGGCTGCGCAGGGTGGTGGTGGTGGTGGTGGTAGGAGTAGCAGTCGGAACAGAAGTGGAAGTGGGAGCGCGGTTATTACGCCGCCGCAGTACGAGAGGATCAAGGAGGAGCTCGGGGGCGAGGAGAAGGCGCTGAACGTGCGGCGCGCGCAGAAGATGGAGAAGGTATGTCATCCGTTCTGTTTCGTTCTCCATTTTACACGATACTATTTTCATCCGTTCATTCTTTCACCGTGCGTCATATGTACACATGCTGACACCCGTCCTAGGTCTTCGGAGCGGCCCCACCGCAGACGCTGTACCACACCCGTCCGCTGCCGATCCCACCGTGTCTCGTGCCAGGCTCCGTGCCAGGCGCTGCCGCACGGACGGTGTCGCAGCCGACGTCGCCCCTCGGTCCCTCGCCGAGCGTCGACGGCACCGGGCTGTCGTCGTCATCGCAGTTCCAGTTCCAACCCCCGCACCAGTCGCAGTCGCAGTTCCCATCCCATTCCCAATCCCATTCCCAGTCGCAGTCCCAGCAGTTCCAACAGCTCCCGCCTCCCTCCCCGTCTTCCCCGACCTCGTCGCGCAACCCGAACCAATCGGCGTACACCAAGTCGAAGCACAAGGGCAAGCGGCAGTACCGCCCGAGCACGAGCGAGTCTGCGCACCCGCTGATTCCGAAGCGACGGGGGAGCGACGCGTCGATCAAGTCGATTGTGGGCGTGGGGATCGGTGTGGGTGTGGGCACGGGTTCGGCGGGCGCAGGCGGGAACTGGCCATCGTACCAGGATGTGCTGGCGCGGTCGTCGGTGTATGTGAATTATCAGCATTCGTTGAATTCGTTGAATGATATTATCGATCGGGTGCGTTTTGTTGTTTCATTGTCTCTCTCTTCGAGTGTGGGATGTGGTCTGATACGGGGGGTTTGTGTGCGTAGGATGACAAGGAGTCACTTGCGGAGCTGCACCGGTATTTGCACGGTGACCCTGGTTCGTCCGATGAGGAGGAAGACGATGATGATGATGACGACGACGACGAAGGCGAAGTGATTAATATCGGGCGGGACGACGACGACGCCGAGCACCAAGAAGACGGGCGCGATACCCCGACTTACCCCTTACCCACCACCACCACCACAACAACGTCGTCAGGCGCGTCGATCAAGTCCGAGCGCCGACACTCGCTCCCCGTGCGCGCATCCATGGCGTCGCTCGCGCCCTCGGAGCTCACCGTCTCGACGCCGGACCCGGAGCAGCGCGCGTTCCAGCTGCGCCGGCGGCGCGCGGCGAAGCTGACGAACTTCTTCGGCGTGGACTACCGCGAGCTGATCCAGGATGTGCTCGAGAGCATCGAGAAGGGTGTCGAGGAGGAGCATAGGCGGGGGACGCTGCAGCCTGATGAGGTCGAGGTTCGTGAGCTTTCGTGGGTTTATGTGTCAAGGATTCGTTGCTGACGATGCTCCCCTTTTGTGAACAGGAGCTGCTCATGAAGTTACGCACGTTGAAGACGAAACGGAGAAGCAATTTCGCTAGATGATGATGACTCTCATATTGTGTTATATATTGCATACAGTGTTTCTTTTTCCCTTCTTCCTTGTCAACCCATTCTCATTCCCATTCACCCCCGGTCTCCCGTATTCCCTCTGCATATTATACTCTTATACTAGCATGACATGCCCCCCGATCCATCCCCCCGCGTCCCATGTTACCCCATGCCATATGTGATTTGTGACTAGCACACACCCAGCGATCGCGGCCTCGACGCCGAGTTCATGTTCCGTTTTACTTGGAAATACCACATAACATAAAACAAACAGGCGCGTACGTCCTAAGTAAGATTGAAATCATGAATGAGTAGGGTGTGCGAAGCCAAGCAGCCATCGTAGCGCGGTGATTTCAGGCATAATTGTCCACATGTGAATATTGATATAAAGTTAAACGACCGCTCCTCCCCTCAGAGAATAACCAGATCCCCACTACACGAATTACACCAGAACACATGCGACTCGTCCATGAACTGCGCCCTGCGCGCGTGCTGGTGCGCGTGCTGGTGCTCCCCCTTCTCCGTCGCGGGCTCGGGTATCGACGCCAGCGACGACGACGCCGACAGCGGCGGGCGCGCGGCCGCCTCGCTCTCGATGCGCGCCTTGAGCATGCTCAGGCTCACCTGCCGCTTGTGCCGCGTCTCGGGCGACAGGCCCACGTCGAACACCGTCCGCGGCGACGTACTCACGCCGAAGCTGCTCGCGCTCGAGCGGTGCGCGCCCGGCCGTCTGCCCGCCTCGATCGCGCGGCTCGATGGGCGCGAGGGCGCGGAGCCCGAGCTGGTTCCGCCGGGGGAGAAGGGGCGCGGTGTCCGCGATGACGACGACGCGGTGGCGGCGGCGGTGCGGAGCTGCGTGAGCTGGTCTTCGAGCGAGGTGACGGTCTTTTGCAGATTGTGCGCCTTGGCCTGCGCGTCGAACACGGCCGTCTCGAGCGCGCGGATCGTCGAGTGTGCGTTGGACATGTCCAGCGCGTGCTGCTGCCTCAGCGAGCCGAGCAGCTCCTTGTCGAGCGAGTTCGAGCGCCCGTGTTCTTTGCCGTGCGCGCCGCCCGAGCCTGAACCCGGGCCCGAATTAGGGTCGTCGACCTCGTCGGCGAACGAGGATGCGGCGTGCGAGAGCTCCTCGTCTTTGGCCGCCAGATCGGCCTTGAGCGACTCCATCTCGACCTGTATGCGCTCGATAAACTCGCGCTGGTCGTCGTGCACCCTGCGGTACTTCTCCACCTCGCGCGAGGCGTCCATAAAGTCCGCCTGCGCCTGGCTGAGGTCCGCCTTGAGCCGCTCGATCGCCTGCGTGCTCCGCGCCTCGACCTGGCGGAGACTCTGCCGCTCCGTCTCGAATGCGCGCGCAGCGTCCCGCGCCGCCTCGAGTTCGTCTTGGATCTCGCCGTACGCGCGCTGCAGGTCGTTCAGCGACGCGGCAGACGACATCTTCTCCTTCTCCCCCCGCGAGCGGGTCTCTTCGAGCAAGCGCGCAACTTCGGAACCGGTGCGGGATTCTTCGGAGAGCGACTCCTCGAGCTGAGCGATGATATCGTCGCGTTCCCGCTGCCCCTTTTCAAGAGCGAGCAGCCGGTCCGTGAGCTGCAGCTTCTCCGAAGTGAGGTCTACTGTCTTTGTGCGCATCTCTTCGAGTGAACGCATGAGACCTGAGCCCTCCGATTGCAGATCCTTCTGTACGCGCTCCGCATCCTCCGCACGTCGAGTTGAAATACGCAACTCGGTCTGCGTCGACTGTAGTGTACGATCGCTCGCAGCAAGCTCACTAGACACGTCAGAGATCTTTTGCTGAAGCTGCTTGACGACGTTCCGGTTAAAGTCAACTTGGGATTGTAGGCTAGATTTCTCCTCGAGAAGTTCTTCTCGCTCTCGCTTGATGGACTTCAACTCCTCGCTGACGGAAGAATATGTCTTCTCCAGCTCGGAATGTTTGGATTTCCATGAATCAGCGTTCCCAGTGTGTTCGCGAATCTGCTTCTCGAGTGCTTCCTTCTCATTCTTGACACTTGAATGAGTCTGTGACAGTGAATGTCAGCAACTTTGCGTAGTATTATTATATAGTGCTTACCTGCTTGAGTTTCGAGAATTGGAACTCCAGCTCATCTGCGCGATTCTGAGTATTCTTCAACGAAATCTCGAGCTTCTCAGCGCGGTCGTCAGACTCAATCTGCTCCTCCAGCTCCTTCACCCGTCGCTGATACCGTTCTGAAGACGTTTGAGTTTCATCCAGGTTGGCTGACAAGAGTTGATGCTCGCGTTCCTACGAAAACTTTTAGCGCTGAAAATGCTAAAAACAACTTGCGAGAACATACGAGTTCACGGTATTTGTCACTTAACTCCTGTTCGCGAGCCGAGGACTGTTTCAAGTCTTCGGAAAGCTGTAGCGAGTTTGTCTCAAGCGCTTGAAGGCGTTTCTCGAGCGACTGGCTCTTCTCGCGCTCTTCTTGCAACAGCGACTCTTTCTCCCTCTGGTCTGGAAAGCACGCGCATATAATCAGCTACGAGTCATATTCTCAACTCACAATGAGAAACGTACCTGACTCAAGTTCTTCCATGTGTTCGAGCGAAGCAGTGAGAGTCGCCTTCTCCGATACCAGCAGGTTGATGGCGTTCTGCAGATCCTGACTTTGCTTCTCCCAATGTGAGGTGGCCTCACGCTCCTGTTCTTCCCATCGTTGCCTAACCTGCTCACTTTCTTGTGTGAGCTCCTCGACGCGTCCTTGTAGTTCTTGTGTCCGTGAACGCTCAGAATCGATAGTAGCTTGGGTAGACTTAAGTTCTGGTGCACAGCAAGTGTTAGTTTTGACACCACAAAATAAATGCGCGTGCATTACCATTCTCCAGATCACTGACTCGTTTGCTCGACTCGCTATGTGAGCCCCGAATCTTCTCCAGCTCGGCGTTCAGCCTGCTGGACTCCTCAATACCGGACTTGACCTTGTGTTCCAAAGCGTCATTTGCCTTTGACAGCTCATCTCCGCGTTTAGTCGCGTCCTGGGCGTCTTGCTGGCTTTCCCGTAGCTGAGCCTGGAATGACTGTGAACGAGCGCGCTCCTCGTCGTAGAGTTTCTGCTGCTCCTGGACGGATTGCTCCTTCTCTCGTAATGACGACTCAAGGGACTGGAGTTTGCTCCGTGTTTCCTCGACAATTTTCTCCTTCTCGTGAATCGCTGCTCGGAAGCATAAATACTATGTCACACAAAGAAAAAGCAGATTGATGAGAAACGCACCAGACTCAAGCTCAGTAACACGAGCCAACGCATTCTGCAGCGCTCCATCGTCCGCCCTCTCACTCGGAGACTCCTGCTTCTCCTCGCCGTGCACTCCATTTAGAGGCTGAGACGAGAGCGGCGACTTGACAGGCGTCGGGCTGACTATTGCTGGTGGTACAGCAGGCGAAGCCGTGCGCGAGGGCACCTCTGCCCGGGGCAATGACGAGATCCAGTTGGCGTCTCCGTCTGAAGGCGTGAACCTACCAGCAGCAACAGCAGTAGCATGAGCATGAGCAGCAGCAGCGTGAGCGCGCCATTCTTCGTTCTTTGCAGCGAAGATATCACGTACACGTCTCCAAAATCCGTCTTCTCCTCGTCCGCAGCGCCTCCAGCACCACTGGGTACACCCCCTACCCCGGGCAGCGCAGGCGTGAGCGACCTCGAGGGCGGCGGGCTGGCAAGCTGCCCGCTCTCCTTGCCGCCAACTGCTTTCTTCTGCCTCTTCTTGAGCTGTCCATCGAGTTTCCTCACATTAGCACCGAGACCCCAGCGCCTTCCCCACAAGAGCCAAGAGACAACAAACTCACCATGGCCTTCGCCCGGGCAGCCTTTGCTGCGCGGTCATCTTCGGACATGGCGAAGAAGAGATGTCAAGCGTGGTCTAAGGGTAAAGACTTAAACGTAAGCTAGGGTGTTATGGCCGAAGTAACAATAGTAATAAATGTGTCGTGTCCCAGCCCCTACCAGCTCGCGTACATACCGCGTCCAAGATTACACCTGCCCATCTAAGTAGACTAATGCTTCCTTTCGTCAGACCGACACGTTGCGCGTTCAATCGTTCAAAGTCGGATTACAAGGAGACAAGAATTCCGCAAGGTATATATTTCGCAAACCAGCTGGTGCAGCTGAGGATAACGAATTTAATTGGAAGGAGAAAGTATATACGGGAATCGAAACAACAATAAAAAGTAAGATTCGGGTAGCAGCAGATGAGGGATGGAATGACTATGAAATACCATGGAGGGAGGACCGTGCCCACTGACAAGATTTAGGTAACGAGCGACTCTAAGGCGTCCAGCAGGACGCGGGTGGGTGGAGGGAGGGATATAGGACATACTAGGAGGGTTCAGGAACGTCGAGAAGGAGCTGACGAGGGACCCAGGTCCCAAGAAGCGAAGAAAGTGATACTACAGAGTTTCATCATGCCCAGACCTACAACACCGATCGTGATCAGCCGTGTACCAGAGGATGAGAGACCAGACGTACCCGAAGAGTAGAGTCCCACGAGCCCGTGCACAGTGCCATACCATCGGCGCTAACCCCCAGACAGCTCACCCGGTTCTCGTGGCCGGTCAAAACACCTACCCGCTCACCGCGCAACGTATCCCAAACGTTGCACGTCCAATCATCATAACCACCGAAGAGGATGCGGCCAGAGATGGAGAAGGCGACAGACGTGATACCGCACAGGATATTGTCGTGCGTAAATGAGTTGAGTTCCCGGTCAGCACGGATATCGAACAATCGGCAAGAAGCATCGTCCGAGCCGGTAGCAAACGCGTCGCCGTTGGGGAAGAATCTAGATATGGCCTGAGGAGCGATTCTACAGCATGGAATGCAGATACGTACTGAACGGCGTTGATGTCTGACTCATGACCAGTGAAGGTCTGGGTAGCCCGTCCACTTCTTATATCCCAAAGCTTTGCAGTTGCATCACAGGCGCCGGAGACAAAAACATTTTGGTTGGGCCCAAGAGAAAGACTGCAAGCAAGTCAGAACAGGGCAAATTCCAACGAAGCTCCACAATTACCTCATGACATCGCCAGTGTGATCGCTGAACTCAACAACGCGGACACCCGCCTCAATGTCCCAAAGCATACAGGTCATATCACCAGACGAAGTGACGATTTGGCGGTCATTGATGAACCGACAGCAAGAGAGATAACCCGAGTGAGCGCTAAGCTCGCGGCCGCCCTTGACACCATTAGCCTCCTTGCTATTGAGGCTGTATATAGAACAGATGTTGTCGAGACCACCGCAAGCGACGTAGTTGCCTGAGGGAGAGTAGGCGCAGGTCATGACCCAGCTAGAACGAAGAGGGATGGCGTGGACTTTGTTGGTGGTGTATGCGTCCCAGACGATGAGCTTTCCGTCCTGAGAAGCGGAGACGAGATGTCTCCTGTCGGCAGCCCAGTGCATGGCGTAGATCTTTGCCAAGTGACCCTTGAGGGCGCGACGCGGGCGCATGACGATCCGAGGGAGGACCTCAACCTCGGCGGCCATTGCTCGCACTGAGGGACTCTGCTTGAGAGAAAAGTCATTGGCGGAAAGTGAGACGCGGACTTACGGGTGGTGTCCGCTGAGGCTTCCCTGCTTGCCCGGATTTTTTCCTTTAACACCTCTGCCTCGCGACGGGCTGCTGCGATACGCTCCTGGATATCACCCTGGCCTTGAGACATGTTGTACGGCGAGTCTGAGGGGGAAAGGGGGGAGAAGGAGTGAGAAGGAGAGTTGCAGTGAAGGAGCGGGCGTCTGGGAGACAAAGGAAGCGACGGAAAAGGGCCCACCTGGAGATGCGCTGGATTAATAATTCTAAGTGAAGAGAGGAAGAGGCTATCGGGGCGTGGGAGTGGGAAGGGGAAGTTTAGGGCCGACTTGCTCCGCAGTTTAGAGGTGAATGAATGGGGAGACGGTGGAGGGGAAGAGAGAGATGGAGACGGCGACGGCGACGAGGGAGGGAGGATGCGCTGGGAAACAGTTGAGCTCTGAGCCAAACCAGAGCGTCGCCTCTTTGCGCTGATGGACGCTCACGGACCTGCCGGTAACAGCCGCTTTTCAACTTCCGATCTCCCACATCCCATCACCCCCTCTCAATGTTTGCTTTCTCAGCCACCCCGCCGACGCTTCCATGCGCATCAAAACATTTTCTTCATCCAATAATAGCTCAGGTTGATCATATGTTGCAAAATTTCAGACACAGGCAGGCAAGGCAGCAAGGCAGAGAGCACTCGCGCTTGAGCGCCTACATCATACGACATACCCCGTACCTTGGCAGGGCCCTCGTGGCACGATCAGAGGCACCCGTGTACCACAAATTCCGCGCGGCTCATGATGATAGGCAACTATTGCGTCGTCACAGGCAACTCTTTTCACAATTGATGGAAGCAACGAATGTCACTTGTAGATTGATGGATAACAGTCGCGTACAAATAGCCCCTATGTCGCTAAATACCAATTGAGGAATTCGAACATGTCCCCAACCTTCACCGAAACACATAAATTATGGCAAACCAGGGTAAACCGTTAACAAACTCGCACGTTCCCCTTGATTACCGACCTGAGGCCAGGTTCAAACCTGAGCCGAATGAGGTGTGCCTGTCGGATGCGGCGGCCCCTGGGGAGGGGGCGACGATACCGCGGATCCACCGTACTGACTCACGGGAGGCTGCGCTGCCGTTCCGTTATTGCGGCCCAGATCCATCGTCTTCACGGAACCCAGCCAGACATCGTTGCCCCTGGTGGCTGAGACAATTGCGCACACCAAGATCGCGATAGTATAGATCATAACTAGATTTGCAGGCCATGAGCCGAGCCGTGTTGCCCATTTGTACCTGAAGGTACTTACGAAGAATAAAGTTGAGGAACGCAAAGGCTTCAATGGCCTTGAACTCTTGGCATGCCTGTTGGGTGATGTCGTCTGTGGGATAATTCGGTAAGTAAGGATGTCAGTGAATGTCGTAAAGTTTTCTACTCACTGATGTAGATGCATCCTTCCGGGAAGTAGAACACGTCGGCGTTCGCGGTCAAAGCACCAGTCGCGACCCATAAAATCCAGAGTACAACTGGAAACCATGGTCGGCTTTTTTACACGACTACACCAAGGAAGACATACATAGCCAAGGGAGTTCAACGACAACCATAGAGGTAAATGCCCCTTGTCTCATGGTGTCGACGATCAGCCTAGAAAGGTCCTACTTAGAGTTGACTCCACTACCACTAGCAGACGATGACTCACATGACCGGAATCGTGAAGAAGGTGAGTACAGCCGTTGCGACACCCAATGCGCAGAAAACAAAATAAAGGTTGAAGTATTCCAATGTTAAAGAGATCAAGTGGGCCGACAGGCCCAGGACGATGATCGAAAAAAGGAGAGAAAGAGCTAATGTAAATGGTTAGCACAGTGTCTGACCCAACGATTGGAAAATACGTACAAAGAGTCACGATGCGCACAATACCGAGAGCGCCCATCTTGAAAGTGTTGCGGTAAAGACACACAGAGCAGAGGAAGTGCGGTGGAAGAGTCGCACAGAAGTAAATCTTTGCCCTGGCTCTTTAAAGAGGCTCCTCATCTCCGCTCTCTCTCCTGTAAGGACCTGAGTTGGCACAAAGTTGACAGGCACCGTAGGGCATCGTGACATCGGGCTTTTCGGTGGATTCTGCACGCCTTGTTTATGCTCATCAAGTACCAAAATGCGCGAAACATTCTCGCGCCAAGGCACATGGGCGCTTATGCTCACCAATCACGTCAAAGGTACGGGCTGCAGAAGGAGGCAAAGTGACAGGCAGCAAACGTTCGGATCGGCTCGATAGAGAGTGCTATGCCAGCATATGGGCCTTACACAGGTTGGTCCATCAGAGAAGGTGTTCGTAGGTTTTGAGCAGGGGGGCAGATGACCGAGCACAGCCGAGCACGACTTGTGAGAGTGCCGCATGTTGAGTAATTCGTCCTGTTTAGATGTGAGCTGTCGATGGTAGAGACGACTCATGGCCGTGTGCAGTCTGCTGACTCCCGATAAGCCAAGACCACGGAGCTTTAGTATTCAGCTAGGATAACCAGGATAGGCTATAGTGAAGATGTGCCCAAAAGTGTGTCTCGACTTCCTATTATCGCTATCAAGTGGCCAAAAGCTGTCAAAAGCCGCGAAGATCTGCCAAGAGGAAAATTGCCGCCGACAATTGCACGATGTTGCCTTGACAGCGTTGGCAGTTCCGGGACGTCATAGCGTTCTACAGCAATACAGCAAATCCGCAGCAGCGTGCAACAGCTGAGCGCTTCAGAGACGAAGGTTCAGCGAGACAAGAGTGCGAGGATAAGTGGTGAACGTAGGAACATATCGACTATCTTTCTTGTGGTCTGCGTAGGAACTTCTAGACTAGGCAGGCAGCGTCGGGTCATTGCATGAGCGGAAAGTTGCGGGCGTGATCCGGCTGTGACCGAGGTCTGGGGGCGGAGCGCACACCGTGTGCATGTGAACGTCGATTCGTCTCGCGTCCCTCATATCCTTACCAGTCGGATGTTCGGTCCTCGAAGCACCGATAACATGTGTCTGCTGCTATAGATGCATCGATTGTCTATATGCTAGCAAAGCCGCTTAACTCCTTCCATCTGTTCTGTGTTCTCAGAGCTGAGCTCAACATGCAGGCGCAAAGCACTGAGGCTGAGGCTCTGAGAAGCAAGAAGCATAGCTATGGCATCAACCATTCAACACAACTCTCTTCGGCGGTGATTTGGATCTGCTGATGGTGAGGATGCTGACTACTAGCAGTCGCCGAGCTGATACACAAGCAAATGCAGTCCTAGGTGAATGCCGACAAGCTTAAACTTCCTGTAGCCACCATTAATTGCTGTAGAGGAAACCAGGGCTCTTGCTCAGCATAGTGTTTCGAGTCAGCTTGCTCAGCCGCCGTGAACCTCGCGTTTATCGGCCTCATGCTCCACCTTGTCGTACACTTTGGCGCCGACCTTTAGACGCTCCTCGGCCAGCCAATCATCAGGGCTTATCACGATCCATCACTCGGTGTGGGCGGTGACTACCTTGTGCCGACATCGGAAAGGCGCTGGACGCGACTCTGCGGTCACTCACGACTACTCCACGCAGCTCCTATCCTCGGTCGTTACATCCTTTTGGCTCGAGAATATACTGCAAATAAGCTCTGCATTTTCTCAGGCGTTTGTGCTCCGAGGCCGTCGAGTCATCTCAGTGGCGCCAGCTAGTACCTCTTCGGATGACTAAGTGCTCTGCTCTGGTTCTTCTTCGGTGTCGATCCCGTCGCCGGCAGTGCGACACCAGCGGGCTTTGGGGAAGCGTGGACCGACAATCGGCACACAACCACACTACTATCACGCCGTCCCTGAATAGGAGATGAGCGAGCTCGCGAGAGTACGGAAAGAGGTTCAGTCACATTGCTGTAGCTTGACTAAACATTCACGCCATATACCTGGCCGGGGCATGTTTTTCCGCGGCTAATCGACGGCGTCAAGGCATCGGCATACCACTCCGTCGCTCTTTGACTCCTGCTTGGAGATGACAAACTGTCCAAAAATCTGGAATCTCAACGATAATAGAAAAATCCTCGGTAACGCGTCTATCCCGATTGAAGGTAAGTGTGGCGGCCAACTAACGGTGGTGTCGTCTGAGTCAACGACCGGCTTCCCAAGTCAGCCAGGAGCTACTGGCCGGCAAACCCGTTCAGTCCTCGGCTGTTGCAATCTACGGACTGCGGCAGTATGACTCGCAGTCCCAGTGTCGGAGACACGTCCGCTTCAGAGCAGAGGATCGCCCAACTCACCTTTTTTTGTTATTTTCCCTCGCATATGCTGTATTCAGCTCGAGAACGGTATAAAGGCTAGCTGTAAGCAGAGTCATCCGTCAGAAAAGCAATTGCTCGTTCACTCGTCTTCTCTGCATCACATTCTATCAATAATCTCTATTTTCGCCGCCACAAAGTCTATTAAACGCGATCTATACTTGCTCCAATGTCGACCCACAGTGAGTTTTGCTGCTACATGGTGAACAACTAGTATTGAATGGATCGCTTCGACAGACAGGATGCAGCTGAACGACTTCCTCCAGAGGAGGTATGGAGCAGGAGGCCCTGGGCTAATCACTTGGGAGACAGCCCAAGCTGGCCCCGCCCATGCTCCCGTCTGGACCATGGTTCTGAGAAGTGAGTCATTCCTAGTCGGACCCGTCACAGCCATACTGACTGGCTTCAGTTCGTGGCGTAGTCTGGGGCCAGGCAGCGGGCGGACGTCAAGGCGAGGCCATGGAAGCAGCCGCAGGCCAGGCTCTAAGCACCATCTTGCAAGGCTACCAGCCTTAAGCGACCCCCCACTCCACATCAGACTCTTTTTCATTTGCCCATCACTTTAATGCAGACTTTCTTGTATATAGATGTTCTTGTAGTGCTTTCCTATAGGCTGTTTGCATAGCTCTCCCATCTCCCATCTCTCTTGCTCTCAACTCACTCGCATGCTCCCTACCCTACCCTATGTTTGTTGTGTTTATGTACTGCATAATAGAATGGCTCTGTCACTGCTGTAAGCGCTCGCATGACGTTGTAGTTCTGACGGCTAATGCAAATTAAGCAAGCGATCTTAGTTTTGGCACGGCGCCAGGCACGCCCGTATAACTTGCTGTGGAAGTGTGTTGCAAAACAGCACCCCGCACGGAGCTTTTGGGAGAAAGTAGCAGTCGGTCTCAGTCGGTTCAGCGCTTAATGGGGATAAACACGTGGCATACAAGCCGGGTCCCCCAGTCTTCTCCCAGCTATTCGGCTTGAGTGGTTCGGTAGCCTCGTTGGAAGTTTCTTCGTCTGCCGCATCACGGCACTTTCCATGAACCTCCACGCAACTTCAATAACTGGCTATATACTGACTGCGCTTTGCTTCTTTGTCCCTGGGTTGACATCGCATCCGCTATCCTCATGTAAACTGTCCTGGTCATTTATTTCGCTTGAAGTACATGACGGCTTCGAACGTTAAGTTAATACACTACCTGGTGGTCTGCGCACAACCCTACTCCAGCGGCTCCCTCTGTCGTCAAGCCGTGCTTTCTGTGATATCCTTGGAGCTATGCGATCCGTCACTTCGATTTTCGAAGCTTCGTCAAGGGCGTGGGGCTCTGCGACCGACCGGAGCGCTGGCACCGCCACGATGAAACCCCGAGGGTCTTTGCATCTTTGAACGCTTTAGGGGCATTCCCTTAGAACATGATGCTACAGCGGCACGTCCATCTCGGACTTGCATCTGCACTCCCTAATAGTATTGGCGTCTTGACGCGCATAGGCCTCGGATTGGGTCGAGATTGATTTTTACCGAAATGAACCTGGCCGCATGTCCTGGCTACTTTGTGGCCCCTCCTTCTAATCCGTCCATAGAACCAACACCTCGATCAATTCGGACTCTCTTCTACTGAAAGAGGCGCTCCCATTTCCCGTTTACTACTCTACGAGTGATCTCAAGTGGCCTCCTCTCTGTCGTGTCGTCGTCAGTGCACAGTTCTTCGTCTCAAAATGGTCGTTCGGCTTCTCATTTTGTCCAGCTCTTGTTCGGCAAATTGCTGAGGCCTACGCATGTCTTGGCTACGGCCTCTGGTATTGAGGAGCTACGCTCACTGCACCTCCCACAACACTTGCGGATGTCTCTGGCGTTCACAATGCTGGAAGGCGCATGTTTTGCCCTCTAAATACCTGCTCGCCTGCTGGGCTTTCTGCCTCAGAGAAGAAACAACTTCCCCAGACACTATCCGACATGCCCAGAGGTACTTGAACATCTTCTCTGTCGCCCACTTGTACTGATCTGTTAACAGACGGTACTGACGCTCTTAACGAATGTGAGGCGCCTTCGTTCTCCATCCACTGACTGCACCCGCTAAACTGTTATTCCAGACCTTCAGAGGAAGGGAAGGCTCCACAGTCTCAGCTGGCAGGTGAGGACCACCGGTCCGACCCATTCCCCGACGTGGACTTGCACTTGCAAGAGTAAGCCCGTCGGCTTCTTGTCTTTTGAACAGCTTTTGAGCTAACTTTGGCTGTAGTCAACGGTGAGGTCAAGAGTGTGGGTACGGGAACCCACCAGACTGCCGCCAAAAATATGGCGGCGAACATCGCGCTCGAAGCGCTGATTGAAGGAGAAGAGACCGAGAACAACTGAGCTAGCGCGTCCACTGGCCCGCGTTTTCACTCGCACGCGGCTGCAGTGGAAAATTCCGAATCTTTGAAGGGTGTCTTCGATACAATCCACATCGCTTGATGCTTTGGTTTAGCACTCCGATGAACTTTGGCCTGAAACGTCTTATTTATCGTGTACTATACAGTGCACGTTTCTACCCCACTTCGTCAGAATGTAGCAAAGCGCATGCAACTCTTTTTGTACACAAGTGAGTTTACTTGCGGCCCCGAAGATATCGAAAAAGGCTAGAGCAAGGCCCTGGTGGTCGTGCCGATCTGTGAGGGCATCATCACGCCGACCCTGTGACCGGCATTCATATTCCGCGTCAGGTCACCGTTAAAATGTGTCTCCGGTCGGGGTTGATGTGCATAGTAAGGCGCTATACCGGCGCTTACAGGAGCGCCCATATCGGTAACCTATCCCTGACTGCTGGGTCTTATCTTCATTCCTAGTCGTAGATCTAATAAGAGTAGTAAAGGTCATTTCGAGCTAGAGGTACTTTGTCCAAGAGTTTCAACCTAGCAAGGCGGGAGATTGACCTCATGTGTACGCTCAGCACTTGGTGGCATGATCAACTGTTCGGCGTCTTGCCTGCGGCATTTGCTCTCACAGTACTTGCCGAATTCCTCGCGCCGCGAGAATCAACTGTCACCTAAAGTTCTGATGATGTATGCCTCTCCGCCGTCGCCGTTTTTCAGCCACGCAAAAATCAATCCTTGATCGGATAAAGAGACTGTTGTGGCACAAATGCAAAGAGGACCAAGGCAGTGATTGGTGGATAGCTGCTCTCGCGCTTAAGTGTGAGCCCGCAGCTGCCGTACTATTCATCTACATCTGCTTTGCTAACTACCTTGATCATCGTCTCACCTCCCGATTCCGGCTAGTTGATGAAAGGCGTTGTGAGTAACCCGTCCAAGGGTCCCACCCCCAGGCAAAATCCGGTGTTCGGTGCTGTCAGACCTCCAGCCACATGCGGTATTTGTCGCTGGATTCGGAGACCCAAGCCAGACCATCTTGGGTGAGCGTTATTGACTCTTCACGTTGTCTCGAAAAAGGAGCCTCCAGGCTCCACCGGTTACTCATACGAGCTCATTTTTTGGTACCCGCGCTCTTGACGTAGTGTATAAGTACGACGAAGAAATGCGACGTCAAAGCACTTCAAGCCTCCAAGTAAATTCCTAACGTTCTCTTCGAAATGCCTGGCGGACGTGAGTACTCTCCAGAGGCTTAGGATCTTCGAAAGACTTACTGACATTACAACCGCAGGATACACCACTGTTCTGAACAACTGTAAGCTCATAATTAATGTCCGAAAAGCTCTGACTAACATATGAACGTCGCCTAGTCTATTCATCCCGTCCGGGCCATCTTCTCACTCAAGCAGAATCCAACAGCGGCCCACCACACCAGCCAGAATGGACCGTGACGTTCAAGGGTAAATGAGAATAAAATTGACGGCAGGTTGTCAATCAAACTGACCTGGCTAATATTAATCTAGTTAACGGCAACCCGGTTGGTGCGGGCACGGCACCTCAGAAGAATGTTGCAAAAGAGAGAGCGGCGCAGGCTGCGTGCGCAGCGCTAGGCATCTCGCCGTGAGCCTCCGCGCGCATCGCTAAGCGGCCATGAGAGTGTTTTTGTCTATTTCATGAGCCGATTTGTAGATAGAAAGAATATTTGTACAAGACTCTGACTTCTCAAGTTAAACGTACCGTGTTGAATGGTGGATTTCTGTAGCCTTGAAACCGACATTTTTCTATCCTTTGTGACGTGAACAAGAAGCCGAAGCCATTTTAAAAAAGAAGAAAAATAGGTTACGGATATCAAGCTGGTTAGATTGCCGGATGACGATGAAAACCAGGGACGGAGTCTTGGATGGTTGTGGCGCGATGTCGTTGGATAAAAGGGGGAGGCAGTGTCGCGGAGTTTGGAAAGTGGAAGCTCACGCGACAAACTCAGCGCTGGATTCGTTTTCTGCTCAAGCGACATGTCACGACGCGGACCGGTGCCCCTTCTGCTCGCTGCCGCGCTGGGTATGCATAACGCGCCTTGTTCCATCATCCTCATGGTGGCTGAAGGATGTCCACAGGCGTCATATCCGGCGTTTACATCTTCAAGCCTTCGTTCGACCAGGCCGTTGTCGAGTGCGTTATGAACTCATTACACCAACCCTTCGTTTCTCGAAGCAGTCTAACCTTCTTTCTATGTCCAAGTCACGAAGCCTCTGAGAATTTGAAGGCGCCGGCTGCGGATGGCCTAAAGAAGGCCGATGAACCATTCAGTTCCACTTCCTCAGATGCGAAGGTATCACCGGAGGTTGCGAATGCTGCCACCCCTGGTCAGACGAAGCCAAGCTAGGATGCTTGATTCAGCTGAACCCTATCTCCCCGTCCTCCCCTGCAAGGCTGTTCCACCTCTCGCCTCATCAAAGGAGGTAAGGGCCTGCGGGGTTGCGAGGCGCGCGGAAGCCGCCAAAACCGTCGCTCTTGGGGCAGAAGACACCCCAGTTGGGAAGCCCCCAAATAGAACACAAGCAATCTACAGATCCAACCGTGAATCCATCGTCTGCCTGATGCCGTAATATGTCATATGCAAATGCCCTTCACCTACGAGGGTTTTCGGAAATTGAACCCCATGTCCATGCCTTGCGGATCCGATCTGTGCATGTGAGGTGGCCTTAGAAACGCCGTGGGATCAGTAGTCCGCCTCACAGCCTTCCCTGCGCGCCGACGCCTAGCGGACATTTGTGCAGCTCCTAGTGTTCTAAGTCTTCTAGCAGAAGTTCACATGTGCTCAACATTGCATTTTCAGAAGGAACTTCAATGTACACTAGGTTCTTGGGAAATGTGACATTCGACCTACGAACACAAGCGTGAATGTTCTATATTGGAACCACGAGTCATCTCCGGCATTATGTTCCTCCAGCAGCGCTCAACAAGTCCTTTCAAACTTTAGAACATATGACCTCAGTTCGATGCCATGATTGGTAGTACGGTCATAGATACCGTCATTATAGCCGCCCGGTCCCTTAACATGATCTTCCGTATCAGAGGCAGATTCTGTCTTACGCCCTTGGTGTGGTACAGAAGTCATGGACAATGTATCCATGTATCTTCATGAAGTCCCTCACGATCTATCCACATCCATCTTTGCGCCCTGTCCATTACTAGTTGCCAGCGTTGGTGCCTGTCTCCGTCGTTCCCAGATCTGCACAAGGCCACTGTGAGCACACGTGTCCAGCAATTGGGTTATCGGCGCGGTTGTTTCTCACCTGAAGAACCGTTTCGCCCAAGAAAATCATCTCCTTGCGCGTCTCCTCGACGATAAGGTCCTGGATCTGGAACCACTTTTCCGTGTCACCGCCCCCGCCCGCCGCTCGGAGATGCACCTTCCACGTCGTTGCAGCCAGGTCTCGTGCGGTTCCAGCAACGGACTCGTGGGTCACATTTGCAATTAGATCATAGACGGTGTCACCAGGTGCGGTCGAGGGCGCATCAAGATCTATGCATGACATAAAGTGTTTAGTGTAAGACGCGCTAGGATATGTTTGGAACATACAGTCGCGGAAATCAAGCCCACGCAGAGGGAAGTTGACGATCGTGGGATTCTTTTCTTCGACAAACGCGTTTTTGGTAAACCGTTTGAAGTGTATAATGATGTACGGCGGGAGTCGTTGGCACTTATAGCGTTTTACTTGACCGCCCAACTCCTGGGTAGTCTCACCATCATATTTTGCAAGTACAGAGTGGATGTTGACCTGAGGAATGATGTTCTTCTCAACGGCGTCTTGAAAGAGTGGCGGTGGCGGCAGATCCACAGCGAGGAACAAAAACGGCGAAACGGTTGTTCTGATGTCTGAGGAAACGTGATTCAATGTCATATCTCAGGACACAGATGGCGGTTTTACCTCGGGCAATGTCGAACCGTGGTTTCTCGTTGGTTCCGGTATCGGGCCGTACAAGGACCTGCTGCGTCTGTGCCCGGAGCTCACCTTGGAAGGTGGAGAAGATGATACCTAGTAAAGGGTTTCAACGGGTTAGAACAACAGGTTAGACTAAACCTAAAAAAACAGAAACGTACTGGAGTTCTTCTTCCTCGTACCACCCATATCTTGGTGTAGACGGTTGAGCAACCACCCAAGGAACTCAACAGGATCCCCCTGGTTTTCGAGGCGGAAACGCCCCGTACTCGCGCGGTTCACCTCTTGGAGGAACTCGTGCGGTGATACCTGGCTCTTGAACAGACGTGGGTTCCACAGCTTCTTTGCGAGCACCGCGAAGCGGCGCACGAGTTCGGTCTCCTTGCCCGTCGGGCGGGTGAGCAGAAGGTAGTCGCGCAGGGGCGGGATATGGAGGAGCGCATGGATGATGACGTTCATGTGGTCATTCTTCTTGATGTTGTTAAGGCCGACATAGCCAGGGAGGTAGGCGTGGCCGGCAAGGTCGTATGAGGGGCGGCTGAGGTGAGCGGGTGTTGAGAGGGCGGCGGTGGCTGATTTGGTGAATGAGGGGTTGAGGACGAAGGAGATGTCCTCCAAGGACGGGTCCGAGACGGCGTAGCCATCTGGTAGAACGTATACCTACGAACATGACACGGAATTAAAGGCAAAGTTTTAGTAGGTTAAGCATCAAAGCGCACCTTCGTCGTCTCGAGGTTGATGAAGACGTGGTGGTCTTCGTGAATGGAATGGTAGTATGCATACGAGCTCTTGCCACGACCTTGGAAATATTTTCCACAGACAAGGCAGCCGTAGACATTGATGTTGGAAAGCGAGACCGAGCACAGTTTCTCGAAGTCAAAGTCTAGTTGCGCTCGGTTGATCTGGTTGGAGGCAGCTTAAACTCAGCGCTCAGTAGATAGATTGTCAGTGCAGAATATTTAACATACAGTGTCAAGATACAAGTCAGATGCTCGTGGTTGCCCCTTGCCAGTCTTCGCAGCTTGTTCGCCGTACGGGTCATCGTCATCGTCATCTGGAAGGTCCGCCGGGGTAGCTGTCGAAGCTGGCGCTGGTGAAGCAGACGCAGATTCATCCTCTCCGTCTACTCTGGCGCGTTTCGACGGTCGTTCCGTGGCGTCTATCATATCGGTTTGCGATGATGCACGAGGAGGGGCCATGATGAGCAACGCTCAGACTGGGGATAGGCTGTATGTGTGGCTGTTAAGAGCGGAAGAAGTGAGGAGAGGTGATGAGGCGCGCGTGGCCGAGACGCGATCGACGCGTGAACTTGCAGTGGCCTCCTCCTCACGTCTACGCCCACAGGTCATAAAATTTACAGCGCCCACAGGTCATAAATCTCACAACGAGGTCGTGCTATTAGATATGCTTCGTAGAGCAGGCACATTCGCTCGTTCGGCGATAGCTTCGACTTCGGTCAGCCAGCGTGCCGCACCATATTCAACTGCCCTTCCGAAGCCGCCGCTCGATGTCGATCCCGCTCTCCAGGCACTTCTCCGTGATGTCGACATCTCGCTGCACTCCCAGAAGCGCCACGATGCACCAGCACGAGCAGGGCCACGCGAGCTCGAGGCGTTCGGGCTTGCAGACGCTGCAGAGCGCGAGGTCATAGACGAGGGCGACGAAGAGGCGTATGAGAGACGGGAAGAGCGCAAGAGTCCTGCGGCTGCGTTCGGGGGACATCGTGTTGGGGCAGTAGTGCTCCCCGCCGAGCTGAGTGATGCTGTCACTGCGCTCATCGAAGGTGCGTTCCCGTTGCTCATACAAAAGAGCATGTGTACTAACGCGGATAATGTTACTGCTCAGACTCGGACAAAGTGCTCTTGCACAGTGACGCCGAGCGTCTCTTCCGGAACCCCGAATTTAGAGGTGTAGCTGGTGAGGCCGGCTGGTCACAGGGCTACGACGTCGAGTACCGCAACCGACGTCAGGCATACCAGCACCAGGACCGTGACGGGACCGCGTTCGCTTCTGTTGTCCTCCCGGCGCATTATGCCGCCACTTATGCTGTCCTTCATCAAGCACAACACCGTATTGGACATGGATGGGACATTAAGCGCGTCATTGATTGGGGAGCTGCAACTGGCAGTGGGCTTTGGTAGGCGGTTAAGGTTTTTGATGTTCATGGAATATACTTATAACCTGAAAAATGGCTAGGGCATCATGCAATATCTTCCAACATCCTCCAGAAACCGAGGATGCAGTGCCTCGATTAGGAACCTCCTATATAACGTCTTACACCGGCATTGACAAGCGCGATGGTCTGACCAAAATTGCAAAGCACCTGCTTTCAGGTATGGCACATCCTCCCCCGCTGAATGGCGCTTTTCACGTTGCTTACGACCGACAGGTCTTGATATTGGGCGAAGAGACATATCATGGTCCAAATCATATCACGAGGACCGCCACAGCGTCCCACGAGAGGAGGGCTCAAATACGCTAGCATTGTCAGCATTCAACCTCTCGTCGCTCAACCCTCCTCTCGCCCGTAAGACACAGGTGAAAGAGATGTGGCAAAGTGGTGCAGGCACTATTGTACGTATTCTTGCTTCATTAGTCTACTTGAAAGTAGTTCGACGACTTAATATTACTCTCTACAGATCCTTATAGATCATAGCACTCCCGAAGGCTTCCAAGCCATCGCTGAAGCCCGTCAATACCTACTTGACCTCGGTGCGCGCGAGGTCGCCAACCCCGATTCGGAGGTCGCGGGTGCCGCGGGCATACAGCCTATCCTCGGCTCGCACGTCGTCGCCCCATGCCCGCACGATGGCGCGTGCCCCCTCCTCCCGTCTTCCAAGACAGGGAAGCTCGTCTGCGGCTTTGAGCAGCGTCTACAGCGCCCGTCCTTCACCCGCCTCACTAAGCACGCGAAGGCGGGTCATGAGGACATTGGGTACTCATATGTCGTCGTGAGGAGGGGACCAAGGCCATCGTTGGCGGCTCCTACGACGTCGACCAAGGTTGCGACTAGCTCAGGTGTCGGACGTGTAGGCGCTGTGGGACGCGAGGTTCTTCAACAACAAAGGGAGAAGACTGTCCAGGAACTGAGCATGTTTGATGAGGACGTGGTGGCAGATCCTGCGTCGACAGAGGCAGAGACGAACTCATCCGCCGAAACATCGGAGTCGACAAATGCAGTGGCAGGGGATTCGATCAACGGCCTAAAAGGCAAGGACCTCGAGACAGCACTGCGGTATGAGGCACTCAGCTGGCCACGACTCGTTTTCCCGCCGTTGAAGAAAAGCGGGCACATCCTCCTCGACGCGTGCACGCCGGAAGGTTGGTCTATTTTTCGCTCCCGACATCCCCGCGAAATACAAGACTAACGGCGATGAAATAAACAGCGAAAATCATGCGCCTGACGATTCCGCGCTCCCAGGGAAAGCAAGAATATTACGACGCCCGCAAAGCACAGTGGGGCGACTCGTTCCCGCACAAGCCAAAGAATGCACCCCAGGAACGCAACTTGCCCGAGCCAAAGGCCCCTGCGAAGACTCCGTCCAAGGGTAAGGGCAAGGGCAAGAATGGCGTGCCAGATATCGGCAGCGCGTGGGCGACCATGGACGTGAGGCCTGGCGCGCGAGGGGGTGCGCACATTGGCAAGCGGAAGGAAAGGCAGCGGTCCGAGATGGAGGTAGGGTACGAGGAAATGTCGGAAAGACTGAGCACCCAGAACCGTGATACGAAGAAGTTTTCAAGGAGAGACCGAGCGAAGCTCGAGCTGGACGACGGGTTTGACTAACGATATAATCACGTAGAAGCTCTAAGGCTGAACCTTAGACTACAAGGACTTCGCATTTCCAATCCATCATATTGTTAATCCTCCACTCACGCGTATACAATGTTGCATGTCATTTAGATCTTTGTCATAACACACAAATTACATCGCTCTCTTCGCACGGTCGCCCTAATTTATCGCCTATCACTCTTCTCACTCACTCGTGCCAGGTGTGCCAGGCGTCTCGACTTAGCCACCAGCTCACCAAACTTTAGTGAACAAGCTTTATTCATTAATAAGATAGGATGGACAATATAACGTTCCGGCAGCATGCTGGACAGCATGCGCTCCCTCGTGGTTCTAAGCATCTATGTCTGCTAAACCGAAAAACCATGCCCTCCCTTGACCCTGTCACTAGCACGGTACTAAACCTTGACAACTTTCACGGGAGAAGGGCATCATATGTCATTGAGGTTGATCTGGATGGACGGCGCCTGCGTCGACTTGAGCAGGACACGCGTGATGGCGTTCACGGGCGCATTCGAATCACGCTTCGTGTTCGCTTCGCGCTCGTTGCCGGTCGCGCGCTTGACGGACTGCATGAAGAGACGGATGTTGCGCACGACGTCTTCTACGGGGAAGTGGATCTGCGAGTTTTTTTGGGGTCGGAACGTGTTTGAATCAGAATAAGAAGAAGAGGAGAGACAGAGCTGGGAAAGGGACGACGGACCTTGGCGATGGGCATGCGTATGGTGCCAGACTTGTCGCCCTTCCACTCGGTCGTACCCTGCAGACGCCGGATGAAGCCCTCGATGTCGTCCGTGACTGTGCCGCGGCGCTCTGAGGGCATGAGACCGCGGGGACCGAGGATACGGCCGAGACGAGGGGTGATGGTGCGGATGAGGCCGGTCGTGCAGAGGATGGTGGTGGCCTGGTGCCGGCCGTTGATGACCTGTGACGCGTCAAAGATGACGAGAGCCATTGAGTACGCGGCTTGCAGGTAGAAAGATAGAGGGAGGAAGCCATACAGCATCAATAAGTTCTGGTCCACCGACAATATGTGCGCCAGCTTTACGGGCTTCGTCTGCCTGACGGCCCTCGGCGAAGACGAGGATACGGTCCTCCGACTGCGTCTTGGCTTCGCGAGGGAGTGATATACGGCCCTTTGGTATCGTCGTCCCCTTGCCCATCGCTGTCCGGACGACGAGTTCAAATGTTGATTGAGGGCGCGCAACTTCTACGGACTAGAAAGCGCGTCAGTATACGCGCACGTGTAGACTCGGGTCGCAAAGTTGAGGTGCAACGCACGCGCAGGACATGGACAGCGCTCTCCAACGGCATGCGCTCATTGTGGTAAATGTGTTTTTGCGTTTTTGCTGCTTTCTTGCGCGCTGCCTTGGCTGCGGCAGCCTTCTTGGAGAGGACTGGGATCTTCCTGACCTGGCGCTTGGCCACGGCTGGCGTGCTTGAAAATTGGCGAATATTTAAAGAGAGTGTGCTCTGTCCCATTGTCAGTATATTGTCATAATTACTCTTCGCTAAACTCACCGTCGAGGACGAGCATGCCTGACGAAGACCAGAGAGCCAGAACATTTTGCACGACGACAAAACGTCCGCGTCAATAATCCGTTCCGCATCCCGCACTCACTAACCGTGGGAATTTCTCACTTCGAGCAGCCCCTGTCTCCTTACGCCCCGTGGGAATCCCGACCCGCCCACGACATTTTCCAGTCCAAGCAGTCCTCCGCGTCAAAACAGACCTTGCCAAATTATTGCAATGTCCCTCCTCGCATCCCGCGCCCCCCGGCGCCTCCCCCTCCGCGTCGGCCACACCTCCGTGCGCAACGCCGCATCCAGTGGCGGCGGCGGCAGCGGCAAACCCGAAGTCGCACAGCAGGGCGACCCGAAGAAAGACACCCTCCGGCGCGTGCTCTACCCCGCGAACGTGCGGCAAACCTCGCCCTCGCCCGTCGGCGCGTGGCGCCCGGATGTCGCGCGCGCGCTGCAGCACGCGGTGCCCTCCGCGCAGGCGCACGACACCGTCCTGCGCGCGTGGCAGCTGCACGAGCGGCGGCAGCGCGAGGCGCGCGCGGCGGAGCTCGGGCGGAAGCTGAGGTGCATGCGGGAGGCGATGGAGGAGCTGGCGAGGGTGGATGTGGGGCTGTATCAGGAGGCGAATAGGGCGGAGGATCCGAGGAGGAGGGGTGTGCAGGAGGAGGAGGCGATGAAGGGCGCGTCGGAGGTCGAGAGGAGGGCGGTTGATTCGAGGGCGAGGGGGCTGTTCCCGCGCGAGCTGAGGATACCGACGGATACGCCGCCGAGGGATGGGTGGACGTATGAGTGGAAGCCGTTCAAGCGTCCCCAGACATAGGCGGAAGGTATGTTGCAGCTTGTGGCTTTTTGTGTTCTATGTTGACTTTGTTGCCTGCAGCCCAACTCACATAGAACATACACTATATAGCACATCCTCACGACGCCCTAATCCCGAAAAGTTTCTGCATGCATAATACACTGGTGATTGGAGACATGGAAATTTGGATGTATGAGACAGACAGCGGGAACAGTATGCGAGAACAAAACATGACAAAATGCGGGTGCGAAAGGGAATGCTACGCTAGAAAGTCGAGCGAGTATCCCCGCTCGCCAGCAAAACGCTCTGGCATCAAGCCCATCATGGCTTCGCCCCGCCCGCCTGCCGCAGTCTTGTTTAAGACAGCAGTATGTACGCTCTCGAGCGCCTTTGTCCACTCTTCGAGCGCTGCGTAGCGCTTCTTCTCGAGTACTTGTCTAAAAACGACATGAAGTCGGCAAAAGGGACAGGGCAGAGACAATACGTACTGTCTGTCAAGTTCGAGACGCATCCCGACTTGGTCAATTTGTCCCTCGACGCGGCCCTCGAGGATCAGGCCGATTAGCAGCTCCTCGACTTCGGCGATCTCAACGTTCAGTTGCTGGGTATTCAAATGAGTACGGTAGCTTCAATCAATAAATGGGAGCATACCTTGGCAAGGAACGAAAGCTCAAGGCGTGTGTACGGCTTGATAAGGTCGATGAGGTACGACGTGCGCAAGCTCTTGAGAAGCTCGCCAATGTACGCGCTGATGAAGTTGTCGTCCATTATCGTACTCCGGTTGTCTGCATACGATCATGAACATCGACGATCATTCATTCACCAGAGGCACGTACCACGCAGGATCTTCTCTGCCGAATGGACTTCACGGCGCTGGTATGCGTCGACCAGATCCGTCATCGCCTTGATCTGCGGGTCATTCTTGTATCTATACGCAATAATCAGCATATCAAGCTTGGCTCCGGAGAAAAGAGGACGAACGGCTTCGTCTCCTGCGAATCAAACGGATTGACCTCGCTCCCCGTCAACATATTCGCCAACACCAGATACTTGAGGACCTGAATGCGCTGCGGACTGCCCGCCTCGTCGTAGTTCCTAAAGCTCTCGAAAAAGTCCTCGCTCGCGCGGTTCCACTGGCGCTCGCCCATCCACATCTTGCCGCCGCACTCCTTGATGACGCCCATGATGCGCGGGTGCGGGATGGCGGCGCGGACCTGGGACGAGGCGTTGTAGATCTCCTTGAGCTTCTTGGTGTTGCGCGTCTCGTTGTGCATCTGGATCTCGAGCGCGTAGATCTCGAGCAGCTGGGTGCCGCGCTGGGCCTGCTCCTCGCCGCTGTCGCTGTCCGAGCGCGTGGCGGCGTAGAGGTCGTGCAGGAGCTTGGTGAGCCGGTTGTACTCTTTCCGGTCGAGCCAGAGTTTGGCGAGTTTGAGGTTTGTTTTGACTGAGAGTCGCTGTTAGATGTGTTAGCAAACGACCATGCATGCTTGTTAAATGACTGACATCGTTCTTTGCCTCTTCTAATGCGTCCTTGGTCGCTTGATAGAACTGTTCGAGAACGTCGACGGCTACAGGACCGCCCTTTCCGCCGCCGACATAGTCCAGAATACCGTTGATGGTGCGTTCCGAGTAGTTTCGGGTGACGGCGGAACGGGTATAGGTGAGGAGCTGGCGGTACGTGCCGAGTGCGTCTGCTGGTCTATGCAGAACGAGAAAGAGAAGCTTTGTTGATTGTTTGAGCGCCTTGAAGCCCCTGCGTGTGTTGAGCGTGCGTCGCGAAGAAGAGGGAGAAGCATTTACCAGTCGCCTTTGTCCTCCTCCTGGTCTACGATGGTGCGGAAATCTTTGAGTGCCTGTTCTGGGTCGTCCTCTTTCTTGGCTATCGGGGAAATTGAAGGGTGGCGTTAGGATAAGGGAGGTGAGATGTGGTGTAGACGTACATTTTGCGGTGTAGTACATGTTCTCGACGTCTGCGGTGCCAGCGTCATCGCCGGCATCGTCGTCAGAGTAGTCGAAGCCGTAGTCCTTGAATGTGTCAAGATCAGCGATGAGATTGCTAAGTTACGTGGATAAAGACGAACCTCGTCGTCGGATCCTTGCATGTAATCGGCATCATCGTCATCCATAGTGTGGTGGGGTGAAAGGTTACGGGGTTATATTAGTAGTCGTAGGCTGACAAGTGGGGTAGTTCACGGGAAGGGAGACGAGTATGGGGTGAGGCGTTCAGGGGTCAGAGGAAGATGGAGACACGCGTCGGCAGTAGAAAGGCTGTGACGCGACTGATATTCTCATTTCCATCCGAGACACTGGCAACTGCATTTTGTTGTACTAGCTCTTATTGGCACACACGTTTGTTTGTTTTGTTGGGGTGCGCTTTGTTGCCTGCAAGATAAGATGGGGATCTGGTATATTGCTGCCGAAATGCCGCTAGACGCCCACCCTCTTTGTGATAAACTCGTCTTAGCACACCCGCCCACATCCGATGACGACCCCAGCACAGACATCGCCATAAACGACGCGCACGACGACAAAGACGACGAGCACGATGGAGTCTCCTTTGTCATACACCAACGCGAGCGACCCGCCCTCCCGCTCACGAAGCAGCACAAAACTTGCTACAGACGATGCTACCAGCCTCACGTCCTACAACCCCTTCTCCGAGGAAGATGAACACGACCAGTCCTCCTACGCCATCGTAACAAACCTCTTCTCGCGCATGCGATCCTCCCTCGCAGCCCCCCTCGCAGCCGCCACCACTCCCGCTGCACCCCAGACCAACCCCACACCCACCGCCGCTGGCTACCAGGAACAACGCCGGCCCTCGGCTACCGCACTCAACACCACCCACTCCAGTTTCTCAGCCAAGTCCAACGCAGAGCGCCCCAGCTCCCTCACTGTCAATGCATCCACCACCGCGCCCCCGCTCGTCTCTCTCACCCCCGTCATCTCCAACCCACCAGTCATACACCATGACCCGGACCGCTCACCCTTGCGCGCCGGGTACACCCCCGTGCACGAGACGCAGGATGGAGACATGTTCGGAACCGCCATACCCGGCTTTGCTATACCGGACGATGCACGGAGTATCAAGACATCGGTCTCGATCAATAGGTCTGCCTCAGTTTCAAAGGTTATGCGTAGGATACGTGGCGAAGGTGCGTTCTGTGCACTCGCGCAGTGGTTGTATGCTGAATAAATGCGGGCTGTGTGCAGGTTTATCTAAAGATTATTGGATGGATGACGAGACGGCGAAAGAGTGCTATGATTGCAAGAGTGTGTTCTCGACATGGCGGCGCAAGCACCACTGTCGCATATGCGGTCCGTCTTCTTGACACTGAACACGATCATTTACCTCATATGCTGTCTAGGCCAGATCTTCTGTTCTCGCTGTGCCTCCAATATTATCAAGGGATCTCGCTTTGGCCAAGATGGTATGGTGCGCGTATGCAACCTCTGTCTTGAGAAGCTCGCCACCGTCGAAGACCGCGAAGTCGACGATGACTCCCGCTCCGTTGTATCTTTCGCCAGCACACCTCATTCCCTCGCCCACATCACCCATCCTCACTCGCACGCACATGTTGCTCACCACGCAACCTTCCACTCGCGAATGCCAGCCGACGACGGCATGCACAGCACCAGCGGGACGATAAGCCTCGCGCACCACCCACAGTCTCCGTTCGCCGCCTCTCAGTTATTCGGCAGGACCGACGAGCCATTCAACTTGTACTCGATTGCAGAGACCAAGCGCCCCCTGTCCGGATCAGAAGAGAACGGCTTCGGCTCGCGCCCGCTCACCCCAGCTGGCTGGTGGGGCCCGTCCTTTGCGAACGGTGGCGACCCAGGCGAATCCTCGAGCAAGAACACGGCGCCATTCCGGCGCGACGTCGCAGATGAGGAGAAGGAGTCGAACGGAGGGAGCGCGTTCACAAGCGAGCAGCCGCAGACACCCAACAAGCCGTCGACACCGAACCAGGACGGACGCGGTGGGGCGTCCGCGGGCGGCTCGCGCGCGAAGACGCCGGTCGATTTCCCTGTTACGGCGGGTGGGGGTGAGACGAGCTCGATTCAGTTCCCGATTAGTTCGCCGGAAGGGGTCGGGCCTGAGAGTCCGCATGGGCTGATGAGGTCGAGGTTTGATTCGTACGAGGGCGGGACACCGTTTATTAGGAGTCGGGTGCAGAGTCGGATGGATAGCTTTGCAGCTGAGGGGTGGAGGACCCGGAGGGACTCGACGGCGTATGTCGCATTTCTGGCTTTGATTTTTGATCTTACTGACACGCTCTTGACTAGTTATGCGCAAGAGCTTAACCTGATCTCAATGTTCCATCTGCGAGTGATGCTACGACAGATGCTCGCGACGGAACAGATCCCAGAGATGCGCGAGTGGGAAGAGACGCTCCTCAAGCTCGCCCTGCGCGTCGCGCGCGAGCTCACGTTCACAACTGGCTCCCCGCACGAAGGCGCAGACATGGACGTGCGACGCTACGTCAAGATCAAGAAGATCCCAGGCGCGCGCCCGCGGGACTCGGAGTACGTCGACGGCGCGGTGATCACCAAGAACGTCGCGCACAAGAAGATGGCGCTCTCGCAGCGGCACCCGCGCGTGATGTGCGTCGCGTTCCCGCTCGAGTTCCACCGCGTCGAGGGGCAGTACGTGCACTTTGGGCAGGTGCTCCGGCAGGAGCGCGAGTACCTCGGGAACCTCGCGAGCCGCATTGCGGCGCTGCGCCCGCACGTTGTGCTCGTCGAGCAGTCCGTGTCGCGCATCGCGCTCGATGCGCTCGTGAACGCGAACATCTCGGTCGCCCGCGCGGTGAAGCCGAGTGCGCTCGCGCTTGTCGCGCGCATGACGCAGGGCGATGTGCTCGGGTCGATGGACCGGCTCGCGCTCGAGCCGCGGCTGGGGACGTGCGCGCGCTTCCGCGTGCAGACGTTCGAGCACGGGCTGATTCCCGGGCGGCGCAAGACGTACATGCGGTTCGAGGGGTGTTCGCGCGATATGGGCTGCACGCTTGTGCTCCGCGGCGGGGACGTGCAGACGCTGCGGCGCGTGAAGAAGGTGGCAAGGTTTTTGATGTTTGTGGTGCGCAATTTGAAGCTGGAGACGCATCTGTGGAAGGACTCGGTGATTACGCTGCCGTCGTTGTCGCTGGAGGCGGTGCCGAATGGGTCGAGCCAGCTGTTTGGGCAGGGGGAGAGGAGTCAGAGTCAGAGGGAGATGGATGGTGCGCCGGCGCTTACGGCGTCGGTGTCGTTCGTGCGTGGCGTTTCGCCGGGTGTCGCGGTGCCACTGCAGTTACCGAGGTCTCCCGTTTCCGCTGACTATGGCGACCGTCCCCGCGGCGCGGGGCACACGCACGAGGCGACGGAGGATGGGCTACCGGAGTCGGACGCGGAGCGGCTGAGGCTGTCGAAGCGCATTGACGCGGCGCTGCAGCCGTATACGCGCACGTTCATCAGCGTCAGTGCGACGCTGCGGTTCTTGCCGCCGTATCCGATTCGGAGGATGAAGGAGCTCGACGAGGAGCTGTGTAGCGCGCAGCAGGCTTGGGAAGACGAGATCGTGAGGCGGGAGGAGATGCAGGCGAGGTTGATGCAGACGCCCTCGAGCCAGTCTGTTGCGTCGGACGGGGAGTCGGGGATGAGGAGGTCGGGTTCAGACGTGTCGGTCGCTGGATCTGCTGCCAGCTCTGGTACGAACGCAGGAGCGGGTGGGGTGGGCAGTTCGATGTCCAACGTCAGCAATGTCTCGAACGCGGGAAGTGCAGCAACCACCAACAACAGCAGCACAGCGGGAAATGCGGGTAGTACGCTCTCAAATTCTAGCGCTGAGTCGGACGCAGGGACTACGCCCACACCTTCGCATGTCCAACAGCCGTCAACTGCAAGCATCGCGACGGTGACGAACGCAAATGCTAGCTTATCACCATCGCAGGACGTGCCAAGTGCAACCGCGAGCACGATGTCTACTACCAGCACTGTCACTATCACGAACGCGAATGCGAGCACTGTCGTTTCAAGAGAAAACACAAGCTCATCTCCTCCCTCTGGTGTCAACAACGGCGTCGACGCGACGGACGTTCGGGCACAGATTGAGGCATTGCCCATACCTGGCCTGCTCACTACACCCCGAACACCAACGCAGACCTCGGAATTGACGACTGACGGATACTTTGGTCCACAGCCGAGCTCGTCAATTAATGTCATAAGCGGCATATCATTTGTGGCATCGCCCAGGGTGATGTTCACACCGGCCCCTCTTCACCAGGACGAATTTATTCCTCTCAAGGCGGAGAACGATATCGCCCTGGAAAGCCAACTAGGCGTCATCAAGTTCAAGCATGAAGAGTTCCGCCGGATCTGGGAGTGGTACCTGCGGAAGAACACGGACGACTTTATCATCGAGAAGTACCAGTTCATCAACGTGTGGACCTACACCGTGCCCATCGAGGACTTTGGGATGTACCGCTCGTGCGGCGCGCCGAAGCAGGAGACGATCGTGTTCTACGGCGAGCACGACACCACGCTGGGGCAGTTCATCGAGCGCTCGGTGATGGAGACGCTCGTGCAGTTTCTCGACCCCAAGGCGGTCTGCGCGAGCAAGGGGTGCGATCAGCCGCTGGCGCGGCACTGCAAGGTGTACGTGCACAACGAGTCGCGCGTCGCGGTCGCTGTCGAGCAGTGGGACGGGCAGATTGGGGGGCGCAATTTCCGTCCGGCGCCTGATTTGATTACGACGTGGAGCGCGTGCCGCGTGTGCGGGTCTGCGACGCCGTTTATCCCGGTGTCGGAGGAGATGCAGCGGTATTCGTTTGCGAAGTTCCTCGAGTTGCATTTTTATCCGGCGGATGTGCAGCTGGTGCAGGGGGCGGGGTGTCAGCATAATATCTATCAGCATCATATCCGGTATTTCGCGACCAAGGGCATGACGGTGCGCTTCCAGGCGGATCCGGTTGGGATGTACGAAGTTGTGTTCCCGCCGTCGCGTATCCGGGTGAAGGCAGAGACGCAGCTCGCGCTGAAGAACCAGGACTATGAAGAGATGCACTGGCGGAACACGATCTGGTACTCGGCCCTCGTGGAGGATCTTAAGCTGATCAACATCGACGCGGCGACGGGCGAAGACGACGACCAGGACCTGCGGCTCACCGCCGAGATCAACCAGCTCATTCTCCGCGCCGAGGCCGAGCGCCGCGAGATCAGCCAGCTGCTCAACCAGGTGTACCGCGACGCGGCGCCGACGGACACGCTCGCGATGAACAAGGTGCGCTCGTTCCGGCAGGACCGCATCGTCGCGTGGCAGGGCGACTTCGACAAGCTGCCGAAGCCGCGCGGGTCGATTATCGATAGGAACTCGGGTGTGAGCACGAGTACGGGCGGCTCGGGCGGCGGTGCGGGCTCGAGCGCGCGGCGCACGGCGTACGGGACGATGCGGGCGATGTGGCCGCGCAAGGTGGATCTGAAGGCGAAGATGGAGATGCACGTGGCGGGGTCGAGTGTGTCGGAGTCGGAGGGGTTCCTCGCAAGGCGGAGGGCGACGGGGAGCTCGATGATTTCGTCGGCGTCGGAGGCGTCGTCTGAGCCGGAGACGGATAATACGGCGGAGACGGATACTACGGCAGAGACGCCGTCGGTTGTGGAGGTGCCGCCTGCGGCGGCGGCGATCGAGAAGGAGGCGGAGCCTGAGGATGTGTTGGTTTCGGAGTCGTCTGTGATTTTGCCTGGGGGTATTCTGAAGCGGGCGGATAACGGCTCTGAGAGCGATTCGACGATTGGAGCGACTAAAGGCGACGGTGTGCAGTCGTCGGACGATCAGAACAAGTCGACGATTAAGCGGGTTGGTGGTCCTTTGTTCTTGCCCTAAATCTTAGAGACTTACGTTGTATCACAACAGAACGCCGCTTCAGATGAGTCTGAGCGGCCTGCTACCCGCCTTTCGCGTCTGCCTCGACGGCCAGTACATCATCCGAGCGTCGCTGAGTTGGTCAGGCGTTATCAGGATTTCCTGCCACCCCAAGGCGTCGAAGAGCTCGCAAAAACCGCGATGTCACCAGCGCCGCCACCCAATGCGTCAATTTCTGAGAGCGAGCCGGAATACAGCGAACCACCGGTGCGAAGGACTGGACCTCGCGCCAAAGCGAAGCAGCATCCAACGCTCTCGAAGAAGCCATCTACTTCCGACTTTGAACAGAGCTATGCCGCCAACGCTGCATCTCGGCACTTGACGAGCAGCCGGCGCAATCTTGCTCATGGCGCGCGCTCCAGCCGTATCCCTGGCCCTGTCGGTGTACCAGAGTACCAGGCGGCTGCCTCCCGAACGAAGTCGCCGGAAAAGCGGCCCTCTCGGGGACCTACCAGCGACGGTTACGAGTCTCCCTATCAATCGAGGATGCTTGGTGTTCCCTCTGGAGGCAGGACCCTGAAGGGCAAGTCCTCGTCCCGCAATCTCGGTAAAGACAAGGAGAAGCAGTCCAACAGCAGACCGGGTTCGAGCGCCGGGCCAAAGCAGCCTTTCCGCAGACAGGCCCCAGGACCGGCGAACAAAGTCAGCAATCTCGCGCGCCAGTTTGAGCGCATGACTCGCGAGAGTGAGCAGCAGATGAAGCGGCGGTACTCGGTCATCCGGAGGCGTGCGCGCCCGGTTACCAACGCGCGTGCCAAGGTCGAGGTTTTGGACAGTATCAAAGATGCTATTAAAGATGAGTCAGAGAGTTCGGACAGTTCCAGCGAGGTCGGTGATGAAGGCGGGGATGAGGATGAAGGCCCAAAGTCGACCGATCAGGCCACTGCTCTTGAGCCCTCTCCGGACCAATCTATGACGCTTCCAGCCGCCCCAACGCTTGATGAGAAGGCTCCCCCTCCTATTCTCGACACCAAGAACTTGAAGCCGGTTACGGATGGTAATAACTCTGAACCAGAGAGTGCTACGCGCACGTCCAGACCTTCTGAGCTTGCTGTGCCACAGCTACCAGAGCCACCTTACTCGATGCCCAACTCGCCACCGTCTAGGCCTTCGCAGCTTCCCCCGCCTTCCACGCCGCCACCGGAAGCGGATAGTTTCCTCGACCGGCCTCATTCGATCTTCCAACGCTTCTGGGCTCTACCCACCGGGCCTGGGAGTGCTGGACCTGGTCCGTTTTCTCGTCGGCCAGAGTTTGAAGGAGATGCGTTGATGCAGGAGTCGGAGCATATCTTCCGCGACTCGTCGATGGTCGTTCGAACGAATGAGCCGACTTCCATTATTGCGCTGGCGCTCAAGTAAGCGTATCCTTCTGCTGAAGTGGCCTCAATTAAATCTGATTGTATTGCTTTTCTTTCACACAGCTCACCTCAGTACCGGGATATGCTCACAAAGTCGCGGGCGGACAAGCGCACAGCTCGAGAGCCCAAGCTTACCGATGGCGGTGAGGCATTCAGGCCGGACGACGTTTCCGTTGCCGAGTCTACGTCTAGTTGGGGCGTTGTCAACCTGGACTCGTCGGATACGTTGAACCTTACTGAGGAGCTGAAGTCTACGTCTACAAAGCTTCCGTGGGCTATTTGTAAGTGCTTGATGGCCATCTTTTAGAAGGGAATTTTGTGCTCAATCTTGTTCTTCATTCCAGCGTTCGAGAGTGGTGGCCTGACCATCAGCTGCACTGTCCTGTACCCGGAGCAGTTTGATGTTCTCCGTCGGACATTTGATTGCGAGAAGAGCATGGTCGAGTCGCTGGCTCGGTGTGTCGACTGGAATGCGAAAGGTGGCAAGTCGGGATCGGCGTTCCTGAAGACGCAGGGTAAGTTTCATGATAGTTCAGATGACCATGAAGATTACTGATCTGTGGGTAGATGAGCGTTTTATTGCGAAGGAGCTGTCCAAGGCTGAACTGCAGACTATGGAAACCTTTGCTCCCGCTTACTTCGATTACATGGCTGCTTCAGTTTCTGGAAATGTGAGCTGTCCATTGCGAATACTTTCTTCCAAACAATTGACCGATTTTTGCAGCGTCCAACTTTGCTGGCAAAGGTGTTTGGTTGCTTCAAGCTGACGTTCAGGAAGACGAAGGATAAGGGCCCGAGCAAGAACAAGCTCACGTACCTGAACCTTTTGGTCATGGAGAACTTGTTCCATAACCGGCACTTCACCATGGTTGGTAACGTTTGATCTTTTCAGTCGAATCTGTATGCCTGACTTGGTGTATCCAGATCTACGATTTGAAAGGTTCGACGAGGAATCGTCATGTTCGGTCTACAGGAAGAGAGGACGAAGTGCTCTTGGATGAAAACCTTGTCGAATGTAAGGATAAAGCCAAGGTTAATTCCTATCACGCTGATTCTCAATTGGATTATAGCTGTTCATCTCGCTCCTTTGTACCTTCGCGAACACTCAAAGCGCATCCTTCGCGGCGCTCTATACAACGATTCCAAGTTCCTTGCTGATATCAATGTCATGGACTATTCCCTCGTGGTAGGCGTCGACAACGTCAAGAATGAGCTTGTCGTCGGTATCGTAGGCAAGTATTCAAAATCTCGCAAACTCAAACCCTAATTGACGTTAGAGTAGATTACATCCGAACCTACACCTGGGATAAGAAGCTCGAGAGTTGGGTCAAGGAATCTGCTTTCCTTGGTGGCGGCAAAGGTGAACCTACTATTGTTACTCCAAAGCAGTACAGACAACGCTTTCTCGGCGCTATGGAACGATACTTCCCTCTGGTATGTGGACACATTCTTCGTATGATATCTTTGTTAATGTGGAGGATAGGTCGCCGACCGGTGGACTAAGCGCAAAGAACCAGAGGAAGAGGATGCCAACAATGCCTCAGAACTCTGGCCCGACTGGTGATGACCGCAACGACTGCATGAATGATTCGTTACGCAACAATGCCTTGGACGTTTCTTGTTTTATCAGCTTCGCTCTCTCGCACATACATTGTACATCAATACATAGCATTACCAACCCATACTGTAGATACCACGACATAACGACCTGTACAAGTTCTCCTGGGAATTCGAGTTCCAATGATCAGAACCTAAAGCTTGCGTGTACGCATGTTGGCGTTGGCCATGCCCTGGGCTTGGTGCTTCATCTCGGAGTTGAACTGCTCCTTTTTGCCTTTCTTCTCTACCCGCCGGACAGACCGCTCCGCTTTGACCGCCTGCTTTCGGGCTTTCTTCTCTTCTTTTGACTCATTCCGCGAACGAGTGACAGTTTCTCGTGGGACTGTCGAGTTGGTTTAGTACGAGAACAGCGTCATTAAAGAAGGAGCAAACCTCTGCTTTCGTCTTCGTCCTCGTCCTCGTCCTCGTCGGAATGCACAGGCAAGCTTCTAGCGGGCTTTCCTTCTTCAATAGAAGGAAGACCCGTTCGTGGATCCAGCTTGATTTTTGGGATTTTCTTATTCGACCGCACGGAAATTATCCGCGGATGGTTCTCGAGGTTCGAGTACGTCGCTATCATTCTTCTCGTTAGGGGGGTAAGGCAGGTAGTGGAGGGAATACTCACTAAGGATCGTCTCGCAGTCCCATCGGTCCTTCTTGTCTTCCCCTTCGAACGGCGCAAAGATATCGGCATCGTCGGGCTCTTCATCCTCCCCAGCCATCATCAGTCTCACCCGCTCGTCCTGGCCCATGGCTCTCCGAAGCACTTCGAGCTTCTGCGCACCCGTTTCACCCTCGAGCACGGGCTTCAACTTCCTGCCAAGGATTTCGTAGTTGTCGAGTTCGCTGAGCAAGGCTTCGAAGTCTTCGCGAGAGGTGATCAGTTCGGGTGCTTCGTCAGATATGTCGGACGGAGTTTCGAGGTCTTCGGTGTCTTCTTCGCCATCGGAGTTGTACTCTTTCTCCATAATCTGCAAAACACGTTGGTTAATAAGGATTTAATTGTATGATTTCTTCAAGAGTGGACTCACTCGATCGAACCGTTCATCTAGTGTTTGCAAAGTATCCGTACGATACATCGATGAACTACTCATGCTGTATCCCGATGCATCCGAGGTGCCTTTTCGCCTGCGCTTTCCCCCAATGACAGGAAGTTTTGGCAATGCACTGATCGTATCTCTGTCCTCTGAGAAATCGTCATCTGATTCGCTCTGTAGAGGGTCGGCCTTCCGCTCGAGCTTGAACTTAGCAAATCTTGCTTCCCAGCTTTCGTCCTCTCCCTTAGCATCCTCAATGGGTGCAACAGCATTGTGAGATCTGCCATCGGTTTCTCCCCACTCGTGGAATTCGTATTCAAGAGCATCGGCCTCGCCACGCTCCCCACCTGTGACAAGCTCTGAGAAGAAGTCCTCCTCGAGGCCGTCGTCAACGAACGCATCGTCTTCTAGGGCATCCAGAGCTTGACGCAGATGCGGATTCATGTCGGGTTGAAACCCTGATATCGAGGATGGTACGGCCTCTTCCGCTTCAAAGTTTCTGGGTATCTCGTGTTTCGAGGGTAATGCGTCTGCGGGCAGATCATCTCGTAGTTCGATCGCCTTTCCCTTTCCCTTTGATTTTTGAGTGGCAGGTGCATCAATGAGGATACTTTCTACTCCTTCCTCTTCGAGGCCTACGGGACGCAGATGTTGCATATAGTCATATTCGGTGTCGTCAAAGTTAATGCCATAGAGAGCTGCCTCTCCGACATTGAGGTGGGCATCGTGGGCTAGGACATCGGCTGGCAAGAGAGCCTCGAGATCTGCTCGTGATGTTCCCTAGCACATGAGTAAAACCGAGGTTGTGGCCGTCGATCTGTATTCAAACGGTCGTACCTTCTTCTGATTAGATGGGGTGAACGCTTTCAAAACGTGTTGGCTGGCCTCGGGGTCGTGTATGAGGGGGTCTCTCTGGGATCTGTGGACGAGCTGGAAGTGCTGTACGCCTGGTTGGCGGAAAATGGATTTTTTTGGCGCCATCGCTTTAGTGTAATTGAGTTACTAGCAAGGATGAGGATAAGGAGGAGAGATTTTGTTTCCAGCACAAGAGGGTGAGAAAGAGGGGAATTTGGCACAGCCACCGCTGTCGGTGGCATTTGCGTGTTACTCAGTCCCACCGTGGTTGGGCTGCAGCACAGACGCTCCTCGACGTGCTCAACCTCCACCAGACCCCTCAACGATCCTAAACAACGCTGAAAACGCATTAATTTAACCTGAAGAACGCACATCGCGCAAATTCTCGCAGCTTGACTCGCTTCCGAGCTCGGTTTCTCGATTTCAAGCATGCAACGCGAACACTCTCGTCGTGGATTCACCATATACGTCTCCGTCCTCTACCCCCAACGACACTCTCTTGCTGACAATTTGTCTCTTATATACTAGTCATCAAAAGGTCGTTGTAGAGCTCGACTTCTCTGGTGCGCTATGGGTGCGTGTTACCAGGTTTTCACGTTCTTTCAGGCGCTCATCCGCGTTGCTTAGGGATACACCGACATCACGCTCATTCCATCCACTGCAAACTTGAAAACGATACATTTACACTCTAAGCAGTGCTGTATGTGAAAAATATGTGTCTTGACGAGTGGCATTCTGACCAGTTTTCCAGCCATTCATTCTGTGACTGTCGCGTCTCACCAAGCCGATTTCGTTCACAACGATCCCTTCGCCCATCTCAGCATATCCAACCCCCAGGACTGCCATACCTATCCCGAACTCAAGAGAAAGCTGTACTCCGCAATTGCGGAAGGCGATGAAGGAGAACTGTCCATCGCGGTTCCCAAAGAGGTCTCCCTTAGGCCCTCCGGCCATGTCAACCAAAATGGCCTCGCCAGCGAAGGTAGGCTTCCACCGATATCAGCTGATAGTTGTTTCGCTCAGGTGCTGATGGTGTCCTAGTTGCGACACCGGAGCCGCAGACACCGGGCCCCTCCTTCCAGACCCCTCTGGCTGAATTCATGCCAATAACCGTTCACATTGAGTACAGCCTCCGTAATCCCTCAGATGGTCTTCAGTTCGTGCTGCCTACGGACTCGTATCCATATGTACGTGTAGAGCTCTTCCTATTGCCTCCATTGGCTCACGAACGGTAGCGCATTCCACATGCGTTTACAACCCCATCGTCACCGGACGCTGCAAGATGTTGGGTTCCGTGTATCGACAGCTTCTGGGAAAAATGCACCTGGGAGTTCGAATTCGTGGTACCGCGATATCTCGAAGAACCCGAGATACGGCGAAACGAGGAGGGCGAGTTAGAAGTGGTAGACGAACGCAATCCCACTGTGGTGGTTTGCAGTGGCGACCTCGTGGAACAAGTGAGTGCCAACATTTCTAATTGCGTTTTGAAGCTGGCTGATAACTAATTTGTCTCTAGGTCGCGCACCCTAATAATTCCAACAAGACCATCTTCCTATTCTCGCAAACGACTCTGACATCTGTGCAGCATATTGCTTTCGCAGCAGGCCCATTTCATGTCTACCCGATACCGCTTGATACTGCGTTGGAAGACGCGGCGCCTGGTTCATCACAACCTTCGATGCACGCATTTTGTCTTCCGGGTCATGAGAACATGCTTCGGTCTTCCGTCTCCTGTCTACGAGCTGCGATGAACTTTTATAGCACCGACTTTGGGTCATATCCGTTTGGGTGCTACAAGGTGGTGGCTGTGGATGAGTTGCCGACCCAGCGCTTCGATAGTGCAACGCTGTCGTTGATTTCAGTCGACCTGCTTCATGGCGATGACGCTATAGAACAAGTGCTAGAAACGCGACAAGTGCTTGGACATGCTCTTGCATGTCAGTGGATGGGTATCAACATTCACCAGAAGACATGGTCAGATACGTGGCTCGTCAATGGTCTTGCTCTGTACATAACAGGGCTCTATATCCGGAAGATATTGGGCAACAACGAGTATAGGTTTCGGCTCAAGCGCGATATGCAGCGGGTGGTTGACTGGGACAATGGATCAATGCCTCCAATATGTCAACCGCAACATCATGACCCGCCGGATGCCGCAGTCCTGCCTTTCGTGAACCTGAAGTCTCCGCTAATTCTCCACATCCTTGACCGCCGTCTGGGCAAGTCGGGGACCTCCCTTGGTCTCTCTCGCGTGCTGCCCAAGATCTTCCTCTCGGCTATGACCGGCGAGATGCCGAACAACGCCCTCTCCACCCACTCATTCCTCCGAACCTGCAGGAAAGTGAGTGGCGTCGACCTGCGGACGTTTGCAGAGCAGTGGATATATGGAAGCGGATGTCCTGCTTTCGGCTTCACTGCGACCTTCAACAGGAAGAAGATGGCCGTGGAGATAACTATGCGCCAGGAGTGTCCTGCTTACAGGGCTTTGGAACAAAACGAGGTTTCGAAGTTGTTGAATAAACCTGTTCCCTTTTTTGAGGTATGTAATAGCTATCGACCGACCAGTTCACACAAAGCTTATCTAAAACCATAGGGTCAAATGACTGTACGCATTCACGAAGCCGATGGCACGCCTTACGAGCATGTTTTGGATATTCGGTCAGCGTTCAAACGCTACGAGGTCCCCTTCAACACCAAGTACAAGCGTATTCGTCGAAACACGAAGCGCTATCTTGCCCGACAAGCCGCCGCTCAGGCCGCAGCCGAAGGTGACCCCGAGGCTGTCGAAGCTATGGGTCTTATCGACATGGGCTTTGGGTTAGATATCTGGGAAAAGGAGAAGGAGCGCGAAAATTGGAAGGTGGCTGACTGGACGGAGGAGGAAGAGCAGGTCATGTCCGGCGCGACCTACGAGTGGATCCGGATGGACGCCGACTTTGAGTGGATCGCTGCGGTCGCGTTTGAACAGCCGGATTTCATGTGGGTGTCGCAGCTGCAGCGGGATCGGGATGTTGTAGCACAGATGGAGGTGCGTATTCAAATCAATGCTCTAGAAGTTGTCTGAATGACGGCTTTGTTTCAGGCTGTACATGCCCTTGCAAGGCAACCGACTGCCATCGTCTCGAGTACATTCACCAAGACTGTTCTTGTGTCTAACTACTATTATCGCATACGCTGTGAAGCAGCTGCCTGTCTCGTAAATGTAAGTTCTGCAACCCCTTTTAGCCACCTCTCACAGAACCATGTCCTCTGCAGTGTGCCATCCGCAAGCTCGACTTCTTAGGACTCTTTCACATGTTTAAACTATTTCTCCGCTATTGCTACGATCCGGAAGACCCCAATCAGGACCTATTCTCTCATAATTATGTTCCTAAACCTAATGATTTCTCGGACCTGGCGGAGTACTTTGTCCGCAAGGTGTGTCTATCGTTTATCATGCACATGCGGCATACTGACGAGAAGCTATCAGAGTTTGGTGGATGGGATAGCGCAAGTCCGCTTTGAGAACGGAAAGACGCCGTCCGTTGTCCGTCAGTTCCTCGTCGACCAATTGCGATACAACGATAACACGGCGAACCCTGTATGTTGGGGAACCATTCGGTTAAATGAGCGCTAATTTTCCTTCGTTTCTTCAGTACTCGGACGCATTCTACATTTGTACCCTGATGGCTGCCTCGGCATGTGCTAATGTACCTACAGCACCTCCTGAACGCGGTGAACTGCTGAAAGAAGAAGTCCGCTCGGAGCAGACTGCAGAAGACGCGAGTCTTCTGAACCAGGCGTTGGAAGAAGTCAATCGGTATCGAAGCATGGATCGGCTCATTCCCTCGCCCCACAATGTTGTGACTACTGCTGTTCTCGAGGTAAATGGGACCCGAAACGTTGGCCTCCACATTGGCTAACCTTGCTACAGTTTTATCTTCTCCTCTCTGTTGCCAATCTAGTTCCCAACGATATGAAGGTGTTCTTCCCGTTGACTCGGTGAGTTTCCTGATTGGCATAAATTCAATTATGCTAACTTTATTGCAGAGAGGGCAATTACACACAAGTCCGCATCGCCGCGTTCGACGGCCTCTTCATGACAAAATGGTACTCACCCCCAATTATGCGCTATGTGCTTGCCGTCATGGCAAATGACCCGTCCCGTGCGGTCCGGCGACATGTTGCTCGTGCTGCTTGTCAGAGTCTGGCTCTATTGGTGTCCATGGGTGAAATGAAGAATGCCATTAAGGAGTCGGAATCCCTGCTCATCGAGGAAGATGGCTCGATGCCTGAGAAAGCTAGGGAGGCCAAGAAGAGCGAGGTGGAAATTACCATCAAGGTCTTGCGAAAGGACAGGGAAATTGGTAAGAATGAGGCGCTCCGCGAGTTTTTGATGCCCGTCGCACTGTATGTCTTTCGTTTTGTCTGTCGGCTACTGACATGAACTGACTTGGGGCATGCAGCGCTCCTGACGTCGACTACGAGGTTCGCTGGGCTATTATCAAACTTGCAGACCTTGTGCTGCGTGGTGTAGAGGAGGCGCCGCCCAAGGTTACCATCCACCTTCCACCTACGCCTGCAACGGAGACTGCTCCCCAGCTCCCTCTTGTTAGGCCTACCGTCAAAGCAAAGGTCCCTGGCAAGCCTAGCGCCCTCGTTCGCACCCCTACACTTCCTACACCTATATCTGCAACACCGAAGCTCAAGATCATCCCGAGCGGATCGCATGCACCTGCTATCTCTACTCCAGGCGGCTCTGCAGGCCACGCTAAGCAGAATGCTAAGCCACCAACGGCAGCACCAGAGCGACCGAAGCTCAAGACAAAGCAGCTCAATGGCGTCACCAAGCCTTCGCACATCCCCAAAGCGCAGTCTGGTGGCATGGTCATCAACGACCTGCGAGCATGCCGGAATGCATTGAAAAAACTCAATGTACACAAGAATTGCCCCATTTTCATGCAGCCCGTCGATCCTGTGCGCGATCATGCACCGAAGTGCGTATGCAAGGATTTCCACGTCTTTACATATGCTAAACTTGGGATTCAGTTACTACAACGTTATCAAGAATCCCATGGACCTAAGTACCATGAACGCAAAGGTTGAGAATGGGAAGTATAAGGATCGCTTTGCATTCGAGTCGGATTTCCGTCTCATGATATCGAACGCAAAACGTTACAACCCTGCCGGTACTTACGCTCATACCGAAGCCCTTGGGCTGGAGGCTTTCTTCGAGAAACGTGTGTTGTGCCTTGCAGTGCTATTTTTATATCTTTCTAACGACCTATAGTGTGGACACGTATCAACAAGACTTTGGAGGCTGCAAGCAAAGCCAACGAGCCGGAAGCGCTCGACCATCTGCCAAGTATCACGGTCAAGCGTCCGGTGGCCAGGCCTACAATCTCAACGGCGCCTATTCCACCTGCACCTCAACCGTCGACCACACCTGCACCGCTTCAGTCTCGGCCAACAATCAAGCTCAAGGTTGGAGGATCATCACAGAAGCCTGCAGAGGAGCCCACAGCACCTTTGAAGATCAAACCCAAGAAGCCGAAACCGCCAGTCGAGATCGACGGGCCGCCACCGCCCTACGTCGACGACGGATCACACGACCTCCTGCAAGAAGTCATTGCAATCGAGCGCGAGAAGGATGAGAAACGGTCGCGACATCATGTTGAGCCTCCCAAACCCCCTACGCCTGCGCCCACACCTACCCCCAAGGCGTCCGGGAGCGGCCCTCCTCCTACCAAGCGCCGAAAACCAAGCCCGCAGGAGGACGGTCCTTCAGCTGTTACTCCCCCGCCGAAGAAGGAGAGGCCTGCGCCTCCTCCCGCTCCGACACCAGCGCCGGCGGCACGCCCAGCCGAGAAACCGATTGCTCCCGCTCCGAAGGCTGCCCCAACTGCACCTAAGCCCAAGAAGGAGAAGCCGCCGGCTCCTGAGGTGGCACCAACGCCTCCTACTCCCGCGAATGCTCCTCGACCGTCTATCAAGGGCAAGGAAAAGGAGGTATCAGCAAGTAACGCGTCGACACCTGGGAAGCCCAAGAAGCTGTCGATGCCCGGGCCCTTCAACGAGAAGAAGTGCAGGGACACTCTCAAGGCGCTCTTGAAGCTGCCCGAGAGTCTGATCTTTGCTCAGCCTGTCGATCCTGTGCGAGATGGATGCCCAACGTATGTTGAACTAGACTTTGAAGACGTCTTGACTAACGTACCCTTAGGTATTATGAGGAAATCGAACATCCTATGGACTTTGGTACCATGTCTACGAAACTTAGTAAAGGCCAATACTCGACTATGGAAGAGTTTGCGAAGGATGCCGGGTTGGTATTCGACAACTGTCGGCAGTTTAACCCCCCAACTACCTACCCGGTAAACTGTGCGGACCTCGTTGAGAAAGTCTTCCGAAAAGAGTGGTCTAAAGCCGTAGAGAAGAAGATGTCGTGGGCCGAGAAGAGGAGTCTGCAGGGGTTGATGACCCAGGTCGTCAAGGAGGACATGTATGACCCTTCTCAGTTACACTGTCTGACGTGTTTACTGACTGCATATGCAGTTCGTGGGTTTTCCGCGAGCCTGTCGACCCAGTTTTGCTTGGTATCCCAACGTACTTTGAAGTTATCCCGCGCAAGGACGCTCGAGATCTAAGGACCATCCGCCATAAGTTGGATGCTGACAAGTACGACTCGATCGAAGCCTTCGAGGCAGACATCGACCTCATGATTCGCAACGCTATCACGTTTAACGGCGTGGACTCGGAGGTCGGCAAACTCGCAGGGGCGCTCGAGGATCGCATCAAAGATCTATTGTCGAATATGCGCTCCGGCGGGGGAACGAAGAAGCGCAAGGATGGGCTGGAGAACGGGACGTCGCAACCAACGAAGAAGGTCAAGCTCGTCTGAGTACGCAGTATTGCCGAAAGGTACACTATATATCCTGCTGTAGCGGGTGGACCAGTAGTATAGTTATTGTACTTGTATGTTTGCTTTGTTATTGCTCTGTATAACGCTCGCACCAAGTTCGATATATAATGCGATGTCTTTGGCGCTATCCTCGAACGGAGCCCCTGACGGACTCGACAATGATGACGCGACTTGGGAGAGAAACTGAACTTGAACGCGAACCACGATGTCCTCACCGGACCCAGCTTCTTCACAGCCTGCCCCGCATCCCGAGGGACTTGCGGATATCGATCCCATCTGGCTCTCGAGTAAGACCGCCAGGCAGATATACGCCCTCGGCGAAGTCGAGAAGGTGCGCTGCTTGTGACTACGGCTCATATTATGTACGTCTAAACTTCCCCACAGGAAATCACGCGTCTCCTGGCTCTCGCAGGCTCTTCTATCGACCTGCTGACCCTCCCTCAGACCGACGGACCAGACGACAATCTGCCTCAAAGTGAGGAGCGCTCCGAGCAGTTCGTGCTCGAAGTGAGCGAGTACTTCGAGCGGCTGGACGTGAGTACCCCGGGCCCAACTTTTGGCACACTCGTACACACGAGCTAAACTCGCTCGCTGTCTCCCCCGTTCGGCAGTCTATTCAAGTCGCCATACGCTCGTCTCTGGCGCACATCAGACAGTCGCGGATAGCGCCGTCGGCGATCACGGCCCCTCCTCACGGCTCTGTCCCTCCCTCGCTCGGTGTCGGCTTGCCCGCTGGAGATCATGGCACCGGTGCAACAGCGGGCAAATCGAATCGCGGGCTGCAAGAGGAACGGATGGAGCGCAACGCCTGGGTGGGCATTCATGACGCGCTTACCCGGCTGAAAGCCGCTCGTGAAAAGCAGAACAGCCGCGCTGATGAGCCCGGGGAAGACGGGATGGACACGCAAAACCAAAACTAGGAGACCCTGGATCGACCGCACTCGTACACATTCCGTGGGCAGTGCGCTCGGGGCGGCGTCGGCGATCCAGCGAGCGGCGGATTTGACTTTACGGTGATACTTCGACCCCGACCTATGTGGCCACGATGCAAGTTTGTTCGTTCCTATTCGCATTTCTACGGTACTGCCCCGCTCCCATCTCCCACCGACCCAAAACGCACCGTTCCGACGTCAGGACCATTTATTGGATCCCGGCCTGGACGTCGCATATAGAAACAAAGAAATTTCTCCGCTGTCCGCTATGTTGGGACGAGCAATATAACGAAACAGCCGCATACACACACGACGATCTGCCTAGACGCTCGCCTGCTCCAGGGCCTCCTCGGCCTTGATGAGCTCCTCATCCTCGGCAAATTGCGGGTGCTGCTTCACTTGGACCTGCAAAGTTCCCGCAATGCGATGACGTTGGCAGGGTCGTTCGTGCATGAGAGAAGGTCGGGGTACCCGGTGCGGTGCGGAGAGGGGAGGAAGCGGGGAAGTTGCAAACGAGGGCGAAGAAGATGAATAAGGATGGGGATACACTGGGTATGACGGTGAACGCGGGCGACGTACGATGAGATCCCTGAGATCCTGGACGGTCTTGCCGAGACGCTCAGTTGTGTCTTTGATCATCCGCACCGACTCCTCTTGTATCCGCCTCTGTAAAGATAGATGTCGTGTGTCCATTCAGTCATGTATTTATGTTTGTGCGCCGCATGTCTTCTAGGTCCACGGGCACACCGAATAACGCATGACGTACGGCATTCTTGATCTCGTACTCGTCGGCATTGTCAGCAACCATCTTGTCAACCTTGCGCTTCTGGTCTTCCGCCTCCTTGCCGTACAGCCCGTGTTCCTTGAGTAGCCTAGTTCGACATCAAGCACGTTGCCTGGGTCAGGTCGACTATGCAGTGACGGAAGAACGGAGAAGGCGATACGCACCGCTGAGTAGCGCCAACCTTGATCTTGAGCTGGCGGTGGACGCTGGCGGGGTCATTGATGTTCATGGCCATGATAGTCGTTCGGAAAAATGGGGAATGGGAAATAGAAACGTGAGGAGTCTAAGAGAAGAGTAGCGACGTCCAAAGAAGCCACCTATCAGAAATACTATCCGGACCCAATCCTACGCGTCCGAACGCGTTCAGACATACGTAGCGTTGACTCAATTCGTTTCCGATGATCTCATCGATAAGCCGAGTGTTTACGTGCTGCGACTCTATCATATGGCTAAGTTCAGCGGGGCCCTGATAAGGTCTACGCATACCAGCAGAACTCCACGAAAACTTAGATGCGGCACGCGAGTGAATTCTTAGCTTAGCCGGAAGTTCACACCAAACAAATGGAAAGATCAGATAGAGCAAGGCGCTTCATTCGTTGCAAGATAGCAAGGGCTACATCTACATAGTAGGAAAGCCAGCGACAGTCAATCCCGGACGTGTACACTCTACCTACAACAACAAAAAACAGAAATGAAACGACTACAGGCCAGTCAGAGATAGCGAGGATCAGAACGATAGATGTGAGTAGTGTGGATGCGGACGAGCGCCGATGGCAGGCGTAGTATGCGAAAGGCGAGAGTACGTAGTGTATGAAACCAGGGCGTAAAGGCGTAAACAGATCGTTTAGTCCACCGTGACGAAGCCTCCGACCTCGCAAGCGAGGCAGACAAGCACCGTGGGTGCCGGTCCGAGTTCGAAGTCAGGCTTCAGCTGACACGTAAGGCGAGCTCCAACATCGATCATCAACAACCAAATCGACTAGCGAAGTGGTGGAGAGACGTGAGCGATCCGCCGAACACGTCAGTGATGCGAGACGAAGAACCGGAAGCCCTGTCGAAGGAAGACATAATGATCGTCGTAAGCCCCACGCCAACACTTGGTACCTCAGCGAGAACCGGCAGTCGCTCGCATAGCTGCGCGGACATACCATGTCGGCGGAGTGCATGGCCGACCATCAGCCCGCAGGTGTGCTTGCCAAACCCTGCGGTGGGACTCGTCGGGGGGAGATAGGGAGAATGAGGAGACGTGGGTGTCGTGAACAGGGCGGTGATCAATCGTCCGATTCGTAACGATACGCGTGAATTGAAATAAAATGCCAGAAATATTGCAGATGTGCGGCGAAGGCCAGAAGCGTCCTGTCGTCTTCTGTGCATCCGAGCGAGGGAGTGGCGAGTAACGAGATCAATGGCGTTGATGTTACCGGTGTGTTGGCCACGCGAGGCACGTAACCACATCTAAGTGGTCGTTCGCCTCGAGCGTGCGATGGATGAATGGATGAGGGGAAGGAGCGAGACGTGCAGCCAGTCTAAAACAAGATGCGCACGCGGGGCGAAGCAGCGCGCAACCTCTCAAGGAGGTCACGACCAGAGCGCCTCAAGCCTAGCCGCGTGTCTTGCGTCGTGGCTGCGCCTCGACGTCAACCTCCAAATCGAGTATCCAAATCGACATCTTGGGACCTAGAGAACTCCACAGTCGCATAGTAGCCACTCCTACAAGGGGTGGCCGCAAGTGCGGGGGTGAGCGGCGCGGCCGCAGAAACTCGGGAAAAACCTCTCCAAGGTACACTTCCAACGCTAAACCCATCGGTCTACGCGCGCGGAGAGATGAGAGGGTGACGTGAATAAGAAAAATGAAAAAAATGCGATGCGAGTGTCCATTGTACGTGTGACCTGCAGTCCTGCGTGGGGTCCTAGTCTTGCGTAAATACAGTGCGAATAATGTTACCGACGATGCGATGGTTTTTGAGGTGTGCTGTTCAGCGAGCGACCGAGCATCTAAAAGGAGGGCTGGGACTGCTGAGAGGCTGCGGCAACAGCGGCAGCAGCAGCGGCGTGACGCTGCTCCGCGGTGCCGAGCATCAGAGCCTCGTTGACGCTGCGGAGACGCTGAACCTCGTTCTCAGCCTGCTGAAGACGGACTTGGAGCTGTTGGGCGGTCATCTCCAGGTACTTGACGTGCGTGGTAGCGCGATCAAGGAGTGAAACCTTGCTACTCTTCTGGTTGGAGACGGGGAGAGCATCCTTGAGGCGGCGGTAGCCGTCCCTGAGCTCGTCCCTCCTGCGCTGCTCCGACTCGATACGCTGGCGACGGATGGTCTCGCGGCGCTGGTCAGCGTTGTTGGAAGTGGGCGGGAGAGGCTGGAAGTCCTCGTCCTCGTCATCAGAGTCGTTGCGGGACTTTCTCCTCGTAGCCTTGACGGAGGGGCGGGTAGCGGGCACCGCGATGGGGTTGAAGCGGTGGGAGCGCGGCACGGTAGCATCGTAGGGGATGCTGTTGACAGAGGCAGGGGACTGCGTGCCACTGCCGCGGCTGCGGCGGCCCGAAGAGAGGGCGTCGGAGGAAAGCTCAGCTCCGCTCAAGTTGTACAGCGAGGGGGGAGCGATGCCGTTGTCCGGGGGAGTGAAAGGACGGCCCGGAGAAGCGGTGGTGTAAGAACCGCTCGAGTACGAGTACTCGCCAGGCATCGGCTGGGTGAGGTTGAGCGAGTTGAAGTCCAGACGAGGGGACGAGGAGGACGGGCCGGGCACTACGAATATGACGTCAGGGGTAAGATCGGAATAGCTCAGCAAATAAGTTTATACTGACGGGCCATGGGTACACCGTAGGGCGATTCCTGCGGGTACTGGAGGTAGTCAAGGGTGGAGAGAGAGTCGTAAGCGAAGGGGGTCTCCATGAAGTTGGGGCTGCGAGGGTGCTCGAGGAGAGTGGCGTCCATTTGAGAGTGAGGCGTAGAAAAAATCGTGTCGGTGTAGTGGGGGCTATTCGCAAAGCAGGCGAGGCGGGCGGCCTAATAAATGAGACTAGGAACAGGGGCCTGGTTGCGATAACATCATAAGGTTGTTTAGTCGCTTGCGAGAAAACAAAAGATTAATGAAACTTACGTTAAAGCACAACAAGGTGGCGGGGGTAGTTGCGCGACTGCGACAATAGGACGTGCGTAAGAAGAAGAAAAGAAAAGAAGAAAGAGGGAGAAGTCGGCTGTTTGAACAAGAGGACGGCGGGCTGAGGAAGGGATGGGGACTGGCAGAGATTTGGTTCCGCAAGCTAAATATGAGAGCGCTCGCTTGATCGGGGAGGTCCTGCCAGATGCGGTTAAGGCTGAGGTGAAGCCCCTATATGGAAAGTACAGTAATGCCGCTGGCGGAGGTGATGGCTTGAGCTGCCTCGTGTTCCTCCTTCACATCTTCCAGTCCCAATCCTGTCACGGATCCTCTAGTACCTTGTTGCAAAATGGTCATCTTCGCTCTCACATACCCAACTTAATCCTTCTCACTCGACCGCAGCCCAGATCCCACAACCAGATCTATCCTAGTCCTCTCTCGGAACTCTCCCCGAGTCTCTTTCCAAAGTCTCTCAGTCTCTCGTTTGACTCTATGTGCCTTCGCCTTGAATTCTATGAATTTCCATCCTTCCCGGACTCAATCTAGAGCATTCCCCTCCTCCTCTCCCGTACACCGGGTGTCGTCCACTGCCGAGGACCAGGTACTTCCCCTCCTCCCACTTTTCACATCTGTCTTCATATCGCTTCGCACCTTATCCCGTGGCTTCACCGGCTCCCCCGAGAATTGTAATAGATGCTCGACCGTATAGGCAGTGTCCATGCGCTCACTTGTCCGTTTCCGTCCCGATTTTCCGTATCTACTTGCGCTACTTTCGATTGGATTGTCTCTGTTGCGTTATCAAGATCCGGACCGCCGAAGTTTCCGGTCGATTTTCCGGCATCCAAATCATTCAATCTGCATACAATCAAGACAGTATAGCAGCTCTGCAGTATTAACTCCATCTCCAATTCACTCCTTGGTCCATGTCACCGCCGACATTCTCCAGACATCCCAATGCCTCCGAGATGTCCAAACATTGGCCTCAGTAAACACGAGGAATGAAAGGTGCAACGTTTCTTTAATAATGAGTTCACTCAGACACAGGTTTTTACCTCCACCATACTTGCTCCGATCATCACAGGCTCTCAGGGAACGGCGGCTTGTCACAGGTTGTAAGCCCTTTCCAGCTTCGACCAAACACTTCCCGTAAAGTTCCCTGACAATACCTGACACAACAACGTCCAGAATAGCGAGCTTTCTAACGCCCCGGGGGCGCTCGATGAGAACCTCCAGCTTCTTTTCCCCGCGAACTTTAATTCCATTCTTGCAATAGGCCCTCGTCACAACCATCGTCAGCTGAACTTATTAACTGTGGGAGCCCGTCGGGCCCCAAAGCAGGACGACGGAGGACAAGGGCTGACACATAATAGCCCCTGTCATGCCGACGACAATTGCGCGTTCATCGCTCGTTTGTTGTTGTGGGTCCGTTCACAGAGGGTTCAAGATTTACGGACATGTGTAAAGGAGCCAATACGTTAGGCGATGCGAAAATAAAGTTGTCTAGCCGGCGGATCCTCTTGCGGGGTCAAGGAGCTGCCTTTCTCGACGTCATGTATTGACAGCCTGAGACAGCAGCTTCGGGACAGCACGGCGAACTGGAGGCCGTCGAAGTCGGCCGCTCAGCATTTCTCGCGTTTCTGACGAGTTGCTGAGTCCGCGTATTCGTAGCCAAGGACCGGAATCGACCCGATATGCTGAGTTAGAACGGGAAGAACTGTTGTATGTTTTCTCAGAACACTGCTTTGGACTTCACCCTACTAACCTATAGCCGGTAAGGTTTCTTCCAACGAGCTGAACCCAGTTCCCCGTGCCAAATAGAACGATACCAAGATTTAATGACTTGGGTGGAGTGCCGACCATTACGTTGCTCTTCCCGGACTACATGGGAGCGTAATGGACTTGTTAGCATCGCGTCTCCTCGGCCTGGAGGCTCTGCGCCATGTTTACAATGAACCCTCGGCCACTCGACGATCTTCTTCTGCCACAAGCGAGCGGCTCCCACAAGAACCCTAGGAGCAACTTTGCGCTCTGGTGGTGACAAGCGTCGCAAGAGGTTGATCCAGTGCTTGTTTGAGGGCTCTTTCGGCCAGTCCCTGACGCTGAAATTGACTTCGTAGATGCCGTATGGAATGTGATAATCACCGTGAACATTGGCGCCTGAGAACCCTCTGGGTTTTACTTTGGGACTCCACGATGTGTGTATTTCTGTGCTGATCCGTCGTCCGGTTACGAAGTCACGATATCGCGACCCTGCAATACACGACATTACAAGAGCACGGTTTTTGCTTTGGCTCAAGCTTTCTAACTTAAGCTCTGGATTGGTTGCACTATAGTCAAATGAGCTGGGATCTTCACGCTGTCGATTTCTCTCATCGATAGGCTCGGAAGCCCTGGTTCTGTTCCATTTCGCAGAGGGCGAGTGATCACTATCGCCGGGAGAAAAATCAGGATATGAAACTTCTCTTGCTGAATTTACGAACAGCAGGTGGATACTTGGCACGTGCACGTTCCATGCCCACCATGGTCAAGGCTATGTAAAGCTGCAGGCGTGGCATAACTGGTGTGCCCCCAACCTCTGCCGGTTTATACTCAGGTCTGCGTCAATACGCTGATCGATCTTTGGGGCAGAGACTTTCTAGACTAGGGAACAGGAGCTCAGGCAAAGGGTAACACGCGACCAAATCTTTATCATTCCGACCTCGAAACTCGAGATTGCGATCTACGTCTGCGGTCTTTGTGTGGTCCGATCTTTACCGCAGATGCAGCTCGATAAAGGCGACTTTTCCCTACACGATGGAACCAGCGTCTGTCATGCTCGTTCTTAGTTTCATTTAGGATATCCCATTACCTCTCCGGCTTGTAAACATCCAGGGACCAGCTGTGGGGTTTTACCCATCACCTCCAGATCAGAAATCCCTTTGCAACTTGCGCCGCGGCGTCTCGCTGGAACGGAGAATGTTAGGCACAGATCCGAGAAAGCCTGCCGCCAACCCCTGCCCCAGCTCAAGCGTCCGTCGTTTCGGAAGGCGTCTTCTCGTCCGGCGCCACAGAATGGGAACGCTTTGGGCCATCGTGACCTCTTGAGCTGACCAAGAGGACGTCCAACACGGCGAACGTTCTCTCCGCGAATGTCTGAGTTCGTGTAGGAAAGCATACGATTGCACGCTCGCAGGCTAATATTTTGGTCACTGGTCGCAAATACTCATCGCGAAGCGTTTCATATACCACCTCATGATGGATCCGATAGCGGGGTAGTCGCTCTGCTAAACTCGGCGAGGGAGAGCCCAGAGGTTTGGGCCTCACTTTCGTGCGGCGCCCGCATCGAGCAAGTCTGAGCTGCCTGCCGTTTGCGGGCTGGTTCTCCTGCACTGTATGACGATCCACTCTTCGAAGGGACGAGTCTGCTCGCCCGAACAGGCAGCTGGGCGCAATCAACTGACTCGGGACCGATCGTCGTCACTGCCTTTTCGACTCGAGGAGTGGCGTAGGCTTTGTGCCCCATGGACCACAGTGTTGGATATAGTCTCGAGTCTCGATGCCCATGACGAAGCGGGTCTCCTGGATCCGCTGCGCCGGAGGCCCTCTCCCCTCTTCCCTGGCGCAATACAGCGCGAATGGACGTATGTCTGGACCGAAACTTGGGCTATCCGCCGGGGCGCCATCTTTCATCCGACAATCGGCCAGTGCCTGTGCCGTGGCGTTCAATTCAAGGTTCGGGGCATTCAAGCTTCAAAGTTCCGCGTCAACGAAGTCTTCTAATCGTCGAAATCCCCCCACAAAGAAGTTTAGACGATATATCGACCGCATTGGCGCGAGCTATAACACCGGGTGCAGAACCTTTGGAGATTCTCTGTCACATTAATCATGGTGGACTTGTGGCCATGCGTCGACACGGACACACGTCTCATCGAATTCGAAACTCTATGATACGACTCGCTATTGGAGAACTGGAGCGCACGGGGGATCCACGAGTCCGCAATGCGTGCGTTCGAAGGGATGGAGGAAAATGCCCGTGACCCAGTACCATGTCGATGGGCGCCGATGGACGAGTCGGCCAGGCGCCCGTCAACGAAACATGCGCAGAGAATCATATCCATGTCATGCCCGCATCAACGTTCTTGAGCTCGAGCCAGGACACGTGAAGGGCACCCGCACGATCGCGGGTGCATCGCTCTCATCGATGAGCTTGCATTTCCGGATTTCCTCTAAAGAGCTTCCGCGCGCGCAAACACGTCGATATCGAGGCAAGGGGGTAATTTCAGACACCCTCGAATGCAACATGGATTATTGAAAGCAAGCGTGTTTGGGTATACTTCATTTACTGCACCGGCCGTCGAAGAACCCAGCGTTCGGGCATGGTGGTGATACACGTTTGCATTTTAATCACGGCCGATGGATGTACTTGCAGGCACTCGCACTTCATCCAAGTGTATGTCCGTGTCGACGAGTTGAGACCAAAATTCAGGATTTGGGCGAACGCAACAACGCGACTAGCATGCATGGAAGAAGAAATTTGATTCGATAGATATGACATGTCGAGGATGTGTATGAGCCGCAATGCACTGAACGCTAGGAGTACTGTTACAACCAACTACCAATGCAACGTCTGTTCGTATCGACTACGGTGAATATCGCCTGCCTGCCTATCCGCCATAACCCTCTGGCCCAACTTCTAGTGTGGGTGTCACTGCTCGTGACAGTCTCCATCAAGAAGACAAAACAACAAAATATTACAGGTAATGACGGCTCAAGACCGCAGAGGTCGAGCGTCAAAGGACCGGCAAACATGTATCCGAGAGCTGGTGGCAACGGCAGGTCTGGCTTCTACTTTTCTTCCGCATCTGGCTTCGTATTTGTTCGTCAAGAATTTCGAGTCGTTCAGTCATACGGACCATCTGATCCTTCGTTAGTTAGGAGAGGCATGAGATAAGAGATATCGAGACGGGAGGATGATAATGGATATAGTGATCAGCTGGGCGAGATCGTAAGGTGTCGACGGATCCTGTCGGAGAAAAACGGCATCCCGAAGTGAAACCGAAGACGAGTTGTGGATGATTGGTTGGCGAAAATTGCTGATTGGGGTACAGGTGAAAGGGAAGCCGTCGATGCACCGCAACCGTGGAGAGTGTATAAAGAAACCAGCTGATCGAAGAGATAACACGGATCGAAATCGACGCTTCATCCGGATCGAAGACTGGTGCTAGGACACCTAGTAATACACCAAACGACGTCGAGCCGTAAGGGTTTTCTGCCAGCCACCCATCTAGGACTTCCGCCGTATCTAACGGCGCCCCGTGCCCAGACAGAGCGAAATTCCCTAGAAGACCACGCCATCTTTTTTGTAATCGTCCTCCCCCTCTCCCGACCGATGAAAAAAATGTGAGATATATGGATATACAGATGCCTGCAAGCGAGATTCGCAAAAGTGGAATAGCAAGATAGAGAGTGATATGAGTGAAAAAAGAAATGCAGTCCATGGTGCGTAAATGCGCGCGGAAGATGATGATAGATCAGTATCCGTCTGAGCCGGCGGGGCTGCGCGAGCGTTCGCGCGGAATGTGGCCCTGGACCATCGCGAGGGAATGACCTGGAAGAGTAGCCTCCGGAGGAGGCGACAACGGCCTCGCGTCGATGTCGGACATCATAGTCTGGCCAGGGGAGGTGTGGCCAAGGCCCCTCGTGAGCCTTTCATTGATGTCACGGAGGCGCTTGACCTCCTGCTCGACTTTCTCGAGGCGCTCCATCATCTCCTGGTTCCTCTTCTCGAGGGTGATGATGTGCGATGTGGCTATCGTAAAGGCGGGGTTAGCGGCGGCTTGGATGATGCAGAGTAGACCACAAACCTCGCTCAAGCAGATGACATTTACTGCTCTTCTGGGTAGAGACGGGGAGCACCTCCTTCAGCTTCTGATAGCCGTCCCGCAGCTCATCTCGGCGCTTCTGCTCAGCTTCGATGCGCTGACGCCGAGTCGCCTCCTTCCTGTTGTCGGTGATGTTATCCATATACAGGGCACCCATATCTTCTTCGTCTGAGTCTCGTAAAGAAGAGCGACGACCACGACGACCAGAAGAAACACTAGAGTTAGAAGGGGAAGGGATGGGATTGTACCGAAGAGAGTTCCTGTGGACAAGGGAGGAACTTCTGGACGAAGATGGGGAACCAGATGCGCTCGAGTTGCGCGAGTGGTGGTATATGCCTTCGTTTGAAGTGTCTGAAGTGGGAGGCGAGAGAGGGTCGTACATGTGCGGGGAGGCCGGTGGCAGCCCCATGGGCACATGTTGTGCAGGCGAGCCATAAACAGGCTGCTGGCCGTACTGTTGTGGCATGAGGCTCATGTCATGAAATTGTACGGCATTGTGGAGGTCTGGCGCGGACAGATGGCCTGCAGAAGAGAAAACACGAGGCCAACATGCGTCAAAACATGTGTCGTCAGCAAGGCATTTCGAGTAAGCAAGTCAAGGAAGCAAGGCTCACGCGACGCCATTCCGGGATGCTGGAGTTGATAGGGCGACCCCAGCTGCTGCTGGAATGGTTGGTGCATGTTGTAAGCGGGCTGGTCGACCGCTCCGTTGTAGAAGGAGTATGGGGCCATGAGGTTGTGATCTCCATGATCACCGTTCGGAATGTGCTGCTGCTGCTGGTGTTGATGTTCCATGTATGTTGAACTCATGTATAGTCGTGGTTGTCGTTAGGTGGGATATCTGAAGGAAAACAAGCTTAAGCTCTTGAGGGTATGCAGAAGAGGGTGAATGGGAAGAAGAAAAGATATGGCGACAAGAAGACAATGGATATGTGTGGTTCTACCCCCGTCCAACTCACGAACGGAAACCAAACCGCTCGCTTTAACCGGGGCGATTGTCCAGCTGCTTGTGCCCCTCTCTCGTTTTATTTCCCACGCTTGAAATCAACATTATCCGGTTTGTTTGGTCGACCTCTCTCACTTTGCACACCTTCCGGGCAGACATCCGAAGTCCCCATTGACAATATTGACATCCCACTCCATGTCATTGTCCAAGGCCCTGCTACACCCGACCTCCTCAACAAGAGAGCGATGCAATCGAGCCGACAATCCGACTCGGCTCGTCTCTAGACCGGCAACATCGGTGGAATCTCGATTATTTTTGCGTGGGGTTCTGATCTGCCTCGAGGCAACCTTCGCGTCACCAGTGTCCATTGACGGGCGGCTCAGTACCGGATTTTGCTGGCGCAAATCTCCACTTCCCTCAGGCGGCCCCCCCCTCTCTCTTTGATTCAAGCAGCCCTCGTCTTGCCCACTTGGACTCACTTGCCTTTCTTCAGCCGGCCCTCTGAATCATGGGCGCAGACCACATTTTTGTGATGACTCTCAGTGTCTTGTTCACCTCAAGGGATCCTCCTGCGGGGTTATTCCGTTCGACCGCTCTCCCGGCACCACGGTCCACGGGAAGGAGACCGGCCAAGTTCGGTTAGATAGGCTCCATGCACGAGGTGCTCGATATTAGCCCAGTCGCTCTTTTTGGCGCGTCAGGTCGCTGTCAGGCCACACCCTTCGCCAGTAACTCATCATCTGCTCAGACAGCTATCTTGCTCTGCAGAACGACTCATAAATGCTTGGGGGGTCGTAAGACGCCACCTAGAGGCACGAAAGGCATGAACATCGACTGATCTGACGGTTTAGCGCCCGTAATATGAGTCAAGGGAAAGGACGAGTCTTCTTCCCTTCCTGTTGCGATGAGTATAGATTCTCTCTCTCTCCTGTTGCGATGGAGCTATTTGGCGATCCCGGTTGTATAGAATTATGTTCTTTGCATGCACCGGCGTTGACGGCAGTGAGATACGTGACTCATCGGAGAAACAAATCCGCAGGAAATCAGACTCCTGGTCATCTTATGTATCTGTCACGAGTGCCTAGGTGATGGATGAGAAGAGGCTTGTTGGAGATGATAACATGGTTCTAGTACAGACGGAGGTGTACCTCGACCCAAGTAGCGGATCCTAGCATTCGCGTCTTATACTTTGATTACGTTGCATGTATGCTGTGTAGAAACGCCCTACAGCAACATCCGATCTCCTTGCTTCAGTCTGGAACAGTGTGAAGCTTGACATGTCTAACGACATGGGCGGCGTAAGCTGTCCCAAGCTGTCCCAGCTGTCCCATCTCAGCTTTAACCGGAACGTCGTGGCATTTAGAGTTGTCTGGTGTCGCAGGGTGTTGCGGTGATAGTAGCGCAATGCGCATGCATGCAAAGTAAATCAGATATCGGAATCAAAAACACGGCCACACGCTGATCTCATCGTTTCTGTCAGGGAATAGATAGTGGTCGCAAAATCCGTGGTGTCCATATAAGAAGGCAATCGAGAAAATCCACGGACTGAGTTCATGGTATACGTATCATAGCCCTCTACAACTCGCGAGGTCAAGAGAGGGGACATTTCATGTTTGATTTGGTCCGCACATGTGCATATGCATGAGTCGATGAAGGAACATGACCGGTTTGCATCGCGACGTCGCGACAAGAGCCGTCGGCAAATGCAAACATGGGGTGACGTTCGCACGCCAACATCAGATCGAGTCCGGAGAGGCGCGTCCGCCTTTCTGATGTCTCTGTGAGCTCGTTGCCGGGCTTCCGCAGCAGGTCTGACCACCACCGAAGACGACGCCGACGACGAGCAGCAGGACGACTCGCTGGCTACTGGCTGTCTTGCATGCCGACCCCATAGCGACTGACACTTGAATTCAGATTTGAAGTACCTCAGGTGCGTCTGGGAACTTTGTTGCGCGTATCCCTTCACTCAGACATGCCCGCCCCCAATAGCCTATACCCTTCCCAGACCCGCATCTCTCTCGACGCATCTTCGGACTTCTGTTTTCGCCCTGCCCTACTCACTTTCTGACCTACACACCTCGTTCAAGCTCCTTACTGTTCTCAGCACTCGCTTTCACGTCCAATCGTTATGCCCTCCGTACCAAGTTCACATGCGTCCGCTTCCTCGCCTGCGCCGTCCCCATCATGGGCTCCTCCACGCGCACCGCTGCCGCCTCATCGTCTGGCCAAGATTGCCAACGCTCTTGGTGTCTCCACGCCTTCCCCTGCCATGAACAGCTCGTCGTCACTCTCGATATTTGCTTCGCCAAACCCTATGTCCTCTTCACCCAGTATATCCGGCGACAGCCAATGGCGGTCTCCTACGCCATCTGCAATGTCTAATTCTAACTTCAGCACATACCCGTCCACGTCTCAGTCTAAATTTCTGCTCCACATAATACCACCTCGCGATCTCGCCAAAGTTCTAATCGAGGGGTCCGACGATGAAGATGGCTCGCTCGCCTCCTCGCATGCCCAGTTTCGACGGGGAGCTCTCGTGCCGTTCCAACCTACTATACAAGCTCAGCTTGTCTTAATAGCTAAGGAGTACTCCCTTCCAAGTACTTTTGGCATCGTGCTTTACCTTGTCTCTTCCAAACCGACCCGTGTGCAGCCAAGTTTTCTGAAACCCCCAGACAGTGACGACAACAATGCCGAACCTGGAGCTCGGCTCTCTGAAGAGGTTTGGAGACATATGTGGGCACGGGCCACGAAGGTTGAGCAAGAAGAGTCGTTTTCCAATCTCACCAGTCCCATAAGTCCTTCCCCGACTCTCGGTATACCCATGAAATCACCGAATGCACTACGGCCATTAGTCACTCCTTTCCGCTCAGAGACTCCCCAAGCAACATTTGGTCCAACGCTAGAGGTCACGCCGTCTCCTTCCACCACTACTGCGTCCTCAATATCGGACATTCGCTTACATTCGAAGTCGGCACCTCCATCCTCTTCTTCTCCAGTGCAATCAGAACCCGAGACACCTGATACGTCGGAGCACGACGGTCAAGGGTTAGATCTTCCTGGACTTCACTCGGATGCGTTCGTCCCCGTATTGGCTAAGGTAGAGTTTGACATCGACCGGCACAAGGCCAAGTGGTACAACCAATGGCGACGTAATCGGCGCATGACCGCAAGTCGATCACCTTCGCGTCAGCAGACAGGTGACAGCGCCTCTGGGGACGAGCGGAGGGCTCCCTTCAACCTCAAGCTCGTTGGCAAGCACCACAACGATTCCGTACCCAGCTTCTTGCGCGACAATGAGGAGGCCGACTCCCAGACCGACGAATACACACCCCTCTCAGACTCCCCGACATTTGAGGACGAATCGACCACCCGAGGTACTATTCACTATGGTGGCGATCCGCTCGCGGACATGTTTGGATCTGATGCTGACACCTGGGCAGACATGCACGCAGACGCACCAGCAACAAGGCGGAAACAGGACCCAAACGTTGTACCCCTTGCTCTCGATGCGACTGCCTTGGAGGCGATGGACAATGGAGATTACTCAGGCTCAGACGCCGACGAAATTGCCGAGGTGCGGGATATCATGCAGCGAAAGTCACAAACCTCGGATGTTCTGATCTCGCCCTATTCACCTCGCAAGTCCGGCACGTTCAGTATTCGTCGCGCTGCGCCACCTCCTATAGTCATCGCCCCGAAGTCACCGAACCGCAACATCGCCCTTGGCGAGAGCCCAATGCCATCAAATTCTGACGAGAGCGTGAGGCTAGCTTACGCGACGGATGACGGCACTCCTATGGGTTCAGAGATGCATGACAAGGGTCGCTTGGCAGATCAGGAGAACCGTCAATCTAGGAGCTCGCAGGAGGATAAAGAGAAACGAGACGGTGTTATTTATGATGATTTAGATCTTGGGCTTGAAATTGATGGAGATGATTTAGAGGTGGGTTGTAAAGAGCTTCATTCACCATTGAGACTAACCAAAAGCAGGCGCACTATGACGAAAACGATCCTAATGACCGTCGTCGGAGTCAGTATGTCATGAAAGCCAGGCTAGACGAGATTGAACGGGTGAACAAACTGCTCTGTTCCCTTGACACGTTTGCTGATCTTCTGTCTGTAGGCAATGGCACAGTTCTCACCGAAGAAGAAGATGAAGTCGGACCGGTTAGGTGACGATTTACTCCAGGCACGCTCGCCGAAACCTTCGCCTCTGAGGAATGCCAACGTGCCCTTGTCGGCTCCGCCTGTCAGAATGGATTCACTTGGGGATCAGCAGAGCACGCGGCCTGCGTAAGCGACCAAGATGTTTACATTATTTTTCATGTAATAATTGTGTAACAGAAGCTCTCAAGACAAAGCATTGGCGGCGTCTGTTACACACTCACCCGGACCGAGTTCGACACTGTTGCTACACCCTCCTTCCAAATCACCTAAGTTGTCATCATCACCACGGTTGGGGCTGAATGGTGTCCCTCGCCCGTCGCTTCCTTCAGCAAGGTCTAGTCCGAGTTTATCCTCAGATTCGGAGACTCGGAGGAGAGACCCGAGTGCGGACACCCCACCGCCACTGCCTCCTTCACTAACACGTAAAACTGCACCCACACCCATAGCGTCACCTCCTGTCATACCGCTATCGCCGGATCCGTTCGGGAGGAACCCTTCGTTCCAGGAACAGGCAGAAGTCATCCATCAGTCGTACTGGAATCCGACGACCGGCCAGCTCAGCCACCAGCCGTCTATCTCGTCGTTCGACGATGGAACGACCATGGGATCCTCCGCAGCCAACTCGAGCCGGTTCTCGGCTGATTCCTCCACTTACGTGGACGACACGCCAAACACCGTCAAGGGTCACCGAGTGTCAGGGTCAATTGTGACAATGAAAGGGATCAAGAAGCTATGGCGGAAGAGCAGATCACAATCCATTTCTGGTCAACAGGCATCGCCGGTGCCAAATGCCAAACGCGACTCGCGATCGCTGCACCCACCGCTGCCGCCGTCGATCTCGCGGACGTCGTCTGACCAGTCTCGGAGCTCGTCCCGGAGTGCAAACTATACTCCACCCCCAGTTCCTTTCCCTTCCGTGGGTGGCCTCCAGTCTTACGATCCTTTCCGCAACGATAATGACGGTGCGACCCCAACGCGGGCGATTACTGGGAGGAAAATCACGGGATCAGGTCGCTCATCGCCGGCCAACGCTCTTGACACGGTCGGTCCTCTACCAGACATGTCAGACAAGACTGGTTCAGGCGGACGCAAGTCGATTCTGAAGTGGAAGGGCAGCATGTCGCATCAGAGCACAGGCTCTGAGTCTCGGCCAATCTCCACCGACACCGTCAAGCCTCGCCGACCGAGCGTCATGGGCAACACCTTTGCCCCTCCCAGTCCTGTTCCTCCCAGCCCGCGTCTACCGGCCGAGTACTTTGCGGGCGCGGGCATCCCGAACGGACATGCGCGCAGCGGGAGCGGTTTCCCTGAGAGACGGTCGTCTATTCAGCACCTGAAGATGGCTCTGGAGGCAGGCGGCCAACACGTCCCGCGGCCATCCCAGTCATCCCAGCTCTCTGTTTCGTCGCATCCTCGGTCGCCACCGGGCTCCATTCTGTCGTCACGGTCTCAGGATTCTGAGGGTGCTAGAAGCTTCGATATGATGCAGTTCGAGACGGTCCCGTACCCAAATGTTCAACGGCCTGAGGAGATATCCCGCCGCTGAACGCCTCCTCCATCTTGCTTTCCTTTGTTTAATTATTCGCTTTTTTGGATTACACTCGCATATCTAGCACGCCCTAGCATCTATTATCCTTTTTTGATTTTTGCCTATATATACAGCTAGCTGATTTGTTCATTGCATCGACGTTATTCCCCGTCGCATCCTCACAACGTAACACATGGACACGCATGCGCATTTTTTTAAACTTTTGTTATAACACACCTACTGTTCATTAAGCGCCCGCGTCTGTCCTCACGCGCACGGCTGAGTCCGACTATTTCGGATCCAGAGGCAAGTTACTAATTCCACCAATGAGGCCCCTATGTGAACAAAGTGCATCTTTTCCTCCGCACTCACTCTTGATACTCCTGATGAGACCTGACGCATACACCAACGCTGCGTTTCGGCCGAGAATCACGACATGCTTATGTTGGGAGGTGTAACAAGCTGAACGAACTTCGTACCACTCTCCAAATACGAACAACCTCGATTTCCACGAATTAATAGAACTGACATTAAGTAATTGCGCACCGTAGGCACAAAATTCTATTCGAAAGCAGGACCATGGATCGTGAATATTAAGGTTTCCGCCATCTCCAGCACATTGAGTACTGTATCGCGACGTCGCTACCCAGTTCCTAACATGACTTGATCATAGGCGTCGTCGAGTTTCCCTGAGTTTTCTTGACTGGATCACCGGGGACCGACCGCGGAAAGTGCTCCGCAAAGACTTCTTCGATTCTCTCTCCAAAGTCGAGATGCGCCGCGGTCCTTCGCCCAACGGCGGTCGAGCCGATGCTTCCACCTGCCCAGGTAGCACCGACAATGCTCTCCCGGACCTCCGCGAGCCTCAGCACAACGTCCAAACCCAGCTTCTCCACGTCGCGTCGGCAAAGAGGCTGCGTTCGCCTCGAGAGCTCGTTCAGAGCCGGCTTGACCCACTCTGGGAAGTTATGCCTGATCCCGAGGGCGGCTTTATCGACGGGGTCCAGGTTCATGCCCGATAGCTTCTCGAAAGCGAAGCTGTGGATGGAGTCCATGCCCCACAGGTGCGATAGATTCAGGACAGCACTCCAGTCTGACGCGGACTGCGGCAAGTCATCCGCATGGCCGACAGGGCTAATTCAATGTAAGACACCGAAGGTTATGTCTCAGTCTCATATGGCGGGTGCTCACCTTCCCAGAAGCACTTTGAGAAGCTGCGCGAAGTCGTGGCTCGCTATGCCCTCTAGGAAAATAGGGTTCTGGTCGCTTGATCCCTCGGTAGGTCGGTCGCCCGCTGGCATGCAGAACATATCCCGGAAGACTTCAGAGTGAGCCTCTAGGATCTGGCGAGGAATCCGGAAGAATGTCCTCCCAGCCTAAGGGAGACCAGATGAATATGTTTTGAGTGTCACGGAACAGGTGCAACGAACCATGAAAACCACATTTGTAAAGTAGAACTTGTCATCGTGATGAATGCCGGCACTCATGGTCGTCGTCGTGTAAGCGTTGGATTCGTGAGCGATGGTCGACATATCAAACGTCTATGATTAAAGGTGAGTGGAGGGACGTAAGAAGTCACAGGTAAGGACAGTAGGAGTAAGGAGGGTGAGTGCGCCGAGACGTCAAGTCTAGCTGCAGTAGAATGCGATCAACGCAAAGGAAGGAGGAAGTTGGGTGTTGAGGCCGGAATTGGTCTTGTGAGGGACGAAGAATGATAGTATATATACTCCTCCGAGGTGAATATTCCATTTCGATGTCACTGCGGACGCTAGGAGCCATCGTACGGGTCTTGTCAGCCAGATTTCGCTCACAGTCGGAAAGAACAAGAGCGAGTGACCGCGCATATGGTTCTTTAGTAGAGGAGACAAGGTCACCGGCACAGACAATATAAGCGGCGATGAGTTCATTGTTGAATTCTGTCTCGCTATCAAGGCTCAGTACGGCCAGAGCTATCCGAGAAGTAGAAATCCGCGACGATGAACTGTCTAGGTCCTCTGCGACGTCCAGAGAGAAAAGACCTCAAAATCCTTCAAAAAGGACAAGAGAGCAAAGAAGAGAATCACATTCTTAGCCTCCGAGGGACCTAGCGGACTGTATCGGAGGTCATCTGGCTTTGTATGAGATACCGCAATGTAGAGGTAGAGGAACATCTTGCATACGCTCTTGTGAGGCTTTCCCCATGCCCTGGCCTTATCCAGGATCCCAACATCCTTGTAACTGTGTCGGAAAAAGCCAAATGGGGTTTGAAATGGTTTCCTATTTAGATAGGTTTGCAATCCCCGTTGTGAGGCGACGCGAACATTGAAATTCCATTGGACGAGGCTGCTTGCCATCATAAGGGTGTTCTCAATTGGTTCTCAATTCCATGGCAATCACTTTAAAATAGCTATCATGGGGACCAAAGGGTCCCATTGGAATGTATTTTAATTCTTGATTCATTGTGAGGCGATTTCAATACATTTCAATTATATGGCCATATTCCTGGGATTTTTCCGACATGGACTGCGAATATGTCTGAGTATTCGACGATCAACCAAAGGAGGCTTTGACCCAAGGGATAATCAGTATTATGATAGTCCGCACCTTGAACCACCATGTCATGAAACAAGAGCGACGCCGGGGATTCATAAGCAATTAGTAAGTCAACCGAAGTTCTTCTCTCGTTGACATCAACATGTTTACGAGCAGCTTTCTCGTCCTACAGAAGGCTATAAATATCAACGCAGACCTCTATTCGCTTCAGCGCTTTGGCCCCTGCGTGTCATTGGAAATGACTCCTTCACTGAAGACTACGACTTCGCTGTGCCGTCCCAAGCTTACTCCCATGGAGGTTCGACATGTGTCAAATCCATGTCTCGTAAAGCATGGGTGTCTCCATAATCAGAGGGTCTTCGGTGGGATATAAAACGTCGACGCCAACGGACTAGCATCTACCAGACTCTCAGAGATCTAGTATCTCTTCTCTTCATCCCTCTCAAACCGTCGTTAATCTCGCTACAATGTCACAATCCACCCTTTTCGCCCCTGTTCCGAAACCTGCAAACCGCCTTGCTCGCTACAGGGCGCTTGCCCCTACTGCGTCGGTCCACGTTTCTCCACTGCAGCTCGGCGCGATGAGCATCGGTGACAAGTGGGAGAAGCACGGCATGGGTAGTATGAATAAGGAGTCGTCGTTCAAACTCCTCGACGCGTACTATGAGGCCGGCGGTAACTTCATCGATACGTCCAACAACTATCAGTCCGAGTCTTCTGAAGAATTCATTGGCGAGTGGGCCGAAAGTCGCGGTATCCGCGATGAACTTGTCATCGCTACCAAGGTAAGTGTTTTCGTGTCGTTGGCGTACATTCGCATGTGCTGAAGGAGCCGGTCCTCTCACATGTAGTACACGTCCAACTTTAAAGATGAGGACCCATCTGTCAGGAATAAGGCGAACTACACGGGAAATAATGCCAAATCATTGTACATTAGTGTGCAGAAGAGCCTGAAGAAGCTAAGGACGTCATACATTGACATCTTATATGTGCATTGGTGGGACTGGGAAACCACCATCGAAGAAGTGATGAGCAACCTGCACCATCTCGTGCAGCAGCGGCTTGTTCTGTACCTTGTAAGTTCCCATCTTCGCCGTAGCTTTAATTCAGTAACTCACTGGCATGGGTTGACAGGGTATTTCTGACGCACCTGCTTGGGTCGTAGCCAAAGCCAACCAGTGGGCGAGAGATCATGGAAAGACACCGTTCGTCGTTTATCAAGGCGCATGGAGCATCCTTGAAAGATCATTCGAACGCGAGATCATCCCCATGGCTCGTGATGAGCGTGAGCAACTCATATGTTTCAGTCCAAACCAATGAAACTCACGCTCATCGCTATTATCAGGCATGGCCCTCGCGCCATACAATGTCCTAGCTGGCGGCAAGCTACGTTCCGACGCAGATGAAGAGCGTCGCAGGCAGACCGGCGAACAAGGCCGCCAACTCTATGGAATGCCTTGGGAGCGCAACGAGGTGCAGCGCCAGGTCTCCTCAGTCCTGGAGAAAATAGCCAAGGAGGTCGGCACAGAACACATAACGGCCGTTGCGATCGCCTACGTGTTGCACAAGGCGACGCACGTCTTCCCGATCATCGGCGGACGCAAAGTCGAGCACCTGCAAGCGAACATCGACGCGCTAAGAATTCGTCTGACTCCCGAGCACATCAAGGAGCTGGAAAGCGCTGTCCCCTTCGATCTCGGGTTCCCGGGTGCGCGCTGGGTGGGTTTATTTCTTTGATTATGCAGCAAACACGTTGATGAGTGTTTGACATCTCAGGGTACTGGAACGGATTACAACTTCTTGATGAAGAGCGCTGCATGGTTTGAGAAGCAGCCTCTCCTTCAGCCTATTTCACCCGCAGTGGACTAAGCCGTTGTATCGGTGAAAACGGTCTTTCGAAGCCTATAGCTGTTGTGTGGTCGAATAGAGGGCTATTCGCCAATAGCTGTAGGGTGTGGACGTACATCATGCGTCTGAATCATCATGCTCTCGATTACTTTCAATTGTAACACTAAAATGCGTCTTGTAATTTGATTTGGAACGTCACATCTACCTGTATTGGTGAATCTCGGACGGTATAAGTTCGCAAAGGTTCCGCGGATCGCTAGCTTGACGTTGAAGGTTATGAATATGAAGCAAGGTCGCCAGCTCATGGGCAGTAATAGTAGGGTTTCGGAACGCAATGAATCCGGCTCAGCGCAAAAAATATTCGCGACGATGGAGAGGATCACGGAGGACGTTGATGCATACTTCAATGCACATCACGGCTGTGACAATCGTGTACGCGGAAAGTCCACGTACGGCTTCCGATCATTGGAGGGCGCAGTCCCGGGCCATTGTTTCGTTGAAACAGAGCTTCCCATACACTTGCTTTGTGTGATTGCTGGCACACGAGTTAGTGCAGAGTTTAACTATCTCCGAGTCTAAGGCAAGTTAGAAAGCACGGGCTGACACGAGAAGGACACTCAGCCCCGACGCCTGCATTGGACTAGATGCTCATGCGGCAGTATCGGGTGGGTTGAGGTCCGTCCAGGATTATCACTTTGTTTGTTTCAAAGGTCGTCTTCCATTGTGTTGATTGATTGAAGATGTATAGCACATGCACATGGAGTAAGAGTATGCAAAAGGATATCAAACTTGTGGCCACACAAACGGGCTTTCTAGCGCAAAATCAAAGTCTGACAGCTGTGTGAAGCAACTTACGCTTGGTGTATGGATGGGTAGTAGTAGTCCATTCTACGCGTCATCCCAAGGAGGCAAGAGAACCCTGAGGTCACCGAATGAGTCACATCAGAAGTCGTGCTCTGTCGAGTCCTTCCCAAGAGCGGATGTGCTCGAGGATCCGGAAGATACTGTCTGCAGAATGCTGTCAATGTAGTTGGCGCCACTCCTATCAATACGGTCAGATGCGAACCGAAGGAGACGGTTGGGCGAGCGAAATACCATTTCTGATGAGTGAGAACGTCGCAGCCAATCTCTTTCTCCTTGCGCTGGACCAGCTCGACATAAGCTAGCATTCCATCCTCCTTGTATCGAGCAGCAAGCTCAGCTGTAAAAATATAGTGAGTGGTTGTCAGGTAAGGTTTGAGACCAGCCTAATACCTGTGGCAACAGCGTTACTGTGCAGACCTGCAAGGGAAATCAACTGCAAAACGAAGCTGTGTACAGAACAAACTTAGTACCAGCTTACTCGGATCGTCAAAGATAGGCGAGGCACTCACCCTTCTTTCCCGAGCTCCCAGATGAAGTTCTTCAAGTCCGCATCTAGTAGGGGCGGTTGATTCGGACTTATACACAAGGTATGAAGATCAACGATCATGCTTACCAGAGAAGCCTGCCTTCGCCCAGTTGAAGCTCGGGCTAAGGTTGTAAACGAAGCACTTGTTGGGGTGCTTCTCTCTGATCCTCCGTGCAAAGCTCCGGGCTTCTTCGAGGTTCGGACTCTTAGTCTCGAGCCATAGAAGGTCAGCGTATGGTGCGAAGGTGATGGCACGGCTGACCGCCGCATCTATGCCACCGGTGTAGTGATAGTATCCCTCCCTGGTGCGGGGCACTGCGGATTTTTAGTAGGTATATGCGCAGCAAAGTAACAAGAGTGGGCACTGACAGTCCCAGTTCCACCAAACATCCGAACCGACGATGTCTTTTGCGACCTCCCGTGCGTCAGTGTTGGATCTTCCTTCAGTTTCCTGTAGGAAGCGCGCATACGCGACGTCTTTCCCAGTTTCCGAAAGGGACGAGCATTTGGCCAAAGCGGTGCGGACAGCTATTTGTCAAGGTGTTCATGACATGATGCAATGAGAGCCGTGGAAGCATACCCTGCCCGAAGGTGACCAAAGGGTTAGCCTTTAGCCAAACGGCCTCGACGTGGTTGATCTCTTCTGCGCTTGCGCCTTTGGCTTCCGCGAGCCCGATAGCCTCGGCCAGAGGACGCCCAGGTTGGGTAGTCCCAAGAATATACCTGATAGATCGTCAGTAAGTGACCAGCTGGGAAGTTGCATTGCTTTACGGGTGATCAGCAGGGTCAATGCTACTGCTCAGCAATTTCCCGCTCTCAGCGTCTGTTCTTGCGATTAGAAGCATGGGGTTCATTAGGAGATCGAGTTGGAAGCGACTTGAGATGAGACGAGAAATATGCGTGGAAGGAGGGACGAGGACTTTTCCAGCGAGGTGGCCACACTAGTGAAGACAGACGCATTACGAAAGTAGACAATCACACAGAACGTGATATATTACCTTCTTCCCTCCGTGTAACTGATCTTCCATGTGGATGGCAGAGGCTCCCGATTCGGCGAACAGCTTGACAAGCTTCATGACAGCAGAGTTGCCTCCGTGACTGGAAACGTTCAGGCGTGTATCTTTGCATGGTTTGGACAAGAACTAACCCAGTATCAGCATCCGCGATGATTGGTCTTAAGTAGTCGATGTACTCCATCTGAGCACGCTTCTCTGGAGGTGCCGACATCCGCTCATCATAGTGCTTTCTATCGTGGAGTTGCTGAGCGCGGAATAACCTGTGCACTTGATTTGGAACGGTGGTGTAGGGGTAGTCGCTGAATAAGGATTAGTAAGGCAAACTAGATGTTCGCAGGCAATTGGGCGTACTGACCCGAAATCAGGACCGACTTCGTTGTTGCCAGTGGTAAGGACGCTACTACATGCCCAGCCGCTTACATACACGACCTGTTGGTGTTTGGCCATCTGAGTCATCTGGACGGGGTCGATGGCACCCATGGTATGTATTGGCTTTCCCTGGCCAGCAGCCTCGGTGAAGAGAGACCAGAGCTTGTTGGCAAGCATAGCAGATGGAAGAGGCAGGACAGGCGCGGATCCCTGCTTGATGGCGACGGAGCGAGCAGAGTAGGGGCGCTTGATCCCTGAGAACCTCTGAGTCGCAAAGAAGGACTCGATGTCTGTGACCCGTGCATCGAGCTGAGCAGACTCTTGCTCAGGAGTGAGAGGTTGAGTGGGGAGTGTCGGCGGGATGGAAGACATTGCGCGTGTCCCAAACCTGAGTGAGCGCGCACGTAGGTTGGCACCTGTCCTTGAAATCAAAAACATTGGTGAAACGTGAATTATGTGGTAAGAGGAAGATGCGAACTCGGCGTGCAAGATCCGCGGTAAGTAGGAGATGATGTACTTGCCGGTTGACCGGATGTCACTGTCCGTGCATGTCCGAACGGATGCCGAGCCGGGTAAGTGAGACCCCAAGTTGAGGTTAGGGTTCGGCTGATGTGCGACATGATGTGTGTGCGGTGTGGGTCCTCGGCTTCGACTTCTTCCGCCTTGCTTTCGCCGCTCCTCCCACAACTTTGGCTAAGGGCTGCAAATCACTAACACGCTCCCAACGAGTCCATCTACTTGGGCTTTCCGTCACAGATGACTCGTCCCTCCGCCCTCCCTTGACTAGGACTCTGAGTTGATGCCGCTGTTTCACCTAAATTTGCATAGATCCTCCAATGGAGGTGACACCGGTCCCCATCACATATGAATTGCATCCACCATTCAATTAGGTACCTGCGTTCTGCTTTGTCCCTCAACTAGGATAATTCCAACATAGGCATTCCATATAATCCTGGTGCGCTAGATTTCAGTCCGAGGCTTCCCTGCCTTTCGCTCTCCTCCCACCTCAGACCAGGCCCCGTGCAGCCAAGAGGTTGAAGCATGGATCCCTCGCCATCCCTCACGATCAGCCAGCTGACTCTCACCAACGCTGTCCTCGCTTACCTATCGCCAGAGTGCACAGCTCTAGATGCGATCATCCGCCTTCATGCTTGCCATCGCCCAGCGGACTACCGTCCACCTGTCCTTCGTGTCCCCATAGAAATTCTCCTACACATCCGTTCTTTTCTAGCTATTGCCATCGTGGACGCATTATATGACGGCATGATGACATATGCTCTATCTGCCGTCGAGGCTCTCTGCGACGACTGCAAGCAATACAACACCTACATCTACGGAGACCAAATTTATAACTGGCCCTACCTTGACCTCAATGGCTGTCGGTGTAGCGACCATCTTAGTCTGGGCGAGGCCCCCGCGAAGCTAAATAAACTACCCGACAATCCTTCTTACCAAAAATATTCGATGGCCGGTAAACCATGGTATCAGGCCAATCTCCTGACAACTGCCCAAACATGCCTTGTGACCAACCCTTCATCGCCCTACGCTCACCAGCTGACGGCCCTCGTCAAGAGGCTTTCTCTCGACGACAGAGCTCCGCCGACGTTCGAGCAAGCTTACTTCCTTTCAGCTGAGGAAACGTTCCTCAGCGAGATTCTATCCGCCCTTCATTGTCGTGTATCTTTCTTGAGGCCACGTCGGTCTAGAGGAGATATGTGTGTCGTGAAACCGACGGGTTTGGAAGACGATCTATTCAAGCTCCGGTCAGAGCTATCACTGGGGTCAATTAAGCTCAATTCCGTCGATCGATCCTTACAAAAGTTTAAGGTGACGCCAGTGAGTATTGCAGTTGGCATTTGGGTTTTCGCGAAATTCACCTCATTCATCAGGATCGCCACGAACGCCCTGAAGGTACGCGGCTATTTTCGTGTCTGGAGTCCCAGCTGACAATCCACACAGTGTCCGGTATGCGAACATACCCCAGGCGCAGCGTAGTGTCAATTTTTGCTGCCTGTGCTATGATTGCATGCGTACGAATTACTCTAAGATGGTTCCTTTGACTTCTTAATGACCCGCCTATATGTCTCAATGATTTCACATAGATCACGACCTGCTTTTTTTTATGATGTATAAATTACTATGATGTTTAAGTCTGTAGCTCTCTTAGCCCCTTTTGTATCATGGTTTACACTACAGACTCTTTCCTACACTGATACCGCAACGCATTTCACCAAAATCCATGATATTGAATTACGCAGCACTGTGGCTGATTGACTGTCTTCCACCGGCCTTACGGGGGTCTGGAGCCTTTCGTAATCTTGAATATTTTGACATCTTGACTATTGTCCAGGTCACTTTCCATGGCGCCTGTGAGAATGGTACTTGAACCCGCATCATCCAGGTGAAGCTCTTCACAATGTAGCTTTTCTCCTGCGGGAATATACCATGAATGTCAAATGCGTATCCGGCGGATGCATAGAAATCGCGTACCGACTACTTCCAAGAAGTACGCGAGTGTTTGCTCATTTCTGATCGTCAGCGCGATGAATGCCTCTTTGCTTCTGCTTGATCCTGTTTTTACTGAGAGAGCAAGAGACAGAACCGCAGCCAGAGGTGATACCAGCGATGGATCAAAAACCTAAGTGCTTTCAAGGCCGTCGTTATGAACGCGAGTTCATTGTAACGCACCAGATCTGCACCAAGTATCATGTCTGGATTAATTGTTTCGAGTAAGGAGGTGAGACTTGCTGCTCCTTCTTTTTCCAACGCGTCCGACCAGTTGAGGCTGGCATAGCGAACGTTCGGGTGGATTGAAGAGGTATCTCGTGTAGATCATGAGTAGACCGCTCTGTTTCTCATTGTCGTGTCGTAGACTTACTGCAGGGGAGCTGAACGTTGTTTGAAGACCGCTCTAGGACAAGGTCACTGATATCCGTAAGCCACAGTTGACTTCCATCTGCAGACACATCGCCCGCAAACTGTTGGATGCCGGCTACAATTATACCTAGCAATCCCGTTCCGCAGCCTAACTCGAGGACATGCTTACCAGCGACCAGACCTTTATGTGTCGAGATAAGTTGACTAGTATCTCAAAATGGTGTCAGGCATACCCGGTCGCTTGAGTAAAAAACTGGACAAAGCGTAGCTCGCCTTCCATGTACGCAGACCAGTCGTACCGCCTTCGATCGTTGTTCGCGATTCTAGCAACGTCGCGGTCCGTAGCGAGAGCTGAAAGGCGGGACCTTTCCAGTAACTGGTCACATAGGATTGTGGGGGCGGGCCGCTCGAGTCACTGCCTTATATGAGTACACCATCATGGGTTTATGACAGTGCATTGCTTAACTGAGACAGCAAGGACAAGTGATGGTTATATATTCGTTCGTCCAGCTCGTCATCCTATCTATTCCGTAAGACGTAAGATAGAATCATTAAACCAGCGCATACTTCATCGCTCCTATCCATAGCTTCAACATTCTTGATGACCCATTTCCAGAATGATTGCTGATATCTCTCGGAAGGGGGATAACTGGTGAGATGCGGATCAAGTAGAATGCGATTGAGCAGGAATGAGTGGACTTGAGAAAAGCTAACTTCAGATGGCCACGAGAGTTTGCTCGGAGGAACAAGAGAAGAATAGCCTAAAAGCAGCGAAAAGCATTGAGAGTCCTCGTCCAGTTGGTCGTCCATGATCAAGGCCAAAAGTATGTAGTCGCGACGCGTCGCTACGATCGGGGGCTGTCAGGTTAAGGTTCCCTGTCGGAAAATATACCTGCCCTTAATACGCACGTGATACCTTGACAGAACCAACGCCTAAATTTTTTGAAAGTGAGTTGTAGCTATGTTGGCCCAAATTCGCTGCACCACCCGCGTCGTCGCACGTCCGTCTCCCCCATGCATCGCTCATTTGCGGGCCCGTACGCTCATTATGAGCACTCAGCCTCGCAGAGCTGAGCCCTTCGACCCCGCAGGCGCGTCGAGTGCTGCAGAGGATGTGGCTGAAGAAGGCTTCTCGGGCGATCAGCCTGGAGAAGATGCTCAACAGGGGCGTCGGGGCAGGTCGAACGTTACCTGGGATAAGTGGCTAGTGACGGACGGCTTGAAGTATAAGGGGCACGAGCGGCCGTGCAACTGGCTCGGGGGCGAAGTCGTCAGTTTCTGCATATTTTCGGTTTGGCCGCATATACTCATCTGCCTCTCGTACCATGCAGCCTTTCCCCAATAACCGCTCGTTTAAGCCACCTACGCCAGTCTCAGACGAGGTGAAGACCGAGATATGGCGCGCGTTCATGGCGGATCCCCAGACGAACAGCGTTCGTAATCTGGCTAGCCGTTATCACCTTAGCATCAAGCGAGTGGATGCCATCCTTCGCCTGAAGGGTGTAGAGGAACATTTCAAGAAGGTGAGCTCCTTTCCTTGCCACCGCTTCTCCCTTTGGGAGTGCGATGAGTCAAATATTTCGATTAGTCTTTCAGACAACTCTGGTGACAACTTTTTATATATTCTGATCCCCTGTCTTCGCGTTTTGATCAATGACACTGACTTCTTGCTCATTCTTCAGGTAACGCATTCACAATCAGCCCTTGTGTATGATGACTCATGATGATTCGCCATTGCAACATTATGTAGGAGGTGAGATTTCCATGTCCAGCTTCACTGGGAGGTGATGACACTATACATCATTCGCGAATTGAAAGACTATGCGATGCCTAACATCATTGCAGTCATGGTTATAACGTTTTCAACCCCATCTGAATCACTCATTATACACTTTCATACGACACTTTGCTGACATATCCTTAGGGTCAAGAACTGCAGACCGGGTTTTTGCGAGGAATGGAGCACATCCTTGGCGTCCACCGCCCCGGAACTCAACCTATCAGGAATCGGCCAAACGAAGCCAGTGAACGACACGATGTCGATGAAGCTGACGCTCAAGATGAGATGGCAGGCAGCGATGCTGCTCGGCAACGGTACCAGCGTATGTTCTGGGAACCTGTCCCTGAGGGCAAGGTCAGTACTAGTGATCCATCAACTGTGTATCGCCTAACTCGCCACAGGAGCCGGTAATGCCAGGTATCTTGGAAGCTGCATCTCAAGAGGCTGCTGCGCGCAAGAAGGCCCAAGAGGCAGCCAAGTCTAATCCTCGTCTTACCCCTGAGTATCACTCGAAGGTCAACGAACGTGTCAAGATGGTCCATGCAGCTGGTCGTCCTCCTGTCAAGTTTGTTGATGTCGGAGGCAAATTTCTTGACTTGAAGAGCATCGCTCGCAGGGAACAGGAGAGCGAGCGTCGTTCTAAGATCAAGGCCAAGAAGAAACAGGAGGTTTCGGAGATGGCGACATCGTCATAGTATCCTTAGAAGTCGATGGTTCTTTACTATTGTACATTTGAGCACTAAGTGCTACCTAGTATGCAAATTCAAAAATCTAATTGCTTATTGATATATCACCTACAGCGCAAGCTGAATCTTGGGTACGAGTTGTCGATGTCAATAAGGCAATAAGTAAGCTGCTTTCTCAATTGACCGCATTCCTAAACTCTAGTAAGAGTCGAACCTCCCAATTGTGCAGTCGGCTTGTCTCAACAGGTGGGCTCATGCACATGTCGCATGGTGCGCAGTGAAAACCTAAGGCCCAGGCGGCAAGCGCTAAGCATATGAGAGGAGAAGATGAGGTTGATTTACGGCGTTTACGGAGTCAGAATTGTGAAGGGTAAAGTTGGTGTGGACGCGCGCTTATGTAAGTAGACGATGTCATTTTCAAGCTGAAGTACTCGTTACGTTGGTCATAAACATCTTTTATTTATTGTACATTCAGGTTACGATGCTACCTAGTACGCGAACCTGAAATCAAGTCGTTGGTTGCCTCGATCCGTTGTTGTTTCAACATATGTTTGTTGTTCCTGTAACAAGGCGTCAATCACCGTCCAGAAGCATTGGAGCGAGCCTCACCTTCTCAGACATGCTCTCCCACTTTGCTTCTCTACGACGGTTGGTCTCTCGGTAGAATAGCCAAGTAAGACCATACGCCAAAATGTTGGCAACGGTCACAAAAATCAACGCAAGGTTGCCCTTTTTATCTTTCCTGGGGCTCAGCACTAGTGAAAGAATTTTGAAAGGATCACTCACACAACGGCTATTCGTGAACGGCAACGAACGTGAAACTGATGAGTATAAAACAATATCAATGAAAATCACCCTTACAGCATCGCTTGCTTGATAGACATTTGACTGTGGTTGTAAGTTAGAAAATCACCATGATGTTCAGGAACGACAAAATGTCACTTACGTATGCAATTGCTCCAAATTGCACGCATATGTTGTACAGACTCGCGGTCACAGCCCTCCCTTGGACGTCTCCCGAGTTTCTTGACGTCCATGCGACCTGAATGGGGTGCACATACGGGAAGCCAGTGATGAGAGTGACCACAATGTAGTAGGTCCAATGCGCCGTTTGTTCATTAAACGTATAGAGAGCAATCAAGAGTGGTAACGCCCATATCTGCAAAAGCACACAACCGAAGGTCCGCGAATTCGTCCACTCCGCAAGGTAAGAGGTGACGATGAGTCCAATCAACCCAATAACAATTGAGGGTATAGTGAGTAGATTAGATTGGGTCGTGTTGAAGCCAAGCTGCCGTAGTGTCAAGGTGAGGTATGTCTGGGGAGGGCCGACATTGACTGTTTCAGATATTAGTGCTGGGATATGTACCTGAACACTTTGAACGTACTGTTGTGAGCGAAGCCAAGCCAATACAGAGGCCACATCCTCCAGTCAAATATAGCACCCAATATCATGCGAAGAGTCAAGCCCTCGCGATTGTGCATCGTGGATTTATAAGGGTCATCCCGTAAGATCCTGCAAATGATGTTCAGCATACTTTGAGCTGTGTCATGAACTCGGATGTATCACCTGTTCACCATAATCACTTCCTCCCTGGGCTAATCGATAAGCCACCAACAAGTACTGTTAAGGCTGGCAGTTACTTGCCTTTCAGTGAACCATCCTTTTGGCCGAAACCAAGCCTTCGTTTGCGTAGGCCCGGGTGGTAACATGAAGAAGGACGTGATGCCGACAAGCCCAGTGAGGATGCCCTCAAGGAGGAAGAGATATCTCCACCCCGCGGTGCCAGTGACGTTTTGGATAGCCAGAAATCCGGTTGCGAGGAAAGCACCTATGAGAGCGGACAAGTATTGTGACGAGACGAAAAACCAGCCAATACGGATGGGCACTGAAGCCTCCGTCAGAAACATGACAACAAATAGTGGTACAATCCTTACATTCTGTTTTTGTATAGAAGTACGAAAGATAAAGCACAGTGTCGGGGATGAAGCCACCTTCCAAAAACCCTATCAAAACTCTGCTCAAAGTCAGGGTTACGTTCAAGGCCAAGCATCACTGTTCTTGCTTACCTCGTCACAAGGAACGCAGCCCTTCCCGGCGTCAGCCAATACTGTGATAACGAAACAATGCTCCAAAGGGTGATCTATAGAACATCAGCACTCAGACATGTCACATTATAACGATACCGTTCGACTCACTTGCATCGGTATCCAAACATCAGGGCCAATCCTCTTAGAAACAATTTGGGAAGGCAGCTCCGCCGCAACAAAGGCAAACCGGAACACGGAGTTACCAAGGTTAAAGTCATTGGTTGTTAGGCCAAGATCAGGTAGGAAGTTGTCCGTGTTGGCCTGATTGATGTTGCTGCGGTCTAAAGAAAGGCAAAAGACCATGACACAGGACCAGAGCATTATGCGTATATCAATTTTCCGAATTAGACGCTGCAACGTAGCCATTAAAGACAATGGACGTTTAATGATGCGCGCACGAACCTTTTCCTCCCTCCATGTCCATGTCGCCTTCGGATCGAACCTATGAGCGTTCTCGTATTCCGGAGGTGGGCGATATACTTCTAACGCCACAGGGTCGTCGAATACCGAAGGTTGAGTGGCGATGTCATCGAGACCTTCCTCGTGTCGGTTCCGAAGCCTGCGAAGCCAACCCACCTTGGGGCGTTGCAGCTCTTGAAGCTCCATGGAACCGTTTGGGTGGCCGTGACGGTGTTCATCGCTTGTATTGTACGGGAATATATATTCGCAACGTTATCTAACGATGGCGCGACTTAGCGCCTACCTGAGCGAAGACGTCTCCAACCGTGTCTTGTTCACAACTTCGATACACACGGCCAATCAGTGACGAATCCGGGGTTTGTAAAGGAGTCAGCTGCTCCGACCTGGATTGCACAATTCAGCAGGACTTTTACAAAGCGTTTCGCATCACCATAGAGTGCAATGTATGGACCTCGCCAAGTTTGGTTATACCGCGGCATGTGGTAGAAGCATGATCATGAGCGGTCTAAATATGTCAATTGCTCCTTGCAATGAGAACAAGATGATACATTAGCTTAGGACCACGCATATGAGTGATGCTCTACGCCCAGCATGCTATACTCGCAGAACACCTTTATCCCAGCCCATCGGTCACCGCCTGGGCATTCCGCGTCCACGCCCACGGCCTCGGAGCGCACGTGCAGCAGCACCAGGGGGGGCTTTCGGGCCTGGGTTCGGCTGTTATTCATGTAGTCAGTTGCCACACATATGGCGTCAGAGACGGTTCCTTACTGCTTCGCTTTGAGGATTCCGGACAGTCTCATCGACGCTGAGGATCAGACAAGCAGCCTCGGTAGCACTGCTTATCGCGTTCAGCTTGACAAGGGCTGGTTCCCATACGAAGGCGTCCATGTTGTCGCGAATCCCGTCAACCCCATCGACATCAACACCGAACCACTTGCTACCCGCTGCGTGCTTCATTCGAAGCTTGTTAAGGACGTCGGTCGAATCTATGCCGGCATTGTCGCAGATTTGGCGTGGTATGACCTCAAGGGCCTTCGCAAATGCAGTCATGATCAGCTGGAGCTTGCCGGGAATGGACAAGGCCGCTTTTCTGATGTGTGCGGAGAGGTCCATCTGCATGCATAACTCGGTGAGCTTACGCCATGGCTCATTCTGAACACTCACCTCTACAGCACCGCCTCCCGCTACAACATCTCCGTTCCTGATCGCGCGTTTGACAACCATGATGGCGTCGTGAAGGCTTCGCTCAACTTCTTCGATGAATTGCTCAGCACCTCCACGAAGGAGAAGTGTGCACGTCTTGGCTTTCGAGCACTCCTCGAAGACATTATACCGCTCGCCACCAAATAGACGTTCCTCAAACCGGCCACAAGTACCAAGGTGCTCCCGTGCGATATCAGAGCATGTTGACTGTACAGAGCCACCAACAGCCTGGCAGACACGACGCAAGTCACCGCCAGGGACACGTCCAGCACAGAAGATGTCCCTGTCTGCAAACCATTGCGTCGCTAGATCACCAATAGGCAGTTTGCTAAGAACGACTTTGGCACCAGTTTTCTCAATAGCCTCCAGTTTCCGGTAGATGATCTCCCACTCCGCGTCGACAATGGCCTGGTACTCGGAAACTGCATCCACGCGGACCTCGGCATTGTCTTTTTCGGCCTTGAGCTCGAGTTCAACGTTCAAGCACAAGATTAGAGGGTTTTTGAACGCTTTTGGTTGCTGCTCAGCCCCAGCGTATGTAAAGGTCTTCTTGAACGCGACACCGCGGATCAAGAGCGAATCTTGCATCCCTCCGCCGGCGATTTTCTTAACACCGATCAGGGATTCATCGAGGTCATCCTGATCCAGACACTGGACGGCATCAACGACCATGTTTGAGAAGAATGGCTTTTCGGAATGGATAAGTTTTGATGACATGGAGGTGGCTGCACACTTGAGCAGGAGAGAGCGGAACCGCCTGCCATTTTGTTGAGATTATGCACAATAGAGGTTGATTCGACTTACTCAGGGTCACTTTTGTCGACAGTGACTTGGATCTCTTTGACACGTTGAAGTGCCTATATAGTTGTATGATTAATGTGAAGAATGACGCATCTATAATCAGCGTACCAATTGTGATGCTTTGCGGAAGCCCTTCATGATGATGTGTGGGCTGACGCCCTCCTCAATAAATCCACGGACTTCCTTCAAAAGCTGAGCAGCAAGAAGAGTGACACTTGTCGTCCCATCTCCCACTTCCGCGTCTTGTGCACGGGCGATGTCCACCAGTGTCCTTGCTGCTGGGTGTACGATGTCGAGGAGTTTCAAGATCGTCGCGCCGTCGTTTGTGATCTGCGCCTCGCCGCGTTCATTCACGATGAGCTTGTCCATCCCTCTCGGCCCCAGTGTACTCGACAATGTTTCTGCGATTGCCAGACATGCGGAGATGTTGGAGAGCAATTGAGGATTGCCCTGAGATGTGTCCGTCCCCTCACGAAGGAGGACGACGGTGGGTTGCTGATAAAGCACTGATCAGCATTGCGTACGAGTAGGACACGCTGTGGGATGTTACCATTGGAAGACCTCGTTGCATGTCTGTCGTCGATCTCTACACACCGATGAGGCTCGCTTCAAGGCGGCAGCTGGAAATAATATCGGATGAAGTTTACGCTTGTTTATCCGACGCGAAATATTGGACGCGTTTCATTGCCACCTTGGACGCGTCTTCCCCTACATTTCTTCTTGCAGACCTTGTCGGTTCTGGCATTAGAACGAACACGATGAATTCTGGCGCCGCAGGGGCAGAGGAACCTCAAACCTCTTTCTTTGCAGATTCTGATGAGGACGTCGCTATGCAGGATGTCAAGGACTCTGAGCAAGCTGAGCCACTCCAGGAGCCCACTATCACTAGCAGTAGACCTTCTACACCAACGGCTCCTAAACAAGAAAGGCGGCTCTTCTTCGAGGACAGCGACGACGATAATATTCCGCGCCCTGTGCCACCAACACCTCAGAAGAACGACATATCTGCTGAGGCGGCGGTCATAGGCTCTGATAGCGACGTGGAAATACCTTCTCTTGAATATGAACCTGGACCAGCATCCTCAGGGGCAAGCAGCGTACCCTCATCAAGGGCTTCTTCTCCTCTGCCTGCTGATATGCTCAATGACGACCCTTCAAATAAGAAACGCCGTAGATCGCCATCCAAGCCTAAGGAACCGGGGGCTGCGTTCGAGTCTGCTTACATTGGAACGTTTCTGGTTGGCAACGCATGGAGCACTGTGAGAGGCAAAGGATACATCAAGGCTGGCGATCCAATCCTTGTCGAGAGAGATAGTCCTGATGATGGCAAGCCATCTTTCAAAAATGTCACCAAAGTGAAGACGACTCAGTCGACCGACAAGGGCAAGAAGAAGCAGATGACGCTTTCATCCATGCTCAAACCTCAGCCTCAGAACCTTCACAAGAAGAAAGCTGATACCGTTGTTCGGCTGACAAATGCTCGAGGATTCGGTAGGTACCATTTAGCGATGAATACATGTTCTAGCTTCGTCTAAACCATAATACTTGGTAGAGTTCGCACGACTTCCGACAGACATTGCTACATGGGTGTCGAAGCTACTTGACTTGGGTAGGTGTATGCTGTGCTAATGGGTTATGTTGACTTACAGTCACTAGGAATTGTTGACTTTAAGGGGAGCACAATGGTTGACTGCCCAGAGACCCTTCGCTCTGGGGCTGATCTCATTGTTTCCCTGTCCGTGTACATACGACACACTGCGTTTAAGGCCGCGAATATAAGTCCTAACGATTCACCAAGAAACTTCTTTAACCAAGCGCAGGAGACTATCGAAGAGCAAACCTTGCGAGAGCGTAAAGCTGCACTTCTGGCCCTCTTCGACGCTGTTAGCCTTAATCCCAGACGTGGTGCACAAGCTGGTGCAAGCACGACTGCAATACCAGAGGACGCTCCGAAAGATACCAAAGCGTCAAGCAAGAAAATCAAGAAGGAGGTCGTTGGGGATGGGGAAGAGATCGAGGTTGAGGAAGGAGATGAACTTTCGGACGGTCAACTCGACTTGATCTACAAAAAGTTGGTGTTCTTACCACCGTGGGCGCTTGTATCTCAGTTTGTGTTGGCAGGGCACAACGCAACGATAAAACAATGGCTGAGATGGAGCCAGTCGATACGTTTGAACTAACCTTGCGAGGATACCAGAAGCAAGCTTTACTGTGCGCATCTTCCATGTCCAACGGGTTTTATATGATGGAACATTCCTCGTACAGGTGGATGAATTCGATGGAAAATGGCGAATCGTCCGCAAGAGAGGCCGTATCAATGCATCCTTTGTGGAGCGAGTGAGTTTTGTTTTCTATTGTCCCCACGTTATCAGCTAAAGCACTATCCAGGTACTCATTCCCTGCTGAACCTATTGAAGGCGTCATCGACTTGACTCAAGATGAAAACCCTTTTTACTTCAATCCTTATTCTGGCGAATTGAGCCTCACCTTCCCTAAGGCCGAACAGAAGCTCAAAGGAGGTATTCTAGCGTACGTCTTTCGGACTTTATTATTCAGCGTACCGGCTGACATATACCTAGTGACGGTAAGTGTTTATGTGATGGGCGACTTTCCGTCCTTTTAACCAGCCACAGAAAGTATGTCCACTCAAAAGCTACTCCTGTCACTAGTTACTGACATGATGTGGGGGTTTGCAACAATCAGTGGGTATGGGCAAGACCATCATGCTATCTGCCCTAATACACACCAACAAAACCCCTGAGCCTTCCATCCCCGACGATGAGCTTCCAGCTCGAAAGAAACAGATACGACTCGACCGTGCCTTCCGCCCCAAAAATGAAGGCGATCACAAGGATGTCAGAGGGCCGTCCGCGACGCTCATTGTGGCACCAACGTCACTTTTGACACAATGGCAGGAAGAACTCGAACGCTCCAGCAAGCCTGGTAGCGTCAGCGTCACTGTATGGCACGGTCAGAACCGCCTCGACCTCGCTGGCTTCGATAGCAAAGATGAAGAGGAAACAACTCTCCCGATTGTGATAACCTCCTATGGAGTCCTTGCCTCTGAGCACTCAAAGTTACAACGTGCTGGCGGTAGCTCACCGATCTACCAAAGTAAACCTTTCGAACATATTGCAGTGGAAGTTTATCTGATCATTTTCCAGTCGAATGGTTACGTGTCGTTTTGGACGAGGCACATCACTGTAAGTCAAGGACATCCAAGACGGCCCGGGCAGTATATGAGATCCGCGCCAGGCGGCGGTGGGCAGTAACTGGTGAAGCTACCGTCAGCCATGTCTTTAATGAGTACTGAAGAGGGTCAAACAGGAACACCGATCGTTAACAAACTGGAAGATCTACAATCATTACTGTGCGGTCCCTGTTCCTCTCAATATACAACTAGATGTCTTAACTTGTGCATGCAGGAAATATCTCACCTACTCTCCGTGGTCTTCCTACTCACATTTTCGATCGTAGGCTCATGTCTCTGCTGTGCTGCTCTCTAACCTAGCGTCGCCTGTAGGTTTATTACTGTTCCCTTTTTGGCACGGGATCCCAAAGCTATCGAGGTCGTTCAGGTCATCCTAGAGAGCGTCCTTCTCCGGCGTGAAAAGAACATGCGTGATAGCGATGGCAAGCGCATTGTTGAGCTCCCTGGAAAAGAAGTCAGTACAGACAGCTACAATCCGTGTATCAGAGACTTATTAAATGTCACAGGTCACCATCGAGACGTTGCAGTTTTCGAATTCGGAGAGAATGATCTATGACTCGATCTATGGACACGCGAAGCAAGATTACGAACGATTGTATGCTAAGGGTCTCGTTGGCAAAAACTACACTCACATCCTGGCCATGCTGATGAAGTGAGTTCTTGGATCGACCAGCGCAAGGAGTATGAGTCTCATCATGCGACAGGCTCAGGCGAGCGGTGCTCCATCCGCATCTAGTTGTTGATCCTGATGAACCGGATGAGAAGGACTCGAAGAATGGAGTTATTGACGTCGATGAAATTATGGAAGGCGTTGCAGACAGTTCATCTTCAGGAAATGCTTTTGCTGCTGACGTCCTAGCGAATCTGAAAAACGCGGAAGAGGAAGGGGAGTGTCCGATATGTTTGGACATTATGGAGTCGCCAACGATCATCCCGTCTTGTATGCATCGATGGTAAGTTCCTGTTTTCCGCATAAACAAACAAAACTCACGGTGTTGTGTAAGTTGTAAGGATTGCATACTTTCATACTTGGCATCTAGCGCCGAAAAGAATGAGCCTACTCGCTGTCCAACATGTTTGCAAGGGCCAATCAGGGTGGGCTCTGTAGCTCAATCTATAGCTTCGCCCTACCCTTACTACCTATTCTCAGGAGCAAGACCTTATCGAGGTCATCCGTACTAAGAACGAAGCTGGCGAAGGAGATGAGACGTCGAACGCTGACGGACCCTCGAAGGCGCCTGAGGTTGTTCTCAGAAGAAACGACTTCCGGTCCTCGACTAAGCTAGAAGCTCTGATGCAGAACCTACGTAAGTTGACTTTATTTCCCATCTACCCTCTCAAGTTCAATTGGTCTTGCAGGTCGTATTCAAGATCAGGATCCACACTTCCGCGCCGTCGTTTTTTCTCAGTTCACGTCGTTCCTCTCGTTTATCTCTGTTGCGCTTGAGCGCGAAAGACTGACATGGTACCGCTTTGATGGAAGCATGGATGTTCGCAAACGTAGTGCCGCCATTGCAGAATTCAAAAAGCCAGAAAGAAAGCCTAAAGTACTCATTGTTAGCTTGAAAGCCGGAGGCGTCGGTCTGAATGTAGGTAGTGACTCCTATCTCCTTTTCCCCGGCTCTTACATCTACACCAGCTCACTACCGCCAATCACGTCTTCATGGTAAGCAAACTAGTACAGCCCAAAAAGCCTGGCACTCATTTCACTTAGATGGATTGTTGGTGGAACTCTGCCGTTGAGAGTCAAGGTAAGCTCGCGTCTGCATATCAAGTCTACTGGATGGCTGATACGGTCTTAGCCATTGACCGTGTCCACCGCATTGGACAAGAGAAAACTGTATATGTTAAACACTTCATCGTGCGTTGCCGAATGTTTTAATGACAAGCGGTATAGCTCATGTAGTTTCCTCCAGATTGATCACACTATTGAAGGCCGAATCCTTCAAATTCAAAAGCGGAAAACAGCAATAATCAAAGAAGCCTTCCGAGGATCAGGAGGAAAGACCGATTCAGACACGCTTGAAAACCTCAAGCTTATGTTCGGAGATGATTAGACAAGGTATTAATATATTGTCATAGAAGGAGGTATCGGAATCTAGATATTGTACATGCTCATATATCCACATTATGAACGAATCATTCATCCTACAGCAGTGCTCTCTGTCTTGATGCTCCCGCAGAACTTGCACGACCAAAACTGGTGGGGATTATCACTTTCCCCGCAAGACATGCAAGTCCACCCTCTTGAGTGGTCCTGTGGTCGCTCCGAAAGACAAGCATCACATTGCAAAGCCATCGGTTGATTGACGAGTGTACAAGTATGACAAGTCCATTCACCATGTTTTGCGACGTCGGCCATTGGAACGAATTCTACCCTCCGTTTCTTCGAGCTTGGCGCGTCAGAAAATGTCCGACTTGACGAGGCCTCATTCGAAACGACCTTCATAGATGACCCGCTGCCAATCGAGCTCACGACAGGAGTGAATTCATCTGAATCCTCAGTAAGGTCGATCACTACTTTGTCCATGACGCTTTCTCTGGCAGCCTTCTCCGCTTCCCGTTGCGCATCAATGCCGGTTCCACATGCGATCTCGTCGTGCTTTCTTCTCTCGGCAGCCTGTACATTTCCATTAGGACGCATACAGCTACTGAGAGTTGCGCAAGGCAGACCCACCTGAGCCGCAGCCTCCCTTGGAGTCAACTTCGACGCGCCAGGTTTTCCACCCAGGCGTCCGCCTCCGCTCATCATTTCACCGACCTTGCGGCGTTTCTCAGCAGCTTCCAGGGCCTTGGCCCTCCCAAGGTGTATCGGAACGTTATGCGACACGTTCGCCCCGACACGCTGCCCTTTGCTGAAGAACCCTTCGCCAGCGTATCCAGAACGCCGGAGCGCATCGTACTCGTCTTCCAACTCTCCCAGTAACTTGTAGAATTTGTCGTCGTGCGGACCATGGACATTATGTGTGAGCTGAAAGAGATTGGTACCCCTATTATGGTTGTATGAAGCGTCTCTGTGCTACCATACCTCATGCAACATAGTTCGTACGACATGATCTTCGTCGTAGAACGTATCGGGGGCGTGGGCGGGTCTTAGTCGTAGAAAGATCTTCTGCCCCCCGTTGATATCTTAGAGCATCGAATAAAGTATCACAAGAAGACCCTCCTTAGGATGGATGTTTACTTACTCAGGCCTAAAAGAGCGTCAGTACCGATCTACTCAACCCATGGACGTGGTGTGGCGTAGTATTGGGGGTAGCGGGTTCAGTAGGACGCACCGAGAAGGCTTGGGTTACTGGGAAAGAACTCAGACAAAGCAGGGAGAGTCCATCCATGCTTACGCATAATTGGCTTGACTAGGGATGCCACCGTCTGTAAGAACTGCAGGGCACGGGCTTCATGAGGGCGCCCCTTGAGATGAGTGAAAGACTTGACGAAAGTCTGTGACATTAAAGACTAGGTGTCTGCAAGTATCTGTAAGCGAAAGTAGAAGTCTGGCTGGTTGCTCGAAGGCGTGGAGGCTGCAGGTTTAGTGATAAGTAAGTGAGGAAAGCTCTAACACATTCAAGTTCGTAATCCAAGTCGGAACAAGAGACGCCTCATGAGGTAACGCGCGTCGTTACGCATCTCTCAGCCGTTTATAATCGCTCCTGATCAGAGGCTACCGTAAGGATGACTAAATGACTGAGATAGCAACGTTAAACAGAATGATCATAATATTGCATATAACAATTAAAATACAGACATACGGAGAGTACGATAGAATAGGTGAATGTCTGTTAATTGACATCTAAGTTCCGACAGCCAACAGCATACCCGTTGAATACTATGAAGAATAAAAAATATGCGTGATGCGGCGTTTGAAATGATATAATGCGAGTAAGAGGGCTGATCGAGACGTGCAAAAGTGCTGGAAACCATGATGAAGCATAATCGGCGAATGTAGGTTTAGTGCTTGCATAAACATACAGTATATGCATTATGTGATGATAGAATGGGATAGATAATGCATCGATCATGAGCGAACGATAGATGCAGAGGGGAAAGGGACTTCATCGTCGATCTTCGTCGCGTTGTATACATGTATGGCACGCACGAACGTCAGATCGTCCCTGCGATACTGATGGCATGAGCGTGTGGCGGAGCTTGACTTCGAGTCCGAGAATGCGAATGTGGCTCGAGAGTTCATCGAGAGCTCAGGGAGTGTCTCCGGCCAATTGAAACGACCACGGCGGAAGCTAATATCACAGTCAGCCATGACGAACAATGTGTCTGACCATAGATGTGTTGAAGAAACTCACCACTCATACGAGAAGATGATGTCCTCAAATTCTGCTCTCGAAATGCGCTCCTTGCCTTCAGGCACCCGTTGCGCCCGTAAGTGATCAAACACGGCGCTCTTACAACCGAGGAGAGTCTGCACATGTTTACATGCATGTCCCTCGAGCTCGTACGGTGCCATTGGGATGAAGGTATTTGGCCACAGAATCAGTCCAGGAGACTGAGTAGCTGGCTCACTTTCTGATGAAGGCCTGATCCCTAAACGATCCATTGCCTTGGAGTTAACCTTCGGAGGCGTCCTGGGCCCCAAGTCGAGGCTCTCCTCACTGTGGCGTTTGGGATGATTCTCGTCTTCGTCGTCAGTAGTGCTAGACCGGGGTACAACAATGCCCAAACGCTCAGCGGCTTTTGCGTTCAAATTACTGGGTACGTCAGCCGCTGCAGACGGTGAGTTGAATTCGCTGGTGCTTGATCGAGGTGCGACAATGCCAAGACGCTCAGCAGCTTTTGCATTCAAGTTACTCGGCACGTCAACCGGTGCAGCCTGTAGGTTTAATTCGCTGCTGCGATGCCAGAGCATCGAATCCCGCTGGTTGGAAACATTCGCGTTAAGCCAGTTTTTGAGCGCTTTTCTCCTCTTCGTCTTTGTCTTGACGGTCCCATCATCCAATTCGTTCTCGACATCAGGTGGAGCAAGCGCAAGATGGAGGGTAGTAACAAGTTCGCTGTGCTGCCGGCCAAATGTAGTATCAAACGCCCGTTCGAAGCGCTCCTGCGGCCTCTCAGAAATGTGTCGCGCATGAAGCATGTCCCGAAACACATTCTCGAGCTCCCACGAATCGTGCGCTTTCCTCGTCCATTCTGCCACCCGGCCGGTAGTAGATTCTGTGTAAGGCGGCAGTGTGTCAACGTCATCAGATGAGAACGAATTGCGCGCTGGTTCCGGATCAGGAACGAGACTTTCCGTGCTCTCATATGGATCGGTGTCCAGGAAAGATTCACCGAGAGCATGCGTGGGAACTGGTGTAGATGGTTTCCGTGGCGAAAGGGATAACGGCGATGGGTGCTCCTCTCGTGGTGGGTGAGGGCCATGGTAAGAGAAGCACATGTCATCATGGATGAGTTCGAGTTGGCCGCCAGGCGTGAGTACCCTCCGAACTTCGCGGAATACTCGTGGCCAGGCCTTCTTGGGTACTGCGAGAGCAAGATTAGACATTCGCACAAGATCGAACGATTCCTTCGGGAACGGGAGCTTGTGAAGGCTTAATCGAGACAAATCATCAGTGAGGCACAGTCCGTGATCGGAACGGAACACTCACAAATTGCCTTCCATCCACTGAACGTTCGTAGGAGCGCGTGTTTCTTCGCTTAAGAACTGCTTTGGATCGACAAGGTCAAATCCAATGACGCGTGATTTTGGCCAGAAGTTAGCTGCACGAATGGCCCAACCTCCGGAGCCACAGCCAAGATCGAGAATATTCTGTGGTGGACTGCTAAAGGTGACGAATGAAGGTGTTTCGTTGGGATTCAAAGCAGCCAATAGCCTTTCAGAGTGCTCGTCACTAAGAGAACAGCGTGAATACGTGTCTCATAAGGCAGTTGGTGCATTACTCACCTGTCTTGGAAATCATGGTCACAAGATTGCATATACGGTGCTTGAGTTCGCGGATACGGATGGTACTGCATGCCCTCCCGTGTCAAAAGGTATGGTCTACGCTGATAGTCAGGTGGGTCGGGTTCTTCAGAGTCATCAGGGCTCGAGGGCGACGACATAGGCTCGAGCACCTGAGGAATCGGGTGCACTCTCCGCATTTCGGTAGGGAGTGGTGGATGGGTGTCAGCAGAGTGGAAGGATGTCGGAAGGGGTGGAGCAGACTTCTTCCGCAACCGCAAGCTCAAGCCAAAGCTAGACCTGTGTTTCGCCGCGTCGTGCTCCGCTTCGGGCTGGGCGGGCTTTGGCTCTGTCAAGTCCCGACGCGAACGGGACTTGTTTAGCTTGTGGCCTGCGTCCATCGAGCTGTGGTAGCCAGAGTCTGTACTATCGTATGAGTGGGGTCGAAACTCGGTGTCGTAAGAAGACGCGCTTGGGGGTGGGGAGCAGTTCAAAGGCTCTGACGGCGGTACGTAGAAGGATTTGCAGCGGGAGATCTGCTTGGTGTGTGACCGGCGGAAGCCAGAACCGGTAGGAGACTTGAGAGGATAGAGAGCTGCTGAGGGATCCATGGTTGCTGATAAGCGGTAAACGGAGCTACAAGTGGACCAACTTAGAGCTAGGTATGACGGTCCAAGGGTTGATTGCGTTGAAGTACAAACGCGTCAAGGTAGTGGAAGAGTGGATGATGGGCTGGCGACAGTGAAAAGAGGGCGATGGTGGTGCTGAAAGAACACAAATCCTGGCCGAGAGTATGTATGGCTGGGCTAAGAAGGCTAGACAAATGCTATGAAGATGTCAAGCACAAGAAGCTAGTGTGATGAAGGGGCTGCGTACCGAAGGGGGGAAAGTTGAGGCAAAGCTAGTGGGAGTGGGGTATATGAATGTGTTGGTTGGTGAGGATGATGGAGATGATGAACCGAGGGGACAGGGTCAACGCATCACCAGCTCTTAGTAGGCACCAGTCAGCCATCATGACTTTGCAGTCCTCAGGGGAGAGTTGGGGAACTGCCCCTTCGCTCACTTGTTTGGCGCCCATACTCCGACATCGGAACAATCACACCCCTAAATAGGGAACTAAGCCCCTACTTCTCATCCCACTTCCAGCACAAAGACGTGGCAGCAACCGACGCAATTACCCTAGCTCCCCTCCTCTCTCTCTCATCGCGTTCAACCGTCTGCACAAACCACTGTCCTCGATGTTGTTTCACGACCTTAATCAAGCACAGCGCACCCGTGCCTTCGAAATCTATTGTGTCTCCACTCTCATCAATGGTCGGAACAGCGTCAAGCTCTGTTGCATCATCGACCAGTGCCTTTTGCCGATGTAATCAAGACATCTTCATCTGTTTGAGGGTTTTATCTCAGAGATAACTCAGCGACTGACCTGCCAGGACCTGCTCATAATAACCTACTATGCAACAGCTATTTCCAGCCCAGTTTTTTTTTCCCTTTCGTCCTCATTTCCACTAGACGCTAATACCAAACGCAGAAAGTCAACGTACAGAACTGCGACCATCGGGGCAAGCGGATGCTAATGTAAAGTCCCCGGCCCACAAGAATTGGATGCGGCTGCGGAAGAGAAGTCGTGGGTACCCCAAGCGCTATAAGTATTAGTATGTACTGTCGCTGCTGCTAAATTCGGATCCCATAACCTTCTCGCGCTGTCACTGAAGTTGCTCTTTACCTACTTGGCAGTGGGCACGCATTGTATAGACTTTTTTTTGATGCTTTGACATTTAGCAGAGAGGACCCGGACCTCCATGGACCTCCTGAGTCCTGGCACTGTCCTGACCTTATGTACTTGACACCGACAGGGGGCAGCATAACTTTGACCTCGAGCCGGCTGCTTTATTGACATCATCGCCTATCAACGTTCAACTTCAATCTTGAATTATCCTCTGATGGATCTTGCTTAGTCCAAGGCTGTCCACAAATGTATAGCATGCAGATCATCACAAACTTCGTTACAGAGTGACAATATCCGGCACACCATGTTTAGGCGAGCAAATCAGAGTCAACAACGCCTTTCCCTGCAGACGTCAGCTATCCGGCCGAGGCAAGCCGACAATCTAGGCAAGTCATTTCAATTCCGCTCAATTACTATAATAGCTGCCCTAGGCTAACGCATGCGAGTTTAGCGTTGGCTTCATGCTATTCATGTTATCTGAATCAAGTATCAAGCTCCTAGGCCTTAGTCACGGCTACATGCTGACTGATGCCCACGGATGCGATGCCTCCAACTAATGAACTGGTGTAGGTTGCTATTTCGGCCGTGATCTCATAAGTAGAGTGGTTCCTGCTCATTAGTATCGCAAACAAGGACTTAATGGCTTATCGGCGCTCAGTCCTTCGGGATTATGTCAACAACACTTTCTCCCATTACTCACTTACCTATGCTTTATAGTCATGATGGTTCGTCACTGGTTCGTCAAACCCCAAATATATTCTACGACCTGGCTGATTTGATAGCGGTTTATTGCAGGGAATACCCGCGAGGAGAGTGGGTTCGATTTTACTTAGACTGCGGTTTATTTCACCTCGCGTTTCAAGTTGGAATGCTTATAAGCTTCCTGCGACTATCATGATAGAGCTAGGAAGCTTGAGGCAGGTCTTGCGCCAACGCAAGCTGATGAATAACAATTACAATACCGTAAAACAGCTAATATTAAAGATCTGACAGCTAAGTCTCAGGATGACTGCGGCCGCGAGGCTTATCTGCCTTCCATGATATCTTGCCCTCTGGTTCTTGCAGCCCTCAAGCATGCATACTTAGTATGCCTTGAACGCCCGACATATCTTTTGTGGTATTGAGAGATGATCGATCATATCCTCGGTACTGTGATCCCACGTCAGAATACACACCCACGTCAGGATGCACACTTCGCTTTCTAGCCCGTTTCCCGTGCAAAACTCTCAAAGTAAATTCATGACAATTATGTTTGGATCATATTCAATGTGCCATAACGTTTGTAGGGCCGGGTAACATCTGGATGACGAGCTACGAGTACTAGAAGGTGAAAAATGGGCTACTTTGAAAAAATTTAGAGCTTTATCAAACTTTACGCACTCATACAGTTGCGCTATACAGCTTGAATAGGCCAAGGGTGCTAAGTACGCCTCTTGAGCTGACTTTAAGATACAATTGGGCATATCATAAGGGCAGGAGCTCTCTATAACTTCAAATAGCTGAAGAACTCGCTCTCGGGATGTTATCACGCCCAATAGCCACCGTAACGCCGTTAGCGACACGCGATTAATGAACCCGTATTCCCTTTTTGGGGCTCGCCTAAGCCGCCTTCCTTCCCAATTTGGCGTGAACCACCGCCACCGGAAGCATTACAAGCCGTGCATTCTGACGTGGGTCCCCGATAACGTCCAAATTCACCGATCCTTGAATCAAGAGGGATCCCGCAACTTTGACACTTCAGGGGTTTTTTGGATGAGAGCTTATGTCCGGACGGGTTTCCAAACCTAAATTTAGCACGATTGCATGTCTCAAAAATATTCCAGGCATTTTAGAAATTTGGCCGTGTATTCTGACGTGGAATCACAGTACAGTCTTTGTTACGAGTTGTCAAGCAAGTTCTAGTAATGCCGCATTATGGTCTTGATACACAGGGGTGGGAAAAGCCGCAAGGAGTTTCAAGTGTTGGGGCTAAAGATGAAGCGGAGGGCGCCTATAGTGTCTGACCAAATACCATGCTGAAAATCAAGACCATGAATCTCTGCCCGCATCCTCATTCAGGCCCGTATCCGAGGTGCTACTTAAGGCCCAACCTCAGTCCTTCGCAGTCGTAGATTCCTCCTTCGGTGTCTTCTTATGTCTTCTGCAAGATCGTCTGTTGAACCCTTCCCGGAAGCTCGGCTTGAGAGAGCAAGTGAGGCGCATCCGGATGACGAGAAGGCAGTCACCCCCACGCCCTCGGAAAAGGATGCCGAGCAACGCACTGTGGTAAACCAGGCGCCGGGGACACCATCTCAGGTCGAGTCGGGGAAGGCTCCCGGAGTCGAGTTCCCCGAAGGAGGTCTGCAAGCGTATTGTACTGTACTCGGCGCGTAAGCGAACCCGTTATCAAGCAGTGGAACCGCTGAGACGAGCTTTTCTTGGGTAGCTTTCTGACGCAATTCACCTTCTTCGGGTGCGTGTCTTCACAATGATCATCACGATTTGTTCCTTACCGCACGCTTGCCGTGTTTAGATACACAATGTCGTATGCGGTATATCAAGGTAAATCTACTGTTCGTACACACTTTCCGAAGTATACGGCAACTCACTGGCATCTAGAGTACTATACCAAAGTATACCTTACCAACGTCTCCGCATCTGCTGTGTCGTGAGCAATTTTTAGCTATTCTTTTGTTGAATTTCATCTTACTTGGTTCAGATGGATCGGGAGTGTTAATCTTTTCCTTGGGTTGGCCGGCGGTGTATTTACTGGGCGGTTGTTTGACCGAGGCTACTTGTATGCACGTTTATATGTGCCATTCAACGTCTCTCTGACTCCGTCATCAGCTATGTGCTCATGTACAGCGGGTGTGCGCTGGAGATCTTCTGTATGTTCATGCTGTCATTAACAAAACCTGGACAGTATTACCAGGTTTGTCGCATAATGCTTGGAGCCTCCCAGTCTGACCTTTGGTCGACCTTTGGTCATAGGTCTTCCTCGCACAAGGGGTAGGTCTTGGCATGGCCTGTGGTCTAACGTACATCCCGAGCATTGCTGTCATCGGACATTACTTCAGACGGAGACGATCCCTGATGCTCACCTTCGCGGCTATCGGGTCTTCCCTGGGTGCTACCGTTCATCCTATCATGCTGAATAACCTTATCAACGGTCCTTTGGGCTTCGCCAACGGTGTCCGAGCCTCTGCCGGCCTTATCACGGGCTGTACAGTTCTGATCTGCGCTCTGATGCGGACGAGATTGCCACCCTCGTCGAACGCGGACAGTTATGCCAAGGTCCTGAGACACAGCTCACGAGACGCTGCTTACTTGGCTGGTGTGATTGGGTGAACACTCTGTTCTAGTGGCATCAACTGAGAAAAGCTAATCTATACTATCAGGGTTTTCTTGATCGCCACCGGCTTCTTCTATCCCATATTCTACATACAGTTGGATGCAACTGAACATGGTCTCAGTGAACACTTCTCGTTTTATTCGGCTAGTCCACTCCATTTATTCGTTTTAGTTAACCGCGCTAACCTTCCATGCAGGTTGTCATCCTGAACGGCACCGGTATCATTGGCCGTTTTCTGTCTGGGTTTATCGCCGAGTGGATTGGCGTACCGTATGCCATTATGACAGCAGTATTTGGAAGCGGCGTCATGATTTTTGGGCTCATCGGCCTAGCCGGCATTGCTAGCACTGTGGTGATCGGCATTATCTACGGTTATTTTGCTGGGATGTGTAAGTTTGCATGGTCTTCAAAGGAGGGTGTTTACTAAACTGTCTCACAACAATAGACATCGCACTCCTTGCACCTATGTTCGCTGGGCTGTCTCCCACTCTCAACGAGATGGGGTGAGTGACGGCGGCCTTCTCTGACGTTAATGAGATTGACGGCTTGCTTTTCAGAGTTCGCATGGGCGTTGGTTTTGGTATCGCAGGTGAGGTGTTATCTTTGTTGTTCTACTCATTGGCTTACAAGCACTGGCGTTCCGCAGGCTTGGGAGGTTTGATCGGTGAGGGTTTCCACTGATATAGTAGATTTGCACTTGAAACTCAAACATATTGCAGGCTCTCCTATCTCTGGTGCATTGCTGGGCCCCCAGTATATCTGGTGGAAAGGCTCTGTTTTCAGCGGGGTGAGTGCGACCTCAGCGTTTTTTGTGTATAGACTCTGAACCCAAACAGATATTCGTATTCGCAGGTCTCTGCTGCCTCGTTTCCATGCAACTCCGTCTGCTTGCACGGAAACGGCAAGCAGCGGAGAAACTCGGTGCTTCAACCTGAGAATGTTTTCTCAAAGTTGCTTCTGGGCTAAGGATGTTTCTGCTCATAAATCATCCCTGATAGAGTCGTGCTCTTCAAGTGGTTTGTTGATTCCACACTATAGATGATTTTGTAGCCATGTTTTGCAATTCTTTCGCTATAAGATGGACTCTTGTTGTCCAGCATTCTCGGATGATCGGTCTGACTTGTAATAGTTGCCGGCGACAATACTCGATCTCAGGGCTGATCGCGGCTCTTTTTGCTGCTGATGTCTTCTTTCTCCGCGTCGCAACTTGGCAATGCTTCCGGTACTGCGACGGAGTGCTTGATCGCGGCGTCAAGGTAAGTAGCGGCTACGTCTGGCTACGTGTGGTTGAAGCCGTGATGCTATCAAACTTTGTGGCTTCAATGTATTTCAATTGAAGCCGCTACAGTTTGGTAACACATATCTATATCAACATCACCTTCTACTGATTGACTTCCTGAAGTGGATCATATATGTCACATCGTAGCGGCCGTCGACACTATTATTGTGACGACAGAATCCATGCAACCTCTGATCAATGGCCGCTGTGAAGAGACTTTGCAGTATACCGCGAGAGCATATAATATGGGCAAGGGACACGGCATTGATGCGTGGCACAACGACTCCGTTGCTCTTGTAGTACCCTTATGTCTACAGACTATGCCACCATCGCAGCCTCGGCCCGTCAGATAGCGTATTGCTCAAGTGGGTGTTTTTGACGTTTACATCGACGCTCCCGCTCTGGCTAGAACTTCGGTATAGTTGCAGTGACATGTGCTGTGTTTTACGACTATGGTATGCACTGCGACCACGGTTGTTATGTGATCAACCACTGACTTGCTAGGTTACAGGCCACACTTTCCCTCGGGAAGTCGATTTCGTCTGGGTGGGGGCAAAGCCTAAATAGCATGCGTACAAAACCATTCTAACGATGAGAGCGATGTAGACAAAACCTTGGACGCTCGCTTCCATACTGTACCTTGGGGTATGTTGACTCATGGAGAAGACTGTTACATGGTTTGATGCACACTTCATACAGGCAAGATACGTCGGGAATCTACTTCTGTTGTAAGCATGGGTTCTTCAGCGTCATGTTCAAAACACCGAATCTTTGAACGAAATCTCTTAGATGCTACACACTTAGTAAGTTCATTGGCAACTCCTACTTGTTGTAGCAATCGTCTGAGGTATCTGAGTCGTGATGGATACGAGAATGGAACTGCAAGTAGGTGTCGCTTTTTGATCTTAGATCGCAGCACTGACCCTTGCCTTGTCCCAGGGGTATGATGGAATGGATCATCTTTTAACTGTCAAGTACCCTTCAACTTACCCCCTTCCCACCGGCGTAAACCGTTGTACAGTTGTGGGTCAACGTGACGTTTTTCGTCTCGTTTAGTATGCTGACACCAGCATAGCCTTAGGTCTAGGTACTTTTGTCTCTTGGGGCACCCTTGTATACTATGGGACTTTACAAGGTGAGGGCCTGTAGGACTTTGCTGTCTTTCATGCTTAGCCTATCACGGTCCTACTGTAGCAATCATGCAGATGAGGATATACGCCATGTATCAACGATCTAAAGTTATATTGGGGTGTCTCGCTGTCCTCTTCCTTGCAGAGATGGGCATAGTTGCTTCCGGTGTTGCGTTCCGCAGAACTGGACAGGACAGGTAGAGTTCATCTTCGTATCGTGTTGCAAGTAGTCTAACACCCTTACCTGCAGACTTTCTGATCACCTTTTTCGTTCCAACCTGCTGTTTTGAAGCGGTACTCTTTGCGCTCAATATCAGAGCAGCGTTGGTTCACTTCGCAGAGAATCGGCAGCTGGAAGACTGGACTTGGGACACGCTCGTTGGCATCTTGATCCGTGACAATGCCGTGTACTCTTTTACGTGCGTTACCACCACGCTGTTGGACTTAACGGCCATTGATAGCCACTTCTTTCACTATCTAGCGTACTCACTGCGGCGTTGACATTCATTCTCATGTCGATCCTGGCGCCGGTGAGTCAATATTAATCCGTTGGACGGAGGTGCTTGACTAAACTAAATGGTTAGGAGCTGAATATCTCTGTGCCCTTCATGGATTTTGTCGTCATCACCGTCGGTCCACGGCTGGTTCTGAACATTCGAGAGCATCATGATCAAAGGGACTCTGCATTCTTGCCCACAATACAAAGCAGCTTCGTTGCAACTGCTTGCAGTCATGGAGATTCTGTTGCCTTCACTGGAGAGGTCCCTCGGAGATATAAATGGATGTCTAATCAAGACGAATTTACATGAACAGCGTACTGTATGTTCTGCATGTTTGACGACCAAAATGTATCAATGCCTTGGTACCATAACTCGTTGCATCTTGGCGATCAGAGCGCGCGAAAACGCCAAGCAGTCTTCATTAGCCTGTGCCTATAACAGTGTACACAGCCGAGCGGTATACCCTGCCACCCCATACGCATGCTGGACATACACATACCAAATATCATTTGTTCTACTGGAAAGACATAATAAGTCAAGCCTGACCTTGAGTCTCTAGGCTAGATTCTGCCGGATATGTGAAGTAAAAGAGCAAGTAAACGAGTGTCGATGATCCTTAGTCCTCGTCCTTTTGAGGAGGAGGTCCACAAGGCTGAAGCATCCGCTGTGTGATGTCAGCCATGATTCTCTACTGCAATGAGATTCCGTACCTCAGCCATCTCAAACTTCATCCTTCCCATCGCCTGACCGTCAGCGACAGCAAGGTAAGACAGTAGAGTGGGGTGGCCCACGATGGACGACAGGGTGTCGCGGTGCTGGTGTGTCAACCACTCACTACGTCAAAGCGTCAACGTGCAATGCTCTGCATGGAAGAAAGGCAACATACTATTTCGTCAAGTCGGCATGTCCTGCAAACGTATGAGCATGTCCACGAAAGAAGTCTTACCGAAGGAAACTTACCGGTACCAGTATACCGAGCGTGAACTAACAAGGACAGAGTCGGTGAGTGCCGGTAGGCTGAGCTTTAGAAGGCACGGCTTACGATGCTCCAGCTGGGTGTTGGCAGTGTACCTGAGTTCAGAAGACTGCTTCTGTTAGCTTGAAGAATGCCAGTAAGGAGGTCGTCACTGACCATGACGAAGAACGGGTTGACGCTTGTTTGTTACCGGATTCCCTTTGACACCGACCGCCAAAACGCGTCCGAATCGCCCCTGTCCAGCACACGCGTTGAAACGTTACACAAGTGCTAGTCGCCTGTATCTTGATCCACTGAGGATAGGTTTGTATTATACTGGCATCTAACGGATATCTCGAGCCAAGGAGGGTGTCAAACATCAGTTTCACAGGTGCGTACACCCGCTTTAGATAGCTTCCCTTGTGATAGCATGCCTTAGTTGAACACACAGGCACCTATACTGCTCTCGTATCCATCATGGCAAAGCCAGAACCTCCCCAGGAAAAGAGTTCGAAAGGTGTCCTCAGACCACCCGATGGCTGACTGACCCCTTCGCATAGAGCGGACTCCTCTTGACACGCAAGCTGCTGGCCGCTTCATCAGACACGGTGTCACGCAAAGCACTTATGCTCAGTCTACGTCATCTGAAGAGGTCGTTCCTTCAACCTTTGTGCCTGTCAGGGTGACGAGCAAGATGGTGGAACGCTCCGAGTACGAGGATCAGCTAGCAAATGAGAGCAGCGAAGAGGAAGAAGAGCTCAAGATCTTCGATGGAGATGAGGACGAAGAAGAGGTAAGTGAAGATGACGATGGCGACGAAGTAAGTGGCCCAGATGAAGGAGTACGCGAATATGGAGACGACGAAGGAAAGGAAGAACAAACGGGAGCGAAGCGCAGACGGACTTCTAGCGTTTCTCTAGGTATGAGCCTTTATCTTCTCTTTGGCTACCTGACGAATGTTGGCGGTTAGGAGATGTTTCCGGTTCACCCAAGCTGGACGGACACCAGAAGAAATATAAATCAGAACGTTAGACTACCATGGCTCGACTTTCCCCTTTGTTTAGGCCATCGACGATCTGAAGATGTTTACATTTGCTCGCAAGCTGTCTTCAGGCTCGCCAATGCCACAGGCCAGAGTATAGATACATCAAGACTAAATACAGGGATCGTATGACGACGAAGGACAACGAAAAATTTACAAGGAGTCGAACTACAGGGTAAATATACAGACTTTACGAGGGTCAGTTTACGCACACAGGCGAATAATACACGGGCCGCCCATCTTACATGATGGTGCAGCCATCTCGATCAACGGTTTCTAGTACTCCAGGAGTGTTCGTTCCCGACGATCGCCTTCCACTGGGGGACCACCACCGGGTCCGGCCAGGCGGTGATCCCCGCCCTTCCTCTCCATCGCTGTTATTAGTGGAAACCAATTTCCTCGACGACTTCCGCTTCCGCTCTCGCGCGGCTCTTACCGCATCGACCGTTTGCCAATTGTAAAACGACTTCAGGACAACCCTCTTCTCGTCGCATTCATCTTGGCGTTGCGACGGCTTCAAGTTCAGCTCCTCCCCATCTTGTGCATCGAAGTACCCGAGCTTGCGCGCATGCCAGCTCCTCCATCCCTTCCGTGGTCGTGTTGACGCCGATACCTCCTTGACGACGCTCTCTCCAACAGCACGGCAATCAACGACGACGAGCTCGGCGTCGGATAGTTGGCGCGATCGAGCCAGCCGCACAAAATTGCGCAGGACCGAGGCGGAGATGTGTGTACCGTCCGCCTCAAGCACCCGAATCTTTGGGCAGTTATGGATCAAAGAAGAGAATGCCTCGTTCGTAAGGTTCAGTGCATACGAAACGATGAGGTGCTCAAGAGCGTGACCTGACTGCGATGAATCAACGGAGGGGACGCCGGAGGCAGCGTCACCTGGATCAGGAGTGATGCTGGCCAGAAGGACATCGGAGATCTCGTATGCATCCTCTAGATCCAACTTCCTGATCAAAGGTGTCGTCTTAAGTAGTCGAACGAGGCCTTCATCCTTGAGCTCTGGTCCGATTCCAGCTAGTTCTAACAGCTCCAGCTTGGGCATCGTATGTGCAAGGTTTGAACACGCGATGTCCGTTAGCATCACACAGTTCGAGAGGGCAAGATGGCGGATGTTTGTGATGCGTCTGCGGTATCTGCCACCATTTCGCGTATCTCGACCTGCCTCGCGTGCGTTTAGCCAAATGCTGTCCACGCTCTCGTCATCCGCCGAGCATGCTACAAAAGCTTCGAGGGCAGAGTTGTGTAGACTGCGGCAATAGCTAAGATCGAGGACTTCCAAAAGAGGCGCTGACTGCCCGAGGGTTGCAAGGACGTCATCATAGATTCCTGTCATGCCGGATAATCGCAACTCTTTAAGACGGAGCGTGGTCCCGCCAACAGCTGGGCGACAGAAGGACAGCAGCCCGTCCGCATTGATGTTGGGACACCTACTCATATTCAATGATGTCAGGAGTGGGCACGCTGCGAGGACCTGGAAGGTGATGTTCGTCACGGCATCAAGCCCTTTTAAAGACAAGGAGCTGAGTAGAGGTGAGCGGGCGAGGATTTCGTGGATAGCACGAGCATCCAGAATAGAGCAGCCCTGTAAGTTAATTGCAGTGAGCTGTGTGCAGGAGTATGGGTCGCGGGGAGTAAGCTGTAAGCAGAGATTTTCAGCAACTCCAGCTAGGGTTGCTGGCGTCAGGCTTGTGTGCCCAGCAAAGTCAATATTCCTGATGAACGATCCAGCACTTTTTGACAGACGTAAGAGAACTGGAGCAGGAAGTTTGGGGAAGGCACAAAGATTGACACCAGTCCATAGTTGACCGTCAAAGACAAGGTCTCGCCATGCCTTCGAGACCTATTGAGGATGAGTGAGCCAATGGTTTACCTTCTACCGGGTGTCTGTCTGGCTTACTCTGCTAAACTTCACCAGTTCTCGGGTGCCCCTGTCCCTGCCCACCCACTTGTACCTGGAAGTTGCTGCCTTGCTTACCGTCCACCGACCCTCTCGTTTCATCAGCTCGTGGTCTGCCTCATGCAGAGTAACCAAGGACGACAGAACCTGAAGTCTGAGTTCTCGAGGAAGGCATTCATCAAACAAATTAAGAATTACGAAGGGCAAAGGGGCAAAGGTGTCGAGGTCGGTCGCAGGGATGATGTCGAAGACGGATGGAGTGATAGGGGCAGAATGCGAGCGGCCCTTGCCCTTGAGGCTGACGTGATAATCAGGGCGACCTGCGCGGGAAGGACCAGCGTCTATCTTGTCCAGCGTCACAACGCCGTCAAGATCGAGGTCAAAATAAGAAGATGGAGGCCCGTCGCACTTGAAACCCGATTTCCATGGCATGAAGCAGTTTCCCGGACTTGCAATGGGTGCCTCATTCGATTGATTTCTTTCGAGAGTCGAGGGTCCATTGTCTGTGCGATTCTGGAAGAGTCTACGAGCTAGATTGGAGGTTGCCTTCGCTGGTCCAAACTTAACTTTAGTTTGGGAGGTAGAGGGTCCGACATCTGACCGAACGGAATGGATGGAGAGATTGGACAAGGAGCGACGTCGTGAGGGAAGGCGACGTAGGTGGAGTCCGGATTCTTCGTAACGCTGTTGAATATAGTCGATTGTGTCAACTCGGTGAGGCTGTGGAGGACTCGCACTAGCACTGAACAAAGACAAGCTAGTAGATGTGTAGGAGCCATATGAAGATGCCCCGGGGGTCGAGGAAAGCTGACTGGGTGATGGCCAATCTACTCTTCCGTAACCCAGTTCCGTTGGCGAGAATGACAGAGGTGGTAACGTTGGGGGCACTTCAACTTCTTTGCCTTTGGGAGAGGAAGACGAGGACGGTAAGTTTGCCTCCTGCCGTGAGCCCTCACTATCATTGAGTAACCAAGAGGCCGGGTCATCTTGACCACTCGGAAGCTCGGGATGGTTTTGGGAGGAAGTGGATAGCGTTGGGTTAAATGGCTTATCAGGCCGATTCCAGCTCGGAGGCTGGCCTGCAGAGGTAGAAATGCGCATCGGACGAGCGACAGCTTTCCCCTTTGCTACGGTACGTGTCGCCTCGTTTTCGAGCATGTTTTCTGCTGTTAGGTCGAACTGCATGGGATGCTCTCGAGTACATGACGGCTTCGAGGGTCCGGGCTGAGACATGGGGGATAGAAGGGAAACAGGTTGGAGAGCGTCGTTGTGCTGAACAGGTCCTGAAGAGCTGGGGAGCTCGAGATGGAAAATTTGGTCGTGGTCGTTATCGATGCCTGCTGGTGTATGTGCCATAGCAGCAATGTTGGAGCAATGTGCCAGTGGTTGTGGCAATTCACGCTTATATTGGAAATGCGATCGGGAAGATGGTCGAGAGATAAGATACAGGTCAGCTAGAGATAAAAGAGAGAGGGGAGAGAAGACTTGATTCAGATGGGACAGGGACGGGGGTGAGCTTGGGGCTAGCGAGATGACCTGCACCAGCTAAATGCAGAGACGGACCAGCGGGCCTACCATCGGAAAGAGGTCCCGGCATCTATGAGACCATGGCTGACATAGGGGTTTGTCCTCACCTGTCTATACCCCACCGCGTACGAATTTCCCACGCCATCATGGACACATGCCTGTAGTGCTTCCAAGTCGCGATGTCATCATATGCGCCCCCGCCGTGAGCATTATTACCCCCTGCTTGTTTGCAAACAAAATTATATCAAAGAACGACTATCGACGTGAATACGTTGGAATTATTGATCAGCAACACAACCCCGGACGACAAAGAAAATGTTCCAAAGGCAGGCAACAGGCCTGGAAAGCAAGACGAAGTACAGACAGGAAGCAACGTTTTATCAATAAGAATAGAGCATGCAAACACTAGTCAAATTCAAAGATCGGCAAGGACACGGCGCAGCTCTGAGCTCGCCAAGGGTCAGTCGAGCGTCAGCTGGGCATGAGGCAAGGGGGCATGCACGGCTTCGACCACAATCAGGCAGCTGTAGCACGGGGGTTTTCTTTCGCGGTTTTCCAGTTGGACGTTGCTAGCTTGAACCTGTCGACAGGTGAGAGAAAAATCAGCATATGGGATACGGCAACTGCGCGTATCACCGTACCGTTCCTGGTGGGACATTTCCGGGTCGGTGTCCTTCAGGCGAGCCATCTCAGACTGCATGAACTTGTTGAACGCGCTCAGCTTCTTCCTGCCTCCACCACCCGAGGACTCTGTCGACGGTGTCAACCGGTTTCAGTGGCTCTCCTTAGGCTTTGTTACGTACTGGTCTTCCTGGCAGGCTTCTCGGACGCAGCAGCTTTGGGTGCCATACTGAGGATTAAGGCAGGCTAGAATATAGGCGGGAGGTCCAAGCTGTAACCATCGAGCGTAGCAGCGGCGGGAGCAACAGACGCAGAACGAGGAGGAGCAGCCAATGTCAGGAATTTAGGGGGACACATGAAAGAAATATCCGGAACGCACTATGGGGAGAACGAGCGTTCTGGATCAAGGAGGGCAGAATGCCAGCAAGGACGTGGTCTGGGGGAGAGAGTAAAAGTTCATTTGGGTTCGAGTATGGGCGGACCTTATACTTGAGTTCTTCGTAAGTCGTTGACAGCCTGCTAAGGGCTCGCGTCAGCGGACTCACGACACCGCCATGCTCTACGTAATTTCCCTTCTAACGGAGCCATGTCCTCCTGAGGGGCTCTCGCATGCAATTTCCATTTTTTGTATTGTTTCAATTTTGGCCGACTCAAGCACTCATGACCGCCTTCAAAATGAGTCCGCATGCGACATGTGCCGGCCTCCCTGATTCTGAAGCTTATCGGAAAGCCTTTGGAGAACACGGCAAACTGCGACCTTCCCCCCCTGACACCGCTAGACGGTGATTGGTAGCTAATTGGGCAGAACACCAGCGAGCACAAATGCTCGCTTTGAAATGATATCCATCGGTAGCGAAATGAGACCGCCTATGTCTAGTATTAGTTTTAGGTCTGGGAACCGTTGAGCGTTTATTCTGCTCCGGCTTGTGCGTTCCCTCAGGCAACGAGACATGGACTTCGAAGACGGAGGCGCGTAAAGTCGGACAAACAGACGCGACGCGTCTCGCTGATTTGCCCCTTTCCGGAATCTTTATTCCTAAAAGCGATCTAATGCGGCTCTGCCCTCATACTGAAATGTCTCAAATCAACGCCAAAACTCCGACGTAACGTAAGTTAGTGATCGTGATAAGACCGTGTAGGAGCATGTTTCGTGTTCCACCGAAACGCGCGAGTCGTAAGTAGCTATCTACTAGTCTCTTTTGTCCGGGAGTCAGCGCCTGCGATGCTGTCGATCAAACTCTTGCCACTGATGATGCTCGTAGTTGCTATGAGAAACTTGCGGCCTTTGTAAAACCATGAGCGCATTTCCACCAAGGCTATATACGAAAAACGCTTTACCTCGATTCTGCCGGCTAACCCATCGGAGAGCGGCAATTTCGGTATAAGTACACCCGCCCAGGAAGAAAACCACCGTCGTGGTCGTTTGATCGCTGCCACGGACTGACAGCCTATGAATGCATGACACAACTTGAGAAGGTTCATGGGAAACTTACGTAGAGACGTAACGGATGGGCTGCTATTGACATTCCCAGCCTTGGGTGTGATGTCCACGGTCTCGCCGGGAATCTGCGCAAGTGTGTCCTCAAACCCTTTCCAACCTAGAATCGGATGCGCGCGAAGATGTTTCTCGGCATTCGCTTTCCCGTTAGTGTCACCATCCGCCGGAGGAGCTTTCTCTGCTGGATTACTGATGACGCCGCCTTTCTGTGCTACGCACTGCACGAGGCGCACACTGATGGGTGCATATCCAGAGTACACATAGCTTATGTCATTCTCCACTTCTTCTATGGCTTCAGGGCTGTCGTCAATAAGGAGCCTCAGTGATTTGCGGACTGCGGCGAAAGGTAGTTTGCTTGGAGGATCTGAAGAGGGCGGAAGAGGGACTGGGAGGACCGCAGATAGTGGATGGGCAGACAACGAAAGAAGCAAGGGCAAGTAATTATAACCGAAGGCCTGGACAAAGTTCTTTAAACTGTTCTTAAAATGGCATCGGAATGTTATCGTACCTGCAGAATCTCGCGCTTGATGCTTTCCAGTGCTTTGGTTTTGATTCCTCCTGTCGTGAGACTGGCTAGGCAAAGCAAGCGAATAATGGTTTGCATGTCGGCGCCTTGCGCTATCAATTCTTCAATAGCGTTGATCTGCTTCGTTGTCTCGTAAGAGGCCAAAAGATCTGCGGACATCTCAGTACAGAACAGACATCTTTCCTTCAGTCATATATCTTACTCTGTTGGATCTCAAGGGACTTGTTGAACAGCTCGGTTCGCGTGTGAGAGACGAGCATTTCCGAGAGACCAGTATCTGCACAAAGTTAGCTTTGGCTGACCACGCAGAATAAAATAGAATGTTCACGAAGCCTCAGGGCCTGATGCTCTGTCTGAAGCCCCCCTAGTTTGCCGACGAAATCACGCAGTTGTGCGACCGTTTTCGCTTGGAGCCGGGCCTGTATTGGTCATGAAGACTATGTTCAGCATCAACCTCGTAAACATACTTTGTAATCCTCGTCTAATCGATGTGCCACTTTGTTCAATCGTTTGCCGACGGAGGAAAAGTTCAAGTCCCGCAGCTCGGCAAAGAGAGGGTCAGTTGCGGGTGTAAGATGATGCTTCTTGGTTTTCTCGTTGCTGACTGGGGTCACATTGGATGCAGATGTAGAGGGTAGCGCCGCACTCGGGTTGGATGGATTCGGAGCATTAGGTACGGTTAGTAAACTCAAAGGTATTTCAATATGTGCTGTGCAAGAGAAGCTTAGGATCAGGGTAACTTAGAGGATAATAGCTCACAGTTCTGGATGCCAATAACTTCGTCAACAAGACCCTCGTAGGTGAGTTGAGTAAGGAGGGGAGTGATCATGTCAACGTGTCTGTCCAGGATGATGAGCGAGTCGATTGGTGCAGTAGCAGCAGATGGATCTGGTTCCAAAGTCCCTTGTTCAGGCAATGATCGGGTTAACAGAGTAGCTAGCCGCTATCATCTGAGTAAGTGCTTCGCCGCTTGAAGTCAGAAAAGACATACCGCGGCATAATTGCCTTTGCCCACTATGCGAGGGAATGGCCCGTAAAGTTTCTGGAGCGTAACCAATGCCAAAGCAGAGCTATACACAGCAGTTTCATCGCCATCCTGGAGGATTGTTTAGTGTGGTAGCTGAATGCTTCCAGGGAGCAGACCCACGACCCATAACTCCTTGAATGCGTTTTCGTTCTCCAGAGACACGACGTCATCAGCAATGGGAATGAACTGGAGGTTGTATGTGGAAATGTTTATGTCTCCCAAGACACCCTCTTCTTCTAGGATGCGGGTCACAACAGTCGACTTCCGTGGCACAAGAAAGAGGTTATATAAGTGCTTTTGGCTCTCGCGTGCATGCCGCTTGATCTGGTCTAACGGAAAGTTCAAGGTGGCCGATCACGAACAAGAATCCGGCTCACCTGCAATGATCTTGACATGTTTGATAGATGGACGGCAGAGGTACACAATGTTTGTGGTACTGGCTGCAAGCGGACCTGCCTCGAGCCAGAACATCTTATCCACTCCATGATTCTTCCGGACGGCATGAGTAGGCTTCAACTAAACACAGGTGATATTTACCTTGAGAGTCGATACTTCAATGACCAGTCCAAGTGGCCCGGCCAGAGAAGGGTCCAGGACGAGAGTCTTTGCACCATTGACCTTGACCCGGCTTGAGCAAGGGATTATGCATGAGATGCAACCGAACTGACCGAGTTAAGCGTATCGATCAAGCTCCGAGTTCCGATATCCCTGAGGACATCTGTGTTGATAGAAGGCTCATGTTTGTCGGTCTGAGCAGCCTGTGGCGCGTTAGAGATTGGTGCAGGTGCAGGTGCCATGAATGGTCAAACGAGCCTTGAACTTGAAGCTTGAGGCCGAGGGACGGAGGTAGGTTGCACAGCCACAACATACATAGTGAGTCCCTACGTCACGTTCGTCGTGCCGGAGCCAATCACGCGCTCGCGTCCAAATCTCCGGTTGAGCCAGCTTCCCTGCCTGTCTGCGGGGGGTCGTCAGCCTCCTCTGCAATATACCATTCACTGTTCACCTTACCCAATGGCCGACTCCGTCACGATGCAGAGCGACGAGCTACACCCGCTCGTGTCGCTACTCTCTGCTTTCTTCTGGGTCATCTGTATGCATTCAGCTTCGGTGCTTACTGACAGACTAACATTGGCAACTCAGTGTGGTTACTGACATGGGTGAAAGCGCTCGTAGCTTTCATAACGATATCAATACCTCGTTTCATTTACTTCGTCTTGTCGTACTCTATGACTTTGACGGTATGTGGCTTGTCCGATGTCCAAAAATAAAGCTAAATGCCTCGATATCCACTAGCTTAACTTCTGGTCGTTCGCCATTATGTTTGTGCTTTCTGCAGTCGCTTTAAACTACTTTATTCGGTTCCGCTACCTGAATGTCTACTCTGACCTCAAGGAACCACCTCTTGTCAAGCCAGATGTTAACGAGCTGCATCCTGACGTAAACACAACTGAGCCTCCGCCGGCGTTCCACAACTATCTCGACGACTTCCTACAAGCAGTTCGAGTATTTGGTTTCCTAGAGAAGCCTGTGAGTAATCCTCGCCACTTTAAACGCGTGTTGTGTACTCATCGTTGTACTGTTGCAGGTCTTTCATGAACTTGCGAGACATTTACAAACCAAACGGCTGATAGCCGGAGATAGCATATCTATGGATCAAGACAGGAGCTTCTACTGTGTTGTGGAAGGCAATGTTCAGGTCTTTGCCAAGACAGGCCAGGCTATACGTCAAAACGGATCTTGGGAAGAAGACGACATGAACGGGTATCAGCTCATTAACGTAGTTGGCAATGGAGGCACCCTCTCGAGCCTTTTCAGCATTCTGAGCCTCTTCACAGAGGATATACCTATGACGTGGCGCGACGACATCAACTCGGATATAGCGAGCGAAAGTGAGCACGTTTCAATGCCTCCTCGCTCTCGTGGTACGAGACATAACTCCGATGTACCGAAATTCGATCTTGATGACATTCCTCCTTCGAATCCACGACGGTCACATGCACCAAGTGTATCAGGTGTATCTGAAGCTTCTGTATCGACAGCGCATCCTTTTCATTCGCCAGGCTCACAGAAAACATTTTCTTTCCAAACTGCGTCATCACACCCATCTGTAGTCACACCCCCTGAGGATGACCCCCCTTCTCAGGTTCATCGAGGAATCGTCGCGCGTGCTGCAGAGGATACTACTTTAGCTGTAATTCCAGCTGAAGCATTTCGTCGTGTCACCAAGAAGTTCCCGAAGGCCACTGGGCACATTGTTCAAGGTACGTGCTACAGTCCGAACAGAACTTCCGCCATACTTACACCTTTTTTCCAGTCATCCTCACGCGCTTTTCTCGTGTGACGTTCAATGCGGCTCATAAGTATTTGGGGCTGACTACGGAGGTACTACGCACGGAAAAGGCCATCAATGAGCTTGCCTGTCACCCTCTTCCTGCCTCATTCTATGAAGGCGGCGGTCTGCATCTCCTCCGACAGCGTTTTCATGATGCTGAAATTCATGATTCTGACTCCGAGAGCGAATATTTTGGTCGCTTCACCTCACCATCGCCTCTTGAGTCTTCTGTTCACCTTCAAAGTACTAGTGACTTTACCTCTCAAGAGAAGCTCACAGGCAGCCCTGTGTCGTTTCCCGCCCTGCAAATGTCCCCAGCGGCGCGAACCCCTGCACCGCGAGCTTCAGCTTCTCGACATCAAGTTCAGGCTGGAGACTTGCACACGAGTGCGCAGAACGATATCTATCGATCCATGACTCGTTCATTCAGTGTCCTGAACACTCCTCGTATCCCATCAACCAATATGAACCCACCTACTTCTCGACTGCCTTCAGGTGATGAGTTCGATCTGCGAGAAGAAGTTATGTCTTGCATAGCGAAGTCAATTGGTTTGCTTCAGCCCCCTATGAGCGGCATAGAATCTCCAGCTTTGCCGCCGTTTGATCCTAACCGATCACCGGGAGGGACTTTACCATCGCCATTCGGCTCCCTCTCCCTATTGGATTCAGTCAGCGTCAGTGACTCTGCATCTAGCTTTACGACAGGCTCCACGAATACTTCCTCCTACATGAGCGGACTGGATAATGAGGTCGAAATACTATACTTCTCGGCGGGATCCACGCTCGTTAAGGCTGGTGAAAGAAACACAGGTATGAGTCCACAATGCAGACTCGATCTCTTCGTATTAACCATGTTCTGCCTGGTATTACCAGGGCTTTATTACGTGATTGAGGGCTTCTTGGACATTTTGCTTCCTGTAGACGAAAACAAAGCCCCCATTCCGACCCATGCAAAGAACCATGAATCTGACTCAGACTCGCTGTTCACAGCCGAGCCGAAGCCGGAAACGGAAAGCACTAGCGATCGCAAACTTCTCTTTACCGTGAAACCAGGTGGAATTGCTGGTTATCTGGGTAGGTGACCTTGACGCTTGGCCGGGTGATTTGCTGAAGTCCTTTCCAGCATCATTGTGCGGGACTTCGTCCTACGTTGACATACAAGCTAAGACTGATACTTATGTCGGGTTTTTGTCGGCGGCGGCCCTCGAGCGTTTGATGGAAAAACGACCTATTGTTTTGTTAACGTTGGCTAAACGTCTTATCTCACTGCTCTCTCCCCTCGGTACGCTTCTTCACGATGTAGTCTTCTTGCTTTCCTGACGCCTGCCGTCAGTTCTGCAGATTGATGCCTCCCTTGATTGGATGCAGGTCAGCGCAGGCCAGGTTTTATGGAGGCCCGACGATGTCAGCGACAGTTTTTACATCGTGATCAACGGTCGTCTTCGTTCAATATCAGAGGAGGGCCGTAAAACCACCATCAGAGGCGAGTTTGGTCAAGGTGATACAGTAGGAGAGCTCGACGTCATGACTGGTTCTCCTCGCACGACGACGGTCCATGCTATCCGTGATTCTGAGCTGATCAGGATGCCTCAAACTTTGTTCAATGCGATCTCTTCAAGGTACGTTGACATTGTCTATTGGGATTTCCCTTACTCAGGCGGCGTTTTACAGGAATCCTCAGACTACTGCTCAGTATGCTCTACTCACATTCATTTATTCCACAGCTCACACCCTGCAGACTGCTGAAGATGATTGCCTCTCGCATTCGACGTGAAGTTGACTCGGCACCTAACGTGACAACCAGGAATACTTCTGCAGAACTAGGGAAGAATAACACCAACCTCAAGACTGTCGCTGTGCTCCCTGTTTCCCGAAGCGTACCCATTGATGTCTTCGCTCGCAAGCTGAAAGCATCCCTCGAGGGCATTGGAGCACGGACTTCTCTTCTGAACCAGGCTTCGGTATCGACTCATCTCGGACGGCATGCCTTTACCAGGATGGGCAAGCTAAAAGCTGCTGCATGGTTAGCCGATCAGGAGCAGCGGTACCGGATCGTTCTTTATGTCGCCGACTCTCCCGTAAATAGTCAGTGGACACAAACTTGCATTCGTCAGGCAGATTTTGTCATGGTCGTTGGAATGGGAGATGACCCGTCATTGGGCGAGTATGAACGATTGCTACTCACGATGAAGACCACCGCGCGCAAGGAGCTTGTCTTGTTACACCCTGATCGCTCAGTGGTGCCAGGGTCTACTCGCGAATGGCTCAAGGTGCTGTTGCTATACAGTGTTATTCCACCTATCGTTAACAACGAATTCGTAGAGCCGCCACTGGATACATCAACATATACACGTCGAACTCCCTGTAGGTCGCTCCCCGAACTCCCCGACTGTCATTTTGATGTTTTTTTTTGGAGGGGCTGGTCGTACCGATTACAAAACCACCTCCGCAAGTTCAGGATCCCGGCGCAGTCGCCGCATTCAAGAATCTGAAAGATAGAGTGCAAAGCGGCATTCAGAAGTACCGTGGTTCGGGCAGGCACGGCGAATCCCGTGGACGAGCCAACAAGGATGACTTTGCTCGGTTAGCACGAAGACTGTGCGGCAAGTCCATTGGTGTCGTTCTAGGTGGTGGTGGAGCACGAGGTCTCTCTCATCTGGTGATTATGCTATTAGTCGTGTTGATCCATCCTACCATCCTAACGCTTTCCGTAGGGACTCATCCGAGCTCTTGAAGAGCATGACATACCAATTGACTACATCGGTGGCACGAGCATCGGCTCTTTCATTGGAGGTCTGTACGCTCGCGAATGCGACATTATCATGAGCACCAGTCGTGCCAGGCAATTCAGTAGCCGGATGGGCAATGTTTGGAGGATGCTGTCTGACGTTACTTATCCTCTGGTTGCATATACCACGGTACGTCGCCGTCAAATTTACCGGCCCCAAACCCTTCAATGTTATTTTCAAGGGACACGAGTTCAATCGGACAATATACAAGGTAAGATCACGAAAATTTTCGACCGGCACTAAACGGTGGCCAACAACATATTTTGTCCAGGCTTTCTACGATCTCCACATTGAAGACATGTGGCTACCTTACTTCTGTAACACAACAAACATTAATACGTCCTCGATGGAGATCCACGACTCCGGATATGCGTGGAGGTTCATTCGTGCGTCACACATATGAACGGAGTGAAGGGCAACCCTAATTCTTCATAGGAGCATCTATGACGCTGGTCGGTCTCTTGCCACCATTATGTGACAATGGTAATATGCTGGTCGATGGCGGCTACAGTGAGTCATAGTGTATTGCGTTCTGCTGTCATGCTGATGTTCTCTATAGTCGACAACTTGCCTGTAATGTACTTCCTTTTCGTTCGCCATCGTTCACTCATGTCTATCAGGTCGCCACTATGTTCTCGAAAGGTGCAAGCATAGTATTTGCTGCCGATGTCGGATCGGTCAGTGCTCAATCAGACATTTCTCATACTTGCTCAAGGTGACCACACAGATCGACGATAACTCTCCGAGGAACTTTGGCGACTCAGTCTCCGGGTGGTGGCTGCTTGTTAACAGGTGGAACCCATTCTCCAGTGCACGGACTGTGCCTGCAATCACCGAAATCCAGAGTCGACTTGCCTAGTGGGTAGCTTGATCCTCGAGACATACCCTATTATACTTACAGCACATCAACAGCGTGTCTAGCGTACGGACTCTCGAAGAAGCTAAGGTCGCTAGCAGTTGTTTCTATATGCAGATGCCAGTGCAAGAGGTAAGGGCAACCGTCATTTTCGGCTTTTCGGCACTGATCCCAACACCACCTTAGTATGGGACCCTGCAGTTCAGCAAGATTGATGAGATTGAGAAGAAGGGGTATGCGGCTGCCATGCAGTTTTTGGAAGACTGGAAAGACGAAGGGAAGCTCCCAGCTTCTCTTGTCGGCGGCCACGAAGGGGGCAAAGCCGAGACCTCTCGGAAAGGACGATCAGCTAGACGCAACTCTATTTGACACGCTAAACGTGTTGCTCGTCATTGCACATTTACGACTCAATCAGCATGGTGTCTGTTTGGATGTTCAGTTTATTTTTTGGTGCAAGCCACGAAGCTCGAGCGCGTCCGTGACTTGTGTGAAAAGCAAGAAGTACATGTGTACTACAGGCACATAAATATATGAGTATCATGAACATCGTGCGACATGAGACAAGAGGGTGGCAGTATGCTTGGGAACAACAGGGAAATGCATGCATGTGGGGCATCCATACTGACTATGCTTCATGTAAAGATTGCGAATGCGAGATGTCTGTGACTGGGCGCTATCAGGGGCGTGTATAATTAAAGAACAGGGAGGATGTTGGTCACAGTGCTTGAATAATCTACCCAAACAGATAAGCAACCGAAGCTATGATATAAGGAAGGGCTTACTAGAGATACATTACTTGAGATCGATTGTCGAATCAATGCGTAGCGTGCTGGTGGAAGCTAAGCAGGAGGAGTGCGTCCTCAATGCGGACGCCAGAAAATGTGGTCGCTCCCTTAAGCTTGGGAACGTTCACAGACAAGTCAGAAGAAGCTCCGACGTCGGGTATACCGACAGCTTTTGCCAGCTCGGTATAGGCGGCGGGTTCAATGATACCCATGCCCATGGACTCGTGTGCTAGGTTATCGATACCGCTGGCAAACGACCATGGCGTATATCCCCGACCACGTTTAAATGGTGGAGGAGAAGCAGACAAGCCGGAGGATGGTGTCACAGCCTCTGGAAAATCGTCGTCACTTCGTTCATCAACATCCATGTCCAAGCTAGCGTCAAACTCTATGGAATCGTCCTCGCCATACAGCGAAGACGATTCCGAGGATCCTGCGCGAGGATAAGGAGAGCGGACGCCACGGATGTGGGAGTCGTTCCTTCTCATAACGCGCTTGCGCACGGTTTGGCGGACGTTCCTGAACCAGTTAGAAACACGGACAACATCCCTGGGATCATTGAGCAAATTACTGGAACAACCAAGAGATGTGCTTACATTCCACACTCGAGAGCCACTGCACTCCTCTCTTCCAACGACGGGTTGTTAGTGATATACCAGAGACGCTTTAGGGCCTCCAGTTGGCGTGGCTCTGGGCGTGACCGGCGCGAGCGAGACCGCACATCATCGGTGGATCCATTCCGGTGATGCCGTCTGCCATCTTCGGCAAGGAAATCGCGACAATATGGCGTGATGCTTCTTCGAGAACGAGGCGAAGTCGGGGGAGGATGCAGGGGAGGGGGCAATGACGAACGCCTTTCGCCGCGAGGATCAATACCATGACGCATTGGAGAAAACACTTCACCAGCTCGTCGTGGTACAGGTCTGGGAAGTGGTGGGAGGTTACTCAGGGGATAGTTGCGAGCAGAGGTAGGATAGAGGGAGGGGTGGCTTGCAGCAGGAGGTAGAGTGGCAAAAGAATTGGCATGTGCGTCAGCTGCGCGATCGTTTCTCGGCATGTCTTGAGCATCCATGGGATCGTATGGAACAGTCGTTGACTCGAGAGGTGTATCCTTATGCCTCCTGATCTTGGCCTGGCTGCGTTGATTTTGGAACCAGTTCGTGATGCTCTGGTATCGCCTGAGATAATGAGTATATCAGTATAAGCCGATAACGGGGTATTGAATGGAGATGTAGAATGTAGAAGGGAGAGGGGGAAACGCCAAGACGGTGGTTCTGACGGCTGAATCGAAGGAATACTCACAAGCCCGTCTTCTCCGCCAGCAGCTCCCGTTCCTCCCGGCTAGGGTGGGGATTTGCTGCATACGCCTTTCGGAGTTCCTCTGCCTGTTCTGGCAGAGTGCGGGTCCGGGAGTGCTCGCCACGAGGCTTCTTATCACCCAGGCCATCATTTTCTGAGACGAAGCGGGTGTCTTCGTCTGGAGAGTATCGAGGAGAAATAGATGCCTCCATGTGAGAGAAGTGAGGAGAAGTCCGATGTTCCAAATAGGCATTTTCAGAGACGAATCGGTCACCTAGAGGATAGTTCCCTGTTGGACCTGCGAAGAAGGCACCCTGCACACCCCTCGCATGTTCAGTCACGGGAAGATCCTTGTGCACGAGGGCGCGGTCGGCATCTATATAGGGGGCATCTAAATTTCTTGCTTTCTGCCGCCGAGAGGTGTGGGGGTGAGAGCCTAAAGAGAGCTCTTTGGAATGGCGTGGTGGAACAGAGGAGTCGTTGAGGAGATTAGCGATGGATGGTAGGTTGGATGAAGATGCGGACAGAGGCTCTGCAGAATAAGGTGTGTGCCCCGAGCCGGCATCGGAGTTACTGTCCGGCACAGGCTGAAGAGGCTGAGCTGAGTTTGCAGGAGCTCTGTTGCGCTTCTTCGTAGAAGCTCGTTTATTTTGAAACCATGCATTTACCGTTTTAGTCTCCCTAATTGACGGATAGGAAAACCGTCAATCAAGCAAATGTATGGATTTGCAAATGGCCGCTTACATGCCCAGTCGCTCTGCAAGCTCTGTGCGATCCTCCAGGCTTGGGTGTTCGTTCTGGTCAAACAATTCGTTGAGGGCGGCAAGTTGAGCTGGGCTGTGACGATGTCTGGGTTTTTTGGAGGAGGAAGCTTTATCAGAGCCTCCGACGGTGGTAGGTGATTTGTCTGAGGCACCGCTCATCTTTGCCTCGTCTGTAGAAGGGGCCATGTCCACAGGGGGGTTGTGCTGTGAGCTGCGCCCACCGGGAGCGTTGAACGTCGACATTCCGTGAGATGAACCTGATTTGCTGAATTGACGTGCGGAGACAGGAGGAATGAGTGTGGGGGAGGACGGTAGAGAGAAATTCATGGCGACATGACAAAGGGCCTGTATATCGAGTCTGCTAATATCCATATCGGCATCTTTTTAGTGGACTTGTGCTAAATCAGCGACCGTGGGAATAACCGAAACCGAGCACTTTACATCATCGGAGAGGCACAATTTCACCTCTGGACTCTTTGGCCTGCTCGAGACAAGTGCAAGCATCGGGTAGACCCCTATCTGACACAACATAGCCAACATCCATTCAGATTAATATCATGTCTCCGTCCTTAAAATTAATATTGCTCGAGGACACCTTCGAACGATGAACGAGATCCACAGGGCCATGCGGTGCTATCCAATCCACCGAAACCTCTTTATTGCCTGCGTGCCTCATGGCAGCTTTCGACCGCTTATGTCAGGTTCTATTAGATGTCGCCGGCTTACTACTGTCTTGCGACGTCAGTATTGACAACATTCATAGACCATGATCATCACCGCTTCCACTCACTGCCCCTCGGACCCACTATCTACGGACTACAGATTGTCTCGTAGAGTCCTCGGCTATACAGGGCTGCACCTCCGTACTAGACAAGGTTCCACCCCCCGACTGGCCTTGCCCAACACCTAGCATTCTTAATGTCTTATTCGAGGTATATGCAAGGTATATGCAACTTACCGTGCTGTGACCCACCGCTTATTACGGTCTCGGGTGCCAAACCTTGCTAAGTGCGGGCCTTGGATGAACCAATCAGCCGCTTAAATCTCGCCGTACACCGCGGACCATATGCAAGTGTTGCCATAACGGAATCGACCTTGTTGCTACACTGTAGTGCATAGCCTATGAGCTGAGAGCACGATGCGGCAACCAATCACCTGGCTTCAGCAACTCGGATCTCAATCCTCCCAATGGGCATCCCAGTCGTTGATTACTTCCAACCGATTGTAACATATTGGTAACGTACAGCACAACTTCCAATGTGGAACTAGCAGGCTAATAGTACAGTGGAGTTCCAATTTCCCGGGGAACAACCTCAAAAGGATTAGGAATGGAATGATATAAATACATTGGCGCATGTGTATGTGAACGTGGTGACCACAGGATGGCCGGTTCTGACCCTCGTATAGAGTCAATAAAGGCTACGGCCCTTGGGACAAAGGTGATACGCTGTCGACGTCGTCAGTGTCCACATTCTTGATCCAGGCACCAATTGCACCCCTAGCCAGCATGATCAGCTATCAAGGGCAGGGCAATGTGAGGTCCGGGGATAACTTACAAAAATCCTTCATGGCGGAGAAACAATGCACGTTTCGTGCCCTTGCTCCAGAACCGGATTGCGTATGAAAGCGTGGCGATGGTGGCGGCATGCCCTAAGGGTAGAGTATCGAGTAAGAGAGGTGTTTTTAGAGCGAGGCCAGGATTTGCACACCTCGGATAAAGCATCCACCGAAGTAAATTCGGTCCAAGCCATACTTCTCAGCATTCATGTATCTGGACCATTGCGTTGTAAGTTCAAAGCCCGACCAAAATAGTTGACCGCAGGGACAATACTCACGCTATCTGGCCAATGTTATTTGAGACGGCGTACAAGAGACTCTTGCTGATATCCTCGGGACGAAACGAGCCCGGAGTTGGTTCTGTATCGGGCCGGTTCTTGAACACTTTGCCGAAGGAGCTGGCAATCGTGGTGGACTTCAGGCCAAGTTTGCTATAATCCGTGCCATAGATGTCCCCGACCAGCATATCGACGGCAGAGTTGTCACCCTGCTCTGACAGTGACAACATCTCTGTAATAGAATTAGACACGGTCGGACTAGAAGGCAGTAAGCGGCAACATACCGTCAAAGTTCCTAGCAGGTGTAAGCAGACTGAGTAATCCCCAGAGAGTGCCTCCCCCAAGACTGGTACCGCTGATACGCTCAAAAGTGCCATCTGCGTCGACTTTGATGATCGACACTCCAGAACCAATATTGACCAATAAGCACGGAAGATGCGCTGATGGCTCCCCAGGCTCAAACGTCACTGCATACTGCGGTGGGTTTGGTGAGGGCCGCTCAAGGACAGGCTCAGCGGGCGCGCCATCGTCACCATCCTTGAGTGGCCCTCTACTCGTGCCAGGGTGCGAGACCGCTTGGATGAGCTTATCCGAGAAGTAGTACACCTCCTCCGGGATCATCGCCATGAACTTCATGCCTTCGATCAAACATTCCATCTCATCCTCGCGTCGCACCTCTACTACCAGCTCGCCGGCGAAGAGCTCCCCAAACTTGTGTGCGCCTCCGCCGGTCGCAACGACATTGACTCCACGCCGCATCTCCTCGATGGAGACGCCGTTGGCCTTGGCCGAGCGCGTGATGAGGTCGCGGAGGAAGTCAACCAGGTCCGACACACGTTCTGTTTCGAACCGCTCGAAATTGAGAGAGCCACCGGGGAGGTGGTGAACAGAGGTCGTGCGTTTCAAGATTGTCGACCGGAGAAGATCGGTATCAAGGGGATTAGCAGAGCTACCACTGCCGCCGTTCAGGTAATCGCCCGTGCCATTGTGATTGTGCGTTTCAAGGACAAGAGGGGTTAAAGCACCGTTTCGCGTATGCGATGAGCTGGATGGAATGTATGGCGAGGACCGGTTCGGAGAGGGTGGAGAGCCAGGGCTAGGAGTCGACAATTGGCTCGCTGCGCAGCTACTGCCTCGCGTCGCGGCTATCGAGGGAGATGCTGGCGGCTCGGGTGACCGTGTAAAGTACACAACTTTCGCCAGGGAACCACCAATCTATGCACGTCACGCGTGAGTGAAACTGAGGGCGAGGATGGGTACTGGGGCACTTGCATCTACAGCAATGTGGGAGACTGGCTCGATATAGTTGGGGAGGTATATTCCTCGACTGTCACGGGTCTGCGAACCAAAGAAAGGTCATGGCTTCTAAGGCTCTTGAACCGCAAAAGGGGCGCACCTCTGGCGACTCCTCTGTCAGAATGACAGCTCCTCTGGTATTGACATGGATAACGCGTGGGGTAGGGAGCGACGGTCCTGACATGGTTGGAGGTCGAATGTAGCACTTTGAAACCCTACTTGATTAATTGATTGCGCGCACAAGGACGTTGAAATAAGCGATTGGGTATACGTTGACGAGTATGTAATGGTCGTCCGTACGCGATATCGTACGACAACGGTGTGGGGTGGTCTTGTTCAGAGGAACGATCTTATAAGACTTGAGACATCATCGTGATCGGAATAGTACCATTATTCATCGACCCGTCTGATGGTCTTACTACATATCCTCGCCCCTCGCGGCCTTACCACGTTAGTCCTCTCCAACTCCCGCTCCAAAGTCCAGACACATAACGTGAATCCTCGTGGGATGTCTAGAAAGGCAGAACATTGTCGAGTATCGACCCCGCACACGTCGCTGTGAACGTTACTCGGGCCATGCCCAGGCCGACCCGCTGAGTACCAGTACTAGTGTTCTCCCCTCACACGACCATCGAGCGAAAAGGAGATAATTACGATAATACATATCTACTTGGGAATTTAACCACCGACAGCCGCCAATACCAGTGCACAAGCACTCTCCTGTTCGGCGCGCACGCCGAGCTCTAAAGTAACACCTTGACCGCGAGAAAATGTCATCCGACATCTCACCAGAACTTTGCCTCCGCCACCTGCAACTAACCCGGATAGTTGAAGTGTGTGTACGGACTGCGAATTTGGTGTCTCCGTGCCGCCCAATGGCTCCATGTTTAACACCTCAATGATCGAATCACAAGCGGCTATGGTTTGCCAATTATACGCAGGTGAGAGGGAATAAGAGCAACAATCAGTGAGGAGATTCCATAATTAAGCATGGACAAATCCTACCTTTGATGCTTTCCATGGAACTGAGGGAAAATGTCTCCGTGGCAGTCGCGCCTGACCGCATGCGGTCCCATTCCGACGAGAACGAAGCATAGCTCGGAACGATATAGTCGCCACCAGCAGAAAGCTCGACTTCCTCTAGCTGATACTCATCCTCGTAGCCATCTTCCTCTGGCTCTCCGGTAGACGGGTCGACTTCTTTGCTGACGAATTTGAGAATGCACTGGAAGGATGCAGTGACATATTCTGAAGGGTCGTCCCGGGTGAAAGACACATAGACGATGCCTGGTGCTGCTGAAGTAAGTTGATCAACAGGCATAGAGAAGTCCTCCGTAAGACCGGACTCCGTTTGAGGCTGCATAACAACAGTGACTTGTTCGAGAACAGTTTCGGGAAGCGTATTCGAGACATTGTACTACGGACCATCAGCATCGTCATTATGATGATATGCTTCTTAAGACTTACCTGGAAGACAACATGCTCCTTGAAGACATGTTTTACACATGTGACTTGGTACTCGGTCTCGGTCTCGGTGAGCTGGGCCGGCTTGGCCGAGCTGTTCAAGACTGGACCATACTCCGTAAACTCCGATATCTCTGCCAGTTGCTGCACGTAGGCAGACTGTGTCTCTGCGGCGGTAGGAGGTGGAGGTGAAACTTCTGTTTTTCTGCTGGTCGGTGCAGCAATAGTGTCAAGAGTGCTTGGCCCTGTGCAAATGTCAAACAAGTGTCACACATTGACCATTGTTGCAAGAAGTGATACACTCACGCGTGGATTCAGCAGCGAGCTGCGCCCGGCTGATCTTCGGTATTGACGAAGCATCAAACGGCTTTTGAGTAGCATCCGGATCATTGACATAGGAAACGAGCTTGGATTCTAGAGCAGCCAAAGAGAAAACTGAATCTGAATCGACGTACTGGTAAGTAAGATACGGTGACGGAAGGGATAGTTGATATACCTTCTTTCACATATGCGTCGGCCAAAGGAGTTTCCTTGAACACCTTCAGGTACATAGCTGCACGATCCCGGACCTCGTCGTCAACATCATCCAAACACCTGGTGCTATGTGAGGGATGCTAATCTTGTCAAAATGAAAGACAGCACACCTGTTCAGGAGGATAGTGACACTCCTTCGCAAAGCAGCATCCGAACCATTCACGCCAAATTTGGCCAGACTCGCAACTGCAGCCGCCCTGACAGTTGCATTTTCCAACACCACTCGGTTGTAGATAAAGCGGATGTATTTGGTCGGCTGAGGAGCCTTGGGTCCCTCAATGCCGAGCAAATAGAGGATACGAACAGACAGTTTGGTGAATTCACAGTCCTCGATAAATTCGCATAGGTGAGACAAGGCTTGTTCCTTGCATTCGCCGATGAACTTGATCATGTCGAAGATGGCTTCCACAACGGCACGCTTGAAATCGTAACCACCCTCATCCCTGAGGACACCAGAAAGGAACGCGAGCATCGACACATGCTTGGCCGGGAACTTCAAGCAGAGCGAGCGGATGGCATCCACGATGATGACCTTGAACTCATCACTAATTTCTGACATGAAGCCAGTGATTTGCTTCATGAGGCGATCGACAGAAGCTTCGTTGCCAGTCTGGAAAGCACGTCAAATCCGTCATCACTAATAGATTGACAAATGTACCTTAAGGAGAGTCGTGATGGCATACGTTGCAACGCTCCGGTTCGAGTCAGCGATAAGATTTTCCAAGTCAACGTTGCAAGTAGCTACGCTGCTCGGATGAGTTAGCGCCAAGGAAGCGAGCGTGCGGGTTGCAGCGAATTTCAAAACGGGTTTTGGTGAGGATAGGAAAAGCTGCAGTACTGAAGAATCGTAAGCCAACGATGCACACAGCAGGATATGAACATTTGAACGTACCAGCGATGGACTTTGTGAGCTGTGCAGGTGAGACGTTCTTCATCTCACAGATGGCACGAGCTGCTTCAAAGTTGACCATATCACTCTTATGCCGCAGCCACCCCTCGATAAGCTCAACCATTTGTCTCTGAACGCTGAAGAACGCCATTAAACTAGCAGAAAGAACGGAGAGGAATCGATACGTACTTAGGGTCATCCTCCATAACCTTTGCCGCATACCGAATGAGCATGCAAAGAGCCATAGCGTTTTTGAGCGTGGTGCCGGCACCAGACTTGCCTCCGCCAAGTTGCTGGATCATCTTGGTGACAGCCATACGATCCTGCTGGCGAATTAGGTACAGGAGACCCAGTGCATGGTATTGGGTGATGTAGCTAGTCGAGGGAATGGGTTGGTATCCACTGTTGGATGAGGAGTTTGAAGAGCCAAAGTTCAAGTACCCGCCACTAGATCCGCCAAAGATCGAAGGAGAAGACTTGGCATTGACAGCTTCCTGAGCCTCGTTTACCCACCGCTTGACCACATCCTTGGCGAGCGGGAACAGGTGGTACGAAGACACAAGGGCTGCCGAGGATATTGAAGGTGTTCGATCGACAATGGCTGCCTTAAAGAATCGCTCAACACCTTGTGCCATTGATGGCTGTACGCAATTCAGCAATATACGACCAAGGCAGTGGAAGGTATCGTACGTCAATGATGCGACAGAGAGCACGGATCGCGTTTGGTCGGTAGATGACCTCCGAGTTAGGCTGCATATCCTTCATGATACTACTCGTGACCATGATCACGTCCTCCGCCGTGGTTGCGAGCTCCTTGATCGCGAGGTACACCATTTGGCGGAGCGCGCTCTGGACGCGTATGGTCAGCAGCAAGTAGCGTCTACTTGTGTCATACTCACATCTTTGTGTTGGAACAGCTTGGTCGTGCCGAAGAATAGTGTCGTGGCCTCCTGCGCGCTGAAAGTTTCCCCAATGTAGAGCAGATAGACGATCCGAGTGAGCAAAGCCCTGCATTTCCGGGGACTGATTGGAGACTCGTTAAAGACGCGAGCCTCCTGGATGATCGTGGTTTTGTTGTTGTAGTAGGAACTAAGTCCGCTCTCCTCCTCCTTCTTGGAGATGTACGCCATTGTGAACGGTAATTTACGGGATGGCTAGCAGCCGGCGAAAGAGGACAAGCTTGACTGCAATGCTACTGCCTCGTTTGACGTGGTCAAGATTCACTTGTTTGTACCTTGTTTGTTACCTCTGACCTGGCAATGTGCGTATGCAAGAAGGTCACAACAGCTAAAAGAAACAAGGCCCTCTGAGCAAACCTGGATCCGAAACATTTTTTTAATCAAAGAATGTGTGAGCTCGAGGAGGTCTCAACAGCTAGCTGGTCATAAATATGATACTCAATCAAATCAAGTACGGCAAATACTCTAGGTACACGTTGTCCATAAACTAAAGAACATATAAAACAAGGAAAGACGAAACTGGTTGTCTCTGGTTCGAAACTTAACCTTCCGTTGGCTGAGCAACAGGTTCGAGGATAGCAGGTGCATCAGACTCTTGTCCACTGGCACCTTCTTCGGTAGCGACGATGTTGCGCAAGTTGGTGGGTGTTTTGGTGGCATGAGTATCTGGCACATGTGAACCTGCACGCGAAGTGTTCGCAGAAGGACCAGATTGTGCGCGCGATCCCTTGCCTTTCCCCGTGCCCTTCCCTGAAGACGCAGACAAAGCAGCAATAGCACCCTTCGACAATGGAAACCCGGCGGAGACCGACTTTTCCGTAGGAGCGAGTTTCAACGCAGCGACAGAGAGTTCAGAATCCTTGTCCCCAACCCAAGTCTTTGTAAACCACCGGCCTCCGGCTATCCCCCGAATTTCCCGGTTCGCCTGGCGCCAGTGACGAACCTTGTTCCGACTGCGGTCCAGCGGTATGACTGGTGCAAAACTTGTTCCTATCTTTGGTGGAGGCTGAACAGGAAAAGGTTTTGAGGGTAGCGGGTATACTGGCATGGGGCTGTTATCATAGTTGGCTTCAATAGGCGGAGGTTCATCCTGGTCGTCCGGTTCAAGGTCAAGTGGGAGTGCGTCAAAAGGTAGGGGTGAAGAAGGTGCGGTACCAGTATATGCAGCTAGAAGACATCAGTTCCTTAGAGTCCGATGGAGGTGAGTGGTTCACTCACTTTCACTCATAGCATCGTCGGCAGTGACAGGAACAGAGAGGGACTGAGTCTTGGGCTGTCTAGGACCTTTCAAAATCTGACTTCAGCAGATGTAAATACACTTACTTGGGTGCCTTGTGCTTAGAACGTTGGGTAGGAATAGACTTGCGAGGAGCGGATGCGACATTCTTTTTCCCAGAAAGTTTGGTTGACTGTGTCTCGCCCGAGCCAACAGCACTAGCACTCTCGGTGGGCCAATCTTCGCCTCGTGCTATCTCTGTCAACGATTCTAAGAACATAAATGAGTTCATGTCAATGACCAAGTAATCCGTTCATACCTCGAGGTTTGTCACTCTTACGAGACTTCATCTTCTTGGCTTGGCCCTTACGTTTCCCGAGGACGGATGCTGAAGCAGATGCAGCTTGCACATCGTCGTCATCGTCGTCAATGAGTTGGTCCTCTTCATCTTCGTCGTCATCACCAACGTCTCCTTCAGGAGTCTCTGAGGGTACTGGAGGGATGTCCGTGGGGAGTTTCCGCGGGGTACTTGAGGGTGAGGCCGACGCTCCGCTACCACTTCCCTTCTCGCTCACAAGTAACTTGACGCGGAACTTGGATTGCCGCGACGGCGGTGGTGTGTTCTCTTCTCGCAAGGTGGAAATTTGAGGAGCGTCCATGTCCACATCTTCGTCCATTGGATCCATAGCTTTTTGGTTGGCGGAAGGAGGGTCGTGGCGCGCGCTTGAGTCTTTCGCGTTGTAATTAATCCAAGGTGAGACTCTGAACATCACCACATCACTTTGCACAGCTCTAGCTCCTTTAAATCTCGTTGTCGTCTTGTAATCCGCAAGGGTATCAGCAACCTCGAGATTCAAGCGCCGCAAGGTTGTCACTGTCAGGGTGGGATTTCAGCTACATGAACTGACAAGTAAACATAGAAATGGGAAGGGCAGCGTTGCGGCGCCCCGAGTCGCCAAAACTGTGTACGTTGCACGCGTCTCGGACCCACTTTGTATGTCGACCAGCGCTGGGCGCGTCGCGGTCGCCCCGTCTCCTAATAGTATGTGCCTGCAGAGTCGTGCATATAAGCTGCCTACCTATCCATGCTCAGGGCTCTGCTGAAAACACCGAGGCCGAGGCTGACAGAGCCAGTGACTACTCCGATCGGACAATGACGATTATAGGTCCATTTGGAGCATCCTCTTCAAACTGTAAGGAGGAACATGGAAGATAAATACCCTGCCACAGTCAATCGTCTCAGACATTCCCAGCTGAAAATGTCTACTTATGTCGTCACAGGTGCAGCTCGCGGCTTGGGGGTGAACAGTCTGTTCTCGCTATGTTGAATGCACCAGAAGCTAACATAGTCTGGTCTAGTATGAGTTTGTCAATCATCTCAGTGCCGTGGAAGGCAACATTGTCTGCCATTGTGCGAAAAAAAAGTTACCGCGACAATGCTCTATGACTTAAACCGTTCCAACGTTCACATTATCCAAGCCGATATCACAGACCACTCGGCCGTTGAGGTCCGTTATCTTGTTTTTTTCTTCTTTTCTTTTTTCATCGGTACCTTTCGCGTGACGAGAGACTCGCACTAGACAGCTGCACAAACTGTTGGGCGCATCACCGGAGATTCTTTGGATGTTTTGATCAACAATGCTGGCAAGACAGATTCTGTCAGGCGCAACCTGCCCATAGACAAATAGTAAGACCATTCCTGTTCGTAAAATGTCTTTCTGACAGCAGTGAAGCCCTTCCAACGAAAGTCTCGCAAACGATCTCAGAGCTTTTGTAAGGAACATTATCTATCACGCTCTCTGTTCCTCTGACTAGCTGTTGTGAAAGTTTGAGGTTGAAGTTATTGGAACGGCAGTGGTCACAAACTCTTTCCTTCCTCTCGTGCTCAATGGCAAGGCGAAGAAAGTTGTGACCATCAGTGGCGGAATGGGGGATTTAGACCTCACTCTCGCCTCCCAGTGGCGATTCTTTGGTCCAGGAGCCGTTGCAAAGGCCGGCCAAAATATGTTGGTTGCGAAGTATGCTGCTAGCTTGAAATCCCAGGGTGTAACGTTTCTCGCCATCAGTCCTGGACTTATTGAAAGCGGCATCAAAGGAGGTAAGCAACTTTGTCACCCTTCCTTATGAGTATTCGTGCTGAACGCTCAAATGCTTCGTAAATTCAGAGCCGTCACCAGAGGATGCAGAAATGGCGAAGGAGTTCCAGTCATCTATTGGCAGGCTCTACCCTGACTGGACAGGGCCTATTAGTTCTACGCAATCCGTACAGATGGTGTTGGATGTCTTGAATAAGGTCACTCTCGAGGATAGTGGCCTATTTATGTCACACCATGGCAACAAACAGTGGCTATAGTACGGCTGCTTGACTCACGTACGGAGCTGGCCTTTGGATTTATTGTCTAATAGGACTCTCTCCAAACATGAGCCTACCATTCCGTTGAGTACAGCCAGTGCAGCCAGTGCATACATTTACATCCTTGTAGAATTGTTCTCATATCCTTCCCACTTAGGTAATTCGTCCTTAACATCTAACATACGAGTGTCGTAGAAGATATGACTAGTCGGTTTTGCAATGTCCCAGTGCAATACATTTCCGTTCTCATCTCGCTCTAGCAAGGCGCCCCATATACTAATGCGCTGCGTAAGTGTGTTCGTGGAGGCGAGGCATGCACCGCACTTCTTGCAGCGGAAACGCGTTTTATGGGGTTTCAAGTAGTTGGTGTAAGTGTCTAGCTTGTCGGCGTGAGGTTCGGCGTGCTTCCATGTAAAATCGACGGCTTGAACATGCATGGTGTGCACGAATGGGCATGCTGTCCTCGAGAGCTGAGATACTGACCATGATATGTATGCCCTACTTACCTGTCAGTCGTTGGCAATTGGTACAATGGCAATAAGCGCTAATAACAGGCGGGGAGAAGATTGCCCATGAAGCGGAACCACAAAAGCAGCTTCCCTTCAGGACAGGAGCGCGAGTCTCTACGGGTTGTTCAGCTGAATCCATGGGGGCCTGTGCTAGGAGCAATTGATGTCCTTGCACCGAGTCAGAAGGTGAGCGGAAGCGCGGAGTGAATATAGGAGTCTGACCGTCAACGCTTTTCGGTGCGCCGACACGGAAGCAGAGGGCCGGTACCGGCTGACTAAGCGAAAAGACCGACTTCCCCCGCCGTCCTCAACAGCCAACTTTCATCCGCTTTCCTCAGCACGGACAGGGTACGTTGACCTCCTTCACACTTTCGTCTGTTGGAGTCGATATGCTCATTTCTATCTATCAGTTCCTCTCATTTCCTTTATAGATACATCGTTGACTCGTGGACAACTTGGGTCTTGTCAACTTACGCGGTTTTACCATGGCCTCTGCTACTTTGAACGTATGATATTTAGTCTTCCGACGCGTCATGACGGATGGTTGACCGATTGCCTCCAGGTCGCTCGGTACACCGCTCTTGCTTCGGGCATTTTCTACGGTATCTATCATCGTCGCTCGTTACAGAAAGAACACGACCACGATAGGGAGCACCATGCTATCCACCACAGAGAACACCTAATTGCTCAGGCCAAGAATGCATGGAAACAGAAACAGGAGGCCAAGAAGGGTGATGGTAGTGAGTCCTATTTCTCCAAGTTGTCCCACCTTTCTTTTTTTGCGCCTGCCTCCCCTATTCAAGTGCTGCTTCCCTCTTCATACACGGTGTGGGTGTATGTGCTAATCAATTTTTTTCTCTCTCGCGCAGTTGTCACCGATCCCGAGGACCCTCGTTTCGATCTAGAAAAGCTTTTTGCCAAGTGGGAGAAAGAGGCACAGTGATACGCAGAACCTCCCTTGCCATGTACCTCTCCACGATACCTATAGACCGCACTTTCTAATATCACTGCCCAAGCAATTGCGAAAGCAGCAGAACTACTGAAAGTTGGAAGGATAAGAATAACCGAGTATACATTGTAGCGTCTGTTTCAAGAAACCGCGATTCGGACTCAAGCATTAGGTTATGCGGACTTGCACGCATATTCAATTGCAAGCAAATCTACTTCAGCATTAAGGCTTCTCTATTAAAATCGTATTCTATCCTGTCTTTGCCTTCAAGTCTCTCCAAAGCGAAGTGAACAACACGGCCCCGATTCCAACCATGGCAATTTCCAGACCAACGTAATTCATCAGGCCGAGGCGAGTGCCGCTCCCACCCCATATCGCACCAGTCAAACGACCAGTGTAATTGCTGCACTGGATAGCAATGGAAGTCCTGGAGTTCCATTCGTTGGGAAGCTGCTTGCTGAGCAAACTCAGCGTCACGGTGGTGGCGAGGTTGAACCCAAGGGCAACTGCCCACCAGCACGCGAACAAGGAGCCGTAGTTGATGGTATCAGAACGGACAAGAGAGAGGAAAACCAGGAGCCCTGCCATGCCTAACCCTGCGCCGACTGCGAGAAGTTTACGATCCTGCAGACGACGTGCATAGATCATGTTGAGGAGCAGGAAAGGGAATGTAGTGATACCACCAAGAGCAATGAAATTGCCCGCAGCGTATGGAGACCAGTGAAGGTCAGGGTCTTGAGCGCCCATGATCGGCAGGTTGGCTTCCCAAGCACCAAGATTAAAGAAATTTGACATCGCGAACCAGCACATGCAGGCAATGACTCCCCACTGTGCAAGAGTAATATTCCGCAGCTGTGATGCGAGTGGCTCTTCGGTTTGCGCGGGGAGTGGTGATGGGGGGACAGTAACGGTGGAAATTTCGCCGGTGTCTGACTTGCCGTCAGCGTGAATAACAGTGGAATCCTCTGGCGCTGCCTGTATCGGCTGTAACTCGATAGAGTCTTCCTTGTCAGGTACATCTTCAAATGCTACTGCTGCAAACACCCAGAACGCAATGAAGATGGCGGCCATGATCCATCCAATACTGCTGTATCCGTTGAAGACAGAGTTCTCAAATCCGAGCTTGAAGAGCAGGCCGCCAAAGAAAGGACCTGCACTCATGCCAACACCTTGCCCAATGACTTGTGCACTGGCCAGCGTCGTCCTTTGGCGAATACCTACGACGCGTGAGTCGGTGCAGTAGCGCTTGATGTACATCCAGTTCGTAAACCCAATACCCATGACCATCCTTCCGATAAGGATGAGATATAAGTACTTGGCACGGTATGCCAAGGCGTAGAGCAGATGTCCAATAACCATCGCACCGCAGCCAATATGAAGAGGTATTTTATATTTGCCTAGATGACCAGGTCAATGCTGCTCGAGAAATTGGCTTGCAGTTGTGGCTTACCTTTGTCAATCTTCGACAAGGGGATCAAAGTTATAGCAGAGAAGAGGGTCGGAATACCGATAACGATACCAGAGAATGAGGCACTTCCTCCCAAGTACTCGGCGTACTGGCTTGAAGAGGGCACAATGATGAAGAAAGATACCTACATATGAATAAGTTAGCTTCTTCGTGATAGTCTTTAAGACACCCATGTACCTGCAGCAACAAGTTCATGATAATCATCGTGGCCAGCGAGCCTGTCTTGGGTAACTTGAACTCTGGGTCATCTGGAGCATGACCATGCCTAGAAGGAAGAAGGTTGCGGACTAACGAGACGCCCATCGTTGCTTGATATGAGGTAGGCGCGAAGAACGTCGCCGACAACATCCGCCTGGGTTATAACCCATCTGTGCTTAGGCAGCCCGAAAACAGCGGCGGTCCGGTTTTGTGATGGAACGGAACCCCGTGGGTTGCGTGATGGCATATACAATATGCTGTCATGTTTCGAGGAGCTGAAGCGGATTTACAACAAGGGTTTGAAACCCACTACATACGAGCGGGACTAGAATGGAAGTAGGCGGGATCGCAAAGAAAACAAGACATATGCATGTACATGGTTTACGATTGTTCCTGGATCCGAAGGGAGACAGGTATAACGAAGAAGTTTTGCCTAAGCTACGTTCTTCCCGGTCCGCTTACCGCTTCGGTCCGGCTCCCGTTTCTCCGTTATTATTCCATCTCCTGATCGTAAAACCTAGACTCGTGACCAGTCTCCCGAGACGCGTGCCTAAAGAGGCAACAGGCCATGGGGGCCTTCGCATCTGGGAGACTGGGAGATTTCGTCGACTCCCTGGCAGGGAGCCAACTGAGTTTGAATATTGGCAGTAAAGAAGCATTGAGAAGCGTCGGAGATCGGTTAGATAAGCCGGCATTACCGCAGCCGATCGAGCACTTGTAGTCTCGCGTCGCGTCGCGCTCTGTACGCGCCGTGCCCATGAAATATAACAATTTGCACCCTATCCCTCCTGCGTGAACGTAAGATATACTACCCTGGCCTCATCCTAACTACTACCAGCCGCCTCCACCACCTCCACCGCCCGTATTTCGGCCGCTGCAATGGACAACACCCCCTGCATGGCTCTCTGAGGATATCAGACTAAGGGAGCTTTCGACGGCTCTGGTTGACACGGAAATGACAGCGCTCGATCTCCATATCTCTCGAGCGCAG